TTTATCCTTCGAGAAGATTAGTATATTATTAAGATATACTATTAGGTAGATATTAATAAGTCCTATTAAGGCTCTATTAACGTACGCCTAAAAGGTAGTAGGAGTATTTACGAGTCTAAACGGTATTACTATATATTCGAAATATCCGTAGCGGTATCTAAACGCTATTTTCTACTTATCTCCCTATTTTATATAGATTCTATAATAAGTATTTTATAGATCTAGTTTAGTATAGATCTATACTCCTAATAATCTTACTAGGGACTTATTAATTAGTAGTAAAGGGTAGCGGTTCTTAATAGTGATCGCGTTTAACCCTCTATAGTCTATATAGAGTCTAAGCTTACTATCTTTCTTCGGTATAAAGAGGATAGGTATACCCGATTAACTCTTTAAATATCGGATCTAGCCTTTTTCGAGGTTCTCTTTAATATACTAATAGAGGACTTCTAACTCCTTAGTAGATAATATATATACTAGCCTCTAAAGGGATATCTTACCTAGTATTAGCTCGATTATATAATTATACTCTATATAGATTAGAAAGACTATAATACTTTTTTTACTTACTATAATAGTTAGATCTTAGTATTCTAATAGGAGTTTAGTTAGGGGTTATATCGGATAGGAGATCCTATTTAAGCTTTATATTATCTCTAGTATTACTATAAACTCCCTAATAACCTTATTAATATCTAAGCGTAGCTCTCTAAGTATATCTTATAGTTTTACTTCTTTTTTAAAGTCTTCTAATAGGAGGGTTTTAATCTCTAATAAGGTTATATTTCTATATACTTATTTACTAGTTATCTAGTTAATATCTAGATTTACTAGTCTAAGCTAATCTATTCCTAGGATTATATTATAAATTATTATATCTATAGCTTTATAAATTATTTTAATAACTCTATAGGTTCTATTCCGGTCTATTAGACTAAGCTATACTTCTTAGCTTTTATATAAAGGGATCTTACGTCTATCTATAGCTTCTACTAGACGGGTACTTATTATATATATCTCTTCTAGGTTCTCTTTTACCTATTTCTAGCTTACGAAACTCTAGATTACGCTACTATTTATTAATATCTTAGCTACTCCTATTAAGGCTCTAGTCTTAATATCTAATATTAATACGTTATAGATAAGTACTCGGTATACTTCTTTACGTTCTCCGAAAAGAACTATCCCTAATACTATAAAAGTCTATAATATAGGGTCGTCTATTTTTTTAACTCTTCCGCGGCTATAGTATTTATTATAGCTTTCTTATAGTAGTCTTTTATATAATAGCCTAGCTTATTATAGAAGTTATAGAATTTATTATCTCTATTTTAGTCTTATTTAGACCCTATAGTAGCTTTTCTACTCTCCGTAATAATCGTAGCTTACTATATAGGGAAAGCGCTATTTCCTTTAAAAGGTCTTCTACTAGATCTATATAAGTCTATAGTATTTCTTAGCGCTATCTTCTTAGTCTCTCTAAGATATAATATCTTACTTAGTATTACTTTCTTAATTTAGTTATAGAAGGCTACTTAGTTATCCTATTAATCTATAGCGGGGGCTATAAATCTCTTTACTTCGTCTTATATCTCTTTAATAATACCTATCTCTAAATAGTCGATTCTTATCTATCTAGTTAGTATATCTTTTAAGCGGTTATAGAGTCCGGTAAGCTTTAAGGTATATTAATATATATCCTAATACTTAGCTTACGTTATCTACTACTAATTATATTTAGCTTCTTACTATATCTCGATAAAGTTAGTAACCTAAGCGAGTACCTATATTTCGAAGACCGACTAAGTAAATATTATACCTAGATTATTCCTATAGTATTTTATCTATATTATATTAACCTTTAGCGCTAGGAACTTAGTTACTTAGTCTACTTTATATATATCGCTAGTAAACTAGTTAGGGTATCTATTCTAGAAGGCTTCCTAGTTTAACTTAAAAAGATTATATTTACCTAAACTCTTAGCTTTATATATTATTATATTATAGGGTATATATAGTTCCCTTATTTCCTTCTAATAAGATAAGTAGTCTCTAATACTTCTTTATAATATAATTAAGTTTATATAGATAGTATTAAGTAGTTAGTAAGTAGTTTAGTTAGTAGTACTATCTAGTAAACCTTAATAGATCTTAGATCCTTATATTCTCGCCTATAGGATTACTACGTTTTTTTCTTCGTCCTATAGCTCCGTACGGATCCTATTTTTCTCCTTTACTAAAGCTAGACGTCTTTTAAAGGTCTCTAACTCTCGGAGTTCCGCCTCCTTATCTACCTTAGTTAGGGTTATCGGATCCGGCGGGTTTCCTCCCTAAAGGTTATCGTCGACTCCCTATATCTCTACCTCTTCTAGTAGGGGTTATAGGGGTCCTAGGACGTCGTTCGTTTCCGCGATTAGGGCTAAGGTTCCCCTTAGGCGGTCGCTCGTACGTTAAGTCGTCGATATTACGTATTCTAATAGTCTAGTTTAATTAAGATTTAGCGATTAGAATGTTAGGACCGGCGTGTTAGCGGGTCCTAGTAGGTAATATAGAACTAGAGTGAAGGAATAGTAGGGTGCTAGTATATTTATAAACTAATCGCTAAAGAGCTAAGTTCTCCTAATAGTCTCTATATAGATGACCTTTAGCGGGTCACGGGACTAGGTTACCTAACCCGGTAGGACTTAGTCTCCCTAGTACGGTCTCTAGCGGGGGGTTATACTACCCCTACTAGGTTATGGGTTCTAGGTCACTAGACTAGGCGGGATCTAGCCTATAAGGCACTCTCCTAGTAGAGGGTCGTAATATATATAAACTATATAATAGTTAAGATACTAATATTTTTAACTATATTTCGTAAAGCCTACTCCTTATCTATTAAGATAGTATATAGGCTAAAGTGAGAGGTAGTAGCTAGAGTGGTATCCTTAAAGTTATATATTAATATAAAGCTAGATAGATAGCTATTTTCGAGTATACTTTATAGAATATAGGGTATTAGGGGACTAGCTACTAAAGACTCTAACTCTAGGGGATTAGCTATAGTAGTACAGATAAGTATTAGTATACTTATACTACTACTAATAGCTATATAGATATCCCGTAGCTAGCTAAGTGCCCGATTATAAGTAGCTTCCTTCTCACTACTTAAAAAAGTATAGGTAATATAGAAGATCTTCCTAATAGAAGATACTCCTACGATATTTAGTAGGGGTATCTTCTATTTATTAGTCTTATACGTATAGTCTATCTATAAAATATACGGATAGATATATAGAAGCTAAAGACTAATTTTATAGACTAAAAAAAGGGAAGTAAGGGAGTTATTAACGGTATTCACCTTATACCTAATAATCTAAGTACTATCCCTTAGGAGATCTATAAGAAGGGCCTATATCGGGGTACGTCTAGCGAGCTATTTTCGCGTTATACTAGCCCTAATATTATTAATATTATAGGTACGTAGATATAAAGTACGCCCCTCGGCCTCGGCCTACCCCCGAATACTACTTATAATATAATAGGTAAAGATACTATCGGTAATCTAGGTTATAATAGTAGGTAGGACTCGCCTTCGCTTACGCTTTCGGGGGATAATTATAGTTAACTCGTTAACTATACTATAATTATAGTAGGAAGTAATAATTTTAACCTACTAGATACCGCCGGTAGTAAGTCGAAGGTTACCTTTAAAGGGGTAGGAAGTTATATAACGAACTCGCCTTCACTATCTATTTAGGGAGGCCCGATTAGTCCGATAACCCCGACTACGGCTATATTAGAATTATATCTTATTAAGTACGCTACGCTAGGTAACGATTAGGAAGCCTAGCGGGAGGGACTATAAGTTAAGGATATCTAACGCTTTAGCTTTTACGGCTTAGATACTAATAGAGGTAGTATTCGTAATTATTTAGAAAGGGGGTATAGTATCGGGAAGGTTAGGGGGTTAGGGGTCTATAGTGTCTAGTCTATCTATATCTATTAGATATAAGTAAAAATTTATAAAGCTATACGTACTAGGGCTTACAGTTTAGGAGGTAGGCTAAGCTAGGGTAAGAAAACTCGATTAGTACTATCTTTAAAAAACAGCCTCTATTTTACGATTACGTGACCGATTAAACCCTATATCACTAAACCCTCTTTTTTAGTAGGAAAAAACTCCATTTTTGCACTAGAACTTAATCAAATCAGTATCTAGGAATAGCCTCATTTTTGCACTAAACCCCTTTTTTAGTAGGAAAAAACTTAATTAAATCAGTATCTAGGAATAGCTTCATTTTTGCACTAAACCCCTTTTTAGTAGAAAAAAACTCCATTTTTGCACTAGAACTTGATTAAATTAGCATCTAGGAATAGCCTCATTTTTGCACCAAACCCCTTTTTTAGTAGGAAAAAACTCGATCAAATCAGCATCTAGGAATAGCTTTATTTTTACACCAAACCCCTTTTTAGTAGAAAAAAACTCCATTTTTGCACTAGAACTTGATCAAATTAGCATCTGCGAATAGCCTCATTTTTATATGGTAGTGTAGATGGCGTGCGAGATTCTATGTTCGCGATAGCGTGCCCAGATAAGATTCGGGGACTGTCCGAAATACTAAGGGAGTACCATATTAAATACGACAAGCTGTGAATAAATTATGGCCAGTGGGAAGTAAATCGTAAAAGGCTTAGCGCCCTAGGTGCCCGTAGTAATTTTGGGTGCCCATAGTAGTTCTCTATATTTATATACTGTGTCATCCCTTCAGCTGATCTTGGGCACCTATTTGTGTAGCTTCTGATGATGTTTCTTGGAGATTTCATATTCAGATAATTTCTCAAAGATGCAAATTATATGCACTTAACGGCTCTTTTGGTGTATGCATCTTATGAACATATGCAATTTACAATCCCTGCCCTGCCAATGCTAGATTGACCATGCATGTTAACTTCTGTGCGAGTTGTGTCACTTCGAACACAAATCTGAACGATTTTGAATGGATAGCTTCGCCTGTGGATTAGCGATTGAGTTTGCTCTCGCGGATAAAAAAGCTGCTCAACAAAGCGAAGAACACCACACAAACCAAAAAGCTGAATCCCTTGTTAGTGGACCAGCCATAAGAGTTCCGGACAATCCTGGCAGTTGCTAGGTCGAGGGTTTTGATAAAGTCGAGACTTTCCCGCACCCCTTCAACGATCTGATCGATATTCTTACTATCATGTAGACCTATTTTTAATTGATTCCGCAGGATTTGCTGGACGACAGTCGATGTTAAAGATAGACCTATCACAGATCCCAACGAGCGGAATAGATAGGAGCAAGCAGTGACAACAGCCTGGTCTTCTGGAGTCGCATTTGATACTGATGAAGTGGTTAGCGAAGTTCAAACGTCCTTTTTAAAAAATATCAGGCAGAAACTTACTCAAACCAATCAGGGTTGAAGTGACGCCAATGCCATTTCCGAACCCTGAAAGTACCATTCCGCAGATCATTGGGACTGTACTCGCCACCAAGCCCCCAGAGAACAGGTATATGCAGAACACACCTGTTGCCAGGGATGTATATGCACCAACTGTCAGCCAGTAATACTTGCCATATCTCTTCATCAACACGCCTGCAAACAAGGAGCCAGATACACCAGCCAGAATACTTGGCAACATGCGAAGTCCCGCAGTCGTAGCCGACACACCATCTACCGCTTGAAAATATAACGGGATATAGAATAAAGCGGCAATCCAGCCCCCGAAGCTGAAGAAGTTACAGCCATAGCAGGCAAAGAAAGTTCGGTTGAAGATGATGTGCCCAGGAGCAAAGGGTTCGGCTGCCAGATAAATCTCAACCAGGATGAAGACCACGAATAAGACAGCCGAAACACTCAATGAAGCGATCGTCAAAGGTAACTTCCATGACACATTACTGCCACGGTCCAGACCGATTAAGAAACCAAGAACTGCGCCAACAAGAACCACTGCGCCAAGAAAATCAATGCGACGCAGCTTGGTTTTCCAGTGGGTACTTTCGCGAGGGGGCAGCTTGAGGAAGAACGATACGGCAATGAAAGCAATGATGCAGAGCGGAAATTGCGCTAGGAAGGCCCTAGAGAAAGATGTCAGATGATGCGAGGAGACGGGGATCTTGCATCATTCATACCAACGCCAGCCAATATAGTCGGAGAGAATGCCACCCAGTGGTGCGCCGGTACCGGCCCCCGTGGCATAAATAATATTGATAATACCTTGCCACACGCCTCGATCACGTAGGGGAACAATGTCGCTCATTAAGATGCTAACAACAGTTGTCATACCACCGCCGCCAATGCCTTGGAAGACCTATTCCAAATCGAGTCAACATTACATGATTTAGACCTGGGATGATTGTGTGAAACATACACGAGCAGCAATCAACTCATGAATATTTCGCGCCAGACCGCAGAACAAGCAGCCAATGCCAAAAATCGCATATGCAAAGAGCAGACAAGGCTTGCGACCAAAGATATCGCTCAGCTTGCCATATAAAGGCTGGAAAGAGGTTAGGGTCAGAAAATATGAAGTAGCAATCCAGCTGGTCAGATTGAGAGCCTTGAGATCGCTACCAATTTGGCCATAACTGGCCATGATAATTGTTTGGTCTGCCGCCGCCAAAAAGATCTATAAAACCTGTTAGCCTGGATGATGATTACCGAAAACGGAATGAATAAGATTTGGAATGAACGTCATACACCCAAGGAGATTGCTGGCACAATATATTTCAGTTGCTTCTGAGCATCAGAGAGCGATTTTTTGGCTTGCTGCTCCGTTTCAACTGGGACCCCGGATTCCACATTATGATCTGTAATCGTGCCGTTGGAGACGACGCTGTTGGTAGAAGCAGAGCCTAGCAACGCGGATGTCTCGGTAGGAGGTGTTTCTGGAGCCATTTTCGAGACTTGCGTGTCGATTGTCAGATTGCTCCAGGTTTTAGAGTCAAAACACTTGACTGAACGCCTACGAGGAAAGAAAAAGTACGGAGACCAAGAGCATCCAAAAGCCTAAGCATTGCACGTGCCGATAAGAGACAGCCCCCCCTCACGGGCTAACCCGCATTTCCCGTTTCGGCCAATCAAATACCCCCATTCTTCAGACTTATGCCGCGTTGCCGTTGAATATGCGGCGGAGTCGGCTACATAACTACTATGCATATACTAGCCCTATGGATTGGAAAGATGATTGTAACGGAGAAAATATACTAGGCATTGAACGGTCGTAAATTCAGTTGTCAAGTAGGTATCTGAACGTAAATGCAAGTCTTTCCAATTAAGCAACTCCTATTTTCCTGCATTTATGCGGTCGAGGGCATGGGAACTGGACCACCGGGTGAGTCCGGCAGGCGGGCAGTCAGAACCTCAACACCGTCCTCAGTTACGAGAAGGGTGTGCTCAAACTGGGCTGACAGAGATCCATCCTGGGTGGTGCTGGTCCAGTCGTCGGGCCAAGTGCGGTCACGGTGGGTACCAATGTTGATCATGGGCTCAATGGTGAAGCACATGCCGGGCTTAGCAGTTCCAACAGCCTTGTTCTTAGCGTAGTGAGGAACGTTGGGCGCACAGTGGAAGAGCTGGTTGATGCCGTGGCCACAGTAGCTTTTGACGACACTGCAGTTACGGGACTTGGCAAGCTTCTCAATAACATTGCCGGGTTCGCGGAACAGCATGCCAGGCTTGACCAGGGCAATTGACTGGTCCAAACATTCACGCGAAGTTTCCACCACTCGGACGGCATCGGCGTCTGCAAGGGCCTTGTCTCCAACATAGTATGTCTCGTTGATATCGCCGTGGAATCCCTTGTGATACAGAGTGACATCAATGTTGACAATGTCTCCGTCCTGCAAGGGACGTTGATCGGGAATACCGTGGCAGATGGTCTCGTTGACCGAGGTGCAGACGGACTTGGGGAAGTTCATATAGTTCAAGGGCGAGGGGTAAGACTAGGGATACAGGTCAGCACATGATTTTGGAGCAGGGCAGAAGGTTTTCGCACATCGCGCTCTATACAAGCCTTGTGGACAACCTCATCGATGTAGTCCGTAGTGACACCAGGCTTCAATTCACGGGCAGCGGCATCCAAAACCTCACGAGCCAATCGGCAAACTGTGCGCATGCCCTCCTGCTCCTCCTTATTCAAGATGGTGATGTTATGACGGCCGATGAGTTTCTGCTCGGAACGGGGAATGCCATCACGCGCATAGTCCGGGTGTGGGATCGTCTTGGGAACGGTTCGCTTGGCGGACAAAGGGTAGACGGGCCTCAAAGAGCCGGTGTAGGGGAAGGATGGGTACGGGTTGAAGTTGCCGGTAGCTGGATCTGGTTCAGAAACTACCTTCGGAGGAAAAAGATTGGTGAGGATATTACTCTTTTTGTGAATTGTCTTGTGTTCGCTCTGAAGTAGATAGTTAGCGCTCAGTCTCCCGTAGAAATGCGCATATATTGCGCTCATTCCAATTATATCGTAGTGCCTACCCAGCTTCGCTTGAAACAGTCCTGCGAACAGAAAAAGCTGTCCGTGCCGCTCTTCAAACATGTTGGACATTGCAAGGTTCCTGCGTCGTTAGGGCAGTCCACACCCCGGCATTTGCGGTTCACAACTTCAGCCATACTGAAATAGCAGAAGTACAAATAAAAAAAGATTGGAAGAATATCTATGAGAGGGTGGTCTGGATACTGCCGGCCGAATCTTGAAGAAAATCCCCGCCGACCCAAGGCGATATGAGACCATACCGCATTTGGACTAGTAAAAGCCTCCTAGGGCAGCAAGGCATCAATCAGATGACTAATGTCGATCTAACCGGGCCCGGCCTCAGGTGGCAGGACAGACGGTTTTAGGCAGTCGGAGTTTATTTGGCAACAGGGGCCGATCTCGCAGCACGTGATGGAAACCCTACTCCTGGATTTCAAATTAAGGTCTCTGGACTTTGGATCACCAGTTTTGTGATGGCGATTCCAAGGCAGAAAGTGGTTGTTGTGGGTGCTGGCCCGGTGGGGTCGTTGGCAGCACTATATGCTGCCTCAAGAGGCGATGAAGTGGAAGTGTATGAACTTCGCGGAGGTATGTTCCTTTGCTTCGTGTGACCTTTGCTTTTTCTTTTTTGCTTTTCTTTTTGGCCTTCTTGCAGCTGCCATTGCGAACAATTCCGCTGTATTTCTGTTGTGTGAGACTACAAATGCTTTGGAACGACGATCGGCTTTTATAAGGAAACTATGTCTCGCAAGGTCCCTACTTCAACTCTGCAATTCCGAGGAAATGGATACAATAATCCATATCCACCTGCGATTGTCATTGAGAAGCCTCTACACCTTGCTCTGGCTCAGTTGTGATTCATTGCGAATTCTTCCGAACTGACGCCAATAATTTCCGCATCCGTAGATCTCCGGGACCCTACGACCGTGCCCTTGAACTTCACCAAGTCTATCAACTTGGCATTGTCCGAACGTGGAATTACGTCCATGAGACATGCTGATCGGGATGACTTGATCAACAATATTCTTCGTGAAACGATCCCTATGCATGGGCGGATGATCCACGGCCGAGACCGAGGTGATCTGTGGGAAGCTGCACAGGCCTATGACGTTCACGGCCGGGTATGCAACGATCACCAGCTTGGCATTTGATATTGATGCCTATATGCAAATCATAGCTAACCACGAGTATTAGGCTATCAATGCAATTGACCGAGGAACCCTCAATAATGCACTCCTTGATGAGCTGGAGAAGACACCTAATGTCAAGCTATTCTTTAATTACAAACTGACTGGTGCGGATTTCCGCACCAACAAGGCCTGGTTTGAGCGCAGAATTCCCGGTGAAACACCCATGCCCGATGATGCGGGTATAGCTGGTCGAGTGCCGGAGATTGAGGTCTCCTTCGACTATCTCATCGGCGCCGATGGGGCACACTCCGCCTCTCGCTTCCATCTAATGAAGTTCGCTCGTGTCGATTATCAACAAGAATATGTAGACACACTCTGGTGTGAATTCCGGATCCCGCCCACAGAGAATGGGGACTTCCGCATCTCGCCAAACCACCTCCATATTTGGCCTGGACAGGAGTTCATGTTCATCGCGCTACCATCAGCGGATAAATCGTTCACGTGCACTTTGTTCGCGCCATCCTCGCATTACACCGACTTAGAGACCTCGTCGCAAGATCTGCATGATTTTTTCGACTCCCACTTCCCCGGCGTGTGTCCTGAACTAATCTCACCCGCGGCATTGAGCGAGCAGTTCGCGACAAACCCACATCTCCCGTTGATCAGCATCAAGTGCAAGCCCCACCACTTCAGCGCTAGCGTTGTCATTATTGGTGATGCAGCGCACGCAGTGCTACCTTTCTACGGACAGGGGCTGAACGCCGGTCTCGAAGATGTCCGAGTCCTCTTCGAGCAATTAGACAAATATGGAGTCTACGACCCCAGCTCCAGTGTCTACACACGTGGTCTCAAGCGCCAGGCGGCTTTCCAAGCCTACACAGACCAGCGTTGCGCCGACACGCATGCTATCAACGATCTCTCGAAAGAGAATTATCTTGAGATGCGTGCGGGTGTCAAATCACCGCTCTATAAGCTGCGCAAGACCATCGAAGAGACTATCGACCGCCATTTCCCGTTCTTTGGCTGGCAAACGCAGTATGCTCGTGTCAGCTTCAGTAACCAGCGTTATTCGGAGGTCGTTGAAGCCGTTCAGGGCCAGAGCCAGGTGCTTGGTCTTGGTTTGAGTGGGGCTTTCGTTGCTGTCGTTGGTTCTTTTTCTGTGTTCATGTGGATGTACCCTCGGCATTTCTCGCCGATGGGGTGGATTCGATGCTCGCAGCATCTGGCTTGTGTCGGACTGAGGGCGATTCGCAATTTCATTCATGTGTAAAAACAACACCGTATTGGATAGATGGATGTTTTGGTATTTATGTGACGATATGCATGATCTTCGGTGGAGATTTAGTGGAGCTATGTCTTTGCGTATGCATACCTACATGTAGTCAGTTCATCTCCCAAAATTCAAGTGCTTTGTTATAGTAATGAGAGCAAGAACCGAGGTGGAGTGTCATAATTTGATGAAGAAAATTACGATAAAAAGTATCCGAAACAGGAAATTCCAAGATCGAAGTCTGCATGCTTTATTAGACTGGTATAAAAACCTAACCATAAAATACACTTAATCCCAATATCTAATAGTACCGTCCAATCCACCAGTGACAACCTTACTCGATTCCTGGGGATGCCAGTCGAGACAAGTAATAGCGCCGCCTTCCTTCCCACCTGCCTGGATCTTATGGTACATCTTGCCAGTCTTCCAATCCCAGAAGCAGACATAGCCACCGCTGTCACCAGAGGCAAGGAACTGACCATCAGGAGAGATCTTGAGGTCCACAGCGTATCCGGAAGTATTATGTCCAACAAAGCGCTTCTTTCTGTTCTGGCGGAATTTGTCTGTTGCGCCATAGACGACAATCTGGTTGTCACCAGACTGGAAAGCGACATATTTGCCATTCGGGTGGGCGGCTGCGCGGGTGAGCGCAAACATGTAGGGCTCTGCGATGAACTTGATCGGGACCGGGATGCCGTATTCCCAGGCACGGAGTGACTTGTCGTCTGACGTGGAGATGAAGCGACGGTTGTCGTCGACGAAAGTGAGGGTGTTGACAGCTGCCAGATGGTGGTCGTATTCTTGGACCAACTCGCCAGACCGGGTATCGAATTGGACAATCTTCTTGTCGGACATACCAGCGAGGAACTCGTGTGAGTGATCTGCGCCAGGGTTGAAACGGACGACATGTGGTGTCTTGCCAGTGGAGAACCGGCCAAGGCACTTGCCATATTCGGTATCCCAGAGCTTGATTTGTCGATCGTATGAGCCTGTAAGGAAAGTCTTCCCTGAGGGGTGGAAGTCTGTGTCGGAGATTGCCTTGCTGTGGCCGGAGAAAGTGCGCAAGAGCTCCCGAGAGTGATACACATCCCAGAGCTTGGCCTTTCCATCTGCTGCCGATGAGAGCAGCAAGTGGCCGGAGTTGGGGATGAACCGAAGAGACGTGATCGGCTTGGTGTGTGACTTCCAGGTTTGAACGAGCTTTTTTGGCACGTAGTTCTTGGTGGTGCCAGGCTCTTGGCGCAAATCGATATCCAGATCCTGGGGCACGTGCATATACGTCCGGCCCTGGTAGTCGTACTGCTCTGAGCCGTGGAACTCGGTAGTCTCTTGCTTGGAAGAGTCACCCTCGTAGTCGGTAGCATCCTTGCTCATGGCGGGCATGGGCTCCGTGGTAGTCAGAGTCTCGTCTTCTTCGACATATTCCTCGTCGCTACCAAGGGGGCGCTCATCACCTTCCTCAACCTCCACATAGTCATATTGCTGGTCATTTTGATATTTTGCCCAAGGTCCCAGGTATGCACCATCACCTTCCACAACGCTGGAATCGCCCTTCTTTTGGCGTTTTGTCCGCCAGTTTGCGGATGCGCTCTTGGTCGGCTTCATTTGCACAATATCCCGACCTCCGTATTGGGCAACATTATCGAGATTGCCGATGAACTGATCTGGTCGTGTCGGGTTGCGCGTGTATCCCAAACTCTGGAAAGTCCGATGTTGCGCAGCAAATGTGGACTCGCTAATAGCTGCTTCTTCAGCAAACCCAGTAGGGACATTCTTCCTTTTAATACCATTTCCCGGGCCCGCTGGTTTGAACGGGTTCATGGGACCCTGGGAGGGCCTTGTGAGATCATCGTATGTGGCATTGAATGTGAGGGCTTGAGAGGAGGCGTTGGCGAGAGTCATCTGCATATGCGCTTGGTCCTGTAGGGACGTTAGTCTTATCTGTACATCATGACTGAGGCGCGAAGACCGATTAATTGCAGGGAAGAAAGTGAACCGGGGTGACCAAACCTCTGTATTGACTTCTGGTGCAGCAACGATCTTGGTTGCGGTCGTCACAGGAGTGGGCACAGCTGTGGCGTCGTCGTCGCTGGAATCATACCCAGCACCTAATAAGGCGGACATGATGGATATATCAGAGAGAGATACTATGCGCAAGCTTCAATCTTCCTCTTGCGGCAAAGGTGTAGAATGTGGTTGCTAAATGCTAAATGGTGGAGGATGGGAATTTTACGGGCGTCGGGAGAGCCCCGACACGAAGGCCGCGGAACAGCCACCACAGAGCTACCTACGGAGTACACAGCTCTCGATCGGCTCCAATATAGACGTGTTTTCAATGTTATTCCCACTGAGCTCTACGATTAACATCTTGCGATTAGAATAGATCTCAAATGAGAAACAAGTTAAATGTTAACAACCTTGGGTATCGTACGCTCTTCATTGCCAACCGCACGGGAGGTATATACAACTTAACAGGCCGAGGACACGGCAAGATTAACACAGAAGAAGAATCAAAGACAAAGCAAAAGATAGCAGAAGAGGTCGCACCACCCGCGAGTCAATCATACAGTGCCCCGAATCAACCCAGCTCACGCCCCCGGCTCGAGACACCCCAAGGGAAATATCTATTACCTCTCATCGCTGCACCCATACTAGCAAGACATCTCAAGACTGAAAGAATTCGTTGCTCATCCATAGTCATGATTGCCGAAAAAAAAACCAAGGAACCGTGACAATATACCAATTCATAAGGTATAGCAACTGCCTTCGGACTATTCCAGAGGGTTGTGATTGAACAATGCCCAGAAGACACTGGTCCAAACTCAAGACAACTCATCGATAGACGGCACCTTGGTCTAGCCGGAACCACCATGACGCATCACATATTCGGTCTTTGTACGCAGTCAGTGGCCCTCATCGCGGATCAGGGCAACGATCATGCTGTAGAGGTAGAAGAAGAACATGAGGAGGTGGAATCCGAGCTTGATGAATGATTCCTAAACCAAAGAATTGAGTCAGCCCATGGCAACCGCAAGTTGCAACTTGGAAACCCAACTGACCTTCTTGTGCACGTTTAACTTGCGGAAAATCTCGGTCGCATCCAGTAGGTGCTGGTTCTCGTAGATCCTTGTTCCCAGGTTAGCTATATGCTCAAGAGGATTTGCGACTCGGGATGCTTTCAACATACTTCTTGGCGTTGAACAACACAAGGGGAAGGTTCAGCACAAGAGCGAGCCAGTACCCGTTGATCAAAAAGAGGAAGGTCAGGAATGCATGGACAGCGGCTTCGGGGATGATGTAGGCGTTGAGGCGGTTGCAAAGGTCGATGGGGTTGATATAATCGCTGAGAAAAAGGGGAAGTGTTAGCTTCTTTTTTTTCCACCAGCACACAGCGACCAAGAGAATGTGCTCCCAGAGGAAGGCTAGAAGGGACTCACCATTCAAGATCACTGTACATGATCGTGAAGAACACCTGGAGGAAGAGGTTGACGGCGTTGATCAACACCGACAACAGGTAAAGCCATGCTTCGCCGGACATCATGGATGCGAGTTTTGACTTGCGTCAGGTACGATGAAGAATATTTCAATTGCTAAACCAAGGATATGAGTAAATTGTCTGCGCCGAGGGTGGTTGAGGTCAGGGCGGGTTGAGGCCGGAATTGGAGATGTTTGTGGGGTCTGCCCGAAGAAGGCAGAGGAACCGCGAAGAGTCCTCACGGAAGGGGTCAGAGCTCACTCACAAATAAGTTGGAACACTCAAATCAGTGGGAGAGGGAAACAGAGAAACTCGACAAACTGAGGCGAGAAAAAGGTGTGAAGCTATGAGAGAGGAGGTTTCGATTAGCGAACTGCGCCCGAACCTGAACGGGTCGGCGGTGTCGGCGGTGTCGGCGAGGGCTGGCTATCATTAGCGCAAACCGCAAACGGAGGCTGGTCTCACTTACAAATGGACTGGATAAGAAGCAGCCCCAGGGAGACCAAATTTGAAATAAATTGCTGCCAGTTGCTATTGTATTATTGTGGACTGCTTTGGTTGACCCCCGTACACCTGCGCATGACAACAAGCTTTGCAAGAGGATGACGTTGGGCACGTGCTCTGTGTATAAGACGAGGTCGGGACCAATCGCAATGAGTTGTTGATGGACTACGTGTCAGTTGTTTGTTAAAACTTGAACAGTTGAATATAACTCCATGTAGACAAAGTCTATGTACAGAAAACAAACTATAGACCGTAGCACATGAGACTTCATGCGCCTCTAGAGGGCCACTCTTCATCATCTTTTCAGAGATTATAGAGCTTGCTATATTTCGGCCATGAACAAAAGCAAAGTCGTGACAAAGAGACAAAAGATCAAACGAAACGCTCTCAGTGGTATCATACTATAGAGAAACACCAACTGACTGGCTCATCGCTTCTCAACAAGTAGGAAATGCATTGCACTGTATGCAATGATGATAAAGGCGCCGGAAATGACAGCCAGCCCGATGACATCGCTCCAATAGGCCTGAGTGTTGAAGCCAAATGCACTCAAGATAGAGGCACCGGGGACTTCAATATCCAAGCCATACTTGTGGTCAATCAGGGTAAGGAAAGTCACTTCATTGACAATAAGGGCCTCGAAGCCATAGTGGAAGATGGACAGCTGTTACGGATATTAGTTGAGAGAAACCAGTTGGGTTGGAGGAAAACTCACACTTTGCAACCATAATGCCGATTTGGGAATCGCATCGTGATTCAATAGGAGACCAGCGAACAACAAGCTGAAAAGCATCACTAAACTGCCGATAAGATTGGCGACTCCGCCGTCGCGGAAAATGATGCCGATAAATAAGCAGATGTTGGCTGCGGCAAGATTGAAAAGCACCAGAACAAGTAAAAAGCGGAAGAACTCAGGCCATGCCGGGATCAGACCCGTCATTGGGTAGACGATGATGCCCATGATGATAGGAGGAATTAGCCTCAGAGGGACAATATCGAACACAACCTTGGATGCAAAGTATGTGATCGGATGATAGTAACCATTGGCACGCTCGCGCACAAATAAAAGCCGCTCTGAGGAGAACACGTTGAGGCTAGTCAAAGTGCTGAAACCAAACAGGGCTAGGACAAAGAAGAAGAGACCAAGGCGATTTTGGAAACCCTTGATATCGTCGGTGAGGCCGTAAAAGAGGTAGCCAGAGAGGACCGCAAGCAGGATGGCAATTGCGTAGTGGGTAAGCATCAACATCGGGTTTCGATAAAGATTACGCCATGTCCGCTGAGATAGAATGATGAATTGCCGTGCCAGACCAACTCGAGCATAACCCTTGGAATGAACCGTAGTGTCCGACAACATCGGGGAATTCGGTGCTCCATTGGCAGCCTGTGCATTCTGAACAGCGGCTGTAATTTCTTCATGAACCGAATGGCAAACGTCAGAACCAGCGTAGCTAGCAACCAGAATGTCAAGATCGCTTTGGCCGGGTGCCGGAGGAGGTAGCTGGTCGGGATCATCAAGAATCTGGGGAGGAACTTGGCCTTGTTGACGAGAAAGACGCAGCCACTGTTGATGGTTTTCAGCTACATCCAGTGTAGCACTCTCGTCGTCGGTCTTTGGCGTGATTGGGCGCTCGTTATGTTGCCTCCGGGAGTAAAGTTGACGATCTTGTTGCTGCTTGAGCGAAACACGCCGTTTGTTTTTGGGCCTCCAGGTTGCCTCTGCGCCGCTTGAGTTTTCTTCGATGCTCTGGATTGATGCACTAGTGACGGACTTGACAGCCCTGAGGCTGCTAGATGCAGTCTTCGGTGGGCCGCCAATGTGCCCATCCACAGAGGACCCTACTCCGTCTGCATATGATGAATGTGCGGCACCGGCGTGCATAGTTAGATCGACAAGGTAATCCGCAATGTTGAATCCGGGTGGGCATGAGTAGCCCACATTGTCGAAATACCGCTGACAAGATGAAAAGGGACCAGAATAAACAGTACGTCCCTCAGCAAGAAGGACAAGTCGGTCAAAGAGGGCAACGATGTTTGAGCGCGGTTGGTGAATGGTGAAGATCACAGTGCGGTTGTAAGTTTTCGCCAGCGTCACCAGACACTCAACCACGTTAAACGCATTGTAAGCATCCAGTCCACTAGTGGGTTCATCAAGGAACAGAATACTAGGACTAGTAACCAGCTCACAGGCAATGCCAACCCGGCGCTTCTCTCCACCAGAGATGCCACGGCCATTGCCTTCTTCTGATCCAATTAATTGATCCTTGATATGGTAAATGCCAAGCTGTTTTTCCACCTCCAAGACTCTCTGCTCTTTGGCTACCCGGCTCATGTCCCGTGGAAGTCTGAGCAGGGCACTTGTCAAGATGGTTTCATGAACTGTCAAGGTGGCAAGCATTGTGTCTTCTTGGTCGACAAAGCCAACCATGGTTCTAAAGTCATTGTCGTCAATTTTTTCGCCGTTGACATAGAAATTTCCATTTACGGAGCCACGCTTGTTCTTTCGAGCCAGAATATCGAGGAATGAGGTTTTCCCAGCACCAGATGCTCCCATAATGGCAGTAATCTGCCCCGGGATGGATGCTCCTTGGATACCAGAGAGAATTTCCCGGCCATTCAAAGTGTAGGATACATTGTCCCAGTACAAAGCTGCGGGGCGGTAGTCTGCCAGGAGTTTGGCAGTTTCGTCATCTGAATCGTCCGAGAGAGACAAGCGAAGATAGCCTCGGCGCGCAGCGCGACGGGACAAATACCAGACAAGTAAAATGATGGCAACCACAAACAGTGAGCACCCCGCGATCACGCCAGCAATAAGTGGGGTGTTTATTTTCTTGATAGGCCGCTCGTATCCCGGTTCATCGGTCTTGTACATGCATTCTCCCGAATCGCATGATAAGAAGATGCTAGGATCTCCAAAGACGCCCGAAATCAATCCATTCATTTGTGGCTCAGAGAAAACACTCTTGGTCCCTTCTAGGGTTGATTTAGTGTCAAAAGTAGCCGGGCCTTTGATCATCTGATCAAGGAAATCGCTTAGATCGATTGATCCATTTTCACCGCACAGGAAACGGCCTGGAATGCATTTGCACTGTAAGTGCTCACACTTATAGTGGGTTGTGTTAGAGCTGTAATCCGTTTCCATATTCCACTGGCAAGTGTCTAGGCCGCAATAAAAGGACTCCTTTTGGTCAACCCAAAACTGGAAGCTACAAGTTTCATCCTCTGCCTCGCAAGAGAAGGTCACCTGGGGCTTGCGGCCGTCAAGCTGTTTCAAGATCGCACGGTTGGTCACATCACACATCTGGAAGTTCTCTTTGACCGTGACACCTTGCTTATGACACACGCCTCCTTGGTTTTCTGGCATCATCGCATTGCATGCATCATCCGAATCGCAGACATTGCAGTTGATGCCTTTCCAGCCATCCTTGCATTGACAGGTCTTGCTATTACGCTGTGGTCGGTTCAAATCGTCGGCCAGCGAACCACACAGGGGGACCGAGCAGTCATCACCTCCAAAACCCGGTGGACAAGAGCATTTGCCGTTAAAGTTATTGCAGTCCGCAAAATGAGTGCAGTTGTATTGATCTAGCTGGCAGTTGAAGCATCCTGGGCACTCGGGACATCCGGGCGGTCGTTCACCAAAGAGGGAATACGATTGTGTGGCGAGATTTGCGTCGGAAAATTCAGTCCATGCTGCAGCAGATCCCAATAAGGGGGTAAATGTAAGAAGCGAGAGAGGTATTGCGCCAGTCAAGCGCATCTTGTGGGAAAGAAGGCAACAGCCTGTCCGGGTACGTAGCGATACCGACAACCGAGGAAGGAATGTGGAAGCTGCTAAATTGATTAAAGCACAAGATCGGACTGGATTATATGGTGTAAATGAGACAGAGGCAAGCTTGGAAAGAGACGCATTCCGTTGGGAACTGAAGCGGAGAGAGGGTGAGATTGGCCCCCAGCCGATGACGCGGGCGGAGAAGGGAGAGGCTGGGTTGCTGCATAGGCGTCAGGAACCCGCAGATGATACCCGTGGACAAAGTGATGGTTGATGGTTTCTACTAGGCAAGTTTAACCTTGGTATTTCTTTCACTTGACAATATCTCCATCGTTTTACATTTATATCCAGGTTTACCAGAATAGTGACTCCCTTCCAATGTTCCTACTTCTGGCCGGTTCCGTCTCAATGCGGGGAACCGTACGGTCGTTCTTGGCGGCGAGTGTGCCTCAGGCCTCATTCACGATGTGAACATGCAACCTAGATATGTATTCTCACTGAATAGATCAGGTTCATACACACAGTGAAGCCGATGAAGATCAGTCACGACAGCCAAACTTAGTTGTTTGACCGAGAGCCATTTGTTGGGTATAGGTACAAGGGGCTTGGATCCAGGATCCTAGAAGCAGCAAGGCCTATGAGTAAGAAAACAAGGAATCGATCAGACGGCAAGATCCGATTTTCTGAGACTTCTTACTTCTAGGGATCAGACTATCAACAGGGCATTGATCCTCCTTATTGGGCCCAACCCGGTTGTTGGATCAGATATCAATTACTCGGACTGTCTTGAGATGAATTTTAGAGTCAGTGGGGACTATATAATATACACCAAGGGCTGCTAGCTTGCATTTGATTCTCTATCCTATTCTATGTCTCAAGTTAGCTGAAAAGGAATTCTCCAAATCGTGAAATATCCAAACGAAACAGAAGAACCCAGGGCAGTGGGTTTGTATGTCGAATTCGTTGAAAGCAATTTGTCCTGAAGTAGGATCCCTTGGTCAATCTGTTCAATGGCAATACATAGTATTTTGCAAGCAAAGCAGACCTACAAGTCCATGTCGATCGGTCTTGCCATTCCGATCGGGTTTGCCATTCTTGGTATAAATGACCCTGGCAATACGGAGTTGTCATTGGATATTTGGGTCCACTTCCTGCTAGTCGATATGATCTGCACGGGAATCTGCTTCGTTTCGGCGATTAAGGAAGGTCTGGGCATTATTCTTACGATTTAGACTGGGAATATGGAAAAAAAAAAAAAGAAAGGCTAGCGGAACAAATATGCTCAAATCTGATTGGTAGACAATAAATGCAGTATGATAGGTCTACTGCAGGTGGAGGGATGGCTGAATACATGTAAACTACTATATGTAGGTAGTACGGAGACCTCCGTACCTAGCTCCTGAAGATGAATCCATGAGGAATTAAGTAGTCCGTAGTCCTATCATATAAGTATGAAGGCCTCCCATACCTTGATCTTCTTAAATTAGAACTCGATTTCTCCTTTTTTTGAACCATGTGGTCGAACTTACCTCCACGGCTCGTTGTGGGAGCAGCAACTGGGGTGTTGGCTATAAGCCTCACTATACTCCTTTTTTGGAATGAAGTTCAATGGTTCCTCACACCACGACAAATGAATCAAACACACTCCTCGCTTTCCTCGGCTGCTGCTAATTTTTCTAATCTTGCTCCTCGCCAAAATATTTGGGCAGATTTGACCGACCGGGAGGTTGTGGACGTTCTCGCACATGTCCACTCTGTGACTTCGAACCTCAATCTCACAGCCGCTGTGAATGCTTCACTTTGGGACAATTTCGTCCATAGAATTGAAGTAGCTCAGCCCTCCAAGAAAGACGCTCTGCCGTTCATCGCCGGTAAATCCAGCAAACCACCACCACGATTCGCGCGGATTGCCGTTCACCATGGTACATCCTCCGAGGTATACTGGGACGAATACCTTGTGGGTCCATTGCCGGTGTCGGAAAACACAACCATAAAGCCACTTGAATATAGTCATCGGGCGGAGTTAGAACATGCGCGGAACCTGGTACCGGATACACTTTCGTTCAAACAGTGGCCCTACTCAGTCGCTGAGTCCGTGGCCGATATCACTCAAGATCTCCTGGGAAGCACAATCAATGCAGGCAGAAATATCGACCCAGATGGCCTGGAGCTGAACTATCGTGATCCCTGGGTCGAAGATGGTCATATCCTGCGCTGGTGCAGTTTCCAGCGGGCTGGCACTCGGGCTGAGGCAGGAACTCTTCTCCCACAAGGTCTTTACGTCAAACTGGACACCACGGGACGAGACTCAAAGAAATGGAAGGTTCTCAGATGGTATTATAACGGGCATCTTTATAACTCCACGGAGGAATTTCGCACTGCATGGCAATCGCCTGGATTTGAGAAATTGCCTCCCAACTATGATGGCCCCTGGACCACTATCGAAGACTTCTCATCTCAGGTGCAGGATCGAGATATGCCAGCTCCATTAGTGGTTCATCCAGGAGGCCCACGGTATCAGCTAGATCGCGAAGCTCAATACGTGTCATGGATGGGCTTTACCTTCTACTGGTCATTTGCGCAGGCAACAGGGATCACATTGTTCGACATACGCTTCAATGGAGAACGCATCCTTTACGAGCTAGGCCTTCAGGAAGCTATGGCACAGTATGCTGGTAGTGATCCACTACAAGGGACGGTAGCATATTTGGACAGTTTCTTTGGCTTGGGCCGTGCAATGTTCGAATTGGTACCCGGTGAGTGGCACTTCACTTCAATAATCACCCGATGATATGATTTCCTGAGTTGACATGGAACAGGTTACGACTGCCCCACTTATGCAGACTTCATGGACACAACTATATATGATGCTGAGCGCACTCAACAGCGACGGAAGTCGATATGCCTGTTTGAGTATACGGCGGATTATCCCCTACAGCGACATTCGACTTCATTCTTTGTGACGATTTCTCGAAATAACTATCTCGTGCTGCGAACCACAGCTGTAGTTGGAAATTATGATTACACTGTTGACTACGTGTTCTATCTGGATGGAAGCATCGAAATCAAACTACGGGCCAGCGGATACATCCAAGGTGCGTACCTGATGCCCGGAGAGAGCCAGGAATATGGGTTCCGTGTCCACGATCAATTCGCAACAAGCATGCATGAGCATGTCATCAATTTCAAGGCCGACTTTGACATCCTTGATACCCGAAATACTCTCGTCAAGGTGAGCATCGAGCCAAAGACCAAATTGTATCCCTGGTCGGAAGGGAAAGCATTGCCCACTATGGGGCTCAACAGAACTCCAATTTCGGAGGAAACTGGTCTCAATTGGCCCGCAAACTCACAGGCTATGTATATTGTGACAAACAATCAGTCACATAATCAATGGGGAGAGACTCGGGGTTACCGTATCATGCCTGGCTCGGGAATGGGCACACCCGCGCATCTGGCATTCGAAGGTTCTCACGCGCTAGGCAGAGCGGCACCATGGGCTCTGAAAGACCTTTGGGTCACGAAGCAGAAAGACGACGAGGCGAGGAGTGCCAGTCCACGAAATGCATTCAACACTGATCAACCCATGGTTGATTTTAGCCAGTATGTTGATGGCGAAGAAATCGAACAAGAAGATTTGTGAGTGATATGACCTTGTCGTCTCTGTAACCATGTTACCACTGCATTCTCTTCCCCGCCGCCCTCTCTGTCAATCTCACATTGTTTACAATCTTCAACAGGGTGATATGGTTTAATCTGGGGAACCATCACGTACCACACTCGGGTGACATTCCCAACACCCTGCAACACACAAGTGCCAGCTCTGTCATGCTTATGCCATTTAATTTTCACGACCGCGACGTCAGCCGCAAGAGTGCACAAGGAGTTCGCGTGGATCTTGCCGGTAAAGGTAATGGAACAGCGAAGACCCAGTATTTTGGGCACCACTACGAGCATAAATTTGTTTTAGATGAGGTCAGTCCAATTCCAATCCGAATCAGAACCATATTTCATGACAGATTAGCTAATGATTGGTTATAGAGCGATGTGGTGCCTAACTTGACTGCATATGGCGCCTCAGAACACCGGGTGAGAAAATTTCCATACACCGAAGATATGCTGGCAATGTGAGAGGTCAAGGTTACTTCTCAAAAACCATTGAGCCAACAACAAAGGTATATGTTTGCGTCGATGGGGACTGAGATATCGGATCTCATCCTCTCATGTACAGTTCGCTTTATGTAAAATAGTCGCTTTGTGTAAATTAGAATAGTTATACTAAACATTTTTATTCGGTCCTTGGGACTCTGATACCTCTAGGAAAAAATGTGCTACTTCCAGTCATCTGAATCAAGGATTCTAGGAGCTTAGACGTAGTTATGTCTGTTTCAAAATCGGACTACCACACACTAGGAGATGAGAGCCCAGCAAATCAATGTCAACCTACAAATAATGCGGACCGTATTGTATTGAAGGCTTCTATGCAATCAATGTGCCATTTCTGTACATACATACCTACAGTAGGTACCTAAGGTTGATACCATCTCGCGCGCCCATTGGTGGGCTCTCACGTGAGTGTTCTCCATGGGCCTATGAGGTCAACCAGGGACAAGTGCCGAGGCCCACCCATGGGTCCATTTCTCGAACTTGCGAAAGCGGCCGCTTGAAGAGAACCTCCCCTCCAACATAGGAAGCTCCAGCACTTGGAATACATTCAGCTGAACATTGGCAATTCCCTGGATGAGTAGACCAGCTATTACCCAATCATATCTATAATCTTCATATTCCTCGCCGTCTTCACCATGGTCAAGATTAAGCCCTTCGCAGTTGAACAGGTACCACCCCGCATTATTTCATGACTGGTTTCTTCCAAGGTTGTGTTGTTGCAAAATTATACCCATTGCTAAGCAAATACCAGTGGATGGACAAGTATGAGACCACGGCTAAATATAACACCGCTGAGACCTGCTGCGCGTCCATATCCGTTGACGATCTCCGCGCGCTGTCCGATGACAAAGAGTCCAACCCTCTCGCCGAGCTTCAATCAACCAAACTCACATATGGAGCGATCCGCGGTTCCGATAAGCTACGAACCACGTTGTCCAATTTATATTCCGTGAGGGCACCGACCCCATTTTCAAAGGATAATATCTTGATTACCGCTGGCGCAATCCAAGCGAACTTCTTGCTGCTGTATACGTTGGTTGGACCAGGGGACCATGTCATCTGTCATTATCCAACATATCAGCAACTTTTCTCTGTTCCTGAATCAGTGGGTGCTGAAGTCAGCTTGTGGAGATCCAAAGAGAAAGATGGGTGGCAGCTGGATATTGAAGAGCTGAAAAGCCTCATCCGCCCCAACACGAAGTTGATTATCGTAAAGTATGATATTACACTGGCATGTCCAAAATCTGGCCGATCATGCATTGTCTAACCATCATGCTCATTATAGTAACCCGCAAAACCCAACTGGCGCGATCATCCCGCGGCAAACTCTTGAGCAATTGATAGAAATTGCCCGCGAGAACTCCATCATAATCCACTCTGATGAGGTCTATCGACCGATCTTCCACAGCATCAGTCCAGCAGACCCGAAATTCCCGCCCACACTTCTCTCCCTGGGATACGAACACACCGTGGTGACAGGGTCGGTCTCCAAGGCTTATAGCTTAGCAGGGGTGCGGGTCGGTTGGGTTGCGTCGCGCGACAGCTCTATCATCGAAGCTATTGCTAACACTCGCGACTATACAACTATCTCGGTTGGGCAAATTGACGACGCCATTGCCAGTTTTGCACTTGCGCCGGATTGCATCCATAATCTTCTGAAGCGAAATATCGATCTTGCACGGACTAACCTCTCTCTTTTGGAGAAGTTCATCGACTCCCACCGCTGGGCATGTGAGTGGATCAGACCGCAAGCTGGTACCACTGCCTTTGTGCGCTTCAACAAGATGGGCAAACCAGTCGACGACGTCGCTTTCTGCGAAATGCTTCAGGAGCGCACTGGCGTGATGCTTGTGCCAGGAAGTCTTTGCTTTGGAATTGGAGAAGATTTCAAGGGCTATGTTCGTATCGGATTCGTCAATGAGACCGAGATCCTGGAGCAGGGATTGGACGCATTGCGGGAATTCATGGAGGATGGTTATGAGGATGTCCCAGCGGCGAAGAAGCCCTCTGTGCAAAAATAAATACTTCTTGTGAGACGTAAATAGACAACGGGGAGTTGCAGAGTATATCGAGATTCATACTAGCCCACATTGTCTGTCTTTTCTACTCCGTTGGCCCCAGTAGTTGGAATTTAGGCGTCAACATACTCGGATCCACCCGAAGGATTAGGGGAACGGGTGGATGCTCCTAAGCCTACTAACGCGTGATCGCCCGTGCGTCGTCTTGGCCAGGACCTAACATACGGAGCACTGGGCTTTACTCTGGGAAAACGGTGCGGGGTTGGTGAAACTCGAAAATAAGCCGAGCCCATGTGAAGGTATACATCGTGTGTCGCAAGGAGAAGAGAATGATCTAAAAATGGTGGGGATTGGTGGGATATTCTGAGTACAGTGAGTGAAACCACCTAAGGAGTATATAGGCACCTAATCGATATCCTGACTAGCTCTCCCGAGGAAAACAGAATCAAATAAGGAACAGAGTGAGTGGAAGGGGCAGGTATCAACTGGGATGTCGTTAGGTCGGGGATCGGCACACCCGCTGCCGAGGCACGTTACTATCTCACTTCCTGTTGCGCAATATACTTCTCCACCGTTTCAATCACACGATTTTGACTGGATGCAGCCGGATTCCCTCGATTAAATTGACTATTTGATCGTTTCACTTTCACACAGTGGTCCCCACTCGAAAGCCGAGGTGCCAGCTCAGGAACCCCTATAACACACGGTTCCCTCTGCCAAAGCTAGTTTCGAAGCTGTGATACCAACGCCCTGCAATCCACCCCTCTCGTCTCATATCTTACTTGCGATCATACGCCTGAAAATATTTGATCTCGGATTTACTTGGTCATAATGCCGTTGCCAGCGTTGCCAGGTAGGTGATGACGTATGGCGTGGTTAGATGTTGGATGTTTGGCTAATACCTTTGCCTCCCAGACATTCCGTTGAGTCTTGCACTCCCCGCTGCGGCGACCACACTCGCGTATCTCAACGCACGATGGTCGGTTTCCTACGATTTGAAGCTCATCAAAGGAGGGTTGACGACGGCTATGAGAGCCCATTTCGCTGAACGCGGCGACCGCCTGAACCTCTTCTACGTACTGGAGTCCCATGCGCTCAATCCTAAAACCGCCGACCACGAATTTATCGTATACAATGGCCAAGCAACAAGCTTCCACGAAACCTATCTCATGGCCCTTCGCTATGGAACCTGGTTCAAAAGTGTGCACGGCATCAAGTGCAAGGAGATCGTCGCGATCGACTTCATGAACTCGTCCACTTTCATCTTCATGGTGCTGGGACTTTGGAGTATTGGGGCAGTCCCTGCATTTATCAACTACAATCTGACCGGCAAGCCGCTCATACACTCTATCCGGACGTCCACTGCAAGGCTCCTGATAATTGACGAAGAAGTCCGCCACTGCTTCACGGCAGAGCAGGAGGAAATCCTGACATCCCCGACCTTCCGTGATGGCAAGGGGCCGATTGAGATGGTCTTCCATACCCCAGAGGTGGAAGCAGAGATTATGGCCATGGAACCTACCCGAGAGGACGACAAGGTCCGCAGAGGCGTGATCCCTCGCGACATGGCCATTTTGATTTACACAAGTGGTACCACTGGACTTCCCAAACCCGCCATTGTCAGTTGGAAGAAGTGCTGGGCTGGTAGTGTGTTCATTCAAAGTTGGATGAATGTGACTCCCTCTGACAGATTCTTCACGGTAAGCTCTGTCCAAAGTACAAATATTTCTGTCTAAACTAACTTCTCAACCAGTGCATGCCCCTCTACCATAGTTCCGCCACTGTGCTTGGATTTATCACTTGTTTGATGAGTGGAGCGACCTTGATTGTTGGCCGTCGTTTCTCTGCGCGTAACTTCATCAAGGAAGCTCGTGAGAATAATGCGACCATCATCCAGTATGTGGGTGAAACTCTGCGTTATCTATTGGGTGTGTCTCCTGAAGTTGATCCGGTGACTGGCGAGGATCTTGATAAGAAACACAACATCCGGCTGGCGTTTGGAAACGGATTGCGTCCTGATATTTGGAATCGCGTCAAGGAGCGCTTCAACATCCCCACGGTGGCTGAGTTCTATGCCGCCACTGAAGGTACCGCGGGCTCGTGGAACATTTCGTCCAACGACTTCTCCGCCGGTGCTATCGGCCGAAATGGCGCTCTAGGAAACATCATTCTTGGTCGTTCCTCTGCCATTGTGGATGTTGATCACGAGACACAGGAACCATGGCGGGACCCCAAGACTGGCCTCTGCAAGAAGGTTCCCCGGGGTGATCCTGGCGAGCTACTGTTCGCCATCGATGCAACGGATCCCACTGCCAATTTCCAGGGTTACTTTGGCAATAAGAAGGCGACCGAAGGCAAGATCATCCGTGATGTGGTCAAGAAGGGGGATGCCTATTTCCGGACGGGTGACATGGTTCGATGGGACAAAGATGGCCGCTGGTTCTTCTCGGATCGCATAGGCGATACCTTCCGGTGGAAGAGCGAGAACGTATCCACCAGCGAGGTTGCCGAGGTTCTAGGCTCGCATCCTGAGGTGCACGAAGCCAATGTTTACGGCGTTGCTCTTCCCAATCACGATGGCCGTGCCGGGTGCGCAACCGTCGTCTTCAAGCAGCAGATGGCAAGCGGTAAAAGCTCTGAGTCTGCACTAGAGCCCGCGGCTGAGGTACTTAACAGCTTGGCCACTCACACTCTCCAAAACCTACCCCGGTTCGCGGCCCCGCTGTTCTTGCGGATTGCACCTGAGACGCAGGCGACTGGTAACAACAAGCAGATGAAGCATATTCTTCGGACCGAAGGCGTGGATCCATCTCTTGTGTCGGCTAGAGACCGACTATACTGGCTCCAGGGAAATACCTATGTTCCTTTTGGACAGAGGGACTGGGATCGATTGAATGGCGGTCAGGTTCGACTTTAAATGATCTGCTTTCCTCATGGTCATTCCTACTTTTTGTCCCTTGTTTTTGCCTCGCTCCTTTAATCTCATGACTCTTCTTGTTCACATTTAGATACCCTCGACAGCCCTCAATTCAATAAGACATACAACCCTTTGGGGATCGGTGGCTTAATATCAATCCCAAGCTTACGTGTATGATATAGTCTCTGTAGGTAAAGACAGCCTTTGATACTAACAAGTAAGAGATCTCGCGATACTCTGAGGCCTAAGGTCGCTGAGAAAGCTTAGCTACTCATGACGTGGATGGGAAATACGTCAGGGTGTCTGGGATAGTCTCATGCCACGAGAAAGGCAACCAACGCAGCGCTGCAGCCCTTGGGAAGGAAGTTACAATAGGACTTTGGAAGGCAGGCACAGTGGAAGTGTCTTCGAGGCAAGAGCAACCCTGAGATGCTGCCTGAGGGGGAAAAAACGTTAAGAAGGTAACAGAAAGGGAAGGGCACAACCAAATGACAGACCCCCAGCCCCCGTAGCTCAGACGGAAACCCTCGTTCTGGACTGGACGTTGAGTGAGGCTGGGAGTTCGATTCACGGCTAGACCGGGTTGCCGATCTGTGAGTTCGTCTGACACAGGAAGTACGTAACTCCCACTGAAAAGGGGGCTTCCTGGGGCCTCAGCGTGACTGAGCGAGGTGTGTCCTGGACAACGAGGAAACTGTCCCCAGAGACTAGCCGAGATGAGAACCATCGGGTCCGTTTTTTTTTTTAATTTTTTTTTTAATGGAATTTCCCCCTTCGGTCTTTTTGAGGCTATTCACACTTTTGGCCCACATGATTTCCCCACCATGACTCCACCCCCACAACATCAGCTTGTTGGTTGTTTGACAGTTATTTATGTTGATTCTTTTCTTTCACTGTACGTGGAATATATCTCTTTAAGAAAACCATTTGATCAAATTGAATCCTCCACTAATAATCTTGGCTGGTTCCCTGTGTTCCCTCCCACAATAGGACTACCTGTCACTCCCCCCTACTAGCAGCTATTTACCATGCTTTCACTCTTCAAACCCCAGACAATTCTGTCTCACTTAAAAAATGAATTGAAGTTATCCAGCGGCGCATCAGGCTCGACAATCTTCCACACCTCCTCAATCCGTTCTGCGATTTCCGCGCTCAGAGGGCCCTTGCTCAAACCAGCAAGCGTCTGACGGAGCTGCTCAGCATTCCGCGAGCCAAAAATTACTCCATCTCCAAATTTGCCTTCCAACACCGAGTTGTGCGCCACCCATCGATAGGCCAGTTCAGCCTTCGAGATACCAGACTCCTCGGAAATCTTCCCCCACAGTTTCAGGCCCTCCAGCATGCTTGGCTTGTTATATAGTGCATTATAGATTCCCCCTACTGGCGTGCTTTGATCCCATCGGCCCTCGCCGCCGGAGATGATTGTCTCAACATCCTTGGTCAAAAAGCCTCCTGCGATGGGTGAATAGGCATAAAAGGAGATGTTGTGTTTCCGCAGCGTTGGAAAAATCTCTTTCTCGCCTCGACGTGCAATGGCAGAGTAATTTCCCTGGAACACACTTGGCACAACATAATCGTTTTCGCGGCAGATGCGGACCACTTCCTCGACTTCTTCGGCCAGATAATTGGAAAGCCCGAAGCGCTTGAACTTCCCGGCTTGATACATCGCGTTGACACTCGCCAGCAAGTCTTCGAGTGGCCTCTTTCGCTCGGGAGCATGGATATAGTACACATCAAGCTAGGAATACTATCAGAAGCTGGACCCTTTTCAATATCCCATTGTCAGAAGCTCACCTGCTCAGTTTGGAGAAGATCCAAACTCGTGTTCAAGGTCTCAACGAAAGACTCCGGGGTGAAAGGCTCGGGGCCAAATCCACCGGGATGTTTCGAATCGATGGAAAATCGGGAACCGGCGTGGACCTGGCCCAAACGATCCTCGGAATTGGCATAGATCCTGGCAGTATCGATACTTTTGATACCATTGTCATGGAGAATATCGAGGACTGTATTGATGGATTCAAGAGTCGGGTATGAAGCCTCGACCATAAGTGAGCCTCCGCCCCAGATGAGCTTGGTGCCAACCATGATATATTGTGAATGACGATTGAAAATTGAGAAGCCAGAGGAACTGTGAGTGATGGAAACAAAAAGGAAAACAGGATGTAGAAGATGATCGGAGGATATTTATCACCAGAATCTACGGGACTTCGATATCACCATCTCCGACGGAGACGGACGAATGTTGTCTATACATAGATGACCTATCTCTTGTTGTATTGTGGTCAGCTCCTCGCAGGCTTGTGGTTAACTCCGAAGATTGCGAAGGCCGAAGGATTATCAATCATAGTAGGTATCGACCCACTATCCACGTCTATGACTTTCCATTTGAGATTTTGCATCGCAGAAACTGACCAGCACAGTCTAAACCCCCGGACTATGCAATCTGGAAGGTCCTTACGCGTGTATAGTCACAAATGTGGCAGTATGGGTGATTGATCTGTCCGTGACATTCCATTGTGGCACAAGTGGCTTGGAACTACTTGACCTGTAAATACCCAGTCACTCTGTACTTCCACTAGCGACTACAACCTTCAAGCTATCCGTGGGCGACAGGATCGTTACAAATCTAGGTCTCCTTTCGTTGGGAAAGGTTGGAAGGTTGGAAGCTGAGGTCTTCCCCAAATAGGAAGACTATCTTACTCGCGAGCCCTGGAGAGGAACTGCCTAGGTGTCCATATCCATAATCAGGTCTGTACAGGATATGACACTGGTGTCACTTTAGAGTATATTAAGAGCGAAATTATGATTATCAGATACGAAATATTCCTCGAGGAGGCCCACGAGCACAACTTAGGATATAGCAAGAAGCCTTGCTGCTCAGACAGGCTTTATTATTAACCAGCCTTGACTAATGCCCGCTTGAAGAGATTACAGCAACTCCAACGTTGATTTCGTCGATCTCGGTGCTGGAACCATTTCAACGAAAGCAGGACATAGAGCACTCGCAGCACGATGCTGTGATCGAGATCAAGAGTTTGAATGGCATCGAAGATTGAGAGTAAGAGCTATTCTCAATATTTAGTGGCCTATCTCTGAATTTCATAGAATCGGCTATACTATCTTTAAACAATTGAGAGGATGGAAGGCTATTTAGTATCTTAGGACAGCTGGATATTTGGGGTTTCCTGCACAACAGTTCACAGATGGGCCAATCTACGCTAACAAGCTACGTCTAGAAGTACAATCCTGCACTGGAAGATGAATCCACCCTCGTTTATGGAGTACAGCTTCACGTCTTTCGAGTGATTAAATGGGGACTTCTGCAATAAAAGTAGAAAGAATTGGATTGAGAGTCTACTAGCCGGTGTATAGCCATCCCAAGTATAAAGCCGACTCGGGAAAACATCGGCTTCCCCGCATGAATTTGGAGATCAGCTATTTCTCTTCTTTTTTCTTCCTTGGGTCTTACATTCTGACCACTCTTTTCCAGAACATCATGTCTTCAAGCTTGTCGTTACTTACTGCCATGCGCCCGCGCGTGCTGGCACAAGGAACGCGACCGGGCGCAATTCGCAATTTCTCCATTTCTCAGCGCCTCCGCTCCCCGGATGCTGCTTCGGTAGCCTCGTCCTTCCTGGCGCGTTTTCAATCCCTAGGGCCCCAAACACGCACACAAACGATAGATGCAAACCAACTTCAGCTTTTCACCCTCACTCTCAATCGCCCAACTCTCTTCCCCGGTGCTCCCTCGCTGTCCAATGGCGCCTCCGCCCCGCAATCCGCAGTACCGGTGCCGCCAGGCTACCACCTCGCGTACTTCACGCCTGCGTTTCTGGAAAATGAACTCGGAGCTGATGGAACCGACGCATCATACAACCCCGATGTGCCATTCACCCGGCGCATGTGGGCAGGCGGCGAGGTACTGTGGCCTCGCGTGGATGGGAAACCCAACCCGTTGCGGGTAGGACAGCAGGTGCAGGAGACAACGCGGGTACTAAGTGCGGAACCCAAGATTGTCAAAAAGACCGGCGAAGAGATGATCGTTGTTGGAGTAGAGAAAGAATTTGCCAACGAGCATGGCGTGTCAATCATTGACCGACGGTCCGACCTCCCTTTGTCGCGAAAGGTCGCAGATCCAACATACTGACAATGGCATACATAGTAACTGGGTCTTCCGTAAGGCTTTACCTGTTCCATCCGCATCAGCAGCATCCAGCGCCCCTGTGTCGTCATCAACATCCCATCTCGCGACCCCGAGTCCTACCTCATCCCTCATCTCCACCGAGGGCAACACGCACACGCGAACCCTAATGCAAACACCCGTGACACTCTTCCGTTTCTCTGCTTTGACTTTCAACCCTCACAAGATCCACTACTCGCTGCCGTGGGCGCGAGATGTAGAAGGACATAGGGACCTTGTTGTGCATGGGCCCTTGAACCTGATCTCCATTCTGGATCTCTGGCGTGACACTCGCCTCAATGTCACAGATCCCACATTGGTCGTCCCAGAGCGTATCTCTTACCGAGCAACGAGCCCTTTGTATGCTGGGGATGAGTATCGGATTGTGCTTGAGGAAGGGGAGGGAGCAAAGGTGCAAATTATCGGACCTGGAGGTATAGTCGCCATGAAGGCCGAGATTCACTAGATGTTACATAAATAGAGGAAGGCACATTAGGTAAATATAAAGCAAGAGTCTGGTTATAATCACTTCCATCGTAAGACTGTAGACGCTATTCCCGATAACTCCGCCGTTATGTGTCTATTGCGGGGCCATAGATCCTGGGGCTGAGCAGTCCTCCACTTCGCTTTCCCCTTTGAACGTTCGAGCTAGATCTCTCTAACGGAGTGGTCTCCCGGCAAAATCTCCATCACTCGCTAATTGCAATAACCATAGATAATGGATGAGCCCATAGACCCCGCTGCGGAGGCATCCGCCCCCAAAAAGCGAACACGAGTGCAATTTTCCTGCACAGCGTGCAGATATCGCAAGTAAGCTCCGCCCAAGAGACGGCATGTATGTCTAGCATATCCGCAGCAGCTGATCACCAATAGATTGAGATGCTGCCGCAGCTACCCTTGTACTAATTGCAAAAAACGAGGGGAGGCCGCATCATGCACCTATGTCGGGCGCGGGCCTCGAGGCAAGACTCAGAATGGGCGCCTGAACCCAACTTTGGTGCAGGACCGCTTGCACCATCTGGAAAATCTGGTCATGTCCCTTGCACAGAAGCAGAGGGCTGATCCTTCTATTGATGTTGATTTCGATGCGGGCCAATCACAAACTAGGACTGATTATACAACGCCTTCGCCGAGCAGTTCTGATCGCGATGCTGTGTCGACTCCGGTTGATACGGGGACGTTGGTTGTTGAGGATGAGGGAACTAGCTATATTGACAGCGCAAACTGGCGCGCGATCCTGGAAGAGGTATGTTTTGTTTGAGTGGTTGTGGCATTTTGAAAGACTTTTGCTGACGATCTCTCATACTTGAAGATCAATGGTATGAAAGAAGATCTACACCAGACCGAAGAAAGATCCGACGATGGTGTCGATACTGATCCATACGATGATTCATCTCCGGTTCTCCTTCTTGGGACGAGTCGTCCGGTGAACAAAGAAGAGGTGCTTGTGGATATTCCACCACGCTCAATAGCCGATCGACTAGTCTCTCGCTTCCTTAAGACGTCTGAACCGTCACGAGGTATGTGTTTGTTATCCATTGATGTAGAAAAGCACACTAACAGGGCCATAGTTGCCATTCATGCCCCTACGTTCCAGAAAGAGTATGAAGAGTTCTGGATCCACCCAGCCGATAAATCATTTACCTGGATTTCTCTCTTATACTCAATCATGGCACTATCAGTTTCTATATTCCGTCGAAGTGCAGAGCCATTGCCTTCCAACATGACCGGCCCTATCACTTCATGGGGCTCATTCCGGAAAAGGGCCGCACAGTGTCTCATTCAAGCAAACTATATCACTCCAGGGCGATACAAAGGAGAAGCACTATTCTTTTACTCGTTGACCGAGTTTTACCGAAACCGAGATGCGCAGGTCGGGGTATCCTATCTACTTGGAATGACTATTCGCGTGACTATGCGTATGGGTTACCATCGTGATCCGTGTCATTACCCAATGCTGTCGGCCCTAGATGGGGAAATGCGGCGACGTCTCTGGGCCTTGCTTGTTCAGCTCGACACGTTGGTCTCATTTCAAGTCGGCGCTCCTCGGACAATTCAGCATTGGCAATATGATACAAAGCCACCATCCAACTTGTTGGACACAGATTTCGACGAGAATTCCAGTCAATTGCCGCCCGATAGGCCAGAGAATGAACTGACGGATTGTTCATACACGAGAGCCAAAAGTCATCTCATCAAAGTCTTCGGGAAAATAACAGACCTAGCATTTTCTAGAGAGCCCTCATCCTATGATGAGACCTTGGAGATTGACCGTCGTTTGGAAGCTGCACATGATATGATACCTTCCATTTTGCGCATTCGACCAATGACACAGTCTATCGCAGACCCAGCAGAACTGATCATGCGACGTTTCACCTTAGAGCTTCTGTATCTGAAAGCACGTCTTGTTCTCCATCGTCGGTATATCGCGGAAACTAATACCAAGTTTTCCTACTCGCGATCAGTCTGCTTGGCCGCAGCTCGAAAAGCGCTTCAACACCATACAGAGATTTGCAACGAATGCATGCCTGGTGGCCAATTACACGCTGAGCGATATTTCCTTAACTCCCTTCAAAATACCGACTCTTTACTCTCGGCAATGATCGTTTGCCTCGAACTATCCCAGGATGCAGATCGTGGCGATGCTGCACGCCTTACACCCCAAGAACGTGCAGACTTCTTACATCTTTTGGAGACCACATATCGCCTCTTCATGGAGCCTACCCATCGGACTATAGATTCACAGCGAGCAGCGAACGCTCTGGGTATTATGCTTAGACGGGTCAAAGGTGGCGACATTCAAACTGGGCAGTCATCAACATCCATGAATAGTAAGCCTCATCTCTCTTTCTTCATATCATTGCGCTGACATAGTCACCAGATGGCAACCTACAGCACTTGAATCTTCAATCAGCCCTGGGACAGCAACTATTCTTCGTGCAAACACCCGATATTGACGAGGTGCTCTCCGCAATGCCCAATCCGGACCGGACGCAGTCGTACAACTCCCTAGAGGTCATCGAGGATATGCTTGCTGTACCCGCTCAGCTTGACTGGGTAAGTTTTCCCATTATGTTTGTTATTCCCGGGCTAATACTTCATCTATAGCACTTATACGACAGCCGCATCTCGGGTGTCGAGAGTACTTCCAATAACAATGCCTGGTATTCCGACGGTCCAGCGGATCCGATGTACGATTTCGCTGCGTATCAATCTGGAGTATCGCCAATGGATGATCAAATCCACTAGATATAATGACAGTGAACTGTGGATATATCTTGGACGCGTACTGGGTGTTCTTCTTGTACATTGTCGACTAAACATCTTGAGATGATACCCAACTTGATCAATTAATTGGAATAAACAAGAAAACCCACATGTCATAACATATCCATCTTTCGTGATCTCGTCAGCTTCCTTCGATTTCTTTTCAAAAAAGGAGAAGTCCACTTCATAGGTCTCTGGTAGATCTAGAGTATGCAATCGTAATCGAGCCGAGGCGGGTGCAGATCCCGCTCCGCAGACCCAAAGCTTTTTCCTCCTCTGCGAGCAACCAATACAACAAGAACCTGTGAATAGCCCTCCTCACAACCTCCTCAATGCGACCAATCCGTACACTGCGACTTCCAAGTCGCCCAACTCCAGCCCCTTCTCAGCGCAATGTATGCCAACTCTCCCAGCAAACACCCACAAGGCCAATGAGCACAACACGACCAACCCTTCCTTACCTACGACCAAGCCAAGGCCCCAAAACCACCACACGAGCCTTCGGCCTACCCGACCTATCATCCTTCCTCCCCAACAACAACGCCAACAACTCCCCGCACCGCGTCCTAACCGCCACCCGCAACCTCCCCTACAACCCAGCCCTGCTCTACAAAGTGATCGCCTCAGTGGAATCCTACAGCCAATTCCTCCCCTTCCTGACCGCGTCGACCGTGACAGCGCGCGATCCGGAAACCGGGTACCCGACCCAAGCGTTCTTGACAGTCGGCTACGGCCCGCTCAGCGAGACGTTCACATCGCGCGTGATCTGCGATGTAGAGAAGCTGACTGTCGAGGCGAAGAGCGGTGCTCAGTACGGGAAAGAGGAAAAGGATGTTCAGGCTAGCAAGAGCTCTTCGTCTGGACTGAGTGGGTTCTTCCCCGGTGCGAATGAGGGCCTTTTTGAATACCTCACCACGAAGTGGGAGCTGGTGCCGCTTTCGCAGGCTGAGGGGCAGGGTAAGCCGTTGACTAAGGTTAATTTGGAGGTGCGGTTTGAGTTCCGTTCTCAGATGCATGCTACTATTATGAGTGCTGTTGAGGGGCAGATGGCTGGGGTTATGATTGAGGCGTTTGAGAAGCGGATACGGGAGGTTGAGGGCAAAGGGCAGTGATGGACACTGATGTTTCGATTATATATTTGGTTGTATATTAGTGGAGTTTTGGGGATTCAGATATATCTTGTATCTAGACTTGCATTTTGTCAGATTTGCATATCCTCTACAGTGGAAGAAAAAGATAGAGAGCATCGCCAATTCGATTCTATTGGATGGATTCGCTGTACATGCTCAGTTCAGAGTCTGTGAAGATGAGGAATGAGCACGGAGAAAAAAAATAAAAAAACATGATAGTATATAATACAGATTATCCAAACACAGAAATGATTTTCGACTTAAAGCATGCTCATACTCCGATGACGGTTAATGGAGCTGCGCGAGTGCTTCATCGAGCCAACGGCATTGTAGTTATCGAAGACCACATCCCAGTTAATCCGGTTCCACCAGCGCTCCAAGTACTCGTCCTTGCCGGCAATACCGTAATCCATCATCCAAGCGTGCTCCCAGGTGTTAACGCAAAGAATGGGCTGCACATCGACGGCGCCGGGTGCGAGGCTCTTCTGGTTCTGGGCGTGGGCACCCATGGAGCCGGCGAACTGGTTACCCAGCTGGGTCTCCGGGGAGTGGGTGGACATGTCGACGGGTTGGCGCCGGGAGTGGGCGGCCGGGTAGGGGGAGCCGGCGCTGTAGGTGCAGAAAATGTGCATCATGCCCTCGCGCTCGAGGTTCTTGGCGAGCCATACGAATCCGGGGCCGAACATTGAGCTGGCGGTGGCCAGGAAATCCATCTTCAAGGACTCGACGGAGGAGCAGGTGTCGACGATGTCCCGGGCGAACTTATCGGGGATGGTGGTGGCTGTGGGGGACTAGATCGAGCAGGCGAGTCAGACGTGACTGTTATCGAAAAATGTATCAGTCTCAATACTAACCACACAGTTGAAGAAAAAGTGGTTGTTGTGGGCCATTGAGGCATAGTTGAACACCGAGGCCATCTCCGGACGCTTGGAGTATTTGACCAGCAACTCTCCGGGTTTGGCATCCGCATCGACGGTGTCTAATATATTAGAAGGTCGGGTTAGTCTCTCCATATATTCCTTGTGCCAATTGTCCGCCAGAGGCCGAATTTGTTCGATGTGTCGTTTCGCAGGGTCGGAGTGTCGGGCTCACCTTGTGTCAACAGATTGAGTTTGTCAACGAGCAGAGTCTGGTATTGGGTCCAGGAGAAGTCAAATGCCTCGGGAGACATGAACTCAGGAACACCATTCTCCTTGTAGTAGGCATCGTGCTGCAATTGGGGAATGCGATGGATAGCACGGGTCTGGAAGCCTGAGAAGGCGGAGGTAGGTTTCTGGTCAAAACGCGGTTAGTCGAGACGAAACAGGCGATAGAAAGATTGAGTCTCACTGGGGAGAAAGAGGACGCTGCGCGCAAAGCGCTCTGCGGCCGGACAAATCGGCTGAACATGACGAATGGCACTGTGAATGGTCGGGTTAATCGTGGAGAGCTTCGACGTCGAAGAATTTCCCTCCCGGCGTGTTTCCCGATCGGAACTAGTCGCAATTATGTAAGACACCCACCAACAGCCAATCACATCGTCTGAATCTACTTCATCTTTAAGCGCCTACTCTGTACTCCTCTGGTCTTCATCCAATCCTCGTTCTCAAGACCCCGGGCCGATGGGGTTCTGCAGCCAAAAATATGGTTTAGCGCCCATGGTGTTACCATTTACATCATGCGGTCGACCCTGAAACAACCGGTGCCTATTTTAGGACTCCGGCGCATACAAGGACTCTTTATGTGCAAGACCAGATGGAAAGCAGTAGCGCCTTCATTGAAGAATGACAGATTCTGCTTCTTTGATCGGTCTTTGTTTTAGGCAGAATTCAATGCTCTTGTTTCTTGTTCATTGACAATTAATTCATTGCTGTGGAATTCTCATCCAGTGTTGATTTCTCTACTTACTCTCCAACTTTTACTATACATGAAGACTCCGTCACGAGTGTTACTTCATATTCCTTTTGAAATCTCGTTTTGGATTGATCGCCAGGGATAGCTCCCGTTGTCAATCTTTTCTCTTTTCTTTTTTTCTCCAGCTGAGCTTTCCCATCGCCGGCATGGCAAGGTCAACTACCGTCATTACCAGACGGCCGTCCGTTCTGCTGCTTTTGACTCTGATGGCCAGTATCAGGCCAGGATGGGCATTAGACTCTTTTGATATCTTTCCAAGGGGTTCAGAAGCATGCCCTTCCTCATACGCTCGCTGCAGTAGCACCAAGCTCCCAAATGATTTCTGCTGCCCTTCAGACTCCACATGCATCAGTCTAGATGAGGCCAGTTCTGCCATCTGCTGTCCCGCGGGTAAAGATTGTGATTATATCTCGCCGATTGTATGTGATGTTCAGCAGCAAGATACAAGTCTCTATCCTGAAAGTCAGATCAAGACAACCCGTCTGGATGATAGCCTCCCCAAATGCGGCGATGCGTGCTGCCCATTTGGCTACAGCTGCCAAGGCAACAATACTTGTTCATTGAACAAAAAGACATCTACAACAGCAACAATCACTGGGTCTTCCTCCTCTACCCTCCCAACTTCACTGTCGACGACAGCTACAAGCGCAAGAGACCCTCCGACAACAATCACACCCGTACCATCTCCATCATCTGAAAAGTCCAATAACTCCACGACCTTCGCAGACCTGGAAACATCATGCCCCTCATTCCCGGGTGAAGCCATAGCAGCAGGCTTCTTCCCAGGCGCCATCTTCGGTGCTATTGCTGCCCTCTTGATATCTCTCTGCTTCCGACGCCGTGCGCGCAAAAACGAACCCGAGATGCAAGAAGGCAAATCCGGACCACACTGGTCCCAACGTTCTTCTGCTGGAGCCCCATTGAGCATATCGAACCCTATACCCCAAGACGACACTTCCTACCGCACAGACTTCCTCCGAAGTCCACCGCGAGCCAGACGATCCTCTATAGGAGGACGTTCCACTCGCTCTGTGCTCCACCGCACGGGCAGCAGAGTGCGGAGTCTATTTTCCGGTTATCCAAGACATGATCCCCGACTAGACAAAGATGTGCCAGCTGTCCCTATGCCACCGGCTCCGGTTACTCCCCCAAGGCAGCGCCAGCCGAGTACAGAAAGTATCAAGGTGTATTCGCCGCCTGGGGAATTCTCGCACTCCCGCACTGTCTTGGTACCTGAGCCATACCCGAGTAGCCTCTCCCGACCAGGTACTAGGTTTTCGGACCTGATGCAGGTTGTTGGATTTCCTCATGATGGGAAGGGTAAACTACCTTATGCCACTGGGGAAAAGGCTCGACAAAACCCGTTCAGGGATCCTGGACATTTGATATAGACCTTTTGATTGTTCTGGCATTGATGGTGTACTAAGATATCCATGCTTGTATTGCTTTTTATCTGAGTGTTCAGATTTACTCGTTTAGATGCATAGGTACCTCACTAATTCTCCGTCTAATTCAAAGATTCCATATAGCTTTCTATGCATGAGGATCAGGATCATTGTACAAGATAAGTGCCTTAGATGGAAGCCGGATTCTAGATTCTTTCCAAGGAGACGATATAAATGGGACCTTAAGACACATATGGGATGAAAATAGCATCAAAAAGTAGCAAATAATAAATTCAACAGGTGTATATATGACTCCTAGAATACATAAATAATGGAAGGTTGTGTTGCTCTATGACGCTAACGCCTTCTTCGCCTTCCTTCCAGCAGCAATCCTCTTGAGTTCCTTGAGCAATCCAACAACAAGAGGAACACCAATTGGTCCCAGAAGTGGTAAATAGACGGCCACTTTGTGTTCGTCAGGGAAATATACTTGCCCAACCATACTCTTCTCAAAGAAGCTGCGCTCGGCTTCTGTCTCCGCGACTCGGGCACTAGCAAGTGCAGCGCCAAAGCGACCCTCGCGCAGGTAGGAGCAGGTGGCACCAAGATGAGAGATAGTAGTAGATACCGAAGTAGCCACGGTGGCGGGGATAGGGATAGATGGCAGGGACTCAGTAAGGCGGGCAAGAGAGCCCATTGTGGATGAGGCAGAAAGCAAAAGAGTGGCCGCGCGAATGCGAATAGAGGTCTGAAGGCGAAGGGGAAGAGAGGCAGGGGTGCTAGGAGTACCGAGAAGAGTGAGAAGTTGATGAGAGAATGTCATGAATGCAGGGCCCAGAGATTCCTGGGAGAGATGGGCAGGATTGGACCGGCCACCCTGCTTGTCGGGATTGGAAAGCGGCGGATTAAGAAGGAACACTCCGCCCCACTGAGGAACTATCCAGCTAGAAGCGCGATTCTCCTTGACAATGAGTGGCGACTGTGAGGGGTCTGGGACATAAAGGATGAAATTAATTGTCGGGCCACTGCCGATGCTTGGGTTCAATGGCCATTCTGCAGCGTTGACGAAGGCACTTAGGTCCTCTTTCTTCAATGTCCACGCTGCCTCGGCTTCATCATACTCCGGGGTTGGCGCAGTAGGTGCAAAGTTCGCATAGAGCTGCACTTGTGTATCGACTGTGAAGTTGCTGATAGGAGAGAATGCCTGGAGGAGAGGGGGAGACATATTCATTCACAGCAGCCTCGATATCCCACGAAGAAGGCTCAGATCTCGGGGTGAAGAGTGAGAATGAAAGGTGGTAGGTTTCGGTATATTTCATTGACCGGCGCAGCCTTCGGCTGATGTCTTCGGCGAGCTGTGGTGAGGTTGAAGCAAGCCCAGCGGTATTTCCAGATAAAATGTATGCTATAGTAGCCTTTTCTTCTCCATACAAGCGCTGGAGCTCCTCGGCAATGAAGACAGAAAGGGGAGAGTTGGAGGAAGAAGGCACTGGGACCTGATTTGGCGGATAGAAGACATCGAGCTGCGTCGTAGCTGCATGAAGCTCTGACCGAGGGCCTGCGATGCCCTCCTGGGGTAACAGCCGAACAGTCAACGCGGTATCCGCAGTGTCCTGCGCATCATTTCTGGCACTTTCCAAGCTGTCATCCCCATTATAATCTGTTGTTGTGCTGTCGTTGGTCAACTTGAGCCGTAGGTGATGAGCTGCGAACTCATTGAGATCATCAAGTGTATGCTGTGTCGTGCGGAGGAGGTGCTGAGCCTCAACAGACTGCATCGAGGGAGTCGCAAGGTGAATCTCTAAAGGGAACACTGGTCGGCATGCCTGTAGAGATCATTATTAGCATTTACCAAGTCCCCAACACCACGGATGATTCCGCAAGTCGTACCTTGCCATCGGCCCAATCCACCATCTCCTCAATGGGGAGAGAAGCTCTGTAAATGGATGTTGTCTTCCACCATATTGGAAATCCAAGGAATATGATAACGGCCCAAAAAGCTGCTATCACTCGAAATCGCGTTTGGACAGCAGCCGGGGTCTCTGGGGGTGGAGCGCGCTTGACGCTGGGTTGGGGATCAACTTGGGTGGCCGAAGCCTGAGGAGACTCCTGGTCTCCTATTTTGGTCGTCATAGTCGGGACATGCTTTGTGCTCTAAATTAGAGCAGCAAAGGCGTGATTGTTTATCCAATCGAGTGTTGACTGGGGGAAGTTGACAGCCGGGCGGAGAAGTCCCCCATCTTCAACGGACAACGGTGGCCGCATGGAGGGACACAGTCAGCGCAGCATCTAGCCCCGGTACACATTGGCTTCGATCTAGGTAACTACGTATGTGATGTTATTTAAAATTGCATATTGTTGAATTACATATACTTTGGACAATGCTACCTTTGTGCCCCTGTGGTTCGAAGCCCTCGGATTCGCATCCAATCTACTCCGTACAGAGCGATCGAATGGAGATCATGGTATTAGGTATTATCGGCTCAAAAGTATTTCAAATTCATAAAACAAGGGTATCTCAACCAGTAACGCCGATTAAATGTAGCGATCAAGCCCCTAGTAGGCTTCGAACGCTATACCTCCACATGCAAATATCTAGTATTCCTTCTCGAAGATCTTCTGGATGGGCTTAGCGGCCTAGATATTAAGAGTCTGATTAGCGATCCGTAACAGGGGAAGAGGTAGAAAAACATACATCAATGAACTTTTCGAGATCTTGGTCAAGATTGGCAAGATCGTTCTTCCGTTTCTTGTTCTCCGCAATCAAGGCCTGCTTGCGCTTCAGAAGCTCCTGTCGCGCTTGTTCCAGCTTCTCGCGTTCAGCATGCTCATGCTCAATGCGAGCAATCATGAGTTCATGCTCACTAGACTGGCGATGTTGGGGATGAAGTTCTAGGAAGTCTTCGACCGGGATCAAAGGGAGGGATAAGTATTTATGGCTACCACAACAAACATGTCAGTTCGCAGAATTCGAAGGGACTCCGAGCATCTTAAGAAATCAGATTCACGCACTCATAGGCCTCGCAAGCCGCAATTTCCCCTGTCAAATGCTTCTGTTCATAGTACAAGTTCTGGAGTTGGAGATGCAGGCGATCAATTTCTTGCCGAGCCTCTGCCGTTGACTGCTTGGTGTCGCGCACGCGAAAGATGGCATCCCGATTCTGCCCGCGGAGTTGGGCCAACAGTGCGAACAGGATTTTCTGTTGTTTAGACGCGGCCAAGGATATATCTCGAAGCTTGGCGGCATCGTTGGGAAGGGCGTCAGGGTTTAGGATAGTGAGCAATTCTTGACAGCGGACCAGAGTCTCGGCGCTAGTCTGAAGAACCGGTAAGAGCGACTCATCGGCGACAATCTCACTGATAGCCATATTGTAAATGGTGGATAAGGATCCGATGGGAGTGGCGAGAGACAAAAGCCGAGAAAGAAAATAAGGTGGAGAGGCGAGATGGATCAATCAGAGCGGCGTCAGGCGCATGTGCCCTCCCGAGGTCGGGTTGTGGTTGGGGAACTTGGCCCTTTTTTTTCCCCAAGCGCCGTCGATTTACGTCTGACATTCCCCTCCTTTTTTCCTTTCTTGGATTCTTGATGTACCCCTCGTTCCTTTTTGTTTAACAAGTCTTTTTCAAGTCCACAGGGCTTTGTCTGATTTCGTTTCCGGATCCCTCGGCCGTGCGGGTACCCTTGCCTCTCAACGCTTGTTGTGCAACTTTATCAAACTGCATGGCCTTTGATTAAGACTGGACAGGCTCACTTTCGACTACGCCTATGGCTTGTGGCACTTCTTCAATGGCAGTGGAGGCTTCTCCCGAAGAGGCATTTGCCTTCGCTACAGCGATCCCGGGCGAGGATACCGGAGTTCTTCGTGATCGGCGGCGGAGACATTCGTTCCATGCTTCTAGAAAACTTTCGTGCGACTATCAGGATGCAGATGCGGTTTTCATTAGGGTGTGTGATTGGTTCCATTCGCTAGAAATCTGTTGGGTAACAATGTGTCTAACCAAGTTTTAGGTCGAACTCTTCTTGGCCGAACTGGAACGTCGAATGCAATGGATCGAGCAATACCGGAAATCCCATATGGTGCAAGTCGACGCCAGTCTGAAACGCGGCTATGCTACTTTGGAGGCCGTCAGAGATCAATGTTCCCTCGCCTCGGGCGAGCTGATGGGAAGTGGCAAGAAGCGGGCCAAGATTCTGGTCGAAACCCTCGAGGATAGATACAATGAAGCCCTAGTCACGAAAGAGACCTTGGAGCAGAAGGCGCAAGCCGGGGTGCGTTTGATGGAGTCTTTCTTGTCCGAGCTTGAGAATCGAGTACATGCGGTTCGCGATCGCGGCATCTATGGCACCTTGGACGATGGATGGAAGGCCATGGACTCAAAGCTGGTTCACGCCCGGGAAATCGTTGACGAGGGCATGGAGTGTGCTCGCCGAACTCGTAATACTCTGCGAGATACTATTGAAGAAGCGATTCGACTCGCCCAGGAGAAGCGATTGATCAACTACGATGAACTGCCCCATCCATGGCGAGTCAACCCACACATCATCAATGGCTATCGATTCACCACTTCTAAGGTTGAATGTGTCTCGTCAGTCTTCGCCTATTCGAACGAAATGTTCAACATTTGGTCCCATGTGATCGGCCTCGTTATCGTCCTGGCCATCGCCTTTTACTTCTACCCGCTGCACACCAATTTCCACATGAGCTCTAAGTCCGACGTCGCCATCGCTGCCGTTTTCTTCTTCGCTGCATGCAAGTGTCTGGTCTGCAGCACTATTTGGCATACCATGAACAGTATCGCTTCGCAATCCTTGATGGAACGCTTCGCTTGCGTGGACTACACTGGAATTTCCATGCTAGTCGCTGCCTCTATCGTGACCACCGAATACACCGCATTCTACTGCGAGCCTTTCTCTCGGTGGACGTACATCTTGCTTACTATGTCATTGGGTGTCGGTGGCATCATTCTACCCTGGCACCCAACGTTCAACCGCCATGACATGGCTTGGGCCCGCGTGGGCTTTTTCGTGACCCTTGCACTCACCGGCTTCTCGCCGATCGCCCAGCTATCTTACACGCGTGGTTTCTATTGGACCATGTATTTCTATGCACCAGTCGTGAAAAGCATCCTGGTCTACTTCGTCGGTGCGTGTGTTTATGCTTCCAAGGTCCCCGAGCGCTGGAAGCCAGGTTTCTTCGATTACGTCGGCGGCAGCCACAATATCTGGCATCTGGCTGTCTTGGGTGGTATCTTTTTCCACTACCGGGCCATGCAGGATTTGTTTGCAGGAGCATTCCAACGAGCCCAGGGCGAGTGTCCGAGCATGACGTTGTGAACATATCTTCCAACATACACGAATCTCCCTACATTGCTGATTGTTGTCCGCATTTTTTGCTCATGAGCAAGTCTCATGGGGGTACATGGTTTTGGTATTTCAACATTCCCTGATTAGATGTTTAGACTAGCAGCTCACTGCTAGTCACGACTTGCTATGGCTCCTCTGATGAAATCTGTCTTTTCTGTTTTCTGCGGAACCCTCAACACAGTTGGTGCCGTTTCGCTCGCATGGATGGAGTATGTCTTGATTGTCCTTTTTATTACTTCACTTCTCAGAGCATTGGCCTGTACAGAATCCCATTGCCTCTTCCTTTTTTTTTCCCTTGTTGGCGACACTGTCAAATCTACCTAGATTCAGAGTGTGCACACATTTTGGTTTTCACTGGTGTACTTTGGACGCATTTACCGCACTATAGGCATCTACATCTTGCAGATTGCCTTGGTCAATATTTGGTTAGAACATATTAAGATTTTTATTGCAATTTTCATTATCTTTTGTCATAAGCTCCTGCTTCTATTGGCGTGTACTCTTAAATATTCACAGACAGACCCTTAAGAAAGCCCAAGAAGGATGTTCGAGATGCATTTGTCGCATCTCTACTCTGTAGTGTCCAACCATGTACAGTTATAAAAGCTTCGAACATAACACATACGTATTCTACTCATGATGACGTTTCCTTGATATGTATCGTATAAGTTCTTCCACTGCGTGTAGAGGATGTTATTTTGTTTCCCTGCTCGCATTTTACCATCATGGCCAACTTTACAAGTGAGTAGCTACCAAGCACCTGACTCAAAAGACAACCTTGAAAGTCTAATATTGGAATCTAGATGGGCCCATTTGAATTGAATGAACATCACATGATGGCATATAATGAGATTAAGTTTACACTGAGTAGTAATCAATGAGTTTATTTTGACGGCAGGTATTGTCGCTTGAGTTTGTTTGCAAATTCTATGACATTGTCTAATGTGTGTCGTATATTCATAACGCCATGATGAAGGCAGTGCCCTATATCAACAATAGTCCGAGTCATTCTCTCAATCTTGGACGGCGGTGCCCCAATTTCAGTCACTGGGTTTATTCAAACAATATGGTGTTTCAGGTCTCAGCGTGATGGGTATTTGCGATAGATCTGTAAAGGAAATGGCGAAAAACTCAATATCAAGCTCGAATTGTGAGCGGAAACGTTGCGATGATCTGACAATGACTCAGACTCGTTGGGAGAAAGTGAATCCCTTCTCCTTTGTTGAGACTTTTGTGATGGTCAATAGCCATCTGGAATGACCATCACCTGATTGGTGATTCAAAGGATTACTGAGAGCTTTCAGCAATACTCTCAGCAATAGGTCCGCCACGTTTCTGGAAGTTACCCTGCATCCAGCAGCGGTACATCTTTTGTTTGGTACCACGGTTGACAATCAACCGGCGGTCAGCTCCCATGTTTAGAACCTCGAACGCTCCATTTTCCTTTGCCAATTGTTTGGCCTCTGGAGTTTGCTCCTCTGTATCCTGGGATTGATCCTTCTCTGTCTCGGATGCCTCATCGCCAATGGGAATCTGCAAGCCATTTTCTGCGCTCCAGGTACCCCACATGTCGACGAGCTGGTCCTGCTCGAAGAAGTAAACGCGTGTGCCATCACCCCGAATATAGAAGTTCTCAGCCAAGTAGCGACCCTTCTTGAACCGTACTTGAGCAAGGTCACCGCGGCCATAGTCGCGGAACAGCACACGGCCACCAGGCTTCAAGAGACGATAGATGTTGCGGATGGCATGATCCCACTGGTTCGGGGCCAAAGCAGAGAAAATGAAAATCAAGATCACAACGTCAACTGAGCCTTCTGTGAGGCCGGGTGGGAGGGAGTCGCCGTTCTCGCTGGGAACAGAGGATGCATCCCATACATCAGCAGACATGAATTTCTCGTTGTAGTGTTCGCTCTCACGCATGACCTTCACAGCATACTTTGAGAAATCGCAGGCATGAACCTTCAGGTGTTCGTTCTCGTTGTTGGCGAGCAGTGGGAACGCAGTGTTACCAGCTCCTGCGCCAACCTCCAGGACGACCTTGGGACCAGCGTCCTTCTGTGTCACTTCAGCGAGGATTGGGAACTCTTGGCGCAGCCACTTGCGATCCTTGAAGAAATTGGCAGTGTTGTTCTTATAGAAAAGGTCCCACCACTTGGCGGGCTCGTTGTTGAATCGGGTCCGGTCAAAGTCCGACACTCGAGTTTCGCGCTGTTTCGCATATTGGGTCTCGGCAAAGGCCTTGAATTCATCATCTGGCTCGACATGGTCCCAAGCATTGAACTCAAAGACATCGTCGCCTTTTTCAAGGTATCGTGAACCGAATTGGAAGGGGTCGGTCCGTTTCATGTTGTTTGAGGGATCGTGGGAACGATGGGCGGGGACTGTAGGAGGCTCGACATTCTGTGTCACTTGCTCAATACTAATATCGAGAGTCATGATGCCTGGGATAGTCGGAGTCTGTCTGACTCAAGGTTAAAGTCTCGGTATGAAAAGAAAAAGATTATTATCCGACTAATTAATCGTCGGGGGAGAAGGCGGGGAGAACAAAAAAAATCCAGACGGCAACACGATTGGCGGGGCCATTCAATCACATGATTTCATACTGCCCATGTATGTTCTTTCCCCTCGATCATTTCCACTTTTCAGCCAATCATCACGGGTAGTTTGTTCACCGCCCTTCTTATCAAAGGTGATCTTATCGGTTATCAGTTATCGCCCATCCACTGGACAGTTCATCTGAACGCATACATACATACGCATAACACATATGTATGTTGTAGGCACTTCCATGCAAGTATGTGTGTATTTCATGGCATGCTTTGCTGCTTGGAAAGTTGCTAATCTCTTGCCGTATATCTCTCACTCATTTCAATCTTTAATGGTGGTATAATCATACCATTCAAGAAAGTGTGAAACCCAGTTATGATAAGATACCTATAAACACCAGCTTTTAAGTCACCGTAACTTATATGAAACTCGCTGAATGTGTACGGAGTATGGACTGTGGAGCTTTACTTCTTAGGACTATATACAGGTGCGTACCAAGGTACTATATCCAACACCCGGGGCCATGACACCCATGGGCCATAACATACCTAGGCAGCGTCAAATATGGAGTAGCACTTGACACACGTCCCCTTGTGGGTATTTAGGCCGAACTAGTTCGCGGCCACGGTGATCAGCAAGAATGGGAGATGCCAAGGATTATTAGCAACCAATGAGGGTTGATATCGCCGTGATGCAACCGACATCAGCCAGCAAAAGCAAAAATAGTCACTGTTTTCCAACTTGACTGGAAGCTAATGCATATTTCATCCGAAATGGTATTCCTACCGAGTCACGATTGGCTCTCAGAGGCGTTTTGCAAGCGAGCTGAACCCAGCTCATCATACAGAGTACTCCGTATAGAAGCAAACTTACCATGTAGAATAGCCCCTTAGCCTTGCTTATCACTACTCCGTACGGAGTAGTGGGATCCCATCTACTGTTCGTGTCCAAAGTACTGAGCACGCTCCGGATGTCGACGTTGTCATCAGGTATTCCTTACCCCGCGTTAAAATCACATCCTTCAAATGTCAAGAAGAGCCCTGAGCTCAAGTTTCATTCGCTATCCACATTCATAGAACCCTCACTTTCTTGAACTTCCTCTAAGCATTCTTCTTTCCATCTGTCGTAACAGCAAAATCAGACGAACATGGATGGGATTTCAGAGCCCTCGAATGCCTTGTTTGATGCCATCAGAGTGAACGATATTGAGGCGGCTCGACAAGCTTTGGAAGACGGGGCCGACCCAAACGCCAAGGATGAAGATGGGATGACACCTATTTGGATTGCAGCATGTGAAGAGGAAAACATCGATCTGATGAAGCTGCTGCTAGAGCAAAAGGCCAATCCGAACTTTCAGGATCCCTTGGACGGGGAGACGCCTCTTTATAGAGCAGTTATTAGAAGGGATCTCAAAAGAATGGAGCTTTTGCTGGAACACAAGGCCGACCCCAATCTCCAGCAACATTTGTGGGGATCGCCCCTGCATCGTGCAGCCTACTCATATGATTACGAGCAGATCATAGACCTGCTTCTGGAGAACGGAGCGAATCGCAACTTGAGGAGATCTAGAGATGGAGCTACAGCTTTATACATGGCCGTAGAAGGCGCACAGGTCGAGAATGCCAAGAGGCTGTTCAAAGACGACTCGGATCTGGAGGTCATCGACGATTGCGGAAGGACATTGCTGCACATGGCAGCCATTTCCGGGGAATGGGCATTCTTCGATCTATTTTGGAGCAGAGGAAGATGTCCGATTGACGTAAATGCACTGACAGCCGATGGTGAAACACCATTGTTTTTCGCGGCAGAGTCAGGATCATTATCTTATACAGAATGGCTGCTTGGCCATGGTGCTTATGTCGATGTCAAGGACAAATCTCGGGGCAACCCATTTTTGCGATGTGCGGAAGGTGGCAATGTCGAAATTGCGAAGCTCTTGATTGAAAAGTGTGTATCGATGATATATGCTGTTGATTATGAGAGCCGTGGAGCCTTGCACCATGCTGCTAAATGGGGCCGTTGGGAATTTCTGGAGTGGCTGTTTCTCCAGAACCGCGAAGCTAGCGGAGTGAGTCTGGAATTGAAAGAAGGCTTGGATCCAAACCGACCTGATTGTCACGGAATGACTGTCGTCCACTTTGCACTACACTGGTGGGAACCATTGACAGCCGAGAGGCTTTTGAAGTTCTGTAAGCCGGATGTTGTCAACAAAGTGGATGATATGGGAAACACGCCACTACATATTGCATTTCTCCGAAGATGTCCCGATGTTAAAATTCGACATATGATGATAGACAAGATGTCTTCGAGTGCCTTGGTCAGAAGAAATGATGATGGTGAATCTATCTTGTCTCTTGCGGTTGACGAAGATAATGGGAATGAAACTATGGCACTTCTCCTCAGTCTCTTCAGGCGCCCACTGGATGTTGAAGACAATCGACCCGATACCTGGCCGACAATTATCCGCAGTGATCGTGATCATATTGAAGCCATTGCAGAAAAGCTCAAAGGCATATTTCCAACTTCGGGTATTCCCAACGTTATTTTCTGGGCGGCTAGAAATGGCGCTTGGGAGCTGGTCGATCATTCGCTCGCCGTTTTGGAATCGGAAGATGATAAGACAGAGATCATTTCAAAGGCCGTATACTGGGCATCTGCAAGTAACCAGAGCGATATTGTTACCAAATTGATGGTCAATCACAAAGAACAAATACGCAACAAAGAAAACACCATCAAAGCTGTCAAGGTTGCTGCTTTCAGCGGTTATGGGCCTATTGTTAGTTTCCTGCTCGACAATATTAGAACAGATGAAAACAAGCCAAAGAATCCAGCTTGCAAGGGACTTTTTTGGGCAGTGACGTGGGAGAGTGAACATGCAAGAGAGGTTGTTCGACACTTGCTCATGCGTGGTGAGACTCCCTTCTCTGTTGCAGATAATGGTCAAACTGTTCTTGAATGGGCCACAAAATATCATCAGGAGGCAATGAACAATGAAGGCAAGAAGCAATTTGACATGCTTGGGCTTCTTGAAAGCCCAATTCGAGTACCGCCCAGGCCAGAAGCACCCCAAAAGCCAACAATAAGTGGAGAACTGGAAGAAGAAATGAGACAGCATTTGTGCACTATTTCGGATTTCTATCGCCTAGGCAGGGACTTCTACACATTACAAAGAAAGAGCGACTGTTACGAGGTAATCTACACAGATGGCCCGGAAAAGAAAATGAAAGAATCATGGAGCGAATGGGGGCCCAAGGCCAAGTGGAGGATGCCTGACTTTCGATGGATTCACCTACCCTTGAATGACGTGAGTTATATCCTATTGGTAATTATGAGTCCATCTAACCTTTTTTGACCAGTGGGAAATGGCTCGAGATCTAATGGATATGATCTATTGCGAATCTTTCAGATCTGATCTGGAATATACACACTGGAAGAACTTTGTGGAAAGAACTCGAAAAGAGCATTCTGGGTCGGCACGATCACGCTTCATGTACCCAACATTACACGTAAGTGCAAATGAAAGGGTTGTGCAGTGAACCCGACCAAGCCTAACCCTGAAGTAGTTCCAAATGAAGGATCATGGGTCAGGGGAAAGCTCTACCTTGATCCAGTTTCTCGACAATGAAGCAAAGCTGGGGAAGCAGGAGTCGGACGATAAAACAAAGGCCAGCCAGGGTAAGAGAGATGGGAAGGCGCGGGGTGTGAAAGGGGAAGGGGGGGGGGAAGATCGACCCTAAAGAAGAATACGGGGCCTGGTAGCGAGGGGAATGACGACGGCACTGTACAAGAAGAAGGAACGCAAAATAACAAGACATCTAGTTCTATGACTCGAGACCTCTCTGGGGGAGAAAGTCGACATGCAACGAAGCCCGATGCCCCACAGTCGGTTGATGCTCCCACCAAACCGGAAAGTAAACTGGAGACCACAACACCTGATAAAGGTGTGATCGCCGATGATGGCCAGCAAGGAGATCCAGAAGATACAGGACATCGCATCCAGATACTAGGGGAGCCAAAAGCAATTGTGCCTGCGCCCTCACTGGGTGAAAACTTGGGTGGCTCTCAAGGGCAACTTGAGAGTGACCCACGTCGAGTGCCAGCAGATAACGATGACAAAAGATCGATATTAAGCCAAACCCCCATCATTGGCGGGCCAGGAGGATATGGCAGCAATATTCGGGACGCGCGAAACAACATGCGCAGTACCTCGCAACATCCAAGACTCGATGGCGGAAACGTTCTAAATGCTAATGAGCAAGAGCAAGTGGAGCAATGCAGGCTTGCACTCTATGTGAGCCTCCCCAGTCTCATTTAAATGTGCACACTAACGGTCAACAGATGCCTTTTTTAGCCTTCCAAACCGTGAGAGAGCAGAGAAAGAGAAGACAAGACATCAAACAAGCCGAAGTTGCCAGCCCAATCGGGTTGTCTGAAGACATCCCAGCGATTGTGACTGAACGAAAAGATGCTTGCAAGGGACTAGCTACCGCTGCGGTTCCCAAACTAAGAGACCCAAATTGCAATCCCTTCATCAAAGGGATCATTCACAATGCCATTCGATGTATAACGGGGGACCCTGAAACCTCCGAGTATGACAGCATGGATCCCCAAAAGACCATAGCATTGTTACACCGTCATGTTGACTGTGCTGGCAATGAAGACAATTCCCTTTCCGCCCGGGGTTCTTCATTACGCAAAGGTTCAAGCCGTCGTATGAAGAAGGTAGCCACTACTGATATGATCGAGGCCATCGAGTATTTCATTGATGCGTTGTCTCTGGCTAAAGATGATGGTACCAAGAAGATGAAACAGAGCAAGGGCTCTAGTAAAGACCAGAAAAATACCTCTTTAAGCGGTGGATCGCACACGACTCATCATCAACACACTAGCAAAAAACCGCTTGCTTCCGCTGACTCGGATGGTAAAGGAAAGCGTGGATCAAACGCCTCACAGTCTCGACAACGACACGAATCGCGCACACTGGATCAATACTTCTATACTTCTTTACCTGATACCGTGAGACGAGACGCAGATCAAGTCATTAGGCGCTATCAGACGAGAAAGAGTAGTTCACGCGCACATCATCTCCATAGGGAACAATCGTCTACAGAGACGAGAACGAGTTCACGGCCACAGAGCAGTGAACAAAGCACCAACAAGTCTCTCACTCCAAATTTGGAATACGAAGCAGACTTCAAGCTATGTATGGTAGATCAATTGTGGCTATGGGTTCTTGACGAAAGTAAGTGCTTATGTTGGAGACATTGAAAACACATATGCATGTCTATATGGATGAAGCTGACAGAGTTCTCAGAAACCATCATCACATGCTTTCCACATACTGAAAAGAATCGAACACGAGACAAAGAACACCAAGACTCTCCATTAGATCGTATCCATGAACACATCAATCAAGAAATGCGCCCTCAGATCCAAAATGTCTACCATCTCGCGGCATTGATCACCAGCTTCTGCGTGAACTCGATTGATGAATGTGAAGCACGGACCGGAGAGGGCTCAGAAACACTTTTTGATATGTTTGCAGGATCTATAGGTTTTGTTGTAAGTGAAAGCAGGAATACTTGGCCTATACCGTATGAAAGGTGGATTTCACCCCATCGTACCCAGCCTCCGATATGAAGTCCGCTTAACTCGCCAGAACCATTGAAGCTAACAGTTGTTCTGCCCATGCATAGGCCAATGAAGAAGTCAACCTTTTCAAATCCTTCAGGAACGGTCTGGGGATGGACGATCACTACCTGTCCCTTGATCGCGACATCGAACTCCTGGAAGAGATCAAAGACATCCGGGACGAGCTCAATATTCTTGAGCGTATATTAGACGACCAGAAGGATCTCACACAGAAGCTCTTCAGTCTAGTGGGTAAAACAAATCTCGAAGCCCTTGGAACGGCGATTCTCAAAGACCGGGTCTTGCAATACTACCACCAACGAGCCGGCGTCGGGTTGCGACTGGATAAGATTATGAAGATGGACGAGGATGCTAAAATTTCAAACGATGCGGTAAGACAATGTTTACGAATTCTTCTGATATCGAATAGCTTGCTCATATATCCACCGAGCAGATGAACTACCTCTTGGATCTGAAGCAAAAACATGCAAACTTCATAGAAGCAAAAGCAGCTCGTAACCAGGCAGAAGAGACCACTGATCAAGGAAGGACAATATTGGTTTTCACAATCGTGACTATTGTATTTGTTAGTCATTCTCTTGCTAGGTTTGCAGGAATCTTTACCATGAATCATAAGCTAATCATCCTCCAGGCTCCCTTGTCATTCCTCTGTTCCTTCTTTGCACTCAATATCAGCGCATTCCCTCATGCTGGCGACAATGTCAGCTTTCCAGACAGCTGGATATACTGGCGAGTCTGTATGTATCCATTTACTGACATATGCTAGTTTCTAAGAACACAGAGCTAATTGCGTCGTGAACAGATGGAATCTCAGCTGCGATATTTGTGCCATTGATTGTTTGCACCCTGGGATATGGCAGAATGAAAAATCTGTGGAGTTCGTCCTTGAAGCCGCTTTTCCATGTAGACTGGAGCAACAAGCGCCCGGATCCTCAGAACGATGGGGCCAGGCTCAATGAAACACTACGTCGGATCACTAGCCGATCATCTAGGGCGCCTGCAGCCTCCTCTTCGGGGAGAACCCGGACGACTGATGTCGAGTCGGGACAATCTTGAACTCATGATGGTGGCACCTTATGTTCGATCTCATCTAGTATCGTGCTTTTTCTCTGACAATACCTCTCGCGTCGCTCGCAAGCGACAGGGTAGTATATATATATATATATAGTTTTGATTTTCTTTTATTCCCGCTCATCTCCTCAATGGATTCTTGGTATTTGTTGCATATCCACCCAATTAGCTAGTAAATAACTATATAAATGCACCTTTGTACATACTTAGGTTGCTATGCTTGCTTGCTTGAGAATATACCCCAAATTGAAGTTAACTAACTTTGCTTGTCTTTGAATATCCCTCTAGGTAATCAATGAATATCGAGCAGTTTAATACACTCGAATAGCCAAGCTTGATTGGGGTTTACAAAAAAAGAAAGAAGCAAAAAAGATAACAGGCCCGAGCCGCGGATTGAACGCGGGACCTCGCGCAATATTGCTCAGGTTTTGAATACCCTAAGCGCGAATCATACCACTAGACCACCCGGGCTGTTGTTGTGATAGGACATCACATTAATGCTAAATAAAGGGATTCAAAAGAACACTGAGATGAGAAAAGAATACGAATGCGTCTCGAGGCCTTAGGCCGAACTGACCTCCAGCCAATCAGCTCCGAGTTCCCGGAATTTGGATGCCTGCGGGTGCCTGCGGGTGCCTCGCCTCGTGTGCCTCATACTGTCAGCTCTCATCTGGCCTCTTTGTTCACCCCTCATTCTCTTCATTTTCCCTCTCTAAATGAACACTTCTCTTTAGCTCCCATACCTGATTCCACTTATCGCTGTTTGTCGGTTCAGGTCTGGGGCTTATCAACGCAAGTGGGGTACAGCCCGCTATCGGCGTTTGAGGCTCAACGGCTGAAGTGTTCATAGCTCTTGCCCAGAAGTGTTTCTCGCTACGATCCTCACAGACCAACATTCTATTGCTAGAGCCAAATCATTGTTGGTTAGACACTAGAACGAAGACATATTAAACCATGTCATTCTTCTCAGCGCTCTGTGGCTGTTTGGCCCGAGATGCACAGGACGAGAAATATCATGCATCCCCCCAAACAACGACCCAAGGACTCAATCCCACTGGCACCCAGACTGGGAGCTTCACAGTCTCTGGGGAAGGCGAATTCATCCGCTCAGCCCCAACGGGTGGCCATGGGCACGGTCCCTCGCACTCTGACTCGCAGGATGGGGGCTATTCTAGCGTGGTGCCACTCCCGCAGTACACAGCCCGTCCTATGAGTCTCCACGAGAAGACTCTAGAAGCTCACATGCGTGACCCATCCGTATCGTCAGAGTCACAGAACTCTTATCCGCAAGACGAGAAGAACGCCGATCATCACGATGAAGAAGTCACCTCCGACAGCTCATCGGCTATCTCTTTTCCAAGCAGCTACGGTAATACTTCCACTGCAACGAGAGAGACGCCACCACCGCCGTATTCTCCTCGTCATTCTGCAATGCTATGTCGGTCCCGGTCTATGTCCATCTCGTCCGCTATGGCGGTCATTATTAATCCACCACCCGCTGCGCGGGTGAACGGATCCCGGACTGGGCCTACATACTCCGAGGAGGATGATCGGTCTATTCGTCGGCATCGACGAGTCTCTTGGGAGAGCCAATGATCTAGCCTTATCTTCGCGGCTAGGCCAATGAGTGCTCGTTTCTATGTTGCCTATCGCTCTAATATCTTTCACACGGCTATTGCCCCGGGCGATCTGGAATCGTCTTCTTGTGGAGCTTTCATTTCTCCTTATTTTTGCTCCCTCTTTCTCATTGCTGCATTGCTCTCTTATATTTTACTTACTTTGCTCTGGGTTCTGTTTCTTTGCACACGACGCGACGATGGATTGAATTCTTATGACACGACTGGGACTTGGTGCAAAAAAAAGCGCATCATTTTGGGATAGATTTGGATACTTAATATTGACCTGCATATCAACAGCACAGCGTGAAATGCATATAATAGCGTTGGATGGAAGAAGGCATCCTGTCGAAAGCAGCCTACATACATCCTGGCAGATATATAACGTCACCCATATTACAAACTCGAATATAAATATATACTGTGAACATTCCAATCCAATGATACATATACCATAGCTAATTTCGATCTGACATCAATTCAACTCAAGAACCCTACCTCGTTCCTGCTCATGCACGAGCAAATACCCACAACACGACGCCGGAAACCCGAACAGTTTCAAAACAAGCGGATCACAACTCCTCTCAAGAAACATACAGATAGCCGTACACTCCGAGCGAACCCTCACCTCAACCCACCACTCCTCAACCGAACACATAAGCCCCAACCACCAAGCCAACAAAACCAGCGCAGGCGCCTCCTTCCTATCCAAACAATCATAGAACGGAGTCTCCAGCCTCCCCATCCAAGTATTATAAGTCTGAAAACTGACCGTCCCCCGCTCAAGCGGCAACAACCCCATAAGCATACGCAATGGCCAAAGATACGGATTCGACTCAATAGTCGAATCCTCCGTAATCCCACAAAGATCCGCCAACTCCAGATCAAGGCCCACGCGACCAGGCCGCTTGTCTTCAAAGTCGACTGTTGGGGCTCGCGACTCCATGAAGACCGTCCACCACATGCTCTGCGGGAGCCAGGAGATTGTGCGCTCGAGGAGGTAGCGCAGGCCTGTTTGGATGCGGAGCCAGGTTAGTGCTGTTGGGGTGGAGGAGAAGACGAAGGAGGAGCGCGGGTTGAAGGTTTCTTGGAGGAAGGAGTGCATGCTGATCATCATGCAGGTGGAGTATAGCTTGTCCATGTTTTGGCGGGTGATGTTTGTGGAGACTTCGGTTGCATATTGGGTTATTGTTTGTTGCCAGTGGTAGGCTTCGGCGAGGCGGTAGTCTTTGTTGTCTGGGAGGAGGGTGCAGAGGTGGCTTGTTGCTGCGGCTATTATGGCGTGCATGAGGAATGGGGTCTGGGGTTGGTTATTAAGTCAGGTGGTGTGGGATTATACTATGGGATGGGGCTTTTGTGGGGATATGGCGAATAAAGGGTAAATGGAGATAATAGGCTTACTTCGAATGCAAGTTCGACCATTTTGCCCATTACTATGCGGACGTTGGTTTGGCCTTCTGTTGAAAAGGCTGGGCCTGTATGGAAATGATGCAATGCTTCTATAGTACGGGTTGACGCCGAGGCGTCTGTGAGTAATTTTGGTAATGGGGTACCAGTTGGGGAGGGTGGTCGTAGCAATTCGCTCAACTTGTCCGAAACCATTATCAGAGACATCGAAGATGCCAAGGAATTGATCGCCATCAACTCGGGGTTGGTTTTGATGAACTGGGAAACGATATTCGTGGTCTTTTGGGGCCGGGGTAACCGGCCAGAGTAGTCACATTCAACGCCATGTTTCTGGCATCGAATGCAAATAGGTTTCGATTCATCACACTTGGTCGATCATTAGAACATGTGCCCTTGATCTGCATGCGGGGGTTCGAAGTACCTTGATTCTTCGTTTCTTACAGTTCACGCAGCCCGCGCGGGATTTTCGATGAGAGCGACGGGAGTGATAGACATGTTCAGATGATGCCTCGAACCCCTGTGATAGGACATGCTTCGGTCGATAGTTTGGAATCCGGAAGACCATCTTCTGTCCCTGTATGGGTTTAGACGAGTTTGGAATCTGGGTCTGGGTTTTAGGCTGCATCTTGTCCATTGATACCCGGAGTATAGATTCGAACTGGGAATCTTATGAGTGATTATCTATTATATCAGATGTACGTCGGAAGGTATACGGGTCAACTTTCTCTCGGGTGTTTCAAGGCGTCGAGATATTGGACTGTGATATTGTCTGCGGATGAGAAGGCGCAATGCATTGCATGGAGGCTCAAATCTGCGGGACTGCACCTTGTGAAGTTTAATCAGACCAATCCATGAGAACTATCCGAATAGACGAATAGGTGGCCGCGAATACGGGGGAGGCGAAGGGAAAGATGCCCGACATCATCTTCCGGCCAGAAGGCGCTATGCCCAATGAGGCAACTCTCGTATTCCTCGCTTGGCAGCACGACGAGAGAAACCACAAGATGTTGACCAGTAGACCGATCAGAAGAGTTTACTTTCAGGAATATATAAACCGAGAGCCTGTATCAGGGGTTGGAGATCGGAGTTGGGGAACGCCCTGTAATTCATCATTCATTGAAGTTCATCCTCACTGATGCGCATAACTCATACTTCATACATGGAGAATTGATTTTTTTTTGTTTTGCATAGAGACGAAGTGTGGTCATTGCTTATAGTGAGTTTAACCCATCTTTGCGTTGGAGAAATCCATCTCTGTGAGTTCGCACGTTAGCAACATATAAAAACGAAAGCAGGAATGCTCAGAGAGCGATCAGTGAAGTAACTAGCAAGGGGGGATGAAATGGATATGGTAACTTACCGGGATGCTCAGCCTGGAACTTCTTCAGCAGCTCCATTTTGCGCTGCTCGTCGCTGCTCGGGCCACCCATCTCCTTCTGTCGCTGATCATACATCATCTTTTCGACCATGGCGCGAGTTGGGCCATCCAGATCACCCAAGCTGGAGTTCTCTGGCGTGATCTTGGTGACATCGATCTTGGGTGCGGTAGTCACGACATGAGGCCACCACTCGACCTTGTTCACCTTGTCGAGGTGGATGTTGATTTCCTTTCCGGGCGGGGTGGGGGTGGTTTCGAGAGTCCACGAAGACTCGTCAACAAGGATGGGGTGGGGGAGGTCGCCCTAAATAGGAAAATGGATTCATTAGCTACCGCCTGAGTTGATGTGTCTGGTCCAGTGTTTGCAGGGTTCCTGGGGCTAACTGAGTAGTGGGTAGACATACCTCAATGAGGGGTTCCTGGCCCTTGATCGCAACACGGATTTTGTTCTTGGTCAACAGCACGTCCAAATCGCGACCCTTGAGATTGCCGGGGATTGGTGCTGTCACATCGACATCACGAATGGTCTGTGTCCACTTGTAGGGGAGCTGAGCCTGCTCTGCATCCTCGCGGGCCTTGCGCTCCTTGTTCTCGCGTTCGCGTTCGGCTAGGTCGGCGGGGGAAGGGTCTCGATCAAGATCGGCCGACATTGTGGACAGCACGTCAGAGAGGCAGCGGTAGAGCTAGGGAGGTATGAGTGTAACGGTGTAGGTCTCTGTAATCTCGCAGTTGAAAGCCAAGCAAGAGCTCCGAGAGGAAAATGTGGAGACCTTGCCTTTTGTCCATTGGCGCTTTTGCCGCCAACCCTAATCGTCTACTCCGTAGGTATGGTTTGATTCTACACCGCGACATCTCGGACAAGGATACAATGGACTTGTGTGCCTATTTGAGACTCGTGCATTTAAATACAGAACATGAAACACGGCTAGCACCCCTCCGTACGGAGTAGACATGTTAGACTCGCAAGGGAAAGCTTGGTCCACCGCTAGATCACCTTACCCAGGAGTGTCTGTGGCCATTTGGACGGCGATTTTCACGGTGATCGTCTCAACAATGGCTCTGTTATCCGGAGTCGGGTGGAGATGAGATTCCAGTAGTTCATAAAGCAGGGCAGCGGGGTCCAATATTAATTCTAATCAGGCCAGTCCAACTGTCTCAACGCCGCTGCTCGATGCCTACCAGCGAAGCGAAAAGAATAAGGGTATGCAAGCATGAACCACATAGGCAGCAGGATGAAAAATAGCTGGAATCCCAGCGGGAACATCAGGTCGACCAATCGTTCAAATAGATATGGTGGCGTAGCCAGCCCAGGCGAGCAGTGACAGACGCAAGCATTGCTCCCAGAAGCACACCGCTCAGGATCACGGTGGCATGGTGGGCGACGATGTCAAGGGGGCTAAGTGTGTCAGGTCAGGATGTCTCCTGCCGGTTTGGGACGACCTACAGGGATGCTTCAGCGACCAAGTCGTTAGCTGCAGCCATGACATGCATAGGCCCATTCGGATTGGAATTGATAGGCCCTGCAGGTGTTGGATGTGAGCCAAAACAGGTGCCCACAAGGCAAGTACTCCCCACTCGAGGTTCTCTCGCCGGGAATTCCCAGATCCGACGTGTATGGCGAGTAAGTAGAGTGTACTCCGTAGGTCGATGGTATGAACATTGTGTATTCTCATGCATATGTTACCTGGTAACAAACAAAAAAAAAAGCGAATGGCTGAAGTCCAACTTCCAGGTATAATCAACTCCCCAAAGAACACTTGTAATCTCATGGCCCTCAACAGCCAGTTGATGCATTCAAGAAAAGCCAAAGATAAAAAACAAACACCCAAATATCAGCTCCCAAACTCCTTAACTTGCTTAGGTGATGTCAACAGGAAAAAAAAAGGGAAAAAAAGGAGAAAAAACAAAAAGAAAAAAAAAGGCGTTGATCAACGCTGCGAGTTTTGGTTTGACTTTCTCGCTAGCTCATTCTCTATGATAGCTGTCAGTTCTGTCTTCTGCATATGTCAGAGAAAAACTCACCTCGAATCTTGTCGATCTGCTTGGCCGTGTCTTGAAGCATCTGGTCCCATTTCTTCTGGTACTCCTCGACGTTCATAGGTTGGCTCTCCTTCTTCTCCTGGGTGTCTTTGGTGGTTTTGACTTTATCCATGGTGAAGATCGGTGAGATCTCAAATCTCAAAAGTGGCAGTGAGAAAGGGGTGCAGAGGAATATAGTTCTCCGAGGTCAAAGGGTTCAAGTCAGGAACTGTGTGTCAAGCCGGAATGGGAGATGTGCGATAGCAAAGGCTTTTATATGAGAACGGCCACTAAATTAAATTAAATCCCGGGAGACCCTGCTCTTTTTTTTTTTCTTTTTTCTTTTTGCTTGGATCGAAATAGAAATACCCGTAAATCACAAAATTCCCAAAAGAAATCCACAATAAATCCCCGGCAGATGTTTGCTTTCAAAAACAGACCGGTCACGCGTCTATCGAGGACCGCGTTCACCGACATCTCCCTTGAAGTCGACGGACTACACCTTGCGCCAAACCCGGGTAAAAGAGATGAAGGAATTAGTATCTAACGTATCTCATTGGCGCTTCGGGACGGGTTCAAGCCAGTGTCACCCTCCATTCTCTTTTTTTTTTTTTTTTGTGGGATTTTTTCCCCTTGTCTTACCCCCTTGGACAAAGTTTAGAGGTATGGAGTAGGACCAAATTGACTTATGGACTGGGGTGATGTCAGAACTCCATAGGAACGGGACCTAGCGTATGGTACTTGTTAATTTTTAGTCGCCACCATTCCATATATACCCTAGGCCCCTTCCCCGGGCTAATAGGATGGCTTCCAGCCTACCGAGGTAGTCCCGCACCCAATCGGGGACCGATGGGGACTACATCCGCACCAGCCGATCTGATATCTTGGAGGCCACTGGTGAAAAGGAAATAAGGGGGACGCTTGATACGTAGCATTTGGAAGCAAAAAGGGCTAAAATGAGGCACCCGCCAAAAAAAAAAAGGGGGCGCACCGGGGAAAAGCAATGATCGTCCGATCCACCCGAGTTGATACTTCGAACTGAGATCTATAGAAGTCCACCTATGTACATATGCAACCACGGAGCACTCCGTATTTGGCCTATGTTTAGTTTCATTACTCCGTATACGTGGTTTAATGTTGTCGAAGCATTGGTACCTAGGTTGACAGGGAAGAAATCGAAAAAAACAAAAAAAATAATAAAAAATAAAAAATAAATCGCACATGAAATGACAAGGCGTCAAAACCACACGGACCAGTCTTATTGTTCTCAGAATAGAGCCCAACACTATCCCCGACACCCTATTGGCCCAGAGGGGGGATTCACCGCCGAGAAGAGCCCCGGGACGTGCAGAGCCGTAAATTTTGTGGCTATTCGAGAATCCCACGTGGTTTGCATACCTACATCACTAGTGCCACGGCCGTTGGCCTTGACCGCATCATTTGATCCATCTGGATCCCGACACGTAGGTGCTTTGCTCACGTCGGATGATGAAACCACTAGTTGGCGCCAGGGCTTTCTTCAGTGTTGGGCTTCCTTCAGTGTTGGGTATTCTTCAGACGTTGGGTTCGGGGATCGGGTCGCGGGGGCTGCTCATTTGCCCGGGTGCATTTTGCTCCCAAGGCGGATTTTCCGCCGTGGACGGATGATCTCTCACTATGCACACGGTGTACGCCTGCCCATCGGGAAGTATATTGGATTGCTATGACGCATGTGGTGAGTTCTTACTGGTTATCGTGGGCTGTCCGGGCCGCTTAGGTGTGGCGTTGTTTATACAGCCGTGGGATGACCGGGGTGTTCAATGAGGAATTGGCCCAAGGGACATATGATCATTGGCCTAAGCTAGCAAGGATGAAGTACGGAGTACTCAGTGGAATAAAAGGAAGTAAGAATAGCAGCTGGGTTTTTGGGAAAAGCCACATGCACCCCCTACGACATGGTCAACCAGTGCAGTACAAAGTTCCACTCAGCTTGTCACATTCATCCATAGTCGCATCGGGCCTTTGAGCCTGAAAAAGCAGAAACGAGAGTAAAGATAACAAATCATAAAAGCTAGCATCGGTGCCTGCATCCGTTGGCCAGCTAATGTCATCAGTGCGGTAGGCAGCTCTCAAGGAGCCACCGCGCAGATGGTGTAACTGCAATGCCCCATCTGCATCCCCAGCCTACTTGTAAAGGGGAGGGGTCGAGGGGCAGAAGCAGAGAGAAGGTGTACATGATGTGCCGATCCATTTCGCTTGATATAACGCCGAATTAGAATGCCACGATATTCATCCCAATGAGGTAAATGCCCTTGGAAGATGCCCATAAATAAAAATAGATGACTTCCACTATGACGCCATGATATGAGATCGCTGAAGAAACTGGAACAAAGAAACAATAACGAAGACCTTCGTCATCACAAAAGTACGAATTCGAGACGGTGAGCAGCGCCTCGAACTAGTGAGAGTCTTCGAGGAACCAGTCAATGTCATCAGGCTCAAAGTACGAGGCGGAGATTTCCGCTGCTGCGAGGTCACCTTCGTAAAGATCGGCGATGTCGTCATCCGTAGTTGCTGACGGGAAACCATTGGAGGGGAGACGATTGGGCTGCTCTACGAGATCAAAGAACTCGCCTGCAAACTCGGCCAGCTCATTGGCCACTTTGAGCTCTAGGATGGCCTCAAGCGCTTGCATATCCTTTTTCCATTTGCGCTCACGCTGCTGCGCCTGTGCCTCTTGATTACGGTGACACAAACTGTCACGCGGGCGGTCCGCCATGCAATTAGGGCACAAGTAGTTTTCCTCGCAATACGAGCATTTGCAAGGTGGGTGCGTCTCAATGCAGTCCGCGCACACATATACCTTGCAGCCCGTGCATTCTCGGAGAGAACTGGGGCATCTGGGGCGTGGGTCCCTGATACTGCCTCTTACATCCCTGATTCCCGTGATAGGATCAGATGGAGGACAGAAGAAGGATTGACAACCTTGCCATCGTAGGGGCTCGAAAGTCGGCGAATCAAAGAAGGTGGAGGAAGATGACGATGGAGGGGGGAAGAATGGTCAGACGCCGGGGCCGAAAAAGATCGAGTTGGTTGATTGGAGAAGAAGGAAAGTAGAGCCGATTGATCACTGGGGTGTGACTCGGGCGTATTTTCCTCATCCATACTATGTTGCCGTGAATCATCAATGAGGCTTTTATTTGTCGCATTAAGGGGGTGTTGGCTTCTGAATGGCAGGTCATATTCAAGAAGTTGACTAGAGGCGAGAGAATCCGACAAGTCCACAGCGAATCGGTTTTGAATGGTCTGCTTTTCCGTCTCAAGATCTCGATAGCCGCAGATCCGTAAGCGAAGCCCACGGAGGTCATGCTCAATACAGAGAGGCTTTGAGCAGCTTTTGCAGTGCACCTTCCACTGTGGGGAATCATAACATCCTTGACACAGGTTGCGCGGGCATGGTGAGACTTGCCGATTAGGCGGTCCTAGCAGCCACTTCATCATCGCCAGATGACCCGTCTGAAGCGAGTAGTCCGGCTTACTCGGATCACCATATGCATACTTCGGGAATGTCTTGCTCCATTCACTGACGGTGTACTCTAGGTCCTCCCAGCCTTGACCTCGAGGCAAAGGTACGGCCCGAACCTGGTCCACCTCTCGATTACGAGGTCCGATACTGATTCCACCCCCACCAGAGAGGTCAGGCTTGGTGCAGCACCAGTGAAAATTGAGTATGGGGAGCGGATCCATCGCTGTAGTTTGGGGTTGATTGGGATCTCCTAGAAGATCCATAGGGTCCTGCATTGAGCCTGGGGAGTGAGTGGCCCCAGGTGCCCACCAGAAGGAGCCCGATGCAGCCTGGTTGCCTTCGGATGAAGATGGCGGCGTTCTGTAGAGATACGGTCGTTCGTGGGCGCAGCTCGCACATAGTGTCTTACGACATCCGACGCAGTGCATCAAGACACTGCAATGTTCACACCGCTCTGAGATATCATCGAGACAATTATCACAGCGAATCCTATCGATAAATTGGGTATGACTTTGGCGGAGATGGGAAGGTGTCATTTTGCCTTCACCCCAGTCAATGCCCTCGCCAGTTCCCAGCGCCTCGCCATAGCATCCGGTATCGCGATTCTCCCACAGCTTACCATCACATATGCGCGATGAAGAAATCTCAGAATCGGCTGGACCGATCCAGTTTTTAGATCTCCACAGTCGATCGAAAACCACCCAAACTTCTGGCGACCCCGCCCCATGTGGGAATCTTGATTTGACATAACCAGCCCTGCGGGCGCATCTACCGGCAGGTGTAGTACACCAAGCGGTATCAGTCCAAATTCCTAGTTTGTGACAGATATTGACAAGTTCGTGAGTCGACTCCGCATCAGCGTCTTTCCGCATTAGTGAAGCAGAGAGATAGGGGCGTCTCCGATGATGGCGACATCGGTAGGCATATAGACTCTTCAGGGCAAGTCGTTTCATTCCAGGATAGTTGTCGGTATTACCTCCGATATCGATGTCACATTGGAGCGCAAACATGGTCAGGAAAGGGACGATGTGATATTTCAGAGAGACATTCTTGCAACCCCGAACAGAGAGGTGTTCCAGCGTCTCACGACGTGAATGCAACACGGTCGAGGTCAGGTTTTCGCCAGAAATCGCTGTGTTATCCAGTTCCAGGCTCTTCAAACACCCACTGAAGGGAATCACAACATTCATCAGGAACATGTCCAGAGCGTAAGGTCGGGATTGACGTGCGGGAACGATTTCAGGAACGTTCGGGTCGTTGGTTTGAGGGTTTGGTAGAGTGCCCGAAGGAAACGGTAGGCGAAACGAGAGTGACTTCCATGCGGTCGGATATGATCGCAGGAACGTACGGAGGTAATTTGAAGTGTGGTACAACTTTATGATGGTATCCGTCGGGATCTGAAGCAGAAGAGACTCAAATATGGGTGCATTTGTTGTTATCACTCGCTCAAAGGTTGAGAGTATCTGTTCTTCTAGGGCGACAGAGCGTTGTGAGGCATTCTCCAGCAACACCGGGTGGGATGTTGGATCCTCACCAGCAACCTTGGCCCCGGCCATGGTTTCAAGACCGAAATCCATCATGAGTCTAGGGCGATGAACAAATATTTCGTTTCTTAGGTCGAATGTCGAGATGACGCGAGGTCGCGAGCTCGGCAGTCAGAGACGCGGCACATGATAAGACAACCTGAAGAAGCAAACGAGGAGGCAAATACGCTCAGAGATAAGCCACCATGCAAGGCCATCAAAGGTAAACGGTCGATAATTGATAAGATGGGGTCGCAAGGGCTGACGAATTGGGGTATCTGAAGGGGGAGCGAGGGAAAGGGAGGGGTATAAAAGGAGGGGAAAAGACGAAATCCCCAAAGAGAGGGAAAGCAAAGAAGAACACAAACCCTATGCCCCTGTAACCCTTTAGAAATCAAAGTAGAAAAATGAAAAGAGAGAAAAGGAAGAGCAAAAAGGAGCTCCAGACAAGGTGATATCCGGATGCGCCCGTTAGGAGAAAGAGCGTCATGTGATGGAGGCCAAACCCCCGGATTTGATGATCTGCGCGCTTAATGGATTTTGTTCTGCAAAGGAAAATAAAATGCATTGATCGCTAGGTCTATTGCCAATGGTCTCTATGACCATGTGGACTAATGTTTGTCGGTTGCATCGCCTACAGTGTAGCCCCTCGCAATACCCTTGCGCCCTTCTTTGACCAAGGTGCTGTCCTCTGAATCTTCGTCATCATAGCGAATATCAAAGTCGCTTCCCAGACCCTTCCATGTCCGTTGCGACCGCAAAAATTCTGCTCCTGGTGAAACGGCACCGCCAATCATAGCCAAATCGCCCTTGGCTCGTCGCGCCAACGCCCTAGCAGCGGATGGCCCGCTGGTCGATGACGCATCCACCTGGGAAGCGCGAGGCGCGGGTTCTCGCATCGGACGGGAGTTTGAGACGTATCGACCGGTGCGGAAGTCAAACTCGGGGGGTGCCGACTCGGGTTCTGACATGTCGTCCTCATCGGACATGGTTGCGCCATTGGATATCTCCTGGTCATCGCTATTCTCATTGACTTCCTGCGCTGGTGCGTCGAGAACTGCCTGGAAGTCACTCTGCCACGCTCCTGTCCACACCCGGTCTGCGTCGTCTTTCAAAGCCAGCTCCAATTCGAAAGGGGTGATAACTGGCTTCCAGAAGTCCTTGCTGTCCACCAAAGAGCTTTCCCAGCAGCCAATGACCACCCAACCACCAATCTCACTGAAATTGGCTACCTTGGCAGCATTCAATTTACCAACCACAAACATGTAGCTCTTCTTGCCTGCTGCGGCAATCCGCTCTTTGACATGCTCCACAATATGCAGATAATTCTTGACACTCAGTGTGTTGATAAGAATGCCCCAGATAGGTACGGTCGTCAAAGAGGCAAGCGTGCCATAGCGGCGTCGCAAAACCGCAGCAGTAGACGCAGGCAATGGCTTGATGTCTTCATTTGATAGGTCATCGGTGGGATAGATATGGATCGCGGAAACGCGGGATGCAAGGGTCATCATGAGAGCGGTTGGCGGATCCGAGATGTGAAACAGTTGCCAGTCGGACAGCGTCTCAGGCGCCTGTTGAACCGACTCGGGGACTGTGCGATTGGGAATTGACGATGAGGGATCGTGAACAACCTCTGTGGCATATAGGTTGCTGTATCCCTCTTCAACCAAGCGGGTATAAACTGTAGGAACGTGGTCCGCGTAGGTAACGTCCGCTGCAATGACCACCTTGGTAGCTGGGTCGGGATAAGTCGCCTTGAAAGCTCGTACTACAGGCTCCAAAGGAAGGTGCTTATGCGTGAAAACATAGATCACTGGGAGCCGTGCGGTTGGCGACAGACATGACCTCCCATAATGCACAACCACATCTGCGTCCACATGCTCGGCCGCCACCTCGTCGACACAGCAAGTCCCGTAAGATGTATCAGCCAAAATTGTCAACCGAGGCGAGCATTGTCCCGTTCTGTCTTCCACCTGAAGCCCGGATACGGCATGAGCGAGGCTGGCGTCGGCGCTGCTAGCATCGGTCTGGGTCGAGGGCTGTGTGCTGGGTTCCTCGCGTTCCAGGCCCCGGCTGAGCAATTGGAATACCCTCGGGGCATCGGGAAGCATGTCATCCGGGAACTGGAGAGCGATGCGCTTGTACCGTGCTTGGCGAATTTCCTTCAACGTGCGCTCGATATCGTAAGTAATGGAAAGTTCATCGTCTGACAGCGGAGCGGCGGAGTCGCGCGATGCCACGGGGGTAGTTTCTTCGAGGATGCGATCATCAGCAGTCGACAGCACAGGGGCTGACTTCATTTCAGTCCCCATCTTGTAAATAATTGAGAATGGGAGGTGTGGTGTTCAGCCAAGAAAGATGGGAAATCACTAAAAAGTTTTTGGAGAAAAAAAAGGAACCCCCACTTCACCCCGCCATCGATAACGGGAAATGCACCAGAGCCCATTGGCAGACAAACTACAAAACAACTTCCTGATGACCGAAGATGAGTTCTGAAAATAGATTTCAATAATTCCAACACATAGTGCCATTCATGTATTTGATCATGTCGACGTATAAATCAAGGGAAATCTACAGGTCCGCCCGTGCCGGCTCTCCTGCCCAAACTCTGCGAAGCAATTCGCCGATTGGCGCTCGCTCAATGGGACGAGGATTCCAATAAGCATTGGACAGCGCAATATCAGCCGCTTTATCAATATCCTCCTCCTTCATCCCGAAGTCCTTCACACCGCGTTTGACCTTGAGCTTAGACAAGAGAACGTTAAGGCCATGGATTGCGTCGCCATTGCTGTCAGGCAGGACGTCGGCCAACTGCTTCATGGCCTCGGGGATGTTAGGTGCATTATAAGAGATCGCATGCGGGAGAACAGCAGTGTGGGTTTCTGCATGAGGGAGGTTGAAGCTGCCTCCCAGCGTGTGGCACAGCTTATGGTGGATCGACATGCCCACGCTGCCCAGACAGGTACCGCAGAGCCAGGCACCATAGAGAGCCTTAGAACGGGCGGATTGCGAAGATGGGTTCTCTACAATCTCGGGAAGGGAGGATGCAAGGGCCCGTGTTCCCTCAAGGGCCATCATATTGATGATTGGGTTGGTGTTGCGCGCGTACAAAGCCTCGACTATAGAGGAAGGTGTCAGAAAATTGTACAGGAAATGGATATGAACAGATTGAGTATACTTACCGGCATGGGCAATGGCGTTGACACCACTCGTGGCACTCATAGCCGCCGGTAGGGTCATTGTGAGGTCCACATCGTAAATAACTGTGCCGGGCAAGATCTTAGGATCCGAGCGAGTCTTCTTCAATCCGTCGGCAGTCTCCCCGAGAATCGGTGTCATTTCGCTACCGGCATATGTGGTCGGAATACAGATATGCGGCAGGCCAGTGCGAATGCTGATTGCCTTGCCGAGACCGATGGTGCTTCCACCTCCAATAGAGATGATCGAGTCAGCACCCTGGGCCTTAGCATATTCAAGAGCCTTATCTGTGACATGTGTGGGAGTATGCATAGTCGCCTCACTGAAAATACCAGCGATTTGACCATTGAGTACTCCCTTGACCTTCTCAGCCTGGTTGACCTGCTGGGGCGTTGAGAGCACCAACGGGGCCTTCACCTGTAGGCGGGCGATCTCATCGGGGAGTTTCTGCAGTGTGCCACTGCCAAAGACGACGCGGCCAGGGTTGGGGTTATACTCGAATGTATCCATTTTGTTTTGGAATCCATTAGAGAGCGAGCTCTGCGATCTTATAGTTTATTCCCCACACCCCACCACATCCGATCAGCGTCATGGCTTCCCGTGGGGTCGTGGGGTCTTACCGGCAACTGTACGCCGGTGATTCTCCAAGTCATTGGACCTGCGTTTTGGTCTGCATTCTATTCCCAGCTTGTCAATGTCTGCATATGTGAGGCATACGTAGGTATTCTCATGCCATGCGCATCTCGATGTGCGCGGCATGTATTCTTGTATTGCCCGTGTTCGGAGATATCCGCGTGGCCTAAGGGCACCCCATTTACCTGTCGGCCATAAGAGACATTGCTAATGAAGACACCTTCCCACATGAAGCAGATGCCGTCCACGATAAACAGAATGCCCCTGCGAAAAGAAATGCCCACCCAACTGCCGGTCGTGAACCCAAACGGGGAAAGCTTCGCTGGGTGCTTGGACATAAGGCAAAAAGAGTCGCCCAGGTCGAACAGTTTGGATCCCTAGTGGAGGAATTGTGCAATTCAGTGCCAACTAATATACCGTCTGGGTGGGAAAGACTCGGTGGCCCGTCATTCTACTACCATATTCCCGGTACAATCTAACTTCAACGGTTGAGATACGCAGTCAATGACGAGAGTTATATCACCCATCTCAGAGACATCATAACCAGAATGGAGGGCAAGATTGAAGGTCGGTATATCAATTGGTCCTGGTTATATATGCTTGGCTGATCAATTTGAAAGCTGAGACACAACGGGATATGAAGTCCTGGATACTTGGCAGCTACTTCTCGAATGAAATATATGACAAATGTAGTCCCTTTGGGAGACTCTTCTGCATGGTGTGATGTATGCATACGATCCGCTCCTGAAGAGACCTCTCGATATTGCCGCAAGACCTGTGATGATTTTCTTGTTTGCTTAGAATGCTTTGAGATAGGCCGTCGTTGTCTAGATCATCCTGATGATTTAGTCCTGAAACAACCCGATGATGGAGTCGAGCATCATGTTGGGATGGAAGAGGTGGCTGAAGTTATCTGATCCTCCTTTACTCGGATTCAGGCGACCGAGACTCTCTGAACGTCAACTGAAATTCTTCTTAGGTGGATATAAAGATATTGTTCATTTGATTTTCTCCTTGAAACCCATAACACCGGCGCTATGTACACTATTTTTTCCCCTGGTTCTTGGGCCGAAGAAATTGATCTGCAGATGTGGGTATCAGACAATGGGTATTGAGACATTAGTCCAAGTCGTGGAAAGCCATAACATGCTGACCACCGCTGAAGCCCTTGCCCTTGGACTTCTTGCGCTTCTTACGGTCCTTCGGGTCCTCGCGAGGTTTCGCATCACTGTCATCCGAATCCTGATCATCATCGCTATCATCCATCATGTCTTCGTCGCCAGATCCATCACCGACATTGTCCGCAGCTTCGTGCCAGACCTTGACGGTTTGACCACCGCCGGAGACCATGCGGCCCTCGACATCAAAGCCCAGGCCAACAACGCCATCGATCTCATCGTGCACAACCTCAGAAACAACCTGGTTGCCACCGACGCGCACAAACTTCACTTTGCCGCTTCCAAGACCTGCAACGATGATCTTGCCCAAGTAGTCGGGAGCAACAGCCAATGCCTCAATGGAATCACCACCATCGGCACTGCGGTCGACGTAGATCCGCTCATCCTGGTCGTCCCACGCACCCTTCTCCCAAAGAGTGAGAATACCGCTGGCTCCACCAACGATGACCTTTTCACCTCGGCTGGTTCCGCTATTTGGTAAACCACCCATATAGACGGAGCTCACCAATTCTTCTTCCTGGTTCTCGCTGCGGACCAGAACGCCCCTCCGCAGATCTGTCACGGCCAGGGTAGTGCCACCAGTTGTAACCCATTGCTTGCTGAAGCCCGAAGTACTAGTGTTGGAAGCGGGCAGAGGGGTAAGAGAGGAAATGTAGTCGTCGTGGGGGTGATGCGACTGCTCAGGGCGCGCGGATACCTTTGAGTACGGGATGCGGAGATCGTATAGGTGCAGAGCGCTCGAGTCAGTACCGAGGAGAAGAGTCTGAGGAGAAAGAGCATGAATCATGGTTGGCGCATCGATAGAACTATAGAAACCCAGAGGAGGGCCAAGTCAGCTCGGAATCGCAAATGATTGATATATTCAACAGAGCTTTCTTACCCGTTCTTCTCAAGCGGAATTGCAATCTTGTTTTGTACCTGGCCAGTCTCGGTGCTTGCAGCCTTCACCATACCGTCTGTACCAGCCGAGTAGAGCGTTTTGCCATCAGTACTGAACCCTAGGGTACGGCAACTACCCTTGTGTCGTCGAGTTCTCCACATTGTGTCAATATGGCCCTTCCCGTTGCGGGCAGAGGAGTTCGAAGCACCGTCGTCATCATCCTCAGCTTCTACAAAAGGCAATCGGAATGTCTGAACGTGACCCGAGGCCAAACCGACAGAGACTACCGGCTCCTCGGGGTGGATAGCCTGAGCGAACAGGTCCGAGGAAAGCGGAAGCGTGCAGACTGTGTCGAGCATGGTTGCGGATTGCAGCAAGATTTACCACAAAGAAACAAAGGCTCTAATGAGCCTAGGAGCAAATCAAATTTGTGTGAATTGAAACCAATTGAAGCAAAAGAATCAATGTAAAAGCTGGAGCTCCAGAGCCGGCCGTTTTTTTCTGCCAATCCGATGATCTACCGACCGCCTTCTACACTGGGTCAAGTAAGTTCAAATCGACAAATGACATCAATTTCTCACTCTGATTCTAACACAGACAAATAAAAATCAAGAATACAGATCACTACTTGTGTCAAAAGAAACCAAATGTATCACAACTTTCCTCCGAAAAGGAGCATTCGCTGCCACTAGCCCAAGGATTCATGCATCTCGGAAACTGGCCATCCAGGTGTAGCTAAGCCCAGCAAGTACCCGTTATTTTGACTCTTTAAGAAGAGTAGGTGGAGCCAATGGGGCCGACCTTAATGTTCGAGTAGGTCACAGTGGCCGAGCCTGACTGAGACTCGAGAGTAGCTGGGTCACCGGAGTCAGTGGCGCATGTGCCGCGAGCAACACCGGGCTGAGAAGGAGAAGCATCAATGGGGTAAGCCTCGCTGTCCAACCAGAGCATGTTGGCATAGTGATCAGCCCACAAGCTCATGACGAGAACCATGCCCTGCTCCAGACCCTCGCCCATGCCAGCAAGACCACCACGCTTTGCGAAGACATCCTCATCGCCGAACGCAGTCTTCTGGGCGTCGCAGAACTCAGTGTTGATGGAGTTTCCAGTGACACCGCTGACATCCGAGGCGGAGTTGGCGATGACCTTTCCATTCTGCACGTAGATACGCCTGATCTCGCTAAGAGTACCGCTGTCGGTGCCATCATCGGTGATAAATTGAGTGACCACAGTGACCTTGGAGTTGCTGTCGACGATCTTGCCAGGCCCGTAGAAGCTCTCGTTGCCCATGCGGAAGGAGTTGAAGTCACATCCATCGGGGTCGCAGGTGCCTGCGTAGCGAGTGCTGGAGTAAGTTCCGCCGCAGGCATCGCCCTCGCACATAGTTTGTTCAGGGCTGTCGCAAGGGTGGGGGGTGAAAGCGGTGGAAATGCTGTTGGCTTCCCAGATATCCATCTCAGCGCAGCAAGATCCGTGGCCGCCAACACCGGCGTTCTTGTCGTTATCAGATGGCTTCCAATCCTCCACGTTGGCCTGTTTCACATGTTAGCCATTATGATTCAAGGGATGAATCGAACTATCCAGCATAAAGACTCACCTGGCCGTTGATGAACTTCAGATCCCGAGGGCACTGAGAATCACAGTAGCCAGTTCCGTACTTGGCACCGGCCTTGTTGTTAGGGTACTTGGCCAAACCACCGTCGGCATCCATGGAAACGAAGTACAAGGCTCCGTTGAGTCCGCAAGGCAGCTCGGAGTTATCCACATCGAAGGTGAACTCCTGGTTGAGCAGCTTGAACATCTGATAGGTACTGTCGTCCTCCATCAGGAACAGACGAGAACCAACATTGGCACCGGTGACGAATTTCAGAGTGAGGGCGTTGCCGTTGGTGGTAGCACCGTAAGTGCCGGCATAGTCGGCGCCGTCCAGAGCACAGTTTTTGGCACAGGTCTCGTCATCGGGACAGAGTGTCGCATCCCACTGTTTTCAAAACCTTAGTCACTATGGCCGTTCAATTCCTCGATGCAGGATTTCTTACCTCGTTGCCAGTGTAGCAGTTGGTGTAACCGTCGACGGAGTGAAGCCAACGCCAGTTGGAGTCAATGACAACAGATCCCTTGACATCAGTGCAACTGCCTGGAGCAGTACACTTCTGCCAAGTCAAAGGGGGGTTGTGTCTCAGCTGTCACCGTGCCAGCTTGCTGGGCACGAGCTGCCGCCGCCAATGCGGAGAGAAGGAGCGCGCGTTGATACATTGCTTGCGAAGCAGAATAGTTGGATTGGAACGTTGTCTTGTCTTCTTAGCCTGCAGTTGATGAACAGAGAAAACTTTGGGGGTGGGAGGGGAGCTTTATATGTCTTCTTCCACTGATAATTGCTCTAAGTTATTGCCGTACAGGGCTCGGCCATGTGGATCTTGCACATCATGACCGGCGTTGCGGACCGTGAGGCCGTTGCCAAATTGGAATGGGCAGAGAGTCCAAAACCATCATTTCATGTGCCAAATTTCATACTACAACTGAATGACTTCTGGTGTTGTACGTTAGTTTGAGTATGGGCTCAGCGCCTGAACCAAGAAGGGAATGATCACCGCTAGACGACTGTTGTCAGATGTCTCATCAGGACCCTGACCAAGACGGGGCTGGATAGACAGGGTTAGATCGTTTCAATATCCGTGAGAACGGAGAATCCCCCGATCCAGTTCTGTCGATTGCCATGTAATCTTCTGGAAGCTTAACTGTGCACGGAGTTGCAGCCACGGAGCGAGGTCATTTGAGGTATGTTGCCTGTCGATCTTTTACCTAGATATGATCACAGCCGATATTGGCTGGGGAATGCAATAGGATTATGCCAGGATCATGAGACTCTTGCGGTGTTTGTGGGGTTGAAGGTCGCCAAGGACGCCGCTAGATAGTATGGCCGCCACGGCGCTCCTCCACTGACACCAAACCGCCGAGGGCGCTTTTGTGCAGTCCGGGTACGCGAGGCGTCAAGCCGCGGGGAGTTGTTCTGCAGACGTTTCGGGAATAGACCGTTTCAATGCGAAACCAGGCCCCTTTCGGTAATATTGGGGTTCAGTGACAAAGAGAAAGTCCCTCAACGAGGGCATAGCACGCGGTGTTAACTTATTGCTTGAATGAATATAGAACGTCTGGTGTGATATATGCCAATACCTAGAGCGATTTGCCATAAACCGCGGAGAACAAGTGATGATCCCTAGCTGAGCTCTATAACGTATCTAAAGGATTCACTTTCTTAACACTACCTAGGTGTGATGGAACATCAACTCAAGTCTCCAACTAACAGCTGCCCATCCTTTTTCCAGAACATTCTCCTGTTCAAAATGGGATAGACGCTCACCATAACAGCTCAATGGCGCCAAGTTGTGATGTGCGAAGACTTGGCGCCACTCATTGGACGGAAAAATAACATCTGCAGCATTGGGGGTTCGAAGATAATATGAAGGACATACCCCGAGTCTTGGCTAACACATTTTGATTCCACTGCGGGGTGCAGTAAAATCCGGGATTTTGAAAAAGCGACATACTACACCCTGGCCACATGCAAAACCCGGCGTTTCAGGGATCTATTGCCGGATTGGACCACGGCCTATTGCGCGAATAGGAAGTCCCAACCTCAACGCCTACACAATGTGGCCGAATGCATTTTCGTAGGGGTAAAACATGATCGAACTAAACACATTCAAGGTGTGTTTTGAGTAGCCAGGCGTGAGCAAAATAATGAAAACTAAGATCTCCGCATGGCGATCCCGCTTGTGCTTGTTAACATGTGTTTGCTGGCCACTCAATCGTTCTCAACTTTGCTGCCTGCGGTAATAGTAGTATCCGGAAATTTTGCAGAGAGACCAATAGTCTAAGGTTACATCTGTTCCAAGCGTACTCCGTACAGCTTGTCCTATAACTGTGCGAAATGCAGATTTCCAAATCCGTCACGGTAAACCGCAGTCAGTATACGAGCCAAGAGAAACGGGGAATTATTTGGGCAGTCGACAGCGCCTAAGCTATGTCTTCACTTCATAGTAGAGTGGATCAAGTTGTCTGACATACAACCGTATGTGTCATGCTACTCCAAGTTGACGGTCATCGGACATGAGCGCTAATACGCCCTGGGACAAGCTAATGCAGAAAACAATATCCGGAGTACATGAATCTTCAAGGATGACGAGGATTTTGTCAAGGGAAAATGTCGATCATTTCCAGTTATAGGATAGAATGCCTTCAGGGCCGAATTGGATGAGTGGAGTTCTCTGGTCGCTTTAGGCTGAATGTTTATATTAAAGCGGAGGAAAGACCGATGCCGCCGATTAGAGCAAGCGCTGCAGCGTCGGAGGGCCAAGTTTATTGAGCGATATAATGAGATTCTAATAAGGTACCTAAATGCATTGATTTTGTTGCAAAGTAAAGTTAGTTGAAAGGAAAAAAATATCGGCGGTTGATGGATATACCCCGAAAGCAAAAAAAAGAAAAAAGAAAAAAAAAAGAATTATAGAGCCAGAAGCGTGGTTGTCTAGTAGGAGAAAAACCTGTGTACATGGATAGAGAAAGGAAATGATTTAGGAAAAATATATTTGGATGTATGTTTCTACGTAAATGCGAATCTTAGGCTCTGGGCGTGGTTTTCGAGCGAGGGCTCCTGCTTAAGTATCTCACCCTTGGGAGAGAATGTAGCGTAAGTTATTAGGAATAGAGGCGCGGATTCAGATATCCAACTACTCTCAGAGTATGCTTAGCCAGTACTTGGCCCATCCAGCCCACTGGGCAGCATCTCCTAAATGCTGGGGCAAACATTCAATGTGAGTCTCAATATCTCGCCTGCTCCATTCAGATGACCCGAATTCGCTTGAGATATTCAGCTCACTTAGGAGATACGGAAACCAATCAACTATGCGGGAATGAACGGAAATATCAAAACTGTGGAACATCTTCTTGACCTGGGCGTCGACATCAATTACCGAAATTCTAACCGCATAAGCCCTCTTGCTCTAGCAGAACGTGAAGGTCATTTTTCTTTGACTCGGGCACTTGTCGCCTGAGGCGTAAAACAGCTGTCACACGATACCCAGGGCAGATGCTCACTAGCTACTTGGCGGCATTGGAGGGTCATCACGATATTGAAGACTACCTGTTTCTGTCTGATTCCAAGCTGTAGTGGAATGGGCGAAAAAATAGGAGCCACGTCAATACTGCTACAGCAAAACAAACTCCCGGTCAGGCCTCTACTGGATGATGAAATAAACCGCTGAAAGGAGTGGCGCCGAGCGTATAAGAAACTTCCTTTCCCGCATGCTGATATTAACATGCAATTTCTCATAGAGAGCCATGCCATTCCTTTCTGTGTGATGCACTTGAATTTGCTCCATCTCCAGTGAAAGCAGCGGAAATATTGCTGAGAAGTGGAGCGGGCCTGAATCAAGTGGCTTCTCGAGTACATGCAGTAAGAAACGGAGATTGACGGGTCCCTAATGGAGAAAGAAGGATAAAGCACTTGAGCAATATAGCCCCAGTAGTGAGAAAAAGGACTAACACTTTGTAATACGCTCCACAGCTTTGGGTATTTCCACAGTAGGAAATAGCTTCTGAAGAACAGAGAAAGGATGTAAATTGTTAGACTGTTTGCTCATTCTACATTGCATCTCTGGGGCGGCAATGTTGGTCCTTATCTTATCTAATCTTATCGGACACATGGAGTTAGGCGTGCCTCGGTCTTCAGCCCTGGAGCACTACCTCTTAACTGCACACTGCTTTCCAGCTCTCTTTCTTTCTCAACCCACCGAGCCTTCCATTTATTCATCTCAAGCCATAATAACTAGTCAATCTCCATAATTACACTCTTCGCAGACTCAAAGTCCATCGGTCCAGGGTAAACCATCCCTTGGCTGCCTATCCCTTGGCTGCAACCATGGCTCTGTATAACCAAACCGTGGATTTCCTCTCCGAGTCCTTCTCGAACAATCGGACCCAGATTCCTCTATTAGCCGTGACCGGAGCTTCTTTCACACTGGGCCTGCTCGCTCGATCGCTATTTCCTCGAAACGAAGGACTAGAAAATGTTATCGTCTCACCTCGGTTGACAGTCTTGCCCGGAATCTCCGAGTCCGAGAATAGTCAGCTGCCACTCCCCACCGACGTTCTACCCGGTGCGCGTGATGTCGCTAGCCCATACGGGTCGATCCGCGTATATGAATGGGGCCCAGAAGATGGACCAAAGGTGTTGTTCGTGCACGGCATCACTACGCCGTGTATTGCCCTCGGCGGGGTGGCCCATGCGCTGGCAGATCGCGGCTGCCGTGTGATGCTATTCGACCTGTAAGTATTGCATAATACACGAAGCTGTGATTCCTTACTGACAAGACGCAAACAAAAAAAAGATTCGGAAGAGGATATTCCGACTGCCCTGCTGATCTTCCACAAGATGATCGTCTCTTCTCGACCCAGATCTTGCTCGCTCTGACATCATCGCCTATCTCCTGGACAGGCGAGAAGTCCGGTAAATTCTGCCTTGTTGGATATTCCCTCGGAGGTGGTATTGCCGCTGCCTTTGCGTCTTATTTCCCTCAGATGTTGTCGTCGGTGGTGCTCCTAGGCCCCTCCGGTTTGCTCCGAGACTCGCAGGTCAGCTTCCAGAGCAGACTGCTTTATTCCAAGGGTCTTATGCCTGAAAACATTCTGGGATACCTGGTTAGCCGCCGACTGAAAGCAGGCCCCTTGGTCACTCCAAAGCCCAAGAACCACAAGCTCGACGCATCGGATGCACTCACAGAGGAAATGCCCTCCCAAAGCGCGGCAGAAGGCCGGGTTCTGTCCCGGGCATACCCTCACATCAATGTCCCTTCTGTGGTGGCGTGGCAGGTGAATAATCACGCAGGATTTGTCCACGCTTTCATGTCTAGCATGCGTAATGGCCCAATCCTGAAAGAGCGCCAATGGAACGCATGGACACGCCTGGGCGAGTATCTAACCGCGCAGAACAGTGTTTCAAAAAACGCGGAGAAGGCTTCGGAGAACAAAGTCCATATTCTATGTGGCAACACTGATCCTATCATTGTCAAGAGTGAGATTGTGCCAGATGCCACGGCTGCTTTGGGTGGCAATGTTGTCTTCAAGTTCTTTGAAGCAGGACATGAATTCCCTAGTACTGAGTATGAGGAAGTGGCATCATACATTTTCGAATTACTTTAAGTCGGGGACTTGATGGGGTTTTTACAATCCTAGACGGAGGATTAGAGATATACTCACGTTCATTGATGTTTATCTTACATTCGATAGATGCACTATACATAGAAGTTGGGAAGCATTTTTGAAGTTGTTTTTTTGTTTTTTGTTTTTCTTTTTTGATCTCATTTTCTACCTTTCGGTTTTCATAATCTTGTCCATGGCATCGAGTTGACTTGATAGCCCGTTGATGTGTGCCGATCTGTCTGACATCCGCGCACCGGCAAAGTATGGGCCGTCCGAGGCTGGTGCTTGTGCAAATCGGTCGACGCTGCTGCGATTGTTTCCCGGGAGTTGGCTGATGTTGCCTTGGCTGACAGGGGTGTTGCTGGTGCCATTGGACACACTGAGAGATTTCGGTAAGTTGATTGGCCGCGATTCTAGTCTGAGAATAGATGCACTCACTTTGTGGTTCTCGGCTCTGGGATAGACATTGTATGTGGTAGTTGACAACGAATACAAGACTCTTCTAGGTGATTCAAAGGTGTCTCAAAGCGTGAAGTAGTCTGCTGAGGAAGACAGTTGCAGCTGAAATGGAAAAGGGTTGGGTAACAGTGGATGTTCATAAACAGGGTATAGCTTTGGCTTTGATCGATATGTGATGAGACAAATTGATGACCCGATGATTCGACAACTTGATGGCTTGGTAATGATCAGGATCTAGATGAGCGGGAACTCCTATATATACACTGCAGGTCTGAGGCAATGCATTGAAACGGCATACCTATGCATCCAGACACGCGAGCTTGAGCTTTCCCCTATGGCCCACATGGGACAGTACGAGGTAAGCGAAAGCAGAAATGAGGGAAAGATCTTCAGTTCGGATCGACTGCCTTGAAATCCACCTGCCATAAACCTGTGACGGCATTTCGACCCTTTTGCTCAACGCTCGCCAAGGCTGACTCTCATCTGCATGAACCATGCTGGGTCTGGAATTCACGTAGTGGGCAACTCGAGGCCGCATCAAAAGAAAGCACATAACCGTTCAGCCTATCTATGCGAAACAAGCGATAAGCCTGCCATCATTGGCTGTGCTGCAGAAAGCTGGGGCCAGGAGGCAGGTACCAACTGCATGATGCGCGGACTGCGACCCGCTTTCACGATCATCCTGAGCGTAAATACAACATTCCCCCTCGGCACATGGCTAAACCACATGTTTCAGGTCTGGGCGTAGCCAGTTTTGGTCTGTGTGCCGTGGAATGAAGCGAGGGGGGCCAGATAAAAGCAATTCGGGCTTCCGCAAATGTATTGCTCACAACGGGGCCCAAACAAGGGACGAAATCGCGATTTTCGCTTAAAAATGACCAAAGGAGTAATTGCTTGGCAAGTCTAGACCTTGTTTGAAACGAACTGACTATCAATTAGGAAGGTTCATCGTGCTTGGCGGCAAATGCGCTTCACAATGCCTAGCATTCTCCCATCCTCGCGTGGGATGACTACAAAACAATCCTCTGGGGGTGAAACAATCTCGGGGGCCAACGTGGTCGATCACATGGAGCATCATGCATTGGTGCAGGGGCTTAGCTTTTAGGAGGTCAAAAGAAAGCAGAAAACAGCACAAAAAAAAAACGGCTTACGATGCTGCATTCCCCGGGCCACGCGCGGCTGCAGCATGTCTCCTTCATTTCCCCTTCTCGACATTAAGCCTGCAGATCGCTCAACGGTAAGCCAAACGGTACAATGCTTTCCGGCAATTTCGGCACGGAGCCTTGAAGAGAGAGCTGCAGCTCCATACCAGCCACGTCTTGACTGGATTATAGGTTATTTGCACCGCCATACCTCCCGCACAGGAATGCTTGAGCCCTGCACCACGAAGCCAATGACTCTCGACGCGCAATTATCTTGTTTCAGAAACCTCCAAATGACTACCTCGTAGCGTGCCTTAGCAAAAGGGGCACGTGGATTTACTCTCTCAAAGCTAATTGTGACGAGTCATTGAGGCATGAACATCTCAGAAAGGGAAACAAAAAAAGAAAAGAGAATCAGCAATTATGATTTCCATTTTGCCTTCTAGGACGACCGAGACTTGGGTCCATCGTCGAACACGCTACAGAATAGGGCAACGCGTTTTGAACGAGGATCACCGGATGTGTTAGTGTGGCTGGAAACGAAGCATTTTCGAAACGAAGCTCCCAAAAGAGCAAATGCGAATGTCGATGGCTTTGCGGACCCCAAATGGCAGTGGACCGTACCGCGTGCACTAATGAAGGGTGCAGCTACATGCTTATTGAAAGCTGTTTTGTCTCTCTTTTTTTCGGTCTTGGCCATTGCAAGTCCTAAGCCACAATAGCCATATGGAAATCGATGTTTCAGACAATAAGGTTGCTTTTCCCAAAGCGTTCATTCTCCCCAAGCGAGTAATGTTTAACGAGGTCCCCTGTGTGCAGACGCAAGGTGCAGCTGGCGGCGCGGAATTCCAACCTAATCTCCGCCTACGGAGCACTGCGTCGATCATTTCATGAACAGAAACGCCGAAAGCGGATCATAGTTCGTCTCGGACGAGCTAACCTGGTGTTCGTACTCCGTACATAGTTCCAGTGGCGTTTCAACCTGATATTAGATACGGAGTACTCTGTCCGTATCGCCAACCCGCAACAATCTCGGCTTGAGGCAACTCCAAGGCTGAGAACCCATCAATCTTTTTTTAGAATCGCGGAACCCATACGGAGTCCCCCTGCAGGCCACATGAACTACGGAGTACTCCGTACGCGGGTTGCTTAATCTCCCCTTGACGATACCTATCACAAAAAAGCAACGCGCCACATCCCAAAACGCACTCCCGAAGGAAGAATCCGACCAAACGATCACCCAAAGAGGCAGTGATCGCCTTTCAAGACGTTTTTGACGTGCCTTACTATCCACTCCAGCAAGACCTCAGTCTGAAACACAACCCAATCTTTGGCTTTCTCCACCACGGCCGGAGGTGCAGAAGCCGAAAGACGCTACAATCATGTAGCCATCGCAACCGATTGCCCCGTCAGAACCATGCCACGCGACCCCGGCGAAATCCGAAACATAGCGGATATTGGCTGGAAACCTCAGTCCTTTGCCACGCGTTGGAACGGAAGGCCGCATATATATGCAGACTGGTTTTATTTTATCGAACGGTCGGCAAGCCATCTTATCGAGCTGCAGGCTCTCGTCACATCCAAATGGAGTATGACACCCGAGCCGGGTTCAATAGAGCGACTGTGTTGCTCGGGATCGGACTCGTACTCGTAAGGTTCGTTATGCTTCGGCCGACGGGTCTGTTCTAGGCCTCATGGAGTTGATGGCTTATAGTCATGAGGATCGTAATATTGCTTGGGCTTGGCAAATACGTGCGCTTTTGGGATAGACGTGAAATGTCACAATGCTGAGTATGCGAATCAAGGGGGGCAACACAGCCGCATCCCTGTGATGTCTTTGGACTCACTATGCTTATGCTAAAAATATGAGACTCCCCCTTGTCGAGTTTCTTCGTTTCAAGGGCAACGAAAAACAAAGGAGGGGAGGTGATGATCGCGGTTCTCGAGTTGACAGTCACTATCACCACATCACATCGTAGCCCGAACACCTTCGGCCTGCTCGGCTGGGATTACTTCAGGGACCCTCGATTATGCGGAGTCTAGATCATCTCGTCTGTTGTGTACGAGCGGATAAGATGTGTTGTTTCGTCAGGTCCCTCGGCCGAAGTTTCAGCCGAATCGTGTTGGTGCAATTACTGTGGAGTACATCCCCCCCAAGTTACTGCTCTCCTACTGAGACATATTAGCTATATCCAACCATGAATTGGGGCCGGAATGTGCAGTGCAGACAATAAACAGGCAAAGATTGTCAGAACAAAAAGCAATGCTAGAGAACATCCCAGATAAGCGGTAGAGGATGGGCAGATTGCTACTATCTAGGGCCATTAAAGTATCTAGTTGTACTGCGATGGGATTGCTTAACACGAAAGGAGAAGTATGGTAGTAAAGGACGCGAGAGCAAAAGCGTTTCCAGGTCAGGAAGGGGAAGAATACAACCAACGGTATGGGTTTGATGTTGATAACTCATAACGTGATGTTGGGATCAGTCTGTCTACCAATATAGTTGCGTTCTATTTTGATTCTCACGATCTATTCATAGCGAAAGTGATGATAGTGCCATGGCATTAACTCAAACATCAGACATTCCTCATCCGCAAGAAACTAGGCACGAAGACCTATGCGTATTTAGGTCGAACATATATCTAGACTATAAGCGGTTTTATTATCAGGCATGTGGTATTTGGCCGAGGCCTAGGACATCAATATTTTGAAAATGTACGATAGCCACCCGAAGCACCGATGCGCCTAACGCAGTGCTGAAAAGAATCCTCGCTCTAAAACTTCGAAAATATGGACGTAAAAACAAGGACTAAGAAACCAAAAGAAATCAAAGGAAAAAGAGAGAGATTAAGACGGAAAAAGCAGAGACGAGCCTCAATGCTCACGATTGTCGTCGGGTATTATCATAACTGGGAGGGAAGAGTGGCAGTGAAGGATCCACAACATCATTATACGGTCTTCTGGCTGCCGTTGACACGTCTTCATCACTAGGCGGAGCAGTAGCCACGCGTGGAGGCATGAGATGCCCGTCTGCGTCTTCCTCGCCTCTTGCGACCTTCTCGAGGGACGATAACTCAGTTGTCGTGTCGGTGCGAGACCAGCGGAAAGAGTCGCGGTCATCGCCGAGTGGTCGGTACTTGGTATCAGGCTTCTTCAGGAAGATGGCGTAAACCATGCTTATCAACAGATAGATAAGAAGCACGAGCGTAAAGATCGCGTTGAAGATGAAGAAGATGACGCCCAGAACACCGGTCATGAGATCGGGTTGGTCGAAGATATCTGAGAAAACCAGAATGAAGATCGTGTTGAGGGAGTTGAGCACTGTCGCTGTGATGGCAACGACATTTGCCCCCTTGCTCATGAATGGCTTGATAATGCCGGTTCCGAGCATCATCAAGAGTTCCAGAACGAGCAAAACAATTGACTGTGCGACTGGTGATGGTTGAGCGAAGGCGATGACCATTCCCTTGGCAATGGTATAGACCAGAGCGGGGACGAGGAAATAGAAGACCGGAGCACGGTAGTAGATGTATAGGAAGCCCCACTGGTTCAGAGTCGCAGGGTCGGAATAGAGAGTGTACGCGGCCGTGTTGTGTTGCTGCTTCGATCGGATAGCGCGCTGGAACACCTTAAATGCGGCAAAGATCAAGACGGCAGTCGTCACAAGCCACATGGTGATGGCCAGCACGAATTCCGCGGCCGAGTCCCGACGAGGCAATTCCCAGAGGCACAAGACGCACATCTGTGGATATCCAATGCACGCTAACCGGAAGAAAGTACTGCGGAGAATGGTTTTCCAGTCTGCAGTAACGCTAATGGCGCGATTCAGTTTTGGGAGCTGGGTCTCCTTCTTAGTCAGAAGCATTCGGACTGCCAGGAACAGCGCAACGCAAATGATGATGACCGCAGTGACGAAGTAATAGAATAAATATCCGGTCATGAAAATGTTACTCGGTTCGATACCTTCACGTATTCCGACGCGTTCGATGCCGCGAAGCAGAATCTGACCCCCGTTCTCTGCGGCTCGACGGAAAAGCCCCGAACGCTTCTGTAGAACGACAGACACAGAATTTGATCTTGTTATCACATTCGAAGGTGTACCTCCCGTAGCACGTTGGAACCATGTCGCAATCGTTTGAAGAGCGTCTGCCTTCACAATTCCCAAGCTCCATTGCATATTCTGTGTCCATGCCTGCACAAAGGGTGGCAGTTTCACTGAAGTCATACCAACCATTGCCTGTGCTTGAATGAATCCGAGGAAGGCAAGCGACCGGAAAGCGAGATGCGTAGCCGTATTGGAATGCCCGAGGAGCGTTATAACCGTGGAGGTGACGAGACCCAGGCCGGTTATGACGGCGAGCGCCCACGCCACACCAGCCTGGTAGATGGATTTCCCATTACGGATACGGGTCTCCAAACAGGTGATTTGTTTCCCTCCAGATTTGTACTTGAGCTTCAGACGGACCAGAGCGTCGATATCGGGGACACTGTAGGCGATCGCTATGACGTAACCGTTAGTCAGAACACGTTTTCGGGGACTCGGGGACTGGAGAGGAAGAGCTTACACGGGATTTGCGAGACAACGTTGTCCCCGAGAAGCTCAGAGATCGTGGGGATTTCCAGTTCGATGGCCTTCATAGGACAGAATACTGACAAATCCAGACTGCACGGGTCGAAGGTTTTCACGAGCGCTTTGTACCCATAGACCAAGAGTTCCACGTCAATCAGGACATCGCCGGCGACTTCGGAGTAGCCATCGAAGTCCAGGCTTATAGACTTATTACCTGGTGTGAATACCGCGCGAAAGTTGTTCACGGTCACCTCGGCACTGTCGGAACATTTTGTCAGCCCGGTGGCTTCGAGGAAATTCAGTGCCTGTACGAGCTGCAGACTTTGGAGTAGAAGGAGAATGAAGGCTCCTAAACGGGAGCCATTCAATTGCATGACGACCAAAACGAGTGAATGTCAAAAGAGAAGATGAGAAGAGATCTCTTTTTTTTTCTTCGAGATTCCTGATATCAGGGCAACTCCACAGTACGACGTAAGCGCTCAGTGGGGCCAGGAGATCAGGGTCAGTGAAACACTCAGGCAACCGCCATTCACAAAGCAGTGGATGGATCTTGGCTGGATCGTGACTGGAGGGACTGGACTGGACTATGTTGTACTTTGAATTTGATTCAATCCTCCGAGATCGTGATGGCCACTCTCTCGACGCTACCTTGGTTCCCCTAGCCTAGGCCCTCAACACCCAGCCTTCAGACGATCCCATCTTCCGAGTGAAAATCTTTATTTCGGCGTATTCTCGCAGTCTCTGCGCCACCAGGCTGGGGCAGTACACAAATGCGACATAAAAACCTTGGCCGCCACCGGCACAGCGCTAAATCGGGTTCCGCAAACAGCCACGCTGACTCCGGACCAACCCGCACGTTGTCTTCAGAACCCCCGTCAGTGTCGATATAACCACAGAGTCCGGAGTAGTCCGAGTTGAGTTATCCCAAATACCTAGTCTGGAGCTTATCTGTTCTAGTGTCCGAGTTCTCTATGAGCTTCCAGATTGACAACGGATCATTTCCGCTTTGAGATGTCCAAAGGATCTGACTAAATTTAGAACGGGGCCATTGCATCTCAGACCGATGTTTTTCATTGGACACAATGTAACTGTGGTCGGTGCACAGCCAATCGACATGATCTCACTCCGTACGTAACTCGATTCCACTCAATTGAGGAGACTTGCATCGGCACAGTACGGAGTATACTCCGTACTCCGTGCTCCGTGCCCCGTGGACTATCTTCGCAAGGACCAGCCTACTTCCGAATTCGATTTATGCATCCACATCTGGTGTCGCATTACTCCATCACTCGAATCTCTCCCCACATGGCCAAAGTTCAGCAAATGCCAAGTTAGGCGGGGAAATGAGATCTACATAGTCTGTTTCTACCGACATTTTTGATTTTGTGATCCTCATGCGAAGCACGGAGGCGACAAGAACTTGATTCATGAAATTGCCAGGTTGGCATCCCTGCTGTTGATCCCCCAAACTCACTGGGATCTGCAAAATCCGAGCCTGGTGAGGACGAACCATCCATCAGCACGACACGCTCCCGTGTATCAATATTCCCTCAAATCGAGGTTACTGTCAGCCGTCATTGATGACATCTTCCAATGTCCAATACGCAATTCAATGCCGTACAGACTTGAACTTAAACACTTATCCCCCCAATACCTAGGACTAAGATCTTCAATCAAATTTAATATCGTGGGATTGTGCTGATCTACCGCGTAGTCGTGGCATGACGTAGCCATCAACCACAACCTCAAAATCAAGAGTGAACCGGCATAATCATGTATCCAAAGGATCCGAGAGCGCTGATTCTTGCAACTGATATCATATGTGGACAGGAATGCAGATGAGTGTGAGATCTGCTGCTCAATTGTGGGATTTATGCATCCATCTTACGATCGGACATGTCGCCGACTCAATAATCCCGAGATCGTCAACGAGGGATTTTGCGCTCCAACACCCATGCTGTCATCGAAATGGGAGTGTGATACGCTTTCATAAATTGCATCTTCGCCCCTCTTGATTAAATACCAGCCTCCACGTGGAACCCAGTCGCGATCACGTTCATCTCCACCTGTATTATTAGTAGCCCCATATCTGTAAATCAACTGAAGGGCACAGCCCGATGGCGTATCAACCCATAGTGATGCTGATTTTTTCTCCGTTACTGACAGCAGACTACGGCCGACTTGCAGTACTTCCTCGTTCCGGAATATCTCTTTCGAGCTTCCCCGCAGCCTGACAAGCCAGACATGCAGTGAACCAGGTACGGTCGCAATTGGAGCGCATTGACTTATCGGCGGTGTCACGATCGGGATATATAGCGGGTGGCACTTGCCGTATCATCGTCGACTGTTTCCCCCCAAACAAGGCAGGAGCGTCCTCGGCGCCATGTCTTTCTGCGGGCCAATGGACACGTCTCTGCCAGACCACAAGAACCGGGTTGCCCGATCGAGCTGGATTGAGCCTGGGACTTCTCTGCGTGTCTCGTATCTGTGCCATAAATGTCTTGTTTCCGGGAACAGTCGATCTGGAGGACCCAGACATGTCGCCGAGGCTGGCACATTCGAAGGATCTCTACCCATGTGGTTTTGTCGCTGGTCTTACGGCTGCGATGACTGAGGTCAACGCGATGATCTCATTCAGCAACAAATTCTGGAGAGAGCCCTGTAGCTATAGATGCACATTGATAGGTTTCCTGAATTTGGTTGGAGTAAAATGCAAGACAACAAAAATATATGAGAACATACGTCATTCTATGTAACATGTATACATTGTAGTCAATCTCTAGGAATAATTCTGAACATCCCCTTCTAAAATCGTATCACTTGTTTTTGTAGTTCTTCGTCACGGGACACAGACGCAATTGAGCGAGTGTCCTCTTGGCGATAAGAGCTTTCCTTCACGTCAAACCGGAATCGCTCTTTCTCGTGCGCAAGTGCTGCCTTGAGCATCTTGTTCGCTCGCCAGATTGGCTTACAGTCGAACAAGCGGTCGACCTTTTCAAGAGGGATACCGCTAGTTTAAGGGATGAGGAAGAAAACGAAGAAGAACGCCAGGAACGACAGTGCCGCGAAGAAGTACACGCCATAGTGCATCTTAGCGAACATCTGTTCAGTAAAGCGAGAGATGAGGAAGTTGAATAACCAGTTACTGGCTGCGGTGGCTGCCTGAGTTAGGGAACGGAAGTTGGGGTCGAAGAATTCCTAGTGTCTTGTTAGAAAGAAGGTTTAACCGCGGATTGAAAAGAATAGATGACTTGCGGAGTTGATAACCCAAGGGGTACCGTTCCAAGCCACACGAAGGTCATGACGGCTTTGATCACACCAAAGATACCGGTCATTAGATTGACTGTGCTGGGGTCAATACCAATCTAGAGAGCAAGACTTAGCACCAACCTTCTGTTGCGATTGCATGGGGAGTAATGATCGTACCGATCTGAAAATGGTAGGTGAATAGCAGTTGATTGCGTTGATGCCAGAGCCGTTCTGCCTCGCGGCGATGGTCCTTGAGGAACAACCAACGAGGAGATTGAAAAGCGTTCAACCGGAATTAAGCTTTACGCCGGTGTATATGGAAGAGTTTATGTAGACGAGTGTATCAAGATACGGAACCTCTCTTCCTTGATGGACATATCGGAGCCAGGAATGCCCAGAACACCAATGGCAGGCTTGTGTATCGGTAGCTCATATCAAGACACTTATTTGAAACCTCTGAAGCAATGGACAGAGATCCTCCTTCATATTTCTCGAGGTCTGCTGTTGAGGTTTAAGCCTTTAGCCGTTCCAGCATGAAGTGTCTATCGTCGTCGCTGAAAGATTCTCTCCGGTTCAGTCGGACCTGTATGGCAAACTTTGGCAGTCTGGGGAGACTGACTCGGCGGAATCCCGCTTGCTAATTGAATATCCTGAGATATCATTTCCCGGGTTGTTTTGACTGGAAAATTTGTCTGCCCATGGGGAAGAACCCTTAACCACCTATGGAGCCGATGTTCTGCCGGATTCTGACTCGGGAAAAGTGATACTTCGGACAACGCCCCTCGGAAGCACAGAGATGCTGCCCATTGAGGGTTCAACCGGTTCAAGCGGTATGGTCCTCTGTGCCCATATATCCATGGATTTTGCCTTCGAGGCTACTATCATCCTCTTATTAGCATATTCCGGCAAACAACTTCTATTCTCAAGAGGAGAATGAACTAAGAATGGCCCAGGGAAGCTTAGATGTTAAACAAAATGCCCAAGCCAGATGTTATCTTAACTGGGCTTGTTGCACTCCATTCGTCATTACATTCCAGGACGACGGATGATCTAACAAGAATTTTGTTGATATGCATACCAAAAGCTCCAGATTCATGCACTTATATGCAGCTGCTAAACACTGTGAAAAAAAATTATCGATCGCAGTCTGCAGTGGGAACCCAGACCTCTCGTGGCCATGCCACTGTCCACCTTAGGGGTTGTGGATGGACAAGAGCAGTTGAGATGAGTTGCGCAACCAACATTGCAGTTGGGGCATTTTGAATATAAATCCATTTCTCGCACAGCAGAGTCGGTGGAAAATATCGAACACACACAACAATTGTGTTGAACTAGGAGTACATGACTGCAAATATCCCTGACATATCAAGCGTAAGTGTGCATCGCTTAACAGAAGGTAGGATCTCAGAGAAATCTAGAACAGTAGAGTACAGAATGGGAAGCATAACACTAGTTGTTGAGTCTGCAAGGGAGTTAGTTATCGTCGCATCAATCTCGCGCTGCACATAACACGACCATGGCGCGTTGTTCGATCGAGTCTCAAAACGTGGTTGGAGGCCTGAGACCTAAGGCAGAAATATTGCACGATGGTGCCTGAGGCACAAACACGTGCCATCAACCATGCGCGTTTCTTTAAGCCAGCATCTGTCGGCACGACCAGTTTTTCTTCCCTTGGACCTCAAAGACTTGTTTGAATATTTCCTAAGAACGGCTGACTGGGCCGGGAATTTGGCAGACGCGGCATCTCTGGGATCCTCTGGGATCAAGACCCCATCTAAAGCGGGGCATTTATCTGCGAGTCTTATCGATTGGTGACATGCGCATCGCAGCGCGTGTTTGATTGCTGTCAAGGTGTCCCCCGGGATTTTCTACAAGGCAAACAATCCCATGAGCCAAATATGCCCTGGTTAACAAACCAAAAAAGGTGAAACAATAAAGCCAAGAGCCGGGCTCTCCATCTCCTATCAGGATGGACAACCGAGTGTCCCTCGGCTACATCCAGAAGGCCGTCTGGGACGGACGCTTGCCACTGGAAATCGTTCTAGCTCCATCAGAAAGCCGAACCTTTGATAAAACAGACCCATATCTTGTATGTTTGCCTTTGGATGAGTCGACAATGTTCAACGCTGATGTAGGTTGCTAGGTCGCATATTCACGCATCTCATATCTGCCCTCCTTGCTCCCAAGACTTCGGGCTTTCTTTTCGAGCTCGCTGATAGACCCAAACTCCCAGTCTCATGATGGCTGGTTCGAGTTTGAGGGTGTGCCTTTGAAATGGCATTACCCAGTTGGCCTGTTATTTGACCTCTACGCTGGCGCAGACCCGGCCTCGAAGACCGCTACTAGAGGTGACGAGTCCACAGAGGGCGGGTCATCATTGCCTTGGCGTCTGGTAGTGCACTTCAGCGACTGGCCTCATGACCTTGTTCGGCTTGATGCCAATGGAATGGTCATGAATGACGCCTTCATAAACAGCGTGAAAGAGGCAGATTTCCTGCGAAATGGCACAGCCAAAGGCATCATGAGTCTATCAAAAGAAGACTCTTCGGGCCTTTGGAAAGCAGTTGAAGAAGGTTAGTAGCGAATTGGATTGTAATTAATGTACTGTAGGTCTAACCTTGATAAACAGTTGATCTCCCTTCATTCCAGCGCATAACGAGTATCCTCCTTCCTCAACCGTCACAGCCTTTCCGCAATGTACCGATCCGCATATTTCTACCACTCCCACCGGATGCTGAAAACTCGGCTTTGAAAGTGGTACAATCGCCATTGCCACCTTCAATGCCAGCGTCAAATATGCAGGCAAGTCAAATGTTAAGCTCCCGGGCCAGTCTCGCCCCCCAGCCACAAACCATCGGAACTGTGTTGCACACATTGTTACCAAATCTCTTTCCCAGTCGCAGAACTCCAGTCCTTGCGAAGCCCGTATTACATGGTGCTGTGATACCCATGTCTGCACCCATCGAGGAGGTCGTGAGGAGCTCTGCTTACGGTGATGGATGGGCGTATTTAGTCATTCGTATGATGGGTTGAGCCAGTATAATACATGCAAAGAGGCCATCTTTCTAAGGATACGAATACATTGTCTTCATTTTCCCTGGGTTACAATCTCGATATTCCAGCAGGCCATTATCACTCATCTATGTGACCATCAAAGCCATGTGTATGATTAAACCGCGAGGATGCGCCTGAAGTAAGATGGTCGAAGGCTTTGAAAAGTTGTTCAATGCCTAATCACGCTTTTTCTATCGATACTCCATACCGAAAGAATTAGAGAAGAAATAGGGCAGAGTTCAACGAAAGTAAGTTTTGCCTAATGAAAAGCCACCGTGACGGTGTATAAAAAGGGGAAAGTGACAAAAGAAACGAAGGCTAAAGCAAGAGGGATATAAAACTGAATCGAAAGACAGAACTGAGCGGTATATTTAACAAGAAGAAGAGACGATGGATGGACGGTCGATAGAAGTTGTGGATGCTCTCGATCCCCAAGCCGAGTAGTCCTCACCAACCAAAGTCGAACCCCCTATTTCACCAATTTCGGAGTGAATATCAACCGAATCGATGGTAGTGGCCATACTTCTGCGTTGCTGTAGCGGTGGTAGTGACTGCAGCTTGCCCGCATCATCAAACCACAGCATGCTGACTGGGTTTTTGCGAGCGAGATCTATGGCAGTCTGACCATCTCCTTCAATTTTGTCGTTGGTTGGGGTCTCCCCGGCGTCTTTGATTGAAGGATCTGCGCCCGCATCTAACAGTATTTGGAAAATATTAAGGCGGCCACGTTCTGCGGCCAGATGTAGCGGGGTTTTCCCCTCGGATGTTTTAGCATCTAGCGAAGCGCCATTCTTGATAAGCAGTGATATCAGTGATTCTCGTGGCGTCTTCGCAATCACTGCAAGATGAAGTGCCGTCTCGGCGTTGTGAGATGCCGTTGGGGCGTTTATATTGGCGCCATGAGATAGGAGTAATGAAAGGAAAGTGGCAGTATTTTCAGATAAGAGATCTGGTGAGTCAAATGCATTAATGATAAGATGATGCAGCGGTGTCAAGCCACTGCATGTTGTTGCGTTAGCGCTGAATTGGAATTCCAGTAGTGCTTCCACAATGTCAAGGCAGTCTTGATTAAGCGGAGGTGTGATGTGGAGAAGTGTTTCTCCCTTGGCCGTTTGAACATCGAGCCTTGCCCCTTGTTCTACTAGGAAAAGAAACATTATTTTGTTTCCAGTTGCGGCAGCGCATTGTAAGGGCGTGTATCCCTGCGAGTTGCACGCCTCTATGTTTGCACCTTGTGCGATCAGATGCGCCGCAATAGAAACTGTGGAAAGTGCACGGGCTTGCTTGTGAAGCAAGGAGTCACCCTCGCTATCCCACGCATTGATATCTGCGCCTCCGATGACTAGCAGATCAAACGCAACCCAGTTACCCTTCAACGCAGAGATGTGAAGGGCGGTCGCTCCGTGGGACGAGCGGGTTTCCAATTGAGCGCCGCGTTCCAGGAAAAGAGATACTGCGTCGCAATTGTCTGTTTTGCAAGCGAGTTGAAGGGCAGTAAGTCCATCTCTGTTCAAGATGTTCATGCTAGCACCCTTCTCCAAAAGGAATGCAAGAATACGCGGTCGCCTTAGTTCAACTGCGAGATGGAGTGCAGTGTTTCCAGTCACGGTGTTCTGAACATCCATGTCAAACCGGCTTTTAATCAAGAGTGGCACGGTCGCCTCATCATGGGTTGTTCCAACAGCTAACTGAAGCGCTGTTGCTCCTTGCTGGGTTGCTGTCCTGGAGTTGACTCGTCGATGAAGCAAGAACTTGATCAGCTTTCGGTGACCCTGCTCACCAGCGATATGCAAGGCAGTTTTCCCATTCTTGCAAGTGGCATTGATGTTGGCTTTGGAATTAAGGAGGACTTCAACCATTTCCTCATTGCCCCGGTAAACCGCACAGTGTAAAGGGGTGATGCCGAGATGGTTATCACAATCGTTGATATCGGCGCCTTGCTCAATTAACCGCCTCGCCTTTCCAACGATGCCGAAATAAGCAAGTACATGCAGAGAAGTCCAGTCAGGAAAGTACTTTCCGAAACCCAGCTGCTTCGGAATTTCCAGCCCGAAAGCGCAAGAATCTGTTGTAGGAGGTCTCCTCCAGCATAACTTGTTAAGAAACGCTCGGATGAGAACTTGTGTGGTTTGCTCATCTTCGCCGACCTCGCGGGCGTGAATTCCCCAGTATGCGGTGGCATAATCAAGCAGTTTGCCGCGTTTTTTGGGAGGCATCGCTCCTTGAGTAACGTAGCAATCATCAATCACTTCATCAGGCGTGATGATCGTGAGACAGACATCTGCTATATTTGCCTTGGCAGTTGGGAAAAATACTCGAGCTGCTGGCCCGCTGAGGTATTCTTTAGCCGTTTTGTGAACCAAATGAACGGTTCCACTCATCGCATCAATAGTCAATAAGCCGGCAGCTTCATAGAGCATCGTATGTGCAGAATATAAAGATTCCTTCGGATTGCTATTTCCTTGAAGCTCAAAGCTTGCAGCGAACGTTAGCTCCGAGACAGTCAAGGGCCTCTGGGCATAGAGCGTCCAGTAGAGACATCGGCTAGCAAATGGGTTTTGGCTGACAATTCGGGTCATGGACTCGCCATACGCGTCACTTAAGCTCTCTGGTAGATGGAAAAGAGATCGCTGTAGGAGATTACCATCTGTGCATCGGGACAAGAGATCGATATTTAGTCGAGCCAATAGGAATCTAAGATGCCACAGTGAGGTATTAGTAGAAAAACTCTCGACCGACAACTCAAAGGTTTGCCAGAGGGAAATACAATCTTACAAACCATGTGACTTCAAAACAACTTGCTGAATAACAGCAACCTTCAGCTCGGGGGCGTATTGCTTTAATAAAGCAGTCAATCCTCCGTCTTGTTCAATGCGGGCGGATACGTATGTTTCAAGATCGATACTGCTAGCCAGAATGGATATGTGCTCATCTTTGGATGCATACTTTGCTTCCCGTGTGGTAACCAGAATCTGTGCATGATCTGGAAGTTTTTGGAGGCGGTTCAAAATCCTGTCCTTCTCCACGTGCATGTCAATCCCATCGACAATGAACAGAACTCGCGAGAATCTGTTGACTTCAGCACGAATAGCATCTTGATACGTCTTTGCTGACACTTTTCCCTCCGCAAAAGCTTTGGATTGGTATAGCGAGGCCGTCACACGAGAGGGTGTTCTCTTTCGATTCACAAGCTGCGCAAGTATTTTGTCGAGAAAGCCCACAGAGCTTGCATCTTCGTCTGTTTCATCATGGCCAAAAATAAAAATCACACCCACATCTGCAGATGCAAATGCATTTTGCAGGTTGTCAATGATAGCGGAACTAGGTGATATGTTAGACTTGTTAGCTTGTTTCATTTCTCGGGAACTTACGCCAGAAAAGTCTTGCCAGCACCCGCTGTCGATCTATTAGTTCCGGCTTCCATTTGGCAACAGTTGAAAGAACTTAAATACCTGGTCCAACGCAGTAAAGTGTTCTGCAACAGCCAAAAAGCCATTTTGTGTAGGTATCATTCTCAAAAATCCATTCACACGTTCCTCGTTGCCGTCTATTGCATATATCTTCCAGTCTCATGAAACTCTTGGTGGTCATTTGACCTGTTATCGCGTGATGGTCGTCTGCGCTTGGTGTGTTGACTCTTATTGAATCTGAACGATGGTTAGCCCGAGATGCAAATAGTGGCATATGCGTTCAACTAACCTGAGTCCATCTCGTAGAACTGTCGAAGCACATCTCGGAGTTTCGCTTCGACTTGGGACTTCTCTCTGTGTACAAAATCTTGAGTTCAGTACTACTCTATGAGCCATGCCAACTGATCTAGCCAGCCCTGGAGGAACTGCTGGGTAGCACATACCGTGACTCGGGTTGCATAATCAGGACCATCATAACCTTAAAGTGCTCCAATCTGGGAATGAACGTATTTTCCAACAAGCGTTTCCTAAACGAGCGAGCGCTGATACCCCCCGGCTGGAAATAATTCTCGATCGTCCCAATCGTTGACTCGAAGCAGCGGATAAACTCGTCGAGGTTCCGCAGACGAGATGGATCGACGATCCATTTATCTTCCGCCCAGTTGAGTTGATCTTGCATCCGACCCAGCATATCAAGTAGCTCACACAAAATCAACATCGCTCGTTGTGCACCTTCTTGGGATTCTCGATTTCCACCCAGACAGCGCATGACTGACCGGATGGACTGAAAAACCCGGGCAAGGCGACCCCGAATCATTGGACGATCGATCATGCTGGGAGGCTTCATGGACTGGACAATAAGTCTATAAACTAGAGTAAAAATGACAACAACCTAGACATAATCGCAATCAAAGACAAGATAGGTATGGAGGTGTAGTTTGAAGGTTGCAGCGTTTGTTTCGAAAATAACTGGAGCAAGCCGGGGCAAGCGGATCGGCTGTTAATCCCATGACATTCCCCTACTCCCCATGGCGTTAGAGCGAATAGCTGGATTTGGAGGGGTCGGAAAAGACGCCCCTGCATGATCTACGATGACATGACACGGAAAATGACGAAGGGCGCAGGTGAACGTTTCTGTAGCGCTGGCGTCCAGTGATGGCGCTACATGAAACATCGTTCAGCACCGCTACTTCGTATTGCAAATTACTCCGTACTCGAGCTTATGAGATAACCAAATCGATTATAGCGTTCGGACAAAGCGAGTAAAATTAACCCTGACTCAAGCCACCAGTCCCAAGTCCCCCAACGAATCACCGGAGAGCAAAGGTATCGGCGCTTTGATTGCAAAGGTTGTCCACGAAGTGCGGGGGCCTATCCACTGACGATGCGAGTGTAGCCGCTAGGGACTGTGATATGTGCTCGCCCATGCATATCAAGGTCTTGACCGCCACAGATGGAGATCATGCATATGGGGGCCAATGTTATCCAGCATCTGACTGCCAGGGTTCTGTCACTTTTCTTTTTTTTTTCCCTTTATGGTCTCGTCTTTTTTATAGATTGAAATGTCTGAGAGCATGCTACTCCGTACTCGGCGGTCCGTAGCGAAAATTAATCGGCAGATTCAACCTCGTAACTCTCCTTTAGATTTTCATATTAATTGGGCCGAACTCCGGACCTGACAAAAATGGCGCGAGCCTCTCAACGTCGGATGTCCCTCTCGATCTAACTACAGCATAGTAGACACAGAGAAATATAACAAACATAAACAGGCAGAAAATGCACAAGACCAAGGAAATTCGTGACAGCACTATGTCAGACTATTCAGAAGTAACCGAGCACACGAGAAGATACGGAAAGAGTATTCTTTTACTCCTGGTCATCCAACCACGGGTATCGTAAAACCGAAACGAAATGACAGGATAGAAATAGGGACAGAAAAACAAAGGGTGGTCGTAAGGGACATCATTCAAAAGAAGAATAGACGGAAAGAAAATCAGACTGTATCAGATCATATCATGTTGGCCCCGTTGAATGTGAGCTCAGCACCACTGTCTCGACCACGCTTGAGAGCTTTGGCCAGCATAAGCTCTCGCATCCAGTCAATGCGTTCGTCACGAGTCTTGACAGCGAAATGGTGCGACTTCCCACTGTTCAAGAACATAGTCTTGCGGTCGACAAACCCACTTCCATTGGGCGTGGGTATCAATGAGAAGGAAAATGCGGACACATCTTGTGGATTATCACTGCGTTTAAGGACAGTTTTCCTAAAGGCTGCTGTCAGCTTGGACCTCGAGGCAAACGAGGAACAGGCGACTGCGTAGTCATCGATGTCGATGTACTCCAACGCCTTGGAGTTTCGCTGTGCGGATATATCATCATCATGCATTGAAAGCTGGGTGCCTTTCAGCGTGAAGTGATGGTCTTCCCAGTCGTGGCATAGCAATTTGGTGGTCTTGCGCTTCTTCATCCACCCACTGTGGGTCACATCCTCCTCTCCACGTCTGATGAAGGGGAACAAAGTATTGTTGCGCATTTGAGGTGCACGGGGTGTTTTTTGTAGATCCTCGGGGGTTTCGATGGGACTCATGGTAGATCCCTCTATAAGCGGATTCATTGTTGCCACATTTTGAATTGAAGGATGTCTCCAATGAGTTGCCGCCTTGGTTGAGAATGGCCGAGCAGCTGGCTCTTCCTTCACGTATTTGTTATTGCCAAAGCGCATGTTTGGAGGCACCGATTGCGATTCTTCTCGTGCCACTGGCCCGATCGGAACTGCGGTAATCGGTGCATCGACATCCGAAAGAGGAGTTTCCGACCGATAGCATGGATCGACTCGGTAGAAATCTGCTGGAGAGGCTGCTACATCATGGGAGACGGATTCTTGTTGACTCGAGATAGCGGTCCGATCACTGAAATGGCTTCTTTTCGACAGAATAGAAGGAGTGATAGTGCGCAAAGCTGATATGTTTTCAGTGAAGACAGACCCGTCGGTGGAGTCGTGCATGCTGGGAATTCTGAGCTTAGGCAAGTGTCGAAGATGATCCGCAAGCGTGGGTGTAATCTTTGCAGAATCGCAACCCTCTGATCCAGGTGATGAGAGATGTCCCCTAGGAGGAGTGGCAGGCTCATTGGTGGTCTTCAATCGGTCGAGACTCTGGAAGTTCAGGAAATTCCGCACGTTTTCTTGGGGATCCCTGGGTTTGACCTCTTTGAGCTTTTCCTGAGAAAGTTGAAACGCGGAAGGCTTATTACCCCCCATTATATCAGAGGATGCGATAATTGATGGGGTGATCTCGGACTTGGGAGATTTGAGTAGGTTTGGGGCTGTCTGCGGATTTCCTGGGTCTCCTGCAACAATACGACCATAACCAAAATTCTCAAATGGCAAGTCCCGAGCGAGGCGAGTCAGCTTCTCTTGTTGCTTCTGCCACTTACGACAATCTTCGCCTTTGGAACACTGATGCAGCTTAGGTAGAAGCTGCTCGATGGCAACAATGGAGACAGAATCCCCAGGAACAAGGGCATTTCTCTTGCGCCCATGGCCATTTGAAGTCTGGCGACGACTCCGAGGTTTCACATCGATTATCTCTTCATCGACAGCGGAGCAGGAGTTATAGCTTTTGTCTGATATTATGGATGTGTTTCGGGTAGACGCCTGATCGCTAGTAACACTTGAGTTGCGCGAGCGTGAGGAAGCAGTGTCTGTGCTAGTAAATACGCCGCTATTTCGAAGTTTTTCAACGGCGTTCATAACTCTCACTCGCTTGCCGAATGAGTTCATCTCGAGTTGCTCTTTGAGATCCTTGAACTGAAGCACCAGTAGAACAGCACCAGAGATGTCGTTGCAGCGAAAAGTCCCAATGACATCATCTTCGAATCCAAGGCTTTGCATCCAACTCACAACCTGTGATGTTGTCCAGTCTGTCCAGTGAGGAGGTACAGTCTGACCAGATGACAGAGTGTGTCTAGCGGTCGGTAAGGATTGCTCGGGATATTGAGGCTGTTGAGGCTCAGGAGTTGCGCTTGTGGAGCGATTCGGAACTGGCGTATCCCTTCGAAAAGGGTCAAATTTAGAGGCTTTGTGATGATAGGGACCCGTAGTGCTGATGGGTGTTTGCTGGGGCATTGGAGACATGTCCGAGATTGATTTCAGATCGGAGCTTGTCGATAGCGCAAACAAATGAGGACCATTCGGGCCTCGAATATGATTCTCCTCGATGTGAAAGTCAAACGCTGTCAGTCCAGTGGAGTTTGGAGTTGTAACATTGTCCGGGGTAGAGGCCGTAGATATGCTCCCAGTCCCAAACTAAGGACGAAAATGATCAGTATTCCAGGCACATCATAGTGTCGGGTTCAGATCAACGTTACTCACAGAAGCCACACTTCTCATAGGTGAACTATCTGAGTAGCAATCATACCCATCCTCCTCCAAGATCTCTGTTGCCTCCGAACATGGCCTATGGATAGCGGTCTTCGGAGGGAAAAGTGGCAGCGGGTCCTCTTTTTGGTTCGCTAGATAGTTCATGTGATATGCATATTGGGCCTCCTGTATTTGAGGTTAGACGCTTGTGGGATTACCAAACAGCGCAAGAATAACAAACCATCTTGTCATATCAGGATGTAGTCTTCAGTGCCAGCACTAGACTTGAGATTGTTGGAATTAGAACCCCCAATGGAATAACCAACCCAAAAGACCTTGATAAAAGGCCGGGTGGCTTATGTTGGTAGGTGTGGGGCTAGATGTTAAACGCTGGAATAATGTGGTAATAGGGAATAGTAGTATCAGAAATGAGGAATTTGGGTGTTGGATGAGTTTATGTACAAAGTCATCATCTGGGAATTGTTACCCGTTCATCGGTGGCGCCACCAATGAAACCGCTGGGTACCAAGGACTTCGGACGATTCCACAAATCCAGCGAATTGGAGTTGCAGCCCAGACAGTGACTAGGGACATGGCCTAGCGGTAAGCACTGCGAGGCGCCAATGGTGATGTATCTAGGTGACCGGCAAGCCAACCTGGAACACTAGCCTAGAAGACAGGGCCAAAGACCGAAAATCCATCGAGCAAAATCGAGTTCTCCTCATGCTCGTTGGGCAAGACGTAGTCCAGCCCACATCGAACCTGCATGAGGGGTCAGGGCAAGCGGGTGACAGCGGTCTGTGAGAGGTTGTTCGTCACAGCGCTACTGCTGTGACGATATTCTTGGCAACATTTTCACGGGCTGGGAATCTTCCAAAGGAATTCCTGGCGCGTAAAAGGGTTTCGGATACAATTCTATAAATTGATGGCATTTCCTCGACATCTCAAGGGGAATGGGGCCAAAACAGAAACCGTCAAAAGAGAACTGTTGGCATCCATCGATGGATGTCCTGTTGCCGTGTCAAACGATTATGCTAGAACTTAGCCCCGGAAGGTACTACATGGGATTTTGTACGCAATAGAAACATCTGTTTGATTTCTTACCAGATCAGCTCATTTTCCTTTTTCCATTTTCGTTTAATTTCCCTCTGCTTTTGGGTATTTGACTCGAATTACTTTGCCTAGTCAGGGATGTGGATCACGAAGGATGCAACTGGGGAAAACCGTCACACAATCACGAGCAAGCACTCCGTATATACCCATCACAATGCAGATCAATCTGTCATCCGACTGTCTTCGGTCCGAAGCCATAGCTTTTGAATTTTAAATTTATTTAAAATTTCATGCTTTGTACAGAGTATTTTTTTTGACATACAATCCAATGCGTTTTTATAACTGACACTATAGACTGCCTAGGTACCTCAGGAGGTAGCCTAGGAAACCAAACCCCAAACGTGTTTCCCTGGCAATCTCGTTATTAGGGTGAAGTTATTATGAAGCGTACATGTATCTACTTCGCGCATGTACACATACTACCTACATCACAGCCTTGGAAGGTAGAAAGACGTATACATATTTCGTACAGTGATCAAAAAGAGCTGATTCTACTCCGTACGGAGTCCTTCGTACGGATTACGGTAGTTTGATCTGCGTTGTGCAGTACTGAGTACGGAGTACTCCGTACTCCGCACATTATGTACGTAGGAGCTATCTGTGAGTTGCGCTTATTCTTGCCCTTCTTAAGCCTGAAATCAGTCAATATTAGGATGTTTTCCGAAGATATTGAAACGAGTTTTAATGGCCCTTGATTGCATCTGGACAGGTACTAATAGACTCTGTGGTTACCTGCGCCATACTCCGTATACTGATTACTCTTGACCGAACTAAAAAAAATCCTAGCGATCGCTCTCTGGCCTTGTCGCTTATTTGAGGGTTCCATACAAGCCGGCATGAATCACACCTCGTTCTCGCAGGCCACATGAAGGCTTCGGTGGTCTGGATTCAAGATATTCCGATGGTTAAATGCGCACTACTTTCGCAAGCCTCTATCTTCTTAGTAAATAGTTTTGTATTGCATATCTACGCATGTGAAGAAAAAATATCATTTTGTCTGGTTGGCATAGGACAGATAGGATAAGGACTACCTACATACCTATTCGGGTCCACACGGAGTACGGAATACAGTTAGAGTCTTGAACCAATAGTAATGTATATGTCTACTTCGTCAACTTGGTCTCCAGCCACCAACTTCCCTTAATCGGTACCATTGGCTGCCTTGGATCGTACGTTCAATCCACTTTTCAGGAAATATATTGCGCTAGCCCTGTGTTTCTCCCAAGTCCTAAATCCTTGCATCTGTAAGAAGATGAATAAACCCTTAGCAATACCAGGCCTTGTTTATTTTATCCTAGTTCTTTAGGTAATTTAAGAATGACAGCCTTGATCATTGCCTTTACGACTAGGTAGCCACCAGATATGGAAATGAGAAGGCAGGCCTTCCAAGGTTGGAAGGCTTCGCGGATAAGTACATATATCAAATCCTCGTGCCTCAGATGCACGTGCCCGTGGAACATGTCATCTTTAGGCCATGTGACCCAAATTGCTGTCTACTTTTATCAATTTTGCTACTTGATTGGCCCGTACCTTATGCAGGTGGCCTGAATGCATTTCTTGGCAACGGTCCATAATCCGCATCCATGGATGGTACTCTATGGTTGTTATCAAAGACATCATGTTGCATACTCCGTACATTTTGATAATATGTAATGTTTTATGCTCGTTTGTGCCCCAAAAGATAACTTTTGGTGGATAATCATTCAAGGATCACAATATATCTGGCTTCACAGAAGATGCTCCGTAGGGTGACCGGATCATACAGACAAACAGTCCGGGCAACAGTTCTTTCTTTTCTCAATATCCTCTGACACTGTATGACCGTGCAGTCCAGTGCCTGCATATATGATACATATTCATAGTAGGTAGCCCTTGTTAGTGTACAGAGCAAAGTAACACACGGCTGCAATTAAAACTCAAAATCAGCGATCAACTTTGGTCACAACATGCTGCTTTGGACTAGGTAGAGAGAATGAGGTTCTTCGGTAATATCACTTGAACGGAGTAGTTGCATTGGCTTTATCTCATCATGAAGAGCTGCAGAATGATCCATTACGCAACCTAGGACTCGTCTTCTGGGTTGACCTAGTTTGACTGCTGTCCGTATCTAGCTTGGGGACATAAACTATCATTGTTAATTCCGTTTATTCTAAATTTAGGTGAGTAATTTAGAACCGAGTGCGGAGTACTCCGTATAACCTTCCAAATTCAGAAACCACATACGGAATATGGAGTAAATTTGAGAATTCACTCAGGTAGTAATCGCATCAACGAGAGCTTTGAAGGATTCTACATGCCTTGATTACCCCGCATCAATTGATACTAATTATGTCGTTGCTTCGATGTTTGGTTGCTAATTATGGCAGACGGACTTTGTAATTTCCACTAAATATACCTCATGTAAGTATTAATAGAAGTTTTGAGGATTTCTGTTCAGTTGATCGATCAAAAAGGGGAAATCAGCTGCCATCTCATTTTCAGGAACAGATGAATTAGCCTCAATTAAGGCGCTTAAGTGTTGCTAATTAAGGAGACTTTGCTCGCTGTAGTCTTATCACCGTCCGAGCGTCAGTCTCGGCGCATTAGTGCCCTCCAGCTCCTGCCCGGGTCGGCCCCACGGTTGGCTATGAGTCCACCGTTCTGCATAACACTGATGACACTAAAATTGAATTCGTCTTAGGGCGTGAGGCCAGTCGGCGAATCACAAGCTGAAGATAGAAGCTTGGCATGCAAGAGCTGCTTCTTCATCACAGTCTAACTCTGCATGCTTTTCACCAACCCATTTACTTCTCGGCCAATACCATCAGATCTAGTCCAAATTTTTCCAGCCTTCGGGGTTTAGCGTCAAGGTAGACTGACTCGTAAGAATGGACGGGGCACCTATCATTCTGGCGGGATTAATTACGTTCGCTGATTCCAACAAACCAACAACCCCGCTTCTCACACAATTTCACGGGGGCATCTTCGGATAATGTTGGTTGGTTGTCAATTCATAACTGTGAGGAAATGTATGTAGAACCAGAATCTTCTTGGGGATTTCCTATTCTCCGTTTCGAGCCGAACGTAAATATTTGGACGGGGCAAACCGCTACAGTCAAAAGGCCAAAATTAAGTGAGTTTGTAACGATGAGCCTATCAGAGTCGTGATTCACTGTGCCCAGAGTTGCACTAAGTGGTAGGTGAGGTGCTTGAAAGTTGGTAATTACCCCCGAAAGAGTTGGGCATTAGCAGGGATCACTCATAAATTTACTGTAACTCTCGTGCATCATGGGCCCCCCTGGTCGTCCTACCAGAGATCACTAACTGGTAGTTGCAGACGCCACTTGATAGGATCGGCCCTGGATACCTGTCGTCCGTCACTCGTCGTGCTTATACCCCTGCCTCGTCCCAAATTTAGTTTTGAGAGCGGACCAACAACCCGTGCGTCGAAAGTGATTTGCTGCTGGGGTTGTATTCCCCACTCGATGTTCGCATATTCTTCCGACTCGAACTAGGCTGGTCTACCGCTTCCAACAAATTTAGAAGCATGCAGGCCACGGCTGCTGATCGTAGCTCAGACTTATAACTCGCCGCATCCGAGATCTCGAGATAAAAGATCTCCTTCGAAATCGTCTCGAAGCAGTGTGTTTTCCATCCTTCGTTTCCATCTTCCTTTACATACCCCTAATAGAGTGTATAAGCTGCTGGTTCGGCTATACCATTACACCCTCCATTTAGTTGTCAATAAGGTGGCTGGGCCTCCTCGTCAACTACATTATTTTCCGTCGGCCGTGCCGCCCCCTCCCGGTTATTTTGATTGTCTTTGTCATTGATTGATTATTTCTCTCCATCAATACTGGATATTGGGGATATTGTTACGAAAATGCCGAATACAAAACCTTCAGGTGTCGCTCCAACAAGCAGGAGGGCTTCTTCTGTGGCGGAAAGGTCTCTCAATGGGCAAGTGGATAAGTCTGGACGCATGCACAAAAGGTCTCGCTCAGGTATGCACATACACACTGACTCCATGGTTGATTGAACCGGTTAGGTTGCTAACATGGAAAATCTGCATAGGTTGCTTCACCTGTCGCCTACGAAGAAAAAAATGCGATGAGGGTCATCCTGCTTGTAAAGCTTGTGCAAATCTTTGCATCAAGTGCGAATATAAACGACCCGCGTGGTGGAGCAATGCGGAGCAAAGAAGACAACAAAAGGAAAGAATCAAGACCAAAATAAAGCAGACCAAGTCATTGGAACGAAGTGGCTCCCTCCAGGGTTCGTCGGCTAGCTTTTCTTTCGTTTCAATTTCATTTGACCAGACTTCTGACATTTCTCTCAGATCATATGAATCGCACCCTCTCGTCACCAAATTCTGGTGAAGCCGATTTTAGCCGCCCTAATTATGCTGAGAAATACGATTCAAGTTTCGCAGCGCACTTTTCAACCCCCGGGTTCGTGCCCATATCTTATTCTCAGCATTATCCCTATGAAGTTGATGTCAAGACTGAACGGCAAACTTTTGTTAACGATGTACCTCTGAGACATGATTCTTCGATCTCAACCTTCAATGCGATGGGCCCGCCGCAACTTAACGCCACACTTCCCACTTTCCAGTCAGATGAGTGGTTTCAAGAGGAGTGTTTCGAATCTTCGAGCCAGTTTTCCCAAGCCAATACAGCCCTGGGGACCCCAAACATTGGACAATCTCAAGCCTCCTTACAAGCCAATATCCCCGTCGATGACTATGACCGGCCACTCTTGGATCACTTTGTGGACAACGTCTTGCGTATGATTTTCCCAATCCTGGAAGTCCACCAACGCGGTTCTGCACGGGCTAGATCTGTGCTTCAGTCTCTTGAAACAAACAAGTCATACTTCCACTGTTGTCTTAGCGTTGCTGCAATTCACCTCAAGACAACAAGTAGATTGAACGGTGAACAAATTGACCACGATATTATGCGCCATCGCTATGAAGCAATTTCTGAATTGTGCCAAGCACTGAACAAGGATGCCGACCACGAGCATATTCTAGATGCAACACTTGCCATGATCTTTTTCCATTGTTCAGTTGGCGCGCCTGATGATTATCTCCCGGATATTCCCTGGAATGATCATTTCCAAGCCGTGTCAAACTTGGTTAACAAACTGGATCTGACCAATAAAGTGATCAGCTGTGGTCCCATGTACACAGTTCCCCCGTTCAGCATGTCATTGACATCCTGGATTGACATTTTGGGCGCTACAATGCTTGGTAAAACACCTCAGTTTGCACATTCTTATCGCTCCAAGCACCTGAGTGGAACATCTTCTGGCCTCCGAGAGCTCATGGGCTGCGATGACCGTGTCATGTATCTCATCTCTGAGATCGCCTGTCTCGAATCGCTCAAGATAGAGGGTCGCATTGACTCCATCACTGTCTGCACACATGTTTCCGCTTTGGGCAGTCAATTGGAATACACAGAAGATGCCGATTCAACATATAAAAGCCCCTACTCTCCAGGAACTGGAGCAATTCGTCCAGAGACATTGACTAAGACTATGACTGCCATCTTTCGGATTGCCGCTCGAATCTACCTATGTAGCCTTATTCCCGGTGCCGACCGCAATCAGACCAGCACTGTCAACCTTGTCAACGCACTGACAGAGGCTATGTCATACATTCCAGCAGGAGCATTTGGGTTTGATCGCTCGCTTGTTTGGCCATTCCTCATTGCCGGTGCCTTCTCTACTCCCTCCAGTCCATTCAGACAGGCCCTGGATGACCGAATCACGGCCTTGGGAGATCTGGCTGATTTGGGAAGTATCGGTCGCATGTATCAATTACTGAATGAGTACTGGCGGTTGACAGATGATCCCGTCGGTTCAGCTTTCCCTTCGGGAGAGGCCGAGCTTGAGACAGGATATCAATCCATGGAGGCAAGGCCGGATTCTGTCCCATCTGCTCCCCTCTTGTCTCCTGGAATGCGGGAAATCAAGAGGCAACATGTTCACTGGCGAGATGTGATGAACAGAAACGGCTGGCGCTACCTTCTCATTTAAATATATTGCAAGAGCGAGTCGAGATTTCAAGGGTCAGCTTTCTGTGCGTTCAATTGTTGGATTTTTAAATGATACCTCCTGGGCTCTCTCGTTAATTAATGACAGCAGTCGGGATTGCATATATGCTATATAGGTGGGCAAAGCATTGGCACGTTTTTGTTTTCCATGGCGTCTAATATTCGCGTTGGATTCTATCCACCGACTCTCGCTTTTCTTGCTTTTGTCAATTTTATAGGTGTTGTTTTCGTCGCTATCTGGGCCGAAGTAAACTTGCATTTCCCTTATGAACTCTAGTCCTCGTACCTTCTCCTCGGGTTTATTCCCCAGATCATTTGGATCTCATCTCGTTTATATCCTTAACATCTGTTGCGCTTTCGTTCATGGATATCTTGCACTAGGATGATCACTAGCCAAATCTTCCGTTAGAAGTGGTATCCTTCGGGAGAAATACATTTTGTTATGCACGGGCATTTCCTCGATATCCAGATATTACTCTCTCCTTTATCGTAGTTTATGCAACAATGTCATTTTGTGCTTCATTTCTTCTATAGGTCTAGAAGACTAAATAGGGAACATGGATGTGTCTTTATTTGAAGCCATGGCAGACTAGGATCGATTGGAGCCAGGAAATCTTTGGGCTCCAACGAACACTAGAACACTAGGCCGATTCGATGAAGCGCTCTTGCATTCACAGGGTGGACTTGTTTCACGGCAAAGAAGGTTCTTGCTGGCGGGTTTGTGCATGACTAGCAAAGGAGCGCTAGAATCAAGTCATTTGGCGGCAAGCAACCCATCATAATACGTAGGTATTTACCTGTCGATGAATTGAAGCCAAACAATTTTTGTGATCGAGGTATTCTTGGAACCCAATGTAATATGAGAGCAAAGTTTGCGTTGTGAAACAAGTGCCGTGTCTTGCAGCGAGCCATTATGCAGGTCAAGCAGCTGAGGAATCTAATATCTGATATGAAATAATGTCTCCGAGAGCTGAAGTGGCATAGTCGACAGCTTAGTGTAAACTGGAAGTCCATCTATGGAGTAGGGTGTACAACTAGTGGCTGTAGGTACATGCAACCACCGGTCCAAAGCAAGCATGATTGGACAATCATTGCAACCACTGGCCTCAGCGATTGATGAAACAATAGCTATGTGTTTTCGGAGAGTAAGACGTACTTCGCGGCGGTTGTTTATGGCTTGGGAAGCCCCCAGCCAAGTACAATTTAAAATCCCAGCCCATGATACAATGTCGAGCCGCCGATGCTATCAATGCCGCGCGCTCCCATAGTAGCGAGCCATGATGGGCAATCTTCTGCATATGTTCCGTTGCTGAAGAAACCAAGCCGCTGGTCGACGCCTCAGTCGCGTGGGGCGTATTTTGGGAACAGGGTAGGGCAGGCACTACTGCTTCAGGGAAGCGCGCGACAATGGAACCGGTGTTTTATCCCACAGATGGAAGCGGTTATCATTTGGATTCGATGGGGTATATAATAAGTCTTGGAAGCCACTTCTGGCTGGTTTGTAGTCATTGCAGCCACCTTCTTTTCTTTGGCTTGTTTATACCATACACTCATTCGTTTTATTAGTCAAGTGCTGGTCGCTTGTACACATTTCTCATTCGAACCAGAATATCATTGAGGCTTGCAGTTCATTTGGGGGCGAATTCTCCCATCCTTTCGCTCAGCCCCCTTTATTGAGTCTTGACAGCAGGACTGGTGAGCGCAAGACTCGCATCCTACGGGGCCAAAGCGATTAGCCACGCTAACCCCGTTTTAGTCGAACGCCTACGTATTGACTGATACCGTCCAATACGGTACAGCTGATACGGTTCTGTACAATACGGTCTGTCGTGTCGTACTCTGCCCATATAGAAAAAGATCTCCGTGGCCCTCCTGAGTCTTTGCTTCTTGGTAAGACTTACTTATTTCCCTCAGTGGCTCTGTCTTCTCGACCATTGCCCTAACCTTCTTCTCCATTTATCCAGATATTTCTTCACCTCCTTTTTCAACAATACACGCGCAATCTGTTCTCGCCTTGTGCTTGCGTTACTAGTACATCCCTCCAAACTGAAGCATTCGAGCCCATCGTTTCTGCGCTTTCATCATCCAACTTGTCTACCCTGTTGAGCAAGATGCCTTCCCAAAAGCCCGATCTGCATCCGTTGAAGACTCCAAAGTCATTCATATTTCCCTCGGAAATACACAAGGACTCCAAGACCCTCACCGTCGATGACATCAAACGCGAAGATGGAAGCGCAACGCCTATCACACCCCCACTAGCATATACCGATTTTCTCAATGCCCTCACACCAGTCTTTACAAGTCCGGTTAGTGCCGGGGGTTTTCCAAAATTTTCGGTCGAGAAAAGCGACCCGTCGCCAATCTCGCTGCCGTCTACTGCAACTAGTCCCGCACTATCCTCTGGGAATTCACTCAAATCGCCCGCCACACCATGTATTTCTCTTCCGCCCCCTCCTCTTGCACTGCGAAATCATCCAAGGCCCCGCCTGCGCTAAGACGACTCCGCATTCCTCAATCGCTCAAGCCATTCTCTTCAAAGGACTCTCCACGAACTGCCACCCCGTGTAGTGCAACCCCATACAGCGCGAGTCCATATAGCGCAAACCCGTGGAGTGCACTTCCTCGTAGTGCAACAAGTGCTCGGTCACCTTTCTCTCCGTCGGATTGGAAACTTCGATATCTTGAGCCACCCAAAAGTGCAACTACGAAAGCTGTGAGTGTTAGGCAAGTCGTGACTCGGACGGTCACATACAAGCGCACCCCGCTTGATCCCCCTCCGAAGGGAAAAAGACGCAAGACCCAAGAATGTCGAGATGTTTGAGCTGGTATCTTTCTCGCAATTCATTATTTGGGGCGCTCGTTTTTCATTTTTGGTTTCATTTTGATTATATGAGCAATATCGATGAGGCTTCGGGATGCGGAGCACGTTTTCGGAATCTGCCTGATCCTCAAGTCCTTATCAAACACTATTGCCTAATGGTGGGAACTACATAGGTTCTTCCTTGCTGCTTTGGTGCTGGCGTTTTTCATTTGCTGCGTTCTATCATGAGAGCGAATGTCTCGTCTCACAAGTGCAAGTCAGAAGGCGGGGTTGGGGACACGGAGTTGGCTGGGTTGGGGTTTGCAATTATGGCGTCTCTGTTTACGTGCACGATATGTTGTCAGTTATCAAAGGGTTTCGGTTTATGGGGATACGACTCGGGCTTTTTGTTTTGTCTTGGCTCTTTAATATTAGGCGTCAAAATTGGTCACCGGACCAATCTGGTAGCATTTACGGCGAATATATTCTGGTGCATTCCTCGTCTCTTACTGCTTGTTTTTTATAGGCCTTCTGCAGGCTCTCTGGATTCAATTATCCGCCGTATGATACTATAAAAATACTTGGTTTTCGGTTTTTACTAGGATGGGTTCAATCCTCTCAATACAAGTACTTTTGTTTGATATGACCTCGGGAGGCCCCTTGAAGCTTAGTGTGAGCCTCATTCGTCTCCAAGGTTGTTTTGGGTCGAGACCTCGGGCTGATCGTAAGGCAGAGAAATCCCTAGTCGATTTCGTCCTATCATGAGCTGATCTATCATCGACAACTCGCCATGTCTAATGTCTAACCACCTCCACGTGCCGAGTGCATTCAATGGTAGCTAATGACAGAACAGAAAACTCCAACACAATATCCAACGTCGGCGGGAAACAAGGAATAACCCCACTAGCGCGGTTCTTGCTTACATGCTAGGCTAGACAAGGGATCTCTAGCGTCCTCTCTGAAACTCGGAGATTTCATCATCAGCTATCAAATGCAAATTCTCTGATTCACATGTGTATATCTACCCATGTGTACCAAGATGTTCAATTGGTAACTCTTTGCCCCAATACATCCTGACAAGACTAAATCTACTATATAGTTACAGGAGATGGCAATTTGGTTCCTGAATCATGATCTACTAAGGAAGGTTGATATACCAACAAAGATATTTTTGTTGCTAAACAGAATTGAGCGAATTTGTAGCCATTTCTTTGTCGATTCGCCCCTAGATCCTGGCGCTTCGAGAAAGTTTTGAGGGCTGTCCAAAAAACGGTGCGTTGAGCATCCCGCTAAGTCTTCATATTGGGGGCTCCCAACACGTATCAGCATTTCTAATGGTCTGTATACTTTTTGCGGTAACCTTTTCCTAATGAGGCTGAGAGTGCCAAGCAGTCGGTATTCTTCTCCCACATCAATCCTTGAACGCCACTGTCTGCCTTGCGTCCTACAATACTCCGTACTCCATACGGAGTATATGGTTCAAAGTTGCAAATAGAACAAAGACTGACTCGTAGGATTGCATATCCAGTGAGGCTCAGTGCGCAGTCATCCGTCTCTAATATCTGATTGCACTGGCTCAATGTCGTATCAGACCATGACAACCGTCAGAAGACTGGTTTTATGTATCAAAGAGGGTAATATAATATACTAGTCTCAGCTTATAGATATACAGGGCAATATATTAGAATAGGTAATGCCATTGTTGAGTTACTTGGATTTACAGTATGATTTAGGCTACCTGTAGATATCTACCTAGGTAGGTACATAAATATCCCATCAATGTGAACAACCTTGAAGGGTTGGTATTGCTACATGTAATTTGTAAACTTTGCTTTTACAGACCTGCTCCACGACGTATGTATGTATACATATTATAACACCTAGGTACATGTATGTCCAGCTTACATCAGGGCCTACATACGCAGTACCTACATACCTAGGTAATATATAAGAATCGTATCTGACCTCGGAACGTGGGCATTCGAAAATTACCAAAGTATACATCAGTGTAAGACATTGTTTCCATACAACCTCAATCTGTGCTTTCACGCCTTATTTTAACTAGTGAGCCTAGTTCATACAAAAATAGCAAAGCTATTCTGAATCAAATTGCGACTATCGATTTATTGAACCTTCGAGTACGGCCCTTATGGATCCTTGGTTCAATTGTCTTCCAAGGTTGTTCAAAATGCATGTTACCGACTGTATCGATACATAGATTTACGCACCACTTGTTACATGAGACGATTCCAATCAAGCTGCAGTCATAAACTTCATTTTGTTCAACTTAAAAGCTTGCTTGAGGTGATGAGCTATGTTATTATTGACCATTGAGGAAGCATAGCAGAGCATCCAAATTTCTCTCCTTGGGAAGATTTGCGCACAGTTCCATATATGGAATTAGGCCCGGTGATAATCTCTAAGCGCCCACGCTAACCCCGTATTTACATTAGCAGGCCCATGTTGGCGGGTCAGGAGCCCGTTGAGCCCCGTTTTCGACCATGGTTGGCTCCACAAAGCCTTGGGTCCCACTGTGGAGTGTTTGTCCTCAAACTTGTGCTCCGTACTCTTTATCTAGGTACATTCACATAGTGTAGCGTGGCAAGAAGTCTCGCCACATGTTTCAACTTCCAAATTTGGCTTCGTGTTGATCTGAGGTAATGGGTTTCATAGACTGACGGAGTATATAGCTCGATTATCCAGGTACATCAATGCACATGTACTCCTTACGGGATATAATAGTCTCATATTAACTGAAGATGTGTTATTCGGTGATTGAAATCTTTGTTGTTTGTCCCGTGTCCTTCCAAGTACAGAGTAATTTCAGCAACGCTATTAATCTCGGGGCAAAAACCGGTGTGCCACCAAGGATGCAATACCCTTTCACCGACATTAGCGTGAAGACATTTCTATTAGATGCCCAACTACTCCGTACTCCGTACTCCGTACATAAGACCCTATGTTGATAAAAGTAGGGGGTAGGTAAATCTTGGCCAATGAGAGTGGGGTAATAGCCGCCGTGGCTTTGCGCATCCATTTGCTAGCTGACTTGGGATATTCCCCCATATCCCAGCTATCCGTGATCAGATTATCTCTTTTTTCAAGCCATTGTTCTAATTTTACCCTACATGGGCAGTGGGGTAGAGCTTAACACTGGAGGGTTATTTTTGGAACCAAATGGTCGGGATGTCAACTTCATATCACATACTCCCTACAGGGCTTAATATATACACCACAACACCTCATGCTCATAAAATATATCAAAGGGCTGTGGACTTGATTGCAAATGCCTTCTCTTTCTTTCTCTAAACTCCATAACATCATCAATCATTATTTTCTTGAGCATCATTCTATCCAATGTAAGCCAGAGAGAGCAAAGCTCTCGCCTGGGTTGATATACTTTCTTCTTCTTTGGTATCTTCTCTATGTCGAGTGACAATCATTTCGAACCTTTCGAGATCAGCTCTAGACGGTTTCCACCAGTCACAAGCGGCACGCCTTCTTATAACTCATCTTTCTGAGAAACTATTCACATGTGTGGCCGATCCTTCATCGTGGGTGGTCAACGCACTGTTCTAACAATAGGATCCCATGAAAATATTATGATTTCTTTCTTTCTTGGCTTACCGTTCATCCACTGAACAAAGCTGTTACGGAACTTAATAGGCTCAACGGCAAAGTTGCAGAACCTCCGAAGTGCATCTCTAGTCAACCAGTCTTTACCCACTCTTTGTCTATCACTGGCTCAGGAGGCCTTGTCGGATCATATCCTTGCTAGTGCTGCTTCGGGAGAGCTGAGGTTGCTAAACTTAGCAACGAGAGGCATACACTACAGTTCCCGAATCTTGAGCGACGATCCGTGTCAGCCTTCTTCTTCGGACTAATCAAAGTCTTCGGCTATGAATAGATCCTATTCTCAAGTCCACTAGTGTCTTATCTCCTTGACAGAAAGGCAATGCTGCCGCCGGTTCCATCTTTTGTGAACCACAATGATCAATCTACTGGCATCTGATGCTGGAACTATGTGATAGCACTGCAAAGATGGGCCATCACTTCCAAAAATAACTGTCTGTTATGGCTCTCCTCTTGACAGTGCGTTTTGGGTGCGTATCTCTTCTTTTTGGGCACTTGTTCTCAACTTGTATCATACAGTATGATACTCATACCTTTGTTGACTCTAAAGAGATCCTAATGTGGAATAGAAGGTCTTGACTCTGAATATCGTCAGCCAGCCCATGCATCTTCGTCTACTCCGTACTTTGAAACCAAAACATGTCGCGATGATGTGCCTCCAGATCTCTTCCTCAGGCGGCGATCAGCTGTGTCGACGTCGGATTTGCTCCAAGATTGCTAACTCTGGCCTGCGCGTCGTCTACGAAGACTATCAAACCTTCCTAAGTTATCTGTTTATCTATGACCAGCACAAAACTAATCCTGTCCTTCTGTCCCTTACCAATAGCTCAACATCTCGCCATTGAACTGGCTGATACATTATTTGCAGTCAACAAAGCAAATGTTGCCAGATCCACCGACCGTATGGCATTAACTTGAACCCGAACCTTCGATTGGTGGTGGATATAAATAGAATGCATGTCTTCGATGCAGGAGTGCGGGGTCTATCACACTCGACGTTGTGTGTCTGCTTGCACGGGCCTCGAAATAGGTGCTATTTTTGTGGTGATCATGTTCCTTTGAGGTGTTCCTTTCGTTGCTATTTTGGAAACCATCGTTTCATCTTTGGAGCATAAAAGGCAAGCTCCCCAACAGATAATGGTCCCCAAAAAGATGGATTCGGGACTGACTGTGAACAGGTGCAACTGGGTTCTAAATTTAGAGGCGGGGGGACAAAGCCTCCGATGTGATGTGATGCGATTGACCTTCTGTAACATGCCCCTGTAATAAGCCAGCGAATTACAGCGGACAGAAAAATCACCCCGATCCAGTTCGGTTAGAGTATCTCCCACTCGAAGCGGGCAGTCAAAGTAGGATGGAATGAACGGAGTACATAGAATGATTTTCAAAATCCCGTGATCGACCCGCCTAAAGCCCTTCGTCCCCCATTCTGGTGCGGATTATTCCCATCCCACCCAAACCAGGTCTACCTCCTTTCGTGTCTTTCTACCTGCTGAGCCGTGCATTGCCCTAAGCACGCCTCGAGTCAACCAAGTGCATATCGTCTACCCCCAACCTCAGAACGTACCGTGATTATCTTCTACCTCGCCTCCAGTCATGTCCCAAGCCACCCCCACCTTCACAGTGGACCGCGAATTTACTGAGCTTGAAACCTGCCAAACCCCCAAAGGTGGAAGTTTGTCAATAACCGCATTAGCCCGGTTCGAATTCGAAGCTGGAAAAGGAAACGATGGTACCAAAATCCTCATGATTGAGTGGGAGGACGATGATCTCTCCCGATCCATGACCGATGGGTCATGGCATGTCTCCTGGGCCGGAAAGACTTCCGTACTGCCCGCCGATGAACGGCCTAGTGATAGCTTACGCCGCTTCTACTTCTTGCTCCCACCCAATACCACCATCCCGCCTGTCGTCACGCTTTACTATGAACCGCGAATCCCCCGATCAGACGAGCCAGATCTCGCCGCCCCTCTGCCTTCTAAGCCACGGGACGCTCTCCGGCTCAATCCTCTTCCCGCTATCTTCCCCCTGAACTGGGTGCTACAGGACGTGCAGCAGGCAAGAAGGGTGTCTTGCACACAATCTGGGCGAAGAAGCGCCTTCGAGTTCTGGAGCAAGAGATCGATGCCGAGTCCCGCAACAATGTGGAAGGTATTGCGTTGCATATGGCCATTAGTGAGAAGGAGTGGATTGAGGACAACTTCGGCCTAACTGCGCGCACCGTCGACTCTGTCTCCGGCAGCCATGAGTCCTCAGTCTATCCTACAGGGCCAGCGACACCCGTGTCGCCCGTCAGTGGAAAAAAGCTAAGCGACAAGCTTAAAGGATTAAAGCTCCAGACAAGTGAGAAGGACCTGTCAGTAAACGGAGGTATGTTGCTTCGCCCCCATAAATTTTCTATCAGCTACATTCGTGATGCTAACATCAATCAGGCTCAGATTCCAATGCCGCCCACCTACTTTCGCCTCAATCTCCCGATGTTGCTGTCTCATCGTTCAGCTCATTCCGCAATGTTGCCCATAGACACATTCACTCTATGCCGACACCAGACACCAATCCCACACCGACACCAGACTCTCACACTAATCCCTCCGGCCCCGAATCACTCAAGCCAGTTGCACTTTTCCCACCCTCGGTTTTGCAGGAAGCTCAGCAAAACCATAACCCCACCGGTTTCGCGGCTATGGGCACGATTTCGCGCACTGCAAGCAACGATTCCGGTGAGGATTTGTTCGCGAAGGCCCTGAGCCCACGCTCACCAGATCTCCCTCGAAGCCCTTTCTCATTTTGTTGAACTTGACTTTTTTATACATGATATGATCTCATCCCATCTTTCACGACTTCGCGCAATGATTCCCCTTCTGCGGTGCTATACCATATGTCCACACTACATGCATCTATGATCATATGTCCATCCTTTTTGTTATGTTAATATGCTCCAAATGCATATCATGCCTCATTGCTGCATTTTCATTTGCTATCTTTTTCTTGCATGGATATGCCATACCATATCTATGGGTCCCATATATATGTACATAAACGAAGGTCGAAGTTGGCGACCCCTTGACAACGAAGAAAACAAGGCATCTTCAATGATTTTCCTTTTGCGACAGTAAATTCTCATCTTCGTAGTTGATTAGAGAGAGAATTACAGCTAGCAAGTCATCACACTATCCCACCAGACAGAACCCCACATCCCGAGAGTAAAACACAAGCGCAAGAGAAACAAATAACATTAAATTAGTTGTTCTTCTTCCGCTGGCTACCCTGTCGACCAGGCTTACCAGCAGTCGCAGTCGACGCACCGGAAGAAGCAGCAGTCGCCTCACCAGACTCCTTCTCAGCCTTCTTGGTAGCAAAGGACTCATCTTCCTGAGCATCCTTGCGCTCCGCATACCACTGTCCAGCCTGCAGCACCAAGATACCGACAAGGACCAGCGCGAGAATAGTATTGCTAGCAGAGAGAACCTTGAGCGAGTCCTCACGGTCGAGGATCTGTTCCTTCTCTTCGGCGTTGGTGGCCAGGGCGGCGCCATACTGGCCGGCAGTCGCAAGGCGCAGACCCTTGACGATGTTGGCGATGTAGACTGTCACGCCGCACATGTAGAGGACCAGCGAGGCGCCGTCAAACAGCATGTTGGACTCGGAGGGCTTGAAGAGTTTGGCGAGGAGACCGGCCAGACCGAGGAAGATGACGATGTGCAGGATGCGTGGGATGAGTGGGGGCGAGGCGTGGAGGAAGCGGAGGTGTGCTTCGAGGTAGTCATAGTGCGCGGCTGGGGTAGTCACGGTGGACCACAGGATCGGGTAGTCATAGGGGAAGAGGGAGAAGATAATGCCCAGGAAGAAACAGGTTGCTGGTTGGGGAAGGGGGTTAGATGATTTGCGGTCTCGTGGCCTCTTCGCCGTTGGGGTCCGGGGAAAATCTGGGGATTGCGATGGGGACTTACGGCAGACGATGAGGAAGGTCGCGAACGACCCGCTTTTGAAGGCCATTGTGAAAATACGGAGAGCAGAGTTCTGAGGGTGTGAGATGTAAAGAAGAGAGGATTAGGGGCGAAAGCTGAAGTCTGGTATCGCTAAGCGGCTGCCGCCAAGCCCTCGGGAGATAACATTGGCAAATTCGAGACTCTCGTTCGACTCTCGACTACTCGATTAGGTGCATGTCTCAGAATTAAGTGGCATTCGCTTTTGTTAAACAAGTGTATGGTACAGATTTCAACGCCTATAGCGCCGTTTTCATAAATAATGCGAGTGGTATCTTCCCAGAATATCCCGTAAATGCAAATGTACATAAAAACATCATCGCTGGTATCGAGGCAGCGACTCGTCTGCATGCGCAGTCCCGCCCACCAGCTGGTCGTCTTCATCGAACACAGGCGCACTGGGCTCATTACTGGGCCCGTGGCCATTGGCCTCGTCTTGGGGTGCGCTCGCCTGGTCCTCGAGCCGTTGGCGCTCAAGCTCTTGTTTGTCGTCGCCTGAGACACGTGGCGCACTAGGCCCGGCAGAAGTGCCGTTCACACCGACAGTCTGCAGAATCTCTGCAGACCGAACAGTATGCGGCCTCCCGCTTGTATCTGGTGAAGGCACGTGCTGGTAGTCTTGAAGATGATGATCATCCGGCAAAACCGGCGCGGTCGGAACCTCCATTGGTAGTGTGGATGGTCCTGCCTCGTCTTCATCCGGCGGTTGGCTTGGCAAGAGAGCTTCCTCGTGGCGTCGTACTCGAGCTTTCTCGTCGACTGGCTCCTCAACTTCCGGAGGCGCAACCATAGGGTCCATGGACTGGAAGTGTTCAGGGTACTCTTCAGCGTACTCTGCCCAATCTGTCTCCTCGGGGAAATAGGCCACCTGTATCCCATGTTCACCATGAGAATTAGGCATCGAACTGGTCTCTGGCCACCCTTCTCCCTCAACGGGATTAACTTTAATTGCAGCTGGAGAAGGTACCATTTGTGATGTTGTCGAGTCGCCAGCTGTAGATGATGTACGCTTCGTGGATTTCCCTCGCCGTGAATCGCGCGTCCCAACAACGACTTCAAAGGCCACCGATATCACTCCCTTTTCACGGCGAATCGAATCCGTGTCCAAGATGTTGCCAGCCCAATTAGCAGTAACGCCGCTTGAATCGGTTGGATTTAGAACCTGTCCGCTGGGCGAAAAATTAGGACCACCGGAGGTCATGTTGAAACGCGGGATGAAGCGGTCCGGTGAAGTGATCTTTCCACGCAAGTCCGTTACAACCTCCACATAGTACCGAAAATTGATCATGGCTCCCGGTACACGGGTGATGGTTGGAAACGCGTCTTCTGGTATTCGGATAGAAGTTTTTATGATTGCAGTCATGGTACTTGGATCAACGATCAGCGGAGCAAATGTCTGCGACAAGTCTTTGCGAAAGGTGCTGCTTGTCCGACTCGTTCCCAAGGTAAGACCTCCAAGCCCAGTCCGTGATCGAGGATAGCAATCTTCATAGACTGGCTTTTTCCCAGCTACCGTAGTGCCCATGGGGATTGCGGGGTGTAAATCAATGCGACCTTGTCGATATAAAGTGATCATAATTCCATGTGCACTGCGCACTTGTTTACAATGGTTGATCGTGACTGTTATAGGCAGGGTGTCGCCAGGGAGCACGCCGGCGCGCAGAAGTTCGGCCTTTGCGGTGATGGTTTTATCTGATAGGGACGGGGTCACACTGCGACTGTCACTGTTTTGTCCACCGGTGCTTGCTGATGAACCGGGATCACTGGCGATGCGAAAGCTCTGGCTGCTTTCGCTGGGTCGGCTGGATGAGCTGACATTACTTGGCGAAGGGCTCAGTGGTGGTATGATATCTATAGATGGTGCTGCGCCACTAATAGGAGTATCGACCGAGGATGTGTCAGGCCCTGCAGTTGCGTCGGAACTTGTTGATTTGGCTTTCCCCCTCGGTTTCGAACGTTTTGTGATCGGTTCCAATGTAACAATGCGGGCCCTGGGTGCAGGGAAGGGTGCGATATCGATGTTTTCTAAAATATTGACTCGCTTTCGGCAGGAGAGCGTAGGGTTCATGGTAGTCGGTCGAGTAAGGGTAGAGGTAAGTGAGTAGCCGATGATTCCGCGCTCAAACTGCAGATTTCCACCTGGTTAGCATAGTCGAATAAAGTGGCGGCATAAGCAAACGCACGTTGATGCTGCTGGGAAGTGCATAAGGAGGAAGCCCCATTTCAAATCGAAACTTGTATATGCCCTCCTTTAGACGTCCGTCGCCACATAGAACAACTTCATCTTCAAACAAAGTTGCCAATCCATTGCCCAAATATTCAGCACCGCGTCGACCCCGTCCTGGTCCTAAGAATCCCAAGTCCGGGGTTATCTCCCCAGCCGGAATCGCGTTCTTGAACACCTTGACATAGCCGTGGAGGCATATCACAATATGAGTGATGCGAACGGGTCGCACAACGGTCACGACAACGGTGCCTTTGATGACATCACCGGGGAAATATGAGCGCCATGGGTCATCTGGATCGATGTAAAAGTCGGTAATGCCGCGATTCCGTTGACCGAGGGGGGAGCGAAACTTGGACAGGAGAGAGTTGCGATTCCGACTGGCCGGCAAGGTAGGTTGGGTGGGAGGGTTGGCGGACATGACACACGGACACTATCTACTGCATCTATACAAGACAGTATGGCAGGGGGGTGAGAGGGAAGGTGGGGATGATAGACTGCAACCGCTTTGGCACCGATCGGACAGACACGCCGGTGGACTCTGGAGAAGCACGGAATGGCGGGGAAAGGTCAGACAGACCAGTAGGCAGTCAGCCTACGTCAATGGAACCGATCGAGCGACACGATAAGTAGATCGGTTTGTCGAGGGGTCTGGCGTCCAGGGCCAGTGCACCGGACACGGTCTGGTTCCAAACGTTGACGAAATGTATCCTTCTTCACGAGCGAGATTCCCCGGGTCCAAAGAAAGGAATGGGAATTATGATCGAAGGCCACTACACCACATTGTTTCTCGTGGCATCGGGGCGCGAGGCAGGAGTTCGACGGTACCCCCGCCGGGAAGTCGTGTCTCGCAGGGTCAGGCCGTAAGATAAGAGTGGATAATGCAGGTTGGGGAGGAATGACAGATTCGAATAGGACCAATGGGCCGGTGTCGCTGAATGCTAGGACCTGCAGGCGAGAGCCCAGAACAAAGTCGGGAGAGAGGGAGGCGCGACTGGAGATAGCGCGAGAGTTGGAGGAATGTGGGACTCGAGAACGCACGAGCCAACGTCAAGAGGCGATCGAGGGAGGGGTGATTCTAGGAGTCCGGAGTAAAGGAGGAGGGGGGATATGAATAAAGAGAGAGAGAGAGAGAGATGAATTGACGAGACAGAAGTCGGGAGTTTGCGATAAGCCGGGAGGCGGAGGACCCAAGGGCTTTCGATTCGCGTGTCGAAGGGTCAAGCTTCTCTTGGTGGCTCAACTAGTTTCCCCTTTTCTGGGCAATTTATGTGGATTATCACTTCGGGGATACTTGCGATACGGTGACTTAGGAATGACCCTGTTTTTAGGGAGGATTTTGTTTCACAATTTCTGACGCATCATTTCCCAAGGATGCCATGTGCTAAGCAATCCTAAGCTTTTTTGTCAAACGGATGCACCGGATCTCTTTGATTCCCCAGCTCTAGCCTAGATCACAGAGGCCCTCGCCGTCCACGTATTCGTCTCCATAACACTCCCGCAGGATCCCCTCAATGATTTGTCGGTCCCCGCCTGCTAACTTGCGCAAGTATTCCTCCAGTATGTAGATATTATCCGTCCACTGCAGTGCCTGCTGTCGGAACTCCGCTAGCTCCTCTTGGACTTGCTTCACACCCTTGCTGTTGAGCGAATTGAGGGGTCCAGAGAGTTGGGCCTCTGCAATCCGTACCCGATCAACTGCGGCTTGAAGCTCGGCTTTTTGGGCCATGAGAGTCTCCCTTTCATCTTCCTCGTCGGTCTCCTCCCCTCGGCGTAAGGTCTCAGCGGCCAACGCCGCTTCCGCATCGGCGCAAGACTTCCGGACTTTCTCCACCTCTTCTGTCACCTGGGCCAACTGGCGCTCTTGATTATGCTTTTCATCACTGGTGAAGCTCCAGTACCAGTTCCCACTGCCGATCTTTTCCACTCGTATCTGACCCTCGTCGGTTAAAGCTTGGATGTATTCCTTGACCTGGATGCCGTTGATTGATGCAACCGAGGGCAGTATCTTTTCTAGATCCTTGAGCGTGTGACAGGTCCCAGTACTGCGGAGATGAGTCAAGATCAAATCCTGTTTCGCGCTTTTGGACAATTTGGGCTGGTCAGAATGCGTCAGTAGTCTCGCTTGGATGACCCAGAATAAGGCACAGACCAACGTGGCGTACCATTTTGAAAGAGCTTTGATCAAATAACTTGAAGTATATTCATCAAGAAAGCTTACCAGCCCATGCTTCCCTCATTGGGCACATGTAGGACAGCTAAGCATTCGGTGGAGGCGCAGGTTGGGAGTCCCGGTCAGGAGTTCCCCCGAGTACAACTGGAGGTTTACCTGTCACGCGGCACCAACGCACGAGAGTACAGGCTCATCTTCCGTGTCTGATGCGCCTGATTCTGATAATTTTCCTTTCGGACTATTTATAGGATTTCTTTGCTTCTGCTTCGCCAGCACATTGGCTATGACTAGGATGTAATCTACTGGGACTCTTCATGGAGTATTGCTGTAAACAGTTCATTTGGCATGATCAAATCATGTAAATTCGGGTCTGCACCAGACCAGAGTAAATCTGATATGATCTTCTCCGTGAAGGCTCGATTGAGCCAGTTCCTGGAAGACCCTAATTGAGTTAGACGTGTCGCGTGAGACAAAATTTCTGCTGCAACGGAAACAAAGTCTTATGGCAACACATGTCGCGCCGATCTCAGCCAGAATGGAACCGAAGCTGCTGCACGATGCACAGCATATCAATCTACTTGGCGAGGGCCTCTCGGCAGCCCTGCAAATCGGCTAGATGTTGGCCAGTTTCAACGCGGCAATTTCTCGCCCCTGGAAGTAACCATGTTTGCATGGCTCCATTTCGAACATTCGGTGTAGCCGAAGCCGCACAGGGAGACGCAGCAGTGCTATTGTCTTACAAAGCACGCAGTAAAGCCTGACTGTTGCCTCTTGATGTGCCAAATAGCGGTGACGGGGACTAGGATATACGCCGAAACCATGTGCAGGGTGGCTGTGCCACGGCAGTACATGAGGTGACCCAATTCGCCTCCGAGGGGTATGGCCGAAGGTTTGCAAGATCGCGTGTAGTTTGCTACAGCTGCAGATGTCAAAAGGCTCCGAGAATATTCGGTTGCGGAGAAATGGATGCAACATCACAAGGAAGATCCCAATGGCATCTCACCAAATTATCTTCAATCATCGAGTTCGGTGTCAAAGTCAGTTGTCGCAGAAACGGAACGAGCTAATTTGCGTCGTTTTGATCTTTTTCGAATGTTACTGTTCGCACGTTTCCTTCGAGGTGGTCGTGCTGCCGAATGAGTTGTGGTGTCGCTCTCGACCCCCGTCTTTTCGTCCTCCTCCTCCGATAGCTCCCGTCCTTCGACCAGGGCCAGATCCCCTGTCTCGCCTAGTCCCTCTTTGGCCATCTCCTCTATCAAGATCCCCATTGCAAGCAACGCCGTCTCATCCATGGTCTGGTGGTCATCTTTGCCGTTATCTGCTGTAGCGTACTGGTAGTAGTCGGCTGCATAAGCATGTATCGCCTCGAGGAGCTCGGAGTTTGGGAGAGTTTGATCAAAGGGAAGAGTTTCATGGGCGAAATAAGATTTCTCCCCAATTGAATCTTCTAGAATATCCTTTCTGCGGTAAAGAAGCTCTTCTGGACGCAGAGTTCGAGCGCTTGATGAGGTTGTGTCACGGTATTGAGAGGCAAGTAGATGGCATGCGAGGACACCCCGACGATTGACGCGACCTAGCTTTAATTAGTTCTCATTTCGCTTATGGGGACGAGCTAGCAAACATACCAGCTATCGCATCGTAGACATTGGCGCGACGGTGCCTCGAGCGCTTATCGTCCGGGAGGTCCTCGTGATCCTCATCTGGCTCAACAAAAGTGTCTTCATCCACACCCAGTTGTCTAGTGGCAGACATGCTTCAGGTTTGCCGGGATACCAGTCAAGTTTTGGCAAATCAAAAAATAATGGGTATAGTAGTTAGTGCAAGAACACTGAGGATCTCCAATCACCAAATTCAATAAATGCGCCGGCACAACCTTAATCCGAAGAAGCATAGCATCATTGCTGTCGCGGAATGCTCTCACCTCTCCATGTGAAAGCACTGATGTTAATGAATGAATGAATTCCTATCTTCTCAACAGAGCGCTCGGGTCTATAACTCCAAATGACTTCCATGTGGCTCAAACAACCCGCCTAGTCCACAACCTCGAGCCCGCTCCAGGCATACGGTTCTCCAACCGCAGAGCCGCAGTGCCAGCAGACTGGTCCGATGATGTGGCGCCTTTGGATCAAGAATTAGGCGCTACGGTGGAGGTATTTGCACACAAGTCCGGTGTGAATTGCCTGGCTATTGATCAGTTTGAAGGCCGATAGTGCGTGTGGAACCACTTCGCACTCCATGCTTATTGATCTAACATGAGGGTAGTATGATATCTGGGGGTGCCGATCCATCGATTCATCTCTGGGACCTTGAATCAAGAGGCTCAGAACTCGAACATGTCCATCAGTCGTGTGCGAGTGTGAGTAAATCCTCCCACGCCGACGCGCATACACATGCAATCACATCGCTTTCGATCTACCCGTTCGATCCTGTCCCATCAACGATCTTCTCAACGGCACATGATGGTACATTGAAACTTTCAGCGCTACAATCGCCTTCTATAACTCCCGTACATACATTCAACCTCGACTGTACACCTTATTCGCACTCGTTCTCTTCTCAGGCTGGGTCTACGCTGCTTGTCGCAGTGGGAACATCCGAGCGGTCGGTCCGACTAGTAGATTTACGGTCCGGACTGTCAACACAAGGATTACCAGGGCACAATGGTGCGGTTTTATCAGTAGATTGGGCACCTCATCGACCGCATCTGCTGGCTTCTGCTTCGGTCGACAACCGGGTGATCATTTTCGACGTACGTCGTGGAGGTCACAACTCCGCCATCGCGACCCTGGATATGGACGACCCAGTGGGACTGGCAACACCAGGAACGGGCTCTGTGCCAGCTTCGTTTGAGAGTCGTCCAGCCTTTTCTCGTCACGCCCGTGCCCACAACGGACCGGTAACAGGAGTACGGTGGACCTCGAATGGCAGCCACATTGTGACAACGGGGCAAGACTCTCGAATCAGAGTATGGGACTCTACGACAGGCGCTAACACATTGGTACATTTCGGTCCCCGTGTCCGTAATAGCTCTTCCTCGCACCTAGCTGAACGGGCACCCTTGATGATACCGAGAGGATGCATGAACACCGGACATGAGACTTTACTGTGGTCGAACTTCAATGAGCAGGATGATCGTGGTGAGATCTTTATGTTTGAGCTTCGCGAGGGAACGTTCATCAAACGTCTCCGTGTCCCAGGTCTCACGACCGGGTCGCAGAAAGTTCGGGGTCGGTCGAGTGCCCTAAGTGCCGCGCGTATTAATGACCTCGTGTGGCGGGGCAACGGTGCCTCTGGAGAAGGAATAGAACTGTTCTCTGCGCACGGTGATGGAACGATACGGACATGGGTGTCGCATGAACCAGATGGCGAACCTACTGAAACCGAGGAAGCAGCCCAGGCCGATCGGAAGAGGAAACGAGATGTTCTAGAGGAGATCTATCAAGGATTTCTCGGGCCTGATCAACCCAGGCTGCGAGTGTAAAATGATTAGATCGTCTCATACTACGCAGAGACTCGGCTTAATATGTGGGAAAATCTTGGATTGTTTTACAATTGATCAGACATCGGTTCATAATATCATACACCAAATAACAGCCACGAGTGCAACCAACTGCATCTTTTGCAAAGCATGTTCACCGTGATTCGTCGGATCCTTTACTCCTCTTGATAGCGCTCATATTCGCTCCGTCCATACTTGGATTGCTTGAGATTGCGGGTATCACCATGGCCAGCGTGGTGGTTTGCACCCATGTAGGCATGTTTGGACTCGATGCCTGCTGGCATGGAGTTGCCTGTGCCACTTATGACCTCGCCAGACTCACCAATATCGCGGGTCGAGCGTGGCAAGTCGGTAGTGTTATCGGCAGCCATGGCTGTTGATGGCTCTGCGATGCCGGCGTTATCAAAGCCGGAATGCTCGGCGCGCTGGTCTGGACGTGGTACTGAGGGGATGGTATTCATTTTGCCAGCATCATTGGGGATAGATGTGCCTTGAGCCATTTCAGAGAGGCTTCCACCTTGATGAGGGTCTTGCCGAACCATTTTGGTGGAGGCGAGAGTGATTCTTTGGTTTTTTGAGGTTTCGTTGGTAGATGTTCTGTAGGAATTTGGATGTTGAGGAGTGATTGCTTTGGATTGGAAGAGTGTGCTTTGGTTGTAACAAGACGAAATACGTTTTTACTCTCTTATAGTTCGTTCCAGAGTACCTAGGTCCTGATCTAGTGCCCGGGACTGATGTCACAACGTTGGACGTTGTCCGAAGATGATGGGCAATGATATCACGTGTACTGTGATTGGTTGTTGGTATAAAGACTAGAGAACAGGGAGGAGCGATTCAATGCCGATTCCTGGATTTCGATGTCCATATCCTGATACTGAAGTGGGTTTTGTTGTCATTCAGGTCGGGATGCGCGCGTAGTCGGTGCCCAGAGGCCCGGCAGCGTGAACTTGATATCGTTGTCAAAGGCGAGCTGACCCACCCAAAGAGGGTCTAGACGTTCGGGATCATGAAGCACAAATGATATGCCGTTGAGGAACAATCTATGTATCGCACTTTGAATATGCAAGAAATGTACGAAAATGGTTCGCCACAGCTCGGTGAATGGCAGGGAGGGACTACGAGGGTAAAGGTTGGAAATGGTAAATCTTTGGATATTGTAAAATATTCTTGGACGTAATATTGATCATTAAATCCCAAATCAAGCGCAAAAGCTACATTAATGATGCACTAAGAAATGATTGCCAAGGAAGAAAAGGTCCAGGAGCCTTAACGAGTGACAAGGAGATGGCGATATACTGAACATGCAGGGGATCGAGAGTTCTGAGTCTAGAGGATGAAGGCAAGGACACCCATGACAGCTGCGGCGGCGGATGCCAACCCACCGGAGGTGCGGGCAGCGGAACCCTCGAACATGGCACCGGGAGAGGTTGATGGAAACGCGGATGAGGAGGGGGAGAACTTCCCAGGTGAGACTCCGCTGGGCATCATCATACCATGGATGTTGTAAGGGGTAGCCATAGCGACAGCGCCGGAGACGGCGGGGGTGGCCATGGGCACATGGACAGGGATCATGGAGTAAGAGGCAGGAGCAGACTCGGAGTTTCTCATGTTGGCGTCAACGCCAACAGCAGCGGACTGTTGAGGAGTGTTGGCGACAGGTGTGCCGTGGCTGTTGACAACGGGGGCGGACTTGTAGGCCATAGGGGTGGCCTCAGCAGGGACCTGCATGCCGTGGCTAGCCCGGGGGTCAACAGCAGGAGACTGTTGGGGGGTGTTGGCGACGGGGGTACCGTGGATCTCGGCAACCGGTGCCGACTTGTAAGCCACAGGGGTGGCCTCAGCGGTTCTGTAGTGAGTCTTGGTCACAGTGCGAACGACCTCACGGGTCTCAGCTGAGCATTGAGAGTCTGCGCTCTCATCACTTGGAGTGGAGTCGTGCTGTGGGGAGAAGGCGCTGGACGAGGATCCCGAAGAGTGATCCTCGGTGGGGGCTTTGGCATTCTCGTGGACGGCAGCTGGGGTTGCAGGAGTGTTGTGGCTTTCGCTCACATCCTCGCCGGCAGGAGCAGCTGGGGAGTTGTAGTGAGCGTCGGAGAGGTGCTCATATGAATCAGAAGGAGCTTGCGAAGGGTGTACATGGGTGTAGTTGTCCTGGATAGAATGGTCATCCTCGTTCTCTTCGTCAACATTGGTGGTCACACCAATGTTGGTAGGCGCTGAGAAGGAAGTTCCTTCATCATCTCCGGAAGGTCCTCCAATGACAGTGTCGCCACCGCCAGGGGTCTCACGGGTGGGCGCGAAAGCACGACGACCGAAAGCGATGCTCCCAGCAGCAGGGCCGTTGCTGGAGTCCTTGATAGACGTCAGGTCATTGTGAACCGAGTGGTGGGGAGCGTAGTGAGGCTCATAGGTAGGGCTGTAATGAGGAGCGTAGTGAGTCTCGGGGTGGTTCTCGAAGTGAGGCTCCGGGTGAGGCTCGAAGTGACCAGGTCGAGCGGGGAATCCACGACGACCAAACTCGATGCTACCCACGGCGGGACCATTGTTAGAGTTCTTGATGGAGGTCAGATCATTGTGGAGCGAGTGGTGAGGCTTGTAGTGAGGCTCATAGGTAGGGCTGTAGTGGGGAGCGTAGTGAGATTCGGGGTGGTTCTCGAAGTGAGGCTCCGGGTGAGGCTCAAAGTGACCACCAGGGACTCCACGGGGACCAACCTTGATGCTGCCGGCGGAGGGACCGTTGTTGAGGTTCTTCAGATCGGTCAGGTGGTTCTCAACCGAGGTGTGGGGCTCGTAGTGAGGCTTGTAGCTGGGACTGTAGTGAGGCTCGTAGTGAGTCTCGGGGTGGTTCTCGAAGTGAGGCTCTGGGTGGGGCTCAAAGTGACCACCAGGGACTCCACGACGGCCAAATTTGATGCTGCCAGCGGAAGGACCGTTATTGAGGTTCTTCAGATCGGTCAGGTGGTTCTCAACCGAGGTGTGGGGCTCGTAGTGAGGCTTGTAGCTGGGACTGTAGTGAGGCTCGTAGTGAGTCTCGGGGTGGTTCTCGAAGTGAGGCTCCGGGTGAGGCTCAAAGTGACCAGCGGGGCGGCCGAAGTTCTCGGAACGACGGTAGTGGACATCTTCGTGGTTGAGATCAATAGAGTGATCATCCTGATTGTCCGTATTCACCCCAGTGTTGGTGTAAATGGTGATGGGAGCGCTGAAGCTTTGGCCACCGTCATTGCCTGAGGGGCCACCAATAGCGGTGCCTCCGTGAGGCGCGTTGGGGAAGTCTTCTGGTCCATGAGGTGTGTGGGAGCCCTCGTGAGGCCCGTAACGCTTCTCGAATGACTCAACGGCCAGACCACGGCCGTGAACATCCTTGTGCTTGATGCGGATTGAGTGGTCGTCCTTGTTGAAATCGTTCACCTCGGTGTTAAAGATCCCAGTGATCGGCATCTCGAAGCTCTGGCCCTCATCATCGCCGGAGGGACCGCCAATAGCAGTACCACCGTGGGGGGCACCTCGCTTCTGGAAATGTCCCCGTCCAGGCACCCGGGGACCACCGTGCACATCCTTGTGCTTAATGCGGATTGAGTGGTCGTCCTTGTTGAAATCGTTCACCTCGGTGTTGAAGATCCCAGTGATCGGCATCTCGAAACTCTGGCCCTCATCATCGCCGGAGGGACCGCCAATAGCAGTACCACCGTTGGGGGCACCTCGCTTCTGGAAATGTCCCAATCCAGGCGCGTGGGGACCCTTCGCACCCCGGGGACCACCGTACACATGCTTTTGGTTCAGGTTGATGGAGTGGTCGTCGTGGCTGTACTCATGAACCTGGCTGTTGACCTTGACGTGGGCTGAGTAGGGGCTCGCGAAGGTGCCATGATCATTGCCAGATGGACCACCAATGACAGTTGCACCAGTCTGAGGGTGGTTGCCATGCTCTTGCTAAATAATGGGTTAGCAAGACATAGTCTGAAAGGAGGGTCATAACGTACACGCTCAACGAACTGGGCCTGGGCAGCAACTGCCAGCAGTGCCACGGGGATTCCTCCAATAAATCCCTTCATGATTGCTGTAGTTGGGGAGATTGCCTTGAAAACGATGTATGCTCTTGTCCGTCGATTAAAAGAGTGACTGAAAGTTATTACGGGAGCACAACAAATGAATGGCTTGGTAGGTGGAATACGGTCCCTGTGAGGCAATGATTAAGGGCTTACCAACAGCAGATGTTCAGACCTTTAGTAGTCTCTTTGCGATCAGGCTTACAGGCTCGACAGCCAGGCGGGAATGTCTACATCAACAGGGAGGAACCCCCGAGGGGAGGCCGAGGCGTGGGGACCACCATCAGAATGTAGCAAAGAATGGAGAACTAACTCCAATAAGTGATAAACATCCCTCGATCGTGCTCGGATCGTAAACAAGTGCCCTGTTGTCCCTGGAAAGGTGGTGCTGCTGCATTCCGGGGCACCTCGGAGGGAGGTAGATCACCAGGAGTCGTCACATTCACGGACAATTCGCACAGCATCTAAGCAAGCCCCTTGGCTCAGCCTGGTATTCCGGTTGATGGTTTGACACAAGTCGTTTGGCAGTGATGCCATAGTCTTGTGCAAGGCTTCCCAAAGAGACTGAACTATGGACGATCTTGGCAATGATCTGGGCAACGCCCTGCTTCATTGAAGGGTGGCTGCGGTAGGCTGAAACATCTCTGGGTGACAGGGGATTCCCAGTGATCTCATTGAATGATGAACCTTGAATCGGCCCCTTATGCCGATATGTATATGGCATACAGAGTACACATTGTATGAAGCGATGTGAGAGTCGTTCCAAACAAAGGTTGTGTTTAGTTGTGCACGGAGCATTGGAATCTGAAGCACCGATTTGGATGTCTCAGCCCAAAGTTCACGGCAGTTTACACTGAGAGAGCACTGTTGCCAGCGCCATCTTGTTTGGCTCTACTGTACTCCGTAGAGCCTTGATTCAACTATGTAGCTACACTCACTCACCTGCAAAAGCAGATTTTGAGCAAAGGAATGTGTCCCGTCTTCGACATTCAAATCCCACCGCCCTCACTGAAGAGGACACAGAGGGGAAACGAACTTCCTATCGAGGATCATCTATCTCCTGGGCCGATCAGTCCCGTAGGACCGAAGGCAACACATCGCCGTGGAAGCGTCCGAAGACAGAACGATGGTCGTGGCAGGCCCAGTTGCTTTTTTTTCGATGAAAAAGAAAAGAAAAAGAAAGAAGGGGTGCGGAAAACTTTGGCGCTTTTTATAGCCGCGGTGGGTCACGGGATCGGATCTTCAATATTCCTTCGGTCCCGCTGTCGGCCCGGTTGGCATCCGTGGCCTGCATTTTTAGGCTTTACACTTTGTACATGAACAATTATGCAGGGTCTTGCTGAACAAAAGAAAAAAAATTTAGGATATGATACCTAGGTAAGTGGAGCAGTGTCGAATGCATGACACAGCCAACTCAGTACCCGCGGGCCCATGGACCTCTCTGGCCACTGTGCCCCTGTATACAGGTTGGAATGACATGTCACCGCTATGAACGATCTGGAATTAACTCCAGATCCAATTAAAAATAACAAATCCCATCACCCAAACTCCAGCTCTCCGGATTATCCTTGCCAAACCCACAAAAACCATATTAGACAAACAAAAGGTGAGACTGCATCCAGGTCGCAATGTCCAAGGTGTGCATCATAATGAGCGGCTGATTGGGTTGATATCCATCTCCAATTGTAAGTGAAACGGCATCCTCCAAGACCGGGCCAGAATTGATCCAACCCTGGAAACCCAGTGATCAAATGAAATCCGAGCATTCACTTATCCCCCAGCTGCCATCTTCTCGGTACTCGTTTTCCAAGCTGGACCTCCCACGGCCACAGTGATTCCCAATGCGATCGCGATCATGGTCCCAACCGTCACCACGGCCACAACTGCCTTCAAAGCCATTCGCTGTTTGTTACTCAAAGACTGCAGCCACGTCCGTGGTTTGTTCTCCTCCTCCCACAGCTTGGACCGTCGAGGACTATCAGTTCGACAGGCCGCGTAAGGGCCCGCATTTTCGAGATCTCTGAGATGGCTTCGGTTCCGATTGGCATGTTTAGTTTCAAGCGTGAGTTGTTCATATGAGATTGTGGGACTTCCATGTCGATAAAAGGGCGAGCATGGCTTGGCACCGATCGAGGGATCAAAGTCCTGGCTGTGACCCCCAGGTGAGGATGTAATGGAACGGCGTGAAGACCTGATCTTGGACGTGGCGGGCTTCTTCTCGTCGTTATTTTTGATCGATGCGGCCACCTGGGCCCCAATGACTCCTAGTCCATGCAAACTCATAGCGATGTCTCGGTGTGGCTGGGAAGGAGGAGAGGTGGTTTCCAGATCAGAAGATCTTGGAGAGAGACCTCTTCAGGCTATTCCGCTTAGATTTGGATCGTTGTACACGGGGTGATGCTTTCGCCTTGGGTGATGGTGTTGTGATTGCCTCGACGGGAATGGTAACGGTTGAGACGCCGCCGTACATAAACAATGCCGTGTCAACCTGGAATGCACTCCAAGTCCAGGCGGTCCGCGGCAGTCTCATCACTCGGGTGACTGATCACAATAAGGAATATAATTATTGAAAATAGTGGACAGGCGGATGGGTGTCCGTTGAATCAATAGCGCGTAGAAAATTGAGAGAGTAGTGGTTTCCTGATGTTGAAACGCATCTGGGGGAGGGGTTTTGGGGCAACAGCGGTCTCGATTTTCTATAGACCTGAGACCTTCTAGAGTCCCACTTAGGGAGATCTCCCTACACAACAATTGAACTGTGTCGATGGGGATGCAAGCCCCTATTCGCTCGGCGGTTGCTGTTCATCCCTGGATTGACATCTCGTGCGACCCCCGGCAGCATTCCCACGCCCTACCTGGTGGATTATCCTTTGTAGTGGCAAAAGCAAATCTTCTATTGGTAGATCATTGCTTGAATTGCATTCTTATGGGTCAATCATGCAAGCCCTTGCTCAACGTCCCGTCCCCATAGGTAGTGTGTCTGTAACCCTGTCGCCCACTTCAATATGTGGAACCCACCCTAGCATCCATATTAAGACAACCCGTGGTGTGTAATCGTTGTAGTAGGACTTAACGCGGTAACAAGGTCATATTGGCATTTTGGGTCACTCTATGAGTCCATACGCACTTGGGTCATTGCCTAAATAATCCTATCTCGAAACAGACAGCTTGTCATCTTAATAGTAACAGAGAATTTGACCCAAATAAAAGACAATAGAAATTATACTCATGACTGGTGGATATCAAGTTCTGAATGAAGTCTAAATACAACTCATCGTTTTATATTCCGTATATAGTTAGGTCAATGTCTCCATGGTCTAACATCATGCGTACATGTAGCTTTCGACGTGGTACGGAGTACTTCTTGCAACTAAATAAACTACCTGTACTCCACACAGATGTGCCCGGGATATTAGGAGTCCCCAAGTTCTATTTCAATTTCCAAAATCAACGTTTTATCTCATTAATGAACTGTAGATATCTTATTTGATCTGTCTCTATGTTTTTTATTAGATGTATAACTTCTTGTTGTGAATGTAAGGTTGACCGGTGTATCCTATATATATTGCTGACCTGGTGGTTCACCCGGGGATGGGTATGAGATATTGGTCGAATCAGCACAACGAACTGCAAGATGGCACCGGTTAGATGCATCTCCATCTTACACGTAATACAAGAGATTTTTTGTCATAGAAATTAGTAAGAATCCCCATATTCCAGCCAGGTAGTTAACATGCGCATCGCAGTTTGTTTGCCCAACGATATTAGATATTTTCGGTCTTGGCGCAAAAGGCATACTCCATCTCGCCTAAGTGCTTGGGGGTAATATTTCATTACTCGTTTCCAGGGAATTCTCTTTCCTAGAGCCGGAAAATAATCGTATGTGGGCGAAAATCCACTGCATATACGGAGTATCTTCATGCGCAAAACGCAGAAATCAAATTTACACACGGACCGCCTGCGCACTCATGTAGATCACATTCGCAAAGACAGAAAAAGAACAGAATGTTCCCACCAGAGCTATGTCTATTCTTATGGGAAATATATGTAGACATGGCGTATATGTTTGGGATCATACCAACCAGCAAACTGCTAACATAGATAGATCTACCAGTGCCACTACGAAACATATTTGGATCTGCCGAATGCCTTAATTATTATCAATATTCTTAATCAATTTCTGGATGCTGGAGCACTTGCCTTCAATGGTTCTACCCACAAGAGTGGCAATTGGGGTCTGTTAGCTGTATCTTTCGGCAAATGCAGGTAGTAGCTCACAGCAAGCCCTTCCAAAGTTGACATAGGGTGTCTCAAAGATAGAGAACTGTACGGAGTACTTCAATTCTTATTGCCAATCAGCTTGTTGGAGAACCCACTATGTCATGGCAGTGCCGACTACAGCAGGGGAACACTATTGACTTGGATGCAATAGCAAGGGTGCGCGTTATGTTTCAGATTATATCTTTACGCGTGCGATAGGGGAAGATGCAACATTCTGGAACACAAATGCATCGGCACCTATTTGGTTGAACAGATGAATGCCTTGGCAGTTTGACTAATAAAGATCTTGGCGCAGCTCAGAGTAAGTGAGTTATTCTACCAAACAAGGCCAGTGGAGCATAGAGATACCTGTAAGAGAGAATAAATACATATACATATCTAGGAAAGGGCGACCGTGTATGCTATGAACACAGAAAGAGCTTTCTACTAGTGCAGTCAGACTGTAATGGGACCTTGAGACCAGCATTCAAAGTGAGTCCAGCGATAAAAAAAATAATTTATTGGACCTCGATTTTTGGCGCCGATCAAAATCCCCTGCCGATCACAAGGCTTATATAAATATTTTCCCCTGTCTTGGTTATTCGGTTGGCTTGTCACGTTGGGATGTGACGAGTCCTTAAGTGCAGTGAAGCTCGCCTCCGTCGTGCGTATGGCAATTCTATTTGAATCAGTCCTAGATCATCACATAGAAAACAAACAAAAAGAAACACTCACCGCAGGTACTTCGGATGTTGCTGAAGGAGCATCAGTAGTTGTTGTGGAAGGGGTTGGTTGAGTGGTCACAGCTTCGGATGTTGTGTGATCGGCGTGGGTTTCATCATGTTGATGCTGAACACCAGCACAGCCAACGCCTGGCACAGCAATATCGTAGGCATATGCCTCGAGTGCAAAATACTGAAGAGTCTCCGAGTCATGAGTTGAGAGTGTCGCATTTTTCTTTGCCAGGTCAACAACTTCTTCATATCCGTCTGCGAAATGCTCGACCCAGTTCTGTCCGATGACAGGAATATGGTATAAGCGGTGCAGGAGGTCAGTGGCCCAGAAAGTATTGGTTTCAGACTTTGACACTGTATATCCAAGACCGCACATAGTTGACAGGGGACGACGGGTTTCATAGCTCAGGTCACAGATGACTGTCTCGTCTGTGGCATTTTCGCCTCGCCAGTGTCCGGCGTAACCTATTTTAATTAGTATGATTAGCATGTCTTCTATTATATGAAGTAAGGATTATTACCTTCAATTTCGCAATTCCCATCAGGGTTGTCACATCGGAACAAAATGTTTTTCCTGTCGGCATTGACAACGACATCGAATGCACCGATGGCTTCCATCGAGGGACGATCACCGAAATACTTCCTGTATATCTCACTCTCGTTTCTCCATCTCAGGATATGGTCCTTGGCATGTTGAGCAAGAGTTATAGTCTCGTTAAGACCTATCTCAATCTGACGACGCTGAGTTGCATTGCAGCTTGAATGGATGGGAAACTGATTCACAGCGCCGGCGTTCCAAGGAGTCAGATCAGGCTGAGAAAAGGGTACCGAATGGTTTCCTTCAGAGGTTTCTGGGGTAGGAAGAGCAGCTACAATCGCTGCAGACGAGAGAAGTAGGTTGAAGAAAAGCATTGTAGATGATCGGGGTAAATTGCCTGAGGACTATAGATGGAAGTGCTGAACACGGCGACGGCAGCTTTTATATCCATTCTCATACAAAATTTTTGAAGCTCCCATTCATAAAGTTCGGTTTAATTTGCTTGCTTGCCAAGTGTCCAGCCTTTTCGCTCATTTTGGGTGTATTCGCTGGTAATTCGCGCAGAAGAAAGCATGATGTCTTCTCCCTCCTTCTCGATAAACTGATGATGCAAGCTGCCAAGAGGGGACCTTGAGAGCTTCTTCTCTCGCTTCTCTCGCTAAACTCTTATATATCGAGCAATCAGCAGATAAAATTTCCGATTCATGCCAAGAAAAAGGCTCGGCGGAGGGTCGCCAAGAGCTTTAGAGGGGAGTACCTTGGGAGAACGAGACCATCGTAGGCGGTTTTCTCCGGAGAATATCCAATCTCGAAGTTCAGGCCTGCTCTTGGCAGGAAGATGGAAAGGTCCTCTGCTTGGCATTGAGAACCTTGGGGGCGAGACCCTGGTTTTTGCCTTTTTGCTATTCGTGGGGGTTTGTGCCTAGTATTCATCGTTATAAACGTGGTCTCGCGAGGCATCTTCCTTGCATCAATCTCAAATCCAATTCTTTCTTTCTTCTTTGCGGATTGATAGAGCATCAAGTTCATCATGTTGATTGTCAAATCTTTCCTTGTATCATTGGGCATTGCCAGGGTATATGCAGCCACTGCGACAACATCCGCACAGACATCTTCTATAACCAGCTGTCATAGTCATGGGTCAAGCATTTATTGTATTGATGGGGATGGAGACGAAGTTCTGGTCTCGGCCACATCCACCCCCACAACTGGAGTACCAGCACAATACACAGGGTGTCATTCTCACGACAGCGAGTCGTAAGTTCCCCAACATTCATCTTTGAGGCAGTATATTGATATTTCAAACGTGAAGATATTGTGTGGACGCAGACGGAAACGACGTATTGATTCAAAAGGAAGAAACGGAGGCCGAGAGCGAGACCGAACATAATCACGACCACGATGAGCACAGTGAAGACGAGGAACATGAACATGAACATGAACATGAACACGAGGATGAGCATGAACATGAGCATGAGGAATCCTCAAATGGAGCCAAACAAAATTGTCACTTCCATGCAGGCGTGGAGTAAGTCCGCAGTACTCGATTCAATTACGAGCATTATTGACTTTGCCATTCCAGACATTGCGTTGGAGAGGGAGAATCAGAGGGACGCAGTGAATCATCTTGTACTACTAACGCAAGAGACTATGACGTACCTCTGCGTATCGGCACCTTGTTCGTTGTTCTTGCAACTAGTGCCATTGGTGTCTTCGCCCCAATTCTCTTGATGAAACTCCCATCCGCCAGGATCAATGGCGTAATTTCAACCGTCATCAAACAATTTGGAACTGGTATTATCATTGCCACAGCTTTTATCCATGTAAGTGACTTCGCCTCCGATGGACTGACCGCCTGCTGATTGTCTTCTCTAGCTATACACCCATGCAAACCTCATGTTCACCAACGAATGCCTGGGAGAACTCGAATACGAAGCGACTACCTCTGCTGTAGTGATGGCCGGTATATTCATTGCATTTTTGTTGGAATATATCGGTCACAGGATTGTGGTTGCTCGCAACAACAAGAAGGAAGCCATGGAGACCCCAACGTCCGAATCTCAGCAGACATCTGAGAAAGGACAGCACGAACACTCGCATGAGCAACCGCAGCATCCCACATTGGCCTGTCTGGGACACAGTCATGGCTCTGATCCCACCGGACCCAATAGCAAATTTTCGGTCCTTGTCATGGAAGCCGGTGTCCTCTTCCACAGTATCTTGATTGGCCTCACCTTGGTCGTTGCTGGTGACTCCTTTTACAAGACCCTTCTGGTGGTGATTGTGTTCCATCAATTCTTCGAAGGATTGGCACTCGGCGCTCGTATTGCCATGCTTCCAGGAGCCATCTTTCCTTCCAAGGCACTCATGGCGGGAGCATTTGCTTTGATCACGCCTATCGGTATGGCCATTGGACTTGGTGTTCTCCACACCTTCAATGGCAATGCGAGAAGCACATTGATTGCACTGGGAACATTAGATGCACTGTCGGCTGGTATTCTGGTGTGGGTTGGTGTTGTTGATATGTGGGCGCGTGACTGGGTCATTGAGGGAGGTGAGATGTTGCATGCGAACATCGGAAAAGTTTTGACTGGCGGGATTTCCCTAGTCACTGGGTTCGTACTAATGGGAGTGCTGGGCAAATGGGCTTGATTATAGATAAATATAGCAATATTAAGCTGTGAATTCGTTGGTTTCATTATTAGTGAGGTACATTTCTAGTATCGAGACTGATAAATTAGCCCACGCATCATGATACTCATCGTATGAAATTACCTAGGCGACAGTGCTGGTCTTGGAAACCGTGTAGAGCCATGCAACTGACAGCAAGCATTATCACCAAATGTCCAACAAATGAAAGTTTGCATAAGAGGCGTGTGGAAATGGTAAGTTGGGGTATCTCCTGGTTGAAGACAGGAGACACCAGGCTAACGCCTCACAGCCTCCAAGCTTTGACGCTTACCTTTCCACTCGAAATAGTAAGACAGGTTATATCTTCGTTAAAAATGGACTTAGAAGAGACGTTCTCAAAGGTGGCTGTTATGCAAGTAGGTGAATTATGACTTCATCTTCGAGTAATGCAAAGCCTCAGGCGGCAGAATCAGGGGCGAGAGAAACGATGGCTTGAAAAAATACACATCAATTATGCAGAATCTAAGCCCCTGCGCCGGGGACTCTGGGATGGAAGTTTCCCCTGTAATATTTCTTTCGTGATCCTGGCACGCGTTGTTAAAACAATCAAATATAACAGTTGCCGAAATTCCTGGGCTTTATTTCTGCCATTCCAACCCCCTGCGCATCTTCCCCAATGAACAATATCTACTTTTGACAGTTCGACAAAAGCTTATTCCTTGGATTTGGGGCTGCGAATCATGCAATACAACTAGAATGGCACGTGTTAGTCGATGAGAAGCCAGGGAGTCATTCCAGTTCAGTGGACACACCTTGCAAACATCCCCACCATCCACACACTCAATCTCCTTGACTAACTCGAAGCCCATCCGCTCATATATACCGACATTTGGATAACCTTTAGAGCTCTCAAGATAGCACGGCATATTCTCCCGATCGGCTTTCTCCATGACATCCGCCATAAGCTTCTTGCCCACGCCCATACCACGCGCCTCTGAATTGACGCCGACGACATTGCAAAAATAGTAACCCCGAGGATCCTGCCAAATTGTATCATGTGCAGTTTGCTGCACTTCTTTCCAGATCCAGTATCGGTGCACATTGAGACCACCACGCCCAAAGAAGCGGATATTGTTCATGAGCTGGCGGAAGGAGAGAATCCAATCCTGAGCCCAGACAGACCAGGTCTGCGGCATGGAAGGTGCATGTGGTGAGTACCACCAAGCAACACCGACTACGGTACCGGCTGGAAGACGGATTTCGCCGTTGTTCTTGCTTTCATCTGCGGCGCGAGATACCTTGGCGACGGAGATGGGACAGCCACAGTTGATACCATATTGGAGGTGAGCGGCGAGAGAAGCTGCATTTCGTTGGATGTTGAACTACCAGATTCTGTTATTACTTGGCTCGATATCCATTTTGCTCTGGTTGTTTTTGTTTTTGATTTGTGGGAAAAGGTATTTCGTTCATACCTTGGAGGGATTATCAAATGCCCATTGAAAATAGGGATCGTCCGCGAACGCTTTCTGCACACAGTCTACAGCCCCGGGGATGTCGGTCTGAGCCAGCGGGACGATCTCGATTGACATTGTTCTTGATCTTGGCTTGTCACTACGGTTTCACGAACTGCGACGATTTGTTCAACGAACGGGTTTAGACGTCCAGGTACTTTTTCTACTAGCTCTGCGAATAGCTTGAGACAGAGATATAGTATAAGAACGCCAATGAAGCCGTTGAGGACAGTGGGAGAAAATCGCCATCTAAGTATGATTGAAGTGGTGATGGTCCACGAGTTGATGGTGGAGGAGGAAGGGGAAGAGAGGTGAGGTCTCTGTTTATGATAACGGTGCCAGCAATCCAGAGAATAATGAAGCGAAAGTCTTTCTCAGACCGTGAGAAACAGGACGGGACTCATATAGTCAAGCTCGGCATCGATTCACCTGACTGTTATCTTATCCTCGGTTTATCGCTAGCCTTTTCGGGCAGCTCTAACCGGAATAGGGACAATGGAACTGCGGAGGTGTGAGACAGCGTCCATCCAGACCCTCACTTCGTCATAGCCCCGCCAGTAGCCGCAGCTGGACGACAGGAGACCACATGACCATATCCGCACAACGTAGATGAGTTCATGCAAATGTATCCCAAGGTTTGATTTGAAGCTCAAGTCATTCGACTTGCCGATCCCCTATGCGATTCAAACGCGGGGGCTGGATCAGATGACGAGGCTAGTCATGATAAGGAAGGTCGTTGCGGCATTGGCTGAAGTGATTGTGGGGCTCGGTCTTGTCCGCTTGGAGCTGATAAGACTGATCGAATCCTATCAAGTCTCAAGCACTGGAGTACAGAGTGGATCTATTTTTTATTTCCTAATGAGAGCTTGATGAGTTATTATCTAGCTCATGAGTCTTGAGGACTCTGCAACGCCAAAGGTCACAAAGTCGGTGAGTAATCGCCGTGCATCCTCATCTTCTGGTCTTTGTTACTTAAGGTTGCCTATATTCACCGAATCCACTCCCCAGGGCCCCAGGGCCCCAGGGCCATTTGATATGTCAAGATGCAAAATGAATCCAACTTTCGAATAGACGTGTGAAAGTCAGATACAAAGACAATCTAGACTTGAACAAAGGCTATAACGTCGTCTAGGTTGTAGTTTGTTGAGGGTACACATGTGTCCAGCATTTCAGTATCTCAACCCCTGTGCAACTGAGAAAGAACTTATCAGACCTTTTTCTATAACAAAAGAATCACTGATTATACAGTCTATGACTCTCGGCTGCTATACTTCTATCGGATAAAAATAGTGTCTTTGTAAATAGGAGCACAGACAGCCGGTTTCTTTCTTACTCTGGCATAACCAGGAAACTTTGTGACCAATGGTGTTCTTCCACTTCTATTAAACATAAATAGCTCTTTGTGGCAAGTATCCTGCTCTTCTCATTGAAATAAATAAGGAAGTCTAGTTGGCATCATCAGCAAAGCCATAAATATCCCCAATCCCACTACATTTCCCTTGTCTTAATCACAACTAACGGGAATCTTATCTGATAATTCGTTTCAATTTTTCGCTTATAAGACGACGTCTCGCCTACCCCGTAGTCAATACCGAGTTCTATTTCAGTCTAAACTAAACGCCTACTACATATAACCGTGAGTCTTGCAGCCTTCTCTGCCACCAGCCTAATATCCACCCACAATGCCACGTCCCGAACTAGCACGCGATCCGTATAATGATCAACGCATCCACGTTCTACAATGTATTCACGATGCAATCTACTATCTTCGCCATGGGCCGCATCGTCGCAACGACGTGCTTGACACGCTAGCAGAAGTTGCTGGCATGACAGCCCTGAGCATCTCCAGTGCGGTTTTGGAAGGTGATCCTCAGTTCGAACGGCTTTGCCGTAATCTTGAGCTTATCTTGCCCGTCTCAATCAGAATTCTCAACAAGCATAATGACCGCCAAACAGACAGAGAGGTCGGTGATGATCTGATTAGCTGCATTCCTACCGTTTTGCAACAGCCCGATCAATGGAATCCCGAGGTTGAGGAGATCTCTGACGAGGAAGAATTTGTGCGGCAAGAGCGGCAGGATAGGGAGCGACAGAACAGATCCCGACATCGCCATCATCGTAATCATCACAATCACCACCACCATCACTGATAGTATAGAGAGAAGAAGGGTTAGTTAGGGAAGGGCATGGGCGACATGTGTGATAAAAACTTTGATGAATATCTGATTTTGATGCTTATATGCTACGTTTACCAATGAAAGTTATCCTCTTTACCGCGATTTGTTACGTGCTATAAGTCTTCATGTTTGTCGTACTCGTATACTTTGAGAATAATATAAGCATGTAATTTAGTTTTGCTGCGTATAGGCTTGATGCCCCAATGTGCTGAGGGAAGGAAAGGTTAAAAGCAAATTTGAAGTAAAATAAGAGTGCTACTACTAGTGGTAGTGTTTAACATCCTTTGGAACATGGGCGTAGCCCGTGTTTCTTCGACCTCTCATGGGGTATAGGGACGTGCTAGGCTAGAAAAAGGAGAGTGCTAGATGCCTGGGGAAATCCTTTGGAACCCACTTTAGAAAGGTCTCTGGGAATGACATTACCCGGGTACTACGTGCATAGGTAATTACGTAGGTGGTTCGGGGTTTCCACGTAGAAGATCTTCTTCGGTGTTTGTCTTAGACTCCCCGATAAAGGCATGGTATCAGCTTAAGGCATATCTTCTATTTCTATCTATGCGTACAATGCCACTCTCATCAACCTGGCTAGCACAAAGAGTTTGTGACTGAATACTCTATTTTGCTTCCTTACATCCTCTCCAAGGCCTAGTCTTTGGCTCTTTTACTGTGTTGCAAGCTTATTGATCACCTTTTCAAGATACTTACACAACGATATCGTTCAATTCTTTGTAAATTCTGTTGCTTTGTATTGTTTTTAGAGGTATATAAGATGGCTTGAGCCATTTTACTTCACGTGCAGCAAAGTAAAGCAATCAGTCATCACAAAGACACCACTAAGCCCACAAATTTTGAAGCTAGTTTTACTTAATTGAACACATAAATCACAAGCCTTTTAACAATTTCAACTCAATCGGCGAACTTCAACCCCTCTTCCTTCCAATGGCCCTTAAATACCCCGAATTTGAGCCTCGTGGAGACAGCCTACGGCGATGGATGGAGAAATCCGATGAACCTGGATGTCCGATTCCTAGGACCGAATTTACTCTCCCAGATAGGGATGATCCCCGACGGCATTCTCACACTGTTCAGGAGGATCTAACACAAGAATGGAGCTCCTGGGCTAAAAGCATTGGCTTGCCAGTTGATGCAGTGGACGGCGACCCAAAACCTAGTTACTATACGCAGTCAATCGTCAAGACAGGTCTGGGTAGGTTGACGTATTGGCTTGGGCGAACGGGACCAGGCGTGATCTTCATTGACAATATCATGCGAGTTCCCGATAGCACAGATCCACACATATCCGAGTACACCCAGGCGTTCTATGAGATGAATTTCCCCTTGGAGAGCTTGAAACACGTTGTCGTCACTACCATAGTTCAGTCTCAAACCATGGATCTTGTCGAACAGATTTACGAGGCGCATCCCGATAATCTTTTCCCTGCTGAAAGTCCACAAACTTGGGAGTCTCCTTCGCCAGAGTTTTGCGCCATTCTTGGTACCCCTCTTGGTAAGGTCGTAGGTGCGTTTGTCCTGGGTGCTTATGGCCAGGGCGTCAAGCGGATTGCGCGAATTGTGAGCTTCCATACTGGCTCAGACTTTGATATCTTCAACCTACAGTTTGATATTGAGGATGTTTGAAAATTTGTGGTTTTCTTGACTAACTATCTGCAGTTTGATCAGATCATGGATAATGGGTACGTTCTTCTGGTAAGCGATTGACGTTGCTAACTACATGTACATATGTACCTGCCTAGATACTTATATAGACTGGTTTTCCGGTGGGAACGAATAAATCTTCGGATTTTCGAAATGGGAGTCCTTTTCCTTTTTATATGCCATCCAGGACTAAATGCACTTGCGCCTTTTGTAATATTGTAAATTACCAACTAAATTACCTACTTTTACTGTATTGGACCTCGTGATTGTCAAGTGCTAATGACGCTAGACTGACTTGGCCGGGATTGCAAGGGCACATGCAGACATGATCAGTTCGTTTATTCCCGGCCACTACAAAGTTGACACATCGGTCTATGGCATTTTCTCCCCAATCGAAGCCAGATCTCACTTACCCATCCCGAGCTCTGTTTGCGAAGTGAGACTTTCCCTATATCAATAACTACCAAACCGACAATTGTTCTCGTGCATGGTGCATGGCATGACTCGTGGTGATGGGAGTTCAAGATCCCTGCACTCAAGTCTCTTGGCTACGCCGTAGACGCCGTGGACCTCCCGTGCGTTAGTGGCGTAGCGGGTACGACCCAGTTCGACGATGCCGCTCACGTACGGTCTGTGGTGGAAGCGCAGATAGCGATGGGTAAACGCGCGGTTATCCTAGCACATTCCTACGGGAGACCAGCTGCGAGTGCTGCCATCAAAGGAATAGCGAAGAAAGGCTTTCTAGGTATGATCGCTCTATCTGTCTATCTCTTTCCTGGAGGCATGGATCAAGGCGCGATTATTCGGAACATTGGCGGCCTACCCTATGTAATATGAGACACGCCGAGTACAGGTCTCTTTCTCGACAAAGATCCTTGCACTTTGTTTTTCCCTCCCGATACACCAGCAGAGCGAATCAAGTGGGCAGTACCACAGCTGCGCCCTCAGAGCATGGCTGTCAATCTGGGGACTGTGCCGCCTCACGGCTGGCAGGATGTCGCGTACATTGGGCGATTAGGCTGTATCAAGTGTACAGATGATGTTGTCATTCCAATCGCGCGACAGCACAGTATGTTCAAGGGTGCAGGTGGCCGGGGCAAATGGGTCACTCACACCCTCGAAGGATCTGGACATAGCACCTTCCTTTCGCAGCTATATGAGGTAGCTGCTACGGAGCACAGTTGATGAGATCATTGATGAGTTTGAGGCCAAGCTCTGATATGATTGGAACACGAAAATACGCCGAGCGATGGCCTTTTCCTTGGATTTCAATGTGTTAATCATATCCAAAACCAATGGAATAGTACCATCAGAGTCCGAGAGACTATATAGACAATAGAATAATTGTTTTCTTTGCCCCAATTCTGGGCGATTAGTCTGAAGGGTGTTTGAATATGGAGTACAGGATGCCAATGGTGCCCAGGTGAACATGTGAATTTCTTGGACAATCAGGTGCCAGCCATCTGAGACATAGTCGTCAGTGGCATTGCATTAGATGGGGCGTGGCATTTAGAGAGTAATAATAGCGTCATTTCTACTCCGTACTCCGTAGCGATTGCACAAAAATCTGGGAATTATGTTAGCTCTTCGCTAGATCTGCACAGGAGCGGGGCATAAGTTTCAACATCCATTGTAAAGCAGAAGAAGTATGAGAAATTGTATCAAATGCAAGCTAATGATTGGTGAGAAGTAGAATATTCAACATCCTAGACCAATGGGATTTTCCCGCTTCGAATCAACTCCGACAATGGCCAGGTACACATCACATTGCAAATCTGAGGCATCCGGGCGGCGTCAGCAGTGGTTTTTGCTTTTTCTTTTTGTGCGCCTTCTCTTTGTTTACTTCTTCTTTCTTCATCGACCTCTCTCGTTTGACCTGTTTCACTCGTTCATCCATCCTTTCGTTCGTCCAGTGCCAGGCCTTCTCATCGCATCGTGAGGTATTTGCATCCACCAGATCGAGGAGGCTCTCTCCTCCATCATGCACTGAGCCACCACTGACGATCCAAACTAATTTTGCGACGCCACCAATAATCCTCCGGGCTTGCGTTCTCAATCTCTGCCACAATGGGCATCTCGAATTCAGCCATCATTGTCATCGTTCTGGTCGCCTGTCTCGCGATAACTGCCTTGGGAGCATCGCTCTTCAAGCATTACAAGCCCGCCGATGGAGAAATCCCCTACAGTCCCGGCTATGAACAGAAGCTGTACATGGCAGACGTACGCGCACGAGGATTCGAAAATCTGAGACGGATCTCTTGGGCAGCAAGGGACCTGGAGTCGCGGTGTATGTTTTCTAACCGACGATCTGCTGATCACCCCGCTAACTGACGCGATTAGATCCTCCAGCGGGGCCTGGCTATTATCGTCCCCACACCTATACCGAAGACTCGGACACGAAAGAGACAGGAAGCTCTTAACTTCTTTCTTTGCCTTTTGCGAATTACGAATATGAATCAATGATGGACGTTTGCTGGCATGGGGCGTTTCACCGTGGCAGTTACACGGGAAACTGGAGTTACATGGAGTTACATTGGGTCTGCGCAGACGGGGGAAATCTGAGACGCAATTGCGTCTGCCTAGTCTCATGGATCAACGATATCTTTTCTGGGAGCATCTTTAGCCGGTCGGCCACAATGTTTTGGGCAATTTGTTTTCTTCCAACTATGAATTTTATGATATGGCCGTGGATCTGCATGCGCCCAACTTATCTTGAAAGCATTGCCCTGTAACCGATTTGCTTGCTTTGATTGTCTGTTGTTCACAGAAATACCATTGCTTTAACCAATTTCAAATACTTTATCCTCCCATTACCATGCAGATCTATGATCTGAACAGACCTCCGAGCTTCAGACAATGACGTCAAAACGAATCAAAGCTCGCAAAATCTCAATTTCTCTGGAATCATAGGCTCTTTTCCAATTTGGATATGCATTAATCTTGACTAATCCCTGCAGCTGCGAGTGAATCGTGCAGAATCGTACATGTCCGATCAGGGCCTCCCTCCACCAGCGAGTCCGCTCTCTCGCGCCCTGTGGAACTTCTCGTCGCAATGGTTCCTCGTCCCCCAAGGAACGGGCATAATAGCCGTGATTCTCGATCGATTGGAATATCAATTCAATGGGTTAATGATACTCGCCAAGATTGTATGGATTTACACCATTGTCCTGCTAGGATCATGTGTCATCCTTTATCTGCTCCGCACCTTCATACACCCAACACACGTCCTACACCAACTACGGACTAACCTCATCGAAACATCCTGCCTCTCATGCATCTCCATCGTGTTCACCTCCATTCTCCAGCTAGCCGTGCTCCAATACGGGGAGAAAGCCGGGCTGGCCATCTATATCATGTGGTGGGTAAACACGGGCATGGCCATAATAGCCTGTCTGGTGATCCCATTTGTCCACCTCCAGCTGCAGCCATCAGGAGCTCGACACATCCCAGCTGCTGCATTGATGCCATTTCTTGCGGCATTGACGTCGGCCGCGGGTGGTGGCACGATATGTCGCCTCGCACACATCAGTCCGCGACTCCAAGTCCCCGCCATCATCATTTCATACCTTGAAGTTGGGGCCGGGTTGGCCCTAGCAGTTGGGTTTGACTCCATTATACTGTTTCAGTACTTTGATTGTGTATTGCAGACCGCCGAGAAGGTGTATGGGGATATGATCTTGTGCGGGCCTTTCGGACAGGGATCGTTTGCGCTCCAGGCCCTAGGTCGTGCTGTCCAGGCGGGTAGCTTTGCGGAGTATGATCGAGGCCAATTCCTCACTGGAAAAGCAGCCATTCCAATTGCATTTGCCAGCCATCTCGTTGGTCTTCTTGTCTGGGGGTATGGGGTATTCTGGTGGTCGTTTGCGATCATAAGCATCTGCCATGCTCTTTACACACAGCCTGGGGGTTTGAAACAAACCCGATTTACCTTGGCTACATGGTCTGTGGTCTTTCCATGGGTGCGCTAGATTGTTTCCCGAGCTTTCTTTTTTTTGTCTAACGATCCTTCGACTTCTCCAGGGCGTTTTTACCAATGCCGCCGTTGAATTTGGGAAAATTATGGACTCCGCTGCCTTTGCCGTGGTCTCCACCGCCCTGTTACTGCTTCTCTTGGTCATATGGATAACTATACAGATCCTGACTTTGAAGGGCATCTTCACCGGGCGTCTTTTAGGCTTGGATCACGGATGGAGAAGGCGACGCCACGACCGGGAGCACACGGAGGCCAAAGACGTGTAAAACATCTGATGGCTTAGCTTGTCTTGGCGTTGGGAGCCTCGCGACTTCGATGCAACGTTGGCCACCAACCCAGATATTCTTCAGGGGCAGGGAGTATACCCTACACCGCCAACGGAGTCGGGCTTTCTCCTACGGAGTATTTTCTCCTATTTTTCTTTCGAAGCTTGGCGACCCGTCCGAATACGTACTAAAGACTTAGGATCGGGGCAACTTTGAGCCTTTGGTCGGCCTTCGGCGCACCGAACTGCCGATGTCTTTTTATAGTGCCCCCGTTATGATCAGCAGCTTGCACTTACTCCGCTCAGCAGAACGGTTTTTATTTGCTGAGATCATTCACGCAGGTCGGGATCTCTAGGCTGCACCGTATGTACATCTCCGGGGACATTTAAGTAGAGTTGCAATGCCCCCTCGTCCCTCGAGGCTGTGAAGCTTGAGGCTGTGAATAGCCCCCAGGGGGCTGCCCCGCGGGCGCATCGAAAACCTCCAAATACAATCAAAGCCTCCGATCAAATTCCCTCAATAAACATCCCATTATCGCGGGTCACGGAGTACTCCGTACAATATGGCTCGGAATCGCAAATGACTAGACTCGGGCTTCGGGCAAATGCAGTTTTATGCTGTGTGTCAAATGACACAAATGACACAAATGGATCCGCATCCGCATCAATGCACGAAGGGCTTCTCCAATCTCCGTCTTCCGTGCAGGGATCCAGATTTTACCGGGCCCGGCTCCCCCACCTGGTTGTCTGTGAATACGAGTACGGCCGTAGGGCCAGGTAAGGCTGACTATTTATTCCGAGACCTTTGCTTGACCCTTTTCAGCTCTCAGCCTCATTCTTCACTTTCGCTTTTTTAAACCTCTCTCCAGTTCAGACACGAAGACCTGCATGCGCCCATCATGGATTGCCCTGATACTATAGCCAGCTACGAAAGCGACACACCAAGTGAAGAACGGTATGTAAGAGACTTCTAGAAAGACGAACCCATTGGATTCTTCAATTCTGCAATCATATTTTATCAGAAAAAAAGCCATATCTAATTCAATCTGCCAGGCCACCAAGCCAGCCGGAAAATATCAAAATTCACTCCAAGTTCCAAATAGCCCGACCACCTCCAAAAGCACCTCAACGACTCCGAATCAGCCCTAAACTACTCCTCCAAGTCCAGCAGCTACCCTCGAACCACCGCCCAGTCCCCGTACTAGAAGTATGGCAACCGCCACTGTGCAGATCAAAGTTAACTAAGGGCTTCCCTCAACGTCCAAAGCTCGGCCCAAAAGATATCTATGCAACACTCAATGAGCCATATATCCCCAGCTCTGTCCCACAGGGACAAGCTCCCTCTCAGCCCCAAAGTACACAACTAAAAGGCGACTCAAACAACCAAGAAAAGGACATCATCGCTGCAATCTGTCAGCCAAGTACCAACAACCCCACATCAGCAATCCACTTCCGCAATGCACGATGCACCTGGCAGGCCAGTACAGTCCCGGCGGGCGACAAAAACATATACAAATTTGTTATCAAAAGCAAAGAAAATACCGGCTCTGAACAGTCCCGGATGATCATGCAGTGGGAGAAACGGACTGTTTCTAGAAGAGAAAGTGCTGCCGGGTCTCACACCGAACATTTTGTTCTGGTGGCTATTGATCGTAAAGCCCGTCGGAAGAGTCGTGTTGCGACTATGAATCCGGGCGGCTTTGATATTACGGTGAGGAAGAGTTCCGTCTTGGACCACTTGAGGACTTGTATGGCGTTGACGGAGCCGGTTTCTGGTGGGAGTTCGGATTCCAATGCGGATTTGGAAATTTGGTTATATACCCTTGTTTTGACGTTGGGGGTTTCGGTGGCTTCTCAGGAGGGGTGGTTGGGTTGATTGGGGTTTGGAATTGAATTTTGGACCTTTTTTTTATGACCTTTCAATGTTCCCAGATTTATGCCTCTTCTATTTTGAGCATCGCGAATACCATTTCAATTTTCTATTAGTGTGGTGTATAAAGAAACTTTTTTAAGTCGACTGCTTTCCCTTATTCCATCGGAACTCTGAGGGCTTTTTGGCAAGTATGAATTTCTAATTTCTGCGTTATAGCACATGCAAGAGTGGCAAGTGTCTTACTACTCCGTATATGATCCAATGATAAACCCTGTTGCAAATACGAGTAAACATACAGGGGGGCCTAAGATGGTACACGTATTCCTTGGTATTCCAGGGTCATTTTAAGCAAAGTCCGCTTTTCAGCTACCAGGTGTTCATCCCTTCTTCGACGGCTTTGATCTGCAATGCCAGCAGACGCGAGTAGTATCTGCTGAGAGCCAAGTTTCCACCCATGAACCAGAATCCAGGGTGGCCACTTCGGCGCCAGATAGTCCGCATTTCACCTTCCTGGTCAAGGCCCCAGATATCGCCCACGCGATCAGCAACTTCGTCGCCGAAAATCACCCGAGTCTCGGTCCTCATGTTCTGGTATCCAGTCGCAAACACAATTTCATCGGCGGGAAGCTCCGTGCCATCTGCAAATCGGAGTCCATGGGGAAGAATCTCGCTGATCTCCTGACCCTGCTTCACCTTCACCTTTCCATCGATGATAAGCTGACTGCCGCCGACGTCAATGTAATATCCACCTCCGCGCTGGAAATACTTCATCAAAAGACCACTCTCTGATGGTCCATTGTCGACCTTGAAGCCGACTTTTTCAGCCCTTCGAGGGTCTTTGCGTCGTTTTGGCTCGTGAGCTTGCTGACTTTGATCTGCTGTGCTTTGAATAGACGCGTTGGGATACTCCACAGATAAAGATCGGCGTCTTCGGTTGGGGGACCGGTCTCATCATAAAGCCCTTTGAAGCTGATTTTCAGGGTGCTGTCAGAGCTCAATACACATGTAGAGCTTCGTTGCACCATGGTGACATCGTATCCTTTTTCGACGAAGTCTTGGGAAATATCGTGGGCTGAGTTACAAGATCCAACGACAACCGCCTTTTTACCCTTTGACTCGGAATTCGCGCCCGAGAATTCTGAGCTGTGGCACATGCGATCTCCCTTGAAGTTTTCCATTCCCTCGAAAGTGGGCAAATTCTTCTTGCCAGAGTGACCGGTAGCTTGAATGACGTGGCGTGGGTGCAGGGTGCGCGTCTCAGTTCCGTTCTCGGTCTGGCGCTCGAGAACAACTGTCCATTCCTTCTTGCCTTCATCCCAAGAAGATGATTTGATCTCAGTCTGGGTCCAAACGTTGAGTTCTCGGAATTTGACGTAGGTCTCGAAGAAATCTGCCAGCTTATCCTTTGGTGTGTATACTGGCCAGTCGGGCGGGAAAGGTAGGTAGGGCATATGATCGTACCACACTGGGTCGTGGAGGACGAGCTGGTGATATCGCTGGCGCCAGTTATCTCCGACTCTCGTTTCTCTGTCGATGATGAGAGTATCGACCTTAAGCATCTTGAGGCGTGCAGCGGCAACCAAGCCACCCTGACCAGCACCTTGATTTTCACGTCAGCTTCTGTCTTTCCTCAACAGCGAGATAAATAATGGCACGTACCAACTATCAGAACCGCCGGGTCCTTGTCTACAAAGTTGATTTCATCGGTACGTCGATCTTTCCAGTTCTTTCTGCCTTGCTGCTCGCCATGCCGGACACCAAACGGCCTTTCCTTCTTTTCCTCGTGTCCTTTCAGGTCAACCAAAGAAGTGAAGACGGTGAAGATCTTCCAGTTCCCATCATCCTCTGCCAATCGCATTACACCGTTTCCGTGCCCATTCTCGGTGGTGACCTTGAAAAAGAACTCAATGCCGAGGACATCACCAAACCCATCAATAGCACCTTTATGCGGTGACTTGAAGGGAGATGATCGGTCAATCTCAATTTTGCTAGGTGGCGCCTCCGTGACGAAAGCAGAGACGGCTTGAGGCCCCTCGCGAGTATGGTAGTCCCACGAATAGCACAGGTGGTCGCGCCAATAGCAATTGTCTAGGAAAAGTGATGAAACCGCTGCCTTGTCCCTGGCTGCCAGGCCTTTGTTCAGTTGCTCAATGATTCCGTCCGCAATGCTGTCTACCTCCAGCGACGGGGATTCTGACATGGACTTGGGGAATTCACCGAACGGGACGTTGTATGAACCCGGCACTACTCGCTCTCGCGATGGTATTTCGGCAGAATCTCCCATTTTGACGAGTGTATTTGAGATGATTATTGTTGAGAGTGTGGGGGATTGGAAGAAATGGGAAAGTTGGGGGAGTTGATAGCCCCTCAGTTCTGCCAGAACCCCGCACGCGTGTGGATTTCTCACCTGCATGGGCGATAACCTCCGTGGGGAGGATGGATGAATAAATCGCCTTGTACTAGCAGTGCCCAGTGGTCAGACTAGCTATTCAGCTCCTAGGGGGCCTTGATCTATCTATAGACAGGTTCGAGGTGGAAATTTCGACTGATTCTCGTTGGCTTCTTGGAATCTGATGTCAAATGGGTTCAGTCATCTTTTATTTGTATTGAACTACTGTTGATCTCATCGGACGGTTCGGTCATCGAGATAAATGGGTACTTTTTGGTCCCAAGGCCTTGTCCTCCACGGATCTCGACTGGGGGTTATCCCGGCAAATGTCACAAAGAGGTGACACTTATGCTTATTGTATGTCTTGTTTTCTTCTTTCTTCTTCGTTTTCTTTTTCTTCTCTTCTCTCTTCTTTTTCTTCCTCTTCTTTCCTTCTTGGTCTTGTCTTTGTTCTCCTCCTTGGTAGATAGCTTCTCAATATATGCCAGCGTCCTACACGACAACCATAACTGCGGAATATATATAGTTCTCCTTCTTCCTCCAGTGAGTGATGATCGACAACAATCCTTTGCTATTGGCCAAATCAATTATGATGCTAGATAAATTAGGAGCAACGCTAACTCCACTTCTCTAAGAGGGGTAAAAAAGCACAATCCCAAGTGCTTTGAATGAGGATAATTGCTCTTGCTGTGGGCTTTGGCCTAGAAAAAGCCTTATTGAAGTGTATAGCATAATAGTGGTGGCCTATACATGAACTAGCATCATTGGTCTAGTGGTAGAATTCGTCGTTGCCATCGACGAGGCCCGTGTTCGATTCACGGATGATGCACATTTCTTTTTGTCCATTTTTCAATGGACTCGTATTTTTTTTTGGAACAAATTCCTACCCAACAAGTGTCGGAATTATCTGTCATTGTTCTTTTCATATTAATTCAATCATCTTGGAGTCTATTTCGCATTTCTCCTGTCGCCTAAATGTCCCTCGCAAAAATTGGCCCCCAAGGAAGACTTAAGAATTGCCTGGATTGCCTCATCTCCTCGCCACTGTTGATTCGTGGATCTCAGAGTGGAGTATATAGATCGAGACATTATGTATTCATTTAGCGAATATCGCATTGGACCTCGAATAATAGCAATCTCTTGGTCTGGAGTAAGGACCAACAGTTGCCAATAAAGCTTAGCCCCTGGAGCACAGATGCTAAGCAACTACATGTACCTAGATAGCACTCAAGTACTCCGTACCCCGTATGCAGTAGTATAATCCTTAAATAGAGATCTCGTCGAACATCGAAATCCACCTCGACCTTATTCAAAGCCGAAAGATGATTCCTATCTGCCATGATGGCACCATGAGATATCGGTGTTTAGGCGTACGCACTACCGCGGAAAGGGAACGCCAAGAGGACATGGGCAAGTGAACTGGCCCAGGTGAGACTAGAACACCCAGCCAATTTACCTGAATCCTGCTATTTCCTTTTAGCCCGCTAGGCCTCGGATCTAAACGCGGGGGACCTTTTTTCGTTTTCTCCTGTCAATCGCTGGTCCATGTTGACCATCACTTCATATCCATTGCATTGAATATGCTGGACTCGTAACCTGAATCTGCCATGACTCGGGCCCAGCGCCAACTGTTAGGCGCTTGCCTTGGAGTTTTCCTCTTGTGCGTGCTCTACCGTTATCATCGCACTGCCGAAAACCTGCCCCCTACACACTTCTCGACCGGCCTCGATGGCAAAACTGATTCTCACTGGCCGGTGACGGAAGTCCAGCAATTTCCGAAGATTCAATCGACCGCCTTAGACCCATCCATCTCTACCCGCGCGAGACAGTCGTCTGTGAAAGACGCTTTTGAACGATGTTGGCAGTCATACCAGGCACTTGCATGGGCGGCGGATGAGTTTACGCCGCTCAGTGGTAGCTCCAAAAATGTGCTGGGAGGATGGGGCAGTACACTGATTGATAACCTGGATACACTGTGGATCATGGGGATGCACGATGAATTTAAGGAGGCCGTGACTACGGTGTCACACATTCGTTTCTCAAGAACGCAGTCGCCCGAAATCAATACCCATGAGGCCAATATCCGTCTACTGGGAGGCCTGTTGGCTGCATTTGATCTCAGCGCCGATCAAAAATTGTTGAGGAAGTCCATCGAGCTGGGAAATATGCTTTACGCTGCATTTGACACGCCCAACGGAATGCCCATCATTCATTGGGATTTAAATAGGGGTTCTCACAAGAAAGAGAAGCTCACAGAGGAAAGAGTACTTGTCGCGGAACTGGGCTCCTTTATTATGGAGTTTACAAGGTTGTCCCAGATCACCGGTGACCTCAAATACTTCGATGCCGCCCAACGAGTAATGGAATTTCTTGAAAGCCAGCAAGACAATACTCAAGTCCCAGGTCTCTGGCCTGTATCCATGAATGCTACAGCAGAGCTCTTCTACGAGGATAACTTTACACTGGGGGCTGAAACAAGCTCTCTGTACAAGTCACTACCAGGAGCATACGTATTGCTAGGGGGACGAATGCCCATGTATCGCAAGATGTACGAGAATGCCACGATGGCAGCTTCGGAGAACAATATTTTCCGACCAATGAACCCCGAGGACAAAGACATCCTTGTCTCCGGTAATATTCGAGCCGTGAGAGAAGACAGCAAAACGCAGATATATCTAGAGTCACAGGTGCAATATCAATCCTGTTTTGCAGGTGGCATGTTCGCATTAGGGGGCGCACTGTTCAATAATCCCACCCACCAAGAAATCGCCCACAAGTTGGTCGATGGTTGCATCTGGGCTCACCAAGTTATCCCGCTAGGAATCATGCCCGAGGCTTTTGATGCGGTTCCGTGTGCCTCGCAAACAAACTGTCCATGGAGCGAGTGGCATTGGAAGCAAGAGGTGTGGAAGAACGCGAATAGTCTCGAGCCAGAACCGATTCCGAATCTCAACGTCAATAAGTTTATCAAAGAGCATCGTCTGCCCAAGGGATTCACCGGAGTCCCGAAGACTGCTTATAACCTGCGCCCGGAAGCCATCGAGAGCATATTCACTCTCTACCGCATTACTGGCCGTGAAGATCTACTCGATGCAGCTTGGAACATATTCCAGGCGATACAGAATGCGACGCAGGCGAAGAATGGTAATGCGGCCATCGTTGACGTTACCGTCGAGGGCGGGGAACCGACTCTCGAAGACTCGATGGACAGCATTTGGATGTCGCGGACCCTCAAATATTTCTATCTCATGTTCGGCTCTTCAAATACGATCAGTCTAGATGAGTTTGTGTTCAATGCTGGAGGGCACCCCCTGAGACGCCCAAGTGCCTCATGAGATGGGCATCGGGAAAAAAAGCCGATGTGTTTCGTGCCATGTTCAATTTTTATATTGTCTGAAATGGGCGGATTCTTGAGTTTAGCATTCATTATCATCATATTAACTATTGTATCCTACTGTTATATCCCATACCGAAGGCGTTGTGCTTAGCTGCGACTGAGGGTCTTTACCATCAATATGAGATTATCTCCGAGCTCATGCTTATGTTGTAGAAGGGAGCAGGGCTAATAGGCGCTCGGATTAAAATTAGATCTAAATACGTGTTGTTATAAAAGCCCCCTTGTCTGAGACACAGTTGCAGTCTCGAACGGTCGGGCTCCTCTTTTGCTCTAAGCCACGAAGGATCTGGAGCTTGGCGTGGGGTTGAGGCATGTTGACACACATTGACTCATGAATCTTGAAACGATAAAATGATGAAGATGAGCCAACGAACCCCAGGCATCAAACGTAATTCAAGTCGACATCCAACATGATCACCCTCGAGTCCACAAGATTGCGACCGGCCCAGTCAACCCCTACATCAACACCCCTGTCCATCCTCGACGCGACAGTCGCTCGCTTCGCCCCAACAGGAGGAATCTGGATCTATGATCAACCTGCCAATGTGGACCGAAAAACCTTGATCGACAACCTGCGGATCTCATTAATCGAGACTCTATCCAAATTCCCTCATTGGGCAGGCCAACTCCAATGGACACCCTTCAACCCCAAAGGAAAACACACAGAACGCTTCAATCGCCCATTAATCGTGTATGGAACGGATGAAGATCCAGGCGTGGAATGGAGAGTCGTCGAACATCCCACCGGAGTGGCTGATATCGTCCCCACAGCCCAAGACCGGGCCTCATCCACCACTGCATCTCGCCCCGGAGCATGGGCAGGCGATAACTTCGACCAGCAGCTATTCATCTCACCCAACCCTCTGGCATTAGCCAATCTGCGCGACTATGCCGGTCTACCAGGTGTGCAAGTTCAAATTACACTTCTTCGCGACGGATGCTACGCCATCGGAGTCAAGATCGCACATTGTCTAGCAGACGCACAGGCCTTGATGGTCTTCGTGCATCTCTGGGCATTCAACAGCCAAAACCAGTTCGGACATAACCCCGAATCCCCACTACTGGGCGAGCCCATCTTCGATCCCATGTCTTTGGATAACCGAGCTGCGGGGAATATCGACAGCACCGAAGCAGACCAGGATATCATAAAGACCGCGCGCCAATTACCTCTGCACCGGTATAGCTGGTGGGATACCGCCGATGAAGGATACCCCCAATTCTGCATCCCGACGACAGAAAACTCCAAACCTGCGCCCGCAGACTTCAACCACAACCTAATCTCACCCTCAGAACCAGCGCCTTGGCTTTCGTGGGACTTCTCCCGACCAGTCAGCCATACCCAACTACACTTCACCGGCGCAGAGCTTCGCGAATTCCAATCCCTTGCGCTGGAAACAGGGTTTCGAAGTGATATCTCCCGACTGGACGCTCTGCTGGCACACTTATGGATAAAGATCACGCGAGCACGCGGATACGCAGATTCCTCGAAACCCGTCTATCTCGATCTAAGTCTCGGCGCACGAGCGCGTGTATCGCCCGCTCTGCCTGATGCATTTATCGGATCACCGCTGTTCCTAACCCACGTGGGGGGACCTGCGTCTTGGGCGTGTAAGCAAACAGTAGGCGAAATGGCTAGTCGAATACGGGAGACGATGAAGGGGTTCACGGCGGATGCTGTAGGTGCGATGCTGCACGATGCTGCATATGAGGTATCACCGCAGCGACTGTGGCAGGCGTTTGTGGGATCCGAACATACGCTTGCCACGTCGTGGTTGCGGCTGCGGCTTTACGAGGTGGATTTTGTTGGGAGTAGGCCGCGGTATGTGCATGCCGTTATGCCGAGGATGGATGGGTGTCTTCAGATTATGGATAGTGCGGTTGGGGACGGGGGGATGGATGTTGCACTTTATCTTGATAGGGAGGCTATGCAGCGGTTGTTAAATGGTGGGAACTGTACTTGACATGGGAGATGAGGTTTCATCTGGTTGATTTTCAACGAGAAGGAGTACATATCTTGGTTTACGTTCACATAGCCTGAGATTTCAATATCCTGTAACGGGTCAAATTAATTTATACAGAAGAAATAAGAAAAATATGTATAGAGGGCAATATAGCCTACAAACTCATCGAAAGTGCCCGATGTCGCGATGTTCGTTTCCGGCAGCCCGCATCTCGGCTCTTGCGTCCCATCCGACCAAAAGCCAAGCTTTCAAGTGTCTCAGGCTTTCCGCCCCAAAGCTTACTCTTACCAGGTCGTTCTTGTTGGATAGGTGGAACCCAGAAGTGTGTGACTACTGCACCGAGGACCATGCAGGCGCTGAAAACAAGAAGAACAATTCCGTGTTTGCGGGTCGATTCGTTGCCCGGCCCTGCGCCGAAGCGATAATACGTTGAAAAGACCTGTACGAGGATAGAGCCGAGCTTCCCAGCTGCGGCGCTGATGCCATGGCAGGTAGCACGGTATCGAGTTGGGAAGATCTCAGCGGGAATCATGTATGTTGTTGCATTGGGGCCTGGGGATAGTTAGCACAATCTTCATAATTTCACTCTTTCTCCTGATAGCATAAAAGCCAACTGACCAAAATTAAACATTATCTGGCCAACAATATACAGTGCCACCACAGCAGGAGGACCGGAGTAGAGGCTGACGAACATGGTTCCTAGGGCGATAAACAGCGCCGCCAACGCGAGAAACATGTATTTTTGAAGTGCGACTCGATCCAGCTTATGGGCAAAGATGATGAGTAGGATTCCACCGACAAAGCTTCCGATATTGAGCACAACTAGCCCATGTATAGACGTATTCATAAACATCTGGAAGATATTGGCGCCTGGTCTATCGTCGGTCATCCAGTTCGGCGCTGCCTTGGAGATATGAAGTGTGCCCCAAGTCTTGGCCAAGAACTGCGGGCTTGATAATCCAATACCGTAGAACCCAAAGTCAAGCAGGAGCCATGCTAGGGAACAACCAGCCAAGCTGCGCCAGTTGCCCTCGGTCCAGAAGTACCGAACGATATCGGTACGTGCTAGTCGCCAGTGAGAGTTAAGGGTAGCGGGCGGGAGACGGGTGAACTCTTCTTCATCATCATCGTCAATGACCGAACAGGTGGTGATGGATGAGACCGGGGGAAGTTGTATCGCACTACCTGCACTGCATATCGTGCTGTTTCCCCAGTTGACTGAGTCGATCATACCAGCCGTCTCGCTGAAAAGTGTAGATGCATCGAATTCCGCGGTGATGGTGTCGTCTTCGATATCGGCGAGATAGCGTGGGCTCTCTGGAATGGCGAATCGGAAAAGAGTAGCGATTGCACCGGGTACGACCCCAATACCGAGGACCCAGCGCCACATTATGTCAACAGTACGGCTGATATCTTCACCCGGGGTACTGTTACCGCGAGCGACGGCAATAACGATGATTGAGACAATGTTACCTGCGATCTGGCCGAGCGGCTGCATGAAGAAGACGCTTGCCATCATGCGGGCGCGATGCTTGGTCGGGGCAAATCTTGGGAATCAAGGTCAGTTTCTCCACGTTAGCAGTTGTCAAGATTGAGAAACCTACTCAGATGTGATTACTGCGCTCAGTGGGTAGTCTGCGCCAACTCCAATCCCGACACAGATTCTCCACCAAATAAGCCACCCGTAGACGTTCATGCTGCCGTCCACGCCTGTAGAGGACATGACAACGCCCAGAGTGGCAGTAATCAGCAGGACCAATTCAACACCATACATCTTCTTTCGGCCATTCTTATCGGCTAGGAAACCGAAAGCCACTTGGCCCAGCAAGGTTCCACCTAATGTTGCGATGTTGATGCATGCGAGTCGTAACGAGGAAATGTCGTTCCTCCAGTAGACATAGGAGATCATGGGAAGGGCTATATTATTAGCGAATAACTATACCCGATATTAACAGTTAGTCAAGACGTGGACTTTTGATATGAGGCTCACGCACTGTGTAACCATCGAGGAAGAACCCAAGACCAGCAACCAGCACGACAATCCACTGGAAGCCCTGTCGGTCGATAGTCTCGTAAATCTGTCGCGTGCGGACATATCGATCCTAGAACCGAACTGTCAGCAATCGCGCCATACAATTGTTGGGACTGATTTAATGGCTGGGGCTTCTATACCTGCTCGTGGTCAAAATCCCGAGCACGGTCGGTCTTGTACAACCGGGCATGGAACTTGCCCATGATGAACACCTGTGAAGTTGAAGGATCGAGGTTTCAACCCATATCCTGTGTCTCATATGTAGAATATCGAAAGATCCATGATCAGGAGATTCCGAATTGCCAAAAGGTCCCAAGTTACGAATGAAGCCCGTTGGCCCCTGCACGCGCTAATGCGGGGCTAAGCGGGAACCAGCCAAAGCTTGAGGTTAATGGCTCCACGTGCGGCGTTGCTGGGGCTTGACTTGTCGATGTCCCGGCTAAACCCAGGTCAATTGTCCGGAGTCTATTAAACTTCGTGAGTCAAATCTTGGGCCTGGAGCACGTCTTGATTATGCCGAGATCCAATTCTTGCAATTGGTCAGTACGGACTTCTTTTTATCTAAGGTGTGTATTCATCTAACTGGCAAAACTTCGTATGTTCGTATGCTCATATATTAAAGCAATGCCTATGAGGTATCTTGATATGATATCCATGCTCTACGGCCCCCAATTCGCCAAGTAACGCCACCATGCAAGACTCATTATCGCCACAAAAAACCGAAGGATTCGTCTAAATTTGCCCTTTCTCGTAAATCAATCATCCAATCGCTAAGTCGTGTGACAACATCTGACAAAATTCCTGGCAATCTGGAACAGAGAAGAATCAGTGAATACTCCAAGGACACAGTCCTGACACTCAAATATACACTAACCGTCATCATCAAGAAACCGAATCGTAATGTGCCTCATCTGAGACAGAATTTCGAAGTTTGGATTCAATTCGATTGTGGCTGGCCGCCCAGCCTTTTTTGGTGGTTTGATTGCGTTAATACAGTTGACTGATCACGCCATTAGCAATTTGATAATGATAGAGGGCTGTTGCCTCGTAGAAGTCGACTCACGCGGAATAGAAACGTATCGTTTGAGCTCCCTCCGCTGTGAATTTGTAAAGAAGAGCATCACCCGTCTGCCGTTGTTCCCGCGGAGGATGCGGAGATTTTGGCTGATACACTCCTCGCCCCGGCCTTTCGATTTGGCCTCGGCCATTCCCCCAATGAATACTAATTTGGAGTTGAGTAGGAGTTCTTGGAATCGCACACAATCTGCAATTGTAAGTGAATGATGATTCCTCAAGATCTTGCGGTCGCATACCATCCCAGTGATCAAATTTGTATGACAGTTGCGTCATGAACACCGTGTGTGCGGTTTGTACGGTTTGCTGGTCCATGAAGGACACACGGAGAGGGAAATCGTCGCCTGCCTTTGGATGTTCCAAATGAGGAACTGGGAGTTTTGTATTGGAGACTTCATTTGATTTTCAAGATCAGCATGTGTTCTTCGCTCGATACTTGCACCAGCACAACTCACAGGCGTGGATAAAAGGCGCTTGTTGGCCTAATGCGCCTCCAAGTTCGAGACATCTCAATGCGCCCGTTGAGTCTTTGCAGACATCAATAAATGTGTATTTTAGTTTGAACATCTGGCCATTCTTCACAAAAGAACTATGCAGAGGTCAGCAAATTCTTGAGAGATGTTTTTCTCGAACGGACATTTGCACCGAGGGCGTCAGTTCGAGTCGCACGACATCATCGTAGAACTGCCCGGATTGTTTCCTCGAGCTGGACGCCGAAGAGATCGCGGGGCTCGGGAAGAGGAGATTCGTTGACGCGGACGACACGGTGGAGGCAGACACGGTGCTCTGACGTCGATCCACCCACTCTGGAAAGCCCTGAGGAGAGAAAGAGTTCATCCCGTCTTTGAAGGGTGTTTCAGAGAGCTCGAGTCAGACAGGTGATGTCGACAGAATGCGACGATCGGGCGGATCCCGCCAGAAAAAGATCGGCCAGGAACAAAAGTGGCATGTTTGACGATGGAAATTGTATAGAAAAATCAACATATATACCCCGACCAGCCATTGAAAGTACAATGTGTTAATGGCACTCGAGAACTGTGGAGAGAGGCCAGAACGTGCGAAAATGGCTGGCTATCAGACCCTCCCGGGTTCCACTTCGCCTTTCCCATGTGGCCTTGTCATTTTTAATGTCTCTGTGAGATATGTGTCCAATGTACTCCGTACTCTGAAGCCTTTTCATGTAGTAGTCGTGCGCTTCTACTCTCTAGATATGCATGGCTTATGGGGCTATCGATGCTGTCAGGATGCATACGAAGAATCGGTTGTGATTACGCCACTCACACTGTATGAGATTCCATGGTCCTCACTCTTACGGTTGAAAGCAAAAATTTACCCGAGATTCCTCCCGAATGTTCCTGGGCGTGAAGTCTATGGGAAATCGTGTCGATCAACATCTCGTGGTCATAGCTCGGACGCAACCTCTGAAGCTATTCACACAACCTGGCTCGAGCAGAATTCCAGGATGCCTACTAATGTATAGGCTTAGCATTGGGGCACCCTTTGAAAGATATGTGTGAATCGATGTAATCTAGCTCTTAAGGATCTCGGGTTTCTGCCTAGATTAGGCGATTGCAGCATTGTTCTCAAGGTATTCATATATGCCATCCAGCCTTTGTTAAGACCGGGAATCATTTGAACCGGTTACTAAATGGCCGCTGTTATAGGCCGTGAGCTGTTTACCGTCTGTCGCTCGTCTGTTTGTCGTTACTTAGGCGTTATTAATCAACGGCTGTACCTATGTTTGCCCATCAAATTTCTTGAAGTATATGACTTGACTTGTTCCAAATAATTTCCTGAAGCAATCCTACCTCTAAGGCATGGTATCTATACTCGAGTATAAAAGCAAACTTCACAGTATATATCCGCTTCCTCTTTATATATATACGCGACTATAAGAACTAATAAGCTTCTCTAGTTTGTCTAGTACCTATCCTTTGCTTGCCCTTTACTCCTACCTATCTTACCGTCATCTCACCATCACTTTATCGCTACTTTATGGTTAATAGTCAACATATATATGTGTACTGGTCAAATTCTTTGAAGTATATGGTTTATTCCAAACCATTTCTCCGAAGCAATCACACCATTAAGCTATGATATATCCACTCGAGTATAAAAGCAAACTTTGCGGTATATATCCGCTTTCTCTTTGGAGATACGCGAGTATAAGGACTACTAAGCTTCTCTAGTTTATCTATTACTTGCATTTTGCTTGCCCTTTATTTATATTGTATCTATCTACTTGCCGTCACTTCATCGTTACTGAGGTGTTAGTAGTTAACACATATATGTTTGCCCGCCAAGTTTCCTAAAGCATATGGTTTATTCCGAACCGTTTCTCCGAAGCAATCATACCCCTAAGGCATGATATATCTACTCGAGCATAAAAGCAAACTTTGCGGTATATACCCGCTTTCCCTTCGCATATACGCGAGCATAAGAACTACCAAGCTTCTCCAGTCCATACATAGGTGCGTGTCTCGAGGTATGCCTCTACTCTCTCGATATCTTCTGTTTGAATGAAAACCATATAGGAACATCCGTCCATGGCGTGGCGTGGCTTAGGCAGCCTTCCAAATTCATCACAGAACTTACGATGCTAACTCTAGTGAATACAGCTATCCCGTTGCAGTGTGCAGTTTGCATACGTCAAAGGCATTACCTACGTGGTAGTGAGTATCTTTGATCCGTCTAGCCGGGTATAGGTGACGCCAATCTAACGGGCAAATCACGTCTAATCACGCTCACTCGGGCCCAAGATGATTGCCCCTCAAACAGGAGAGCCTGTGATTGCCTCTGAGGCCGGGTTTGTTTCCTCGGGTGTAGATCCCTTCATTCAACCTCTTGCTGGGTTACCCACTGGAAACCTCGCTCCTCAATTCTACGGCCCTTTCCGTTATGGTGCCTTCTTTTATGGACTACCATATTATCCTGCACAACCGACCCCTTCAGTTGGCCAATTGATCCTAGGTCCTTCGCTTCCTCACCCGAAATTTGCCATGCAACCTACTTTCAGCACCGGTTATACAGCGCCAGTTTTTCCACCTGCATCTTTGCCTTTTCACGAGCCCAATGATTACCCGGACAAAGCCAAAGACTGCCAAATTGCGAATCGCAAATATACTAACTGGCTGAACACGGTTTACTACTCATGGCAATCACCAATTGCATTTGTGCAAGCCTGGGATGAAGCCTTCAAAGAAATGAGACAGGTGTTTCGCCGTCCGCATCTTCCAACCATCTTCGTTCTCAATCAATTCCTCACCGCAGTCAGTGCAAACCCCAACGCCATTCCATGGGTCCAGTCGCTCCAATTTGATGTTGGTTCTCTGCCGGCATCCATCCTGAATGAAGCCTATGTTGATTTCCTGGAGTTTGAGGCACACAGACTAAGTGGAGGGGATTTTGACATCAGCAACGAGAACCTAGAGCCTCTAGAACCGAAGCAGTATTGCCACTTTCACCAGCGTCCTACTAGGCACTCTACTGAGGACTGCTTTCGAAACCCGCAGAACACGAAGCGCAAACGCAGATGGAGACGCAAGCAGGAGCTGATGGCGACTGACATCCCGGTTGAACAGGGGGGAATTTGACCGAAAAGTCTGACAGAGCAAGGCCCACGGACTCTCGGACATGCTTACATGTAGGTATTGACTGGGAGGTGACTGCACGTGGGCTTTGAAGAACCAGGTAAGATGTGATTTCTTGTACGATTTTTACAAGCGGATGGGACTTTGTGTTATATGTGTTGGGAGCTATTTTTCGTTCATTGCATTCATGTTAACAATATATGAGGGTGAACTTGTACGTTGACGACCAGTGCCGTTGATGAAGAGACCGGGGATGGATGGCATGGATATGTATTTAGCCAGCCAAATCTGCTTTTTTTCCCCTTCTCTTCTTTTTGTACATTAAGACAAATCGGCGTCACAGATACATGTATATGTGTAGTAATAAAAACATATCAATCACGATCACGTCTTTGAACTTGGGCATGATCTACTGAATTTATCTCATGGGGTTCAGCTACTCAGATCCTGGCTTCATCATGCCCATGTATTGCACATAGTTTCGGTATCTGATCATGCTACTAGACATCTATGGTAGTGGTATAGAGACTCTCAAGAAGCCCTGGTAGAGTGATAGGACTCCCCATTGGTAGATTCTGCTTGTGGTCCAAGGCTCGAATTCTGGCTAGGGCACAGCTCGGACCGAAATCGCGCGGAGCTCATGTGTGCGAATCAGTGATGGTCCGATCACAGGAAGGAGTGCGTCTAGTTCTACGCTTGACGAGAACCGTGCATATGCCTCCCAAGTCATGCACACAAAGACTCCCGCAGATGCATTGGTTTCATAGGCATCTGTGATTTTCACTTTAAACTTGGCCGGCAGGTTTTCAATAACTTTTTCAAAGTCCTGGACAACCAGCTTCGGGTTTCCTTCGAGAACGAGTAGAACAAGAACGTGAGTTTCGCGGTCGGAGGGAAGTTGTGATAGTGGGCGGGAATGTAATGCAGGGCCTAACCTCGAACTTGAGGCATGCCCAGAAGACGAAATTCCTGGCGAAGGAGGAATTGAAGTAGACGTGACGTGGAAAGGTAAGACAATGGGATTCACCCCATTATGACTAGAAAATCTTGGCATGTAGCAGCCACGAGGAGTTTCATTCTGTACCGCATTGAAAATTTCATCTGTTGAGATAGATATCTTGCCAGAGTCGGAAAGCTTTCGCATGGTCCGCACAACTCGCTGTGTAAAGGATATTCCATTTACACGGGATCTCGCAAACTCCGAAGAGGCACAAGCAGCTAAGACATGGGTTGTCATCGGGTTACCCGCAATAGCAGTACCGGAATAACAACAATCTAGGATGCAGAAGGTATCCATAGGATAAGTGTGGTAACTTAATTCACGATCGATGGTGCGCCATGGAACAAGGTTTTCCTTCTTGGTCGCGGTAAAAGAAAGTTCGTTAAGTTGATTGATCCTACCGTGGCCAGCGTAAAAAAAGATGAAGAGCGTTGGTTTGCAAATGCGGTGTTTGGACACAACTTCTTGATGCAGGCGATCTCCCAAATCCCAGCATGCAACGGAATTTTCGTGGTTCATGATAAAAGTTTGGCTGGCAACTCCGAAAAGATCAGCTATCATATGGGAAAAGGTTTCTCCATCTTCTTGAGCACGAGTGTTGTCATCGTCCCAATAACAGATGAAGGCCGTAATTTGGGAGTATGTTTTCCCTCTGGCCTTAACCGCCCTTTCTAGTGCAGATTTTAGATCGGGAAGAGCAATCCTTGTGGAGCTGATCCTTCTCGGAATTTTCGATGGAGATTTTGGGGATACGGGTGAAGTTGCAGAGTTAGGCGAGGTAGGAGGGTAGGACTGAGAAGATTCCATAGTCAAGTGACTGAACCAAGTGCCGAATAGAGGATATGCAGAACTCGATTTGAGTACAAAGTGAAAATAGTAAGAAGTCCCCTTGCCTCAGATTGGCTCAAGGGTCTTAGGTGTTGAGGGCTCACGAGTAACTGACGAAGAGAACTTAAGATGATAGAGAGGTGAAGAAGTAGAGAATTGAGAAATGAGTAAAGGTGAAAGATAAGTGAGAGTTGTTTGTTGAAGTTAAAGGTAGAGATATTTGTGAAAAGGAAAGAAAAGAAAGAAGAAATTCAGACCTGGGGACTTGATAGAGGTAGGAGACAAGGTAGGACGAACCATAGTACAATCAAAACTACTATGCCTATTCTAGCAATCCTTATTGTAAGAACCATGAAACCTCATTCGATCCGGGCCTAGTGTCGCGTGCCTAAGGTCTAGAATATTTTTATAGATGTCTATCGCTAGAGCTAAAGTCGTATTCCTAGGAGCAAGCGGCAGGCAGTAAGAGCGATAGTCCTTCCCGTCTTCCACAAGCGCCACCAATTCAATCTCAGCAAAAGGCGCCCCCAGTTAGCTCCGAATCAAATACCCCAATCTGTTTCGGTCTGCATCCACTTAGCAGCACAGAAGCCGAGCAGACCTCATTCACGAGAATGGCTGACGACATCAACCCTGATGAGATTTTTAAGACTGTGACACGCCCCTATCACACCTCTCACAGGAAATATATGAAATGGATGCGGCTTGACTACAACCCCTCAGCTTCACCTGACATCTTCGTCAGAGATTGGAGAAATGCCCTTACAGAGGTGCAGTTGGCATTTGGGTTCTCTTCACTATCAGAGATCTTCATCTTCAACCAGTTCCTTGCTGCCGTCGCTGCCAATTCCGCAACTAGGGAGTGGATCGACTCCCTCATTGTCCCCATGAACAAGCCTCCTGCCGATACTGTCATGGAGGATACATACCGCGATTTCCTCCAATTCGAGGCCCGCCGACTCCATCATCTTCGGTCGATATAGGATCCTCTAGCTGAAGGGCTCTGGTTGATCCAGAGAGAAGAGGCGCCAAACATTTCTGCACTTTTCACGACTAGCTCACCACACAAATGGGGACGATTGCCCTCTGCTTCTACTGAGTTAAACTAGTATGACTGAGCAAGCACTGAGGGAAATATGAGAACATGATAGGATGGGTTTTCTTTTTCCTTTTTCTCAATATGGACGGTTCTACAATATGATTTTGTCTTGTCCCCTGGCTCTATTACCGCATTTTCTACCGCAATTTAATTTGTAGTAACGGTTACTTTCAGCTCAAATTGGCTGGATAGATGAACATAGGGAGCAAATGTTAGGGATTTGTATAGAGGAGCTAACTAAGAGTTTGGTATTGGTATACGATTGGAAAGTAAGGGAAATCAAACTTGAAACTAACAGATCTCTGCAATGGCGCTTTGTAGTAATGAGGCTGAAATGATGGGATCTGATGGTATCTATTACAATTATCCCGAAGAAATGCGATTCTGCACTCTGCAGCTTGGTTTTTAAGTCGAGAGATTTGAAAGGGAAAAAAAGAAAAGGTGTTCTCTGCCCGACCATGTGGGATCTTGCTTCCTCTCGCAATACCGGATCAAACGGGAAAAGGCGAAGGCGTTGGTTTGCCTAGATAGTCTACAAATTGTATAATGAAACCCCATGACACTGTTTAGAAACATCAGGCGAGGAAAGAGTATGCAAGTAAGTAATCTTAGAACCTATTAGACAAGAACACCTACGCGCTAAACATAGTCATGCTCCTTTGTTGAGGTGTCTCCCGTGTAGTATAGCTCGATTCTCACACACAACCCGGAACTTTCATAACGACAATATACACTGGTTTGACATTCCGACCAGGTAATTGTTCTCCAGATGAGTAACGTAGATACACTACAAACTGCGAGACTGTAGCTTAAAGGTCGTGTCAACTATGTAGATGAAAAAGTGCCTCGTACCGTATGAATAGACCGCTACGGAGTACGGAGTACAGAAGCGGGAATACCTTTTTTTAGCCATGGACTCGGGCTACCCCACACGACGTCTCGGCTGGGCACAAGGTTGCTGGCTACCCATGCGGTGTAACCTGCAGCTGTTGGGATGCCTTCTGAGTACGACCCAATGAGATCGCGCGAGAAAAATGGATACGAAAAGCCTTGAGATATGGAGAGGAGCGGAATTCATACGAGAGTTCATACGCGATAGGTATATACAGAATACTCGGTAGGCGTCTATGTTGTAGGTGTCATGCGGGTGTCCGTACGGAGTAAATGTGCACATATTGGAGAGAATGACAGCCCCAAATGTAGCGTCGGGGGAAGTTCCCGAGGCTCCACTTGAGCACTCCCGAGACTAAACAACCCGTCGCGAAAGGGTTAGGCAGGTTGATAACGCCTTAGCTTACTGCGCCAAGCTTGATTCTATTTTGGGCCATGTGAAGGATCTAAATTGGGGTAGACAGTTCATGAAGTCCTGTACGAAGTACGAAATACATTCATCTTGAATTGCCCAGGTGCATTAGCTGAAGAGCTAGCCATGTTTGGGGCCACTATAGATAGGTAGAACAGATCACATCTAGGTGAAACCCTTGAAACCTAGCAAATGATTTGTCAGATGAGAACTACGATCCAAGTCGTGATGCCATTGCAACGGTTTCAATAAAAGTGAGACCCCAGTCATGCTTATGCTGAGATGCAAGGTGAATCCACAATAATTGGGGATCGTCATGATTTGCTTCCTCATTGGCCTTAGTGTGAGGCATCTATCCGTGGCTTTCCCCCGATTTCTAATCTCGTCGAGACTAGGGACTTGGCCAATCACCAGCAAGGAGATCCAGTTCAAGGGTTTAGTGCCAGGGCTGAACGCCCGTTCATCCAGCTGGGGAGGATTGGAGGATATAAATACAGCGTCAGACCACACACCTTCTCCATCACACAATCGAATCAGCTTGTCTCCACTATATACCCTCTCAATACTCCAACTCTTCCATCTTTTGTATACATTCTTCCCATTTCTATCACAATGAAGTCCTTTATCACCATCTGTCTCTTCGCCGTCTCTGCCCTTGCCCAGCGCGCCAACATCGGACTCCCCGAAGAGGACCAGCGTATCAACTCCGGCAAGGATGTCATTATCCAGATCCAGCGTCCCGTAAGTCCCAGTCTGGGCTTGCATAGCTCCTGCAGATTTCACCGCAAGTTCCTTTCGCTAACCCTATACAGAACACTCTGACTGGATCCAAGGAGATGGCCGTCGCAATCGGTCTCTCCTCATGCAAGTCCTCGCCTTGCCGAAGCGCAGCCGATGCTATAGGAACAATCCTGTACAATGGGCCCTTCAAGCCCGAGTATCACGAGAACAACCGTCCCCCATATGAGAACTTCACTGTCAAGGTGCCGTCCGATGCTGTCTTGGGCAAGAGCCAGATCAATGTCGCCCATGCGGCTTTGATCGGTGTAAGTACCTCGCTCCACCATAATTCGATTATAAGGATACTAATTGTTTGTCTACAGGCTGGTCCTTCCGCATTTTTGGAGTCCTTCAACCAGACGGTCTTCGTTGTTTAGATATGACGCCACATCTGGGGGATTCGGTGTCTCTCCCGCTGACTTCGTGTATTTGGTCTTACTTTCTTGCTGTACATGGCATTCTACCTGTGAGTCTTCGAGCGCGCATCTGTGATTACGATAGCAAAAACATTAGTCGGAAATTTGGACATTAGACTCAGCATAGCAAATATCATTGATTTTTGTATAAAGAACTACTCCGTACTGGATTGAAGTTTTTTTTCTATGGATAGATCAAGTCGATACCTCGAATACCTACATGCAGACATTGGGCAATCGAATGAAACTATCAACATCATAGTGGATCTGATTACATCAATGACCGAGGCCGCAAGAGCACAAGGACTTGTTGTCAAATCTTATAATATTGGAACTCGCCTAAACATCATTGCACTATTGCGGTTTAATAAAACATTTGCATTCGAGGGCTGGGTTATGGTTTTGATTTGCTCATTCAAGAGTGTTGATTGTATGCTAGCGAGTCAGCAAGATCGACACTTTGTATGCAATTCAACTCCGAATATTCCGAGACCGAGGATCTTGCAAACAGGAACTGCTGCATGACTTCAAGAATCAAAACATCGTGCCGAAAACTTGTCCTATTGCTCCAGTCGTTGGCGCAAAAGCAGAGGCGAGCGTAGTCGATAACGTCATGGATATTGGTTAAACGTGGACTCGGTGGAGACAGATTGCGCCTCGGTTAAATTCTTCGTGGCAGGGAATTGATTTCACCATGCTCCTCCCCACGGAGTGTTAGTGCCATAGGGTATTACTTGAAAAACGAAAGAGTCGAAAAAACAGGAAAGGGATTATGTTGTTCGCCTCTGGACGTTTCTTTGTTCTCGGCCAACAACTTTCCCGCCATCAGCCTCCTATTGGACTCTTCATTTGGACCAATTATTTGCTCATGATTGGTTGATTTTGTCCGAGTCTTATTGATACCCTAATCGGGTCATCTATAGACCTCGCCTGCGCATCTACTCTTTGTCCCCGCTCGAATATGAATAAGACTGCAGTCTCAATAAAATCATGCACTGGATAGCCACTTTCTCTCCAGACAGGAGATCTGTCCCTTATCTTCAGTATAACAGCCACCACATAGTCACTCGTTAGTTCCACCATCATGGACAATGTCTTCGCTCGAAACTACGAGCCCGTCCCGAAGACAGAAGCCGATGGCGACAGCGACACCACTATGACCAACAAACCACCCCGTCGCGGAGTCCAACAATTCCTAAAACGAAACCTCGCCGCAATCACCATCACGGGCCTCCTCATGGTCCTGTTTCTCCTAGTACTTGCCGTAATCGCCGCCATAACTATGGAGCCCTTGCGACAGGTCCTCGCCATGAAAGATCCCTCATCATCTCTCGCATACCCCGACACCCTCAAAGGCCAACGACAATGTCTCCCGCCAACCCCGCGAATCAGATACTCGTGCGGAAACTCGACCGAGGAGGCGAGGAAACTCGGCTGCACCTATGACCCTCTTGCCGGCTGCTGGCTGCATGAAGAATGTCCGCATGACTTCACGCACGAGTTTGCGCATTTCCACAATGGCAAGCCGTTTGTCTATTTCTATGATGAGGAGGCTACGAAGCCGATGAAGGATTATACGGAAGTTGGTGATAATCCGGACTTCTATTGGACTGAGGTTCGCGAACACTTGGTTCATTGTTTGTATCTTCTGCGGCGGGGGCATGATGTGCATATGCGTGGTGATCGGTTGGATAATATGCTTGGGGACTTGGAGCATGTTGATCATTGTACTAATATGCTGGCTAACTGGCTGAGAAGACCGGATCCTGCATTGGATAAAGTGGGTACTCAGGGGTTTACTCATTGTTTCATGTCGTGCAGTTGATATCTAGGTGTATAGACTTGGGTATTGGGAATTGAAGAAGGAGCAGGAGGGGTAGAAATGTTGATCCTTGTTTTGGTTTGTATGATTCAAAAGGCAGAATGTCAGCATTTTACACATAGTTATTGATCCTGCAGTGGCATTGATTGTTGGGATGTACGTATGCCCTTTGTCTATACCTGTTGAACTCGGAATCATATCTCTGCAGGAACTCAGCCAAGCAGTAGTCAATATTCACCTTCTCTTTAACACGAGAACAATACACCTGCGAGATTCCCAAGAAAATAACCGGGAAGAAGCTCCATCCGAATCCATGAGACACTGCAACTGCCGATGTCCCCAATGTCCGGGCCGAACTACTAAATCCACACTCCCAAAGAAAGAATCCTAGAAGCTTCCTCCAACACCACGAAAACACCACCCAATCCTCCAGAGGATCTTACAATCATCCAGAAATAGCCCACTGTATTCACAATGCCTCCCAAACGCGTGGCCATTGTCACCAGCAGCACCCGCCGCCCCCGGCTCAACCCCACGATAACGCAATACGTCTATGACGTCCTCACCTCCGACCCAACCATCCCCACAAACCACAGCAACACAACTGACACAGATCCGCGCCATATAACCCTCGAAATCCTCGATCTCGCAAAACAATCTCTCCCCCTCTACGACGAATCCGTCATCCCCGCCAGCCTCCCCGCGACAGATCCCACGCCGCACTACAGCAAAGCGCACACGCGGGCATGGTCAGCGGTCGTGCGACAATACGATGCATTCATCTTTGTCACACCACAATATAACTGGAGTATCCCGGCGAGTCTGAAGAATGCGCTGGACTATCTCTTCTATGAGTGGAAGGGGAAGCCTGCCGGGATTGTTTCGTATGGGGGACGGGGCGGGGGTAAGGCGGCGGAGCATTTGCGGGCTGTTTTGACGGGGTTGAGGATGAAGGTTATTGAGACTGCGCCTGGGTTGACTGTTAAGTTTACTGGGTTGCCGGTTGGGTCGTTGTCGGAGGAGGAGGAGAAGGTTGAGTTGGATGAGCGGGATGTTGTTGGATGGGGGCAGGCGGGGATTGATGGGATGATGAGGAATTTGGGGATGGAGTTGGTTTGTGAATTGGATAAAATGTAGTATTTGGGTTGGTTGGGTATTCAACAGATGCAGACCTGGGAGATTGTTGTTTGTAGATGTGGATAATCAGGTGCTTGACATCCAAAGCCATATAGTTTGGATATTGAGATGATGTCTGAACATGCTGCCATATAAAGTGACGTATAAGTTGTGCCTCGAGCCATGGGTCCAAACGAAAGTAAACAAAGGAAAACAACGTAAAGTGGAAGGAACGGGGTTGACATTTGAAATGGAAGGAGCCAATGTGCCACATTAAGCTTATTCTGGGCCCACTATTATCCAGAGCTAAACTTGTTTGATACAGACGCAAGATTGAGTGTACATAATAGACATAGAAATAGCATTGGTATGGATCTATTCTTTGGTATGGCATACAAGTCCTGGCCCGAAGTAAAAGCCGTTCCATCGTCACGACGTGGGATAGCAAGCCGGTCGAAGACAGTAGGAAATAATCCATGTGTAGAGTTTCCGGTCGTCTCAAGCTTGCCTCCAAGGGGAATATCAAATCACTAGCCCTATTTGAGGGAATATGCATCGATTGAAGCAGGTCATGGGTTCCCCACGCGGCTTTTGGGGTGGGTTGATGCTGCGATCTACCTACGGAGGTCTGGCCTCTCATCTGGATGCATCTAGTTCTCAAGGCCAATATTGACCTTCTTCTCTGCGGGAGGGATGACCTGATCCTCAGATGACCCCTTGAGGGTTGGGAGATCTGCAACAGCTTCCTTGATGATGTCAAGGGCCTTTTGGATTTCTTCCTCTGTGATGACCAACGGAGGGGCAAGGCGAATGATGTTCTGGTGGGTGGGTTTGGCCTGGAAAACGTCAGTTTCGGCGGTTTGCGAGACAAGATTAAGGAGAAAGAACTCAGCCAGAGATACATACCAGCAATCCCTTCTCCTTCATCAACATGCACAGATCCCAAGCAGTGTGTCCATTCGTCTTCGACTCATCGATGACAATGGCATTGAGTAGACCCTTTCCGCGCACCGTCTCGATCAGCGGGCTCTTGATAGCCAGAAGCCCATCGCGGAACAAGTGGCCGAGCTGTTCCGCACGCTCGACCATATTTTCCTCGCGCACGACCTCGAGTGCGCGAATAGCAACCGCACAACCCAGCGGGTTTCCGCCATAAGTCGAACCATGGGTGCCAGCCTCGATCGTGAGCATGACGTCCTTGCGTCCCAACACACAGGAGACCGGGTACATACCACCCGAGATGGCCTTTCCGAGCAGGACAAGGTCGGGCTTAATTCCGCTCCACTCGTGGCACAGCAGTTTGCCGGTGCGCGCAATACCGGTTTGAATCTCGTCGCAGATCAACAGCACATTGTGCTTGTCGCAGAGTGCCCGGGCCTCTTGCAGGTAGTCTGGGTCTGGGACAACGATGCCTGCCTCACCTTGGATGGGTTCGACGAGGAAAGCAGCCAAGTTGGGACCGGCCGCCTCGAATGCCTCTCGAAGAGCAGCCTTATCATTGTATGCGATGGGCTTCTCAGTTCCTGGAATAGTACATCCGATGCCGGGCAGATAAGGCCCGTAGTGTTCGCGTGATTCGGGATCGGAAGATAGGGAAATGGCGGCGAACTAATGCAAGGGGTCAGCATAATCAGCCACTGACCACGGGTGTTACAGGGAGGGGTCACGATCACTCACCGTACGCCCGTGGAAGTTGTTCTCTGCACTCAGAACCACGGCTTGATTTTCCGGAATGCCCTTGACCTTGTATCCCCATTTACGGGCAATTTTGATACCTGTCTCAACCGCCTCGGCGCCGGTGTTCATGGGCAGAACCATGTCAAAGCCAAAGTAGCTCGTCACGAACTCGGCGAAGCGGGGGAAAACATCATTGTAGAATGCACGGGAGCTCAACGTCACTCGCGAAGCTTGATCTACGAGTGCGGCCACCAATTTGGGGTGGCAGTGACCCTGGTTCACGGCGGAGTAGGCGGAGAGGAAGTCAAGGTAGTGACGGCCTTCGGGGTCCCAGACCGAAGTACCCTGAGCACGGGCAAAAACAATGGGGAGAGGGTGATAATTATGGGCCGCATACTGCTTCTCGGACTCAATGGCCTCCGCAGATGAGGCAGCATGGTAGTGGGAGAAAGACCCGTTGGTAGCCATGGTGAAATGCGGGGGCTAGTTGGAGGAAATGGGGGGAAACTGGGGTCAACTATAGCGTAAAGAAGTATGCCGATGGAAGAGACTTTGAAGGAATCGCAGAGAAGAAAGAAGAGACACGTTATATGCAAGGACCGTGGAAATCGCCTCTGACCAGCCGCTATGCCGTTAAGTGTTAGACCTAGCCAACCCTCGTCCCTTAAGTACAGGTTCTGCCGATGCTGTTCCCTATGCGCAGGATTAACCTACAGGCTCCATTCGCGTTGGTAACGTCTCTTTCTGATTCGTTCCTTTCCACAATCCCAGTCAAGGATCATGCCAGTGTATTATCATTGGTCTAGATTAAATTAGGCAGGTCGAACAGAGCGACGAAAACCCACGTCAACGTCATACTTCGGCTACTGAAGGGAAGTAAACAAGAACATCCGAGAGACAGATTTACTTGGGGAATACCCAGAGGGCTAGAGGGCTAGAATAAAATATCAAATTGAAATCAATCAAATGTTGCATGGATTTGCCCAGGTGCATAAATCGCAGAGTACGGAGTTCCCAGGCACAGACTCGAACAAAGAAACCGAGGCTGAGATGGTTATCGTCCGCGTCGGAGTTAGGAGATCCTCTTCCGCGCTCCCCTCTATTCACTGCCCACGGTCTCGTCTTCATGAGCCTCAGGACAATGTTTGAGGGAATGAATACGCATTTCCAAATATCTCCTTATCATGTCTACATCTAATTCTCCACGTCGCCGTGCGCAACTCCGCGCGCCCACACCAAACATCCTCCTCTACCTGATCGCCTTCCGTCTCGCCAATGCGTTCGCCCTGAAGACATTTTTCCAGCCTGATGAATACTTTCAGTCCTTGGAACCAGCTTGGCAGATCGCCTTCGGCCAGGGTCAAGGAGCTTGGGTGACTTGGGTGAGTGAATGCGATCGCGTCAAAACATGTCTTTGTCTAACCCGACGGTTCTCCTAGGAATGGCGCCACCAATTACGATCCTCACTACACCCTCTTTTTTTCGCCGCTCTTTATAAGGTCGCGGATTTCTTCGCTTCCACTCTCAGCGTCTCTCCTGGCACGCGCGCCGAGCTCCTGATTGCCGCCCCGAAGATAGCGCAGGCCGTTATTGCGGCGATTGGCGATTTTTACACTTGGAAACTCGCAGTTCGCGTCTACGGCGATGATTCACGCGGGTCCTGGGCAACGGTATGTCCTTATGTGTTGCATCTCCAGATAGGCTCCGGATGGGTGGTAAAAAGCGCGTGCTAATTGTTCAACAGCTGGCCGCAACAGTCCTAAACCCCTGGCAATGGTTCTGCTCAACCAGGACACTCTCGAACTGCATGGAAACGACAATCACCATCGTGGCATTAGAACTATGGCCTTGGCAATGGTCAGTGGGCTCTACGACCGGCGATAGCCGTGGCAAGAGCACTGGCACCCAAAAGAGGGGCTCGGACCGGGATCGAAGCGCGATTCATGAGTATGACCGGACATGCAACCTTATATCACCGGCTGCTGACACTTCTTACAGCCTCCACAAATGTCTGCCGCTGGCGGCGCTAGCCTGTATACTGCGGCCGACTAACATTCTCGTTTGGGTCACCTTGGCCAGCCTGGCCTGGCTTCGGACCTCTTGGGCCCAGCGCAGGATCCTTCTCGCTGAAGTCATAGTTTGGGGGTATGTCATATGATCTCCTATTGGAGACACTGCTGACCTTTTGACCTGGCAGATCGGTGATTCTCGGAGTATCCTCGATCGCGGATCGTCTGTTCTATGGAATCTGGACGTTCCCGCCGCTCAGGTTCCTCTACTTCAACATCGCGCAGTCACTAGCTGTCTTCTATGGTAGCAATGACTGGCATTATTATGCCTCACAAGGCTATCCCCTCTTGCTCACTACTTTGTTGCCTTGCGCCCTTTTGGGTTTGTACAGAACCTTGACTACTCATTCCTCGGTGGGCGACCATGTACAGGCGGGAATTCGAGTACAATTGGCGACAGTCTGCCTTTTGATGCCATTTGTACTCTCTTTGATTTCCCACAAGGAAGTGCGCTTCATTTACCCATTGCTACCTTCGCTTCACATTTTAGCGGCGCCGCCTTTAGTGCAATATTTCCACCCAGCCATCGCCTCGCAGGCATACTCACGTCATACTCCCCGCAGGCTCCTTCTTATATTCCTTGTGCTTGTCAACGTAGTCATTGCGTTTTACACGACTCGTCACCATGCATCCGGCGTCCTCGATGTCATCTCCTATCTCCGCCAGCAGCATGAAGTCCATTCGGCGCCAATAACAAAAGAGGCACCAGACTCCAACTCCGAGACTGGAATTTCTGCGGGATTCTTGATGCCTTGCCACAGCACTCCATGGCGCTCCCACCTGGTTTACCCAACAATTAACGCATGGGCGCTTTCCTGCGAGCCACCGATTGATCTCAACGCAGCAGAGAAAGCCGTCTATCGAGACGAAGCAGACCAGTTCTATGACGACCCATCCCAGTTCCTCCGCCAGAACATGGCCGGCGGTCTTCGTCATCTCCCCCGACGACCGAGCTATTCTTCCGCGTCCTCTTTATCGGGAAGACTCCCACTCTCCACGGCTCAACACGAATGGCCCGACTATCTTATCTTCTTCGCCCAGCTCGAGCCAACTCTCTACACCCTCCTACGAAGCTCCTCCTACGGTGAGTGCTGGCGCACCTTCAACACCGATTGGCACGACGACTGGCGTCGTCGAGGTGACATCGTCGTCTGGTGCCTGGACACAGCCGAGCAAGACATTTGGCGCGCCGAGACCCAGCGCCGGCTGCAAAAAAGCCGTGAAAAGCAATTCGATCTTATCATCGAAACGTTCAAAAAAGAGGCCCTCAACCAAGGGCAACGCGGATGGAAAGTTTCGATGCCTTGGTCCTCGTCGCCTTCAACTTCGATATTTGCATCATGGTGGCGTTCAGCGCAGTCGCTTTTCTCGCCGTCTCCGAAATCCTCGTTCCCTTGGATTTGGCGTCCTCGGTCTCGGTGGGAGAACTTCCTGGCTATGTTCTCTAGGCGGAGAAACTGTTGGCTTCCTACTTCGATAGCTGATTGGCTGCCGTATTGGCTGACATCGTGTGAAAGGGTGCCCACAGAAGCGGAATTGTGGTCTTGAGACCATAATTTTCTGGCTCTTTGTCCGTTGTCTTTGGGATTCAGCTCTTCCTTGAAGAATAGCTGGTGTTATAAGGATATTTCCCTTCCCACCCCTTTCAGCCTTGTCCATTTCATCTTCTCTCATTTTCTTTTTCCTTGATCATCTTTCTATTTTCTTTGAATATATTGGCATATATGCTTCTTCCACTATTTACAGCATAATAGTTGATCTTAATCCACCAATAATTCTACATGGAAATAATGTAACGACAACAGATATATGTACCATTTTGACTCGCTAACCGGAAAATGAGAAGAAATCTTTTGTATACAAAAATGAGTGAAAGATAGACAAAAAAAGAAGATAGGAAAAATATTTCAACGAATGACAGACAACGAGACTCAGATGCGCCAGACATGCACACGCGTAACACGTAACACATCTCGTCAGTCCTCTATATCCAAATCAGTATAAGAATCAAGAATTCACGATGCCAATGTCCACGATCACATTGCTCGTGTCTATCTATGGATCCAAAAATGCAGACATGCAACCAAAAATGCAAAATCATTAGTTTTTAACCGTAGCGAGCGCTCAGGCTAGCGAATGCATCGGGGCTGTGACGACCATTCTGCAGCCCACTCACATCCATGCTCGGCTGGCTCATGTGTGGCCGTGCAAAGTTTGAGTTTGTAGGTGGTGGGCCGGAGAATGGGGAGTTGCCCCCGCCGAACGGAGAGCTGTTTGCTCCGGCGAATGGAGGACTGCTCATGCCCGAGAATGGGGAGTTGTTTAACGCCATAGTTGGGGCGGTTCCGGCTCCGGGTTGGCCGTTCATGCCGCCAATGCCTAGTCCGGAGGATTGCTGTTGGTATGGGTTGATGCCTGCTTGGGCGGCAAGGCCAGAGCCATTGCCTACAGGGGCTGTAGAATTTCCTGGGGGATTGGTACCAAAGAATGGATTGTTGGATGTGGGTTGGCCATTGACAGCGGTTTGCTGGTGTTGGAAAGGCTGCTGAGGCTGCTGAGGCTGGGTCTGATGCTGGAGGTTTGTGGCCTGCTGGGTCTGGGGCATGGAAGTATATGGATTTGATGGTGGAGAGTAAGGGTTCGTCGCAGAGGCTTGGGGTTGGGGTTGGGATTGCCAAGGTTGTTGGGTTTGCTGGGGTTGTTGGGCTTGCCCAGGCATGGACGGGATATTGGACTGTGCAGAACCCATATTATACAATGAAAGAAGGCTGTTTTTATCCATTCCTGTGGGTTGGGTCATGAGTGGCTGCGGCTGCTGTGGCTGCAAGTGGGACTGGAATTGGCTGGGATAACCGCTTGCGCTCTGAGGAGCGTTTGCTGTCTGTCCTTGCTGGTACGGGTTGTAGGAGCTCAAGCCATTTGACAGCTGCTGCTGCTGCTGTTGTTGCGGCTGCTGCCCTTGGACAGAAGGAGTGGGTCCAAATAGAGATGTACTGAATGATGGGGTGGAAGACATGACCGGCATGGGCGGAGCAATTTGCTGCTGCTGCTGCTGCATAGGTTGGTTTTGCGCCGTAGTGGTGAAGAAAGGGTTCGTCTGCGCCATACTGGGGTTGGGATATGTCTGACTATTGGCCAAGCCGCTCTGGTGCTGCGGTGCTGCCATGTTGAATGGATTATAGCCGTTATCCATTGGCTGAGGCGATGTGACATACGGAGGCTGTGAGAATGTTGATGTTACCGGAGGAGTAAAGGACTGCTGATAGGGAGAGTGTTGCAGAGAGCGTGTCTGGTTGGGATATCCACCAGTAGAGTGCGGGAACAGTGGTTGAGAAACCTGCAGGTTCTGAAAGGATGATTCCAAAGGCTGTACAGCTGGAGTTGGCTTTGGCTGATCAAATGGATTGTACGCGGCCTGGCCCTGCTGAGGTACAGGATTTGAGACTGCCCGATCAAACGGGTTATTGGGGACATCGGGAAACGTGTTGTCGGTGGTCACGGGGAAAGGATTTCTGGACGTTCCAGGTCTCGGCGTAACCACGCGTACGGATGCACCTGTGGTTGTGCCGGCCGGGGTCCTGGCTCTTGATGCAGAGTTACCTCCCTCTCCCAATCTGGACAATGTTTCGACTGCTCGATCCAAATCCTCATTGAGTCCCTTGAGAACCATTTCGTTTCGGCGGTCATTGGTGAATCCCATTTCCTGCAATGCTGCCATTTTTGATTCGAAAGATGCCGTTGTCATATCGGCAACGGGCGCACCAAGTCCCGTTGTCCTTCTGCTAGGCATTGGTGGTGGTGACCAGGCTCCATCGTCAGAGGTCGGCGAACCTACCCTGCCCTTGCCACCAAATCGACGGAGGTTCGAGGCAGAGGCTGAGGACCTCAGACCAAACTTGAAGAACTTGCCGTTCTTTGGCGGAAGTGGGGGAGGAGACCCTTCAGGCGATCTGTCATAGTCATTCCTTCTTGATTCCACGGGAGACACGGCCCTATGCTTGGAGTAGCTCGAATCCTCCCGGCTCGGGGGCTTTGGCTTCCCATGTTCTAACGAGCGGTGTTGATACTTCTGCCGGATAAAGCGTTCCATACACGCATCGGACTCATCAATATCAGTAGGCACTGGTGGTTTGATACCCCGCGGATTGAAGATCTTGTTCATAAGGAGGTTTCCGTGCGATTTCATGTTCTAGTAAAGCTCATCTTGTCAGCTCGTGCCCTTGCTATTTCGGGAGGCCGGTTTGCACTCACATCGACCTGCTCCGCTGTCCAGGTGTCCATAGACAAGGATTTGACCTTGGAGATATGTGTTCCCAGCTTTCGGTGCAGTGCAGCGCAACGCATGCAAAGGAAGATACCCATCTATCGGAGACGAGTCAGTGTTCGAATTCGATCGGAGGTAAAAGCAGAGGCGACATACATTCCAGCTTGCCCATCCTATAATGACATATTAGTTAGTGTCCGCGATCAACAGTGAGGGGGCGTCTAGGGACGAACCTGGGGTCAAGGCATCGCAATCGGCACAACGGTCATTTCCAGGAACGGTCCGGATCAGCTCCGCCAGGGTCTTTTCATTCCGTAGCTGCTGGCGCTTGCTAATGCCGTTGGGCATGATGCAAAATAAATAATTACAAGAATAAATCAATAAAGGAGTGGCAGCAATATAAAAAAAAATGAGTGGAATAGGGGAAGAATCCAAGTCTCCGGGGGGCGGAGAAGTTCAGGCTCAATTGACGTCCGAGGGGCAGATCATCCCAGTTGTGAGATACATCGATATAGTACCTAATCTTGTCTCCAGCAGTATAAGGAGTACAGAGTACGGAGTACAGTATGCAGAGTTGGATTTCTCGATAGTTCGAGGATTCCCGAGTTGAATGGAAGACGATCTGATTCTTCTGTATCTCTCCATATTGCTTGCGGCATAGCTTGCTCCCACGTCGCAAGGGCCGCAACGGTCTTCTAGAACAATTCTAGAACCCACATGCACTTTCAAGGTCTTAAAGCTCTAGCGCTCTTGACGAACTCAAGAGACCGAGAGCTAAGAAATACAGATCTACTACAATTGGAATTGGCATGTCCGGGCAACACTGACTCGCATCTACCAATGCGCCTAGAGGCCGAAGCCTTTCGGAGCCGTCGAGAAGTCATAATGCCACCCAGGAATATCTTCTAGTACGCCAATATGACCTACCATCCTATGAAAGAGGAATTGGCGGTTGATTATGCGTTCGGAAAAGTGTAAAGAAGAAAAGTCCGGAATTTGCGCGGAAATTTTCGATACAAAAAGGGCCAGGTCATGTGACTGCGCTAGTGCGCTCACGTGCTCGTCGGAGGAACATAAAAACCTTTCACTTCGCTTTCTCTTCCTCTTCCACAATCCAGTTGTTGTGGACTCGAGGATCCGCTCCTTTTAATGTTGAGGATTGTTGATCACTTGCATCCAACACTGAGATCTATCTAAACTCAAACCACATAACCCGCGTGGTGCCTACTTATGGCACTGGACGTCTCTTGGGTGATTTTTTAATCGTTCGTTCGTGGAATATCAAAACCAAACAGTTTTTAGCAGAGCTGCGTCTACTCCACCCTGGTGTTTACATCTATTGAACATCAGGACTTTTTTACGACGGACATTTCCAAATAAGAATGGAAAATATTTGAAATAAATCTACATTGACTTGCCATCTCTACATTTGTGTCTTCCTATGTTGTAAATCAGGATACGTCAAGATTCGGTCTGCTATCTGTTTCTGTCTGGCCCGTCCATAATTGTTTTCTCTGCGCAGGATCATTGCATGCGACCTACGCATACCATGACCGCATAGTAGCAAAATGCAACAACGCAACGGGAGGGATCTTCCGATACTGACCAGATGGGAGCCCGAGAAAGACCTACCTAATACCTGATGATCCTGCTGAAATCACTGAAATTGCTCCAGGCAGTATGCACCCCATCGCCGACTAGACCCATCATACCCCAGCTGTCTATGGTTGGCTTACCCGTTATGCCTCACATTTGGCACAGTATGGCATAATGGAGGGGGTTTAAAACCTGCCCGAGAATTGTATTGCTGTTGCTTGTCTATAGTCAAGAACAAAGCTTCATAGTGCAGCTCCCGCACCAATAGCCCAGAGTAAACCGAGGCAACGTAATAGAATCAACGGGAATTAGTAGAGAGTTACTTCTACGGAGTAGAAGAAGATAGGATGACCTTTGGGCACTTGTGCATATAAAGTTCGATGTGTGTGGAGAATGAGTGGCTTTGATAGCTGCTAAACTAAAAATCCCACCACTGTAAAGAGCAACCTCTAGATGTTGTTCTGCATGTTTGTCTTCCAATCGGCGTCAATCTGGGACTATCATAGCGACGTAAGTGATCAGTTCAAGAATGATATCTCGACCCATGGTTAATTGTGACCGTTAAAGGGGTGTAATTCCAAGGATTGCCAAACCCAAAAAGTCAATAAATAGCTTATCTTCGTATCCAACATAGATCTACTCCGTACGGAGTACGGAGTAAAGAATGACATCTAGACCTCGATTATTAGTGAGCAGGCCGTTCGATCCAGTAAGCAGCCCTCGGAGACAGCCGTAGTGGGTCTCCGTTGCCCAAACGACCAAACAGCGCTGACTTGTTAATAATACCCGTGGCCGTTCCGAGGGCATCGTTTACGCCTCCGACGAAAAGTGAACGGATTTTGTTGAGCATGGTCGAGTCAAACAGAGCCTGTCTGTGTAGGAATTATAGAGCCATTGTCACGCAAGGGGGGTCGATACAGCGGCAGCCAGCAGCGAAAGTCTGGGGAGGAAAGACGATGTGCCGGAATGCGGAGATGAGACGAAACGCCGAGGCAAATGGCATATGTGGCCCCCTTGATTGGCTGTGATTCCATTGGCTTCTGTACGAGGTACCGAAGTATTGGCCCTTGGACTGACAAATGTGAAGAGAAAGCCCCAGGAGAAAGTACAAAATGCCCCCCGGTTTTTCCCTTCTCTCCTCATCTGTACTTGTACCCTTGTACTCCCACCTTCTCTTTCCTTCTCCTTCGTGAAACCTCCTTAGACTTTTTCCAATCTCGTCACTCTCTGTCCTATCACAATGGCTTCCGCTGCCAGAGCTGCTTCCCGGGCCTTCCTGCGCTCGACCTCTGTCCGTCCTGCTGTGCGCAGCACCCGTTTCGCCATCCCCGCCAACGGTCTCCGTGCTTCTGCTCGTCGTGGATATGCTTCAGAGGCTGGCTCTGAGAAGTCCGGTTCTTCCCTCGCCATCTGGGCCCTTGGTCTCGGTGCCCTCGGTGCCGGTGGTGCCTACTTTTACCTGAACGGCGAATCTACCCCCAAGGGTCCCTTCGTTCCCACCCAGGCCGATTACCAGAAGGTGTACGATGCTGTTGCTCAGCGTCTCGCCAGCGAGACCGACTATGATGATGGCAGCTATGGTCCCGTAAGTCAAGTCACTTTTGTTCGATTCCGTGCTCCAAGATCAATTCGCTAACGTAGGCGTTTTGTCTCAATAGGTTCTGGTCCGTCTCGCATGGCACGCTAGTGGTACCTATGACAAGGAGACTGGCACTGGAGGTAGCAACGGTGCTACCATGAGATTCGCCCCGGAGTCTGGCCACGGCGCCAACGCTGGTCTCAAGACTGCCCGCGACTTCCTCGAGCCCATCAAGGCTCAGTTCCCCTGGATCACTCACTCTGATCTGTGGACTCTCGCCGGTGCCTGCGCCATCCAGGAGTTGGGTGGTCCCGTTGTCCCCTGGAGACCCGGCCGTGAGGACCGCGACGTCTCCGCCTGCACTCCCGATGGTCGTCTCCCCGATGCCACCAAGGACCAGCGTCACATTCGTGACGTCTTCTCCCGCATGGGCTTCGATGACCGCGAGATGGTTGCTTTGATCGGTGCTCACGCTCTTGGCCGCTGCCACACCGACCGCTCCGGCTTCGATGGTCCCTGGAACTTCAGCCCCACTGTCTTCAGCAACGACTTCTTCCGTCTGCTTGTTGATGAGAAGTGGAGCCAGAAGAAGTGGAACGGCCCTACTCAGTTCACTGACAAGACCACCTCCACTCTCATGATGCTGCCCACTGATATGGCTCTTGTCAAGGACAAGGCTTTCAAGAAGCACGTTGAGCGCTATGCCAAGGACAGCGATGTCTTCTTCCAGGAGTTCTCTGATGTCTTTGTCAAGCTCCTTGAGCTTGGTGTTCCCTTCAAGACTGAGGATCGCTTCGTCTTCAAGACTTCTGAGTAAGCATACCGCTCAAAAGTTGCTCTGTATTCCTGATGTCCCTTTCGTTTACCTGTCTTGATATCCGAGTCACTACTCACCGAGATTTCCTTCACCATTGTCAATGAAAATTTAGATTTCCTTTCACATTCGTATGCCATTGTAGTCTTTTCTGTATTTATAGCATACAAGTGTCGCTTCACGAGGGCGTTGCATTGGCATGTTCACATGGAACTATCGGGCCAAGGTTGGTAGGGCTGTGTTGCAGAGTTTGGGAAATCCCCATGGCGACATAGATATATCTCTGGTCTCCAAGTATCGTAAAAGAAGTAGGCCTGATCAAAGTATCGAAAATATGAGAAAGAAACGGAATCAGCGCTTCAACATGAACACCCTGAGCAGGTATGGGTCCGGAAGGACCTCAGCTAAAGTGGCGTGGGCTGCCCGCCATTTTAAATCCTGACAAACCTTCCACCAAAAAACCAAAGCTCACCAACCCCGCTTTCCAGCACCCCTGCTACCCTGGATTATCAAGAGAATTCCTTGATATGCACGCGTTTGGACCTTTCCACTAGACTTCGAGGCGTCATCATACGAACCTAGCGCACAGCTCTGACTGGCGCCCGAGGCCTCGAGGCACGGAAACAGCGCAGCCAACCAGACACCACGAACAGGCCTGAGACGGACAGTGACACACATTATATCGGAATTACAAGGATGTCTTACAGTGTGGACCTCTATGAGATCCTATCTCTGCCGTCTACGGGATCTTCGTCGACAGTCCTCTCCAAACAGCAGATTAAGATCGCATACCACAAAGCCTTGCTGCAACACCACCCTGACAAGGCCAGTGCTATCGCAAAGGAGACTGTATTGAATGGGTCGACGGCTTCGAAATCTACCTCGAACTCTTTCTCTGCCAGATCAGATGGCAAGCCTCCGCGACAATTATATACCATCGACCAGATCACCGCCGCCTACAAGACCCTGTCGGACCCCGCCTTACGCGCCGAATACAACCGCTCCCTCCGCCTAGACAGACTCAAGGTTGCCGAGCGCGAAAAAACTGGCGACGTGTTTCATACTGGGCTGGAGATTGTGGATTTGGAGGATCTTGCTTGCGACGAGGCAGAAGGCGACGAGGGTGACTGCTGGTATCGCGGCTGTCGGTGTGGGGACGAGCGTGGATTTTTGGTCAATGAGGAAGATTTGGAGAGGGAGGCTGAGCATGGCGAGATCATTATCGGGTGTCGTGGGTGCAGTCTCTGGCTGAAGATTCTGTTCGCTGTTGGGGCGGATGAGGGATGAAAAACGAAATGAACATCAAGTGGTCTTCATTTCACTATCATCGGCCCTACTCTGTCATACCGCTGGTCTCCCTCCAAGGTTATTCAGCTGCACAGCTCTCGTGCCTTGTCGCTCTACGATGACACACCATGGACCCCGTGTCTAGATTCGTCCACATCTCGTTAAGAGGTCAAGCTCGCTGATGTAGACAATGTGCTGACATGGGTAGCCATTCTTGGTCTTATCTCGTGCAAAATCTTCTTTTTCCGTGCTGGATCGCCGCCAATATTTGCTGGATTGCGCGTGCTACCTTCGCCGGGCACCGAGAAGCAGGTAAACCATGGGCCTATGCCGAAGCGTTTTTTCACTCTGGGTATCATCTCACTCCGGGTGAACTACAATCAAAACACATATCTCAAGCGTCCAATTTTTCGGTCCTCTTACCTTCCACCTGAGCGTGTCTTCAATTCGTGGGTTCGGCAGAGAGACCGATTGTTGTCCCCGGCAGCTATTTAGATATGGGTAATTTAGATCAATATACACTTTTAGTGTGCATTTGCATATTCACTTTCGTTTGAAAATGAAATTAGATATTCGTCCTTTTTAGATATAATTGAAGGGGGTATAAATCAAGTTCATTTGCATTTTGATTCTCGCAGCATCTTCCGCACTATATATATCGGATTCATACCAAACAAAGGTATTCGAATTCAGCAGCCTTGAAACTAATGGCGTGTTCCTCCAATATACGGACCCATGCAATCCGAATCTACATACATATTAAGAGCACAAATTTGCTGGTGTAGCCGATATGGCCCTGTTGGTTATACCCGCAGAGGGGCTGATGACATATTCGGAGACAGCACCTGCAAAACACAACCTCACATCTTTCCATCCCCTTCTACCTCCTTTCACACCCTCATTTCTCTCCCAACCCATCATGTCTGTCGTTGAGATCTCATCGAAGGAGCAATTCTCTTCGCTCCTCACCTCCTCTCGTCTCGTCGTTGCCGACTGTAAGTACTCGCAGCCGCGGCGCGATCCTACCCCGCTGGGACCTCGCCCTTTCCCTCGAAACACCACGGCCGTCGCTGACCCTGTTTCAATACTTGACTAGTCTACGCCGACTGGTGCGGACCATGCAAAGCTATCGCGCCTGCGTATAACGCGCTGGCAACCCAGCTTTCCCGCCCGAAACAAATCACATTCACCAAGATTAATGTCGACCACCAACAGGAGCTTGCGCAAGCTTATGGCGTTACAGCGTACGTACTACAGATCTCCTCATCTCAATTCTAATCCCTGATCTCTGTCTGCCTCGCTTACTAACGAATCTCCGAATCTAGAATGCCAACCTTCATCGTCTTCAAGAACGGCCGCGTGAACCAAACCGTCAAGGGTGCTAACCCTGCACAGCTCAACCAGATCGTCCAGAAGCTCGCATCTGAGGCAAGCCAGTCGGATGATGCTGCAGGCGCCGAAGGAAGCAGCTCCGGTGAGCTCTGGATCGGCGGCACAGTGGCCAAGGGCTACAGCGACATCACTGATCAGGTCGATGTCAAGGGACTGGAGCTGCTGAACCGGGATACGGATAAAGCAGAGCCACGCGCGTTGTTCAGCGCTTCAAAGCCATCCGCACTAGCAGGAAAAGAGAAGGCGAAGGCTGGAAGTCAGGCGGATTGGGTCGAGAGCGATACCGACGAGCAGCTGATGCTGTACATCCCCTTCAACTCCACCCTGAAGGTCCACTCGCTTCAGGTTACCTCTTTCCCTCCTACGGATGCGGATGCCGACGATGACGAGACACCCATGCGGCCTAGAAACCTGCACATCTACAAGAATACCTCCCACGTGCTTGGGTTCGACGAGGCGGATGGTATCCCTGCCGTTCAGAAGGTGGAGATCAAGGCCGGTGATTGGGATGCGAAGACTGGGACTGCAAATGTCCCTCTGCGGTTTGTCAACTTCCAGAATGTGACCTCTCTGGTCGTGTTCTTTGTTGATGGGGACGGAGACAGCGAGAAGCTGCGCGTTGATCGCATTCGCATTGTTGGCGAGGCGGGCGCGAACCGCTCCATGGGCAAGCTGGAGAAAATTGGTGACGAGCCTGGCGAGTAAACAACATAGACATTGGAGAAAATAAGCCTACGTTATTGACAGAGAGCCCGTGGCCTGTCTCATGATTGATTTTTTGACAGAGATTAGACCAATGATCCCAGGTCTACACCGGTACGGAGCGATCTTATATCTAGATGTCATAATGAAAAAGGACCAGCTGTTTACGAGAAAAAAGTGTGCAGATATTCAGAAGCTTAATTCGATTCATTCTAAGCTATTGATACACAACAGAGTGTGTAAAAAAAAGATGTTTGATCCCAAACCAAAAGGTCTCATCCTTGAGATATCAGAAAGACCCATAAAGTAAGAATCAATGTGCAATTCCCTTCGTCTGTGGCGCAACTGACACCTGATTACATCACTGAAAGCCAGACAAATGGCCGTAGATGTCCAGGCAACACGGGTTATCGAAGTTGCGCCGCCGCACGAAGAAGAAAAAAAGAAGAGGAAAGCCGGCCGCTGAGATTTCCTTTTATGCTCCGTCTCGGCGTTATGGTTTTTCCGCCGCCTGAAAGAGAAACCAGTCGGCGCGCGCAGAAATTTTCAGCCTTACGTAAGCGATATGCGAATGGAATTTTCTTCTTTTGATAGCCTCCCCCTTCCTTTCCTTTCTCTTTCTTCCATATATATGGTCGATGATGAGAATTATGGATATATGATAGGAAGAGACTGACTCCTTATGGGGGCGTGATCTCACTTTTACCATCCCTGAGGCCATTTGCTGTTTGTTTATTTGTCTTTGCGCACTCGACCTGTAACCAGGCCGAGGCTCGATATCGCTTTCCTAGCTTTATGAGTTATCCTATGAAACGAGATTAGCAATCGATTTGAGGGGCATTTCTGCAGCCATTACTCCGTACTATCTATAGACGAAACATGACCTGATGTCCATTAGAACGTATGTTGTATCACACACTAAAAAAAATATCAAACACCCCAAGAAGGCATTTGGAGCCGAAACAAGACATCGGCTGAAAATTGCCGTTAAATGTCGCACCCGTGAGGCGAATCATACAATACGCCCGCCTAAAACGTACAACTAGAATAGATTGCACATAATTTTGACGCCGAAGGGCATCCCGCGGAGCCGCGAGTAGTGATCACTTTCGGCCCGGGAGCCGCACCGGCCGACCACCGGATGCACCGGGCCTTTTTTCGTCTCAGAACGGGGTTTACGACGGACAAACGTGTATACATTCGTCCGCGTAATATCGCCAGAAGGTATGGGATGGAGGGATGATTCACGTTTGCCCTCCGCGGACCGTAGATGGAGGGTGGAGGAGGTTGGACTTGGCACTTTATTTACGCAATGCAATTTGGCTCATTTGGCTGCCTGGTTGCATGAGCAGGTCTTTAACCGAGTTGGAAGAAAAATTCATTCAACTCCACTGCCGGTTCGGACTTGCATCAGAAACAGGGCGGCTTGTCCCGAGTCCACGGACTAACTGAATCGTCCTGTACTCCTTACTCTGTATTGGGATGCGTGTTCGGCGTGGATGTGGTAACCTGCCGTTTCTGCGGTTCTTTTGTGTATCCTGATCGCTGTCCCGTGAGGATCAGGGTTTGACTCCACGCGGATATCCTCGAACCAGGGTTGTCCGCGAGCCTTAGGCTGATGCACGGATAGAAGTTGGATTTGCGTGGGCCTTTGGCAAGAATACCAGTATGCATGTCTCTCATGTACTGGCCGTGCATCGTATCGATATTAGCCGGTTCCATGGTTGCTCGTTTTCCCGCAAGGTACTCCGTAGATGTGCGCGGAGTACCGTATCATGGATTCTCTCCGAACCAGATCTTGGAATGGAACAGTTTTCCGTATCAAGGTGAGACCCGCTCCAGCCCGTCTCCAGGCGAGGAGTTTCCAGTGTTGTGCCAATAACGCACGCAATCAAACTGGGTAGCCAATGCCAGAGGTATGTGTGCTCGGCTGAGACCAAGACTGGTCAGAGTCGGGCTTGAAAATAGACGAGACAGGGTGAAAAAGGCACCTCAGTAGACATGGTCTTACCCGAAATATCTTCTGATGTAGTTATCTCATCAAATTATATTCGCCAGGCATACCCGCCCCACGGGAGATGTGCGCCAAGTTTCATATCAGCCCAAGCTGAAGTCTTGAACCATGGAACCATTCAGAATGCTGGCGTGTTGACTCTCCACGCACAACTTTGGACGGTAAGAAAAAGTAATCAGCGCGTGCGGTGATCAGCGGAACTCTCTCTTTCAGATATCAATCTCACTAGCCAAAGAAAACGGCAAGTGAATTTCCTTACGTAGAAGATACCGCATTGGTTGATCTGGTCGTGTTGTTAAACAATGGAAGGGCCACTTCCTTGGTTGTGAGCCGTGAGTACGCGGATGGAGTGATGGAGCTGGTCGTCGATCCTGATAGCCCGGGGACGAATGTGTTCGCCGCGGTCCACGGTAGCTCCCCGAGATGGATACGAGCTGGCGGGTAAATTGATTGCGCTCGTATAATTTTTTTTATAGGCGTGATTGATGGAACCCAGTAGTGTGCTCTTCGGGATTCTTCCTGGAGTCTTTGGTGGGGATAGATGTTCATGGACTATCACTTGACGGGATATAGCGCAGTTTTGTTGGAGAAAAAGTTCGCACATGCGAATTTGCTAAACCGTTGTACATAATCATATTTGCAACGGTATGGAGTCATTTTCCGGAATGGAGCCACATACTCCGTACTTACGACATACTTCATACATAGTAAACAAATTTCTTGGGTATACTCCGCCAGATGGATATGCCATGACCTCAGAACCAAGAAAAAGCATGAAAGATCAGATAAAGGGCATTAGGGCTCGGGGAATCACATCATTCCACCAGTATCTTTGTGCGGTACTGAGCTCCATTCGTACCAGAGATCCAGACCCGAAAGGATGCGATATCGGCGGATCTCCGAAAAGATTAGCTGGTCCAATGCCCTAGAACGAGCTGGTGATTGGGCGAGACCAGATATCTCTGGATGGAGGAAGGGTACCCGAGCCAAGGAATCGGTATCTCTTGGGATATGTTATCAAGGACAAGCGTGATGGAGACACGAAAGGCTCGGGAGAATTGAACACGAATGGACTCGAAAAATCCACTAAGGCATCTTGGTGGGTGACGGCGCATGAATCCGTTGGAGGCACTAATGCATCCCTATTCCACCACGGGTTGGATAGTCCCTCTCCGCATTTTGCTCCCATATTTTCATTTCTCCCAGGATCGTGCCGAGCCAGAAATCCTTCGATCGAACCTCGCTTGTCTTTGATTTGTTGCTGTTTGATTTGTGGGCTCACCAGGTGCCGATCCATACCCTCAGTGGAAACAAGTGGGGTGTTCACCACTTCCGAACCGAATCGGTTTTTTTTTCCTCTTTCAATCGAGTCTGAACGGAGTAATCGGAGTCTTTTCAGTTAAAACACACTTTGTGGCTGACAGCGGTCTGGGGAGAATGGGAACATGCATCGAGAAACTTCCATTGGCCCTGTAACCTTACTCTATTTTACTTTAGTGTTGGTGAGGGGGAACAGAAATTGAACCCAGAGCTGATAATCCCAGTGGACCAGAATGGATGCGCAGCAGATCTTACCTGAAACGAACTATGCTCGCCCACGTTCTCTCAGCCACCTGTGGTACCGGCCTCGTTTAGTTTGATAGGTGCACGTTTAGTCTCCAATCCAGACCTATGGTGACCTTTGGAGCCTTGATCAGCTCCGAAGAGCAGGCAGGGAGCGATAGTACGGCTGATCTAAAGGTTAACCGACTCTTTTTTTTTTCTCCCGACGATCAGATCCAGGGACTGGATACCGCACGGAGCCTAGTGTCTCGGGGTTTGTAGCCAGTTGCAAACAAGGTCCTCACCCTTTGGAACTGAGATCGCGATTTTCTGGAGTCCGGAGTATTGGAGCGGATACCGAGGGCCCTATCTGAAACACGTGTCCAGTAGGTTCGATGGCGAAAGTCGTTGGTTTTTAGTCGAAGTTTCTTTGATGTGTCTCTGGTCCATTGCGGACGTCCGTGTGCCACACCGTTCCCGTTTAGCACAATCTCATCCTCGGTACGGGAGTACGGAGTACGGAGTACGAGGTAATCCCACACATGGGGATCGTACAATATTCCAGATCAGGCAATGGAGGGATGTACCCGAATCTAATGTATAGGATCCATGGATATGTGTGTGGATGTGTTAGCCGACTCTCCCCCCGCACTTTTCTCGCTTGAGCCAAGTACTTACAGAGTTCTCACCGCGGAAAAAGTCGATGTAACCTGGCCGAGATGGCGCTTTGAGACAAGCGCAAGGACCTTTATTGTTTTACGGACCAGCCTGTTGTAGGAGTGGCGTTCCGTGCGCAATCAATCTCCGTGGCACTGTGGCTGCCGCAGAGATTTGGCGAATATATTCTGTGGCAAAGTCATGCATGTATGGGTGTATGGTAGTTAGATTAATATCGCAACGGTCGCATGCGAGTCGAACTGAGACCATGTTCGAGACACGCCGTTCGGTCGGGCCAGAATCTGACTGAGACTGTGGGATGGGAGACCTGGACGCGAAGCGAACACTCGAGGGATACCTAGATAGATAGTCCCCCGTGGACGGAGTAGTCCGTACGGAATACTCAATTTGGAACTATCTCTCTGCCTACTCCGTACTCCGTACCAGCGGCACTAAAGGGCTATATTGTCACAGCTAATTACTCGAGAATCGGGTTATTCTTAGCACCTCCCATTCCTGAAAAGCTCGCTTTCTCTTCTATCTCCTGCTTGTTCTAGCTAAGTCCCGAAACAGACCATATTGAGGTCAGTGCCCTCAGTTCACAGCAAGTCCACGGCAGGGCAAAATACACCATCAATGGCCGTAAAGTCTAGTCTCCGCTAAAAGTGCGACCATCGACAATAATCCCCAAGAGCAGTGGAGTTCATATCGAAACTCGAAACTCGACCAAAAAAGAGAAAAAAAAAACGAGCCAAGACTCCGGTGCACACTAGCGTCATAGCCCTCAAAAACGCGTGTTCCGTATTCCGTACCCGGTCTGCCTATGGGGTGTTTCAGGTTTAGCCTTGTCAAACGTGCGGCGCCCGACAGGCAAAAAAATTATACAACATACACATTACGAAGGCAAATGAGCTAATACACTATCCATTTCGAGCTCTTTAGTCAAGTCGCTAATCCCCCCACGTCCATCCCATCTCTGGGCTTGAGAGGACCGGAGATCTGCGCACGTCAGAAGGTCTGGAGTTTTCGAAGAGTTTCCATCGTGGACAGGGATTCCGCCGGACTTGAGCTTCTTTACGGACGACAAGCGACGCCACGGCCGACCTCGCAGCTCTAGCGTTCCCAAGCGGCCGCGCGATAATCCGGGGACACCAAGTGTCCTTTTGAGTATGGTTTGAGAAGAGGCAATTGGGTTTGGTCCCTGTCCCCTTGCTTTTTAGTGGCTGTGGTCTCGAGATGATTTCGGGCTTTAATCACCCATGCCCTAAACACCGCGGAGCGGCATAGATATGCTAGCGAGCTTAGTCCATCGGCCTGGGGGCTGGGTCCTCCCGAGTCGCCGGGAACCAGTATGACAGGAATGGAGGGGGCCACCGACAGGCGTGATTTTTTTTTTTTGGCCCAATGGCATGATGGGTGATCCAGTCCCTTAAGTCCTTTCCGAACGGTGTTGTGATTGGAACTCCGAATATTGTACGATCCACGAAGCACCCAACTTACGTTATGCAGGTGTGATCCATAAACTGTCTTTCATTTTTCCCGTACCTGAAGCCTCGGTGGTCCCATGTGAAGGGCCTCGAATGGGGGTCCCGATGGCGAAATAATCCCTGTAAGGCATCTGCCAAGAGCCGTTGGCAGAGACGCAAGCGCATGGAGAACAGAGGGCCGTGAATTCCTTGCGGATCTTGTTACGGAGTATAGCTCCACATCTCTTTGTGACATTTGGCCTCGAAATATTAAGTCTCATATGGTCTGATCTGTCCAAACCCCGAATACTTGTGGCGTTGACATTTGCGTTTGTATTACTCCGTACTCCGTCGTGTTTTTTTTTATTTGCCCTCCGTGGATTTCAAATTGTGGATTCGTTAGATGTGTAGAATATGTACGGCCAATCTATGGTGGACCAGGACGTTTTTTTTTTCACTCAAGCCCACCGATGCATTGGAGATCCCACCAACGGTATCGCGACATGCAACTCAAGTTGAACCCTTGCAGCGGGCGCTTTCGGTCTCGCTCCCGGGGAAAAACTAATTGGATGCTATGCATACATAGCGTCCGGGGTCAACCTTGACAGATAGACAGGTCAACTTTCTTTTTGACTCGGATATGGGCATGCTGATCGTCAAACGGTTTCGCGCATAGCAGCCGGGAGCTCTCACACACTACCCTCCCACCCCCATAGTTAACCGCCAGCAAGCGGGTATGATTCGTCGGGGAACTAGGAAGATGGTCGTTTCTCCAGCCAAGCACCGTTTTTGCAAATCGCACGGCCGATTCCTCGATTATGGCTAGTGAGCTCCCCGTCGAGAATTGGGCGTTAGCAGATCAACGATTTTGCCTCTTTGTCCTTCTTTGTTCCCGTTTTTTTATCTTTTTTTTCCTTTTTTTCTCGATAAAGAACAGGGCCATCCACTCGGGTCTCCATTCAAGAGCCACTTAGGTCCTTCGGCTACACTGGAGGACCTTCCGCGGCCCTTAGTCGGGACTAGGAACTGCCCGCCCGCCTCCATCTCCATCTTCTCCACTCTTGTTAAGAGCTCTCGAGGCTAGAAGGACAGACTAGAAGGTCAGGGATGATTGCCAATTTCCGAGGAACCGTTGGTGGAAGTAGTTTGGGGGTAGCTTGTTTTATCCATAGCTCTTCTCCCTATTTCGTTCTGCTGGACTTTTCTCGGAGCTCTGTTCAGTATGAAGCGTTTGTCAGCCCGTCTAGGACATCGCATATATCGTGGTTGAGGTCGGGAGCGGTTCCGACGATCAGGGCAGAGTGGGATTCGAATCAATAGTGTCTGACCTTTTTGTTTTTTTTTTCTTTTTTCTGGCTTCTTTTCTCCATTATTCCAGCACCAAGAACGAGCCCGTGGGTTTCTCCAGAGCAAAAATCCGATTTGTCTGTGCCACAACGGTGGCGGCAGGGATATTGGCCATCACAAAGCAAATAGTCGCGAAAGGTAAGGCGAAAATTTGGGATACCTTGTCAACATAGTCAACTTATGACCTCTAAATAAAAATGTGGACATGAAGGTCAAGCCTAGCTTCAACGATAGTGGACATTAGTAGCCTTCTCGAAGGCGACTTGACAGCCTTCCATGCATAGCGCTTTCCCAAATCCGCGGGAAGCATCTAAGCCCAGCAGGGAAACACCTTGAGGTCCGGCGACCCGGGATACTAGGAATAGTATCTCCAGCGTGTTTGAACACGGAGCACTCAACTGTGGACTTGGATAGTGTGTAGAGTGGGAACTGTAATGAATATCGATCAGAGACTCCAATTTCCCCCAAGTCCACAATGGCGTAGTTTATATGTTTCTGATTGGTGGCGGATTAAGGCACCTCTCCGCCGGCGCTGACGCTTTGCCCACAAATGAAGCTGTCGTAGCCAATTAAAAGACGCGCTATGTTTAGAAGCGGCCAATTACGCATTGGCAATGCTCCGGGACCCCGACATCATGTAATGCCGGGATTAATTTTGGCTTTCTGGTCTGGACTCGAAAGGGATGTGAGTCGAACCTTGAGATGGGAAGATTTGGAAGAACCTGACTCATTGGATAGTTCACTTCGACAGGAAGTTTCACCTGAGGTTACCTTAAGAATCACACTGGACCTTGCTTGGGCGGCGGCTGTATGTCATTGGGCTGTGCTAGTCGATGAGTCGGATTATGCATCTGCTTATGCATCCATTGAGATGACAGATAACACACAATATGTGGTAGAGACTATACTAATAATGACGCCCATATGCATATATTTTGTGCGCTGACAAGCTCTGAGTACTAAGCGCACCCTTTGCCCCCGGATTTACAGGTCATTCGTGAGACCAAAGGTGCTATCACATCACCCTGCAATCGGAACACATCACTTCGCGACCATGGCTCGGCCCTATATCCAATGAGATGCATCATAGCTGAGACCTATTAAGGAGCATTTCACCGGTTTGTACTCCGTACGAACGACTGGAATTTGGGCCACCATAAGCCCATTTTGTACTCCGTACACCGCATTCCGTATGGAGTACATTGTCCCTTCCCCAGTGATTGTGGCTTGAATACCTTGGAGGCGTTTGGAGACGCTTCCCATTCAATTGGAGCTGGAACCACCGGGTGCAGAGTTAAAAAAAAACCCTCCTCTCGAGGGCTTCAAAGAAAGCTGCATCTGAGCCTTGGCTCTTGATCATAAACTCAATAATAAGCATGTTCTGGCTGCCTCAATGGTTCGGGTATTGTCCCCACAGCTGGTTCCTGCAGTAGGCCGCGCAACTGAGCAGGAATATCGCAGGTTATTGGCCTGCATCTGGCGACCTTTTGGCTTCTATGTTCTGCCTAGATATTGAAGTTTGATGCCGTTGACGTGTACAATATGTGGTTTGTTTGTATGGGCCATGGCATAACCCTTGCAGCGATCGGAAAGAATCGCGGATTTGGTGTAGGACCCATGTGGCAAACACTTAGGTGTCTACCTCTACGACCCTCGAATTGAGGATGAACTACCAACGTTTCACCCTGATGATCTTTCTGATATATAGAAAAAAAAGTGATGTTCATGGGGAATATCCTCGAAGGTGGAAGGTCGGGGGAATTCTTTTTGCTTCGGCGATCACCGCACCGAGGGACCACAGCCAGGATCATATGAAATTGGCCAGGGACGAATGTAAGCGTGCAATGAACAGCCAATGCCGACCGTTTCACGATCGAAGGCCAGATGGTTGCACGGTCGTCGCCACCGTTAATAGTCTGATCGGCAAGTCCTGAGCGACCTGGGATGTGCCGCCCAGATGGGAAATTGATTGCCTTGGGGTCTGGAGTTTCCACTTGTCTGCCGTCTGGAGGTTTAAGACTCCGGAGATAGTAGGGCCAGTAATCCTTCGTCGATCGTGTAATTGGGTATTTTTTTATTTTGGCTCCGAGGATGTTCGCTATATGGTATACCGACATATTATTACCAGAGGGCATACGAAATACGTGGGCCCCGGTCCATTCCTCGGGGTTATTGGTCCCCCCCAAGCAATAAGCCCAAAAGGAAAAAGAAAGAGACGGGCAAAGAACTCTTATTTGTCCGACCTTACGACGATAAGAACAAATGATTGCCGCTGTCACTATCACATAGTCCAATGGTCGTGCACCTCGTGGCCACACTTCCCAATATTTAGATCAGGTCTCGGGCCACCGCGCTATGGTGTTCCTTTGGGATTATTGGGACGTATTGGGCTTACGTGGGCGAACTTGAAGGTCATGGCAACATACGAATCAGAAGGAATATCACGGTGTGAAGGCCTCTCCGCATTTTCCCTCTTTTATACGCCATACTGGTTTGGGGAGGGTGGCCGATGAGACGAGACGGTCCTCCGTACAAGGTACTCCGTACTCCGTACTCCGTACTTTGGTAAGGTAAACGAATTTAAATAAAAGAATAGAAATCAAAAATCATTAAGTTAATGCTTGCCTTCCCCCCACTCCGTTAACTCACTAACTCCTCCTCAATCAATGCGATTGGTCTGCCGTTAACGGGACTGAGCACTTGATGTGCACCCAGTGTCTTTCCCAATCCCGCCCCAGACTGAGTAAATAATTTCATAAATAATAATCATTTTGCTAAATCATTTTGCTAAATCCGTTTTTAATTATTTCTTAAAAAAAAAAATAAAAGCACCCGGTTCCTGGCCCACTCCTAAACTAGTGACCCGGCAAGTAGAAAAATAGCAGATCACTCATTTATCCACCGCGACCTGCTATCTTTCCCTTCTCATCAAGTGTCTTTCTCTTTTTTTTTAATTTCCCCGCTGTCTATTTTTCCTCACACTCTCTCTATCTTTTTATTTTTATTTGGATCCTTTTTTTTTGGGACTATTTTGGGTTTGGGGTTTCCTCGGATTTATTTGGGATCCTCCTCATCTATAACACTCTCCTTCCTCAAGTACTTTGTCTCCCGGTTCCCAGAACCTGTCCTTCCTTTTCCGACAGACGACACTCATTCATCGTCCTATACACCTAATTACCTCAGTCCATTCATTCGGTCATACCACATTCAACCCTAATCCTACTAATATATAACGAGAGCCTGTCAATTGGACTCCCGTTTCAACAGGTATGTACCATCTATAGAGATCTCTGGAACACAAAACTAATACACCCCAAGCAGCACATTCACAATGGACTCAACATATATGGGTCCTACTTCGGTCCAAGGCCAGCCTACATTCGCATACTATACCGACTCACAGAGACAAGGTCACTATCAGTCAGATGTTCCTTACTACAGCCAAATGCCATACGGAGCCCAAGAGCAACTCTACTCATCCCAGCCCATGATGAACATGCACCAGATGGCTACCACCAATGCCTTCCGCGGTGCCACCATGAGCTTGACCCCCATTGCGTCTCCCCAGCCCTCGCAGATGAAGCCGGCTATCATTGTGCAGCAGGGCTCTCCCGCCTTGATGCCTTTGGATACTCGGTTCATGGGTCATGATCTGTACTTCCCTTCGACCCCTCCACTCTCAGCTTCGGGAAGCACCATCAGCAGCCCTCCATCTGCCCATGGTGCCCTACCAACCCCGATCCATGATACATTCTTCACCTTTGATAAGGTGGAGGGTGTCAAGGAGGGATGCGAGACAGACGTGCACCAGGAGATCCTGGGTACTCCCGAATGGGCGCGTTCTGAATCGCCTCCGATGACGCCTGGTAAGTTTTTATAGATCACACATGGATATGAAATGTGGGGATTTGGGAAGCAAGGGCGAAAAGCTAATTGTGATACAGTCTTCATCCACCCCCTTCTCTCACTCACATGCACACCTCGGACCTTTTGTCCGCAACCTCCTGCCCCTCGCTTTCCCCATCCCCCTCACCCGTCCCCGCCGACATTCTTGCCTCCCACAGCCTTGGGTCTAGCCAGTCTTTTTGTGACCCCCGTCAGCTCACCGTTGAGCCCTCTGTCAATATCCACACCCAGGATCTCCCTCCTCTGCCGACTCTTTCATGCGAGGAGGAAGAGCCTCGCGCCGTTGTCGCCAGTGCGTCTGTGACGCTTCCCGTCAATGAGAACCCATCTCCCTCTTACAGCTCTTCGACCCAGGATCCCCTGAGCTCGCTCCCAACTTTCGACAGTTTCTCGGATCTCGATTCCGATGATGAGCTGAACCGTCTTGTGGAATTCCACCCTGCCGCCAATGCCATCTACATGCCTGACAAGCGCCAGCGTATGCACGCCTACACAGTAGAGGATGATGGATTCCTGAGCGAGCACAGCCTCGAGGATTCGGATGACTCTGAGACCTTCATTCCTAATGGTTTGCCCTCTTTCGAATGGACCCAAACCGCCCAGCCTCAGATTCAGACCGAGGAGGAGCACGTCGAGGAGCCCAAGACCAAGAAGCGCAGCAACCGCAAGTCCCGAAAGACCGTTGCTGACGAAGAGGCCGAAGCAAAGGCGCTGGCCGCCTGCGAGTCCTCTGGTGACTGCTGCTCGGATGATGGATCAGTAGATGACTCCGAGTCCGCTCCCGTGTCTGTCAACCGCCGTGGTCGCAAGCAATCTTTGACCGAGGACCCATCCAAGACCTTTGTCTGCACTCTGTGCTCGCGTCGCTTCCGCCGCCAGGAACACCTCAAGCGCCACTACCGCTCCCTCCACACCCAGGACAAGCCATTCGAGTGCAATGAGTGTGGTAAGAAGTTCTCTCGCAGTGATAACCTCGCCCAGCACGCTCGCACCCACGGCGGTGGCTCCATCGTTATGGGGGTTCTCGACACAAGTGATGCCGGCTCTGTCTCGTATGACGATCAACATGATGCCGGCGCACTTGGCCAAGTTATGTACGAGGCTGCCCAGTCGAACGAGACCACCAGTGCTCCCTCTGGGGACCGCCGAGCGGCCAAGAAGCGCAAGCGTGATCTGTCCTAAGGGCATTTTCGTTACATGATTTTCTTTACGAGACCAGGAGACTTCCTACTGCATATATAATACATACATCTCTCGGTCGGAGTCTTTCTGATTTGGAAGTTTGACCACATTGGTCTTGATTGGGTTTGGCGTCCGGGCATTACACTGGTGTCGGAAACTGGATCGGTGTACGGCATCTTGGGTTCCCTTTTCATTTTTCAGCGTTTGACATATCGCACGGGGACACATACACACGGACTGGGATTGCATTCGAAGCGGTTCTTTGGCGAAGGCACATGGGCGCAGAAGTGTCCACGGAGACCAAAAAAAGAACAAAACACGAAATATAGAGCGAATGATGGCATCTGTCCTTGACAGTGCTGGGAATGGTGTTGAATTATTTCCTTTGTCACCTTGTTTCTGACTTTTTTTTATCTCCTTTTTTTTCCTTTTTTCCTTTTGTTTCTCGATGTCCTATCCAAATTCTCCTGGACTAGCACATTCGGCGTGAGCAATGTGCCTCACATGGAACGCTCGAGCTCTCCCTTCGTGTACCCCCGTTTACTTCGCTTCTTGTGACTTTTTTACCTTCTTTTTTCTTTCTGATTCTTCTACCGTTTCGCTTGCTTGTTCGTTTATTCGATGTAATATTTTTCTTCCCCTTTTCTGGCTTTTTTTTTTGGCTTTTCATCTGCTTCTTCCTTGTGCTGGTCACATTTGTGTATAAGTTATTTGACCACCCCCATTTTTCACACTCCATTGCTTCATACCCCTTGTATTGCATTGCCCCTTTGTGTTGGTTACAGGTCACATCTCTAGATGTTGATTTACATGCATCAAATTACAAGCATATCCATACTATACTCTCTATCCTGGTAAACACGTACTCCGTAGTAGATTTCGAGTTAGGCCTTCCGGTCTTCTGTCTTAGGCTAATCCCCCTCTACCCCGATATAAACCAAGAAATAGTCTATTCACCATGTAAAGAATGAATGTATGATATCACTCGAGCTACGTATCAAAGGAAAGAAGATTAAAAGATGCATGGAGTATTCCCCGCCAGTTTGCTGTACTGATCTTATCGATAAACGGCCTTGAAGGTGGGGACAGAGAAAAGTGCCCCCCCCATTTGCCCGCACCCAGCAAATCTGCGAGATCTCATATTTCAAACCTGACTGGACTCAAGCATGTCTAAACCAGCGCAACCTCCAGCCCCAGGGCTCAACGTCATCGCTCTAGTCTCCGGCGGAAAAGACTCCCTCTACTCCATTCTCCACTGTATCCGCAACGGCCACAAAGTGGTTGCGCTAGCGAACCTTTACCCAGAACCGCAACCCAAATCCCCAACCCCAAATCCCAACGCTCAAGATGAAGAAGAAGAAGACATCGACAGCTTCATGTACCAGACAATCGGTCACAGCATAATCCCCCTCTACGAATCGGCCCTTCAAATTCCCCTCTACCGCCAACCCATCACCGGCGCCGCAGTCGATACCGCCCGTATCTACGGCAATACAGCTACCGATCAAGACGAGACGGAGTCCCTGGTTCCGCTCCTGAGGCGCATACAAGCCGCCCATCCGGAGGCAAATGCTGTCTCCGCGGGCGCGATTCTCTCTACCTATCAGCGCACGCGCATCGAGAGCGTCGCTAATCGTCTTGGCCTTGTGCCCCTCGCTTGGCTATGGATGTATCCGTCGCTCCCGGCGCCGATGGCTAGGTCTGCTGATACGTTGGCGATCGGCCAGGCGGGGTTGTTGGAAGATATGGCGGCTGTGAAATGTGATGCGCGGATTATCAAGGTTGCCTCGGGCGGTCTGGACCAGGGATTCCTGTGGTGGAATGTGTCTGGTGCTGAGAGTGGCGGCCGGATGATGCGCAGGTGTCTAGTGAAGGCGATGAGTCGGTTTGCTGCGGCGGAGGATATCCGTGGGGCGGTGTTGGGTGAGGGCGGGGAGTATGAGACTCTTGCGTTGGATGGTCCTGGGTTTTTGTGGAAGAGCAGGATTGAGGTCGGGAGTCGGAAGGAGAAAGTTGGGGAAGGCGGTGTTGCGTTTGTTAGTTTGAGGGGGGCTAGGTGTGCGGTTAAGACAGCTAGGGAGGTTGGGGATGGGATTGCGCCGAGTGATGTCAGAAGGCCTGGAGTGTTGGATCCGGCTTTTGAGGGTGTTTTGGGGTCTGGATTGGACCATTCTGGGTCTTCTGATGACTCGGGTTTGCGGGGGAGCACTGCTCGCTCGCCGCAATGGTCGGTCTGTGAGCCGGTGCATAGACTATCTGGCTCGACGTGGACGATGTCGAATATTGTTGCGCCTGAGGCTGGTCCTGGGGCGGGAGAACAGATGAAGGGGATTGCAAACAAGGTCGAGCAGGTGCTCGGGTCTTTTAATCACGCCGAGGCTGGTGCCCGGTCAACAGACGACATCGTTTTCGCTACGGTGCTGCTAAATTCAATGGCCGACTTTGGTTCAATGAATGATATCTACGTCTCGCTGTTCAAGAAACCCAATCCTCCAGCACGTGTTACCGTCGCCTGTGGAGACCGACTTCCTTCCAATGTCAAAGTGATGGTCTCATTCGTGATTGACTTGGGTGCGAGGGACCGGCGTCAAGGCCTGCATGTTCAATCGAGGTCATACTGGGCGCCCGCCAATATTGGACCATATTCGCAAGCGATGTCAGTCCCGCTGCAAAATGCTAGCAGGCTCGTCCACATTGCTGGTCAAATTCCTCTAGATCCCGCTTCTATGGATATGGCGCGGGTGGAAGGGCCAGGGTCATGGTCCGAGAACTACCGCTTCCGAGCCGTACTGGCTCTCCAGCATCTCTGGAGAATCGGTGAAGCCATGCAGGTGGACTGGTGGCTCGGTGCTGTGGCCTTCCTAGCTCGCGGAGAACACGCTAATGCACAAGCCCAAGTAGCGTGGCGCCTTTGGGAGAGAATGCATGCTTTGCCTGATAATGAAGACGAGGATGATGATGAAGGCCCACAGCTGGACGCTTGGGATATCAAATATGGTCGTTGCACAGAGGAGCTGTCCGATGCCCTTGTGCCAAGTCTGCCTAAGTTTACTGCTCTTGTCGAGTCCCATACATGCATTCCTCCATTCTTGGCTGTCCAAGTGGATGAGCTTCCACGAGGAAGTGATATTGAATGGCAAGGACTGGGAGGCCGGTGTGAGCAGGTCAAGCTGGACATTAAAGGAGGGACATTTTCCACCACCATGGATGGTCAATACAAGTATACCAGTATCGAGATTGACGCGGGTTCGTCAGACGATACATTTGAGCAAATATTGAGATCAGTGAAAGATGTTCACTGCCGAGATTCCAGTCTAACTCAAGCTGTTTTATACACCACACATCTGGTGCCTGAAACCTTGTGGCCAGGCCAAGTGGTTCCTTGCAGATCAGTATGGGGACGAGAAGGGCGAAGACTGAGCGCAGGGGTGGTCCTGCAGCAGCTCAGTTAAACAAAATATTTATGAACGAATAAACCCCCTTTTTATTGATGCAAAAGAAAGGAATCTGTAGTATAGCATGTTCTCGAGGTCATACAACGTGATGCACTGTCCGCTTGCATGTGATAGGCAAAATCCCCACCGCGTTCAGGAAAGATAATAACAGACTCTCCAACGGCCACGTTCTCAAAAACTTTCAACTTCGAAAACACTTGGGGCTCAAATCTTGACCATTTTCTCTTCTTTCTGGCGCTCTTTCCTGCCGCCCCACACACACCGTCCTTCCTATCTCACCCCGACATGACGTACTCATCAACATAAGCATGGCGCCATGAGTTCGCAATCAAACCACGAAGAACACGAAGCGACGCCTCGCAGTAGCACTCCCCTGACCCCCGAAGCGCTTGCGGAAGACCTCCGATTATTCAATCGCTCCCCACATCCTTACCACAGGAGCCGGCGCATCGGATCAAGCACCCCCTCCGAACACGGCGACCGTCTCCACCCGCTCTCCTCCTACTCAAGGTCGTCGCGCACAACCAGCGATAGCGGCACAGAAGCCGACGATGAGAGCACAGGTATTCTAAGGGGCTTACCTGCTCCTCCGCTTCGTCCTCGAAAAGGCTTGCGGTCTGGGGACACCGATTCCTGGCTACCTAGCTTGCAACCATGGCCGTCATTTGCGCGGCGGTCATCGCGACAGAGTTCGGAGGAGGAACTCGAAGAAGAGGCCTTCGAAGAAAGACAAAGATTCAGACGACAAAGGCGAGTGGAGGTTCTCCGGCGCTCTTTGGAGGCGACCCTCCTGCTGTCTGTTGGCGGAGTCGTCTTGTATGAAGGCGGAGCGCGGGCTTTGGCCTGGGAATGGCGAAAAGGTATGTCGGGACATTTGGAATCATCGTGACTTTTTAACACATGCTAATTGAATTGTAGAGATTGCTGCTCATGGTCTCACGGTCATGGGTCTCTATGCCGCCTATCCGCTCGCCGTTCGTGCCTCACAGGGCCGAAGCTGGCGCATTTGGCGCATTTGGTCTACGAAACGAACATACTTTTCGTTGCCCTCAAGCTTTGATCCGGCTCCTCTCCTATACCCAGTTCTTATTCCGATATTTGTTTCACTGTCGCTGTCCAACCATCTTCCGTCACTTGTTATGCATAATATCATCCTCAGCCTCTCCTCCCTACCTACGCCCGTTATACCATTCCAGAACTGGGCTTATGGACTCAATTCTGTCCATTGGATGGTATCTTTGATCCCCATTCTCATTTCCGAGCATTTCTCTTTGGACAATACAGTGCCCAAACCATTGACGCTTCGCGGGCTCGACGCGGAATCTTTAATGCTTCTTTTTCCTTTGCATCAAGCGTTGATACCCACTTTGGATTTTTTGTTGACGACCAGCATTCTTCCTGCCGAGCTGCAGCTTTTGACAATTGCCTTGATCAACTTGTACCTATTTGCGGCCTCTCCCCAGATGGAGATTCTTAAAGCCTTATTATGGCTTGGTGGGATGTGTTTGTTCGCCTTTTGTCGGCATATACTGCGCTGGGAGGTTTCTTTGGCCAGAATTCCCAGTTGGAAGTTCCGTCGCGCTCCTATTTCCTCGAAATCTCCCCGCAAGTTTTTGAATATGATGGACCATCGACTGTGCGAGAAGTTGAGTAGGACGGTGCATGTCCCGTCGGACGCTTCGTCGGACAGTGATGGGCCAACTGGGTTCCCATTTTCGAGGCCGCGCAAGAGTAGGACTATGCGGGAGAACCGCAGTGCCCACCCGCCACCAGAGCCTGCATCTGCAATCGAAAAAATTGTGACGGAAGAGATTTTTGAGCGATATGCCCGCAATGTGAAACGACGACGCCATACAATATCTACGTTTGATGAAGCCGTTCGAGAGGAACGCGTTCGAACTACTCCCGGTGGCAGGCGCAAGAAAACGATGGGCCCTGGTCTGGCCTCTTTCCTCTCCCTCACTTCAGCCCAGGCGCAGGTTCGCAAATGGCTGTACGCCTTTTATGTCTACATTTTGACTTTGGCGATTGTTATTGGACCTATCCGAAAGTACATCGCAGACCGCGCTTTGCAAGGCCAAGATCCGTTCGGCTGGGCTATAGGCTACTTGTTTGGCAATTTCTCGCGAGTTCGCTTTTGGGTCCTTATGTTAAACCTCGAGTACTGGATTGAACTGCCACCTCGCCCCGATGCCGAGGCTCTGAGTGCCTCCTGCTTTCTGGGATCGGTCGAACATATTCGCCAGGCTACTTTTGGAGCAGCCAACACTCGTTTACTACTCAGCGGTTACTGCGCGTTGGTGCTGCTGACAGGTCTGGCTATTGTTAATAGACTCAGCTTTATTGCTGAGGTTGACACGCGGCGCAAGATCTTCCACGGCATGATGGTGGTTATGTTCCTTCCCGCCATTTTTGTGGACCCAGCCTTTTGCGCCATGGCGCTGGCACTGGTCCTGTCCATTTTCCTTCTATTGGACCTGTTCCGCGCGTCTCAGCTACCCCCTATCTCACGGCCACTTACCCATTTCCTGGCCCCGTACGTCGATGGCCGTGATCACCGTGGTCCCGTCATCATCTCACACATCTTCTTGTTAATTGGATGTTCTATACCACTTTGGTTGTCGCTTTCCGATCTTCCTCGGTTTGGCGTAGGCCCCTGGGCTGGCTGGGAAGTACCATCACGAGACGTCAGCATGGCGAGCGGAGTTATTTGTGTCGGCATGGGTGATGCAGCCGCATCTCTCATTGGCCGACGATACGGTCGATTGAAATGGTTCTGGGGTGGTGGCAAATCACTCGAGGGCAGTGTTGCGTTTGTGGTAGCCGTTACATGCGGGCTGATCGTGGTTCGTGCCTGGCTGGTGCTTGGGGGATGGCCCGTGTCAGGGGTCGAATCAGCCCAAGGGGGTACTTTCTCCGTTCATTTTTGGGTCTGCACTCTGTTTAAGGCGGTTCTGGCGGCCGCCGGGACGAGCGCCACCGAGGCCATTCTCACTGGCTGTAATGACAACGTCGTGGTCCCCGTAGTGTTGTGGCTGCTGGTGCGGGGTCTGGGGGTTTGATGTGGCGCGGTGATGCGTATCCAGGGGATGTGTTTGGTGATTTTTCTTTTTCTTCTTGACCAGTCCTTAGCTTTCGGAGGTTTGCCTGTGTCTTATTTACCAACCGTTTTGCTGCGGCATTTGTATAGTATGGTGGGGTACAGAGGCTGAGGATGTATAGATGAACCTCAACTACTCAATTTGAATCCGTTTGGATGCCTATACTCCGCTGCATGGTATTGCATATCTGCCTTGCCTTGGCTTTCGTCCTATTCCTCAATCTTCCTGTAGGTAACCACCTGGGCAACCGATGCGCCCTGACTGGGGACTCCATAGGCTGCAGATAAGCTTCCGTCACCGTACGGTTTCATCGCGTATGATGAGCTGTCAGGAGTCTGGCAATAGTAAGGATATTGACAGGCAGATGTGGGAATGTTCAGAATACATGTGGGGAGCACAGTGGAGCCTTGGTCGAGTCTCCCTAGCTACCAACACATGGACTGCCTATATAGTGAAATGCACAGTACGATCCTTCGCAGTGGCTCAGTCAGACGGTCACCCTCGTTACAAGGGATACTTGGAGATCTCGGTATCTGCCTTGCCGATCTCGGCCTTATCTAATCGATAAGCACATGATCCAGATCTCTGTGGTATAGACTCCTTTTCGCAAGTTCAGGTTCTTTGGGAAAGGTGTCCAAGTGTCTTGGCTGATTGTCCTATTTGTGCCATTTCCTTTCATTTTCACTCGCCTCTGGTCTCTCCTCTCCCATTTACCTCGAGTTTCCCCCCCTCGTGTTTCATCTTTCATCTTATCGAGCATCTACATCATCCCGCCCTTCTGACCGCCTTACGCGATCATCGCCGCCTGTCACTCGTTATCGTTGGGTCACACCCCCCCAGTCGTGGAGATCCCTGGGTCTTGGGGTCTTCCCGTTCCATCACATCATCTTGCTTTCTCATTAGGTCGACTGTTTTCGCCCCCCTGCATCTTTGGTTCTCTACTATACTCGAATCTCCAAATCTCCCCGTTCTGCATTCACATCTCTCACCGCTCTGCTTTGGATCTTGTTTGCTTCTTGAGAGGTACATCATAAACCTCCATCGCATCATCTTCTATAATCTACCCGATTTCACCGACATCGTTCCACGGCACCCGTTTACAGTACCTTCCCAGACCCGTTCTCCCGGCGGTTCCTCGTCCTTCCAGGCTTCCCGGACGCATCGTCATCCTTCCCTAGCTCCCCTGATGGGCCTCACGAGTCGATTGCCTTCATTGCTGCTGCTGAGGTAGTTGTGGTTGCTGGGGTGTGACTCGATCTTGACTTCCCCCCAGCGAGAGCTTCCCAAGGAAAACACAGGCAGTGGGGTACTCCATCGCCGCCATGGCATCTCAAACTTCAAGAAGATCGCGCGAGTCCTCCCATCCAGAGATGTCCATCGGCCGTTATACGCGGCTTGATGAGATCGGGCGAGGTAGCTTCGCGACGGTTTACCAAGGTGTTCATACAGTGAGTTGTGTCTTATCTTGTGATATGTTGGGAGATTATGCTGATCCATTCTTATCACCCAGAGATCGAAAACCTTCGTAGCTATCAAGTCTGTGAACTTGTCCAAGCTCAACAAAAAGCTCAAAGACAACCTTTCGTCCGAGATCGATATCCTAAAGGGCCTTCATCATCCCCATATCGTCGCCTTGATTGACTGCCATGAGTCAACGTCTCACATTCACTTGGTTATGGAATATTGTGCATTGGGGGATCTGTCGCTTTTTATCAAGCGCCGGGATAGTCTTGGAACGCATAAATACACCCGGGACATGATTGCCAAATATCCCAACCCACCTGGCGCTTCGCTCAATGAGGTAGTTACTCGGCACTTCCTCAAACAGCTGTCAAGTGCGCTGAAATTCCTTCGTGATCGAAATCTTATCCATCGAGATATCAAACCTCAGAACCTTCTTTTGTGCCCCTCGCCTTCGTCGTACAGAAATGGTACTGCTCAGGTCATTCCATTTAAAGGGAGTGATAACTCATATGAGCCTATTACGGGGATCGAGTCTCTCCCAATGCTCAAAATCGCGGATTTTGGCTTCGCTCGATCATTACCCGCCACTTCGTTGGCGGAGACCCTCTGTGGTTCTCCACTGTACATGGCACCTGAGATTCTTCGATATGAGAAATATGATGCCAAGGCCGACTTGTGGTCTGTAGGTACTGTGCTCTATGAGATGGTTGTGGGTCGACCTCCGTTCCGGGCTTCAAATCATGTCGAGTTGTTGCGAAAGATTGAGAAGGGAGAAGACCGAATCCGCTTTCCCGAAGAAAACCCAGCCTCGGATGATATTAAAAGATTAATTCGAGGTCTTCTGAAACGGAACCCGGTGGAGCGGTTGAATTTTCCCGAGTTCTTTAACAACAATGTGATCAATGATCCGATCCCTGGCCTGGTAGCGGACGATGTTTCGGGGCCATCTCAATCACCACGACCAACGCAATTAAACGCAAAACCCGAAGAATCTCCTTATGACACCGGGCCAGAGGACAGGGTTGCATGCCCCATCAATCGAAGACCTTCTACAACACCTCCAAAATCAGCAACCCCACCTACAGTCACGCATATGCGGCGCATGGGAAGCGCTGATCGGCCTTCTTCGGAGATTGTCAAAGATCAACGAGCAGGCACACCGCCCCAACGGCCTGGTCCTGTCAGTCTTGTCACTGCCCCAGGACGCCAAGAGCTCACCGATCGCAAGGCAACTGCTGCTGTCATGGATCGGCAAAGACATCGGAATACCTATACTGGCTCTCCTAGGGCAAGTGACTCAACCGTCCATATCCAGGAGGAACGAGATCGCGCTGCACAAGAAGTGGCATTCGAGAGAGATTACGTTGTAGTTGAAAAGCGGGCTGTGGAAGTCAACGCTTTTGCAGACGAACTGGCCCATAGTCCACGCCTACAGGGCGGGCTTTCTCGTCCAGGACAAACTGGCGCCGGGTCTCGCCGGGCGACCACACAGGGTCTACCAACAGTGTCACCCTCTTCTCCGCATGCCAATGCGGCTAAGGCTATGCAGGTTGTGACGGGCCGCTCGCGCGCAGATTCCACACACCAGCGTCAGCATTCCTACGAGCGACGTTACGGACAAAGTCCTACATCGGCGACCTCCGCAATCTCGAAAGCACTCAATATGGCCAGTGGCCGTTTATTTGGCATAGGTTTCTCACCTCCACTAGCTATCAGCAAAAGTGGGCGATCTCCGCCTTTGGCCTATAATCCATTCCCAGCCTATCCTCCTGCACATACAAGCCTTTTGATCACAGGAGATGCAACCAAGCAAAGTCCGAACGTGGATGAAGATTGCAAGGCAGTCCAGGAAATCGAGGAATGCGCTACGCGTAGCGATGTTGTTTTCGGATTTGCCGAGGTTAAATACAAGCAGCTTATTCCGCTAGCACCTTCAGCACCGACTGATCCATCTGCGAGACCTATGGATACAAACAATGATCCAGGATCTGCTGAATTTGATGATGGGCTTACAGTGGACGCGATCGTCACATTATCTGAGGAAGCTTTGGTGCTATATGTCAAAGCATTGTCTTTGCTGGCAAAGTCAATGGACATCGCTGGCGCTTGGTGGTCACGCAAGAATCGGGAAGAAATTTACGGGGACTCACCGACCAAAGAGAATATGAGCGCAGTTGCTGGTACCCGGATCAACTACGTTGTGCAGTGGGTGCGCAGCCGGTTCAATGAGGTCATCGAGAAGGCCGAATTCGTGCGCCTCAAACTTATCGAGGGCCAACGACGATTGCCACTAGATCATCCCAGCCATCCAAATAACTACTCCATCAGTTCTACCGCCGGTTCAACCTCTACCGCGGACGTAGTAGTGAGCCCTGGCGTGACAGCAGAGAGGCTCATGTACGACCGCGCACTGGAGATGAGCCGAGCGGCTGCCATCAACGAATTGACCGGCGAAGATCTTGCCAATTGCGAAATCACCTATGTCACTGCCATTCGCATGCTTGAAGCTGTCCTTGAAAGTGATGGAGCGCGATCTCCACCGGGCAGCAGCAGCAGTGACCGGCAAAGCAGTTCGCAACCCAGTGATAGGGTCATTTTGGACGACCTGCAGGTGGAAGATCGGCAGGTCGTTGTCAAACGTGAGTCTTCTCTCCATTCAATCATCCCACCCGCCTAAAGCTAAAACTTTGATGTAGTCGTCTCTAGTATGCGTGGTCGCCTCACATCTGTTCGAAAGAAGCTGGCGGTGCTCTCCAAGCGATCGTCCACTCCGACTCCCACGATGACCAGTGCGGGCAAAGTCCCCCCATCCACTATTTCTCCTGTTGCATATACTACGGGGGTGACACCGCCTAGATGAGCACTGGTTTTTCATACAACGTTCACCAAATCTATCAGATTATCACGGTTTTGTTTTCTTTCCCGTAGCGTCATGACCATCGCCTTATAGGTATAAGGTTTTCGATCGACGCGGATGATTAAGCTTCTCCTCGTTTATATATGCTAACCTGTGGTTAGTCCTGGCGGGTTTACTGCCATTTATTTGCCATTGATATCTCTACGAGATACTAATTTCTCCGTTCATGCTTTCAAGGTTGTTGATTCGTTCTTCTCTTTCCGTTCCCGTTATGCCATATATCCCACAGCACGAGGCCAGGGGAGTTCCTTTTTCGTTTCTGCGCTTTTTTTTTCATGTCATCATGCCATCATGCCTAATTTGCTTTCTGTTTTCTAAGGCGCCTTTCACCTTTGTTTTTCGTTCGGGCTGGCGTTTGACCTGGGGACCTATGGTATACAGATTGGCTCTGATTTTTTTCTTGGAATTGGAATGCACAAGGTCACGGCGCTGCGGTGTTTCACTCTGGAATTTGGTGCAGATACTACAAGATGTATTGTACATAGATGAACTGAGGTGACTCATTAACATTTGATCTCTCTATAACCTCGGAGGTAGGTACAATCTCCATGCCTTCACTCTGCAATGGGCCCGGCTGTGTTCCGTATCCACCTTCCGGGACCTTTTTCACGTCTTTTTTGCGGGTTGTCCTCCTTTCTCTGTCTAGTTTGGGGGCTAAAACCTGTATAACATGGATAGTAGACGCTAAAAGGCACGTCCCTCGGTAGGTACTCATATGCAGGTAACGGCTTTACCTCCTCGCCATGCAGATAGAAGGAGAAAGGCTATAACATAAGCGAGGGCACTTTGTATAAACCATGGGTTTGGGCCGTAGCAAATGAGACCTGAAGCTTGGCATCGATCTACACCAAAAGCCTCACGATGGCGTGCTCGTGGCGGTAGTATTTATGTGTCAGAGATTTCCACTTCGTTCATTCATTTGGCTCCTTGGCTCTTCTCTGGGCGCGTTTATTTCCTTCATCGGCATTGGCACATGCTCTGAGGCCGTTACCCATGGTGTATTCCGTACCTCCTGAATACCCCTATTGTTAACAGGGTACCGGCATCTGTACCAATTACATTGTAGCCAACATCACGCGAGTCCACGAGTTGATGGGAGTGTATCTCCCGCATCCAGCATCCAGCATCCAACCTGCGGGTACGGTTCGGCCCCGACTGCATAGTTTGTCGGGATTCCACTGGTCCCCGAGACCTTTTTTTTTTCCTTTTGGTTCCTTTTCCCCCTAGTGCTGCCCCATGGAGATTTATATGGACGAATCGAATCAGATGCTGTGGATTACTTCTGAGCTCTGCGGAGTATAGTTAGCACGACCAATAAGCCGAACGTGAGGCCGGCGTAACGCAAGAAAATGATATTCGGCCCGGCGAGGCAAATGGTGCAATAGCCCGACCCAAAAACCTCTTTTCTTGCCACCCGGAGATAGAACTCCAAAAAGGCAAAGATCCCAAGCCCCAGCTTTCAAACTCATGTTTAACTGGGGAGATCGCGGTTACAATCAATTCACAACGTAAGATTTCTACCTTGCCTAGCCTGCCCAGCCGCAAGTGACCTATGGCATCACATTTAGTGCTAGCACCTCATTTTGAAACCATTGGTGACCCGTTACTTACGTTCGTTTTGCCTTCGACATAGGGTCCAGCTGAATACAAATACTCGCTGATCGGTTCCACTTGGTGACTTCATCAGTCTATCCAACACAATGGCCGAATCCGTTAGTTATAACGTCGAGCCATCTAACAAAAAGTCTGCCGTGCTCGATACAAAACTAGTGGGTGATGATGGTCTCCGTCGTGCGGATGGAATCTCAGGTTTATGTATGTTTTCGTGTGAGAGTTGAACATTGAGCGACATCTAACCTGTCTATACTCCAGATGAAGGAAATGTCTTCGAGACAACGCCTGAGGACCGTCGTGAAATCGGCATCTTCAGTGCCTCGCTTCTCATCTTCAACCGTGTGATTGGCACAGGTATCTTCGCCACACCGAGTACCATCCTTGCCTTGACTGGCAGTGTCGGTTTGTCATTGTTCATGTGGGTGGCCGGCACTGTCATTGCTCTGGCTGGCACGGCTGTCTACCTCGAATGGGGTACTGCGATCCCTAAGTAAGTTTTTGAATCACAAAGCATCCAACGGACATATCACTTACGAACCTCACTCCATCTAGGAACGGAGGAGAAAAAAACTACCTCGAATATGTCTTCAAGAAGCCCAAGTTCTTGGCCACTGCCATGTTTGCGGCTTATGCTGTCTTACTCGGTTGGGCAGCAAGTAACAGTGTTGTCTTTGGTCAATATATTCTCAATGCAGCAGAGATTGAAGTCGGACGATGGAACCAGCGTGGAATCGGCATGGCCTGTCTCACTGCCGCCTTCCTGATCCACTCCGTTGCCGTGAAATGGGGTATCCGTCTTCAGAACGCGCTTGGTGTTATCAAGCTGGTCATCATCGTGTTCATCATTGTTGCTGGTTGGGTTGCACTGGGTGGCCATACGAAGGCCGAGACGCCGGATAACTTCTCCAATGCCTTCGAGGGTACTCTGGGCAGTGGATATGGCATCGTCATGGCGCTGTACAACGTTATCTGGTCTTTCATTGGCTACTCGAATGCCAACTATGTAAGGAACACAGCCCATATGAGGGTTTGATCCTCTTTGCTAATCTCACTTACAGGCCTTGAGCGAGACAAAGAATCCTGTCCGCACATTGAAGATTGCAGCCCCCGTTGCTATCGTATCTGTTTCTATTTTGTACATGCTTGTCAACGTCGCCTATTTCGCTGCGGTGTCGAAGAAAGAAATGCTTGAGTCGGGAAGTATCGTGGCCGCCGTGTTCTTCAGAAACATGTTTGGCAAACGAGCCGAGAAAGTCATGTCGGTCTTTGTGGCTCTCTCTGCATTCGGCAACGTGCTATCCGTCATCTTCTCCCAAGGTCGAAGTATGTATATTCTCACTGTCATTCGTGAACGATAAACTAATCGAAATCTGCTACAGTTGTTCAAGAGCTCGGCCGTGAAGGCGTCTTGCCCTTCTCCAAGGTCTGGGCTAGCAACTGGCCTTTCCACTCCCCAGCAGCTGGTCTGCTTGAGCACTATCTCGTCTCAGTTGTGATCATGCTTGCTCCTCCTCCTGGTGATGCATACAACTTCCTCGTCAAGTACGTTGTTTCCGAAGACATCCGCAAGATCTTTACTGACCAAGTTGTCATAGTCTCATCTCTTACCCTCTGTCGATTGTCAATTTCTTCGTATCCGCTGGGCTCGTTTACATCTACCTCACCAAGGACAAGAATTTCCCGGACTGGTCTCCTGGAATCCGCGCTACTCTCCCGGTCACAATCTTCTTCATGCTGTCGAACCTTTACCTCGCGATTGCGCCGTATGTGCCCCCGAGCGACGGTCAGAGCGTTTACGAGGAGCTGCCGTACTACCTGCACTGTGTGGTAGCTCTGGCACTCTTTGCAGCAGGAGCCATCTACTACGTTGTCTGGGCAGTGTTGTTACCCCGGATTGGCGGGTATGTCCTTGTCAAGGAGTCTGTCGTGGATGCCGATGGATGGTCTCGCAGTGTTTTCACGCGGATGCCAACGGCCGAGGCAGAGCACTCTTAAGAGAATTTATTGGGATTCCAAGGGTCACTTTCCATTGCTTTATTTCGAGGAGTTCAAGGATATATTCACACATGGGTCTGGTGATGTGGGAAACAATTCCCCCTTTGATTTCGCCACTAGTTATAGCCAAATACAACTAATTCTATTCTTAATGATCCGATTCTATTGAGCATTACACACTGCCCTGTCATATCATGACATCAGAGCAATGAACCGCGGTCAATCTTGTATGTTCCAGTCTTCTATGGTAGCCCATCCACGAGAATCAATGAGACTGTCATGAGCCCCTCAAACTTGCTGGTATATGGTCTGGCAAGATAACAACATAAATGCTGTTCCAATGATCTGTCTGTGTCGAAACTTGGACATCCAATGGGCGAACTTGCGTGGTGAAGAAAAGAAGAGGAAAAAGGAAAAACGAAAAAAAGGAAAAGCCGTTCCGCTAATCGGCCTCACCGCCTTCCATCTGCCGGACTGATCTCATGTTTTTCCCATCGCCATGTCCGTTGGTCTCAAGCCTGTGGTTCAATTCTTCTCCCTTTGGTTCAATTTATTTATTTAATTCTAATAGGCCCTTTCTTCTCTTTTTTCTTTCCCTTTCTTTCCCGTAATCGGGTTCGTGGAGCTGATGCGCCGTTTCTCCACGCGTGTGCTTCTGCAGCAAGCAAAGCCACCGCTTCTTTCCGCCAGAGCCCCCCTCCCCCTCTTTGTCTCCGCTCGCTCTTCTCAAGCTTCAGTTCCTAGATCGACCTCTCGTCGCTCTAATCCCCCGCTTTCACAGATCTCCAAACGCTACTGTTCCTACCGCAGAATGTGCAGCTCACGCCGCGGCGAGGCCTCCGGGTCAACCAACGTCCAAGGCCGCGAGGTCTTGCCTACAAACGTTAAGCCCCAGCACTATGATTTGACACTGGAGCCCAACTTTGAGAAGTTCACATACGAGGGAACTGTCATTATTGAGTGGGTCAATTTGCACGCAGGTATATATCAAGTTACTAACATACACATCTAGCCTCGATGTGACCGAAGATACCGATTTCATCTCCCTCAACTCCAATGAGATCGACATTCACACCGCAGTTGTCTCTGCTAAGGGCGCAGTGGTGGACTCCAAGCCCGAGATCTCCCTTAACAAGGATAACCAGACCGCCACTATCAAGTTTGGCCAGGCCCTCTCTGCGGGGTCGGATGCCCAGCTGAAGCTCACCTTCACTGGTATTCTGAACGATAACATGGCCGGCTTCTACCGTTCATCATACAAGCAAAATGGCGAGACCAAGTACATTGCCTCATCTCAGATGGAGCCGACGGATGCCCGTCGGGCTTTCCCTTGTTTCGATGAGCCCGCTCTCAAGGCCAAGTTCACCGTGACTTTGGTTGCGGATAAGAGCATGACTTGCTTGAGCAACATGGATGTCGACACAGAGACCGAGGTCCAAGGAGGTGCGAAGAAGGCTGTGAAATTCACCACTTCGCCTCTTATGTCCACATACCTCGTTGCTTTCATTGTCGGAAACCTCAATTATATCGAGACGAAGAACTTCCGGGTTCCCATTCGTGTTTACGCCACTCCCGACCAAGATATTGAGCACGGCCGTTTCTCATTGGAGCTTGCTGCCAAGACTCTCGCCTTTTACGAGAAGGCCTTCGATAGCGATTTCCCTCTGCCAAAGATGGACATGGTTGCCGTGCCTGATTTCAGCGCGGGTGCCATGGAGAACTGGGGTCTGATCACATACCGCATTGTCGATGTGTTGCTGGACGAGAAGAACAGTGGTGCGTCCCGAAAGGAGCGCATTGCTGAGACCGTTCAGCACGAGTTGGCTCATCAGTGGTTCGGAAACTTGGTTACTATGGACTTCTGGGATGGACTCTGGCTTAACGAGGGTTTCGCAACCTGGATGTCGTGGTACTCCTGCAACGTCTTCTACCCGGAGTGGAAGGTTTGGCAGACTTACGTTATCGACAACCTGCAGAGTGCTCTTTCTCTTGATTCTCTGCGCAGCAGTCACCCCATTGAGGTGCCTGTCAAGCGTGCTGATGAGATCAACCAGATCTTCGATGCCATCTCCTACTCCAAGGGCTCCTCTGTCCTGCGCATGATCTCCAAGTACTTGGGCGAAGATGTGTTCCTCCAGGGTGTCCGTAACTACATCAAGAAGCACGCCTATGGCAACACTGAGACCGGTGATCTGTGGGCTGCTCTTGGTGATGCTAGCGGAAAGCCTGTTCAGTCGGTCATGGACATCTGGACCAAGAACGTCGGTTTCCCTGTTATCAGCGTCACCGAGAACAAGGACAAGTCTTCCATCCACGTGAAGCAGAACCGTTTCCTGCGTACCGGTGACGTCCGTCCCGAGGAAGATCAGACCCTCTTCCCTGTGATGCTCGGTCTGCGCACCGAGAAGGGTGTTGACGAGGAGACTATGCTGACGGAGCGCGAGAATGACTTCCCCGTTTCCGACCTTGATTTCTTCAAGCTTAACGCCGATCACTCTGCCATCTTCCGCACATCATACAGCCCCGAGCGTCTTAAGAAGCTCGGTGAGGCTGCCCGTGCCGGCCGTCTGACTGTTGAGGACCGCGCTGGCATGATTGCCGATTCCGGTGCTCTGGCTGCTTCTGGTTACCAGCGTACCTCTGGCATGCTCTCTTTGCTCCAAGGTCTTGATACTGAGGCAGAATTCGTCGTTTGGAACGAGATTCTGACCCGTATTGGCACCCTGCGTGCTGCTTGGCTCTTCGAGAACGACAAGACCAAGGACGCCCTCAAGGCATTCCAGCGCGCGTTGGTCGCCCCCAAGGCCCACGAAATCGGCTGGGAGTTCTCCGAAAACGATGACCACATTCTGCAACAGTTCAAGGCTCTCATGTTCGGCTCTGCCGGTATGGCCGAGGACCCAGTTGTCGTCAAGGCCGCTCTGGACATGTTCGCCCGCTTCGCTGCCGGCGATATCTCCGCCATCCACCCTAACATCCGCGGCAGCGTTTTCACCATTGCTCTGAAGCACGGTGGTGTCAAGGAGTACGAAGTTGTTCTGGACCGATTCCGCCACGCCACCACTTCCGACGAGAAGACCACTGCCCTGCGCTGCCTCGGTGCCTCCGAAGACCCCGCCCTGATCACCCGTACTCTTGGCCTTGCCATGAACGAGGAGGTCAAGAGCCAGGATATCTACATGCCCCTCGGCGGTCTCCGCAGCCACCCCGCTGGTATCGAGGGCCGCTGGAACTGGCTCAAGTCGAACTGGGATGACCTCTACAAGCGTCTTCCTCCTGGTCTCGGCATGCTGGGCACTGTTGTCCAGCTCACCACTGCTAGCTTCTGCACTGAGGCTCAGTTGAAGGACGTCGAGCAGTTCTTCGCTTCCAAGGATACTAAGGTTAGTTGACCGCGCCATTCCTTTGAAACATGTCTTTGTAATACTAATCCGCAATCTTTCATATAGGGCTTCGACCGTGCCGTTGAGCAGAGCCTTGACGCTATCCGTGCCAAGATTAACTGGCTCAAGCGTGACAGCGAGGATGTTGAACAGTGGCTGAAGAGCAACAGCTACCTTTAGAAGAAGCTGTAAATCTCGAAACGAAAGTGACTGGATCTTGTTCATAGATCGGTTAGACATACGGGAAAGAGGCTGTTTGTCCTTCGGGCCTCGCAGGTCGAATTTTCGACTGCATATTATTTAGCTCTCATCTACGAAAGGCACACGGGATGTGTCTCTGAGCTGAAATCATACTCTACTCAACTCTTCAACAACTCTTCAACAATACTTCAAGTAAATACTATCGTAAAATAGAACAGTAATGATAGGCTTCTGGCTATGAATTCGCCGCAACCTTGTAATGTTCATAAGTGATTTGCGGTTAAATTGCTGGAACCGGTGGCATATAAGACTCATTCAGGACATGATATTCTTTTATAGAAAAAGCACAGGGGGTGGTATCGATGAAGGATAGTACAAAAAGAACAGAATAAGCAAAAAGAGGAATTATGCCCAACCTCCCTTGCCTCCGAACCCAGAACTGTCCTCGATTTTCTTTCCACCAGCACCGCGGTTGGGCTTGGACTGGGCCGCTTCGTGCTTGCGCAGTTCCTCGGGTACACGCGAGATGGGTGATTTGATGAGCATTTGTTTGAGATCGTACCTGTAAAAGAAAAATTAGTGGAAGATCGTGAGATAGTGAGTGGGGGAAACATACATAACGTCGCTATCCTCGCTACCCAGGAATGTGATAGCAACACCGCTCTTGCCGGCACGACCGGTGCGACCGATACGGTGAGTGTAGCTCTCGATCGAGGTTGCCATGTTGAAGTTAACGACCAGGGAGACGTCGGGGACATCGATACCTCTTCCTGCGAGGTCAGTTGCGACGAGGACGTCTGTTGAGCCGTTACGGACGGAAGCGAGGGCGGCTTCACGCTGGTCTTGTGTTTTGGAACCGTGGAGGGTGACGGAGGAGAAGCCCATTTGTTTGATTTCGCGAGCGATGGCATCGCAGTTTCGCTTGATGTTGACGAAGACGATAATCGGGGGTCGGAAGTCTCCTGAGGAGAGGATCTCGCCGAGACGCTTCTTGCGTTTGTCTTCACCGGAGATCATCTCCACGCGCTGCTCGACTGTGTCGACGGCTTCGCCAACGCCGCCGATGGTGATGATGGCTGGGCGGCGGAGGTATTTGCGGGCGATGCGCTCGACGGCTGCGGGCATGGTGGCTGTGTACATCATGGTCTGGCGGTAGCGGTGTTGGCTCATAGCGCGCGAGTTTTCGGCTTCTTCAGTGTCAGGCTTTTCGTTGGTGACGGGGAGTGCATCTAGAATTTTGTTGACGGGTTCTTCGAAACCGAGGTCGATCATGCGATCTGCTTCGTCCATAATTACGTAGCAACATTGGCTGAGTACCAGCATGCGACGCTCGATGAAGTCGACTAGACGACCCGGGGTGGCGATGATGATTTCAGCGCCGAAGCGCAGATTGTATGCTTGCTCGTTGATATCGTGACCACCGACAATACTGACAACGTTGAATCCAAGGGGTTGTGTAAATTTCTTCGCTTCGATCTCGATTTGCTGCGCTAATTCACGTGTTGGAGCTAGAACAATGCCGTATGGTCCGTCGTTTTTGCGCCATTCATCCTCATCAAGCCGCGGTAGTTCGGAGATATATACCAATAGTGGCAGAAGGAATGCAGCAGTTTTTCCGGAACCTGTCACAGCGACACCAATCAGGTCGCGAGACTGCATGGCAATAGGAATTGCTGCGCGCTGAATGGCTGTTGGTTCCTTGTATCCAACGCGGTCAACAAGCTCCAATAAACGCTTCGGCAGAGGACTTTCCTCCCATGAGCGCATGGGATTGGGCACGCTGCCACCTTTGGTGGCAATGTTGAAATCTTCCTTGAAGATACGCCAGTCTCGCTCACGCATGAGGTCCAGGCGCTTCTCACTCCAATGCTTGTCGATCTGAGTGCGGGTACTGTTCTCGCGTCGCCGGCGCTCCATCTCAAGAATTTCATTGGCTCGTGCGCTACCGGACTCAGGATCACGAGTTGCCAATGCCTCAGCGTACTTGCGCGTCATTTCATCAGCGACATCGTCCCCAAAGCCTGCCAAACGCCCTCGGCCGAAGAAGTTGGCCTCGTGTCGGTGTTGGTAAAGAGGGTTATAGTCGCCGCTTGTATCCTCCTCGGCATTCCACTCGAAGTTGAACTTGCGGTCCGCGGTACGCTTGCGCTTCTTCTTGGCCGAGAAGTTTGACGTTTGCTCGGCTCCCATGTACTGGTGCTTGATCAATGCGGCCTGTGCTGCGGCTTCATCTTCTTCCGTCAGACGCTTTTCACCCTTCGCTTTCGGTGGGGGTGGCGGCATCTCTTGGTCACGATTATGCTGTCGGCCTCCCTTGCGCATAGCCACAGGCTCCGTTGGGGTATCGTCGTACATCGTTCGCGGTCCGGTGGGGATATTCCGAGCTGTTGAGCTCCCCCGGTTATCGCGAAGGCCTTGGGATCTTTTTATCAATGGTTCGGATTCAAATCCCTTGTTATCATTGCCATTGGCGCGCGCCTTGGCTTGTCGCTCTGCCTCGACCTCTTGAGCCCGCTTCTCGAGCGCGAGTTTCTCTCGCTGAGCTCTAGATAAGAACTTGGGCTTTTGAGAATATACTTGTTAGCGACTTGCACTATAATTGTTAAAGATCAATCCAAAGAAGATCCTCACCTTCGCCGTAGCCGCATCTGCGTCCTTCTTCTTGCGTATCAGTTCCTCGACACTCAACGGAGTCGTAGTAGGTCGTTTGGCACCCCATCCTAGCTTCTGCTTTTTCTTGGTCTCGCCAGGTGGCGCAGGCAACAAATCGACTGGCGGCGGTGGAGGAATCGCGCTGTCTGGCGGCGGTGGAGGAGCTAGCAAGTCTTCTGGGGGAGGTGGAGGGGCTGCGCTGTCTGGCGGTGGTGGAGGAGCGGCCAAGTCTTCTGGAGGAGGCGGCGGTGGGCTCGGGGGCGCGCATAATCGGGTCTGGGGGAGGAAGTGGAGGATATACTTCGGAGTTGTGAGCCATGATTTGGGCGCGTAGAACAGATGATGGGCAAATGTAAAAGCACTCGACTAGAGAGGATGAGAGAGTGATATTGAATTTCTACGGAGTATGATAAGAGCCAAACGCGTAGTCACGTGCTAGATAACACATCACGTGCGCCGCCCTATCTGCATGTGATCAGAGCTGTCTCCACCTCCATCTGGGCGTTGGGCATCACATGTAGATATATACACGTACGGAGTACCTACGGCACATATACTTGTACACCACCAATACATACATTTGTCGATACATTCGATTATCTTGAGACAATTCGGTATAGAATTATTGAAACCGCATCACTTTACATAATGCTCATATAGAGATCTCTAGGACCGCCCAGATGGCTTCAGAGACAAGCTTGGAAGGTGATTCGATTCCCTTTGACAAGACGATGTACTAGGTAGGTATGTAGATTGAATCAATTCGGCTCCATCCCTGGAATAGAAAGAAATGAAGGATAACTGAGTGTGTTAGTGCCCTTACAGTGTTTTCGTACCCTAGTAACGTTAGTGTGGAAAAAAGAATTCCATGGAATTAAAATTCATTGAAAAGACAAGTCAATTAGAATACATGGTGCCGGAGGACTCTCTCTTGATTTGCCAGAGACGCATATGCCGAGCACCAAGACGGAACTAAACATGAGATGATCTGACGAAAACGTGAAGCTGTCCTTTTTCTGGGTCAAAATCGCTAGACAACAAGGGGAAAGGGAATGTCGTCCACCACGGACAACAGGGATGATACTACACGAAAAACAAATCCACCCACCCGGGAAATCAATATGACAGGGTAAGTAACGAAGAGAAAAACACCGTGAGGAAAGGGACAACCATAACTTTCAGAAACGAACCCATTCATGAACAAACGTATTCAAAACATGCAGGCACCGGCTCGAGGGTTTGCGCTGACGACTCTGCATCTTACGCGCTGACACCATTGGCCGGGGGTTGCTGATAATAGGCCTGAGCCTGAGCGGCGGCGGCGTCGTCAGGAATGGTCTGCATGATAGGAACTGGAGCGATCTGTCCGTCAGAAGGGGTGGGGTAAACTGCCACAGGGCCGCCGGTCCGAACAACAGCCACGGATGAAGGGCCATGGATTTCTCGATCCAGGGTCATGTACTCCTTGGCAGTGTCTTTCGTGCCTCTTTCAAGAAGGTACGCCATGTAAATCTGCACAAGTGCCTTGACGGCGTCAACTTGCAGAACGCTCTTGGACCGGATGTCAGCGATGACCTGCTTGATACGTTCATACTGAACCGACTCGGTGGTTGCGCTAGTGGGCTGTTCAATTTCAAAGACAAGATAGCTTGCCCAGAAGGGGCGGCTGTCGAGGTAGTATTGCTGGTTCTCATGGAAGACCTTGCGAGCCTCATCAGGAGCGCCTTTAATTTTCCACAAAAGTCGGGCCCACTCGGCAACGAGAGCAGCCTTTGTGGCCATTTCGCACTCTGGGGAGTTCAACTGGGTCTTGTAAACTTCAATAGCCGCTTCGAGACCTCCGTGACGACGGCACAGATTGGCAAGTGAAGTAATAGTTTCGACGTGGCTGGGAAGACACATGAGAATGGCCATGTGAATATCCTTTGCTACGTCCACGCGGTCCGACATTTCCTCGAAGTAGGCGTAGTGGAGCCGGACGGTGGGATTTGCGATTGGAACGTAGAGATATGCGGCACGCTGATAGATGATTCGCACCTCATCTTCTTTGTCCGGCTGCGCAGCCATCCAGCGAGCGTAACGAAGCCAGAATTCATCGTAATGGGCACAAGTAACCAGGGACCGCTCATACAGGAACTGAATCCGGGGGAATGAACCCTCAGCTTCCTCAAAGTCAAGATACTTTTTCCAGTTCGCCAACTGACCTTCATCGAGCTCAGTGACATGGAAATAGGGACGCTTGATCTCCGACTCAAAGGTCCAGCGTTTGGTCGTTTCGGTTTGAGTATTGGTGAAAATCTCCAGGTGATGACTGTCCACGCGCAACCGGAGATCACGTTCGATTTCGGCATCAGCCTTGGGGCCAGCAACCGATTGAGACAATGCAGCCTCGATTTCGGCGCGGAATGCGGCCATGGTCTCCGCCGGTGCGAGCTCAGCCAAAGGGCGGGTCTGCGCCATCTGACGGTAACGCTCGAAGTAGCGAGCATACTGATGCATTGGGATATGGATGACCCGCCCAAGAATGGCAAAGATCTTGTCATGAGCCTCAAGACGTTCTTCAAACTCAATGTACTTGTCCCAGAAAGGATGAGCGAGGAAATCAAGGCCCACACTGCTTGCACCCCGTTCAAAAAGCCTGTTGAGTATACGAATTAGCATGCTGTGGACACATGGGCCTGATGGGTGGGGTAGGGGTGATAGGAGAGAAGGGAAAGAAAAGTGAGGATGGCAAACGTGAGCAGTCAGCTCTGTCCGTCTGTGAAAACCCAAGCAATCTATGACGAAGGTTGATGCAGCTAAGGAGTAAGCAGGCATCTGATGCTTCATAGATGGCCACCGAACGAGTATGTTCCATGGCCTTTAGTGCAGAAAAGTGGTAATTTGGTCAGGTAGAGGATGTTTGCAGCCTGAGTGAGCTATGGGTGAGAAGTAAACTCCACTTGAATTAGGAGAGTAAAGCAGCAAGCGGTCTCTCACTCATCAACAATGTGACTCATCGAATAGTGAAATATTCAGGAATCATTGTGATCGGCATCTCGAGAGCCTTCACGAGCTGCGTCCGTCGCGGTTATGGGGAAAGGAAGAAGGCCTTCTTTACTCTTACTTACTCTCGAATGATGTCGGAATCGTGTGAAGTCTCTGTCTTGAATGAGCAATAGTTGGCCCAGAGATCAACCGATGGAGAGATACTGGCAATGCCACGTTCATAGGTCTAGAGCAACATGATTAGTAAATGTTTCCGTGGAGGAGGGCGTGGTGCCCGTTGAGCATATGTACATACCATCTCAGCGGCCTCGGTACCGGCAATGGAAAATTCGAGGTCTGCATACTTCTTCCAGTATCCAAACAACAAAGGAAACTTTGCAAGAAAGCGATCATAAATTGCGCGGACGGTTGTAATGGCCTGTGGGTTGGAATTGCGATTGATTCCACCTTCAAGGGCCTCTGCGGCGCGAACCAGCTTCTCCCAGGTTTCAAAGTTGTCAGGATCATCATGCTGCCACATGATACACGTCAGTTTTCGGAGAGAATACCCATAATGCGCATGGAACACGTACCAGCTCGGCCTCGAATTTTCGAAGCTCCGCATTCTCCTCCTCGGAGCCGCCGTACTGATAGTCGGCCATGGTCGCAGTGCTGAAAATGCGCGCGAGAGGTGAGGATGCTGAATGAGGATGGTAGGGATGCTATTGAAAGTATGAATAAAACAGCAGTACTGGTAACAATGGGAATTTCCAAAGGGAGATTATTCCTGGGGCTGAGACGAGACTGAAAAGCGAGCCGAACAGAAGCCAAAGATAGCAAGTCCTAATGCCTGAGGCGATGAGATGCCTGGAGCTCACCGCCGGAGGGCGGTGAGACAACTGTGCCAAGTTGCCCGTCCAGTTCTGGACTCGTGACCCAAATGACTAAGCTTACGGAAGCTCCGGCCCTGCTGGGCAAGGCACACAGGCAATCAGTGCCTGAATGATAAGGCGTAAATTGAGGCTTAGCGCGAGTCCGGGCGGTATCAACTTTTTGACTACAGCACTCACGAGTATTCACCCGTTCAAACTGGGATTCAATTCACATCTCACATCCACCATGTCTGCACCAAAGCAGCTGTCACGTATGGTGGATAGCCTTCCCCAACGTCTTGTCAATTTCTTTGCTCGCTACCCTCCTCAAATCCACTCCGCAGCCGTCCGTCGCCCTGCCCCTGCAAATGGAGAGGGATATGTACCACCGAAGGTAGAATCGCCGTACACGCCCGATCGTGATGCCAAGGGTACTATTGGAGAGAAAAAGCATGGGTGGACCCCTTCGCGTGCACTACTCGTTACCAGTGACACAATTCGCAACCCATTCCTTCCGCACAAGCGATTCGGCAAATGGGAAGCACCGAAATATGGCCTGCGGCAACAGGCTGATTTGATGAAGCTGGCTATCAAATACAATGTGGATCAACTTCTTCCTCCTAGTCGCAAATCAGTGGAATTCAAGGAGACACGTCGCGCAGAGCGCGGTTTGCAGGTCAAGGGAACCGGTGTTGGTCAAAAGGTCAAGGGTCACAAATGGGAGCGCACCATGGAATCACGTCTCGAGGATCGTCGCAAAGCGATGGAGGGAATGCCGGAGATGGTCCGCTTGTGGAAGCAGGTAAGTGGTTCTTTGGTTTTTCACGTTAGGGTACTGGGCATCACGCTGACTTGGCGCAACAGAGAGGTCATGGCCGTGGCTGGAGACAATGGCCCAAGCGGTAATGGTGACGCTTCACGGCCCCGTATCGCAGCATCTTCTTTCTCTTTATTTTTTCGGCCGGTTCATTCTTCCCGGTTTTTCAATGCTCTGCCGATTCCTACCCAAACTAGACCGGCACGACTACTTGTACGAGCCATAGCAGGAGCTTGGGACGGAGTTTTGTCTTTAAAATATACTATCAACCCCATCTGTACAATAAAATCTACGGTTACATAGCCCAATGGTATCCGAGAGAATCCTTCGCATGTATTTGATCAGGGCCTGCCATCTTCAACACGGCTTGATTCGCTCTTGGGTAAACGGATCTCATCGTATGACGAGTCCGCCGGTGGACCACAAGCATCTAGCATAAGGTCACCGCTCAGGAGGCAATGGTCAATGGTATGGTTCCAAGCTATCATGCAGGGCTATACTCAGTACATAGCGCCATAACAAAAGCACCAAGTTCGTCATCCATGCAAGGAGTTTGCCTAGTTGGAACACGACAGCGCTGTTTCGTTTCCTTCTTGCATGGTCACAAGACTGCATTTGGTGCCTTCGCTTCTATAGGTTTGAGGTTGGCACCAGCCTTGACACTTGACTGGCCGACATGGTTCAGCGGGGTTTGGTCGGATTTTGGGCTACAACCTGTAAGCACCATTGATTATCAAGCCTCGATGAAAAGTATACACAAGCACCTGTTTCCTCCAGAGCTCTAAAAATATAATAGCTATCATTAATCAACCCAAGTGCCTACCTAGGTAGGCGGGTAAGCTGACATTGTGATGAGACTGATGGTTATGCTCTAGCCTCAGAAAAATCCTAGAAATTCATGCAGGTGGGTTACGCATTGTTGACTAGGGTTCTATCAGGAGATATGATGGAAAGAGAGGAGAGAGAGAGAGAGAGAAGGAGAGAGAACCATGATCCTCGTAGAATGGCGCTTGGTTGGTCGGAAATATATTGCTATTTGTTTACCGGTGAATTATGATGTCGGTGATGGTGTTTGGAACCAATAGTACTCCGTACGCAGCCTCTAGTTAGACGCCTGTCGGTAAGGTGCAACCATGTCTCCCCGAAGCGAGAATGTATGATAGCCGCAAAAGGTATAGACAAATCTGATATGATGCATAGTGTGCATGAGCATCACGATGCGGTGGAGATGCTGTAGTGTACTGTGTATATAGTGCTGAAGAGTGCGTGTGATAAGATGGAAGTGGTTAGGTGAAGTGATGAGGTTTGCATGCTAGAGATTATTGCCACATCCCATCAACAGACACGTGCGGGGGAATTCCATCTAGGAAATATCATTTCTTTCACCTGCCGGTAAATACTCCTACAGATGCCTATAAAAGTCATGTACCGTACATACTCTTGAAGTTGTGTATTTTCCCTTTAATCTCCAGCAGCCTATCTCTCCGAACTGGGCTGGAAATTATACGCGGGCTAGTTGATTTGTTGGCATCGGTAACCTCCGATGAGAACATAGCCATCTGTCTTATTTATGGTAAGGGACCCCCTCTTACCTTCAAAACTGTTTTATATTGCACAGTCGCACAGCCATGCAGTCTATTTCTGGATCATTCCTAATGTTGTAATATCGGGCTGATTGTATTGCTAACCACATATATCGTCAGTTGCGAAGACGCTGAACAATCCGAACCTCAATCTGCTGATTTGCCACCTTTGAAATATCACAAAGAAATATCGAGAAAAGCGCATTTGTTCAAACTCAAGGGTTGGATATTGTACATCAACCATGGCGGAATTAGACTTGCAAGGGTCTACCCATCCCGAGTATAGTCAGGGTTACTCCGCCAATGTGGACAGAATCCGAGAGCAGGAGTATCCTTTACTAAATGGTACGGATGCCTCTTGGTCTAGATCATACCGATTATGCTGACCCTTTCTTCTATAGAAACAACCTATCTAGACTATGCGGGGACAACACCCTATGCTAAGTCCATGATCGAGGGTTTCTCGCGTGATCTCACATCGAATCTTTTTGGAAATCCTCATTCGATGTCTATCTCATCGCAGATTTCTACACAACGAACTGATGATGTCCGAGTCCGTATAATGCGATTCTTCAATGCGGATCCAGACGAGTTTGACCTTGTCTTCGTGGCAAACGCAACTGCCGCCATCAAGCTAGTCGCAGACTCCCTCCGGGACTCCGACCATCGAGGATTTTGGTATGGATATCACATCGATGCTCATACCAGTCTTGTGGGGGTGCGAGAGCTGGCGGAGATGGGCTATCGGTGTTTCCAAAATGACGATGAGATGGAGGCCGAAATCTCGGAGTTGACTGGCAATCAGTCAAAAGCCCCCAGATTACTTGCATTCCCAGCCCAATCAAACATGAACGGTCGGCGTCTGCCAATGCGCTGGTGCGATCAAGTTCGATCCGCAGCAAACGAAAGCGGAGGAAATGTATACACTTTGCTTGATGCTGCATCCCTGGTAGCAACGTCTCCGCTTGATCTTGGCCCCTCATCATCTGCACCGGACTTCACAGCCCTCAGCTTCTATAAAATATTTGGATTCCCTAATTTGGGAGCTCTGATTGTTCGCAAAAGTGCCGCACGGGCTTTTGAGCGTCGCAAATATTTTGGTGGAGGTACCGTTGATATGGTCCTAGCAACGGGCGTGCAATGGCATGCGAAAAAGGAAACCTCAATCCATGAGCGGCTAGAGGATGGCACTCTTCCATTCCATAGTATCATAGCCCTGGATGCGGCGTTGGACACCCACGAGCGTCTATACGGTTCGATGGCGAACATCTCGGCTCATACCGGGTTCCTCGCGAAGCAAGTCTATGATAGACTTTCTTCACTGGTACATTTCAATGAAAGTAAAGTCTGTCAAATCTATCAGGGATTTGCATCCGCATATGGCAATCTACAGACTCAAGGGCCAATTGTCGCATTCAATCTTCGCAACAGTCGCGGAGAATGGATTCCCAAGACGGAAGTGGAGAAATTGGCTACGGTCCAAAATATTCAGATACGTACAGGATCTGTCTGCAATCCCGGAGGAACTGCCACCTCACTTGGGTGGACTGCATCCGAGCTTCGCCGCCATTACTCTGCAGGATTACGTTGTGGTGATAGTCATGACGTTCTGGGAGGGCGACCGACAGGCATTCTGCGTGTCAGTATCGGGGCTATGACAAACATGAGGGATATAGATTCCTTGATTAACTTTGTTGAGGAGTTTTATGTCGAAAGGCATCCCCCAATAGTCGCTCTGACTCCCCCCATGGAAGACAACGAGATTGTTGCGCCCCACTTCTACGTCGAAAGCCTGGCAGTCTTCCCTATCAAGAGCTGTGGTGCTTTCAAAATCCCCGAAGGAAAGCGCTGGGAAGTGAAAAAAGAGGGACTGGCCTGGGATAGAGAATGGTGTTTGATCCATCAAGGGACTGGTGCTGCCTTAAATCAGAAAAGGTATGTTCCGTTCCATAAACACATATGGATTTTAATACTAACCTCCTTAGGTACCCCCGCATGTGTCTTATCCGACCATCAGTTGATATCGAACGAGGAGTTCTCCGCATCACTTGTGGTGCAATAGCCGCGCCAGATCAAGTCAGCCTCGAAATCTCACTTGGCTGGGAGGACACAAGTCTTATATCTACTTCATTTTGCCCAAGCTCAACCAAAAAACCTTCAACAGTCTGTGGCGATCCGATCTCCTTGCATGCCTATACGTCACCGGTGGTCTCAGCGTTCTTCTCAGATTTCCTGGGGGTGCCTTGTACCCTTGCCCGATTTCCTACACAGACAATGAGCCGATTCTCACGGACACCACGAATGCCAAATACATGGAAGAATCGCTTCCGTAAGCTTATTATGCCAGGCTCATTTCCACCTGATCCTCCTCCCCCAGCTCGGGAAAAAGGTCCTACACAAATCAAGTTATCCAACGAGTCACCAATTCTCATCATCTCGCGTTCATCTGTCAACCAACTAAACGAAACAATCAAATCAAACACCAAGAATGGCAAGAGTAAGACTGTCGCTGCAGACGTCTTCCGTGGTAACATTGTTGTTGCCGAGAGACTTGCTCACCATGGTGACGTGGAACAGCCTTTTGCAGAAGATCGCTGGTCATCCCTTCGGATTGGACCTGTACAACTTCGATTTGACGCTCTAGATGCGTGCCAGCGATGTCAAATGGTTTGCATAGACCAGTTTACGGGTATCCGACGAGATGAACCTCTTTCAACTCTGGCTAAGACGCGCAATATTAATGGAAAGGTCTCTTTCGGGAAATATTCTACAATTTCCCCGGAAGAATTAGAGGGCTTTGACTCGGAATTACCTGATCGCAGGACGATTATGGTGGGAGATGTGGTTGTGCCATCCTACCAGGATTATTGAATCCGGGGTATTGTATTTTTGGCGTCCGTTATTGATTCCCAGCTCATGAATCTCGGTTTCATGCATTAGAGTGTTCCATAAGATCTTTTATATACGTCATGTACAACTCTACATTCTAGATGCAGAATGTGATTTGAGCTTTTCTCATACCCTTTGCTCACACATAATTGGAGTATTCTTGCCAAATCCCAACAGGCATATTTGTGACTACTGATGATTTAACTTTTCTCTTGTTACTGACACTTGGGCAAATGTTCCTGTGTCTGATGTCCCCACAAACTGTGTCAATTATATATCTGCAAGTACGGTTGAAAATCAAGCTCGCCTCAACCTCGACTTGATGTTTCCACATTGCCTACTCAAGATGTGTGTTGGATAAACGTAGCAGTGTCTTCCAAGCTCCAACAGCTCCAACAGGGGTTGAGGCAGTAAAGTCCTATATTTTCGTGAAAGGTGCACGTTTGGGGTGTGCTCCCTGTGGCCGCTCTGGCATTGCTCCTTGTACCTCGCCTCATTCATGTAAGTTTCTAGCCCTTTATGAATTTTTTGCATAGGGAAGCGAACCGATTATCGCCAAAAGCCTGACATCTTTGCTGAACATACTTATTGACTCAAAATTATCGAAATATATAATCTCGTCACTCGAGCTCAAAAACCGACAAAATGTCCCGCTACATGACTCAAAGCCAAGATTACATTTGATTCTTATTCTCTTGGTGCTCTTTATAATTCCAAACCACCTAAGTATCTTGATTACCGCAGGTATGGCAATCTTCCCACGCGGCTACCTCAACGTTGCAATTAGACTTAGCGAGTGATCAAAACAGGCGTAATTATCGATGCCCTTGGTTTTGCTAGTTGACTGATACTGACATGAGGTTTCAGTGTCCCTCATTTTCCCGTGATCCCAATCTTTCGCTAGGACAATCCTGTCATCCCAGCGATATTTCGTTCGTCCAACTTCAGCTTTAGCAGCCACTAGTCATCGAGTCTTCCGTATCATAATCAAACAGACACTGCTGTGTCTTGGCCTTGCTGCTGTCTCCAAGCCTTCCCATACTTCCACTCCAACCACGCCAAGCCCAGACAAGCCATGGATAGTCCACCGAACAATGTAAACGTCCAACCCGGCCCCATTGCATCCAAACAAGGTTGGAGAAAAGCGAGGCCTGCACCCGCAAGTGAGCAACGAACTATATTGTTGGCCGCCTGCGCGGCAGCCGGGGATTTAGGGTTTAGGTCCGTGAGGAGAGTACCGCAGCACTGCAGCAGAATACCACACCTTAGCGAGACTCACAAGCAAATCAATGAAGAATAAACGTACATTGAAAGTGATCGCTATCGCGAATCCTATTATGAATTGTAGCACGAGCGGAGCGGCCATATGCTATACATGTGTTCATGGTTTAGCTTCATGGGCGTTCGTCACAATGAAACGGAAGCTTTGGTGGAAAACCCAGGGCCATATTCACTTACAGCGGTGGAGTGTAATGTCCACCCATAACCGGTGGTTGCAATACCCGTGGCACAGATAGAGTACCATATACTCCTGAATCGTGCCTTTTCGATTGGAAACACTGTTAGATCATCGCCGTGCGTGGCGTCTATTGTCATGTTGTGAGCACGCGCCGTGAGACGGTAGTCGCGATTCATGATTTTGCCTGGTTGAGTTACAGTTAGCTGTTATTTTACTGCGGCAAGAGATTGCAAGCAACTGGTACCTGAGCAGTACGCGCCAACACAGGATCCGACACCGAACGGGAGATATACTATTCCTGCTTTCAGGTCTGAAAGCCCATAGATATCAATGAATAGAGTTGATAGAGAGCCTTGAAGACAGCTGAAATTCATGTAATAGATGCCATATATGGCAGTGATGAGGAGAGTGTCCCTAGCCGCGAGAATCTTTAGGGTTGCCAGAGGATTTGGAATTCGGAATTTTCGCGAAGTGGGATGTGCAATATCTTGGGCTGGCAAGGATTGGAGCTTGTCTGACCCGAAGCATCTAAATAGGGGACGATGAAGCGCAGAAACTGGCTGTGAACCATTTCCGACGATGGAACGCGATGTTTCGGGTAGGAAAAAAGCGATGGCCAAAACGCAGATCCCAGAGGCTATGGCGGGAACCCAGAATATCCAGCGCCACCCGGGAGCTTCAGTCAGGGCTCCCCCTAGGATTGGGCCAATCGCAGTAGCGAAATTAGGACTGTAATGTAAGGATAGGGTGTGACCTTCAGAGCATTCTGTATGAGGCAGCAAGGGTAGTATTTACCCTAAAAGTACCACTCCAACATAACCGCCACGTTCAGAAGGTGGAGCAATATCGGAGATTACGCCGTAGCCCATCGCAATAGTCGCTTATCCTGAATTAGCGACCTTCACTTATGTGCTCTTTGTATAAGTAACCTTTCCGAATGAGAGGAGGGTGGGAGTTGAAACATAAAGAACATACCAGCACCACCAGCACTCTGCACCATCCTTAACAAGAACAGTGCTATCCAGCTACTCTGCACCGCTAGCCCTATATTGGCTATAGCATAAATGAACAGAGTGAGCAGATAAACGTTCCGTCTTCCCGTCATATCGGCCAGGTCGCCAACAATTGCGGGTGCGAGTCCAGCGACTATCATGTAGGACGTGACCGTGAGATTGACTCGCTCCACTGAGACTTTGAGCGAAGCAGATAGCGCATTTATGGCAGGGAAGAAAATGAACGAGGACAAGGGGGAGAATGTCGCAGCAAATGTAACAAGAAAAACTGCTATACGTTTTTCGCTTTTGTTGAAGACAGAATATACTTCTAGTTGATCACGAGGGGACACATGTTCTGGTTGGAGCGAGGTCACAAATTTCTGCTGGGTAGAATCATCGGAAGAAGCATGACCATCATGTTGCAGAGACCGTGCTGTTGGCGGTTTTATACCCTTTGGCGTGATTTGCTTATCCGCAATTGTTGATTGCGCCATTAGTCGTAATTGATTGCAACGAGGAAGAGGATATGGTAGTCAATCTATTGTGGACCGTCCTTGTATAAGTCGTCAAAACGGGGAGACCGGACGAATCTGGGAGTCTCCCAAAGAACTTCTTTTTGGATATATGGGGCTATACGAGGAGGCTCAAAGCAAAGTGCTGGCCATGGCTGTGAGGGGTAATCTATGGCATACGTGTGGATACATTAGTAGTACTTTGGGTATAATACAACAAGGATCTTATGCCAAGGTCACCGGTCAGCGTGACTTTGGGCCATAGTTGGATATGCCAGCTCAGAGCCTTCTTATCATAATTCACAATACTTTCTCATGCCACCATGCTCGCGTTGAATCGTTCATCGGGATTTTGATTGTTTTATGACTGGACGTAGGGGGACACGACCTAGTAGTAGACTCAACCATTCATCTGCGATATAGCTTTTACGTGGAACTTTTGTACCAAGATCTGTCAGATAGAAATTATTAATCCGAACCGAAATATCCAACCAAAAGATAAAATTATTTGCTGATAACATTGAATTATTCCAAAGACAAGTAAGCACATACATGTACATCACTGCTAGGACCCAATATCAAGATAAGCGTATTTTAAAGTGGTGGGTGTGAAGTAAACCACACTAGCGGTTCCAACCTTCGAGGTTGGAGCTTAAAGCACTGCGTAACCACGCATTCTCCCGACCTTGGAACGAAGGGATTTTTTACCTATGGAGTAGAGAGAGTTATTTACACAAGGACATGTCCTGTGTCATATTGCTCCTAGAGGACGAAAATTGCGCTTGATATCTTTTGGCTACTCTTGGGCGCCACGCTTCAATGTTGGGCGGGGTAGTTGCCTGCTCTTCCATGGTTGGCCACCGAGGCCTTCGTGCTAAGCCCAGACGGGGGCTGCTCGGGGGCCGATCGAGGCTATCCAATCCACTAGGCATGTATGCTAATCACCAATGTGGATTCCCCTTATTTGAAAATAGCCAATGATCTCATGCATGCTGCCCCATACTGATTCGAGGTTACATTTCTAATTATCACTGCATGAGACTGTAATGTCCATTGAATGGTCCCCGGTCTGAATCATGGACTTTTCAGCACCATAGACGGTGTGAGGATGATGCCATAACACCAGATGAACAACCTCGGCATACTTGCAGTACTTGCAATCCATGTACGCAAGAAAGAAAAACTCATATTGGGACTAGAGGTTGTCACTTTAGATAGTTTCCTCGGGCAATGGGGCATATTTGTTGACAAGATAATTCAGATTCTCGTAGCACCTGTAACAATTGAATCAGCATAGGATCCAAGACGAATGGCGAGCAATGACCCTTACTCTTCCCTGAAACTCGAGCCATTATGACAAGCTGATTCATGCAGAGTCATATAGCAACTGTAGATGCGGTTGCGGTCGTCAAATTGCTCGACGGGCTCACTGATGCCCATCTGGTTGAGGTACGAGTTGAGGTAGACTTTGGCACTCAAAGTTTTGCAGAACCGTGCACGCCACATGGCGATTTCCATCTCATTATGCGCATAGTATACGCTCGCATCAAAGAAGTAAAGCTCCCCGTTCTCAAGGCTGGTTCCAACATTCCCATCCCAAAGATCCCCATGGATCAAAGTTGGTTTCACAACCTGGCCATCAGCTTCTAATGGCCCAAGCACTTGAGGGACTACATGCGTAATGAGTCGATCGACAAGTTGCTCGAGGTTCTTCCAGTTGCCATTTCTTTCCTTATTGAGGGCCATCGCGCCCCTGACCAGCTGGATGTAAAAGTCTACCCAGCTTGGGTTCCACGCCGTACGCTGAGGAAGATTACCTTGGCACGTATCGATGTGGAAGCCAAACATACCAGTGGGGGATTTGCTCGCCTGGTGTAATTGCACGAGTTTGGTGGCGAGGTGGATAGGATCAGGGCTTATATCACTCATCTCGATGAAGTCACACAAGAAGTAATATGTGTCAGGGTTCGATATATCAAGTCTCCCCCATGCGTAAGGTTTTGGGACAGTGTCGGGACAGGTTCTGTATAGTTCAACCATAGAATTGAACTCTCCTTCTAACATAGCTTTTCCTTGGGCCTCTTCGGCACACTGTCGATATCTATATTAGATGATGAACGTCTTACATTGTCAACACACGAGTACCTTTAGAAAGTACAGCTTGGGCTCTCCATCTGCCAGAGTAACTGTAATTTTGGCAGTGACTGTCCAGGCCGACGCTCCATACCTCTCACAGGAGAGTACTTCGGTGCCTGGAGGGAGATCTAAACGAAAGTAGAACCCAATGGTTAGCTTAAACTGAATAGAGTCTGGTGCCTAGAAGAAAAAGGGTGCATTCACGGTCAATTACTATTTGGTCCAGCGGAAAGTCGCCCTCGATATCCCGGCCTCCGCTTCGAGCTGGCGTGACCAGAGGCACTTTACCCGCCGAGAATGTTGGGGGAGTCCAGAGAGGAACCAAAACCTCGGTTTGCGTTGCCATTGTAAACGTAACAGCGAGATACCTCACTTGAAGCCCGGATACATAAGATTTCCAATGCTGTTTATTGTAAAATTTGTCAAATCAACGAGGCTGCCGGAACCGACGACTTATATAAAATGAACCCATCATTAGACAGAACCACAGGCTTATCTGCTACTGCATGCACACAGCCTTGGCACATAATGATACAATAGCCTTGAGACCAATCATCGTGGGATGAAAGGCGCCTAGTGAGGGGTTTGAGAATACCAGGGAGGGGGAAGAGGTAAATGTATATGCGGCAGCAGGGGGAGGAGAGAGTCGGAGGAGCCGGATTGGGAGGCATCGCGTGACATGTCTACCCTCGTGCATCCCCGGGGGCTATGAACACACCCATGGAAAACATCGCCCAGACACCCGACACAGTACGGGGTACGGAGTAAGCCGCCACAAGTCGTGCATGGACCTATCCGAAGAGACAGAACACAGGGCTCTTGCGATCCGGGCGTAATTACGCTGCGAGGCTAGGTTCGAGCTGGAAGCGAAAAGAAAAGATGTTTGTTGAGCCGCAAGTAGCCCCAGTTGCCGTGGTCACCCCTCAATCTACTCCCCTGTCCTTTCCATATCCCTAACACAGACAGCGGGGGGATGCCACCTTTTGAACTGTGAATATGCCAAACACCCCGTATGGAAAAATGGTAAAACTATGGCAGATCCATGTGTACTTCTTGCTAATAGTATATGCTTTAGTTCTGGAAGACCTCGAACCGATCTCCACCGGACAAAATACCTGACCAAAGCTTGGATGTGAATCCATATAATCCGTCTAAATCTACTGATATCGTTTTCACGCCAAATGAACTTGGGGATCCCGCACAAAGTCCCACAGATCTAGGTCGGAAGCCTTCTCTGGTCCGCAGCTTCAGGGCGGGCTCTACATTCGGCCTCCCCGTGCGTAATCTATCAGTCTCCCACGATCGGCGCAACGATCCTCTCGGTCTGAATGTTGTCTATGAGCCGGAAACATCGCCATCTCTCGACATTATTTTTGTCCATGGCCTGGGTGGTACCAGTCGAGCTACATGGGCACGAGATCGAGATCCACAATATTTCTGGCCAGAGAAATGGCTCCCTCACGAACCTGGGATTCGGATGGCAAGAATTCTGTCCTTCGGATACAATGCAAGCTGGGCAACTACTGGTGTCGCTCCCATCACAGGAATTGCAGATTTTGCGAAAGATCTGCTATATTCAATGAAATTTGCCAAGAGCGAAAATTTGGAAGAACTGGAGTTGGGCCAGGTAAATTCTCGACTTCTCTCAATTCTACATGCAAAGGGTTGCTCACGCGGGGTATTGATAGAGACCAATTATCTTCATCGTTCACTCCATGGGCGGCCTGGTCGTTAAACAGGCATATATCCTTGGCCAAAATGACAACCAGTATTCTGATATAGTATCATCGATCAGCGCGATACTATTTCTGGCGACTCCTCATCGCGGGTGTGACCTGGCCGAGGTCTTGAACCGAATCTTGATGGTGTCTGTGTTCAATCATACCCCCAAATTATACATATCCGAGCTGAGCACCGGCTCACAGACGTTAGAGGCTTTGAATGAACAATTCCGTCACATCGCCCCAAACTTAGACATCCTTTCCTTCTATGAAACTCTACAGACATCCATCGGTCCAAAGAAAATGGCATGTGATATCCCGCTCATAATCTGCATCGGCTAACTCTCGTGTAGATGGTGGTCGACAAAGACTCAGCTACTCTTGGATATCCGGAGGAGATCTCGAAAGCCCTGCTTGCTGATCATCACACGGTCTGCAAATTCGAGAGCAATCAGGATTCCAACTACATTAGCGTCAGAAATGCCTTGAAAACCTTGGTCTCATCCATTCGCTCGGCAGGTGAGTTTAACTTCGGCTTTTTGGCTGTTTAGTTCATTGAATTGAACATACTAGGGCAATCTTTATTTGGAGAGCAAGGAAAAGGACACCTAGAACAGCTTCAGCGTCTGCTGGCGGTGTCTGAAAATTATGATGAGGATCTTGAATTCTTTCGTTCCAGGTGGACCCCTGGGACTTGCGAGTGGATCCTTGCCCAGCCATCCTTCGGGGGATGGATGGATAAAGCGGACGATGCTCCAAACGTGCTATGGCTGCATGCATTGCCAGCTAGTGGGAAGTCTGTTTTATCTTCCTTTGTCATACAACACCTTTCGGAAAAGTCGATTTGTGTGTACTATTTCTTTCGATTCAGTGACGATTCCAAGAGATCGCTTAGCATGTGCTTGAGAAGCATTGCTTTTCAGCTTGCAAAACAGCTGCCGGAGTTCCGCCGCGCGTTGAAGGAGATGCCGTTTTCTACCAAGACGTTGGAAAAAACAGACTCGAAGACCCTATGGGAGAAGATCTTTGTTCGGGTCCTGTTCAAAATGCAATCTGCTAGAACAATCTATTGGGTGATTGACGCGCTCGATGAATCGGAACACGCACAGCAACTAGTGGAGCTAGTACAGGGTATATCCCATTCATCGACGCGGATCAAGGTGCTCTTCGTTAGTCGACAAACCTCGGGACTTATCACAACATTTGACCGCTTGTCTACCGTGCTCTCGGTGGCATATACACCGTTGGAAAGCACCAAAAGAGACATTGGACTGTATGTGGAGAAGGAAGTAGAGTATATGCGTGCCGCTCCCGAGTTTAAAGCCCGATTGGTCGAAAAGCTGGTCCAGGGTGCAAATGGTAACTTCTTATGGGCCAGCCTTGCGATGCGTGAAGTGATGGAATGCAATACAGAAGAGGACTTCGATGAAACACTAACTGGAATCCCTGCAGGTATGGAACAGCTGTATCAACGCATGGAGCGCACGATCATTGCGAACACAAAGCCTCGTGACCGCAAACTGGGACAGAGGATTTTGACATGGTCTGCATGCTCTCGAAGGCCGCTGGCCCTCAGCGAGTTAGCACAGGCCTTAGAGCCAGATTTTGCATTGAAGGTGGATCTGAATTTGATCATCAACCGTGTTTGTGGCCAGTTTGTTATTGTTGACCCTGTGACTGGTCGATTAGTGATGGTACATCAAACTGCAAGGGATCACCTTGTGACAACAGACTCCGAATTGGGAGTCAATATATCTCAAGGTCATGAGAGGTTGTTGTCCGAGTGTCTGGCTGCATTGGAGAAAAGGCATCACCAACCTCGAGATCTGAATACCCAACCTGGGGATCGGAAGGCCAGCCTCAGGGGAGAATTCTTCTGGTATGCCATGACTTCGTGGGCGTATCACTTGGATAAATTGTCTCCTGATTCAGATGCACCACTGCTTCTTTTGGCAAGATTTCTCAAGGGTAATTACGTGCTAGACTGGATCGTGGCTCTAGCTCAAACAAGGCGACTACACGTGCTCGTGTCTTCCGCGAAAAGCATGAATCTTTATGTCCGCCGCAAACGAGGTCGCTACGCCACCAAAAACCCAATGTTCCATCGACTCCAAGAACTTGATATGGTGGAATCATGGGCAACAGATATGCTCAAACTCATTGGAAAATTTGGACTGCACCTTACTGAATCCCCTACCTCGATATATCACCAGATTCCCCCGTTTTGCCCAAAGACCTCGATGATATACAGACAATTTGATCAATCAGCCCCACGCCCACACTCCTTGAAAGTGGAAGGGTTGTCAAAGTCCACATGGGATGACGGCCTGGCAAAGATTTCGCTCCAACCCGAGACCCAGGGTCGCATCATTGTTTGTGCGGGAGATAATTTTGCTGTTCTAACGCGCCGAGGGGTGATTACTTTGTACAACTCCACGACCTTCGAGACTAGACATGTACTCAAACATGCGGAGGAAGTTTCCGCGATGAGATTCAGCCGCAACTCCCATCTTCTCGCGACATACGGCTATCGGTCGACGAAAGTGTGGTCTGTGAATTCGGGGCAAATCATCCATCGCATTAAAAACCCCGCTGGCAGCCCGATTCTAAGCTTGACATTTTGCACTGATGATACTAAGATCATCATTGGGTCAGCTGATCGACTTCTCAGAATCGCCTGTTTGAGAGACACCAATCCTGCTTGGGTGATCCTGCATCGCAATCTTCTCACAATGGACACGGCGCTGGATAGACCTGTGCACAATGTGCCTCGGCGTATGGCATTTAATTCTGACGCGTCATGTGTTGCTGTGGCGTACCGCGGCTCTCCCCTCTGTGTTTGGTCTCTAGAGACTGAGACGCTCTTGGGTCGATGTATGCGAAGTCCCGAATATGCAGGAAATGCATGGACCGTTGTGGATCAGGTAATCTGGCATCCGAAATCAGACGAGATCATTGGTCTTTATATGGGAGGGCAAGTGTTCAGATGGAATCCATACACAAATACCCAGCAGGAACTGGAGGCGGAGGGGTCTATTCTCGCGTGCAGCCCCGAGGGAAAATTCTTTACCGTAGGGGACAGCCAGGGTACGATCAAGCTTTACAACTTCCACCATTTTACCATGGTCTACAAGCTCTCCTATAACCAGGTGATCACAGACCTTTGCTTCAGTCCCGACAGCAAACGGCTATATGACCTCCGTGGGGCGTGGTGCAACGTCTGGGAGCCAAACGCCTTACTTGCAGGGGAAGAGAATGGTGATGACAGTGACCTTGGGAGCGAAGCGGCTAGTGTTCCAACCGCGATGGTATCGGAAGCGTCTGCGGAAATGAAGGTACAGATCACTGCAATTGCTATTCAGTTTGGAGGGCGATACCACGCTGTTGGGAATGAAAATGGAGTTGTTAGCGTGCTAGACTCGTCAAATAGCGCCCACGGGATGGTTGAACTCTGGAGGTCATCTTTTGAGCTACCAACAACCCATTTGGATTGGTCCTCAGATGGAAGGTTTCTAGCCTGTGTTGAGATGGCAGGAAGGGTTGTTGTGAAGGGTATTCAGCGAGACAGAGACCGAACCTGGACTGTTCAACCAGTCTTCGCCACGAAAATCAATGTTCATCCTGAAGGCATTCGGCAGATACTACTCAATGAGAATGGGTCCATCATTCTGGTCAAGAACGGCCCTTCAGTCAGTGTTCAACCAGTGAGCTCAACCCCGACTGCACAAGAGTCGCACACCATCACATCGCCAAATACAAAATGGTCCAAACATCCAACAGACGCAAAACTACTGTTTTCAGTCAGTCCCAGCCATATCCGTGTCTATAAATGGAAAGATCTCTCCGAAGTTGCCGCAATGGATGTAGGGAGAACACCCCTGCTCCTGAGACCAGGTTCAGATCTCGCCGCCGATATCGATCTAGATCATAAGGGCAGCGAAAAGGATGCAAAAGTCAAGCGGAGCTACAATACCCGTTCAGGCTCTCATTTCCTCATCCAGACCATATTCTCTACTGAAAACCGCAGAGAGACCGTCATATCGTTGTTCCATACATCTTCTCTGTTCAATGGACCAACTAGGCCTGGCCGATCCTCGTCGAACGACATGCTCATGGCCATTCCAGCTGAAATCCAGTGTCAAATCGAGATCCCCCTTGGCATTCTCTCGCGACAACGTCTTGTGTTCCTCGACAAAAACTACTGGATGTGCTCGTGGAGTCTGAGTCCCAAATACATCGCTAGCGAAGTGGAGCGGCACTATTTTCTCCCTAAGGATTGGCTAAGTGCGGAAGGGTTAGAGCTTTGTGCTTTACTTCCAGATGGAGTGTTCTTGATGCCGAATAATGGCGAGGTGGCTGTAGTGAGGAGCACTGAATTGAGCCGTGGATGATGTAGCTTGAGCATCCTCAGTGTCTATTTTGCAATATAATTTCAATATCATGATCGGCGGACACAATCTTTTAGGCAGAAAGAGAAATGAGACGTGTTGACCAAACCAGTGTTATTGAACTAAGGTTGTCAACCAATGACTTGCCAATCTTTCCGAGTCAGGTATAAAAAGAGAAGAGCGAACCTTCGATGTCGATTGGCTAGTATCTCTTCAACCCAGGTGTACTAGGTAGGTCAGGACTCAGCATTTCGCCTCAATGGCTTGATCCGAAAAGGCCCAGTTTCCTTGCACTCATATGGTCACTTATCACATCAATGATGGCTGGAATCTTGCCCATTCCAAGGCCCAATAACAGAAGACATTGTATAGACCTGGCTTTCATCTATAACACCCAGCTCGATGTCATGTAATTAAGTAATCACATGTATCCTCCAGAGGCAGGAGGGAGGTCGAATTAACCTACCTAATTAAGGTTTACCCGTGGACCTGGGAAAGGATGATCACCGTGGTCACGGGCGTGGCTGCCTCGCAGGGTACAAACAAAGCGCTTTCCCTGAGACAACATATATCTGGTTTCCAACTGATTAACATCTTGCCTTCCACAATGACCCCTACTACTTGGATTCTTCCTATCAGTCACCGGAACCGTTCCCATTGGTGATACCTGCGGCCTTTTCGGCTTCACCGTGATCCTGGGGTTTCCCGATCAGTCAGCCGGTAAGGACATATTTGAGTTCTGGTTTCGTACAGGTTCTCCGATATCAATTCGGATTGACGGCTCCAACAAGTCAAGGTCAAAATATCTAGGCTTTGTGTAATATAAAACCCTGTCTTCTTTATCTCTCACTTTGGTTTTGTTTGACCGGTCTGATTGTTTCGGTCGATCCTTTTATCTTCTCTGAGACACTCCTTTTCAGTTCATTCTCCTCGCCGGAAACAAAGCTATTGCTCAGGACGTTGATCTCTTTTTCTTTGAGGAACATCGCTCTCTTCATGCCAAGTATATATAATATAGGTCGACCAAACTGTCAATTACATTCAAAAGATATATCATAGCTATCTATTCACGAGCCAGTAAGCACTTTTACTAAATCCTTACCAACGGGTGCTATAACCCAGTTGTTTTCCCACCAACACGAAAAAATGACTAACCATTATTCTCTGTCAACAAAGGAGAAGGGCGAAGATCTACAGACCTGGATCGAAAACCATCATGCACCAGGGTGTCCATATCCGATTTCTGAATTTTCTTTGGCACCCAGAAATCCCGACTATGCCATTGAGCGCACACCTATCCGCCTAGATTCCGGTGCTTTGGCTGCTCTTCATCTCGACGCCAGTACTGAAACGTCTGGTTATCGGAAGATCAGTATCACAAGGCAGGGCGAGGGCCCCCCAACGTGGTGGATTGGGCGCATTGGCCCCGGGGTGCTTTTCATGGACGATATCTTCAGATCCACCCGAAGCGAAGATCCGCACATATCCGAGTTCACAAAGGCTGCCTATGAATTGGATTTTCCTCTAAACAGTCTCATGCATGTGATTGTGCCTAATGTCAATGAGACGGATACTTTATCGTGTGTCAAGCGGGTGTATAAATCCCACGAGGTGATTCGGTATCCATGGAGTGAAGAGCAGACTTGGGAGCCTTGTTCGTCTGGATACAAGGCCCTACTGGGTACCGGTATTGGCAAGATTGTTGGGGCCTTTGTTCTATGCTCATGGGGTCAAGGCAGAAAACGAATTTCGCGGATTGTGACTTTTCACGTGAAGTCTGATGTTCATAAGTTATATATGCGGTTTGATCTTGAGGATATATGAGCGTCAGAGTTGTGGCCTTTTTCCAATTGTTTGTGTTTATTAAATTATTCCAGGGGCGTCGAGATTGCCAATTTTAGACAACAACTTTTCTATCGAATATGTTGAATCGTAGATTAGACTCGTAATTAGCACAATATGTATCCGCAATGGATATACGTAGACTTCTCTTCCGACAAAGCATGTTTAAGATAACCCAAGAAGCAACAACACTGTGTGAAGAAATTGGAACATGAGATACGATCTCGCATAAAGTACACAAAATATGGACTTTTCCATAGAGTACCAGTGAGAAGATCAAATCAAAGCATTCTTGTAGAAGAGGTTCGATCTCCGATCACCAGCCTTACCAGAGGCGAATCCCAAGAACAGACGGACCTCCCCACCAGCAGTCTTATAGATGGCCAATCCTTCCGGCTCACGGAACACCAATGTTGATCCGGCCTTTGTTTTAGTAGGACCCTGCACAACAGACCCCGTATTCATATTGACAGCCGTCAAGTCGGAATTGACCACACCACCAGTAGCATCGTAAGACTCGCCGTACAAGAAGTAGATATACTGTCCAAACGCGGCATATCCTTGTAAAACACTCGACGCTGTATTCATCGACGGTTGCTTGAAACTGGCCAAGGGGCTAGAGAAATCCCCAGCCGTAGCCTTATCCAAATCAAACACAGAGATGTGCTTGCCGTCGCTGTGGTGGTGGCGGACAATGAGCCGGTTGTTCACTGGGTCAGTAGAGCATGTGTACTCAGTGGCACCGGAGATAGGCGCATACTTTTTCAGAGAGGATGATGATGATGAAAGTGTAGTTCCACTGGAGAACTTGAACCGGGCGAGCTTTTTTCCGTATCCGTTTGAGTTGGCCTCTACCTCTGTCCAGAGGTAGGTTGCTGATCCGACTGCTTGGACGCCGAAGGCGACACCATGTCCGAACCCTGTGAGATGCATGTATCCCACATAGTTGCCGTCGAAGTCTAGCTGGGTGATGCACAGATCCCCCGAGGTCCCGGAGGCACCATCGCGTCGCTGGGAGACGAAAAGTCGGCGATTGGTATTGTCGAAGCCGAATCCTTGCTGGATAGTCACATCGTGCAAGGACTTGCCGCGCCAAAGATCGTAGGAGGGTTCCGAAAGATCAAAACGCTTAGATGTAGGAATAGCCGCTTGCGCTTGTTGGATATTAATTCCGAGAAGAAGCAGTATAAATATCAGAGCAGCAGGGGTCAGGGAACCAGGCCAACATTTAATGAGGGCCATGGTAAAGATAAATTGAGATAATCAGTAGGAGCAATTGGAAATTCGAGGGGGCTAGCTAAATCATGATGTACCTACATGGAGGTAGGTAGTATTTATGGTGAGGGGGCGCGGGAAGTAGGGCGAAAAGGCTAGCTGTTTCAGGTCATAAGAGGCACTTGGCTTATTGTATTGGCTCTGACGATTGCAGAGGCCAAATGGGAATGAAACGTCAATCTATGACACTGCTTGGCATGCATGCAGTTTGTCTTCATTCATTCTAGGTGTTTTTCATATGTACGGAATAAAATCAGTACCTCGGCATTTGTGGAAGCCCTAACGGCAATTTGGCAGTCAAACCTTCAGCCATTAGGTGGATATGTGAAGACTACCTGATAGAGTATCAATCGGCCCGAGAAAACTATGCATCGTCGGTCTCCTTGTTGAATTATGCTTGTGTTCATCGCACAATAGTGCTGGGTAGAATATCTGTGTGCTTGATTTGGACATGGGCGCACACGAAGGGGAAACCGTTATTGGTTTAGTAGTCTCTGCTGTATAATAAAATGTCAACCTAGATAGGTTGTGACTATTATCACCAAGCATCCTTCATGAGAGGTGTAATGTACGTTTAGATGGATGGGAAATAACTGGCAATCATAACGGGAGATTAGCACTCTCAATCAGGCGAAGCGCTGGTATATCTTCACTTATCCTACTATAATGTTGATGTCCTGATTTACTAGTCAGGCATACATAGCACGCCGTGATCTAAAAATATGCATAGCAGTACTGCAAAGTGCCTTGATATAGTGAAATCCATGAAACCTCAAATACACAGCACCTGTTAATCGTCAAGCTCAAATTGCAAACAATAGTATCAAAAGACCCAGAGATCGCAATCCCAAACAACCGAAAAAGCCATTAATCAACGCATAAAATCATAATCTGATGACATCCCGATACTTCAGAATTCATTATCAATCCTTCTTTTCAGTTCCCATCATGTCCCTCAAACATTCCAGTCCGTAACTCATTAGGGCATATGATCTTCATAAAATCATGACCAGCATTCGCATAAAAGAAAGAAACAAGAAAACACAGAGCCGACCATATAAACAAAATCAAACAACATACTCTGGTCTGCTACGGCTAGAGCTGCGATGACGCGAGTGGTGCGAACCAGAACCAGGGCCACGACGACTGGAATGGCTGCGTCTCCGGACCGTCGTGGTCTCCCTGACAACCTTTGTGTCATTCGAGCGGTGCAAGAAGAGCGCGAGCAATCCAGTCCAGAAGAAGAACACAGCCTCCATGATCCCAAAAGCGAAGGACGCCTTCAGCATAGCGCATGTCTTATTAATGTCCAGCGCAAGAGGATTATCTGTGCGCTGACCCCAGGAACCGAATGGGCCCAGAGAGACCCAGACAGTGCCGCCGCGCCAGCGGGCGCAGTCGGCTTTGGCAATGAAGCGGAGCTGGTAGACGGCTGCAATGAAGGCGCCGAAGAAAAGCATGTCCACGAATGAAACGAAGATTGCGGAGCGCTTGGTTGTTGAGAAGCGAATGAGCGTGTCGAGGGCCCAGAAGGCGGCGATTGTGCTGACGATGAAGAGGACCAGAATGTACGGTGGGGTCAACTGGTTTGCTTTGAGGTAACCATCAACAAAATAGGCCTAGAATTGCGGAATATGGGTTAGCTAGGTCTCGAAAGGGTGTGTTATTCTGTGCTAATCATTCCTGATTCGACGGGTTCACTGCGTGGAGGGACATACCAGCATGCCAATGATTGGGATCAGGAAAGTGATCTCAACCAAGCGGTTGAAGATGAAGAAGACGCTGCCAATCATCTTGCCAACAGTCTCAACGGAGTTTCAATCTGAGTTGTCTGGAATGTGCAACTGCCACGATGTGCTTGGGGCACGTCAGATGTACAATTGTACCGTGGGGCTACACGAGCTCGCAAAAAGAGGCAAGGTAGTTGCGATTAAAGTGCAGGACGCACGTTGTAAAAGATGCTGAGACACACGAGAGAAAGTAAAAAAAAAACAGGAAAAAAAGCAAGACAAATAACAGAGAGGGGAAATTGAAAGAACGGTCTATTCAGCGTCATCTTGGGCTGACGGGGAGGCTGGGCGACTCACGATGCGCGATGTGTGTGGCTGGGAGAGCAAGGGGCCCAGTGCGGACCTTGACGCTTTTTGGTCTCATTGATCAGTCTGGGCACTTGCATGAGCGGTCATCTTTTAATCAATGTCTTGCATTTGATTGATAGTTGATCCTTTGGGCTGGAGGTACGGAGTATAGGGCAGGAGATAACTGTTGTCAAGCCAACCACAGTCGAGTGGAGTCCGATCAGCTCTATTTGCCCCAGCCATTGCTACATGGAGTATACGGAGTACGGAATATCTACTTCACTGGTGCACAGAGTACTCAGAATATGGGGAATTATCGGGAGATTATTGTCCGCTGGTCTCGGCAACAAATGCAGGTCCCTCTGTTTTAAACGCTAATATCCCATTATCATACATACTTGTGTTGCCAGCCACCGCAGTAATCCATAGGCGTATTCAAATCCGACCCAAGCTAATAATGCTAGCAATTGCTCAGAAATAGATTGCAATCATCAATAATCCATCGCATCAATCGTCACTACATGGCCCGACCGGGCATACCGGTGGACAAGCGCCTCGGACGCGCCGTCACATCAATCGGAGTATGGATACCCGCATCAGCCGTCAACGGCTGTGTCTGAGAGACATACGCAGTACTGGGGTCATACCGAGGCACATGCTGACTGGAGTTGGGATTCTGCCCCATAGCATAACCATGGCGCATCTCGTACCCGCCGGTGACATCCTCCTCGCTCGATGACCAAGCTCCACCATCAATGTCATGATCATGCGGCCGGCGGTTGTACATATTGGACGCATAGGGATTGGTGTTCGTAAGATAGGTAGAGGAGTCGGGTCTAATATGTTCCGAGGCGGGGATATCGGGTGCATCGACGGGCTCCTCTGCAGGATTGCGGAGAGCAGTCGAACTCTCACCTTTGGAGCTCCTGAACCGGACGGCATCGGGGCCAGCAGGATCAGTTCCCCAGGTTCGGATTGGGTAGGCGCGGCCCTTGCGCCAGGCTTCGCTGAGCGGTGGGAAGTACTGGCGATATGCGATGAAGCCGCAGGCGATTCCAAGCATAGACCCGGTGATCACGTCAAAGGGGTGATGGCGCGCGTCCATGATACGCGACACGGCCACAAGAGTAGCTGCGAGTAGAGGCACCATAACGAGAAGGGCCTTCCAAGCTTCGCCGCGGTTGTCCATGACGTGTAATTTTCCACCTAACCAGAGCGATGTGTAAACAAGACCGGCGAAGGAAGCTATCGATTCAATTTCATTAGTAACAGGCCATCGGTGCCAATTGCAAAGGGGTGGACGCACAGCTACTGTGACCTAGGAGAACGGAGGTATTAGCATTTGGCACTCTTGAACCCAGCGTCATATTCAATTCGCATACCGGAAGGCCACGACCGGAACCCATCTGTCAGTAACGCCGGATCGCCTGTACAAATCGTGGAATTCGACAATCCTGGGAAAAGATCCTCGCTGCCAGCGCGGGGCTTACAACGATCGATGAGATCGGGTCTCGGCTTGCCACATGCGTTCTTGAGCGCCTGTGTGATAACAAAGGCGAGACCCTGCGCAAGCAAGAGACCCAAAATACCACAGTTCAGCTCCCACAGTCTATCCTTCCAGCGATGCGGGCCTCTCAATTTTCGCTTCCCGGACGCCGTGTCTTGCGGCTTGTTGTGCGAGAATAAACCATCGATCAGCATGGTGTAAAGAAGGATAAGGACGACCGGAAATCCAATGGAGATGCAGACGGCATAGGCCATGGGAATCCGTTCGTGTACGGCATAGGGATATTGAATGGATATGTTGTTGAGGGAGAAGTGTTGGTGGTAAGGCTCGATGGTGTTGAGGATCGCGAAGCCGGCGACGCAGCCACTGTTTTGGTTCCAAGACCGGCGATTAGTTGCAATACCAATGTAAAAGAGACGGGGCAGCATACAGAATGATCACATAGTCGAAGATGTAGCTAAGAGAACGTTAGTCAAGGATCGCGGCCGGGAAGTCGGGCGACGCACGAGATAACAACACGCGGTCGGAGCCGCCGTTTGGAGAAGGGGAGTTTTGCGGGGATCGCCATGTTGACTTGCTCCCCCAAGGAATTAGGAAAATGGAAAACAGATCAGAATTGAAACCATGAAAGATAATAATAAAGGAAGGCCCGTGTGGACAATAAACATCTCTGCCTGAACTGAAGGCATTGCTTGGCACCGAGACAGGCGTTAACACACTTGGCGACCTCCCTTTCTTCCTCCGATCTTACGGAGTACAGTCAGAACTGCTCCATCCGGCGTCTCTGATTGGCGTCTGTCATTTCCAAATGGCCTCCTCAAAGTGGCTGAGTTTATTCGGTGGATATGCTGAAGTACCCGATACTTGCCAGCGAGTAGTAACGCCGCATTGTTGCACGTACCCAGTACCTTCCCGGGGCCCAGAACAATGCAGATCCCCATCTCCCCGTGGGATCCTGCTGCAAATATACGGTGTGAGTCCAGCGCATGTAGGGCTGTCAATGTCGATTCGGAAGCGCTGATTATCTCTCATCATTCGTTAGGACTTGCTGGGTCGACCTGGATAATACAACCACAGGTCCAGTGTGAATGTCTACGGAGTAGATCCGCGAGGCCTTGACCCCTGAGCGGTGCCTCACTAATCTCAATGAACTCTAATATATTTGGCCATGTCAACCGCATGGCAATCTCATACGATACCTAGAAGCGATCTATGTTGTGGATGGCATATTCCAGCTGGGGGTGGTAAGCCCTGGTCTTCGCGTTGATATGTACCTACTGAGTCCGTACAGACTACGGAGTACATTCCAGGATATCCTCAACTCAAAGAACTACAACATAGCCATCACTTCGCAATGTTCACCAAAGGCCGAGCAGAGTTATTTTTAGCATATCTGCTCTAAAACCACCAGCAACACGACAAACTCTACGGAGTACTCCATAACCCGTTGACACTTCATAATGTACGGAGTACCCATGTCTCACAAAATGATTTGTCTTCTGGAGCCGGACAAGAACAAAGAAAAGAAAGATAACACCGTCAACTACAACATACATATTGAGACAATTTCATGGCGATTTTTCCATCTGCTGCTTCTCCATATTCCCACGATGACATTCAGACAACCCAGCTAAGATGGTGTCGTGTCCAATATTCTTTGAGCTAAAATGAGCTTTGGTCCCGCTCATACCGGCAAAGAAGCACCCATGCTGCCATGCACCGCAAGCAAAGTGGATTTCCTACGCGAATTGTCTCGGACGAAGTTTCCAGGTTGAAACAAAGCCCCGTAAGACGACGCAAGCCATACCATCAAGGATCAAAACGGTCCATGTTGATACCTGCTCATACTTATGTTTGCCGGCACTTGCCATCCGTGTTCGATATGGGGTATGTAGTGGGCAACCTAGTGGATTTTCAGTATTTGCTCTTCCAGAGCATCTGCTCTCCACGGCCCGCGGTTCGATTCCCGGTACGGAGTATCGAAGTTGGATTTTGCTAATGGGATGTGTTGACACAGTTGGCGCCTTGGTGCCTTGGGCATCGACCGTCGGGAGATTGGCTCTCTTCCCAATACAACCCTCTTCCTCCTCCACTTGAGTACGGCTCGTAGTGCTCAACAGAATGGAGCGTGTTGACTGTACACACACTGTCACCTTTGTCTTCACGAAAGTCATAGTTTGACTAACACGAAGAGATTCTCCCGATCGTCTTTTTTAAATCCTCAATATGGCCTCATGAGACATGCCCCCACTCCCAAAACATAGCGAATCCAGAGCCAGACCCTCTTCCCAAGAGGAAAAATTCCCGCTCTGCTCAATGGCTCTTGCATAAACATCGACTGCTGCACAAACCCAGAGTTCTTGGGCTTTCCGGGCCAGACATCCCTGCTCCCACACCACATGGAACGCAATCCTTCTCAAAGTCATCCCGCGTTGGTCACAAGATGGATAAGTATTAACATCACTAGCTGCTTCTTCCGGGACGCGATCGTTGATCCCAATTCGGGGTCTTGTCGACATAGAACCGTATCGGGGCCGACTCGAGCGAGAGTAGTGGAAGGTCAGGTCTCCTGCGCAACACATATATTGCGTCTTATTCTCCGCGGAGGATATTCTGAACAACAATAAGCTGATATTTCCGGGCCACGATTATTCTGTTCAAGCCAAGGATTACACATGGAATTTCATCGGTAGCAGAAGCGTTTATAACCTTTGGATATCTGGAGCGAGGAGCCTCGGCAATTAATCAGGTACCCAAGCACCACATTTCAAACTGAGATTGGCAACAAACCAACCAGAGTCTACAATTGGGCTTCTCCCAGATGGAAACAACGTTAACACTGGGAATTGGCGATTCTAAATCTGGTAATACCGTCTACATTGGTCAAACCCTATATCTAAATTTGTAGCAAAAGGTGGGATGACTACTATCAATCTCATGAAAAGCGGAAGTGCCGCTGAGAAGATGGCCAATGAGGTCAAGAAGCCTAGTTTGATTTCCAATTGGGAAATAATGGCGTAGGGTCAAGTTTAAGGCTGAGATGCATGCAGTTGAGAAGGTGAGATAGAACAAGAATTGTTCTCTGGTTCTTCTGGCTTACTCCGAGGGCACGGTTAGGCATGGCCGCTATTTCCGATGGACGCCTAATCGGGCACAATATCTGGCCGCTAAATTCCAAGAAATCGTCCGGATGGGTTGCCTAATATCTTAGCCAAGAAGCGTTCCTTTTTTTTACGGAGTATTGTTCAGCCTCAACGCTTGGCACAGCAAGGCACATCTTTAGTGGCAGATGGCAAGGAAATGTGTCCAGCTACGTGTTCGGTATAGAGGGGCAAAGATCATTGGAAATGTTGGCGAGGAGATTCCCCTCCAGGGCAACATGAATGGGTTTCCTTTGCATCCACACTCTACAACAGAAGCATATCGACTTTTGGATGACATGGCTCAGCACCTAGCAAAGGAAACATGCCCTACTGGGAAACTGGTCATGTTGGTAAACGATGATGTCTCTTGGAGTATAGTGGGAACGGACGAATAAATCAGCATAGATCGTCGCAGTTGTGACCAATTCTTGATGATGCCAATGCTTGGATCTCACTTTTGGTTTCTAGGACAGAAGAGCATGAATCTCAGCTGATCTTCAGCTCCACCGTCTTTCGGGGCCTTTATAAGTCTCAGTATTACCTGGATAATAGTTGGCATTGGCATTTTGGATATACACAAAACAATTATACCCGCCCTCCATGACTATTTGGCTTAGCCTTGTATCGATCTCCGTTTTGTTAATCCTCTATGTGGGATACAAATGGATGTTGCCGCGTCCAATCCCGGGTATACCCTACAACCAAGATGCCACGAAGAATGTCTTGGGTGATATGCCTGCGCTGGTGCAACATCAGCGAAAGACAGGAGAGAGCTGGAGCTTCTTACCTTTGCAAGCTAAGAAGCTGAACTCGCCCATTATCCAGATTTTCGCGGGTCCTTTCTCGAAGCCATGGGTTCTTCTGAATGATTTCCGAGAGAGTCAGGATATCCTCCTCCGCAGAACCAAGGATTTCGATCGGAGTGAACGGTTCGGAAACATTTTCAAAGGACTGGTACCTGATCACCACATCTCAATGCAAACCACGAACCCTCGATTCAAGGTGCATCGAAGGCTGATCCAGGATCTGATGACCCCAGCCTTCTTGAACGAGGTTCGTTCGTTCTCCAAATCAGCGGTGATGTGCAAGACTAATTCGAATAGGTCTCGGCGCCCCGAATCTACGAGGCCTTTGCATCACTCATCGATCTATGGACCGAAAAATCTCGATTGGCCAATGGCCGACCCTTTTCTGCCTCCGACGATGTATACAAAGCAGCGCTGGATGCTATCTGGGCCGTCACATTTCCCTATGATACAAAGGACAGCGTTATCAATGCTCGACGACAGCTTCTTCCTAGTGCTAGCAGTACCAGCACTGCGTTATTCACAACCAACGATGAACCTGTCGACTTTCCCGAGCCTGCGATAAATGCAGGCCAGAACTCCGTTCTCACACTCACCGAAAGCCTGGAGTCTATCATGATGTCTCCAATGCCAAGATTGGCGTTCTGGTTACTCAGTAAGCTACCTTACATGCGAAAGGCAATAGCAGCGAAGGAAAGCATGATTGCTACAGAGCTTGAACGGGCGAAAGTGAGGTTCGCCGGGACGGCCAAAGAAGACCAGGTTGCGAGATGCGCTATGGATGATATCTTACGCCGTGAACTTGTTGCTGCGGAAAAGGAGAATCGAGAACCCGCCTACAGCACGAGAACAATCTTTGATGAGGTAAACTCAGGCACCTCTTGCCGACTGTGAGACCATTCGCTAATTGAGAACGCAGCTCTTTGGACTATTGATTGCTGGTCATGATACAACTTCCACCACGGCAGCATGGGGTCTCAAGTTTCTCTCTGACTACCAGGACATCCAGAAGAAACTTCGCAAAGCATTGCGTGCAGGGTTCCCCGATGCTGTTGCTGAAAGCCGACGACCGACCGCGGAGGAGATTTCTAAGGCTCATATCCCATACCTTGACGCTATACGAGAGGAGATCATTCGAAAATCCTTGACGTCAGTAGGAGTGGAGCGCGTGGCGATGGTAGACACTGTAATTCTCGGTCATCATATCCCTAAGGGCACGAATGTTTTCTTCTTGTGTAATGGTCCCGACATCGTCGACTCTCCAGTTGGCTATATTCCCGAAGAAATTCGCAGCAAAAGCTGCCAAGAAGCGAAGGGACGGGTTGCACCCCACTACGAGGCAGATTCGAGCGAATTCAAGCCGGAACGATGGATTGCCAGAGTCGATGGCAAGGAGTGTTTTGACGCTTCTTTAGGTCGGAATCTGGCATTTGGTCTGGGCCCAAGAGGGTGCTTTGGAAGGCGGATGGCGTACCTTGAGCTAAAGATTATCCTTGTGCTTGCTTTGTGGGATTTTGAATTGCAAAAGGCACCGGATGATCTCAGTTCGTATAAGGCGTAGGACAAACTAACCCATCAACCCAGGCAGTGTTACCTGAGGCTGTTGAACTCGCCATTGCACGATTCCCGAGCTTGAGAGATTCGATCGGAAAGACAGTATCTGCATGGGACTCAATTCGATGGCAAGGGCCCTTGACGGTTGATGGTCATGCTTCATGAATATATATGTATCTTTGATTTCGTTTTTTACTCGCGTGTTGAATCGAAAATGATATAGATTCCTTTGTTGGGCAATCAGGTACATTTTCAAGATTCCCCCTTGCTACATATCAGCTGTCGAAAGTTAGAAGGTAGTCTTACGGCGAAGTAGAATAAAGATCGAACACAAAATATAAACTAACTTGAGAGACTGAAGAAGAGAACTCAATTTAATAGTACATAGCGAGAGGAATGCTGACACTATGTGTGCGCGCGCCGCAATTACAACATCAACCAAATATGGCCATGCTTCCCAATCAACCAAATCAGACAACCTGTGAGGAAAGATTCCTTCCCTATGGACACCGGACCAAAAATGAAATCAAACATGGAACTAGAAGAAATATCAAGAAAAATACGTATCGACGTGTGAGTAGAAGTTTACAAGGCATAAAAAGAGTGGCCCTAGAAATGGCATGTCCATAGTCGTAGATAGGCGGATTGCACAGGATGTGTCAATTAGCAAGTGGTGATGTACAGACCGAGACTGGAGATGAGGTTAGCTGGTGGCAGGATAGAGAATATGGATGGGGAAAGACTTACGGAGAGGGGTTCCAGTCCTCGAAGAAGTTGAGGTCAGTACTGCCGGCATTCTTCATCTCGTATGCGACGGCTTCACCAGCGGGGCAAGCGAAGGTCGAAACCAGGTACGAGTTTCCAGGTGATACGGTCATCGTGCCGAGGTCCTGGGATAGCGAAGGAACATTGCTGAAAGATGTGGTGTCTTTGGCAACAGAAGACAGCTTGGAGAAGTCAATCTTACCGTCTCCGCTGAAGCTGTACGACGAGGTTTCCAGATCCTGGAGGTGAGGGAAGAGGAAGACCAAGCTGCAAGTCTTGCCGGCGTCGGAGGATGGGATGTCGAAGTTGAAGATAGTTGAGATGGTTGAGGTCACTGTAGCGTTGAATGAAGTACCGGCAGCGTGGTCAGGCGAAGACGAGTCGACAGAGACGATAAGGTGAGGGAACTCGTAGTTGCCTGACTCGAGGGTAGTGGGACAGGCACCGGTAGCTGATCCAGTACCCGATGGGCTGGTAGAGGCGGAGCTGCCAGGAACGGATGCACTGGAGGAGCCAGTAGGATGACCTCCGCCACCACCGACAGGGGGAGCGGAGACAGAAGCCGATCCGGTAGAGTGGGCTCCGCCGCCACCACCAGGAGGAGCGGGCACACTGGTGAAGCCAGTGGGCTGTGAAGCACTACCACCACCTGCGGGACCAGGGACGCTAGCAGAACCAGCAGGATGTGTACTTGCGCCTCCACCTACAGGAGGCACACTAGCAGTACCAGCAGGTTGAGTACCACCACCGCCGCCTACACCGGGAATAGGAGCTGGGGCCGATCCGGTAGGCTGGGCACCACCACCGCCGCCTACAACGGGAGCAGGAGCTGAGGCCGATCCAGTAGGCTGGGCACCACCGCCGCCGCCTACAGCGGGAGCAGGTGCAGTAGCAGACCCAGCGGGCTTTGGGGCGCCGCCGCCAGGAAGAGGGCCAGGGCCGGAGGGTTGATGTCCTGTGCCGCCAGATGGGGCAGGCTTGCCGGCAGATGGCTGGGCACCGCCTCCAACAGCACCGGGGCCACCGGGGGCACCAGATGCAGCGCAGCTGCAATCGGTGAGAGTGACAGTGACAGTGGTCAGAAGAGTTTGAGTGGAGCCGGGGAGAGGGGAGCCAGCAGCCCCCGAGGGAGCAGGGCCGCCGGATTGGCCGCCAGGCTGACCACCGGTGCCAGTACCAGTACCAGGTGTAAATCCGGGCGCTGGGGCAGAACCAGCAGGAGTGGATTGAGCCCCCGGAGCAGATGCACCAGAGGGCTGTGGGCCAGCCGAGGATGACGCTCCAGGACCAGTGCCGGAACTAGAGCCCGAGTTTGAGCAACTATCGGCAGACAATGCCACATTCACGCAGCCAGTGACATCGGTCTTGTTGGGGGTAGTGTAGACATTCATACCACCGTTCTGGCCCGTAGCACAGGCCACAAAGTCCTTGCTGCCGTGATACTCAAGCTCGCCTTTAGGACCGATAGAGAAGCCTGAGGTGGGAGAAGCACCCTCATCACACTGGAACTGGGTAGTGGGGGCTGTGATACAGTCAGATGGGCTTTCTTTGGTAGTCAATATGTAGGAAGTGTGAGCCGTTTACTTACGGGTGAGGATACATCCACGACCCTTTCCATCGGTGATATCGCCCTTGGAGTCAATACAATACTTGGCTGTAGATAAGCTGCTATCGCCAATGCGATTTTGACCATCACCTAGCTGTCCTAGCTTCCCGGAGGCACCTCCGGAAGATGTGAGGTGGAAGCAACAGCTGTCACCGCGGCCAACAAGTGCGTTAGAGCCAGCAGCAAAGGCTACGAGAGCGACGAAGTTCCTCATCATTGTTGCTCTTCAATGTCAGACAGATCAGTGAACGAATGGACACGGCTCCCTTGGAAAGATCGTGTATAGTTTTCACGATCTTGATAGCCACCGGTAGAACTTTGGGTAGCAAGAGTGGCTTTTGTTGAGGGAGTCAGAATGAGGAGAGAGTATCTTTATAACACGCGGTGGGTTTAATCTCCCGCATTACGAAGCAGGGAAATCTCCCATGCATGACCGGCAAAACTCCCCGAGCAAAAAAACATAAACAAAAAATAGAACCGGTGTGCTGCCAGTCATTCATGCGATTGCCCGTGGGTAAGATCTCCTGGTGGACCAATGCCCTGGTCTCGGAGAATCGACAGGTGTAGGTCCGAACCAGCCGGAGCAAGATGCGCAACGGCATATTCGACGTCATCTTGAACAGAGCTGCAATTCTCTGATATGTGGAGTAGGATGGAGGAAGAAACCATGCTTGTTTCTCCACTCAAAAGCAGGGTATGGAGATTGAACAGCGTTCACTGGCCTAGGGCTGTGGGTCTGTCTTGTCCAAGGCTCTCGTGGACTTTCTATCGATGGTCCAGGCAACCCGATTGCAGGTGGCAACATGCAATTTCCCATCAGGGCTCAATTGCGTCCTCCGATAGGCACAGAGCATTCAATCATTGATGGGCCGCATCAAACAAAGTATCTTGTTCTGCGGAAGACCATGGGAGCTCGCCACTCTGATTGAATTCCATATTTGTTACCAGCTGGTCCTGTATGCCTCAATCTTACTAAGAATGCATCACAAATCACCAGCTATAGAATTCCCGTAATGATATGGTGGCATCCTTCGAACACCACACTTCGCCCACAATACCCATCAAGATACTGGGTCCTCCGTACAATAGGGGAAACAGCCTTAGGATAGCGCAATAGAAAATAGAGCCAGGGCCAGACCGCGTTGCCATTAACAACGGCCGTAGATCTTTAAACGACTATCTTTATGTTCAATCTCTCATTGGGCATGTTGACGCAAATTGTGATACATCGATGCACAACAGACGAGTTGCTATGGTGGGCTGTGCAACAAGGTAGAGCACAACAGAAAGGACCGCATCGATGTACTGTACCACACAGGTATATTGTACATGAAAGAGAAGCCCAAAAAATAGACACCCATTCAAAGGAACTCTACGAGATTGAGCAAATAGATTGGACAAAGAGATTGGATCGGATCGTTCAAAGCTGATAGTCATCATTTTACAATGCAGTGGGCCCCAATTTGGCCCGTCGGCCAACTACAACATCAGACTATTTTTGTTCTCTTCAACCCATGGACACAGATTAATTCTGTTGATTTAAAGCATGAGCCACGTCATGGTCCTTAGCCTTTTGTTGCTACACACCCTAACGTAGCCGGACGCACGACATTGTATGTATAGTAAATATAATAGTCCATAGGGGGACGCGTGTCCAACACCGATTCTATTTGGAGCCTTATTGGTAGGACAAAGCCCATGGGAAACTCCAAACTGCGATTCTAGAACCCATGCTGCACAAAATTTACAGCGTACAGGATACAACATATATATTGTACGGTATATTCCGTCCGACGCACACCAGTATCAAAGGCCTAGTCATAGGCGCCGATATGGGGATGCATCGTTGCCGTGCAGGGGCAAGGTATCCATGCATTCAGGAACCAGGCAACCTTATACTCCATGCCATCCGATCAATCTTGAAGCTCTGTCGTTGTCAAAAACCGGTTGCCTTCCAAGGTTAGGAGGTATGATGACATCAATTTGGCAGCCAATTTTAAAATTCATATGACAGTAACAAATATTTCACTGCATGCATCCCAATTTGCTTCTGTCTTACGATGTTATATAAAACAAACAACCTCCAAAGTGCAACGTACATCAATGACTGAGATTTCAGAATGACTTCTTCGCCGCTAAACAGATCCTCTTTGCCCGTTAGCGCTTCCGATGGACGCCCGCCGAGTTGTACCCGGCACGGCGTGTCGATCTCAGCGCGGGCACAACTCGCCAGTCCAAGTATAAAGTGGGGCCTAATGCAGTGACCATGACTGTAGAGATGACATAGATCGTTACATCAAGCGAATCCACATCTGTTGCGTCATAATCTCGGGGGTTTCATATCCCAATCGGATATTACATTACTACTTCATACATGGTGTAGACAAAAAAGAAGGGTCCAACTCCGCAAAGAAAGTGTTCCAGTCCACCATTGCAGAGTCCATATTGTTATCAAATACCTGCCAGAGGTCATCGAGACCAGGCTGTGTGGGGTCCATTGGGAAATTATCGGTGTTTGTTCCTGCCCATCCTACCATGTTGGTAGGTGTGTTAGAGCCGCCGACAATGCCCGCCGAATGTGAACTTCCCTGGTCGGATGATCGTGTCGTATTATGATCGACTGCTGAACCCGAAGCATTGTGCCGGCGGAGAACCATCTTGAAAGATTCCAGCAGCCTTTCTGCGAAAGGAGACTGTCCTTTGGCGTCCTCCAAAATCCTAAAAGCTTGCAAAAGCTCTGCTCGGTCCACTTTTTCTTCTTCCTGCTGAGAATTGCTTCCACAAAAGTCTATGAGAAGAACAATAATTGCCACACAGATACAATGTAGCATGCCCGAGAACTTCAACCTCGCCAATACAAAGGGAATTGTCTCTAGCGAGATTTGGCGTTCGGTTCGAATGACCATCCGAGCTGCCTCCAGACAGGCTATCCGCGAGTAATTGTAGGCTGGATCCTTAAATGCTCGTGACAGGTAGGGCAAGTGTAATCTGCATCTCTGGGCATGAAGCAGGAAATTGATAATGTATCGTTGTGCAATTAATCCGGTCGATTTCCAAGAGTCGGCCTTGGGCAACTCAGTCGAGTTGTAGGACAAAGAAAAGAACGAGGGAAGACTCTTGGCAAAGTCACAAATCTTGCTATCGATTTGCTTAGTGTGTTCATAGTCTGGTATTCCGGGATCGGAGATTCCAAAGGGAGCACTATCCGTGATTTCGCGGCATAATTCGCCCAGTCGGATCCGCTGAAGACTATATGACATGGACGTCGGGTGGGTGAGTGGTTTTCCAGCGTCAACCATTCCGTCTACGATATCTTCATCATTCGCATTGACGGGTTTGTTGGTCATCATGTAGCGTGAATCGATCGAATATGTGCCTTTCTGTGGGCCAGGTATTTGAGACATCTGCCTATCACAGGTTAAGCTCGCATTCTTAGATAAAGGGGTTCAATATATTTACCAGTCAGTCGCCACGAGATACCACCATACCCTTCGGCATATCTCCGCTTTCGCAGAGGATGGGGAAGGGACATCTAAATTGGAGTTTTGCGGATGGTCAATCCGATGTAAGCACAGCTCTCGTGCAACTGAGATAGCAGTTGAAGCTATATGCCGGGCTTGGGATGTGACTCCTGCAAGACTGGTGGTGACAAAAATTAGGATGACCATTGTCTGGACATCCTCTATGGACTCAAGGTGTCTGAAACGCGAGTATTCGAGAACTTCCATCGCAAGTTTCACCCAGTGGATTGACTGGCCATTTGCTTCTTCAACGGTAGAGAAGATAGAATTGTGCATATCAAGCTCGGTCCAGAGAGTCGTGGTGCTGGCGAGAATCCCTAGAAGCAATGAAACATGTCCAAGCTTAACGGGGTTTCTCTCCCCCAGATCATGATAAAGTTCGTCCACCATGGCCCGGACTGAAGGAGTATGCACCACATGATGGAGGAATGTGATCTCTGTAATATACTTTTCCGCCACTGTTTTCGCTTCTGCGTGGAGCGGGAGCCAGATAAATCTTCTTGTGGGCAGCTTTGGGTCTGTGACAAGTTCAAATCTTAATGCATTCCGAATGGGGCAAGCTCTAAATTCAAGCTCGTAGCCCAGAATATTGTTCTGGAGATTTAGGTCAGCGGCCAGCTCCCCATCACTTTGGTTCAGTCATCGTAAGCTCACCGTTGACCCTGGTGCGGTGATCTCACCTTCAAGCCAAGTCACAGCTTCGGCAGACGACTGACCGTCACTTATCATGTAAGGTCGATTTGAATCTTGGTAGGTTCTAGGATGGGGAGACGGGAGAGATGCTGCCTCAACCCTTGCTTGTTCCACGGGAGCAGATGTTGCTCCATTACCAATAACTATCTCCTCCAGTCTCTTCAGGCGGGCCAATAAGTCTTTATTATCAGTAGGTGACGGTTCATCGACCTGACTATGAGGGCTAGCAGATAACGATGGGGTCGGATAAAGCTGACAAGTCTTGCCCCGGCTAGTGCAGTTGGAGCAAGGGAAAAGTCGACTACATTTCAACTTCCTCGACCGACAGAAATGACAGGATACAGGTCGTGAGCGCGAAGATCTGACACGCTCTTTGTCAACCCTGTACATCTTGCTTCGTAACCTTGGAATAGTTGAGCGAAAGGAGCAAAGAAAGATCAGGCTTGGTGTAGATCTGGGACTTGATGGTCAATTGGGGGCGAGACGAAGTTGACCAATTAACGGCTGGCGAATCCGCGGAAATTCCGTGACTCCGAGGATTACGTTTCCTATTACGGAAACTATATGTGGTTGAGGAAGTATATAAACCCTTCGTCTTGCTTAGAATGAAGACGAATCCATCGCAGTTTAGCATCTCAAATATTGAGAATCTCTACTGGATACATCATATATTAGTGTCAAGATGGAGGCCATCCTTGCTCAGATCCGAAGCTTAGCCCTAAATGCCGATGAAGCCAGTCGTCTGAAAATGGTGAAATCTCTTCGACAGATGCAAGTCGAGCTTCAGACTCCAAAGGATTCTCTCATGGAGCTAGCGGGACTGGTCAGTGGTCACAAGATACGTTCGAGTTCATCGAGTCCTAACAATCGTAGGGGCTCACGAATGCAATGCTCCGCGTTGGCGCGGACTTGGGGTTTCTTCGTTATCTCGCGAGGAGTGATGTCCCTTTGAGTGTGACGGAAATTGCCAAGCTGACTGGAGCTTCTCCTCAACTCCTAGGTGATACTCTCTCAGGCAGTTGTATGTACCTCGTATACTAATTTGTGTTCCATAGAGAGAGTCCTTCGTCACTTAGCTGCATCAGACATGATCCAAGAAACTGGAGTCAATGAATACACCGCGAACACCATGACTCGTGTATTGGCTGATCATAGGGGCCAGGCTATGATATATCACGGGTAGGCGAATCCCCCCATCGGAACCCGGTGGTTTGAAGAACCATACTTACCACTCAATCTTGTACAAAGATTCGACACCCATGGACCAGTCGTTCAAGCAATGCCTGACTTCTTCGCGGAAAACGACTATCAGGATGTCACGAGCAATACCAACACTCCCTTCCAGAAAGCTCACAACACCAAACTATCCTCGTTCGAATGACTTGTCCAGCAGCCAAAACACTTCGATAACCTACAAAAGGTCATGACAGCGCTCCAAGGATCAGAATGGACCGATGGGTTCACTCTTATTGACGATGAAGCACACAAGATTCCTCCCACTAGCCCCCAGGCTTCAGAGAAACCCTTCTTCGTCGATGTCGGTGGTGGTCATGGGCACCAATGTATTGAGCTTGGAAAGAAGTACCCACAGCTACTCGGTCGTCTTATTCTCCAAGATTTGCCCGAAGCAGTAGGAAAACTTGCCCCGATTGAGGGCGTCAAGGCCGAGGCTTATGACTTTTTCCAAGCACAGCCCGTCATTGGTTTGTCTCTCGATATATTTTCTAGCCGTTGAGCCCAGTCTAGAGCTAACCTTTATTTCAACAAAGGAGCGAAGTTCTACTATCTCCGCAGAATCATGCACGACTGGCCAGATGACGAAGCCGCCAAGATCCTCCGGAATATTCGCAACGCCATGAGCCCCGACTCGCGTATCTTGATTGACGAGGCTGTCTTGCCAGATACTGGCGCCAACTGGCAATCGACGATGGCTGATCTGGCAATGATGGCTTTTGGCGGTAAAGAGCGTACTAAGCATCAGTGGGAATCACTTGCGCAGAATGTGGGCTTGCGTGTTGTGCAGATTCATACTTACGTTGCCTCAACTTATACTGCCGTTGTCGTCTTGGCCATCTAGAACAAAAGATGGACAAAAATGAACTTTGGCTCAGAATCAACATTGTCCAGCACTGCAACCTTGCTGTGATAGTGCGATGTGTGTCAGAAGGACACCAGAGGAGCGCTATAGGGTAGGTTGTACACAACCATAGAAAGTATTAGGTATCAAGTAGGTATAGTGCATGCTTATATGTTAAATGTTGTAAATACAGAAGGAACCGCCATGTCTGTAGATAAATCAAGATCCTTTGCTGAACTCAAAACGCCTTGCTAGCCCAGTAGATGAAGAACGAGAGAAAATGCGCTGGGGGAACGATAACAAACAGGGACAATGAAAAAAGAGTGTCAGAGTCCCGAGGAAAGATGCTAATACAGGTCGTGAATCATGCTCGTACAGAACGATAAATTAAAAAGAGGTTCTCCCAGGAAACTCAGTCAGCCGGTTGCTTTCAGCGGTGGGTATTGGGTATCATGGAGCGTGGTTGGTGGTAGTTGTCGACGCTGCTGATACTACCCTGATCCCGATGGTCGACCCTGTCGGAGTTGGAGGTCCCTCGCTGCTATTCTGGAATGATGATTGAGTCGGGGTCACGGGAGAAACAGCGCCGGGACTGGGCAAATTGACGTGTATCGAAGGCAGGCGATCGATGCTAGGTAGCTGTCGGGCAAATTGATTTTGCTCGGTAACGGGACTCTGATAAGGTGGAGCATCACCCCAGTCCAGATGATCGTAGTCTGGGGGCGGGGGAATGTTCAGCGTTCCCAAATCTCCATCATCGCTTTGTGATGCTGGTCGGCTTGAACCATGCGTGGTAGTTGGAGCGAGAGTTAAAACATCGAGTTCCGTTCCAGTTGACTCGCTCATAATGGACGAACCAACAGACTCGATTCGAGAGTCACTGGACGGATTAATGGAAGGCGCAGTGGAACTAACAGCGTCGCTTTGTAACAACGGTCGGCTATCTGAATCTTGCGTGTCGGAATTATGCGAGTCGGCTCGAAGACGCGAGCCGTCATGACGAACATGGCCGATTGCTGCATAGGTAACACTGGAGATGCGACGGTCCCGTTCTCGCGAGCGATGCTCAGCGAGAGCCGTGGCCGTGGTCACACTGAGTGCGCTATTGGTTCCCGCACGGCGATGTTGCTCCCGGGCGCGGGTCTCAGCATTCAGCAGGTTGAGACGAGCGGTATCACCACGCGCTCGTGCTTCTCGTCGTTCTTGGCGGCGGGCCTCGCGATCGGCTAGTTCCTGACGACGTTGTAGGCGGATTTGATACAGCGAGTCCATCTGTTCCTCACGGCGAGTTTCCTCTTCTTCCGCAGTCTCGGGGTATTCCACAACCATATCCATCCCCCCGCGTTCACCTTCCCGGGCGATGACTCGTTCGGTCGGCTTCGGACTGAAGGAATAGGGGGGAAGGGTCATAATAGACCGGATCGAGGTTTCGCGGTGGACGCCTTCATTGGTTTGCATTTCTGGTGCAGCAGCTCCGCGATAAGCAGTATCGGGGCGATTTGACGTTTGATTCGGGACTTGGCCGTACGAGGACTTCCCTGGCGACCACTGTTTCCATTTTTGCTTGAGGTACTTCCCCGGGAGGTATTTCGGTTCGTATTGACGTTGGCGGAGATATCGACACAGGTAGTAGGTGCTCACACCGACCGCAATCGCGAATAGGATGGACACCGCAGCCTAGAGGAGGCACAGAGTCAGGGGGTATGCTGACGGGATGGATCGGAAGCACGCATTCCATGTACTTACAATGATAAATATCTTGTCCTTATTTCGTTGACCCTCTTGACGTTTGTGTGGAATGTACATTATGTCCATGAGCTGGCCCTAGAGATCCTCGATGGCAGGCATGAAATAAAATCCCCGGATTTCCAAAGGAATGAGAGAAAGCACCAAGCGCATCAGCCTCCAGCCACTTCGAAACAAAGCTTCCAGGCTGCTATTATTATACGCCAAGCACGAAAACGCTGGCGTGGCCCCCCGAGTGGAGGCTGGGAGCGTCACAGTTTCGCTTCTCCTTCAATCATATTGATTTCCTTCGCAAATGATAAACCACTGGATGAGCCTGGTCAAGTGCCGATCTTGTCTGCAATCGTCTGCAAATTAAATCAATTGAATCTTCTAGCAATATTCTCGGCCTTGAATTGCTTCCCCTGCCTCTTTTATTTCTCCGGGAGCACCAGTGGGGGCCAGGGGACGCCGTTTCGACCCTGAATGGAGTCGCCAATCTCAAATCATGCTAATATTGACTTCACTATTGACTATCGTGGCCGACTGCACGACTGCACGAGTCCCTTCGCGGCAAGGGTGGCAGAGGCACACCAGAATAGACCTGCCCTTGCATTGGACGCTATTTGATTTCATACCTCCTCCGTATACTCCGTAGGAGATCGTGCTACTGAACATCCCGCGATTTGCTCCACAGTTGAAGTTGGCGATGCGAAACAGGTCAAATCCACCTTCCGACGTGTCCGTGATTCTCGGCCCGCACCTCAGAGAATCAACGCTCGAGATTGAAACCTCCCTTTCCACTGTCCGTATCCTCTTCAATCCCCCCTTTTATTTCTAAACTGGGATGGAAACACCAAATAAATGCTGGATATGCTCAATCCACTAGCGTGTCTCAGTTGTTTCCTCACAGATTGTGGGTTGAAACTGCTAGTCAAAATTGTCTCGGGAACAGAGTCATGGGATTCCTCCACTTGCGATGGCTCCAATAGGCCCCTTCATATGTTTCTGGCGCTTCTGTTTGTCGAGGCTGAGCGCCACTTGCCTCCCGCGAATTGGAATACCCGAATACGCGACGAAAAATCAAGCATAGGTAAGAGAATACTCATAGCAAATATCGACGCCACAATGCTGTCAGAGCGACAACCAGATCCTTCAGTATGTACCCCGTACGCATGAGCGTAGATGGATGCCCCCTTCAGTACGCAGTCGGACTGTCAGAGTTGCTAGCATCAGCACCAATGTCCATCGGAATGCATGCTGCAGAGTACATTACCGAGGTCCTGCCAGGGGGTATCGCCTCCTCAAACAAATTGTCATATGTACCTCTATACTCCGTAGCCCAGCTCGGTTTGCCCGAGGCGTTTCGGGCCCTTATCACACGAAAGCTCAGACCAATGGATGGCATGATGCCGAGGTAGACAGCTAGGAGGGCGCCTTACTCTGTACAAGATACACAGTACATTCACAAACCAGGATAATAGGATGACACGATCAGGGATAAGGCCCCGACCTGTAGGGCGAAGCCTCCATGGCTGACGTCCACCCTATGAATCGCTGAGTGTTTTGCCTCGACCTTTCATTATGCTTTAGGCAGATTCTTTTCGGGGCCAGTGAGGCGCAATTAGTGGCGATTAGCCCCAAGGCTGACAGGCAAGGGCGTTGGTAGATTGGCGATCCCTATCCAAGTGTTATCAAAGCGTTTGCATCTTTGCCCACGTCTAGATGACACCTGCCAAACATGGTTCAGTTGACTCCAGGATCTACATGTAGCTTCTTGAAGCAGATTATATCAATCCCCACATCTATGTGACTACGGATTGGAGTTATTAGGCATAGTATTGTCATCTCCTAAATATCGTTAAGTTCTAGTGAAAGAAGAGTCAAGAGATCATGTAGACTTCTGGAGTTTCTACGTGTCTGTGCCAATGTTGGTTGCCTGAGTCCAGCCCCAAGAAAACGCCTCGAGGGTGGATGAGCTAAACGACCCCTGCCAGCCTTGATGCTGACAACTCCACGTCAAGGTCCCGAGAGAGATGCACAAGCTTTGACCTTGTGAAGAAAGCCCAAATACCTCCGAGGCCAGCTAGCTCCAATGGAGTATAGGTTTCACATTGCTGAGGTTATATGGTATGGTATTGGAAATAGCCGGAGTTTCTAGCATAGCAAGGCCTCGGTGAGATGGTCATAACGACGTGTGTGATTATGTTTCGTGACGATTGATCGTCGTACAGACACGAACTTTGACAGACCGCCCCTTCGTTATAATTTACTCCGTACTGTCCCTTCATTGTAATCTCCGGAGGCGTTTGTGTTCTGCCTATCTAACCGCACATACAGATCCTTGAACATTCATGTATCTGATCGGAATTGGCAGATGTCTATTTTATATACTCGCCATGAGAATCTGGGTTCACTTGACTCGAACTATTGAGCCATCGGGTGGTTTCGATTCGATTTTAGAAACCGGCAACAAAAGCACGCGCATTATCCTCTTCTCTCTTACTATATTTGGATATTGCTATAGTAACATGTGATTGGGTCTGGATGTGAGTTCAGATCCACCGGATCTTCGCCGTATACTGATACAAAGGGAATAGATCAAGGTGCCAAAGAAGATATTTACGCCATAGTTTAGTCTATTTAATATATGGCCTTGGCTCCATATATCACTGTCTTGAAAAGCATCATGGAATTGAACTCTCTATCTAAGCTTTCTAGATGATCTTGACCGTACGTTCACCGGGCAGCAACGCATGCTCAGATAATATGGATAATATATGTACCGGTATTTCCTGCTATTTTCCTGATATTGCGGTATGTGGGATAGTGCTTTGAGCGATCCTAAGCATTTGACTTGGCTTATAGAGGATCAAAGGATCCCGGACTTTGAGAACTTCGAAAACCTTGCGACTATCTGGTCATCTTCTTAGGCTATTTCGATGTTCTGTCGCCGCGTGATGTTCGGCGGGGTTTTTTGCTCTGGCGCAGGGTCATATTCGCATTTATTTAGCTCTTCAAGCCATCAATGCTAATCATTCTGTCCAACGTCGGTTAAACTCGGCGTATGGGGATCTGTTGTGCGTCGTGATATTCCTCAGCCTCAGCACTCGGGTCCTAAAAGAGCAGCATGATCTGCGAAAAACAAACTCCGGATTAGTTGTGTTGAGAGTTGTACAAAATCATAACTATCTTTGTCTCGTGGATGAATTGAAGCTATATCCAGCGGTGATATAAGCCCGTGGATGTGGTGGGATGGCCTCATCCTGACCCAATGGCTGATTCTGCAGTAGTCCCGCTGACCAGAATGAATATCGAAGATGTTCACACTCAGCTTTGTCGAAGCGAAAGTACTCTGTCGTTACTTTGCCAGATCTGTAGATAGTTGCATCGTCTTTAACTCGGATTTGATCCCCGCACGAAAGGGCCAGGATCGACGGGTGGGAGTGAGATCACCTGGAAACACGGCATGATCGCGCCGTTCTGCGGTGGGTTGGAGAAATAGTCAGATAGGGTGGTGTTGATATTGACGCAGGGTCTCTTTCGGACAGCGATCGACATGGTCTTGATCTAAAACAGGCGGTCGGACCAATGGGGAGAAAGCCATCGTCCCCGGGAAACCAAGTTGAGGTCATCGCCACGCTACATCACAGGGTGCTGTCACCATGCCCAACATGAACGACTTTGATACAACTTCAACCCAAGATATTGATCGCTGGCATATATTATGGGCCCTACCGCAGAAGAAAATGTGGGCAGCCATTTCAAATCCCCCATCAGCAGCTTTGTGGATCTTGACACGGCCTTCTCATTGGGCTTTGCACCAATCATTTCAACGCCTCCGTTCATTTATTTTCCTCTTCAACCAACGTGGGGAAATCGCGCTTATCGCCCAAAATGGCAACATTGAACTTTGTGTTGAGGAATAGCACCGGCTCTAACACGGTCTACGCCTATATCACCGGCCAAGCGCTTGATAATAACAACGCGCTTTTCCTGTTGCAATCTGATGGCAGGACACCCTATTACCCTACCTCGCCGTCGGCTACCTTGACCAGCCTGAGCTGTGATTGTGCAATCCCGCTAGGTGCACCTGGAAGTTCTACGATCATCACTGTTCCGCACCTCGCAGGCGCGCGACTGTGGTTCTCGCAAGACGCGAAATTGACCTTCTATCTAAATCCCGGCCCTGCGCTGGTCGAGCCTTCAGTATCTAACCCAACAGACTCCAACTACAATTTGACATGGGCATTCTGCGAATTCACTTGGAACAACTACCAGCTCTACGCAAACCTCAGCTATGTGGACTTCGTGTCCATGCCCATCGGCATGACGCTAACCAACAAATCCGGAGCAAGTCAAACCGTTCAGGGCATGCCAGCCAACGGCCTCGACCAAGTCTGTAATGCTCTCAAGGAGCAGCAGAGCAAAGACCATGCCGGCTGGGATCAGCTCGTAGTCCAGCGAAATGGCGTCAACCTTCGGGCCCTGTCTCCAAACACCGGAAGAACTCTGAACAACTCCTTGTTTAATGGGTACTACGACGACTATGTGAACCAAGTTTATTCTTTCTATGAGAGCAGCACCACCAATCTTCTGACGGTCAACACACAAGCTGATGCTGGTGATGTCACCGCCAAAGTTGCTTACGATATAATGTACTTCTCGATTCCGGGTATCTCTTACCCGAAGCCGTCTACTGCGGATATCTTCAGCAACAGCAGTGGCGCCTTTGCGGTCTCTGGGAATGGAACCAAGGACGCAATCACCGCTCGTCTGGCGGCTGCTTTCAATCGCTCGACCCTGTTGTTGAACGGTAGTCAGCCAAACGGAGAAAATGTCTCCAATTACTACCAGAACCCTGTGACGAACCACTACTCACGCATCTGTCATGCCGTGAGCCTTGATACCCGGGGATACGCATTTCCCTATGATGATGTTGCGCCTAACGGTGGTCCCGACCAATCGGGCAGTGTTTATGATTCCAACCCGCAGCTCTTGACCGTCACTATTGGCGGAGGCCCCAATCATTCGGTCAAGCCCTCTGTCGTTGCGGAAAGTGCTGTGCCAGCCCAGCCACCCCCGTTGAACTTACACACCAAGCCTAATGCAAGCAAGCCGGGCCGGTTCCATGAGTTCAAAAGGCTTATGAATAAGTTCTCGCACCACAAGTAGTGCTGTAAAGCACAGGATTCTCTCCATCCCCTCCAGGGTTGGTTCTTTGCTGTCGTATATTGTAAATGATCTTGTATATACGAACCAGGTCAATTTGATTTTATGTTACATACTATATTCGATTCCTCGCGCCCATACAGAAAGAAGAATGCCTGTAATTCAAAAGATGACCTGCATCATGGTAAGAAAAATCACGTTCCCTATGCCGAGTCTCCAGTATGCTTCTTGATGTAAGCAACCAACTCATCCGGCAAGACCAACCACGGCGTGTGCCCAGTCTTGATATTCTCGGTTTCAATCTGCGCGCCCTTTCGTCGCGCCCGTTCAACAAATACCCGCTGAACAGGGAACGGAGTCGTGAGATCCTCCTCGGTAAGAAGATAAGTAGAGGGGATATTCATGTATGCTGTACCGGTAGCAGGCGCAATCTGAGTCGCCCAAGAATGTGGCTTCAGAAGCTTAACCCACTCTTCGCCATCAGGAACATCTCGGAAAAATAGTATGAGCGGGTCACTCGTAGTCACGGTCCCATTCTCCTCCTAGGATAAATATGAGTAAAGCACGAACATAACCACATCGCAAATTGTTAAGCGCAAAAAGACAACAGCGGGCAACTTACATCGAGCACGTACCACGGCGGAGGCGTGCCACCAAAAGCGTTGATCAGACCCTCTCCAATGACAGGTAGGAAAGCAGCAATAAAGATGAGTTTCACGACGCCGCCTTTTTGGCCGGCTGCTTCGCGCTCTGACTTGCTCAGTCCGTCTAACGCGCTGCTTACCGGTAGTCCGGCCCAGCTGTGCGCGATGATGACAATGTCATGGCCAGCATCTGCTTCCTGCTGGGTGATAGATCGCACAGCTTCAATGTCGGGCTGGAGATCGGTGACTGAGCTGGCTTGCTCGATAGAGGGGAACGCGACACTGTGGCAGGTGTAGTCGGAGAGCCGCTCGATGATTGGGTTGAAGATGGTGGATGGGTACCACGCGCCCGGCGCGAAAATTAGAGTCGGCTTGGACATTGTCTCCTCCATTGATGTGGAAGATGAGGAGATTGATGAATGTGGCGCTCTTCCTCAAGGGTGATGCGTTGTAGCGGGATGAATATATCCGCCAAGAAATCTGCTCGCAATCCGCGAGGTTTTAGCAGTTTTCTGGGTTTTACCTGTTAGCCAACATCATCACCAGCCTATAGTGGCATACTATATAATTATGAAGAATCTGGGTTTGAGATTGATATTATCGGGATGATATCAATCTGTCGTTACAAGAGAAAGGATAAAAATTGAAACAAATGTCTCTCACGACTAACGACTACCGGAAGCAATCTGACTATCCACCCACTTCTTCTGGATCACTGAGCAAGGCGTATAACTTTCCATTCTTCCTTTTTGCCAGAACTCGATATGGGCCGTCCTCAACGACAACTCCCTGATCCAGCACAACGACGTGATTTGCGATCTCGATCATTTCCTTTGCGTGTGTGATAATGATGACAGTAAGCCCCTTACGCTCAGCCACTAACTTTTGCACTGTTCGGCGCACGATCTCGGCACCGGCGGGATCCAGACTAGATGTCGCTTCATCAAGTATCAAGATCTGGGGTCGACGCAGAAGAGCTCGTGCAATAACTACGCGCTGCTTTTGGCCACCTGAAAAGCCAACTCCGCCGTCTCCAATCACAGTATTGTAACCCCGAGGGAGCGAAGATATGAAGTCATCTATTCCTGCTCCTTGAGCTGCAGTGCGGACACTGTGCGACGACGCCATGGGTGAGTACTGGTCAAGACCGTAACTGATGTTTTCATGGATGGTGCCCGGGAAAATCGTGGGCTGCTGCGATACGATGGAGATCTGTGAGCGGAGAGTCGGCACATGCAGGCGGAGAATATCTGCACCACCAAGTGCCACTGTTGATGTCCCGGTGGCGGATACCGGGGCCTCGTAAAGCGCTAGGAGCAACGATGCGATTGTCGATTTGCCTGACCCAGATCGTCCTACGAGCGCCGTACAGGAATTGCGTGGGATTGAGATTGAGAGGTCCTTCAAAACTATGGTATTTGGCCGAGAGGGATATCGGAAATTCACCTTGGTCAGGGTGATAGGTGTGAGACTTGGAACTGTCAGGCTGCCAAGATGCTCGTGGGATCCATCTTGTGGTAGCCTCGCGAGTCGAATGAGATTTGTGGCTATCTCCCGAGAGCCGTTGATTTGTGGAACTATACATAAGTCAGTACGATATTCTCGAAGTGCTTGGGGGCGTACAAACTCCACGAGAGAATCTGGGCTGCGTATCCAATACTGAAAAGGAGCATTGAAAAGACCATCATGACATCGTTCACATTGAACTCGCGAGATGCTGCAAGTACCGCTCCATAGTAGAAGATCAAAGCTTCGAGAAAGTTAGAGTAGTACTGAACAAGAAGGTCATTGGCGTGCTTACCTGTTGAAAATACGACAGTTGATTCCACCAGACCGAAAAGCATGCCTGTATAAATGGCACGTTTCAAACCCAGAAACAAGCACCGTGCGATCGCGTTGGCTTGTTTGCGATGGAAATGTCCTTCAAGTGTCAAAGTCCTAACGGTACGGATCTCCGAAAAGGCCTCAGTAAAGATATCGGCGGCGATATTGTTCGCATCGTTGCATCGTCTTTCCCATAATCCATTGGTTCCCTCAAAGCCCCGGGTGATCACATAGATGACCGGTCCACACGAAAGAGCAACGAGTGTCAATTTCCAGCAGACAACCAAGCTCCAGATAATTGCCATGACAGTAATTGCAGCAGCAACAACCACAAGGCCAGCAAAACGGCCGAGTAAGTTTCGCATGTCTTCTCCATTCTGGTCGAGAGATGAGGTGAGTCTCAAAGATCCATTGCCATCCTTCTCAAACCATGCTCGTGGCTGATCGAGAATACGTTGGAAAGCATTCTTTCTAAAGGAGTCCATCCAAGCTTCGGCGCATATTTCCAGGAAGTAATGCATGAAAAAGGACGCAAGACCATCCCCGAAGGACACTCCTAGCACAGCCAGTGACCATGTCATTGTTAAGTGTTCACTATTGGATCCAGAATAAAACGTTCCAAATAGCTGCGACAAACAATATGAGAACATCGGCGTTGCGCTTGCATGGACCAGTGCTGCTGCGAATCCTAGAAAGAGAATGACTCGCTGCCGAAGAGTCAGAGTCGAGAGAATAGTGCCCATGATATGAGAGAGCGGCGTCATCTCCTCTTTCTCCATGTCCCACTCTTTTGGTTTCTTTCGATGGCGATGTGACTTTTTGCTGTGTTCTAGACCCGACGGAGGTTCGCTAGTATGTTGGGGAGGGCATTGATCCGACCTGGACCGATGATCATCGATCTGAACCAGTTCGACTTCTTCCGCAGGAAATTCGGTGGTCATTCCTTTGGGGTCTTTGCGGGAACCTGGTACTTCTGCCATGAAAGACAAGCGTTTGCTCCAATCTTGCAAGGGCGATCTGGGGGAAACCCTACCTCTGACAAAATACTCCGAATTGCGCCTGGAGGTCAAGTCCAGTGAGCCTGAGCGAAGACTTGGAGGGATATGGCCATGCGCCCAGGATGTCCGGGAACGACGGAGTCCGAATGAAGCCATTGGGACCCGTAAGTTGTCCCAGCCCTCCGACGATGAGTCGTCCCACGCATCATCCATATCATCCAAAGCTGTGCTTTTCCTAGTCTTGTCCTCTCGGCTTTCCCTAAGCTTTGCAGGGAAATACTTCTCGCTCCCTGCACTAGCCTCAACTACATATCTGTAGCCTGATTTCACGATTGAGCCCTGTTCGAGGATGTACAGGAAGTCCCGTTCCTGTATTTGTGACATATCATGAGTTATGATAATGGTGGTCTTGCCTTTCCTCCATTCACGGATTGCCTTCATCACTGCGACTCGGTTTTCGTGATCAAGAGCACTAGTGGGTTCGTCCAGGATCAGGATCGGGGTGTCGCGTAACTTTGCTCTAGCAATTGCGACTCGTTGCCTTTGACCACCACTCAAAAATGTTCCGCCCGGGCCTACGCAGGTATCAAGTCCTTTTGGGAGACCAGCTATCGTGTTCTCTAGCATGGCTAGCTCAATCGGATTTTTGACGTCTTGCTCTCCAACGGATTCATGATCCTGGCGACCAAAGGCGATGTTGGTGATGACAGACTCATTGAAGAGAACACTCTTTTGCTCCACCAGAGTGATGTTGTTCCGGATCCAGTTGATATCAAGTTCTTGCATTGGAATGTGATCAATTAGAATATCTCCGGAGGTTGGTAAGTAGAATCGCATCAACAATTGGCTGAGAGTACTCTTGCCGGAGCCGCTTTTCCCAATCACAAATGTTGTCTCTCCCGCAGGGAAGAAGAAGCTTGAGGGCTTGAGGACACATTGATCGGGCTGGCTGGGGTATGAAAATGATACCTTGAAGGTTGATCGTTAGTGTCCAGGTTAGAACTGAGTTAAAGAGTGAACTCACGTTTTTGACCTCGATATCACCTTCGCAATGCTCCGGATAGCGTTTTCCCTCCACCCCAGTAATGATATTATCTTCTCTGTGGCTCTGTATTATGGCTTTGAGGGCCACTCCAGCGACTTTCCCTTTTTCCATTACGATCATCTGCGGCAGAATCTGCTCGATGGACTGGGCTGCGGTCAGGCAGGCCCAGAAGGTTCTGAGCACTTCTCCCGACGTGAGCTTTTCAGCACGAGCAAGCGAGCTTCCATACCAAAATCCCTGTACAAACATAGCGAACATCATCCACCGGATGAACGCAACTTGTAAAGCATTCAACCGAGCTTGTCGAAGGTAATGTGTGGCGGATCTCTCAATCCGCTCGGCAAAGTTCCCATGCTCAAAGGCTTGTCCATTGAGGCATTTGACTGTATCGATATTCGTGATTGCATTGTTAGCAACTTTGGAAGCCTCCGTGAGCTCGACCTGTTGTGCGGTGATACTGAACTTCATTCTGGAAGAGAGGAACCCGATAATCGAAGTAAAGATGGGGATGCCCGCAAGGGTTACTAGAGAGAGGCTCCATGATGTGTAAAAGCCTAGTCCTAGCGAAGCTAGTGAGCGGCACGAGTATTGTAGTACGAGGCCGAGCGGCTGCGAAGTTGCCATTTGCATTTCGTGGATGTATCTAATACCAATGTTAGAGAGAAACTTTCAGCGAGGATAATGGCAAACTGACGCTTGGATTCCCGACAGCAATGCCCCTGAGCCTTCACTTTTGGCCTCAAACCATTCAACGTCGTGCCTGAGCAACTTCAGAAACACTTGGCTTCGAATATTGCAGGCTTGCATTTCCCCAAACACAACGAACAGAGCATAGTATCCACCGTTCAAGAACCAACCAGCCGTGCCCAGTCCTATCATCCCGAAACAATTTGTGATAATTTTGTTGCTAAGCTCTTGGGCATCGGTCTTTTGAGCACCAAAAGAATTAAATGCATCAAAAACATTGCCGAGGAAGACTGCGAGCGCCGGCGTAACACAACTCGCAACCAGGGCGAAGATAGACCCGAGTATGAGAGTCGGTAGATGTCTTCGAGTCGTGAACGCAAACAAGGACTTCCATCCTGAGTCAATCTCGGGAGGCTTTTCTTCTTTAGTGTCAACCTGACCAGAAGTCTTGCGTTTAGGCCACATCCTTTCCGAAAGACTTGAAGGTCACATCGAAGACTTGATGGGACACGCGGGGAATTTTCGTCAAATGCTATAGTCCCATAGCAGTGGCGTAAAAAAGGAGAAGACACAGATAGACACGAAAGAGCCATCATGATACTGTCAATATTGTTCCATAAAGACAATCCACGAAAAGAACAATACTAAGAAATAGCCAAATGGAGTAACATTGAAGGGGGAGGGGGAGAACAAAGACGCTGATACTCCGACATTGTTGCGAGGCATGTGAGATAAATGTGCCATTCATAGTTCTCCTGCTCTCCAGAGACGAATACATTCTCCCCTTGTAATCAGGATTTATCACTGCCCAAGAGAAGGTGAAGGTAAACTTACTGAGTGCCGGAGGGGCAAGCTCACGTTAATCACCCACCCGGGATTCTAGCAACTCGAGGCAAGAAACAAAGCACCATTGAAGATAATATTTTATTCGGGGTATATTTTGGACCCAATGCCCACAGGCTGTGCAAGTTTCGGTGAACAGTTAATCTACATTTGGGTGCGATTGACTTGGTTCGATGGTAAATCAAAACCAAATATCTATGGGGTATTACCACGCTTTTATCGTAATACTCGACCTTGAACTTTGATATTGCAGAGCATTGCAAGCAGTATCCCAGTGTCAAGGCCGTTCATGACCCGCGCTACAATGAAAGACGCAAATGCCGTCGGCCAAATCAGCCCGGATGTGGAACTGTCTTCAAGTTCAAGAGAAGCAGCAATGAGGCGCTTGTTATAATCAAGAGCTGGCCTTCTGGGCCTTCTCGTAAATCCAATCGTTCAGGCCGGCGCGGTTTCTGGAAAACATCATTAGTTTTCGTGCATGACTCAACCAACCCCGTTCGGGACTCACCTGGCGATCTCAACGGCATAGAACTGCATGCGCACACCGAAGATGGTGGTATCCTGGTCATACTCGGCATCTGCGCGGGTCCGGATGATGGTGCCAAAGTTGAAGTCGTCGATCTTCTCCCACTTCATCATCCAGTTGCGCCACTTCTCCTTGCCGGCCTTGCTCTTCATCTCATCTTCGACAAGGGTACCGGCGGGGTCGAAATCGGGGAATGCCTCAATGAAAGATTCGTAGATCTCGTTGTCCTGCTTGGTCAAGCGGAGCTGCGAACCCTTGACCTTCTCCAAAATAGCCCAGTATGTCATGAGATGTTCAACGGCTATTATTATCCGAGACCATTAATATTCTGAAATTTTCGAAGATTTGATTGGAATAGAGATCGATGCGCGACTGACCCTTAACGGCGAACTGCTTCTCCATCTGTTGCGATTATTAGCGCTCAAGGTTCTTTGGTTATTGGTCAACATGAGGGGGGATCGTACATCCTCCAGGTTCTCAGCCTCCTCGGGGTTGAAAGCCTTCGACATTTTGACGGTTGAATTCCAGCGACTTATGTGAAATATGGACAAGGAAACGGGTGTTATAACGAGCGGGGAGGGAGGCAAGTGGGAGTGTTAAATGCCCCGCGCATAATTTTTTTGACGGGCGGAGAGCAGCTCCATGTCCAGTCCGCCTTGCATAACGTCATTCCGCTCTGGGGGGGTATTACCTTTCCCAGGAACAACCCATATCAACGCCTACATCTATGTATACTATGCTGCGCAGCTATATTTGCTTATAGGTATTTCATTCAATCTCACAGAAATCCAGGGGATCTACCTAATTTACATTCAACCACAAGAACCCTGATGGTTCATCAATGCACACCAGCATTCCTAGATCCACGGAGATCTACTAAAGGGTATAATCCATGCACACATGGGCCAAATTCACAAATTGTCCAATGGAAACTCCGATAGGCTAGGTGGCCACGCCGAATACAATACCGAGGCGAAAGCAATGTCTAGTCACTGTCAGAATCATCTGGAAGTTCTTCGAACCTTCCCTCATGGAAAGCCTGAGTCACAGGGTTCTCGACATTGAGAAGGCCATTTGCTTTTGCTCTGCGATGGGCATCATTAGTAATAGCGCTAGATACCTTGTTCAGGATGTACTAACCTCTCAAACAACACAAAGAGTCTCTCGGCCTCACGCTCCTTCTCCTCCCGGGTCATAGGCGGACCAGGATCCTGTGGCTCAGCGGCCCACCTCTGCCCAGTAATCGGATTACGAGCAGTCGAAGGGTCCTCGTTGATTGAATGTGTCTCACGAGCACTCTGTGGCATTTCAATGCCGCGTGCGGCCAGGAAACCAGCAGCGAAGCCATAGCCAATGTTCTTAGTCAGGGTCTCAGCATCCTTACCTGAGAGCACAAACATCAGCTCGGAAATGGTAACTTTGAGGTTCGCAAAGTGAGTCGAGGAGAGCTTGAGGAGCCTTGAGGAAAGTGTGTCAGACTGTCCAATTGGAACGGTGCGGTCACTATCCTCGGGCAAAAGAAGCCCCTGCATGTGCTTGCGAGTTCCATCGGGTGCCACTTCGTAGGTGGCAATAAGTGAATATAGTAACGGGACTGCCTTCGACTCCAGTTCCTCGGGGCTATACGAGGAGATAGCCTGGTCCAAGATATTGACTAGCCTATCCACGTTGTGGTTCTGGTTGAATGTCGGGAACAGGGGGCTGCTCTCGAAGATCTTGCTTTTCTTTTCCTCCAAATCAAGGATAGACAATGCATTAAGCAAACAGCCAACGAGCCCATCCAGGGGCTTTGCTGGGATCTCAATACGACTTAAAATCTTCAGAATGTGAGGAATTGACGGGGAGAAGTCAGCAGCAAGATCTGGAAACATCTTGGAGATGTTGTATATCAACTTGAGTGTATCTGTTAGTGCCAATTCATCCATTTGTGTCAACGGTTTTCGTTCCGACTTGGGAAACTGCTTCGCATGACGGTCCAATTGCTATACTTGTCAGCACGTTGAGCAAGGTTTGAGTATGGTTAGCAACTTACGTAGTTGACGTTATCTCCCAATGCGTGGTTCTTGATTAAGTCCTTGAAATCCAGTGTTGTGTCATAGGTCGCATAGAACAATATCCGACTTGTGACCATCTCGTCTTCTGATTCGTCGGTCTACTCAATATCAGCTTCGACATCAATGCTTCATCTGCTGGGGGCGTACCTTGAGCTTATCTGCTAGCTTTCCGCTATATCCCGTGTCGACAAAAGCCTGGCGCATTTTGGGGTCAAGCAAAAGCGCATTTGCAACACAACGTAAGGCCGCTCGCCGTACGTCGGGAGTCTCTCCCTCAACGCCATAGCGCACCAAGATATTTATGCCCTAGAAATCATCAAAATTGGCTATATTTTCCGGCGGATGGCTTCATCGGTTGCGCTCATACATTCTGTGAATAGATCGGTTCTGCGTTGGTAGGATTCGTCCCGTGCTGTCGGAGCTGGAGGAGAGTTTGAACTTTGGCTAATGCATTGGGTCAGTGTGGCTCAATCCATTAGATTGTTTATCACATCCGACGTACCTGGCGTGGAGAGGTTGTTCTCTTGTAGGTCTTTCTCGAGAGACTTGAGCAGCTGCGTCACCTGCTGCAGTTTCGCTGTAACCCCAGACTAGAATCAGCCAATCTGCTAGCTGGATTTGACCTTCAAAATCGTCGAAAGATACCTTGTCCTTGCATCTGAAGAAACGACATGCTAATCTAAGCTCGGGCCGACTCAAATGTTCTGCGTGGGTAGGGGGTTACTGCGGGCTGCGAGCTGCGAGCTGCGGAATTGGAGTCACTGATGTCTCGTGCGGAAGTAAAATCCCCGTTACAACATAGCAATAGGGCCACACCGCAGCTGATTTGCAGGATACCCTCAAAGGAACAGAGGGAAAGACGAGAGCAAGCGACGCGGGGAAGTCAAGTGCAAATCGTCATAAATTATTTAGCAGCACCCCACTCGAGCGTCTCTGGCTAAGAACGTTCTCCATCTGCGAGAAACTATACCAAATGAGACAATGGCTACACTTTATGAACACATAATTAAGGAAACCACATTCTATCGTTTACAATTGAAGCTCGGTCCCTATATGATGCCAGATCTTGGTGAACTCTACAGCAGGGAGTGCTAAGTATACCGAAGTCTGCGGTAATCGACCGCAATCAAGTGAAACATCGAATACTAGAAAGGCCAAATGCTGATAGAAACTATCCAGGCCGATATTTTCCATCTACTCGCGTTTCATTGACGATGCGACGACAACTGCTCCCGTGTGTTGATGCCTCGTCGCCTCAGGCGGTGACACTTTACGCGCATCGCGGCGCGTCGGAAACCTGAACTTAGTTTTCTCAGGTTTCTTAAGGTGGCTTCTTGATTCTACAATTTAACCGATCAACAGGTCATGGCCAGGGCGTGAATAGCATCCCTTCCAGCAATGACCTTTGACTCTTGCTTCCTTTCCTTCTTTACACTTTTTGTCTGAATCATGGTGGAGATTCTCTCTGCTCGTCCGCCTACACCCCCAAGGACAGGTTCGCGCATCGTGATTGACGAGAACATCGAGTCGCCGGTCGTTGTTCAAACACCCAAGGAATCGACATTTTCGGCACTGGAATCGGGGGCAGCTGGCCCCTCCAGCCGCAGCTCAAAGAAAGTGAATTTCTCGCCATGGCCCAAGTACATCAAACCACCGACCTTTGCTAGTGTCATGAAATCAGCTCCAGACCACAAGACTATCCCTTCATCCACGGACTCCAAGCCCACGAAATCGATCCTCAAAGCAACACAGTCGCCGATCCCTGTATGGTCGCCCAATGTCGATACATTCACCACTGAATCGCTTGCCATGCTGCTCGAATCGGTCATTCAACAACTGGCCGGCGAGTCGATGAGCTCCCGACTCGATGCTTATATGCAATTCTTTGGCGCATTGCGCACGTATGATGGATTGCCGGCTGGTCATGATATTGCGGAAAAATTAAATCTCATAACCGAGTTCATTCAGCGGGATGTGAATCGGGAGCTTACGAACGGCGTCCCTCTTGATATCAATCTTGTCAATCAAGCTCTCAAGTTGTCGGCCGCATTTGTTTGGCATCCACAAATCTCGACACAACTCTCGGAGGAATTCAAAACTTTCTTGGTCGACCACTCGATCACTTGCCTCCACGAGGTCAAGGCACCTAAATCTGTTTTGACGCACTACATGTCCATATTGTCTACACAAAACTTCGGCCCGAAGATTATGACCAGTGCGCGTGTTATTCGTCTTCTGACTGTACTGCAAGACATCACCAAGAATATCAGTGGCAACGCAATTGTTTCCCATCGATTGAACATCTATCAACGGCTGCTGAGTCAAGCCAAGTCCAGCTTCATCTCCCAATCAAGCCTATGGGTTGAACACCTTATATTTGCGCTGCTCCATCATTTGAAAGATACAAGGTCAAAAGCGATCGCTTTAGGCTTCCAGGTGGCTACCGAAGCCGGTCCAAATACTATACTGTCCAAAAACATCCGTGATCTTTTCGACCGGCCTCTTGACCACGACCGCAAGCTTGTAACGGAGGTTCGTGAGCGCATGACTCGAATGATGCCGACAGTGGATAGTGGTGTGCATGTTCCTCAGATCTGGAGTATCATCATTCTTCTGCTCCGGAGCAAAAGATACAATCTGGAGCAGTGGGATCATTTCAAGGAATGGGTTCTAGTACTTCAGAAGTGTTTCAATTGCAGCGAAGCAGCAATAAAAGCACAGGCAATCGTGGGATGGAATCGATTTGTCTTTGCTGTCAGTCCTAACGAATCGACAAGTCGATCGCTGCTGAAGATGCTGGGAAAGCCAGTACTCTCCCAATTTGACCGCAAGAAGACCGACAAAATCGACAAGTCAGGCTCACCGCCCACTATGCTTGCTCTAACGAGCTACCACAACCTACTGTACTATACTTTCCGCCCTTCGGCTTCATACCAGCACCTGGATATCATATGGGAGGAATATGTGCTTATTCCGTCTTCGGGAATCTTCTCATTGTTTCCGGGGCTCAGCGATTGTCTCTCGCGCATATTGACTAATCTGCTGTGGAGCACACAAGCTAAGATCTGGACTGAAAATCGAATCAATGACACCACCAGGATAGAAGCCGAGGAACTCCCTGCAGTTGACAGCAAATGGGTTCGATCAAGAATTACCTCGATTCTCAATGTTTTTGAACATCTTTTCAAGGCTTCAGTTTGGATCGATGATGCGGTTGGCACATCACACGTGGCATTGGCCTGGAAAAGTCTATCCAATGCTCTATCATTTGCCTCCAGCAAAGAAATCACTCCCTCTGGGGAATCAACGCAAGCTATTGCCAGCGTCTGGGGTCTGTTGCATCGCCTTTGGACTGCAGGCCCGCCCTCTTTGAACGCCGATAGTGCAGATGTTTTCTTTGAAAGATTCCAATTCCTGTCCACCTCAATGACTGGCTCCCTTGGAAGTATTCCATTTACCGAAAAACTTCTTTTGCGAAATGCGGATGAATCCACGAACACCGTGGCACCTCCACCAGGAAATACGGCTCCCGAAGGCCCTCTTCTTCATCTTCTTCGGATTCTCAGTTGTACCACAGGGACGATCTTACCAAACCAGGCCTATACACGGTTAGTCTTGAGTAATATCGAAACGGCATGCAACAGCAGAATGTCCCGTGGATCCCGTCTCGAGCTTCTACAACAGTGTGCAGAATTGACCACTACGAGAACGAGTGCTATCCCCTGTGTGCCTCAACTTTCGGAGATGGTTTGGAGCGCCACTGCCCAAACAGCCGCAAATACATTGCAGTCGTTTCCTATAGAATCTGCTCGTGAGCGTGACGGCTCTGTATCCCGTGATTATGAAAATATCATCAGGATTCTCTCGTTCGGCGTCGCATCTGCATCCACTTTCAAACAGTGGTCACATTTGCTAGAATCTTTCGTTCGCGTGGTTCGAACAGAGAAAGGGAACCAAGCTGTTGCCTCAATCATTGTGGAACCCATGGCCGAACGTCTGATCCGTCTTCCCTCTGACGATATCTATCTTCCTTCAACTTCACTACTCAGTCATTCCTTGTCTATACCTTTCCTTCAGGGCACCGGTCTAGGGATAAATAACGACGGCACGCAACCTATGGTTCATGATCTTTTCCCTCGTCAACTTATTGAGTTGACTGCCCAAACACTACAACGTGCATATGACGATTTTGGCTCATCAAAAGCCCTTGATCTTGCCGATTTCATCGAGGCGTTGACTTCTTTCTTGGTGTCTGGAATTCCACAATTTCAATGCCAAGTTCTCCAAAGCCTGCAGCTACCACTGAGTCTTTGGTTGAAAGACGATTCCTACAAACTCAATGTTGACCGCGGTGTTGACAGCCGGATTCTGACCGCATGTCAGGCACTGTCATCAGCTACTCTCAATGTCTTGCAAACTTCGGTTCTCCATGATTCATCTTCTTTCAAAACATTCGAACATATTGTGTGTTCCGGATTGGAGTCATCACACATGTCAGTAGTCAAGAGGTATGTCGAACTCTGGAATTTGACCTCCGGTTCGCAGTATTTTGTCAGTCCAAGCACCATTTCAGATACCGTGCAGGCTGCCGAGTCCAGGATTCAGAGCGCAGCCTCGCCTCTGCAAGACAGTGGTCAGGATATCCAGATGCAAGGCCTCCCTCCTAGGCAAGGTGCACTTGATCGGAAATTCCAACTACAGACTCAAGCCTCTCAACTTTCCCCGCCTGTGATACGGACTGGCGACCCCATGGACCTCAACTCAACAGAACAGTTCAATGAACCCCAGTTACCAAGTAATTTCCAGCAGCCCACAGACGCGCAAATTGCTTCTGGCCTCTCGGTTTCTCACAAGCGTAAAAACCGTCGTGGAATGTTTTCGATGATTGAATCCATTCAGTCCTCGTCGCCAGCTAGTACTTCACGGGAATTGGGCTTCAACACCCCTCCCCAGTTGCGCAAGCTTGGGGAATCACTGAATGAAATTCCTTTGACGCCCACTCTCGCACCAACAGAGAACGAAGAGGGTTTCATCGGCTCATCTCCTACACCTGGAACTAGAGACCCGACACCCGCGGCTAATTCTGACGCCCTCGCATTGAGTCATCTTCCTGTGGAAGTTGAAACTGATCTCCCATCCTCTCCACCTCAAATCCATTCTCAAACCCCAAGCCCTCGGAAAGCTCTCTCGAAAAGTGCTCGGCGAAGGGCTGCGAAGGCCAGAAAGGCTCTGGCTGCTAATGCTGGAAAACAGTCAACGGTCAATACCCCAGCTACTTCCCGCCTTGCGACAGAGAATGTCGATATTTCGATGGAAGATGCTCATGATCACAATGACGCCGATGCCGACGCCGACGCGACGCCTAGAGCAAATGATATGACCCCCAGCCGGAATCTCCGGTCTTCCCTTGGCAAAGATTCAAGTACAACCGAGGCATCTCAAATATCACAGTTCGACACCGATAAAACCCCTGTTCCGCAGCCTACTCGGAAGAGTAAATCAAACTCAAGTTCCAAGAAGAAAAGAAAGCCAAGCCAGTCTAAGCCTGTTGATGATCAACCTCAACCACCCATGGAAATACCTCCTGATGTTCTTCCGGATAATTTCATGGACTCAAGTGAGGAAACTGAGACGCAAATTGCATCTCAACTTGGATTAGATTTGGAACTGGCAGTGGATATGGACGACAAAGATCATGCGAAACGAGCAAAGCCTGCTGAGGAGCCACCTGCATCTACCAAGAAGAGAAAGCGGGAAGAAGAACAAGTTCCCTCCTCTGCAAAAACCGACAGGCGCAGGTCGACGCGGCTTTCCACTGCCAAGGACCCAGTCGTTGCCGCCCCATCGCAGCCCGATGATTCACACCTGCACCCTGCCATCTCTCGGGCTGTGTCTCCAGCTAAATCATTGTCACCGACTGCTACTCGTCGATCTGCACGCAACGCTCAACGAAAAGAAGGGGACAAAGCTCTTGCCGAGTCAATTCCCGCAACTGAAAAATCTGTTGCGGAGCCTACACAGGATTGTGAGACCCCACGACCATCCAAAAGGTCTCGCAAATCCCTCCGTCTTCAGGACCAATCTGGTTCTAATTCCATTGCGAGCACTCCCCAAAGTGTCTCTACGGATACCCGCCCCCGCAAAACTAGGTCTCAGCAACAAGAATGTGTATCTGAACCCCAAATTTCTAGCGTCCTATCTCAAAGTCATGGCGATACCGACCACCTGCCACCTCATATCGACCTGGACATTGTACCTGAGAGTGTTATTACAGATGAACACGCGGAGCAGAACATCCCCATCGTTTCCACCGAAGAGGCAACTGCCAGTCAAGCCTCTGAAATGGAGCGCCCCATCGAGCCCGTTCTCAACTCGGACATTGAAATGGACCTCGATACAAATGCCCCTCAGCAATCCGGAGCCATTGTTGAGCAAATCACAAGTGTGGTTACTGCGGGTACTCAAACCCAAGATACATCTCCCGAACCCAAATCAGACACTAGCGAACGAGGGATCGCCCAATCTCTGAAAGTCCTTTTGGATGAAATGAAGCTGACGACATTGGGCCCCAATGCTTTCCGCGAAGTCGATGATCTTCTTTTCAAACTCCGTTGTGAAGCGCAAAATGCATCAGCGCGACACAATACTTCAGCATAGCGAATGGCGTTTACAGCGAAAACTGTTGGATATGACTTTTTTATATATATTGGACCCCTTCTCATCATTATTCCCCACTTGCATCCTATATGTGGCTTCATTGCCTGAAGCGCAGCGCCTATTTCATCGTCTTGGCCTGCGTGACTCTGAATTTCTTGTCTTGATGTATTTTATCTTCTCCGCGCTTTGGGTCTTCTGCGGGTATAATAAAATCCAAATATGGAACATTATGACTATTGAAAACGAAATGACCAAGGCCTAGGGCAGGATCGCATCCACACTAAGTCTACCTAGTCCACGTCTACACCTCCCTCCACACGTGCTCCCAACCTCTTTTGGTCGCCACCACTGAGAGAGGCAATGAGATTCGGTACTGGCCAGTTGGAGTCTGAACCGGAGGTGCCGGTAGTTTACTGCCCGGGTGGAATGTCACGATGACGAAGAGTGCCACCCTTCCTAACTAATATATCAAAAGGCAGATTTGTCAAGTCGGTCGAATCAATACGACGCAAATTCCTTCCGATCAAATATTCAGGTGTCCTATGTACATACCACCTTGACGGTTTTCGTCGGCACAATGGCCACCCCAGGAACTCAGTATATGATGCAAGCCGGCCTAGCAGCCGGCATGTCGGGCACACAGGGAATGCATTCACCGCATCCTAAAGAGGTAGATCCCTATCTCAGCGATCCGGTCAACATGCTCCCGGCCGACCTGATCCCGAATTCCGAAAGCCGCATTGCGCTGCGCGGTGTGAGTGGCAAGGACGTGCTCGTTCCTTATATCAGTATAGGTGCATGGTCATGGGGCGACAAGGCAACCTTCAACTACAACCCCACACAAGATCTACCACGCATCCACGCAGCATGGGCCAAACTCAAGGCCGTTGGATTGACCTTCGTGGATACAGCGCAGTCCTATGGTGACGGCGAGAGCGAGCGAATCTGTGGGACCTTATTCCACGGAATGCCTCGTAATTCCTTCGTCGTGCAGACCAAGTGGCTATCGACGCCCGACATGACCAACACACTCATGCAATCTGGCGGGCCCAAGTCTAAGCTCCGGGACTCCCTTGTCCGCCTGAGACTAGACTACGTTGATATCTACCTCGTCCAGGGACCTATCCACCCTAGCACAATCTCCACTGTCGCCAAGGGCTTGGCCGAATGTGTGGAATCTGGGATGACGCGTGCGGTTGGAGTTGCTAACTACGACACGAAAGAGATGATCAAGATGGCCGACGAGCTGGCTAAGCACGATGTCCCGCTCTCCGTCTGCCAGTGCGAGTATTCGATCGTCCGGCGCTTGCCTGAAGTCAGCGGCATGATCCGAGAATGCAAAAAGCGGAGTATTTGTTTTCAGGGCTTTGCCTCGCTGGCCGAGGGCCGTCTTTCTGGTAAATACTCGCGCTTCAATGAGGTTCAGCGGAGACGGCGCTTCAGCAGTTATCCCATGCATATGTTGGAGCCCACCATCAATGTCTTAAAGGGTATTGCCGAGGAGCGCCGCGTGCCTGTTCCTGCTGTCGCGATTAATTACTCCATCAATAAAGGTGTTCTGCCATTGGTCGGCGTGCGCGATGCCGAACAAGCCGAGCAGGATATGCAGGCGCTTGGATGGCGACTGAGTGAGGATGAGATGAAGCGGATTGAGGGAGTCAGTCTGCAGGGTAGCAGATCATCGTTTATGCAACACGGGTAGGCAATTCTTGATTGGGGGCATAGATGCTGATCTAGACAAAAAGTGTACAGTGTAAATTATATCAAGCCTGTAGGTCCATACAGATAAATATGTTGCATTTGGATCGACTCTGGTAGCTCCAAAGGAACGCGAACCCCCAATTTATAATGTATTCCCAATGGTCATGCAAGAATAACCGAATCTCCAATTTACTCCAAGACATCCCCATGAAACCGAAATGTCGTGCATAACAGGTAGCTAAGGTCCGATGTCAACAAAACAAGCGGGGCCGATAACCAGCTCCCCCGCCATGACTTCAACGTGGAACACGAGACATCCGCCTCTTTCCCCTCTCAACACACCTTCTCTATTCCTCCAGCATCATGGACCGATCTAACAAGCCCTCTGCCATTGGACTGGGAGCTTCCCTCCCTCAGCCCTCCCTCTCCATCAAGGATAACATTATTGAAGCTTCACTGCCCACCGGCCAGTCAGTGACCGTGCACTTATATGGTGCTACCGTGACCTCGTGGAAGGCAAATGGCAAGGAGCATCTGTTCGTCAGCGAGAAAGCTCACCTGGACGGTTCCAAGCCCATCCGGGGCGGCATTCCTCTGGTGTTCCCGGTATGTGAACAATTTCTCCGCTTCTTGAGCTACAGCTAACCACCTTGCTTCATTCTCCAGGTCTTCGGTCCCCCGCCGCAGAACCACGCTACCTCCCCTCTACCACAACATGGCTTCGCTCGTAACTCCAACTGGGAGTTCTTGGGCAAGTCCTCTTCGGAAGCGCCCGGAAGAGATAGCGATCAAACCGATCTCACCGTGAAGTTGGATTTCGGACTGTCGCATTCCATGCTGACCGAGCAATTCCGTGAGGCGTGGCCCTATGAGTTCGGTCTGGTGTACAGTGTTACCCTCACAAAGGACTCGTTGGAAACGGCGCTGCAGGTTCGCAATGAGGGCAAACAGAACTTCGAGTTCCAGGTTCTGATGCACACATATCTCAAGATTGCGGTATGACATATACTTCTGCATCATGTCCAATCTCCAACTAACTTGAACTTTTGCAAATAGGACATCTCCGATATCCGTGTCAAGGGCCTCGAATCCAAGACGTATTCCGATAAGACCCTCCAAGGAACCTCCCACACCGAATCGTCCCCTGCGTTGCCGATCACACAAGAAACCGATCGCGTTTATAAGGATCTCAAGCCCTCCGTTCCCATTGTCGTTGCCTCTGCTAAGGACGACAAGCCTTTGTTCTCGATCACCCGGGAGGCTTTGTCTGATATTGTGGTCTGGAACCCATGGATTGAGAAGGCCAAGGGCATGGCCGATTTCGGACCCGATGAGGCTTACAAAAACATGATCTGTGTGGAGGCCGGCTCGGTGTCTGGCTGGCAGACCCTTGAGGCCGGAGAAGCCTGGGAGGGTGGACAGAGCATTCAAGCGCGCCTGTGAAGAATGGAGGATACGCTGTGCTCTTATGATCTCTCTTCACGATAGTTATGATGTTAGAACGCTTATTCCCAATATCCAGATTGAAGGACCACTAAGTTAGTGGCCATGTCTGAACTTTACATATACACTGTCCCTTAGATTCCTGTTGAGAGCGTAATGTATTTGATACAAATATCCCTATCATTTCCATGGGATATTAGCTAAAATATAAATACATGTGCATGTACTTCGACAAGATCAAACATGATCAAAAAGCAAGAAAAACAAAAACGCCAGTCCCTTTCCCGCCTCTCCAGAGTCCTTTTCTGGTTCTCGTTATCATCAATCATCCCCCTGTTCAACACGCGGGGTTGGTCCATTCATAGTATCAACAAAAGATCGACGGCCCTCCTTGCCATCTTGATAGGCAGCCAACCTCTCCGCAGCCTCAAAACTATAATGCGGACCATGGTATTGGCGTCTGCCACGGAAGAACCACCAAAACGCAGTGAGGACCATCAATCCCACGGTGATCACACTGGTGTAGTTCATATTCTGAACCGTGGCCGGCATCACAAATGGGAAACAGAAGAAAACCACAGTGACCAAAATATATATCAAAGAAACAACATTAACGAACATCCCAAGATTCTGTCCCATATAGAATGGCCCAGGGACCATATTCTGACGACCGGACAAGACATGGGGGAGGATGGCACCAAAATAGGACAACGAGCTCAGCACGATGAATGACGAGATCAACGCTTGGAATGCCGTCGTGCTGCCAATGTATATACATCCCAGGCAGGTGACGAGTGCGCCCATGGCGACTGTTGCACGCACAGGGCATTTTAGGGTTGGGTGGACTTGGGCGAAATAGCTCGAACAGGGCGTTGCGTTATCGCGCGCCAGACTCCACCACATTCGACCGCCTGTCACAAATGTGCCAATTAGGGTTGGGAAGGTTGCTAGGAAAAGTACCGCGATCAGGCCGATTGCGCCTGCGTTGGAGCCTGTCGCTTGTCGGTAGATCTCGGCGGTTGGGAAGAAGCCGATGTTGCTTGCGAAGACGGCGTCTAGGTCTTGGATGGAGTAGAAGAGGGCGATAAGGTAGACGAAAGATGTGACAAAAGCCGTGAGCATTTGGAGCATTATTCCTTGGGGGACTTTGGTTTCGGGTTTGGGAACTAAACCATGAGTCAGTGTGTGGTTGCTTTATTTGGCAGTGAACAGCATACCTTCTTCTGATAAATGGCTGATACAGTCTGGAACTCCAACAGCAAAGGCAGCATTTAAGAGACCGGTCATGAAACACACTCCATCTGACCAACCTCCCGTGTTATTGTGGTACTCAGTCCAGACCTGTGCGCTGCTGGCGTGGTTTTTCGGCATCACGGCGAGAACCACCACCGTTGTAAGGAGACCACACATGGATAGAATGAGGGAGACGCGGTTGATTAGAGGAATGAATCGGTTTCCAAAACACACAATGGCGCAACACATCCAATTGACAATCTGAAACACAATGAATACCTGCCAGGAATTCCACTTCACTGTTGGATTCCGGAGCAGATACATGGCCACACCCTCGTTTCCCAACATGGAACTCATGGACGATGCAGACAGCAGCCAGGCGCAAGCGTTCAAATATCCAGTGAAGAATCCCGTTGCCCGTCCCTGGCTGCGGCTCAACACCGATGACCAGTAGTATACACCGCCAGCGGAAGGCATCGACGAGGCAAGTTCCGCTAAGGAAGCCGAGATGGCTGTATAGAAAACACTGACCAGGATCAGCCCGTACAAAACGGCCATGGGGCCACCATTTTGAAGTGCAGCAACAATTGTACCACCTGTTGACGCCCAGGAACTGGATATTGTTAGTCCACCGAAGTTCAACTTGGGGCAATGTTGCGGAATCCTTACTTTGCAATGACAATTCCCAAACTGGTCAAACTCCACAGTCCAAAGTTCCGCGACAGCTCTTGTTTATGACCCAGTGCAGATTCTAGCCGTACTGCATCCAGTGCAGTGTCTCTTTTCGGGGACTTTTCACTGCCCTGGGACAATTGCCTTGCGAACACCACCATTTTGTCGTCCGTCATGAGGGGTTACAGCCAATGTTCAATAATGGAATTGATCCATGGCAAGGAAAGGAGAAGAAAAACGAAAGAAGGGATCGACGCCACCCCACTACGCTTGACAGAGTGTTCAGGGCGCACAGAAAGAATCGGGTGTATCGCAACCCGGGGAATGTGAGATGGGATGAGATATCCGACAACTCATGGCCGCCACGTGAATTACATGTGGAAAATTTTACGCAAAGATGACCTGTCTAATAATTTTCCCGACTGTTTCTTTGTTCTGTGTTGAGCTATATAGTTAGCATGGTGAGCTAGGTATGTTAGTGGCAATAGTATCCCTGTTGCGCAAGAGCTCGAAATAAACCTCCGCTTAATTGCGCCTATCCAATCCGGGTTGGATGTGATAGAGATTTTCATTGGCCAAGTAGAGAGGTTATTTCTCTTGCGACCTTCATCAAGAACAAAGAAACAGAAACACACTTCCCGGGTTGGGTTACTGCAGAGGCTAAGTAAGGGGGTTGACCCCCGGCGTTAGGGTTGGGCGTCAACCGGGCAGTCGGCCTCCAAACAGCCGAGTGCTTGCAAGTTGATGTTGAAACCATGATTCTACATCTACGGAGTAATCTTCTTTCGACTAGACTGATCATCATATTTCACATTCCAATGCTCCTGTATAACATCCAATTTGCCTGCGCCATGCACGCAATCAGGGTCCCCCTTGATGGCCCACATGGCCCCCGATGATCGATCATTTCCAATATGAGGGATCTGATTTTTGAGTACTCCAGAGATCAGGCTTAGCTTACTATCTGTATAAATCGAGAGAGATCCCTATCAAAAGTTGCAGGTCAACGGAGGACCTGAACCCCTTTTTGATGCACACCACAAGTGTGTCAGCGTGTAAAGTACAAAATCCCCAGTGATCTGCACTGCTGCCCCTCTTTCCCCCCTGTAAACATCTCTGTCCAGATTCCCCAGCCTGAAAGGGTGCCTTTTTGACCTGAATTCATCTCCAATCCCTCATGGGCTTCGATATTTGTATGCGCTCCATAGCCGTAGCTGGCAAAGCTATGGGAATGAGCAATTCTAGAATTACGGAAATCACTGGCCTTCCGAAAGGCACAATCAATGCGACATACAGAAAGGCCCTGGAGCGAGGTTTTGATCCGGATACTGTCCCCTGGAATCTCTGCGATGCCATGCTAGCCGATGCCCCTCGTTCCGGCCGGCCGAGAAAGCAAGAACCCAAAGACCCGATTACTCCCGAACTCACGTCGTGATTCAGACAACCAAACACAAAAAAAGTAGAGATCCGTGGAACGCGCGCATCTCTGGCGAAAGAAACTCGGTGAAAGTTCGAAAGTTCGAAAGTTCGGGCCGGGCGACCTGGCGAGATTTCGCCGAAGCCAGAATGCAAGACAGCACAGACTCCAAACCTGGGTCCTCGAAAGCTACGCCTGGACGACGGATGGCCCGGGGTCTCGAACATGAATCTAGGAGCCTAGAATTGGGCAAAAAGGGTGGTTTGGACAAATGGAATTTCGGTTGAGCTGATTCTTTGGTAATACTGCGAGCCATGGGGAGATATCTCTGTAGATCGGATGGAATATGGGCCATCTATGAGTTATTTCACTGGATATTCCTGGCTGTATTACAAGACTGAATGAAGTATGGAGTACTCTGGGCGCATCGAGATAATTCAATCTCGCTAGCTTCCGTATCTTATTCTGAATGATCCAGTAGACATGGAGCCAGTACTCCACGCTAAATTTAAGATGATGTTAAATCTGAGCGCATCATACTACGTACGATTAACACCGATTGGACGCTTACTTTAATTCTGCGTACGGAGTCCATCATTCATATTGGTGTAAATATATGTGGTGATGCTTGGAATGGGGGGCTCCTTTGGGATGTATCTCATTTGGCGCAAAAGCTTTCCGAGGCCGATGCACAAGCTGGGTGCACAGTTGGAATTTTGGGCCGAATGAGTGCCTAGCATAGCCTTCTACGAACGTGCAGTTTTCTCTCTGTCAAGGATAAATAGACGACTACCTGTCGTGTTAGTTCAGGTTCGATTGCGAAGGACATACAGGTCAGATATAATCTGCATTTCAGCTCCCGTTCACTGTTTGCACAGGATTCTCCAGGGACATGAAAAGGCGACAGAAATCCGAGTCAGTCTAAGACATCATAGTCAGACCCACCTTAAGTATAAACGTCCGAAGTAGAAGTGGTAAAAATAATCTCGAGATGAGGCGCAGGTTAAAAGCCATGGATCCGCGTGAGACCTTTCAGCCCGGGTGCTCCGTAATGAGTTTATTTCCATCTCCATCGCCGGGCCCATATCAACATTGGGCTGGACCACCTTGCAAATCAGGGCCCCGAAACCTCCAATTGCATCGTGTAGATGGGCTCCTACGCATCCACTATGGAATGTGACTTGTCAACTAGTTTGCTTCTGCCCTTATCACTATCACGAAGTTATCGGTATTGTGCATACAGAAAACTTTCTTGCCCAAAACAATAGTCCTGAATTAAATGCCATAGAGGAACCCATGTCCTGGGTGACACCAATCTCGCTTAAATCAACCTGTTGCAGATATCGCGCATAGTACGGTGCATCGCAATTTGCACAACATTGGGCATGGATTTGAAAACTCGGTGCCGCAGGTTCGACCAGCCTTTTGGCATGGGAAATAGAAGGTTTGCAAGACGAAAAAAAAAAAGGAATGTGATGCGTTAAACCTCTGGTGCCATGAGGATCTACATTCCAAACTCAACTGTCACTGATGGGGTTGGCGCGTCGAGCAAATCCCTTGCGTTGGTGTCCCCATTCTTCCTTGCTTTTAGCGAAGTGAATCCCAGCGCCGGCATTTCACAGGCCACGATGCATGACGTTGAACCCTGTTCTCGGTTAGCAGCATTATCATCCATCCCCAGGGCTAGGAGGCCCCTTTCACCGACTAGATGAAATGGTCGCCATTACCGGCCCACTGGCTCATTTTAACCCCATTATCCATAGATCTGCTCCGGGGACCGGTAAATACGCCATGGCGTCCGGTCAACCCTGCCACTGATGCCTTTCGCCAGGAAACTCCGGTAGATCATTCTGTCAGCACTCATACATGGAAGAGTCATACCACAAAGTGCTGAGAATTTGGTCTTCGGCTTAGCCCGAGGGTCAGCTCTATCTATGAAGATGGGGAGTGTGTCGCCTACTCCAAAGCAGCTTTTTACAGAAGCTATAGTCTTTTGGTCTATCGGACTGATTGTCTATGTCGGGCGAATGTAGGTCTGGTATTCCAGTACAGAACCAGAGCAAATGCTAACTCTAACCAAGTGTGGCTCGAATAATTGCCAATGGATCATTCAAACGTTTATTCGGTATGATTATGGTATTGCCCCTTTCGTGTCTATTCCGCTAACGAGCAACTATCTAGTGGACGACTATGTGATGACCGCGACCTTTGTAAGTATCATCAACTAGATTCAGCGCATTGCTGTTGGCTGACCGCGCCAAGGCAGTTTATACCACACTGTTAGTGTTGATTCAGATCTCTGCACGCTACGCAACCAACCTGATGGACCCGAAAGAGTACGATCAAGTTTTGGCAGATCCAAAACAAGTCAGCGATCGGATATATGGAAGCAAAATCGTCATTGGGCTGGAGCAATGCATGTTGATCTCGACTTGGGGAGTGAAAACATGCATGTTGATGCTCTATTGGCGAATCACCCAGAACCTGAAATCAAACCTCTACATCAAGATCCTTTCCGTCTATGTCGCCGTTGGATTTGTCGTCATCATGGTCACATATTATGGAGTATACTGCCGACCATTCTCCCAATACTGGGCCATGCCGGTCAAAGACCTTCAATGCGCGACATACCAACACTACTCGATCACCCAAGCCGTCTTCAATATCTCCTCCGATGTCGTCATGTTCATCATACCGATTCCCCTCCTGATCCAAGCTCAACTCAAGCGGCGCAGAAAGGTCGTTCTCATCGGCGTCATGAGTCTGGGCCTGTTCACAGTCATCGCTGCCATCCTAAACAAATACTTTAATTTCGCTTCCCCACTCACAACCACTTACCAAATCTGGTACATCCGAGAAGCCAGCACCTCGATCTATGTCGCCAATCTCATGTGCTGGTGGCCTCTTCTGCGCAAGCTGTTCGGCCTCAAGGCATTCCAGTACAAGAGCAACCGAGGCGGGCGGCCTGGAAACCCCAACAACCAGAACAAAGATAGGAGCGACTACTACTCCAACAATTCTCAATCACGTCCTTCAGTCCCATTCCCCCGCTCATGGAAGCCGCTTTGTCGCAGAGGGAGAGGTACACCTGGGAAGCACGCTCGCATCAAGCGCTCAAGCAACGAGCCCATCAACAGGATGAATACGAATACAGAGTCCATGCACGACATGCAACGTGTCGAAAGTGTTCGACTTGATGATTGGACTCATGGCGGAGATCTTGGAACCGATACTTCAACAACCCAGGATTCGTTCAACTCGATGGAAAAACCAGGTTCGAGGATGCATGATTACCATCAAGACTTCCTGGATTCGGAAATCGAATATCATGCTCACATGGGAGGCAAACATCATACGCACTCACCTTGTTGATAATGTAATGTCTGTGTTTGCTGAAAGCTACCCTTTGTTGTTTGTACATTCTAGACGGATGCTTTGTTTGGACTTGTGGTTTGCAGCTATCTTTGGTTGCATTTTGTCTGTTATACCCGGTGGTGCGTGCAATTCTGGTATTCTATAAGCGTAAACATCTTTTGAATAATATTTTGAATGCTCTCTTAAACCGTCTTTTCGACCACCCTGTAGGTAGCCATCGAACAATATTTTAAAGGGTCTTTCCAACCAGAGGCACTGTCTGCTAACATGCGAGGTCTGAAGAAGTGTGTATCATCATTTTCTACTTCCTCCCCCCACATTTTTACCCCGGATCCACAACTCAACCACGGTTGGAGTCTATCAAGATGTACATGGTACATCTGAGTGTAGTGAAATTCATTTCAACAATTACCCATAATATTGAAGCGCCGATAGTCTAGTGGTCAAGACTCCGCTTTCCCAGATCAGAGTGTCTCTGTATCCTCAAGCGGCAGCCCGGGTTCGAACCCCGGTCGGCGCATTAATTCTTTTTCTCTTTTTTTTTAGGATCTCGGGGCCCTACATGATTTGGAACTCTACAGCACTGGAAAGAACTGCCAGTAATCAGGAATGAAGGGACGCTAATCTAAACCTTCTTGATATGCTCTCAGAGCGCAAAACGTACAGGAGTGTATCGGATCGATGTGCCGGGGTTGGTTTGGTATGTGCTCACTTGTCTGTACAGTGAGAGGTAGGTGATCAGATTTACGCAATGTTTCAGAAAGGGACTGTGGCAATAACTTCAGATTCAACGACGGAAGTTCATATGATGTACTTGTTTTTTATATGAAACAACGTATGCTAGGGTTCTGTTGTCATTTACCTCTTTACATTCATCTATCATCCGAGGAATGAATTGTATTCATACACTCGCTGCTATATGAGCTGCGAGCACGAGGATATCTGCTAGGATATTGGTCTTTGGCACCCACAGGATCCCCCCGATCTTGACTGTTGAAATTAGTATGGCAGGACGCTAGCAGCACTTCTCGCAAGCGCAATTACCTCTACGATAATTCGACCATTATCGCCACACGGATGACCACGGTGAATACCACAGATGATGACAAAACCGCGCTGTTGGCTCGATATATCCTGGAAATTTATATCCTCATTCACTGTTGGGGGTTCAAGTCGAGTCTGCCAATCCGATCGGTTGCTTGAGATATAGCAGACCCTCATGCGCAACCTTGACGTTTTCTGCAACTCATGATAATGGATTGTTTTCTTGATTACACGCTTCTTGGATGCGCCGGTTAGTTGCTCATCGTCAGACTCATTGCAAGGCTCGCTGGCCTTCCTCTTGTCCTGTTGGGGTTCGATGGTTTCTGTATCGTCATGTCCCAACTTGCAGCGATCTTCGCGATCGTCCCATAGGCAGATATCAAAATAGTCCTTCCTGGGAACAAGGACACATGAGACGAACTTGTCATCTTCCACCAGGCAGTGATCGCATGCTCCCTCTCTCTCTATAAATTCCCCAACCGCATAGGATAGCAAGGCTCCAATCTTAGAGAGCAAATTCCCCACTTAGCAGTCGAACCGAATGCTCTGGACGCTACCCTTTTGTTGTTTTTCTTTGGGTGATTAGGTCTCTCAGGAGCTCCATCCTGACCAATCGTCACAGCAAGCGTCCACATCTTTTTGAGCGATTCCGTGCTGTGAACCAACTACAGCCTTGGGCTCTGTAGGCCCAGACTCCCGGAGGACCTTCAGGGCCGCCATATTGCGAGCTTTTCAGGGTGGGTGATTTCGGGGCCGTGCATGATTGGAAAGAGATTGGCTATAGCTGTTAACAGTCAGCAATGACTTATATCAGGAATCTGTGTCTGTATACCTGCAGATGTTTTGGTAATGCATTAGACATGCACAATGCAAGCAGCATAATAAGAGAGAGAAGGGTCGTTCGTACTCCATAATCATCAATTGACTCGGCTTGTCAGCTGGCAAACACAAGACAGACCTCCTATCTGGGGTGAAAAGGTTATCCTTCGCAGAGTCATAATGTTCGTCATCGAGATCAAAATGATCTGCGGGGGGTGTTTGTATGAATTGACCAGTTGTTGTTAGGGCGGATCGGCTCACAGCAAGATGCGATGAAGTGATACTGTAGAGTCTGGGTTATTCGCTGGTGATTCTGTAGAAAAGCTTCAATTCCGTTGATAGAGAAAAGCAAAGCATCAATTTCAAAAATCGATCTATGAGCCATAAGGCAAGTAAGTATGTTGGGAAGGCACCGGGCCCAGACAAACAATTAGGTCAGCAGTTATCGGCGAAATCCGGGGCTTATCAGTGACGTCGTGTTCTCCAAACACAACCCAACCAACACCAGATCGATCCCCAAGGACTCGCTGAACAAAGCAAATATGTCTGATCCCATTCCATCGGCAACCGCTGACCCAGACTCCACCGAGAAACCTCTCCCCTCAAATGCCGAAGATCGCAAAGCCGCTGCCGCCCTCTCATCCCTCCACACGAATGAAATTGCTTCGGATGGTGGCTCCGCCGGGGCCCCGCTTACTGCAAACCAGGAAGCTCTCGGAAGAGCGATGAGCAGACTGGAAATAGCATCTGGACAGAACTCGGGCAAGAAATCGGCGGCTGGGGGTTCGAAGGCGGATGTGGTCAATAAGACGGCAGTTAAGGTCGCCCCAGCTGATGTTACTCTGTTGGTATGTTTGCCGAATCTGGGGTATCTGTGCTAGACTATGATATGGTATGTTAACATGCTCATAGGTGGATCAGCTAGATCTAAATAAGATCAAGGCTACGGAGTTGCTCAAAGCTCATGATGGGGATGCTACCAAGGCGATGAGAGCTTTCATTGCCCCATCTATTCGGGCTTAAGAAACTTGGCTCATATATATGGCTAGCGTTTCTAGCCTATAATGATTTTATGAGTTAGATTGGTAACAAATGAGAAAGTAATGTAGCCTTTTCTCTGCAAACCAAGATTTGCTGTTTATGCTAGATGTGTCTGGGGTATCGCGTTCATGTACATGGAGTGAGACATCAAATCAGAGATCACTCCTCTTCCAACTCATCCTTCTTACGTTCAATGCCCTTGCCCTCGTGAATACTCCACAGCATGAACCATCCAATCACAGATTCAACAGCCAGCGCCCACCAGACGGCACCGATCATATTGTGCTCGTGGCCGAAGCCAAGTCCCCAGCCACCGAGGAAGGGGCCGAGTGTCCGCGCTGCGCTAGCAATGCTCTGTGCGACTCCGTGGACTGTACCAAGAATGGATGGATCAGTGACGCAGTTGTTCACCAAAATAATAGCAGCAGGCAGGATGAATGTTCGCGAGATGACCTGCAAGGTAACCACAAAAGTGAAGGAGGGCCAAACGATCCACGGTATGCGTGGCAGAATCACAAGGAACGGTACCAGGCAGTAAGCGATTGGCGAAAAGGGAAGGAATGTGCGAAAAGATGTGAGGGTGCCAAGTTTTGTCTGTATCGCCGGATAAACGAAGATCTGGAGGGGCAAGCCAATGAAACCAATGATAGCAGTAGCGAAGCCGACTCGCGATGATGGAAGGCCAAGTCCACCGCTGAAATGGAAGAATCCTTGCCGAGAGTTTTCTGGAGCACGAGGCATGGGCAAGAATACAAAAGCCATGGAGTTGAACGCACTTGTGTGGAAGGCTAGCAAGAAGTGAACGAATAAAGTGAGGAGAATATTGCGTGTCCAGACCTGGCGGACTCCTTGTTTTTTCTGTGGCCGGGGTTGCACACGAGAACGAGCTGGGCTTGATGGTGTAGACCAGGTACCCACACTACCGTCCAGATAGAGAGAGTCATCGTCTCTAGAGCGAGTCAATGGACGATAATGTTGAGGTTTCCTAGTCAGAGCTCTTGTGAGCCGCTTCCCCAATTTGCGACCCCAGTCCTTCTTATAACGTGCTACCTCGTGTGTCTGAAGAATAATAATATTAGTGGCAGTCTACTTTCGGATAGGAAGGAAGAGCTCACCTCATCCAGCCCAAGGAAGACCGCGAGAAATGAGATCATTATGAAAAATGCACTCAATACATTTGGCAATGCATATGGCCAATGCTGCATCCACCAGACACCTTCTTTTCCGCCAAGTAAGGATCCCGGGCCAAAGATTCCCGGGAAACTGTTGACGGGATCGGCTAAAGAGCCTCCCAAAATCGGGCCAATGATCACACCGATATTGAAACACATGGGTAGAAGTAAAAATGCTCGAGATTGATATCTAAATGGAAAGTTAGAACAATAATGGAGCAGACTGAGAACACATAAACTCACTTCTTCTCAGCAATTATCTCTGCGACCAGCGTTCTCATCACACCAACATTGCTGTTCAACACACCACCCAGAGTCCGAAAGACCATAGCCGTCGCAAAAGAGCGAGAGAAGCCGAAGCCTATACAGGACAGACAAGTACCCATCAATCCGATTAAAAGCACTCTCTTTCGTCCCATCCAGTCAGCATCAGCAAGACGACCCCACCAAATAGCCGTGAGGAATTGCGCAGCCGTAAAGCTGCCCTGGAGAATACCAGCCTGCGTTGAAATCTGCGAGTCTGGCAAAGATGGATTAAACGATTTAAGCTGATAGAACAGATAAGCCTGCAGAGAGGTCTGAGTTAAGGGCTCTGACAGTCGCGCTAATGTTAGAATCGCCAACTGGCCCTTCTTCGGCAGCGAGCTCCATGTCACCGGCTTCTCCTGAACGCCATCTGCAGAGGCAAGGACACCGTCATTATCACTATCATATTCATCAGCGGAGGGCCGCCACCGATTATCAACTATCAAGGGCGCGGCCCCCAATCTCCTCGGCGGGGAGCTGCGCTCGAAAATTGCCGTATCATCACTATCCAGATCGTCACTTGCGGTGCTCGACGAATCTGTATCGTAGCCGCTCAAATCAGAAGCGTCCTGGGAAGTGATATGCACATCTTGTCGGGTTGCGTGGCGGTCTTGGCCCGGGGTCTGAGTTTGCGGAGAAGACCCCATCAACGGAGGATCCCGGTTCGGGACGCTGTCACGCGAGTGGTGAGATATGGGGGATGCCGACCGGGATGTGCAACACAGCCGATAACTGGTTTTTTGGGTTTGGACAACGTTCTATATATTATGAACAGGCTGGAATGCTTGGAGAAAAGAAATGTTGGGGTGAAAACTCGCTATGACACCATTTCCCCCCACATGGCGTAGCATGTGGAGAGGTTGCCGAGTTAACCGCAACCGCTTCACCTGCAAGGGGCAACAGATGATTCTCAAACACGAATACAGACACATCTATATACGGTCTCCTAAGGTCAGTTTTCAATTGTATTCTATCATCAGTTTACCAATATACAAAGGTATATGATACGCCGGTCGGACTTTGAACCCCGACTGCCGCTTGAGCATACAGGGAGACTTTGATCTAGGAATTGTAGTGCTGTTTCTATGCCGGTGAGCATAACCACATACGTTGTGGCTTGGGAGTCTATGTCTAGGTATCGTCGCCAAGATTGCTCTATCCTGGAGGCTGACTACGAATACACTAAGATCCATGTCTGGTATATTTACCTCCGTCTATGGAAACCACCGTGGTGCTGTTAATAATGATGGCCACATTGACGGAGGGTCACAGGCTGCTTTGAGGTAAAAATTCATGATTGACCATCTGAGCTATTTCAAATTCTTCGAGCAAGGTATGCGAATTTGGAGCACGTTCCCAATCAGCTTAAGTGTAGACCACGACTCAGCCATGATGATCAGTTGTGATAGCCATTACGTGCGTCGTCATCGACCAACTAAAAACTATGTCAGCGCTACGACCCTTGAGATAAAGACTGATAGAGCATCAACTTACCATCCGTAGGACCTCCTCATACGAGCGATTCTGTAGCTGTATCTCAGTGCCCATTTTATCAATGGTATCAACAAACAGCTGTGTGTCATCATCGGGAGAAGCGTCGTTTGTTGGATCATAGTCGCCAGTGAGAATAGCGCAAGCTTTAGTGGGATTGACATCGAAGAATTGAGAATCACTGGTCGACGTAGCTTGATTCGCGAAGACCTTGATGTTGATTTTGATGTCAAGGACCCAAACGCGGCCAAACAAGCGGATGATTGTCATCTTATCAATGGTCAGGGCGTCCCAGCCATTGAGAACCAAGATCACATCGCGTCCTGTGTCTTGGCCTTCATGCAGTAGGCCAGCGAAATACTGAAAAACAGACCCCCCAGAGAGTAGTGGCTGGTCAGCGTCGTGAATAGAGGTGTAGAAGCGTGGGGTTTGACAGGTTTGGTTGAAAGTGGTCTCGTAGCTTCGGAAGGCTAGATTCAGAGCTTCACGTAGTCTGTCGTGCGCAAGAGCTTGGTCAAATGCGTCTCGGCCGCTAGCCCGAGCAACAAAAACAATAATAGGATCCATATCTGGGGGATAGGAAGAAGAGAACAGAAAAGGGTTTCAAGACTGAATGATGACTGAAGACCTCAAAGATCTTGATTGGTTGAGGATGGTTGCTTGAGTGAAGAATTGTGAAAGGTGAAGGATGGAAAACACATATCCTACAGAGCCCAGGACGAGAGAGAACATCTATCATGTGACAGCAGAGTGTTGTTTAAAGTCAACGACTTGCCCAGGTTGTGAGTGTGTCGGTGATATCCAATAACAGTTATAACGACGCAATGGCACCAAGCTCATGTCTCAAAAGATTGGAGACGGGCTAAGAAGATACCTCTCATGGCTCAGAGTTCCTGAATCACTTTGTTAATACAGAAACCCATTCCCTTTGTCTGTCTCAGACTCTTGCTGGTCGAGATGGATAGACAAGGAGACCAATAATGCAAACAATGGCCTTGTTCTTTGATTGTTTGTTGGTCCCAAAATTGCGGTGTTCTTATTCGAGACGATCAATCCCTTCATGTCTTTGATACTTATTCTACCATTTACATAAAACAGACAGACAGGCGCGCATTTTCATTCATAAAGCTTCGGTGCTAAGTCTAGACAATTGTGACCACGTCTGTATCGGCTCAAAGGTGAGCTTATTGATATACATCTCGATCTTATGTTTATCTCTCCTGTTACTCATTCCTCAGATAATAGCTCACCAGCGGACACTCTTCGAGGATCTCCTATCTTGGTCTCATCAACGTCCTCGGTATCTCTCACTTTGTTTTGAAAAATTGCTTAGCCCGGGGTGACAACGCCTGAGAAGTCTACCAATGACCCTTGTTCCGCATGATGCCTTCAAGAGCGAGCGAGCCCTCTCCTAACCCAGCCATTTCAAATTGGGAACACGCCTATCATGACGCGTGGCGTCAATTCCAGAGCGCCATCATGGAGGTTATTGACAGGCTCCAATGGGACCATCCATCAATAGAGTACCGTCAAACAACTATTGAAAAGTTCGGTCGACTTACAATCCATGTGGAGAGGATTCAAAGTGCAGGGCAGGCCATGTTCGAACATGATACGGGCTGCCATACTGTTCGCCAAGAGGCTGTCGCCTATTTCGCCCATGTCTTCTTCATCGACTGTCTCCATATCCATTTTAGATTAAACATGTTAATGTGGAAACTCGTTAATCACCCTCAAAGTGATCATATGGTTTACAGGCACCTTGTGGGATTACTGAACCAAGTTAGGATTGGAGTCTCTACCTTGTGATATCCGGTTTGCTGGGCTATATTACTGTCGAGATTGTCTTTGGATATGCTAACGCGGAAGTTAATCAGTAGGGCGTTTTTGAGACCGGGATTATGGTGGCCTTGGGGTCGTCATCATGATCCGAGAGGGAGAAAGGGGGACTACTCTGCGCCCGCGGAGGGGTTGCGGGATCTGGACCCTTCATGGGTTGACTTTGTTTGGATTCTTTTTTCTTGTCTGCATTGCCTGTACCCAAGGGTGCATGGAAGCTTCATGTATGAACTACGCCGCAATGACTGATCCATTGGTTGTTGTCAAAGCTGGCTTTGGAGCGCTATTTCGTATGGCAACAGATGTGTAAAGCGAGCTACACCGGGCAAATAAGTTCATAATCATGATAATAGCCTTTAAGTCAAGATAAAGATAACTTAGAGTCCTTTCCACTGCAACTTAATTGCAAGTAAATAGGTGAATAAGGAAAGTTTCATTCTTCGAAGTTCGTAGAGACCTAGTTCCAGTAGATTAGATCGCCCATGAACAGTCGCCTACGGATTTGCAATGCGTTACAGGGCAAGAGCAATAGCGAGCATACCGGCTGCACAAGCAACGCCCATAACAACATATCTGGTAGCGGCAGTGGCCCCATCAGTGAACTCCGAGGAAAAATGGGTATACAACGCAGAGATGGAGGCAGACTGGGAGCTGGAACTGGAGCTGGTTTCAGAAGCGGGTGTGGATGTAGTGAGGGAGGTTGCAGTGACCTGGACGCCATTGAAGGAGGCCTGGCTAAGGCTAGTGCCAGTGCCAGTGCCAGTGCCAGTGTTGACGGCGCTCTCGCCAACAGTCTCACTCTGCTTAGCACTTCCATGAGTAATTACCGAGTCGCCGCCGAGCTGACCAATGCGATGGGCAGTGACCCAGGCCTTGACGCTGCTAGGCAGCGCATTGTACCAATCGGGATAAACACTAGCTGAAGCCTCGCTCATGATCGAGGAGAGGGAAGCGGGATCCATTAGATTATTGTACCATGAGGCTGGGACGCCAGTTGCCAGAACAGTCAGAATTGAGTCGGGCACACCCCCAATATCGAAAGTCTCATTACTGGCCGCAGTTTGGATACTCAGAGACGGGTTGGTATCCATAACAAAGGCAATCGGGGTTTTGGAAGCAACGGCATCGAAAGAGGTCTGTCTGATAGCGATGCTGGTGTCGGTGTCAACAACACTAACGTCAGCAATCTCAGTCTGAGAAGGCTTGAGAAAGGTCAAGGCATTGGCAAGCTTATCGTTGAAGTCCATAGCCCAAGCCTTGACACGGGTAGGCAACGTGTTGTACCAGTCTGGGTAGGTGTCAGCTGCATCGGTAGTGGGAGTCGACGAGCGGGAGGCCAGGTCCATCCGATCGTTGTACCATGAGGCTGGGGCTGCTGTCGCCAAAGCAGTCAGAATTGAAGCTGGCACTAGATCCTCGATCTCGCCAGTTTTAACGCTGTCACCGGTCTCGATGATTGATGGCGCGGTGATAACCGGACCAGAGGCAGCCAGGGCCGCGGCGGCGGCAAGGAAAAAGCTGGATAGGATTTTGAACCGCATGGCAATTAGCAAAGAAGGTAAAATGTGTAGGATGAGCAGAGGTTTGTCGTAGTTTGACAGAAAGGGGAAAGCTGATCAAGCCAACCGACTGATCTGAAGGCTGTCAACACTCACAGCCGATGGCCAGTTCTACCTTCCTCAGACCAAACAAGCAGGACTCAACCCAATAAGGCAAATTCGACATGACCAACTACAGCTGACAGGTCCCATTTAGTCGACCATATTGATTCCCTTGATGCTAGGTATTTCGATGAGAAGTTGCATGTACGCTATCCGCCCTCTTGGGCAAAGAGGGCGCCATGGCGTATATTGATGCCTTATGACTGTAAGTAATGGGTTCTAATGGTCTGGGATTATCCTCCCCTTGCTTCTGCTGTTGCCTTTCCGAGTTCAGTGCTGAACTGCGACTTCGTATCTGAAGTCCCGAGTGGGAGCAAATGCGTTCTAATTCAAGGGAGCTTGAGTTCACAATGCTTATATTCAAGGCTAGCACATACTAAACACTCCTATAGAGCTTAATTACTCCTTGTTAGTCGAAGATTAACACCGCAGATATTGGAATTGCCTCTCTAATCCTAGACTTGTGGCCTATGATTGCTGTTAACATGTCAATAGATTACATGGGCAAACTCCATGTGCTCCGCCACTTCAAATCAAATGGTATGCCAGTTCAAACAAATCGAGTCTTTTCATCTGCATGATGCCTATGTCGTGCTCAAGAACTCGAGTATCAGAGGCAAGATTGACCGTGCACATATCTGAGTCGGTTTCCAACCCCACAGCTTCTCAGGTTCGAGCCGGAAATGAAGAGCCATGCCCATCACCCAAAGGATCGACATTCCGAATCATATATATACTCGAGGATTTCCAGCATATGGCCCGAGAGCTCTCGAGATTGATGTTTACGGACGCATCATATGTTGTGGATCCATGGATGTCCGGCTGGACGCCTAACTTCTCAGGCTACCAGAATGAGTCATCCTTTTCCTCGAATAAGCGCCCGCTTCGAGTCCTTCAAAGTCACGTCGACTACAATTTAGCTCTTTTCTTTGATATCTTTTCTGCTAAAACTCTTCGGGGCAATTCTTCACAATCCTTGTCTATCTACCATCTACTCGGACTGTTGCTTCCTGAGTCCGTCCTACTCCCGACTCAAGCACTAATTCTTAAGGTTACGCCATAATTTTCCCCCCACCTTAAGGGATCAATTGCCTTCGTCATGGCTGAATGGAGCCCTAGTTGTAAGAACGGAATTTTGTAAAACGCTTTGCATAATTGACTCGTCGTTAACGATCTATAGCTTGGACACAAAAGCCTATCAAGCAAGATGTCATCTATGAAGACCTTGATGGCTTGAAAGACTCGCTGCAGAAGCTCCAGAAGCTTCCTCCCCTTGTGACCACGCAAGAAGTATGTGTTTTCTTCAATTCTTCGAATTTGAGGTTTGGTCTTATCCTAATCTGGATTACAGATCAACAATCTCAAGAAAAACCTACGCAATGTCGCATTGGGCAAAGCTTTCGTCCTGCAAGGTGGTATGTTGCACAGGAAATTGTCACGGAAGAAATGTAGAGGACTAATTATGATCGTTAGGTGACTGCGCGGAACTCTTCGATTACTGCAACCAAGAAATGATCGAAGCCAAGGTCAAGCTCTTGCTGCAAATGAGCTTGGTTCTCATCTGGGGTATGCCAGTACCCCGCCAAAAGCAGGAAAAAAACTGCCAGCTGACATATTGATAGGTGCCAATAAGCCCGTCATCCGTATTGCTCGGATTGCAGGCCAATTTGCCAAGTATGTGTTCCAACCATCAACCCCAAGTACAAATATTAACATGAAACCAGGCCACGCTCAAGTCCCACAGAAATTGTCAATGGAGTGGAAATGCCCTCTTTCCGTGGCGACAACATCAACGGCTTCGATGCAACTGCTGCATCCCGCCAACCAGACCCATCCCGTCTAGTTTCAGCCTACTTCCACTCCGCCGCAACCCTCAACTATCTCCGCGCCTCTCTCTCCTCAGGCCTAGCCGACCTTCACTCCCCCTGGACTGGGGTCTGGGCCACGTAATCACGCCCTCAATCAAAGAGCAGTACAGCAAAACCGTGCGTGCAGTGAAAGACGCTCTACGATTCATGCAAACCGTAGGAATCGACAACGACCGCGGCGTCGAAACAGCAGACATCTTCACCAGTCACGAAGGTCTCTCCCTGGAATACGAGCAGAGTCTAGCCCGACTCCTCCGCCACCCAGCGCAGCCCGGAAGCACCGCAGCCCCGGAATCAGGCTACTACGCCACCTCCAGCCACTTCCTCTGGATCGGCGACCGAACACGCCAACTCGGCGGCGCACACGTCGAGTTCTTCCGCGGGATCGCCAACCCCATCGGAATCAAGATCGGACCCAGCATGGCGCCGGAAGAGCTGGTGCAATTGCTGGATGTCGTCAACCCGGATCGTGAGATTGGAAAGGTGACTCTGATCTCGCGGTACGGCGCCGCGAAGATCGCTGATTTCTTGCCTGGCCATATTGCGGCTGTACAGGCCTCTGGCCATATTCCTGTTTGGCAGTGCGATCCTATGCATGGTAATGGGCAGAGCACGCCTTCTGGTGTGAAGACGCGCCACTTCACGGATATCTTGTCTGAGTTAAAGCAGGCATTGGAGATTCACCGCGCTGCAGGCTCGTTCCTCGGTGGTATGCATCTTGAGCTGACTGGTGAGGCTGTCACTGAGTGTGTGGGTGGTGCGGCTGGGTTGACTGAAGAGGGGCTTGGAGAGCGATACACAACATTCTGCGACCCCCGCCTGAATGAAAAGCAGGCCTTGGAGCTGGCTTTCTTGGTCGCTGGATTCTACCGTGAAGAACACGAGGACTAAATTGGGATGATCAAAGTGATGAGTTGAGCAAAAATTTCGGATCATTTAGACACAACATATTGGTATGTTGGAGCGAGAAACAGAAATTTTCGGGTTTATCGTCTATCATATAGTATTTGAATCAAAAAGCTATCCATGTTAAGTGAAAATATAACGAGAAATCAGTAATATGGTTTTGATTTGATTTGAGTAAAAACGGTAATGACCCTCAACCATGCATAAAGACAATCCAACCTATCAAATTCGCCATTATGAAAAGCCAAAACAACCAAACAGCGACAGCCCCCATATTTACAATGACCGGGTATGAGGTTACAACAAACGCAGACAAATGCAATGAATAAAATCAAGGAACAAGCGAGCTACGAACAGCAGGCTTGTAAACAAGGCTCTTGCGTCGAGCAGCCTCCATACGGAAACGACGTTTACGCCTGGATTCCTCGTCCTCCCCTTCGTTAGATAGACGGCTGGTAGGCTTAGCACCAGGGAACAAGCCTCGGTTAGTCTGCTTCGGTGGGCAAGACTGCTGGATAAGCTTGGAATGATTTCCAAGGAATCCTGGTGTGGCGGGCGACATGCCAATTGCATCAAGGTTGGCAAAGTTGTAACCAGGGGTAGCAGGGAATTGGTAGCTATCAGCAGATGCTTGTTGTGGGGGTGTGGAGGGCATCGGCTGATGGGTTGGCGGTGTGATCTTGCGGAAGGTCTCGACAGCACCGGGGTTGACACCGCTGCGGCGTCCGCCGGGACATGGCGCAGGGGACTGCGAGATGCGCACGAGCGTGCCGTTTACATTGCTGAGCGCACGCGGTTCCATACTCTTGCGGCGCTTGGCGCCCCCTCGCGGAATAATAGAACTGTCGACAGCATATGGGGTCTCATCGAGCCACTGGTTCTCTCGTTCACAACTAGAAATGACAGTTAGAAAATGCACGGGAAGGTACGTGGAATAACAACTTACTCAAGGACCCAGCCAACTCCAACGCACTTGACAAGACCAGCCGCCTTCTTGACTTTCTCCAAGGTCCGCAAACCACCATCCTTGTACACAACATGGGTGATGCCAACTCGCATATCCTTAGGTTCTGGAGCATCAGCGGGGGAAAGACTGGAACGAGGGTTCCAAGCCCAAGACCTCACGCATCGGGCGCCCATTTGCTGGAGAAGTTCCACAAAAATACCGGAGGCATCCTCACCCTCAGTGGTATGAACATCCACATGCACCACTGCGCCGTGCAGCGCCTTTTGTTCGGTGGTGAGACTACGACGAACCTTTTTAATAGGACTGGCGGTCGCGACAGCACCACCGGGTGCAGCAATCACTGGTGCTATGCCACTGCTTCGTCTGGCTGCGACAGACCGACGTTTTGGGGTCGGACTTCTGCTCGCCCGCGGTGACTTCCGGGAAGGAGACAGAATTGGTACACTGTCGTTCAGTGCCATCAAGGTTGGTTTGCGAACGCGGGGAGAAGAGCGCGTAGGAGATGTGCTCAGAAGGGAAAGACCCCTCTTGCGAGGCAGCTTGAGAGGAGATTCCTCGCCTTCGGCTTTCAAAGGCACTTTCGACACTGTGTGAATGGTGCGAAGTCCGTCAGATTGAACTCGGGGTTTCATTGGGGTTGACGGGGCGATTGCGGATGGGCCACAGTTCTCTTTGTCATCGGTCGGATGAGACTCTGGTTCATGCTCTTGCGGGAATTCGGTGGCAAAACTATGATCTAGTTCATTGGAGCCCGAGTCAGGATCCTCGAAGATATCCGTGGCTTTGGCTGCTGAATTAATTATCTGATGGTCCTCATAGAGTGAAGATCGCTGTAGGGTTTGTTCATGCTCAGGGCTCAAGCAAGCATCATCGCCTTCAGGCTGGAGTGGCGGTTCGGCAAGCAAAGACGGAGTGTGCAACAGAGGGCTTTTGGACAAATCCGGATATGATACACCACCAGAAGTTGTCGGTGTTTCTGTGTTGGTACGGTCCAGAGGGCCTACCAGCGAGAAAACACCACGTCGGCGCGGTCGGAGTGATCTAGCTTGAGAAGGGGTATTTTGCTCCCAACGACTAAACTTCTGTGCCAATGGTGTGAAGCCCAATTTAGTCTCAGCGGGAGATTGGTGTGCACTGGAGATGCTTGGTGTGTTGAAGAGACTGGGTGCCATCAACGCAGAGCTATCAACCCCAGTGCTTGGCGACCGGCTATTTCCTTCATGCAGGGGTATGTCAATGGTCGCACTATTGGCATTCTTGGTATCAATAGTGGGGCCATGTTCATTCTCGGTGTGGTCTGGGGATCTCAAGGACAACGAAGCAGATCCACCAACTGTGGGACTCGACAATGGAGAAGGGGTTTCTTGGTTCACTTGAAGCGGGCTTGTAGCCTTCTCCACATGGTTGCCCTCATGTGGGGAAGGAAGCTGAGATGAGACTATAGAGAACTCGGGTTCGGTTGGCGTGGGCTCGGGATCTTCCACTTCATGCTCATCGCTCATGATTTCATCCTCTCTATCGGACTGGCAAAGGGCCTCTTCATGTTCTTCTTTTCCATTTTCCATGGAATCTCCCAAGATAGCGGCTGGCGGAGCATGGTCGAGATAGGAGAATCTGAATTCCGAGTCAGAGGGCGAAGGAAGGTCTCTTGGTTGGTCCTCTGTGTCTGATTCCTGCATATCGTTTTGTTCCAAGTATTCCGGGTTTGGTTCTTCGGGCTGGAATCCAGTGTTGGTGTTTTGTAGCTCTTCCTCCTCAATCTCAGTTTCCAGCACTGCTAGCTCTTTGTCGGTGTGATTGCTGCCCTCCATGGCTGGCTCTGCCACCTGGAGTTCTTGCTCATGCAATTCATGTTCAGCGTGGTGCGCGTCTTCCATAGCATCAAAGCAAATCGTGTCGATCTCCTCGTATTCGAACTGGTCTTCATTTTGAAGGGATTCATCGTCTTCGAGGCCCGAAGCTTCTTCGACTTCTTGTTCATGAATTGCCATATGAGCATCTTCCATAGTATCGAAGCAAATTGTGTCGATCTCCTCGTACTCCAACTGGTCTTCATTTTGAAGAGATTCATCCTCTTCGGAGCCCGAAGCTTCTTCGACTTCTTGTTCATGAGTTGCCATGTGAGCATCTTCCATAGTATCGAAGCAAATTGTGTCGATCTCTTCATACTCAAACCGGTCCTCATCTTGGAAGGCGTCGCCGTCCTCAGAACCCGAGGCTTCTTGGACTTCTTGGTCATGAATATCCTCCATTTGCATTTGAGCCTCCTCCATGGCGTCAAAGCAAATGGTGTCCGCCTCTTCATATTCAAATTGATCCTCTTCTTCAAGTGCTTCACCGGCTTCAGAGGATAAGGTCTTTTGGTCATCGATGTCCTGTGTGGGCAAATTGACCTCTTCCATAACATCGAAGCAAATTGTTTCAATTTCTTCTTCCTTGTCTTGGAGATTGTCATTTGCGTTGTCGTCAATCTCTGAATCTTCCTCGAGGTCGGGTTCGAGCTCAGCCTCCGCATAAAGAGAGTCAGTGTTTCCATCACTGTCTGACGTTTTGACTTCTTCGGTGGCTGTCTGGTATTCAGGGGCAGGAGACGTTGTTGATGTCTTGCTATCAGATGACAACTCAATGCCAAAGATATTTCGAGCGACGTCCTCAACCATTTCCATGTCTTTTTCCAAAGCCAGTTCGTCCGCTTCGCTATCTCGTGGCGAAGATTTGGGAGTAGTGCTTTGTTCGGGATCCACTGCGTTGGATGGGGTTCCCTCGTTGTCTGTGGTCTCAGGCTGTTCCAGTGAGACGTGAGTAGAGAATATCGAACTTTTGAATGGAGAAGCTATTCTCTTCGCGGGGCTTTGAAACAGGGGAGTCCTGGCGAGGACTGTTGGGGCATCAGGCTTGAATGCTGATTGCGAGAATGAAGCACCCAACAAACCCTTCTTCGGTGACATCTTGAGTGGAGAATTATGTCCAGGTGTAAAATCGGGTGCTGCAATCGGGTTCACACTGTCTCGGAAGAGAGAACCTCCCCGATTGGGGGTCTCTCTCAAGGAAAATCGGAATGGGGACGATTGCGGTGCCCGTCTTGCCGGGCTACACATGAACAAAGATTCGCTAAAATCAATTGTATTGCCGGGTGGAAGAGCGAGATGACCACTATTTGCCATCGCGTTCTGGCTTCGGTTTGGGGTAAAGTTGATTTTCCTGACTGGGGAGCTAAGACCGGTCCCTTCTGATCCGTGTTTGGGGGTTGATATTTTCGGTTCGCCATTCTCGTCCACGAAGCTGGAAGCTTTCTTCGGTGTGAAGTTAATTCTCCGTACGGGAGAACTCAGTCCGGTATTCTCCAAGCCATGTCTGACCGGTGAGTGGACAGTGAGTTTGACCGTATCATTGATATCGTCCTTGGTGATGTTTAATTCATCGTCTTCTCCATCAGAGCTTGCATATGATGATAGAGATTTAGCCACCTGCTTGGCCTTCTTAGGGGATAACGGTTGAGTTGCAGTTTTCTTTGCTGTAGCTGGCTTCCTTCCGCGAGTACCAGTTGTGGCAGACTTGCGGACTGCGGTCGCTCGGAGTCCAGCGTTACCGGCACCTGCAGCCTTGGGCGCTACCCTCCTACGGCCAGCAGCAGGAACCTCGGGCTCGGATTGCTCGGCTTCGGAATCAGAGGGATCCTGGAATGTGACGGTCTTCTTCTTGGCGGGTCCACGCAGGAGATTTGAGCGCATCGTGGTCGAATTAGTCGCGATCCTTATTGTGGTCGGTTTCGTCTCATTCGTTACATCAGCTGCCTTTCTAGTCCGTCTGCTTGTGGCCGCCGTTTCACGGCCCACGGGGGCCTTGGCTGTTGTTGCTACTCTTGGGCGTCCCCTGGGTTTGGGTGCTGCCTCTGTCTTGGGGACGGTGGCTGTGGCTGGGGGTGGAGTTTTTCTTGGCCTTCCAACGCGCTTCTTTGGTGCTTCTGTTTGTTGTTCTAGCTCATGTTTGCGGTCATTCTTTTGGCTCTTTGACTCGTCAGCAAGGGGAGCTGAAGGAGCTTTCCTTGCTCGGGCTGTCGTGGTCACTTTTGGCTTTGTTGCTGGTCGGCTAACGGGGCGTGCGCTGATTTTTGCAGGTTTGCTTGTGACAAATCCTAGCTCATCATCCGAGTCGGCATCGAGGGCGGGGGTGACGGTCCGTGGTGCTGGTGTTGCCTTTCGAGGGGCCTTTTTCTTCGCGTCGGCGGCAGCTGTGGATTTGGTCGAGGTTCGACCCGCCCGCTTCGTGGGTGATTGGGGGATCACTGCAGCTCGCGCCATGTTGATGATAGTGTTGTGGCGCGTTGTCTGTTGTAGGTGGTCGCAGATATCTTTAGTAGGCGACGGTCATGGCGGGTTAGGGTGTTCAGATATGAATCGGCCTGGAATTCGTATGGTCACAGGTTATCGATGGTGTTAATTAGTTGCATTCAAGAGGAAGCAAGGAAAAGCAAATAATCCACTGTGGAGGTGGAGGCTGGATCCGAGGTTGGAAGGTTGTTGTTGGGTCTCCATAGCAACACACGTGATATGATCGACGTCAAAGGTAAACATGTCAACAAGAACATTACCGAAGGCTGGTTGAATGTTCAACAACAAGCAAATATGCTTGGAAGAAGCAAATTCCACTTTCTAATGCTACCAATTGATCAGCAAGCTCCCCACTGAAACCATTATGGCCTTGCTCCAATTTGAAATATATTCTCACTACTCCATATATATACTTCGCTAGTATGCGGCTAGACGTCCCCATTGCTTGATATGCAATATACATAAAAATAGCTCAGTTTACCGCGCTGGAGCAATCGTATGTACTTGCGCATAGAGCTATGGCTTGTAACTTTCTAGCAGTAACATTAAAGAATTTGCTCGAGGATTCTCAAAGTGATGATACTTACGAATGGAAGTGGAAGCCTTAACAAGTCACCAGTGCTTGATTTTTTCTTCTCAGAGAATTTCTCCCCCCTATTGAATATAGAAGTCGCACTATAAACAGTATTGGCATCGGTATGTACAACTTTGGCTGTAATATATTGTGTATATCGGGGTCATCGGCCATCCTATCATACAACTTTGATCGCAAGCACCATCACGTAGGTGTAAAGAGCTTACTAGCCTAAAACTTCGACCTTCTGTGATTATGATCGGAAAGCCATTATACCTAAAATTTACAAATATATTCTCATACCACCCAGGTATGGCAGTTGTGGCATCCCATAGTCCAAGCCTAGTAGACAAGCTACCTAGCTCCACGGCAGCTTCATAGGTAGTCATACCCGTAGGTGAGTGGCATCCATACTTTCCCTCTCAGTCTTATGCCATGCATTCAGCCTACTATAGGCATAAAGTCGAACTTCGATCACCTCACATTGGTTCATGTAAACGATGAGTAACAGCTTCTTTAAGATGAAGTACAGGTGTAATTTGATGAACGATGCTCCTACAAATTAGTTGTCACGAAGCTACACGGAAAACTTTCCTTCAGACACCAGGTCTAACCAAGTTCCTAGGGGAACTTTCAAATTTAAGCTGGAACTGGTTGATCCAGAACGTCCTGGATCTAGTTATCCCGATAAGGAAGATTCCTGTTTTTGTGCCGGAATTAGATCAAGAGAAGTAGACGTTGACATTGGCACGAAAATCACAATTTAGATTTTAATATGGACATTATGCATCATGGGTGGATTGAATATCATGTGATTTGGAAAGAATCTAGGCAAGTGAAAAAAAGAGATGACGATGGCTCGATGAGGCATCAATCGAACTCAAAGAAAGTATGTGGATAGAAGAAAAGTCCATGCTCGGGGCACGGAATGCCGAGACATGGCGGTGAGAAGAAAGAAAAGAAGTAAAAATAGCCTCTTAGACTAGTGTGAAGATTGCCATGCTGGCTGCGACGATCATGGACAGCACGGAGGGCAGGTTAGAAGCGGCAGAACTGACAGCCAGGAGGTAAGTTGGGTTATAGGGTATCGGGTTGGTGGAGTTCACAGCGCCGTTCCAGCAGTAACGATTGAAGCACTGGTTGCAGATCTCCGGGAGAGTGGTGCCCGTGCGTTCGAATGACCGACTGAGGATAGCACAGCCAACACAAGCCGTCCAATCCTTGTCGCGGGTGCTGTTAGCCATCGTAGCGACCTCGTAGCCGTTGAGAATGATGTTGTCACGCTGCTTGTCATCGGTGGAGAGTTGGAAGGTTGAGACGTTGGATTGGTACGAGTAAGGAGCATTGGGGATGTACACAACCAGAGGCGAGGGCCCGGTCATGTTGGAGCTGTTACAACCAAAGAACGTCGGGCGGGTGTTCAGGCCCAAATTGATGAAGGTGTTTGAGTCTGGAACCGCAGGGAAGGCGGTGCCATTGCCAATACCAGTGCTGTTCAGACTGCGCTCGTAGGTGGCAACTAGTGATGTGCCGTTGGGCCAGTTGTTGTCAGTGTCGGCGGATGAGTCGACGGCGAAGATGACATCGACATGGCGCTCAGGCTGGATAAGAGGATGCAAGGGAACGTTCTGTCCATCCTCGCCACCATCGACGACATCGAGCATTTTCTGGGAAGCATACGGTGATGACTGCTTGTTATATTGATAGAAGGGGTTGGGATCGTATGATGCAATATCATTTTGTGATTCGTCGAGCTTGGTAAAAATGCTGCCGAAGACATCCTTGACAAAGTCGGGGAGTGAGGTCGTGTTGATCCGAAGAAGGAACTGATTGAAGAGAGTGGACGAAGTGCCAATCACGAAACCAGCACTGTCGAAGCCGCTAATACAGCTCTCGTTCTTAGGAAGCATGCCACCCTCGAACCTAGAGCCAAGGTACTTCAGGGGAGCGAAGCCAAAGATTGTAGGGTCAAAGGTACCAAACTCCCACGGGTTGAACTCGTAGACGGTTGAGTTGCTGCCAACCACCAGTTCATCGGGGTTGCGGCCATCTGCAACAACCAACGGCATGGGATAGTTTCCATCCTTGAAATCAGAGGTGTCAGCAATGGAGGACCAGGTATAACTGATACCACCACCGGTAGCATTAAACATCTGATAGGCGAGCGCGCGACCCCTGTAACCAAGTCAGTGAACGTGCCTCCGAATGTTTATGCACAGGCATGACATACCAAATATCAGTGAGAGAAGTGTCAAAGCCCGCCTTCTTCTTGCCCTCGGTGGCCTCAGCAAGATCACGGTAATAACCAACGGAATCGAGAAGCTGGAGACCACCAGTATCAGGACCCTCGATGATCGAGTTTCCGAACTGCCAAACGGCGCCATCCTTGTGCGTCTGCAGGTCATCAATTGTGGTGAAGTTGTTGATATAGATCGAACCCAGCAACCAGCTGCCTCCACTCAGGCCCGAAATATAGGTAGCCGACTGCAACAGTCCACCCAAATGGCCACTAGTCGAGGCATTGAATGTTCGACTATCAAACGCCTTAACCGCACCGGCGCCGTTCATGAGCGCACGGTATCCACCGCCCGAGACAGCAATGCCGACATTGGGCAGATTGGACGAGTTCCCGGAGTATTTGTCGAGGTACCCTACCACGTCTAAATCACCGACTTTCACATGGCCGAAGAAGTCCTTCATCGCCGACAGGGTCTTCTCCCGGCGACCCTTTAGCCATTCTGTCTCATTCGGGGACAGTTTCGCCGCACTGCGAATTATCGGTCGGCTTGCTGGGCAAGTGACAGATGTTGGTACGTAGCCATCGGGCGCATCAGGGAGGGCTCGTGGCACGTTGGCAAATGAGATATCGGAACTGAACCCGTCAGGGGTAGCGATTGCGCCTGCAGATAGAGATGATGAGCTTCCCGTAAATATTATTCGTGGATTCTAAACATGCACGATGAGGCAGTGGGACAGTCGGGGCTAAGAATGGCATCTGGAAACCCCACGTGAAAATCACCAACGCGACCGAAGGAAACCACTCACCAGGCAAGCCCAGCGCAATTGAAAGAAGCACAGAGGACTTCATCTCCTTGCGTACTGAATAAAAAAATAGCAAGAAAAGACGAAATTCCCCTGTCAATCGGTGGTAAGGGGATTACTTATGCACCGGGCCCCGTCGGATACCTAAGTTTCCGGTCCAGCGTGCGGGTTAGCTCCCGAGGTTCTCGAATCACCTATTGAGTGGTGATGTCAAAGTCGGACGCCGAGGATTCCGCGTTGGTTCAGAGGGATCAGAAAGAATGGATACAGCGTCACAGTTCTATTGGGCTGGCATTCTGGGCGCAGGGCTGAGGTCAGCCAGGGGCTGGGCAGGGGGCCCAGGATGTACTCCGTAAGACGGCATGAGGTTCGGGTCTTACAACCTCCTGCTTATGGGCTGTCAATGTTGCTAAATTGCCATTGAGAATAAGATTACAGGTGCGTCTTGGCTTCAGCTGGCACTAACTGGCACACCGATACATAGGCATCTACGTTTCAGCCGTCCCCATTGGATATATTTTGCCAATGCACAAATTGTGCGTAGGGTCCATTAATGCCTTAAAGTGGGATGGATTCTAGATCGCTCCAATCAGACTCTTCTGAATTTACCTTGTGGCTTCAACGTTGTAAAGAAGTGGAGCAGATATTTTCCAAGGACGCTCTTTGGTGCCGAGGTGGGACCCATCGCTGGGAGCAGAGAAATCACCCAATTCAGCGCATTTCACTATCCGGTCGATCCGTACTTTCCCTTCGAGCTGAGATACTTCGATCGTATCTCGTCTCTGCTCGGTACCTTATGTATACTGGATCAATGGAGTGATAGCTCATGGCGTCTCGTCGGCAACCCGAGATCGCCGCTGCCGAACTGTGGGGAAGTTTGTGGAAGACACGCCTATAATTAGAATGCATTCAGTCGGAAGATCTTTGTCCTCCGTATGCTCCGTATGGAGTGCCGGAGATTCAAACATGTCTCTTTCCAAGGGACAATGCACCAACCAGCCACTCGGTCCTAAGCCAGATCCACTGAGCATCGCCATACCCTCTCAGTCGCCTTGAAAACCGATCTGGGCAATCTCAACCCGAGATGAGGCGTTCATTCTCTCGTTATTATGCACATTAAGATCTTCGGGCATGTTGTTAGCTCAACCTCTTCTCCATCCACATTCGATGCCTCTTGTTTATGGTTCTAGCGATAAAAGCGAAAACAACAAAGACTGCTAGTGTAATTCCAGACCAACAGAGGATTTAAGATGGTAATTATATTGACCCCCTGAAAGAGGTAATGCAGATTGTGAGGTTGTCTTAGGATAGGTCTATCAAAGGGAGATGATCGCGCTAAAAATATGAACTCAAAGGGGAAGAAAACGTATTAGGAGTTGTCGTTCCCATTCGAGGTAGCAGTTGTTAACTTGGTACAGGGCGAAGGGTTGTAAATGTACTCATGCGCATGCACAGTGGGGGAATCAACATCGAACAGACCAAGATACTAGGTAGCAAACTCGGGCTTCGGTGGATGCATTATACATCATGCCATATGGCTTGGCCAGGCAATAGTGCCTCTAGTTCTTTTTGGTTGGTTCGAAAATCCGATAGAGCTCGGAGAGTAAGTATATCTCGCAATCCTTCCAAGCATCTCAAGGTAAGGCTGTTAGGGAGACAAGCAAACTGTACTTCCAAGGTTGTATTGAGAAGGTGCTGGTCTGAGGCACCACCCTTTTAAAAAGGCCAAGGCTGATGTCTCTTTGCTCTTGCCTCCTTCGACAACATAAGCACCTTTGTGTTAACCATGATGATGCCTTATACCTCAAACTATCCCACTGAATCAATACTCGGTGAAAAATATCCATTCGGGCTGCATTTAGACGGACCTTTGCTCGAACTACGGAGTACAAAGCCACTGATTAAGCCTACAAGAAGCGATCCTTGCATCTGGACTTAGAAAAGAATCCTCCTTGTACAAATCCTCTTAGGAAGAACAAGTGGTCGAGTCAATCAGGACGGTTTCCCTGTACTGTATCCAGGTTCATGATGGCGAGGACGGCCTCAAAGTGGCAACTCGAGGCTGAGCTACGAGCTATGTCCATTGCCAGCCAATAAGATTGCCATATTCCTGCAAAGAGCAACCGGAGGACAAATGGGCTGGGATACGTCGCCAATACTATAATCGCCTTCTATCATATAGTAGATGTTCTTGTAGGCAATACTAACATTTAGGGTATCTTCTAATAAATGATCCAACACCCTAGACCTATATTCAAAAGAGAAGAAAAAAGAAAAAAAAAGGAAATAGGTTATTCTGTCGAGCAAGTATGCCCACGGCGAGCAGATTCCCGCCAAGAAGTAACGTACATATGACTGTCTACAGAGTCACTTACCCCCGAACCCTTAGGCATACATGCTCCTTACAGAAGCCCAACATCCCGTTCACAGCCGCACAAAGCGTGATTGGCTACACCCTTTTTCCCCATCAATCCAAATAGCCATTTTTAGTCTAAGTCTACCCTGATTGGTCCCGGTTCTCCGCGTCTTCCCCAGATTCGGTGTCAGCGGGTTCGCTAAGGAAGAGAATGGCATTCAGGCTATTCTGGACTGCACTGATGATGAGTACAACGGCCGGTTTTATATCATGCGGTAGTACATGGTTTTCGGGTTACTTTGTTTAGCAATGAATGTTCTTTCTTATTTTCAATTGGTATGTGTATCCCCACTGATCTTTGATCTTAGGAATGAAACTCAAATCTGTCGATCTGCTTTGGTCGGAGGTCAGGTGGTGGTCCTCGGTGGGTTGAGTGTGTGGAACGCTCCGACTGGATGGCTGTACGCGGTTGATTTGTCCGGTGAGGGGGGACTGTGAGATTGGGGTACTTAGTGCCGGCTACGAAAGGGTGATCAAGCATGTCATCTAATACAACCATGGAAGGCTATACTTGCATGTCGAGAATTAGAACAATGAGATTCGAGTGGAGCCGATCTGTCAAAGTTGGAGTGGGTCAGGATTGACATGCAGCAGGTAAATATTATACGAGATCGAACAGTGGTAAATATCATGAAGTTATTAGTTTCATAGATTTGTAGTCTAACGTCATAATATCGACCGACAGCCAATTATCGCCGTCCAAATAAGCAAGGGTTGAAATCCATAGAGGGGGAAAAAAGTCCACGCTTCGCCAATCCCTGTCGCAACCCAGAAAGACAAGGACGCAGAACGCCATGCAATGAGAAACCGAAATGAGATGGTCACGCGCAGTAAATGAGAGAGCCAATTTGGATATAAGCCATAATCAATTTACCACGCGGCGTGGCCACCATCCATGCGCAGGTCGCTACCAGTCATGAAGCTGCTAGCATCGCTGAGCAAGAAGACGGCGGCGCCACGATACTCCTCTGGCCGGGAGAGGCGGCCAAGCATGTTCTCCTTGGGCCACTGGTCCCGTCGTTCGGGGAACTCAACGAACAGCTTCTCAACCATCGCGGTGACAATATAACCAGGGGAGATGGTGTTGACGCGGATGTTATAGGTGCCCCATTCCATGGCGAGATTGCGGGCGAGCTGGAGGACAGCAGCCTTGCTAGCGTTGTAAGCGGGGCAAATGAGACCCTGCAAGAAAAATAGGTTAGCTCATTGAAGGCCAACGAGAACAGCGAATGTGGTATAAAAGCGGGGAAACTATCCCAGAACCGAGATCAAGTCTGAGCAGGAAGACAATAGGCCTGTACTCCGTCCCGATAACTCAAATCTCTGGGGTAACTGATGGGTAGGGTTGCACGACACGGTGTTTAACAGGAAAGAGGGGAATAAAAGACTTGGGTTCAAAAAGGGTAAACGGTAAGACAAAGGAGGGGAATGGGAACATACCCGGTTGGCAACGGTGCCACTCATAGAGGCGATCATAGCAATGCTACCCCCATTTCCAAAGCGAATCATCTGTTTAGCAACGGCCTGGGAGGTCATGAACACTCCAGTGACATTGACCTCGAACATGGTGTTGCTGTCCTTGGCCGAGTACTCGAGCGCTGGGGTCTCCTGCTGGATACCCGCCGCGGCAACGAGACCATCCATGCGGCCCTCATCATTGGCGATGGCCTCGACGACACTGTTGAGAAGTTCTGTGTCACGCACGTCAATGCGACGGTAGTGCAACTCGGTGCCAAGGTCCTTTGCGCGCTTTTGAATTTGTGCGAACTCGGGGGCCTATTGATCAGATTATTTGTTAGTTTCGTCCTGATATCGAGAGATAAATGGGATGTATATATGGTAGAGATCGGAGCGATTTATCAACTTACAGGTTCCTCCAGACGATCAAGAGCATAAACCTTCGCTCCGGCTTCCAGAAGTGCCTCGGCCTGGGTCAATCCTAGACCGCGGGCAGCACCTGAAACCAGCACCACCTTGCCAGCAAGGCTAAACTCGGGCATTCTGGACTTCGAGCCCATGGCAACAGGCTGAGCGGACATAGGAGCGGTGGGAATCTCGGTGGTTTCGATTGAGACAGACATTGTGAGATATTAGAGTAGTGTGGGTGTTGGTAGTGACGATAGAAATGACACTAATAAGTATGTCAAAGATGGGATATAAGCCGGATTGTTTTGATCACAAGTTGAGAAAAACGAAGACAGACGATGATGATTCAGTTGATGAGGAGCTTGGGACTAGAGAATCAACTCTCTTTAAATATCTTTTTGACAGTCGGCAAGTCAGACCGAACCAAGACCCAAAGCGCACCAGAGGTGTCCCGTGAGCAGACAGAAACTAGATAACAGCTCAAAGAGGAAATCCAGACTGGGGCAAGGATACTACAATGCAGATTTGGGGCCAGACCTCCTGGAATGCCGACTAAACGGGCGTGGCGAGGGATAACTCCGTACTCGCGCATCTCTATCATCAGGTTTTGCATACACAATGTCTACATATGTACTTAGTACGTCCCAGAATCTTCTTTCAATTGATTTTGAGCAAGGAAAGAGGATTTAGCACACTTGATTTCTCCAGAAGTAATCCTTGTTCAGACCCTTGTTTTTGCATCATAACAGTGACTATGTCCAAGAACCCACCTGGACACTCTGGAACTGCGTCGAAGGAATGATTCATCAAACAGAAATACCGGTCAGCAGACGTGACCAAATTCTCATAGTTCACGATGTTCGGAACTTAAGGCCCGGATTTCTAAATTAGGAAAGCCGTCTGGGGTGTGGGCACCGGGGAACCACAACGCCACTCTACTTTCTGCTTCTAATTATTTTTCATGTCCCCTTTCTTCCTCTTGGCCAAGTTACTCAGGTGACCCCCCAAAATCCCCTTAGACTACGTGTACTCCGTGCTCCATACACTGTCGAGCCCCGGGGGTCTTCTAGAAAATTTCCAATATCCGGGGTCAGCTGGCTCTGTGCAGATGAACGTCTGAATTCCACCAATAAAACCTCTCCAGATGGCCCGTGGTGTCTGTCCCTGTCTCGTTCCTGTCCGATCGCCCCAGCGAAGACACATTCATTGGCCAATTCCTTGGGAAATGTTCAATATCCTAATCTCTGGAATCTTCCCTCCGTAGACCTTGTGTGCGGTATGGCCATCGAAAAACAAAGTCCAAATGTGTACTCCAGGTGTAACTAAGGTACATACATAAATATGTAGTCCGTAAAAAGTATAGAGTACCCTGTGGAGTACTGGAAACCCTACATTGGGTACTCCGGTTTCTCCATGCGGGGAAACTAAAATCGGTTATCGCTTCCAAAGTCCAGACCTTTAGACTCGCATGGCCTCTAATGCCGAACCTCGAATAGGACTAACTCCACATAGCTTATCTGGGTATAACCCTGCACTAATATTCATTATTAAGGTACACGCCGTGTGACCATCAGATTCTTCCTAAGCTCCTTACTCAATGGGGTGATTCCGAGCTCTGTGCCCACTTTTTATTTTGTCCTTGTGAGCAATAAACACCTCCTAAAAAGCTTTTCTCTGCAATTGACTTCACCTTACCCCCTGGTACGGAGTATTCGGTAGCTCTTTAGCTCTTTCCATCGGGCCTCATCTGTGCCAGGGATCTTGTTGACGAACACCCCCATGCTCCAGCCTCCGTCTCGGCACCGGCGCAAACGAACAAAAATCGGCCAATGTATGGTCTATGGGGTGATACTCGTTTCTTTGCTGTTTATCCGAGGCAATGGAGTAAGTCTGGGTGACGATAAAAAGGACACGATTGTGCGTGGTCTTTGGGTCACGTTTCCACGCGTGTGTCTATGCTTTCCACTATCCCTAGTTGAGCATAGTGTCAAATTTTACCCATCATACGGGGCCCCATACATAAGGCACTTCACCCAAGCTAACTAAAGTTGAAGCGGTATATTGCAGAGGCTCGTCATTCACGCCTTGTGCTTGCTGAGCGTAAGAACACCAGATACAAGGGACTAAGAGCGATATATAACTGAGAAAGCCAGCTATAGTGGTCGTAATGATTGTGTACCCCAATACCTTAGCTGGGTAGACTGAAACATTCGTCAATGTAAAGCAACCGAAGAGTGTAGCTGTTACCAGCACGTAGACAGGTACTCCGTGATCCTATTAACGAGACATCGAGCTTTCGGCTGAGATTCCCAGGGAAATACGCTCAGCCTTTTCCCTATTTGACATAAATATTGAACTCTCATAAATAGGCCTGCGCCATTTCACGCTCTGGAGTAACCCCAGTGAGCGACTTGCATTTTCACAGAAATCCTTGTCCATTAGTAGCAAATGATTTGTATTTGAGTATTTCCTTGGTAAGTGTATATCGTAATGTTCAAAGAAACTCTAGGTCACCAGGCCCCTGATATGAGGGTGATGTCTCAAGCTTCCAGTAGTCGGTGATACATGAAACCATCGATTAGATACGTGTAAACATCCAAATTATCAATACGGATCAGGCACACTCGGCCAATGTCTCTCATGGTACCCACCCTCATTGCCTCTAGCAAATGTTTTATCCCAAAGCTTTTGTAAAGCCAAGTTGGTCGGCTTCCCCGCCAGCTCCTCATCCTTCAACCATAACCTAACCATATGCCTCTGACCCGTATCTCCGGTGTCCGCAAACGCATTTCTGCCATGTAGAATCCTCCGATTGTTGAATATCAGTAAATCACCCTCCTGATACTGAATTGTATGGGTTGCCTCCACCGCTGCAAAATGTACCGCATCCAGCGCCTCGCATTGAACCCTCGTTAGCTTGGGTATGCTAAGGGGCCGCTGACCTCTGGCTGATCGTATCAGCGCGCCACGACTGAACACCATTTCTGGCTGTTGATCGTCATTCAAGAACATGACTGGGCGCTTGTAAAATATTTCTCCCGAGGATCTATCTGGAGGTCTTATTCAATCTCATTTAGTAGTCCGCGACCAGGATTGAGTCCGAGTTGGAGGAGGGGCGAGAGGAGAATGAATACTAGAAAAACATACCGGTCAAATGGCCAATCTGACTCCAATAATACAGGAATGAGATCCGGGCTCGATTGCATCAGCTTGTTGTATATCGTCGACACTGGGGCGAATGTGCCATCGCCACCGTTTGCAGCAGAACAGAACACGAACATGGCAACCACATCGCCGACATCAGTATGAAACGGCTATAAATGGTCAGTGAGATTCATCGAACCATGCTTACTGCAAATCAAACAGCAGAGCTTATGTTGACGACCTACCAGCTCCTGATTACAATATGGAGCCGCATATTTCTTCGAATCATCCCCTGCAGTGAGATCTGTGACGTGCACTTGTGAAACGATTGTCGGTCAGTCTTTTTTTTCTCTTTTTTCTATTCCAGGATTCATCGAGGCACACTCACCAAGATACTTGTTGCCAAATTGCCTCCCCCTCTGTTCCGAGAGGTGGCTGGCCAATCCGGCAAAGAGAATGAAATTTTCTCTCTGGGTGCGAGTTTTGGGTTGCAACCCTCGTAAGAGCGAGATCCCAGCCCCGTGGTGTAGATCGTGCCGTCGCGCGGCAAGTTGGTCTGCAAGCGTGGAGGGCAGACGGAATGTTCCTTTCTCGATCTCATGTAGAGTCCTCCCAGAGGCTACTCGGGGAAAACAACGAGTGCACGTGTAAGCGTTCAAGCATCGACTTGAACAAACGGGTTGGCTACAGGTGAACTGAACTTACAAGTATACTCAGCGCAGCATCTATCTATGTCCTCCAGTTCAGAGCCTGATATTTCCCATGTATATGAGTTTGGATCGAGACCGGTGCCTTCCCAGCTCATTTCTGTATTGCTACCGGGCCGGAGAATTTCTGGTAGAACTGGGGCGGCTCCCAGGGCAGCCAGTCTCTCCGATCGACCCCGCATGAATCGCTGCAGGTCAGGATAATATATTGGGTCGAAGTCCGTGTCAGTATCGGTTGTAGAGGCCATGATTAGGATTATCGTAAATGTTTGAAGATGGATGCGGTGGGAGTCGAGTCGATGTAATCTTGGGTCAGAGAGCTAGTCGGATCTATTCTAGCTACATGTCCTCCGTAGGGACGACTCCCTGGCTAGTCTGGTAGACCCCGGGTGTTTGCGATATCACGCGCGGGGATAAAATGCGCAAACGAGGTAGCCGTGGGGCCTAGCGTGATCTACCCACATGAATGTTTCATTCTCTACGGAGTACGGAGTAGGTCACCAGTGTCATCGGTAACATCTCAAGGTCAACATGGGCAGAGCCTCATTAGTTCAGCCTTGGGCAGCTTGACGGCCAAGGGAAATGGAATTTATCGGGGTTCTTGTCATTTTAAAATTACTCCGTACAAGCTTTGTACATCATGAGAAATACCCCCATGTACAACTAGTGGACTGTGGCGTTTTATCTGGGCCAGTGAGAAGAGAGCAATAATGTCGGTGACTTCTTGGCACTGGAGCCTTTTCCGATACACTGGATGTATGGGTATGTAATGGTCCGTACTGGCATGTTAGTGGACTGTGTGGTAAAGATACCTCATGTACCTCCCCGTACGGAGTACATGCAGGTAGATGCATACATACCTGCGGGAGGAGGTGGGTTCCCTGGAAGTACCCAGGTCTTCCACTGGACCGCAAACAAAGAAAAAAGAACAAAGATGTACAGCTCAATTGGGCACTGAATCATTCCAGCTTCGTATTCTCTGAGGCTGGCAAGCCCCCCGTGCCTCAGACCTTCCGATGGCCCCCTGACTCTTCTCTGAAATGTGAGCCGTGCTCACCCCCTGGGAGAGCCTCATGTCCGCTCAGAGTAAAATCCGTAGCACATCAAAGATTCTCTGATATCTCACCCAGATATTGAGAAAAAGGATGGTCCATTCCTCATCAACGACCCTTTATCATTGCTGGGCATCTTTTTTCTTCTAAGAACCCTGCCCCTCCAAAGAATTGGAAGTGAAATCCCGCCCCTCAACTCTCATCAGGCCATCTTCAGCGACCTATCTCTTCATGTCGGATGTATTTGAACCACGATCCTCTAGTGAGCAATTACTCGAGGACCGTAACTATGACCCAGTAAAGACTTTACCCAGCACAGTTCCGCCAGTTCGAAGGCGCTCTTGTGCTCGAATAGGTCCTCTACCGGGAAAACCGATCGCTATTTCCATCGCTCTGATAGCAGTGGTCGCACTTCTCGACATACATTTTCAGTGGAGCATATTTTGGAAACCTGAACACGAAAGCCCTTCCGATGAGGTGAGCCATCGGTTAGTGTGTTCTACATACCCCGAGGAGTGCCAAAAAACGGCACCCTTTGTTTTTGACTCGGTTTATTCTCTACTCAAACAATGGCCGAGCAACTACGCACCAAATGGGCATTCGGTCGTCCCTGCGACAGTAGCCTCAAACACATTACTCTACCACGCCCAGATGACTCACGAAGCACCGAAGGATCCCGTGTTCTTTGCTTTTGACGCGTAGGTGGATATTATTTTTTTGAACGTTATTGTCGATTGCATTTTCAGCGAGTTATGACTGATAAGGAAATATCAAAAGAGAGATGTCCCTGGGTATCTACGGATCCACGGGGGGCCCAGAGTTGCGCACAATGACGACGACCAAAGAACTACGTGTCATATACTTAGATGGCCACTCTGCGACCCTCACGACAACAGGGACTCTCGACTCACAGATAGCAATTTTAAGAAACCATATTCCCGCAAACCCCAGCGAAGAACTCATCTACAACGAATCCCAGCGGGCAGTAGAGCTCTGTCAGCTCGCCAGCGAGCTCAAGATCGACGGCGTTGTGAGAATGAATGCTGGATTTGAGATCCTTGTTTGTGACTATCACAAGTCAGGCGTCCGCGAGCTGTTCGTCACGAACATCACTGTCCCTGGAAACGACGGTCGAAGGGTAGATCCTTCTCTCCCTCGAGATCCCCACCGCCAGCCTCCGCTCGGATATGGGAATGACTTTTCCGAACAAAACGGGTGGGAATGGGTTCGGAGTAGCAGTTGGCATTATGGCAATGAGGCTGCCGGGGGAAGGCGTGAAAACAGGGTTCGGCTCGATGTCTGCAATATCGTCTCATGGTATGATCCATCTCTCCAGAGCCTGAACGAATCCCATCACGCGGGTATTCGCAGCAACGACACATACGAAAATGGCTGGGGTCTCCGGCGAGGGCATAGGCTCCTTGAGGCTACAGCCAACGACATAGCCACTTTTCGAGGGTGGCTGTCTGCCGCTACATCAGGAAAGAAGAACTCGAAGTGCTCTCACACTGACTGGCAAGCTCTGGTTGAGACTATTGTTGACAAGTACCGTGGTCGGACCCGGGAGATACTCTTTAATCTCGAGAAGAATTCTTCAGATGAAAAAGCCGTGCATCAGATCATCAATAACGTCTACACGCTCACACATGCAGTTCTTCATCCATATCTCGAGTACCCCACCGTCGGTGGTGTGACCAAGCCCGAAGCCAAAGCAAATACTCTTGCTCGCTGTTCTGCTGCTTATACAGGGCACATCGCGCTAGACTCACTGTCCGAGTTCGAAGTCCTTATCAAAGAGTCGACGCAAATAGTAGTTAAAGAACTTTGCCAGTGGGCCTGGGATCTCTTCGAGTGGACAGACGGCCGAATGCACAACCGTCTCCAACAAACTGCAGAAGCATCGACAATATCTTCACGGGAGGACACACGTACTATCCAGCAAGAGATAGCACAATATACAAACTTGACTCAATCTCTGCTGCAATGGACAGGCTGGAATGTTTTGCAGAGCTGTGAGAACAAGTGTGGACCAGATGTAAGTTGCCCTGTTTGCTGCTTTGCCTTTCAGACCCATCCATTTCCGATTGCTCAATCTCATCTCATCTTTCTCAGGAATTGTGCTACATCCCAATGTGGCCCGTCATCTATGCCCCAGGCAAAAGGCAGGGCGGAATATACGCTGGTAGCATCTTGACTGAAGAGGAGACAGTGGAGTTCTGGACACCCAAATGCTTGAGCCGACATGATTGGGATTGTGGAGGTGGTCGAGCCCGAGAGCCGCGGTTTCAATTCCCGGATGTTCCCTATGAGGAATGCAGAGCTATGCAGAGGGACTCTTAAGATTTAGCTTATTGGGGTTGGACATTGGAAGAGTGGGACATGGTCTAAATTTAGATGCTCGGTGAAAAAGGATAATCAAGTAGGAAAACATTGGAATCATATAAATCTCAAATTCTTCCAAGATAGCAGGAAACGGCCTTGGAGCGGTGGTTCCAAATATGTACTACCTCTATGTAGGTAGCTCGGCACTCTTGAACTGGAATATAATACTGCCAATCACGCCAAATTGAGCTTGGATATGTAAATTCCCCGTTAAGTAACCAAGCCGAGAAATTTCTGACATCTTACTCTTCTTGGCCCCGATCTTTTAGGGCTTTGCAGATCCAGCATGGGGCTCAGCGGTACCGGAGATAACGTGCAAGATCTGAAAGGTACAATAAATTCACAAAATCATCAGCCTTGCGGAAACCAATTACGGTTTGTAAGCCCATCAGGAAGGGATTGATAAAAGGGGAAAGAGGGAAGAGAACCAAGCGAAAGGATATCGGGCAATGAGGGCCACAAACCTCAAGTCCTCCTTTTGCCAAGGCGACACTGCTCGCCTCGTCGCAAGCTGCATACATCCACGTCGATTCTAGATCCATATGCCCCAAGGCCGGTAGATCCTGGGGCTCGGCATCTTGATCCTTCATGCCATCCATCGTATGCTGTTTTTGGTCCATTGTCATCGGAGTCAGTCAATTATTCCCAGCTACACCGTTGCGTACATGGCAAGAAAATAGATATCAGAATACATAGGGGGATTATATGGGACACTGAGAATTGTGTATGCATGGGAGTAAGGCAGGGCTGAACTTACCCTAGGGATCCGCGAACCGATGATGCTCCAGTCAGCCTTGGTTGACTCCGGTGGGGGGATACGAGCTCGACTGGTCTCTAGATCTTTATAGCTTGTCGTATTCTTGTGGCACCACTGGATACATGCGAAATCAAGCGTAGCTGACCGTTAGCGCTTGATTTGGTTGAATGCAAAAGCGTCACTTGGGTAAAATGCACTTGGGTAAAATGAACAACTTGGTAGTAGGTTTGTTGCAGGGAGAAGGTTGATCACCTTAGGTTCTCGTACATTAATCAATAGATCCTCTCTCTCCGTACACTCAGGCACGGCTATCAGATACATCCCATTCGGGGTCGAAATCTCTGAAAGATTAACTTTGGATACATAGATGATACATTCGAAATGCTCATCCCGGCGTGGGGTCGTCCACTTCCCCGTCGCTGTGAAGACACCCCATGCAAATGCGAAATCAAGTGAGTTTGTCCAATATACGGCCGGGGTACGCGAAAAGTACCCTTTTGGCCTTGCGAAGCGAATTGATGGGCCTCGGCGGACAAATGATTGTAGGAGTGCAGGGGTTGCTTTGTTGGCGCAGCAGTGGAAGAGATAAAGTCTCTCCCCAGGATTGGGGTGGATTGTAGATCCTGCGTCCGGTATTGATTGAAGTTTTTGTTTTGGGGATAGTGTGCGACTGCTGCCAGTATCTGTGCATTGCTTCTCAAAGTACGGCCGCAATGTTGGTGTTATACGATTATGCGTCGACCAGAGATCAACCTGACGGACTGGGACTTGTGGTTGGTCTATGAGTTCGTCGGTGCGAGTTGACAGCTCAACGGCCTCTATTGATATCAACCGTCGGCTGGGAGGTGGCATTGGCAGCCACCAACGGTCTCCCATGTCCAGACTTTTGACAATGGTATCCTGCGAAGTCATCCTGATAGTGCGGACTCCGCATAGTTTGCCACGTTTTTGTTGTTAACGGGGTTATCTCGGTGGACTTTAAGTGGGCCATGCTATACTGGCATATTCACCAAGCCCTATTCATCTGTTGATCGATGCATGGTGACAAATATGTGTCCGGTCGTATCAAGAGAGGAGGTGTTGAGCCGCAAGTGTGATCAGTCCTTGAGAGAATGTATCTGGTTGGGTACTACGGAGTAGTCTGATCCGAGAGCACCCGGGCGATATTGAAATGAGGCACGCGAACGGGAGAACGGGAGAACAGGAGACGCATAGCTCGTATTCATCATGCAGCTAACCCGGGTGATAAACAAACAATGTGAACGGAGTTCGAACTTGGTATGGAGGAGTACGGAGCATTGATTCATCTGATTTTACATAGGATCAGCAGAGATGTACACCGAGGTCACAAAGTAGACATGGAGATTCTTATTCCGTACTACAGTCCAATGGTCGGCCAAAACGCAACACAAAACGTAGATTTGCCTTACTTATATACAGGTCTCCGCCACCCTACATGCATACTATAGGATATCATTGCTTCATATTTTTCATCGAATATATACGGAGTACTCCGAGGTTCACGTGAAGTTCTTCAAATCTCATTCGATGTTTGTTTACCTGCGTTCACAAGGGCTGACGTGGCCTTCACGGCGGCTTGTCTTTGTTTGGACTGACACATACGGAGTACCTCGGGACATGATACAGGGTGTATCACCCCTGTGACCTGCGAATACAGACAGGTATTGTATAGGTATGTATGTGTAACTTTCAGAAGTGGGTTGTTCTCAAGGCATGGCCCCGAGGCACTCCGTGTCATACAATCTCTCAAGCAGTCAGGACAGAGGGTTTCCTCGACGCTCCTATTGGAACTGAACTCTCCAGGTGACTTCGCAGGGCATTTTCACTTTCCATTCAATGTGAGTCTTTCCATTTTCATACATAAGATTGCCATATGCAGACTGTTATCTCTCCTTGCGTCTGTAATAATATAGAAAGATGCCGATACCTATATATAAGACTGTGTATATATGTACCTAGTCCTGGAGGGTTATACCGATACGATGGCTATCCTTTCACTTGGGACCCACCTAGGTATATATACAGTCTCTGTACGGAGTACCTTGATATATGAACTTGCCCCTCTTGGATGAGGCTGGAGAAGTGGGGATGATTACTTCGAAAAGGTGCAGGCGAGGATTACTTTTGCTCGGTCTTTTCCCCATCTCCACTTGATTCCTCAACAACGCCTAAATTATATTCAAAATGGGATCCATTAGCGAGGAAGATTTAATCCTTATCGAAGGCACCCGCTACGAGGGAGGTGGGGGATTGATTCGAGACACCCTGTCTTATGCAACCATCCTCAACAAGCCCGTTAGAATTGAATCAATCCGCGCAAATCGGCCAGGCAAAGGTGGACTCCGCCTCGAACACACAGACTCAATGAACGCCATGGCACGGCTAAGCGCGAGCATAGTAGAGGGGAACACCCCTCACAGCCGTGAGATCACGTTCTACCCTCACGCTGCACTCAAAGATTCTTCTTCTGGTCGAGACCCATTGCACAGGCTGGAGTTTCAGATAGAAGGCGCAGCCGCGATTTTCATGATAGCCGTTCTGCCTTATATCTTCTTCTCCACTCTCGGACCCGCCAGCTCTTCTTCCTTTGCCAAAGAGAGAATTGGAGATGGCATTGATCTCGATATCCGCGCGGGGACCGTATGCGTAAAGGCGCCTTCCTACGCGTACGTGCAACAAGTACTCATCCCCACCTTTCAATCCATCAATATTGGAGAAGAAAATTTGAAGGTGTACAAAGACCACGAGCAAGGATGGCATACTGAATTTGGGCATACCCCGGGTCGCATGAGAGTATGGGCAAAGCCATTTAACAAGCCTTTACCGGCGTTCCAGCTGGAGCGACGTGGCACTGTCGTACGGATTAGGGCTACCATTCACGGGCCTGGGGAGACTCTGGATGTTTTCCACGAGACGGTAAGAAGAGAAATCAAAAGCGCTCTCAAACCCGGCTGGTTTTCATCGGTCGAAGTGCTTAGTGAAGCGTTTGCATCGGTGGCCCCCGGTCAGTATCACCTGCTACTGGTAGCGGAGACTGAGTCCCCACGAGCATATCTTGGCTATGAACAGATTTGTCCGCAGAAGGGAGGGCTTTCCTGTGGACTGGAGAACAGTAGCGAGGAGATCTTTAGGTATATCACTCGCGTGTGTATCCGAGGCTTACATGATGAGCTTGCTCACGGCAATGCTGTCGACGAACATCTTGAAGGCATGCTCGTTCCATACCAAGTCCTAGCGGATGGGTTTTCTTCTAGTACCGCTGAACGTAACGCGGAGCTTGTGCAGGAGAACGAAAATCTGGCAATTCCATTTGGTACGTTGAGACTTATCTTTGGGGTGTTAAAAATGCTGATCAAGACACTATGCTAGAAAAACCTGAGGAGTCATACTATGTGGACGTGACAACCTTGCACTTGAGAACAAGCTTCTGGGTGGCATCCCAGTTGACTGGTGTTGACTTCGAAGACAATGAAGGCCGTTTCGGGTGCCATGGTATCGGGCTGGGAGTGAACGCTGCGTAGGCTGAGAGGTTCGATGCAATTAGTTTCTGGCTATTGTAAATGATAATCAACGAATCTTTCAAACAAGCTATTAAACATGTCGTATGAACTGGGGCAGAAGATTAGCGACGTTGTATTTCTTGTAAAGTACACGCAATCTCGTATCTAATACGTTTGTCCATACGGAGGACAGACTTGGCGCTTTCCAATACAACGAGGCACCACACCTGACTATTCGAAAGTGAAGGGTGCGAGTAAATCAAGCCATAAACCCGGGCTTATATCCCTGCATACACATGATGTCATGCAGAAACCGGAGGATGGGTGTCAAACCCATCAAGAGGCTCGAAATCATTTGTTCACCCGTTGTGCTGGCAAACTGCGGCGCTAAGTAGCAAACAGGAACGACTAGCCTCAGAATGTCACTGTCACAGGGCCTCGGACGTGGGCTTTGCGTGAGGCGGCTTATACGGCTGAAATTACGATGAGGCAGGTACTTCGGTACCTCGTATGGAGATTATATATATATACATGAGGAGGACATTGCTGCGGTCTCATAGAAGTAGTATGAGCGCATGTGAGGCCTTGATCCTGCGATGATAGGTGACAACTGCGACAACAGAGCTTTGCGATGAATCGTCTAGGGCTCGAGAGTTTGACCGGAAGTACCCTCGAGAAAGACGTGGAGAACCTGGCCTCTCGGGACACACGCAACCAGCATTTCCTTGATGAGATACTACAGGGCCTTGAAAAGCGCGTTCCTGGGGATATAAAACAACACGAATATGATACTATCGAGGCGCTGTGCACCGACTCCCTCTCGACGTGTAACAGCAAACAGGGTTTCCTCGTAACCGTTCTCGATGAGGCTAGTCTCGCGCACGAAGCGACACTTGCAGCACACCCAAGCTGGCACGGGTTTCGGATTTTCCTCCGTCGCATTCTCGACCCGATTGATCGTTTCAGTGCTGCATTGGATATTCTCAGTCAAGCTGCTGGATCCACGGGTCTGCTTATATGGGGTTCGATCAGAATCGTGATCCAGGTAGGCGGCATTCTCCCCGAGAAGACAAAGGTAAGGCTTATGCAAGTCTCATGCTGACTGCAATATGAGCCTCATATAGGCTACTAAAGATCTCACCGAGATTCCTATATTTGTTAACAGTTGCCTCGAAGATCTGGAGGCGGCGCTGCCGTTGTGGGATGAATATCAAGACATCATTCGTGAAGACCCGCAGTGTTGCATACGTGGTCCTGCCATCAGAGTGTGCATCGAATACCTTACATTTTGCATATTAGTTACCAGGGTTCTCAAATCAAATATCTGGAGTGCGTGCAGTACTTTTGCCACCTTGGTGGCCCTCGAGCTTGCGCTAATTTTGAATATAGAGGAGATCGTGCTAGCCGCCACAAAATCACTCGAGACTCAGCTTCGGGAGTGCATTGCAGTGATTCGAGAGCAACGCAACTCCATCCATTACTGGTTTGGGGCGAGCACCTATAGGAAAACTGGCCGTATGACACCATCCCTTGAAATCTCGTTGCAGACTTCCTTGAAGCTCATCCTAATTGATATATAAACAGAGATTCTGAGTGGAATCGACTGTCTTCTCAAACACAGAGGCACCGCCACCATGACATTTTCAGAGAAAACAGACTTGCGTCCCATCCGATTCGTTCCTGGGTGGCTGAGCCAGCGGTTCTTTGGCCGAGATGAAGAGCTTGCTTGGCTAGAAAGCGTGCTGGAACCTGGCAGTCCTCATAGTTCCGACAGGCGAGTCGCGCTTTGGGGAATGACTGGGATTGGTAAAACGCAGCTGGTAAGTATTTCAACTATGATAGTATTACCCAGCCAAAGCTGACGAGTGCTTTCGGGCGCAGATGCTGAGGTACGAGCAGAAGTTTGGTGAGACATATCAAGCCGCTTCGCTCTTCCTTGTCGGTGGTTCACGAGATAAATTCGTACAGTCCTGTCAGAATCTTCTTGATGTCCTTGAACTGCCCGAGCGCGAAAGACCGGAGCCTGATATGAAAATTCATGGCCTCAGAAAGTGGCTCAATGAAACAGACGACTGGCTTCTGATAATCGACAATGTCAGCAGCAGCGAGTTACCTGATATTCAAAATCTGCTCGAGTCGACAAAGAAGGGTCATGTGCTTGTAAGCTCACAGAACTTTGCTGTTGTGGACCAAATAGTCGGCAACGAGGAGATGTGTCGTGAGATTCGAGAACTTAGCAAGGAGGATGCCACGACTCTGTTCCTCACGACTAGCAACACCGAGGAAAATAGCGATAACAAGATTTTGGCCGCCGATATTGTCAAAGAGGCTGGATATTTACCTCATGTGATTGACCAGGCCGCCTGGTACGTGAGAAAGCATGATATTGACCTCAAGCAATATCTGAAGAGATATCGAGAGACACCCAGCAAGGTAAAAGCGCCGGAAGCTATGTCTTATAGGTCCAACACTCACAACAAAGCAGATTTTACGATGGGAGGATAAACACCGGTCGGCCCCCGTGAAACATTTTGAGATGGCATTTCACGATCTTCGTCGCTCTCATCCAGATGCAATGAATGTTCTGTGTCTGTTTTCCTTTTTCGAGCCAGAGTCTATACCAAGATTCGAAGGATGGTACCGGAATTCGGATTATATTGACACCCATAGTCAGACGAAGAAAACCGCTGGAGAGAAATCCAGCTTTCTTCGAACCCTTCGAAGCCTATGCTGTCTCAGAGCAAAGCCCTCGATGACTCAGGGAATTAAGAACAGCAATTCTGATGCTGGAGAGTCCTACTCTACAATCGTTGAAGTTTGCAGAAATCATGCCCGTTTGGAAGAAGCAATTGGCGAGCTTTGGAATTTCAATCACGTCCGAAAGACCCGCAAAAGGGGCATCCTATGGATGCACGATATCACTCGTCAAATGGCAAGTGACTCGATCAATCCGGAAGATTATAACAAGTGGTTGGAGTCCGCCATAAGTATCCTCTATCATACATTTCCTGAAAGGGACCATACGGCAGAGGACCGTGAGCTGGTTGACATTTATCTACCTCAAGCGACGGCACTGATTGCCCAAGCCCAAACTCACGACCTTGATTGCGGTAAATACGCCGGCCTACTTGTTCTTTGTGCTCAATGCTACCACCATCGAGCAGAGTATCGAAAAGCAATCGAGTGGTATGAAAAGGCCCAAGTGCACTACAATAGTGTTTTTGGTGCTTCTCATCCCAGAAGTATCACTCTTTTGCACGATTTAGCATGGTGCTATCGTGAATCCGGAGCCCACAAACGGGCCGAAGATATGTTCCGCCAGACATGGCAACTGCGGTCGGATCATCAGGGCCGAGACTCGCCGGAGGCTCTGGAGTCTTTGAGTGATTTGGCTGCCCTTATAGAGCGCTCGGGTCGATTGAAGGAGGCCGAAAACTTGTTCGTCGAACTACATAACCGGCAGATCGCCACATTTGGAGCCGATCATCCTATTACAATCGCCGGGGCGCACAATCTCGGTCTATGCTATGCCAACCAGGGGCGGATGTTGGAAGCGGAGGTGCTATATCGAGAGACTTTGAGTGTCTCCGAGGGGGCTCTTGGCAAAGACAATGAGGAGACTATCAAAACCGTTGGCAATCTTGCGGTCACTCTGGATCACTTCGGCAAGCTACGGGAAGCTGAGCCTCTTTACAAACGTGCTCTTGAGACGTACACTCGACTCTTTGGTTATGATCACCTACTGTCTCTGCGAGTCCGGAGCAACATATCCGGGCTCTACAGGCAGCAAGGTCGCTTCAGGGAAGCGGAAAGCGTGATCAGGGAGGTACTCGCGGTATCCTTAAAAACACTGGGCAAGAGTCATTGCCACGTCGCAGAGGCGATGTATGACATCGCAGAGGTTCTTCACGATCAAGGAAGTCTATACGATGCAAGGAATATATACGAAGCTTGCATTGATATGTGGGAGTTTGAAGCACCTGGTCACCCCTTGCAATTCCGTGTCATGGACGCAGCTGGTATTCTGGAACGTGAGCGAGGGGAGCTTAAAAAATCTCGCAGCTGGGCAGAGAGGGCCTACAAAGACAACTTGAAGCTCCTGGGCTGGCTCGACCCTTATACTCTAGTGGCAGCAAACAACTATGCTGAGCTTCTTCACGCTGAAGGGCAGTACGCGGAAGCATCACATCTCTACCACGATTGCCTTCAAGGGTTCGAGGAGCTCTTGGGGGATAAGCATCCGCATTGTTTCATGGTTTTGAACAATCTTGGAAGATTATCATGGGCGATGGCAGACAGAGACGCATTGCCATTCTTTTCTCAGGCATGGGAAGGGCTCAAAGTCCTGCTCGGGGAGACGCACTTTTGCACGTTGACCGTCCAACTCAATTTGGCTCGTACACACCTCGCCGCTGGAGAATTCGAAACTGCATCCGCTCATATGCTCAAAATTAGGGAGGCTTATATGCAGAAGGTCGAGGTCGACCATCCCAGGCTTGGTGTCGTGGAGTTCTTCCTTGGCATATTGTCAGCTGCTGAGGGAAGTCCGGATTCTTTCACAGCGGCTGTGGCGCATTTCAAAGCAGCAGAGGAGAACTATATACGGACACTGGGCGCATCTCACCCGAATTATCTCTGGGCAAGATGTATGCTCATTCGGACCCTCAAAAGCTGTGGTAGAACCGAAGAGGCCAACGTTTGTCTTTCGAATATTGAGCCTCATTTCCTGCTTGACGTTCATAATGGGGCTATGAATTCAGGCCTCGGAAAGCTGACATTTCGAAATGTGATTTCTATGGAGTCGAGAGAGTTGGATTGGATTCGGCTCATCCAGATCCCGTTCGGGGAGACTATCAGATTACGATGGGGCCGGAAGACAGTTTGGAGGATGTGGATAGAGCCTGATTTGAACAAGCTACATAGCTAGGTCCAAGGACTTTGCTCTTGCGTACTGATTTGACCGTCCTTGTGTTTGTTGATGGTGGCTGGTAGGCCGTCATATTCATGTGATTCTTGGATGATGCCTCTCTCAGAATAACCTAATTGAGTGACTCGGATCTATTTGCCACAGATATTGGCGTTTACTAGCTGCATCACCCCCGAGTGGCCCGTTGATTTCGCTGTCTACAGTATCCTAATGGCCGATCGTTGCTTTACATGATCTGAAAAACCTGAGTCCGCAACTTTGAAACGAAGGCCAGTGGATCGAACGGACCTGGCCGAACCCTACATGATCGATATAAAAGGATAAGCAACTCTGTAGATCGCGTTGATCATATCCGCGTGGCAGAACGCATCCGAGCTTTCAATCGACGTAGATCACAATACAAGATTGATACCCGACACAGCTTATACTAGCGTAGCAATCGCACTCTCAGGAAATTGAATCAAGTCGAAAGAGTTAGATTATATTAGGTAGAATACCCGACCTATCCTCAACCATCAAAATGCACCTTGATGCACAGAAACAAAAATACCGCCCCCAAAGACCGAAGGATTGGTGCTATGTACAATGTGTTCTTCCCGTATTCCATACAAGTACAGTAGCCGGAATTGAGGTCCGAAGAAGATCAAGTGGGGGACAAACAGAAGAGAGAAACGTGATAATGTCATACCGCTCCGTGCAGACTAGCGGGAAAAGCGTGAGTTAATAAAAACGACTGTCCAGCCATAATGGCATGAATGCGTGGAAGGTAAAATGGAGGCTCAAACATCCCGGCGTAAATAATTGAACAGATGAACAGATGAACCGAGTAAACGCCAGTACCGAGGGGAATGTGATAGCTATCATGAAATGTAAAGAGGGGGGCCAAAAGGGCGAACAAAGTAGGGGGAAATATGATGCAAAGTTAACCAAATGGAAGACTGATGTACGGTGTATAGTTGCTTCTTTTTTTCTGCTGTGCATTTTGGGGGATTTCATAGAGGTAGTATGCGACTAGGCTTCGCGGTAGCCCCAAATGCGCTTTTGTTCAGACACCCACCAGTGGCCAACTTGATCCGCATCTTCGAGCCAAGAAGTGGCTTCTTTGCCATATTTGGGCAAAACTTCGTCAATAAGTTCAGCATGAGTCCAGGCCTTGGTGAAATTTCTTTCGCCGGGATCTTCGCCCAAGTGGGTGAAGATGAACTCGAAGCCCTCCTTCAGAGGAAGAATGAGGCGGTAGGGGACATCGGCTGCTGTGACAGAGATCATCGAGCCACCGGCGTTGATGAGACCCATATTCCAGGCTAGACGCTTGGCTGGACCATCTGGTTGGGATCGAGCTTCGGGCTTGGAAACGTCGGCCTTATCGGCTTCAGGTGGAGGTTGATCCTCAGAGTCACGGCGGTGGGGTGGTTCTTCCATGGATGAAAGGAACGGCCGAATCAGAGATTGGCCTTGATACTCTGGGAGGAGGGCAGAGGCAATCTTAGAGTCATGCTCATTCAGGGAGTTGGACTGCACAAGGAGATCCAAGATGGTGGGTACAATTGCAAGGGCTGTTGCGTTGGCAGTGATGTCCACTCTAGGCATCTTGGGGTGGTGGAAGACTAGAGGCACGCGGAAGTTACTGATATGGCCGTTGTGGTAAGTGCCAGTCATTTCCTTGTTGTCTTCGCCGAAGGCTTGGCCATGGTCGCCAACAACAACGACTAGAGTCTCGTTGGCAATGCCTGTTTGGTCCAGCATGTTCATGATGTCCCCGAGCCAGATATCGACGAACCTTGCGGCGTTGAGGTAGTTGTTCATCAGGTCGTGATTGATGTTTCCCTGGTCGCTCATGTAGGGCTCTTTGTGGAAGTCGCCTGGTGTGCCCCAGGGATGGTGCGTTGTGCTGGTGACGTGTGAAAGGAACATACGAGTCTTGTTGTTTGCAGCCTCTTCAAAGAGATCCATGACATAGGGATGGAGCTCAGTCTCCGCAAATCCGAAGTAGTTGATCTCTTTGCCCTGAGCCTTGTGTTTCGAGTGGGGCGATTCCAAGTCACTCTTGACAACCTTGTGCTTGAAGCCCATATTTTCGTTGAGGATGTTCTGACGGTCATAGTCGTCGGTGATTGACTGCATGAAGACCGACTTCCAAGGATAATCGAGAGCGGCGGACTGGGTCGCAGAAGAGTTTTGACGACGCTGCTGCGCATGCTGCGCAGGCTGCGATTTGCCCTGGTTGAACAATTCAAAAATCTGCGGCAGGCATGGCTGATAGATTTCCAGGGCAGACTCCTCCAGAAGATCGACTGGCAAAGGATTGACACCACAATGGCTCCCCAAGACACTCTTGAAAGTCAAGGAGCTACCCGTCATGGCGCCTCGGACATTAAGTCCACCCATTCCTTCCTCTGGTGGGGATTGCCACGGCGAGTGGCTCAAGTCGACCTTGGTTCCGTTGCTATCGGTTGCGAATTCGCCGGTCAGCTGCTGAGCGACCGGTGTCATGGTGACCAAACGATCGATTGCCTTTTGCACATTCTCTTTCTTGTGAGAGGCGAGGAGACCTTCGAACAAAGGAGTGCCCTGTTGCATGGGGAAAAGCTCTTTGCGACCACTTTCGAGCGTCAAGAGCACCACATGGTTGACCTCCACAGAGTGCTCCTCGAAGGCCTTTTTCAGAGGCTTGTAAATTTCACCGCCTAGGTTCGAGATCATAAGCGGGTCGTTCGTTGGGCTGTAAAATGCGCCTTCATCACCACTGCAAACAAAAGAGTAACTGTTGTCCTTCTTTGCGCGATCGTGGGGGCTGAGTTCCCAGCGGCTGAATCCTGGCGGTGGGTTTTCGGGGAGCCATGAAGCGCGTGACCATTGTTCCACAAACGCCAAGTCGGGTTCGAATTGAGGACGAGAGACCCCGTCACTGTCTGTGACCATCAACGGGAATGGTACTGCAGGTTCGCGACACCCCTCCACCGTCGCTGACTTTTTCTGAAAAGCCTCGAGCAGTGTCAGTGGCAGGGCTCCAGATAAATGATCATAGGGGATCTCGGGTCGAGCGAGCTCCAGGAAAATGAGCGAGACCGAAATCAAGACGGCGGGAATAATGCGACAGAGCGACCGGATATCCATATAGGCCATGAATGACTTTTTGGGAGCGGCGAGCAGTGTATAACGCGCTCTGTAACCTCCGGTGCACATGTCTCGGATTGCCTGCAACCCAAGGCCGGTGATGTTGTACAAATATGAATGAATCGCCCACGCCACCAGGCCGAGAACGGTGGTCGCAGCAGACACAGTCGATATACCGCTGAGGAGGATCTTCATCGCTGCTGGGTCGCTGAGGAAGCTACCGCCAGCTGCCCAAGATACCTCACCGCCGGTCTGCAGGAAGAAACCGAATTGGATGGAGGAAGCACCCCAAGTGATCAGGCTAATTCGATTGTTAGAAGACATTGCGCTGGATTTCCTTGGTCGTTCCTCCACGTCTGGACGGGGTACACGTACGATAGGGCCCCACCCAACACGGTTGAAAGCCATTGCCATCGGCCCTCCGGTGCCTGGAAGCAGAGCAACAGGCGAACAGCTATAATGACCAGCACATCCGGGAGAATTAGGGTCGGCGAGTAGAGGACGAAGTACAGGAATGGTAATGACTGAAAGTGTAGGGCGATGTGTAAGGCCTTGGAGGCGAGGCCACTCACGACGAGCGCAGAGAACAGGAAAGGCGGCAGCGGTGGTAAGTAGGCAAGGATAGACATATTTGAATCATTTCATGGCACACCGCAGTTGGCAAAGATGTGAACCAAGGGGGGGGAGAGGAGCTGGAATGGAAGAATGCGAGAGATCGAGTATGGCAAACGAGAGACCAGGAACTCAACCAAAACACGAGAGAGCAAAGAGCAGAGAGGAAGAAGGAAGCACAAAGGAGGAAGAGGGAAAGACTATTCTTAGATATGTGTATTTCAGAAATACCGAAGGGGACAGAACAAGTCCAATTAGGCGACTGGGAAATTGCGCACGCGACCAGGAGGCTCCAACTGAGTCCAATGCTTGTTTCTGTTGCTTTTTTTGCGGTTTTTCTTTCTGACATTACGTGGGTCAGTGGGCGAACCACTTTTCTTTCCCTGTTCTCCAGTTTATGGCTATATTAATGCATCCAATACGAGTACAACTTCGATCTTCTCCGAGTGGACCCTCCCACCGGGTCTTGGGAATCGCTGAATGGGACACTGTGAGGCTGGAGTGCCGAGAGACTTGACTTCTGTCCTCCGTACAGCCCAAATACACACACACCAATACCTTGTGTACTCCGTACAGGTTATTATGCCCATGTTTGTGCAGCCAAGAGGGACTAGGTGGACCCTGCATCACACTATTCGTCTGATGATGAGACTGGAGAGGCCTTTTCGAAATTCAACCTGCGATGATTCGTTCACCTGGCTCTAGCTGAGACAAAATTGGGCCCGATGGCCTCGTTGGTGGAAACTGCCCTACAGAACCGTCCTCAACTCCGAAAGAACATACGCAAGCCTCGTGTTCGAACTTTGACAAAACCAAAAGAAATCCGGGGAAACGCGAGACTCCGTGACCCGACGTGACCCTGAAGGATCGGGCTATTTTCGCCCCCCCACTTGCAGTGCCACACTCCAGTCTATTCGGGGTCTTGCCCCTTTATTGTTACGTGGTATATGGACTCGCAAAATCCACACTTCAATGTCCTCTTTCCAGATCATGGCACAATGATGATCCTCGGCCATGCGAAAGGGTCGTATTCAACTCGGATCGTCGATGCTCCCGTGTCCGCCCTGAGCCGCTCCAGGCTGGCTGTGAGGCGGTTGAGATCTAAGCCTTGTGGATCTCAACGTGTTGATCTCATACCGGCTCAGATGTGCGTAAGACATTCCCACTCGTTTCACCGTTGGCCCCCTCTGTGCGAGGATGTCCAGGATGGGTTTGCACCCTTGAACTGGTGGACAGAAATAGGGGTGAAGGCAAGCTTCTAAACTCTCTTGGCAGCAGACCCTGCAGGAGACTTCTCCTGAGGGACATGTATGTCAGACTTGTACTCCGTATCTTGTGTGTCATCGTTTGTATTGAGGTCAACATGTGTGAGTCTTTTATTCCCTCCGTCTGCCCGCAGAACCCGAGCGCACGGAGTACTCGGCACTGTGAACACCCCGCCTCCGGCCCCAATAGTTGGTCTTTGTCCCTATTCGTATACTGACCATGTGGAAATTGAAACCGAGCGTTCCAAGGCTGCATGGAGGAGATTAGCAGGGCATTGGTTACGGGGTACTCGATACTCCGGACTCCGTACTCCGTACGGAGTACAGTCCTCAAGGTTCCCTGTCAGCCTCGCCATTTCTAGGGTTACCCAGGCAGCATTACGGAGTACAATGATCACACACCGTTGTGATCAGAGTTCTGAGGAGAGAAACTAGTGAAAAGCTAACTCTAACCCATGCTTGTACTTCGTACTCAGTATGTACAGAGTATGAAGTATCGCGATGACCTTGGGTTCTGACAGCCTTCATCGTATGGGATACGATCTGCACACCGAACCGGACCGTGCGTCTGCCAGGTCATTGCCCGTACAACGCATCGGACCTGGTGCTCCAGTCTACATCTCACTCATTGCACATGTGTCCGTCTGGAATGACCATGAACCCGAATCGAAATTCCCATACAATATGCGATGTCGTTCAATGCTGCTCTGATCACGTCAAGCCTATATACATCCTTGGGTATATGATTATATACAAATCGTCCCGAGATCCTAATAACCCACGAGGCAAAAATCACAGGATGCAACGGAATCACTTCTGCTGATCTTTCAATGCACCACGCTCCCTCACAGTATCAGCAATCCCCTTCCCAACCTCCGACCCCAACTCCTCGAATCCCTTGACAACCCCCCCCTATCCCCCTCACTCATCTCCTGGCTCATCTTAAACTTGCCCTGCAACCGCTCAATCCGAATCTCAATACCGATAATATTCTTCTTCAAAAGCTCCACATAATTTACCGGCGCCTCAGACACATTCCACGCAGTCTTCTTATCGCCCCCCGTGTACCCCATGATACCCGTTTCAGACTGCCGCGACAGATCCTCAACCTGCTTCTGCAAGAACGCGCCCGTCTCCTCAGCCTTGGAGTTGCAGTACACGCTGATCTTGCCGTACGCCTGCACGGCGGAGTAGTTCCACGTCGGAACGACCTTGCCAGAGACGGGCTTTGTTTCTGTGTAGAACTTGGGCGTAACGTAGTGGTGGTGCGGGCCGTTGAAGAGGACTAGGATTTCGTCCGTGAGCTCGAGCTTGTTATTTCCGGCGTTTTGCTCGGCTAGCGCTTCCATCAGCGCCTTCGCTTGTGGGTTTTGCTTTGCGATGTGGCCGCGCAGGATGCCATTTGGGTATGTGTCATCGGTCGAGGGGACGTCAAGGACAAATGGAATGTGGCTGGATTGGATGAAAGGGTAGGTCGGGGACTTGATTGCTGTGGTCAGGATGCCTAGTGGGTTGTCGCGGAGGAATTGTTGGAGGATGGGGATTTGTCCCTCGGCGTGGACGGCGCGGAGATACATTGTAGTTATGATCGCAGAGCGAGGATTGACAAGTGAGTATGTTGTATGCTCAATTGTTATCAGTGTAGATTGTACGCAGTATCAAAGCAAGCTATAAGTATGCGGGGGTCGCCGTCTGTCATATGGGGCAGTTCAGATCGCATCCCACTTAGTTCTTGTCATCCCCTATCTCGGTTGTTTGATTGGCAGTCGGCGCCGAAATAGCACCACTTTGTTACTTTTGTTTGCTACTGTGTCAATCCCCAAACTTTCTATCTGTCAATGAGTCAGGATCTTGTTGTGGATCTTCATAAGGCGCAATGGTGTTTCTCCTCGGAATTGGGCTGAGTAGGTTGGTAGTCATATTATCATGAGTAAGGATGACTGAGACAAGATACTATACAAAGTGTAGAAAAAACCAAGGATGACTCCAACTAATGATCCGACACACTCCAAAGACACCGAATGATATTCAGAAAACGCGCTAAACCACAAACCTACCGAGATAGGGCTTAGAGCGGAAATCATGTAATGCGCGACACAATCTCGTCCTTGCCTAGGCGTTCCAAGACACCCTTCTTCAATCCAAGGAACCGTTCGATATCTCCCCGGCGCATGCCTTGCTTATCCCGCATGGTCAGCACCTGCTGAATGGTCAAGGCGTCCAGGAAGGATCGGCCCGGGTGACCTGCGCGACCAAAGTCCTCAGCTTCTTTGTCCGCTGCCTCCGTAAGACGTTGCCGAGAAGTGACGGTAAGAAGTGCCGGATTGGAGGCTTGTGGGAAAACAGTCTGCATTGGGCCGGCGCGATTGACAGTGCTGGAATTTGAGAATGTGGGGGATGGGTTCACAGGGCCGATTGAGCGGAGGGAGGCAGCGAAGTCGGGGTCACGGCCATCCATATCAATGGCTATAGGATTATTTGTTAGTGATTGCTTGACAATTTTGCGTTTATTGCGTGGTGGAGGCGGGGAAAATTGCCGGTGGCATGTACGCACCATCAGATTTCACACTGGATGCCTTCTCCTTGGAATGGTATGTTGGACCTTGGGGTGGAGGTGCACGTGCTTGATGAGGCTTGGGATGAGGCGAGGGATTGGCTTGGGGTGTGGGTGCCGAAGTAGGCGCGGGTGTAGGCGATGTTTTCGCTTCCTTCGCAGCTTTGCGGGGCCCCCGCGGTGGAGGAACCGTCTGTTTAGGATACTGACGACGTGCAGCTGCACCGGCAGCTGACTTGGCGGGTTTTGAAGCAGCGGAACCCATTGGAAATAGTGTGTTGTGAAGGTAAGAGCGTTGGTAAGAGGTGAAGCTTTTTGCGGCGGAGCTCGGGGAAAAGTCGCGGAGGTCCCAGGTCGCCTTGGCATCGGCCAAAACATCCGTCGCATTGTGACGTCAAACTACACACACTACATTATAGTCAACAAACAGCTCCACGGAGAATCTTGAATAAGTGGGCTATTATGATACTTACCGAGGACAAAAGAATACTGGCAGCTAAATTTGGCTACACAAATATGTCAAGCCGATATGTAAACCTAATTGTCGGCGCAAAATCCACAACTGAGTATCTGTAGCGCTTAACCACGACGACGTATATATATGATAGACATTTCATAGGTAATTCAATTGAATATAGAGAGAATATAGTGAGTGTTTCATGTAAAATCTGTATTTTTGCAAAGAAAAGAACATGCTGGATACCACCGAAGCTAAAATACAACACCACCGGGCCTAAGACGTCACAGCAGTCTGAAAGCACTGCGAAAGGACATATAGGACGGCGACAGACACATTCTATCAATGTTCTGGAAGCTTAACGGAGGCCAGCAAGGCGCCGGCCCTGCACTTCACCTAGCGCACGGCTGCCACTGACGAATGCGACCGCACCGACGACGGTCACCGCGGGGAGGACCTGGAACAAGTTCCAAGAGGTGTAGTAGAGGAAGAAGATCCCTTCGATTGCGATCAATGATCCGAGGAAAACGGCGTGTGGGAGAGGTGCGGACTTGAATGCGGAAGGGAGGTGACTGACATTGGCGCCGAGGAAGAACCACTAGAAACAATCAATCAGCAACATTCTTGGAGGAAATAAGATCGACTTACCAAGCCAGCAAGAGCGGGGATAGCAGCGCCAACCATGGCAACAAAGGCCAAGGTGATGACAATTGGCGGGCTAGATGCAGACTCCTTGAAGATGTGGTGGATCTCGGGCTTCTTGCCGTAGCGCTCAGCCTCGACGGTTGGTACGGCCTCTCCGGGGTTGCGATCGATAGACAACTTGAAGGCGGTGCTATCGTATGCTTTGGAGCTACCAAAGCCACCAATGACAACGCGCGCATCAACTGGAGTAGACAGGGAAAGGAATTGAACCGGCAGGTCTTTCTGTGTCTGGGGGATATCTGTTAGTTGCGCCGCTGAGAGTAGTTTTTAGTGGTTGCATACCAGTTCGACCCTTGACTTGCCATTCTCTTTGACATTAAATGGGTAGGAAATATCTAATCCAGTCTGAGCATCCTTCAGCAGGAGGAAAGCCTGGTCTGGTCGCTTTGGGGAGCTTCCTTCCTGAGTTGTCAAGGTGACGCGTATGGTGTCGGCGCCGGCTAGAGAGACGGGCTTCGAAAGTGGCTTGGATGCAGCAAACCTATCCAAATCCAATGATTAGCTCCATGTACCTCAGTTCAGGTTACAATGCATACTGTTCTTTAAACCCTCCATTAACACCAGCACCTTTGGTTTGAACGGCCACGGTGGCATCAGTAAAGCCCCAAGCTGTGGCAGCAGCGCCGGGCAAGGCAGCTGCAGCCAATAAGCAGAATGGAACGGTGGCCTGCCACAGATGCATTATGAGAAAAAGAAGCAAAAGAATTAACAATTAATAGATAGCTCTTGAGCTCTGGGGGAGATGGAGGTTGGAGGAGTAGCAGAATAAGGCGGACAAGGTGATGCCGATAAGCGCCGATCACCGTAGCCCTAATTTCTTTTCTGCTCGATCGCAGCACCTGGGCATCTTCCATCACTTTGTTTCGCCTCTTCCGCCACCAATACAACTTCGGCTCGGTCCTTGGGAACCTCTCTGTGAGCCCTTTACAACTGCGGATGGGTGTACCTCTGGTTCCGTGAGTTCTGCACCTATGCACCGGGCCCTAATCCTCAACTTCCCTCCTTCCGCGCACTGCGGTCTTCTGACGTCGACCTGCCCTTCACCTGATGACCCCCATATATTCATCTTCCCACACCCTAGGTGCCTGCTATTGAAGATTATATTTAGTCCTTTATTTGTACTATTCAATCATTCTATTGACCGCATATTGTATTCTCATGAATGGGTTGACTAACGAGATTCGGGCCATTTAGCTTAATTCACGATGCCTCCCAAGAAGGGTCCGCGTAAGTCGATGCCTGCGCGCATCAATAAGGCGCCTACATTGACACCTTCTCGGCGCTCGCCCCGAGTACCGCCGCCGTCAAAAAGTACAAATGAGAGCATACAGCCCCCAAAGCCGTTGAACCTTACACCCGCCTCCCCTCAAGACAACTCGATTAATATTCGGTTTTACACTCCCAATCCACCTGCTCCAAATCCTCGGTTACGTGCCAGTTCTCCAGAAACACCTTCATCACGTCGGCGGGTCTTTCAGTCTCGTCCATCACGTCTTTCAACTGTTTTCACTCCAACCGTAGACCCTCCGGTCACCACCCAGAGTAGTCGACGCACGAGAAGAACAGCTGCACTTGAAACACCCAAAAAGGATATTTCCGATATCGACTTCCCAGAAAGCGCTGACAGTACTGGTTGGACCATTGACCAGTATATGGGCAGCTTTGAATCTGAAGGAACAGTCGACGGCCAATCAAGTCCTACCAGTACCTCCGACATGCGGAACTCATCCCGCATTCGCAAGCCCACCATGAGGGCCATTGAATCTTTCGAATCGACCAAGAAACAAGTTCGCCGCAAGAACACAACTGTATCCTCCCCGACTGTGGAAACGCCTGATCCTCTAACCACCAAGGTTGCGACGAACAAGGTTGTGAAGACGCTCACCAAGAAAACCAGAAAATCAAAGAGAGTTTCCAACTTGAACCTGCGCAAGAATGCCATTTTGATTGGTTTTGATATTGATGTGAACATGGCTGGCGCAAGGCTGTATGATCTGACCATTGAAGCCCTGGGTCCACACTTCACCATTCCTGTCAATTTCCCCGCATCCTGGGAGGAACAGCGTGATGAATACTTCCGTCGGCAGGATGAAGAAAAATATGGAGTCGACCCAGTTGTCACAAAAACAACCTCACCCACCGATGTCGATGTCGACATGGTAGACCAAGACCTCTCAACGCCAGCGATTTCCCCATCTCCTCCCACTACTCCGGCCGTAATCCCAAAGGGTCCAAGCATCCTGAACTATGAAAAGCAATCTGATCCAAAGACCAACAGCGATGGCTGGATCCAGTCTGGCCATGTCAACACCAACGGCGAAGAGATCGTCCTGATTCCCGAGCAATATCACCCTTACTATTCAGCTCATACGTACGGCGATGAGACTCTTCCTTTCCCACCCGTGTGCGCCAGAAGTGGCCAGCAGGCCGAGGCCGACTCCATTCACGGATTTGCCCCGCTCATGGGCCAACGCAATATCCCATCCGATGGGTTGGCTCCATTCGTCACTGAGAACGTTGAGGAGGAAAAGGCCAGGGTTCAGGTTCGGACTCCTGCGCCAGCCCCGGAAACCAAGAAGCCCCGCGTCCGAAAGCGCCGTCAGACCGCAGCTGCAGATGCCGCCGCCGAGCCTAGCGCTGTCACCGCTGTTCCCGAGACCACTGAGAAGGGTGGACGCAAGTCAGAACGCCGCCGTCGCCTAACTGCCCCTGCCCCCACTCTCCTCCCTCCCACCTCTCCCACCTCTCCTCCGACCACTGCGACCCCGGTCCAGTCTTCGGGTCCGGCTGCCGCCGTCACCACCGCTGCTACCACCAAAGGCAAGAAAAAGCCCAAGGTACAGCGGCTCCGGTTGACCTTGAAGCCGGAATCCAAGACTGAGACCTCCGGGGGTGAAACCTCTATCGCCAAAGAGGCCCCCGCCGTGCAGTCCCCTCCCTCTCCCGACCTCTCACGTGCGCCGTCCTCCGCACCGACCAACAAACGCCGCCGCCGTCGGGGCGCGTAAGGCCCCAATGAGGGCAAAGTGAGGCCCTTTCGAGGGTAGAATGAGAATGGTTTCCTCCCGGTGGATGCCGGGAGTTGATGATAAATATCCGGTGCCTACCTGGCGCCTTTGCTTTTTTTGCTTTTTTTTTTTTTTGTATGATTACCAGCGGGCGTCCCAAGCATGTATGATTAGCACCGCGGGAGCATACTATGGAGTTCACCATAGTGGAATGTCGGATTTTTCAGTTATCACTTTTCTCGATGTAGCTTTGCTTCACTCACTAGTTATGTTTATATTGAACCCGATAGTCAGAGCAAACATATTTGATATGTCGCCCACGTTGCGCTCACCTCTCGGTCAATTTCAGACTCACTGTTGGCTTGCAACTCCGTCTCCATGAAGTTGGCTTCGTTCTAGTCGCACGTTTTAAGGGTTCCTATTGTTACAAGTCTCATAGATAACCTGTGTACTATTGTAACTGGTCATGAGGTGACCTGAATTTCGAATTGAGGTATACTACTATTTTCACCAGCTGATGGTCTGGATTTAGTCGAACTTTAAGCGTTATTAAGACCTACCTAAGTTCCAACCTTGGAAGGTTGCTTTGGTAAAATTGTTACCAGAACCCTGATATGAAATCAAGTTTGTGAAAAGGATACATAGAAAGACGTCCACAGAGGCGTATGGACATTGGAGAATCTGGAACCAAGAATGAAATCCTGATCGAAATTCTAGATTCGTCCTTTCTAACATCAGATATGTACCAAGTGGTATGCTTCAAGCCTAAGTAGCAGATCTTGGCAATGTCACTTTATACGTAGGATTGTCTTCTGGCAGACTCGAACAGACAATATAATGAGATGCAATGACACCATCTTGGCAGGAAACAGAACGGGATATACCCAAGTACTGAAGTGATGTAGGCATGCATACAAAGCCTGTGGACTCAGTATACACGCCGAGGAAAAGACTGAAAACCACCCTAGCTCGCCATATTACCTTTTCTCTCACCGTTATGCAGACCGAATTCAACCTTCCAATTTAAATCCTCAACATCATCCAGCTTATGAGTTGTAACAGTTGCAACAAAGCCTCAATTACTCGAGAAAGAGTAAAATCATGTAATGCCTCAGGCACCCACACCTCCGGAATCTTCCCTCACAGAATTCCCATCCCCCAATCCACCAGCCCAAACCAAGTAAGCAAGCCGCGTGAATATCAATTCTTGCTTCTAACAAAGAACCAGAATGTCGAAACTCTCAGAGCAGCAAAAATACCGCTCCGTGGACCCCCGAACCCGGCCTGCCCGTCCGGTCCGGCAACCCGCTGCTCCGCAGGTTCCCAAGGGGGTTGAGGATATCCGGCAGACAAAGGAGTACAAGGCTGCAGCGCGCAGGTAGGTTTCGATATTTGTTTATGGATCCACTGACTTGTTTGCCTTGATGTTGGTGGTGGATGGTATGGGAGAAATCTAATCTTCGATTCTCTAGATGGACGGCGACCATTGTTGGATTACCCATTGCGATGTACACCTCGTGGATTCTTTATGAGCGGCGTAAGTGATCCACCCCTGATAATCGTGGTGTTGTCCTTCGTTGGATCATGCAGGCCACTGACTTGATTTGCGTTAGTTTATGGTGGCAAGAGTGCGAAGCGGCTCGGGGAACCAGTAACGAAGGACTAATTTACTTCTCTCCTTTGTTCTTGTTGTTCTGGAAGCGGAGGTACATGCCAAATCTCATCTGGAGAGTGTTTAAGAAATGTCTACAAGTGTAAATAAGAAGTCCCAAAAGAATATGTTTCATCTCTTTTCATCCAAACCTGTCATTCAAGGGGGAATTGTAGTTCATGTAACACATTGCAATGCATTGATTAACAAAACTCCAACGCCTCAGGTCTCGGTATAAACTCATGACTATATATAGGCGAGAACAGCCCGCCAGACATAACAAAGGTAGAATACCCAGATGCATCGATTCCCAATTTTGGAAGCCCTCTCCTAGATCCTCCCCACCTTGCCAGCCTGCTGGGGTGAAAAGCAAGAAGAAAAGAAATGTACACAATCCAAATGCACGGAAGAAGAAATCATTTGAGAACAAAGTGGCAAAAAAGACAAAAGTGAGAAAACGCATTAGGGTTTACAACATCGATCAGCTCGCTACGCCCTGGAAAGGAACGAGGTGCTCGGTCGAGGCAGCAGATGGTGGCACGGATATCGAGCCACTACCAGTACTGGCAGGTTTTGAGCTCCGCTCGCGCATACGGCGACCCTCCATGAGACCACGCAGACCGCGCTTCTGAAGACCGATCACACTGCTCAGATCACCAGTCCAGAGCTCACGCTGGGAACGGCGCAACTCAGCATCCGTGCCACGGCGGTGGTGAGTGGAGCGCGACTGTGAGCGGCTCTCGTCGCCGCTGGGCCATTCAGAGTCGGACTGGCTGAAACTAGCGCTGGAAGCCGATGTCGCCGTGCTTGCATTGCTGGCGGAATCTTCACGATCGCGGCGACTGCTCCGTTGGTGCGAATGCTGAGAGACATTGGTGTCGATGCGAAGAGATGGCAGGCCTCGACCCAAGTTTGTAAGGTCGCCGGTGCTGCTGGCGGCTGACGCAGAGATTGCGCCATGCTCCGTATCGGATGAATTTGATGTGAGCGCATCATGTTGAGAATGGCTCTTCTCGCCGATGGACTGTGAAGTACCGTTGTTGCCGGTATAAGCTCCATTCAAAGCCTCGAGTGTACCTCCTGGTCCACCATTGAATCCAGTACCACGACCACCGCCCGCAGCCATAGCAGCTGCGTTGAATACAGCTGCGGCGTTGCGTCCGTCAAGAATTTGATGGAGTCTTTCAACAGTAGCTTCCAGTAGTCCGTCGATCTGGTACGGACGTGCGAGTTGTAGCAGCGAGCAGAGGATCTGCGGTGTGCACAGTGAGGTGCCTACAGATGGAAGCGCCGAAGTATAGAGGTATTGCACAAGCACTTGAAGAGTCAAAATCGTATGAGGAAGATACAGCACACGCGGTCGCGAGGTGGGGGCGAGGCTATGGGCAGACGGGAGTTCAAGGTTCTCAAGCAGAGACTTGGAAGGTACAGATTGATTGACAAGGGTGGTTGCATCGGAATAGGTACTGTGGGGGCCCACCGACGCAGTGATGGTAACACTTGAGTTACGGCTCGGATGCATCTGTGTTGAATGGAGGGTTGCAGTATCTGAAATCCCCTCGTCCGAGGACTCACGAAGGAGCTGGATGAAGTATGGGCCCCATCGCCGGGTCAATACACGGGAGTTGACAGAAATTCGTTCTCCTCCCACAGCCTGCAGTTCCATATCGGCCATCTCTGGCAAGGCCTGCGCAAGTTTGCCAAGCTCATCGGATGCAGCAGACAATGGACGCCCACCGGAAGTCAACTGGACTAGCTTCTTCTGAAGAGACGCGGGAACAGAAGAGGAGCTATAAGACTTATACCCTGAAGTTGGAGAAGTGCGGCAAGGATTGTTGTAGAGTCCAAATGCCTCCAGCTCGACCAGACAAATGTGCGAGAAGTTGATTCGCCGGTGATTGTAATCATCAACCAGGCTTCGCTTCCGATGTCCGAGGATCACGAATGAATTACGACGAGGCCAAAGCACACCCCGGTTCCAACTGCCTTGCCCAAAGACGGATCCTCCGGCGTCAATACGGCCCCAAGTCAACGTCTTCAGATCAAGAGCCCAAAGTGCATATTCTTGCTTCGAGGAAGTCAGATAGGTACCGCTGACGACGAAGTGACCGTTGATGATGCCACCATTCGGGAAGCGCAGGCCCGGGGGCGATGCTTGGCTCTGCATCGGTCGTTCAACAAGGCGCCCGTCCGGCAGGCGCACCTGCAACTCCAGTTTGACATCAAGGAAATTGTAATTGGAGTAAATCAGCATAGGGCAACCCGGAGATTCAGTGCTGTCTTGAAGTGGCTCGTGTAAGTCGCGATCTGGAGCTGAGGATCCAATTTCAGACACATCCATCCCCACGAGAGGAGCCACGACGCTGCGATAAGCGCCGCAGCTCCTTCCCAAGGGGCTGGTGTTGGTCCACTTCAGACTTCTGAGATTGAATACACTAATCTGTTCGATATAGTGATTGGAACTATCTTGACCTCCAACCACTACCATCTCTGCACCTCCGAAGCCGTCAATGTCCACACCGAGGGTACCTTGATGGGTGGAAGACTCCGGGTTGTGATGGATGGCGGATAGAGGTGCACTGGCTGATGTAAAGCACGCGCTAGATGGCAGTATCGTAGCACAGTGTGCATATCGCCCCTGAGGAGATTCATGAGCGGCCACACGAGTCCATGCCCGCGATGGGACATCGAATATGTGAATATCTGACATGACCACAACTTCCGACTGCGACGGTGATTGCGATTCCGCAGGGTTCTCGGGGTCGTTTGGCGTACTCGGTGCCGGCGACATGCCTCCATAACAGACCAACTTGTTGTCCCCTAGGGCACACATGCTGTGGAAGTACCGCGGTGGTGGAACATCTCCAGCGGGCTCGATCTTCGTCCAATGTCGTCGAATCAAGTCCAGTTCATAGAGGTCTGAGGTCAACTGAGGGCGACTACGCGAGAGGATCCGGCCTCCGAACACGTAAAGCTTATCCCCCAGTATGGTCGTAGTGGCACCGACAAGAGGATGGGGCTCCTTGCCAGTCGTTCGCCGCACGTTGCACACCAGGCCAGATAGATTGATAGGCCCAGAGGCAGACTGCTGATTCGGCGATGGAGAGACTCCTGGTGCCGAATCTTCGCGAGCTGCCTCCAAGTACCCCAAACTCGACTGACTTCGCGACATCATGATGGGCCAATTGTCAACGGATAATCAATGTATGGGCAGCCGGTAACCCCCTAATTCAGTCCACCAAATATCGGTCGCATGCGATGAATTTGTCAGATGTTGTCGATTCTCGGATAATGTTCCTGGCGCTGATCGCAGATGTGCTCGTTGAGGCTCGAGAGGGTTGTGTGTGGGGTGCCGGAAAAGGGGGTGCTTCCCCGCGACGCCGCAACTTTGGTGCCAAACTTGCAGAACGATGAACAAAATCGACTCGAGGCAATGCAGAATTACTGCCGTTTGGATATATCGGATGAGCGCACACTATTGACACAAGTGTCAGCCGTCGAGGTCGGGGATCGGCACAAAAAAATGTTTACCGCTTTTCTCCTTTAACATCCCTCCAATCAATGTACTTGTCTGTTGTATGATGCATTGACACAACATACAACTGTCGATAAATCAGACATTTTTGCTTTTTGCTTTTTGTTCTTTTGTGTTTTTCTTTCTTTGAGAAACTTTCTCGCTATCAATATACATATGTAGCATTCAAAAGACTGCCCATTCCATATAAGCGACTCCCCATGAGATAGGATTCCACGTCAGGGTATGCGGTTTGGTCTCATATCCCTCCAGAGTGACGTTGAACTTCTACTCCGTACTCCGTACATATCTGTCAGTTCCCAATATATCTGCTTGCATGGACATGCATGTCCCATTGCATTCCCTTTCGCTCGAATGCATGCCTCGTGTGGTTGTGGAATGCGGGGTCATCAGGGCCCAACGCTTTTGTTCCCTGGCCCTACATTCTCTCTCCACTTTGCTCGAGTGATAGGCTTACATCTATTGCCGTGCACACTATTTTTTTTTGACGTCTCTCATACTTGCCTAATGCAAATTAATCTAATTCCCTGCCGAACTAACACTGCATGCTCGGTATTTGATGGATTGACTGGTCACACTTTGTTGAACACACATCTTGACCTTGTGGCTGGGTCTTTCTCGAACAGTCTTCGAGTCCTAATATCAGTGGTTTTTTAACTCCGTATGGCTTTTGCCATAATGTGTTAGGTGTCTGTGGCACTGGTCTTCTCGGGGCCTCTAGGTCCATAAATGGCAACTCTCGCATGAGGCTCGCTAGAGGATGATAGCTACGTCTTAAGAAGGGCAACCTCGAGCCGCGGGGCATTACCTGGCTGGTGTCTAGGTAGGGAAGTACGGTCGAAACGTCCTGGGCAGGGTTGGAAAGACCCCATGCAGCTGCATTGCTGTCAGGAAAAGAAACTCGAAGCACACCCGATCAAGATCCGCACATTCCTAAACGATATGTACGCAACCTGGGCCGGAAGGACATCATATTCACTATTCGCTCCCTGTTAACGATCGACCCGAGTGATAAGCTTGTATTATCCGTATTATGATGGAACCTGCCTGTCGATCGAAGCTCTGTTGGTGAAGCAGCGTTCGGGGTTCTCTGATCGCAATATGGTCAACAATAGGTAACCGACGTACTCCCACCTGGTCGAGCTGCAATCATTGCACTTCTCCGTGGTCCATATACTCCGAAGATATGGAGTATGAAAGCACCAATAAAGCCCCGCCAACAGGGGCCGAGCATTACTCCACCCGCAAGGCACAAAGTACCTGAAATGCAGGTCGGAAGGTTGGAGTTGCAAAGATCTCATTGACTGTTGATATTGCATCAGAGACGCTAAACATCCCACTTGGCAAGCATTGGCCAATCCCAGGGGTTCTGCCCGGGCGGCGAGGGGATCACGCCATATGGAGAGCCGTCCAGGGCAGAGGGCCCACTTGATTGTGGTGGAAGCTGGGACTATCATCATCATGAGGGGCTCGTATTTGAACCCTCTACTCCTCCTTCTTTTCTTCTCTTGATTCCTCCTTCATCTCTCTACCCAATTCACAATGTCTAACTCTGCTGCTCCGTAGGTGAATCCATAGCTCTCAAAAGCTCTTGTACTGACATGGCTAAATAGCCTCCGTCTGGGCTCTGTTGCCCCCAACTTCAAGGCCCTCACTACCCAGGGCGAGATTGACTTCCACGAGTTCATCGGTGATAAGTGGACTATCCTCTTCTCCCACCCTGCGGATTTCACACCCGTACGTACGCCCTCGACTCTACGCAATGTGCCCCACTAACATGGATTAGGTGTGCACCACGGAATTGGGCGCTTTCGCTCGCCTCCAGCATGAGTTCGACCGCCGCGATGTTAAGATGATCGGATTGGTAAGTCTGAACTACTGTGCTCAACACGTTTATACCCTAGCTAATATGTGATTTTCGGTATAGAGTGCCAACGATCTCGGCTCTCACGGCGAGTGGATCAAGGACATCAACGAGGTCGGCAACACTCAAGTCAAGTTCCCCATCATTGCCGATGCCGACCGCAAGGTCGCCTTCTTGTACCAGATGGTCGATGAGCAGGATCTCACGGTTGGTTCCTTAGGTGCCATATAAGCAAGAGGATATTTACTAACATGTCTCAGAACATCGATGAGAAGGGTATCGCTTTTACTATCCGCTCCGTCTTCATTATCGACCCCAAGAAGAAGATTCGTCTTATCATGCTCTATCCCGCCTCTACCGGCCGTAACTCCGCTGAGGTTCTGCGTGTTATTGATTCCCTGCAGACCGGCGATAAGAACGGTGTCACCACCCCCATTGACTGGCAGGTCGGTGAGGATGTCATTGTGCCTCCTACTGTCAGCACCGAGGATGCCAAGAAGAAGTTCGGTGAAGTCCGTGAAGTCAAGCCTTACCTGCGCTTCACTACTATCTAAAAAGGCTAGGGTAGCCCTAATCCTACATAGCATCATATGCGTAAAGCAATATGAGTTAATGAAATCATGATCCTCATCATAGTTCAAAGGTCCTACTTGAATTAAAATAATTAAACTTCATTTTATAGTAGATTCTATGATATATATTCTGAGGGTTGACTGGATAATATCCTGAATCCGAGATTAGATATGCTTTCATTTCCACAACGGTAAACCTAATGCGCATGTATGAATAGCACGAAGAATATCTGCTCTATCTCCTTTTGTATAGACTTCACACGTCATGCTCTGCTCTGTGACACCTTACGGATCGTTTCTACGTCTGCTCGTGCCTATCATGCTTACAATGATATCTTGTTTCCAAGGACTTGATTGGTTTTATTTTGGATTTCAGTATCCTTACCGGTAGCCAAATCATTGGTATAGGTCCCGGGCTCATTTACAAGAATGAACCTACGGTGGTTTGCAAATGCATATTGCAGATTTGAGTAAAACTGTAGTGAGCGAGGTGCATCATAAGGGGCTACCAGAGTCAAGGTGCGAGGTCATGGTGCAGATGTGTACGGAGTATAGCAAGACTCTTGGGAAAATAACCGGATACTATATCGTCTCATCTGGACATAGCCAAGTCTTTAACTACACGTATGGAGCTAAAATATTAAGGCTCTGGAGCTTGAGATAAAGAGGCAAACTTGCCTAAACAAAAATAATATGACACATCTCAAATCAATTCGCTCGGGGCCTTCAGGAGAACATTGACTAAGTAGCTCGGTATTGTCAGCGCAACAAAGCCTGCTCTGGATTTCGGTGATATCAGAGAAAGGGCTCAATACTACATCCATACTTAAGTGATCTGAATCTAAACAGGGACTGCCCAAGGGACTGTCCAAAGAAGAGTGTGAGAGAGGCGGGCAGGTACATCGTAGTGTCGATCAATCATGATCGACCCATCACGTGCTGCCCCAGACCCACATCCGCGTCAAGCTCAAGTCTCAGTGCCAAACAAAGCTGCTGTCAACTTGATTTACTACCTTTTACCAAGAGCCCATGGTGTTGTAGGGCCATTGACTGTATATTTCTCACCTGGATCTTCCGAGTTTCCTGCACATACTTGCTACTGTGGACTGTGGCTCAATCAGTCTACAGCAATTGAACAATTATGCCTCCTAAGCGGAAGTCTGAACGCGCCGTGAGCGCAAATGATGCTGTCGCGACGCCCTCCAAAAGGATCAGAAACAGCGTAGATGCGACTCCAGCTTCTGCTGCATCCCCTCCAGTGGTAAGTGCATTATGCAGGGGCTGATCGTCGCGTCCATTGGCTGCTCCACTTCAACCGTTGGTACGAGGCTGACATTCTGGGGACAGGCTGAGGCTACACCCCAGACAAGTGAAAAGAGGGGTCGCGGTCGCCCACGTAAATACCCCGAGGGTTCTACCCCCAAGCCTGCGTCAGATGGCCCTAAGCGGGGTCGTGGTCGCCCACGGAAGATTGTTTCAGAGCTAGAAGTTGAGAGCGCAACCCCATCGGGGCCCAAGAGAGGCCGTGGCCGTCCCCGTAAGGATCCAGGTATGGAAAATATATGATACAGTGTCTGATGTACGTATGCTGACTAGCGCATTTTGCCCACAGCTTCTGCGACACCTGCCACCCCAAAGATCAAGAAGAAGGATGGTCGTGGAAGACCTCGCAAGAATCCCCTGCCCAATGGAGATGCCGAAACCACCGAGTCCAAGGTAACACCGGTGGTTAGCAACATCCCTGAAACTGGCCGATCTTTCTGGTTGATGAAGGCGGAGCCCGAATCTCGCATGGAGAAGGGCAAGGACGTGAAATTCTCTATTGACGACCTGGCCGCTGCAGATGTCCCCGAACCTTGGGATGGTACGTCTGGTTTCTCTTGCATTGACTCAGAAATCAATTGCTAATCATTGAATAGGTGTGCGCAACCATGTTGGTAAGTTGTCTCGTTCGAAGCTATAGTAGCTTTGACTATTGGAATTATCCTTATATACTTACAATCAAACAGCGAAAAACCTCATGCGCGATATGAAACAGGGAGACTACGCATTCTTCTATCACTCAAACTGCAAAGTTCCCGGAGTGGTTGGAGTTATGGAGATTGTCCAGGAACACTCCACCGACGGTTTGTTATCCCAGATCTTTTCCCGCTTTCGATGTTGATTATGTTGCTAATGCACAATCTGTGATAGAATCTGCCTTCGATCCCGATCACCCGTACTATGACCCGAAGTCCAAACGAGACGATCCCAAGTGGGTTGTCGTCCATGTCGAATATCGCCGCAAACTTGGGAAGCAGGTCACTCTCCAAGATCTGAAGACCAATGGCGAGACCGGAAAGCCGCTCGAAAATCTTCAAATGATCAAGCAATCCCGACTCAGCGTGTCATCTGTGACCCCGGCGCAATGGAAGTACATCCTGGAGCTGGCAGGCGAGGAACCGCAAGAAGAGTTCACCAAGAAGGAGTCCAGTGACGCAAAGGAAGAGGCATGAAAGGACGAACCACTACATGCAAATGATGCACAGAGAGATTCATCGAGTCAGAGCTCCCGGGTATTCTATCACTGGCGTTGCAGGTTGAACATGGGTTATCATCACAAGCGAATTGAAACATATTTGAATTGATCTGGGTCGATCCTCTGCAAAAATATGTGCAACGTATAAACCCATAAGATCGGAGCGGTCTCGCTCATTCTGGTGCATCGCAACTGCAATGACTATCCTGGCTGTTTAGGCCGATCGTACGGATTATAGCTTCCTAGCTTGACCGAAACCGGGTGAACCATCACGCTTTGGGTCTGGCTCCACTGCAGTGCTACGGATCTCTTGATACGTGGTGTTCCCGGAATGGTGTCACGTCGGCCTTGTCACTGCGCTACCTGCATCGGCTCGCTCTCGCATATGTGCGCCAAGTCGTCCGCTATCACCATATTTCCAATATATGCGGCCGTTAGTCGCATCGCTGGGACGAGCTGTCATGTCTCAAAAGCTCGTTGATATCTGCAGGTTGATACATGGCGTATGTAAGGAGCCGCGGGACGTGGATTTGACATCCGGGAGCCAGGACGGATCAAAGTACTCCGTACGGAGTGCATGCTCGATGTGTTCGATATCGATATGACAGGGGTATTGGGAAGAAACAGTCGGTAGTTGCTAGGATAGAAATTTATTAGTGCCGGCCCTGCAGGCCTGGTGTGTAATCCAATATGAGAGATAATAAACTCGGCTATTCAGAAGCACGATGTGAAAAGCCCTGGGATGGAGTGGAGAATGAGGGGAAAGTCGCGAGCTCCAACACCGAATACGGATGGCAAGACCAATCAGAGCGCCCCAAAGATGCAAACGGAACAAACAAGCAAAGACTCGAGGGCAAGTGGAACTGCAAGTCCGACACGCCCGACCCGGAAGAGCAGGTCTATCCGGGCAGTGGAGCACCTTTATCGTTCGCTATCAGGGCGGGGAGCTCACTTGCTTCTCTGCCTATGTCATCTTTTCCCCCTCCATGTTTTGTGCTCGTTCCTCTTCTCGGCCCTTGCGCTGTTTGTATAAAGCTTCACCCGTGGCTCTGTCTATAACCCCGCGTCGTCTCTTCCACAGCTCTCCCTTCGTCATGTCCGATATTTCCGTTCAGTTGACTGCCCCTAATGGCCGCAGCTACACCCAACCCATTGGTCTGTTTATCAACAATGAGTTTGTGGCTGCCAAGTCTGGCGAGAAGTTCGCCACTGTGAACCCTTCGTATGTATCTCCGGACGTGTCTTGCAGGGTGTGGACGAAACTGACTGGATCCTCAGCAATGAAACCGAGATCACATCTGTGTATGCGGCCGGTGAGGAGGATATTGATATCGCCGTGAAGGCCGCTCGCAAGGCTCTCAAGGATCCCTCCTGGAAGCTGCTCCCAGCCACTGATCGTGGTGTTTTGTTGCTCAAGTTGGCCGACTTGATTGAGGAGCACAAGGAGACCCTGGCCACCATCGAGACCTGGGATAACGGTGAGTAGCTTGGGAGATCAAGATTTATCAAGAAATATAGAGCACTAACGCACATCCTAGGCAAGCCCTATCAGGTCTCTTTGATGGATGATCTTGGTGAGGTCACCAACACTCTTCGCTACTATGCCGGCTGGGCCGACAAGGTGTTTGGCCAGACCATTAGCACCACCCCGGCCAAGTTCGCTTATACTCTCCGCCAACCTATTGGTGTTGTTGGCCAGATTATCCCTTGGAACTTCCCCTTGGCTATGGCAGCATGGAAGCTCGGTCCTGCGCTTGCGTGCGGTAACACTATCGTTCTGAAGCCCGCCGAGCAGACCCCGCTCAGCATTTTGTACCTGGCTGGACTTATTAAGGAAGCTGGCTTCCCCCAGGTGTTATCAACATTGTGAACGGCCACGGCCGTGTTGCCGGTGGTGCATTGGTGAACCACCCCGGTGTGGACAAGGTCGCTTTCACTGGTTCTACCGCCACTGGTCGCGAGATCATGAAGATGGCCGCCGGTTCCCTGAAGAACGTTACTCTTGAGACTGGCGGTAAGTCCCCGCTAGTTGTCTTCGAGGATGCGGACCTCGAACAGGCCGCTAAGTGGGCACACATTGGTATCATGTACAACCAGGGTCAGGTCTGCACTGCGACATCACGAATCCTCGTCCACGATTCCGTGTATGATAAGTTCGTCGAGCTCTTCAAAGAGGTCGTCCGCACCACCAGCAAAGTTGGCGACCCCTTCTCCGACGACACCTTCCAGGGCCCGCAGGTCACCAAGGCTCAGTACGAGCGCGTGCTTTCGTACATCGAGGCTGGCAAGTCCGAGGGCGCAACCCTCGTTTCCGGCGGTGTCCCACACAAGAACGTCGGCGATGGTCGTGGTTTCTTTATTGAACCCACAATCTTCACCAACGTCAAGGACTCGATGCGCATCTACCGCGAGGAAGTGTTCGGTCCCTTCGTCGCCATTGCCAGCTTCAGCACCGAAGACGAGGCTGTCACTCGTGCCAATGACACCACCTACGGTCTGGGCGCTGCAGTCTTTACCCGTGACATTGAGCGCGCCCACCGTGTTGCCTCCGATATCGAGGCCGGTATGGTCTGGATCAACAGCAGCAATGACAGTGACTTCCGTGTGCCATTTGGTGGCGTCAAGCAGAGCGGTATCGGTCGCGAGCTCGGCGAGGCTGGTTTGGACGCGTACTCGCAGGTCAAGGCCGTCCACGTCAACATGGGCACCAAACTGTAAGCTGCCTAAAATTTATGCACAAATAGGTGATCTTTTTCCACGTACCTAGCCAATTGAGCTGTTATATTTAATGAACCTCTCTTATTCATGTCATCTTTGCATCCATCTGCACACACTGTATACATGAACCCACCTGGTGGTGCATCTTCTCGCCCGATCCCATCCTTACCTACGTGTAGGTATATATCTCAGATCCCCAAGATCAACCCAGCTATTTTCCCATCTCGCCACTCCACCAATCTTAATTATCAATAGCTTTTCCCAGTCTCGCTCTCGCATTTCAATAACCCCACAACTGATCCACAAACACGAAACCATCGCAAAAAAGGTAAAATGGAAAAAAGTGCAGGGTAAAGGGAAAAACGCAACCTCCAAACTCTCGGCGCACTAGCCAAAGTCACTTCCAACGACTTCATGTAGATCGGGCCCCATCAAGCACACAAACCTGCACCCTGCAGTGCAATGCCGGCCACGAATATTGCCCCCGTATGCTCCAATTGCAAATTGTGCCGTAGGAAATAACCTGCCCAAACACCACTCACAGGCTACGTGCACATCGTGTTCCACGACTGGCCCCGAACACAATTGATGCCCAACTTCTTCTTCGCACAGCTGCGATGACTGCAGGGCTAATCTGCATGCAAGCCTTACCTGAACCATATGGGGCACGATGCATTTGGGGATTGAGTTGTGCTGTTGATGTTGATTGGTGGTATTTCGTGCACGGGGAAACCACCGTTCATACATTAGGTAGTTTCACAGTGATGGTGTCCTTTTATCCAAGCGAACTTTTGATCTATTTTACTTTTTACTTGGATCTGATTACCGTGGCTACCGGTACATGCTCATGGACCGTAGATTACAGTTCTGAAATATGCTGTCCCGTATGATATACATGGATCTTTGCCGTTCATGGAGTGATCTTCATGGCCATAGGTGATACAGCTAGCTGCAGGCACGTCTTTCCCACGGAGATGCATGACATTGCAATTGCAACGTAGAGTTTCTCTCGATATTGGGCCTCAATTTTGTGTCAGGCAGGGAACCAAAAATTCACTGCACTGCTTACAATTTCAGGGATGGGTAGATGAGTCCCTCTACGTTGTAGGCGTTCCTCCGTTCTGGGTCTAAGCGCTTACACCAGCACACACACGCAGCAATCTCTTGCATTTGCATGCAGAGCCAGTCATGTGAAAAGCCACCTGGTCTTGGTCGGGAAGGGGATTGAACGGGGTTCTTTGTGTTGGGGACCGGGGTACATTCCTGTTTTTCTCCTCGATGTACCTCCAAGGCGTGGTTTGTTGGGGGATATCTCAAATGGGCAGTAGTTTGGCTAGCTGCACAACTCGGGAAACGCAATGGAGATAGTGGTGCATGGGATGTTTCACGGTACTCTGAACTCCGTACTCCGGAGTAGTACTTTGTCCAGATTCGAGATGATTCGCATTGCAGCCACGGGAATCCTGCAGGAGAGATTCGATAGTGCAGATTGGCCCGAGACTGGTATTTTCATATGAAGATTACATTGCCAAACGGGCGGGCCTCCTTGCCGTCTTGTGCTAGGAGTTCGCAATGGGCACTAGGACAGGGTAGACTCCAGGTCCGTGGTCAAAGTAGAAGGTAAGCACAACGACCCCCTCAGACTGTGGGGGCAGTGTCTTGGCATCTGAGTGTCATTTCTCCCCAGAAACTACTTCTACTCCTCGTTTCGACGAGAACAATCCGACCATCCGCCTTGTGATTAAGCCATTTGACTCGAAGGGTCTCCTCGGAACAGGGGTCTTCGGTTTCAGAGAGAAAGGAAAAAAACGAAAACCAGTATCCCGGTTTCGTGTCAGGCTAAAATCCCCCTCAGTTTCTCAAGTAGCGGTGTCCAGTGCTTTCTGGCCGATCGGCATGTCTGAAATTCAGAGGTGGACGGTCAATGAGGTCAGTCGTATTCCGCGCATGCAATTGGCCGTGATTTTGTGATTTGCTGGATTTTCCTTTTCTTTTTTTTCTGTTTTTTTTTTCGCTCTTGGTGAACGGGTTCTCGTGTCGGTCAGATGTGATGATTTATTCTCCCGAGCCTTTCACAGAACAGGAAAAAAGGGAGGGAAAAAAAGGCCAAAATCGAAATATGCACCGCCAATCACAAAAATCACAGTAAACTAACTCGTCCAATCAGCCGTACCTTGACATCCCGGGCACATTGCTCGAAGGTCCCTTTCACGATGTCGCCAAGAATGAATTCCGTTTCGTCGACATCTGGGACCAGAAACTCTATCGTCTCGATCTGAGCAAAGGACCCGAGTCGTTGACGGTCATTGATACCGAAGCGTCGGTTGGGTGAGTTGCCTGGGGAAATGAGCCAATTTCGTTGCTGACGATTCCACGTGGTGAACTAGCGTGACCGCCAATGTGGCCGGGTCTGACAAGGATCAGCTGATTGTTGGGGCCAAATTAGGATTCGCCCGGCTGAACCAGACTACCGGGAAACTGTCCTATATCTCGCAGGTGTGGACTGAGGAAGATGAAGGCAAAGCGGCAAGGTAAGTCCCCAAAAAAAAGGAGTAAAAAAGAAATCCCAACAAAAGGGATGAGAAGACTAATGTTACAAAATGAAGGATGCGTTTCAACGACGGCGCAATCGACAGTCACGGCCGGTTCTGGGCCGGGGCGATGAACGACCCCAAGGTCCAAAAACCCCAAGCAGAGGGTGTCCTGTTCAGACTGGACCCTGATCAGAGTGTGCATCGTATGCTCGCACCGGTGACGATCCCCAACGGGATCGGATGGAATTTGACAGATGACGTGATGTACCTGACGGATTCGCCGACGGGCAAGATCTTTGCCTTCGATTTCGATGCGTCCAGTGGCGCTATTAGCAACCGGCGCGTACACTTCGATATCGGTGAGGCACTGGAGCCTGATGGCTTCGCTATTGATGTTGAGGGCTGCATCTGGAGCGCTGTCTACGGTGGCGGAAAGGTGCTGCGCATCTCCCCGGCCGGAAAGGTTATCGGTCAGATCGACCTCCCGACACGAAACGTGACCTGTCCAGCCTTTGTCGGTACTGAGTTGTTCATCACCACTGCCAAGGATGATCGTGATGATGACCAGCTGCCGCAGTCGGTCAGGTATGGGGGACGAGTTTACAGAGTTGATGTTGGGGTCCGCGGCATGCCTAAGAACGAGTTCAGGTTTCAGGACTAGTCTCTGACTGGGCTTCTTTTTTTTGAGATCGTACACCGGACATACATAGGAATACAGATGGAAGTACGGAGTGCAAAGAGCAGATACCTACAGAGTATCATTCCCAGTACGGAGTACATGTGCCTGGTTCTATTTTTGATCTATTGTTCTAGGCATACGGAGTATACACATACACATTGTACTCCGTACTTTGTTTGCATACCGCTTGCAGGAATGATGCATCACTACCTTGTACAGCGTATCATACGGAGTACTTCTCCCCCAAAAGTTTAGACCAGGCGGTAATGGTTGTCGCCCGATCCGCACAGTATCCACACACGCAGTCGACAGATCCGGATATGCAGTAGCCTGTGGATCGATGATCAGCAAACGGGCGAGCACGACGGTCCGCGCTGTCACTGTCCGGCAACCTGGGTTATGGGAGTTTTCCACTGCAGCCCACGCAAGGGACGTAAGTTGAGATTATAGATCGAATCAGCTTCCGCATATCGATCTCACATCATGTAAACCATACTGTATACTCCGTACTTTGCCCCCTACCCTCAGTCGGATTCTAAACTCGGGATCTAGATCAAGACTAGGCAACGCGTGGGCAAGACTAGCACAGCCACCTGTTTATTATTTGTGCTTTGGCGGGCCCGCCCTGCAGGGCGATGCAGGCACGGGGGGTGATAGGTGTGCGAGGAGGGTTCGGTGTGATATTGTGCAGCCTTTGGCGCTGGCATACTATCTGTAGGGATGTGGATAGATAGGTGCAAAATGGGAATGATCTACCAAAACAGCCCGAATGGGCCATGCGGTCTCCCATCCAGATCTCCGGACAAAGCTATTCTGGGTTTGCTCTTTTTGAAAGGGAAGTGCGGTTATAGCGGACACGCGATAATCGGAGATCCATGCGGTGAGCAGAACCCAAAGCAGATCATGAAGGAAAAAGGGGGAAAGGTCTCCACTAGCGATTTCTCGAAGTCGAGAAAGTTCGTACGAAGGTCAACACTATGTCTCGAGTGGATATATTACTGGGACGAGAAAAGTACCATTGGAATCCACTGGGAAGTTAAGTTTGAAAAAAAAAAAAGGGCCCCATTTCTGCATCATTCGAATAGTCCGATGACACGCATCCGAGCTAGACCTCGGGGTTCGGAGCAGTTGCACGCCTCTTTAGGCAGGAATAAGAGAAACAAAGAGCCTCGAATGATCTAGAAATGGTTACCAATTGCACGCCACTTGACAGTAGAGGAATGCCCAGGAGAGAATTCTTATTCTCCAGACTAATATTCCAGCCCCCATGTTCGATTGGACCAGTCAAAACCCCTGGATCTATCAGACCGCAATTGTCTTGCCCCTCCCGATGATTCGCCCAAACCAGGAAAAGAAAAAGAAGGACAGAATAGCGGGTACGGAGTATGCTGCATCAAACGACTGACAGCTCCTTTCAAACTTTGTCGGGAGAGACCTCGGGAGTTGCCACAATCCAGCGAGACCTATCGCAAATCCACCCAAAGGGGTATTTTCGGCGAAAAGAACTGCCAATAAATAAAACATACTGTGAACAAGGCGCTTCAGCTGCGCCAGTTCGCCTCCAGATCGCATGTACTCGATTTCATTTGCCGCAATTGCATGCCTCCACTTTGGTGGACAGGCTGGAGACTAAATCGATCTCCGCAGCTTATTTGACGGTCATGCGGAACCTTTCTCCTATTCAGAGACAAGCCCCCGAGGCTTTTAGAGCTATCCACACACTCTCGTTCATGCATCTCACATCGTGAGGCTAGGGGCCGGGTTCCTTTCCGTTTGGTCCGATCGTGGGGGTTCCAGGATTGTGATAGAGAATCGAGGGACATTTGGTTTCCCGTTGTTTATTTTCCTTTTCACCGGACCCGAATGACGTCACTCCTCTCTCGTCCATGTCGCACGAGGAATTGGGGGTGAAGTCTTTAAAGTTGATTCTGGGGTTCTCCGGCGTCGGGTGTGTTCATTGACTTCGGCGTTACCCTGGTCGATGACGTAGGACACTGCAATCTAAGTTCGACAATCGAACATTTGGAAGCCCTCGGGTTCTTCGATTGCGCGCGTGAATGTTGGGAAAGCTCCAACTAGTGACAATCTTGGCCGGGAATCTCCCAATGGTTGTCCCGAGGTTCCAGTTGCCCCCTAACGGTTGACGGCAACGGCCCCTTTTGCCGGGGGCACGGGGAACCTATTGGTGATGCACAACATTTACGAATTCATACTTGAAGTGGGTTTAGCTAAAGTTGACTTTCAGCCTTTTGTTTTCATGACTTTTGTTTTTGTTTTTTTGTTTTTTGTTTTATAATTATTGCTTGGCCCTTTCGGCCTTTTTCATTTATTCTGCGACACACCACCTTTGAGGTAGTTGCCTTCAGGGATCCCAAGACTCAGGGTATACTTCCAGTCTAGCCTCTCCAACCGAACTCGGGGAAATTGACAGGATCAGGCTGACCAGGCAACTATAGGGGGATTGCCTCACTGGCTATACCCAAGACGGTATGGATCGGATGTGAAATTGAGTACCTAGGTACTCCGTACGGAGTAGTTTGGCGTTCATTTGTGCTCTGCGTCATCCTGTGAAAGATCAGAAATCGGATTTTCTGGACATTGCCATAGTCCTTCTATAGAGCCAAACCTTCCGAATTAGACTCTCCACCGCAGAAATAAAAAGGGAAATCATAGAGAAGAAAAAAAGAAAAGAAAAGAAAAGAAAATCCGTAAAAAAAAAATAGCAGACAAAAAGGGACCAGAGCAAGGTCTCCACCTGCGTCCATATCCATGGTGACGGCGCGCACTTGCAGCTCCCGGTGATTCGTGCTGTGCATGACGATCGCTTTCCCCGGGTACTTAGGTGATGGGATGCCTCTATATCCAGATTGGGCGCAGAATAGGGGATATCAGTCTGACATGAGCATTCTGGGTCGATTCTGTGTCGATTCGGGGTTGGAATTTCTTTTTCTTTGATTTTGTCTCTCTTTTCTGTTTGTTTTTTCGTTTGTTTATTTTTTTTTTCTGTTCTATTTAGGCCTTCGAGGATTCATCTTACAATATAGTACGGAGTATGTATAATCAAATAAATAAGATCCTAAAGCCAATGCCAAATAGAAGAAATATCACCAAAGAGGAAATCCCAAAAAGAAAATCCAAAAAACAAAAACCGAAAAAAAAAAAAAACCCAAAAAACCAAAAAACCAAAAAAAGAAGCCCAACTGGCACACTCCGGGGGTTGGACTAGGGTGTCTCCATAGGAGATCCTGCCCAACGATGTTCCGCCAGAACGGGTCGGACGAGAGAGAACCTACTGCTGGATCCAGACCAGGTGATGGATCATTCTCTCACCGCTGCTCAACGGTGCTTCTTAAGCTTGCCCCATTTTCCCATTTCCTTAACTTTGCCTCTTTTCTCCTCTTAGCTACTTTGTCTAGGGCCTCGGATCTTTTCCGTTCCCGTGTCTTATATTAACTATCTTGATCCTCCGACCCTCAATTGAGAGTCGACTTTCTATTCTAGTATACCTTATATTATCTATTCATCGTGGCTGCCTTAGGAATCAGCGTGTTGAACGCGCCCTACTCCGCTCCACTACATTCCCCCAACCTGTCACTTTATTCAGATCGGTACCCATCTCCCTCACCCTCCCTCTCTCACCCTCGAGAACCTAGCGACGAGGAGAGAGGGGGTCCCGGTCATGCCCTAACTCCCGTCCCATTCTGGGAGATTTGGTTTCTATGTCGCAGCATTCTCGACGTGCAGGTTCATTGTCTAGAGATGCGTCTCAAACAGAGGACCGCGCGATTGACAATGACCGTGGGCTAGCTGGCAATCGAAATCCTGCCCGCCGGCCGCCTCAACGGCCTCGACCTCAGTCATGGCATCCATATGGCCCCGTGGAGCCACCGCTGGAATCGATGTCATCTCGGCCCATTGGTGTTCATTCCATCTTGAATCACCCACAGACAACGGGTGAACTTGGCGTACTCAGCGGCCGTGAGCCATTGAGTCTACCGGGTCCATCATCCTCACCGCGGCCCCAAGGTTCTTCACCCATAATCCGCTCAGGCTATCCATTGGTGTCACAGCCGTTGTCTCCAAGGTCCCATTCTCGCCCTTCGATGAATCCAGCATCTCCCTCGGCACGGTTTGTTGGTGGGGGCGGCAGGACTTCTGGTCAGTCAAGTGTCGCACAGTCGCCACTAGTTCCTCAGGAACCTTTGATGGGCCCACGTCTACCCGCCACAAGTTCGCCTCTGCCCCTGGAGACCGGCTTACGCCCAATCACATCTCTGACCGGAACTCAGCCTTCCTCGCTGACTTCGCTGCATTCTACGCCTAGCCTTCATTCGCGGCGCACCAGCGCTGGCCCAGGGCCGCTCACCAATCCCAGCTCTCAAGAAACGAGTCCTCGCACGCCTCATTCGACTTTCAGTCCATATGGTGTCTCTCCGGCAGTGACTAATGTTTCACTATCACAAACCGCCACATCATATCCTACTGCCCCTCCATACATAACAATGGATCCTCTAAGCCGAAGCATTCCTGCAACGAAGGCCCCAAGAGGCCAATCTGAACAAGCCACCATGCGAGCTGGAACACCTCAAGGCACTCCCCTTCCACTGGGGATGATACCATGCGTACTAGACATGCGGTCAGGCTCCTCTAGCCAAGCGGAGAAGCGCAAAGCCAACAGCGACGCATCACGACGGTTCCGCAATCGCAAGCGCAATGAAATGCAACTTGAGCAGCGACTCACTGCCCAACAGGATGAGATTCAGCGCAGTCTAGAGACCGTTCGCCGCCAGAGTGAAGAGCTTCGCTCCCTCGTCCAGCAAAGAGACCATTACCGTTCCGAGCGAGATTTCTACCGCGATCATCTCGGCCGCACAATGTCTCTGAGCGCCCTAGCCCCACGACCGTCTTCTCCACGCCCCGTTCAGTCAGCCCTTCTCCCCACATCTGAGACAACGACCACCTCGGCGACGTGGTCGGGCGCCGATGCTGCCCGATCCGCTTCAGGCACACAACCGACCGCAGCGGGCCCTACTCAGGGAAGGATGCTCGATTCAGTACAATCTCAACCCGGTTGGCCGGCAAGCCCTCCATATTCCTCAACCCCCATCGCATCCACCGGGCGAACGGTTGCTGGTCCACCTACTGAATCGTCGTCACTATCTGGGGGCCCATTGCCTCCACTCCAAGGATCTTGGTCACATTCTTGAAATACGTATGTTTCCCGCTAAAACGGCAAACGGTTATTATGTTCTCTCTTGTTATTTCCTATCCTTTGTTCCTTACACTCTTAATTCCCTCTCTCTTTGTTTTCTTGCTACTGGGGAAAAGGCGGTCACTGGCATGGCCGCTAGCAGGTGGTCTATACTCCTTTGGTGACGTGGTCAATCCAACGATTGCCTCTTCCTTTAGGCTGGGTATGTATAACTATCGATCTGCATTTCTTCCTGGTTTCATCAAAAGGTTCCGCAAAAGTGATGCTCGTCATGTCTATATTTCTTTACACCTTACCTTCCTTATATTACCATATCCTATCCTTCACACCCACTCTCTGTCTCTGTCTATTTTTCGCTCCTTTTTTTATGTGTATGAATTGCACAGCGGTGATACCTCCATTGGCGATGTATTGAGTTATCATTTTCTAGTCTTACAACCTGATATGAAGTGGAATATGAAAGCCCAATATGAAAATTTTCAATCCTGATCCTTACGGCTACATGAACACCTAGATGCTAGTACCTAGGTAGTTTGCGGCTCCACCGCTGTAACCGTTCGGACTTTGTACCAGGTACAACTCCAGACACCCTTGGAACGGATCCGACGTCCCAAAAAGCTTAGCCTGCAATGTAACTTTGTTCGAATCCTTGCTAGTGATTGGCTGATCCCTGATTGACCTGGAACATGACGCATGGGCGGTTGGGTCGACTATGCAGGGCGATCGACATGACATCATCTGCCAAATATACCAGATGCAAGTAACGGGGCGTTGTGACCTTGACGTGCGCATTCCTTATCTATTTTCGGAAATACAAGATTTCTCGGTAGGGTCTGACCTACGTTATTCAGCTTCATTACGTTTGTGTATGGTATTACGTGGTGTGGATGCCGATCCCGACAACCCACATGCATTTAGTACCTTTCGTCGTGAGACCTCCGGGGCTGACAGTGTGCATCGTTCTAAAGTCCCGCCACCTGATCTAAATAGGTAGGTGACAAATTCATCTTAGGTCGTCCGGGATTGGCTCAATGCACGATCCCATTCGACTGGGCTTGTAACCAATTATCGGTCTCCGGTCTTCGGCTTTAACGCCGCGCTCTCACGGTGATTGGGCTCTTATATCCGATCTATACCGGATCTCACTAAGTCCATGAGCGAAGAATACCTCCAAGGGTAGTAAAGGTGAAGAATCATGTCAAGCTTATGGGATGCGTATTGCGAATCGCGTATATCTACTTAACGCCGTGAGGCCTATATAAGACCTCGACTTCGTCCACTATAACTCAATTCCATCTACAATATTCTTCAACTGCAACAAGACAAGATGTCTCAACAGACTATCATTCTGATCACAGGTACTCCACCAGCCAAAATTATAATCGATCAACCGAGAAACTAACTCACTCCATCAAGGCGCCAATTCAGGTGTCGGCTATGCGACCACCCAAGTCCTGGCCGAACACCCAAACCACCATGTCATAATGGGCTGTCGCGACCTGGAAAAGGGCCAAAAGGCCCTCTCCGAGCTCCAAAGCCACAATCCCAAAGGCACCCTTTCCCTCCTTCAACTCGACGTCGAGGACGACACCTCGATAGCCCGAGCGGTAGACAGCGTAAACCAGGAATTCAACCGCCTCGACGTGCTAATCAGCAACGCGGCCGTAACCGCACCCGCTCTCAACGGACGCAGCCGCTTGACTCAAATTTTCTCGACGAACGTCACCGGCGCAATGCTCGTCTCGGAGGCTTTTGTCCCGCTGCTTCTCAAATCAGAGAAACCTTATCTCATCCAGATTTCTAGTTATGTAGGGTCGACGGATTTGGCGAGTGACCCGAGTCATACCGCTTATGGGGTTGACTGGGTTGAGTACCGCATGAGTAAGGCTGCATTGAATATGTTGACTATCCAGCTACATAAGCAGTTGCAGAGTCGCGGTGTGCGGGTATTTGCGTTTTGTCCTGGGCTTGTGAGATCGAATCTGAGAGGCACGGATGAGGCTGCGGTTAGTGCAGAGGGATTGGCTGGGGATCCATTGGAGTCTGGGAAGGGGATTTTGGGCATTGTGCTTGGGGAGAGGGATGGGGAGGTTGGTGGGTTTATTCACAAGGATGGTGTATATCCTTGGTAGATGGGATGAACTATTTGAGAAAGGGGAGTTGGCAGCCTCGGGTATATGGATTCAAGGGATGTTATTCTGTGCTTAGAATGAAACAATTATACACCGTATAAGACGGCAGTTCTGAGGTAACTGAATATCAAATTGTGTGGACGATATGATTGGCCTCCTAATCTCCGGTGGAAGTTGTCCTTTTGTCCGGTGGAAGATAGTCGTCCACTCACCGCAATTCTCTCCGTGGCTCAGAGTCTGCACTCGAACAGGAGCAGCCCCAACAGCCAATGAGCACTGGATATGTTCCTTTGAACGCCTCCTACATGCGGGGAAGCATGTGGATGCCGGATTCCTCCATGGCGGAGTTTACGGGGATCCCTCGTGTCTCTTCTCTTCGTTCATATTGAGGGTGTTTCTCCAACACAGGGGTGGAGCAGTCATCTGTAAAGAAAGACACGTTGTGACATCTCAGAGAACGACTGACTCTTTGCGCATCACAAGCCTGCGTCGAGTGACAGACGATTAAGCCCAGTGAAACCATCTTACTGGTCGCAGGTGCCAAACCGAGTTTCTTGCTTATCAAGGTGCCAAAGAGTTAATTCCCTTTGCCATTCAATTACGTGAGGAGAACTACCGGCAAAGATCGATCCAACGCTAATCTATCTAGTAGCAAATCAAGGAAGCAATCGGAGTCCGTGCCGATGGATCTAGCATCCTCTGTTAGTGGTCTTCTGGAGGCCTTCTCTAATGCCGAGGATGTAGATCGGTTAGACAGGGGTGTGCAAGATCTAGGTACGACATGAACTATACGCTAAGCATATTTCCCCGATCTCTGCATAGTTAGTTGCTGACATTGGTAGATCCTTTTGCGCAGTTCATCGCGTCAGGGAGTAAGCCGATATCCGACCAACCGCATATGACTCGCACGCATAATGTACCCCAGACATACCCATTAGACAGTTATCTGGCGACGATAAATGAGCTGTTCTCGCCCCGAAATCCGGACATATATCTAGGAGAGCAAAATCACCCTTTGCAACTAAACAGAACTTTTCAGACTGGTTTTAACAATGTCTCACAAGAAACTGAGGAGTATCTACAATTGAAGGGGGCTCTTCAGCTTGTGCCTATGGACCTTCGGGATGAGTTAATCGGGGCCTATATCAAATATGTTCACCCTCTTCTACCCGTGATTGATCTGCAATGGTTTTTGACGAGTGTTATGGTTGAGGATGAATCTCGATTCGCCAGCCCGCTTCTTTATCAAGCGGTGATGTTGGCTGGCAGTGCATTTATTGAGCAGGAAAGTGCCAAAAGAGCTGGATTCTCATCACGGAAAGCGCTGCGAAGCACGCTATTTGGGCGAGCTAAGGTGAGAGATGCTCTGAAGGAACATAGTCGAGAGTCGACCCATGGAAGAATTCGAACTAAATTCATTCCATTTAGCTTCTCTATGAATTTGAAACTGAGCCTGACGCTTATATTCAAATCCAAGCATTGCTGCTCATGATGCAGTGGCATGGAAGTGGAGTTGGTCACAAAGGCCCAACATATTGGTTCGATATCGCCTACTCAACAGCAGAGCGAGTCGGTCTTCTCCAGAGTTTAGAGACTGGGAGCTTCTCTCACAAGCACAGGCTGTGGTGGTGTCTCTATGTGCGCGACCGCATTCTCTCCCTCGGCTTCCGTCGGCCACTTCGAATCCCGAACAGCGATACCACAATGTCTCTATTAGAATCCACGAGCTACTATTCCTCTGAGTTATTCCATGACCTCGTGCTGGCAATGCTAGGAGAAACCTCCGCGATGCTCAACTGGGAAAATCAAGAGCGAATGATGCTCCTGTTCATCCAACACATCAAGCTTGCCCACTGTCTGGGCGTCATCCTAGAGCATCTGTATCAAGAAGCATGGTCACCATCACCATCAGGAGACTGTCAATATTCCGTCGTTCCCAAATCAGACATATCCCAGGTCACCATAACTGGATGCGAGCAGCTTCTGAAAACGTGGATTCAGAACCTTCCTGCCCCAGCGCATTACTTTTCTCCGTCGCTTTTGCATGGTTGCCACTCCGACTCTCCGGAGACAGTTCTTCTCGTTCATCAGGCCTTTTTGTACCTTCTCCATTTAACTGCAATGTCCATCCTCTACCAAGCCGCATCACATGGTGGGGATAATCTTCGGACGACCATTATGCCAGAAATGAGAGGCTTGACTTCTCGAGTCAACGAGACTCTCAACGAGTTGCATGATTGTAGCATGCTCCATTTTCTTCCAGGATCCACAATCACGATTCTGATTATCATTCTTCAAGCAAGTCTTCCAGATCTTATGGTTGCGGATGACATTGTGAGAATGCAGGCCATGTTAAACTTGTATGCCTGTGAGGAAGCCGCTGGTCATTTATTGCAAACATATCCTGCGGCTGAAATTGTCCTTTCACAGGCACAGAGTGCTCGTGGGCATCTTCTGGGTTTGGTCGCAACCTAGATATATAATGGATAGAATTTAGTCATTTGAGCGTACAGACAGAATGGAAGAAAATCAAGAAGCAATGTTCAAACTGTTTCCAGCGTCTCGCTTTAAATTTAAGAGGAAAGGCCGTCACAATCACAAGCTGAACCCCCTATAAAATAGACCCAGGCCGGGTGGATTCCTTGGGCCGCGGCTCGGTCATCGTCCCGACCAGTTTGCGGGGTCCCCAGCTTTAACGCAAATCCCGCAAAGATTTTGGAAAATCTCGGATTTCCGTCTCAAAGGTGACGCCCGGGCCCGAGTACTAGTGACTAAGGGTAGCAATGGATCAAGCGCCCCCTGGGATCACTCAAAAGCCACCCCGCACGTTGCGGGCATGTGACAGATGTCGACGCCAGAAACTGAAGGTAGGTGAATCACCTTCAGTCGGGATTCAAATCATAGGACTGATAGAAATGTGTAAAGTGCGACAGCTCTCGGCCTTGTGTACTTTGCACCCGTGCTGGCCATGAATGTGAGACGTCTCAGCGCACAGCGAGGGGGACACGTAGGCGAAATCCACAGGCTAAAGACATTTCCAAGCCTCTTGGGATACACAAAGCCATTGCGCCAGCAGTACAGAGGCATTTCAACTTTTGTCATGATATTGGGGGGGCCGAACTATCCGATGCGACGGAGAATCCGTCGTTCTACCCAGAACGGCCTCCAAACGAGCTGCAATTTGGTGCAGATGTTTCCGCGATTGATTTCGCTAGACGAGTCTTCAACGAGGAAGAGGCTGGTCGGACTTTGACAGGTGCTTCCGTTCCTGGCGATACAGGGGATCCCATGTTGGACAACTCATTATGGCATTTGATGGAGGTAGAGCTTCCTCCTGAGGCCGTGATGTCAGCCTTGATCGACGCCTACTTCGACCGAATGCAATGGTTTATCATCATATTCCACGAACCTACATTTCGCCAGACTGCGCGCAGGATAATCTCTCAGAAGTCATGGAGACGCCAGGATCTCAGTCCTACCATGGCTGTCCTGGCAGTAGCTATGATCGGGTTGCATTCTGCGTTACCAGATGAAGAATGGCCCGGACATGAACTGCTGCGGGAACACGCTATCGACGGGAAGAAATTAAAGCAAGGCTTGATTAACGAGGTTAGGAGGAATCTGCTCGATATCTCCATCGATTGTCGGATCGAGGCTGTCCAGGTCTGCTTCTTGATGGCCTCTTATTATCTTTATCATAACTCACCAAGCCTTGCCTGGACTATTTCTGGTATGGCTGTGAGGTCAGCCTATGCTCTTGATCTTTATACGAAATCGGCTCAATATGCAAGTCCGGTTGTCAATGAGATTCGCTCTCGCTGTTGGAATCATGCTATTGTTAGCGATACGTTTGGATCTGGTATCTATGGACGCCCTCCCTCGATTGACACTGGTCTCGTGGCGTTGCATGCACTCAGAGATATGGATGATATAACAATTGATCCCCTTCTTCTGGAAAATGAATGGATATCGGGCGACGGAAATCCAACAACAACAGCCGGATTCTTTGCTATGAAATATGATATTTACGACATCATTCGACATATTCTCTCCCGATTTCGACGTCTACGCCTGAGGAAAGAAACAATAGAAGAGGATCTTCTGGCTATTGTAGAGGCCGCTCAAGATTCAGAGGAAAAATTGATATCATGGCGCAGAAGAGTTCCTCGGCTCTTTGATTTCGAGTTTTGGAGCAGTGATGATCGTCTAGAGAGATTTCAACAGCAGCTCGAAGGATTGCCTCAACGTACAAAAGACCAAGCAGAAACGATCATCTTACAGGCGGCGTCTCTCCAGTTGACATATGATGGAGCTTTGATACAAGCCCATAGGCCTTTGCTCGAACAAAAGATTACCAGTTCCTGCTCGCGCTCAGTCGTCCACGCAATCCATCAGTCATTGAAAGTGGCTACTGCAGCCGCACTACGGATATCTCGCATTCCAGTCCTCCGCTTCAAGCATCATTTCGCGGAATCATTTGCTTCCCTACATCAATTTACTGCGGGCGTCATTCTTTGCATTCCACCAACGAGTCAGCCTTTCACTGCAGTCGCGCATGAATCTAAGGCTGGAATCATGCGGATCATTCACGCCAGTGTAGCTTTGGGACCTCACAATCGTATCGCAACGCAAACAGCGCAGCTTTTGACAGAGTTACTGAAAGTGACTATCGAGCGAGAAATGTCTAGTGCCTTGAGAGGGGGACTAGAGCCAGGATGTCCTAGGATGTCTGAGAATAGTACCGTTCCGAGTCCACAACCAGCCCAGAAAGACCCTGGCTCAGCATACTCATCGTCCTCCCGAGAGATCTTTCACGATAGCTCTGGAGGAACAACGTATCAGCAGCTGCCAACCATATCCGAGTCAATATATCAGCAGAATAGTGTAAGCGGCCACTCAGCCCAAGCACGCATTGAATCATCTGGATACCCCTCTGCCAATATATTTGAGCAACTCGACGACACGTTTGGTGCCTTTGGTGAGCGTGAGTAGAGCTGAGATTGGGTCCAGCCGTTGTCTTTTCTCACTAACATTTTGGTAGTCATGTTCAATCTGTTACCTGATGATCAGAATAGTGCATGGAATTGGGGGCGTACAGTTTCCTGATCTCTCCAGAGTTGAGGGCCACGAGCACCAGGAGGGCTACTACGAGTATAAAGGAATTGCCTAGAAAGACCATGGAGAGAAGTGAAATTAGTATGCAATAGAGTCAGGATGATATGCTTTCTTGGGTGCTTCGTTGGGTCATGATAGAATGACGCCTCTTCATAGAAGATGTTTGAGCGTTTGAGAAAGGGTGGCCTGAAGACTAATAGACTAGGCATACTTACTATATAGAATGGTCGAGAATTTGAGATTGGTTTCTTTATCGTCAGAGTCAAACATCACTTACAGACTAGGAGGGAGAATTCATTAAAGAAATGCTACAACGTGATAACTAAAAGAGGACATTGCCGTTGATATTCATAACCAGCCATCTATCCTCTGAGTGATATAATTGAGATGCTACACCTCTAGGATCTAGAATGATGAGGAATCGATCAGACTACAAAGATAACTGAAGACATATTCTTTATACTAGAGCTCTGAGCTGCAAGACGAGTTATATATCAGGCATATTTAGACCCCACAATATACAAATAACCGGCAATGAGCCTAGAGGAGGAAAAGGGAAAAGGGAAGGAGATAACCGGCTACAGTCGCCATTTACGTGCGCCTTCAGGCTGTCTTATGGCAGCTCTCACAAAGCATCGACCATTTCGCCTGCTCGTCCAACAAAGTCACCCTTTCAATGCATTCTATATACAATACACAGCCTAGTAATGCCGAATGCACTAACGCTGTGGTCTCAGTGGATACCAGGCGAGGATCAGCATCGCTGGGGGCACTGGCCCCATTGGCCCCATGTCTGTCAGCCCAAGTTTCAGCCTCACTGGTACAGCCTGTGCTCGCTCGAGATTCTTCAGTCAATCTTGAAGTCAATCTTGAGCGATCTCTATTTGGAAGCAGATCCACAGCTCTATATCCATACCTCTACAGAGGGCTCACTTCGCAATATGACTTCTCTCCTCGATCTGCCTCTGGAGATTGTGATGCTTATAATCGACGGCCTTTTCTCCCATTTCGAAACGGAACCCGGCAATAAGGACATTTTTCTGGCAACTCAGAAAGACTTGAACACACTTTCACAGACAAACAAATGGTTCTATGCTCAGCTGGAAATTCGTCTGTACAATTTCAATTTACAACATGGTGGCCAGACATCATTGGCGTTCGGCGCCTTTCATGGCCACGAGACAGTCGTCCAGAAGTCTCTGGCAACAAGCGCGCCAGACACAATACCAAGTGTTGCCTTTTCTACTCGTGACTGTGGAATTTCCCATGTCCCACTCTGCTGGGCGGTTCAGGGAGGACAGATCTCTATGGTGGATTCACTTATTCAATCTGGTGCCGATATTCACAAGAACTGTGTCGACACTAGATGTGACGCCCAGCTGCTCAGTCAAGCCGCAAGGTTTGGTCATTTAGATTTGATGAAAGACCTTGTAAGAAGGGGTCTCCGTCCAACGATCAAGTGGGAAAATCACTTTACAAGACCTAGAGACGAGTTGGTCGATAATGACGATACAAGATATAAAGCCACTCTCCGCTTAGCTGCCGAGAATGGACATCTTGACTGCGTTGATTACACACTTTCTGTAGGAGATTATCAGGATCTCTCTTGCAAGCAATACATGCACAGGATAGCATTGATTGTGCCAGCGACAGTGGCCAACGGTCACATGGAGTGTGCCATGTTCTTGCTAAGTCGCAGTGACATCCTGAAACAGAGTGGTTTCTGCCGATGTGCCTCCAAACCTGCCAGAGCTCTAGTTTCCGATCTTCCCAGGCTGACTATGGCACTGGAAGATCCTTCCATCATGGAGAAGTACGGCCATATGCTTCTTTATCTGGCAGCCGCTACTGGCTGCTCATCCTTGCTTAGGGAAGTGGTTCAACGAGGTATTAATATCGATACACGATTCCGTGGAGGGAACACACCACTGTGTCTTGCAATAATAGAGCGGGGGAACTCTGTATCTATACAAAGCATCTTAGCACTGGGCGCTGACATCAACGTGAAAAACTCCCAAAAGCGAAATCCACTCTATCTCGCAACTATGTTTCGGTCTACGGATATCATGATGTTGCTTTTGGATGAAGGTGCCAATGTCAATGAAACCGGCCCTCGATCAGGCATCATGCAAACACCCCTGCTCCGCGCTGTTGACGATTTCAATTTCTTTGCCCCCAGCGCAGAACGTGCAAGACGTACTTTGCACTCTCCCGGCAATGAGGTCCTGTCATTGTTGCTGGAGCATGGTGCTGACCCCAACTATGTTGACCCAACGCATGGGATCACTCCACTATGGCTCGCGGTTCGGGCAACGTATAGGCTTGAGAAGAGGTACAGTCTTGTGCAACTGCTTCTTGAGCACGGGGCAGACCCGAAGCTAGCAACGAGGAATCAATCAGTTCTGTTCTGGTCCATACCGGCGCACGACTACAATACGACCAAGATTCTGCTTGAGCATGGTGCCGATCCTAATGACTATGGACGAAATTTTGATGGCTCGAAAACTCACCACCGTGGGAAACCACTCTCGCCTCTGGCCAAGGCTATGAAGGCGAGACGTTATGAAACGGCTGAGCTCTTGCTTGACCATGGTGCGGATCCTCATGCCCCATATTGGAAGACGGAGACGTCATTGGTTAAAGCGACCAAGTCTATGAGATGTTCGTTCATAGAGAAGATGATTGATAAGGGCTTTGATGTGAATGAATCTGTCGGGGCCCAGAAACCTCTACATGTGGCTGTCTGGAAGGGGAATGTTGAAGTGGCGGAATTACTGCTTCGACGTGGAGCAGATCCCAATATCACAGTTGGGGGCACTTCACGACAGTCATCACGTTCACTTCTTTGGTGGGCTTCTCATCAGAATCTCACGGCTGTAGTAGAATTGCTTTGTGCACATGGCGCCAGGCAGCTACCTGATGCTGATACTCCTGGAGACTTCTCTCCGATCTCGAAAGACTCACAGTATGACGGGGTGGAATATTCCTCAAGTCTCTTTTCCGATGACCCATAGAGGGTTCTTCCACCTCCTAGTGCCCGATTGGATTGGGCAAACACAAGAGTCAAGTACCATTTTGAGCTCTAACACGATGCACGCTGTAAATACTTGGACACAAAGACCAACATATAACAATACCAATCCTTTGCTCGTTATTCTTGACTCAATGACTATTACATAGTTATCTTGACAGGTAAAAGAAACAAGAGAAGAGAAAAAAAAAATTAATGGACGCCATGAATCAGGAGAAAGCGGCACGCGGCTCGTTCTCTACATCCGATGGTGGGTCGGGTTTGAGCCAAGGGTATTCCCTGGTGACATGCGGAGGGTAACGTTAAGAGGGCGAAAAAAAGGCAAAGATGAGGGGCAGCAGAGATGGAAGTGCACGCCAGGGGTAATATTTTTTACACAGAAAGACCAGAAACACCGTTCAACATTTACTCAGGCTTCTTGCCAACCATGAGGTACATGGGAGTGAAGAGGTTCTTCTGAGCACCCTCAACCAGACAGTCACCAGCCAAGGCCAGGCTGTCGGCGGTCTTCTGGGAACCCTTGGGGAAGAGACCGATGGACTCACCAGCACCGACAAAGCGGTGGGCAATACCACGTCCCCACCAGGTCATGCGAGCGATGGTGAAGAAATCCCAAGCCGAACCCATGTGCTTGAAGGAGCCCGCCAGCGGGTAGTACCAGGGAATGGGGTCGGGACGAGCAGCCAGATCCTCGTGGTGCTTGAGATCGAAGCCAGCATCCTTCATGGCTTTGATACCTTCGGAGATGCGCACCATGTTGGAGATACCGTCACCCTGTTCGATACCAAGGCGAATGCGACGGTGCTCGGGGTCGTCGTTGTTGTAGTCATCAGTCATGAGCCACTCGTACACAGCGAAGGTACCGCCGGGCTTCAGGACACGGAAAATCTCGCTGTAGACACCGACAAGCTCGGGGGCGTGGACGGTGGCCTCAATGGCGTAGACAGCATCGAAGCTGTTATCGGGGAAGTTCATCTGCATGAAATCGCCCTTGACGAAGGCCATCTTGTCGGAGAGACCCTGCTTGTGGGCGTAGTGGGTGGCACGGTCGATCTGGTAATCGTTGTTGTTCAGACCGGTGACGTGAGCGCCAGTGAACTTGACCATCTCACGAGCAGGGCCACCGACACCACAGCCGACATCCAGAACCTTCATGTTCTCTGTGATACCAGCCTGGAGGGCAAGGTAGTGCTCGTGGCGGGCAATGGCCTGGTGGAAAGGCTCACCGTAGGCGAAGCGGCAGAAGTGGAAAGAGGATCCCCATCCGTACTCGTAGAAATCGGTTGCCAGGTTGTAGTAGCTGCAAATAGATTGTTAGTACAAGGAGCGTGAATCAACGAGGTTTGTTTTAGGACGTACTGTCGGGTCAAGGTAGCGTATTCAGCCTTGCGAGCCTATCATGGGACTGTTAGCAATAAGATCCAATTAAGCTGAGTGTACACTACCATACCTCACGGATCTCGGGGGTCTCATCGGCAGCAGCCTGGTTGTCCCAGTGCTTGAAGTACTCGTCGATGGCAGCCTTCTGAGCGGCGGCGTCCTTGCCGCGCATAGCAGACAGACCACCCTGGGCCTTGGCTGACTTGCCGTGCAAAGCCTTGTTGAAGGCAGCATCACGCTCCTTGTCCTCACGTTCCAATGCAGAGGGGGCCATGTTGAAGGATGAGTCGTAAAGATTAAAAAGGGGTAGATTGTAGAAGGGGGCGAAAAAGCGTCAATTTCCAATTATTTGAGAAAGAAACGACCAGGTATACCAATTGAACGGGAAATACCACAAAAGAAGTGAAGCAAGAGGAGCACACGTTAAGAGAATGGATTGCGACTGGAGAAGTAGAAGAAAGGGGAAATAAATAAGAGTCGACTCCCAAGCAACTTTTTGACAATGCGACGTGGAGAGCCAATCAGGGGGTTCCGCGAGCGACTAGACCGAGCCTTGGTGGCCTCTGGGGGGGCGGACTGGAGAGTGGCCACACTCTTTTTTTCGGCGGGACACCCAACTTCCGGGTTGTGGCTGAGTCGGACGATGGACGCCCCGGTGGTGACCTGATCCCAGGGCACGTGATATGCACCAGCCACAGCCACACGCCACTTCTATCGATCTTGATAATCCGAGCTCCCAGGTCTGACTTCTTGGATCAACCCCATACTTTGCCGTCATGCCTCCTCAAATTAAGCATGATCTGAACCGCTCCGGCTGGGAGTCGACAGACTTCCCATCTGTCTGTGAGAACTGTCTTCCCGAGAATCCATACGTGCAGATGATCAAAGAAGACCATGGCGCAGAATGCAAGATTGTGAGTCTTTTTTGCTCCCTCGAGCCTTTGTGTTCAATCGAATACTAACTACTTAGTGCACGCGCCCCTTCACCATATTCCGTTGGAAGGCCGATCGAACCTCCCGCCAAAAGCGATCCATCATCTGTCTCACATGCGCGCGCCTGAAGAACTGCTGCCAATGCTGCATGTTGGATCTATCGTTCGGTCTGCCCATCGTCGTCCGTGATGCTGCTCTTAAGATGGTCGCCCCAGGACCGGAAAGCTCGATCAACCGCGAGTACTACGCACAGAATAACGAGAAGGAGATCGAGGAAGGCCGTGGCGCAATCGAGGAATACGAAAAGACAGATGACAAGGCTCGCGAGCTGTTGCGCCGTCTTGCGAACAGCGAACCATATTACCGCAAGCCCCGACGAATTGAAGCTCCTGCTGAGGGGGATGAAGCAGAGCAATCTACAGCGAACGACCAACCGCGCACAAGCAGCCGCTATGGAAATGGACCCGGTCCGATTCGCACAGGTGAAAGCCGTGCCGGAAAGGCTCTTCCCGGCCGTGGTGGACGCGGTGGTGGTCGTGGTGGTCGCCCATTCCCCAGCACTACCCAGTTGCCGCCCTCGGCTGCAGATATTCTTCCCCCAGCGGATCCCAACGTCACTTCGTTGTTCGTTACAGGTGTCGAAGACGATCTCCCTGAACATGCCCTCCGCACATTCTTCAGCGAATTCGGTCAGCTCCGGTCGCTGATTTGCTCTCACCGCTCTCACTGTGCTTTTATCAACTACGTCAACCGCGCGGACGCTGAGACTGCCGCTCACCATTGCCAAGGCAAGGCCATCCTCCAGGGTTGCCCCCTGCGTGTCCGCTGGGGAAAGCCTAAGCCCTTAGACAACCTGGATCGCGAGGAGAGAATGAAGAATGCCCGCGAAGGTCGCCAGGCTGTGGGATCAGTTGGCAAAGGAAAGCAAGCGGATCGCCGAGCTATCACTTCCACCGAGGGCGCTCCCCAGGAAAAGGCTCAATCTCATGTTGTTGCACCACCGCCCGGATCGGGTGAGGTTCAGTACGCCAGCATGAATGGCGATTGAACAAAACTTGCCAAAAATTGCGCGATATCATTAAATCAATTCAAGGTTGCATGTAACTTAGGGTTCGGAGCGGGCGTTATCACGGATTGGGTTTTATTCTTCGCAGATCTATGTACTTCAATCGAACATACCCCAGAGACGCCACTGAATAAAAGAGTCGGGTATCTTATAATACATGTCCGGTCACTGTCGTAGCTTATGTACTGTCCCGTATGCCGTCGGTTTGACATGAGGACTCTCGCAGTCTGGCTTTGACGTCGTTTTCATTGGTTGTTGTTAGACTTTGAATGGACTCGGAGGGTTCGCCCAGGTTCAACTGAGCATCACGATAGGCAAAGCACCTCATGAGGAGCAAGCCTTGTGGATCTTCACATTCTCATTGCCGACTTTGATGGAGTCATTATCACCGCGTTCGATCTGGTCGTGAATATTGAGCTCTATAGAGACAAACTCTCGTCAATAAATGGTCCATATCGGCATCAAGCCATATGACAACATTGCAATGTTGATGTAGAATACATACCCCACTTGGCAGCCTCATCTCCTTGAGCCCTTGAGCCCTGGACGATGTTGTGGCGCAGGATATGTGCAACCTCAACCGCATGGTTAATTTGCATGCCGGTATCAATGGCAGTGCGACGGTTCTTCTCAAAATTCTGACGAGCTTCTTGACGAGCAGCAATGAGGACTGGGAGATCATCTATGGGAGATATCAGTATGAGGGAAGCACACGCCTTATTGGATCTTTGTCAAACTAACTGTGGAAAACAAGGCGAGTAGCCCGGAGAAGTTGGCGGTAGGCGCTAAGAGCGGCAGGAGCAGTGGAGCTGGCCATATTGAAACAAGATCTCACTGAGAAGATTATGGACGAAGGTATTTATGGACAGATTGAATAGCACGGGTTGCAAATTGTCGTTGAGGATAATCGGCACGGATGGGGAGGCGCGATAATTTTCTGAGTGATATTGTAGAAGACCAGTAGCAAGTTCTTGGGATTCAATCGTTCGAGCAACGATATGAAGCAATCAAACCAAAAAGAAATTGATGTACAAGAAGGTGAATCGAAGGAACGAGACCTGGCGCCATTACCCGGCCAGAATCTCCAGAACATCTAACCGGTGATTGGCTGAAGGGGCGGGTATTCGAGGCAGAAAAAAAGGTATGCAAAAAAATCCATCGCGGGACCCGACGCTCCCCACACACAACTTGGTACCATCACCAATACCATTATACAATGGCTGCTGCTCAGGTTGTTAACATTTCCCTCCCCGCCCTGCCTCAGGGATGGGCTGGTGAGAAGGATTTCAAGATCGTCGGTGCTTTGTCCGGTGCCACCAAGCGCAACGTGGAGCCCGTTGGCCCGCACTTCCTGGCTCACGCTCGCCGAGTAAGTTCTACAATTTCATCTTGACTTTGTTGTTTCCTCAGAATTAACAAACATTTAGTCCCGTCACAACCGTACTTTCTCTGAGGATGAGCGCCTGCAGGCTCAGAACAGCGTCAAGAAGACCGAGGTCGAGGAAGACGATGATATCTCCGAGGATGAGGATCCTATGATGCTCGCCCGTGAGGCTAAGGACTGGAAAGTCAGTGCTCTTGAATTTCTCTCGATTGATTCTTTTCTAACTCTCAGTAGGGCCAAGATCACTACGCCGTTCTGGGTCTGAGCAAGTACCGCTGGCGCGCAACCCCCGAGCAGATCAAGCGGGCTCACCGCAAGAAGGTTCTGCGTCACCACCCCGATAAGAAGGCCGCCCAGGGCAAGAGCGATGAGAACGACAGCTTCTTCAAGTGTATCCAGAAGGCCACCGATCTGCTTTTGGATCCCACCCGCCGTCGCCAGTTCGATTCCGTTGATGAGCACGCCGAGGTTGAGTCCCCCACCAAGAAGCTCTCTGGCAGCAAATTCTACAAGGCCTGGGGCCCCGTCTTCGTTGCCGAGGGTCGCTTCTCCAACAAGCAGCCTGTCCCCACACTCGGAGACGAGAACAGCACCCAGGAGCACGTTGAGGCCTTCTACAACTTCTGGTACAACGTTGACAGCTGGAGGACCTTCGAGTACCTCGATGAGGATGTCCCCGATGATGGTGAGAGCCGTGACCAGAAGCGTCACGTCGAGAAGAAGAACGCCAACGCTCGCCGCAAGCGCAAGACTGAGGATACCGTCCGTCTCCGTGAGCTCGTTGACGAGTGTCTCGCTTCCGATGAGCGTATCAAGAAGTTCCGCCAGCAGGCTCGCGCCGGCAAGGACGCTAAGCGTCTTGCCAAGGAAGAGGAGATGCGCCGCCTGAAGGAGGAGAAGGAGCAGGCCAAGGCCGCTGCTGAGCAGGCTAAGAAGGACGCTGAGGAGGCTGCCAAGGCTGACCGTGAGAAGAGCAAGAAGGCTAAGGAGGCTGCCAAGAACGCTTCCAAGAAGAACAAGCGTATCCTCAAGGGATCCGTCAAGGAGGTTAACTACTTCGCCGCCGCCGAGCCCACCGCTGCTGAGATCGACGGTGTCCTCACTGACGTCGACCTCATCATGAGCAAGATCGACGTTGATGAGCTCGCCGCTCTGGCTGAGAAGCTCACCCTCGCCGGCACCGACGGTGCTGCCGTTAAGACTGCCTGGACTGGTGAGGCTCAGCGCCTTGTCGATGCTGGCAAGCTTAAGGCCGGTGAGGCTAAGGTCTTCGCCTAAATCTTCTTGTTTACGAGATAGATGGATGACAGCCTAGGTTTTCCCCAATCATGACTATTTACGCCACATAGAGTAGAAAAATGCATGGTGCTCTTACTTCAACGCAGCGTACTGTCACATATTCGTACTTCCTGTCCTGTCCCATTCATCCGAAAGGGCCATGTTCTTCGAGGCTCCAAGACTACCTACATACCTACATGTAGGTAAGCACATAGACTTACTGTATTCAGCCAACTGCATATCTGACACCTCCAACCACGTGATTGGTCGTGGACCGAACAGCGCCTCGTTGCCTCGTAACTCGTATATGCTGCTGAGCTTATATTTCGCGTGAAGGGTCTCGAAAGGAGCCCTCATCAGCAAAATGAGTCTTTCCAGCGAAGGTCAGTATGTGTAGAGTCCCGGGTGGTTTTATCTCAATGACTAATGGGACGACCTAGATCAGCGAGAATTCAGTACACGTAGGATTATACGGATCGCCAAAGACAAGCTGCTTAAATATGGACCCTCGGAAGACATAGAGCTTGAGGCTGAGAATATGCGTTATATCGCCGAAAGCACAACCATTCCGATTCCCCGCATTCATGAGATCCAGACCCACGATGACAACATCAAGTCTATTTCGATGGACTATATCGAAGGTCAAACGCTGCAAGATGCTTGGCCTAGTATGATCCCATCGCAGAAGATGTTGGTCGCGCAGGAGCTGCATGGGTATATATCTCAACTCCGAGCACTGAGTCCCGAATATCTGGGATCTTCGGGCGACGGGAAGATATATATGCGACATCCAGCTTCCTTTGATGAATATCTGCTTTCCCGAATGGCGACATCAGTTCCTGGTTCGGAGCGAGATTATATACCCGCTAAACGGTTAGGGGGCCGTATGGTTTTCACGCATGGTGATTTGGCACCGAGAAATATTCTGGTTGACGACCATGGTCATGTCACAGCCATTTTAGACTGGGAGTTTGCAGGCTGGCATCCGGAGTGGTGGGAAACTGTGAGGGCGTATACCTTCTGCAACGATGTTCCTGGTTGGACTGCTTATTTGTCGGCGATCTTTCCGCCGGATCATGCGACGGAGTATATGGCTGTAGCCTTTGCTCGACATATGTCACGATGAAGTAGATGTGCATTAGGCGAACGGCTTGATAGAGGCGATTGAATCATGAGCTCCTTACTTTTAGTTCATCATCATTTTTTATCTCTCCGACCAGAAGATAGGGAAGAGATATGTATAGTACGAAACAACGCTAGATTGAATACCGTTAAAAGACTCCGGACCCTAGCCTGTATGCAAGATTTCAATGCACCTCGAGTTCGCCTAGATGCTTTTTATGGCCTAGAAGAGAAATCAATTTATCGTGAAGCACTGGTAACACCACCGAATGTGGTAGCACACCCTCGGCTGTATATCGAGGAGGTGAGTGAAATCTAGACTGTGCAAAGCACATGTCGTTTCTACTTCTCGATATGCCCCGAGATAATATAATCATCACTCCACGCAATTAATATACAAACCGCGGCCGAAATTATATCTGGCTCACGATTAGTGATCGCATCTCTGTGACAGCCGAAGTATGGACTGATATGTACGTATATAAGTTGCGAGTGTATCCCAAGGAAATTGAATCCAACTTACATCTAGTCGTACTACAGTTATCATGATTTTTGACCCCGATACCATCGATATCCCCAAGTCTTACGAGACTCTTTCATTGACCGATGTCAATGTATCTCATCACCCCGCCGGGGCTCCCGACGCTACCCCAGTCGTTGTGGTAACTCTGAACCGGCCACAAAAGCACAACTCATTCACTCTGGAGATGATGCATGTCTTCGAGAAGATCTACCCCATGTTCGATGTCGACGAGCGAGTCAAAGTCATCGTGCTCACCGGTGCCGGCAAGATGTTCTGCGCCGGCGCAGATCTAGAGCGAGGATTCAGCGGAATAGAGAAAGAGAGAAACAAGGATCACCGTGATAGGTAAGATGAACAACGTCCATCCTGTGGCCATGGTACACATTCCGCTAACACCGATATAACCGCATAGCGGTGGCCGTCTCGCCTTAGCCATCCACCGCTGTCGCAAGCCTACTATAGCGGCGATGCAGGGTTCCGCCGTTGGCCTGGGCATGACAATGAGTTTGCCGGCCGCCATACGCATTGGCTGCCAGAAAGCCAAGTACGGATTTGTCTTTCCCCGACGGGGTCTGACGATGGAGTCTAGCTCTTCGTTCTTCCTCCCGCGGTTGATCGGCTATTCCAATGCTCTTTACTTACTCACAACGGGCGGTACCTTCTCGCCTACCTCGCCGCATTTTGGGAACTTGTTCCAGGAAACATATCCCGAATCTAGTCAGGTGGTCGCGCGTGCGCTCGAGCTTGCGACGGAAATCGCGGAGAATGTTAGCCCTATGGCGTCGTATCTTTCGCGGGAGCTCATGTGGAGAAACCCGGGGAGTGCGGAGGAGACTCATCTTGTTGATTCGGCGGTGCTGTATCATATGTTCAGTGGAAAGTATGTTTTTCCCCTCTCGCTGTTTTATCAACGGTCTATGGCAAATTATTGGTGTCAGAGAACAATGCTAACAGTGTTCTAGGGACTCAATGGAAGGCATTACAGCCTTCTTCGAGAAACGGAAGCCTAACTTCAAGGCTACGCTTGAGGGGGATGCACCGCCGAGCTTCCCATGGTGGTCTGATGTTGATATTGGGAGACGCCCGAAGGCGAGCAAGGCGAAATTGTGAATAAGTGTAGATTGGTTCAAGATGCTTGATCGCGGACATATAAAGTATAACTAAACGGACAATTATGAACGATCTTTGTATTCCAATTCACTTGATGTAAGTATTGCATGTAGGTATAGCCAGATTCATTCTATCAATTACTCGGATCTGTGATATACTCCTCCTTTCTGTAGATGCTGTATGAGGGCTTACCAACCAAAATGGCTCAACCAGCAAGTTCCGAGTCTGATGTATTGCAATATTAGCTTGGCCTGAGAGCTCTAGCCCTAGACTAGCTGTAATGAGGGCAATTGAGACGAAGACAAATATACCATAACGACGATGCTAGAAGGAGGTCCATAATTCGATAAATATATATTCATCAGGAGTGATCATGTATTCCCAGCGGTTGAGAATGTTTGCTAATGATCTAAATGTGCAGTTCTAATCTAATCTAATATTTGTGGCAAACAATATGTTACTCATTCATGATGGACTATCCCATGGCCTCCTCTGCACGACCTGAGATCCAGATGCGGTCCTAAAGACCGAAGTCGACGATGGCATTGGATGCAAAGACAAGGGTTCCGATGGATTAACCTCCTGCTGCTTAGATCGCTCCTTTATCCAAGGCCGAAGGTTAAAGACCCCGCCGCAAATGAATATGCCCACCCAAAGGGTCAATTCAGTCCCATAGATGACTATCCCCAGGACATCGATAGTTGACCCAAACACTGCTCGTATGTTAGACTTGGATCAATTCTCATTCGAATCGAACCAATCGACTTACAAACCGAAACCAGAGAAAACAAGTCCCCCGCAGCATCAATCCCGACAAAAATGAAACTGATTCCACGGACAGTTCGGTGAACATAGATATCCCAGTAATGTCTGAGCACACCCGCTGCAAGCAGACAAGCGCTCAAGACTGCCATCAGGATGAGAGGCCATTCCAGCCCACGGTTTTTGGCAGCGCGCAAGGCAAATATCAGACCAGCTTCGATGCCCCCCAATAGCAGAAGAAGTGACGTGACTGCAATACAGCATTTCGTGATTCGGTATTTCTATGTCTGGGTGAGTATGGGGAAACCGTATGTACGAGAATAGATGAATGTATACCTTCCCATAGTATAGACATTGCGCCCAAGTGAGGAGGCTGAGCGTAGTCAGGATTTGGGGCTGGATCCTCAGAGCAATGTTGAATTCTTCTACGATGTTGTAAACGCCGAGAGGAACCCCTGCGACGGCCCATAAGAGCATCATCGAGCCTTGTAGTCCTTCGGTATCATGTCTTCTGTAATTGATGATTATTTGAGGAAGTAACTAGAGAATGGGTTAGCTTTGGGGGGGAGAAAGGGTCTAACGCGACCGCGTACTTGGATAGACCAGCACACCTAGAGACGGTTAGTTCTGAAACGAATAAGAGCGATGACTACGTAGACTCACTGCACCTAGGGTACCGAGAACATTCTCTGCGACTCGGTTCTCCATTTGCGGATGTTTGGAGGAGTGAGATCTGATAAGACACTCGTTTCCAGACTCCTCATTGGTGCAACGCCACCAAAGGGTAAGCCTTCAACGCCACAATCGGGTGCTTCTACGCCGGCCAAAGGGTCTAAAGGCTACATTGTCAAGTCGGAGATAATACAGAAAGCCGGGAAAGGGTATAATTTGGTTGGGGATGATCTACGGAGTATAGCGAACATGCAGCAATTAGGAATGAACGTTATGGTGTAGGGGAGACATGGGGTCTAACGATCTCTCACCGAGGAACCAAGTTCCAGGTATCACTCCAATGTGCATAACCTTGGAATGTATATATGACAGCAGCCAATATAAAAGATAAGGGCCGATCCAATGAAGACGCAACCTTTCACCTGGTGCGGCCGGTCAAAATTGGTGGCTGGACTAGGACGGAGAACTAGAGCAGCCATGCAGATCGGAATTCAAACCCGGTTACCGTAGAAAAAGATACCGTGAACTCCAGTGGTGCGATGGATGGCTCAGTCGCAAGTGCTCGTGATATATTCGAAATTGCCATATATCTCATGGTATACGTTGTATATGAAACATCGGGGCATGAAACCTCCATCAAACGATGCCGAACAGACCACATCGAAGAGCGATGACGCCGCCGATCCTAAAAAAAGATATTCGCGTTCTGCTTGCCTTATTCTCCAGCTGCGAGCGCATGGGTACGGGGATATTTTCTGACCAACCACCTGATTTTCATACATCCGGCCCACGAGGTTCGCCACGGTCACCGAAAATAGCGACGAACTGGCGAATTGCCTCGTAGACATGCACGGAGTACGGAGTACGCGTGTGCATGAGACGCCAGCACCCCCCACTTCCCCGAACAAGTCTAACTGATCGTCGCGGGATGATATCATCAGGAATGGAAGCCCGTCGAGCCTTGAGACTGGCACACCATCAGCGCGAACTCATAAGACATGCGCAGCCCTGGAGGCCTAAGAGAGCAGCGCCAAGAAGCCTACGTAGTGCACGCCGTATGTGCAGCAATAATATGCTTGGCAATCGCATCTCCTGAAAACGAATCTATTGCAGTGGGTCTGGACATTAAATTGGACCCCTGTTGGCGTTTTTTTTTCTTTTCTTCTTTTCTTCTTTTTAAGAACCCCCAGAGACCCGGGCCCGGACTGTCCTTTCTTTCTGTGCTCTTCACTTTACCGGGGATTGTCTACATAGACCGGCAACCACACCTACACATCTATATCTGTGCCCAAGAGACCAACAGACCAAGACATCAAACACCACACCATGTTCTCTACCCCTCTTCACGCCTGTCTCTTGGCCGCGACTCTCTTCTTCAATCTCTCCTCCGCGTTCCCTCTCATGAGCCGCGACGTGCAGTGGTCCTTTACTCTCTTCCCGTCGCCGTCCTGCAACGGAACCCTCGGTGACTCCCATGCCGGATCCGGCAGTACAGGCTGTCGGGCCGATCTCCACAGCGTCGCCTCGGCCTACACCCTGAACTCCGTCGCCCAGGGCTGTCAAATTGAATTCTTCGACAACACCATGTGCGACGGGAACGAGCTGTCCGATGTCGCGGATCAAATCACGGCCGTGCACACTTGTCGCAAGTCTGAGGCAAGACGTCGCTACGGTTCATACCAGGTCACCTGCGAGTGAACCCCAATTTCTTTTCTTTGTCGAGGGTCTCGGGGTTTCCGGATCTCATGCGCACCTTTTTTCTTTTTGGATAAGCCCACCGCGGGATTGATTGGGATCGCGGGGTGGGACTGAATATCTTATATAGACTTTGTAATGATACCCCTAGAATAAATGAGATGAGTTTACGATTGTCAATCTTTGGTGTTCGATAGCCTATAACGTCCGTCATGGGAATATACATGCGAAGGGATACTATTAGAGGGGGATTTTTTTTGGAAAAAATTGGATCAATGCCATCAAAGGCCACCGCGAAGGTATCATGAATTTCGAGGCGGAATTAGAATTAACAGGAGACCAGGTTTACATGATGGTCGTTCAGGGCCGCACAGGCTAGCACAGTCCGGTGGGGGTGGAAAGCCGTGCTGGCAATGGGGGAGGATCGGTTGTGATGAAGGAAGCTCGAGTATGGCTCGAAGGTGGAGAGATAGGTGCCATCGACATTGAAAGTCTTGACTTCGTGGCGGTTGGTGCCCCTGCGTCATGTTAGCTCTAAACACCTTGCAAAATCCGTTGAAAATACGTACATGCTGAAAACAGGAGCGTGTTCGTGAACACTCAGAGTCCTGAGCGTATCTTTGGTGGCATAGATGGTGGATATCGGGTTGTCCATGCGAAGATCCCAAAGTCGAACCTCGCCATTTCGGCCCCCCGAGATCAATTCTCGCAGACCGCCACGCTGCATGTGGACATTGGTAATCCATTGCTTGTGTTCACGCCACACTTTGACCATGGATGTGGTGGGCTTCAACCGCTGGTCGAAAACTCGGACCGCACCGTCGCCAAAGCCGGCAACGAAGATGTTGCCCGCGACTTGGTCAGATGTCAAAGATGTGATGCAAGAGCCAGATCGTGCCGGGATATCCTGTTAATCGAGGGCTGTGAGTGAAATGATGCATCTGAGGCCTACATTCAGAACTTACGTTGGTGCACACTTCAGTGGCAGCGTTCCAGACACGAATAACCTTTACATCACCGGCAACTAGAGCCTTGCCCTGACCTTGCTGCCAATCAAGCACAAGCCCTGCGTTGCGATTGCTCGGAATTAGTTCGGGAAGGGCTCTGAAAGCCGTGACCACCTCAATACTCTTATTAGTCTCGTAGTGGCGGAAAAGCTTGATCACACCATCGGAGGATCCAGTCATAAGAAGTGCCTGGTCGTCCTCATTGATGTATCGAACTTCGTTGATTTTTGACCCAGCCGGATTCCCATTTGAAAATTGGTTGAGGCGTTTATGGCTCTGCCAATCCCAGATCCTGTTTGAGAGAATGATCAGTAAAACCTTGAAGACTATGCGACTTGTTGATTAGTACTCACGAGATTGTATCCCGGTCATCTGCAACTGCAATATGGTCCTCGAACTGGTGAAAGCACATCTTGTGGGGTTGACTACCGTTCGATAGCAAAGCAACCGAATTATCCCATCGGCTCGCTCCAGCTTTACCTTTGAGAGGTTGTGTCTCGGCGATAATCTTTTCGTTGCGACCGCGTCTCCATAGACGCTGGTTATAGTCCGAGCTACCGGGCTCATCGGGCTCGTTGGGTTTCATCTGAGGTTCACGGAAATACTTAGGAATAGTGAGTAAATGTAGATAATAATGGGTTTGTGATTTGATGAATTCGAAATCCGGGCATACCTCAGTAGACCAGTCCAGGAATCTGCTCTTCAGCGGAATAATCGGCACAGCATCAAGACCCTTGGGCTCAAATCCTCGGGACGTGGGAATAGGAGCCTGGTGATATGCAGTTGCAGGAGCAACGTGATCATTCACTTCTGGAGGTCGGGTCCATTCGGGAGGGGCCCTGCCGCGTGGAGTGATTGGCATACGGCTAGTGGAAGGCGAGGAAGGGTTCGAGCTGTCTGAGGAAGCATCTCCCGTTGTTAAATTGCCAAAAGCAAGGTTCTTCAAGGAAGCGGCCACGCTGGCGGTTCGCCTGAAACCCAATGAAAGATAGCCTTCTTGCTTAGAAGCTACAATTCCAGATGTCGGAGGCGTTGAGGGTGGCGCAGTTTTCTTTGCTTCGGTCCGCTCGCGAGGTTGGATTTTCAACAGTCCTGTGATATCTAAAATCTCGTTCTGAAGCTTGTTGGTGAGTGGAGCCATTGGGGACTCCAACAAAGCTAGGTGGACGTAGTCAACGATAACTGCGGCATCTTGGGCGATGTCAGGATGAGGGTCAACTGAAAGTGCCAGAAGCTGCTTCCAGATTGTCCCGAAAGTGGTGTTGCGAGATAAGTGGGTTTGTTTTGTATGTGGAACAAGTGCCTTAGTCTGCCCCTCAGAGCGGCTAGTCTGTGGAGTTTCACTCTCGAAGCGCTGACGGAGGGACCGCTTTTCTTCCTCAAGCTCCTCAAATGCTGCGACCAAGAATTTGTTTTGGTGGCGTCTGACAAATGTCGAGAAGAAGACTATGAGCTCTTTCCTAACAACTACACTACCGTCGGCAGACATTGGCAAGACGGCTAGGGCTAATGTCTCCTCGATTTGCGCCACTTGGTCTGTCAGATCTGGAATTCCCAAAAACGTGGTCACAGCGTGCAGCATGGCAGCGCGAACCTCGGGAACGGGATCGAAATTCAATTCACAGAGCCTAGCGGGGGCTGAACAACGAATGCCCATCCACTTTGCTTCCGGGAAATCGCACCAGAGCATACTGAGACACAGACATGACCACTGCCGCAGCAAAGGGTTTTCCACGTCGCCAAGATGTCTGAGACACGAGTCAAACAACTCGCCAGAAAGGCAGACATTCTGGCCCTGGGGATAGTTTTTGCAGAAGATGGACACAATGAAAGCACACATCGCACGGTGCTCACTGGCATTTCCAACGGGAATAGGTGATGAAGGGTTCAGTATCGAAATGAAGTAGTGGATGCCGTTGTCTTTGAGCAGGTCGTTCTGTACAGTGTGGTCGACTGCCATGATTCTCGCCCAGATGAAAACCATAACAGGTTTCAATTCCTGGGCGGCTGATTGCAGCAGTTTGACGACGTAGGGGAAGATGCCTATACTAAGTGCAAGGTGAACAGCCCATGGGCCCAGATCTAGGAACTTGCTCAGGAGGATCAAAGCCCGCAAGCGATGTGCCTGACTCAGGAGCACTTGCAGGACGATAGGCAGCTGATCGGGGGGATTCTTCTCCGTGGGGCCAGAAGAAAGGTAGACTTCAAAAGCAGTGAGTTGCTCGGCAAAGAAGGTAGAGTGCTGGTACTCATACTGCCGGCGCCCTTCTTCCTGGTCAATGAGTGCAGGTAGTTGGGATAACACCATCTCGACTGCAAGATCCCAGCTTTTCCATAGAGGATGATGGTGCGTATTTGGTAATTCGGGTGATGAGATTGGATGACACTTGTATGTGCGCATAATGCGTTCGCTGAGCAAAAAGTTGCGGAAGAGAGCAGCGACCATGAGATCCTGTCGGAAAAGCTTTTTGAACAAAGCCCGGGGTAAAGTGTTCCATGCAATAGTATCAGTAATGGCGGTGAAGATCCAGTTCAATTCTCCAAGAGGGCTTCGTCGATCTTGTAGTCGTCCAGGAACACGGAAGTCGTCAATGGAGATGTTTGTTCGTAGAGGGTTCTGCAAGATGAAAAAGCGTAGTGCGATCTCGATTGGTGTTGTTAGGCAACATGTGAATAGGTCCGCGGGTAGGTCTGGGTTGGTGGGCAGAGACTCTGTCTTCTGACACGCGGCGAGGAGAATGCAGTCCCCATAATTTTGAACGATGGCATTCGGGTCCCGCTTTTTAGCTTCCATGTTCTCTTTCTCATGTTTCTCCACAAACGTGTGGAAATTTTGGACAATGTTGCCCGCATGTGAAACATCGAAGACGAAAAGACTAGGCCCGGCTAACCAGGATTGCAGATCATACAGTGGGACTGGAATATACTGAGTATAATTCTTGTTGAATACCCAAATTTCACCTGACTGGGTTGGCAACGGGACTCCATGTCCGTTATAATGTAGGAGCACCCGCTCGTCCTTGGCATTTCGGCGAAGGGAGATACAGAACTTCTTCGTCTCGTCGACTGATGGATCCAGATATTGCTTGTATCTTGTTCGCAGACTCAAGGTCTCATATTGCTCCTGTAACTTCTTACCAATCTGCTCCATGATCTTGTTTTGACCACCGCCAGTGGTCGAAGTAGGGTCTACCCAACATTCAAGCTTCGATGTTGGGTTCGTCTTGACAACATCGGGAGGGTCGACTCCGATGTTCAGACAGATGGCCAATGCCGCAGACACAGTCTTCAGGCGATCTTTCATGCGCCAGTCCTGACTTGGCCAACTTCCAACCGGATCCCGGGGAATACCGTTAGTTTCATGGCGTTTCTCGGTGAAATACATGTAGAAATTCTATGTTAGGCAAGTGTTTCAATTAGCTTTTAAACCCCGACGACTGATGTGATTATGCTCACCGAGTGTAAGATTTTGAGATATTCACTGGAGGTATATTCCTCTTGCCATCCATGTCGCATAGCAAAATCCTCATCGTCATCGCCTGCTACCTTATCGAAGGTTATACGACTTGGCCCATAGTCACTTTTAGCTCTCTTCAGCATCGCCGGTCGACTACTCTCTGATCTCCGAGGCGACGGGCGGCGAGGGGGAATATCTCCGATGGCGCTATTCTCTCCCGACGAGCTGGTTGGGCGTCCGGAGAGCGCCAGGTTGGGCTGCTTCTGTTCAACCGATGTGAGCGAACGATGATGGCCGCTCACCGCAGCTGGAGATCTTTCACGGGCGGGAATCATGGTTTCTAGCTCAGGACCAAACGCAACGCGGACCGATTTATTCGGATTGCGGCGCGAGGCCGTTGACCCGTTGGTCATTTGCTGTGAGTTTTGTTCCATATCGGTAGTGGGATCCCTCATGTTGTAAGATCGTTCATCGTGTTACACGAGGATGGAGGTGATAAAGGAGTTGAAACGAGTGTCAAGGCGATCTGCGAGTATCCCCCGTCGGTTATCGGTGACAGGCTTCGAGTTTCTCCCTTCGGTTTGATCGGTGCCTATTGGCGGCTGAAGCTGGGGAAGAAGCCGAGGATGAAAGGGTGTTGGTTTGAGTCTGATTTGCAATGAATCAAGCTCGTCTCAAATTGCGACTGTCCTGGAGATATTCCAGGGGCGCAGAGAGAGCGCAGCACGCAGCCTATTGATTCTGATCCAAAGAGCTAATCTTGGGGGTCTAGAGCGGATGTGGTTCGGAAAGGCGAGGAGCATGCGGAAACACAGATATTCCGGGGATTACTCAGATATCTTGGCGTCTGCCCAAGTGGAAGTATACAACGTGAAAACTGTGATGCAACCTCACCTGGGCAATCATTCCTGCATCAAGCCAACAGTTCGTGTCAAATGCTTGATCGGAACTGCCAAAATCATCTGCAACATAGATGTGTTACATATAGTATATACATTTAGCCCGTATAAGGAGCAGGGTCTTGTGGTATTACACCATCTGGCTCCTGGGGCATCTAAATCGGTTACATCATGGACGGAGTGCAACATCGAACCAAGCCCACATGTGCACATGGGCATGACCCGCTAAGATCAATCCAACTCTGTATTGAACAATCGATGGCAATACATCTCAAAAGCTAAATTGTACTGGGAAGGTCTCTAGGAGAGACACTGCATAGCGGGAAATTGATGTCTAAGACAGTGATCGCAAGCCAAAATCCGGATCTACAGGGGACATACAAGGTCTCACTGAACAGCAGATGAACCAGCCCAAATGGATGGATCAGAAAAGATCTGACACGTTGATCCCCATATCGTTTGCAAGGAAACTGTCCAACCAAGCCAAAGGCATTAACCAATGAGATAAGAATACATATACCAGAGTAGACGGCCGTACGGAGCACAACGTACCTAGGTACTCCGTACATGGGTCTGGTACCATCATACATACATAAGATACCTGTACCTAGATACTGAGCTCTATGGATACAAATTGCAAATGCGATGGATATTTGATATCATATCTAGATATTGTACATGTATGTAGCACATGGATCGACTTTATCTCCATACTACTCCGTACCGAGTACCGAGCACATGTCCATATAGACAGCCACCGAGCGTCGGAAAACGAGAGATCGTCCGGATTCTTCTGATAGGCAGGGACATAGGCCCCCTTTTTTCTCCTCAGGTGAGATCGATCAATCTCAAGCTTCTACTTTCTTTGGAGGTTCTGATGATCCTCCAATACGACATTCACGACTACTGGTCACCGTGAGAAAGCACTATACTCCGTACCAAGTGCAACATGCAACATACGGAGTACAGTATCCGAAGTCGTGCACGTTGTGGGGTATGGATCGTCATGTGGAATTGGGGAATGCAGTGTCAGGGTAAATTATCATTGGACCTGCAGCGAATGTTCACACCGTGGCCGAGTCCTCGGCCCCACGGCATAATGTTGGACTCTATTGGGAGCGTTAGGGTTCACTCGGTGGCATTTCATGCGGAAAAATCAAACGGTTCCTGGGGCATTGTTGGTGAAGCTTGAGATACGAGATCTTATATGTGGAGGTGATAGTGGAATGTGGCTACCCGGGGTGGTTGGAGGCTGGGAAAAAAAAGGAACGCGAGAACAGACATTGAATTTAGGGCAATAGTATCCTTTGGAGTAGTCCCCCTGAGCATGATGAATTAAGACTAGTTTGATTTGGAGCATCTCAGGGAAATTGAAACGGCATCTTCATTTTCCCTCTGATTCTCACGTTTCCTGTCTCTTCTCCTCCCCCTTTCTTGGCTTTGACCTTGGGCTTTGATTTGATTTTCTGCCAGTGCAAATGCCGGGGCTGTTTACGATTCTCCCCCTGGCCTCTTTATTTTTGTGATTGTTTATTTTTTTTTTGATTTGATTTTCTGACAAGCGGCTTGTGCATGGAACGTTTTATGGTTCCTAGTGGTTCCTGGTTCCCACTTCACATCTGAAAAAGCCAATTCCCCTTAATCCCCTCTTCGGACGTGCTTCGTTCGATTTTCGAGTGTCGGACACCGCACTCCGGCGCAGCTTGACCCTGCGCCAGACCCTCTGATACGACCGACTACGACAGCATATTTACGATGGCCTTTTTGTTTAAATCAAAGAAGGCCCACAGCCAGGCCCATGCAATTCCCCCGGCGACTAGAAATGTCCATACTTCCGAGGGCGCTCCGCCCTCGGGCTCGCCCACCATGGCAAATGGGGCCAAGGGGGATGGCCCAGCTTCACAGACACCAACTCCGAGTGGCAGCGTCAGCAACTCGCTCCATTCTGCCGCAAGCCCGACGAGTCCGGAAGCAGTACGGCCGCGACAACGGGCAGAATCAGAATCGCAGGTGAGTCTTGGTCATGCTATACTGGTCGCTTCTCCGAGAGGACGCTCCCTCTAATATCAGTGCTAGATACAACGAGCACAACCACCAGTCAACGGAATCCCCCTCCAAGCCCCAATTCGTCCCTTTATCCATGGTCGCAACGACGCTTGAACTTCTCTTCTCCTCAATCGAATCCGTTTCCTCGCTATGGAGCAGCAATCAATTCAGTGGCCTCCAAGGAGGGAGACATCTATATGATGGGCGGTCTAATCGATGGATCAACTGTCAAGGGTGACCTATGGATGATTGAGAGCAGTGGTGGCGGCTTGAACTGTCTGCCAGTTGCGACAGTCTCCGAAGGCCCTGGTCCTCGAGTTGGTCACGCCAGTTTACTTGTCGGAAATGCATTCATTGTGTTTGGCGGCGACACCAAAATCGAAGAAAATGATTCTTTGGATGACACCTTATATCTCCTGAACACATGTAAGCGCGAGATCGATTTGTTTATGGCGAATCAATTCTGACTTCACGGTTCTTCCAGCTTCCCGACAATGGTCACGCGCTATACCTCCCGGCTCCCGCCCTTCTGGGCGTTACGGCCACACTTTGAACATCCTAGGTTCCAAACTCTATGTTTTCGGAGGACAAGTGGAGGGATTCTTTTTCAACGATTTGATCGCATTTGATTTGAACCAGCTTCAAAATCCAGCGAACAAGTGGGAGGTGCTTATCCCAAACAGTCACGAAGGTGGACCTCCAGCAGGGCAGATTCCACCAGCGAGAACGAACCACACCATTGTCAGCTTCAGTGAGAAGCTTTTCCTGTTTGGAGGTACGAACGGAGTGCAGTGGTTCAATGACGTCTGGTGTTATGATCATATCACGAACGACTGGACCGAAATCGATTGCGTTGGTTTTATTCCGGCTCCCAGAGAGGGTCATGCCTCTGCTTTAGTCAACGACGTGATGTATGTGTTCGGTGGCCGCACCGATGAAGGTGTGGACCTGGGAGACTTATCCGCCTTTCGAATCTCAACCCGACGATGGTATTCCTTCCAAAACATGGGCCCCGCGCCATCCCCTCGATCTGGCCACAGCATGACCGCTTTTGGCAAACAGATCATCGTCATGGCAGGCGAGCCAAGTTCAGCTCCTCGAGATCCGGCGGAGCTAAGCATGTCCTATATTCTCGATACTAGCAAGATCCGATACCCCAATGATTCGCAACCCGGGGGACGGGTTCCCGATGGAGCTGCTAGGAAAGTAAGTGTCGAGAAAGCAGGCATCACATCTGGTCGGACGTCCCGGGAGGCGCAAAACCCCGGTCCTGAACAAATGCGACGGGGACCTGCCCCATCGCGTGAAAGCCTGATGCAGGCCGCGGCCGCTGGAAAACAGGGGGATTGGGTCCCTACCACGAACTTGGGGCCGGGATCTAGACTACCACGAGCATCGATCGCCCAAGCTCCCGCTGGCCCGCCACCTCCCGGCCAAGCACCCTCTCCTGGACCTCGCGGCAATGGACCTGCAGCCGGTGCGAACCCCCGCAGCAAAACTCCGACCAAGAATGAACGTGGGTACACACCAACCATTGATGTACGTACAGCAAGCGGTGAGCGCGGCCCGGGTTCACCAAGCGCGAAAGAAGGCCCACACGATTCTCCAGGACCTCCGTCAGGTGGCCGCAGAACTCCTACGCAACATCAGAAGCCCTCGGCCAAGGCGATGGAAGCGGGCGAAGCCGCCCCGTTGATCAGCACCCCCGGCCGTCAACGCTCGCTGCGTTCTCAACGACAGCGTGGATCTATGGATAGTGGCGAAGAATCAATACTCGGTCGACACCCCAGCATCGAAGGCTCGATGGAGAATCGCGGTTTCCGCAACTCAAAGACGCTCGGTGATGAGCCTCGGTCTCCTCGATTGACCCCCCATCAAGAGGCATTGATTAAGGAGCTGGAAGTGAGCAAGGCGCGGAACGCCTGGTACTCCTCTGAACTTGCGCTCGCAAAGAAATGTGGTTATGTGCCCAATGCGACCAGTAGTCCTATTTTTGACGACAGGGCCAATGAGGCTCTAAACGATGAGGATCGCCCCCTGATCGAAGCCTTCTTGGCTATGAGGGCTGATTTGACCAAGATGCAGGCGACAGTAGACCGACAAGCGGCTATCGCATCAAAACGGGTAGCTGAGGTGGAACATCAACGCGACATGGCTATCAACGAAGCTGCATATTCCCGCGCCAAGCTCGCTGCACACGGTGGTAGTCAGCGAGGAACCCCTCAACCTGATACACCGCGAGACGGAGAAGATGAGCGACCTACAGATATGGGACGCCGTCTTGCTTTAGCTTTAGCCTCCCAAGCTGAGCTGAGGGCCAAGTTGGAGGTGCAGACGACTGAGCTCTCACAGGAGCGTCAAGCTAGAGAGCTCGCTGAAGACACAAATGAGGCAACTCGGAAACACCTGGCGGAACTTGAGATGCAAAACAATACTCTGGAAGCTGAGAACTTGCGCGCTGAACTCCACCAAGCCGAGGCACTGGCTAGAGAAGAGGCCTTTTTACGAGCTGAAGCTGAAGCCTCGCTCAAGCAAGTCACACTGGATAAAGAAGAATTGCTGGCGCAGATCGAGGATTCTTCAGCTCGACTGAAGGACTTCGGTACTAGCTTTGCTGGCCTCCGCGAAGCTGTTGCTGCGTCCGGAGCGAAGACAGCTCTTGTTGAGAAGCAATTGCATGAAGAGCGAGAGCGCCGGGAGGGCCTTGAAAGAAAGCTCTTGCAGCTTCGTGCAGAACATGAAGAACGCACCGCGGAGGTGGAAAACATCACTCGTCGACTTCGGGATGCAGAGGAGATGGCAGAAATACATGCCAAAGAAGCCGAAACTCACAAGTTTGCCTTCGTGTCTGGATTAGAGCGTGCTTCTTCTACAGACTTGGACGATTCATTCAGGTCTCGTGCGGACAAGCGTGTCGCTGCCCTGGAGGCACAAATCGAACGATCTTCCACTCTAGTTAAGGCAAACCAGGCAGCCGCCAATTTAGCGGCAGATAAGTTGCGGCGTGCCGAGGAACGGATTGCTGGTCTGGAGGCATATCAAGAGCAAGCTAGCCGTGAAGGCCTGCAGCTGCGCAGACAACTTCAGACCGCCATGAAAGAAAGCCAAGCCGCCGCCACAGATAACCGGGACTTGAAGGCACAACTTGAAACTCAGCAACGTGAAGCTGGAGCTCTGGCTACCCAACACGCGGCCTTGAAGGATCTTCTTGGCGAGCGTGGCATGAATAGTGACACTAGGCGTTCTCCGCGGCTCGACTCTCCGGGATCACGATTCGGCACCCCGGAGCAGAGCCGCCTCCGCGAGCTTGAGCATCAGCTCTCCGCTAGCATCAAGGCTCATGAAGATCTGAAAAACAGCTTCGAAACTCGTGAGCAAGAGGCCGATCGAACCTTCCGAGAGAAACTTGAGCAGCTTGAAAATGACTACCAGTCAGCGGTTCATTACGTGAAGGGCACTGAGAAGATGCTGAAGCGTATGAAGGATGAGCTCAGTCGATACAAGGCTCAAAATATCAAAATGCAATCTGAGCTTGATATAGCTCAGAGGAATCTCGAGGCTTCAGGCAGCCAGGCATCTGGATCTTCGGCTGAATGGGATGCTGAGCGGTCCCGCCTCCAACAATCAATCTCGGAACTAGAAGAGCGAAATACATCCTCGATCGTTACTCTTGAAGCCCAGGTTAAGCAGCTCAAGGAAGAGCTTGACCAGGCTGCAGCCGAGAAACAGCTGTCCCGAACTGAGCAGGAGCGTCTTAAGCAAGATCTCCTCGCTGCTGCTGAGCACAGCCGTATTGAGCTGGAACAGCTCAAACAAGAAAACACTCACCTTGAAACGCGTGCTTCTGATGCAGAGCACAAGGTTAACATGCTTTTGGAGCAGGTTCAAACATCGGTTGGTCATTACCGTCGTCAATCTCAGCATGGCCAAGGTACCAATGGCATCTCGCGCACACATAGCAACGCCTCTAGTAATACAGTCGGTGGGGCAAATGGTCGAGCACGAGCCGACAGCAATCTGTCCCAGGATTCCACCTTCCCCGACAACCGGGGCTCTATGGCCCTCGACTCACTTGCCAACGAGCTCGATGCGCTGCGCACTCACTGGGAAAGCACCAACCGCAACTACCGTCTGAGCAGCCAGCTGGATCTGGACCGGACTCCCACTAAGGACGCCAGTGAGGGGCCTGCATTGATGAGTGACAGCTTGGCAGAGTGGAGGCGGAGACTGGATGATGATGAACGCGTTGGATTTGATGTCCAAACCAAGCCACTGAACACTGGCGCTGGACATCCTGGGCGCTCTTCCAATGTTATCTAAACACTTTGTTCCCCGTTCCATTCTTGTTCTATGACCATGTGCCCTGAGATATGTCGATTTGCACCGTCTGAGCGTTCTGTATCCCTACTTCTAGCACTTCTTTTCCCTTGTTTCGTCTATTTTATTTCCTATGTTGGAGGGCTTTTACCCTGTTTTTCTTTTTCCATCACCAACTGACGGGCTTGTTTCCTCTTGACTCTGTCTGGCCATTCCCTCGTTTGTTCTTCTATTTCTCCCCCGCTTCGATTATGTTTCCCCCTCCTTCTGCTGCACTTTATACCCCGGTTTTCCGATGCTCATTGGACTCTGGCTGTACCACTAGCATATTCCTTGCGGATTCTTTGTTCATCTATAGTCGGAAATCGACCTGGTTCCCCCCCGGAGTGTCCTATCTCCCGATTTATCAAAATTATTATGACAGCGAGAAACCTAAACTTCTGTAATTTTGAGAGGCCCTCGCTGGACACCGATGACCTGTCACCAGCCCGATTCGATACATATCGACTTACTCCGCACCGAAGCCATCCCACAACCTAGCGTAGAGCTAACATAGTCCGGTAGTATTCAATTTCGCTTGCTAGCACAATATGGCACATGTGGCCCAATTAAACTGAGACAATTTTGTGTTGACAAAAATCGCGCATAGAGAGTATTGTGTATTGGGGATTCAGGACGATCTACGGAGTACAAGCAAGGACGTGAATACGATGTCTTGCAAGGGGTATGATTGTTTGATGCGAGTTGGGATCTATGAATCCTCGCTGGCTCAGACTTGGGTATTACTCCAATTATTGTCTTTTGGATCTAGATGATGGGCGCCCCTCTGTTGTAGGTAGTCCAACTCTGCTCTAATACCGGTCAGGTGGAGGCTTGAAATCGCCACCGACCACCTGGGCAGTCCCTTCGATTAGGTCATGATGTAGAGACTCTCCCATCCATGTCAAGGGAATGGACATGTCTAGGCACTTATGGATCATAAGATGTCCCCGTGTACGGAGTACAGAGTCAGGACCTGGGGCTGTATTGGCAGCCCAATACCAATATTACCATACCACGCCCAATGAGAAAACAGAACCTCCCGAGGTCGGGCGTGACTGCCGCATGTCACTGTCCTTCGCCTAAAGGGAAAAAAATACCCTTCTCACCGACTACTTGCCCCCTCTTGCTCTCTTCCTCTCTCCCCCCTTCGTCTCCAGATACCATCTCCCTTCCTCGTCAAGGCTTTGCCCTTGATCTCGTTGCTTTTAAACCGGATTTGTCCGGTCCATCTCTTTTACGTGTCTCTTCCGGTTTGGTACGGTCGGGCACCTCTTTGATCCGTTATCTCCAGGTATGTCTAGCCTCATCTTCTTTTAGCCATCTTCTTTCAGTTAGGACATTTGTCTTTCGTTGTCGACCTCTGAATTGTATCATTCGCGTCAAGTGTGTTTGGTTTCTGCTTCCTGCATTATCCTTGGTCTGGCCCCAGCCTTCCAAGTTGCCTGAGGCTCAATTGTGACCCCCTCTCTCTCTCTCACTGATTTCCAGTTTCTTTCCCACACCTCCTCCCGTCTTTTCTTCACTCCCTTATTCTCCCTCAATCTTCGCTTTGCATATTATTCTCGCTTTGCAACAGGGGTCAAATACGTTGGAAATTAACAATCTCGGTTTCTCAGTTTCAAGTCCTTTCCGACAGCTAAGCGCTGCGCCCCCATCACTTCAAGATGACGACCATGGTCAGTGTCAGCCACCCACTCCTCTTCCTTCGTCGCCCAGGTCCATGTCGCCGACGACTTGTGCATGAAGCTTTTAGCACACCGTTATTGCTTGACGAACTGACAATACAAGATTCCCACCGCGCGTTTTACTGACATTCTTTCCAGGATTTGCGAGTCGGTAACAAGTACCGTATTGGCCGCAAGATCGGTAGTGGCAGTTTCGGTGACATTTACCTCGGTATGCCCTCTTCCTTCCCTTACCTCGCACCCAAACTCATGAACTTCAGGCACCAACATCATTTCTGGTGAGGAAATCGCCATCAAGCTTGAGAGCGTTAAGGCCAAGCACCCCCAACTGGAATATGAAGCCCGTGTCTACAAGTCTCTCGCCGGTGGTGTCGGTATTCCCTTCGTGCGTTGGTTCGGTACCGAATGTGATTACAACGCCATGGTCATCGATCTGCTAGGCCCCAGTTTGGAGGATCTTTTCAACTTCTGCAACCGCAAGTTCTCGCTCAAGACCGTCCTCCTCCTCGCCGACCAGCTCATCTCCCGCATCGAATACATCCACGCCAAGTCGTTCATCCACCGTGATATTAAGCCCGATAACTTCCTGATGGGTATTGGCAAGCGTGGCAACCAAGTCAACGTGATCGATTTCGGTCTCGCGAAGAAATACCGCGACCCCAAGACCCACTTCCACATTCCTTACCGTGAGAACAAGAACCTCACTGGAACTGCCCGTTACGCTAGTATCAACACTCACCTCGGCGTTGAGCAATCTCGCCGTGATGATATGGAGTCCCTGGGCTATGTCATGCTCTACTTCTGCCGTGGTTCTCTCCCCTGGCAGGGTCTGAAGGCTGCTACCAAGAAGCAGAAGTACGACCGCATTATGGAGAAGAAGATGACCACTCCCACTGAGGTTCTGTGCCGTGGCTTCCCCAACGAATTCGCCATTTACCTGAACTATACCCGTTCCCTGCGCTTTGACGACAAGCCCGATTACTCCTACCTCCGAAAGATCTTCCGTGACCTCTTTGTTCGCGAGTCCTTCCAATACGATTACGTTTTCGACTGGACCGTCTACAAGTACCAGAAGAACGCCGCGATGATCGTGGATGCGTCCAAGAAGGACAAGGATGCCGAGGACCAGCAACGTCGCCAGGCTTTGCCTGCTGCTGGCCCCATGGGAGGCGCCGGTGCTGCCAAGCCAGGTGCCATTTCCAGCCAACGTCGTAAGGTCGTTGAACGCGGCGCCCTCGACACTCCGGACACCAACCGTGCCGTGGGAGGAAGTGACAGGATGTGAGTACATGAAACCTGGTTCCGAGTAGGGAACCCCTTCTTTCTTAACTCCTACGTTGAGTGATTTGCTTTTCGTGACGCCGGCGTGGAGGACCCTTATGTTCTGAATCTGACTAATCGCATAGTCTTCGGCGTTAGGCTGCGTTCTGCCTCGAAAGGTGCTGCTTTAGGTTATGGACCTTCCGGTGGCCGTTCGAAGCGGGATGATGGAGCGGGGGCCCAGTGGTATTAATCATGTTGACACGACAGTGAGGCTATGGTTCGCATGTTCCTCCTGTCTGTACACATTCTTGTTTACCTACTAAGAAACCCGGGACCCTTTCATATCGTCTTGGAGCGGATCATGTCGCACTCGACCTTCTCGGATCTTTCTTTGATTTTCCCTCTTGGATCTCTATTCATTCTACACTCCCTGACAGCCCTCCTATCCCGTTTTCGATCATATTTCGATCTCAGCTGTTTCGACGACCCGCCTTTGTTCATCGCTTGCTCATTTTCGACGCCATCAACCATGTACCCATTGGGTGGTCAATATTTCACTGAGCTTGCGAAAACTTAGTCGACTGTTTTATGTCTTTTCGGATTCCTGTACCCGTTCTGCGGGACTACCGATCACATGTCTCGAAACGCTGTTTGATATTGTGGCCTATTCTTACGTCTTTGCCCTTTGGTTTCTCTTTACAAACTGGCATCTTTGGTCAGATCGACCGAAGGGCAAGACGGAGGGAGATGCAAATGACGGCGTCAGCCTGCAATTTCTTTGTCAAATTGTTTCATCGCCGGTACCGGAGATCCTCGAATGCATCCTCAGATGCGCTGCCCATCCTACCCTTTTTCCTTACTCGTGACGTTTATTTCTTACCCTTTATCTTGTCTTGTCTTTTTTTTCCTTTTTTTTGTTTGGTGAATATTAATTTGTGTACATCGACGCTCAATGGGGACGAGGGGTGGCCAGAAGTTTGGCCAAGTAGTGAAACGGGAAGGAGACGGCTTTCTTCGGGATTATTGCTTGCAGGCTCACTTCTGCTAAGCTTCATTGTATGAACTTCTGTCTGTTACAGATGGTCTTTTATGCGATCCCGCTTGGAAGCATTTTCTCGTGTGGTTGGCGACGGACATTGGTTAGGGTCGCTTCCGGGGTGGTATGCGTCGATGTCAAGTTATTATTTTCTTAGCTCTCCACACTGCACTTTCAATTTGCTCTCAAGTTCACGTTCTTGGGCCAATTCACTTTGGTACATCCAACATGTACCACATTTGTATTCGAGCTCCACCACGTACATGTAGGAAAACGGTGAGATCATCGACAATTTTAGATAGTCTGGCCGTTCCATGCACGGACCCAACGCTCCACCTTGAAATCGATGCTTTAACATGTGGTGAAAGAGATTCGGAGAGCTCTGTCGAAAAGCGTACAACTCTACCTAGACGAGGATATCCAGGTTGGGATGGCATGGCGCTGTATCCTAGGTACTCTGGACAAGGCGGAACGGTCAAACCTGCATGTCCGGTTTGGTTCATTCAAATCATTCTACGGTCCCTCAAGTCTTCCTTTGATCCACTTGACATCCTCACTTTTCGACTTTGCTGAGTCCAAAATTTCATAATGAATTATCCTTACTACCCCGGTTCCCAGTCGCAGCCTTTCGAAGTCTACGGATTGCCTACCCCAAACCAGTCAACGAATGCCCAATCTGACACGTTCGCCCCTCTGGTGAGTTCTTTGTTTCCCGACAATCCAGATTTGTTGCTGATTCGACTGTTAGACTAATTACGACGAGAACCTGCATGGCTTGGACCCCTCGTTACGCCTCAACCCCTCATCGTCCTTTGTCTCACCACCGCATTCATCGCCCGAATTGTTCATTAAACACTCTGCTACAGGCAGCGATGTTCCCAGCAATCAGCGACTGGGCGACGCCCCATGTGACGGCGATGAAATCCAATTCGCCGATCCTTCCTCACTGAGGAGTAGCAGCGAGGAGAAGGAACCGGATTCTGCGCAAAGCAAACGCAAGGCACAAAACCGAGCGGCGTATGTTATATATCAACCCACGTGGCTTGACAAGCCCTCAAATACCCCAACCACTAACGTTTTCCAACCGCTACACAGCCAACGGGCGTTTCGGGAGCGCAAGGAACGCCATGTCCGTGATTTGGAAGACAAAGTGAACGACCTGGAACAGACATCTCAAACACTAGAAGCCGACAACGAACGCCTAAAGCGCGAGTTGGCTAAATACACAACCGAGAATGAAATCCTGCGCGCGACATCGCACCACACAAACCACACCCCTGTCAACGTCTCCGAGGATCAGGAGCTAACTGTTACTGGGCCTATGAGATTCTCCCCCACAGACTTCTATTCTGCTCTCATGCCAAATGGACACGCAGGGTCTCACAGCAGCCCACCTCACCGCCTTATTGTCTGCCCAGTTACCGGTGAGAAGCTTTTGGATTCCGGTGCTACGTGGGAGTTTGTTCAGCAACATGAGCTGTTCAAGCTCGGCCAGGTTGATATCGTTGACGTGATTAAGCGCCTGCAGGGGATGGCCCAGTGTGATGGGCAAGGTCCTGCTTTCAGGGTAGGCCAGGTGCGTCTGGCTATTGAGGAGAGTGCGGCTATGGGTCGCGATGAGTTGATCTGATTTCTCCCGGGTATCTTTTTGCTTTCGAGTGCCGCTGATGCGGTTACACGTTGATGTTCTTTAGCGTTGGCTCTGATAGTATCAGCAGGATGGATGGCGATTGTCTCATTTCGTAGTCGATCCAGTATAAACTAGATCGGATTATATGGGGGCGTTTAGGTTGTTTTTGTATCTTGGCCTCTTTATTTCATGCACATGGAATGGTTTTGGTCGGTCTTGGATCAAATTTCTACAACTCGGTACCTACATGTAGGTATTGACTAGATAGACACCAATGTGAACTCCAGATTGGCTAGAAGTTCAAAACATTTCTTGATCTTTCAACGTTCACATAGTGATTTATTATGCATCTTCGACCACCCAGCTGAGTGAGACCTACTGGAATTGGAAAGCAATCAAGTTTCATTAAAGCTGACAAGCACGTAGTGTCCAACTTGAACCAGATACCCTCAACCACTCATCTGAATCTTGTCGATAACAAAAAGGGTGGAATTTATTTTGGTTGTTTTTATAATATACAGACATCATAATATTTGCATTACTTTTCAACAATCGCAGGGGAATCAATCCCAGTCGTCATCATAATCTTCGATGTTCAGGTCATCGTCTTTCTTGTCCTCGTCGTCACGCTTCTTCAGACGAACATCACTTTCCTTCAAAGCGCCAAGGTCGACGAGCAGACGCTCAATATCTAGATGTATGGTTAGTATATCCATTTTCGATATATTCCTGCGTCAAAAAATAACCTACCTTCAATCTTGGTGCGCGGGCCCTTCAACTGCTGCAGCGTGATAAGCTGTCTCTTGATCTCGGTATCCTTATATACCAAAATCGTGGGCGTATTCTTCTCCGGGTATCCTTCGATGCACATATCGGCACGGATCTCACAGAACTTAATGTCACCGAACTTGGCAGCAAGCTGTCGCCAGAGCTCTGTCAACAGGCGCGATTCGACATTTCCGCCCATGGATGTAAGATTGACGAGAACGAAAGCATTGTTCGATGCCTCTGTCACTTCACGGGCATAGTCAACCTTCTGGAGAGGGTAGACCTGGTTGAAGATGCTGGTTTGTTGGAGAGTGGAGAGCTCGGCGAAGCGTTTTTGCCTGTTGAATAATACCGTAAGTAACAGGATACCCCTACTAAGTATTTCGATAATTATTTCACAAGCTTACCGATAGCTTTCAAGGAACTCTTCATCCTCATCATCTTCCAGTGCGGCAAGCTCGTCGAGGTCCTTGTCCTCGAGTCGATTCTCGTGCGCTCTGTGCTGCGCGGCGATCAACGCCTCTTGAATAAGAGGTTCCGGGTCTTTGGGCTTTTCGGGAATAATGCCATGTTGGCGGAGGATATCGTTCCTGTACATTCAACATCTGGTTAGCACACTGATACAGTCTATACCTTGCCGGCAGCGGGGGTGTATGCAGTAAATCAGCTTACCACTCGGTATCCTCGTTGGGGTTGACTTCAACCTGCATAGTGGATTGAGTTGATCAAAGCTGTGTAAATCCACTTCAATCCCAAACGAAATATGGAGAAAATGAGGGGATCTAGAGGGACAAATGCGCTGCCATCAATCATGATGCCACCTGTTTGCAGTGTTTGGTTCGGGCCAAACACACGGAAGGCCACCTTCAACTTGTCCCCAATAGCCAGTTCTGAGCTTGAGAGGGTTCGAGATACATTGCAAACTTCATTTTTCTCATTGTTCTCATTTTTTTCTTCTCCTCTGCTTTACCTTCGTTACGTCTTCAATTCCTGGGGGCTATGCGAATGTTGTAGTCGTTCACACCGCCCTAACTTGCTTCTGTGTACTCGACCCGTGTCCCAATTGCATCCACTCCACCTTTCTAATACAGCAACCACTCATTGCTGGTGCGATCCCAGCTGCTGGGCAATATGAGCTATATGAAGAAAGACGAAGATGCGGATCAGGTCATGATCAAGCTTGATCGGACCTCCGTATTCCAAGATGGTGTGTGCAATCAACAATACCCCCTGGCGCCGCCATGCGCTTCACATATTCAATGCTGACCAGACAATTCTCCTAGCACGCTTGTTCAATTCCTCTCCTATCTCGCCGCGAACATGCCGAACATTACTCACCAAGATCGCTGTCCTCATGTTCACCGGGGAGCAGTTCCCTACAAATGAAGCCACCACTCTATTCTTCGGTATCTCCAAGCTCTTCCAGAATAAGGACCCATCATTGCGACAGATGGTGTATCTGATCTTGAAGGAGCTGGCTGGCACTGCCGAAGATGTGATTATGTCGACAAGTATCATCATGAAGGATACTGCGGTAGGAAGCGATGTTTTGTACCGGGCCAATGCTATCAGAGCGCTCTGCCGCATTATCGATGTATGTCGCCGGTTTCCAGGAGCTCAATTGGATAATAGATCGTTGGAATTCGCTGACAATTTAAAAAGGGCTCCACAGTACAGGGTATCGAGCGACTGATCAAGACCGCCATTGTTGATAAGACCCCCTCGGTGGCCTCCGCGGCCTTAGTTTCTTCATACCACCTCCTCCCCATTGCGCGCGATGTCGTCCGGAGATGGCAGAGCGAAACACAAGAAGCGGCCTCCTCATCGAAATCGTCAACTGGTTTCCTCGGCTTCGCCTCGAGCTCACAGAGCCACGGCATCTCTAGCTCAAATTTCATGACCCAGTACCATGCCATCGGTCTCCTGTACCAGATGCGCTCGCACGATCGCATGTCTTTGGTTAAGATGGTACAGCAGTACGGTGCTGCAGGTGTGGTAAAGAGCCCGGCTGCTCTTGTCTTGTTGGTGCGTCTGGCCGCTAGATTGGCCGAAGAGGACCAAGGCCTTCGGAAACCTATGATGCAGATGTTGGATGGCTGGCTCCGCCACAAGCATGAGATGGTCAACTTCGAGGCGGCCAAGGCTATTTGCGATATGCGCGATGTCACCGATGCCGAAGCAACACAGGCAGTTCACGTCCTCCAGCTCTTCCTGTCCTCCCCTCGGTCGATCACCAAGTTCGCTGCTATCCGTATTCTTCACAACTTCGCTTCCTTCAAGCCGCACGTCGTTAACGTCTGCAATCCCGATATCGAGTCCCTTATCTCCAACTCGAACCGCTCCATTGCCACGTTTGCCATTACCACACTCCTCAAGACCGGCAACGAAGCTAGCGTCGACCGTCTGATGAAGCAGATCTCAGGCTTCATGGCTGATATCACCGACGAGTTCAAGGTCACTATTGTCGAGGCGATTCGTACTTTGTGTTTGAAGTTCCCCAGCAAGCAGGCCGGTATGCTCGTTTTCCTCAGTGGAATCCTGCGCGACGAGGGTGGTTACGAGTTCAAGCGCACTGTTGTTGAGAGCATGTTCGATCTGATCAAGTTTGTTCCGGAAAGCAAGGAAGATGCGCTCGCCCACCTCTGCGAGTTTATTGAGGACTGCGAATTCACTAAGCTCTCGGTCAGAATCCTTCACCTGCTCGGTACTGAGGGCCCTAAGACTACTCATCCGACCAAGTATATCCGCTACATCTACAACCGTGTCGTGCTGGAGAACGCTATCGTTCGCGCTGCTGCTGTCACCGCATTAGCCAAGTTTGGTGTTGGCCAGAAGGACCCCGAAGTCAAGTCTAGTGTTCATGTTCTTCTCACCCGTTGTCTTGATGACACCGACGATGAGGTGCGAGATCGTGCTGCCCTTAACCTCCGCCTGATGGGCGAGGAGGATGAGGCGGCGAGCGCTTTCATTAAGAATGGTATGTGCTCGTTAGTGACTGGCAATAGGAAATTTACTAATTTTTCTAGACTCGATGTACTCTCTCTCCACCTTTGAACACCAGCTTGTCATGTACGTGACCTCGGGGGACAAGGAGACCTTTGCTACTGCTTTCGACGTTGCCACCATTCCCGTTGTATCACACGAGCAGGCTCTCGCCGAAGAGAGGACCAAGAAGCTCACCTCGGCCACCCCCACCCTCAAGGCTCCCTCGGCCGGACCCCCGAAGGGCAAAGCGGCAGGCGGTATGGCCGAGGCTGCCAGCGCCTCTGCCACTCAGAAATACGCCGAGCAACTCTTGCAGTACCCCGATCTCAAGGCGTACGGTACTTTGCTCAAGTCCTCCTCACCCGTCGAGCTCTCCGAGAGCGAGACCGAATACGTTGTTACGGCCGTCAAGCATATTTTCAAGGAACACATTGTGTTGCAATATGATATTAAGAACACACTTCCCGATACCGTTCTCGAGAATGTCACCGTGATTGCCACAGCAGAAGAAGAGGACGTATTGGAGGACGACTTCATCATTCCTGCCCCCAAGTTACCCACAGACGAGCCCGGTGTCGTCTACGTTGCTTTCAAGAAGCTCACCGGCGAGAACAGTGTTCCCATCACCTCCTTCACAAATATTCTCAAGTTCACTAGCAAAGAAATCGACCCCACAACTGGCGAACCAGAGGACAGTGGCTACGATGACGAGTACCAGGTGGAGGATCTCGAACTGACCGGAAGCGACTATGTCATCCCGACATTCGCCGGCAGCTTCGACCACGTCTGGGAACAGACTGGTGCTAATGGCGAGGAGGAGAGCGAGACCCTGCAGCTCAGCAACATGAAGGGTATCAATGGTATGTATCTCTCCTTGCTATCTCCATTCCCAACAATCATTAACAATCTTACTAGATGCTACGGAACAACTGATCTCAGCCCTATCTCTGCAACCCCTCGAAGGCACCGACGTCGCCCTCAACAGCAGCACACACACCCTCAAGCTCTTCGGCAAGACCGTTACCGGCGGCCGTGTCGCCTCTCTTATCAAGATGGCTTACTCCAGCAAGGCCGGTGTCACCACCAAGATTACCGTCCGTGCAGAAGAGGAGGGTGTTGCCGCGGCTGTGATTGCTTCTGTGTCTTAATTTCTCTCCTTTTTGTTGTTACGTGCTTAATCCTGGTTGGGGGGACAAGAGCGTGTGTGTTTTTCATGTGTCTTGGTTTGTTAGATTGCGTTGTCCACCCCTCAAAACTTGTCAATGCAACTTTTTCTTCCAAATATCATATCATATTCATGCCCCTTATTGGTGTTTCTGATTTTTTTTCTTTTCTTTTTCTCGCAATATAGCAGCAGGCATACTTAACCTGCAAATATATACCATGTTTGCTGTCAAGGACTGAATAGAGATAATATCGAGTGTTTGCCGCTCAGAAACACATGATGTATATTGCCAAAGAAGCACATATTTTTGGAAGAAAAGTGACTTATTTTGTTTTTATATTCCTGTCATGCTATGAAATCATCCCATACAATAGTCAATCAAGGACGCAGACGCTGGGGGTCACGGGGGAACAGCGAAGCCAGACGAACGTTAGGCAAGCCAAGGAAGAACATAACAATACGGTTGAGACCGAGACCACCACCGGCGTGAGGGGGGCAGCCCTGGCGGAAAGCATTGAGGTAATCCTCGAAGCCCTCCTGGTTGGGCTCAAGACCCTTAGCGCGCATAGACTCCTCCAGCTCCTTGATATCGTTGATACGCTGGGCACCGGACATGATCTCCTCGCCACGCATGAAGAAGTCGTAAGAGTTGGAGAAGCGCTTGTCGTTGGGATCCGCCTTGGTGTAGAAGGGACGGACGGCCATGGGGAACTTGTCGAGGACGTAGAAGTCAGTGTCGTACTTGTCGCGGATGATCTGACCGAGCTGCTTCTCCATGGCGGTGGTGAAGTCGTTCTCGAAGCGCTCCTGCTCGGAGACGTCGACGCCGGCTTCCTTGAGCAGGGCAACACCGTCCATGTAGTTCATGCGCAGGGCCTTGCCGTCCTTGGGCAGCTTGAAGTCGCCAGCCTTGGGGTAGGACTTTTGGATGGTGGCGATCTGGGATGCGTAGCGCTCCTTGAGCTGAGTGAGGATGAAGACGAGAAGGTCCTCGGCGAACTCCAAGACCTCGTGGTAGTGGTTGCGGAAGGTCTTCTCGAAATCGAGACCGGAGAACTGCAGTCTATGTTAGAAATCATCTCTCCCGTCCGAACATGTTGTTTAATCTTACCTCGGTCAAGTGACGGTGGGTGTTGCTGTCCTCGGCACGGAACACGGGGGCAATCTCGAAAACGTTCTCCATATCACCGGCGATACACATCTGCTTGTAAAGCTGGGGGCTCTGGGCCAGGTAGGCGTTGCGCTTGAAGTACTTGACCTCGAAGACACCGCTGCCACCTTCGGTAGCGGCACCGACCAGCTTGGGTGTGAAGATCCAGCGAGAGCCAGACTTAATCATGTACTCAGCGAAAAGCTCGGAAACACCGCTGGAAATCCAGGTGATAGCCTGGCTGGTCTCGGTCTGGAGATCGAGAACACGGTTATCGAGACGGGTCTTGAGGGTGACAATGGGAGCACCCTCGGCATCAACCTGGGCACCCTCCTCAGTGTTCTCAGGAGGAGGACGCTCAGCATCCTTGACCTGCATGGGAAGCATCTGCGCAGCCTCGGAGATCATGTAAACCTTGCTGATGTGGATCTCGAGGTAGCTGATCGAGGCGGAGGAGATAGGAGTGTCGGGCTTCTTCACAGTACCGGTGACCTGGACGATAGAGTTGACGTTCAATCCACCAGTGTACTTAATCATCTGTCGGGAAATGGGTTCGGCGGCAGCAATGACGGCCTGCACTTTTTGTCCCTGCTGGCGCAGCATCAAGAATGCAAGCTTAGCACTCTGGACACGCGCATTGTCCACACGTGCGACAACAGTGACTTCCTTCTCGTAGTATTCCTCTGAGAACTCGCTGAATCGGGTGGCCGGGGCGACATCCTCGGTCTCTGGGAGACGACCGTATAGATCCTTGGCTGTGTCGTTGGCCTCCTGGGCGGCGGCCTGGGCCTTCTCTTGTGCTGCGCGTGCAGCGGCCTTCTCGGCCTTGATCTTATCCTTTGCGGCCTTCTTCAGGGCATTCTTGCTGGCGCTCTTGGTCTCACCTTCCGCGGGGGGAGCGGCGGCGGCCTGAGTTTCCTCAGGCTTGGGACGGTGGGGCAATTCGGAGTCGGCCATGGTGCTGTGACAGCAATTAGAGAAGGAATGTGGTAGGGCGGAGGAGTATAGCGCTTACCTCAATAATACTCTATTCCAAGAGACTTGCAGGGCTTAATCCAGTAAGCTGATTGTAAATAGAGCTGCAGAGAAAAGTGTTCCAAGGTTGACTCACCCCGCCGGATACCAAGCCCTAAGAGGGGTAGGCGGTGTGGAGACTTCAACATTTAAGCAGATTGGACGGAGTATAGCATTACCAGAGGCCCCTTTAGTCCACATCTGCGCGACATGTTACTCGGTTTACAACAAAGGTGGAGGGGTTAATGGCCCATTATTCGATTATACCATGTTCTGTCCACAGGGATGTTGGTATTGAGGCCTGACCTATCAGCAACAACTACGATTCCTCCATAGGTTGAAAGCATGATCATAAGAATGGATACTCATTGAGTGTATTTTCAATTGTTTTTGTGCCTGGGTGCTTGTAGATATCCAGCATCAATATACATAAATGTACCCTGATGCCATGTTTATGCTAAATCTCGCATCGGTGTAATGTATAAAACGTCTAAGGTTCCTCGATAATCACGCAACAGGCCAGCTCGAGCTCTTCAGTGCCCATTGAACACCCTTGTGTACATTGTCAGCAATTGTCTGGGGAACCCAGGCAGGCTCTCCACCACTGTACACGCCAGTGCGAACAAGGATCGATTGCCAGCTGCTGCCGAATTTACTGCGGTAGGAGTTGGCTCCTCGAATATCCGATTCTGGGTTATCGCCAACCATGTAGACTCTCTCCAGGGGAGGAAGCTCTGTAGAGGTACCGAAATTCCTCAGGCGATTCCGAAGTAATTGACGCTCTGCAAACTCGTAAGTGGGGTGGTAAGGCTTCCCAATGACGGTTTTCTTCAACTCAATGCCCTTGCTGGCACCACCAGTAGTCGCAGCCCAAACACCCTCGAGTGCTTCTCGGAATCCACCCTGACCAAGACGCGGCAAGGGATAGGCGGCTGCCCACCACAGGTCTGGGTTAGAGAAGTACAGGTGAGGTTGGCCGTCCTGCTGGTAACCGTGGTTGGGAAGATCGATCCGGCCGTTCTTCTCGGATAGAGTACCCATACGGCCCTGCTCCGAAAGCAGGAGGTCCATAATCACCTGAGTATCCAATGCCCAGTCCCTAGGATCGTTGAATACAAAGATGGCGTCGACCTTCAAGCTCTTTGATGGGTCATTCAAGTCAATGGGACTCGGAAGCGGACGGGCAAATGTCTTGTAATAATCGACGAAATTGTTTGAGAACGGCCAAATAGCTGGATTGGCCATGAGAATATCCGCCGGGGTGACAACGTTTTTGAACCCGTACCTATTACCATTTTGTGAGAATCAGTCTCTAAATGATAGAAAGGGGATCTTGACGTACTGTTCTGCGACGCGCCGACAGTTATCCCCATCACCACCGGCCACTAACACACATTTGTGCTCCAGGGGGCTTGACTCATCCGATCCTTTGACCAGCTCAGCAAAGGGCGAGTGGCTCTGGACAATGTCCGTGGCATCTAAATGGATGCCTAGCTTTTTGCTAATATCCGCGACACGCTCTGTCTCATGTTTACCCCCACCATTGGTGAGCAGAATGAAAGGGATGCCTTGCTCCTTCAGGAGGGCCAGTGAATCAGCGGCACCGGGAATAGGTTTCGACGCGCGGAGAAGGACGCCATCGATGCTACACATGGTTAGAGGAAATGTAGGCGGTTTGCGCTCGCTCTTGGATAAGACTCACTCGAATGCAAAAGCGAAGTTGGGAACCGGACGAGGACTAGCTGTTTGAATAGCTCGACGAGTGATTAATGGGCGAGAAAGAGACTGGCGTTGCAGTAGGCCAATTGACCGCCAAACAGTTTGCGGTCTCATCGTGGGTGTGGTTTTGGAGATGTGTACAGAAGGAAAGGTACGTCATTGCGTTCCCGTGGGTGCGGAGTGCCGGATCGGCCAAATCTTGCCCGTTGAACCCCCCGCATATCCCCTGGTCCGATCTACAACTGCAGCTCCTTGCAAGCGGAGTCCCATGCATATCAAACCAAGCTAAAAATCAATAGACACCCTATAAATACGTACTCAGAGAGAAAGTATGCCGATCGTTAATTGCCAGCATGAATACCGAACAGCCCTATGAAAAGCTTTGTTCTATGTAGGGATTCGAAAATGCCATCCCTAGGTTATTAGGCTAGCTTTGTCCAAGTGGGTTATAGCTTGAAATTATTTACTCTCTGTTGGCAAGGTAAGACAACTCAATACAAGGATATGAATGGTTGGGTTTCGTATAAATCATGATACGCTGCATAGCAACAACATTCACGTTCAACAAGATGGCTCTGAGTCAATCACATAGAGACCCAGGTCAAACACGGAATCGAGTTCATCCTCAGGGCATTGATCGATATTCTTCCACACCCACTTGTCGATTTTGGCATGCGATGATTCGGGTATTATCTCCAGGCACCCAGGGCTGATACCAAGACCGCACACTCGAGAAAGGTTCATTTTTAGGGCCTTGCAAAGATCATCAGCAAGGATCACTGTAGTGAAATCCTTGTCATAGGGTGCTGTGAGCTCCAGCTCACGAATCGGTGTCGGGGATCCCCTGGGATCAAACGCGGGAAGAATGAGCAACCCGTAGAGCAAATCAATAGGTATTCGAAGAGACTTCAAGGCGAAAAGTGCCCCTAGAATGCCAGATGACCGTTCCGCGAACATCTCGCGATTCGAACGGTGGATGGTCAATGATGTCAGCGTAGTGCAGAGCTGCTCGTTGATAAGAATATTCTCCAATACAAAGGCATTCAGGTTCTCACTGCCACATAACGTCAGGCTGGCCAGGTTTGGGGGCCATCTGAAAGAAGGCATCGCCTCGGCATCAAACCTCCCACCAACCTGGAGGTATTTCAGATTGGGTGGCCAATCTTCACCGGAACCGTCATCCGTGATGAACATCGAGGATGGAAGCTCAAGTGATTCAAGTTTATTGAGACCGCTGATGGCTTTTTTAAGAGCGGAAAGCGCAATAGGCTCAACTACTAGGTTAAGGCAGAGATAGGAGATCTCCTTGCATTTAGATAACGGTGCAAGGCTGTTGATTCTGAAGAGAGAGGTCAGATCAAGTTTGCATGGATTTGTTTTACAAGTCACAGCTTACGCAAAAGAGACCCTTGGAGCAACAAATGTTTTCAGATTTTTCTTCACTCGACCTAATAGTCGTGCCGTTAGACTATTGGAGCTGTGGTGTACCAATAACCCGAGGTTCAAGATTTGAACAAATGATCCTAAATCCACTTTCCGTTCTCGGGACCGGACTGACGGACACACAGTATTGGTAAAGAGGCTGAAGCTATTCCCTTGGTCGAGTTGAGGTCGGGAGTAGAGAAACTCAATGCCAGCGGAATACCACTGGCGAGAGACCAAACAAAAGCGGTAAAGGGTGGCTTGAAAATTAGGCGAGACATCCTCAGACCACTCAACATAAATGAAGTTGGCGATGTGGACTAAGACCTCTGTAGGGAGGTGAACATGTCGGCGAGAAGCCATGCCTTCAGTGGTGAATCTTGGCATTTTCCAAGCCAATTGACAAGTTTTCAAATGAACATCATAAGAAGATAAATTTCTGCAAATAAGATCTTTCACATTCCCTGAGGACTGAGGCCAGTCAAAGGAGTGTGAGGGGGAGTAGACGAAAAAGACATGAGGGGTGGGATAAGAATCAACAATGGCGATGTGAAGATCGGCCGATGACGATTCTTATCGTTTTTCTGCTGGCAGATCCAAGTTCCCCGCCTTCAATCAATATCTACCGCCTTGGGATTGTTTAACATTTTACTCCGTACAATGTATTGTATACAATCATGATAGTGTTCTAAGATTGAAGGCAAAGCTTTAAACGGGAAGGTGAAGCTATCCTGATATTCGTGGAGCACCTCGGGCAAGGTCAGAATACAATGGGTGACTAAGACTATACTCTTACAAACTTTGACCCTTAAACTGCTGTCTGTACGGAGTAAAAGGCCCAAGCTCCTTCAAGCCTGCAACCTCCAGTCACCATGCCCGATAAGAGAAAGGCCACCATGCCAACTCCATCCTCTAAACGTCCTCGGATATCTTACGGTGAAGATGAAGATGACGGTGAACCCTCGGTAGCGCCCCTGGAGCGTCCCAGTAACAATCCCTTCTACGGCCAGAAGGGCGCATTCCCAGGTCTGGACGATGGAGGCGATGAATTGCTATACGGCCCCCGGAAGATGGACTCGAATATCTGCGCATGGTCCGGTATGTATGCTTTTTGTTCTATGGGGATCGTAATTCCTCTTCTAGGACTTGCCGAGTCTTTTTTGATTTCCCCGAATCGTGATTCCGAGTCTAGACTAATTTTTGCTCGATAGATCTGAAGCGAACTCACTGCCAGGCCTATTCTCCGGGCCCGTTAAAGCGACAAACCTCCCAGAATCACCATCGAATGTGCAAGTCGACGCAAAACCACCTAAAGCGCCTGATACCCCACTCCCAGAAGTCTTCCTTGTGGACGACGCCTACATCGCTCCCGTGGAGGATTTGAACAAGAACAAGCTTGCACATTCCTCTCTAAAGCTTGATGAAATCTACCCGGAGATGCAAACATCATATTACGGCCTGCTTCGACACCGATTTCTCCTCTTGCGATCGACTCTGCGATGCAGCCCACCTGCTGATGCTATCAACGCCCTTGACAATGATCATCCTATCAGCCTGCCCCGAAATGCCGGATCTGCGCATAAAGCATGGCGTCGGCTCTTGGTCACAGTCGATCCACAGATGGTTCAACTGGCATGCATGGACATGGAAAGCGTGTTAGCAGTACTGGAGATACTAGCGCGGATGGTGTCTGATGTTGTGCGGAGTGAAGACGCCCAACGTGTACGGCGCATTGGAGTTTGGGCCTGGGGCCTTTTGGGGAAGTGCTGGGAGGTTGGGCAACTTTCTAGCCAGGAAGTGGGGATCATTCGAAATCTGGGCAAACGGGCCACGACTATCTTGCACAAGGTGCAAGAGCTAGAGAAGCAGTTTGAAGAAGAGGCCGATTGGTCGGAGTCAGATTCACTAGAGGATCATCAGCAACGAACTCCCGTCGAGAAGGAGGCAGAGACCGAGGGAGACGCTCAGCCCGAATCTACAGCCCAGTATTCAGAAGAGACTAAGCAGGAAGTCCCACCGGAACCTACAGCTCGAGGGGAGAAGGATACCACTCAAGAAGCTGTGTCGGAATCTGTGGAAGCACCAGACTCGAGTATGCCTGATGCATCGGTCGAACCGTCCGAGTTGGAGGCAGCCAAGGCGCGCTTGCAAGCTCAGCTGCAGAACAATCCCGACTCTATCCAGACGTCTGCGAACTCCGACTATGAAGACTATGAGGGTTATAATGATTATGAAGAATTGACCAAACAGACTCATGCCCTGCTTGATATGATCATCACTGTGGTGGGCGAGTTCTTTGGCCAACGGGATCTATTGGAGGCACGAGATGTCTGGATTTAGGTGGATTTGATGTGCATAGACATTTGTATGAGATACCCATTGTTACATATTGTTAATTCCGAGTTATAACGTGCCAATGTCTTGTGGCTTTTATGTAGGGCCTGGTGATCTCAAAGGCCATCAAGATCGGCTGTGCTGGTCTAAGCTTTTTGCGTCATGCGGAGCAACTTGACTTCTTCACCTCTTTGTTTCCCCCAAGTTTCGAGTAAAGACAATCCCATTCCAACTCTCAACAGTATGGCGCCAACTGTTGAGATAGCGATCCCGAATACCAGTCTCTCCAGCACTTCCCCGCCTTACACCGTCTACCACATCACCCTCCGCCTCCCGCTCCGCTCCTTCACAGTCCCCAAACGTTACTCGGACTTCTCAACGTTCCACAGCACACTCATCTCCCAAACGAATGCTCCTCCACCAGCTCCTCTGCCTTCAAAAACTTGGTTCTCGAAAACTATCTCAAATGATCGGTTACGCGAAGAGCGCCGCTGCGGCCTAGAGCAGTACCTTTGCGCGATCAACGAGTCCGATGATAGTCGTTGGCGCACCTCGCCCGCGTGGCGAGCATTCCTCAATCTCCCCACCGCAGTTGCATCAACTGGCAACGGATCAACCAACACCTCCACGCGACTCCATGCCGCCATCACAGACCCGGCCTCTACAAACGCACCAATCACCGACCCAACGTTATGGCTCGACTATTACCGCGACATGAAGAACCATTTGCATGATGCACGGCTACAACTTTCTCGCAGAGATCAGGAAACAACCCCTCAGAAGCAGCATGAGAGCTCTGCGCAGGCAAAAGGCAGTCTTGTCCGTGCGGGGACAATGATTACCACTCTGGACGATGGATTGAAAAACTTGGGACGAGGAGAGAAGGGCTCCGAGTCACATACATCTTCAGGTCTTGGTGGAGGCGAGATCCGCCGACGAAAAGATTTACTCATTAACGCGCGCAAGGAAAAAGATGGTCTGGAGGATCTTTTGCATGCTATGGCTACCAAAAGCCGACTTGATCATACTGTCGCATCTATCCAGGATAAAGAAGCTTTGCTGAATACTGGCAATGTCACTAGTGATGGGGGCTGTGGGCGCAGGACGCCGGCGCGGGCGGGCAGGGTACTTGGTAAAGAGACAGAGCGCACACGAGAACTTGACAACGAAGGCGTCCTGCATTTGCAGAAGCAGATGATTGACAGCCAGGATGCTAATGTGGATGAACTGAGGAAGATCATTCTTAGGCAAAGGGAGCTCGGTACTCAGATTAACGAGGAGCTCGAGGTGCAGAATGATCTGTTGAGGTTGGCAGATGAAGAAACCGATATGTTCGTTTATGCCCTTTCAACACTTTTGTGCGCTGCTAACGAGACGTCTAGATTGAAATCCAAGATTGATATTGGAAGAAAGAGAATTGGGAAGATCTCTTGATTCTACACGTGTTTGCTTTCTTATTCATGAAAAGCTCTCTTTGTAGCTGATCTTTTGGCATCATTCCAGCGAAGTAATTCCAGATAATGTCTTCATATTGCAAATTCATATCATTTTCCTAGCATGGATATCTTTTTACCCAGTAATAATCCTGCAAAATGGGTATTAGATGCCGATGACCATTCTGTGTCGCTGCAGCCTGGGCTTGATCAAGTCTATCTTTCAGATCTGCAAAGGGGGTTCCTCTCTGATCAATTGCCTCAAGAATAAGTTTGAGTACAGATTTGTCACCGCGTTGTATACAGACAGCGAATGGGTCATCAGCGAGGACTAGTTTATGGGGTGAATCCATGCACATATCCATGATATGGTCGTGAAGATCAGGATCATGATCACAATGAGGACGGCGATCATCATGCAAGGCTGAAGAGAGAACAGAAGTCGACCGCCTACCCATGAATATCGAGTGGTCATGAACGCCATTGGGGAATGCGAGAGTAGAGGATTCACCGCCATCTCTCAGCCCCTGGACAGACGGATAATCACCACGCATCGCGAGAGGATCCGCACCCCTCTCCAGCAAAAGCCGTATCTCTGCCGGTCGGCAATCGAACTTGTTACTTGTGTCTCTATGTGCGAGAGCCCAATACAAGGGAGTCGCGGCAAAATAACCCCGGTCCTCGATATCAGCACCGTGGGCTAAAAGCAAGTCAAGAATGACGGTAGCAGCCTCGGTGTGACCATCGGTGCTGGGAAATACTGCAGTGGCCAAAAGAGGGGGCTCAGACTTGAGCAAAGGAGTTTTGGGATCAACTCCTCGTTCAAGTAACCGCTTCACCACCCCTGGCATTTTCCGTAAGACAGCGTGAGATAATCCTTCTTGTGCCTGAATGCTTTCGGGGTCAATCTTTAACACTCCTCGATCCAAGACCAGTTCTGCCATTCTGTCGCCTCCCAAGAACGCCTCTTCTATCAATTGCTTCTTTTGGTATGGGGTCGCTTCTGGTTTCGGCGTTGTTGGAATAACATGAGGCCTCGGCATTTTCAATTCGATACCTCTGTCCATCAGCATTTCTATCATACCGACTTTACCAGAGCTCAATGCTCTGGTGATAGCACTTTCATGGGATAAAGATGAGGCTTGCGTCGGATCAGCTCCTCGGTCGAGAAGAAATTGAAACATTTCTGTGGACGTCAACGCCGCCTCAGCCAAAGCAGTTTCCCCGCGGGAACTGTTGCAATTTATATCGGCCCCGTAGTCGATCAAGAGCTCGGCGATCGGTATATTGTCCATTTTGATTGCCACACACAACACATTCTCCTCCGCATTCTCTGTTATGTCTTTCTGTAGATGTGCACCATGTTGAAGAAGCAGCTTGACCACTCCAATATGCCCACTTTCAATGGCTAGGGTCATTGCTCTATTGTAACACTTTCTATCAGAATCATCGCAGACTCCTGCCAGAAAGCCTCGCGCTAGAATGCGCCGCACAAGGTCTTCCCAGCCATAGTTGGCAGCTAGGTATAGAAACGAAGCTTTTGATGTTTTATCCTCGTCGATTATCTCATCCTCCAGATCGATGAAAGTTCGGAAAACATCACCAAAAGCTTTCTGCTTATGTCTTCCGAGCAATCTACTCCCACTAGTCATTAGCAATGCGAGCGAAGGCAACTTTCTCGCGACCTCCTTTGGATAAATGTCCGCTCCGCGAGCTAGAAGTAAATTGAGGACTTGGAGTTGACCATTTTGGGCGATATGGTAAAGGACGTTTCTGTTTCTGTCCATCTCAGAATCGAGATCGGCTCCATGGTTTAACAGTAGTTCCACAATCTCTACATGGCCATTCTTGGCCGCATAGGAGAGGGCTGTTGAACCCCAAATATCTTTATCAGGGTCTGCGCCTCTTTCCAGGAGTAATTTGACTATTCCAAAGTGCCCATGTTCAGCTGCAGACACGAGAGGTGCGGAAGCTCCCTTTGGCGAGGCGATCTCGGCACCTATATCGAGCAAATATCGGACCACGTCTGTATGCCCTTGGCGGCACGCAGCATGTAGTGGTGTCTCAGTCTGTATCCCTCCCCGGTAGTTGAAAGAGTAGCCTGCATCGATTATAGCCTTCAGAGCAGCCAGATGGCCATTTTGTGCTGCAACACAAGCCAGCACTAAGGATCCCGGGTCGCCCTGGTAGTCAGGGATGCCATAGGCGAAAAAGATGTTTAAAATGGCAACCACCCCCCGGGCTGCCGCCAAACTGAGTGGGGTGAAATGGTTTGAGTCATCCCTAGGATTCGCTTCTATACATTCCCTGCAACCCCGCGTTTGTCTGATTATTCTAGGGTTGCTTTGCTGCAGTATCAGACGTGCAATGTTTTCATGGCCTCCCCTCGCAATCGCTATGAGCGATCGTCGAAGGTTGTATTGACAAAAGTATTTCGAGGCTCCAGCATCAGATGCTTGGCGTGCCGTTTCTTCAAGGTCATGCTGTGCCGCCCAGACAAGGGGGAAGGCGTGTGATAGGCGGACGGCTCTCTCATAGAGGATTGGGTTCAGCAGCAGATGTAACCGTTGACATGTTCGGGCCAAAGAGTTGAGATAGCGCTCCTCCTGGATATATTCGGTGACTAAGTCAATGAGCTCAGCTGGAAGATCTGAGAGGGGCATGGAGGGCGATAAAGATGAAATGACGTCGGGAATATGTGTTGAGAATTGAGCCTAATTCTCCCCTTTGGGGCTAGTCAACGCTACGCCCAGTTTGACAAGGATCCTTCTCCGTGCACTGATAAACTCCATCTCGCATAATCGAAGCTATTCTTACCATATAAATCCCGAGGAAGAATAACCCTGGAAGATATCTGTACCAAAGAGTTCTGAAAACACATTTCAGAACACAGTTAAAAGGACCACCAAACAGACATCGCAAGGCCATGGAAGTAGCCGACCATCTGAAAAGCTTCATTTGACCTGCTTGTTTTCTACGGTTGGACCAAGTTCCCTTGACTAGACACTTATTAAGGTCTCTATCATAGTGATCCAGGTATGGTGGTTTTCTACCAGCTTAGGACTAGGCATTCCCAGGTAGCAAATTTGATTTTAATCCAAACTGACCGCCGAGAGACTATGCGAGATACTTTGTTAGCATATGTCGTGGTTCTTTAGTGTAGTAGCCATATCCAAGCAATCGTACATGTCCTCACAAAGGCGGCATGGAATTCATCACGGATGCATGTACGGAGTAGCGCTGAAACTAGCACGAGGGGTCTGTTTCATTTCAAAACTGCGACTTTAGAAGTAATATAATTATTTCCTCGGCCAACGAACTAAACAACAGAAGAGCCCAACAATTGGGTTCAATATTCCTTGTTTCATATGGTTTGACATGCTTCACCGAGCGGCGTACAGAATTGTTGGAATCGGGTTATAGATCACCTAGGATCGGCTCCCGGGGTCTAGCTCTGTCGAACTCTGTCGTTTGTTTGTATGCAGAAATAAATGGACAGAGCATATGAAAGTACAGGTTATATTTATGATGGAATATCCGGCGGGAGATACGTTTATGGAGCCTTCGATATGGTATGGTTCGTGGATATATATCAGGTGTTTGTCGTTGGGTTCCTACTGTCCATGCACTGGAAATAGCTACTGACACATTAGGAATCTATTAGCACGCAACAAAGATCGAACGGCAGTCAATCTTTGACTCTAGAATTTACATATAGAGAGCATTTGCCTACGTTGATGTGCAACGATACCTAGGGCAGTTCATTTGCTCCTAAGAAAAGACTCAAACATGGTAGCCGGAATTATTAGCTCATTTCAAACATACATAATACATATATAAAGAATACAAAATATGTAAGTACTTTGTTCTCTGACGATATCGATGGCATCCAACTTGCTCACCAAATACTCGGGACATAAAATTGAGTTGGTGCACACGGGAAGTGGGCCCTAACGGCCCCGTCAACCATGGGTGACTAGAGCATAATCTTTGACCCACGACGGCATAGGCTCTAAGTCGGTGCAGGTTCGTCAACTAAAGTGGGACTTGAATAGGTTGTGGATCGCGGGATTTATCTTCAGCTTGGTGGTGAGGAATCGAGTGACTCCCGACAGGCATTGAATGTAGACCAAACTCAAAAATGTACGAGGCAATATCCACACCTAGGCATTTGAGTATCTTGTCCCTAGGAGGAAATTGTACCGCCTATCATTACTCACAGTGGAGTTCAGGCGCGCAATGATACAGACTCTATTGCCGTTCCGTGCAGTTCAGTTCCCGTGCACCTTCGCCCCCATCCTTTGGCCCACAATTCAATTTAATCATGACATTTGATCGCTCCCAACTTGCCTTCTCTGCTTCTTGTTGACAGTCTAGTAGGCTAGCATGGAATACACGAGAGGTGACGCTACTCGTGTCAATAGACTTCCAACAGGGTTCACTGCGGCATCCTCCCAGCAGGGATTATTGCAGGTTTGCTTATCTATCTGCCATATATTAAAGTCTGTATTGTACGGTAGATAACGAAGTACATCGAACAGAATATGGAGCGGAAATTGTTAATCTAGAAAATAGCCATCACATTTGGAGGCGAAGAGACTCCACCGGGCATGTTCAAAGGTACAGATGCCACGAAAAAGCTCCACCGTTGGAGTTCCTGGCAGGTGCGTGCCAGCGCCTCGAGGTCAAACAGTTCCCCTAGATTTCGTCAGTTAATAAGTATACAAAGCTTGGAGACTAAGCCTCGGAAACTTACCGATAGGCATGCCCCATCCAGCAAGCACATACTCGTGGAGGAATATATCGGGAGATTGAGGCGGATAGACCTGTGGGTCTGTCAGCCTTTTCTGATCGACTTGCTACGTGACGAGGACTTGGGATCTTCTCTCTGTCGCTCACCTCCCAACTGATAGCGTCACCGGCAATGGCGGCGAATCCTGTGTCCCACAGCCAGCGAAGGACTTCTGTGGTCGCTTCAACCCCAGCATGCTCTGGGCTGGGATTATCCGAATAAGCTTGCTTTTGGGCATCTGTCATCGACGTGTCCCATTCTTTGGTCACTCCTACACGGACGAACAGAATATCACCCTTTTTAAAAGTGATATTGTTACCTTGGGCAATTTCGAGGATATCGGCAAGCCGGACTTGGTGGGTCGAGAACGTGGTATATTTGATACCCTTCTTCTCTGCCCATGATGCATAATCGATCAAGACCCCACGTCCTATCGAAGGTGTGAGAGATAATGCCAGGGAATTCATGTGAATGGGATACGTACCTGCAATACCCTCTCGGGCCCAATGCTGGAGACCGATTCGATTATTCTGGCGATCATTTATCTCTTTACTGGTTGTTCCACCATAGAACACTCGTTCAGATTGACCAGGAACCGTCTGAGAGAAATGACGGAGGCCATCCCACTGACTGCTTTGCTCTGTTTGATACTCAATAATATGTGGGAAGCCATTGGGGGGAGATCAACTCACGGGGATTCATAGTATATATATCATCAAATGCTACCCCTCCCAGGAGAGGCACAATCTGATGATGACAAGGCTGACGGTTGAGATTAGGATAGTCCAATTTTGTCATCTCCCATCCCATTGTCACGCGGCGACCACATCTTATCTCGCTAGCGGAAGCAGCGGCGACGACCTCAGGGGTCAGAATAGCTAGCTTCCCCAGACCCTCCTCATGACTACCAGGCTTTCCCAGCCAGACCTGTCTAGGATTGGGAAGTTGATCAAATGGGGTGTCAAAGGGGGACTGGGCCATTATTTCGCTGCTTTGTTGTCGTTTCCGTCGTTTCTGTTGGTCGGAGATGTGAACAACAACTGCGAGATCAATGTATAGAAAGGTTCGGGATATCCTGCTACCTTGTCAAATCGAATGTCCGTGCAGAGAGTATGAACTTAACCGACTGTTGTTGACGCCGTAGTGGAGAGTCAATTTATGGGCTCACACTAGCCCCGGGACCAATTCCGCGGTGGTTTCTGCATCCTTTTCATCGAATTCGACCGATCGGCAGATCAGCATTCCGTATAGAGTAACTTTTGACCATTTTCTTGACACAACGTGTACGACGTAAGATACAGTCTGGACCAGCATTGGCTGCAGCCTGCAGTGCTAGTCTATACTGTGATCGGCCAGTCGTATTTTCATGAGCTCCATGCAGCTGGGCTAGCTCCACTGCGCGTCAAGAACAGTAGCAACCCCCCTACTCTTTTCAGCTACAAAGAATTCGACAATTCGCACACATTCCGACGCGTTTGGTGTGAAGTTGTGGATGGTACGGAGTACTCTCTTTCGCATACACTCACTTTGTTGGAATAGGTGACGAGAACGACAACCAAGATCGGATTACCACCATGGGTAAGTTCGGGTCTCAAACCAGTACCTATAACAGGCTGGTCATTGTCTTTGTGGCCGTAGGGTCAATGGTGAGCGCGCAAGAATCCGCAAGCTCGTGGCAGATACCTACTTATGAGCATTACAAAAATAGACCTATGGATATTGCTCTTCAATCATCTCCAGCACAATCGGACAGCCAGGATGGTACACCTACTTCGACCTTCCAGCTGAGGGCGAGCCGGGATACGCCAGCATTACCACCCCCACAATCTCGACAGCGAACGGTGTCTTCAGTGCTGGTGGTGCTGTAGGCACACTCTTCATAATGTGGTCCTGCGATTTCTTTGGTCGAAAAGCAAATATTCAGTTCGGTGCCTTCTTTTCATTATTCGGAGGAGCACTTCAGGCCGGCTCTAATTCACTGCCGTATGTCGCTTTCCCTAACCCATTCCTCCCAGGCTGGCGCTGACAATCTTTCAGCATGTTCCAAGCCGGTCGCTTTATCTGCGGCCTTGGGATTGGTATCCTTGTGACTGTCTGCCCCATGTACCTTTCCGAGATGTCAAGTGCTTTGCGCCGCGGCTGGCTCGTTGGTCACCACGCCATTTTCCTGGTGTTTGGATATATGCTTGCAGGGTGGGTTGGCTATGCTTGCTACTATGCAACAGGTTCCCTATCTGGGTTTGGCTGGAGATTTCCTCTCGCCTTGCAATGTCTTCCCGCTCTGGTACTACTTCTGGGATCGCCTTGGCTCCCGCGCTCACCTCGTTGGTTGATTTCGAAAGGCAAACTCGACGAGGCACAGCATGTTCTCGAACGGCTTCGCGAATCACCAGAAGATCCGGACAACTTGGCAGCCAAGGAGGAGTTCTTCCAGACCAAAGAGCAAATTCGACTCGAGGCCGAGAGATTGGCTACTCATGGCAGTATATGGAAAGCTGTCTTTACCAAGAAGTCATACCGGAAGCGTATGGCCATCGGTTTCCTTACCCAATGGGGCGCGGAATTTGGCGGACCTTTGATCATCGTGAGTTTAGAAACATTCAAGTTCAGAAAGTCAGCTCTACTGACAACGATCAGAACAACTATGCAGTTTTGCTATATACTAACCTGGGCATGGAGGGTGGTATGCCTCTGCTCTTGAGTGCTGTGTGGCTCACAACGGCCGGTGAGAATAACCATCCATGATGTCTTGTCAACCTCCTTAGCTGACCTAGCTTAGGAATAATATACAATCCTCTGGGTGCATGGCTCCATGACAAAGTCAATTCACGGCGTGGTATGTATATTACCGGATTTGTTGGTATTATCGTGTCTACATCTTGTCTGGCTGCTATGACTGCCCAGTATGCTGGAACAACCAACAAAGTCGGGAATGGATTCGGTATCTTCTTCATGTACCTGTACCTGGCGTTCCAAGGGTGAGATAAACCTCGACGTATCAATTTTCCCTTTGAGATAATTAACCTGACATTGTTGCAGTACCTTCTGCGATACAACCATGTATCTTTACGTCTCGGAGATCTTCCCAACCGAAATTCGCCCGATTGGCATGGGCTTTTCTCTCTTCGGTCAATTCGCTGGTGAGTTGAAACTTGAACTATTTGTCTACATAAGTCAACTAACATAATCAGCTACCCTCATCCTACTGCAAACCGCCCCTATGGGCTTTGGCAATGTCGGCTGGAAATACTATCTTGTCATCATTTGCTGGTCTGTATTCTTCATTCCAGGTATGCATTGGTTTCGCTTTCGACTATACAGACGCATCAAGCGACATTCAGCTAACAAGATACAGTCATTTACTTCTTTTTCCCCGAGACTGCTGGCCTCACCCTCGAGGAAATCGCCAAGAACTTTGGTGAGGAGGTTGCTGTTCACCTCACAGATGCCACAGACGAAGAAAAAGCTCGTCTTGATCACCAGATAACGACAGGTGCGATTGTTCAAACGTCTGTGAGCTTAGAGAAGGAGAAAGACACCACGCCGTCATCGCCAGATCAAGTTGAAGAGCAGCAAAAAGCGGCATAAACAGATTAGCGGGTGATACAGTTTACCCCGTGAAATGTCGACGAGCATCGACTCTCGTGTTAATTGGGGAGATGTCATGACTCATTGCCCATATAAGCCTTAGAACCTTCTAGATTTGAAAGGGGACTTATACCCCTGTTCCCGAGGCCCGCGCGCCCAAATTGGACGGTGCCTAGGGAACCAGCTAGAACAAAGATTCATCAATAATTGGGGGCTGTCCTGGAATAAAGAGCCCCCAAGCCCCCATCCTTCACTCGATACTTTTACTCTTGTACTTGCATCTGGACTCAATTATATCTCTCAATAAGAATGGTCTCAAGTACAAAAGTGACTTTGTTTCCCTGGGATGCCAACTCTGTTGTCCACCGGAAACGGCTCGTGGAACAGCGCATCGAGTGTAGCTGGCACCAAGATGAGGTCGAGACAAAATGGAGGACGCAACAAATCAAAGGCGAGAAATGCATTTATTGGATTGTGAGGTTTATCGATTCTTGTCATGACGCGATGTTCATTATCTTCAGGAGTAAACGATGCTAACACGTTGTCCTGAAGGTCCTGGTATCAGATGAGCAACAAGCAAGATCAAAGGTAAAGAAGCCAACTATAACACTCACAAAAGCACAACTAACGCATTTTCATAAGGGGGAGGAGATGCTTCAAGACACAGCTACGACACTGAACGCTGTTCCATGCCAGCCAACGCAGGAAAGCTTCGTCCCTATTGGTCACATATCGTTGGATTCTAAGAATCCCGAGGCAGATAACCTTGATCTAGACTTGCCGTCCCAGAACATCTTCTGGATCAAGTCGTTTTATGTCAGGCAGTCCATCCAGGGCCAAGGAATTGGGCGAGCTGCAATGGACGAGGTCGAGGCCATGGCGGGCCGCGAGCCACTGCTAGCCAAGACGTTGATGCTAGACACGGTTCATTCAGATGATCAGAAACGCGAGGACTTTGCGATTGCAACCTTTGGTGGCGTTCCAAAGGTATACACTACCTCGTTCCAATTTGACATCTTCGTTCAATTGACTTACCATCTATAGACGACCAACCAAGAATGGTATAATCGACGAGGCTACCGACTAATCAAGACTTTGCAGAATTTTTATCGTGTTTCAGACAGAAATGGCAAGATGTGGGATATGCGGACAGTCTTTATGAGGAAGGATCTTGCAGGCGATGAAGGTATTCCGTCGGAGGATGTGCAGTGATCTATGCTTTCCTCACACGAGAACTTCCAGGGTCCCCCCTTGATCGAAATAAATCCACGTATAGGTAAATATCTCTATGCCGTAATCGTCAAGTATATAAAAACAATATCAACTGTCTCGTTCTCATACTTCGTATCTTGATGTGGCACGCTAGGCCTAATTTGGTCGAGGCGAAACCAGCGCGGGTACCTAGGTTTTCGTCGTTTCTAGATTTGATCCTCTATTTACCCCAATGCAGTGGTCGTTGAGCCATGAGAAACGACGATCGGCGTTCTCAATCGCCGGCAACGCGCAGAAATGGCACCTTGCAGTCATGTGAGCCCTGTCGGAGATCCAAACAGCGATGTGATCATGAACGGCCAATCTGTCGTCGATGCACTGCAAAACGAATTAGTGATAAATGCTTTTATCACCCTGCTCCGATGACTAGACGGAGACGTTCTGATCCACCTGGACCTGCAATTATCTCTAGTCGACTGACAAGTCAAACAAACTCGAAGTAAGCATTCCCCCAAAGTAGTGATAGTCCCATGTTAATGTGGAGAAACAGTGCTTCCAGCCCGGGCTCACTGGGGAATGGGCGTGTCTTCATGCCGCTGGAGCCAGCTTCTGCTCTTCCTGGCTATTTGGGCTCGACAAGCTACTCTGCGGTCTTAACTGAGCATCGCAATGAGATTCCCTTCGAGCCAGAAGAGAGCACAGAGTCTTCCGCGGGGTTGGTAGTGGAACCCGATCGACTTCGATCCGGGGTTGATGTACTGCGGTTTCTGTACGACCTCACCGCGCGCGATACACTGATTGCCAAATGCTATGCTCGAGCATGCAATACAGTCGTGCCAAAAATGGTAATGGACAGAATCTTGCTTTCGGTGCACCACATCTTCAATAGTTTCTCCGAAGACCCGACAGCACAGCTACTGGAGCTGGCGAACCAAATTTCCCAAAATACTTCCCGACCAATGCGTACACACAAGACCATGTCGGTCGAAGAGTACTGTTCCTCTTTTACCGGTCGCAATCTTCGCTGGGAACCCATCGGGTTTATTCTGACACTCTGCGGGATGCAGCTGATTATTACACCAGACAATGATCCTGACATTACTCAGGGATCGGATGACCCCAAGGCAAAAGACCGGATGTTGGAGCAGATAACTGTGATAAGTACAGTATGCCTTGGTCTTTGTGACCAGGCATCGTCGGCAAACGAGCTACTGGCTATTTTACAATTTAATGATGCTATGCTTCGTACACAACAATACGGTGATTCCAGTACGTACTTCCTGTTCTGTATGAGGCTGCTTAGGTTTACTGACCATCTCTCAGGCTATCAAGCATGGCGTCGATTAGGTGATCTCATTTCTACCATTTACGCAGCTGGTCTACACTTGCAAAATGATGGTACCGAGGATTGCCCATTTTTCCTTCGCGAATGGCGGAGACGTTGCTTTACCGGTGCATTCTACATGGATAAAATGATTGCCACTTTTGTTGGACGGCCGCCACTGCTGAACGGCCGATTTTGCACTCTCGCTGCTCCATTGGATCTGGCCGACGAGACACTTGTTGCAGGTGATGAGGCCCTCAGCAAGGCTATCTCAGAACTAGACAGCGCTGGGTGGAATAGGCAAGGGCTGCTACACCCAGTAAGTCGAGCTCGTCTACGCTATCAGCTGGCTGTCATTCGAGAGGAAACACTTGAGGTTGTGCTTGGGACTCGCGAGCAACACAATCTGATCCAGAAGTCTAAGTATATACCCCTATCTATCTCATATTTTGACCGGATGCTAACATTGTTGTCTGATAGGGAGATCCAAGCAAAATCGCGTGCCATTTGGGAAGCAGCTCCAGATTATCTTCGATATGACCGGCAGTTGAGCAATTATCCTCATGAGCTATGGCTTACGACGGTCTATATCTATTTGGATTATCTTTATACTTCTTTTTTGCTCTACCGAGCAGTTGTCAAGCACACGGAAACCGGACAAGCAGATCTTTGTGACGAGTCTCGTCAGTTACTATCCATTGTCCTTCAAATCAATTCTTTCCGCTCTCCCATGGTTGATTTAGGTCGGCACTTCTCTTGGATAGTGTGTCTTGCCCTTCCGGACAAGGAGTATGTGCTAACATCTGCAGGTCCTTACGTATGGTGTTCCTTCCGCCAGCGTTCTTCTCCTTGAGCTTCTGCACCAATCGCATCAGCCCGGCCCACATGCTGTTTCTCTCCCTCGTGCTGAGCTGATCCGCAACGTCAGCGTGTTTATTTCTGTCCTCTCGTGGGTCGCAGTTCCCGGCCACGGCAACTATCATACGTGCAAACAAGCCGAAAAAAAGCTATCTCGCATTCTCGATCAGCTCCTGGATCCCCAGCCTGTACAGCAGCATGAGGTGGATGATGTCACAACAGGCCTTGACAATTTCCTCAATTGGTCCAATTACAATTCCATCTGGGATTTCAACACGGATTATATGCCATTAGCCGACGGATTCGCACCTTGAACATCGGTCATTATATCTTGTGCCTACAACAAAAGGCAGAAAAATCATTCATAATATCGTTATCCTACCACGCCCTGTCTCCGACTGACGGCTGGTATCTGGTCATACCATCCACACATAGTCGTTGCGGGGAGGTGTATCGGCTACAAAATAGGCTCGATGACACAGCGGGCAATTGAAGTGATCCCCCAAGAACCACTTCTCCAAACATTCCCGATGGAAGACATGCAAACACCGCAATTCGCGGATTTCCTCCGTGCGGGCTACTTGCTCCAAACAAACCGCGCTAAAGCGAAATGTCAGTCGCCACGTTACCAACCAATCAAGGCAAAACGTACCAAACAAATTGCCCATCGACGGCCTCCGATAAGCCGAGGTTCCCTTTCGTGGTCGCCCACCACTTCTCGAGCGTGGAAGTCGGCGAGACCTTGTCTAACTTACGCAGGCGTTCACTGGGATTCTTCCTCGATCGCAGCAACGACTGCCGGTCTCGGCGGTTGATGAGTATTGTCAGACTGGCAGCAATACAGTTAGGAGGGGATTGGCATGCTTTATGTAACACCAAACGGAGAGAATGTAAAGAGAATGGAGAGAATGGAGGAGACACAAGTAGAACCGGGAAAAAGAACAATGTCATCTCACTCACATCAAACTAATCACGATCAGTAGCACCACCCCTAGGCCGATGCCGAGGACGATCGCCATATGGTTCTTCTTCAGCTTCTCTCCTTCTGCCATCTCCGCGGACCTAGAGTCTCTTGCACGAATAGAGCGTAGATATGAGATGAGTGTGATAGCAAGCCAAGATCGAAAGCGAAAAAAATAAACGACCGAATGCAAATCGCTTTCCCGCAGCGTAGTCACGAGCCAACAAAATGGGGTGGCACAGTGGCTGGGATTAGAAAGTCAGACTGCGAAGCCAAAACAAAGAGATATATCTACCTGTGTAGAAGGCAACCTCAGTAAGCGAGAACCCAAAGCAGAACCCCGGAATTCCCAAGTAAATTAAAGATGCGAGAAAGAAAAAAACCAAAGTGCAGGGGCGAGCATATCAACCGTCTGGGGATGATCGACCCGTCAAAGCGGGGAAGAGACAGCGGTAGCTACAGGGTACTTTGTCTTTAATCGTATTCAATCAGACTTCCAAGACGATTCCCCTCTACTCCGTACATGTCAGACCAATCAGCGGGGGATAAGCAAAGGGATAGGCGAAAGGGTGGCTTTGGTGGAATGTTGATCGGCTGGATTGTCCTGTTGTGGTACGATCATGTTTGGGGTTCGGCATTATACACGATTGTTGTTGATGGTTTGCGAAGTATGATACCTCGGGAGTGAGACTTATTGGGATCAATCACCCAGAAACTGCCCTGAGATTGCGCCAGACACCGGTTTAAACTTGGCCAAGACTATAATGTGCTTCACTGCTCCACTCCCCTGCCTTAAGATTGCAAGGGTTGTATTGCAATATACTTGACTTGTGGGTACATACTTCGAAGGTTCTAGCTGATGGCTAGGTAGTATATACTCTCTGACTCTGGTATTTTCGACTGTCACTCTGTATAACCAGAGGCCTAGACCAGGGTCTACTTGCTCTCGATTCTACTGGAATCAGGGATCATGAATGAGCCTGAAGGTTTGCCACATGCCAGCTTAATAAACCCGACGTACTTGCAAACAGATTGCTAGGGCAAGAACGCCCAGTAAAGAACCATCCCAGTGAAGCAAAAGGTGCGATATAGTAACCACAACAACATTATTCGCAATTACTACCGTGTGAAAGAGCATACACAGTCTACAAGCCTTCGAATAACGATTACAACTACAACGAGTGCAGACCAGACATAAACCAAACAGAACAAAGGGCAGGAAAGGAAGAAATGAAGGTGAAACTCGCAAATCCAAATTCAAAGAACACGACACCGATAATATCATGGCCATGTTCCGACACCCATCGGCTGATTCTCGGCTGACCGGCCATACAAAAACAAGCCGATCGGCAGGAGCAGCACACGAGGAGCACCGGACCGGGACAAGATACAGGTTGCTAGTCGCTCATGAGCCGGTTGCTGAAGAGCAGTGTTTATTCCTGACACGGCCTGTCACAACCTCACAGGCTAGAACGCGCCCGATTCCGAACCCGAGATCTGCGGAACCGGTCATCTGATGCGGTCAGGATGTGGCCGTGCCGGTAATGAAGGTACCTAAGCTATAAATGTCCGTATGAGGCAGTGTCGATGGGGGTCATGTGAGGAGGCAGCTGTGCCGAAAATTTGACTGGGCGATACGTCCCCGAGCGAGTTCGAATTTGTGATGCCCCATTCTCATTTTGTACATGAGCACCATTGCGTTGTAGCAGGGCCGGGATAGATGAGATCCCCACGAGAGTGAGACTCCAGATTGGGATCGTTTGTCGGACCCTTGAACTCATTCCCTTCGTCAGTAGACCCAAGGGTTTTGTCACATCAAAGTGGACATCAATGGTTTGAATCATCACCACATGCAGTAAGCATTGGAACTTACATCCATGGATCCATGGATGTACCTTAAAAAGGTTATGTATCTTTGACCCTCCTCAGTAGTTCCTTCCGCGTGAGATCGAACAGGATGCAAGGGAATTCGGCAAGATCAACAAACTGCCTTTTTGGGCCACACGACGTAACCCAAAGAACCGGGCGTTGGCCACCCACGGATGCGGTCGATTCAAATGCTGGCACTGAACCAAGTCATCTTGGTTCATTCCCACGTTGCAAGAGCTAAATGCTCAGAACGGTTTAAATCCGATCCTTCCGATTTGCAGTCACATCTCAAATAATCCCAGAGCTCATTGGCTGTTGGCTGCTTGTGAGGCTCATTGATTCTCTCAAATGGGTCTCTGGTACTGCTCCTGTGACCCACTTTGCATTACCCTGTACAGGCATCATAGTTGGGCATCAAGGCAAAGTTGCCTTCTTGTCAAATATTCAAGACGCGAGAAGCAGTGAGAGGGTATCATTCTTGACAAGCGTCAGATTCCTTGCAGAAATCGTCCGACCGATCACATTCCACCACGTGCAGGTCTTCCTCGTGGGGTCACGTGAAGGCGCGTCACCACGCGTTAGGCGCTGGTAGGCAGATTAGGCCAATATCGCAAATGGGGCGAGTGTCGTGGATAAATTGCTGGGATGTACCTTGGGAAAGAGTTGCTAGATTCCAAGCACGGCCTGTACTGGACGCGAGAACACGCTTCACGCTTTCACGCACGTAACTGTGTACTCCGTACTCCGTATAGACTACTGCAACCTCATAAAAGTGGGCCCTTAAATCGTCTCAAGACTCCTAACGCGTCAGGACGAAGGTAAACCTCGCACCGAAAGCAACCGAGTAAAAGGCATTTCAAGGGTTTGGAAATATAATCGAATTAATTTAGCTGAGGAGAGTCGTGTGGTCAAGTATCAGATACCTCGGGGTTGCACTTTGTTACTAGCGCGGGCCACGTTCATTCTACTCCGCGTCTACACCGCGACGCGATTTGATACACTCGGCACCGGATTCTGCATACTTTCTGCACCAGCCTCACGGCGTTCCCATTTTCACTCTATTTTCTTGTTCTGGTGGTCTGGTGGTGTCTTTTGTCTCTCTATACCCTCCCAACCCCTCCATGCTCTATTAATCCCATCATGTCTGATCCGGAGCCCTCGGTGGCGATCTCATCCTCGCCCTCTCTCCCGGCCACCGACTCCAATCCTCTAAACTACGCCTTCCTCGTTCATTCCCAAAAGACCCTCACCCAGAACCTTCCTCCTCGCGTCGACAATAAACTGCTAGCCCGCCAGAAGCGGCGTCGGACTAGGTATGCTATTGTGGTTGTGCTCCAGCCTTCTATGAACGCGTCAATTAACCCGATTTGAACTTTTTTGCAGCCCAGAGGATCACGCAATTCTCGAGGCAGAGTACCAGCAGAATCCCAAACCAGACAAGGCAGCCCGCACGAGTATCGTAAACCGTGTCTCCCTCGGGGAGAAAGAGGTCCAAGTATGTGATGCCAAGAATTCACACATGAAAAACGCTTCTGACTGGCTCCGCACAGATTTGGTTCCAAAACCGCCGCCAGAACGATCGTCGGAAATCTAAACCCCTCCAGCCTCACGAATTACTTGCCCCACGGTCGGGCTTGGTCGATTCATCGGGCCAGCCTTTGAGTGATGATAACGCGTCGGCGGAGCCGGGGTCTTCGAGTGGGGCAGAGCAATTTGACATCAACGACCACCGTGAGGATATGGCATCGAAATCATGGCATGGGGGCCTGTTGCAGTTTTCAGATGATTCTGACCCAATAACTGGAGACAAAGATGAACATGAACTGCCTCACAGTACTCAAACGAGCGTTGCGACAGAGGTAGGGGAAACTCCGCCCACCACACAGGAGGAATTTTCCCAAAATGCGAACGAGCACTCGGAAGACTTGCTGCAACAAGTACCAAAGAGGAAACGTTCGTTGACGGACATTCGAGGCGAAGGAGAGAATGGACAACAGACAGCCAATATACACACCACACCCACCAAATCACCACCATCGCTGCGATTGTCCATGTCTTTTGATGGAGAGGCTTTGGTACGTAAAGAAGGCGAACTCACGCCATCTCCACCCAAGGGCCGCAATTCTCTGCGTATCGCGATGTCGTCGGATGGGAAGGCAGTAATTCGCGGAGAGAACGAACCCTCGCCGTCCAAAAACCGCGTGGCGATGTTTTCAGTCCGCCGAACAAAAATGTCAAGTCTGCACCGGAGCAGCAGTGCTATCTTCCCGACCACGCCTGCGCGGGCAGGCGTGGCCGAGAAAGACAGAGCTTTCGGTCGGTCGCGTGATTCGCGTAATTGGGAATCATTCTGTGACACGGACGCAAGGAGTGCGTTGTCAACACCAACAAGTGTCTCGAATAGTTCCCCAGCTCTCTTCCAATCCCGCAGCCAGCGGCCGTTACCACGAAGTGCCTCAGGGCGGCACAGCTTCAATGCCCATGCCGACCTGATGAATACGCCCATCTCCCAGTCCATGGGAGAAAAGAGGCGGAAGCTTGCTCGCACCGTTTCGTCTCTGGGGCGACTAGAGACTGGTCGCAACAGGGCTAACACAATCCCATCAAAATTGTCCAAACCTATATTTACCAAATCCGGCAAGCCAGATCTGGAGCAGGATCTCGGCGACTCCGACAAGGAGAACTGGGTTCCAGGCACACGATCAACAAATATCCGTCGGCGTAATACATCTCACATCCCTCGACCGGTTCTGCGCGATGCCAACCGCAATCGAGGTCTCGGCATCTCGACGAACGGCAAGCGCAATCGACCACTCCAAGCTGGCTCACAGGGCAAAGCTCCACCAGAGTTAAGCGCAGAGGTCTCGGCTTTCATGGCCGGTGGCTCGGGGGATACCCAAGAAGATGATTTGGACTGTGTCCAAGGTCTCCTGTCCTTGAGCCAGGGGGCCTGGCGATGACGGAATGCAGGATCGAGACATAGCCATATCTAACTGCTATTGTCTATGATCGACGCCTATCATCTTTGCATCTTTCCATTCTTCATTTCCTTTGTGATTCTGATTTCCCTCTGTTCGGAACCTTGATGTATTTTTTATTATTGTTATATCTGTCTCCATGATGCGTGTTTCCCAGCGGTCTTCGCCACTATCACGTGAACCCTGTCCATGATCTATTTTCTATTCAACCCTGTTCTATTTTTTTATCTGCATTTCATGTGCATCGAGGTCTTTATACCTCTTTGTTTGTCAATGATGCTTTAGCTGGTGGATTTGTCTAACTTCTCTGCCACTGAAACAAGGCGAGAGCGAAAGCTCCCAAGAAAAGAAAGATACCAATCCTGGAATGATTCCGACGACTTGAAATACCTTATTTAAGTATGAATGACAATGTTCGACTTGATTGCTCCATTGTAAGATTGAGATAACTTGCCTTGCGTAGACAAGAACGGGATAGACAACTCTATTCTACTGTGTTTCAAGCTATAGTTCTTAAACACGACCCCTCACGCTGTAACACAGCACACACATATGCTATATTGATTTTATCTACTCCGTACGGAGTACTCCTCACTTGAATTATACAGACCGCTCCCCAACCCCCTTACAGCCCCCCAGCAGAAGGCAAAGAATCATCCTTCACCCCCATACCCCCAACAGACCCCAACCCAAGTCCCTGACAGATCAAATTCGCAACTCTCTCTCCACTCCAAAACGCACCAGTACTGGTACCAAGCGCGACAAAAGGTGCCGTATGCTCTCCAGCAAACCATAATCCCCTCTTTGGTCCAATCCCATCCCCAGATCTCATCACCTCAATATCTTTATCTGCCTCGGTGACTCCAACCTGGAAATTGCAGTATGACCCATTTCCAGCATAGATATCCTTCTGCCACTGCGTCGCGAGCAACGCCGTCGGCGTACAATCCGGGTGATCTGGATTATACCCCGGAAGCCGGGAGTAAAAGGGCTTGAAAGTATTGACTAGGGTCTCCTTATATTCCGACGACGAAGGAGATAGATGCGAGATGGTATTGATGATTTCCGCACCACTCTCGCCGTATGTGTAGAAAAGTAGGGTTGGGTGCGCGTATGGTGTCGGGAGGGCAGCAAAGGAGAGACATTCCTGGGTCCATTCTATGCCCGCTGGGTGCGGCGCATAGGACGGTTCGAGGAACTGTGCCATGACTGGACTAGAAGTGGCTTTTGTTCCTGATGTGGTGGCATCTTGCCAGAAGGCACGGGGAAATGTCACGTAGACCTTTTCCAGTCTTCCGTATGAGATGTTGTTGATTGCTTGTTGGAGACGGGGTGGAAGGGCTGGAGAGAATGATGAAGTGTTTTGCTTCAGCCAGCCGAGTGGGCAGGTTACTACTACTTCGTCGAAGCCATAACTCCCATTTGCTGTGGTCACGGTTACTTGGTGTTTTGTCTGGGATTGGATGTCGCGGGCAGGCGCTTTGATGTTTGTGACTGGCTCGTTGAGCCGGATATTGGCTTTTGAAGTGGCGGTTTTTGCGACTTGCTCTAGAATGGGCTTGTATGTAGATGCCAAGACGAAGTTGCCTTGGTAGAAGAGGTTAGATTTAGGCTGTATACCTTTGTAGAAAGAGAATACCTACTTCCATCGACACATTCTTCCAGACGGAAGAACCTCAAGCTCTGTTTGTCGACTTGCTCCCCCACATATGCGCCCCAGAACTTACAAGCATCCAGACAAAGGTGCTTCTCTTCATCTGAGAAGTCCTTTTGCTGGATTCGCTCAGAGAAGAAATCAAACAGACTCCGCTCAGCGGGGATATTGTCCCCATGGCGATTGCTGTATTCAAAGGCTTCCGCTATAGTAGTCCATACAAAATCTTGGACCTTGGCGTTCACTTCAGGGGCGATCCGATGGCCCTCTGTTGAAAAGGCCATATGACTTCCATCCTCGGGATCATACAAGGTGGCACCCGTTGCTTCCGCAATAGTCATGATGGGGTTGTCCCCCGCACCATGGATCCAATTAGGGCCGCTGGATAGCGTGTTAGCTAGTGTAATATTTCTCCCAAATCTCAATTATAGTCATGGTCGTCATAGTAGATGAAGCTGCAGGGGTACATACAGATCTACCACATGGTCTCCTACCGTTGATTGGTGCACCTAATGAACGAAAAAAAAGGTTAAACGATCACTTCAGCCACGCGGTTTTGCCAACGGATGCAAGACATACTCTCCCTCCAATGCGATCTCTTGCTTCTAGAATTGTTACTCGCGCGCCATTTTGGATGAGAATGTCGGCGCAGCGCAGGCCGGAAATGCCTGCGCCAACAATGCCGATATGCGGGGTCGACGCCATAGTGCGATGGTGCCAAAAATTAATGGGGGATAAGCGGTTGATGTATTCGACGAGCTTGGCGAATTGAAAGAAGAACGAAGATTCTGGTTGTCATTGGATATGCGGGCCCCGGTACTCAGGTGATTGGCTCCCGCTTTATCACCTTATCAAGGGAGAACAGTTTCAACGGTGGAATTACAATGGATCTGCACTCAAGCTACAAAGAAGGGGGTTATTCGGGGGCTCAATGCCCAATTCCATTGGTAAAGCGATTCTAAGATCGCAAAGGCAAATGCCGATAGATGCACGGCAAAATCAGAAAAAGGACGGAACTTAGTTATGACCAGCATAGCGGAAAACAAACCCATACGCCTGGTCAAGCCTGTTAGCCCACTGGAAGCGGGGACACGGCGAGGACAACTGTCACTGCCACAAAACTCCTATGATGAAAGCGCCTTTTGAAATGATAGAGATCTCTGGATGATATGCACGGGTCGGAGGTAAAAGAAGGGTATCAAGGAAGTTCAGAGAACGGAGCAGAGCATCACAGAGTAAAAAAAAAGAAAACGGAAAACGGAAAAAGGAAAATGCCTGGGAGCGAGTAGTGGAGTTCAACTCCACCAAAAGACAATAGTGCGGAAGCACAAAGAGTGCCGGGTTGTAGTGGACGAGAATGAAGCTAGATCCGCAGGGGAACGAGAAAACCTCAATCTTCCCAGATGGTCTCCAGGTCAAGGTCCTGTCGTCGCTCGGCACCACAGACACTCCAACGTTTGCGCTTGTCGCTGCGGGCTGTATATCCGCCCGCGCCCCCGCGCATTGTACTGAGTGAGTTGGGTGCATCCGATGCCCCGCGCCGTCGATTGGCATTGCTTGCCGCGTCGGCTGCATCGGCCGCGGCTTTCAAGTCAGCGATCCGCTCTTCTTCGAGGGCCTCATTCTCGGCATCTGGAATATCGGGAATAGTTTCCAGGGACGAAATACTGGGACTTCGAGAACGAAGGCTAGTCGGGGTGGAAGGAACAGAGACGGATGAGACGGAGCCCGAGTGGCCGGGGTAGGCTTCGTTGTATTTGGAGCCAAGCACGGGCGAGGAATGCAAGGAGGAGGGGCTAGCGGGGGATTGGAAAGAAAGGGGTGAAATCGGGCGCAGGCGACCAATGCGGGGGAAAGTCTGGGCCATGAGAACTGGCGAAGAGCCCGTTTGGGAGGGCGACTTGGGGAAAGTTTCGAGTTCGGCGTGCTCTGAGATGGTCTCTGAAATGTTGAGAGAGCCCATGCGGGATTCGATGTGATCGTCAGGGCGCGTCTGCAGAGGGCCGTATCTTTTCAAACCGTCGACTGAAGATCCGCGGCCATTGACGAAGATATATCGACCCTGGGAGTCCAGCCCTGGGGAGGAGTAGGCGCGCGTCATAGACGGCATGCCCGGGATGCCCGCCAGTGATCGAGAGCGGAGATGCGATCGGGCAAAAGGGGATCGGGTCCGAGGTGGTGCCGGCGGTTCAGAAAGGGAAAATGTGATCATGACGTCCTCCTTTTCGTTTGGGACGGCCCCGGAGTTGGTTCCGTTATGCGCAGAGCGCATGCCTTCAGGTCGTGACTCCATCTCCAGCAAAGAAGAAAAAGGAAAAGGGGTAAGCGAGATTTAACCTCGCATCATGGCATACAGGGTTCACAGGAAGACTCTTGGACCTGCCAAGTGGGAAGAACACGGAAGTGTCGGGAGAGGAAAATGGTGAGGTCAAAGATATGGAGAAGGAAAAAAGGTTGAAGGCAAACATCCGCCAGGCCAAGGCCCAGATCCTCACAACTTCAACGTGATGATCGTCGATCTTAGAGCCTCTTTTTGGGGGGTTTTAGGTTTTCTTCTTTATTCTTCATGCCATCTGCTCTTTTTTGTCTTTACTTCTTTTTTTTGTTAGAAGGGATCCATCACTTGGCATTCTGATTTGCTGGTTCTCCTATCAACGGCCTTTGCAACATGTATATATGCAACCTGGCCTATAGGTCATAGCCGTTATTCTTAGATCTATGTTGTATTGACGTTGTTCAGACCTATGTCATTCACACTCATAGTCCAGTTGCTCCACACAAAATCGCGATCATTTAGCTTTTGCTGTATACTGTGCAAGAGAGGTTCCTACCCTCCATCTCTCCGAGGATAAAAGATCCGCTGCACTGGTGACTTCATGAATGACCTCATATATAACAAAGCCCTTGTCGCATCAGGGATAACCAACCGTGTAGACATACCTAGGTATTACGGTCTTGATCTCTCCATGTGTCCATGATGTGGCTCTGTTTTAAGTTTGCCGCGGAGCATCTCAATTGAGCATATTCTAACGGTTGTCCAAGCTACCTCTGTAGATACAGATGGGCCATTCTATATGCCAACGTTGGAAGGCATCACTCAAGACTGAGACATTCTGGACTGCATCCACAATGTATCTGGGCTTTCTATGCTGTATCTCAGAGCAGATGCATGTTGCATTTGGGTGCCTACGTAGGTACGGAGTACATGTGGGTAAAGGTTTATACCGGGCAAGTATAATTCCAAATATCTCTGAGATCTGATCCCCACTTGGATAACTTTAGAAAGCACGTTGCTTGCTGCAGGGGGCTTGACTCGACTGCGTCCGGCTCTGCGGTCTGTTTTTCCTCTGCTATACGGACATGTCGGGCGAATGGGTTGCTAACGAGACGGCAAAGGCGGTTTTACGCTCAGGATTGTCAGTAGCTTTATAATATTAGGTAATTCTATATTCCAAGTAACCACAAATCCTGTACAATTTCACAAGAAAAATTATTAGACACTATAGAAAATATAGATAGGTAATTCAGCGGCAGACAGAGAAGAAAATCAAACACAGAACAAAAGGGATATCTTAATAGTTGATTTCTTTGCCCTCCTTGCACTTAGAGACATCTTTCCGGATATAAGTCTCCCGCACCCCATCACCTTCATTCCTGAACACCACCCACTCACCCATACCATACTTTTCTGGTGCCACACGGATACCCCGGCCGCCTCCGCCGACAATCACATTACCAGGACGATACGTGGGATCCGCTTGCATACGCCGGATAGCAGAAACGTGGATCTCAGCATCATGCGGAACATCTCGCACCTCACCACGAGGCAACGGCCAGCTAATCGGCTTCCACGACCCATCAGGTTGCAAATCCATACGACGGAAGGGCAGCCACTCCATGATGCGCCATGTAATAACAGACATGCCCGGAATACCCTGGTTAAACATCAGGCAGTCATGCACCAGACCTTTGGTACTGGAGGTATGTAGCGCATGCCAGAAATCACGACTCGCCGCAGAACGCTCCTTTTCGTTAGGCGCAGAGCGGAAAGCGTCACCGTCAGTAGCATGAAGTTCAACGCACCGGCTCGGCCGACGGGCGTTGATCTCTTCCTGGATGGGAGCGTAGTCGCCATCAAACTCCTCCAGGCACTGGAACTCTTTCATCTTGCGCTCATCCAGCTCGAGTCCGGCCTTGTGGGCTTCCTGTGTCATCCACACGAGTGGCGCGTGGCTGAGCGCCCACGACTCAGTGTCAGATAGTTTCCATCCTCCGCCGATGTCTGCATGACAGCCCGGGAACCAGACCTCGTGGATGTCTTGATCATCTTCGTCTTCGCTGACGTCGGCGTCTATAGTGGCCGGAGCCTGAACCGAGAGCGTGTTGGAGTGGATGCTGTGGAATGAATCTTTGCTCGGCACCGTGTGGAGATGGAGATCATCTATCGACGGTTTCGGTACTGCGAGTCTGCGTCGGGGAGAGGGCGCACGGTATGGTTGGGGCTGCGTTGTTCCGTTTGGGCTTGGGGCGCGAGAAGTTTGCTGTGAGCCTGGGCGCGAGGTGGGGTGTACACCATGACGCCCAGTGTGGTAGTATGTTTCCCCAGCACTGGGTCCCCATCCTGGAACTTGGAATGAAGGCTCCTGATTTTCTGCTTCCTCTTGTTCCTCCTCGGAGTGGTCATTGACGCGAATAGCGGGGACGTTATCCGGGTGTTCCTGTTGAGGTTTCGGTTCTTTGTGGTCCTGATGGAAGAGATGCTTAGGCAAATGGCGGCGGCTACGACGATGCTGCTTTTTCTCCTTTGGACGCTGTCCCGAGATCAGATCCTGACGGAACTTGGCGCGGCGTTCGTCAATACCCACGGCGTGGCGGATTATCTTGGCCGAACTGCGTGCTGTGTAAGGGAACTTGGTGCGCTGCATCCATGCGGACTCGAAACGTGGCACACTATTAACAGTGTCGAAGAGACCCATGAAGCGGATACGCGAGATGGGACGACTGAAGGTCTCGCGGAAGGCCTTCATATATGCGAATAGTCTCTTCTTTTCTTCGCGGTTCTCGTCCGTGTCGTCGCACCGCTGCTGCCACTTTGCGAATGTCTTCCATGCGAAACGAACCAACTCTTCGTTTCCAGCTTCAAGCAGACCAATATAGTCCAGCATCTCCGCCAGGAATCGCGCGATGTATGATCCGCGACTGAACCCGATAAAGAAGATATCATCACCAGGCGAATAGTATCGCATCAAGAACTTGTACCCACCCATGACATGCTCGTCAAAGGAGGAGCCGACCGCCGAGTCCTTGGCCTTTTGATAGGCAGACCTGATGCGTGCAATTCGGCCATGGCTGGTTAGTGACTTGGAAGTCACATATGTGCCAATACCCGGCTGATAGTAATGGTACTGGTGGCTCTTGCTGCGGTCGAGCATCTGCAATATGTGAGCACTGGCTCAAACGCTTGGCTCGCAGTCCCACTTACGCGAAATATCTTGAGCACATTGCTATCCGACTCGTCACCTGCAAACTTATTTCCCGTACCATCGAAGCAAAGTACAAATTGCTTCGGCATGCCCGGTGGGCCTTGGTGTCCATACGCGTGAGCCATGATGCCACCAAGTGGTGAGATTAGTCGGTTAGACAAACAGTTGGCGAAAGTTCAGGCACATCTAAGAAGACCTGATGGGGGGCTATATACGCAAAGGGGGGAGAAAAGTCAAGCCCTGTGAGGATGATTCGATGCAGCTGGTTACAGTTCGTTTTACACGAATCAGCGCCCTACCTTGGACCCAGCAGAGAAGAAGGGGGGTTGGTAGGATAATATTATCCAACCCACTACGAAGTAGCCGATCGCTGCAGCATTGTGAAAAGAATACGTCAAATCGGAGCGGGCTGACGGGCGGACCCCCATACTTGGCATATTCCAATCATGAGCTCTTTTGTTTTTCTGAGATTTGCTCCGTGGATCATACATGTCAATTGGGCTCTCTTTATTTGTCTTGCACGGTGACACAACAAACAGCCGAAGGTTCTAACGGGGACAGCATTCCATCCAATGGAGACGCGCCGGGTATCATTGCTGGATATGCGAGGTTGTTGACAACCGGGCTGAACCTGACACACGAACCACTCTGCACGAGGCATGCGCGGCCCGGACCTGAGGTTGTGGATTTTGGAGTCCTGTGATACGGGGCGAAAAGATACATGTGCGCCGACAGTGAGACGTGCAGATTTAACAAACCGGTGTTGCTACGCGACGGAACTATTGTACATAGTATCGACGCATGCCGATCTGGATGGTGTTCGGGATATTACTGTCGATCATGCTCCACAGAGCCTCTGAGAGCTTCCAGTACCAATAGGTTCGGCGGTGTCGTAAGGGGGCCAGAGGGGGCCAGAGGGGACGGGTATTCATGTCAAGAGTGCTCCGTTGCCTTCGCCCTCAAAGAGCGATCGAGTCCAAAGCTGGCGCTAGTGTGGCTGCATTTGCTAATAAAGCGGTCTTATGTTGTACTCCGTACAAAATGTGCCAATTTTCCTTCACGGCTCTGGACCGCGACCCACCAGTGGGCCTGTCTGTGCCGTTTTCTTCAGACTCGCGAGAGTTTCCTACTCCTGAGGCCAGTGCCACCATGATGTGTAATTACGATCTTTCCCGAGACTATCACTGAAATCAGGCAATGACAACATCCAACATATGCAAAACATCCAGCTTTGAAAGACTCCGGGAATCTAGGAGTTGGAGCGCGTGGGACTGTTCCAAGCCAAGAAAGCTATGACCCAAAACGCTGGGAAGAGTGGGCCAGCCCTTCAGCCGAAAAAAGGAGGTTGATTTTCACGGCTGAAGGGATTTGTGGGTTTGCTGTCAATCGGGATCTGAACGCGATTCAGATGAAAGTGGTGGAAGATCATGTCTAGATGTCCCGGGAGCGGCCGCCCCTTTAAGGTCGCGGACTCTTGGCTCGGTATACCTGAACTACGCCTGAACGATGGCCATTGGAGACCAGCTAGATGCCTACTCCCTGGGTATGTACGGAGTAGGAACATCTCCAGATGTTCGGGGGAAAACAATCCACGACCCAAGGGGGACTTGGCAATGTAAGGTTTTCGCGTGGAAAGGAAAGCGACACGAGGAAAGTGGAATAGGTACGGAGTAGTCCGTACACAAAAATAAGACCCCTGTGGATGCGCGATGGATCAGATTCTGAATAATTCATGATGATGACTGGCAGCTCCAACTGCCAATGACAGGCGACACATTGTGGTTCGTGGTGGACGGCGGCCCGTTCGCCACTTAAAATCCATAGCGAGTGGGCGAACGGGTGGGCCTGCGACGATCAAAACACATCCCAGTCACTCCGTCCAATTTACTTCTCATATTGCCTTCCTTGCGTCGGGTGGTCCAAGTCCTGTGTATGGACTATGGAGGACCTCCATGGTAACATCACCCTACAACATGCAGCAAGCTGCCCAGGTGATCTCAAAGCGCTTTCCTCCAACTGGCTGTTCATTTCCAGCCAGCCACCGTACGAAACTGGAAATTCCCATTCCGATCGGATGCAGAGACCAGCAAACATCCCCCCACTCGGTCAATTTAGCTCTATCTTGATTCTTGAGATCCTCGAGGTGGAGCTATGACTTCCTGCAAGAATCGGTCTTACGGTATTCTGTACGGAGTACTCCGTACTCGAGAGTACCGTGTACACCGCCGATTATGGATAGGAATGTTACAAGTACAACTTTCGATTGATTGGTCTACCCCATACCACACTGCATCCCTTTTCTTACCGGCTTACGACGTATTGATGCTCATTGCACCGCAACAGTCCGGATATGCCGTGCATGCCACGCCCCATGGCCAAACCATATCATATTGTCTCATATGACTCCCAGAGAATGTCCGGTGTATGGAAGACAGTGCCAACACGTCCCGCCCCCTTTCTCAGGAACCATCCAAGATTTGTCCACTGACCGTCCTAAATGGTGATCAGTTACTATGTTGGGACAGATCCTCAGCGAGAGCCCACTATAGACTCCACCCTGGAAACTGAGCTTGTACCACGCGGGGCTGGGATATTTGCTACGGAATACTCCGTATAGAGTACAGAGACCAGGCTCAGGCCTGAGATTGAGCTAGTACTCTCCGTCGAATCAGACTGGTCCCTGCGGTCAATCAACTATTGGTGATAACAAATCCGCCACTTTCTGGATGCTCCACAGTCTCGCAGCTGACTTGCGTTGCTCGCACAGCTCGCACAGCTCGTTTTAAAGAGCACCGTCGCGCGAGCTTCAAGTTTATTTCTCACCTAATCTGGCCTTTCGTCGCCACTCTGATTGTGTTTCTGTTTTTTTAACTTGGCCTTTCTTTTTGTACGGGAATTGTCATTATAATCATTCACAATGTTGAGGAGATTCTCTACTCAATTCAAGAGGTCCAAGGACCCCAAGGACTCTAATGGGGATGTCGAGCCTAAGACTGCCGAGAAGACCCCAGAGAAGAGCAGCAAGCGCTTCTCCAAGGTCTCTCCAGCTCGTAAGTCCACTTCCAATCAAGAAGATAACCACGCTGTGAAGCGTGCCGAGGTTGTTGCTACATTCGAGAAGTATGCGCAAGCAATTCACGCTTCGCAAGAGCCTCTGCCCAATCAGACTGGCGACGGCTCGTTCATGAAGCACGACAAGTCGTCCGGTCTCATCGGTGACATCAAGTCCCTTGGTTTCCGTGATGTCAGTACTGTCAAAGACCTCATCGCTAGCAAGACCTCCGGTCAGCTCGTTGATGATAAGACCTATCTCATGGAACGTGTGATTCAATTGGTTGCCGACCTGCCTGGTCACTCAAAGAACCGCACTGAGCTCACCAATGTATTCTTGGATGAGCTATGGACCTCACTTCCTCACCCTCCACTCTCGTGAGAATTCCCCGCTAGATACCGATTTGTTCCAATCATGTGAGCTAACGCTAGAAATAGCTACATGGGAGATGAATTCAAATACCGCTCCGCCGATGGCTCAAATAACAACCCTACTCTCCCCTGGCTGGGAGCTGCCAATACCGCATACTGCCGCACTATTCCTCCCCTGACCATTCAGCCCAGCGGATTGCCTGATGCCGGTCTAATTTTCGATACCCTCTTTGCTCGTCAGGAGTTCACTCCGCATCCCAACAAGGTCTCCAGTGTTTTCTTCGACTGGGCCTCCCTGATTATTCATGGTAAGCCAATCGCATCCAAAATTGCAGACCAGGCGCTAATGTACTGGTTTGGTGCATAGACATTTTCCAGACCGACTACCGCGAACAGAACAAGAACAAGACCTCCGCATACCTGGATCTCTCTATCCTGTACGGTGATATTCAAGAGCAACAGGATCTGATCCGTTCCCACCAGGATGGAAGACTCAAGCCCGATTGCTTCTCAGAGGGTCGTCTGCAGGCCCTTCCCGCTGCCTGCGGTGTCCTGCTGGTCATGCTGAACCGTTTCCACAACCACATTGTTACCCAACTGGCCGAGATCAACGAGAATGGCCGCTTCAGCAAGCCGCGCCCCGGTATGTCCGAGGAGGATACCAGAAAAGCCTGGGTCAAGCGGGATGAGGACCTGTTCCAGACTGGTCGCCTTATCACTTGCGGCCTTTACATCAACATCACTCTGTACGATTACTTGCGCACCATTGTCAACTTGAATCGCACAAACTCCACCTGGTGTTTGGATCCCCGAGCCCAGATGGAGAAGGCTGGTGCTACTCCCTCTGGCCTCGGTAACCAGTGCTCCGTCGAGTTCAATTTGGCCTACCGCTGGCACTCGGCTATCAGTCAGGGTGATGAGAAGTGGATTGAACAGGTCTACTTTGATCTCATGGGCAAGCCCGCCGAGGAGGTCACCTTGCACGAGCTGCTCCAGGGCATGAAGAAGGTGGAGGGCACGCTCGACGCTGATCCTTCCAAGCGTACCTTCGCCCGCCTCAAGCGTAATCAGGACGGTTACTTCGATGATGGAGAGCTTGTCAATATTCTGACTCACGCTACCGAGGACGTGGCCAGCTCTTTCGGTCCCCGCAACGTGCCCAAGGCCATGCGTTCTATCGAAATCCTCGGTATCGAAGCCTCCCGTCGGTGGAATGTGGGTTCCCTCAACGAGTTCCGTAAGCACTTCGGCCTGAAGACCTATGAAACTTTCGAGGAAGTCAACTCCAACCCTGAGATCGCCGATACTCTTCGTCACCTCTACGAGCACCCTGATTTCATTGAGTTGTACCCCGGTATCGTCACTGAGGAGGCGAAGGAGCCTATGATCCCTGGTGTCGGTATCGCCCCGACTTATACCATCTCGCGTGCTGTGCTTTCGGATGCCGTCGCCCTTGTTCGTGGTGATCGTCACTACACCATTGACTACAACCCTCGCAACCTGACCAACTGGGGTTACAACGAGTGTCGCTACGACCTTAACATCAACCAGGGCTGTATCTTCTACAAGCTGGCTACGCGCGCCTTCCCCAATCACTACAAGCCAGACTCCATCTATGCCCACTATCCCATGACCATCCCCAGCGAAAACCGCAAGATCATGAAAGATCTGGGCCGTGAGCAAGACTACTCCTATGACAAGCCCGCCTTCATTGAGCCTCGTGTCAACCTTGCCTCTCACCGGAATGCCAAGATGCTTCTCCAGAACCAGCAGGATTTCCGTCCTAGCTGGGCCCGCTCCATGACCGAGCTCTTCGGAAAGGGCGAATTTGATACCAAGCAGCGTGAAGCTATTGGCAAGGCCCTTCACACTGATGAGTTCCCCAAGCTCGTCAAGACCTTCTACGAGGATATTACTGAGCGCTTGATCGCTGAGAAAGGTGGTCGATTGGGCAAGATCAACCAGATCGATATCACTCGCGATGTCGGCAACCTCGCCCACGTCCACTTTGCTTCTACCATCTTCGGTCTTCCCTTGAAGACTGAACAGAACCCACAGGGGCTGTTCACCGACCAGGAGATGTACATGATCCTTTCGACCATCTTCGCCGCGCTCTTCTTCGACGTCGATGCTCCTCGCTCCTACTCTCTGAACAGCGCTGCCTCCGCTGTCTCCACTCAGCTTGGCCAGGTCGTCGAGGCCAGCGTTAAATCTGACACCAATACCAGTCTCTTCTCTGGCCTCATGGACAGCTTCCGCCCTCACGACAATGCTCTCCGTGAGTTCGGCCACGATGCCGTTCGCCGCATGAAAGAGGCCGGTTCCAGCGCCTCCGACATCACTTGGTCCGCCATTATCCCAACCATCGTCGGCTTGGTTCCCAATCAGGCCCAGGTCTTCACACAGATTATCGAGTACTACACCGTGCCCGGAAACGCCCACCACCTGGCAGAGATCAGCCGTCTCGCCAAGCGTGACTCCGCGGACGCCGACGACAAGCTGTACCGCTACTGTCTGGAGGCTATTCGTCTGAATGGCACCTTCGGTGCCTTCCGCGAGGCCACACAGCCCGTCATCATCGAGGACAACGGCAAGACCTACACCATCCAGCCTGGCCAGCAAGTCTTCGCCTCCTTCGATCAGGCTAACCACGACCCTATCGTCTTCCCCTCGCCAAACGAAGTCCGCCTCGACCGTCCTCTTGATTCCTATATCAACTACGGCCAGGGCCCCACCACCACCTTCGGCGAGGAGGTTACCAAGATTGCCCTCATCGCTATGCTGCGCGTCGTCGGACGTCTCCAGGGTCTCCGTCGTGCTCCTGGTCCTCAAGGCCAGCTTCAGAAGGTCGCTCAGGAGGGTGGCTACTACGTTTACCTCCGCGGTGACGGAAGCGCTTACTGCCCCTTCCCTATGTCGCTTAAGCTGCACTGGGACGGCCCCTTCTTGCAGAAGAAGCCCACCGCTTCTTCGTAAAAGCGTGTCTCCATGTGGATCTGTATTGAGATTGATCTGAAGCTTCTGATGAAACTTGCCATGCTAGATGGTGGCAATTTACGTATTGTTTGCTATGATTCTATGCCTTTCGTTGACCGTTTTGTTTTCGGGGACTTGTTTGGTCGCCACGATATCCAGAAAGTGTTGAATCGTTGTTTATAATAGCTTAGTGTATATTTGATGAACTATTTATTCTCTGCTTTTGTCTGGATGCAGTAATTGAGATAAAACAAGGAAAAGGATCGAAAGTATAGTCCATAGTACATCTTCCTCGGGGCGACTAAGGATACATATCTTGGCTTTCATTTGGCTGATCCAATCCATATCCTTTTCTCCTTTGTGTAGCTAGCTATATATCCTCAGTGACACAATTTTCCACATGCGGCTTGAAATTGAAAATATACCAGAAACCACATCAGTAAATTTAACCAAAGCAAAACCAGCACCTCTCTGTCAGGATGTATGAGGGCTCAGGCGGGTAAAGTCTACACCGCCTGGAGCTATACTGCCGGGTCTATAATCCCGGGGTCAAGCTGTTGGTTGGCAACTTTGATTCCTCAATTGTTGCATCCCACCATAGAAAGCCTGCTCGACCTCCCTCAAAATGCCTCCATCAAAGGCAGTCAAGGGCGAATACATTGAGACAGTAAGCCAAAAACCCCCAAATCCATCTTTCTGTCCATAATTCCTACCCACTTCCCAAAACAAAAGAACCGCGACCCTAAATAGCGAAACAGGACACAGGAAACAAAATCTCTCGCCGATCCCAAATTCATGGGACGCAGCACATCATCCTCGGGGGCAAAACCGTAATCCAAGCGGAAGCCGTAATCCGCGGTGACCTTTTCCGAACCGTCACACACCCAGCCAACGCCGACCCAAACAACCCCGCGGCTGCACCGAACCCCAACACTCCCAGTGTTGCGATAACAGTCGGGCGATACAGCTACATTTCCAAGAGCGCGATCCTGCGGCCGCCGAGCCGGTTACACCGTGGCGTGCACTCGTTCTATCCGCTGAAGATTGGCGACCATGTGTTTGTCGGCGAGGGCGCTGTTATTGAGGCCGCGTCGCTAGGGAATCATGTTCATGTTGGGAAGGGTGCTGCCGTAGGCAGTATGGCTATTATCAAGGATTACGCTTATGTGCTTGATGGTGCGGTTGTGCCGCCTGGCATGGTTGTGCCGAGTTGGTGTGTTGTTGGTGGGAGGCCGGCGCGGATTGTGGGTGAGGTCGGGGAAGGGTACGGTGTTGAAGGTGCGGAGGGAGGTATGGCAAGAGAAAGGTACCGGGTCGTTGGACGACCTTGAGGGTTTAGGTGAAATGTGTCCCATGGTTTTCTGATTTTATGATACCCCCCTGCTACTGTTTATTGCTGTGTTCTGTCTGTGGATATCAATTTACTTCTCAATTTGGTATCTCCTGTGGCAGATGGATGCATAATGCCAATGTGCGACGCTTAACGAGGAAAGCAAAGATAGATGCAAAAGAGTCGAACACCACAACTAGCCCATATGTTCCACCTTGACTGCGCGTGTCAGTCGCAATTCATCCCCTACTAAGGGGACACCGATCTCCTCAAACGCCATATCATCGATCCATTGTCCATTGGGCCGAACGAGTTCGCCACGCGACAATTTGGCGGCGAGATAGAGCCAGTCGAGGGAATTACCCACAGTGCTCACCTCGTCACTGATATGAGTGATTCCGTACTTCGACATGTGGTTGTACATCTCGTTGTCTGTCCAAAGCTCGAACAAATGCTGTGCTACGGCATCGGTATCGCCAACGTCCACCAAGAATCCATTTTTGCCATTCTCGATCTGCAGCGGAATGCCGCCGGCACGCGTGGCGATGACGGGTTTGCCTTTATGTATTGCCTCGGAAACTTTCACTTCGAAGCCTTCGAATGTGGATAGTTGTAGTGAGATGGTCGCCTTGGAAAGAAGGGCGTTTAGAACTTGATCTACTGGCCGCACCCGCAGCACGCAGATCAAGTGGCGGATATCCGGGACTTTTTCGTCCAGGTATTCGATTGTTTCATCGTAGATGCGGGTGCCATCAGGATCATCCACCGACCCATGCCCACAAATTATGAGTTTGGGAGGGATCATGTGAGGCGCTTCAGCTACTAATTTGTTGTAGAACTTTTCGTATGAAACCAACACATCAACAATGCCCTTTGATGGGTCGAATCGAGCAATCTGGATGATATATGAGTCTGGAATATAGGTTAGGTTCCAGTGGTACGATCATTGTGGATGGTGATTCGGTTACTAACCCTCGGGGTATTGAATGGTTGGCATGTCCGCATTACGACAAGCTGCGTTGAATATACGACCATAGTGCGCAATGTCCCAGTCTCGCATGGTCTTGTTTAGCCCATCCAGCCTATAATCCCATCAGCGAAGTGTGCTTCAGATGTTCATCCCTCTTCTTACCAGTCAGTTGATGCAGGCATATAGCCCACCATCTGTGGAGGTACGTCTGGTGGCACAAATGCGCTCACGGGGTGGCTAATAAACAAATCGGCATATTTGATGTTATCCCATAGAAAGGCCCATGCCTCCGCCTGTGCGGAACCAGGCACTGCGACTAAATCACAGCGGATATGGATATGGCTTCGAAAAACGACCGGTCGATCTGGGACTAATCGTTTCGCAATGGGAATGATACCTGGCATCTGGGGATCGTCGATAATCACCACATCCGCACCGCCCTCTGATGATGGAAGCAAAGGACCGCCCGTTCGCGTCCAGTATCGCCTGGAATTTTCCTCAATCCATTCCTGTAATAGCTTTTTGTTCTCTGGTGCTAAGCGCTCGTGTTCATAAGCGACACCTTGCAGAATATTGTGCATTGTCTTTGTTGCCCGAAAAACGCCCGGTCGTGGCTTCGGAACGTACCTGTAAAGATCAAATCAGTTTTTTAGTGTTTGTCCAGATCCATGAGCTGCAAAGACACAGATACAGGCATGGACACACCATTTGATGTCAGTGCCTAGAGCATGTGAGAATCGTAGGAGAGCATGCCGCATCAAAGCCACTCCCCCACCTTGAGGGGTGGAACTGAAGAATGCAACTTTGACTTTGCGCTTCTTCAGGTCACTCGCATAGTGCTGAACGGCGGACCATGTTCTGTCCGTGACTGTTGTCTTGAAATCACTCAGGTCCGCAATCCGCACATGGTAAGCTGTGTCCACCTCCACGAGACCGAGGAAGCCCACTTGTAAGAGAGGAGTGATGTCCGGTCCAAATAGTCTATATTCACTCAGACTCAATAAATGCTTTCTGATATTGAACGGGATCAACAGACCTAACACCCTTGCGTGCCATGGACTCAGCCTGCTCATCAATGGTTTTCACATCCCATCCATCAGCCGCTGGGTCTCGAGCTTCGCTAGATTGGCCAACGCTTATTCTGTCCACCAGTGCTGCGTTCGACATGACTAAGGGGACAATATCGAGCTCCGCCCAAAGACGAGAGCATAGACGCGGGCAGTGATCTGCAACATGTTTTGGCATTGATATTCCTACAATTTTCTCCATATGCCGCTGAGAATAGGCCTGTAACTCAGATAGGATGAATTCAGTGGCTTGTTCTGCGCCTGCTCGATCCGTAAACTGCTTCTCAATGAAGTCTAGTAGGTACGTGGTATCACGGATTGCGATTGCTATCGTGGACGTCTGATGATTTTCAAAATTGCTCGAGACACCGGCATAGATGGTCTAGTATCATTAGTAGTTTAAAGAATTGGCCATCGCTCCGTGGGAGATGTCCATACGTCTGACGGAGGCCCAAACCAAGCGTTGCGCTCGAACTGTGGCGCTAGTCGACGTTGTTGCGTGACTGAGGCATGACGTTCAAACTTTTGATCTTCGCCTCCCATGATGCTCGAGAATATTCATGAAAATGTAATCCGATCCAGCAAGAGTACCAAAGGGAGATTCAACATTGCTATGGCTAGAGGTTGTATAGTATCGCATGTGTGACTTCATCTTGGGAATGACGTAGCAAGGCACCCAACCACGGTTATGGGGGGATTGTTGTATAGACACCGAATGAATCTCTCAGCCAGCCTCCATCAAACAATCATAATCAACCTCAAACATGATGGTAAGGGAAACGGGAAACGGTGGATCACCCCCCTAACACGAGGAAGAGAGTGCCTGTACCTCGTGGAGACTGATGAGTAAGCCCAGCCCAAGCCCCTTTTCCAGGTTCCCCCGCCTCAGGGAAATTAGATAGGTCTTCACGCACACCTTTCTCTTTCTCCTCTTTCTCTTTCTTGGAAGGACTGTCACTGTCCTTGACCCCAACTACCGGAAGCTTTGGTCTTCTGTTCTCATTTACCCGCAATTTAAACGTGGGTTGCAATTGTTGATACTCCGCCAGAGAGCTCCTGACCGCGACACCGCGTCAAATCCCGCAAAGATGGGTGCACAAGTATCCAAGATGATGGGGAAGATTTTCGGTACCAAGGAAATGCGCATCCTTATGTTGGGTTTAGATGCTGCTGGAAAAACAAGTATGACACCTATGTTCGCTTTAAATGAGATCTCGATCAAGGTGGCCTAACGCTTCTTCCAGCTATTCTCTACAAACTTAAACTTAGCAACCAGGACGTGACTACCATCCCCACCGTCGGATTCAACGTCGAAAGTGTGACCTACAAGAACGTCAAGTTCAATGTCTGGGATGTCGGTGGTCAGGACAAGATCCGACCTCTTTGGAGACACTATTACTCTGGTACACAGGGATTGATCTTCGTGGTCGACTCCAGCGACACAGCTCGTGTGGAGGAAGCTCGCTCGGAACTGCATAAGATTATCAACGATCGTGAAATGAAGGATGCTCTGCTCCTCGTGTTCGCCAACAAGCAAGATATCCCTGGCCGTGCGTCTCTCCTGTTCCTCAATTTGATGATCTGTTTACTGACTCCACTTCTAGATCTGAGCCCGGAGGAAGTTACTCAGCAACTACAATTGACTAAGCTCAAGGATAAGCTGTGGTACGTGGCACCTAGTGTTGCTACCGACGGCACAGGTATCTTCGAGGGCCTGGTAAGTTGTGTCCCTGGCCTTATGCTTTTTGATATCTCAATCTAACCATGTCCTCTCTTGCTAGGCCTGGCTCTCAAACAATGTCAAGACCCCCGCCCAGAAATAAGATACACTGGTGTGATTTCGAGAGGCGCTCCTCGGGTCGCCTCGTTGTACAACATCTCGCATTATCTGACCAGTGTTTTCTCTTTTCTCTTCATGTCCGTGTTTTGATGACAAGACGACGCAGCATTTGGGCTTTTGTTTTCTTGGTCTTTTCTATTGTTTGTGGCCTTTGTATGTCATTGCTTTATTCGTTGTTTATCTTCACTTCTATGATATCCCCCTCTGTTCTTATATGGGCTTGTTGGGTCCAATTTAATACTTTAATCTCATTATGTTCTTTGCCCAATGTTATCGTTGTTCATCCCCCATTTGATTGTGAGCGTGTTTCACTGTGCACATGTTTGGCTATGGCGTCGACAGGGTTGACATATCCTGGCATCGGTACTCCGTATAGATACCTAGAAAATAGAACCAAATGACATACTTCTGATTAAACTATCCGTGATCTCAGATTTGAATCTCGAACGTATCCACGGAGCCGACATCCGTGTCTCCACGCAGGGCCCAGATGTTTCGAAAGCTGTGGATCGATTCCAACCCAGTCGGCTCTTTGCCTTTGCGACCTCAAAATGACGATAGCGGAACTCGCTTCCTTGGCCAAGGGCTTATCACAGACATATATAAATAGAATCATAGCATAAGATTGATATGTTCAAGACTTCTGGTTTTTTCAGAAAAGGACTCTTCCTGTACAAAAGAGACAAAACATTATCCTACATTTCTTGTCTACACTAGTCTATATATTGCAAGAGATCTCTCAGGCCTCACCACTACAAAAGTCTCATATCTACCATCACCTTCTCCATTGCTCCTCACAGCAACTATGCCTCACTACAAAGAAGGAGACAAGGTCAACTACAAACCAGTTGGAGGTAAGATATGCCTTTTTCCAATAATGTCTATATATCTCAAGATATGAATCATCTGACAGACTATGGCAGGTCCAACCTCGAAAACCAATACTAGTGTTGGTGTCGTCCGTGATACTTTGCCGGGCCGCAGCGCGGCAGATAATGAGCCGCGGTATAAAATCGAGAACATGCACACCCACAAGAGCTCCAACATCAAGGAGAGCAATATTGAGGGACCGGCGGAGTAATGCGTGGTCTTTCGATATGTGGGACATGTATATTGACTTAGCATACATAAATTAACTTGAATTGCTTGGTCTATATGGGTTGAGTAGCGTAAATGAGAAGATATATAGCTGGCCACCAGTGTTCCGGCAGTATACTGGCCCCCTGCACGAGGTTGGAATATAATGCCTTTGAATTCTTGCCTTCAAAAGGATCTTAGCGATTCGGTCATTTTGGTATTTGTGGCGGTGCTCTTGAATGACGTAAAAATGCGATAAACAGCTATTTTGGACGAAACAATATATAGGCTTGTAACCGCCCTAGCATGTTCTGACGTATTTGGTTGGTATATTCCTTCGTCATTGGGAATAAATAGTATTCCAAAGATCTGTGTTCTGCAGCAAATGAAAATCAAGTGCGTCCAAAGTTCTCTCAGCTGATTCTATGCCGTCCACGCTCACTGTACTCATTCTCCACTTTGCAGAGGATGAGTGAATTTCCACCCGCGGGGACTAAGGTCATAACACGGGGATTCAGAGAAGTCTGCGAGGTCGACGGCCGTACATTCTTCAGAAAGAAAGGTTCACAAGAATGGATCGAGGACAAATCCAATCCCGACGACTTGAAGCCCCCTGTCGAAAACCCACATCTGTATCTCTATCTCGTCCAGTGGGAAGCAAGACCCGCAGAGCCTAACCACTGGGCAATTTTCCTCGCCGACGAAAACGAGCCTGACTTCGGTTATGTCTACAAAGTCGTGGGAGATGCAACACATATGAGATATCAGCCTTCGGCTGAAAAGGTTAATGTTGCCGAGATTGGCGTTACTGCTAGTGTGTATACTTTGGCAGTTGTGACCGATGGACAAGCCAGGGTGGCGGAACTAGTGAGACAGGCTGCGGAGGAAGAACCGCCTCCTCGAGCTGAGAATAGGGCGGCTGTCAAGGAGAATTGTCAAGGGTGGGCAGTGCGTGTGATTGCTAGACTGGTTAAGAAGAAGGTTGTTATGCCCCAAAAGCTTGAACTGGTCAGGTCTTTGTTGGAGGAAGTTTAGAGGAGGCGCTGAAAACACCGGAAACCATGCTAGACCTGCTGTATGTAAGACACCAGAGAGCATTATAGGTTATTGATTCGTTGGTCGACTTCTACTTGGCTAATCTGGTAGAAGTAGACTCTATCACCCATAGTTTAATGACTGCCTGGATCAAGAGCCTAAGAGGGGAGGTCTGAAGAGTAGTGTAGGATTTTCCGTCCAATCGAGTCTTGAAAGCCTGAAGTCTCAAGATATGTCATTGGACAGAAAAGCAAGAAAATAGGACATCATAACATAAACATTAATCAAAATTGCTGAACCATCGATTTAAGACTGGTTGGGCCAGATATCATTGGCAATCTCACGAACCAACTTCAGCTTATTGATCATACCGTCCCAATCAATAGCGTTACCCTCACGGTGAGAAGCGAACCCACACTGCGGGCTAACGCCGACCCGGTTAAGCGCGGCGTCTAGGGAGATGTTACTACCCTCGGCAATGAACTTAGCAGCATCAACGATACGCTTCTTCATCTCCTCTTTGTCCTCTAGCCTAGCGAACTTGCTCGTGACAACACCCAGGATGACGTTCTTATGAGTGGGCAGGAACTTGAGGGGCTCAAAGCCACCAGCCCGCGGAGTGTCGTACTCGAGGTAGTAAGTATGGAAATTGAGCTCTTGGAAAAGCTTGATGGCAATACGGTCGTAGCCGCCCTCGGAGAAGTGGCGGCTGCCAACAAAATTCCCGCGACATAGGTGGACACCTACGTGCATATCCGCTGGTAGGTTGGCGAAGCAGTCGTTGTACTGCTTGATATACTTCTCGAACATGCTATCGGCGGAGTACACGTTCAGAGGATCTTCCTTAAAACCAATAAGGAACTTCTTGGAACAGAAATCTGAGTCAGAAGTTAGCCAATTCGGGGGAGCTCAGTTGGATGAGAATTTTCTTACAAGCCAGATTGGGGTCATCGAATTGGACGTTACGACAACCGGCATCATATAGAATTTGCAGCTCGACCTGGTAAGCCTTGGCGATGTCACCGAAGTAATCATCATCATTGGTATACACGGATTTGGGATACGCCTTGCCCTCGCGATAGCGCAGATGATACCAGTTAGGTGCAGCGAGTGTGATTTTGAGATTTCTGACTTCGAGGGTAGGTACTTGACTGGCGAGGTATTTGAACTGGTCGACATAGGTACTGCCGACGTGCTTGATCTTGCCAGTACAGATAACACTCTCGCCAGGCTTGTGGCCAGCCTCCAGGAATGCGGCAATATCAGGGGCATAGGGACGGAAGTCATCAACGTCGATATCGTTGACCCCTTCGAAGCCATCCAAACCTGGGGAAAAAGTACCCCAAAACACTAGTTATGTTAACGCGGCTTGCTTGATGGATCGTCGTATTACTTACTGTGTCGACGGTACTCGCCGTCAGACAATGCTGCGTAGCCTAGCTTCCGCTGAGTCTCGACGATAGCCTTGATCTCCTTGTCTTCAGCCTCGGTCAGTTCAGATGCGGGGATATTCCCGGCTTCAAAGGCTATCTTGGTCTCTAGAAGCTGATCTGAGCGTAGAAGGGATCCCAAGTGCTCCGCGCGGAAAGGTGGACGCTGATGGAGCTGAGGAGCCATTATGAATGCAAGGTATATGGTTGATCCTCGGAATTTGGGAGCGTTGTCTCTTCGAAGGCGCAATTTTATTGTATAGATCTCCAAGGGTAGACAAGAAGAAGGTGTGTCTGAAGGAGGACGAGGAGAGAGAAACCTGGGGAGACCGGACAAGTTAAAAGAGGGGCACTAATAGCATTATCATTACCATGTTATTCGAGGCGATCTTTCCAAGCTGCGACAGGCATTGGCCCACAGTAAGGAGGTGAGGCCCTCCACAATCTGGCGGACCACTTCCCCTATGAGATTGATCCCAGTTGTAGCTTAGATGCCGATCTGCCCATTCCTTTGGCGTTTTAGGCTGCCAATCGAGCCCATGTGAGCCATTGGAGGATACACTTCCCAAAGAACAGCTTCACACATGGATTCGAGGTCAAAACTTGATCGAATGTGGAATCTCAAAGGGCCTCCGATTTGATGTATAGTGCACGGGCCATATGACAGTCCCATCCTTCGAGTATACAGCTCATGCAATTTCCTACCCTCTATACATACAACGTATACATAGCTTACAAAGTGTTCTGGTTCTTTTTGTTCTTTTCGTCTAATCAAATCGTAAGGAACGAGTATACGTTTACACTGTATCTTCTGGGTTCCAAGGTTGAAGCACTCGCTGAGTCACAGATGACAAAGACGTCAGTGGAGGGGACGGGACCTGCCCCTGCGATGCGAGTGGGGAAGCCCGGCACTTCACCACCATCCCCTCAGCCGACGGTCTACCACTACCTATTGGTCTGTACTATACATTTTATGCTGTCATATTGGCAGTCTCAGGCATCCGAATATCAAAGCTATGGGGGATGTGCCCTCGGCATGACCAGTGTGCCATGTCTACCATGTCCTCAGTATCTGCTTCGCCCTTGGAGCTGCTCCCCAACGAGCTTCTAGACGACATCATCTCCCACTTACTCACGGATCCACCATCGTTCGGACAGATACATCATGTGCCTAGTTTACAACCAACCCAGTCTTCAACGAAAGATCTCAAGCATCTCGCACAATGCTCATGGCGTCTACTTCATTTCGTGCGACCCCAACTGTTCGCTCATGTCCGTTTGGATCTCCATGATGAATCCGACTTCCATTCCTTCATGATCAAGTCGGATCTCTGTCAATATGTTACTTCTATCGTAGCAACTGCGGATGAAAGCTCAGGTCACAAGGCTGACCCATCCTGGTGGCGTCAAGTGCTCCGCTATCTCAATCCTCGCCATGTGATGGTCATCGCGCCGCCACTCTTCATCGGCGACACCCTCGCCACCCCAATCAATGATGCTCATAGCTGGGCATTCAACATACCCCTTCAAATTTTGGTTTTGGAACGAGAGCCCGCGCCTCAGGAACCGTCCCAGCTACCTGACCTGGACACTTGCACAAATCTTCTCACATCACGCCCATGGACAACGATGAAGTTCAACGAATCGTCTTCTCTGAAAGCATACAACCACTACGAGTACTTCCTCACGCATGTTCCGTCTGTCCTTGCGGAATGGGGTATATTTGCGACTCGTAGACCCACCAAAACATTTCACCATCCATTCAACCTACCGCTTACCTTACACGGCCTTACATATTTTTCTTACACGGCCGTGTTTCCCTTTTTCAATCACGCGCAAGTTGTGCTTGATGCCATCTTAAAAATGGGCCAGTTGCGTCGTCTTGATGTACAGCTGGCACCAATGCAGGATAATCATGTTACCGAACTCGAGCAACGAGGGTCTATGGACCCTAACGACCCGTGGATGGAGCTTACGACCTCATACTCTTTGATTGGGTATACCGTGAACAACATGTCGTCATTGAAGGAATTCAGGTGCGGCGATATGCATGTCGAAGCTATGCGACAAGACCTGTTGTCAATCTTGGGCGATGTCATTGACAATGTAGGCTGGGTACATGATGGACGCGGAGCGTGGAAGCGCAGTTAGAGATGGTTCGCCCATATTATGATTTCACGACGCACATAGTTTGTTTACACATTAGATAAATTGCAGTGATGGTATTTTAAATTGATTCTACCGATTTAGTGAATGAACATTGAATACGAAGCACATGTAGTAAAGATGAAGCCAAGCAACTGGAGAACCTCTGTGGGGTAGGGGCTAGGCCTAATCGGGCTTATCCACTTTCGGGATGCCCAGTTACTTTTACAACGCTGCTTCTTGTCTTGATATCGGACTCATGCGGACGTGACGGGGATTTCTCGACAGCAATGGCTAGAAATTCAAATATTTACTCCGCAGAACCTGCATTTCCCGTCCTTGCTGATTCCCTCCTCCCACAATCAGAACCAACAGGAAAAGCAGCGCCTCTAAACGAGACAACCTCGAGAACCGACTGGAGCCTCGAACATGATTGGAAGAAAGGCATCCGATCCTCAAACAAGGGAATCTTCCGGTGTGGAACTGTGCTCGGATTCTCTAGACTGCGATCGAGAAGCAAGGAAAGCAATGAGTATATCGGACAGGTGTTAATGACTATCCTTCTACACTCTCAACGAGACTAATACATCCATAGATTCCTCGATACATTCTCACTGACCACCTTCGGAGAATCCAGCCATCCTCTGAACCGAGCACATTCATCATCCACCCAGCAAGTTTCGAAGCCTTTGCACCAAGGACTTTACTGAATGACCTGGAGTTTTCCTCTGAAGACAAACCCGGCCTCTCCAGGGAAGATGCAATCCGAAAACTGGATTCTGTACAATTACTTCCCGTGCAGAATTTTCCAAATGCCGCACATGCCATTGGGAAGGTCTCAGATGTGCTGCACGAGATCCAAGAAAAGCGAGGACAGAGAGATTCAACCGAGTCAAGTCCCACCGATCATCCCATTGTCCTCATCGTTGTGGGCCTGGATAACCTGACCGAACAGGTAATTCGGGCGTCCAATCCGGCTAGAGGTGCAGCTGTTTTGACATCTACACTGCGTACCTTGACTCGGTTATCTCGTCTGTATGCCTCTCATCTCTCCGTCATCCTGGTCAATACCAATGGAGTTGGTACCGTGAATTCGGAATGGAGCAATAATCAAAAGTATGGCAGAAACACTACTCCAGGAGATAGTGCTGCGAGACAACCTCTGGAAGATGGGATTCACTCCATCTTCCATCCGGATATTCCCTCTTTGTTCCCTACCTTGCTGATGAAGGCGTTGGACCAAGGCATCGATACTCATCTGCTGCTTTCTGATTTAAGAGGGGCTGAGATAGTCGAAGTTATCAAAGACCGAGTCGGTACTGGTTTAGGAAAATGGGGAATTTGGAATGAGCAATGAATGATACCATGTGCCATGATATCGTTGATAAAGATGACCCTGATCGATCTTGATGCAATTATCCATACTATTACAGAGGTTCTCAAACATGACAGACCACCTCTCGCAAAGCGCCGGTTTGTATGCAATTGGCCCAGATGACTGGGCCACTACCATCCTTAAAATTTGCAAATACCAACTCCAGTTCATGAGACTTTTTTTTTGCCTTTCTGCAACAAAAGGGGGTATCAAGCTTTTCATTTGTGGAATCCAGCTGGTCATGGAAGGATTTCTTACCATTTGGCATTTTAGGCCTGGCTATCCTTCTCAGCCCATCGCCTCATCACACCCCGCTCCACCACCGAGCGAGCCTCCTCCTCACACTTGGAGAGGTCCTGCTCCGCGGTTTCCTCCTCAAAGAGAATATCTTGCTGCTGCACTTTGACCCATTGTTTGTGTCGCTCGCATCGCTTTTTAGTGCACACGCCACGCGTCCAGAACGCAATATCGTCATCGCTATCGCCGTTCATAGCTGTGTCTCCGTCTGCATCGGTAGAGGGTGAAGAGCCCATAGCTAACGCTTCGGCTGTTCCCTCCGCGAGGGCTTTCTTTCCAGCCTCGGAAAGTCGCCATTCGTCGAATTCCTCGTCAGACCACGAGAGCCGCGAGTCGAAGCCACAGATATCTTTCCATCCACCCTTGGGCTCGTGCTGCTTTAATTTCTCCACTATGCCTTTGGCGCGTGGCTTGAGAAGTGAGACGAATGTCGTGCGTGCGGCAAGCATCTCTTTGCGGTGGAGGAGTTCGTCTCGCTGACCGCGCAGCTTTTCGATCTTCGCTATCTCATCAGGTGAATATTCCATGCTCTTGTCATGAACATCGACTCCTAACCACCTGCCACTCTGCGGTTTGGATTCGGCTTGGGTTTCTGTCGCGGTTTCTTTCTCATCTGCTTGCGGTGGCGGGGAAATAATGCGATCTCCAAGCTTTCGGAATTCCTGTGTTGATGCCACACCCATAATGGCAGCTTTCAGGTCTCCAGCCGTCAGGATGCCACCCATGCTACCTAGGTCTTCGAAAAGACCATTCGCCTGACCAGCGCGCTTTTTAAGTTGCTGGGTCTGTTGACGCATGAATTCACGGCCATGGTCATCGCAGCAATATTTGCTTTGGGGTTTCGTCTTAACGCGTGCCGGTTTACGGCATTCGAGAAGCCGGCACATAGGTTTCCATGTTGTGCATCCTTTGCCTTCACTTGCGCAGTTCGGGCCTGGTATCTCAAGGTTAGATTTGGATAGAATAGAACCATATCTCGTTAACACTCACAAATATACCGATCGATCAGATCTGCATCCCGAGAATCGATATTGACGCATTTCCCATGGTACCAGTCATCACAGTCGGCGTCACATCCGATCATCCAAGTATGGTTATCAGGCCGTCGGCAGATACAGAAGATTGCGTTTTCATCAAAGCTGTCAGAGTCATCGCCTTCTTGAGCGGCAGGTGCTCTTGGCCCTCTCTTCTTTTTCTTCTGTGGTTTTTTCTTCTCTTCGGGCGCTGGGGATCCTGCTATCGAGACAGAACTTTGCTTCTTGCCGGGCGTTTTGCTGGCCCGGGAGACAGGCGTGTTCGAACGGCCCCCACCAACGCTGTCTACATCTGGGTCGTTCCCCTTGCGCTTTTTGGCGGCAGGCTTCTTCGCAGTACCCTTTTTGGCAGAACTGGCTGTAGGCTTTTTGCTTGGGAGCTTGACGGAATTTGCTGGGGATGATCGGTCCGACGATGATGCTCTTGATGTCAACCCGTGCTTGAGGTTGACAAGTGTCTTCGATGTCGCATAATCACCCGTACCATCAAGGCCGACTGAACTCGTCTCCAGATCATCACTGATCGCGAATTTTTCAAGGCAAGAGCTCGGTTCGATTTTCACAGATGGCAGGGGCGTATCTCGATTGGGAGTCAACGGTGGGCCTTTATTGGGGTCATAAACACCATCGTAGAGGTCCGCCCACGACAGACTCTTCTCGGAACTAGTCAGGCCATTCTGAGGCGTAGGTCCAAGATTCCTGAAGAGTCGATGCACCTTCTTGGCTCTGATGGGGCCAAAGTATCCGCATTGTCGCCACCCACCAATTCCCACCACCCGATTATCGTGAAGTATAATATTGGTCGGGATCAAATCGTTGTGTGTCAAGAATAGATGTTCCTCCTTTGCTTTGTCTGTGAATAGGATATCTCGTTCGCGGGGCTCGACAAAGGGCGGAGTATGGGAGTTGAGTTCACGGTGGACGTAGGAGGGTTCTTGCGCGGGGGAATCGGTTGTTCCAATACGTTGTAGGACCTGGCGACATTGATTCTTTAAAACCTCAATTTGATCCGCATCGAGATACCTCCAGGCAACTTCCAGCGAGACGCCCGCAATGCGAGACTCGATTGTGACATTTCTCCCTTCAATTGTCCCACAAAAGTATATCACCGGCACTGTGACTCCAATCTCTCTCAGCGGATTCTCAGCCTTCTGCGCGGCTAAAAGTTCATTCGCATTTGTAGAAGAGTATCTTTCCGCCATAGTCCCGTCAGCCAATTCGCGGTCAACCCGAATGATTATGCTTCCAACTGCGAATGCCTCCCTCGGCCCAGAGATGTTGAGGGAGTATTCCGGGGTACAATATTGTTGCGCGACCTTCTCCCAGTAATTGTGCACGGCCGGGTCAGGTTGATACCAGTGCATGAAACGAGGGGTGAAGTCGTCAGCGCGCGGTGTGTACCGGCCATACTGCGCGCTCTGAGAAACAAACGGGTCATCGCTGGGGATGTGATCAGGGTTGGTTTCGTAGGGATTGGTTGTGGATTTCGTGGCCGCGGAGCCATTCACATCATTTGCGCCGGCTGCCTCCATCTCCGCCATGGCTGTCGCAAGTGGAGGGGAAGGTATTAAGTGCGCAGTTCAAATCAATAGATTTCGCCCTAGTTGCCCGTCTGTATTTGCGAGGGAGAAAGCTTGCGTTGGCACCTGCGACGTTGAAATATACGAGCGAAGATCGCGCGGGCAAAACTAAATCGATACGAGTTCCACCGAGACTGCGGGAGACATCATGTGGATTGCATCGAGGGTGTGGGGTTCTTCAGGTGGGGATACCAGAGATTTTCAAAATGCGCAGTCTCAAGTCCACGATTGGGAAGGTGCTCTGGGTGGTCTTGTGTTGACTGTTGAATTCTCACAGGGTTGCGGACTGGCGCGATCCCACCGCTCGATCAAAGAGTTGGGGGTCTTCTTCGAGGTTCTCGCTGATGATTCTCAGTTGATGGATATGAGGAGAAAACAATGTCAAATCTCCTCTTGAACATGCAGATCCTCTGCTTTCAGCGTGATTCGGTGTCCAGGTGCCTGTCTGGGACTGAACATTATCGGAGTTGCGGACTGACCCCGAAGGCGGTGAGAATCTCGGTGCACGCGACAGCGACTCCCTCACTCTTACTACATTAGGAATGCATGATTAACATGTCCTTGGAAGGTGCATCAATGTCAAAGAGAACCTCGCCCACTAACTAGAGTGCTTGAAAATGCAGGCCCAGTCAATCTCAGTTTTCGCTGACATTGCTGGAGAAAAGACACGGATTGTTGTCAGGTTACGACGGCCAATGCGGCAGACTTGAACGGATGATGGTGCACGATAGGGTTTATCAAATGAGAGTGTGTTTCAGATCTTATACTCTGTAGGTGTGCATCTTTGGGAATTTGCTTCCGAGTTATAAAAAGAGCGGACCAAAAGCTCTCAATTGAAAAGCAGTCCACGGACACTGATGCTGACATCCAACTGTACAACGTTCTGCAGCAATTTGACCCAAAGAGTACGACTGCAATCACTTTCCCGGGACTCTTGATTGGGTGAGGTATGTCCATAAAGAAGGGCATGCCTCCCAATGATGGAAATCCTTCACAAAGAGATCTGAGAACATGGTCAAAACATGTGGGGAGGTGATTTCCAGGGGCCGACTAGTCCTGCAGGCTTCAAATACCTATTTAAAACATCGCCTACTTCACACGTTCTCCATCCATACAACATGTCTCTACGAGCTAATGTAAGATTACAGGTCGATATTATAAATCTGATCAAGAGTCATATGAGGGATATCAGGACACTAGAAGAATGACCTTCCAATGTGGACCTGTATGAGACAGCCCTAATCAGGTTAGCCGCCAAACCCAAGCTCTCCCAATTGTGTGCCTATACGGAGTCTTTACGCCAAAGAGATGGTCTTGGCCAATGCTTCGACGCAATTTGGCTTCAAACAACCTCCTTTCACGTCTCTGTTCTATGACATGCTTACAGGGTACCTAGCTGTGCCACATCTCGAACAATTTGCAATGTTGTGGAATGAAGCCTTTGTGGCGGATGTCTCCTCTCATCGTCAACCTCTGTCTCTCACACAGAAATTTGAAGCTAGTTTAGTCCAGAACACGTTGTTCCTAGGCCGCATACACGGGGAATTCGATCCAATGTACTCCGTATGGCGGGGTACAGATAGGTCAAGATAGCCGAGCCGTAGATCATGGGCTGCTTCTGTGCTTTTCTGGGCGTTCCTGAAGCTCCACTACCACATGCAGCACACTATACCCTGCACGCCCACAATGATGATCGTGCCCAGAAGGAGAAAGGGCACATGCAGACACCATATCCCATTGTAACATCCTTTTGGCTCTCTTTGTTTTCCTTGGAAAGCGCCAGAGTGTGTTGGTTTCAGCGCCACCGGGCCGGGTGCTCCTGATCTGCAGCCACATCAACTCCATCACATTAAGATTTCATTCATTAGGGGAGATCAGCGGGGAATATCCTGCTGATGGGATACGGAATTTAGTTGTATCCCGGGTTATCTTGTTTCAAAATATATTTAAGGTTTCCTGTTTGCCAGAAGGTAGGACTTGAAACCTCAGGGGAATCGTGAGATTGTGTTTATCAGCCACAATGGCTTTGGTAGCAACGCTTGCAAGGATGCGAGATGAATCAATGAGAGGTATTAGTGTGGGAATTGGATAAAAATACTGTTCTTTGTGTATATGACGAAATCTCAAAGAAAAGGAGAGATCAAGCCTTGGAAGTCCCAGCCCTAAGGCCCTGTGGATACTTACTGGTCGTTGGCCATTCTACCTGGACAAAGGCAACAAAGAACAAAACCTTTGTCAAGGAATCAAACACTTTAAGCATCTACAAAGTGACTCAATTTACTTTGTTGGAGTGTAGAGAAAACCATTGTAGCCAGTCTCTAGAATGTGCGCTTTGTCAGTGCTAAGGGTAATAAGTATCTTTGCTTTTCCCTAGCGTTCACAGAAAGCATCTTTACAACCTGAGCCAGACCAAAATAAAAGAAACCAATGAGAACTCGCTCCCCAGGACTGCACCTCCTTATGGATGAATCTAAGTCCCGTGTTCAAACCGTTCGATCCACTAGCACCATGCCATCTAAATTGAAACTCCAAGCAAGTATGTTCATGAATGGGAGGGGAAATATTGCAGATCCCCACGACGACATGCCAGACTATTGCTGGGTGACTGTGCTTTTGCCCGAAGATATGTTGTGTGAGGGCCAAAGCGACGAAGAGATAATGAACCTTGTGCTTTGCAAAATCCAGACTGGCAATGTTGTTATTGGCGATAGTTCGATGCATAGCTTAGGGCTGAATTGTCTTTCATTACCCGTTAAGGATATCCCTCGAAAAAAGGTGGGTGCAATTCTCAATTACGCAGAAAATCTCACAGATTGGTGGCTTCAACAGATTCGCCTAGGCAAAGCCTGCATTGACCAGTATAGTGTTTTCGAAGCCACTAAGCGCTCTTGTGGGCATACACAGAGCCTAGAAAACGTACCTCACGGTCAATGGTCTGCCGATTGCCTTTCATGAACCCACGGGATCGGCAGATGTATTCTGTATGGTACGATTAGTGGGGCGAAATGCGTTTGAAGGAACGGATATTCCGGATGATGGGAAATAAATGCCGTGGATCGGCCAAGAACAATCCTAATATGGCATGTCATGAAGGAAAAGTGGAGTGGGGGCGGAGAACTGGGGTTAGTCTCATGAATGGGAAATGAGATTCATGAACTGGATCCCAGATTGGTAAATAATAGGAATCGCTTCTCGTGCACCTCATGGGTTGCCATGGTACTAGGTACCTAGTTTGTATGGAGTATGGAGTGAAGTGCGAAGCACAATCGGAAACGGATTAATAGTCTTTTTGGCGTCCCTTATGCTTTTACTCCGTACATCATTAGAGATATAAGCGCGATTTATTCAGACAGAATAAGTAAGAGGATCAACAAAGTAGCACTCTGGATGAATAGGTTGGAGCGTTGAACTTTGGACGGAATCCTTCGTAACGCCCATGTTGTAGACTTGACAGACTTTGCCCCAGGGATCTCTGTTTCAGACTCCACAGGGTCACAAAATGATAATTTTAAAGAAATCCTTCAGAAAATAACTCATAAGCCGTAGAATGCTGTTTAAGCCTATTAGGGAAGCTATGCTACCGCAATGCCAAGATACGGGCACTAGCGGAACTTGACCGAGACCCTATGTTGTAGGAAACCTGAGCCTTGGAGAGCTTAATTGGGAAGAACAGGCAAAGTCTATACATAGTCATCGAAGAGAATATGCGCCGATCCCTCTCAATCTGTAACGCCCGGTGATGGCGGACTGAACACCGGGCGGATTACCGGCTCCATAGCCGGACACACGCCGTCAATGATTCGAGGAGGTGGGACCTGAGTTGCTCTAAAATGTGGACTTGATCGATCGAGCTTAGCCCACTATACATCGCAGCTGTGGGAAGTTGGTTTCGTCACGGCCCCTGGACTCAGGGGTGATCTTATCAACCCTGGAGCTCAAGCTTGTGTTAATTATTTATCCCCGGCGTGTTTGGCCCCCAATCCTATGAGACCTGCATCTCAATTACGCGCCTATCTGGTCTCTGACTCGTTGTAGAGGCGGTCCACACGTATGAACCGGAATGCTGGAAAGCTACCATTCCTCTCTAGCCTAGTTCGTCAAAAGACGATGAGCGGGTGCTGCGATAAATTGTTGCTAGGTCTTTTACGGTCTACCCCTGCTTATCTTCAGCGCGATTCGGTTACACCTGTTTTGCGCCCTGTCATGAGTTGAAGAGAGGGCCCGGCCGTCATTCGGCGTTCGATGCTTAGGCCTCTCCTCTATACTAAGCACATAGTACCTTTAAAGTACGGGGTACCGACGTTAGAACTACCCGTCCATTATCCATTGTCGATGTACATACTTCCTTCATACTATTTCGTTTCCTCTCCACTTGATTAACATCCTTTTGGCAAACCTGCCTTTCCACAAGCGACTTGAAAGATGCCAACTTCTCCTAATGATGTTGATACCAACTATGCCCCGAATTTATACAACGTGCGCTGGCAATTCATCGATTCTTCAGATAACAGTCGAGCCAACTTGACGCAAGTGAAGCGCCATGTCATGCAAGAGTATATGCGCCAGAAGAAGAGCGGCACTCGTCAAAGTGAGGGCGAGGGGGAACACTCACCAACAAAGCCCGGGCGACCCAGAAAGACTCGGGTTGCAAAACGGAGGTCTGAGAAGCAAGCGAGATCTAAAAGCGACAGCAATAGCAAACAGCCTCGAGAGAGACGATCAATCAGGAAGCAGCCCGTCGCGTGTACCGATGATTTCATCAACCAGGAGCGTAGGAGCGATCTGGTGCAAACTTCCACCATATCGAATGCCCTATTGAATGAAAGTGACGATATGTCCTCGATTTTATCTTTCCAAACATCTCATACCCAATCTGGCTCCTCCTTGCCAATTGACAACTTTGGCAATATACCTTCACCCAGTTCTCAGCGTCACGATCCAGATTTTAACAATCTCTCGTGGTCACCAACATCCACGACATCATATCAGTCCATACATTCACCAAATAATATCGTGGATGCTGCGCGACCAGACACATTCAACACTATTCCTATGGATTTGGATCGAGATGGTCAAGGGTTGTTTGATCTCTGCTTCAATGATATGCCAGGTTGCTCCTACGGACCCTCCTCTCGTTCGGCTCTAGCTCCTCACTGGTATACTGCCGCGTTTGTTCCGGAGGAAATGAAAGGTGCCGTCGCTTTCCAAACACATTATTCTCATATATACAGCTAATACTCGCTCATGGATCTGCAAATCAGGCAAGACCCCAAACCCTCTTTCAAATCGAGATCATGTTGGAACAGTGCTCCGAGACCATCTCTCCAACAATCCCCATGATACCTCCGATGTAGCAATCATTTCCTGTCTGACTGCTGCATCCTTGGAGTACATTGATTCACGACCAGGACATAAGGAAATTGGTCGGGTGCATATGCGGGCTGCACGCGAGATGATTCGAGCCCGAGGTGGTCCCTCTGCATTTGCGAACACACCTATCGGTACTTTTATCAACTGGCAAGACTACATCCCCTCGGGATATGAGCCACAAAGACCGAGCATTTTCCATGAATACGAACAACCGACTCCCATTTCATCCGAGGCTTGGCCACTACCAGCACCCCAGCCCATCCAAAACCTCCGTACAATGTCATCTTCACCATATTCCATATCCTCGGCGTTCTCAGAAGTCTCCACCAGTCCCGAGCCTCGAACCATGCTACCATCTCCCTTAATATCATCATCATTAGATGAGATTAAACTTCAATGTGAAGAATTTCTCGACTTCCTTCGTCGCTGTGAACACCTCGCCCTGTACCAGCGCGAGCATCCCCAATCATCGTATATTATCCGGCATACGGCAGTTCAAGAAACGTCCAACCTCCGCCAGATCCTCGTCTCGACCCCAGACGGCCGATCTACCACATCGGAAGACCCGAAACGAACAATTGCCCGCCTTACAACTTTGATGGTACTCAATGCAGCGCTGTGGGATTACCGTTACACCCCGGCCCGCACAGCCATATTTCTCAGCACGCTCGAAAAGGCCATGGCTGACACGGAAGTCGAGATGAGTGGCTCGGTCGAAACCATTCTTCAGATCTTACTCGAATGCAACGACGGCTCTATCGAGAGCGGGCCTATCTATTCAAACAGTGTCACACCCCCTGCTCTAGGGGAGTACCTCCCAGACTTCTCCCAGTACTATCCGACGGCTACTTCGCCTTTTGCACGCCCGTGGTTTGTTGGCCGCATGCTGAAAGTTGCGATACGGTTGAGTGACTTCTCGTGGCACCGCATCAGTGAGCTTCTATTTTCCTGTCTGACTCTCCAAGTCCAGGATTCATCAACGGCTCTTTGGGAAGCGGATCTTCGAAAGGAGGTTTTTGATGCTCCGTTGACTGGCCATGATATGCACTCATTGATTAAATGATATGTAACATCCCCTTTGGGTTTCTCTTCTTTTTTCTTGTATATATTTTTATTTTCATCTATTGGAAAAGGCTTTGTTGTCTGTTATCTTCGGGTTGGGTTGTACTCTTTGCTTTGGCATTCATTATGTTGTTCGCGTTTCTTGATATTTGTTGATGTTTCCCTTTATATACCCCCAACTATTACATAGGTGCCAATTAATATATAATTCAATGGTAATAAGGTCGAGAGTTATTCATAAGAGGGGTTCCCATGCCTATCAGTTCTATGGAAATTGAAATGGGCATATGATCATGGACTGACAAACAGCACTGGAACCCCATGCACGCCTCTTCTCTTACACCTGAATCCTAGCCAGTAAACCATCCACGGACTCGTCCTCCTCCTCCTCCTCCTCCTCCTCCTCCTCCTCCTCCTCCTCCTCATCTTCATCTTCGCCGCTCTCAAGATCCTTCTCTGTCAGCCAGCCCTTGCTCAACATCGCCTGGCTTAGCAACCGATAATCATACTCAACCCGTTTACGGACCTCCACAAGTCGCTCGAACACATTAACACACCAATTCCGATCGGTCATGCCATCGATCATAGACCAATCTAGGGGCGTCTGGTATAATATAGCATCATACTTGGGGCCGCTACGGGGCTCGGCAACAACAGCAGAGGGGGGTTCAGGGACGGGCTTCTTCTTTTTCTTGGATTTCCCGCTTGTCTGGTGAGTGTCGGAGGCTGAACGTTTCCTCATAGTCTGTTTTGGCATCTCCGAGTTATTGTTATCTGAAAGAAAAGTCAGAATCTTAGGCCCTGGGTATTTTTGCATGGGTACAACCTTTCCCGTTTTCCCTGTCACCGTTTTTGACAGCAGCTGCACGAGTTGGCTTCGTCAGAATCGGCTCATCCTGCTTGCTGGACGAATTTACTGGCGCTTCTTTCATGGATTTAGAAATTCGCCTCGCACTGGTCTCCGCATGTCGGCTCATCAGCGGGTACCTCAGGAGCACGCTGTCAGGTTGGTACCGCTTCACGAGATCATAAACCCACTTTGGGGTATCACCCACAGAAACGTCAGGGCCTGCGCACATATTAGCAACACGGCCAGGACCACACAGACCCGATGAGGCACTGACGAAGGGAGCATCTGCGGGCCAACCCTGAGTACTGGCAAGAAGTACACCCGAGAGACGACTGGAATCCCACCCCGGGGAGGAAGGCAATCCGACAGGAGTCGAAGGGTCCATTCATCTCCTTGCAAGAATCACAAGCTTCGCCCATAGGGGCTTGGTGGCCAATCATTTGACCAATTATCGCACGAACGTTAACAGCATTGTTCGCACGGGGATCCCAGGTAGGCCTCCAATCAATAACAGTGCTATACGGCATTATACGGCTCCAAGTGAGATCGACTCGACTTCTCGATAGTCTACCAAGAAAAGGGAAGCCATTTGCATCAAGTCCATTGCCTATCAAAACCCTGTCAGCTGGTAAGCGGACAATTGGCCGGAAATGACTTACCGGTATTGATTTGGCTTGCGCCAAAGGCATCCGCCGCCGCCTGATCTCGCATCAGGCAGTGACAATGGACCACCATACTGTCACTATCGCTACGGCGGTTGTTGCCCAGGGCCATTAGGCTGTCCGACCCCAGAGTGAATCCTCGAAACTTGTAAGATCGTGCAAGGGCGAAGAGGAACAGTCAAGCAGCTCTTGGCACGCCTCGAGCCACGCAGCTGCAAAGCTTTGACCGCGTACGGTATTCTGAAGTATCGCACGATGCGAAAGGAAAGTCAAACGCTGAAATTTTCACGTCAATTCTCTCTCAATCAACGCCGCCGCAGGCTCGCGTAGGGATTTGCGCTCGAGGCTGGTCACAGTATGCCGTTTGTATTTGAATTGGTTTAGTTGTGTTGAAACATCTCTCATTGCCTGTTTGTCCAGGTTCTTTTGTGCAGACTGCGCCCTTTGATAGTTGTTTGCTAGTTTGGAGGCTATGAAGCCCCCTAGTTTTCTCAGAGATAGAAGAATCAGCCTTTCTGCTTGTCTCTCTCTTTTTAGGGAGCCCCAAGAGGTCATAAGACCCTTTCTATCTCCTTGGCTATCAACCTATCATCAACTTTATCAAGCTGGGGTAGTAGGCCGTCGGGGCTAGCTATCCTATACCTGTGAGATCCAGCTAGCTATTACTCCAGGCATTTACCCATTAAGCCAAAAGGGCATAGCCAAACTGATTCATAGGAATCAGTTCAACTGGAGTGGTATATATTGATGGGTGTTAACCTAGCTAACTGGCAGGTTCCTGGGACCACACCTGTAATTAAGACACTCCTCTTTATTTATGATTGGTATTGAATTTTTCACTTGGTCGCTTTTCAACACATTCCCTGTTCTATAGAATGACGATTGGTCAAAGCCCTTCGGACTGTGGAAGCGCATCTTTATATATAGTGCTCTAGAGCATCCCGTGTACGCTATTCAACATGCAATATAATCTCAATATGCACCGAAATATTTTAAGCAAGACTAGTTACACGTCCTTCTAGGATTCCAGTGTAACATGTGAGCTTCGAAGGGAGGTTTTATCCTTCATATACGGATAGCAGAGCAGCTTTTGCTGGAGGGCATTGGGAAACGTCTGGTGCTAGACGGAGAATTCATATTTTTAACTTGCATCCTGTCCCAGCTGGTGTTGAACTTTCAATCACATTTGAGATTGGTGAAGCCACGAGACATATGGTGTTCTTCGGGGTGAGATTCGACGGGTGGACAATGGTCAACTTTGCGTTGTTGGGCATCACGAACGGATCAACACGTAGGCTGAGAAGATTTAGTTCAATGCAACTATGCACACGGTACTATCGAAGGGCGATTTGAAGAATCCTAGTAAGCAGATTAACTTTATTTCACCACAAGGTGATCTCGACAGGATTATGCCTGATCTTCAGCCGATTTTGGCACGCTGCTCTTCCTGGTTCAGTCTATCTAGTGGCGTCTGGTCTAAATGAGATGATCCCCTTGGGAGGGGCGTGGCTTAGTCTATCTTTTCCTTGCAATGGGACCCGACGACGGTATAGCCCCGTCGAAAGGTCTCTGTGAAGAATGATACGACCGCCACGGCCCACGGCCCACGGATGTTGTCCTAGAGATTGTAGGATAGATAGCTTGGCACCATGGTAGAGGAAGCACTTATGATGACTGTACCAGTGAAAATGGCCACCAAAGTGCTTAACTATAGAGCGAAGATTTGCGAGTAGCACTCAGCTCGATCTTATTTATAAATTCTGAGGAATGTCCACGGGTGTTGGGTAGTTACCAAGTTTAGCAAGTGATAGCTTTTGTGCTCCTTCGGTGATTTTTAGGTTACCCTGCTGAAGAGTCTTCATAAATGATCCCTTCATATATACATCAATTATAGCTAGAAGGTCTCAATTTGAGCATTCAGTGTTCCATAGATGATGGGATTTTGTCACACTTATACGTACAGTTCACCTTGGAATAGAGTTGGTCTGTGCGCGATCTGGCTGCCTGAACTTTCAGGACCAGACGCCTATATCGGCGGGCCAAACAGGCGAGCGGGTCGAGGCGGTCAAGATACCTGGCTGTGAATGGCCACCGTATAGCTGCCCCAGGCACCAACCCCAAAGTGTTGGGAAAGGGACTTTCACATGCAAATCACGAGAGTGGGGGCCAAGTCGAATTACATGTGATCCATTGTGAAGATTCGTTGAGTCTCCATGAGACTAGAGATCAAGCAATTGCATCTGTATCGATCAATGGTTACATTGTAGAATGTACTCTGTAAAAGCGAACGGAATGATCGTGCTGGGGAAAACCTGGAGAGGGGACCCGATAAGAAGACCGCTCCCGGAGATCAACATGAACCCCACGCGACACGGTGTCCTACTGGAAGCTAGGTAACGTGAAGTTTAGTTTGAGTTCCATTGGAGAAAAAAAGACTCGAAGCTCTCGGAAGCTCAACAAAATGTTGCCCAGTTCTTGTTTTTGGCCTCTCCTTCTTCCCTCTCCTTTCTCTTCCCTCCATCACTGCTCCAAGTGTTGTGATCTGAAAGACACAACCTGACTCTCAATTCTATTTCTCGTGAAACTTTAACAGCGACCTGTGGAACGTGCTTTTCTGCTTTTCTGCTTTTGTCTCATTTCTTTTTCCCAGGCCACAATGGCTATCCTTGACATCACAAAAGACCTGCCCACACTCTTTAAGCAACAAGTACAGGCAACCCCAGATGCCATTGCGCTGGAGGACGATGCCACAACCTACACATACACCCAATTAGATCAGGAAGTTGAAACTCTCGCCAATCGTTTACGGACTTATGGAGTGAGCCGGGACACACTCGTGGGTGTGCTCCTGCCTCGCAGCGCTCACTATGTGATTGCCTGTTTAGCAGCCCTCCGCGCGGGTGGTGCTTTCCTTGTTCTTGAATTGGCCTACCCCGCCGATCTCTTGGCAGATGTGATTGAGGATGCTAACCCCGCCGTTATAATCACCCACAAGTCTGAAACCGAGAAGATCAAAGCGCCCGTTCCGTTGATCGCCCTCGATGCACCCGTTGCCGAAACCAATGGATACGCCAAGGAACCTGCGCCATTGCCAGCAGATGACGATCTGGACCGTTTGGCGTTTGTGTCCTATTCGTCAGGAACGACTGGAAAGCCCAAGGGAATCGCCAATCCACACCGTGCCCCTGTCTTGTCATACGATCTGAGATTTGCAGTTCAAGATGTGCAACCAGGAGATCGGGTGGCCTGCAACGTCTTCTTTATTTGGGAGATGTTGCGGCCACTCCTGCGCGGAGCCACAGTCGTGATCGTGCCTGACGAATCGAGCTACGACCCCGCGGCTCTCGTTGACTTGCTCGCAGCCAAAAAGGTTACTGAAACGTTGATGACACCCACTCTTTTGGCCACTGTTCTTTCCCGCTATCCCCGATTTGGTGCCCGTGTGCCGGATTTGCGCATTGTCTGGCTGAATGGTGAGGTTGTTACTACCGATCTTGCTCGCAAGGCCATCAAAATTCTTCCCAATACCCGCCTGCTCAACTGCTACAGTGCGTGTGAAACGCACGAGATTGCATGCGGAGATATCCGTGATATAGTTGATGACGACTCTATCTACTGCCCAGTCGGCCCGCCGATTGATCCTGCCCATACCTACGTTCTAAACGAGGATGGTCAGGAGGTAGAGGAGGGAACATCGGGAGAACTGTTCATTGGAGGTCCCCTCCTAGCACGGGAATATATCAATCTTCCCGAGGCCACTGCCAAGGCCTTTGCTCCTGACGCATTCGATACTACACCCGGCGCTCGCATGTACAGGACTGGCGATTTGGCTCGCAAATTGCCTTCTGGATTCCTGGAAATTACTGGCCGTGTCGGTGCCATGATCAAGCTACGTGGTTACTCTGTTGTTCCAGCAAAGGTTGAAAGTGACATCTGCCAGTACTTGGCTGTCACTCAGTGCGTCGTCACTGCGTATGGGGATGGTCTGGAACGCCAATTGGTTGCGTACGTTGTCGCGGATAAGGAGGCTTCGTCCGATCGCCCTCCGGTCACGATAAATGAGTCTGGCCACAGCCCTTCCGCGCGTCGTGCCCTCGAAAACCACCTCGCACAATACATGATTCCGGCTCTCTGGGTTTCACTGGACCAATTGCCTACTAATGAGGTTTCCGGCAAGATTGATACCAAAAATCTTCCTCCCCCTCGCACTTCCAGCCCCAATGGCAGCGAGTCAAGCGCAGGAAAAGACCCAATCGGTCTTAATGACATCGCAGCAATCTGGGAGGCAGTACTCAAGGTTTCAAAGAACTTGATCAAGCCTGAAGATAGCTTCTTCGATTTGGGCGGTCATTCTTTGTCCCTGGCAGATCTGGCATCTAAGCTTTCCAGACGTTTCGGCTTCCGCATTCCTATTCCCCGTCTCGCGGAGAACACCACTCTTTCCGGCCACTTGGACACTGTCCGTGCCGTCAGAGATGGTCACACTGAAGAGGTACAGGCAAATCTCCCGGCAGTTTTGCTTTCTGACGCCACACTCGATGAGGACATTAAGCCCACAAATACCGCGATCACTTCCCTCACCTCGGCCGATACGGTGCTTTTGACTGGTGTGACCGGCTTCTTGGGCGCTTTCTTGTTGAATGATTTGATTGAGAATACCTCAGCCAAAATTATTTGTCTTGTGCGTTTCAGCGACCCCGAACAGGATGACCAAGCCGGGGGTGTAGCCCGAATCCGCAGAAACCTTCTCGATATGGGACTGTGGCGCGATTCGATTCTCGAGCGCCTGGAAGTCCTGCCAGGAAACCTTTCTCGGCCTCGACTGGGTCTGGCTCCAGAGGAATTTGACAATATTGCAGCTCGTGTCCAAGTCATCGTTCATGCTGCAGCCACTGTCAACCTTGTTTATCCCTATGCTGCACTTCGGGGCGCCAACGTTGGTGGAACCAGAGAAATTCTTCGGTTGGCTGCCAAGGGTGGTGCTACCGTGCAGTATGTATCTACCAATGGTGTCTTGCCCCCATCGGGGGAGAACGGCTGGTCCGAGACTACCGTGCTTGATGTGGAAGATGTTCCCAAGAAGCTGCTCGACGGCTATGGACAGACAAAATGGGTGGCAGAGCAGCTCGTTCTCAAGGCCGGTGAACGTGGATTGCCCGTCAAGATTCATCGATGTGGTACCATCAGTGGTCACAGTGTTACTGGCTCCGCGAATGCATGGGATCTGCTCACTGCATTGATTGTCGAATCCATTCAAATTGGATACGCACCAGACGTGGAGGGATGGCGAGCCGAGATGACCCCTGTGAACTTCGTCAGCAAAGCCATTGTTCACCTTGCCACACAGACTCAGACAGACCAAACTTTGTTCCATCTTGGTGATCCCAAGCCAGTCGATACACGCTCGGTCTTTGATGATCTCAAAGAGCTTGGTTACGAGACACAGCCCCTCCCCTGGGACGAATGGGTAGCTTTGTGGTTCGAGAAGAGAGGCACAGCCAAGGGTGGTGACGGTTCATTTACCGTTGACATTCTTCGCAGTGGCATGCCGACCGTTGAGTTCCTTCGAGACATCGTGGTGCTCGATAACGCCTTGACCAGACCTTTCCGTGACGTTATTGAGCGCCCTAAGGTGGACAGCCTGTTATTGGAGACATACACTCGCCATTGGTTTGCTCGAGGATGGCTTCCCCGGCCTCCATCCCGTCAGCATGCCCTCAAGCAGTCGACCGAGGTTTCCGTTAAGGGACCACTCAGTGGTCAAGTCGCTGTGGTGACTGGTGCATCTTCTGGAATTGGCGCGGCGGTAGCAGCTGCTCTAGCCAAACAGGGATGCGCTGTAGCCCTGGGTGCTCGGCGACTGGATGCTCTTGAGAGCACCAAGCGCAAGGTTGAGGCCCATGGCGTCAAATGTATCCTTCGATCAACCGATGTTACCTGCAAGACTCAGGTTGAGGCTCTCGTCCAGGCAGCAAGTGAGGAGCTCGGTCCAGTTGATATTTTGGTTGCGTGCGCCGGTGTCATGTACTTCACAATGATGGCAAACACACAGACGGATGAGTGGGAGCGCACAGTCGACGTCAACTGCAAGGGTCTCTTGCACTCCCTTTCTTCCACAGTTCCCGGCATGCTCTCGCGCGGTCGCGGCCATGTCGTTGCCATCTCCTCAGATGCCGGACGTAAGGTCTTCCCTGGTTTGGGTGTGTACTCAGCCAGCAAGTTCTTCGTCGAAGCCACTCTTCAAGCCCTCCGTCTCGAGACTGCAGGCGCTGGCTTGCGCGTAACAAGCATCCAGCCTGGCAACACTTCCACAGATCTGCTGGGCATGTCGACGGATGCCGAAGCCGTGAAGAAATACGGAGAGCCAACCGGAGCGAAGATCCTCGATCCCTCAGATGTTGCCAATTCCATTGTTTACGCCCTGACTCAACCCGAGCATGTATCCGTCAATGAGATCCTGGTTGAGCCCCGTGATGAGCCCATTTAAGGGATCGCTACTATAGACCGGGTATTTCGTTGGAGTTTTTTTCGACTTGCCACCATTTACTGTCAAGTATCTGTTACTCGTTAATTCTGACTTGTAGGGGGTTTTGATTCGATTCACGCAAAAATAGACGGCCACATAGAATATATAGAGGTAGAAGGGACAATTGTATAAAGTATTCAATGAATACCGGATTTCCAAACGCGCTCTGCCCATGCAACTCAAACCCATATGCTCCTATTTCACAGATCAGTCCGCCAAAGACCGTAAAAACTAGGTGAAATCAACAAGTTTGATTACTCAAATATCATCTTTCATTATATAGGCATCCCACTCCGGCAAATATACAGAACGGTTAGGAAAGTAAGACCCTGGGTTAATAAACCGCAGATCCCTATCTAATGTCAAAACGGTCTTAATCTCTGGGGCTGTTAGATCAAAGCCTACACCGTAAGACATCTCTCAATGAGAGACCAGTCTGGTTCTTCGACTTAGGGACAACGGCCTTAACCCCAGTGATCGTCATTTTTATGCCAAATTCAACTCCTCCCCCTTTCATGTCCACCAACTTGTCCTCTTGCGGTATCAGGGAGCTAGCTCCACTGGGAATGAACTATTCAGTCATCTTTCTTTCCACGCTGACGATCATTCCCGAACCCAGCCGCTTACTAAAAAATAAAATAACGATTGGCACGCAATGAAGAGTTGTATAGTTACTTCTATGAGCTTCACATGATTCATGATAGCCCTTATGTCGTCATCGATTCCGACATCATGTGACCGCCTCTGGTGCTAAGCTCGGCACAAATTTATAGTTAGGCCGCTATGCACGCACCTTCACAGGCCCATGGCCCATGGAAATAATACCCGCACCATGAGCCTATTAGTATGATATTTTAATCTGTATGGGGCTAGGTGGGACTTCCTGGCTACAAATTACAGGCCCAATCCCTGTTTCCAGCAGGTATATCATTATTTCTTCAATATATCTTTAAGACTTCTCATATAATATATTCACACACGATGTCCTCAAGGTATATATTAGCATCGTTATCCTGATTCGCTCTTAACCATTGTATTTACATTCATATTCTAGTGCCTCCCAGGATCAGTTCGCTGCCCTAGTTGCCAAAGGCGGCAAGTTGGCTGAAGCGGACATCGAAGCCGTTTATAACAATCTTCCAGCTCTTCCCATCGACTTCCTCCACGGAGAATGGAAGGGTGGAAGTTTTGACACCGGCCACCCTGGCCATGCCCAGCTCTTGGATATGAACTGGCTTGGAAAGACCTTCCACTCCAATGAGAATGTGGACCCTATTGTTGTCTCGAAGGATGGGAAGCGTGTATGCGATGAGAGCTGGGGCCACGCTGTCGTAAGTGACCCCTATTTATTTCGCGGATGTCTGTTCTCACATAGTGCAGCTTCGTGAGATTCGTTTCCGTGATATTGTGTCAACCGCTATGATTTACGACAAGAACCCTATCATTGACCACTTCCGCTATGTTAACGATAAACTCGTTGCCGGTGCCATGGACACGAGCCTCTATGGTGACGCTGGTACCTATTACTTCTACCTATACAGATAGGGCAGTATGCGGATCCCGTCGGCCCTCCTAGTTGCTAAGCTTGCAGCTTACATATATTGGAAAAGAATGGAATGGAATCGAGTGCTTAATTTATAGAGGAAGAAATCAGAATCGGATTGAGGCATATCCTCTGTAACGAGAGGCCGAATATCTATATATCATAGGGATTAGACGGACAAAATAAAATCACCTTTTCCTACAGTTTCCACATTATAGCTTCCTTGTCAGATAAAGCAGGCTCTCTCTGTCCTATCTAGATACTTCCCTGCCGCGGATGCTTTCTCCCTGGAAAATGGAACTGGATTGTACCCGCTCGATGTCGCCCAAGGGACTGCCAAGCGACTTGCTTTCCCCGACACTATTCCGGATCAGTATGTCTCAAGTCGTTTTGATCTCGGCTGTGGACGGATGAAATAAGGCTCTCCCTGGCTATCTGGATGAAGACTCCAGATTTATGACAACCTTTTTCGGGGGGTTACTGGGAGCGCCACAAAATTATGAAGCCTGTTGCGCGACTTGATAATGATGCAATAGCGAGGTGGACCTCTGCCCCTGTGCCACACTGTTACCATGACCGCTCAACAACATGGCTGTGAAAATACAAAGATGATGTGTCTTGGCTAGTGGACCAATTAGACTCTTGCGAAGGTATATAGTGCTCAGGGGTCGGTTTGGATTGAAATCGAATTTGCTGCCTGGGACTGCCTGGTTTCAAGCTGGCAAGAAACTAAAATACCTGCATTACTATGACAGAGACCTTCATAAGTGCCTAGTCAAGATACCTAGGTCCAACCTTGGAAAGTAGGCAGGCCAAATGAAGCATTTCGGATAATCGGCCGCGTTTATAGCCTTGCGATGTCAATCTCGTAGTCGATACGGAGTACGGAGTAGACGGTGTCGAGAGCGCTCCAAAATCAGACATATCCAGGCTGCAAACTCTGTTTTAATTGAAACCGACCCCTGAGCGCTACACGGAGTACTTCGTACACCTCCGCATATCTGCATACCTCTACCTCTACTCCGTACATACTGGTATCTCATATCTCATACATAGATGCCGGACGTATGATCCATATAGCATCTTACCTTTTTGATATATTAATGTGGTTAAATACTCTGATACGTCCCATTTGGGACACCTATCCATTGGCTGCGCGATTTATGCTGCTTTGCCGATGATACCAATTTGGGGCATCAAAACGTGCATTCACAAGAGATCAAAAACTCATGGGATCTTGCCCCATTCAGCGCATTAGAATTCTTGGGTGACGTACTCCGTATCTGCTCCCGCATTCTTTGCATCTCAGTCGATCTTGCAGACTTCAGGGGTCGGGATCGGCGTGCATGCTGCATTATGCATTAGGCAGGGGCTGGCGGAAAATACATTCAACGTGGTAACAGAAAGAGCGGTAAGCTCTGGCTGGGCTGAGATCACATTTTGAAATTCCCCATTTGCATGAAGCTCCGAAGAACTATTCTAGGCGAAGTCCGGAGTAAGGGTTATAAGAATAGTTTCATGGTGCTCAACACTCGGAGGAATAGCTTTTGGACGACTGCACGCTCGACTGTACAAATAGGATACGCAACTATTGCTATACTTGCTATGCCACTTCGTACATCCCCTCGCATCAAGTATTTGTCGGATTATCCATTTGTTTCCTATTCGTGAGATCACAAGGAGCCCTGGTCAACATGTGGGACTACTATGAAGGAAAATCACTCTTCGTGACAGGTGGATCTGGCTTCTTAGGTACAGCTATTGTCCATCGCCTGCTCACTAGCACATCCACGCTGCGTATCTATCTGTTATGTCGGGGCGGCATAGAGTAAGTCTGTCTCCAATCGGAGATTCTGTGTCAGCAATGCTAATTTTAACCGTACTCAAAGCAAACTGCGAGCTCGATGGATGGAATGGCTGCCGGCAAGCTCAGTGGAGAGTTTTTGCAGCTCAAATCGCCTGATTGTGTTCGATGGCGATATACTCCTACCTGACTTAGGGCTCTCAGAGGAGATTTTAGACATCATAAGGGATAACGCTAGCACCATTATTCATGCCGCCTCATCCATCAACTTAAGGTCGCCCTTATCCAAGCTATTTGGTAGCATCGTCGATGCCAGTGATAAGATGGTTGACTTGGCTCTTACATGCAAAAGGCTCGAGTGCTTTGTCTACGTCTCCACTGCCTATGTGAACACTCATCTCTACCCTAAGAGCGACGAGCCAGATTTGAAGATTGATGAAGAGATATACGAGCTTTCGACTCCATCCAATGTTCTTGACGAAGTAAATGAAGTGCGAAAGCGTGGCACAAGTCGAGCATATGAAGCAGAAAACTTCCCTTGGGCATATGCTTATGCCAAACACCTGACAGAAAGACTGGTACATCATCGATTCATGGAGCATACTTGGAACAGCAAGCTACTCATTGTGCGTCCTTCGATAATCGGTCCAGCTCAGTGCCTACCATTTCCAGGGTACATGATGCCTATGTCGTCACCGAGCACAATGCTGGCGGCAGCCTTGGCCTTGTCTCCATCACGAAAGGTGAAGATTGCAACGATGAAGGATAATTCACACTGGACCTCAGACGAAGTCCCTGTTGATGTTGTTGTTGATCGCATGCTTTGTCATCTCGCCATGGGGACATCTGGGTGCATTCACGCAGTTAGCGGGATAAAATCGCGCATTGTCTTCGATGAATGGAGGGAGTCGCTAATGAAGCTGCGACGTATTCCCTGGGGCTTACACCCCCATCCAATCAAAGGTGACTGGAAGTCACGCAATCAGCATCCGATCATTCGATTCTACGCAATCCTCGCAACTTCCTTCGACTTCTCAGAGGATCGGACTACTGGAATGTTACAGAACATCGCTTCGAAAGAGCCCTTAGACCTACAGAAAGAGGTATCTGATTTGCAACTGTTCACGAAAATTGATATGTCTACAAGTCTGCCGTCACGGGTTGAAGGAATTCGCTATGTCATGGATCAGTTTTCCCGCAAGAGCGAAGCGGCAAAGCTAATACTGTTGTTCTTGTACTCGGATTTTGGTAAATTGGACCGGACTAAAGATCCTCTTCTTTGCAGGCTATGAAGCTTCCGTTGGACGGGGGCGATGGAAATCCGGAGGAATTAAAAATATTATCCTAATGACCTTTCCCAAGAAACTCCAAGAAGCACTTGAATATTGAAATCTAAAGGCTACGCAGACATAGACTATATATAAAAAGGATTCAGTATTATCCGATTTGCACGAATGCGGAATTTATTCTGTACACCGGCTCTTCAGGTTTGTACAACCAATCACGCATTTTCCTATCGAAAATCCAAGACCTGAGATGTAAACAGAGTTCAAAAGATGCGAGAACTGTGATATACTCTAGTTGAAATACCACGACTTGATTCCAGCTTGCTTAGGAGAACAGACGGAATCTGTCCAGTGAGTAACGTGTCAGCTCGATTCTCGGTCCGAACCGACCCTAACCCTGCATGTATCGATCCATACTACATACATGTATGTAGGTAGCAGGGAAGTAGATAAGTACCATGTAGGTACCTGCATAGTGATGTGGGATTCGCAGTCGTTGACGCAGCGCAACTCAAGGTATGTGGCCTCGAGGGACATTCATTCGATGGTGCAAGTGGCACGGTCACACATTGTCCACGGGTAATTCATCTTGGAATGATGTCTCCGTTTGCGCATAACCCAATGATGAAATGGAGTCGGTCGAAGTGATGTCCATTCAAGCTTATTGACACGTGCCCTGTCATGCGAACGATGAGGTGACTCGTGATTTACGTCAACATGTGACGTGCGACTGTTTTTGGGAAAGCCCATGCATTTCCAAAATGATTCAATTGAGATAAACCCCCCTCTTGTTCGTAAATTCTTGTCGGACTTCTATTCATCAGTTCATAATCTACATACGTTACAATATATCTAAACCCCCTTCGCCGCGGTCCCCTTCTTAGATCGACTATCACCGCTAGCAATGCTGTCAAGACTAGCCATGTCGTAAAAACATGTGGGATTCATGGAAAGCGGATGCAAGCCCTTATGCCGGATCTGCGAGCGCGGTACGGCAGTCGGAGTGACCTCTGGAACTGTGAAGCTGCCACGCTTCTCACCCCCGAACTGGAGCGCGACAGTCTCTTCAACCTCCTCAAGGGAACAACCAGCGGTCTCAGGATAAAACGCCCAAACAAGGCCCATCGCAGTCCAGTTGAATGCAACAAAGCAATAGAGATACTTGGACCCGATATCCGTAAGTGCAATAGGCGAACACTGCGCCAATATAAGACTCATGCTCCAGTTTGTAGCCGTCGCGATGGATGAGCCGCGCGATCGAATAGGGGTAGGGAAGAGTTCAGTCTGGTAGATCCAGGAAATCATACCCACAGCGGTGAAGCACAACGAGAACACGAAGAACATGGCGATGGCGGCGCGCAGGGAATTCGGGTTGGCGTTGGGGTCGCTGAAATCGACGTACCGTGCGAGCGTGGCTTCGATACACAAGGCTGTTCCCATACCGAATAGTGATGGGATAAGTAATTTCCGACGGCCAACTTTGTCGACGAGGAACATGAAGAGCGTGTACCAAAACTGCGCCAGCGCACCCCAGACTCCAAGGATCATGAGAGAAGTTGATGTTGAAAGACCGAGGGTTTTGTAGAGTTGCGGGCCGTAGTTCTGGATCACGCTCGCACCTGTACACTGTGTGAATATTTGCAAGCCACAGGCTAGAAGTATCCTGTGGCGCCAGCGCGAGGATAGGAGGAGCTGACTCCACGATCGCACAATGGAGAGCTTTTCGGATGCGAGAGTCTGGTAGATTTGTGAGAGCTCATAATCCAGGAGGTGGCGATCAGTTGCGGTTCGGTTGAGATGTAACCGGGTGAGAACGGAACGGCCTTCTTCCTCTCTGCCCTGTTCGATGAGCCATCTTGGCGACTCTGGAAGGAACCAGATACCACAAGTGAGAATTATAGCCGGGGCGACCTGGAAAGAGAGGGGAAAGCGCCAGGAGAAGATTCCGCCCCGAAGAGAACACCCATATCCCACCCATTGCTGAAGCCTGTCAGCTGCATCCTAGCAATATCTAACCCAGTGGTGATTACTTACAGCAATTATGACCCCTAAGCCAATCATCCATTGGTGCATGCCTGCCAGCATCCCACGAATGTGCGACGGGGCAAGCTCGCTCTAGGCTCACGTCAGATACAGGTTTAGCAAATACACCGTGGATCAACATACGCAATAGACGGGGATTATGGCAGACATGTGCCCAATTGCAAAACCCGCGATGGATCGACCGGCGATCAGCATCGCGAGAGTGACCGCGCCTCCCTGTAGAGCAGCACCCAAAGTTGCCAAAATGCCACCAACAAAAATGGCCATTCGGCGACCATAGGGGTCCGATACATACGGAGCGAGGAATGATCCCACGATTGCGCCGCCTGGGTACCAAAATTAGATCCCGATCGTCGCAAGATCCACCAGATATCATAGGGTCTTACCGATATAGGAGGAGATAATGCCTCCCGCCGCGGCACCAGACAGGTATGGAGACCCGAACCGGTGGAGAAACGCCTCCTGCTCAATACTGGAAATGATCACGCCCGAGTCATAGCCGAGTAAAAATGAACCCAATGCGGCAAACGCGCAGTAAAAAGTGACACGACAGGAACTCATCGTGTGTGTAGCGCGGCTACATGGCCTGGGATTGAGAAGCAGCAGATGAGGCGACCCATATAAAGCACAGCAAGCCACCTCATTGTGCAGAAAGTCGCGTTCATGCACGGAATACGTTGAAGAATGTCGATCCACCTTGCGAAAAGTGGGACGTGCCACAGGGAGGGTGGTTGATCGCGAATGGAATGCCATGCGGGATGCGAGGGATTGGCCGAGAGATTGTTTCGCGGCTATACATAGGATAATTCCCTATACGGGGTAGTGCGAATTATAGTCAATAGTTTATAACCCACAGGCTTAAGCGCATGATTTTGCCAGTTAGGGGATGTGAGATATTAATGAGGCTCATCGTGGACCCGAAGTCGCAGAGCCTGTGGCGGTATTATTAGCTCCATGTATGTATTGTTCAATGATGAACAGTTGTTTCAGAGCCTCTACTCGTGGCTTCAATGTTTGCATTCCCCATGTCCCGCGTCACAGGGCTGTCACTTGAAGCATTCTGACGCATATTACCTTGTTTCAACCCTTCTGTGTGGCTAATCCGTGTCGCAAGGGAGTTCACGGCTGCAGGATGATACAATAGATGCATGGTATGGTGTACGGAGTACAAAGGGTGTCAAAGGGTGTACTCCGTATATGACATACAGCATATGCCCTATGTTGTACTCCGTGCTCCGTGCTCCGTACCTACATCTGTAGGGACCCTTGTAGGGCCGAGTCCTTGACGAAGAAAATAAGTGGGGGCGCTAGTGATTTGGGTCGCAATTGAGGAGGATCGCGGTTTAGCCCAATTTGGAGACGTCATATCCCGAATTTGATGTTTCTTTGTATACATATCCGTATTTGGGAGGTGTCGCTCAGTGTGCAACGGGAATAGTATCGCGGTATATATATCCCAACTCCAGGAATGATTAGGATCAACCCAATACTCCGGTGAAAAATCCCCAGTCCAACTGGTCCTTTCCCACATTCAGCAACGTAATCGAAGGGAGTTCCCGGATCCTTCCAAATCCCATTATTTCTGTGCGCAGGTCGGTTTCAAACCCCGAGACCAAATGGTCATGCACATACGGAGTATCCCGTACACCATCTGCGGCTGGGGAGACAATATACCCTGTCCCTTCCGGGTTACCCACGACCTTGGAAGTGGAAGTAATTCAAAGACCCAGCACTCGGCCTAATGACGAACCAGCCGAGCCTAGACACTTCGGTGGAGACCGGACAAAAGCAGTCGCAGCTATTGGAGGTGGGAAGTCCGGGCAAGTCTCCGTGAAAAATGCCTCAATTAAAAGGGAAAATTCTGGAAAAAAACACGCACAGACACTCTTCATGTTCACTTTGATCTCTAGAATGACTAAACGGACTAAGCTCGTTTGATTCTGGTGGGGAACTGCGAACTTGCCCTTTCTTTCTCTTTGGAGTGTACGGAGTATACTTAGCTCTCTGGCCTTTGATACTCTCCACCGCTTTCGGGAATAATCATTTCATCATCGTCGAGTATCCCTCCTCCCCACTCAAGGGAAAAAAAATCACCGCCACCCCCTAAGACCCTGGAGATCCTGCAACATTCCTGTTTGGTTTGAATCCTCTCTTGAAGTCTTGGATCTGCGCGACTCTGCTTATCTGCCAACTATCGCCGCAAGGGCGATCCATGATTTCTGCGAGATAGTGATAATCACTTCGGATCGCCCGCCAAGACCACCATCTCTTCTTACATGAATCCGCGGCCCTTACGGACATCGGATATCCAGTCATGGCGACTACAACGAGTCCTCATTCTGGTGAGAATGAGGAGGATCCTGCATCCCTGAATGAATTTAAATATTCCCAGGATGACGATCATCATGAGAATCACCATGAGAATCCCACGCAAGATCCCTCCGCAGACAAAGCACTGCCCATGCAAAAGAGGCGGCGCGTCGGTCGCGCATGTGATGAATGTCGCAGAAAAAAGATCAAGTGCGATGGCAAGCAGCCGTGCACCCATTGCACAGTCTATAGTTATGGTACGCACAGTCTTAGAGCCCATTTAATCGGGAAAGTACCCGAGGTCTAACAGTCATTCTGTAGAGTGCTCGTACGACCAACCTTCTAATCGCCGCCGGAATCCTGCCCCACAATACGTCGAAGCCCTTGAGAATCGCCTCCAAAAGGCCGAGGCCCTACTTCGCACCGTTCTCCCAAATGTTAACCTCGATGACCCGCAACTAGATGTGCTTGCGACAGGAAAGCGATTTGCCGCCCAGAGGGAGAACAAGGCGACCGAGGATGCCAAACTGTCCACCGAACAAGTTGACATGGCGCCAGAAGCGGCAGATGAAGGATTGCTCGAAACCATGGTCGATAATTCAGGCTGCTTGGATCGGGATGACCAGGGCCATTGGGATTATCATGGACATACATCCGGCGTTCTCTTTGTCCGCCGATTACGCAAACACCTGGGCACTGCAGATATCACAATCCCGATGGCACGATCGCGCTCCTCTATCACCGCTCATATGCTCGATAGCCCAAAGTCCATGTCCGAGTCACCTCAGGACACAACTTTGCCTCCTACCCATGATCTGCCTCCCCGAGTAGTCGCTCGCCGGTTGTGTCATAATGCGATCGATCATGCGTGCTCTTTGATGCGATTTGTCCATGAGCCCTCGTTTTTCGCAGATCTGGAGCGGATTTATGACACGCCCCCGGAACAATTCACCAACGAAGAAAACTCTTTTTTGCCGCTCTTATATATTGTCATCGCTGTTGGCTGCTTGTTCTCAGATGACGGGTCGGGGCAGGGTACCCTGGATCTGGCTGGCTACGAAGGAGCAATAGGTCAAGGGTAAGTCCGAGTGAGCATGATCCCGATCGAAAGCAATGATTAACGTATTCAACAGGTTCCAATTCTTTAAGGCCGGACGGCAGCTTCTGGAGATTACTGACTGTCGTGATTTGACCTCTCTCCAAGCAATCTGTTTCATGGTCTTATTCCTCCAGTCTTCGGCAAAATTGAGCACATGCTATTCATATGTGGGAATTGCGCTTCGTTCAGCTCTGAGATTAGGTCTGCATCGCTCTGTCGCCGCAGATTTCAATCCTATTGAGCGAGAACTTCGAAAGCGCATCTTCTGGGTGGTCCGCAAGATGGATGTCTATGTGAGCACGCTTCTAGGTCTCCCTCAGATTCTGAGTGACGATGATATCGATCAAGAGTATCCAATGGAGGTTGATGGTGATTTCATTACATCGGAAGGAATCACTCAGCCACCATCCAACTATACACCGCTGATGGCTGGATGCAATGCACACACCCGTCTTTCCAATATCATTTTGAAGGTCGTGAAATATATCTACCCGGTCAAGAATGCTCGTTATCGCTCCAAATCAGACCAGCGATACATGGTCAGCCACTCTAAAATCCGCGAGATTGAGCGAGATCTGCAGAATTGGATGGAGGAACTACCCCCGGCCTTGCGACCGGGCACAGAAGTATCGCCACAATTAGAACGGCAAGTTTTGATCTTATAATGTTGATCCAGTCAACAATTGGACTAACATATATCTAGTATCCGACAATTGCTACGCATAAGCTACGCCCACGTGCAGATGGTCATGTACCGCCCGTTCCTCCACTATGTCTCCGGCGGTTCCCAGGCACATGGTGTAGACAAGCGCTCGTATGCCTGCGCAGCTGCCTGCGTTAGTGTTTCGCGAAACATCGTCCACATCACGACCGGGATGCAAAAAAGAGGACTACTCAATGGATCCTTCTGGTTCACTATGTACACGACCTATTTCGCTATTCTCTCCTTGATCTTCTTCGTCCTTGAGAATCCCGATTCACCAACAGCGAAAGATGGTGTTTTGAAAGATGCTATGGAGGGCAAGAATACGTTGGCCGGCTTAGCCAAGAAGAGTCTTGCTGCTGATCGTTGTTCTCAGAGCTTATTCGTAAGTTTCCGTGCTCCCAATCTGGAATTTCCTTGACTAATTACACTGCAGTGCCTCTTCAAGACGCTACCTGAGATGTTGAAAAATCGACAGAGCTCTAAGGCTCAAGTCAGCCTCAAGCGACCTGCACCTTCTAACACTGCTGAGCCTGAGCTGAAGCCTTCGTTCGAGAAGTCCATGCCACAGCGGTCTGGCACTTTCCCAGTGCAACCAAGTACCCAGCCATCTGCAAAGGACGGTCGGAACCGCCGACAGCAAAGTCTGGACAATGTCCAGCCCGCCAGCAATCTTCATGCCGATACCACTCACCAATCGACATGGGTCTCAAGCACACCCGAGCTGCTGACGGAAACTATGACAACCCCGGAACACATATCCTCCAGCGGCATGACACCCTCTATGCCCAATCAAGAGCCACCAAGCCTAGCATGGGCCCAACAATTCACCAACCCGTCCAATCTCCCAGACCTCATGCCGATGATGTTCCCTTCTGACGATCCGTTTGCGTACCCAACACAGCCTATGTCCACCTTGGAGGATGACCACTTCCGACACGACCGCACAGGACTATCATCGCAGTATCCTTTCGACTCAACACCAGGCATGGGACCGGCTACGCCGGGCGACCCCTCCAGCGCGGGAGTATCCACTCCATCCTTTGATTTTACAAATCTCCCGAATTTCCCCGTCGCCAACACCCCTGGAATCAAGTCTTCAGTGCCAAGCCACCTCCGCGCCTCTCATTCCCGAACTTCGTCCCGTGTCCACTCCCCAATCTCTCAAAGCCAGACCCCAACCGAGGTGATCAGCAGTCCAGACCTGGTCTCAATCCCGAATCAGAACTTCGTCTGGCAGGGGTATAATTTCCAGCCCAGCAATCCGAGTATGATAGCTACTGAATCCGTACCACAACAACCAGAGACGTCTGGTCAAAATGGCTTGTCTGATTTCAGTATGGGCATGGATGAGAACATAAACATGAACGTGGACCTCGGGATCTCTTTTGATGATTTGTTTGGCAACAATGCCACTTATCGACCCGGTAATGGGGCATCCGCCGAGGATTGGTCCCAGTGGATGAATGCAAACAACCCTTAACTTTTAGCTTGAATTGCCCTATTTTTTTTCTCCCTGCTTTCTATGAGGATATGCTATTATGAAAGCCAAAATCTTTGTGAAGAACTGTTGATACCTGGTGGTTGGCGTCTGGGGTTAGGTGATTCGCCTTTTTGCAATTAGCTTTATACATAACTCTATATCGATTTTTTTTCTTCTCTATGCTTTTGACGATCATTTCTATTTGATGCCAGGGCATATGCAGGTACCGAGTACTGCTCAGTCTTCTAAAAAAATACTCCCTTCGCCAATGAAATGGTGTCAGTGACGTCATTTCCCAATCCACTGTTTTGGTGGGAAATTCAACTTGCATCTACCTCAGACCCCTGATTTTTGAGTGTATACCCAAGAATGATTGAGTCGGGCATCAGATTACCCCTTTTCCAAATCCGAAGACCTATCACCAGTTAGATTGGTGTATCTGCCCCCGCCCTTATCATCCAAGGCTTGAAGATCCTCCTTCATCCACTGTGATCCGGCGCTCTCGTCTCGATATGTCTTCCGAAGTGCTAAAGTCCGCATGGAAAGTAATTCCCACCTTTCAATCCCGTTCGATTCCTCTCACAGTTCAATTCTACACCGAGAAGCTCGGATTCGGACTAGCCAGCCTGAAGCCTGAACCCGGCTCATCCGAGCCAACATTTTGCTCCTTATTCATCGGCAAAAAGGCAGATGCCAATTTCTACTTCTCAAAGGCATCCACTGCGACTTTTACTCCGTCTCAGGCAATGATTGCACTGGGTACTTCGCAGTTGGATAAGCATTACGACTATTTGAAATGTCTCACGGATGTTGAGATTGAGGGGGAAATCGAGGATACGCCCTGGGGGTATAGACAGTTCACAATCAAGGATATTGATGGGAATCTCTTGACATTTTTCAAATTTCTGGAGGGGGGAAATCCCGGAGGGGATTGAGGGGAGAGTGGATGCGGTTGATTCAATATATGCACGACAGACCTTTGGACTTATATGTCACAAATCTTAATATTTGCTCCAATATTGCCTCAAGTATCTCAAATACTCGTGCTTTCGAGGGAAATGTATCATGGGACCTATTCCCGGGCCTTCTCTCTGACAGCTCTGTCGAAGCGCATACATGACAATGCAGGCGATTGCTTTTGTCAGGATGGGGTTATCATATTCTACAGATCTACGAGTGATGTATCGAACACAAGTCTAGCCTAACTTGATGCATTTCCTCAGAGGCTACATAGCCAATACAATAAATCCCCGTAAAAGCTTAGGGACGAGGCTACTCCCATGATACTCAACACCCACCATTGCTCTGGAAGTAGCCACCTAGTCAGAACTAGGTACATTGGTTTGCAACGGTATTGTAGGAGGAACCGGTACAGCCGCTTCCATCGGAAGTGCACTGCGCAATAGTCGTCAATCATAAACCCCGTGTGTTGATGGACAGTTTTCACTTACAGGTTCATACTCGGGGCAAGTCAATACCACGATATTCGGGGCGTTGCCTGGTTTTCCAGGACTGGTCAGCTTGCAAGTCTGGGTGCTCGCTTCGCATACCTAGTATCAAGCTTGATGTTAATACAGATTGAGCATGGCATCGGGTATAGTGTCACTTACGCCGCCACGGAGGTCGGCCATGACCATGGTAGCGCCGAGGGCTAGGATGGCTAGAATACTCTGATAGAACTGCATGATGAAGATTGAAGATTGCTTGATAGTGATTACTGAGATTGGAATTGCTTGATAGCCTCGATTTGCTGGAAATATCCAAGCCTTATATATTCGCTGGCGATGCACTGCTTGAGGCCTTTCACCTTCTTTACCAGGACCAGGATAGTTGGCATTGTTACTCTGTTTTCTATTTCTCATCTGTTCTTCCCTGTTGATTTACGTTATATCTGGAAAACATCGTGTTACTCTTTAGATCTATGTTCTTTAGATATCGCGTTCCTGCTGGCGTTCGCCATGTGTTGGCCAATTACTTCCTGCATGAACCACCAGCTGGGCAGTTCCGCGTAGAGAATGGGTTACCAAAGCGTTAATCGTATCGGACGTGGTGGAAATGTTCTTAGCGTGTCGGAAGGTTGGGGATATTATTTCCTGTGGTACTTCCAGTAGTCCAATCTGGATTGATCGGAATTCCAGGATTGTACAGCATATTGATAGGTGTAATTTAGGTATTCTGGTGGGAATGTTCAAGACTCTTATATTGTGCGATCTATAGACTCGTAGATCTCATACTCCCAAGTCTTATAGATCTGCATTTAGGGGCTTCGGGGATTCTCCGGAGAGTATTTCCCTTTTTGGCATAGCATCGAAAGTGTGCAGATCTAGCTTAATGCTTCAATATTTGGCTGTTTCTGTTTCTATTCCTGTCGCTTTATATCTGATTCTACTATCCTCCCTGATCTTCGATCGATAGAACCCTCTATATTTTGCCAATGAAGTCATACTCGTTGAGTTTCGAGCCCATAACCCGGAAGGTATGGATCAGTAGACCCACATAGACTCACATCCCGAACCTCGCTGTCCCTTTCGCAGCGGGATGGCAGTGCTCCACGACACCACCCTTTCTTGCACATATCCTTCCTTCATTGGGACTTGATAGATCCCATTGTAGCATCCGCAAACATCCGCCCACCTGGGCAAGTTGCTTGAAGAGTTAATAGGTCGAATCCCTCTGGATCTGTACCCTGTTATTTTCCCTGCATATTTCCGGCACTATTTATAGTCGCGCCAATGGCGTCATTTCCAAAGCTTTCCACCATAATCACTTGGGCTCTATACCTGATCCCAGTGTATATCTTCATTCTGGACCCGCTAGTGCGCGGTTACTTCCCGAGCCTGGTGGGAGATCCCCCGAGAGCAACAGGCTCGACGACTTCGGTGCGCCAGGACCAGGGATCAACCTCACCGATGATAGCTTCATCAGTCCGGAAGATGGTGTACCCTTCAACTGCCCCGGCGCAGAGCAATACCGCGTGCACCTACTCTTGCGCGAACCGTTGGTCATGTACATCGAAAACTTCGTATCGGAAGCCGAAGCAAACCATATCCTGGACATCAGGTAAACCACAACCCTTCCGCGACTTATACGCATGGGTGATACACCGTACCCACAAGACTAGCGCTAACCGGATCCCCCAATCCCAGTGTGAACAAATACTCCCCGTCGATCGTTTACGACGGCCAAATCGAACGAGTGGACCCAACGAAACGTCTCTCCGACCGTGCCCTCCTCGATCGCGACAATACAGTCCGCTGCCTGGAGGACCGCGCCCGTGCCTTCCAGGGCTGGCGCCCGAACCTGTACATCGAGCGCATGTGGGCGCAGCGCTACAACGCTTCCGGCCACTACCGTCACCACTATGACTGGGCCGGATCGCTGGCACGGGGCGGGGACCGCTTCAGCACATTTATGGTCTATCTCGATGCAGATTGCGAGGGCGGGGGAACCAATTTCCCGCGATTGAAGATGCCGGCTGGAGAGGATTGGTGTCGGTTTTTGGAGTGCGATCAGCGGGGAGAGAATGGGCAGAAGCAGGAGATGGGTATCACATTCAAGCCGATCAAGGGCAATGCGGTCTTTTGGGAGAATCTGCGAGCGGATGGGACTGGGTACCTGGAGACTTGGCACGCCGCATTCCCTGTTACAAAGGGGACTAAGGTTGGCTTGAATATTTGGAGTTGGTACCAGCCAGGAAAGCAGAGGAACCGATCGGGGATGTGAGAAATGGGTTCAGGAGAGAAGAGCGCGAGTTGGGGTTTGGCTGGCCAAGCCATGTCTCAGGGAGCATCTGGAATGCTTAGGCTCAGCGCTGGTCGAGATGACCAGTCTGGCCAGTATATTGTCACATGTCAGACCGAGAGGAGAAGTTACAAATAGAAATAGAATACAACATGGAAATGAGTAATAGCTCATACAAAGGTGACATATAGACCGTGTTCGGAGGACGAGGGGCCCCATACTCCATACTCCATACTGCGTACGGAGTACAGGTGGCTAGACGCCGGTCTCAAAGAACCCTGGAATCCGAGACTCATGCATACCGGGCTAAACATGGACATCAGGCAACCGCATTAATCAGATGACTTGTCAGACCCCCGGCTTCATACGAATGGGATGGGCAGTGACGTGAATACCAAGACCCAAGACTCAAGTCTTGGTCTTCGGAGCGGGAATTATTGGCAAGAGGAATCACTTGGCTGCCAAGAAAATATTGCTCTTGGGATGTTTCTTGGATATTGGCTTGGCACAAGGAACACACCACGCCCATGCTTTAGAACCTGCCGCTCTGCTCCATTGAACGGTATCGATTCAGAGGTTCCGGGGAGAAGCCGTGATATGTAGATTACCTCCCTGACTTCTGATCTTACCTCCCATTTACCGTTATGTGCGCACACTAATCTGGTTTAGGGTATACCGCATGTACTTTATACCAAATGAGGCAGGCCAGTTTGCCCGTGTTTGTGTCGATACCAGCTCCGTACACACTGAGTGGTGTATTAATCTATTAAATACGGACTGTACACTACTGTGCTACGTGTTAGCCCTGGAATGCCCACGCACAGCCCCTCGTTCCCCGTGGTCCACCAGTCACAAGCCACGGCGCCCAACGCCTCTCGGGTCTTGGGGCCCGCACCGACTCTTGGCCCGGTCTTGGTCTTTTCGCTTCTCCCCTTGTCTTCCGCTAGGCTTAGCAAAGGTCTTTTTCTGGGCAAAGGCTCGGCTCCTTTTCCTCTTCTGCGGAGAAACCCCATTTTCTCTTGACAACTCTTTAACCCCCCCCCCTTTTTCCCGTCTACTCCTTCTTTCTAGGCGGCCTTTTATACATATAGTGTGATCCTGCCTAGTCTAGTCTTTATACGACTTTCTCTCACGTTATTCCTTCCGTTCTCGTCCAATCTCAGGCTTTCCGCCAACACAAGATCAATTTCTTGGCATCATGACGGAGAATCATCCCCCTGCTACGACCCAGGCAACGTTGCCTACGCCCGTTGCTGAAGCTCCAATTCAGGCAACTGCGACCCCATCCGCTTCTGTCGCCGCAACTGCCGCCGCCACCGCTGCGGTTAACAGCCCCTCTTTGAATGGCGGAGAGCAGCTACCTTGCCAGTGGGTTGGATGCACCGAGAAGTCCCCTACTGCCGAGTCTCTCTATGTAAGTGTTTTTTTTAAAAAAATATAGTACCAATATTTGAGGAAAAAAATACTAACATTTCCCGCATAGGAGCATGTTTGCGAGCGCCATGTTGGTCGCAAGAGTACTAATAACCTCAACCTGACCTGCCAGTGGGGTACCTGCAACACCACCACAGTCAAGCGCGATCACATCACCTCTCATATCCGAGTTCATGTGCCGCTGAAGCCTCACAAGTGTGATTTCTGTGGCAAGGCCTTCAAGCGTCCCCAGGATTTGAAGAAGCATGTCAAGACACATGCCGATGACTCCGAGATTCGCTCTCCCGAACCTGGAATGAAACATCCTGATATGATGTTCCCCCAAAACCCGAAGGGTTATACTGCTGCCACCCACTACTTCGAAAGCCCCATCAATGGTATCAATGGTCAATATTCCCATGCACCACCTCCCCAGTACTATCAGCCACACCCCCCGCCTCAGGCCCCTAATCCTCATTCTTACGGCAATGTTTACTATGCTCTGAGCCAGGGACAGGATGGGACCCACCCTTATGACCGCAAGCGTGGATATGATGCGCTGAATGAGTTTTTTGGCGACTTGAAGCGCCGTCAGTTTGATCCTAACTCCTATGCTGCGGTCGGCCAGCGTCTGCTGAGTCTGCAGGCCCTTCAGCTCCCTATTCTCAACGGCCCTGTGCCTGAATATCAGCAAATCCCTGCATCAGTCGCGGTCGGTGGAGGTGGTGGCTATAGCCCCGGTGGCGGCCAAGCTCCTGGCTACCACCTTCCCCCCATGTCCAATGTTCGGACGAAGAATGATTTGATCAACATCGATCAATTCCTCGAGCAAATGCAGAACACCATTTACGAAAGCGATGAGAATGTGGCAGCTGCCGGCGTTGCTCAACCTGGCGCGCACTATGTGCATGGCGGCATGAACTACCGCGCTACTCACTCCCCGCCGACCCAGCTCCCGCCAAGCCACGTTACTGCAACCACCTCCGCTCCTATGATGGCTGCTTCCGCTCATTCCCCGTCCGTCGGCACCCCGGCTTTGACCCCACCTTCCAGCGCACAGTCATACACCTCCAACCGCTCCCCTATCTCCATGCACCAAGCCCACCGCGTGTCGCCCCCTCACGAGAGTGGCCCAGGCATGTATCCCCGCCTGCCCTCGGCTACCGTCGCCGACAGTATGACTGCCGGCTACCCGACCACTTCGGGTGCTGCAGCGCCTTCTACCCTGAGCGGCGCATATGACCATGATGATCGTCGTCGCTACACCGGCGGTACTTTGCAACGCGCCCGGCCGGCCGAGCGTGCTGCTACCGAGGACCGTATGGACATGTCCCAGGATATCAAGCATGATGGCGAGCGCACTCCCACCAAGGAGCACCCCGCCGTTCACATCTCAGAAAGCTTGATTGACCCTGCCCTGTCCGGTACCTCCGATCCCGATCAGGACGCAGTCAAGCGCACTGCGCAGGCCGCCACCGAAGTTGCTGAGCGGGATGTTAACGTTGCTTGGGTGGAGAAGGTCCGCTTGCTCGAGAACCTGCGTCGGCTGGTCTCCGATTTGCTGGAGGCCGGAAGCCTCAATGTCGAATATGGAGCACAGACCACCTCTGTCTCCCCCACATCCGGGCTCGATGCCATGGAGGGGGTCGAGACTGCACGTGCCGCTTCGGAACAGCCCAAGGAGGAACCCACTAAGGCCGAGAGCGAGGCAGTCTTCTATCCCACATTACGTGTGGTAGATGAGGATGAGGATGGAGATTCTAAAATGCCTGGGGCTGCGTAAATCATTTCTCTCTGTTCTCTGGCTCTAGCCGGATTCACGCCGTGACGACATCTGTTTATTTTCTTTATTTTTACATTTCTCTTTTCCTAAGCTCTTTCCAAGGTTGTTCTCTCAGGTTGGGATTGAACGCTTGTTCCATTGGAGTATATTTTCTCCGTTTCTCTAATTTCCGAAATATTTCATAGGCGCTTGCATCTCGTGTCTTTTGTTTTCTATTTGTATGATTAGAGCTTTCCCAGATTCCTCGCAGCAATGAACGGTCAGTGTTTACGTGCGGAAATTGTTTGCGTCGTTCTTCCGTATTCATAAATCGAAACCACATCATCACAAATGCGACCTCAGATCCACTGCCGTCTTGTAGATCGACATGTCAAACCCGAACGGGCAAAGGAACATTCCAACGGCTGAGGCTAAACTACATCCGGGCAGTGACGCAAACGGTCCGATCTTGCGTTCTCCATCGAGATCAATCCGGGGGAGCATGTCGGCATTCAATAGGGACTTGGTTTAGGTTGACCCAGAGACGGTGAAGCCCTAGATGTGAAGAGCGAAGGGAGATACTCTGCATTCCGGACCCCGGTGTACAGTCCGTCGATAGCTATAGTTCTGTGGACAGGGATCTGGATCCCTCACTAAGCCCCAGGGGCATAAGCGTGGCATCTCTTCTGCATCTGGTAGTCCCACTCGCTCTGCACTCGGAAGCATCCTCGATCCCACGTTAAGCACGTAATGCACGTATTGGTATTTCGGGCCGATCTCCGCCTATCGGTGGGCTTTCCCTGTATGCATACGCCGTTATGACCAAACTCCACCACTGTTTACGGTCATCCCATCACACTTGATTTCTTTTTTCTTCATTGTACTTGTACACTTTGTTTTCTCTCTCCTGGTCTTCACCATTCACTTTTCTCTTTCATTTCTGGTTCTTTGGGTGGTGTGAAGCTATATCACACGCTCCCCACGCGACAAGGCGGTCACCCCCAAACAGACGCCATTGCGCGTGTTGATCGGCCTAGGGATTATCGATAATAACATCCAGCCACACAATATCAAACCACAATATCAAACCTTGGAGGTTTGTGTATTGGCATCCAGCCTTCCAAATTGGTCCTTGTTTATTGTCTGACTTTCGGCCCTTGTGTTTTAATTTTTTTTTAACCCTTCCTTTATCCCGTGGTGGCAAACCCAACCGGTTGGCTCTAGCACTCTTGTTCTCTGGTTCTACCTCTGAACGCTCTTCCGATTCTGGGGCGACTGCTGAAATCCGGATCCAAAATTGCCTTTGTTTTTTTTCTGGGACTTGCTTTTCGCCTTCAACTTGCCTCATATTTCCTCCCAGTGCCCCGCGCTTGTTGGTGGAGTACTACATCTCGGACTTGATTGCCTACGCAACCGGAAGGGAAAAAACATACTTTGGCGGCTCTGGCGACTCCGATTGCAAATATAACCGGTGAAGGAACAGCGACTTTCATACGATATGCCGCTCACAAATCGCCGCCGCGCGCGGCGCAAGGAACTTCAACTGCAGGAAACGTCCGATGCAGAGGCACCGGACTCATCACCTAGCCGGCCGTCCGCAAAGAAGCGCAAGGTGAGTCAAAACAACAGTCTAGTCTGAGACAAAATATCCCCCCAGCGCAAACAGGAGCTAAGACCCGGTTTCTTCTGATCTGCAGGTTGACCGGCGCCCCTCCCCTTCGCGAAACGTCAAACCAGAGTCCGGCGACGAGGCCGAGGACTCAACGGGTGATCACGAACCCGCTTCCAACCAAGACCTAGTCGACCTAGTTATTTCCTACTTGAACACACCACGGGACGAACTGCGCGTCTCGCGCGACCACTCCAACGTCAAGACCGAGAATACGCAAAGCATTCAGGCCTATGCTAAAATCGCCGGCCGCAATTGGACCTATTACGTCAAAACGCTGCATGTCAACATCGGCCGTGAACCGGACCGCGAACAACGGGCCGTCGAACAGTCCAGCCCCGTTACAATCGCCGCTCGTGCGCTCCCACAGGTTCATGTCGACTTGGGCCCCAGCAAATTCGTGTCGAGATTACATGCCGAGATCTTCTATGATGGCGAGGAGACGCCCGCCTGGCACATCCGCGTCAACGGCCGGAACGGCGTACGACTGAACAATGCTATTGTCAAGCGCGGCACCGATGCGATTCTCTCATGTGGCGATATTATCGAGGTGGCCAATGCACAGATGATGTTTGTTACGCCTGGCGATGAAGCTAATATCCAACCCTGCTTTATCGAGCGCGCCCAGCGAATTGCTAGTGGTCAAGAAGTCGATCCGTCAGCTCCCTGGGATGCTTCGCACCACTCTCATCCCCAGCCATCTCAGAACAGCGAGGTTGTGCCACCATCTTCATCTGGTGGGCCTTCGTTGGCACCCGCTCCGCAATTCCTCAAGCGCCAGGTGACGCCGCCGCCGCGGTCGCCTGATACTGCTGGTCAGCGCACGGCGAAGCAGTCCCCGCTTTACAACCGTGGCATGATGATGGAAAGCACCGAAGAGATCGATTACAGCAAGGATTCTGCAAAGGATTTGAAGCCGCCGTACAGCTATGCGACACTGATTGCGCAGGCTATTTTCTCAAGCGAGGAGGAGAAGCTCACATTGAACAGCATCTACAATTGGATCATGGATAAATATGCTTTCTATCGACATTCCCAAAGCGGCTGGCAAAATTCGATCCGCCACAATCTCTCGCTGAACAAGGCGTTCCAAAAGGTTCCCCGCCGGACAGACGAACCGGGCAAAGGTATGAAGTGGCAGATTGCGATTGAATATCGGGAGGAATACCGAAAGAAGCAAACCCGAAAGGGCGGCCCACAATCATCTGCACCATCCTCTCCAGCGACAAGGGAGCCCCCATCTTCAGCGCGCACAAGCCGCGTTACCAAACCCGACACCTCGTTCTCAGCAACGGCCAGAAAGTCCCCACCCGTTTCGTCACCCGGCTTCAGTTCCTTTCCAGTGGCACCCGTAGAAGCATACACACCCGAGCGTGGCTCCCGGCTTGGTCGAGGACTTGGATCCGACCACCCACTGCGACACATGAACCCACGCGACTATGATGAACCGTCCCCACTCCCAGCGCGCTCGCACCATCATAGCTCCAGCATTTCAACACACGCACAACACGGCAGTAACCACCTGCCTCGCGCGTACGGGATGTCTGATAATATCACCGGATCCCCGCCAGTCCTTTCCTCGTCTTACTACAACGAAGAACCCTCTTCAATGATTACCCCCGCCCCACAACGCCAACAACCCCGTCTTCCACCCCCAAGCACAGCGCAGATTCCATCGAAGTTTATGCCAATGAGCTCACCCGCGCAGTTTTGGAAGTTCGCTGATATTGGGAGCACTCCCGCACGCCCACCGCCAGACATGAGTCCCTTGAAGCGCGAGAGTGAGGTCGAGGACCGCATTATCGGCTGTTTTCCGAGTAGCTCTCCCCCGCCCCCAAACCTCGTCAGTCCCAGTAAACCGGGCACGTCGAATGGGCTAGGCTCGAGCCGGACTCTACCCCCACTTCAGTCGGATTCAGGTGATCTGGGGGTCAATGGCCATCCCGCCCTGAGAAAAGTAGAGCAGGAAGAGGACGACGAAGACAATGGATCTGGTTTTGATCTTGCTAGGTATGTGGTTATACCATCTACGGCCGCTTTTATGCAGGAAACTAATATATATTTTCGCAGGGGCTTCGAACCTATTGGCTCTTACCATCGGCAACTGAGCAACGCTGCCCGCGCGACTGCTACTTGATTTCGAGTCCGATGCAGACTTGTTTTATCTTGTGATGTACAACATCCCACTTTCCCGGATTGTGTCTATGTGTTTTATTGTTTGTCTCATGTTTCATGCTTCCGCATTACGAATGGTGTTGGTGGCTTTGGTCATTTTTATACTTGTGTTCTGAAGGTTTGTTTGATGACTTTGTCATTACCTTGGGAGCAGAGACGGAGTTTGAGATCAATCTGCTTTATTTGGGGAACGGGATACTCGGCGTTCTTGTTCCTTGATTTCTCTCGTTTTGTTTCTTTTTTTTAACTCGTCATTCGTTCTAGATGACGTTGTATGGATGGCTTCAAAGCCCGATGTATGATATCTCACATGCAATATTGTTTTACCAGCAAAACAATAGCGTCTAAATCTAATCAGATATGTCTATTTTCTTTTGTCTATCTAGTCCTCTCAAAAGTACCCCGTATTCCGTAACGCAAAGCCCTCATTCAGCCACAGTCGGCCAAAAGTTCTCCTCCAACCAAACAATCTGCCTCCACCACTCTAAACACCGTCCACGCATAATCTCCGACTCCTCAGCACCCTTAATCTGCCCAGACATCTCATCAACAACCTCCCCAATGCGATTAACAAACGCCTCAAACTCATCACTCGACCAATTCCCAATAAACTTCTCCCTCAAAGCTCCCCCGTCAGCATCATTCTTATAAACCCTCTCCCCATCCTCCTCCATACACCTCGCCGCAAACCTCCAAGACCTCAAATAACAAACCTCCGTAGCCCACAGCACCGCCAATCCCTCCAAAACCGAAACCCCCGCACTACCCGCCGACATAAACATATCAATATAAGCCCTAGTCGTCCGATTCGCACAGAAAAAGATCGTTCCACACCGCTCCATCTCAGCCCGACCATCCCCATTAACTGCCCCCGCCGGCCCCGCCTCCACGCCCCGCCCAGACTCATTGAATTGCGGGCCCGGCGCACAAACTCCCCCGCCAGACGGCATCTGGCACTCCCCCTGCGCAAGACAAAGCCCGTGGCCGGGGGCGGTGACGTCCCCCGACGCTGGTGCGACACAGCCTTTCTCAAACGGCGCTTTGCCGTCGCCACCCGTGAACCCGGGACAGCTTCCCGAGCCGGAGCTGGAGATGCCGGCGGAGGTGGTGATGTCTGAGCCGGAGCCGCAGGAGGTCAGGGAGCAGCCGCCTTCTTCGGCGGAGATGGCTGTTAGATCGAGGGAGTAGGCGTGGGCGGTTTGTTCGAAGAAGGCGAGTTCGGTGCGGATGTTGACGAGGGCGTCGATGAGGACTGTTATGGCGTTTTGTTCGGGGGTTGTGAGGCCCGGGGTGGTGGATGTTCGGCTCTGCGTTGGAAGGCGGATTTTGGAGAGCAGCAGGCCGATGAAGCGGATGTAGGATTGGGCGTAGAGTCGGTCTTGGGAGAGCCATTGGCTGAGTTGGGATTTTGGGAGGGTGCCTCGGCCGGCGGAGGCGAGGAAGGGGTGGGTTGTTGCGCGGGTTAGCGCATTGGGGGTGCTCGCGAGCAGATAGGCTGTTAGAGGGCCTTGGCCTGCCATATTTGTGGGTGTTTGTGGGTGTTTGTGACGAGAGGTAAGTGAGCAGGAGGGGGGAAAAGAGAACGTCGGAGATAAAGTTTGGTGGGAGGGGCAATAGTGGGATGAACAGATTATGTCGTCAGTGGGACATGGCCACTTGTACCTAATGTACGGAGTATGTAGACATGGATCTATAATCTACGTGTAGCAAACAGCTTGTTTGTGTCATATCAGATCGGCGGAGATTTCATTCAACTACCATAAAATGCTAGAAATAGCCATACATCCCCTTTTTTTTTGGTTTTCACATTTTTGATCTCACGCGGTCTGTTCAGTTAAGACCTCCCACTGGCCCATTCATCCTTTCAAGGGCATCCGAAGAGGTATGTTCGAATCATTCTCAAAAACCATGGACCAGCTTCCTTCCTCCAGTCAGTCCTACTTGAGCAACTTGACATTCTTGCAGTGGGACATCAGACTTAGGTGAAACGATCCTCGTTAATGCCACCAGACATTTCATCCTTGGGCTCAACCTTGGGTTTCTTGTCACGGTCTTCACGGCTGTCACTGTCAGCACGCTCGTGGCCTGCGGGTTGCTCTCCGGCTACCCAAAGCATCAATCGTACGAGAGCCTGCATGGTGTAGTGTGCATCATTTCCCGCATTGTGCAAGTCGCAAGACAAGATATTCAGAACACCAAGCAGTGATTGAAGGCCTCGCAACTGGAGCTCCCCGTGCTCCACTCGGTACAGCTCTGCCACGTCAACAACCTCACGAATGATGGAAGAAGAACCCTTCAAATCGAGGAAGACTTGGCATTGTTTTTCCCGGAGAAGTTTGAGATCATTGCGGAGATTGATGCCAACGAGGATCAAGTTTCGCTTATGAGTCTTGTATCGGGGGATTCTATCGTCCTCCGCGGCCACCATATACGGCGGCTGGAACGCAGCATCCACAACCTCTGGAATCTCAGCGTTTGGAATAATCTCGCTCTTGCCGAATCCGAACTTGGTGGGACATCCAGACACGAACTCATGGTTGACCCAGTTTTTGTACTCAGCCACACGCAAGTGACGGGTTCGAATTTCTTTCATCCACAGTTCTCCATAATCGCCAGGGATAAGGCCACGCAAGTCCATTGTATCCAGAGTCGAAATTCCGACCTCAGTGAGCTGAGATGGATAACGCTCATTCCACTCGATATCAATGCTGAGAAAGATCGGCGCATCATGGAAATACCATTTGACAGGACTGAGAACATCAATACGTCGGATCTGTCGGTTGGCAAACGATGGCTGTTCACGGCCCGGCTGCAGGGGAGGACGCAGTCCGAAGTACGCTTGCACACGGCATAGGCATTCCGTCCACATCTTGATTCGAGCATCTTGATCTGCCTGCTTCTGGGCATCCTTTCCCCACTTCTTCTTGATCGTCGCAACAGATTCCTTGATTCTTTCTTCGAAGTCCTTGGACACACGAGACATGAGCGGACGCATCCCCCAGTTCTTGAAAGGGACAGGAACAGATTCTTCGAGTTGTATCTTCTGAGCTAGGGAGCTGCTTTGGCCGAGCAAGATTGGGCGCACCGGCGAGTCATCGTTGAACGCAACCACAAGACCTTGTTTGCCCGGACCCATGAGAGTCAAATTCAGTCTCAGGGTGGAGTTAATTTCATTTATGAATCCTTGAGCCTGGACGGTGGGAATCAAGAGAAACACGCGCTCATAAATCGCCTTTGGAACCGGCAAATAATACCTGGGTGAGTATTAGTATCGATATCCGTTGCTAATGTTTACTAGGTATATTGCACGAACAGATCCCAGGTCCGATTCCAAAACTTATTGCCCTGATAGAATCTCGCATCGATTCTCTTGGAGTTCTCCCCGTGAACATACTTGAACGGAAACCGGGCCATAGCGACGGCGGGAGTGAAGCGTGTCAGAGTCGAGATCGTAGTGACCTGCTTCCCGACCATACTAGGACCGACACCACCATTGTCCTTCCCCTGGTGCTCCAGTTCATCAAGGTGGAGGTCCAGAGAGTCGCTGGAATCATCGTCACCCTGATTAAATCCGGTCAAACGATTGTTTTCTGGCTCAGCAGACTGTCCAATTACAAAAGAACGGACATAAGAAACAGGAAGGTTTTGACGCTCAGTCATCACCATTGGGTTGTTCGGATCACGATAAAATTCAGAAAAATTTCCACTTACACCTTGCTTGGCTTCGTCGGACTTGGAACCACGAACGGCTTCATCCTCAGCCTGTGCAGGAGGGGCGGTGCTGGGTCTGTTCAGGCCGGTATCCAAATCCATAAGGCCCATATCACCCTCGAGGAGCATCATCAGACGTTCATGAGGCGTCATTTCGAATCTGAGCTTGAGATAAGCCGGAAATGATTGAAGAATGATATGAAGGTCGGATGAAGAGGGAAGAGGGAAGAGGATAGAAACAAAATACGATGACAGGACGCGAAGCCTCGAAGACGCGAATCTCGAGGCTTTATGTATACAACTCCCCGGGTGGGAAAGAACGACCCAGGGTGGTCTCGTGGTCTTCTTCACAACTGATCCGTAGCGGTGATTGACGTGAGATGTCCGATGGAGAGTATCTAGCGGCGGCAACATGGGGATGGTATGTTTAGATAAATGTATACCTATCTCATATATACCCAGGTAGGTACTTTATAATCCAGCAAATTTGGCGGTAGCAGCAGAAGTGTCTCTTTTATCTCTTTTCAACGACTGTCACACAGTGGAGCCATGATATACCTAACGTAGGTAGGTAGATAGATGCACATGTGGAGGTAATACAACCATATAAGCAACTTGCTCCCTCAACTAGCATTCTGGTAAACCTTATTTGATGGAGGACTGAGTCTCAAACTTCCCAGTTCTCCTTTGGCTTCAAGAACCCAACTTAAACGCTCACACCGGGAATAAAATCAAGGCGAAATATACAAACACCGACTGACAGGGACCCACAAATATGTATACTTTCACGTGACTGGAAGCTCCCCAGACGGTAACGGAAGAATAATATTCCGCTGTTTAGGACCTCGTGCAGCAAGACATCCAGCATCTTATGTTATCTGATGCTCTGACCCCTCGGTGTTTGCATTTCTCGCTGTAGGATCGCAGTACTACAAGCTCTTATCACTTTGATTACAGTTTCAAGGCACACAAACGGTGTTCACGGCCTACATACAGCAAACATCGTGCGATAACATGCCCATGACGGACGAGACAGACGACAGCGGAGGGGTCATCTTGGATGGTCCCTTTGATCCCGATGCCCAGGCCACAGTAACGGACTTTATCGACTACACTGAATATCTTCCCGCAGACCTTATCCGCTCCTTGACCCTCATCCGCGGCCTCGATGATCGATACCTCGACTCGGCGCAAGCGGTGCACCAACTGACCCAAATATACGGCCAACTCCCAGGCCTCCCCTCAGATAGCCGACCGGGTGCGATCGCATTGCGCAAAGACATATCCTCTCAGGTGGACCGCGCCATAAATGCGCGTGAATCGGCATACGCCGAAGCCTGTCGGCTCTACGATGTTGTAGATCGCCACTTCGATCGACTAGGCTGCATCCGCCAGAAGCTCGAAGCACTGCCAAAACCTGCCTCAGAGGAACCATCACCTCCGCCTGTACCTACCCCGAAGCGTGCGCGCGGAGGCAAGAAGACCCACAAGGATACCACGACGCGTATCACCCTTCGATTAGACAATCGCAATCGGAGAGACAATAGGAGGCGCATTTCAGGCGTGGATGGGGCTTTTGACCCAGACTCTCCACTTGCCAGCACTGAGCAATCGGATATTGAGGGCGAAGTGGTCAGATCTGTCCCCAAGCCGCCTCGACCCCCGAAAAAGGAGAAGGCACGGCGCCTGAGCTCGGGTATCGGGCAGTCAACGGCTCAGGCTCTTGCACAACTGAAGCCGCCGCCACCTGATGCAAAGTTGGGCAGCGAGGACCTACCATGGCTGCGATTGACAGAATGGGAAATGACCAGGCTGCGGAAGAAGATGAAAAAGAATGCTGTGTGGCAACCGAGTGAAGTTATGATTCACCGAGAGCTGGCCCTGGCAAACCGTGGCTGGGAGGCATACCGTGCAGCGAAGGCCCTGGCAGACGAGACAGGCGGGGAGTTCACCGACTGTGATAATATTGAGGAGACCCGACGCGGGGAGGCTGCCAAAGATTTGGAGGAGACGAAACTGAGCAATCGGGGAATGAAATTAAACGAAGCGAAGAAGTTGAAGCGCGAACAACTGGCTCGGGAACAAGCATTGTTGGAAGGTGAAGGTGGTGCGCTCAAGCCTTTGCCAACTCCGGCTCAACCAACTCCAGCTGCAAACCGATCATCACGGAAGAGGAAACGGGAAGAGGTTCCAGCTGAGGAAACAGTCACCGTTCCTCCGGAGCCTCCAAAGCCCATGCCCGTCGCTGCCCCGGTCGCACCTCCCGCCCCTATTCCCGACCCTGTTCCTGCGCCCTCTGCCAGGGCCGGGGCCTCTCGGCGTAGATCCAGCCGAGGAGCTGCGCCGGTCGCAGAAACCACCAACGATATCATCTCGACGATCAAGACCCGCGTGTCTCCCGCGGCCGAAGTCAAACTCTCCCCTCCTATCCCCAGCCCGACAGGCTCCCGGCGATCTAATCGGTCCGTTATTCAAGCTGTTACTTCACCCACACCTCCGGTCACTCGGCCTTCGTCGCGACGCTCTGCAGCTACTGCATCAATTGAAGGAGGAGCTGGGACTTTGAGCAGCATTCCAACTGCAATTGCAGCAAGTGGACGTGATCGTCGTATCAAAAGCGCAACACCTGCCCACAAACCCCCCGCCCGAGAGTCATCTCACGCGCCAAGCGTCCCCGGCCCGGCCCGCCGACGCAAGCGTCCGGCACCAGGTCCCATCTCCAATGGCCAGGATGGCGGCGCGGCAGTCAGCTACGGACGTCGCAAAGCCAAGCCAGGCAAAAAGCGACTCAGCATCCGGGACTCCCAGGACGTGCGTGTCGATGAAGATGGCGTTCTGGAGCAGATCGATGCCAATGAACCTCGATACTGTCTTTGTGGGGATGTTAGTTTCGGCACAATGATTTGTTGTGAGAATCAAGATGTAGGCTATCACTCCCGATCATGACATGGTCCAGTCTCAGATTGATATACTAACATACTACAGTGTGATCGTGAATGGTTCCATCTCAGCTGCGTGGGTCTAACTGAAGTCCCCTCTCGCACGGCCAAATGGTACTGTCCCCAGTGCCGAGTCAAGCTGCACATGGGTGTAGATGGAATTATCAAGGGTGGATCGCGGCGTTAATTTTGGGATTGAATGATGTTTCTTGCATGATACCACGAGATGCGTTTGCACGTTTTATTTTGTCGTCAGAGGAGTTTATGTCGTGTATGGAGTACCACTGTCATCTGCTGACTTGAATTTCTTACTTGGTTTCACTAAATAATCAAATTTTTATCTGACAGAGTAATGATATCTACTTGATACACACGTACCCAACGATCTCGCCACTCGTCAGCTTCTTTGAATCCCGAAGTCCATTGTTGACCTTTCTCACACATGAACCAGGAATGCAGGTTTGCTATGCGCCAAATCAGGAAGGTAGTTATCGCCTTTGCACAAGCTGGAAGGGATCTTGCTCTTGTTGGGTCCTAGTGTTGGCTCCGACCTGTATCGCACTCGACAATGTGTTCCTCGATCTGCGTCTTCTTCCATATGCACTGTCTGGGCAAAGAATTAAGAGCTGGAATGTGCAAGCGCCGAATAGAAATTGGAAAAGACTCAATATATATGACAATTTAGTGTCAGGCCCTCATATCAGAAGATCAACCCTGAGGACGTGGTCTGTAAGGTGTATATCCCATTCCCTCCTCACCATGCTCTTCTGGATTCTCTTCCATGACCCCCAGTCCACCATACCTCTTCTCCAGTCGCGATGGTCTCGAAGGTGGGCTGGCGTCTGGCAACTCTTGATCATGCCCAGAACTAGGTTGTGGGTGGTAGAAGTCAGCCGGTAGTTCTACCGGCATGATATTCCTATGTTCTTTCACGACCTGTAACGGGGCAGGGTACCCAGGAGATATCCTGAATTGCGCAGTATCAACCGGCGATCTCGGCCCCTGCGAGGAAGTCACTGACATTGAATCCGACTGGCTTCGGACCGAATGTGCTCGTCGAAAAGCCGTCCTATCCGACAGATCGGCCGGATTATATGTCGTCAACTTGCCATCCTCCACCATAGCTTGCAAAACGCCCGAGTCCAGTAGCTCAGCTTTCTTGATCAGCCGATCTACCAATATCTTGGAAGCGGCCTTCAACTGGCTCTTGACAAAGGTGATTAGGGTGCGGTTGCATTCGATCTCGATATCTTCGCGCAGATAGAGACCGCTCTGCGGGGCGCCGTCTGAGCGTCGATTTCGCGGTTCGGGTTGTTCGTCGGGCTGGTTGCCTGCGATGCGCCACTTGCTTTGGAGATCGATTCCCATCGGAGCGTACATGTGTGTCTGTAGCCCCCATTCGACGTTGTGAAAACAGCCCTTGAAGCTGATCTTCCCGGACCCCATTTTACCTAGCCCCGGTACATATTGGACTCGTTCGATAATTTCGTACCATGTCGAGTAGTACTCGTCGGCAATAGCGTCTCGCGGGGCTGGGATCGCATGGTGGGAGAGGACGAGCGGGTTCAGTGTGATGATCTCACTATGACTGTGGAGGATGTCGAGCGCTAGTTGGCGGGAAACGCTCGAGGGGATCGGCGTAATGATAGTATACACTTCTTTTCTCCGCATCATTTTGAATAATTCAGTAATTTGATTACTTTCTAGAGAGAGGGGAAGGAACGTCCAAGGGGTCAAGGCTGAATTGTAATCGTCGCTCTGGAGCCTTCTGCTGCTTACTATTTTAAGCTCGCGCTCATGCCCATTTGCTATTAGGCAGCGTATGCAGATGATATCTTGGCTTTGGGCTGAGTTGTTGCAGCATAAATTATATACACCATCATCGCGCAATCCAAGAAAACAATATAATTCTGATTGGTATAACATAAATTTCGTTTACACGGTCTGTCGCATTTACTTCAGCTCCCACTTGTCGCCCTCGGAAGCAATCTCCACGGGCCGCCTCTCATCCAGCGACTTGCGGCCTGCATCCAGAATCGCAGTTGTGGCGATCGTATTGCGCAGAGTAGGGAGTGGGCGCGCATCCAGTTGGTCGAGGGTCACGCGCCCCTCGTTCACAGCAGTGACGGCATCGATGAACTTCTCGAAGCTGATGTAGCCGTATCCGGTCTGTCCACTGAAGTTTCCTTCTTCATCGGGCGCGTAGCGCATGTAGAATCTAGGATATTGGAATCAGCATGAAATCTTTAGAAAATTAAAAGCGCGGAAAAAGATCCTTACGGGTTGAAATGAATCAGACCCTGGTCATCACCAGTCACTTCATAGCCACGCTTGGCCTGGTTAACGCGGATCTCGCCGTTGGCAGCCATATCTGTACCTATGGGTTAGCAAAAGTCCGTGAGCTGGGAAATTGGGGAACTTACAATGGAAGTACTGGTTGGAGTGAACACCTGCATTCTGAGGGGCTGTCCAGCTAGCGGTGTACACACCAGTGGCAATCTTCGCAGGATCATCACGACGGCGCCACTCCACTAGGAGAGTGATGGTATCCTCGGTCTGGGGAACACACCCAAGTGCAGCGGCGGTGCCTTGGGATGCAGTGGCTGTGACTCGCACAGGCTTGTAATCTGGGACCATGCTCTCGCAGATATCAACATGGTGAGAGTTCAGATAGTAAGAAATATCAGAATCACGACCAGCCCAGGCCTTGAAAGTTTCAAGCTGGCTCTTAGGCTGGCTCATGTAGCTATAGAAGTAATTGAAATCACCGAGGGTCTTTGCCTTAGCCCGCGCATCAGAGTATGCAGGGTCAAAGCGCTTGTGGTGCTCGATGAAGACAAAAACGCCATTCTTGCGCGCAGCCTCCACCAGGGACAGGTGGTCGGCTAGCCGCTGAGTTGCTGGCTTAGTGATGAGCACATGGTGGCCGCGCTCAATGGCATAGAGAGCAATGGGGTAATGTGTGGAGTCGGGAGTGAAGATGGTAATGGCGGATCCCTTGGGGAGGGCATCAATGGCGGTCTTGTATGCGTCGGGGTCGGTCTGATCGTCCGCTGGGAACGAAGTAAACGAGGTATCGAGATTGTTATATACTTGAGAGATATTGCGGTGCAAATGATCTCCTGTTCGTTCAATTAGCGGTATACTTGCTTTTTCTCTCGCTCAACTTACGAATACCGGGGAACTTGTTGCCCGACACGCCAACCATGCTTAGGTCGCCCACTTTGCCTCGCCGGCGCAGGTCAAACAGAGTGAGGCCTACCACACCGACCTTTTTGTCTGAGCCTGATGCACCACCGCCGACGAAACCGGTGGTGTATTCGCCAGTACCGACCTGTCAAACAGTTAATCGGTGGATATACTGCGGGGATTCGCTGTCCATACCATCAAAACGCTAGGAGCCATGATGCCTGTGAAGTTCAAGAGATGGATTATACCTAGGTATCCGGAGTGATTTCTGGGCAGTCAAGGAAATTTAAGAGCGATTGACAGAAAATCGGGGCTTTGAATTGCTGGATATAATTCTTCCGGCGTTTGACCTGCCCACTCAATAGCCGTCATATCTTATCGGGTGTTTTTGATGTCGTCTACTTCACTCTTCACCAACCTCATCTTGTTTCAATCCGACTAGAGGTGGACATGTGCATACTCTTGCACTTATTCCTCGTGCGCTCTTCTGTTAATTTCTTGTCTGGCAGACTCGTTAATGGCCTCCTCCACGCTATCATCGGATGAACTGCGGCCGCCTTGACCCGTCCAGTTTACCCCTCGTAGCCCCCACATTCTCTGCACATTGGCTGATTGGTGGAATGCAATTCTCCGCCATACAAAGTGCCTCGGAGCATTCGCCGACGTGGGGGAATGATGGGGGAATGGATGCCCCGAGTTCATAAGGACGCCAAATGTCAACAATGTGCCAATTACTATATACCCCGCAAATCTCACGGTCATTATTCGGTCAACTTCCAACAGCTCACACAGAAAATCCAGAATCATGCCTCTCACTGCGCTACGTCCCGGCGTTTATGCGCCAACAATGACCTTTTTCGATGCTGAGACGGAAGAGCTCGATGTCGCCGCCATTCGCCGCCATGCGGTGCGCCTAGCCAAGGCCGGACTTGTCGGTCTGGTCACCATGGGCTCGAACGGCGAGGCTGTGCATCTCAGCCGTGAAGAGCGCATGACCGTCACTCGGGAGACCCGATCTGCTCTTGATGAAGCCGGCTTCTCCAATGTGCCCGTCATTGCTGGGGCCAGCGAGAACAGCATCCGTGGAACTATCGATCTCTGCAAAGAAGTCGCAGCGTCTGGCGGCGAGTACGCTCTGATCGTGCCTCCCTCCTATTATCGCGCCGCCGTCGGCAATGATGAGACGCTTTACGATTACTTCACAGCCGTTGCTGACGGCTCGCCTATCCCTCTTATTCTGTACAACTACCCCGGTGCCGTTGCTGGCATTGATATGGATTCCGATCTCATCATCCGCATTTCCGAGCACCCTAATATCATCGGCACCAAGTTCACTTGTGCCAATACCGGCAAGCTGACCCGCGTCGCTACCGCCCTAGGCGCCATCACCCCTTCCTCTCCCTTGGCCCCGGCCCAACGTGCTGCAACAGTCTCGAAGCCCAATGCCAAGCACCCATATGTTGCTTTCGGTGGTATTGCCGACTTTGCTTTGCAGACCCTCGTCTCTGGTGGCTCTGCCATCCTCGCCGGTGGCGCAAATGTCCTTCCTCGCTTGTGTGTCCGCATCTTCACTCTTTGGTCTGAGGGCCGCTTCACAGAGGCCATTGAGGCCCAACAACAACTCAGTGCTGCCGACTGGGTCCTCACAAAGTCTTCTATTCCTGGTACTAAGGGTGCTATTCAGTCGTACTACGGCTACGGCGGTTACCCTCGCCGCCCACTCAGCCGTCTTACTGATGCCCAATATCAGGCTGTTGCTGATAAGATTAAGTCCGCGATGGATGTAGAGTTGAGCTTGCCCGATGTGGCGTAATGGCTTGAGACCATGACAAACAGCTGCATTTAAACTCCATTTATATAATCCTAAAATTACATCTACGAATCCTATGTCGCTGGGCTTCAGTGTTCATTGTCTTATAAGCAACGGTTTAGGGTGCGGAAAGCTAGCAGGAATGACACAATCCTTACATATACTCCATGGTGTCGGATCCTTTCAAAGACTAGTGCTGTAATGAATAATGACAAGAATGGCTTCTGAACCAATGATAATGATGGATTGGATAGTTGATGATGGTAAGTGAGTATTGTACAGAAGTGGTAACAAATAGATCCCGGGTAAGCTGCCTTCCAGATCCCTCACAGTGCCTCGAGACCTCAAGGTTCTAGTTGCCTTCATCGAGTAAGTCATCTTCCAAAGTTTCCGAGGTTGACGAACTCGCTTGCGTCATTTTCTTTCTTTAGGCATGACCCTTTGAGGCTGAATAGACATCCCGATTAGGCATAGTTGCAGAACATGTCTCTCCCTCCCGTTCCTCTTCCGACGGACTACCTACTTTGGAACCTCCCGATGCCTACTTTAGGACTTAGTATTGCTACTCTTTAAGCCCACATGACTTGCCACATCAACCCGCATATGCGGACACTCTATATGTAGTTTATATCAAGACTACCCACGAGATAATTCAGTTCTCCATGTGCGATCTTTTCCCTGCATTGCGCGTCCAAAATGGATGGCCCCTGCATACCTTCAGGCCATACAGCCCGGCGCTTCATACGAAACTGCAAAAAGCTGGAGCGGATACTTGCCTCCATAAAGATAATAACAACTTCCTTCATCCCACAAAGACGTCTACAGCTTCTCGGGATCGATCTCAATGACCTGGATATCTATTCGGGTATAACCTCGCCTTCCGTTACACGCTACTTCATGCCACGAACAGATACTCCCGCGATCTCGCAAATATGCTCCGATGCAAGCTGGGATTGGTTTTTATCACAAAAAGGGAATTTCTGTAACGAGACTCAGCTTGCAAGCTACTTACTGCGGCGCGTCTTTATGGACTATCAGGACTGGAGTATTCCGAATGTTTCTCATTACCAGCTCGACGGAGCGATAAGCGGAGAGGAGAGTGATACAGATCCCGTTGTTCAGGAGTTGGATGACCTTGACAATACTGACGATGATAATGAGAGCAAGAGTGAGGACACCTCAGATGATGAAGAAAAAGCTGAGACGAAAGAAAAGAGTGGGGATAAGGCAAAAGACGGGGAACCTATCAGTTCTGGAGAATATGATTCCAGTGATGAAAGCAGGGATGAGAGCTGCGACGAGGGTTGTGGAGAATCCGACGAGAGTCACGAGGGAAGCAAAGAAAGTGATGAGAAAGACAAAGACCACCATGAGATGGTGGTTATAGATAGGTTGGACGAGAACATCCGTAATTATAGGACACCTGACTGGTTGATATACCGGTGAGTAACATACTTCCGTTCTCGAATAAAATGAATTCGAGAGGCATGTAAAACATGTTTTATGCTGATCATGTCGATCTAGATTCCAAAGCCTCTTTGGTCTTGATATCCCAGACAAACTACATAGATTCGGTGTTATCAGATCAATGGAGCTGAACCTTATCCATCAGTGCCATACATGGGCTCTGATAGATGTGAACCTATGCGGCGACAATCATCCCTCGACTTCCGAGCTCCTAGCCCTGGTGAGCTGGAATTTAAGAGGCATGTACAGCCAAAGAGAAACGCTTGTGGGCGAGATTGAACCAGAGAATGCCCCAGTTCTCAATTACGTTTTTCCGGTATGTTTTTCTCCTCCTGCAAGTGCTGGTTTACTGATCGAGCATACTTATTTAGACTATCATTGTAACATTCGACAAGCAGTGTTGCGCCCGCGTGCTGTACGGTTACTTCGATGGTAGATTCCAAGTTCAGTTTACGCCGATCCTGGACTTTAATGAGTTTACCATGGTCATATCGGAAGACCTGGATGATTACTTGTCTCGAATAGACAAGAGGAACTACTATGATATGATGCATTCCCTGCTTCGTTGGGCATGGCCTCTGCCCCATCATCACACCGCAGAAGAATAACGGCACAGCCTGGCTATATACAAGCATACATTTAGCTCGGCAACAATATAGCTTCCAACGGCTAGCTTATATGGTTCAGCTGCTCTTGAGGGGCCTCAAAAGTCCTCAACTTGATTTATAGGGAGATTCGGCATACGTGAATATAGATTTAGCTAGGGAAATAAATCACAAAGTTAATAGCTCAAATTTAGGCCACTTTCTATTACCGCGATTGGATATATGTATCTAGTGGACCAACATTTTGGAACATCCCTGTACCAGGTATCTCCGCCATCCTATGTAAGCTCGGCAACCAGGCAAGCTTGTCTTGAGGCGCTTATTTTCTCCACTCCGCCCGTCCCCCCTTTCATATGTGGCTTCTTTGCGTATGGCAGCTAGATTGAAGCTGGCTTTCAATCTCAAGCGCGGAGCCGTTTACCGTTTACCATTCGATTGGTGGAAAAAAAAGCGCCTAGCAATTGAAGGCACTGTCATCCACTCATCATAATATCAATACAGGCTAACTGTACCCCACACACATGTACTCTTGGACCTTAATCCCTGTCAAGTCCAAGCCCTAAAGTCGAGCCCTATTGCATCTTCTTATCGTCGATAAGGCCAAGCCGGGATATCATTGTCCTCGCGAGCTCATTGGTGGAAAAAACAGACTCCCCGAGTCGGAGTTGATACGAGAACAACTGGGCGTTATCGTCATGTAGCATGTGGAGAGAATCCCTGTGTACCCTGTACCGCCAGATTAAGACAACCATCCCACGTTGCCCAGACCACTTTACTCTTTTCAGTTAATTCGCCTCTCGGGCGATGTCGTAGACTGACCCTACCGTCCGATTCTATACCGTTAATTGGTACCTGGACTCTAGCCGGTGGAGCGAACCTGGAACTAGTCTACACGCGATATGTCCGACCGTGGGGTAGTAGTACTTCGTACGTAGTGCCACGATGGACTGAGACTATATGCCGCGAAGCGCAAACAAGGAATATTTTATGATCCCCGCTCGCCGGGCCTAAAAGTCCGTAGCGTTGATATACACCCCCCTCCACCCCGCTTGTCGTTCCTGGATTCTATTTTTCTTTTCTTCTCTTCTGATTCCCTTGGTAACAGCTGTTTTTCTATATCTCCGAGGTGTTCTCCAAAAGGACTTCAAAGACTACTCGAATCACTCGACCAATTCTATCATAATGCCATACCCCGAAGAAGCTGAGGGCTTCCAGATCGACGGAGCTGATACCTTCACCGAGTTCCACAAGCGCCACGTAGGTGTTCTTGTCTTTCTTGCGTTTCGGCTGAAATCCGCTGACCGAGAGCATTTGTATGAGATAGTTCAAACTCAAGCCTTTCGGTGACTATGGTGAGTTCGCTTCTTGGTGTATCTGCGCGTCCCGATTCTGACTGCATATAGACGTCGATGTCAAGATTGAGGCCTGTGGCATCTGTGGCAGTGATGTGCACACCATTAGCGGTATGACTATCCTTGTAGTTCATCGCGCAAGAACAGAAGCTAATGGTCTCTGGTAGGAGGATGGGGTGATCAGAAATTCCCTCTGTGCGTGGGTCACGGTACGTATAAGGAGAAGAAAACAAGGGACTATCGTCACTTGCTAATGGATCGATTTAGAGATCGTTGGTCGCGCAATCCGTGTCGGACCCAAGGTCACGTTGATCAAGGAAGGCGAGCGCGTTGGCGTTGGCGCGCAGTCATACTCCTGCGGCAAGTGCAAGCAGTGCCTTAACGACAATGAGACATACTGCCAAGTGGAACCGATGGACACCTACGGCTCGCAGTGGGCTGACTCTGGCGTCGTCAGTCAAGGTGGATACTCATCGCACGTCCGAACACACGAGCACTGGGTCTTCCCGATTCCGGACGCGTTGGAGACCAACTCGGTGGCTCCGATGTTATGCGCCGGACTGACTGCATACTCGCCCCTGGTGCGCAATGGCGCTGGCCCTGGCAAGAAGGTCGGAATCGTTGGACTAGGTGGTATTGGACACTTTGGAATCATGTTTGCCAAAGCGTTGGGTGCGGAGACGTGGGCTATCTCGCGGTCTCGCGCGAAGGAGGCAGATGCTCTTAAGCTCGGTGCTGATGGCTATATTGCTACTGCTGAGGAGGGATGGGAGAAGCCCCATCTGTACTCGTTTGATCTGATCATCAACTGCGCCAACTCTTCTGAGGGATTCGATCTTGCGCGTTATCTTTCCATGATGGATGTTCATGGGCGCTGGGTCAGCGTTGGTCTTCCTGAGGAGGAAGGCCAGGTAATTAAGGCTCAGAACCTACTTTCCAATGGTGTTCTCATTGGTGCCAGCCACTTGGGTAGCCGTCGGGAGATGCTTGAGATGTTGCAGCTGGCTGCTGATCGGGGACTCAAGGGTTGGGTGGAGGAGATTCCTATTGGAGAGGAGGGACTCAAAGACGCAATCTTGCGTATGAAGAAGGGCGATGTACACTATCGATTCACTCTGACTGGATATGACAAGGTCTTCAGTTGAAGGAGATAGACAGAGTTCAGTATTGAGGGTTTCCATAGTCCGACCAAAACACGGAGAATGGGTAGAGGTGTTCTAGAGATTTACAATGAACTCGTTCTGAAACATGTGATTTCTTTGTTTTTTTCTTTTTCCCCCCCCAAGTCACGTTGACTTAACCTTGTTACGCCCTTGTTTGTGCCACAATGCAGCAGATTGGGTAGAAACATGCAAGTATACAAAGCGGACTAATACCCAAATCAGTGATGCCAATATTAGCATCAGCCTTAAAAGCCACTGTTTTTTTTCTCTGTACCCCCGGTCATCATTGTCTCAAAACAAAGCCTGAAAGAGCCCGATCGCCACCCGGGAAGTACTCGGTACTTTGATCCGCGGTTGATTGTGATGGCAATCCAGGTAACGGTACTCCGCACTTCCGCCAGTTCCCCATGATTTGCCCCCAACCCTCAAAAACTCTGATCCGTTGCAGGGAGCAGTACCCGAAAAGTAGTCGGTACTTTTCCCTGGAAACAGAACAATACAGTGAGGTCAGTACCAGTGAACTCTCTGGTACTTGCCTGGCGAACCAATCACTCATCATTAATTCACCGCCCGACCCTCAGACCCGGTTGTTCTGCTTTCTGGAATTCTTCCGCCCTTTTTATCTGCTCCTTGCGCCATTCGTTTTCTGTTTCTTTTTTTCTTTGGTCATTTCTCTCTGGTCTATTGCATTCATTACTTCTCTCTCATCTTCCTCTCTTTTTATTTCCCTTGGGTTCTTGGAGTTCGCGAACGATCGTTGATTTATACACTTTGTTAGACTTATCTCACTGAACTCCCGGAGATCAATTATCACCTGGTTCGAACGATACATAGACCAGATTCTCAAAAAACACTATCTTTCATTATCCTCACAATTTCCGATCCTTGATTGCGATCAGATCCAACCAATTTATTGGCTAGTTCGCCCTTGACATACCAATTCGCAACTGAAATCATGTCGCCACGAGAGAGCAACGCCACCTCTGCGCGGCGACGGCCCTCGTTGTCATTTCTTTCACGCCCACGCACCGCAGGTCATTCCGCTCCGATGACAAAGGAGCTCGCTTTGGATACTTGGGACGAGCCATATATGACGGAGGCATGCCAGGATGACCATGCACCAGTCGTGGAAGAGATGGATCCGTTCCCGAACGCGGCGCCGCGACGCCGGGGTGCTAAGAGCTTCTCGAGTCTGAAGCATCCGGTGGATGGCTTGGTAGCTCTTGGCCGCCGTTTGTCTGTTAGTCTTCGCCACAAGCCTTCAAAGCAAACCATCCCTGTTACCGAGAACATCCAGGGGTTTGACAGCGATGAAGACACACTCTATCACGTTCCGAACCTTGCAAACCACAAGCGCATGGCCTCCGGTAGCTGGGATGCCCGATCAATGAAAACAGAATGGTCTCGAGGTTATAGTGTCAATCGACGCCCCTCTTTGAACAGCGTGTCTGCTCTGCATGGCTTCTATGCCCCCACCGCTTCGGTTGCCACTCCCATTCCTGGTCATGGACAGGCACCTCCGGTTTTGCCGAATGACAAGCTTGCGGGTGCGGCAGCGCGCGCCGCGGCCGCTGCCCAGAATGAAGAAATCGAAGTCGCAAGAATGGCCAAGGCGGAATTTGAGAACAAGCGATTCGATTCGCTGGTGCCAAGGGATTCGGAAAGCGGCATCTGTATCGACATGCGCGATCAACCAGACGTATCGACTGCCAACATCGTAGGCGTTACGCGACTTGGTACGCATGCAATGCTGTCGAGAAGTGCGTATTGTGCTAACTTCTATATTCTGCAGATCCCATAACTCTGCTTCCGGCTGAGATCTCAGCACACATTCTTTCTTACTTGGATCCTGACTCTCTCATGAACGCCGAGCTCGTCTCCCGGACTTGGTCCCAAGCCTCCTCTTCCCATGTTTGGAGGCAGGTCTTCCGCAACGCATATGGCCGACGACCGGCAAGTGAGACAGCCTCCAAGGTGAAGCAGTCATCTGGCTTGGGAAGGTCAATCCCTAACCAAGATTGGAAGAAGAAATACCTTGTCCGGCATGCTCTCGATCAGCGTTGGAAGAATGGCAAGGCTGCAGCCATCTATTTACAGGGCCATGAGGACAGCGTCTATTGTTCTCAGTTTGATGAGTACGTTGACCCTGCTTTATGAGCGCGTTGCACTACTAACAACTCTGTAGGAATAAAATTATCACCGGCTCTCGTGATCGGACGATTCGTGTGTGGGACGCCCACTATCCGTGGGCATGCCAGAAGATCATTGGACCGCCCGCGGCCCGGACTTTCCGCCGTGGTCCTGTGAACAGTCCGACCTCACAGGCCACGGGAAGTGCTCCCTTCATGACCATCACCCCACCATGGCCCACACCGGATGAGACGGATGAAATCTCGGCGCCCCTGGAAGAAGAATCGATTTACCACAGCGCCTCGATCCTGTGTCTGCAGTTTGACGAAGAGATCATGGTCACAGGGTCCTCCGACTTCACCTGCATCGTATATGACATCAAGGATGAATACCGGCCGCTTCGCCGTCTTGAGGGTCACAATGCCGGTGTGCTTGATGTGTGCTTCGATGATCGATACATCGTCTCATGCTCCAAGGACACCACCATCTGTGTATGGGATCGTAACACCGGTAAGCTGTTGAGGCAGCTCAATGGCCACGAAGGCCCCGTGAATGCTGTGCAACTACGCGGTGATCTCATTGTGTCAGCCAGTGGTGACGGTGTTGCTAAAATGTGGAATGTGGTTTCAGGTCGCTGTGTCAAGGAATTCACCAGCAAAGACCGTGGCCTTGCATGTGTCGAATTCAGCGACGATGGCCGGACCATCCTCACTGGCGGCAATGACCGTATAATCTACCAATTCGATGCCAACACGGGCGAGCTAGTCAACGAGCTCCGTGGACACACGGGTTTGATCCGCTCTCTGCACCTGGACAGTGCCAACAGACGCATCGTCAGCGGCAGTTATGATATGAGCGTCAAGGTGTTCGACCGTGACACTGGTAATCTATCAATCAACTTCCCTGGCTGGACCACAAGCTGGATGTTGAGCGTACAGTCCGATTACAGACGCATTGTTGCGACAAGCCAGGACTCCCGGGCTGTCATCATAGACTTTGGATATGGTCTAGAAGGGATCGACCTGTTGGAGGAGTGATCCAAGTGCATTCTTTTCTATTTTATCTGCTCTTCTTTACAGCGTTGCCGCTTTTTGTTGGATTTCTTGTCATTCTTATACATCTCTGGGGTCATTTATGGATGGGGTTACATATACATAGGTTGCTCGTCTTGGGTGCAAATTGGATCGGGCTCTGGAATGTCGGCGGAATAGATATTCGCTGTCTCTGTCTTTTCATATTTTACACACCTGTCATGGTAAAAGTATATATCTACCTGCCAGGCACACCCAATATATATTGGATAGCTTTTGAACAGTAAGAACCTCCATTTCCAAATTTGCCTTTCGAATATACAAAGGAGTCCTCGCCTAAGGCTGTGAGGCAGCTACATGATCAATAGATCGACCTGTTTCATTGGGCGGATATGGCGGTGGGAAAGGCGGTGACAGATGCGGTCACTCTATAAAACGCAATGCATGAAGTACCTTAGTACCCCGTAGGAAAGAAAAGACATAGGGGCAAATCTGACGTATGAGATTTGACCTGTTGCATTAAATACTTTCCTGGTGATATCAATTTTGGCAGAACTTCATGCGCCGAGGTAAAACGACAGCTCAATTGAAGCTTGACACCTCAGGCAGATATGACTGATTAACTAATCTGCCGCTGATTCGTTGGGAAAAGTGGGCTAGCGCCAGTGTGATCCGTGGGATTTAGCATCAAAACAATCCCTTTGCTGTTTCCCGTCGACTACGCAAGCAGAGACTGACGCGAAGTCCTAGCCTTGTGGTGTTCTATCTTCATCAGCCATTTTTCCGCTTAGCGCTCGTCTCAACCTCATTTCCAACTTTAGCGTTTCGATTGACATACTACCTACCCCACCATCATGAGTGAATCCAGGTTTGGCTTTTCTCCTATTCCCCGCCATCCCACGTTCAGTACACCCTTGCTGACGCAGTTAAATCTATGTGATCAGACAGGAATTGCTGGCATGGCTTAACAACCTGCTTCAGCTGAACCTCACGAAAATTGAGCAGTGTGGAACCGGGTATGGTTGATCAATCTTCTCTCCGACTTGACGAGGCCCGCGGGGGTGGCCGACTTTGGACTTCATATATCAGATAGGCTAACCTCTTCCGTTGCTTCTCTATAGTGCTGCCCTCTGCCAGATCTTCGATTCGATCTTCAGTATGTAATCATCACCACGATAAGCATCCGGAAACAGGAGTGGTCTGGCACTGTGTTGGGGAACATATATTAACTAGGCTCGCTTTGTCTAGTGGATGTTCCCATGTCTCGGGTCAAGTTCAATGTGAACACGGAATATGCCTACCTTCAGAACTTCAAGGTTCTCCAGAGTATGTGAAGGCAGGTTCCAAAGCGGCCACCCACGATCCCCTTTTAACGTATTCGACCGTGCAGATGTCTTCGCCCGCCACCAAGTCAACAAGCCCATCCCCGTTCAGTCCCTCACAAAATGTCGCATGCAGGACAACCTTGAGTTCCTCCAATGGGTCAAGAAATACTGGGATCAACACTACCCTGGCGGCGAATATGACGCCCTCAGCCGGCGCAAAGCCTCCGGTGCCCCTGCTGGCGCTGGTGCCTCTTCGCGCGCCCCCTCTGCCGGCAGCGCACGCCGCGGAGTGACCCCCACAACTGGTGGCGCCCGTCCCCGGGTTGCCACAGCTGCCAGTGGAGCGGCCACCGCTGCCCTCCAGCAGGAAATCTCGACACAAAAGGAAGCGATCGCCGGACTGGAGAAGGAGCGCGACTTTTACTTTGCCAAGCTGCGTGACATCGAGCTGCTGCTGCAGAGCGCCATCGAAGCCGACCCCGAGCTCGAGAAGGAGGAAGACACGCTTGTCAAGCACATCCAAGGCATTCTGTACTCGACCGAGGTCCGTTCCCTTGAATTATTCCCTGAGGATTCCCCACGCTGACGCTTATGCGCCCCCTAGGATGGATTCGAGATCCCCGCTGAAGGAGAAGAGGTTGGGGCTGACGAGCTCGAGACTTTCTAAATGAAGCGAGTTTTGGGCCGAGAGGAGGAATTAACCCGTTACTAAATACCCCCGCGTCTCCTATTCTTATCCGGTGTTCCTTCCATTGTGTCAAATAAGACGAGTTCAGCACGTAGATATGGCGTGAAGGCATACGGAGTACACCATTTCCATCCCGGTGGTCTGACACTTAGGCTTAAAATAGGTTTTTTTTTTGGAGCCGATCGGCAAGTAGTCAGTACAACGTAGCGTCTGTCAGGAATCGGGGGTGGAGCTGTCGCACACGCTGACACATTCCTGAAACTAATATTGGGCACTCCGTACGGAAGATGTACTCCGTATTCGAAACCTGCATATGCAGTTACCTAAGGAACTGTTGATATATGCATGTAATCGGTAGTTCTGCTGACCTTGCGCCTATACTGTCATCACCATGCTATTCCGTAAACAGCCCATAATTAAACCTGCAGGGCCCGCTAATCCCAAAGCAGACTAATTGCCTTGGCTAGAACCTCATCGAGACCCCCCCGCCTGTCACTTTCTATTCGCTGAACCCGACTTGGTACCTGCGTTGCGAGACGGGTTTGTTTTTGCTTTCTCTTTGCTCTTCTCTGCTGTACGCCGTACTCCGTACTCCTGGATTCTTCCCTACCGCACGGAATCAATTCCTCAATTTTGAGATTCTCACAGTCATCGTGACCCCGACTAGGATCTGTCGGCCCCCGAGCCTAGTTTGTCACTAACGCGGGTCGCCTAGACTTGGCTTCGATAGGGGATTGTTTGGTCCGGTCTGGGTCCTCATTTCCACCGTCTTCCGTTTCGCTTCTTCTCTTCCTTCGTGTGCCGCTTTTGAGCTCCATTTTCTTGGGCATTTTGGTAGCTTGGACTCTGGACATTCATCCATCTCTCTTGATCTTTTTTGGGGTCTTTGCAGAGTGTCGTGCCAGAGTAAGTGTGATCTCGCAGATTGCGTGTTCTCAGGACTGTCCATCACGTTTGACCCGCTCACCTTTCCGGCCAACGTTGATATTAAAACACTCTATAAGATCTCTTTGGTTCCACGGGATATTCAAACCCAACAATGGATTAGGACGTGAGGCTGGGCTCTCTTTCTTTTGGTTCCCCTTCTTTCGTCACTCGTTTACTCCAGGTACGTGACGGATATCTCTAGTCTGATTGAGCTCAATAAACGTGCTTACATCGATTTACTTCAATGGATCTATACTGACTTTGCTTAGTCGTCTTTGCGATTGCCACTCCTTCGATACCTGTACACCAGACCGCGTTCTTTGAAAGGCTGCTGTTTATGCTACCGTTTCCCTATTGATCTTATCGTTGGCTACCTTTTAGTCCACGTCCATTCATTCGTACCTTCGACCAAGCCATTCCTTTCTCGGTCTAACGACGACATATCAATCTTTTCACTCCAATACCGTGCACGCCAGGCTGTGTTTTTCTTTCGTTCCAGCAATTTTGACATCGTTATTCTCATTCTTCACAATTCTGTGAAGCTCAACCTCTGCGAAGATCCAAACTACATCCTTTGTTGGGGTGGCATTTTTTTTCTTTCTTTTTTTTGGATTATTCATCCCATCTGGTTAGCAATCGTTATACACGTTTGTAAACAAACGTCAATATGGCTCACGGTCATTATCGCCATTCACGCATCGGCAACCGAATTAGCGCAAAGCGTCGCCTGGAAGCCGAGTCAAATGATGAAAATGCTGCATCTAATTTGCTACAAGAGGTTAATCTATTACAAAAACCTATCATTCCCAATTCTGGAACTCTTCCGGATGAAATCTGCGACTCAACCAACAATGCAATGTGCCTTGAGCATGGCATGACTGAATCCAATCCACCGCTTGGGAAACGAGACGAGACAACCTCTCCTGAAGCAACTGTTATCGAGACTGTGCTAGAGATAGTTGATTCGAGTTCACATATCCTCTCGCAGTCTACTGCTACCGATCTTCCGATGACGATATCGGATTCAGCCTATGATACTTACACTCTACCGAATTCGGAAAGTCTGGCTGTAACTGCGACTGCCTCTGCAGACATCGAGGTATCGACGTCGCCGACGCTAGCTCCTGCCACTCAGCCGACCACATCACTACTACCGGCGACGTCATCATCAAGCAGCTCTGCAACCTCCAGCTCTGCAACTTCCGCCCGATCTTCTGCAACCTCCAGCCTTCAAACTTCCACCCAATCTTCCGCAATCTCCACCCAATCTGTCACTTCCACAACCCAAGTCCCAACATCATCAAAAGCTACCTCGGCTACAGCCATCAATTCGCCTGCATCGACCTCAACCCCCCTCGTTGCCCCCTCAAGCACTACAACTGCAGCCACCACATCATTATCCCAGGCACACAATCACTGGTCACATTCTGGTTCTAGCACTAGCTCTAGTTCGAACTCTAGCTCAATCTCTGGCTCAAACTCTCCCTCAATCTCTGCCTCAAACTCTGCCTCAAACTCTAGCTCAAACTCTGGCTTAAACTCCGCCTCCGGCTCTGGCTCAAACTCCGGCTCAAACTCCGGCTTCTCTCCGAGCTCGACCTCCAGCACAACTGACACCACAATCGATACGACATCTTCATCAAGTGTATTCTACGGCTCCGAGCCAACCGGGACCGTAGCTAGTATCGGATTCGCGCCAACTGCGACCGAGACACAGGCCCCTGGGCCGGATTCGACAAGCAATCCGGACACATCCAAAATTGTGGGCAGTGTAGTAGGGTCGATCGCTGGACTCGCCCTAATTTTGGTTCTTCTGCTCTACTACCTCCGTCGCCGAGGACTCTTCATGGGGAACAATGTTCGTCCCGCTCTATTAGGTGACGCAGCCGCTGGGGCTGGGGCTGTGGCTGTGGCTAGGGAAATCACAGAGCGACGTGAGAGCAACGATCCCCTTTTCACAGCCTCGTACTTTGCCCCCGCATTTATGAAGCGCTGGCGCCAGTCAAGTATGACCACACGTTCAGGAAGTACCATCGACTCTGTGCCCAGCGAACGCGGGTTCCAGAAAATTTCTGGTCGAAAGATTCCTCCCGTCCTGACTCACGGTGGTGACGGGTATGGTGGTGGACTCGATGGTGATTCTCCTACCATACCAGGCTATCCTCCTACCTCCCCAGCGGTGGGCCCAATTGGATCACTTTCCTTCTTTGCCCCACCCACGAGCTCTGCATATGGAATGCCCCTGGATTCAAACTACACGCGCGAGGTTGAGGAGCACCCGATGCCAAGGCACGCCAACCCCGTGCACCTCCCTATCTCCAGTTCTGTCAACGTGGGCACGCCGATCACAGTCACACCGGCACAGCCAATTGCGCAACCTCAAAGCGCAATCCCCTTCGTACCCCCGCGACCAGATGGGCTCGGCCGCAGTCTGCCTAGTTTCGACGGGAGTCGAAGTAGCCGCTTTACCGAGGGCATTGATCTGTAATGGATGCCGTGATACGGGACATGTGAAATGATGGAAATGAAGTGATGGGTGAGCGCAGACCGTCTGCGACATCGGAATTCCGGGGCTTGCCCGGGTCGCGCGCTTTTATTGTTATTAGTTTTGTTCAACTTGACCCTTTGATTGTCGCTTCTCAAGCGCCTTCCCTGTCTTTTTGATTGTCAATTTTTGGTTCTCTTTTTTCACTATTGATACCCCCTCTTTCTACCTCTCTGCTTCCTTTTTCTCTTGTTCAAATAAATTTCTCTTTCTACCTATGTTAACATTTGGTCTCGATATTTGTTGCACAGTGGGTTGTGGACTCTCATTCTACGGGTGTATGAATTTCGGCTTGAACAGTATCAGCATAGATCAAAACAATCTATTGCTACGCAGCATGTGTGCTGGAAACTAATCACCTATATATTTTACTCTTTGCATACCTAGGTAGTGTTCAGGTTCATCCAAGTCACGCGCAGTCAGTTTTTACTTCCATACACATGTAATCAGATGCCTTCGATCAAGCGAAGCACTGGGATACCTAGAGTTATTCCCAGAATTCATCCACCTGAATCTAGTCAGCTTCAACCCGTGCGTGTCAACATGTACGTATGTTGTAGGTCAGGCGCCCATGGGCAGCCTCGCTTAGACGAGGCCACGCATCACCGTTCACACAAATAGGTAAACTGGAGTTTAAGCTTATAATTTCATAGTACAGTTTCCAGAGTTACTTCTCGGTGCTTTTCTTTTTATTCGTCTGCTTTAAGCGAACCACAATATCGCCGATGTTCATTCTTCGTCTACGGAGTACATAGATTGTGGCTGTGAGCACGAGAATGGCCGCTACTTCTATTAGCGACACGCTTGCGATGTGAGTAGCGGACCTTCCTGTTTTCGACGTCCCGTGGGACTCACTTCTCCACATCTTTGAGCGAGGCCTTTGTGCTATTGGTCTGCTGGTGCTCAGCCTCATGGGATGAGGTGTTTCGTGTTTCGGCATGTCCTTATCTGCCACTTTGTAAAGATGAAAAGGAAGGTGACTGTTCATCGTATGACGAAGGTATCAGCACGCTGTAAATACGGCTGCTGTGAACGATATGCGTGGCTTGCATTGTTAGATTAGTCCGCAATCTGTGTGTGGGATGAGCATTTCCTGGGGAGTTTTCCACTGGTCTGGTGGCATAGGTCATATCCACTCAGTTCATCTTCCAGTTTTTCGTTTTTCGAGACCAGTATTGATGAAATCGCACCTCGGGTATCTTTGGAATCATGTACAAAGTACATATGAGGTCACCAAGGCTTGGACTTCCCCAATGTTTGGACTTGTTGGGTCGGTTGTTTACCGCTCTTTTCGACGAGTTGTCCTTGGGTCATGAGACCTCTTTCAGGTGGATATTGCTCTCTATGCTGTGCATTAGATTGCCATTCCAGGCTAGATTCTGCTGTTGCGCTTGAACCTACTTTTCAACATTATCTGGCGGATTGAATGCATATGTTAGTGGGGTTCATCACGCCACTGTATGCCAGGAAATGATGTTGCAAGGGTCAAGCACTTGAAGCAGATCACAATAGTCCAATGCATGAGTGCATATGATTTGAGGCAAGAATAGATATTCTTATCCTCGATGCTGGGTGTATACTTGTTGTTTCTGGTATGCCTCGAATGATCAAAGCACCATGTGGAATATCAGTCGGAGAAGGCTACCATAAAAACCAACAACTGGGATATTTCAAGATGACTTTGACAGCCTCAAGATTTCAATATCTTCCTTTTTCAACTCCGCCTGGACATACGCGCGTTGAGTCAGATAATGAGCCTCATCCGCACCTAAAGACTCTGCCTAGCCGGCTATAAGTGGACTTTGTTGATCACATTATGGCCTTATACGCTTGCCACCTCTGACACTGCCCGAATATTGCTGGGCTGTTGTACGTAGGTATCAAGGTTGGCCCCCGGGGTGGCAGTGGACAGACAGTCAGACACTAGGACTCGTGAGCGGGTTGATGATCTGCACCGCCACATTGCACCGCCACAAGACTAAACCACCCGCCACAGCGCGTGCCACAGTACGCCACACGCGATCTTCATGTGTCCCTTCGCCCGGGCGCAAGAGCACGTTTTTGTGGCTGATGGCGAAACTACCGATCTTTTCATTGTTTCCTGTAGAGTCTCGCATCAGCTCTTGATAGGTTCCCGAGATCCCTCATGATGCGGATACGCTTGCCCATGACAGAGACCAAGTCTCATGACGCAAAGAGGCCTACTCCGTACACCATCTGATTTACCATGGACGAACTCGGAGGAATGCCAAAATCCTAGTCGCGGAGATGAGAACCGTTCGACGTTCTACCTGATTATTGGACGATTCCTCCTGGTTGGGGCGCAGCAACTAGGCTCTCTCCACAGATAAACCCAATTTACCCCTACACACCCTCGCATTGGACCTCTGCACTCGGCGTAACGCCATCCAGATTGAGAGCATTCGATCCCAGGATCTAGCTATGAACATGGGTGTCATCCACGCAACAGCGGAGTCAAGGCTCAGCGCTTACATTCCTCTACCTTCTGTTGAGAGATTTACCATGGCGTATGGACTTGGCCTTCTATACTCCTGTATACATACGCGCTACTCCATGTATCGCAATGCATGCCCGCCATAGGTGTCTTTGTCTTGGCCGTTGTCGCAGGAAATTAGACCTCCTTGCTCTCATCTCTTGATGGTTGGGCTTAATACCGCTTAGTCAAAGAGTCTTCGAGTCTAGATTAAGTTGTAAAGCATGTTTTTAAAAAACAAAATAGTGTCAATGTTGTTGATCTTCCTCTCCTGCACAATCCAACGCCTTGTCCTTTAGAAGTACAGCTCTGGCTGCCTCATCCCCCTGCTTATGCTATGCTTAAATTCCTCCTTCATATAGGGAATTGCGAGGCGGAGAAATAATTGGTACATCTCAAACCAGTCATTATTGTTCATACGCCCCTGTTACAGAGGTTGCCGCCCAGGGGGGCTGTGTTGTCCCGAGCGTCAGTGGCTCGCATCGAGGTCTTGGTACCAGCAAAACTGGAAGAGTATATATTATCTCTTACTCTCTCGCACTTTGGTTCTCTGGGTGATTGTCATAGCTCTACTTGGCAGACTTAATTCACCGAAGCTTCGTTGCGAGTTGCCAGAAGAGGTTGAACTGTGCATTTCTCGGCGATTCTGGGCATTCATACACAGCCCCGTTTTGAGAGGGGAAAAAGGTGACCAGGCCTTTCGCGACTCCGTCGGCCTTGGAAGAAAGATTATTAAATTACCTAAATCTTTCGCTGTTACATTTGATTCACACATATCTCACCTCCGGAAGAACTCGGTGCAAGGTTGCGCTCCATGTCTTCACCAAACGATTCGTCCCGTCAGGGCCCATTATTGAATCCGGTCATAGTCACAGACTTTTCGGGCAGAGAGGTTGGTCAAGCCCTCTCTATTTCTAGTTTCGGAACTCTTGCGCTGATTCTCCCTGTTTTCTTCTTTCAGCGTTCTACATCTACAGCCTCTTCCGCTTGGTCAGGTCCTACGGATCTAAATCACAGCCCCGTTTCTCCCATTTCCCCAGATATGCCGGGGAATCTAGATCCGGCCCGGCTGATGGTTCACCCATCTTCACATCGGCCGTCACAGTCTATTGACGGTGATACGTTACGCCCGCGGGCGGGCTCATTCGCTTCCTCTGCAGATACTATGGTTCGCTCACGAACAAACTCCGATGTAGACCCGGCACATGCTGCTAAGGCTGTCTACGACGATGTGGATTTTGCCGATGCTTTGAATCCCGATCATCGGAATGAGGCTGATTTCCAAGTTGAGGATAATCGGTTTGCCTTCTCCCCGGGCCAGCTGAATAAGATGCAGAACCCGAAGTCCTTGGCTGCATTCCATGCTCTTGGTGGCTTGCAGGGCTTGGAGCGGGGCTTGCGGACAGATCTCAATGCTGGCTTGTCAATAGATGAAGGGCGTCTGGAGGGCGCTGTCAACTTCAATGAAGTTGCACCTTCGGCACCACACACATCTACAGGGAAAGTATTATCACAGCCCGAAACACCGGCGCCGGCGCCGGTGTCATCTGGCAGTGGCTCACCTTTTGAGGATCGTATTCGCGTCTTCAGTCAAAATAGACTACCTGCTCGGAAAACGACCGGGCTCTTGAAATTGTTCTGGGCTGCATATAACGACAAGATTATTATATTATTGACCATTGCCGCTGTGGTTTCATTATCACTCGGAATATACGAGACAGTGTCTGAAGGCTCAGGCGTCGACTGGGTGGAAGGAGTTGCCATCTGTGTGGCAATTCTGATTGTCACAGTTGTCACGGCTGTTAACGATTGGCAAAAAGAGAGACAATTCGCAAAGCTCAACAAACGGGCAAGTATCTTACAATGACCAGAGAAATTGACTATAGCTAACAGCTTGGCAGAATGATGACCGTGAAGTCACAGTCAGCCGTTCAGGCAAAACATCTATGGTTTCAGTCTATGATATCATGGTCGGCGACATCCTCCATCTTGAGGCTGGCGATTCCATCCCCGCAGATGGAATTTTGGTCACAGGATACGGTGTGAAATGCGATGAGTCTTCCGCCACCGGCGAATCAGACCAGATGAAGAAAACCCCGGGCCATGATGTCTGGCAGCAAATTGTCAACGGCAAGGCAACGAAGAAACTTGACCCTTTCCTGATCTCTGGCAGCAAGGTTCTTGAGGGTGTTGGAACTTACCTCGTCACCAGTGTCGGGCCGTATTCTACCTATGGCCGGATCTTGCTGTCGCTGCAGACGCCTAATGACCCGACTCCGCTTCAGGTGAAGCTGGGTCGGCTGGCAGATTGGATTGGCTATTTGGGTACTGGGTGAGTGAACGAACTTCTTTTTTCGTCCGTATAACTCAACTAATGATGATTGACAGCGCTGCTGGAATTCTGTTCTTCGTTCTGCTCTTCCGATTCATTGCCAATCTTCCTAATCACCCGGAGATGAATGGCGCTATGAAAGGCAAAGAGTTCGTCGATATCCTGATTGTTGCTGTCACGGTAATTGTTGTCGCTATCCCAGGTAAGAACTCATATTTACACGAAAAGTCTATATGAGCTCCACTAACGTCAATGTTTCTTATTAGAGGGCCTTCCACTGGCTGTAACACTGGCCCTGGCCTTTGCTACCACCCGAATGGTCAAGGAAAACAACCTCGTCCGCGTCCTCCGGGCCTGCGAGACTATGGGCAATGCCACGGTCATCTGTTCTGATAAAACAGGTACATTGACACAGAACAAAATGACAGTTGTCGCCGGAACCTGGGGTTCAAATGAGAGCTTCAGCCAAGGAATCGATAATGAAGCTGGGGACGGTTCCATGACTACTTCAGCAGTCTCCCAGCAACTCTCCGCTCCCGTCAAAGATTTGATTGTCAAAAGCATCGCTTTGAACTCCACTGCGTTCGAACAGGAGAAAGAAGGCTCCAGAGATTTTGTCGGCAGTAAGACCGAGGTCGCGCTGCTTCAGTTAGCCCGGGATTACATGGGCATGGATGTTGCCTCGGAGCGTGGATCTGCTGATATTGTTCAACTTATTCCATTCGACTCCGCCAGGAAGTGCATGGGTGTTGTCTACCGTCTTCCTGGCACTGGCTATCGATTGCTCGTTAAGGGAGCATCCGAGTTGATGGTCGGTGTATGCACCGCACAAATCACTAATATTAATACGTCCAAGGAGAGGGTTGATATGGAGGAACTCTCTAAGGCAGGAAAGGAAAACATCCTCGAGCTCATCAACAACTATGCGCACAAGTCTCTTCGCACAATCGGCATGGTCTACAAGGACTTCGCAGTCTGGCCACCAACAGGACTGAAACACTCTGAAGATCCTTCCTCGGCAAACTTCGATGATTTTTTCCATGGTATGACCTGGGTCGGAGTCGTGGGTATTCAAGATCCTCTTCGCCCTGAAGTACCGGAAGCCATCCGCAAGTGTCACTCGGCAGGCGTCCAAGTCAAGATGGTTACAGGCGACAATGTTGCCACTGCCACTGCGATTGCATCTTCTTGTGGAATCAAGACAGAAGGTGGACTGGTTATGGAGGGACCCAAATTCCGACAGCTGACCAACGAGGAAATGGATGAAGTGCTTCCGCGTCTACAAGTGCTAGCCCGATCCTCCCCCGAAGACAAGCGAATCTTGGTCGAGCGGCTCAAGGCTCTTGGTGAAACTGTTGCTGTGACAGGTGACGGTACCAATGATGGACCGGCTTTGCGTACTGCAGATGTCGGCTTCTCCATGGGCATTGCTGGTACCGAGGTCGCTAAGGAGGCCAGTTCGATCATTCTTCTCGACGATAACTTCAAGTCCATCGTCACAGCGATCTCTTGGGGACGAGCTGTCAATGACGCCGTTGCCAAGTTTTTGCAGTTCCAAGTCACAGTCAATATCACCGCAGTGGTGCTCACTTTCGTGTCGTCTGTGTATAGCAGTGAGAACGCCAGTGTTCTCACTGCCGTGCAACTGCTTTGGGTGAACTTAATTATGGATACCTTCGCCGCCCTTGCCTTGTAAGTTCCGTCGCTTGCTCAATCTTATCTCGAATGAACCGTTTGCTAACATTTTGGCGAAAACAGAGCCACAGATGCACCAACTGAAGAGATCCTCGACCGGAAACCTGTGCCCAAACACGCCTCTCTTTTCACATTGACCATGTGGAAAATGATCCTTGGCCAAGCTGTATATCAGCTAGCCGTCACATTCATGCTTTATTTCGCTGGTGACAAGCTCCTCGGCGCCCATCTCAGCTCAGACCCTATCCAGCGGGGGAAGGAGCTCGGAACCGTTGTGTTCAACACGTTCGTGTGGATGCAGATTTTCAACGAGTTCAACAACCGCCGCCTCGACAACAAGTTCAATATCTTCGAAGGCATGTTCCGGAATTACTGGTTTTTAGGAATCAATGCCATCATGGTCGGTGGTCAAGTCATGATCGTTTACGTCGGCGGCCAGGCATTCAGCGTGACTCGCTTGAGTGGCACCCTCTGGGGTGTCTGTATTGTCTGCTCTATTGTCTGTTTGCCCTGGGCTATTGTCCTTCGGACCATTCCAGACCGCCATTTTGGAGTCGTTTTCAACGCCGTTGTCGGCGCTATGAGTTTTGTTCTGCGCCCTCTTTCTCGCGCGTGCAAGGCAATTGGTCGTGGAATCGCGACCTTCTTCAGGCCTGCGAAGCGTTTCACTCGCCGTGTCGTCTTGAGACGGAAATCTGTCGACGAAGAGCCAAGCACACAATCCGAACAGTCTGTGGATCCCGAACAAGCTCCTGAAAGATTTGAACTGAACAAGCAAAAATCTCCCGAACGTCCAACCACACCTCCACTTGTTGTGGTACCCCCTATTACAATTACGACCTCCCCTTAATTGTCATTTTAGCGTTGGCGTTGTTTTTTTTTTTTGGTTGGCTGTCTGATATGTTGTACGTTATTTGTATATAGAGCATTGGGTCCTATAAAGGATGTATATATACCCCCAGAGGAACTACAAAAATACAATTTTTGCATTGAACATACAATTTTCTTCCACGTAGAAGTCCAACCGTTTAGCTGCCCGATCTCACCAGAATACAACTTGAATGTACTAGAAAGGGAGCTTTCAGGCAACGAGGGTTCGAGAATCGTGTTTCTGCCTCAGGCCAAAATACCCCCCGACTCGAAGTGTCCAGCTCCGTCTCCTGTGGACTCCCCAATTGACTCCGCGTTGCCCTGTCGATTCACCTTGTCATTTACCTGTGATCAGTAAAACTGGTCTTTGTCTCTCAACCACACTTTGTTAATTTATCCCTACCCCATCCGACTTCATACAGCTCGGAGACGTTCCCACGTCACTACATAATCTCCCCGCTTCCGCCCACCGTACCGATATACCAAACAGACCCTCAACAGACAGCTCCGCACAAAGCTTCCTCTACGTCAAACACACTCCACCGGCCTAGCCTACAACCAGTCCATTGAAATCAATCCCAGCTCTTTTTGGACCCTCAAATCCCAACCGCCACCATGTCGCAAATCAACTACCGTACCATCAACATTGACGCCTTGGACCCCGAGTCCCCGGCCAATTTCCCCATGGAATCTCTCCTCCCCGCTACACTCCCCTCCGCCGCAAGCGCCAGCGATGCTGCCAGCGCCGCGACACAGGTGCGCCAGATGCTGCGCGGCGGTGACCCCGAGGGTGCTCTTCGGACTGTCCTTGAGACCGCACCACTGGGTGGTGATGACCGTGCCAAGGAGGTGCACCTTGCCACTGTTATCGATGTGCTGCAGGGTATCCGTCAGGGCGAGATGACCCGTATCTTGGAGGGTGTGTGCAGCGGGGATGGCGGAGCTGAGCGGGCGGATTGCTTGATGAAATACCTGTACGTGGACTACTTTGCGATTGCCAGAGGATTTATATGGGGGCCGATACCCCTTGCGTGAGGCGTGGATTTGGTTGCTAACTTATCGATCACAGGTACAAGGGAATGTCCGGGACAGCTCCTGGTAGCGGGGCCCAGACGCCAAAGAAGGCGGTTTCTCCTCAGGATAGTGGCTTCTCGCAGATCCAGGCCCGCAACTTGGGTGAGGGCGGCGGTGGTCAGCAGATGAGCGTTTTGCTGAGCTGGCACGAGAGACTGGTCGAGATTGCTGGTACTGGGTCGATCGTGCGGGTCATGACTGATCGTCGGACGGTTTAAGCGGAGAAAACAGTATTGAATGGAGGTTTGTTTCTTATGATTTACATTTGACTGCCGTTTTTTTGTTCTCGTCTTGGTAGAGGCTTGATTTGCATTTCATACATCTCTGTGGATGATATCTCTCCAGTGTCGCTTCAAGCGTATTTTTACATTAGTATACTGTGACAATGTGTTGGGCTCTTTCCCTTTGCCCTTTTTTGTTTCCATTCTTCATGGCCTATCCAATTCTCCTCCACCAAGGATATCCTTGAGGTTGATGTCGCCACTGCCACGCTTCAATGGCTGCGCCTGGCCCTCGCCTTCTTTCCATCCGATCATATAGATCAACCGGAAGGTCGCGGGGATACCAGGTGCGCCATCCTCCATGTGCAGAGAACGATAAATAGCCTCATTGGCCAGCAAGACGTCCCGCGACAGTGGGGCCGAGTCACGGTTCATGATCGCATTGCTCTCTCCCATAGCCTGCAAATCTTGCATGAGAGCAAAAGTATCCGGGAACTCGACAACAATATCCTCAACGTCGACAGTAAGCATCTTAAACCCAGCACGGTTCAACAAGCTGCCGACGTCCTTGACATCTGCCAGAGGCGACACATGCGGACTCACACCACCGCGACGCTCCATATCGGCCAGCTGTAGCGATCCGCGCAGTTCGTACAACGTATCACCACCAAACATGGCCGCAATAAATGGCGCATCAGGCTTGAGTATTGTGTTTACCTGCTCCAAGAGCGCTGGCAAGTCGTTGATCCAGTGGATCGAGAGTGACGAAAGCACGGCATCGAAGCTGTTCGGTGCGTACGGAAGCGTCTCTAAATCCGGAATGATATCGCGCTGGATTTCGATCTCTTTGTTAAACGGGTCATTCTCATCGCGGTGGAGCAGTGCATGCGATGTCTCCACACATGTCAACTTCGAGATCTTCTTTGATAGTGGTGGCGTGATGACTCCCTCCGGCGCACCCGCATCGAGATTGGGGGATGTAAGAGCTCGGGCAATGTTGCAGCTGTTTGCGCCGAGATCGAGAACACTGGGGAAATCGCGTTTAATGTCCTAGTCGTAGCCAAAGAGGCTTCTGTTAGTGTTTCTGCTCTTTTATCTGCCTTTCGTAAAGTAGCTTACCAGCAATCGCTCACATAACCGCATTGCCACTTCATCTTTGAGGTAATCGACTTTGCGACTCTCTTCGACATTCCGGGCTGCCCGATCTTTTTGGAGGTGTTTGGTTTTGCGGTTGAAGACCTCAAGCATCGGGTTGCCGGGGGTCTGGCTGGCATATGTCCGGATCGTAAGACTTGAGGTGATACATCGCCTTTGGAAGTTGGCACGGAATGCCTGTAGAGGTAGCATTGTGGCTGTAGAATGGATATGAAGGACTCTACGCCGTTGAGCTTGAGAATGGGGTTGCGGCGATGGCGGGCAGAAAATGGCGGGATCTGACGTCGATTGTTGATGCGGAACTGCTACTCCGCAGCGGACTTTTGGCAATTGGTCTTTTGGAGTTACTTGGCCTTGGATTGTCTTTTTCTTTTGCATTGTACATATCGTGCATGGGAAATTGAGGCATAGCCATTGCAACCGCTGCTTGAGGAAGTCCTCGCCAATACACTGCTCTTCAGGGTCTCGTGTTTGGCGCAACATTGGAACCGCGAAACAGAACATCATCATTGGGATAACTACGACTTTCTCCTGGTCAATATTCCACATCAATTCATACCATTAAGCTGTTTGCCCCGCAGAGACGAAGCATGATTTGATCCGGCTACACAGCTAGAAAGCCCTCACATACATACATTCCCGCTCGATTCTCGCCATCGATAACATGTCGCGCCCTTTTCCATACACCTACATATCATGCCCGTGTGCCGACACCCCGGTCCCGGATCCAGCCAGGAAGCGAAGGTCAAGAGATACACCGCAGAAATCGCCGTCGAAACCACCCCCCGAGCGGGGGAACATAGGAGAGGACAATAAATCGCCAGTAGACACGGAACACCAATCAGACGATGAGGATGAAGAGCAAACCTTTGATCCTCGTTCGCCGCGATCCAACTTCTCACTATATCCCCCGGAACAACTTCTTTACTGCGAGGAGTGCCACCAAATCAAATGCCCCCGATGTATCACGGAGGAGATTGTGAGCTGGTATTGTCCCAGCTGCTTGTTTGAAACGCCGAGCAGTATGGTCCGGAGTGATGGAAATCGGTATGTATAAAGGGTGGGGGGAGTCCTAAGGCTGTGTTTGAGTACTGGCTTACATGTGTATTTCCTTAAGATGTGGTCGAAACTGCTTCAATTGTCCAGTCTGCACGGCCCCACTGGCCGTTAGCACCATTGAGAATGTCACAGGGAATGGGCCTCAGCAGGGTCCGTGGGTATTATCATGTGGTTACTGTCTCTGGACCACCTTGGACATCGGTATCAAGTTCGACAAGCCGACTAATATTCGCAACCAACTGCAAAAGATGACAGATTCCACTTCGCCAGCTGCTCTCGACAGGTCGAGACAAGCCTCCCGCACTTTTGGGGATCTGAAACATCCGTTGTCTAGCTATGCATCAATTGACGAGCAGTCCAATGCCCGCCAACGTGCGGAAGAGGAAGCTACACCAAAAGAAGACCCGGTTGCACCTCCAATGGGCCCAGATGCTCGGTTCGCAGCTTTGAAGAATTTCTACCGTACACAGATTTCGGAGACATCGAACTCGCCCAACGATCATCTCAGTTCAGAATTCGGGTTCTCCTCGCCCGGTGCCCTAAACCGGCTAATGTCTCTCTACAATTCCTCGTCGCGTCTAAGCGGGCTGTATGGCGGCAATAAAAAGGCCAAATCTAAGCCACCCGTTATGCGTGAGGCGCTCACTGCCAGCGAGGGCTTCCAGGTTGCTCCGGAAAACAGCGAGGCAGACATCATTGCTCGTGCTCACTCTTCAGAATGTGGCTGGGATGGGATGGCCTCGATAAGCCAGCGCACAACCCAATCACCAGATGCCCGCTTCGTCGACGACCTCCTCCCTCTCCCTGTTCTCCTTCGTACTAAGCGGTCCAAGCGTTGCAAGAGCTGCAAACACATCCTCGTGAAGCCTGAGACTAAGCCGCAATCTACTCGCTTCCGGATTCGTCTTATTGCTCTCAGCTACATCCCTCTCCCAACTCTCCGCCCCTTAACCCTGTCTTCCTCGTCAGCCCTCCCAGCACTGGCCCCAACTTCTGACCTTAATTCACTCACACCCCTACGTCCTATCCATATCCTCCTCACCTTGAAAAACCATATGTTTGATCCCGTTCGCATCACCCTCGCCACGCCTTCCGTAACCCCAGGCCAAGTTGCTACGAAAGTCACAGTCCTCTCCCCACAGTTCGAGATCGGCGCGAACAGCGATGTCTGGGACGAGGCCTTGCAAGGTGCAACCGCGCCATTGACAAGCGACTCGCGATCTGCCGTTCTCCGCGGAGTCCCCGAGGCAGGCAAGGTATGGGATAAAGGTCGGAACTGGACTACTGTCGTGCTGGAGGTTGTTCCTGGTACATTACCCGGGAGCAGTGCCGAAGGTGGCAGTGGCAATCCCAATATCAAGACCAACGATGAGGATGTCCTGGCGGTTGCAGCTTCCAAGCAGGACGAGGATGTTCTGGAGATCCCGGTGTTTGTGCATATGGATTGGGATGCGGATACGCAGCTTGATCACCAGAATGTTGAGAAGGACTCTAAGCCTGATGATAAGGTTACGAGGGAGTTGGCCTATTGGATGGTGCTTGGTGTGGGGAGGATCCAGGCCTCGCTGTAGATAGATGGGGTTGTGTCTTGTTCTTATTCTGACTGCGTTTTTTTTTTGTTACCTTTTCATACCCCGAGATACACGTTTTGCCCGTTCATTTAGACATGCTGTACACAATGAGTTGTTCAGTGACTGCCGGTTTCATCCTGATACGTAGTGGATATTAATACAGCATGGGGCTCTAATGAGTACCTAGACCTACCTAGGTAGGTAGGTATATCATCACATCACAAAGTCTACAAGCGGGCCTAGATCACAATTCCCAACTCGACAACCCCATTCTACAACAAGGAGCAATGAAAAGTCGGAATTGTTCATTGGAATACTATCAGATATTCCATCCCATCCTCATTATCGGGAGAGAGAGAGAAACTCCACTCCATCGCCTCACCCAGACCACCAACCGGACACATAAAAAGGGCAGATGCAACCAGTGGCTGGGGGCAAAAAAAGAAAAGAGAAAAAACCGTCAATGCATTTTTATGGAGATCATCTCTTTGGAACCCATCAATGGCGTTGAATCTAGCAACAATTCAAAACTAGAAACAATGCCATTCTCCCACACATCAACCGAGCACATTCCAGCCCCTAGCCCCAAAAAAGTCAAAGTGAACAAAGAACTCTAAATTGTGCATTTAGAACTCAGCGCCGCTCTGGGGGAACTCGAAGGCAACGGCGCGGCCGGTGAGGCGACGGTAGACCTCGCCGTAGGCATCAAGGCGGTGGTCGACACCACCACGCTCCTTCTCGTCAAGGATGACCTTGAGGGTCTTGGAGCCGTCCTCCTTGGTGCGGGTGCGCTTGCCGACAATCTCGACGGGGTAGACGAGATCAGCGAGGATGGCGTCGTGGACAGCAGTCAGAGTGCGGGAACGGGGGCGCTTCTGGGTCTGGGTGGAGCGCGAGTTGACGGAGCGCTTGGGGCGGGGCAGGATGCGGCGCTGAGCAACGAAGAGGACGTGGCGGTCGGAGAACTTCTTCTCAAGCTCGCGGGTGAGACTGAGGGAAGGGGTGTTAGTTTTCCGGTTGTTTTCTCCGGTTGACTTTTTTGATTTTTCGGGGGGACCGCGTCGAAGGGTTTGGTGGGTTGCTTACCGCTGCTGGATCTTGTGGAAGTTGGTCAGGAGGGGGACGGGGACGAAGACAATGATGGCCTTCTTGCCGTGGCCGACCTCAACCTAGATAGCGAGAAATAAAATGTCAGAGCGTTGTCCGCTTGAAAGTTGTCGTGCACACATAACGAAAAATCCCTCCTGGAATGGCGTCTTGCTCTGCGAATTTTGATATCCAGTTGCGTTGCTTCCATCGCTCATGTTCCCTTTCAATGTTGATGTTTTTTGACGTTGGTGGACATGAATTGATACCAATCCACAAATCCATGCAATATACCCCGGAACATCGAAAAACCCTCAAAAAATTCGCAGACGCCATTCCAGAATGATTCAATTCGCATGTCGGAAGGCTCGGGCACCGGTTCTTACCTCACGGGCAGAGACGAACTGCAGGGGACGAAGGGAGGCCTTCAGGTCCTGTGTGTTGCTCTCGAGATCGAAGAGAGCGCCGGCGATCGCGGTCTCCAGCTCGGAGGGGTTTTGCCGGGATGGCGAGTTGGGGGCGATCTTGTTGATGGCAGCCATTATTGCGAGCGACGGGGTGCTGCGGGAAGTGCTGGTGGTGATGTCGACGGAGGGGAGGTTCGCAGATTGAATCGAATGGGAATTTGCTGTGGGATCGGCGCTTTCGCTTAGGGTGCACTATTTCCTATTTGAGTTTAGGGTGGCCGTCTTAGGGCTCTATGCTGATTGGTTGATTGCCGCTGAGGGGGGATCCACTATACAACCTGACTTTTGATGGCAACGACTTTGATTGTTATACTCCTATTATTCTACCATGAACTTTTCTGCACCATGCTAATCCGACTGCTAATCACAATATCCAAGAATTTACACTCTAATCACATTGTCGAGGCAAAGATCCTCTCGGGGAATAACACACTGTAGACTATAAGAGCACATGGGAGGTCTCCATTGCGGAACAAGCAAAAAAGAAATCAAAAAGCATGAGGGACGCCTGTATCCATGGAAATAATTGCAAAGAAACTTCTGTGACAAAAAGACCCAAATCAGCAAGCGCAGCCCTCCTTAGCCGTCGCAGCGTTTCGATCGCCCAAGTTGACCCGCGAATCCTCTACCGACCGACTACCCAGTGCAGTCTGGCCGGTCCCTGCACCAGTTCCACGGCCAGTCTTCAAGCTGCTTTCTGGGATGGCATTAGCAATTGCGGTGAAGACATCCACGACGTTGGTTCCGGTCTTGGCGCTAGTTTCGAAGAACAGAAGACCCTCATCCTCGGCATAGCCGGTGGCCTCCCGTGTTGATACCTTGCGGGCATCACCAGACACGGCATCCTGTGCCTCATCTTCCTCGACTGCGCCTTCTTCGTCTTCCTGTGCTGATTCAGACTCGCCATGTCCAGCGATAGCAACATCGGAAGCACCACCGCCGTCATTGGTCAAGTCCAGCTTGTTACCGACAAGGGCAATAACGATTCCAGGGCTCGCTTGGCGTTGGAGTTCAGCAACCCAGTGCTTGGCCTTTGTCAGCGATGAGGGTTTTGTGACATCGTAGACGACGAGGGCCGCTTGCGCATTACGGTAGTACATCGGGGCGAGCGAGGCGAATCGCTCCTGGCCAGCGGTATCCCAGATCTCAAACTTGATCGTTCGTGTCGGAAGAGAGCATTTTTGCGTCAAAAATGCGGCTGAAAACAATGACGTTAGTTGGTCATCCTTATTTATAGAAGTGGTTGGGGCTCCTGGGGCGATTGCGGGGAACAGCTCCGTATTAGACACTATGCACTGCCCCTGGGTTCCTTAGAGAGTGTCTGCCAGAGACAGTACTTCGTGTGCTATGGGGGCAAAGTCCATGAGGGGATTCTTACCGCCAATGGTCGGTTCCTTATTCTCCTGAAAATCATTGTTGACAAAGCGAAGGACAAGCGATGACTATGATTGAAGAATAAGATGCAATTAGTTGTGAATCAGCGTGTAACATTGCAGATGGGATGAGTAATACCTTGCCCACTGCGGCCTCTCCTAGCAGCACAAGTTTGACGCTGCTGCTAGGCTTCGGGGCATTTGCACTTGCTGACTCGGACATGGCTGAAACAACGAAGCAAAAGTGGGATGAAAGTAACCACGATCAGTCCTTCTGTAGGTTAGTTACCTATGGTCGATCGGCGATCAGGCGACCGGATGAGGTGGCAGGCTAGTTCAGCTGGTAACCGCAATTCGGGAATGGGGGCTGCCTGGGAGTAAGACAGGAGTTGGAACAACGATCCGTGCTCTTGCGATGGTATTGACAGGGTATTCCAATCCTGGTCCAGAATTAAGAAATGTAAACCTTGGTATAGACGTTACCGAGATAAGAGCGATTGATGCTGGAGTTGGAGAGAAGCGGAGGTCGATGATGATGATGGCTGCCTCAATTGGGCCTAGCGTGGTGGTCAGTCACGGGAGTCCTAGGTACCTGCCCAAAGTTGAAGTATACAAATGCCCATATTCCCAGATTGGCATAGATATTCCTTTTGCTTTACTCATACGTGTGTTATTAACGCTTAGTTTGACTCTCGTATCTATTTACAGAGAGAGGGTTATCTGAGAACTAAATTTAATGTTCAAGGGTTCATTCCTGACGTTATTGATATCTCACGTCATTAGATATGCTGCACCGGTGATGGCATGCAGGCAACATGGACATGGTTGTCGGGGTATGAAGGTTTTGGAATTGTGAAGCCAAGTATACGTACTCTGACATGATGGAAGGTAATCCACAATCAGACAAACATGTTCCTGACACTTTGACAGCTGTCATCGTAGAACGGGCTAGTGCCCAACTCGTCCGCAAGATGAACTCGGGCACCAGTTAGGAAAGACCCTGGTCAGGCTCGGGGCATATCTGCCGATGCAACCGCTAGGTCCGCATCAAGAATCGGGCTGTCGTTCCTGTCTCGGCTCTAGTCGGCAAGCAAATCTGCCCGATCCTAGCGCAACCGCCGTCGGTCAGGTACAAGTGGAGTACGACTTGAGATTGGGGTTAGTTTACAAACTTGGGGTTACATAAAATGCATCTAGAAATGAACGTGAAGCCGGCGGTGGTCTAGACTTGGAGGGACAATATAGGTGATAATTCGATTAGCGTTGGCAATTATACCTTCGCGCACAGTATAATACAACGGCATCAACGTCAAATAGAAGATATAGATACTCATACAAAAAAAAATAAACCCGGGAACAATACCCATCCAATAGTAAAACAAGAAAAGCATTCAAAGTGCTATTGACCGTGAGGTCGAAGCTCTAGGTTCTGGTATCAGCCCGTGTATCCCATTCAATATCCGTCCCGTCTATACCATAACGCCGGTGGAAAACGAGAAACAAAAAAAAAGCACAACATAAAAAAGAGAATAAAAACAAAGGCACTTTTTGAGAGATTGGACCGTGGTATCGAGTCGTGTCAGAGAAGAGGTAGAGCGTGAGGTGAGGCGGAACAAGGTTTGAGGGCCCGAAAACAGAAGGACAAGGCGCATGTGCGAAGACGAAAGATCAAAGGTCGATAAAAAAGAGGTGTCCACGCTTGGTATCCGAAAAGAAAATGCAAAGGGCAGAAGTCGAGCCAAATTAAAAAGGGTATAATGTCGCGCAAAGCCTGTGCCGAATAGGCAAGGAAGTTGAATGGCCGAAGCCGGACAAAGCAAAAAAAATAAATAGTGTTACAGATATCTAGTAGCTTGGTTAGTTTTGATGCCCAATGGTGGGTGCGGAGTTGGCAGGACTCACCAAAATCAGGTAAAACTCCAAAACGCATCTGCGTTCAAAACTCCAGCCACTGTTGGGCGCCAGACCATCGGAAACAAGACCGAGTGGTGTCAAAAGCAATGTTGAGTGTGACAAGGTTCCGAAATGGTTTATTTCGGTGGTGGTGGAGGTACACCAGGCTTCTTCACCCCAGTTGTGTCGTAAGCTCCGCGTCCCATGTTGAAGGCAGATAGGTCTCGCAGGATCATATTAAGGTCTGCGGAGGCGGTCATGGTTAGATGTTGAGGGTGATAAAGATAAATCAAGACGTTGGATAGAGTGGGCTGCGAATGCAAAGGCGAGGATTGAGATAGTCAGAACTCACCAACTAAACACGACGTCGAAGCCAGGATCTTATATAGATATTTCCTCGGGGAAGCAACCGGCACACGAAATCCCAATCCACCCCCCGTGAAAATTCAAATAAAATAAAAGGTCTAGACAAAAATCGGCGGTGCAGGCGATAGATGCAGATGCAGTCGGGATCGGGAAAGGCGGTCCTTTTGAAGGATAACCACTGGGAGCGGGATCCAGCAGAATTGTAGGGCAGGAATGTGATGGATTGGGCCCAATGAATGGGAATTGGTGGAGTCTGGAGGAAGCAAGATGGCGGACAGATCGAGGTTGCTTTTTATTTGATTTGTAGAGGAAAAATCAAGGAATAAATCCAATCCAGATGATAAGCGCGAGGGTGGCTGCAGTAGTCCAGCAAATCGTGATCTGAACCAAGAAAACGGGCGAGAAGGGATATGAGGTTTACTCCGTCGACGGCAAGGGAGCAAAGGAGAAAGTGCTCCGGAAGTGGCTCCGGTCGATCCGGACAAAGAGTAAATCGACGTATCGCAAGGGAGAAGGGAGAGGAAAGGAGAGCAGTAGGGGGGTGATGTAGAAGATGGTTATCTGGTATGTCGAAGGGAAACAAGAAGGGGGGACTTGCGTTGATATAGACGGCTTTTTTTTCCCTTACGAACGATTTATTTAAATAATTTCTTCCCTTTGGTGTCTACAACAAAAATCGAAAATCAATAAACCCGAAAGAAATATCCGTTGAAAATCAAATTAAAATCATTTCAAAAATCATTTGGAAAACCATTTGGGAAATCATTTGGGAAATGCCCCAAATCATTTACCCAAAATCATTTACGGAGTACCCAAAATCAGAAAGTCGGAAAATCAGAAAACCAAAAAACCCAAAAAAAAGCAGAAAATCATTTGCCCAAAATCCCAAACTTGGAATATCCGCCCATTTTTCTTTGTTTAGCACCCAGCGGCTCTCCCGCCCCTGGTCCCGGGGAACAGGAAATGGTCCCCCCTTTCTTCTCCAACGTTGCGATCCTCCAGTCTTACGTGAAGTGGGTGCTGACACTCTAGGTGACCGAAGTACGGAGTACCCTCTGATCCATCACAATATCCTCGGAGATACATCTAGCGGGCTTTGTCGACTGTCAGGTCCAAAAGTGCCAACTCCCCGTACCTGTTATGTATCAACTAGGCGTAAACAGCTCCCCCACTATAAAGCTAGGAACCAAATCTCCGGGCAGCCTGTATGCAGAAGTGGAGCAAAAGAAGAAAAAGCAGCCGCAGGAACAAAAAAAAATGGATCCCTCCGAACGACATCTCTTTTTCTTTTTCTTTTCTTTTTCTATTTCTATTTCTCGCGTGGTCGGGCTCCATCGGGTATAATAGTGTTCTCCTCCGTATGGAGTACAATCCTATTAAGCCCCAAGCAAAAATCCCATAACCCTAAAAAAGAGTGACATATGATGCCTAGGTACGGAGGACGGAGGACGGAGAACTCTGGAATCCCCTAGCCAACCACCCAAACAACCTGGAACGGAACGGTATTCCATGCTAAGCACTGAGTAATCAAGCCTAGACATCCGGGCTTGCACGCAGTTTCCCGAGTAATTCGTTAAGACCAGTCGCAACTCTCAAATCGGGTCTCGGAAGTCTTGATACACTCCCCGTTCTCCAAAGTACCGGACACATCAGAAGCCAATCGATCAACATATCGCAATTTTGTCGCATCTCTCCATTCCCGTCTTTGTCTCTGCTCTGTACTCCGTACTTGCCGATCGATCAGGGCCAAAAAAAGAAAAAAAGAAAACGAGAAAGAGGATCCTCTGTTACGATTTTGGGCTCCATCATAGGGGGTGGAGATACGCTAGACAAAAAAAGACATTACGGAGCCCCCCAAAAAAGCGAAATCCCGCCTCGGTTACGTGTGAACATTCTTTTGGTCTTCTAGCCTTTCCTTGCTCTCCCGGGGGCTTGGGTCCAGGTACCAACTATGATACCAGACGTCGTACGGAGTACATTTTCGAAGATAAATACATAAATCAAAAGATAGATACTCCACCCCCATAATCCGGTAATTAAGGATACCTCCTGCGTCAGCTTTCCTCATGTTTGCCACACTGGAGACACAGTACCTGCTCCATCAAAGCCACAATTTATACCCTCGGCGGCATGGCGACTCCCATCTGGGACCAAGGTCTCTACGCATTACGAGCTTGTGCTCCAGCTTGTCCAACGAGGGTCCATAGATTGTCGTCGTGTTTCAGCCAGTGTCCACCCTATGCCAAAAGGAGGAAATTCCTCCATCGGCGCTGGGAATCCGGGCCTCTCCCTCGTGGAAATCGGGGGCTAGAAGATCGACTGTAGATTACAGCCTAACGTTGGCAAGAGATTCAAGACCCGTTTCGAACGCAGCTAGATACTAGGTCGCCCTAATATCCTAGTGCCGGGACTTGCTTTGTTACACCATTACTCCGTCGAAAGAAACCAGAAAGAGAGAGGGGGAAAAATAGACGGAGACATTCCCAACCTCCCCAAGTTCCTGACGCTTCTTGAAGATGATTCTTACGTTCACGTACAACCGAGGCTCGGAAAAGGGGAAGACCGGTTTTACGTCGGTACAGAGTAGAGTTGACGATCTTCCCCTGCGGATCGAGGCTCCATATGGGAAAGGAAGTCATAGGCACGGCATCCTCAGGTTTACGTATGATGTTACCGCAATGACGGAAAGCAAGCTCCATTATGGAAGAATTATCGAAGGAAAGCAGCTTCCTATTCTTCCATAGTGGAACCGGAGTGTATGAGAAGCCGTTTCGATTACAGCTAGAACGGCGCTAGAAACGGGAGAAAAACAAGAGACTCCAGTCTCCATTATTCGCCCATCTGAGTATCCATTCTCTCACATTGTCAACCTTAATGGCCCCCATTGGCCTTTGGTAGCCCCTTTTTTCCGGGTTGGGAACACCATCTGAGCCCAACAGATTCGGGATCTTCTGATGTACATCGTACAACGGTGGCCCGAGACCCAGAGTGGCGGTTCATGATCCGAGACTGGATTCTACGGAGTCGAGACAGCCTCTCCAGGGTTCCAGATTTCCAGATTTCCAGCGTTCGGCTGGATGCATTAGTGGCCAAAACAAGGTTACCTGATTGCATGAACCGCCTTCCATCGCTTCCGGAACGTCTTAGTCTTCCCGAGATTTGGTCGTTCATCGTTCGTTCATCGGTGCCCCAATACGATGTCGACCATTCCTCTTCGATATCTCCCTTTGTTGGAAATCGGGATCTCACAGTTGCACCTACCCGCATACACCTGGTGGCGTCGAAGGATCGAAACAAAAAAGAAAATAAACGGTCGCGGATCAATATCCGCCCGCATTGACATTGTGATTTGCCTTGCAGCGCGTCGCGAAGCAGGGGGGTTCCTAGTCTGGATACATCGAACCCCAGCTGGCTCTTTGTTCATCTGACAGGCAATGTGGATATGTCAACGCTCTTGAAATTGAGTGGGTATCGGTGTCTTTGTGTGCATTTTGCTTTTTTGGGGGGGGTTCTCTGTGTATCTTGTGACGGAGGTGGACTGGAGGTGATTCGCTTCTCTGCAATCTAAATATCGCTAGGCATAGGGGAAGGCGCACTAAGACTCCGCGGATGCAAACCCGGGCGATCTTAGTTCATTTCTGCCTCAAGAGCAGGCTCCATATATGGAAAGTTCTGGAAGCGCTATGTGGTCCATAGCATACGATAGCGGATTCCCAGCGAAGTGTCCACAGTAGCTCGAGGTATTCCGCCTGTACTCCGTACTCCGTACTCCGCAAGTGAAGGTCATCGACTCCGTACGGAGTAGCATAAATGGAGAAAAATCGAAATTAAAATCAAAAAATAGAACCAGAAACTGCACCTTTTCCCGAACCAAAAAAGATGCGCCTTTTCAGCCGCTTCAATTCTTAGCTTCTCCTTTTCTTTGGGAATCGGAACTATCTCACTCTGGTACAAGCCACCAACAATTTACAACACACAAAGTCCAGACTCTTTATTAAACTACGATTCCGAGATTGACGGCTGCTCTTAGCCGAGCTCATCAAAGCGAACAGGGTGGACTGACCTTTTTAGACCTCTCTGGACCTTCAAATTCCAAGTGACAGGCCCAAATCCACATCGCGACCCGGCTACTTGATTAACTTGCAGGCGAAGGCAAAAATAAGGATCGCCGACAGCTCCACGGCTCCAACGCCAGTCTGGCGGGTTCGATCGTCTCCTTTCTCTTGCTTTCTGGGTCACCCCCTGACTTCGGGTACCTAGGTACCTATTTTGATCACGGCATGACGCAGGAAGTATGACTGATCGAGCCATACAAATCCATCGCGTATGACCCACGTCGAGAGGGGTCGGCTTCTCCTCGAGTGATCCGCGGCCACTTGGCGCGTCAACGCCTAATGTTCCCCGAGATGCTCCACGGGGAATCAAGGCCCCTGGGCGAAGTACTCCGTACTTCCTGCGTCACACTGCGCTTCGCTGCGGGAGGATATGTAAGTTCTACACTATGCATGCTGGCTGTATGACACGCTGAAGAATAATTCGAAAATCGACCAAAAATAAATTAAAATCAAAAAATCCAATCTCATTCTGCACTGTCGATCGCCGCGGCCTTTCCGGAGTACGGAGTACGGAGTACAGAGTTCGAAATGCGCCATCTCTTGATCCGATGTCTGATCCCCCAGATAATGATTCTAAGATAGTCAATTCTGACAATAGCGTCTCCTCATTCACTAGTACTGACTTAACCCGTACTGTACCCAAAACCGCTAGCCTGCAGATCGTCAGAACCAGAACCAGAGCCAGAGCCAGAGCCACGGTCGAGTCCTCCCGAGATCTGCGATCGCGATGACCCTTTTCGTGTTGTGCATATCAAAGCTGGAACCGGGGAACAGTCTTCCCCCCGAAGCTATCAAATCCGACCACCTGGATGTGTCACATTCCTGCATTTCGCCTGTTGATTTCTTTGGTATTTTTAGGCCATTCTATATTGTACGGAGTACGGAGTACTCCGTACGGGGTACGTCGGCCCTCGATCCACAAACAAAGTAACCCCAGCGAGTGCTGGTATGCAGGGACTGTTTGTCCTCAGGCCCCTACTTGGAGTATATGTTGCAACATACGTACCAGGAATGACATGATCACTGATGCATTGCATAGAATGCATTGCAGAGAAATGAGGCGCAAAATATGACCAAACCCCTGGGAATCCTCCCCAATTCCCTATAACCGGGTTCTGTTGGTGCTTTCTTGGATTCGATGCGTCGGAGACTACCTGTCACCCCAGCCACCCCTCACCCCCAGTGGCAAGTGTCAAAAGGACGCGAAATATGTGACAACCTGACTCGGATTTGAATTTGAATTTGGATATGGATCATTTGGAATAGCTCGATTATCCGTACGATGTAGAGAACTTGGGTGTGCTTTCATCAATATTATTCGTAATTCAAGTTCTTCGGCTCCTCTAACCTCCTCCATAGCCACTAATCGTACAGAGTCCGGAGTACTGACTACAGTCCTCATTGCCGACCAAAATAATCCCCCGCAATCGACATCGCTCTTTAGAATTCAACACCGCGAGTTTGCGCAGTGGTATGCCATCTCAAACTGCAAGTCAAATCTTCAGTCAGTAATCTGAAGTATACAATAATAACACACCTACCAACTATAATCTACACCACGAGAAGTTGGTTCCACGGTCTCTATCCCTCGAACAACTTACTTGTTCATTGGTCTGGCACACCAGAACTCGGGGCCCCTTGCTGGTACCTTTGGAAAGGTCTTTGACCGTCTCTTCATCCCCAGGCCCCTTGTCATTAGCCGCATCATCGATTGCCAAACCTAGACACTGGCATTTCTCGACTAGCGTTCCTCTCAACATGGAACTCTTCTCACCGATCCCGCCCGCAAAGACCAGACCGTCTAATTCACCGTTGAGTTTGACGTAGTAGCTGCCGATGTAGCCCTGGATGCGGTCAATGAAGATGTCGAAGGCGAGTTTGTGTTCTTTGCTTGGTGGATCGGGTACGGCGATCTTGGCGAAGTCGGTCGTTCCTGTGAGGGCTTTCCACCCCGATTGTTTGTTGAGGATGTCTTCCGCCTAACGTTTACATTCTTAATCTTTGTGTGACTCTATTCAGTTGGACATTCATACCGTGCTGATGTGCATTCCTGTTGTGCTGGCTGGGCTTAGTTTGCCCGCTTCATTGGTGTAGTGGAATACCAATCTAGAGCATATCATCAGTTCTCCATGGATGTAGTACAGAAAGCAATTCAATATCAACTCACGAAGGATCGATACTTCCACTCCGCGTTGCACCAGGCAATCCTGCCAAGGGAGTCAGGCCCATTCTAGCCGATACATTAGCATGACTCTCACTTGAACCACAGCGTGTTGCAGTATAAACTACATCGCGTCACTCACGAAGTATCCACCGATTCCCCGTTTTTAATCGCACATATCGAAGCCCCACTCCCGATATGCATAACAATGAGATTCGTCTTCTCTATCGGTTTCTCCAAAAACTGTGCTACAGATCGCAGGATAAACGAGTAGCTGATCCCATGGAAGCCATACTTCCGTAGGCCGTTCGCCTTGGCAATATCTTGGTTGATGGGATACGTGCGCACGGCTTCGGGAATAGTTTTGTGGAATGCGGAGTCGAAGAAGGTGATGCTTGTCACCTTGGGTAGTTCTTTCCTGCACAGGCGAACTATCTCCAGCGCGGAGAAATTATGTCTTTTCGATAAGACGCTGTTAGCGACGAGGAACATCATCCCAGACATGTATAGCTGGGACAGTGGCACTTACAGTGGTGCCAGGTCTTCTAGTCCTTTCAAGCGATCCAGTGTCTCATCATTGATTTCGACTGCGTCGTGGTAGTCGCCTCCGTGAACTACTCGGTGACAGATATACTTCAGGTCATCGGCACTAGCGACTTCGGAGAGCTCGGGGTCGCTAAAACAGCGCCTCAAGAGGTATTTGAATGCATCTTGAGGTGTGCTGAGTTTTTCTTTCAGTTCTTCCTTGTGTTTTTTGTCACCCTGTTGATACTTGAACATGGGTGGGGGCGCGGTAATCCCAGAAATCGATGCATCTGCGATTGTCCTTGGTGGTTGCTCGAATGTATAGAAAGTGATTTTGACGGAGGATGACCCCGCGTTAACGGCGAGAATAGATTTGGGCATTTTGAAACTGCTTTGACTGGTGGAGTACCTAGGTAGGTGGTTCGGTTTTAATCATCATTGACTTGAAACCCTGTCCAGATAAACTGGGCTTTCAGGTTTGTTTTGTCGCTGTGATGTCAGGGTGTGGAGTGACGTCGCCAACACGGGGAACAGCTTGGAAGGCGGGTTAAATATCCAGGACTCACATGGGCATGGCTTAGATCTTGTTTGATGGTCTTCATTTAGAATTTCTTTCACTGTCTCTTTACAATTCATCTCTCGTCTATATTGTACCATCCTCCACCTCTTCTTATTGTCTTTGGCTCCCGCGTCGATCATCCGTGCCAAGCTCCCGTTGAAACTACATACAAGCTACCATCATGCCTGGAGAGGTCATCACCGAACCAAATCCGCAGCCGTTGCCGTCGCATTTGCCAGACTACCTTGAGCAGCTATGTGTCGAATTGGATCGTCAAACCTTGAATCCGAAGGCCTGTGATGCCTTGTTCAAGTTCCGCCGAGCGGCTTGTTACATTGCGGCAGGTAAGAGCCACCATATATAATTGGTCGTCGGCGAGACTAATTCAATCCTAGCCATGATTTTCTTACAAAAAAATACTCTTCTAAAGTCGGAACTCACATTCGATCATGTCAAGCCTCGATTACTTGGTGAGGAGGATCTCCAGAGTACTCAGTGCAACATCTATGACTGACACACATCCTGCCTCTAGGTCACTGGGGAACATGCCCAGGCTTGATATTGGTCTATTCTCATTTGAATTACCTGATCCGGACAATGGACCTGGACATGTTATATGTCGTTGGCCCGGGACATGGCGCACCGGCAATTCTGGCTGCACTGTGGCTAGAAGGCTCGTTGGAGAGGTTCTACCCCGAGTATTCGCGGAACAGCCAAGGTCTACACAATCTTATCTCAACATTCAGCACAACAGCTGGTTTTCCAAGGTCAGTTCTCCTTGACCTGCCCTTTGGTTGCCTGACTAACAGCTATTCTCAGTCACATTAACGCCGAGACCCCTGGCGCCATCCACGAAGGCGGAGAACTAGGTTACGCATTAGCAGTGTCTTTCGGGGCTGTCATGGATAACCCAGATCTGATCGTCCCGTGTATTGTGGGCGATGGAGAGGCTGAATCTGGTCCTACCGCTGCGTTCGTCGATTACTTCCCCTTTGAACTGCACAGCGCTGACAGTCGATAGGTCCTGGCATGCGATCAAATATCTTGACCCTAAAGAATCTGGCGCAGTTTTGCCCATCCTGCATATAAATGGATTCAAGATCAGTGAACGCACGATCTTTGGTTGCATGGATCACAAGGAGCTTGTGGCTCTCTTCACTGGGTACGGATACCAGGTGCGCTTTGTAGAGGATCTCAACGATATTGACACGGATTTGCACTTCTCCATGGTCTGGGCTGTGAAGGAGATCCATAAGATCCAGAAGGCTGCTCGTTCGGGAAAACCAATTCTCAAGCCGCGGTGGCCAATGCTGATTCTGCGGACTCCTAAGGGGTGGTCTGGTCCAAAGGAGCTTCATGGCCAGTTCATTGAGGGCTCATACCACTCACATCAGGTACCTTTGCCGAAAGCAAAGAAAGACAAGGAAGAACTAGCTTTACTATACAAGTGGCTCTCAAGCTATAAGCCAGAAGAGCTCTTCACGTCAGACGGTGATATCATCGATGAGATCAAATCCGTGATCCCGACTGAAGACAAAAAGAAGCTTGGTCAGCGCATTGAAGGCTATAATAGTTATGTGCCGCCGAACTTGCCGGATTGGAAAGCCTTCTGTGCAGAGAAAGGCTCTAATGCAAGCGCTATGAAATTGACTGGCAGTCTTATCAATCAGACATTCAAGGATAATCCCAGCACGGTGCGGCTATTCTCGCCAGACGAACTGGAAAGCAACAAAATCGATGCGGTGTTCGAGGGCACGAACCGCAATTTCCAATGGGACGAGTTTGCCAATGCCCGCGGCGGCCGTGTTATTGAAGTTCTTAGTGAACACATGTGCCAAGGTTTCATGCAGGGTTATACCTTGACCGGCCGCACTGGGATTTTCCCATCCTATGAAAGCTTCCTTGGCATCATTCATACAATGATGGTGCAATATTCCAAGTTTCTCAAGATGGTCAGTCTGACAGCTCTCCCCTAGATCGATTTCATACTTACCAGATACCCCGTGTAGGCATTAGAGACAAATTGGCACTCTAGCGTCAGCAGTATGAATTACATCGAGTCTAGCACCTGGACCCGACAGGAACACAATGGATTCTCCCATCAGAACCCATCCTTCATTGGCTCTGTCCTGAAGTTGAAGCCTAGTGCAGCTCGCGTGTATTTACCACCAGATGCGAACACCTTCCTGACTACTCTGCACCACTGCCTTGGATCAAAGAACTACATGAATCTGATGGTGGGCTCAAAACAACCGACTCCAGTGTACCTGACTCCTGAAGAGGCCGAGAGCCATTGCCGCGCAGGAGCATCAATTTGGAAGTTCTGCAGCACGGAAGATGGGACCCATCCAGACGTCGTGCTCGTTGGAATTGGTGTCGAGTTGATGTTTGAAGTCATTGCGGCAGCGGAACTTCTGCGTAAGCTCATACCAGAGCTGCGTATCTGCGTCATTAACGTGACGGATTTGATGATTCTTGAGAATGAGGGTATACATCCACATGCTCTGTCTACCGAGGCATTCAATACCCTCTTCACTCCTGATAAGCCTGTACATTTTAATTATCACGGTTACCCGACGGAACTGCAGGGATTGCTCTTTGGACGTCCAAGTCTTGATCGCGTCTCTGTCGCGGGCTATATTGAAGAGGGCAGCACGACCACGCCTTTCGATATGATGCTTGTGAATCGCGTGTCGCGTTACCACGTTGCTCAGCATGCTATCCGTGGTGGCTCGAAGATAAATGAGAAGGTTCGGGTCTATGAGCAGGAGCTGATCGCTCAGCTTGAGCAAAAGATTGTGGACACGAGAAAGTATATTGTGGAAAACCATAATGGTGAGAATTCCATATTTAAGATCTGTCCGTGCAATACTGACTTTCGTTTCTAGATCCTGACGGTGTCTATGACATGCCACAGTTTAACTAAAGAGTTGTTGTTAGTTAATAAATTCATCATTTATGCATATCTGCCTATCTATCTCGTATCAGCAGACAAATACTCCGACCTGAGCAAGCGTTCGACCTGGTCTAGACACTGCCGCTTTGAATGTCTTATACCCAGCGGGGGGCCTGAGATACTTGGAATCAGCACCTAATGGGCCGGATCATCCGTCGTGGCGCTTGTTGCGCAACCAGAAATGTCCCCATGGGGCTGGTATGCACCATAAGCAAGAACCCAGCCCTTTCTGTTCCAGCTCACGCATCGACGCACTGCCCGGCTCCAGCGTCACCACAGGATATAATACAGCGTATAGCTCAAGCCGTAAGCAGCATCATCAAACCCAACGTTGACTTGGCTGTCTTTCATAACCTCAATATTGTGGTGGTATGATCTGGGTGCCGTGAATTGGCGGCGTGGTGAATATGAGAAGATGCCTGGAGCGAATGTAATCTGACTGCATATACGGGGGTTTTGTTTAGACAGCATTTGTATGTAAGACGAAGGATCCATCGACCCTCACATCCCCACCAGAAACGATTTGGTTTCCTCCCCATCAAGGCAGACGTCGCCCCCACTCTTTATGATACTGCCTGGAGTCGCGGGGCCCAGGTCCGCATCCCGCTACTTATTTTTGGCCGAAGGATCGGATCGGATCTGATTGATGACGTGCTATGCCACGATACGGAGTACACATGCAAAGGATAGCCTCGCGGAGGGTATCCGACCGGAATACCCCCGCTGTGTTGGAATCCCGCCAATGTGAGGCTCAATCTGCTTTGAACAAAGAACAAAGATAACTGGGACATGTCGTTCTCCATTGGATGATTTGACTGGAGCCCTGAGAATTGGACTCGGTGGAACTCTTATTCTGGCAATTCAACTGTGAATGGGGTATTTTTGGTGATTGAAGTAGATGGGGGCTGTTGGATCTCCACTGTTTGATCTCAAAGATCGGCGATCCCGTTGACTCACGGACCTGGAGCTGGAAGTATACGATGTACGAGTCTCCCTGTCTTGTCAACGTCAGCTTTCTGGGTATGGATCCTGTCGGTTGGGCATGTTCAGATGTTTCCAAATCATATATGTTTTTATTCATTTTATTTTTGCATCAGAAGTATGTGAACCCCGTGGCAAATGCATTTGTTAATATTATGATATGTGTGGCAGACTCAAACACAGTACCTACGGAGTACTCCGTGAGGTATAATAGCAGCCCTGGAGGCTTTGCAAGGATTGTCCAACAAATCAGACTCAAAGGAAGAGGTACCAGAGCCAGGATTAGGTGGATCCTTCTCGTTTTCTCTTTTCTCTTTTTTTCTCGCATCCAAGATTTCCTCTTCCGCCGCCATCCGAGACTGGAGTTCTGATTTGTTTCCGATCTTCCGACTTGAGATTGCACCACTCTGTACGGAGTACTCCGTACAGAGTACTTATATAGTTCCTATGAGTACATGCAATGTTCGGCTTGTGGAATTGAATTATGCATTGTCAGCCATGTGGCAACTATCCCCTACTATCTCACTGTAGCATTTCCACTTGAGCCGCACATCCTACCTTGGTATCGCGGCTATATCAAAAGATATCCCTCAACCCTCTCCCTCACATCCAATGTGATATCAGAGACCGTTCTTTGACGCCACAGTGCTTACCCTTGACCACCTACAGCATACACTACATCTGCTCCCCGTTTGTCAGTGTGATCGGAAATAAAAGAACCAGGGCTGGGATGACTTGGCAATACTCACGCTAAGCCGAAAAGGGAGGATGTTGCGAGCGCCTTGTACCGTACGTTATAGTTCGGCCCGAATCTCTATCAAGTTCTGTCGAATTTTCATCTCCCACGGAGCTTTGATGTCATGTTTCATACAATCCATACAATCCATAGATTCAAAGAATCCAATGTCCATGCTGCCTGATAAGCCAAGACCGTTCACCTCTTGTGACGAGGTGAATTGCGTGGTTCGGGGCTTCTTACCATATCTGCATATTCCCTTTCTTGCTATACCAGCCGGAGTCGGGCCATTTATCAATCCGCTCTGGGTGCAGCGTCAACTTGGGGGCCTTGCGCAGGCATCCGGATTGGTCAATCAGATGCGGGTCTTATGTTCCCTGGTGGATTGAACATGATTGAACATGGTACAACTAGTCTGCCATCAACCATAGCTTTGGCCTTGCGAGGTCTTGCCCGATGGTGGTGGGGGCGCCAGTGGGGACTCAGCCATGCTTACTCCGTACTCTTACTTATACTCAACTTGTCCGCCTAAATATTAGTAGGCCTAGTTCTCGGTCCTTTTTCTGGTGCCTTGTTGCTTTTAGACAGACGCCGTGGCTGTCTTTAAATCTCTTTTATACACGTCTGGCACGTCCCTGTCTATCTTCCAGTCCAGTCTATCATCACGGATTTGACTAGTATCTCCTTTCGACTTTAATTTTTTCTTCAAGCTCTCTGATGACCTCTGCTTGAGTGCATATCACCCTCTTCGCCATGGTCGACAGGATAGAGCTCGGAAAAGGCTGCTCGGCCTATATCGACGGCGTTACTCCCTCATATGGATACACCCCCTCACTAGGCGCTGGCATTGCCTTCTGCACACTCTTCGGTCTTTCGGGCATCGTCCACACAGTCCAATTTATCTGGAAACGACAATGGTGGGCAAGCGTCTTTACTGTTGGATGTTTGGGTAAGTAACGACCACCCGGCTTGTGACACACGAAGCCCTAACTCTCCGCAACAAAAAAACTAACAACATCCAAACAGTCGAAGTAATCGGCTGGGCCGGTCGTACCTGGTCAGCCAAATGTCCATATAACTCAACCGCTTTCCTAATGCAAATCTCCACGCTCATCATCGGTAAGCCACATCTATGCCATCGACCCTCTCTATCAAACCTAACACTCTCCAGCCCCAACCTTCTTCACCGCAGGCATCTACGTCCTCCTGGGCCGCTTCATCCAAATCCTCGGCCGCGATTCCTCCTTCCTAAAGCCAAACCTATACCTCTGGATCTTCTGCACCTGCGACGTCCTCTCACTCGTCATCCAAGCCATCGGCGGCGGCATAGCCTCCGGAGAAGCCGACAAGATCGGCGGCAACACCGACCCAGGCACACACATCATGGTTGCCGGCATCGTCTTCCAGCTATTCTCGATTACCGTCTTCGTCGTCTGCGCAATCGATTTCGTCCGCCGTACTATGCGCCGCCGTTTGTTGAGCGGCCCCATCATCCCCCTGTTTGGCGCGATGGTACTTTCCATCGTTTGCATCTATGTTCGGAGTATCTATCGTACAATCGAGCTGTCCGAGGGTTGGGATGGGTATCTCATCACCCATGAGTCATACTTTATTGGACTTGATGGGGCTATGATGATTGTTTCTGTGGCTATCTTCAACGTGATTCATCCTGGATGGTTGTTGCCCAAGAAGTCGGCTTCTTATAAATCGGAGTCCCCTTCGTCTCCGGCTGATAGATACGGGGGCCCACCAACTCATTGGTGATTGTGTTTGGCATTTTGCTTGATTTATACCTCACGTTATTAATCTCATTTTTTGAGCCCCGGAATATAGATACCTCATCGAGCGTTGGATTTTTTTATCTACGATTGTCGTTAACTTGGTTTCATACATATACATATCAATTTCAAGTACCTTGATGATATCACATTAAATCATTAACAGAGGGGTAATAGACAAGCAGCTCAAGCAAAAAAAGAGCAACGCTTGACAGCTGAAAACGGATGAAACTCGGAGGTTTTAGATAACAGAGAAAGAAATTGACAGTAATGACCCACAACAGATCATCAGGGGTATTGTCATAAGATCGACATGGGTCTTATGATCAATTGTCCCATTAAGAGGGAGAACACTGGATATGAGGGTATAACTAGGTCTTACCACTGGTGCAGATGAAACGAGATCATAGAGTACTGATCCCCCCACGCTGTTCTCATCATGTATGATGACATACTCATACCCCATCAACAGCTTCAATCCAGCCGAATGTTGCTCCTGCGGTGAGCGTTGCAAATGCCCAGACTGCTCCCCAAGTGGCGGCGCCTTCGAGAGAGACATCGCTAATTGTGCCACCCACCTGAACGATCGTATTGAGCAGGACACTAAGCGCAAGAATGATCGATCGCGAAGCCAAAATCCTCGTTTTGGTAGACAAACGTCCCCAGGTGTTGCGACAAATTGTCGCAATCAAGTATTCACCCTCACAGCTGGCAGATTGAGCAGCACTGGTCGAATACCCTGCTGAGCTGACAAACAAGAAGTCGCGTGCAGCCCAACCAGCAGGAATCAGCGTCAGGAAAAGCACAGGCAAGCCTGCGGGACCGGCATGCGCCGCGCTGATATCCGGAAGACTCTCGAAGTGAATGACCAGCTGCGCAGGAAGCCAAGTGGCATAGCTGGCATAGAGCACAACGGTGAAGACTGAAGCCCCCATCAGTGTGGTGAAGAAGGTGGTAGTCTTGTCTTGCAGAATGTTACGATTGGCGACTGCATCAGTAGGCGTGTGCGAAAGATTGTGTACGGACGAGGGCCGGCGCAAAAGGGCAAATGGAAGTGTCACCGAGACAATTGTGACTCCATATGCGATCAATGCCGAAGTTGGGCGGATGCCGTAAAAGAAGGACAATAGAGAATAAGTTGGCAGATGGGTGATAAATAAGAAAGAAGCCACATCGCGACCTATTTCGCACAATCGCATAACGTTAGTCTCTGTGCTCTATATATCATCTGCAGGAACTTTGTATCTGGATGGAAGAGGTGCTAGAAGATATGTATGCTTAATTGATACTTACCATCAAATCCTAGAGCCCAGGCCAATCCGACCTCCACAGCTCTCCAACCTATCAAACCCCCCACTTCCCACCATTCCTCTAAGTGTTTGCTGATAGGCCCGAGATCACCGACCGTCAAGTTGGATGTAAATGTGAACAAAATGGAGCTCACAACAAGACTGCTTAGAACGACAAGGATGAAGCGGGCTACCGATGGAATGCACGCCGATTGAGAGGTTTGCTCAATGGCCGCTGTCGCCGTCTGGGGATCGCGCGCGGGTCGCGTGTTCTCCCCCACGACACAGTTCGCTTCTTGGGTGTCTGATTCGGCATTTTGGAGCTTCAGGTGAGCAGAGCAAGAATACTGCAATGCAGAGTTTTGAGCAACAGTTGCCTGCTTTTTACCTTCGACTTGGTTGGAGCTTGGAGGAGAAAAAGAGAAGGCGGGTGGAATGTTTGGTGAGCGGTGAACATACGATGACGTCACTATTGCTTTTTTGGAAGAGAGATACTATTTGCACACCCCCAAAATCCACCTTTTCGCTATTTGCACACCTGTTTAAACCCTTTTAGGTAAGGTGCCTCTTGGCAACTGATTTCCCTCTGATTTTGTATTTTACACTGTATCCGCGTAGTACTCTCTGCGCCCCATATACGATATCGACGCCCCCTAGCCACATCATATTTCATACCATATCATGATATCGCTGTTGTAAAAAATGAAGCTATTCCCAGTTGCTGATCCCGTACAAAAAGGGCTGATTTAATGGAGTTTTCAGGGTAGAAATGGGGGTTTTCAGTGCAGAAATGAGGCTATTCCCAGTTGCTGATCCCATATAAAAAGGGCAGAAATAGGGGTTTTCAGTGCAGAAATGAAGCTATTCCTAGTTGCTGATCCTATACAAAAAGGGCTGATTTGATCGAGTTTTTAGGGTAGAAATGGGGGTTTTTAGTGTAGAAATAAGGCTATTCCTAGTTACTAATCCTATACAAAAAGGGCTAATTTAATGGAGTTTTTAGGGTAGAAATGAAGCTATTCCTAGTTACTGATCCTATATAAAAAGGGCTGATTTGATCGAGTTTTTAGGGTAGAAATGGGGGTTTTTAGTACAGAAATAAGGCTATTCCTAGTTACTGATCCTATATAAAAAGGGTAGAAATGGGGGTTTTTAGTGTAGAAATGAAGCTATTCCTAGTTGCTAATCCTATATAAAAAGGGCTAATTTAATCGAGTTTTTAGGGTAGAAATGGGGGTTTTTAGTGTAGAAATAAAGCTATTCCTAGTTACTAATCCTATATAAAAAGGGCTGATTTAATGGAGTTTTTAGGGTAGAAATAGGGGTTTTTAGTATAGAAATGAGGCTATTCCTAGTTGCTGATCCTATATAAAAAGGGCTGATTTGATCGAGTTTTTAGGGTAGAAATGGGGATATATAGAGTTTTTATAGGGTGGTTATGTGACTCTAAAATAGGTGTTGATTTTTAAAAATGGTGCTAATCGACGATTTAGCCCTACTTCGTACTCTATACTCCGTATCTTATCTCGATATCCTTATATCTTTATATCTTTATATCTTTATATACTATTACTAGTATAGAGTATACCGATATATCTTTATACCCTCGCTACTAAACTATACCCCCTTTCTAGTCTTTCGAGTGCCCTCTCTAAGGAATAAGTACACTTAATGAGTAGGCTAAACTAAATAGATTCGAAGTTATGAGGTTAAGATCTAATATAAAAGTAGTGTATTTCTACTATAGTATTAGTCGTAAATATAGAGATAATCTTACCCCTACTAATCGGTAGCGGAAGCGATATACTAAAGCACTTAGGTATATATTCTATAGTACTCTCCGCTATCGACCACTTCTCGGAGGTTTATAGGAGCTCGTGATTAAGGACTCTTAGTATTAATATCCCCCTACCGACCTATCTACGCTAGGGATATACTAACGTACGGAAATCTAGCGGATACTCCCTTCTATTACTAGCTAAGTCCGGTAAGGGGTACTAACTCGGTATATCGTCGGCGCTTTACGTTAAATAGCGGAGGATAGTGATACTATATTATACGTACGGAGTAGGGATATTAAGAACCTACGAGTAGAAATATAGCTACGATATCTTAAGGGTCGTACGCCTATCTAAGCTCTCCTTAAGGATCTCCCCTATAATAGAAATTAGTATATCCGCTACTAAGTATATATAGTTAATAACTCGCTAAGTACCTTTTTTATTATCTATAAAACTAGCGTTACCCTTCTATATACCTATCTATAGAATATATAGATAGATTATATATATAAGACTAATAAGTAGAAGATACCCCTCCTAAATATCGTCGGTATATCCGCTATTAGTAGGACTTTTTACGCTATATAGGTATTCCTTAGTAGCGAAAAAAAGGTTTTATACCGCTTAGTGCTTAGTTAGCTAAGGGATATTTATTTATCCTTTCGAACTAGCACTAAGCTCCTAAGACTAATTCGTACTAGTACTAATAGACTACCGGTCTTATAGGACCTAACTACTACTAATTAGATTAGTCGCTCTTAAGGTAGTATAGTAAGTACTACTAAGCTTACTAGTACCTAGCTTACTAGTACCTAGCTTACTAGTACCTAGCTTATTAGTACCTAGCTTACTAGTATCTAGCTTACTAGCACTAAACTTATTAGTCTATAGACTATCCTTACGGATAAAGAATAAGCTTTACGAAATATAATTAACTATATATAGTTCCTATATACCCTATTTCCTAGAAAAAAGGCTAATAATTAATAGGCTTTCCTAAATATAGATACTATACTTTATATCTAATATATTATCTATAATATAGAGAGTTATACTAGGCCCTATATCCGTCGTTATATCCTCTATTAGCCTTCCGAAACCCGTCTTACTAACGATATAGTACGTATTAAGATTAATATATAGTAGATAGAGATAAAGGATAACTAGTATAGTATTATCTATACCTAGGATACTAATAGTGAAACTAGAATAGAGGGTTAGTAGCTCCGGTTCTAGGATAAATATACTTACTTTCCCGAACTACTATAGTATATAGATACTAAGTGGATTCGAGGGTGCGGTAGGGCCTTCCTACGGTACTATACTAAGTATTTCCTACACTTTAATTAGACCTCTATATCTCGTGTTAAGTCTATATATCGCTATCTAAAGATCGATCTTAACGCCTCGACTAAGGATCTACTAGCTCTTACTAAAACGTTTAAGTCTACGATTAAGCGATAGGCTATAGAGATCTCCTAGGAACTTACTAAGTAGTAAGGTTAAAGGCTTATTAGTAGCCTCTTTCTCTTTATACTTATTAAAATAGTAGTCTCGAAAGACGCTATTATAAGGGTATAGTGTATTTTTAATTACTATCTACTATATAGTACTAGTAAAAAGCCTATTCTATTAATATACTCTTAGTAGTTAATATTAATAAGAGGAATACTATATATTTACCGTATTAACTAGGCCTAGGAGAGTGGTAAGAGCCTCTCCTAGGCTAATTTCTACCCTTAGTGGTAGATTTAACTAGTAGGGGCTTTACTAGCCGGGACCTAGGGGGTATACGCGTACTCCTTAGAGCGGATAGTATAAAACCCTTATATTATACGCCCCCGTGGTCGACTATCTACGAGCTCCTAGCCCTAGCTTCTATTATCCCGGGTATCTTAAGCCTTTAAGCGGTTAACTCGCCGAGAGCCGTCACGATTTAAGTCTATACGTACTAAGGAAACTACGATAATCCGGCGGTTAGGAAGGGCGAGGTAGCTAGTACGGAGGCACGAGGATTAGACTATATAAGGGGAGACTATAGAGTTATTAGATAATAAGATCGCTATTAGCTAGGTAATATCTAGGAGGGGGTGATTAGATCTTAGTCTTATACGTATTATATTAAATAGTATCTTATTTCTATACCGTATAGTAAAAGAGAGTTACTATAGGCACCCGAAATTACTATAGGTACCTAGCGCTAAGCCTCTTTAAATATTTCTTCCCGCTAGCCGCTTACTTTAATCCTCTAATAGTATAAAATATAGTATAATCTCTATTTTTAATACCGAGATCGTATATATATATAACGAAATTACTACTACTAGAAATATTAGCTAATCCTACTATTATTTAATATTATAAAGCTATTCCTAGTTTACGACCCTATATAAAAAAGGGGAGTTTTTAATATAGAAATAGAGTTTTCTATATAGAAATAAGGCTATTCCTAGATATTAATTTAGTGTAAAAAGGGTAGTTTTTAATATAGAAATAGAGTTTTCTATATAGAAATAAGGCTATTCCTAGATATTAATTTAGTGTAAAAAGGGTAGTTTTTAATATAGAAATAGAGTTTTCTATATAAAAAGGGGAGTTTTTAATATAGAAATAGAGTTTTCTATATAGAAATAAGGCTATTCCTAGATATTAATTTAATATAAAAAGGAGGGTTTAGTAGTGTAGAGTTTTTATAGGGCCCCCTAGATTATATAACCTTAAAATAGATACTAATTTCTAAAATAGTGCTAATCGAGTTTTCTTACGTAGCTAGTATAGTTATTACCCTCCCTATCTACTACCTTAATTTCTACTAAATCTTATTATTTTATAGTGTTATTTTAATATATTCTATACTAAACTTTACTATATAAACTAGATATAAGTCTTATTAAGCACTTCCCCTTCCCCTTCCCCTTCCCCTTCCCCTTCCTCTTCCCCTTCCCGTAGTAATCCTACTAACCGCTATCTAATTATTAGACTCGGTTATCTCGCCCTAGGTAGTCTACTTATTATTATACCTTATATTTACGGGCTACTATCGTACCGATCGCCGTATAACTATATCCTTATCCTCGCGTATAATTTTAAATTAAGATAGCTCGCGGCGGGTTAAGTTCTCGAATCGCTATAATACCCGCGATAATAGTATAAAGGCCTACTAAGATAATTATTAAGATAATTACTAAGACGCTAATAGCTAACTACGCGCCTATACTATATAAGGATTTTATACTTAGAGTTCTAATACACTCTTAAGGGATAGTATAATCTAATCTTACTAGATCTAATAATAGCGATAGAAGTCGGCCTAGGTAAGGCTTATACCTATTACTTAGGCTTTATTAATACGGTAGATATATAGATACCCCTTCGTCTACGTCGATCTACCTAAGTATAATTATAGGATAGTCGGCCTATTATTAGTAGGCGGTAGATAGTAATTAAATACTAATCGTACCTTATTAATTACCTAATCTATAACTAATATCTTAACCTTCCTAAATAATAGACTACTATTAATCTCTCTCTCTATTCGCTAGGAGGTAAGCTCCTAGCTAATCTTAATAGCTAGTCGCTTAGTCGTACTTTTAAACTAAATACTAAGAGTAAAGAGGTCCTTAGTACTAGTCTAAAGGTTAAGCTTAAGATAGCGATAGGCTACTTTAACGCGCGAAGTCGAGGTCTTATTAAGGTATAAAAACCTACTAGTATAGTATTATAGGAAATAGGGGCTATAGCCACGAATCTATTCCCTATCGATATATACTAGTAACCCTAGGTAGTGATAGTATTTCTCTCTAAAAGCTCCCTACTAAGCCTCTATATCGTTAACCTCCTACGCGAAGATAATATTCTACTAGCTCCCTTTTATAGTATTCTACTATAATATAATCTCCTAGGTAGTCTCTTTAATAGTATACCGCGTATTAGAGTTAGTAATAGTTTAGAGGATTTAGCGGTAGAGAAAGGGTCTAGCGTAGCACTCGATATTATAGGTAATATACTAGATATAAAGTATCGTATTTATAGCCGGGAAAACCTAGTAAAGATCGATATATTAGGAGGTATATAGAGATATAGGATAGAGATAATACTAACCTTATTAATTATATTTTATACTACTTATTCTTTATCTATTAAGATAGTCTATAGACTAAAATAGGAGATAGGGATAGGGGGGGTACTCGTGATCTTATTTAACGAGATAAAGCTCGTTAGATATATACGCTCTAGCTAACTTTAGGGAATTAGGGACTTAGCTAGTAGGGACTTAGCTAGTAGGGACTTAGCTAGTAGGGACTTAGCTAGTAGGGACTTAGCTAGTAGGGACTTAGCTAGTAGGGACTTAGCTAGTAGGGACTTAGCTAGTAGGGACTTAGCTAGTAGGGACTTAGCTAGTAGAGACTTAGCTAGTAGGGACTTAGCTAGTAGAGACTTAGCTAGTAGGGACTTAGCTAGTAAGGTATTAGCTACTAAGGGCTTAGTAACGAGAGACTCTATAATAGTAGTGCGAGTAAGCGTAAGTATACTCGCATCTATACTAATAGCTATATAAATCTCCCTAAGCTAGGTAAGTACTTAATAGTATAAGGCCTACTTCTTACTACTTAAAAAAGTATATACTATATAAAAAGTCTTACTAATAAGTGATATACCTACGATATTAAGTAGGGGTATCTTCTATTTATTAGTCTTATACGTATAGTCTATCTATAAGATATATAGATAGGTACGTAGAAGCTAGAGACTAATCTTATATATTATAAAAAGGGTGCTAAGGGAGTTATCGGCTATATCTACCTTATACCGAATGATCTAAGTACTATCCTTAGGGAGATCTATTAGTAGAGCCTAAATTAGGGTACGCCTTACGAGCTACTAGCGGGCTATATAAGCCTATAGATTAGTAATATCGCGAGTACGGAGGTATAAAGTCTAACTATTAGCCTTAGCCTTACCCCGAATAGTACCTATAATATAACGAGTTAGGATACTATTAGTGATCTAGCTAATAATAGCTAATAGTAGACGCTTAAGCTCGATTCTATAGGTAATAATTATAGTTAACGGATTAACGTAATAATAATTATACTTAGTAATAATACTTTTAACTCTCTATATACCACTAGTAACGTATCGGAGAGTACCTACGAAACTATAGCTTATTACCGACCGCTTCCGCCTACGTATCCGTATAATCGGGGTACGATCTATCCGATAGTCCCGGCTACGGCTATATTAGAATTAAATCTTCGTATCCGTACTACGTACTATTATAATAAGGAAGCCGAGTAGAAGAGACTACGTATTTAACGTTCTTAGTGCCTCTTTTTTAGATAGCGTAGTAGTATTTATATTAGTTTCGATAGTTTAGAAAGGGGGTATAGTATTAGGAAGGCTAGGCGTAGGGGGATCTATATTATATAGATTATTAGTTAAAGTTAGCTAGGTAATAGTATAGTTAAGCTAGGTGTTATACCTACCTATATCGATAAGGGTGATAATTATACTAGCTACGTAAGAAAACTCGATTAGCACTATTTTAGAAATTAGTATCTATTTTAAGGTTATATAATCTAAGGGGCCCTATAAAAACTCTACACTACTAAACCCTCCTTTTTATATTGAATTAATATCTAGGAATAGCCTTATTTCTATATAGAAAACTCTATTTCTATATTAAAAACTCCCCTTTTTATATAGAAAACTCTATTTCTATATTAAAAACTGCCCTTTTTACACTAAATTAATATCTAGGAATAGCCTTATTTCTATATAGAAAACTCTATTTCTATATTAAAAACTACCCTTTTTACACTAAATTAATATCTAGGAATAGCCTTATTTCTATATAGAAAACTCTATTTCTATATTAAAAACTCCCCTTTTTTATATAGGGTCGTGAACTAGGAATAGCTTTATAATATTAAATAATAGTAGGATTAGCTAATATTTCTAGTAGTAGTAATTTCGTCGTATATATATACGATCTTAGTATTAAAAACAGAGATTATACTATATTTTATACTATTAGAGGATTAAAGTGAGCGGCTAGCGGGAAGAAATATTTAAATAGGCTTAGCGCTAGGTGCCTATAGTAATTTCGGGTGCCTATAGTAACTCTCTAGTAAAAATATAATATTTTTAGTGTAAAACTCCGTGTTAAACTAGCGGCTAAATCGTCGATTAGCACTATTTTTAAAAATTAATACCTATTTTAGAGTTATATGACTACCCTATAAAAACTCTATATATCCCTATTTCTACCCTAAAAACTCTATTAAATTAGCCCTTTTTGTACGGGATTAGTAACTAGGAATAGCTTTATTTCTACACTAAAAACCCCTATTTCTGCCCTTTTTATATAGGATTAGTAACTAGGAATAGCCTTATTTCTGTACTAAAAACCCCTATTTCTACCCTAAAAACTCTATTAAATCAGCCCTTTTTATACGGGATCAGTAACTAGGAATAGCTTTATTTCTGCACTGAAAACCCCTATTTCTACCCTTTTTATATAGGATCAGTAACTAGGAATAGCTTCATTTCTACACTAAAAACCCCTATTTCTACCCTAAAAACTCTATTAAATTAGCCCTTTTTGTACGGGATCAGTAACTAGGAATAGCTTCATTTCTGCACTGAAAACCCCTATTTCTGCCCTTTTTGTATAGGATTAGCAACTGGGAATAGCTTTATTTCTACACTGAAAACCCCTATTTCTGCCCTTTTTGTATAGGATCAGTAACTGGGAATAGCCTTATTTCTGCACTGAAAACCCCTATTTCTACCCTGAAAACTCCATTAAATCAGCCCTTTTTGTACGGGATCAGCAACTGGGAATAGCTTCATTTTTTACAACAGCGATATCATGATATGGTATGAAATATGATGTGGCTAGGGGGCGTCGATATTGTATATGGGGCGCAGAGAGTACTACGCGGATACAGCGTAAAATACAAAATCAGAGGGAAATCAGTTGCCAAGAGGCACCTTACCTAAAAGGGTTTAAACAGGTGTGCAAATAGCGAAAAGGTGGATTTTGGGGGTGTGCAAATAGTATCTCTCTTTTGGAAATTCCAAGGATTCGGCACTTCGACGATGAATTTGCAAATTACAGTGGGCACTTGCATCGTGAATATGAATCTCTGATATATGACATAGTATACAACGTAAAACACTAATCTTCATCCTCGCCCTCGCGTTCTGCCACAGCAAATTCCACTGTCCCACTCTCCCGACCGCGGTGGTCTCGCATAACGAATTGATACTTGCCATTGTTCCAAAGATCTTTGATTGTCAACTCACGGGTACGGCCGAGACTCTCAATGTCTCCAATGCGCTCCAGGGTACCCTCCAAGTGGTTGTCGAAGTTCTCTATCTGGCAGATTTCTTGGAAAGCACGTTGCATAGGCACGGAATCAGCACGAACCATAGCTCGGGAATCAATGGTGAAGATGTTCTCGTGGTCGTAAGATTGGACAAAGTCAGCACGGGTCATAATCTCGCGTGCCTCGTGAAGGGCAATTTGTGGTAGAATGTGCCCTCGTTCTTGGTGGTAGTTTGACTCCATCTCTTCCTCGAGATCGACAAGTGCTTTCGCCAGAACCATAGCAGCAGACTGTGTGATGATTTTGTTTAGCTTGAGTTGCAGAAAGGAAGGCCAGGAGGAGCTATACTATATACTTACTGCGTACTTCTGTTGGTCCATCACATCATCGTCCATCTCCTTTCCAAGGATCCAACACTTGTTCAAGAACCATGTTTTCTCGGCCCGACAGATCTCGTCGCAAGTCTTCAACATATCCTGGGACTTGGCCACCCGGTTCAAGAAGGATAGGCGACCACCAACCCTGTCATAGACCCGTTCGAGGACTGCATATGGAAGTACCTCGTGGTGAAACTGCTGGCGATATTTCTTTAGAGCAGACATCGCCTTGTCCTTAGGCAGATCCGTTACAGGAATGATCTCCATCCGGGTTGCATAACGCTTCAATCGTTCGTATACCCAATAGTCATCACTGTTAAGGACTTAAAGCAACAGGTGTTAGCTGTGAACAAAGTGCATATATGTTTATCGGGCATCTTACTCGTTGTGACAAGACCACTGGCAGCCCATTGCTCCGCACGCTGCTGGATCATTTCAAGCAAATCCTGTCCATCGTGGTCATCTCTCACTAAATGAGTACTGTTGATGATCAAGATCAAAGGAGTCGAGCCAGAGTGCCTTCTAGCAAGTGCCACTTTCTCCAGCTTATTGAAGGCACGTTCAATGTCCAAAAGAGCCGTGGTGTCCCTCGGTCCACGAATGCTGAAAAGACTGCCAATATAGCTGGATGTCCTTGTCAGTATGACGCATGTGCGGCAATTACCATAGAGACTTACTCCTCGTGGAATTCATAGTCCAAGGCTTTGCCCAGTCGGATTCGGAAAATCTCGAGGTCGGCATGTGCTTCAAACATGGCACAGCTGTTGCCATTGATCTTCCGCATAGCTTCCAGTAGCATTGATGTCTTACCCGTACCCTTCTCGCCAATCATCAAATAGTAGTGGCCAGTTTGTTGCCCAGCTACAATCTCGTCAACTTTGGCTTGCTCGTCGCGAATAACCCAATGTTCCTCGTGATTGTACTGGTGCTTCCCAGATACAACTCCCGCGACCTCGAGGGCAGGGTCACCTGGATTGAACGCATTGTCCATCTTATCCAAAATCAGGTATTTGTAGTACTGATGGTACCAATATCCAGCGGCGCTTGGGAGAAGGATTAGCCACAGCCAAGCCTACTTCAGGCACTATGGGGGAATCTTACCCTAAGATACCAATGGATGCTGCCGTGGTTGCAGCTGTTTCAAGCATCTTGAGAATAGTAGATTTGAAATTAGGATCTGAATCGCCATTGCGATTCTGGCCTTTGCCCTCATCCGAATCATTATGTTCCGTGGGATCAATATGGCCAGTGTTTTTGGGGTTTGAGTTGAACCGCTTAGGTGTGAGGATCACAATGCGATTTTTTAGCTTGAAAGACCTGGGTAGACCCTGTCGGGCATAGGACCTCACAGGCTGTGCAAGTCGGGTCCATAGCATTCTGATTGGGCGTCTTGGCGCTTGGATGTGCCAAGTTCTTCAGCCAAAAGGTCCAAGGAAGAGTGTGAATATGTATGTATCTTGGTCAAATATGATCCAGATCTCAAACAACCTGTGCTGGAACCTGTTTCAATGCAAAATACAATGACTGAAGGAGTGTACTGCTAGAACTCTAGACTTGTAGTTGTCAGCGAAGCCACACCTCCAGGGGATGACGCGTCGGTGAAAAGAGGGATTCGGAGAAGTCGGTCGGATCCAATGGACCAAACTAAAGACAGATAAAGAAATTAAGCAAAAGATGAATTAATGAAAGACTGGAAAAAGCAAGGAAAGTCGGAATACAAAAGAAGAGTTTGTGGCTCAGTCGAGTTGGTCTCAGCCCCGATGACCCAAACACAAGGCTTGGCGATCGGATCGGGTATATTGTCTACATCCAGAGTCTACAATGTACGGTGTACGAAGTACAATCAGGTGCGATTCCTATGGGGCAACTAGAGTCCTAGTTAATTGATAGTTCAATACCTACTCCACTCTGGGCAAGTATAATCCATTTTCTGGGACTGGAGGTGATTGTTATGCGAAAGAGTTTTCGTAGGCTCTGTGTGGAAGATGGTGGATCCATGTCTGCACAAGTGGTTATGTATTTTAGGTATGTATACTATGTACATACCTAGGTCTACGGAGTACAGAGTACGGAGTACTCCGTAAACAAAGAATCGATCTATAGGATAAGTTATAACCCCTCTCTATACTTATTGTGTATATGTAGTACATATACACAGTACGTCTCCTTATATTCTGTCTATATGTGCCAGATACCTACTTCGACTTTGAACATCTCTCATGACAAACCAACACCCAATTTCAAGTGCACAGGTATCATTGGCTTCTTTGTACAGTGCTTAGGGCATCTGGACTCTGATTCAGACCGACATTGAGAGTTGTGAAAACATGGGTCCGGTCGATTTCTGCTCCTACCACCGAGTGCGAAGGAGGCGGGCTAACCTGCGAGGAAAAGACAAAATATTGTGAGAAATCACGTCTCTCACATATTCCATGGGCAATTTAGATATGACCTTGATATGTAGGTATATTTTCTTTTCTCAATGCATGTCCTGGTACGGAGTACTCCATACTTGGTTTCCCCTTGGCTTTGCTTTGTCGTGATAAATAGCCATCAATCCTTGGCTCCGATAGGAACTGTATGATAGCGACGAACCATTATGCACCTAGTAGATATGTGTACTGTGGGTTTGTTAATTGTTTGAGTATAGGAGTCTATATTGGAAACATACTGGAACCAACTCAAAGGCCTTGAAATCCCTATGGTTTATGGTGGCTTTGCTAGTGGTATGGTTCCCTTGACCTACATCCTGATCATATATATCACTGTCAACATGTGTTCCTGATCATCATCCTTTTGAAGCTATTCATAGATAAAGAAGCATGAAACAGTAAGTGCTTTGTCTGCTTGTATGGTGGGCACTTGCTCCATCTGAATTTCCTCCATCCAAGTGAGGGCGTGATAGCTAAGTGTATGAACATTCTAGAGCTAGTGCCGCCACTCCCATAGGGTTTCAACCATCTGTGCCCCATGGATTTGTCTCGCTCCCTATCATCAGAAGGCACAAATGATCCATAGAATTCGCCGGTGCAAATGCACATAGCTTAGCACCAATGAAATGAAATGCCACAGTGTACACCATCGCTAATGCAGATTGACGCACTTTCAAAAAAAAACATTGATACCTGAGGCCACCAAGCCTTAATTTTGGACATGTAGGTCCATGAGATTGGGACCGATATCGATTGAATCTTTGATCTAGCTGTGAGCACTATATTTATTTTTAATCTGTATCCCATAAACCCCCATTCCACCATAATCCCGATCCTTCCAGCTTAGAGAGACACTTTGTGGAGAAAAATGACCTCCGCGCCCTTCCCCGAACCCACCGCCCGAGCACTTCCGAGGGTATGCCGCATCCGCGAAATTTTCTCTCCGGTTTCCCAGTTTCACCGTCCTATTCATTCATCCTTGCCTTCAATTTACCTGGGGTACGGGGTTTTTGCGTTTCTTACTCAATTGACCTTATTACCCTTGTACACTATACTAAAATTCGCTTTACCTGCCGAGTCCCCGCAGGCCCACAACCTTTTTTTCCATCCCATTTTCCCGAAGTTTTGTCTCTCATCCGTGTCACGGTTGCGAGGTAGAATTTGGCTGTTATTAGTTTGTTGAAGCTTTCTTCATAACCGGCTCGACATAATGACACAAACCAATGGGGAGTTGGAGCACTCGAAAGGTGTGTGTTCGCCTTGGAACCTCGATCCTGGCCAATGTCCATTGGAATACAGCATCCGTTCCAGGTAAAAAAAGATGCAGGGCACACATGCTAACGGAGGAACAGAGGCTCCCCAGCCTACCCAAGAGATTGCCAATGGCGATGCCCCCGAGGGCACAGAGGAGGATAACGCTGGAGGTATGTTGGGGGATCGGATGCTGAACTGTGTGGTTAAGGTCCTGACTTGATTCTAGGTCTTTTCCAGATTTCCGTGAAGCTCCCTCATGCGCCACACAAGATTCAAGTGATGGTAGGTTTGATATTAGGAAAGGCCACGAAGAGGAAAAATCCATCTGACACGTTCCTTTCTCCAGGTTTCTAGCCAAGAACAGGTCCAGGATGTCCGCCAATCTATTGTCGAGCTTCCCGGAACTTTCCAATACACTTGCTTCCACCTCGAGTTCAACGGCACCCGTATCAACGATTTCGTCGAGCTGTCCGAGGTGCCCGGTCTTGAGGCTGATTCCGAGATTGTCCTGGTCGAGGATCCTTATACCGAGAAGGAGGCTCGTATGCACGTTGTGCGAATCAGGGAACTGATTGGTGCTTCGGGCGACCGTGTTGACAACCTTCATGGTATCTCCGCTGGCCTGTCCCTGCATGATGCTATCTCCGCAGACGCCATCAAGGCCAGCGAGTCTGAGAAGGAACACTCGCTCTCCAAGTATGACCTGACCGGAGTTTCCTCGCTGAAGACTATTCTGCCCACCGCACAGGCTCCTCTTCCCAAGACCGTGAAGTCCATTTCTCTGTCTTCATGGAACCCTGTTCCTTACAGTCTCCGCCAGAAAGGCCACTTGCTTTACCTTGTGGTTGCCACCAACGAAGGTGAAATCTTCCAGATCACTGCTCATGTGTCTGGTTTCTTCGTGAACAAGTCCTCGAACGGCAAATTCGACCCATTCCCCAAGCCAACACACCCGAAGAAGGGCAACGCCCACTCCCTGCTCACCCTGATCTCCCAACTCTCCCCCTCGTTCAACACCTCTTTCGAGGCTCTGCAGGAGTACAACAACGAGAAGGATCTTTTGACCACCTTCCCCTTCCAGAACGCCATCCCCAACAGCCCATGGCTCATTAGCCCCAGCACGTCGAGCTTGAGCGCCCACCAGTCGGATATCACCCGCTCGCAGGAAAACTACCTGATCTCTGGCGTTGACAACGCCGAGACTCTGCGTGACTGGAACGAGGAGTTCCAAACCACCCGCGAGCTGCCCCGCGAGACCGTTCAGGATCGTGTGTTCCGGGAGCGATTGACCTCTAAACTGTTTGCTGATTATAACGAGGCTGCCGCTCGTGGTGCAGTCCTGGTTGCTCGGGGTGAAGTTGCTCCCCTGAACCCTACTGAGGCGCGGGACGCCCAGATCTTCGTTTACAACAACATCTTCTACTCCTTTGGCGCTGATGGCGTTGGCACTTTCACTTCCGAAGGTGGCGACGAAGCCGCACGTGTGGCCGTGGGCAAGGATGTTCTTGGTATCAAGGCTGTGAACCAGCTCGATATTGATGGTCTGTTCACCCCTGGAACCGTGGTGGTGGATTACTTGGGCAAGCGTATCGTTGGCCAGAGTATTGTTCCTGGTATCTTCAAACAGCGCGAGCCCGGCGAGCACCAGATTGACTATGGCGGTGTTGAGGGTAAGGAGGTTGTAGCCACTCACCCCGACTTTGTTCCGGTCTTCGAGAAGCTCTCGAAGGCGCTGCGTGTCAAGCAGCACCCCGTCTGGGACAAGGAGAACCAGCGTCATGAATTGGAAGGTAGCGTTGAGACTAAGGGACTGTTGGGTACCGACGGCAGGAAGTACGTCCTGGATCTCTACCGCATTGCTCCTTTGGATGCTGAGTGGCAGGAGGAGGATGGCAATGATGTTTACCCCCACCGCATGTCTGTCCTCAGACTCGAGTTGATCGAGTCCTACTGGCGCCACAAGATGAGCCAGTACGTGAAGGCTGAGGTGGAGCGTCGTAAGGCTGCTAGCGCCGAGGCCGCGAAGGAGGGCAAGACCGAGGAGGAGAATGCTGATCAGGAGCGGGTTGACATCTCCGGATTCCAGCTGGCTCTCAACCCCGATGTCTTCAGCGGTCAAGTTCCCCAGACCAAGGAGGAGAAGGAGCAATGGGCACAGGATGAGCAAGAAGTTCGGGATGCTTGCGATCACCTGCGCTCCAAGGTCATCCCCGACCTGCTCAAGGATCTGCACGATGGCGACGTCGGTTTCCCCATGGACGGTCAATCGCTGACCCAGCTGTTGCACAAGCGTGGTATCAACATTCGTTACCTCGGAAAGTTGGCTCAGCAGTCTACCGAAAAGGGACCTCGCCTGCAGGCCCTGTCCACTCTTCTGGTCCAGGAGATGGTTACCCGTGCCTTCAAGCATGTGACTAACCGCTACCTCAACAACGTCCCCGCTCCATTTGTCGCCCCTTGCCTTGCTCATCTGCTGAACTGTCTCCTCGGCGCCGATGTCAATGCTACTCCCAAGGCGGAGATTGACGAATCACTGCGAGCCATCTTCCCCGAGGGTGACTTCTCTTTCGAGAAGGTCACTCCCGAGTCCCTTCGCGCCGATATTGAGAAGCAGGTGACCATCCGTTTCCGCTTCTCCCTTGAGAAGGACTGGGCCAACTCTCTGAGACACCTGCAGCTTCTGCGTGATATCTCGATCAAGTTGGGTCTCCAGCTTGGCGCCCGTGATTTCGCCTTCACCCAGGCCCAAGCCAAGGAGCAGGTTATTGTTCCTGTGGTTGCCCCTACCCCCGAGGAGCCTAAGCGAAAGGGCAAGAAGAAGGGTGGCGATAACAAGTCTCCTACTCGTGCCGCTCCGGCGCCTGCTAAGCCTGCTGTCACTTTCACCGCTGATGATATCCTGAATGTCGTCCCCTTGGTTCGTGATGCCTCTCCTCGCAGTGCATTGGCAGAGGAGGCCCTGGAGGCCGGTCGTATTTCTCTTATGCAGAACCAGAAGCAGTTGGGCCAGGAGCTCATCCTGGAGTCTCTGTCTCTGCACGAACAGATTTACGGTATCCTGCACCCCGAGGTCGCCAAGCTCTACCACCAGCTTTCTATGCTGTACTATCAGACTGATGAGAAGGAGGCTGCCGTGGAATTGGCCCGCAAGGCTGTCATCGTCACTGAGCGCACCATGGGTGTCGATTCGGCCGATACTATCCTCAGCTACCTCAACCTGAGTTTGTTCGAGCATGCCTCTGGCAACACCAAGACCGCTCTTGTGTACATTAAGCACGCCATGGATATCTGGAAGATCATCTACGGTCCCAACCACCCTGACTCCATCACCACGATGAACAACGCCGCCGTGATGCTGCAGCACCTCAAGCAATACACCGATTCTCGCAAGTGGTTCGAGGCCTCTCTCTCCATCTGCGAGGAGCTCTTTGGCAAGGACTCTATCAACACCGCCACTATCCTCTTCCAGCTGGCCCAGGCCCTTGCTTTGGACCAGGACTCCAAGGCTGCTGTCGGCAAGATGCGCGAGGCTTACAACATCTTCCTCGCCCAGCTTGGACCTGAAGATCGCAACACCAAGGAGGCCGAGAACTGGCTCGAGCAGCTCACCCAAAACGCTGTCTCTATTGCGAAGCACGCCAAGGATATCCAGGCTCGCCGTCTCCGCCGCAACCCTCTGAACCCCCGTGTGTCTTCCATGGGTACCCGTGTTCAACCCCAGGTTGGCCAGACTGCGCCTGAAATCAGCGCACCTGTTGATGCCTCCGGTCTTGACTCCCGCAGCATTGATGAACTTCTGAAGTTCATCGAGGGCACCGATGCCACCTCTTCGCGTTCCAAGCAAAAGAAGCGCGCCGCCACCAGCAACCCCAAGCTTCGCGGCTCCAAGCAGTCTAACAAGGCATAAATGACTTCCTAGCCAGCCAATTTAGACTGTGTCAATTGGTTCCCGTTTCTATTTTCTTGGTTATTACATGTGTTAACAGCTAAATACTATATATCTATATCAATTGTCATTTTGGGGATCGGTGGGCAGGCTTGATGAGCGAAAAGAACTGTTGTATTTTAGATCTATCTCCTCTCTCCCTTTTTTTGGTTTTATCTGTCAGGTTGGGTTGTCTCTCGGGCATCGCATGGAAAGGACTCGGGTTGTTTTACATGGGATCATATCTGGTGCATTATACGGTGGTACTCTGCATCTGGATTTTGCATCTGCGACTTGGGTCATTTTCTATTTCTGGGTAGAATCCATTATGTTCTGATGCAAAAACCTCGAACTCCCATGCATGTCTAGCTTAATGGGTAACTATACATTAAAGAGACTTAGGTACACACTTACACGTAGTACTGCGCTAGAATATAGATGGCGGTGTGTATTCGTCAGAAGCCCTTAGGTGGGGCCGTTACGCTGCATTAGTCAGTGTTTGTTTTCTTTGTTTGCCGTACTTCCAATGTTGTCATTGTTTTTCCACTTAACGCGCTCTACCTTTTCGACATATTTTATCCGCATTGGACTATTGCTGCATCGTTGGCAGCATTTGCTGCTTGAGTACCATCATTGTTCCTAAAATGTATCGTTGAGCGGTGGTTAATGTGGTGACTTTGGTGCAGTGTGAGCTTTATGTCCAAGGCAAGATTTGTGACAATACTGATTTGTTTGACAGTTGCATGCTTTTAGCAAATATCCTTATCCTCTTTACCCCATATGGAGGACACCCAGGCAACCGCGAAATGGGCAAACCGTGTCCTGCGCCCCTTGACCTCTATCTGCCGTCGGATCGCGAAACACCAAGAAACACTCTCGGTAATCGCTATCGAGTTTAAGCCACAAGAAACGAAAGAGGACAGAAAGTGTTCCCCTCTGGAACTCGACCAAAAAACTCAACACAATTGCCCAGGCTCAGATGCGGATCCGGATGAGAACGATCCAGCGTGGATCCCTGGGAAAAGGTCCAACCGACGACGAGCCAGACACAAGTACTCGACCAAAGCAGAGGAAACCGGCGGGAAAAAGCGCAACAGACTATCCATACACAGCCCAGAAGCCTCGCGCACTCTACCCGGTGCTATTGAAGTTGCGACACCGCTCATCACCGGGAGAAGATGGGAGATGCCCTCGAGTGCACAGTCACAGTGCCATGCTCATGCGAACCCCAAAACTCATCAATCGCAGCCGCAAGTCTTCCGCGATCGATATGCACTGCACAAGAGTCCTTGGCAAGAACTTCTCGACCAGTCTGGCGATCCTGGTTTCGCGGACATAGCCCACAATCTTGATCGCGTGTTCCAGAACTTCCTTTGCAACACTGTTGTGCCAAGGCGCGATGTAAATCCCTTGTCTGGAAATATACGGAGAGGCGCACGATCTTTGCTGTCCATGGTCGCGCGAAGTCTGCCTGAGTTTATTGCGAAAGAGCAAGAGCAACAGGACGAATTGGACGAGGATGGGGATGAAGATATGTGCGATGCATACTTTACAGAATTGGAATCATATTATTCGCCTTACGGGGCAGGCTGGAAGCCACTCCGTGAGGCTGCTCGCGCACAGGGTATCTATTTGGTTTCTTCCCTGATACAGAATCGTTGGATAACAGACGCGATTGCCTGCGCTCTTATTGAAAAATGTCGTTCCTTTGCACCAGAAGAAAGTGACTCATTACTCTCCGTAGTACTCTCTACACGCAAAACTTATCCCTACCCACAGGCTTTGAGGCCAGCAACCGACCGTGATATTTCTGATCCGATTCGATTATTGCGCAAATATGCTCATCATGGCGCTGCAAGCCGAGCTTACATCTTTGACGAACTTGCAAATATTCTCTTACGGGGCGTGTTGCCCCCCGAGTGGATGGGCACTAAATTATGGACTAGTTGGGTGACACGAGCAACCATATCCTTTTCGAGGGAGGATGACGACTATCCCGCCGCGTCACGATTGATTGAAGCCGTGCTGCTTTCAGCTAGTGGTATCTGCTCTATATCTACTGTTCAAGTTACTACCAAACTACCAGTCAAAAGGAAGATTGCTCCTGCTCGTGCAACGCGGGCTGCCCCCACCACGACATGGGAAGACTCAAGTGTACATCGGCCTTGTCCACTGCAAGTGGAAGACGCACTCAGCAATCATGTTATAAGTCTCATGGCAGCACTCTGTGGTATGCACATCTCACGGTCTCGTGCCTCTGATGAATTTGATCGTGCGGATGGAACGAAGGCAGGTCATCTTATTCGCTATCTCTATATTGCTTTGCAGCGACACATGGACCCAAGTTCCATTGCGCAGCGGCCTCATACTACCCCTCATGAATTGTTGCGGCGTGGCTGCATCTTGCTGGCCACCAGCCTTGTGCAGTGCAATGATGCACTTTTATCTGAGAATACTCAATATCTGATGGCATCAACAGATGGCGTCGATGAATGCGCGGATGCTATAGCTTCTCGTCCAGACATGATTAAAGAGTTAGCATTGTTTATGCAGCAAGCGTTTCGCTGCCTCAAAGGAGGCGCAGAAGGTGAGCCGGACCGCACTACCGGAGAGATACGTGACATGGTTTCGCAACTTGTCCGCCTAGCCGATACGCCAGGCTTATCTGCCTTCCTTGGGCGAAGTGCCGCAGAGGCGGCCATGATATTTGCAGAAGCTACGGCAGACCCAGACGACCACATGTGGGCTGCCGACGTCCAAGAGACGGTCGTCACTCGACAGAGTCAGCAAGAAACGGACCAAGGATCTTTGGAAGAAGGGCCCGAGGGGGTTAGCCAGAAGAAGGGGCTTTTCCGTTGGGAAGATAGCATAGGCGAGTGGGTGGCATGTACACCAGTCTCCAAGGGAAAACCTATCATAGCGCAAAAGGCACAAAGACCCGCTCGAATGCTATCAAGCCCGGCACCCTGTGTTCCTTGTTCGACGGACAGCGCGAGCAGTTCACCTTGGTCTGATCGTTTTCAAGATTCTACCTCAAGTCTGACCTCATCACCTCCCCAGATGGCAGCCAAGCGCACCTTTGAGGACATCGATGCATCATCGATACGGCCCAGAAAACGACAACGGCCTACCCCTGTGGTTATAGTTGGCAGGGATCAAAACAGCCCGCAAAGGCATTCTCCAACACCGACTAGGTTCAACTCCACTGTGGAGCCAGTCACGCGCCGTGACATCTTGCGAGAGCGCAGCACCAATCTGGCCAGGCGCACGGCTGCTCCTTCCAGGCAGGCGAACAAGGTCGAAGTCGTCATAATCAATAACAAAGAAACCGCTCCATGCCAGCGTACCGTTCGGCCTGTTCTGGAGCGTGTGACGAAGCAGGCTCACCGAACAATGGAGAGACGAAGATCTACGCGCATTTCCGTGTCAAGCATGCGCCAGCGCACTGAGTCATCGGTCCCTCGGGCAGTTATTCCCTGTTCGCAGGATGGCGACAGTGACGACGAGCTCAGCTTTTTCTGAGCGGGGTCGCCTGGATTTTTCGTTATCTGTTCCCAGTTGGAACATGTAACGATTTCCCAATCCAGAGAGCGACGTCAAATATTACCCCGATGTCTTTTGGTTTACCCTGGTTCTAGTGTCTATCATATTCTACCGATTGGACCTCTTGGGTATCCACATGGCCGAGCTCGGTCAAACTGCAAGATCTTCGTTTATTTCATTTTGGAGGAGAGGGTGGATATGGATGCGTGGTCCGCTTTTTAGGAACTCGGTGTTTTGTAGGGAGTACTTTTGATTTGATACCCCCGGCCTTGAATTAGTGTTTTTTCCTCCTTTTTGGTCCTTTCTCCGTCTCGTTTTTGGTTTAGTTTAGCTGTAGTTTCTAGGCGTTGAACTACCACCTACACCTTGGACTTCCAACATGGTGCAATACACATGTGATACACCTGGGCTGGTACTGAGGTGATTTCAGATTTACTTGATACACCGGGCTAGATGATTTGTAGAGACACTACTGCGCTAGAGTGGCCAAGATAACCATCGGTCTACCCCAGCACACAATTGTGAAGCATGGAAACAATTTTTCCATCGTTTCAGTGCCAAAGCCACGGGATGAGGGGATTCGGCCAAAAGCCGGCGGGTCGGAAGGAATTTCCCTGCGAGGTGACGGTCTGGTATAAATGAAATCCGCCAAGCAAACACCCCCTGACCTCACAAATCCTCGATATGCTTTACAGTGTGGCTTGACCACAGCCTTTGGGCGGACAGTTTCATCTTATTGGGCATGGTCTCCGTGGGTTCCAGCCTTTGTGATTGATTGACGTCGGCGCCAACGAACACAGCAAATGTCGAGTGCCAACAACTACTCCGCTTCGTCTCCACTATGCCCGCTGCACATTGGCTGGCAGGTGAAGCAGGGGTCGGTTCTCAAACAGTCCGTCGTGAGCCAAGCCTTGACGCGGATCAATGTCGGACGCTGTGGCGGCTGTCGATGTTCGTGTCAAACTCCGCCTGTTTCACTGTTGGCCAGTCAGAGCTTTTGATCCGCGATTCCGCGGCCTTGCCACAAGTCGGGCTCGACCTGTCGCATGCTCTATGTGCATCTTCTGAAAATTTTCGTGAGAGCTCTCTGTAATATGGCGACTTGATTTGACGAAAGCGATTTGCGGGACCGGCCTCTCTGCAGATGAACATCCCTTGAACCGATCTATGCTCCCAGCCGAGGGACCCTCTTCTCCTGAGGGAAATCAGAAAAAATCAAAATGACTAAATCCAAACTAGTGACGGAGTACCTGATGACATGAGGCCGTGCCCATGGGCTTTCCTGGATTCTACATATTAGCCTGTCCCTGACCCTGTCTCATGCTCTCCCCACTGGACTGGATACAAGGGGAAACAGTCCTTTCTTCTATTTTTTTCGATCTTCGATGATTCAGTGTTCAGTGTGCATTGTTCATTGTTAATCCCTCAGAAATAGACATAGTCTCATTTCTTGTGCCTTTCTTTCTGAGACAATCTACATTGTTCCCCGGTGGACAATCTTCCATCTTTAGCCCATTTTTGCAGTGACCGGATCACTAGCATTCCTTTCGTTGCCCGTCGACAAGAACCTTCCAGGCTTCTTTAACGCACATCCCCGCTGTTCTGTGAACATTTTCGCTTCTCGCCGAGGACAATCGGACCGAACTATCGATCATCAGCTTCCCCTCTGATCCTCCCACATTAGATCTAGGCAGGTCCTATATTCGACACCAGCCACCAAACGACATTCTCTAACCGGCTGGAGCTCGGCAACCCTTGTGTATGCCGCTTGATTAAGCAACCCGGTCCCCTTTCATTTGCTGTCTCATATCCCGACCCGATCTTGCAAGCTTTTTGTGACATTGGTCCTGATACCAACATTCCCGCTCTCAACGCACGGTTTTCTATCACGCTGGCCCCGTCGATCAACAACCAACTCCAGATCTGAACAATTAAAGTGTACCAAATTTGGTGGAGCATCATGCACCCCTTCCCTCTGGCCATGTCCCTCGCCGGACTGACTAGCGCAACCAATATCAAACACATCGAAAAACGCCATGGTGCACCTACTGCTGAAGACCTGTTCTACGAAGCTGTCAACGATGACTTAGCACGCTATACAATCCTCGCACTTGGTTGTGCCGCCGCCCTCTATGGTATTTGGCAGCTAGTCCTCCGTTTTTCCCGCCATCTTCGTCGCCTGTCGAGTTTCAGCAATGATCGACAGCAGTACTTTGTCCCTACACATGGGGCCTTCGCTTGGATCAAGGAGCATATCATCTATGCCTCATTGTTTGGCACCCGCCACAACCGTGAAATGCAGCTCTCATCAGCTGTCAACATGGGTACCTTACCCAGCCGCTTCCATGCGTTCCTTATCACCGGTGTCGTCGCCATGAACGTCACGCTCTGCTGTGTGACCAATCCTTATGGGTCTAAGGAAGACACGCTTGCTGGTGTCGTGCGTAACCGTACAGGTACTATGGCAACCGTGAATCTGATCCCTCTGGTTATCATGGCGGGTCGTAACAACCCTCTTATTGCTATGCTCCATGTGCCTTTCGATACATGGAACCTGCTCCACAGATGGCTTGGCCGCATCGTGGTGTTAGAAAGTCTTGCGCATGTATTTGCATGGGCCATTCCGAAAGGTCAAGAAGCAGGCTGGAAAGTTGTCGGGATAGCTTTGAGTAGCAGCAGTTTCTTGATGACAGGCTTGGTGGCTGCTTGCGCATTTACTGCGCTTTTGTTGCACTCCCCCTCACCCATTCGCCATGCATTCTATGAGACATTCCTTCACTTGCACATCGCCATCGCCGCCGTTTCCATGGGCTTTCTCTGGGTCCACCTCAACGGGTTCGTTGCACAGACCTACCTGCTTGCAGCTATCATCCTCTGGGCCCTTGAGCGAGGAACCCGTTTCCTCATCATTGTGTACCGCAACTGCGGACGTCAATCGACCACCGCAACGGTCGAGGCTATGCCTGGTGACGCAATGCGCATTACCCTCCGCATGGCTCGTCCCTGGACCTTCCGTCCCGGTCAACACATCTACCTCTACATCCCAGCCGTAGGATGGTTGACCTCGCACCCCTTCTCTGTCGGCTGGAGTGAAACAGAAGACAGCAATACCGATGAAAAATCTCTCCCATCCACAAGGCAAGACCTCCTCAACACGCCGCAGAAGGAAACCATCTCCCTTCTAGTCCGCCGTCGCACGGGTATGACAGACAAGCTCTTCCAACGTGCATCAAATGCCATGGGATCGAAAATCACCCTCCGCGCGTTCGCCGAGGGTCCATATGGCAATATCCACACCTTGGACTCATACGGCACGGTCATGCTCTTTGCTGGCGGTGTCGGTATTACCCACCACGTACCATTTGTTCGCCACCTGGTTGCCGGGTTCGCGAATGGCACAGTTGCCGCCCGCCGCGTCACCCTCGTCTGGATCATTCAGTCTCCCGAACACCTGGAGTGGATCCGGCCCTGGATGACCAGTATCCTGGCCATGGACCGTCGCCGGGAAGTCCTGCGCATCATGCTCTTCGTTACACGGCCGCGCAACACAAAAGAGATCCAAAGCCCTTCTGCTACTGTCCAGATGTTCCCTGGTCGTCCACAGATCGATACCTTGATCGGCATGGAAGTCGAGAACCAAATCGGCGCCATGGGCGTGCTCGTCTGCGGCAACGGTGGTCTGAGTGATGATGTGCGCCGTGTTTGTCGCAAGAGACAGGCTCAGTCTAGTCTTGATTACGTGGAAGAGAGCTTTTCTTGGTAGATCCATATGAAGTTTTCGATACGAGCGTTTGTCTCTTTGGCGCATGAGCGTGTTTCTTGTGATAGTCGGTCACATTCATACTGGGAGGTGATACTTGGGGTTGACGTTTCTCTTGCCTGTCGGTCTGTTTGGCGGCTGGCGTTTCTTGTATATCTTGATTTTACTTTTCTCGGGCATCGGCCGTCCTGTTATTGGGGGTTTGTTTATAGATAGTTGTACATATCTTTTCCGCTAAATAGATATGATAAATGGTTATTCACGATTCTGGTAGAAGCTTCCAAGGTTGCGACAGGCTCAACTTTAACTCGTTCCATGGATGTCAGCCAGCTCTATGTGCGTATTTGGACGATCTAAGTTCCTCTCTGTCCAGAATGTTGGTCCTTACATGTTGTCAAGCATCTTCTCTTCGCGGCTTCTATCTACATGGCCTTTCATTGCCTCGTCTATCAAGAGGGCAACATCTTCTTTCCACTATATCCTTGTGTAAACTACTTTGTATGGGGGGACGATAACTTTTGTCTCAGCCCAGTCTCTATACCTTTCCCTGCTGGGGTACACACAAGATATGTAGACTTGACGTTAGATAGGGAAGAGTAGCCCTCAAAGTCTGCCATAGTCCTCGGGAGTCGGGTATGAGCCACTAAAATGACATAGTATAACTTACAAAGCGTCTATCCAAACGGTTGAAAGTTGCCCCGGGCCAAACCGATACAATTGTTAATCAACCTTGCAACAGATCGGGGGCCCCGGGGAGAAACGAAGCTTAGAAATCCACGAAGTGGGGAAAGACGGACGTGACATCACCCATCGTATACTTAAGCCCCCAGAATGCATCCGTGAATCAGATGTTTTCTCATTTTTCATCAAGAATCTTCCCTCCAATCCTCTCTCGACTTTCTGCTCCAAAGCTGTTACCTAGTTATCTTGCCAACATGACTCAGCCAAACATTACCCTCTACACAGCCCAGACCCCCAATGGGATCAAGATCTCCATCGCGCTGGAGGAGCTTGGGTATCGTAGTGTCTTTGACCGCATGATGATCGGCACTGACAGGTTGCAGTCTGCCATATAAGGTTGAAAAGATCGACATCTCGAAGAACACTCAAAAGGAAGAGTATGTGCTTGCACCTGTACGAATGATTCCGCAGAAACATATCTAATTGTTGTGCAGCTGGTTCCTAAAGATCAACCCCAATGGTCGCATTCCTGCTTTGACAGATACCTTCAGCGATGGCCAGGAGATCCGACTATTTGAGTCTGGTAGCATCCTGGAGTACCTGGCAGAACGGTACGATACAGACTACAAGATCTCATTCCCCAAGGGCACACGGGAGTACTACGAGATGAAAAACTGGCTATTCTTCCAGAATGCAGGTCTCGGCCCCATGCAGGGTCAAGCCAACCACTTCTCGCGGTATGCGCCCGAGCGCATCGAGTACGGCGTGAACCGATATGTCAACGAGTCGCGTCGATTGTATGGCGTTTTAGATAAGCACCTTGCTGAGTCCAAGTCTGGATACATTGTCGGGGACCACGTCTCCATCGCCGATATCTCACACTGGGGCTGGGTGGCTGCTGCAGGATGGGCCGGTGTCGATATTGAGGAGTTCCCAAATGTCAAAGCGTGGGAAGAACTCATGGCACAGAGACCGGGCACTGAGAAGGGTCGACATGTTCCTTCCACCCATACCATCAAAGATCTGATCAAGGATAAAGAGGCCATGGAGAAAGAGGCTGCTCAAACTAGGTCTTGGGTCCAGCAGGGGATGCGCACCGATGCCAAAAGCAAAGCTTGAATCAAATGTTGATGGAGATGTATGAGAAAAGGCATGACAATCAAATAGTGGAAGTTTACGGAGGGTATCTAACTCGAAATCAAAATGAAAGTCAAGGATCAAATAAGGGAAGCAGACCATCCACTCCGTACATTCAGGACATTGTAGATCAGCCCCACCGCCTTCAATATTTGCCAAAATCACGTGCAGGGTGGCCACATCTTGGCAAAGGTGGAGGTTGCTTTTTACTTCTTTTACATCCATCTTTGTATCACTAACCAGACTTACCTTTATTTCATCCAAGGCAGCAGTTATGGCTTGGCGCAGTCAAGGAATTACTGGCTCCAACAACATCCCGTTGGGTCGGCGACGCATGGCCGGCGAGGAAGGAGAGGAGGAGAGTCTCACTGCGACCCCTTCATCCATGCCCCCGTCTATGGGACCCGATGGCCCCAAACGTGGCCGCAGCCCTGTTCGAGGTAAGTTCTTTTTTTTTTTCAAAGCGCAACCACCGAAAATAACAAACTGACTGTTTCCTCCAAAGCTGAACCAGTACTGGAGGCCGATGGCTCTAAGAGGCGCAAGAAGCGCAACCGCTGGGGCGACCAGCAGGAGAACAAGGCCGCCGGCCTTATGGGCTTGCCTACCATGATCATGGCGAACTTCACCAGCGAGCAGCTCGAAGCTTACACACTTCACCTTCGTATCGAGGAAATCAGCCAGAAGCTTCGGATCAACGATGTAGTCCCAGCCGACGGTGACAGGTACGGATTCCTCTTGTTTGCATCATTTTTCAGGTACTGACTTTTGCCACAGATCTCCCTCGCCGCCACCTCAGTACGACAACTTCGGTAGACGTGTCAACACTCGCGAATATCGTTATCGCAAACGGCTCGAGGATGAGCGTCACAAACTTGTTGAGAAGGCCATGAAGACCATTCCTAACTACCACCCGCCTTCTGACTACAGACGTCCGACCAAGACCCAAGAGAAGGTCTACGTTCCAGTGAATGATTATCCAGAGATTAACTTCAGTATGATAACTAACCCTCTAACTCCTAACCATTCTTCCATTATATCTGTCATGAGTCCCTGCTCGACGCGAGTTGACAAGTCATACCTTCTTGGGTGTCCTCAGCTCGTTTCTTGCTAAACCTTGGCGCTTGATGCTGCCCGTGCTTTCAAAAATTACAGGATCACTAACACTAAGCTCTTGCTACTTTTTACAGTTGGCTTACTTATAGGACCTCGTGGAAACACCTTGAAAAAGATGGAGACCGAGTCTGGCGCCAAGATTGCAATTCGTGGTAAAGGCTCCGTCAAGGAAGGAAAGGGTCGCTCTGATGCCGCTCACGGTAGCAACCAGGAAGAAGATCTTCACTGCCTTATTATGGCAGACACCGAAGAAAAGGTTAACAAAGCCAAAAAGCTTGTTCACAATGTCATTGAAACAGTAAGTTCTTCATTCCCATTCTGTGGGCCAAAACTTAATACTGACAAAATTATCAGGCCGCATCCATTCCCGAAGGCCAAAACGAGCTCAAGCGCAATCAACTGCGTGAGCTGGCTGCTCTCAACGGTACCCTCCGTGACGACGAGAACCAGGCCTGCCAGAACTGTAAGTGGCAATCTTCCTGTCATTTTTGCTTGCATAATTCGTTCTAATCTCGATTCTTTCCAGGTGGTCAAATCGGACACCGCAAGTATGACTGCCCTGAACAGCGTAATTTCACAGCGAACATCATCTGTCGCGTCTGTGGCAATGCTGGCCACATGGCTCGCGATTGTCCTGACCGCCAGAGAGGCAGTGACTGGCGCAACGGCGGCGCGGACAAGCGTGGTCCTCGTGCTGGTACTGGCGATGCTGTCGATCGCGAGATGGAGGTAAGTTTCTCTTTGTGCATTACTGCCTCATTTGATCTGATGCTTACATCTCACTTAGCAATTGATGAACGAGTTGTCTGGTGGTGCTCCTGGCGAATATGAACCCCGTCGTATTGAAGCCGGCCCCGCTGGTGGTAACAACTACCCCGAGGATCGTGATGCGAAGCCCTGGCAGCAACGTGGACCGCCTCCCCAGAGCGATGTGGCTCCTTGGCAACAGCGCCGTGACACTCGTCCTCGCGATGACTATGGATCCCGTGGTGATTACGGATCCCGCGACAACTATGGATCTCGTGACGACTATGGTTCTCGCAACCAGGGTGGTCCTGCTCCCTGGGCCGTCCAAAGCCAAGGCCAAAGTCAAGGTCAAGGTCAAGGTCAAGGCCGCGATTACGGTTACGGATCCCAAGGTGGATATGCTCCTCCTGGTACTGCCACGGGTGCTGCTCCCTGGCAGCAACAAGCTCCTCCCGGTGGACAGCCCGCCTATGGAGGTTACGGCGGTTACGGCGGATATGCGGCTTACCCCCTGGCATGGGTGCTCCTGGTGCTGCCCCTCCTGGCATGGGTGCCCCTCCTCCCCCTCCTGGCATGGCTCCGATGTACCCTGGAGGTGCTGGCAGCCCTCCCCCCCCGCCGCCTCCTGGTGATGCACCACCACCACCTCCTCCCAGCGATCTGCCTCCCCCACCCCCACCTCCCCAGTGAATACAGGATTCGACAAGGTGAAATTATTTGATTATGCGTGAAGAAAATGGCATGGGGTTCTAAGCGAACCCAATCGACAACAGGATTAACTTGAACAGCCCATTCCTCGCTAACAGTTGTTTCAAAAAACATCATTAGTGTTGCTTTTCTAGGCCATCTTGAGTAATATTTCTAATCTTTAACTCGACTTGATTCTTATCATTGTACATGTCTGAGACTTTCCGAACCTCGTAGCAGCCTGATGGAAATGCAATGATGCCTCAGGCCCCACTTTGGGTCTTGGCATCATCAGCTCCAACATTTCTCCGCAAAATCAAGTATCTACTATTAATTGCATCTTGACACTCGTGCTCTCACCTTTCTTGAGTCGATCTAAGCTTTTGACTCTTAAAATTCCATGACCGGTCAATTGAACTAGCGCATTGTGTCCACCCTACTATTGCATATGCAAGGAACGTCGCACGGCGACTCCTTCCCTACGGGACTCAACATGCACTCTTCGCCATCCGCCCAGCGGAACCCTTCTTGGCAGTCGCAACAACTATCACCAGTGCTCTCGAATAGATCTGCCCATGCTGGAAGGCACCAATCTGAGCGATCTGAGGGCCAAGAAGATGATGCTCAAGAAAATACGAGTCGTGCATCGAGGACAGCGTCAGCGCACTCGACCCAATCAAAATGGTGGCACATTTATTTTTTCCGTGGAATGATCAATGATGTCAAGCGCAGAGCACCGTATTACTGGAGCGATTGGACTGACGCATGGGATTATCGTGTCGTACCTGCTACGATCTACATGTATTTTGCTAAGTATGTTGACTCTGTTTGGATATTAATCAATATTTCCTTTTTTGGTGCACTGTATCATTTGCTTACAACCAATATAGTATCTTGCCTGCTCTGGCTTTCTCGCTAGATATGTTCGAGAAGACAGATCAGAGCTTTGGCGTCAATGAAGTTCTACTGGCGTCTGTTCTTGGGGCAATCGTATTTTCGCTTTTTGCGGCCCAGCCATTGGTCATTGTTGGTGTAACTGGTAAGAGATTTCTAGCACTGGGATATGTTGTGAAAGACTCAAACTGAAGGCTATAGGTCCTATTACTGTGTTCAACTACACGGTCTACGACATCGTTTCTCCTCGGGGAACACCATATCTTGCATTCATGTGTTGGATTGGAATGTGAGTTGCTATCAATATCGTTTGTTGATATAACTGACATAGGCATTAGTTGGTCTTTGATCATGCATTGGATATTGGCCATCACTAATTCCTGCAATGCTTTGACCTATGTCACTCGGTTCTCATGCGACATCTTTGGGTTCTATGTCGCATGTATTTATCTTCAAAAGGGCATTCAAGTTCTTACCAGACAATGGGGTTCTGTGGGAGAGACTTCCGCTTACTTGAGTATCATGGTTGCACTTTTGGTCCTGATGTGTGCATGGATCTGTGGCGAGTTGGGCAACAGCAATCTTTTCAAACGGCCCATTCGGAAATTCCTCGAGGACTATGGCACGCCATTGACCATCGTCTTCTTTACCGGTTTCATCCATATCGGCCATATGAGGGATGTCGACGTTGCTACGTTGCCTACTAGCAAGTCTTTCTTTCCTACAAGTGACCGATCTTGGCTCGTTCACTTCTGGGATATCAGCGTTGGGGATGTCTTCCTCGCCATTCCGTTTGCACTTCTTCTCACGATTCTCTTCTGGTTTGATCACAATGGTAAGTACTCTGACAGACCTTTCAAGAGTGCGAAGTACTCTGTGTAATTAACATTATCTTCCAAGTGTCATCCCTCATTGCCCAAGGAACTGAATTTCCTCTGCGGAAGCCAGCTGGCTTCCATTGGGATATTTGGCTGCTTGGTCTCACAACCTTTGTCGCCGGGATTCTGGGAATACCATTCCCTAATGGCCTCATTCCCCAAGCTCCCTTCCACACTGCTGCCCTCTGCGTCACCCGTCAAGTTGCAGATGAAGATGATACAAACAAGGGAAAAGCCATTCGGATAACTGACCATGTAGTAGAGCAGCGAGTGAGTAACTTTGCGCAAGGCCTTTTGACCTTGGGAACAATGACCGGACCTCTCCTCATCGTGCTGCACCTGATTCCACAGGGCGTCATGGCTGGTCTTTTCTTCATTATGGGCGTCCAGGCTCTACAGGGCAACGGCATCACGCAGAAACTGATCTTCCTCGCCCAAGATAAAAACTTCACCCCCGCATCGAATCCTCTCAAGAGGATTGAACGTCGTGCGGCCATCTGGGCGTTTGTCATTCTTGAGTTAGTCGGTTTTGGTGCGACTTTCGCCATCACTCAAACCATCGCTGCTATCGGCTTTCCTGTCATCATTCTCCTTCTCATCCCCGTGCGATCGTTTTTGCTCCCCAGATGGTTCACTCGCGAGGAGCTTGCAGCTCTGGATGGACCGACCGCAAGTCCATTCACCATGGAAAGTGTCGGCGGCACTCATGGGCTAGAGGATTATGAACAGGCGGTAGCCAGTGGCATCCAGGAGGAACCCTCAACTGGAGGAAACGGAGTATTGAGAAACAGGACCTCGACTTCTCCGGAATCTGCAGTGGAGGATAATGATCTGGAGCGAGGTGAGGCATATGAACTCCCCTCTCGGGTTTCGCGCAGAAGAAGCACAGCTAGCAGGATTGATTGAAAGGTGCGAGGGCAACGTGTTGCAAACAAAAGCGTCTTCTCCATATCATCTTATTTTATCATCACCATAATCGATGGGCACTCATGTCTACATGTATACGCCCACCTGGGAAAGCCATCCACCTACATGAACTCATTGCTGTTCCAGGACTCAAAACCAGTTAATCCATGAATTCTTGCATAAGAAATTAGTTGATACATGTACTTTACTATGCAATTGACCGACTAGATTCAATTATTTTAACCAAGTTACGGGTAGTATATACTTATATATGCCTTATGGATCAGGCCACCAACACCCTACCGCTCGGTGGGGATAACTTTTTCTGCCACAAAATTATTTCGTCTTGATAGACAAGTCGCAAACAAGATGCCCCCAAATATGGATCGGGAGTTTGAGGACTCTGATGTGTCTGATAATTCAGATATTGAACAGCCCGATGTCGATGACCGCGCCCCCAAGCGTCGCCGCCTCTCAGAGTCCTCGACCGACTCTTATGTCGCACCTGCGCCGCTCCCCACCCTTTCCCGTATCAGGAAGAAGGGCGAGGTAGAGGAGGAGCCCGAAGCTAAGGAGGAGGACCCGGTTCTCATCAGTCAGGCAATTGAGCTTGGTAAACAGAGTGGTCTGTCCACATTTTCCACCTTGGATGTGGCGCCTTGGCTTGTGTCCTCGTTGGCGACAATGGCCATTAAACGCCCGACTGCTATTCAGAAGGCTTGTATTCCTGAGATCTTGAAAGGAAAGGACTGTATTGGTGGAAGTCGCACTGGTTCCGGAAAGACCATGGCCTTTGCAGTTCCGATCATGCAACAATGGGCCCGGAATCCATTTGGAATCTACGCTTTGGTTTTGACCCCAACCCGGTACGTTTGGATGTCCATGGTGGATGTAAGATGATGTGCCATTATTGTTCCGTAACTGACCTTGTTTGTCTCTATCTAGTGAGCTTGCCCTCCAGATCCACGAACAATTCAGAGCGGTCTCCGCACCGCAAAATATGAAGCCCATCCTCGTTGTTGGAGGTATGGACATGCGGAAGCAGGCTATCGAGCTTGCAAGCCGGCCGCACGTTGTCATCGCAACACCCGGCCGACTGGCAGATCACATCAAGACGTCCGGAGAAGATACCGTAGCTGGTCTTCGCCGCGTCAAAATGGTTGTTCTCGATGAAGCCGATCGCCTGCTAGCCAGCGGGCCCGGAAGCATGCTGCCAGACGTGGAAACCTGTCTCGGCGCACTTCCCCCATCCTCCGAGCGTCAAACATTGCTCTTCACAGCTACAATGACAGCCGAAGTACGGGCCCTGAAGTCCATGCCGACAGCAGGCAACAAGCCACCCATTTTCATGACCGAGATCGGCACCGAAAACCAAGGCAAGATCCCGCCAACCCTCAAGCAGACATACCTCAAGGTTCCCATGACGCACCGCGAGGCCTTCTTGCACGCTCTGCTCTCCACCGAAGAAAACATCACCAAGCCCGTCATCGTCTTCTGCAACCACACCAAAACCTGCGATCTGCTCGAACGCACCCTCCGCCGCCTCGGCCACCGCATCACCTCCCTTCACAGTATCCTCCCGCAATCCGAGCGCACAGCCAACCTGGCCCGTTTCCGAGCCACCGCTGCCCGTATCTTGGTCGCTACAGATGTTGCGTCGCGTGGTCTCGATATTCCTTCCGTGGAGCTGGTCATTAACTTCGATGTGCCGCGCAACCCGGATGACTATGTGCACCGTGTTGGTCGTACTGCCCGTGCCGGCCGGAAGGGTGAAGCTACTACACTTGTCGGACAGCGTGATGTTGAGCTCGTGCTTGCCATTGAGCAGCGTGTTGGTAGGGAGATGGAGGAGTTCGAACAGGAAGGTGTCAATATCGAGAGCCGTGTTGTCAGAACAGGTCTGCTCAAGGAGGTTGGTTCTGCGAAGCGTGAGGCTGCAGGTGAGATTGAGGAGGGCCGTGATATCCTCGGACGCAAGCGCAATAAGCTGAAGAAGGTCCGGTGAGGGGTGTGTTACTGAATAGATGTTGTATACCATTTATCATTTCCTGAATCAATTGATACATTTAGCGGTCTTCTCTCGGATTCTTGGCGTTTGATGTATCCCGTTGTACTATAAGCAATGTGGCACGTGGCCTTGTTCTAGTCGCATTCCTGGATGGAATATTGCATATCTACCCATATGTACGGAGTATGGAGTAGGCTCAGCCGTGTTCTAAGGTGACTGGTTTCAAGTGATGATAAATGGTTGGGTTTCTAAGCGTGATGACTGGAGAGCAGCTGTTCAAATGCACAAATGGTATCATTGATCGCAGGGTAACTAATTATTCTAATAATACTCCATTGCTCCCAAAATGAGATAAACTGACTGTCCAACCAGGATCAATACCTAAAGCATATTAAGATTCGATATCCTTGTTTCGGCATCACATCATCATACTACACACATGTTTCGGAACCGGATGCCAGCCATTCATGTGCAATACCATCCGGGTTCCCTCAGGCATGCTCAACGAGCATTGATCTGAACCCTCAATATCAACACATAATCAAGAAGACAAAAGTACAATGCTCCCAAATCATCCAGTCCATGAGTCTGAACTCGGATTCCCAGCCGTACTCATGAGTTTGAGCAATCCGTCGACGGCATCGCCTCGTTGTGACGGTGACATGCCGTTCATATCATCCATACCCAGCTCGGCCCCTGGGCCCATGCTTGTTCTCCTCTCAGGCTCACGGCGGATTACCGTGGCTGGAGGACTGCTCAGCTGCATTGGGGAACCGAGAGCGCGGGGTGGTGTTCGTTGCGCATGTGACGCTGTGCGTTGCTGGACCACGCTGGATGACAATGGGGAAGGTCGGCCTGGGAGATCGGGTGTGCTGTGAATGGGGGTCGAGGAGAAGCCGGAGTAGCCAATTCGAGGGGTCTTCATTTGTGAGGAAGGGAAGGATGTGAAGTGTTTGCGGGATGAGAGAGGTGGTGTGGAGAGGACGGATAGTGAGAGTCTAGGGCATTTGCGACTGTGTGCTTCTAGCTCGGAGACCCGACGATCAAACTGGTGGTCTGTCACATTGCGCATGGCACTCTGGAGTCTTGATCGAAGAAGGCTGGCTTTCTGCTCAATTGTTAGAACCGCGGGTATTTCAGACTGGATGCCATGGTTCACATACTTGTTGGATGAACATTTTGCGCGCGTCGGAGTCTAGGGGAATGATACACGTTTCTTGCTCGGAGTTCTTGGACATATTGAAAGATTGATCGGTTTCCATCTGATCTGGTGTCTGGTCGCGTTCGGGTTGAGAATTTTGTGGTGTGGGGGTTTGGGTGAGCTAGCGCGTCAAATGGTTAGCTTTGGGATGGACCATTCTCGGGGTTTTTCTTTGTCTGCTTTGCATGAGCTTACCTGGCTTTGCATATCATCATTGACTGTGCATTGGACGGCAGGCTGCAGAGACGATTCGCGTGCCTGCACGTGTCCGAGGTTTTCTTCGGTCTCATCCACTTGATCCCGTGTCCGTTTTTGGCCAGCAAATATAGGGGAGGGGAGGAGCTTTTTCGGCGAGATAGCAATTGATGCTCGCTTTACTGGAGTGCCTAGGAAAGATTTGGCATGTGTGGCGGGGGAGAGACACGCGTTGGAGTCCTTCTCGCCGAGAATTCGTCGTCCGTCTTTGACGGGGCTGAATTGTACTGAAGTCGAGTTCATTATGGAGAGGAAAGATGGAATCGGGGGTTGAAGGGGAATCGGAGGAGACTAGAAGATTGGAGCAGAAGATGGGAGACTGCAAGATGCGGAAGTGCTGCGGAGTGCTGCGGGGAGAGTGTCGTGATGGTGCAGACGCGAGCTCGGACAATTGCCTGGGCAAGTGTTCTAAGTCGGAAGAGTGAGAAGTCGAAGGTTGAAGGTAGTAAGAAAAAGGAAGAGGATCTCAAAAGAAAAAAAGGTCTTGCGCGTCGATCGCGTGTAGTCGATACCTTACTAGCTTTGTATAGAGCACGGACTGGGCTCCACACAGTCGTGTTGAGAACGCGTTGCTGTCGACTTGAAGGCACTCTGGTTACATTCGTCCTTCACTTCTTTACCTTGCTTGCTTTACTTAACTAACGTGGCTGTTATATGCAGTTTTGCGTAGATCGACGCGTCTTGAAATAAGCGATTTTGGGTCCCTCGGAGTCGGACTGATGCATATTGGCGATTCAACGTCTCCTAGATGGTCTTTTCTCGAGCGGAGGATGCCCATTGGGTTTCCAATATACCTGCATTTGGGCACCTACAGAGAGCAGACTCTTACATTTCACAATACTGTCATACACTCAACCCCGGCCTTGGGCGCGTCTAGTGCTTTTCGTGTCCTGGATCCACCAGGGCTTAGACCCCAGCATTAATTGGCATTAATTAGGAGCCCATCTATTTTACGGCTTTCAATTTCGCTTAACGTCAAGGCTTCAGGAACTAGCAATGGGGCATCTGACGAACCCTCAGGTTGACTGGTATATTATTGGGAACAATGCCTTTATAGTAGTTAGGGAATAGGATACGTGCATTGAGGTGCATCACTAGTCTCCTTTCCCTTATAGCGGTCCCAAGCCTTCATTCTGTTGCGGTTGCTTCTGGGGTCTGATTTCTCTACGGAGTTCTCGGGTCCTGGAGCCATATCTTTAACGTAATGGTTTTGCTTTTCTCCATACACACATCTTAGACTTGTTCTATTGATTTGTATGGTGGATATACCAACTGCTCATCTGTGGTTCCATCATTCGATATATAACAGCTCATATGGTATAGCCACATAGGTAGGCCTAGGGAGATAAGATACCTACATGGACGGAGTAGGTAGATTGCAATACAGACCGGGTATTTTCTTGAGCCCATTCTCTCTTGCATCACTGTGAAAAGGTATATCGATCCAGACGCGGTCAATCTTGCTTTCCAAGGTTCTATATAGATTGCCTATCGCAGATAGCAGCACTTGTCTTGGGTCTGCCATTGTTCCTATTCCGAACTAGATATTGAGTAATTTATTCAATCCCCATCCCCCATATACACATCAAATATGTCGGATTTACCTTGATATCCCGTGGATCTCTCAGGCTGTGTGGCTGCATACTTGTCGGCGATTAGATAGTCAGGGCTTTCTCCGCATGACATCATCGAGAAAGGGGAACAGGACTCTTGCAGGCCACGGCGATGGAGAGGAAAATGATATAAACAAGTCCCGAGTTCAGATAGAATTGAAGTCATCGAGATCTATCCTCAATTCAGAGCCAAGAATTGAATTCAGGTGATCCTTCCCCCGCATCTCGAATTCCAACATTCCCTTCACCTTCACTCCTTCTCTCTCTTCTACAACTTTCATGGTTACCCTTTCGTTACACCTTGCAAGCTCATATCACTACAAACATTCTATCGTGGACCAAACCCCTGGTGTCACCTTCGCCAAGCGTGACCATGCAGCTGTCGCTCGTGGTCCTGGCCGCTGTCGTCCAGGCAGCGGTTACCACTGCATCTTCGCTCACCCCGCCTGTCATTCCCTTGATCGTACGGAATCCATACCTGAGCACTTGGCTTGCAAATGCTCGAGACACACCTTGGTCGAAATGGCCTATGTTTTACACTGGAGAGGAGGTGGGACTTTCCTTGATGGCTCATCTCCCAAGCCAGGGTGCTGTATACCCTCTTCTTGGCAAACCGCATGATTCTTTGGAGAAGGACGCAGAGTATGGATCTCAAGGGGAACAACCTCTTATTTATTGATTTTGTCTCGAGAACTCACGCTAAAACAAGCCACAGCTACAAGATCAAGTTTCCCAAATACCTTGGTCTAAACTACGATGCCTCAACGACCAATCTGACCTACCACCTCGACACGGGGTCCACAGACCCTCTCGACATCACCGTTTCTTTCCTTTCACCCATTACCCCAACTTCAACTCTGCGTCAGTCAATTCCGGCCTCCTACGTCACAATCGATGTCAAAGGCGATGTCGATGTCAACGTCTATATGGATGTTGACGGCCGCTGGGTCAGTGGAGATAGTGGCAGCAAGATCAAGTGGGAATGGGACAGCCTGAAGACCGCGCACGACGAGCCTGTCCTCAATCGTTGGCAAGTACAGAGAGAGACTGAGCTTCTACTAACAGAAACTCGCGACCGTGCGGAATGGGGCACTCTTCATTTCACTGGACCCTCGGTAAGTCCTACTTCGTCAGAATGTATTAATGAATTGATCGAAATTGATAGCTGATTACCATACAGGATGCTAAATACCAGTCTGGGGATGCGACTGGTGTGCGTCGAGCCTTTGCTAACTCTGGAACCCTGCAAAACACCAATGACCATAGATTCCGTGCTATTCATGATCGGTCTCCAACCTTTGCCTTCTCCAACTCTTTCCATCTCGGCCATTCATCTAAGGTATATGCCGACAGTGTCACGTTTACTCTCGCTTTCATCCAAGTTCCTGTTGTTCAGTATGCGGCATCTCGCGGGCTTACTATGATGCGACCCTTGTGGGAAGCTTGGTGGCCAACAACCGAGGAGCTTCTGAGTTTCCACTACAGAGATTATGATGCAGCCAGCTCTCTGGCAGCCAATTACTCGCAGCAGGTGGCAGACGATGCGTATCTATCAGGAGCTGATGACTATGTTGACATCGTTGCCCTCACCGCGCGGCAGGTCATGGGTGCTACTACCTTCTCAGGAACCCCAGATGATCCAATCTTGTTTTTGAAGGAGATCTCTTCAAATGGTAACTTCCAAACCATTGATGTCATCTTCCCCGCGTTCCCATTCTTCCTGTACACCAATCCTAGGTGGTTGGCGTACCTTCTAGAGCCACTGATCGAGCACATGCTGAGCGGACAATACCCCAATAAGTATGCGATGCATGACTTAGGTACGCACTTCCCTAATGCTACGGGCCATCCCGACGGGAAGGATGAATACATGCCGGTCGAGGAGTGTGGCAACATTCTCATCATGGGCTTGGCTATCGTGAACTCGCTTCGCTATGAAGATTCTACCGAGGCATCGTCCATCTGGTCAGCACAGGGCCTTTCATCAACTGTTGCGAATGAGACCTCTGGACTTTTCCCCTTGAATGACCTGCAGATACTATCCGGCATTGGCTACCAGGATAGTAAATGGGGTGGGAGTAATAAAGGCAAACACTTGGCTGAGAAATGGGTGAAGCGAAGCTACAGTCTCTGGAAGCAATGGACTGGCTATCTGGTAGAATTCTCTCTCGAGCCTGCTAACCAACGTAAGACCAACTCTGTTTTGTGTTCTATTGGGTGTTTGCATTCAAGCTAATCCTGATAATAGTCTCTACCGATGACTTTGCGGGCTGGTTGGCTCTTCAGACAAACCTGGCTCTCAAGGGAATCGTGGGCATTAATGCCATGAGCAAGATCGCCGAGGTAGCCGGTCACGATACTGACGCCGCTTATTACAAGGTATGAACGAACATCTATCTACCTACCCCGACAGCTTGGCTAATAGACCACAGGAAATTGCCGCGGACTACATCGCCAAGTGGGAGAAGTTTGGCATGTCCCGAGATGGCTCCCATGCCAAGCTCGCCTATGACTGGTATGGATCTTGGACAACGCTCTACAATCTCTACGCCGATGCCCAGCTCTGCTTCCACCTAGAAGGGACCGACACCGATTCGCCCGGCTTTGTTCCACGCCACATCTACCAGAAGCAGTCTGTCTGGTATCACTATGTGCGTCAGAAGTACGGCCTTCCGCTAGACAGCCGTCACCTGTACACCAAGACCGATTGGGAGTTCTTCTCCATGGCCGTGGCCTCCAAGCCTGTGCGTACAGAGATCCTTGAGTCTGTTGCGCGCTGGGTGAATGAGACTAGCACCGACCGTCCGTTGACAGACCTGCACAACACGGAAGGTGACGGAGGCTTCCCTGGCCCGAACTTCTTTGCTCGACCTGTCATTGGTGGCCACTTTGCTTTCCTGGCGTTGGAGCGGGCCTGTGGCGGGAAAGCTATGCCTGGTCTCTCCTTCCTTGACGACGTCGACGAAGAGACCATGGCGGCTTGGACTGCGAGTGCTGAGTCTGCCGCGAAAGAATTCACCGTGTCAGGACGGTTCGCCTATGGCGAGAGAGAGCTGTGAAAGCTTTCGTTTGGCGTATTTGGGGGGAAGTTTACGTAGAGATGGACGGGCTGCTGATACCCTGGGTTTACCCCAAGGTTATCATTCATTCTCTTTACGTCCATACTCCAGCCCCGACTCTGGTGGATTGGGGTACTCTATCATTAGTACATAGGGTTTAGTGAATATCTCCCAGCACCTTGGATTAGAGCAAGGTCACATACATACCCAATTCTAATCCAAAACATATCAAACCGCGCATAGAGATACACTAGAATTTGGAAACTACATGTACGTAAAGGAATAAGTAGCAGACATGTCCCGTAATTCAATTGAAGATTTCTTTGCGTTACTATTTTTTTGTTGACTTCTGGATCGATTCAAATTACATGGGCCCGTCGAATTCATCCAATTCGCGTTTGCTCACCGAAGGCAAATGTAAGCACACACACACACATATAAGACCAACCCGGAAATATATCTTTTCCCCAAAGAAAAAAAAGGGAAAAAAAACTTCAAACTGGGTAGTTTTTGCATCCGCAGCACGGAGAATCATCCAACATCCACGAACTCCTCAAACCCTATCCCCTTGAAAAAAGAGAAAATAAAAACCATCGATGAGAAGCGACATAATAAATACCACCTCCGGGTGAACTTGCACACCTAGCAGATGGAGAAAGGGATGAAAGAGTCGGAACGAAAAAGATACCCGGCCTGGGAGCATGGGTTCCTGGTGTCAGGAAATTTAGTTGCCGCCGAGGCTGGGGAAGTTCTTCTCGTCGACGGTGGGGCCGGCAGGGCCGCGGGCGTTGGCGCGGGGAGCACCGCCACGGGCAGGGCGGTCACCACGGGGAGCACGGTCGCCACGGGGGGCACCGCGGCCGCGCTCGCTGCGCTCACCACCACGGGCGGGGCGGTCACCACGGGGGGCACGGTCGCCACGGCCGCGGGGGGCGGGGCCGCTGCGGGGAGGCTCGACGTAGCGCAGGTCAACGTCAAGGAAGTTCTTCTCCTTGCGCTGCTTCTCGCGCTTGGCCTTCTCGCCGGAGGCGGGGATGTAAGAGGCCTCCTCCTGCTTGGCGAGCTCCTTAGCGGCAGCCCACTTCTTGTCGAGCTTGCTGCCCTCGTTGGCGGTGCGCTCGGGCTTGGCGGCGAGGTTCTCGCGCTGGGCCTTCTCGGCAAGGTAGTCGGCGAAGGACTTGGAGTTATCGGGCTCCTCCTGCTCCTCGGCCTCGGCGGGGGTCTGGGCCTCGGACTCATCCTTCTTGGCAATCTTCTCACCCTGGCGCTCATCATCCCAGGTCTTCTCGCCGCTCTCGGCACCCCAGCCCTGCTGGACCTGCTTGCGGGTGTCGCTGTAGGATCGAATCTCAGGTTAGTTTCTCGTTGATTGCGTTGTGTTTTCCACAAAATATCATTTCATGATTCTTCGGGATTTCACGGTTTGTTGAGAATCGGAGGATCGCTTACGTCTGGCCAGTGCGGGACTGACGGTCACCGCGGGGGCCACGGCCACCACGGCGGGCGGGCTGAGCAGCCTCATCAGTAGGCTTCTCGCGGTTGTTGTTGCGGCCGGCGTTGCGGTCACGGTAAGCTACCCTCTTGTTAGTCCGAGTCATTCCGCCGGATCTGGTGATTTTGGCCACATACCGGCCTCGTTGCCAGCGGTCACACGGCCACCGCGGCGAGCGTTGGACTCATTGTGACGAGCAGGTTGCTCCTTGGGGGTATCACGCTTTCCGGAGCGGTCGACGGGGCGGTCGACAGCCTTGGCGGGGGGAGGAGCGGGTCTGCTGGGGTCGAGCTCTGGGTCGTTACCTGATGCAAGGCAACGTTAGCGATCAATGAGTCGAAAAGCGAATGCGAACCAAGCTGAGTTCGTAGGGCAGATAAGAGCTCAGTGTCGTCGGAAAAGAGAGCCGGAGAGTTGATTCAAGGGAGGGGAAATTTACCCAGAAGCTCGTAGAGGTTCTATAAAAATAAAAGAATTGCAATTAGTTATTGAACATTAAAGAAATCACGAAATTCCGGAATCGCTCGCCAAATCGCGGGTTTAGTCGGCATTGCGTCGCCGACAGCGCGCAAGAAAGCTCTATTTCAGCGTACCTTGGACCGGACGTCCGTCATGACGCCTGTTGTGTTCGGAGACCTTCCGGAGGGAGGCGCTCAACTTTAGACAATCGGTCTAGAGTAGTTAACGGGGCACAAGGCAGAACCCAAGGGAATCCGGCCTGTCAGGATTGATGATGATGAATGAGCAGGGTGAAGAGAGGTCCACGGTTTGTGGTTGCTGGGTGCCAGGTGACTAATCAGGAAAGGCGGCTTCTGCTCCTAAGCGAATCTGTTCGCACCCGCTGATTGGCTGCCCGCATCCTAGGGCTTAGGGTACCTTACATAATGATTGCGTCAAGGACTGGTATTGGAGTATACTTCTCTCTGCGCTTGCTGGGGTTCTTCGTTGTTCGACGGGTTCGACGTATTCGGTATCACATTTGGTGGTCTATCTGCACTGGACATATGCCCCAGCTCATCCCGACCTGACATGCCCTAGGTGGAGTATGTCGATCTGGACGTGGACTACAGCTGCTAGCCACTCTATTGCGGCCTTGCAGAAGCTATGTAATCATGGGGCTATCCATGGAACAAACATGATGCATAAATTTGACTTCAATATGTGAATGGGGATCTACTTGGCTCGTCAAGCGTATTGGTTGTCCTGTATTCTCTGTTCTCGGCATGCATTCCGTGATGTCTTTCCAATCGTTTCCAACGTTTCGCCCATCCCCCGGACTACCTACCTAGGTACACGATGCCGGGAAAGAACGAACCCCTCAAATAAACAACTATCTCCATGACTTCTCTTCTTACTCTTGGGAATAAATCCCAGCCCTAATATCCTCCAAAAGCTTCCGACCAATTGGTTCCCAGCCAAGGAATTCTCGAGTCTTCTTGCTTGAAGTTGGGTTATCAACACTCATAACAAAACCCAGGAAGCTGTCAAGACTCTGGGCTTCAGCAAATGTCTTTGATGCAGTAGGTACACCTAGATTGTGACCAATGGCGTCGGCAATATCCTTCATGGCAACGCCCCCTTCAGCTACAGCATGGTACATATTTCCGGCGACTCCATTCTCCAGCACAAGTCGATAGAGCTGAGCAGCATCATGGCGATGCACAGCCGGCCAGCAGTTCACACCCTCGCCGATGTAGATAGCATTACCCTGCGAGCGGGCCAGCGCAGTCATCTTATCGATGAACCCATGGTCCTCATCGCCGTGGACAGTAGGCGGCAATCTGATAACACAAGCACGTACTTGTTGCTAAGCAAGGTCGGTAACGACAATCTCATTCTTAGCGCGAATCTTCATCAGATCCTCGGTATCAATGACTGAGTCTTCGGTGCCGACTTCGCCGGGGGTGAGCACCAGGGTGCCGGATGTGGTGATCAAAGGCTTGTTAGTTCCAATCAAAGCCGAGCCCATAGCCTCGATGGCGCTTTTCTCGGCAGTGCAGTTCTCTGCATATTTACTGAAGTCGTGATCCATGGCAAGGTTGATCACGCCATCGGCCTCGGTTGCTCCTTGTTTGAGGATCTCTAGATCTTGCAGGGATCCGCGGAGGACATCGACGCCTTTCGCTTTTAGCGCAGCGGCGGATCCTTCAGAGCGCGCGAGTGCTGTGATTGTGTGGCCGGCGGCAATGAGCTCGTCAATGACAGCTCTACCGACAAAGCCGGTAGCTCCAGTGACAAAGACGTGCATGATGAAAGTTGACGAAGTGTAAAATGGAAGCGTGGGGTTGGATTGCTTCTGAGAAGATGTGTTATTTGCCTTTCGGTCTTCTATCAAGTAGAACGGGTGTATTGCAGGGTAAATGGGATATATGCTTCGACCCTTTATAGGTCTGACATAGAGCCTGTATACACCGGACATAACCATCTTCTTAACTCCATTTTGGCTTAATTCCAGGCCTAATTCCAATCTTCCATTTCAATCTCACCAATACGAGCACCAAGAAACAAGCTCAAGGCATCGGCATTCCAGATTTGGCGATACCCAGCGCAGAGTAGCCAACACATGTGGTCTGTTCTTCCCGAGAATACGACAAAACAACCTTGCTATTCCCGACGAACAAAGCACATACCAATTGGAATCAGGGTCGGATTATATAGCTGTCACAAATATAAAATAGGCCCAAGGCGAACCTACACCATCGGGAATTTAATTGAAACAAATGGCTCATAGCCCTAATACCTACCTACGTACTTGATTTCCTCTGCCACTTCTTGGCTATCTCTTTCCGTTTTCGTGCTCAGGCTTTGCCGCTTTTGCTCACTGAGTAGAACTGAGCGCTCTGACTAGCTCACTGAGCACCTGATTATTACATACGCTCAAGACTTGCTCACCGGCGCAAAGCACAGGGAGCAGCTAAGTCAGCAGCTCACCTCAATAAAATGCACCACGCTAGCCCCATCCAAATGCAGTCGTTCACCCGGCACTCTTGACCGTTGTCCCCTCAACGAAAGGCTGGTGTCATCAATTTGGCGGTCGATCCTGGTTGTTACGCCTCCACCTAGAAGGCAAATGCACAGTGGGGCCACATTATTGGCTTTACTATTCTGCGCCTATACCACTATTCAACCTCGCCGGGCTCTATATAGTTGCGGAAAATACCTAACCCTCCATTTTTGGTTCTACAATATCTAGGAAAATCTTAGAAAACCCTAGTTAGATGGTTTAGAAATCTAGTTTAGTGTTTTATTCTGATTTTTTTTAGTTGATTTTTTGACGGACTATCGCTCTTGCTCCCTACCGCTTACTCCTAGGAATACGACTTCAGCTCTAGCGATAGACATCCGTAAAAATATTCTAGACCTATCGATTATGCCTACTGTATGATCTAGCCGCCTATAACGGAATTTGCGGCCCCTTATTTGTCCAACATATTCTAACTAGCAATTAGAAAATACCTCATTCCCTCCTAGAGTGAACATATCCAAGTTTCAAGCATTTCTACTCAAGGTCTTATGAAGTCTGCTTATAAGTTCAGTAGCCTTCAGTATCCTAGGTCTGTCTCTTCTCAGCCCCTCAGTAAGAGCAAAAGCCTAACTATTATACAGATTGTCTGATGCCATAAAGAAAACCGATAACCTGGTCGATATTCAAGATCTCCTATTCGATGAGAGTTGCAGGACCGTTTCCTGCATAATCCTAAGCTCTGAGTTTGTTATATATGGCCGAGGCCTAAATAGAAAGATGTAAGTGACTCTCGCAATTTTACCAGTGGGAGCCCGAGAATTTGCAGGGGGCCTGTGGCTAATGTGACTATATTATCCGTCATGCCACGATAATCGAGAGCCTCGCGTACCAGTTTTCAGTCTGTGTCATTCCACTCTGACTTATAGGCATCATTTTGCCCCCTGGCCCTAGCTTATCCGACCATGCTTCTTCCTGTCGTAGGACTTAAAAGCCTTCAATCGAGTCATGGTAATCGAGAAAATCAGAAGAGCTTATCTATTGAAGCGAAGACGTGGCATCCCGGTTTGTTGACCTATTCAGACTTAACGAGACAACCAAAAGGCCGTTTTCTATTCGCTGCCCCTCAGTGTTCCGGCTTCATATTGCAGACCTAGATAAAAGTCTCTAGAACTGACAAGACACCCGCTAGTTATCTTGTTATATTTCCTATGTTTGCCAGGTCGATGCTGTTGGATTACACTGTTTTGATTTGAGGTTCGTGCAAATGAGGACCCAAGTTGCATCGTCGAAATTAATTATGCACTAACTTAGAAGGAGAGAGAGAGATGAATAATCTATGAAATAGTAGGGTATTTATACCCTGTAGATGTCGCAAAAAAACAAGAATACTAGTCGGCCGGCAGTATTTTCAGTAATTTTTGCAGTTGGTCTTCTCAAAGTGTTTTTATACCTACTAAGCCTAATCAGGAATTTTCTGCAACTTTATTTCTATATTTAAAGGATAACATTGAACCTTGCATCCTATTCTTCTTCTCCATTCATTCCAAGTTTCAGTCTCACTACTTTGTTCTTCTTAATTCATTCTTAGTTTCAGTCTCACTTCTTGGAATCTCATTATATTCGATTTATCTTCTTCAAACTTACCCCCATGTCCCTCCAAGCCATTCCCGAACATCATCCAGATCCCCCATCCGGTCCTGGTGTTTTCACACTAGAGCAGATACGATGCCTTGAAGAGGCTGCAATCCTCCTTCCCGAGCCTCAGCTGAATGCATCCACAAACGCCAGTGGTAAAAGAAAAGTTTCCGCTGCATTCAGTGCACCAAGATCTGTGTCAAGCTCATCCACCTCGTCGTCTTCTGCGTCTGTTGCCACCCATGGTTTCCAGCCCAATGTCATCCGAACCTTCGACATCCCAATGGCAGAAGAAAGTGTCGAGGTGCTTGAGTATATTGGGTTCGTACCGGATGTTGCCAGACTGATCTATGACCGATATTGCGGCCGCCCAAGTCCAAGCCAAAATCCTGATGACCTAATGGCATATGTCACTGCACATCTCGCCTCTCTTAGCCGACGACAATACGATAACATGAGCCATCAGGAGGCGCTCGCTGATGTTGGTCTTACTCGCCAAATTCAAGGAGCAATCACGGACCCGAGATTCTCACACATCTTCGGTACCCAGACCCTCACTTACTGGGCACAAGAGACTGTTGAAACCAACTATGCCGCTCTTCTTCGTCAACAGCAACTGCTACAAAGTTATGCAAACAAGCGCATAGCTCATAAAAAGAAACATAAGCGGCCCAGGCATAAGCCGAGCCGAGAAGACCAAGACCCATCTAAGCAGCAACCCGTGACCGCAACGATCAATATGACACCCCAAGATTTCCAGTTCCCAGACACATATGTGATGGTTCAGCCTAATGCTAATATCCTCGCCGATCACATTTCTTTATATAAGGGCAAGGCATATGATGAATTACGGCTAGCGGGTGATATCATTAAGAGTGATGGAACAGTTAACCTAAGACCACTTAGTATATACCCCGGCGGAGACTTCAATTTCGATTTTAATGCGCAATCCTGGACCCCCGAAATTGAAACGGCTGAAGAGTACCGCAAATTTGCAGAAAGGAGAAGCCCTACAGTCGATACCTGCATTATTCACATTCAGGTTCCGCGACCATTCATCAACAGCCTCCGAATGGAGAATCTATGGTATTCTCCCAACTGGAAAGAGTACATCTGGACCTGCAGGAGACAGGCTACCCCTCACCCGAAATTCGACCACCTCTGGCGACCTGGGCAAGCTGATATTGTCAGGGGCCCCATCTGTTCTACCCTCAGCACACAGCTAGTCCGCATCCGCAGAGAAAACATCCAAAGTCATATCACTGAGGACAACGTGATGCGATTGCAGTCTGGGAGAAAGGCCACTCAGTGGGTATTCGTTCAACGCGATGTGATTGATCGGTTAGCAGAACACATTCGAGGGAAGATGCATTTCATCATTTTCGAAGCCGCAGTTCGTTTCTCATGACATCGGTCTAGGGCCCACTTTCCGCTTTGATTGCAGCCGTTTTTCGGGTCGTTCTTTATTTATCGGTTGACATGTTTCTATCTCGAAAAATATCACCCTCTACGGTGAAAATTTGCAACTTTTGCATGGCTACCCCCTAAATTTCCGTTGTTTGCGATGTCTGTCTGCCCATCTCACTAGTCAAGCCACCTTGCTCCTTACTAGCTGCTCTACAGACGGATATTCCCCTATCATTCCATCAGCTGTGTTCTAGTTTATTTTTTATTTGCAACTTTGCTTGGGAAAATCTAAACCCATCATTATTCAAGATATATAAGTTCATTGTTAAGGCAAGTGGGCCTGACACCACGTTGCAAAACTAGGAAGTAATGGTAAGGTAGAGCGTTTACCAAAAGAGCCACTATGACGACTAACTAGTCGTCATGTCAGGTTACCAACCCAAATACCCGATATATGCTACGAGATATGCGCACCGTATTCGTACTCCGTACGTTGGGTTGTAACAGATCGCAAAATAAACAATATTGTGGGGCAAAGTGCTCCTTTGGGTATGGACTGAGCGTGGACTGAGTGCTTAATAGATGGCTCTGATCAGCCTGAGCGTGGACTGAAATTGACTCAGTGAGCCTGACTCTGAGCGCCCTCGTAAAAGCGGCTAAGATAGGAAAGCCTCACCCGGTAGAGGACAAATGGTACGTATAGCTACCTAGGCACGGAGTAGTACTACATACATAGGTGCTATGCAGTATAGCCTTACAACAACCCAAGGTCTAGACCTGCAACCACAGGACTCATAGCAATCAAGTAACCTCCTATTAGGACACGCCAGATATCACTCATTGAGATCACGAAATGAATAGCGACCGCCAGAGAAGGCCATAGCTCTTCCCGTCTCAATGTCTACAGCCGGAGAACCGAACATGACATTGTCTGGAATATTATTGCGCTCGTCGATTCTTGGTCTCTAGATAACTGCCCTTTAGACAAAAAGATAGTACAAGTCTCAATCCCATGTGGAAGGCAAACCTCTCAACTGAGGGGTCGTTTGGTGCAGAGAATGTAGACCATCCCCGCCCTACCAGTTCTGCGACCCGCAGGACTTTGCTTCATGACACGTAAACTACTGTCTGTTATATCAGATTGCAGTGTCCTGTTCCGGTGCGAAGGCCTGCAGTCGACGTGAATGCTGGTTCCCGTGCGTTTGACCCCACCAGTTCCTCGAAGACGCGTCTCCGATAAGGGGGTTTTGGACCTGTGCATTCGTTTTGACCAAGCAATCCTGGCCACTGCACTACCGCTGCATCCGATGTGTGATCCTAGCTAGACACTGACTAGTATGATTCTTAGGCTTTAGATAGTTTAGTTAATATACTTGAAAGTTTGGGAAGTACAAGGCACACAGAAATCCTGCTATGAAAAAGTAAGCACACTGAAGGTCTTGATGAATATGAGATAGAGTAAATCTCGACTGTAAGATTAAAGAGGGTTCAACGAGAAGATGTATGTAGATGCAAGTGGACCTGCAAATGGCGAAGATTCGATTCATATACACAAAATGATATAAATATACCTCGGAGAAATCAGATGGGATAATTGGTATCAATACCCTTGCAACAACGCCAGGCAATGCTCAAATCAAACTTTTAGGGAGAGATGATCATTTACCACATAAGATGGGACAAATATGAATATAAAACAGGGAAATAGGAGGAAGATATAATAATAGAGTACGGAGTTTAGACCGTTCATTGCCGCGAGTTGTTGTGCTCGTAGTTGAACGGCGTGGGGAAATGCATGCTAGCACTTAACCCGAACGGATCGGTATCCAGCATCGGCTCATACTGGCCGAGTAATTGATTTGCATTGCCGAAGTCGCTGGGCGTGCTCTCGCTGGGTTGGCTGAAAGCGGACATGGCGTGAGAACCCGAGGCGACGGATTGCGGGGTGAATCCTGGGACGTACGATGCCGAGCCATCGTGGTCATCGTCGACCAGGTCGGCCTGTGCGTCGTACTCTTGTTCTGCTTGAGAGGTCAGCAAGTGATGCTATACACGTCCAAAGGAAGATGTAGGCTTACCGAGCTGATCATAGTGTTTCTGGAACGGAGAAGGATAGTAAGCAGCAGCTGCGACCCGCGCACCACGAGGGCCCATGGCTCCCGCGCCGCGGGACTGGGGTTTTGGATCTGACGGCTCCGTCTGCGGCATGCTGATTGCCGGCGGCGAAGTCTGGCTGAAGGTCCGAGGTTGGGGGAGGAGCTGGGGTCGTCCGCTGACCTGGGAGTCGACGCCGACGGGGGACATGGCACCCTGGAAGCCATAGCCGGGAGACTTGGTGTGCGAGGGCGAGGAGACGTGGGAGGTGGGCGTTGCTTGGAATTGCGGCGACGGGATCCCGTATGCACTTTCCCGCTGCGACATGCCGAAGGCATCGGGCTTGGAGGCGATGCCTGCAGGGTGTCGTTGATTCACGCGGGGCCCTGCCGCGTTTGGCGCTACCTTGGGGGGCATGGGGTTTGCCTTGGGAGGGGCTCCCGGCGCCCCGGTCTTCAGGCGTAGCTCAGCCTGTACATCAATGCCTGTTGGAGATTGAGTTAGTGAAGTTGGGACCCACGGATAGGGCATGTCGTACCCTTTTCCAGGAGGATGCGCTCCAACAGGGAGTTCTTATATCGCAGCATTAGACATTCGTCGGCGGCGGTGCGATGACTCTGTTGCAGACTCTGCAGGGACTCTTCATTGCGCTTGATGGTCGTCTCTAGTTGGCGTATGTATTCTGTCCTGCGTTCACGGAAGGCCGCCTGGGCCTGTCTGTTGCGCTGCTTGCGCTCTTCAGAGGTGGCATAGATCTGCGACAGGGTCAGCCAATGACAATAAACAGATGTAACGATGCCGTGACACCAGTATCACAGTATCCGAGATGGACGAGGAATGCGGGGCCCCGTAATTAAGTTACGTACAGGTTTCCTGCCACCCTTCCTCTTCTGAGTTTGCGCGGCGTCCTGCGTCAAGGGTTCGGCCTCAGGGTCAGGTGTTGAGACGGCCGAGCTGATGGAGCCATCAGGACCGGGTTCATGTTTAGGCACGATCGGGTCCATGACCATGTCATTGTGGTCGACCATAGAGACCATTGGATCTTATATAATCTAATTGGGATTGGAAACTCAAGCCTGCAAGCGGCCCTCCGCACACGGACCGACTGCCAGTTTTTTCCCGCGTTGCCGGACTGGCCGGCAAAAAAAAAAGGATAAAAAAGAATAAAGGGAAACACACGCGCGGCTAGGCGGTTAGAAGGGACGTGCGAGATCGAGGAGAGTCTGTGACATAAAGGAAACCGAATTATGAGAAAGGAAGAGTCAGAGAAAATACAAGATAAACGAAATGATGGGGAACGAAGAAAAAGCTGTGTAAAACAATTGACTAAAAAAGTCTGTCCGGTCAGGAGGGGCTCACTCTCGCGTACCTGGCTCTCTTTTGACTTTTTTTTTTTTTTTTTTCCTTTTTTTCCCTCCCTTTTTCTCCCTTTTTTTCCTTTTTTTGCTCTTCACTGTAACTCCTTTGGGCGCTCCACTTATGGTTTCGGGTCCACTGGGCTGTGGGGGGGGGTTGCCTGTTTTGTTCAATGCGTATCCATGGACATGTGGTAGACTGTGTGACCTGATGTCCTCATGCAATGAACTGGCAATCCTGGGAGGTCGTGACTTCCCCGCGGGAAAAGTATCTAGATATCATGCGTTGACAAGCCTAGCCGATACCGGGAATGGAATCACCCTTAGACATTCCATCGGCGTCCTCCGCCTTTAAAGGCCACGGGTTTCGTTTCAACCACATGACCTTCCAAACGCTATGGTCGTGACCCATCGGGGCGCCTGGAAGCGAATCACGCGACGCCACTCGCCCATTTTCCCTTTGGAGACCAATGAGGAGTCGAGGACGCAGTAATCCCCTTCCCCGGACTTCGAACTGGGAATTGCAGATTTTTCTCGCATAGAACACCCTGGTCGGATGGCCCCCAGTTATGCGGGGGAAATCTGCCAAGGCTTCCAGGGGATGCACTGCGCAGATATATCCGGGCCCATGACCTCATTGCGGGAGCCTGGCCCTCACCGACCTTCCTCGATGGATCTAGCCTACGATTGTGGCGATCATCTCGAAGCACGACCTACCTAAGAAGGTAGTTCACAGGTCTGATGACTGTGTTGATTCTGAGGGGATACTCCGTACCTAGGTAAGATATGGACCGAGCCAGTGAGCGCTAAAATCAAGACAGGCTCTATAATGATTGGTCTTCAAGAGATAGCCCTCGGGTCATCACGTAGTCTCTGGAGGAGACAGAGCCCTAGCCTCTTGATGAAGGCAGATACGGTACACAGTACGGAGTACTCCGTAGAGATCTACGCGTAGTCGCTATTAGGAGGATGTAATCCGGGCCTCCTCTAGGACAGAGCCAGCTGGATCTTGAGGGGTGGTAAGACAGTGAGATGAGTGGATATACTGCGTAAAGGGGAGCTGAATGGGAGAGGTGAGATGACCACCATCTGCATGCATAACCCTTGCAAGAGCGAGAAGCCGGATAGGACAACCATGTGTCTATATGTGCGGAGAACTCCGTACAGAGTAGTGCACTCCGTACATAGCGAGATACGAAGTGAGGGCAGATATCCGGAGCCACCCCGCATCCCGATTTGGCAACTGTGTTCTCCAACGCCAAATGATACTACATCAGGTACCTATATGTTTACTTTGTAGAAAGGTAGGCCCTTATTGGATTATCCCCATGAGAACTATCCACTAGGGCCATTTCTAATGACACTCTGTACCTGGAATGTGCAGCACCGGCTATCTGTGATTGGACTGCTTTGGATCTCATACAGGGTTGTTGAACATCGGCCAATTTGGCCTTGATCTATAGACTCGGCCCGTGGAGAAATAGAATCCAGGATTTCCTCCCTGAAGTCAGTACTCCGTACGGATAGAGTTGAAATGGTCTCTATCTTCGGTTACAATACATAGATTTGTGCCTATCCTCGGCGATCGGCACTCGGTCCCCCGCCAAAGTCGTCACATGCGAACTTCTCCAGACTTTCTCTTTCGACAAACCTCGCGGCATCAGAGCTTGACTCCGACCAGGATACACTGCGGAACGACTTCAGTTCTTCCCTAATTGATCTTTTTGCGCAATTAAGATGGCCTCAACGTTACCCGCCGACAGTCCTGAAAAGGGCCCCGAACCCACCGTGATCGCGCCAACAATCGCACAAGAAACCCCAGAGCCCACTACCGCGCCAACGCAAGCACAGCAACCTCAGAAAGCAACCGCAGATGACGATGACGATTCAGACTTCGATGAGCTAGATGGTACACACACACTCACCTCTCTTACCCCTCCCCCACACAACCCCTCCAATGGCACGACATCCCCATATACTCACACAAATTACACAGACGTCCTCGACGACTTCAACAAACCCAAACCCGCACCTCCCGCAAACCCCCCTGCGCCCTCCAGCAACCCGGACCCCTCAACGGGCATCACACCCGCCGACTTCGACGAAGATGCCTTCCTCAAGCAACTCGAACAAGACATGGCCAAGATGATGGCCCCAGACGGCGCAGGAAGCAGCTCCGACCCCAATTTCCAAGCAACCGTCGACCAAGGCGCAGATGTCTTCGCCAAGCAGCTCGAGGAGAGTGGGATCGCGCCTGGCGATTTCCTGAAACAGCTTCTTGCCGATGTCATGGCGGAAGAAAACGGTGCTGGCCCTGGCGCTTCTGCGGAGAAGGTCGCTGCCGCTGCAGGGGTCTCTGCTAATAGTGCAAGTGCCAGTGCGAGTGCAAACGCAGGTGCAAGTGCAGATCCCGAGCAGCCTGCCGACTCGTTCAATGATGCTATCAAGCGCACGATGGGACGTATGAAAGAGAGCGGTGATAAGGCTACCGCTGCGGCGAGTAATGAGGATGATATCTCGGATGATATGCTGGCGCAGTTGTTGAAGGCTGTCGAGGCGGGTGCGGCTGGTGCAGGCGAGGATGGAGATTTGTCGAAAATGTTCATGGGCATGATGGAGCAGCTCTCGAACAAGGAGATGTTGTATGAGCCGATGAAGGAGTTGGATGGGAAGTTCGGGCCGTGGATTGAGAAGAATAAGGCCAGTGGAAAGGTCTCCATTGAGGATATGGAACGCTTTGAGACGCAGGCGCGGGTCGTTAGGCAGATTGTTGTTAAGTTCGAGGAGAAGGGCTTCTCTGATGATGATCCCAAGTGTCGCGAGTACATTTGGGAGAGGATGCAAGAGGTGAGTTTCTCTATCTACATGGAGATTGTTGTTTCGTTTACTGACTATCTCTCCAGATGCAAAGTGCCGGAAGTCCACCCGAGGAACTTGTCTCGAATCCCCTCATGGAAGACTTGGGCGGTGCTGCGGCTGGGGCTGCCGGTGTGCCTGATTGCCCGCAGCAGTAATGTGAAGTTGAAAAATGTATGGATTGAATTTTGAAAGATATCGCCTTGCCATCAAGGCCTGTTGTTCCCTTTACACATACATCCTTTCCGCACTGTACATATGCGCAAGCCATGTCGATACCCTTACTTACTTACATATTGCGGGTCCCCATTTTATCCAGCCCCATGTCAAGAAAACGCCGCCCAATGCAATGCCTCGCGAAAGAAAAAGAATTACCCGAAACCCCCCATAGCCCTAACACACGCTCACGACATATCCATATCCTGAGACTGATGGCCCTGAGGCTCCGACAATTCCATAAAGATATCATCATAATCATCATCACTGAAGGGGACATTCGGCGCATTGCGCAATTGCTCCACACGCCCAGGAATCCCAGTCTGCGTCTCCCTCAGAGCCATCTCCATAGCCTCTTCCTGCGTAATGAACTCATCAAGCGCATCCGCATCATCTGCAAACCCAAGTCAGCAATTGGCTTTTATATATAGCATAAATTTCCCCACGTATGCAGAATAACCAGACCAAAAGGAATATATAAAAAAAAGGTAAGGGAAACATACCAGGAAGCATATCATCCTCCTCCCCAATCTCCATCCCCCCAACAACACCCTCCCCATCCCGCGCCATACTCTCCTCCCACCGCCGCCGATCAGCAAGATGCTCCATATGCATCATCTGCTCCCCGCGCGCCTCAAAGCGCCCCGAATCCCGCTCATCGCGCACGCGATTAAGGAACATCCTGCGCGTCTTCGAGCGCGCCAGCCCTGCCGCGTTCCTCATCGGATTGGCAATCGTGTTTGCAAACCGCGCTTCGTATTTAGGCTTTGCGCGGGACGGCGAAGTCGGCGAAGACGGGGGTTGACCGGCGAAGAAGGTATTCGGGGAGAAGGTTGGCGTGGTGGATGCTGACGCGTTGAAGTGCATGGGGACTGGGGAGTGGTGGTTCTGGGTGTGTCGTGCGATTGGCTCGGTCTGGATGTTGAGTTGGGGGAAGGTGACTGGGGAGTTGGAGAATAGGGTTCCGGACTCAGGGCCCTTGTGGAAACTGCGCGTGGGGGACATTGTCCATGGGGGTGTGGTGTTTGTGCGTTGGCCTAGCGGAGAGGGTCGTGCTGGGGTGTAGTGGGTTTGGCGGAAGGGGGTTTGGGGGGATTGGGTTGCGAACATTGTGAAGGGCTGTGTGGATATAGGAGATAGAGGATGGGGTTTGGCGTATCCGTGGGTCGGATGCGGAAATTCGTTGCGTCAGTGATTAGATTTTTTTTTTCTTGGTTGATGGGTTTAGTGTTGAAATGGAAGTGGTTTGAGGTGGAAGTGGGATAGATAATTAAGGTATATAAAGTAGTTTGGACTAGAACATAGGTCGAGGCTGGGAGACATGCAGGATGCCTATCGATCTCGCGTGTCGGACGCGTGCTGGGATGCGTCACGTGAACCGATTCGTCGTGACCGAAATGGGATATCGATGCCCAGGTGGATATCAATGTACGTTATTACGCAGGAGAATATATGATTGGGACTGTTTCACCGGTGGAATCCATTTGCCTCGAATTACATACATACAGATCAAAAGAGATCATAGAAGGGACCTTTGCAGCATGGATCTATCCACACTATACAGTCCAACTACTGCTGCAAAAGGTAAACGAAGAAGAAATCGATCGAGGAAGAATGGACTTTGAAACAGAGTAATAACAAGCGCCTGGATACGGGGAATCAAAAAGTAGATAACAGGCAGAACAAAACAGTGGTGCCGTATTTTATCAGCAGAGCAGGGACCGAGTGTTGCGATCGCGAAAACGATCAAAGGAGTGTGGTGGTTGCCGAAAGAACGCTCAAAGTAATAAATGCCATCATGTCCAATCTATGGTGAAATGAGAGGCAGGGTGTGAAAACACCCGGGACAAAAAAATAATAGCAGATTCGCAACCAAATAGAACGCAACGTAACATGGCCTGTCCATAGCGCCGGAAAAAAGCATGATGATCGTACAAGGTTTACACTTCGACGAGTGTCGAGTCAGCGCGAGGCACCTAGAAGTTGGACGCCGCGTTGACGGGACCAGGGTTGTGATACTGGTCCAGTGTATTCTTGAAGGGTGTGTTGCCGGAGGGGCTAGGGGCCTTCTCGCGAGGGCCAGAGCCCACAGCGGTGCCACCCATCAAATCATCTTCATCACCATACTGCTCACTGCGCTTCTTGTGGATTCTCCAGAAGACCAGGCCCACGGCACCGATAATGATGGCACCACCGACACCAACGACGACACCGATGATGATCTTCTTGTCGGAAGAAGAAACACCACTAGAGCTGTTGCCCTTATCGCCGTTCAGAGAGGGGTTGGCAGTCGGGGTGGAGGTGGTGGTCACCACGTTGGCGGAGGTGGCTCCATCGCTGCCGGTCGCATAGGAGGTAATGATCTTCACGACTGGGGTTTGAGTGGTTGAAGAGGTGGTCTTGGAGAAAGTGGTCTCCTCGGGCTTCGAGGCGGAGGTGGGCTCATTCTGAGCGGTGGTTTTAGGGACGGTAGGCTCCGGAGTGGAAGAGGGTTCAGGTAACGAGGTAGTAGGGTCGGCGGGAGCCGAAGGGGTGGAAGACGTGCTATCGGTAGTAGTGATAGGATCCGTGGTAGTGACGATCGGGGGTTCAGAGGATTCCGAAGTTGTTGAAGAGGTCGATGAAGTCGAAGACGAAGACGAAGACGACGACGACGATGATGACGGTGTGGTTTCAGGCGGCTCGGAAGTGGAGGATGAAGTAATTTCGGTTGTGAGGTCGGATGCGATGTTGGAGACCGCAGCACTCTGGGCTGCGACCGAAGTCAACAGCAGAGCCTGGATGAGGAACGAGAGGCTAGAAAGACGCATAGCGGGATAGTTGTGATAACGAATGTAGAAAACGAAGGGATTTGACCTGAAGTCAAGAAGTGATGGACGAATAGGCAGCATAAAAAAGGAGTCAAAGCGAAACCCGATTGTTCCCAGAATGCACTAGGCCCAATTGGGCGGCACTAGTCTCGGACCAAAAGTCAAGTGTCGACGAGTCCGGCTCTCTGATTGGCTGGCCCTTCACCAGGGCCACGTTGGAGTGGGTCGTACATTTTACTCGCCGTTACAGTGTCCTTTTAGTGTTGCCCTTTAGATTAGGAATCTATGTTAATGTATATTAACTGGAGAGCGGGATACTCATTATTGATCAAAGAGATCAGATAAAATCACAGTGAGCCATCACAAAAGACAGAAAAAAGAAAAAAAAACCCCCTCGGTCTGTGGGCTGGACATGTGTGACGAGGCCTCCTCGCTTCCCGCTGGAGAGCCATATTTAGCAACACGTCACCCATGATCTGCCTCTGATCTCCCATGTTATTGGCACTCCTGCCTGACATGCAGGCACACGGTCAGTACTCCGTCGTACCGAGTATCTACAGAGTAACCGCTACTCAGCAACACCTGGAACCTCCCTGGAATCCACTGGCTGACATCTTCCCACCATACGACGTGGTCCGGATGTTCCTGTGCCATGTCACACTGATTCGGGTACCTGACCCCCCCCCCCCTTCGACCGATATAGCGCCGGAATCGACCTAAAAAATATTGGATTGGTCATTTCAGCCCTAGTCCTAATCAGCTCAGGTGGCGTATCGCTGACAGCCTCCATTTCGGGGCTCCCGCCTGTTCTGGAACGTCCCAGGGTCTGTTTCTCTGCTCGTTGCCCGGTTCCGACACGGTCCAATACGCAGACCGATTCCAGACCCCTACGGATACTGGGTATGGAGTACGAAGTATGGAGAGCATGGAAGAAATTTTATGGATCTCCGACCACTGTGGTCACAGTATCATTGATCCAACCACAATGCACACCGCGATCTACGAGTAAGCCATTGCGTATTGGTCCGCCAATTGCAGTCTGCGCTGTTGATACCTTTCTCCTTTTGGACTTGCCCCTCGCTGCTTTTTGGAGTGACATGGCATCCCGGGGAACGAGAGGCTGGATTATAGCCGCAGTCTTGTCCTCTCTTGTCAATGTGGCAGTCAATCTGGGCGCGGAACAACTCAAGGCAGATTTCCACTGGTAAGATCAGTTCAATTGGTATATGATTTTCTACAAAACAATGCTATGCGACCATATTCGTCTGCAAATTTTTTTTTTCTCATTCTACAACATTAGGTGCAATTGTTCCGTATGGTGCCGTGTCCCGCCTGCGTGTCCACTTTGCTAATGTCCGTAGCATCCGCCCATATTTTATTCGCGCAACTACTCCGGACTAGGCCCTATACTGTTTGGTTGTGTACATGGGTTTCCATGGCGCTTAGTGAGATAATTAGCCCATTCTCCGCTTCTAATAAAAGACATTGGAAATCTCAGGCGTTCGATATCGAACATTGCCTTCTCGGAAGACCATGGGCCACCGTCCTTTCACTGCGTGGAATATAGAACCCCGCAGAGAAAAAGCAGGTCACCAAAGGCGCTAGTTTTGACGTCTAATCTCGTATTCAGTGGTGGTGCGCTGATCGAGAAGCTCTTGTATCTGTTTTGAGACAAGCTAGAACAAAGAGACCTAGCAATACAATAGAGGCAAAGCTCTGATTTCAGATCTCTCTTGCGCGATGCACAAATATGATGCTTTAGAGACATCTCGCATTAGCATTTTGCTTGTTGGACAAAGCTAGTTGTTACGTTGGATAGGCTCTCGCAGAAAAAGACAAAGGGGCAGATATCACAATAGCCAAAGACCGACATGAACCAGAAGGACATATTTGTCTCTTTCATGACTCTAGATCTCGTTCTGGATTTGCCTCGGATTAGAGTCTCTGTTTGCCATCTCCTACTTGGCCCCGCTCGTTATGAGATATAGCGACTCTGTATTCCTTTGCCATTCGCTTTTTTTGGGCTCTTTGTCGGTTGCTATGGATATAAACGTATTCTTGTTCTTTGTGCCTCCTATCGTTTCAGGGGTTTCTTTCATCTTGCTACTCCGTTCTCTTCAACCTGATCAGCTACATAAATAAAGACGTTGCTACCGAGTCTTCTCATATTATCCCACATCCAGGTCTTTCGGTATTCATCACTCATCATATGTAGTGTCCAACATTTCCAGTAACTATACAGCATACAACATACTTGGCATATCTAACGCTCAATATAACTTACGCTCCGCTATCTCGATCGACTCTGTGACCATTATTTTCTACCACCAGAGACCGAGACAAGAGAAAATATGGCTGATATGCGCGCCCATCCTGAGGTTATCACAGCCTCATTTCCCAATATTGAGCTTCAATGCGAGATTAAGTACAAGAATTGCGATCTTTCAGAAATTACACATGTTGTTGCCCAGTGAGTACCCTCCCCATGCGTTGGCTCTGTTATTTCCCCTCTTGTTACTTCCTTCCCCTAGCCTGCAATGAGTACTAACGTGAACTAGCTTGTCTAATATTAGAGCCTGTAACATCATGAAGTCTACCACCGGAGGCCCCTGTGATCCCTACCCCGAAGAAGATGCTCTGGATTTTATTGGAAAGATGCTGTCTCAGACAATTTTTGGCAATGAAAATCAGCTGGAATGGCTAGGGGCTGAGTGCCATGGTAGACGCCATTTTGTTGCATTCACCAACACCCCAAAGAAGGGAAAGCGTGTGGAAGGGCAGGGCCTCGGAATTGACAAGTTTCAGGTGATTGAGGCTATGTTCGTAAGGCCCAATTCTCAGGAGAAGCAGAAAGTCTTTTGGAGGCCTGCCCGCGAGGTTATCTGTCAAAAGGTCGCGGTGAAAGCAAAGAATGCAGTCGAAATGGTTCGGATTAGAGTGGTGGGCAGATTTGATGCAGCGCCTCCTAAGACGATCAAGAACTGAGGAAGATATTCTCCTTGTCATCATTGGCGTTGATGTTCAGAAATCATGTTTGGTCATTGGAAGGCATTGAGAGCGATATAGCCCTAATAACTGGTCAAACCCAAACAGGCCAGGGATATCCATACCTAGGTAGATTACTTCATTCAGACAATAATTAAGAACTATAATGGGTCTTCTTCTGTGAGATATTTCCGAATATTATCAAAAAGATATCATGTTTTCTTGTAGTTGATATTGGATATTATTATGATCGTTCGGACACTACAAAGCACAATAAGAATGCAATGCACTCATGTATCTGGTCCCATTATTATCAAGTATATAAAAACCCTGACTATCTAACAGGACATCACACAAGACACGGGTAAAAAAAGTATATGGGCTTTATTCGCCATTCATATTCATTGTCTATTTCATACTCCGATGAGTAAATATCTTACAATCTCGGAACTCAAAATGTTTGCCCCAGTGATAGAATCCCAGCCTGCGAAAAGAACGATAGAAAGCTGGGAGTAGTAGAAGGGGCAAGTCAACAAATTAACATAAAAGTTCACTTTTCGGGTGAAACAAGAGATGCACTCCATGGAGCGCGCAAGTACATCCCGCTGTATACCCAACGTCAACGTATGTGCCAAGCAGCAACCAAAAACCAAGATTCATGAAGAAGAGCAAATATCATATTCAATGTGGGTATCATGGGTGTCCGTATCAAATAAGCGCCAGGGTATTATAATTTGTTCCGCGGGTTTCCCTTCATCTGGTCCTTCAGCTCTTCCTTGAAATGGCTAAGGAACTTTTTATACTCAAAATCTAACCAGGACAGATTAGCCATGCTATCCACGAAGTATTCACGCCGAGCATACCTTGTCCCTCAAGTTTGGTGCCTCCCTGCTCTTCCGGAGGCACCCCGTGCCTGATATGTTGAACCTTCTGGTGAACTCGGCCCACCATACGATGGAATATTGGGCTTCGAAGGAGCTGTTCGGATAAAGTTAGAAAGTAAATCAAAGAGACCCTGGCAGTGTCGGAGCAACATACACGAAGAGTGAGCCAGACCTATGGGAAAATGTTAGTGAAGGACGGAATGGCAGAAGCGAAAGCGCATACCTCCATGCTCCGGAGCAAGAGATTCAAGACCATCTTTATGTTGTGCTAGTATCCGACCATAAATCTCAATTTCAGCTGGCAGTGTCAAGTCGCAGTTGGAGATGGAGAAACCTGGACAGTCTGGGAGGGTCTCGATCGCGATGGACAGAAGCTTTCCTTAGTCAGCTCTCCCCCGCGAAGCTTTCCATCGCGAATTTCTGAATCACCGCGGAGCTCATTCTCTCCTAAGTTTCAAGGTTACAACTCGTTTTACGATATTTTGGGTCATATTTTGCGTCACTTCTCAAAGACCAGCGATGGTTGTGTGGCTTTGTCAACATCCCGCCCCCGAGTCCTGACAATAGCCGATGATGGCGAGTGGCACCGAACGAACTTCACTAGTGGCTCGGTACTTCGCTATTCACTTCAGAGACTACGTTTTTCTCTCGACATCCAGAGAATGACCAAAGGTTGTTATACCTGCCGACGACGTCGCATCATCTGCGACAATGGCCTGCCCACTTGCCGGAAATGTCGAGATGCGGGGAAGGAATGTCTGGGGTACCAGAAACCGCTTGTTTGGGTCAAGGGTGGTGTGGCTAGTCGAGGAAAGATGATGGGACGCAGCTTTGATGATGTACAAAAATCCTCCAACAAGCCAAAGCGCCAGCCACCTACTGAAACACACGATCTGACCACCGCGAACAACGGGTTCAACATCTTCTCTGTCGCCGAATCATCGTCCGATACCGAATCGCACAGCTCTGGAAACCAACCTAGTCCAGAAACTGACAACTGGACATTTGAGGCAGAGAATACAGCGATTGGAGGAGAGCTCATGCAGTTCGGGTTAAACCCAACCGAGGAACAAGACACCGCACTTGTTCATGTTCCTCGGAGCGCTTTTCTTCCTCCTGTTGCCGACTATACTCCAACCCCATGGGGACTGGTAGATCCACTTTTGAAAGATTTTAGCCAATTGTCAAGATACTACATACATCACTGTGAGATTTCCCGCATCTATAGGTATCGAGGGCTTCGCTGACAAATAGCTGGTGAAGACAATCAGTATATGGTCAACGACTTTGCGCTTTACTCTCAACACAAGAACCCCTTTAGAGATCTTACTGCGCTAGTCAATCATGCTCCTGTTCTCGCTAGCAGTATCACGGCCCTTGGAGCTCTTCATTCTTCCCTTGTGTCAGAGTCAGACTCGTCCCTCCTACCATGGTCATCCGGCAACCTAGCGATGGCAGACTCAACCCTGTCCGCAGAGGAAATTGAAGATATTGTCGCCCCAGCAAGTTCTCAGAAACCAACCTCGCAGGCATATCAACATTTCCTGGAGTTCAAGCAGCGCGCCCTTCGCCAATTGTCTATAGATCTCCAAACCCCCGCAATGCAGAAAGACGGCAGGACTTTAGCTGCCGTCGTATTGCTCGCGTTTCTGGACCTAATTGAGTCTGGCAGTGGGGCCTGGAGTTATCATATCGAAGGCGCGAAGAAGCTCCTGAAGAATCGACCTGAAAATAGCATGGGACAAGGAATTCTTGACGATCTGGACGGTTTTGCCCTGGATGGATTTCTAATGTAAGTCTTTGATCTCTGCCTATCAAAAAGGCCTACCACTGACCGTATAGAATGGAAATCATGGGATCAACGCTAGCACGCCCAGGCGCGCTCTCAAAACCCTTCTACTCCTCATCCATGGGTCCATCGATTCTCAAACGACTCGAAGAAAACTCCTGGGTCGGATGTCCTGCCTACCTGCTAGAAGTGATCTTCTACATCCACGCCCTTTGGTACCTAGATCCCGAAGTTACCGACACCATCCCTCAACCAACAGCGTCCCCAGAATCAATCCTACCAAGCCGACCCCTCACACTAGACTCGTTCGCAAGCCTCCTCCAAGGAATCCGCAACTTCGACCCGATAGGCTGGAGCCAAGAAATGCAAAAAGTCTTCTTCATCCCAAACCTCGCCTACCGCCTCGCGCTCGCAACTTCCTACCAAGACGCCGTGTATCTGTACACAAGCCGTGTCCTCTCACGACAAAGACCAGGCTTCTCCCCACCATGGACAGACGTCGGCCTCCCCCTTGACCACAGACTCATCGCCACAAACCTCATCACCCAAATCTGCCTCGTCCCAGCTACAGACCCGCACTTCAAATGCCTCATCTGGCCCACCTTCATCGCCGGCGCGGAGTGCCGCCCTTCGCAACGAGGTCTCATCCTCGAAAAACTCGGTTCAATATATGAGACTCTGACAAGTGTTAATGTCCGTAATGCGGCGTGGGTCCTGCGTCTTATGTGGCAGAAACAGGATCTCAAGCGTCGAGAGCGTCAGAATGCTTCCGATGCGCAAAATCTCTCTGGCGACAATGGCGGCGCTAAGCCTGGTTATGATAATGATGATGACCTCGAGTTCGACTGGGTTGAAGAACTGGATCATTCGCGCCTCGACTGGCTGTTTATTTAATCGGTGGGGATGTAATAGAGATCCGATATATAGATATCTCTTTTTTACGACTAATATTCCCGTATATATATAGACCTGTCGTTTAGTATATTTTTTGAACATAATTTCGCTTGATACGTATAATCCCATTGATTGATTTCCAACATATCTAAAGGATAATAGGAAGACTTCCGAGTTCTCGAGAGTGAAGCTCGAATGGGAAAATCGGGTATATCATTTCTCGGCTCAGAAAAGAGCGTAAGTGGAAAAAAGAAAAAAAATCAGAGATAAGAGAAAAAGTGAGCGCACGGCAGGGTGTATAGCAAAAGGGATTAAATCAGATGAGAAAACAAATAGGCAAGTAAAAAGTCGCAGTGGAAGTGAAGGTCAAGCCAAGATGCTATGAAAGTGAAACAAGAAAGTCGATGGAAGTAATAGACCCAATAACAAGGATGGTGCTATCCAAGGAAAAGCAATTTTTGTCCGGATTTTACCCAACACCAGAAGATATAAGGAAAGGAGATGAGTATAAGGACGCAGGCCTCAGACAGCCGTGACTTCGGGATTCAAGAGAGGTAGTCAACAATCAATCTTAAAAAAAAGTAGTAAGAAAGAAAGAAAGAAAGAAAAGAAGAACAAAAGAAGAACAAAAGATGGAGGATGATCAGGAACAAAGAAATGAGAGGAGCCAGGCAGGAAAAAAGTCTTGATGTTGTAATGCTTCTGGCCAAATCAGGGATATATAACAGCTGACATGGAAAAGAACAGGAATTCTGATATAAGCAATGAAAGAACAAAGTATGCGCATGCTCCCTTCCGATTCTAAATGCAAGAGACATGTTTCACCAACAAAGAACATGAACAAATAGAAGAATACGCTCGTCACTGCAATATGCAAAAGGTAGGATAACCGGTATGCTGGGATGAGATCCCATCTTTGTGCGGATTCCCAGGCTGGGAGAGAGGAGGATGAAGAGCTGGGGGCAGCTGGAGGCGGCAGGTTCATATATGATAAGATGGCGAGGAGGGAAGTAAGGCAGCGAGTAGTACACAAAAAAGTCGGATTGATACCGACAAGAATTCAAAACGCAATTTCACGCTGGCGTGCAGATGTCATGCAAGACGCTTATATCTTCGATGTCACTAGAACACCGCAGCGAGGCCATTTTTCGAATGTCGCCTGCTGAAGCGTTTCCTTCCTTTCGTCGACTCGGTGTCGGGGGCCTGCTGTTTTATTAAATGATTTCGACCCGATGATGGTGGGCCACGATCATCTTTCTGCATTTCAGATGTGCGGTCTAGCGTATTGGCGGGGCTAGGGAAGCCCGACGAGAGGTCGCGGAAAGCATCGTCAGAGAAGCCTGCAGTTTGTTGTTGCGCTGCCATCTGCCGGGATCTGTCCAAAGCGTCCAGCCATTCCTGGACCTGAACTGCTGTAGCAGCGATATTGCTCGACGATGGTTTGGGATCCTCAAAAACGTAATGCTTGTCTCGCTGTGGGTTATGTTAGATTGGGACTTTTTGGATACATAAGAAAGAGGTACATACCGTATCCACAACCCAAGACGAGATTCCTTTGGAATCAGTTGTGCTCCGGTAACTTGTCCCTTGAGCGAGCAGAGGAATCTCAAGCTTGATCTTCTTCTCATCACCCCCGATGCAGCCAAAATGATCCGCGCGGATGATGTGACCATCACCAGTCGTTGTCGTTTCTTCGTAGCGCTTCCCGAAAAGAATCGAGAGAATTTTCTAGGAGCATCAAACTCGCCACTGCTGTTCTTCGACGTCGGACTGTGCGAAGCAGCAGATGACAAAACAACAAGATTTCCTAACTTCAAGATCCGCTCGTTGGATTTGCTCAGAACTGGCGACCATTCAATATCCAATTGACTTGGTGGAGGTAGCTCAGTCACCACCCGCGGAAGATGGCGCGAACTGGAATTTGGAGCATTGGAAGGAGCAGTCGAAACGACTGGCGGCATACTGTCCCCGTTTTTATTGTCGTTGAGCTTGATGGGGTCTCGTGCAGGAGGTACATAGGCCTTCAAGCGAGGTGCCTTCTGCTTCCATAGATCTGGACCCCACGTGGTGCCATCAAAGAACTCATGGTTTTTGATGTGCTCAATCTGAAGACGCCGAGTAGGTTCTAGAACGAGGAGACGTTCAACGAGATCACGCGCGACAGCAGGGAACCCAACTGGGAACTCATAGTCCAGTGCCACAATTTTCTGGAAGGTCTGATACTCGTTTCCAGCTTTGAACGGTGGACGACCGGTCAAAAGCTGGTAGATGATGCAACCAAAGGCCCAGAGGTCACTGGCTTTGCATGCATTTTTGTCTGTCAGCAGCTCCGGGCTGACATATTCCGCCGTGCCGACGAAAGAGCTCGCTCGCTCTTCCTGAGTAAGTTCGGCCGAGTCAAGAGGAAGAATGCCAGTTGAACTGGGATCAATTCGTGGAGTCTTGAGAATCTTGGCTGTACCGAAGTCGGTGATTTTGACATGCATCCCGCTGTCAAGTAACACATTTTCGGGCTTCAGATCTCGGTGGATCACACCGCGCTTGTGCATATAGTCTATCGTGTCCAGGATCTGCGCGCCATAGAACCGTGTACACTCTTCGTCAAATGTGGTCATCCGTTTCAGAACACCAAGCAGCTCTCCTCCTTTGCACAAGTCTAGTACAAAATATAGCGACTGCTCATCCTGGAAGGTATAATATAATCTGACAATTCCCGGGTGATCGGTCAGGCGGTTGAGTGTGTCCTTCTCGATGTTCACGTATTTAACCTTTCTCTCCTTGATGATATGTCGTTTATCGAGAATCTTGATCGCGTATTCCTTCAAAGTCTGCCGGTCCGTTGCAAAGACGACCGTACTGTAGGAGCCTTCACCAAGCGTATTTCCAAATGAGAAGTCGCGGACTCCCTTCTTGATATAACGAGACACAGTCTGACCATTGGCATCCACCTCTTGTCGCACGGAGACCGCGGCACCACGTTCCTGCCATTCCTCGCTGCTCGCCATGGGCCCGTTTTCTGCCATGTAGGATGTTCGCGGCATCTGGGAGACACCGCCGCTCCTTGCTTGTGCTCGAGACGGCTGACGCATAACCGCCGGGCCGTTGCCTGGAATTTGCGCCGTCCGGTATGACCGGTCGCTGTGAGAATTGTCGCGCGCTAGAACACCGGCATGTAATGCCGATGAACCCCCTCGTGTATCTAATCGCGCCTGGTTCCCTGATGCAGACGAAGCACCGGAATCGGTTCGAATGCGATATGTATTGTCACGAGAGAGCACCGGATTTCCCGAACCATTTACGTAGACGGAGGAAAGGGGTCGGTTGGGATTCGGAGGGGTTGAGAGGAGCGGAGCGGAGTATGACTGGTAAGACCCCGATAGCACAGGTTGGATATCTGGGGAGGTTTGGTGGGATGAGGTCTGGCGGTCGTCTGTCGGATATTCAAAGGGCGCAGGAGGGAAGACAGACTGTTCGTCATGCGTGGGATTCTGTGTTGATACCGAACCGTCCGGCAGTCCGAACGGGTTGGAGGCTGTTGACTCAGCGGTCGCATCATCTGCTGGGAGAGGCGAATGATCTGGATTGGCTATCCGAAGCCCTCCCAAAGTTTGGGACAGGCTGAGATCTCCGTTCATGACGAAGCTGATACTTGGCGACCGGAGACGTGTATTGATTCAGGTTCAGGGGAAATGGTGGGTAGAGTCGAGAGGACCACGAAAGACGGAATTATGACGATCGGAAACACGGCGGATGCATGGTCTGAAGGAAGGTGAAAAGAGTGAGAGTTGGGAGAGTCGACGTTGAAGAGAGGGGGAGAAGGATCAACAGGAGGCTCCGTAGAAATTGGGTCTAGTGTCGAGGGGCTGAGCCTGACTTAAACTATTAATACTTCCCACGCGAGAAGGAAGAGCAGACCTGGAAGAGTTTCACAGATACGGAGTAGAGGTACTCCGTATTATTCGAGATGTGCGTCGTTTGGAAATCGCGTCTGATATCTGATTTGCCCTGTGTCAAGTTGACAGCTTTAACAACCACTTTGCCTCCATACAAGATCTCAAGGATCATCCATCTCGTGTCTTCTCGCGTCTCTGCATCTGGCGGGTCGAGCTTGCTCTAAATGGGATCTTGATTTTTGAGCGCGCTTGCCTTGTACAGGCAGGATGTTACTATATACAGTTCTCTCCCCGGCCTCCCTATGTATACAACTCTTCCGTTGATATCACTTTGGCGCCCAACTCGGAAACATGATCAGAAGACCCCCTACTATCATTGCCCTGGAGGAGCAGGATGTCGAATCTCATCTCCAGCGCATCTATCTCCGTCACAGTCTTCCAATCGACTTCGAGCAGCTACGCCTGGACGAAGATGAGAGCTTCGATGACCTACAGCTGGGCCAGTCCCCCATGAGCTCCTATGTTTCTTCAGATCTATCCGATGTGGACATTGATACCACAGATCCCGGCCACGAAGGTCCATTGTGTTCTGCATTGTATTCTGGATATACTTCCTCGCCAGAAGACCGGAGCCATGCTTTGGTGGATGCCACTCCACAGTCTAGATCCGTGACAAAGTCATGTCTCAAATCACCAATTTCAAGCAAGCAGCGGTCCTCGCTACAAAAGAAAATTTCTTCTGAAGGACACTCGTATCGAGCAAACCTTTTTGTTGACCCACCACGTCTCAAGGTGAAATTTACCATGCCACCGCCGGGACTCGAACTCCACAACGGCAAGGTCCATCTTCCGCCTGAAGAAGGAGCAGGTACATATGTCAAACCCGCGAGTTTGAACCTCGGCTCCGACTCACAGTCTTGTTCCCGAGCAGACCGAGACCATCGTGGGGAAAACGAGCCGATAAGCCACAAAGATACTATATATACACCTATGGCCATTGACTCTCCATCTTCGACGCCGCAGGTTTCATTTCTGTCGTGTGGTGTGTCCTCGAGCCCGGCCACAAGTGTCCCACTCCGGGACCTAGCCTTAGCGTGCACAATGTCTTACGAGGCAGCCTTGGCCGAGGAGACGGCCTCGCCAGCTAGCGCGAAGAACATCAATCCTAGCGAGGACTGCGGTTCCCGTGCCAAATTCGTCACCTAGGAGTGTTGTGGAGGTATGTGGAGTGAGGCTTGGGATTCGTCGCTGCCTGGCACCCGAGTTCGGTGTGAACCGTTGCCCAGAGAGTCCATGGAAACTGGGGCTTGGTTCTGATTCGATTGACCCCCAATTCGCGTATAGATAGCATGATGTTTCTCGCCACAGGAAAACACATGATCATCCGGGAGAAGTATACAAATATTCCAACTTGCATCCGAGCTATTCACTACCATAAGCAGTTCCAGGCCACGGCATATCATAAAAATAACCCCGACGACCCCCAGCCCAGTCTACAATGTCTCACGTTAAAATGCAAAAAGAAGCAATCTCGAATGCCCGTAGCCAATGCTCATCTGAAACGAATATCAAGCCAAATCTATCAATAGTTCAGTGGAGCAGAACCACACATCTGGCAGCCTTCCAGATCTGACGCGTCCCGGCACTGCCCTACTAACCACTGACACATCTGACTGGCCATACTTGATATACACCCGTCTACGTCACTCTGCATGGCTTACATGGCTGATTCGATTGTTCCCTGTCTTTTGTGGTCTGCAGGACATAACCCGTTTTACATTCTACTCTTGCCTCGATACGACTGGTCCCCGGTTCACCGGCGTTCTGTGGCGGGTCCACTACGCCACCACCCAAGATGATCTTGAACTGCTTGCGCCGGGATATTTCCGTGGTTCGTAGCTGGGGCGCGGATTCCGGAGACGCGCGATCCAGGAACGCTCATTCGTTCATGGATGGGCGTCGAATGGAGAGTGAGGTTTTCTTGGGGATCGGCATTGTGACGAGTGCGACTCGAAGGAGTTGAATATCAAAGTCGGAAAACGGGTAACAGTTTGCCTCTATGGCGGTATATTGGCACGGAGATCGACTGAATGAGCTAATGGCTTCCACGATTGTTTACATGGGTTCCCAGCGGTTTAAATATGATTGTGGGGGTATCAAGTTCCACTCTCGCTTGCTGTATGGAGTACAGGGATATTACTGCCGTTTGTGTGGAGTTTTATTTGGAAAGACCTTCGTCCGACAATCAATTAAAAAGCAATCGCACACAAATCAAGGCAGTCTAATAAAGTGTATCAAAAGCAAATCCGGCTCTAGGCCAATGGAACAAGGGATAAAAGGTAGATAAAAAGGTGAGGGTTAGATGGTGTTAAGTAACAAGATGAAACGCCAATAAAGATTGACCATCTCCCGGATGCCGCTTCAAATGCTCCCCTCGTGTATATTTTTTCCATGACGGTATGAGCTCGTTTCAATTGTATCAAAAAAAAAAAGGAAAAGAGAAAAAGACGTATCCTTCACTCCACAGAACGGAGTGATGGAACAAGTTAAAGGGAATAAGGGGGAATTATCTACTGCTTCTTAGCGAAAACCTGAGCACCGTCGACCAACCGGCGCTCGGTGTTCTGGCGACCGTTAACGAAGTCGGGGTAGTTGAGGGTCAACTCAACGGCGCCGTTAACAATGTTATCAACGGCCTCCACACCGAGCATGAAGGAGTGATCCTGGTTGCCGACCTCGTAGCGCCAGCTGCCGAAGCGGCCACGGGACCAGATACCCTTCTCCTGGAGCTTGGGGAGGATCTGGGTGAGGGCACCCTCACGCTCCAGGCTGGGGGTGGGGTAACCGTGGTCGAAGCGGCGGTGGTAGGTGGAGACGATCTCATCACCGGGCTGGAGCATCTCGGTGTTGACGAGACCCTGGATGGACTCGGCAAGGAGAGTCTCGTGGTTTACGGGCTTCATAGAAGACTCGGAAACCTCCAGCATGACGGACCAGTAGGGACCATCCTGGGGCTCGGTGCTCTGGGGCTTGGAGCCGTCGGCGAGCTGAAGAGTGGGAAGCTTCTTGGAGGCCTCAGGCTGGTTGTGGGGAGAGTAGTTGGAGAAGATGGTGGCACGGTAGAAGGGGCAGTCATCCTCGGGGAAGTACAGCCAGCACTTGTCACCAATGCGGTCGGGACGGGCACCACGGATACCAACACCGATGACGTGGGTGGAAGAGTAGAAGAGCTGCTTGGTGAGGGGCATGAGCTCGGTGTCGTTCATCGCCTCGGCGAGGTAGTCGACGGCCATGGTAGAGACCAGCTTCTTGTAACCAATGGTGGTGCCGTCGGCAAGGGTGACAGTCTTGTTGTAGGCGTTGACCTTCTCGACCTTGCTGTTGGGGCCGTAGCGAGTGTTCTCCTTGGGGAGAGTGTTGGCAACGGCAATCCAGATACCACCGGTACCGTCGCGGGCGGGGAAGCGGAAGGTAGCGTTAGGACCCCAGTTACCGGCGGTCTTGTTGAGGATGACGTTGGTGGTCACGGCCTTGACGTTGGGGGCAGCGACACGCTCACCGAGCCAAGCGCATTGCATCTACACATAATCAGCATTTCCTTTTTTTCTCCCTCTAGTCTCTCCGGGGAAAAGAAAGGGATATTTACCTTGGTGGTGGGAACGGCCCAGACCTTGTAGTTGTAGGGTCTCATGAAGAGATCGGCAATACCAACACCCATCATGCGAACAATCCACTCATCGAAGTTCTTGGGCTTAGAGTTGGAAACACGGGCCTCGAGGGCAGCATCGATCATGCCGTCAATGCACTTCACCTGCTCCTCCTTGGGAAGCATGGAAATGTTGTTCTGGAAGGGGTAGGGAACCCATTGCTCCTGGCAGCGGACGTAGGAGATACGCTCGTGGGTGTACCAGTCGTCATCCTTGGGAAGAGCCTCGTTGATGCAGTCGTCGAAGTACTTGTAGTGGGAGAAGATAACGTGACCGCCGACATCGTAGAGCTATGAACTGGGTCAGCGGTGCGGACAGGCGCTGAGACCAAGCGCAACTTACGAAACCTTCGGGGGTAATATCAGTGGAGGCCAGACCACCGGGGGTCTCGTTTGAGTCGATAATCAACCATGAGGGACCATCCTGCATACTCAATTAGTCTTTTTGGCCCTTCTTGGATACCCCTCCCCCTTTTTTTTTTTCTGTCGCTGTGCCCCTCTCGCACAGAACAACATTGTCGGCTGGGGAAAACTCACAATCTGGTTCAAACGCTTCGCGGCACCCAAACCAGTTGGGCCAGCACCAATGACGAGAACGTCAACAGAACTACAAGCTGTTAGGAATTGTGTTGACGGCGAGAATCCGGAGGCCTTACATGTCGGGGTGGGTCATTCTGCCTTGTAGGAGATCCTGGAAGCTGGGAACTCGTTTGAATGTTCTTCTGGCGACGTTCAGCATAGAAGCAGGCTGCAGGAATCTGCAGAAGAAGTAGAGGGAATGGAGGGATAATAAAGAGTAAAGAAGCGGAGGAACCAAAAAAGAAGGGGAAGTGGGAGGACAACGTGACAAGCCAAGGTATCTAGACTGCTCTGTGGGTTAACGGATCCGGTGGAGAACGACGTGCCTGTTTCAGCTTTACCCATTCGCATTGGGACTCTCTGTTGTTCGTTTTGATTTGAAATTGGCTCTACGGTCTAATTTCCTTTTTTTTTTTTCTTTTCTTGCCCTCGTCCTCAAACACATTCCTTCACTCTCGTATCACACCGATATTCACGCTCAATTCCTATGGTCAGGGGGAGGCAGTGCTCAGCCCTGAAGTAAACAAGAACGCGCAAGTACGCAATTTCATCACACCGCAGGACTCCGTTCAAAATCCAACAGATCACATTGGGCGGAAAGCCGTTATTGGTCTGGAGCTTATCATGACACCTCTCAAAGCAGGGACTTGGAGTGCATCTAATCTGTTGCATGCGGGTGAGTTGATATTGGAATTCCCTTGGCATCGGACACCCTTCAGGACTGGAATGCTGTTATCATATCAATCCCATCTCGGGGTACTCCGTACTCTGTACTCCATTATGTATGGAGTACTCCGTACTCTGACGGAGTATTATTGCTGAAAGGCCCAAACCAAAAAAAAAAAAAAAAAAAGAGCGGAAGGAAAAGGGGCAATACGGATAGGGGCAACCATTAATATTGAATCTCGATCCAATGTGGCCGAACTAAAAACGCCACCGATGTAGACGTTGACACGTTGTTGGTTATGGTTAAATTACTACCTTGGTGGACGAATCGAAGGCGATTCTGGAACAACTGAGGCTATCGTTCTACAGATTGCAAGAGACGCTACGGCAACGATATCCCAACGCTGGAAGTTTCATCTGCATCAATTCCATGTGAACATCGTACGGAGTACAGTGTGTAGCGTATAGAATGTCCATGTATGTCACACGCAATGCGACATCCCATTGGACAATCTCAAATAAAAGAGCCCAAAAAACCCCATCCTGTACCCTGCCGGAGGAACATCCGCAGCGTTGATCATCCTCTCTGGCGGTCTCGAGGAGAGAACAGGATTTGCGAAACTTCACAAGCGTTTGGTCCCACTGATTTGCACTCTCAAGGGAGTAACACAGCGAAGATCTCTTCGCGTCAACTGATCTGGTTACGGAGTACTGATCAACTCCCAGAGGACACCCTTGACCAGGGAAGTGTTGTTGAAACACACTCGTCAAAAGCTTAGGGAGTGCTTTCCCCCACTGGCCCAAGCACAATGTGCTTGTGGGGATGGAAGTCCCCTGATGGCGCCAGACACAGCCTCCAGCGGATCGTCGCATTCTCCACCCGTAAGGGACCAGATGGACCAGAGGGCTACCGAGCGCGGGTCTTGGTGGGCCTTGGCTCACAGCTGCTTGCGTAATGCCTATTAATTTGGATCTGCGCGGGTTTTGGTTTTCTATTCCAAAATGATGTAGGGCATTCCGAGAGTGCCGATATTTCGGGGTCTTTATCACCTGCGAGAGGGGTTGTGTATCTCTCGTTCATCAGAGGAATGATCGGGATTTAGAATAAGAGTGTGCCGGTGGATCCATTGGGACCTGTTATTGGTGCAGAGAGACTCGCCACGAGCAACCCATGGGCACTTGGAGTTAAAAAAAGAGGAGCTAGTAAAGTACAAATATAGGATACGGAGCAAACTGAAACAGACCAATTACAGACCCATTCGAGCTGAGAACCGTTGACTCTCCACAGTACAACATACATCGTTGAGTACAGGTGGCCTCAAAGGTAACGGTAATTCGAATTTCCATACTCCATACGGAGTACTCCAGAGGTGAGAGATCCTCCGGACACTCACCTTGAACTCCCGTTTCTGTTTGCGGCCAGTGGATCGGTGCCTGTGGTGCCTGGGTCTGTTTTCTTTACCACGACTATCTTCCCTTCTTAATTTCCCTTGTACGGAGTAAATCCCAGCTGAAGCGAACCTTTGGTGCCGACATAACCATTACTTCCGAAGTACGTACCCCCATTCCATCCCTTCAACTTCATCATCATTTCTTCATTCACGCTCGTTGATCGCCTTTTTTTTCTTTTTTTTTCTTTTGCTTTTTTGGTCCAACTCCTGTCGCATTCGTTAACCTCCGGAGCTTAGTGATCACTATTATCTAGTCTCTCTTATCTCGTCTTTCTCCGTGGCTTCCTCCGCCTTTAGTCAAGGAAGCCTGTCCCGGCCCCGACCTTTCGATTTCAAGCGCTTTTTATCCGATCAATCCCAACCCTTCACAATGAGTGACGGCGAGAAGATCCGCGCTTCGGGCGAGACTCCCCGGGAACAGTCTCTGCCTACTGTCAACCCCGCTGCGGAGAAAACAGAGCAGCCCAGCAATACATTTCACCCCGCGGTCTACGTGACGTGAGTAGCCACAAGCCATAGATCCAATGGAGTCGCTAATATCGTGACAGGGCTTGGATCTCTTTGAGTTCCACCGTGATTCTTTTCAACAAGTACCTTCTCGACTATGCCAACTTCCGTAAGTGACAGTGGAGATGCATGAGGAAACCGGGCACTAACAAACTGTGAATAGGCTTCCCTATCATCCTCACAACATGGCACTTGGGCTTCGCTACCATTATGACCCAGATCCTCGCTCGCACCACTACTGTCCTGGACGGCCGCAAGAAGGTCAAGATGACTGGTCGTGTTTACCTCCGCGCAATCGTTCCTATCGGTGTGATGTTCAGTCTGAGCTTGATCTGCGGCAACATGACCTACCTCTACTTAAGTGTTGCCTTCATCCAAATGTTGAAGGCTACCACTCCGGTGGCCGTTCTCCTTGCCACCTGGGGTATGGGTATGGCTCCCGCCAATATGAAGGTGCTGGCCAATGTCTCCGTCATCGTCTTCGGTGTGGTCATTGCTTCCTTCGGTGAGATCAAGTTCAACATGGTCGGTTTCTTGTTCCAGATTGGTGGTATTATCTTTGAGGCCACCCGTCTGGTCATGGTGCAGGGCTTGCTCAGCTCCGCCGATTTCAAGATGGATCCCATGGTTTCTCTGTACTACTTTGCACCCATTTGTGCTGTCATGAACGGAGTCGTTGCTCTGTTCCTGGAATTCCCCCATGTCACCATGGACCACGTCTACTCCGTTGGTGTCTGGGTCCTCGTTCTCAATGCCCTCGTGGCTTTCCTTCTCAACGTCTCCGTTGTTTTCCTGGTAAGTAGTACTATTGAGTCCCGAGCTTCAATACCATGAAGGCATGACTAACACTCTCAACAGATTGGCAAGACCTCATCCTTGGTTATGACACTTTGCGGTGTCCTCAAGGATATCCTGTTGGTTGCGGCCTCCATGATGCTATGGCAGACCCCCGTCACCGGTCTTCAGTTCTTTGGTTACTCTATCGCTCTGATGGGTCTTGTCTGGTACAAGCTTGGCGGCGACAAGATGCGCGAGTATACTTCTTCTGCTGGCCGTGCCTGGGCTGAATATGGCAACAACCGCCCTGCGCAGCGCAAGTTTGTCATCTTCGGTGCTGTTGCTCTCACCTTCTTCCTTTTTGTTGGCTCCATGGCCCCCGATTACGCCAATGGCTCCGTTGACCGTGTCAAGGGCTACCTCGGTGGTGCCACTGCTGGTAATGCCTAAATACGTTTACCATATCCTTGAGTTTTCGCGTCTCCTGTAACTCGGAGATGCAGCAAATTAGACCCACTGGTCGGAGCTATAATATTTATTCTCGGTTCAAGTGGGTCGGCATGAGGACGCAAATGGATAAGGGAGGCGCTCGTAGCGGTATCCGTCTCTTCCGTCTCTCGGTACAGAACACCCAGAGACAAAAGAGATTACCACTTCGTGCTTTGATTTTCCGGGTCCCCATTGGTGTCCCATTGGTGCGATGGGGAACTCGCTTCTGGTTTCATTACTTTTTTCTTTTTCAGACCCATTTCTGTGATGTATACAGTGACATGAAAATGGTGTTGCTGGCGCTGTACTTTTTTTTTTCTACGAACATTGATTTGATGTTAAACTTGCACGAGCTTTGGTGTCTGTTTGATTTGGACCTGTCTTTCTCAGCGGGCTTTTTTTTGTTACCATTCGTGTCTGTATACCTATCTGTACCAAGTCCCCTCAATAATAGACTTCATCAAAACTTCGTCCAATGACTTCATGGACACGTGATCTCTTCTCGTTCTCTTATTCACGTGATCTATTCTCCTTCACGTGACGTGACCAGGAATGGGCCATAGGCCAATGGTCACTGGGCTGGACCCGTCCAGTTGGACTCCACCAGCGGCGTCTTGGCTGCATGAGCCAATAGCGCCCGCTAATACCGCCTGTATTAATACCGTTATGGGCGATCGGATAGCCGCTTTTGGCGGGTGTATTACCGTTTGACTTGGTACCTCCGCATTTCGCGCATCGATTCATCCACTTCTTCAGATCGCTCTTTCCTGTCTCACTCTCTCACCCTCTTACTTCGCTCGACCTGGTTCCTTCCTTTTTTTTTCTTTCACTTTTCTCTCCTCCCAATCCTTCCTTCCTTTTTCTTCTTCGTATACTAAGCTTCCTCCCTCTATCTATCCTTTTTACTTCTTTTTATTGCCGAGACATCCTCTACTTTTCTATCTCTTCGTCTTACTTCCGCTATCTTTCTCCAGGTGGTTGAAGCTTCTTGTGTCTTGCTCACTTACTCTAACAGAACAGTTTCACTTGCCTCGAATCTAAGACACATCTGAGATCAAAATGTGTCCAATGCTTCTTAATCGCCTCTCGGATGGCCCTGCCACAGTCCTCTCTCCTACCCAGGAACACGCCTTCGCCCAGTACCCTTCTCAGTCCTCCTTCATCAGCTCCCCAGGAGGCTTCAACGGCTACTCTGCTAGTCCCAGCACCGTATTTGCCAACGGTGGCTCCGCGCATGCTGCTTCGACAAGCTTCAAATTCCCACCTGCTCCTGCGGCTCCCAAGCCCTCTCGCAAGAGGTCGCGTGATGAGAGCACTGTTGACGAGGTCGTCGCTCCTAGCGCGCCCTCAAGCCTTCGTCTAGCACCTCAACCCAAGGTGGAACCCGTCTATGGAGAAGGAATGGTCCTGCTAAACCCACAGACTGGCCTTGCGCTGTCTGCCGAGAGCCAAACCGGCACATGGTACGAACAAGAGTCTGAGGCACAACAGGCCATCGCCGCGCCTGTTTCCTCGCGATCAAACGCAGTGCTTTCTGATTCCATCGAAATAAGCCGCAAGTCTCAGCGCCTTGATCAATCCGCACCTGGCCTGGACGATATTGCTCTCTCCTCAATTCGTCAACGTCTGAACGACCCCAGCTCCAACGATCAACACCGCACACTTAACGCTGGGTCTGCTCCACCCACCGAGCCTCTGGTCGATGACGCCACGCGTCTCCTAGGCATCGGTTGGCAGCGCGTCAACACCGCTGGTGATATGGCTCCTGCCATCCGTGGCTGGACCAAGTATATTGACAACCAGTATTCGTCCCATCTGCATGACTCGCAGATCCTCATCAAAAGCCGCGCTCTGAACGCATATCTTGTGGCTGCCACTCCAAATCTTGCAGCGTCACCTGCCTTCTACCTCTTCAGCGAAGACCTCACCCAATGCCAGCTCGTGGCCTCTTCTTGGGACACATGTATTCAAAACCTACGCAACTCTCCCATCATCTTCGAGGGTGCCATTCCTCTCACAGCCACTGACCGACCCGACGCGCAACCTACCGCCTTCGGTGTCATGGACACTGGCGTGCCTCTTCTCCAACAAGCGCTGTCCAGTCACCCTCAAGCAGCGGATCTCAACGGACTGAGTGGAGGCGTGGAAATGGGGATGGGAATGGAGATCGATTCGTGATTCCCTCAAAGCGCATTCAACCCTTTCTCTCGCCCGTTCGATAACATCGAGCCGACTCGCCGTCCAGACTCGACGCCTAATTCGCACGATCGACTCTCGACTTCGTCCAGTTTTATCTTCTTTTTTATCATTTTTATTTTTACCATTGCCTTATCTAGTTATAAGACTCACGCACCTGACCGAACCAGTCCGGCCAATTCGGTTCTCGCCCATCAAAAGGTTGATGGGTTTTGGGGGGACCGGCGTCGTAAATCTGGGAGTTCATCTCGTATTTGGCTGCAATTTTCACTTCTGACGAACGTTATTTATTCACGACTATTTATCACCTCCAATCAAAACATCTAAAATCAATATGGGTTTTCGGATCGTAGCTAGGGTTATCTTTTGTTATGGGAGGCAGCTGTCTTGGAGCCCCTTCGGGGGTCCCCAACATCCACTTGATTCCCCGCCGACCTCGGGAGGTCGAATGTAGATGCTGAGTAATCAGGCCATGTAAGGTTCCAAGGTTGCACTGATTGTTATAAGCACTCATTTCGAGAGACCTAGAAGATAGGTATATTGAAATGAAGGTAAGAGATATTTAACAAGATCTATATAGATTAAAGAGTGCTTGGGCTTTATGTTGATACTTTCCAAGGTCCATTTCTCTGCTAACGAGTTCGGGGGACTAGAAACCTTGACATCTCACGTACATACGGAGTAGACCATCCTCAATCGAGGTACCTTTTGTATGGCGATGCAGTACAAGAGTGGCCTAGTTACTCCGTACTCAGCACCTACATTAGACCTCGGGACCCGGGGAACAGACCCATCCCTCCTCTAGAAGGGACTCGAAAAACGGCTACTTCGTACCTGGATAGGGATAACTTTGAACATGTGCAGTCTCCAGGGCTGGTTGCTTGGACGACAAGTCCTCCGGCGGATTTCCGAGGGAATACCCCCGACAGCTGATTTAGACCGTTGCTAGGGATGTACCTTAGCCAGACAAATAATTCTTTTTTTGCGTAGAAGACTTCAAGGGCTATGCTCCTTCCTGACTTTGGATTGCTTCTACTATGTACTCCGTACTTGACTGCCCTGTACCGTCTCTGTAAATGCCGAAATTTAGTCTTCTAGCACGTTCATGCAATGGAGAGGACAGTTGAGAAATAATAAACGGAAAAGATTTCTCTTTTATGGTTTCAAATCCAACGTCCCTTTGGGGTCCAGATGCTATTGCCCTAGGACGGAAAACCCCGTACTAATGTCTGTCCTCTTGGTTAGGCTTAGGGTTTCCGGATCTCACTTGTTCATTCCGGACTATATTGCGGCGCTTTGACCCTTGGCAATTCTGGGGACTTTTTGGTGGACTATTAATTAATTTTTCCAAAGCGAGGTCTAGAAGGGCATGTGAAAAAAAAATTCCAAATCTAAAAAAAGGGTCTTGCTGTTAGAAAGGGTCTTTGATTTTGGGGGTCAACGACGCCCGAGGAAACTCATATTTTCCCGTCTGAATACGGAGTACTATGCACCTAATTAAGAAAGATATATACAGTCTAGTCACAGTTTGACAAAAAAAAAGCCGTTAGCGAATGTGTGTAAGCAGTTTAACAATTTCCCTCCCTTTCTTCCATGTTCAATTCGAACTTTCCAACCTTCAGTCGTCGCGAGTGAAAGACCGCATTGTGGGGCCTTGCCACTTATGCCGTCCGCGAACAATCCAGTCTCCACAGGCGAAGAGCATCACAAATCCAAGCACTGGCCCGGCGTAGTTCATGTTCTCTGCGGTCACTGGCAATGTTGCGGGGAAGGGAAGGAAGATAACGAAATAGGTGGCGAAGAGAATGGCAAGAATATTCAAGGGGAGGCCGAATTTGCCAAGGCTGAATGTTCCGCGTGGGATATCCTGAGGGGCTGCGAAGCGCTTGTATATAAGGAGCGAGAGAGGGATAAGATAGGAAATGTAGAGGCCGAGGGTGCTGAGTGAGAGAATGGCGTTGAAGGCAGCCGTGGAGCCGATCTGGATGAATGAGAGCGCGAAGATGCATGATGCAACTAGGAATAGAGCACGGAGGGGAACCTTGTAGGTTGGGTCGACGACGGCGAAGAAGTCGGAGAAGGGGAGTCCGTTGTCGCGAGCGAAGGCCCAGGTGAGACGGGTGACGGAGGCGAGGCCGTTGAAGAGCGCGATCCAGCCGGGGAGCATGCCCATGGCCATGAGGACGAAGGTGGCTGCCTTGGATCCGGTTGCTTGGTAGGCGATTGTGATGATGGGGTAGCCCGTTGGGCTCATGACGGCTTCGGTGTAGTCGCCCATGCAGTACATGATGGCGATTAGGTAGCCGAAGGTGAGGGTTCCGTTGATGATGGTGCCGTAGATCATGGAGCGGGGGACGACGATTTTGGCGTTTTTGACTTCTTCGGCCATGTGGATTACGCCGTCGACGCCTGTAGGGGTGGATTAGATTGTTCAAGATTCTGATAGTGGTGTGGGACGTACCAGCTAGGGGAGTAATGACACCAAGAAGACCGATGGAAAATGTAACTCCGGAATCTTTCCAGCCACTCAGGCCGCTGACAAAAGTGTCCCAGACAAATGAATCAGGGTTTCGGGGGGCGAGGATAACAAGGACTGCGATGGTGACGGGTAGGAAGACGACATGCATAATACCCGCAGCAACTTCAATGCCTCCCATAACGCGGCGCGCAAAGATATTGATGATAATCGGGATGATTGCAACTGCCCACATGAGCAGGGTGCCGCGCCACCTCACAAGTTCATACTCAGGGTTTGCCAGGACAACCAAGCCCTGGATTTGGGTTCCGATGAAGTATGGTGCGATGCAGACGAGAGCGGACCAGGAAAAGACGGTGATCCAACCTGAGATGTTCAGTATGCGACTACAAACGGAGGAAACTAGCAATGCATGCGCCTACCCTGGAAGAAGCTGAGGAATCGACGACCACGAGGCGCGAGGAAATAGCTCCAGTGATATTGAGCACCTGCAGTTGGGTGTCTGTCGGTCTCGAGGTCAGCGCTGTGTCACGTCGCAGTCAATTGGGTACATACAGAGAGGCAAGCTCGGCCAAAGAGCATGCAATAGCCAGATTACCCACGGTGCTTAGGATAATTCCATAAACAATCACTGCAGGACCGCCATTGTATAGTCCCGCGAGCAAACTACCACCGGCACCCTCCCATGTGGCCAGCAGACAAGCGGAAAATGCGAGTGACGAGAAGAAGTTGAGATATCGCTATTGAACGATTAGAGTCTGCGCAGGTCAATTGGACGCTGGGTAGTAGTTACTTCCAGCTGTTGTTTCTCGCGCAATGTAGAGCTCTCATAGCCCACTGGCATTGATTGCACAGCGCTCCCGCTCTTCATTTCCATCTCTTCATGCATCTTGAAAGGCGATTAACGACAGACAAGTCAGGAGAGAATAAACAGAAAATAGATCACTTGGCCTGCAGACGGCAAGAAGTACTTGGGGGCTTTTTTCGCCTTCATTTCCGTCATCCGAGACTAGACAGGGATATTGATTGCACAATGAATGCGAAACCAGTAGTCGACGCCCGAAATGCAAATTGTTTCGCCGAGTTGCCAGGGTTGTGTCTGCCGCGGCATAAACCCTTGTCGTGTGCATGGTGCTAACAAGAACATTGTGTTTAGTGCTGAATGAGGATTCTGCGGAGATTATCGGACCACTTTGCTGCATATTCAATTGGTAAAGCGCGGTCTGTGCACTTCATCGCTTGCTGCTAACGGTGTCTAGTCCAAGATCCCGTCGGTTTTAGTGGCTGATCGAGTTCTTCCAGGATTCACATCCCTGCGACACTTGGGATGCAATGGTACCACGCCAAAGCACCTCCTGCGCCAGTGTGTAGGGGTCGGATTTGAAGAAACAACAAGGTTTGGCATTTGCAAGAGAAAAGAACTTAGCATCAGCAATGTGATAAAAAAAGATGCTTATTATCTGCTGCTGCCCATCTCCAGTTCCGATAACTTCGAAATCGATGTCATGGTGCGATGGCCGACCAAACGTACGCCTTCCAGGCACTGTCCAGCGATAATCGTGGTGCTATAATCACCTTAACCTCGGTATCCCTTCTGATTGCGACCACAATCTTCGTGCTTGCCAAGCTCGGGTCGGTGCTTTACTTCAAGCAGCGACGGACGGCAGTCAACACTCCCATCTGGGTCGCTTTGGTTTTTGCAATCATTCAAGTCGTGGTCTTACAGAAGGCTGTTGACCATGGGTTGGGAAAGCACCAGGACCGGCTGAGCGAAAGCGAGATTCAAGCCGTGAGCAAGCTCGCCTTTGTCGCTCATATTGTGCTCATCGTTGTGTTGTCGCTTTCAAAAATATCGACCATCCTGCTGGTTTGGAAGTTGACGCCGAGTAGAACCCTCCGTCGCAGCTGTGTTATCACGGCTGGGATAGTTATCGCGTGGTCAATATTCGCAGTGTTTAGTATAGCTTTCCAGTGTGAACCGCCCAACCGGTGGCTATACTCCCCCGAGCGATGTGTTGGAGAAGTCAGTATACCACCCAGGAGACCGGACGATGATTGAGCACATCTAATTCCCAACAGGGAGCCCTCTTCTACCCGATCGCAGTCGTCAACATCCTCACCGAGATTATCATTGTTATCCAGCCGTTTATTATGATGCGAAATGTCCAAATGGCCCAGAACAAGCGAGTGAAGATCCTGTGCTCGTTTTTTGTGCGCATAAGGTATCGTAGAACTATCTCCAGGGCTTTTCCTTCCAATTACAAGGCTCAAGCAATCACTAACTAACCCCTCCCAGTATTGTCGGCCTCGGAATCGCCCACCTCGCCCTCATACCTTCATTTGTCCACTCAACCGATCTCTCTTGTCTGTGATACCCCAATTCCCCTCTAGCTCCCACCAAAAACCGTATTGGATTGATCTAACACGTATATAGGGGATATTGTCAATTGGGAAATAATTGGCCAGACAATGATGCTCACAACCATCATAATCGCCTGCGTTCCAACCCTCTACCACATCTTTGCCGGCCTACACTCCGGCCTGACCACAACCCAAATCCCCGACAGGATCGGGCTCGAGCTCCCACAGACCAAGATCAGCAGTTATATCAACCAATCCTCCTCGGAAGCAAGCCAGTCGCATTCGCGGTCGCGGTCACATGGACCTCCGAAGAAGAATGACCGGCCAATGTTTGATGGATGGGGAGGTGATACCGGGGTTGTGACTCAGGTGACATCAGGTCGGAAGTTGAATCAGAATGAGGATCGTAGAGAGTCTGGTTCGAGTGAGGGGGCTGAGAGTACGCGGCATTTGACGCAGGATATCCAAGGGAAGGGAGCCGTACTAAGGACCGTGGACGTTACAGTGGAGTTTGAACAGCAATCTCATCGGGATCAGCTTTGAGGGATATGTACAGCATGTTTTGTCGATCAGTGGGTCAGATCAGTGCCGATCATTCACTATGGGTCAGGGGTATGTCGATCAAAGACTTCCTATATTACTCTTAATAGATCCCTTTTTCTTAATGGCAATCTTTCGCCACTTTATTATCAGACCGGACTATCTACAGAGTACCTAGAGAGATAAATAACTACCATGTGAGGCCACTGTCTCATACTGGTGAGGTGATCTTGGACAGCGATGGTGGATAGTCATGCCACTTACGCATATCCAGATATCACTTCACTCGGCCCATAGGACCCAAGTTGATGTTCCCCCGACAGAAAGGGCAATGGTCAAGCTTGGCTGGGCAATGCCGGGATACAATTGGGTCGCAACGAAGCGATTCATACGGATGGCAGATGTGATTTCAACGGTGTTGTTTCTATTGATTCCGACTATCGAGCCACAGGACGCCCTCGCAACAGAAGGCGTCAAAGCCATTACGGCTCATGTGACGGAGTTTGCTGTATTAAAAACGGTCACTTGAAGCCATTGGCGATGAGAATGGAACCAGCTAGGTCAGCGAATGCGGGATATATGAGCAGGGGAATCCCTTGATGTACCCAAGTACATTACATCCATGTATCTATTGCTTTACCATAAACCTTTCATTACCGGGCCATAGACTCGATGCATAGAAAACTGGAAAATTCCATCACATTGAATGACTGCAACTAAATAGTTGGTATTAGGTTTTCTTCGCCTTAATGTATGATTTAATGAAAAACTGCACAAGCAGGAGAGTTTGGAGCTCGAGTCTGAGATGATAGACTAGGAGTTGCCGCTTGCAGAGTGGCCTGGAGACTAAAGTTCCCCTCAGTCAATACAGAGGAGAGAAATGACATACCTAGATTCATGGGCATTTGGTGCAGTTGGCAGAGACATTGATTATCAGCACCGTTATGTGCTCGGATTCCGTAGAATCGACATCATTCTGAGATCTAGACTCTCCACGGGCTATCGTCTATAGGTTAGAGAGGCAATTGAGTCTATATTTGATAGAATCTTCGGACTTACTTGTTCCCAGATTATATATCTTCACGAAGAAACTTGCCAACAGGGCAACTCCGGAACAAGCAGACAATACTGGCCAAACCATTCTCAACGCATCCGCATATGTTCGCTTGAATAGCTAGGTTTGTGCTGGTGTTTGGATCAGACAGCAGGCCAAGGCTGGCACCAAGCTAGGGAATGATGTTTCTCAAAATGATCGTTTTCATTATATGCTTCATGCTCAAGATCCCAATACCGGTCAGCCTTTCACAGGGAGAGAATTGTGGACAGAATCTCTCAGTTGATCGTAGCATGTTGCTCCTTTTGCACATTTAATGCTTTGCAATCGTCTTAATTATCGCTTACTAGGATCCGATACCATTGCAGTGGCCATGAGTGCTACCATTTTCCACCTTGTTCACAGCCCTGAGGTGCTAAACAAGCTCACCGAAGAGATTCGCTCTTCCTTCGACGACGAAACAGAGATATGCATGGGCACACAACTCAATTCATGCACCTTCCTACGCGCATGCATCAACGAATCTCTCCGTTTGTAACCATCGTTTGCAGATGTCCCAACGCGTCCGGTTTTGGCTGGCGATGTTGATGTTGATGGCCATCAATTTCCCGAGGGAGTCATAATTGGTACTCTCATCTACACAATCCACCATGATGCAAGGTATTACCCTCGGCCATTCAAATTCGATCCTGGCCGATGGCTTGAGACTGAGGACGGCGAGGACGCAGCCACGAAACAAGCTAGCATCAATGTCGCACAGGCAGCATTTTGTCCGTTCAGTATTGGGCCCAGGAAATGTGTCGCTAAGGATATGGCCTGGGTGGAGCTGTCTTTGATCATCGCCCGGACCTTATTCAAATATGATATGCAGCTCCCAGCAGATCATGCCATAACAGAGCCAAACTGCTGTAGTCCAGTTGAAAATGAGGCAGGAAAGAGTCCGGAGTATCAGCTGAAAGCCTGAATAGCTTCTGGGCGTGAAGGGCCTTCAATTCAGTTTCGGCACCGGAGGGACTCATGGCAGTAATCACATAGATGAATCGAATTCCTTTGGCGTTGCGGGAACCCATTTTCCTTCATTTCTTCAAATTCAACACTCCTACTTACCTGATGATGTTGCTCGTGCAAACAAAAGTGCGCCGTCGTGTCTTCGTTTGCCTTGATCGACCGCGAATGTCTTGATCATTCAAACAGAAACAACACTGCAAGGAATTGAGTCATCACTATGCAGTAAGCCGTCCGCTTCAAGTCGTTTGCATGAATCTGTCCCCATGTTATATTTATCTGGCCACAAGGGCCCGATATCTGATCCCCATCCATCTGCCTGAGCAATATCCAGAGTGAGCCACACACGGCACAAAAATGGCGAACAAGAATTATTCCTGCGTCGATTTTGACGGAAGTGACAATACACAAGCGATGGAAGTGATCGATGAATTTGACGACAGTGACGTCCTCGAAAGACTTGAAGACCTCGAGAAAAAAGTTAACGGTTTCATGCAACACAAAACAAACGAGCCTGAATATTCCTATGCCATCGCGAGAATCGAATGCCTCGAGCAAGTTGTCAATATCCTAATACGACGGGAATGTGCCCAGCCAGAGGATTCTTCCAACGACCGTGAGGCAGTTCTGAACATGTGGTCCAAATGCCCTTTCCCTCCAGAGGGACTTGAAAACGTCAGCACCATCCGCGAAGGAGATATCTGCGCTGATATCCGAGTCATCCTAGCGAAGGAGAAGACAGACAAGGAAACCGCCGACCGATGGAAATGGGTGCTCTTGGATCGATATTCTCTTACCTGGGGGGTTGATTGCGGAGGACACAATGACCTGAGCTCTGTCTCTCTGGAGATGATCCGGGTGTTTAATATCAGAGCTCGTGTTCTCTATGCCTGGGGGAATGGACAACACCTGGGAATCCTCGATGTCTGTGATCACTGGATTGGTTGTTGGAGGCGTGATAACACGACCTGCATCTCCCACGAGGCATTTTGCAAGCTCTGCAAGCTGTATTATGCCTGATTTCATGCTCTGTATCATTGTCTTGGGGCTCAACTTTGCGTGATAGCTACTTTGTGGAACCTCGCCTTTGATGCCTGATATTCGAAGATGCGATGGTAATGCTGAGCGATTTGCTCTAGGGATTAGCACTCATTTGTTTCAGTTATAATGATGTAGGGTATACTGGTGGCACGGCTAGCCGATCTAGTTAGTGATCTCAAGACTCGATGTTGAACTTGGACAACATGAGCTTCGTTAAGAGTACATGGACGCAAAATCGTGATTAATAGATAATTCAATTCAGAAACCCCAATGCTCGCGAGGGTTCAATATGTGGTATCATCTCGAAGGTCGTAAAAACAAAAATTCAAAAAAGCAAGTGGATGACGAACCGCATCCCAATAACTCCGAAATTCACCTCAAACGCAGGGCAGATGCTGAGTGATGCTTGACAGGCCAACTCTATCAGTCATCATCGTCGCCATAATCGTAGTCACTTTCGTAGTTGCCCGCAAATGCGTCGTCGACGCCATCATCCTTCTCATAGTCGTCGGAGTAATCACCCTCGTCATCATCTTCCTCTGGATATTGCTCTGCTTTGCCCACGGGACCATCCTCGACCACAGCTGGCTTTGCATCCTGAGTGGAATTTGGCATAGTGGAAGGTGGAGTAGGAAGTGGTGCAGTAGAAGTAGGACGTGCGAATTTGGCATCTGAAGGAGTTGCGCGCCGGGATCGTGACGCTACTTCTGGCTCGATACTGGCGCTGCGGCGCGAAACAACGCTTTGGCTGCGACTTTGGCTGCGGCTCATGCTTTGTGACTTTGCGTCTCCTGCTTCGCCGCCATACAGCGTGTCCAACAGACCATAGTTGATTTTCTTACTGTATCCTCGTCGTTCCAGCATGCGACGCGTCGCTTCAGCAGGTGTTGAGGCACGGGACTTGCCGCCTCCCTCGCCCTCGCCCTCCAGATATGTGACATCGCCAAGGCGACCACGGCGGCGCTTACGCGGTTTGCGAGGTGCACCCCCATCAGTGGACTCCTCCAGAGCTCGCTTCAAGGCCTTCGCTTGTTGGGTACGGAGGTACTCTTTGTTCTCGGTGACCCAAATTGATTCCTTAATCTCAACTTCGGCAGGTAAGAGCAGACAATTGGCGACTTCGGGATCATCTTCAAATTCCGCAGCATCGATTTCAGTACTGTCGGACACAACAGGACGGGGCGGTTGGTCGGAACCGACACTCTCGATCATGTTTGAGCCTTGAGCTAGCATAGATCGCATTTCATCCTCCAGCGCTGCTTCAGAAGCAACCTGCTCGGCAGAGGGCTCTGGTGTGGGTTGTCGTTTGCCTTTGCCCTTGGAATGAACTGGCTCATTTTGGACATCTTGAACGACTTGATCCACTGTCTTCGCAATCACTGATGCACGTCGACCATTGCCAGTTGCAGTCAAGGCCGGGTCGATGGGGAGATTGGGAATAGCGAAGCCGTCGGCATCCACACGATGCGGTTGAAGCGATTCTGTTTCGCTTTCGCTTGGGGATTCGCCGTCTTCAAGTTCCGCCGCGGTCTCAGGCAGCCTTTTGATACGTTTTTTCCGTTCTTCTCGAGCGCGAGTAAAGGATGGGGGATCATGAGTGTTTTCTAATTGAACGGAACGGAATTGATCGACGGTTAATTCACCACTCTCGGTTGAACCGAACTCGTTCAGACGCTGGCTGATAGTGGTTTCAGTGACTTTCACAATGTAGACGACCTCACGCACGGTTCGACGGAAGTTGTTCATGCGCGCGGCAAGGATCAATGCTGCACCGCAGAGACCAGCTGGGCGTCGACCGGTGGTCATCCAGTCGCGATTCATTCGCTGCACGATTCGAACTGCCTCGCCGGCCACGGCCATGAGAGATGGCCCGAATTCTAACTGCTTGGCGAAACGATAAATAAGACTTTCCGGGTCGATAGGGTTCATGAGAAAGACATTGCCACCGAGGCGAAGCTCGTCGAGAAGAGCCTTGTAAGTGCGACCGAGTTTGAATACGTTGATCATCAACACATCAGCGAAATCAATCAGCATGACTGTATTGCCATTTTGACGGCGGCATGCTATGTACAAGCAAACAGCAGCTACCGTTTTCGTGCGACGACCTTGGATGAAGTTCAATCCAACGGCAAGCTTGAAGACCTGACCAGCAGCCTTGGTTGCACTTTCCGGGATAGTCAATGCTCGAGAAAGTTGAAGCATGTAGCGGTTTCCAGTTTGTTCGGTCATTTCCCGGCTCTCCATGGCGCCGCCGCGCTGGAAACCTGGACCATAGCTGCGTACGTGAGTCTGATCTTCTCCGACAAAAGATCCCTGTACAACAGCTGCACCGGACGAGGATTCACCAAAAGTAACTTCAGACACAATGTTGTTTTCGCTGATGACTGTACCACAGCCCGAGCAGACTTTCACGCCGCCATCATCGACAATATGCGGGGCAGGGCATCCTGGGTTAGGGCAGTTAGAGGTTTTCGGGTGTGTTGTCGGACGGGGTGCTTGGGGACGTCCAATGGGTGTTGGACGATTGATAGGAGTTGAGCTGGGAGGCTTGAGACTGGCCAGTCGTCCCATAGGAGGCCGGGGCCCGCGGGGAGGAATCGGGCGCGCGCCGGATCTGGGAACCGACATTTTGATTGAAGCGAGAAGCACGAGGTTTCAGGGATGTCGTAGGTAGATGGGAGCACTCGGTTGAAGAACCGAGGTCCTCACAGCCTCAGCGTTTCTTGTATGAGGGTCGCGCACGGCTTTTCTTTTTTTTTGGTGGAGGTTATCAAGCGTCACGAAAGTCGCGCGATAAGGAACTCGAAGTGGGAAAAAAAAAGTATTTAACCTGCTTACGTAAGGCTGCTTTGCGGACCTCGGGAATAGAAAGCTCACAACAAAGAGCCTGAGAAATGATTGGTTGATGAGAGAGATTCAAATGAGAGGTCAATGCCTTGTTGAAACAATTGGATTTACTCCGTAACTCTTGGTCTATTGGTCCTGGTCTATGGAACTGACCTGTGCGATTGTATAGATCCCATTCGGATGCCACGTGACCTTAATTGACTCACGACACGCTAGCCCAAACAGGCATAGTACCCATTCCCTGTCCCAATTAGGACTAGTACCTTTCTTTGTCGCGCCTCAGTGCCTGAGGTTCCTGGATCATCCATGAGCACAGCATCATCAGACTCGAGAACACGTGGAGTGGTTGTCTTTATAATGTCTAACACGGGTATTCGACTTCATTCTTGATAGTTGACGCCAACACCAGCTGCGTACTGCATACTGGATCACAGGGGCCATGGCTGAAACGTCTGGAATGCGACATTTGTGCGTCGTTTGGAGGAATCGCGCACAAATGGCGCATCTTCGCCATGTTTCAACTTGTCCATCCACTTCTAGGATTTTCCTTTTGCCTCTTTCTTAATGCATCATGTTATGACATATCGAATCAAATACAGCTTCCGGCTTTCGTTTTAAGAGATAAACCAGTGCTGGTCGCTCTTACTTTCATTTTGATACCAGACCACTCCGTAAACATTGGATCCCAACAACTGTCTGTTTGGGACACTATTTGCCCCGGATCTTCTTCGTATCTACTTGTCTCGTTCCTGTGGAAAGAGCAATACCGAAATTCCCCGCGCCACAGATATTTCCGAAGCAATGTCCTCACCCAAAAACCAGATCCCTGATCTGGAGGCAGCCCGGACAAAGATTGATCTCCAAACCAGTCTCTTCTTTGTATCAAATGTGCATTGCGCGTCATGTGTGGCATATATCAACGAAGTGCTCTCCGAGACTCCCACCGTCAAAGATATCGAAGTCACAATCTTGACGCATGAAGTACGTGTCAGCCATGCCGCCACCATTCGGCCGGGCGACCTCGTCAGCGCGCTGATTCATGCAGCATTCGAGGTTCAATACGTCACGACCTTTGATAAACAAGGAAGCATCGTCTCGGAACTCGATACTTCTACTTGGAACCACCGCGGCTCCACGGTGTTCTCCTCGCCACGAACCTCTGTCTCTAGTATCTCATCCAACATCAAAGATCGACTCCAGACTAGCAGACAAAAAAGGCACATCGCCAATTGTGATGCGTGTAGAAAGGAAGAATTAGAAAGCTTTTCTCGCCCTTCTACCTCTTGGACGGAGCTGAGCTCATTGCCCGAGAAGTCTTCGCACGTTGCCTTTCAACCAGTAAGCAAGAATTATGAACATGCATTCAGCGTCGAGAAGCTTGGAACGACACTGGAGACTGCTGCGCAGGACAGTTTACGCTCATTCAATACCTGCGAAACGAAAGTCCAATCCAATGTGTCTGATCCAAAAATACCCACCGCCATAGCAGGACCCCCATTTCGTCCACTGAACCGGCCGATGAGTTCAATGCACAAGTCAGTATTGGAGGAATGAGTTGCGCGTCATGCGTCAACAGCATCACCGCACACATCCAGCAGCTTGAGTTCGTGAAGGACATTACCGTGAACCTTCTCACCCACAGTGCAACAGTGATATATACTGGGCCTCGCAAGAATGTGGACAACATTGTTGAGCAAATCAATGATATTGGATTTGAAGCATCTCTTGATGAGGTCAGTGCAGTCTTCAAGCCCCCAGTATCCATAGAGCCAGCAGCAAAATACGTGAGTGAGATTGCAATCACCGGCATGACCTGTGGTTCTTGTGTCGGAGGTGTGACCCGAGGGCTAGACGAGCTTCCCTTCGTACACGATGTATCTGTGAATCTGCTCTCTCATAGTGGGAGGGTGGAGTTTGAAGGCAGAGACAATCTCAACAGAATCATAGAGAGGATTGAGGACCTGGGATTCGAGGCTACTGTCAACAGCGTCTCTCCGGTGAAAGAAAGCTCAGAAAAGCTCCGTACTGCCTGCGCCAGAACGATCTCTATACGAGTGGATGGAATGTTTTGTCATCATTGCCCACGAAATGTTTTGGATGCAGTGAAATCGCTTCCTGGTATTTCCATCGAGGAAGAACTGTCCGAGAAGGACCCTGTCCTAAAAGTCAGTTACACACCACAGCCACCTTCAATCACAGTTCGCTCAATTATCTCGGTGATACATTCGGTAAACGACAACTTCCGTGCCACTGTTCACCATCCGCCGAGTCTTGAAGACCGGTCTCGTGCAATTCAGCATCATGAACGCCGCCGGCTGTTGGCAAGACTGCTATTTGTCTTTATCAGCGCCATTCCAACCTTTTTCATTGGCATTGTGTTCATGTCTCTTGTTTCGTCTGAAAACTCGGTGCGAATGTATCTGGAGGAACCGATGTGGTCTGGCAGTGTAACCCGCATTGAATGGGCTCTTTTCATAATGACAACTCCTGTTATGTTCTACGGTACCGATGTGTTTCATATCCGCGCCGTGAAGGAAATATATGCTCTATGGCGGCCTGGAAGTCGGGTGCCGATCCTTCGAAGATTCTACCGTTTTGGTAGCATGAACCTCTTGATCTCTGCCGGCACATCAGTTGCCTACATCTCATCTCTGGCGGTACTTATCGTTGATGCAACTGTCGGTACCAAATCAAGCCCCCACAGCACGACTTATTTCGACTCGGTCGTTTTCTTGACTCTTTTTATTCTTGCGGGTCGATTTTTGGAGGCATACAGCAAAGCTAGAACTGGTGATGCGGTCACATCTTTGGGCAAGCTTCGACCTTCCGAGGCATTATTAGACGACGACTCTGCCGAGGATGGAGTTGTGCGTACAAGCGTTGACCTCCTAGAAATTGGGGATGTCGTCAGCATTCCCCACGGAGCCTCGCCTCCTGCAGATGGAGTCATCGTCGACAGCGCCTCATACCAGTTTGATGAAAGCTCTCTGACGGGAGAATCACGACCAGTGAAGAAGACCATCGAAGACATAGTCTATACCGGCTCAGTGAACGTCGGCCAACCGGTAAGGATCCGTATCACCGAGCTTGGTGGCTCATCTATGCTTGATCAAATCATTGCCGTGGTCCGTGAGGGACAAAGCAAACGCGCACCTCTCGAAAGATTTGCCGATCTTCTCACTTCCCATTTTGTTCCCATCATCACTCTGATCGCTATTTCCACCTTCATCGTCTGGTTGGCTCTTGGTCATTCGGGTGTGCTCCCAGCAGAGTATCTCGATGTCGCACATGGTGGCTGGACGTTCTGGGCTTTAGAGTTTGCAATCTCAGTATTTGTAGTGGCTTGTCCCTGTGGTCTGGCCCTTGCAGCCCCTACCGCGCTGTTTGTTGGAGGCGGTCTCGCAGCGAAACATGGTATCCTAGTCAAAGGCGGCGGTGAAGCCTTTCAAGAAGCCAGTCGCTTGAATGCGATTGTCTTTGACAAGACGGGCACTTTGACTGAAGGTGGAAGCCTCAAGGTCTCTGAGCATGAAGTTTTGCTCAGTGACCCCGACGTTGCGAAAGTCGCATGGGCTCTGGCTCGAAAAATGGAAGAAAGTAGCAACCACCCAATTGCCCAGGCAATTACCGAATTCTGCAAATCTCAATTGTCTTCCTCTGTCAAGACCTCGGATATTCATGAGATCTCCGGACAGGGCATGAGAGGAACCTTTACTGTGTCCGGCTCTGAACACGATGAGCAATGGGAAGCTGCGATTGGCAACGAGCGCCTTCTGAACGGCCTTTTGTCTCCTGAAACAGACACCTACTTCGTTTCCAATTTGCTTTCGAAATACCAATCAGCAGGCAAGTCAACTGCAGTTCTCTCGCTTCGTCAAATACACCCTCAGTCTCTCGAATCATCGAAATTCTTACCAGCCATTGTCTTCGCCACCTCAGACACGATCCGCCCAGAAGCTGTCAATATAATCTCACAGCTTCAAAAGCGTCATGTCGATGTCTTCATGTGCACTGGTGATAACAAGACCACTGCTCATGCCGTCGCTGACATGGTGGGCATCCCCCGTTCCAAGGTAATGGCCAACGTCCTGCCAGCAGAGAAGGCCAACTTTGTTCGTCAGATACAAGGACATTCTTCGAATAAGACACTGGCTCATGATGGGAACACATCGAGTTCACGCTCATCACGTCCCATCGTTGCCTTCGTCGGCGACGGAGTGAACGATTCTCCTGCTCTGGCGGCGGCAGACGTTAGTATCGCCATGGCATCAGGCTCCGACGTCGCTATCAATTCTGCTAGCTTCATCCTCCTAAACTCAGACCTCAGCACGGTTCTTCAGCTAGTACTGCTTAGTCGCCGCGTGTTCAATCGTGTGCGTATGAATTTCGGCTGGGCAGTTGTCTATAACCTCTGTCTAGTTCCGGTCGCCGCTGGTATCTTGTTTCCTATTGTCAGTGGTCATCATCACAAATCTGTCGATGGACAAATGGTCCTGATCAATGAGCACTGGCGACTCAGTCCGGTGTGGGCTGCGTTGGCTATGGCATTGAGCAGTATCTCTGTTGTGATGAGTAGCCTGGCCTTGAGAATTGACCGAGAAAGCATTATGGGAATTTTCAGGAGGAATAGATAGCCACCATGTTTTTGTTTCATTTGATTTTTTGGCGTTATTTCAATATTCAATACATTCATATGAACTTTGTATCAAGTCTTTTTCCATAATAATGAGTCTTTTGACAGTAGACCTCTGTGAGATCAACTCGCCTCCCCCCAAATCTCTGCAATTCGCTTGCTCAGATCTTTGGCAACTTTTTTTCGCCCCACAGCATCTGACATTTGAGTCGCTACCATCGCCTCCCGGTCTTTTGGCTCCAGAGCCATGTACGCCTCCACCAAATGTCGTGGCGTGGGCCATATCTGTTGTATCTCTAGTGCTTTTTCGCCCGTCACCCCCCGGGTACACATGAGCATTTTCAAAAAGACATCACGAAGAGTCAGAACATCAGACTTCGATGTGAGTGCGCCGAAAGTTACGAATGAGACACCGTACGTGATGGTCGGGTCTTGAGAACGGAGGTTGTCGAGGATGGTGAGATAGGTATCAGCGGAAAGACGGCGGCCCGGAATGAGACCAATTTTGGATACTGGAGATGCAGGGACAGTGCTACGGTTGGGGTTGCTATCAGTATCTCCAGGCGAGGGTGAATCCTCGACCCCGTACATCTTCCGCAGGAGCAGAGTCATGCGCGCCAGATACCGGATTGACTCGTCCAGATGTTTCGTCTTTTTAACAAAGTATTCATTAAGGACTTGTGTCGAGGCAATGGCGGACGCAACCATCTCCTGATATTGTGAGGCATTTCCGCTAGTCGAGTCAGCGTGTGTGACTGCGAACTCCTCGATGAGGTAGATCACGTTCTTGATACCGGAACGACGGAGCCGGAACTTCTGTTCGTGGAAACGGCCATCTTTGATAGATCCAATGAGATCATCGAGACGCTTTCGCTCGACGATCCAATCTAGCATCACTTCGTCCCCTTCTTCGCCGCGGCTTGTGAGGAAATTGGGATCATGGCATTTAGCTACCCACATCGCATCGCCGACTTCCAGAGCGCGTACTTGTGGTGTAATTCCTTGTTTCATCAGTTCCCCGGAGATGTAATCGCGATCGGTTGAGGTGCGCACTTCGCGTGTGTCCAACACAAGCTGAATCGTAAAGCTTTTTGGTGGGAAAAAGATCGGTTCGATGTTGGCTATGTCTTGTTCGGTTAAATTATCTTGCGGTTCAGCAGATGGATCGTTATCTTGGAGATATGCAGAGTCGGCTGGTGTTGCTTCTTGTTGTGAATCAGTTGCTGCAGTGGCTTGGGGCCCAGACGTAGCATTTTGAGAAGCCCCAGGCAACGTCTTTTGAAGACGTTTCGCTACTTCCCAGCCTTCCTCAGACAGATGATATTTTCTGAGTGGGCGTCCATGCTCATAGACCAGATCTTTCTGGATGAGAGTTTTCATTGAATTCCAAGCGGTGTAAAACTTCGTGGGGTCTGGGGGTGCTGTGAACGAACTGTCGCAGTATGGCTGGGCCACTTCAATCAACTGCGCCTTCGTCATCCCCTGCGATGCATTCTCATTTTGAGTGCTCAACCCTAATATCAATGCATATGGACCGGATCGTAGGGTTGGTACATATGGTTTGACTTTCCGAGGCTTCTTCGCCGCCGGTTGATCAGTCCCACCTTCAGATGTTCTTTTGCCACCTGTTTAGCTTAAATGAGCAACTGCTTTTTTGATGTAGATCAATCGAGATCACAAACCTTTGTCAGGCGGTTCCGGCATTGGGAGTCCATTTTCTTGACAGTGAGCCTTGAGTTTATCAGTCAAGCGGTCACATAGTTTAGGACCTAGTCCGTTCAGTTGTTGTGCTTGCGATGGGTGCTGAAATTCCAATGGACAGGCTTTCATGGACTCATACGCCTTCTTGTACCTGAAAGAAGTCAGATATAGTAGCTTCACAAGGGCGCCAAGCAATACCTACACGGTCACGCCTTTACTGTTTCGGTCTCGGGCTTGGTCCAGCCATTCCTTGATCCACCCCAAGAGAAGGGGATTTGCACACTCCTCGCTCATCACAAACTGACTGCCTAGTGGCAAAGTGGCGCGTCTTTTGAGCAAATTATCTCCGAGTCCGGCCGGACGCGAAGTGATGTTACCTGTTTGGGAACGCGACTAGCACGTGCCGATAAGCACGATAAGAGGCTTGATTGCCGATAAGCAGAGATGGTCTGTTTAACCTGGAAGACTGCAACGTTATGTTCGTGGATTGTACAAAAAGCATGGTCTATTTCATTTACTGGAGAAGCTCTCTGTTAATAATCTGTAGTAGTGTTAGAATATGTAACTAAAGCGACGGAATCCGGGGCGCTTACATAGTTGATCAACATAATACCTAGGATCTGAGTACTCCGTACCTGTATCTTGCTATTTTCCTCATTTTTCCCTCTGAGACCTTCATAAGCTTCACGGTTCCTGTTGAAATGTAACGTAGTCCATGCAACTTCTATCTCATTGGGTGTCCTGGGGCGATTTCTTAGTGATTGCCACCGTTGCCCTGATTTGAAGGTGATGACGTCGACAATCCGCTCCCAAAGACAATAAAGCTTTCACCCCTGGATGGCGTTGTTCTCTGGAAAATTATGGTGTTGAACTTGCAATTGCAAGCTAAATCTCTCAAATTGACTTCCCTGTCAATTTCACCAGACATGATGGTAGTCCCATCTGCTTCAGCCGATGATGGCTCAAGCAAAGCCGACAACAATCCCACCGCGAACTCCGAACTCCCAGAGGGACCAACCGATAGCCATATCCTATCTCAAGTCGAGCAAGATGAAAAGGGTCTCTCACAAAAAGCAGGCAAGACCACAGAAATTACCAACCTCGGATGGGGTGAACCTCCGGACTCCATTGAGGAGTCTCTCGTGGCCGGGCTATCAAACGAAGATTTGTGGATGCTCATTAGGCGATTTGACAAGGTTTGCATTCGGCATATCAAAGCTATACGAGTGATTTGGACTGATCATGAAAAATTGCATTTCAGCAAGTCTATCGAGTCAAAGCAGTACCTAACGCTCCGCTACAAAGACTTGATCTCACGAGAACAGATGATGATGAATTCTCGCCGGATAAACTCCGAGCAACACTTGAACGCTTCTACATCAATGTTATTGTGGGCTTGACCAACTTCATCAAACATATTGCTCGGTTGCGGTCTTGGAAAGAGCCGCGACGAACCACTTCATTCTGCACAGCATGTCTTTATTCTGGAGGGGGATAATATGGATGATTACTGATTTGAGTACAGGTGTACTTTTTGTCGTGGCTCCTTGATCTACTCGTTCCAACTATGTTGGCCACTCTGATTGCCCTAGTGGTCTACCCACCATGTCGATCACGCATGTTTCCTCCAGCCCCAATTGCTCTTGTCAACAAAGATACAGGTGGTGTACAAAAGCCAAAAGCAGGCGTCCTCGGATCCCATGACAGCATAACTGGGGCCCCTGAAAAATTCAAGGGTGAGGCAGCTGAAAAAGAGGCCAGTAATCTGGTTACGAGTGTTGCTAGCGTTGCCGTGGGTAGCGCTGTTGGGAAGCATGATCCAGGGGTGCCTGATCATGCACCCTTCGAAAAGGATGTACCGGATGCGATGGATCTTGTTGCCAATACCGCCGATGCACAAAGCGCAGCCCATGGAGGAGTTCCGACAGATTCTCATGACAAAACCCGGCAGCCAATGAGGCAGAGCGTCATGGACGCTGCAAATTTTTCAATGCAGGTGGTGGGTGATATAACAGATACATATGAGAAGATATGCAAGTAAGTAGATAGCTTGTGTACTCCCCCATGGCCTGGACTCAAATTGATCTGATTTAGTGCTCTATCTGCAACGCCCCCGTTTCCTCGACTGAATCCCCGTTTGCGCCTGGCTGCCGTCTTAGCTCCAGCATGTCTGTTCTCAACCATGACATCTAGCTATGTCTTTATGAAGCTCAGTACACTCTTTATCGGCTTCGCTTTCTTCGGAGATCCTGTCATTAGACGAGGAATTGTATATCTCAACCGCCGGTTCCCGAAGTGGCAGAAGCTTATCGAGTTGCAAAAGTATACCTTCCAATCCATGCATGCACCCACAATATTGACCATAAGATAGTTCCATTCTCAAAGGTATCCCAACAAACGCGCAGCTTGCCGTTACACTTCTTCGCATCGGCGAGGCTAATGCGTCTCCACTCCCGCCCCCTCCAACCTCACAAGATAAAGCGCCTTCGAAGCCAGCCTCTTTGAACCAGGAGGAGCTGACTCTAGGTGCTACCGACGAGGAAATTAAACACGCCGCACTGGTTAAACCTGTTGACCATGAGCAGGACATTCAATCTCCACCAGAGAAGCCCCACAAAAGGACATTCGCTTCCAGCGTGGTGGGCTTCTTTCGAGGAACCACCGCAAGTGGCGTTGAGAGCAAAAGAGGCATCGACCGCTTACGAGCAGCAATTGGTTCACACCAAGCTAAGAACCGTGTCGGTGTGCTCCGCGACAAGGGACAGATGATAACGCCCATCGGCCCCGTGGCATTTGACGCTCGTTACAAAGGCAAACGTGGTACTGTGATCATTGACTCAACAAAGGAACCTCCATTGCTGTTCTTCACAACAGATATACCACAGAATGGAGAAATGGAGGTGGAGAATCGCAAGGATGGATCGGTTCTGTTCACCATGCCGGTGACTGAGATCCAGGAGATGAGAAAGCTAGGCGGTATGGGATGGAAGGGGAAGTTGGTTGTTGGTTGGGCTCTTGGTGATAAGGAGGTGGTTGATGGCTTGCTTATCACTGGCACGAAGCCTGGGCAGTCATACCATCTTACTGCCATGGGCACGAGGAACGAACTATTCAATCGGCTTATTGCGATCGACGGACAGGTTTGGGAAAACTGTTAAAACGAGTTCCAGGGTGCGTGCTAAGAAAATCCCAGGTTTGGAAATGAAATCCTTGTTTCGATCTTCGGCTCGGGAATCAAATGGAATATGTACAGTCGACCTGAGGCAGATAAGTTCCTTTGATGCGTCATGATCTATGAGAATAGTAATTATCACCACTGAAATCTCGAAGAAGAAGCTCTTCTGTACTGCGATAGAGTAAAGATCACCAGTGACAGGACACCGGAACAAGCCAATCAAGCTAAAACACTCCATCCTATGCACAAGAAGCAAGTTCCCATTAGTAGCTCGATCTCTCACGTAGGCATCCCGACTGATACTTACATCTTCCTGCTCTGCCTCCAAGATAACCTCCACCATTTTCCCAATTGCCACTTTGAGCTCTTCATGGGATAAACAGCCAGCATTGACTAGCTCAGTCAGCGCTTCTCCTACCCAATTCTGGCAATTCCAGTCTCGGTCGCGGTTGCTGTTGCGAACTGGTGTTCTAGCACATGCACCAACGATCATTGCCTTCGTGACAGAATCTGGCGCCGTAGAAACAGGGATCCAAGCTATTGGAGGCTCTGATATGGGGTCTTTGGAGTCTTTTTGGAATTCAAAGAACGGATGTGCGCCCACCACATGAAGCCAGTCGTATTCGTCTTCGGAGTAGAGGGCGTGCAACGCTGTGTGTCGGTATTCGGAGAAATCTACTGGCACGCCTTTGTACACAAGAAGGGAAATTTGTATTGGCATTTCTGGGATATTTATTCGAATAGACGATGGAGTTGTAGATGTGGAATCTAGGAGCTGGAGATTGGAAGTGGTTGTTCGCGTTGATGGAGATGGCCAAGAGGTTTGGTGGGGTGGTTTGTCCTGACAACTTAGTGTCGCTTGTCTGGTACCCGGTTTATATAGAGATGCCCATATATACGTTTTTATCTCTCTGTCGATTTTAAACTACCTGGACGAAATTTACTGATTTCGTGGATATCAAGCAAAAGAAGTTAACAGCAAATCTGTGCCGACAAAAGGTCTACAAAATGGCACATCAGCTCCGAAAAGTAGATTGAATTTGATTCATGGCTTTCTTTCTGATCGCGGTGGAATTACGTATAAACCTGTTTATTGGGTCAACGACTGCTTATAATCCCGCACGGTCTGCTCGAAAGACTCGTCGCGTTTGAAGCCTAGGGAGATGGCCTGCGTGTTATCAAATTGCGTCGGCCATGATTTCAAAATGGGAACCAGCGCAGAGTCCTCTTTCTCTGTCAGAAGAGCCAATTTATCCTTCCCTCCCACTGCTTCCAATGCATCCACCATACCCTGAACTGTGACGCAGATGCCAGGAACATTAATCTGGCGAATATGTGGCGGCACAGAGTCGGCCGGCAGACGGAGAGTGAGAAGAAGATTCTCCACAAGAGTCTTAGGTGAGCAGAGCCATGACTTGAACTGTCGGTCTTCAATTGGAATCACACATTCCTTGCCATCGAGTGGCTCCCGGATCATACCCGAGAGGAAGGACGAAGCCGCGGCAGTGGGCGCACCTGGGCGAACGGATATGGTAGGGAAGCGTAAAGTAAATCCAGTGATAAAATTGCGGCGAGTATATTCATTCACCAGTGTCTCGCACACGATCTTCTCGGCACCGTAGGATGACTCTGGAGTCGGGATAACGCTGTCGGTTACAATTTCTGGCAACGGTTGGCCATATACTGCTTGACTGGAGGAGTAGATGACTCGGACCCCCGGGCAGATATGTCGGAGCGCATCGAGAAGATTGCGAGTTGCATCGATGTTGACGCTCATGCCTAGGTCGAAGTTGGCTTCGGAGCCGGAGGACATGATGCCGTGGAAGGCATAGACGGCGTCCAAGGAAGAATCAACCACATCCTTTGCCCCTGTCAGCAAATCGGCCTTGATTGCGGTTGCATTTTGCGGATAGCCGACCCCCGCGGGAATCGGGGGCTCATTAATGTCGGTCAATGTGACGCGGTAGGCGGGATCATTCAATAGCTCCCTCGCAAGCAATTGGCCGATGAACCCGGCAGCGCCAGTAATGAGGATATGCATTTTTCTAGCTGAGAGAAGCGTTAACAGAATAACAGCAGAGTAGGGAGTAGGTTGTATTTCAACGTCAAGTTTACGCATTTCTCTCCGCATTCGCATCAAGTCCGAGGCGATCTCTGCCAGGTCCTCCGCACCGGACTTGGGCCGGCAGAGCACAAGTGGATCTGTCAAATCACCTCGGAGGGATCTCTTTCAAGGACCTTTTTCGTTTCAGTCCAATTGGATCGTTATATCTGCATTGATTGGCTGGATAGCCCGTCAGTGCGACTGTAGTCAAATGTACTCCGTACTCCGTAAGTATTCCTCGAGTATATTGTATATTGTGTGTTGATATCTGATATCAAATCAATCCAGGGACGCAGGAGAGGAAAGCTACAGATATTGAAAACCAGAATCGATGGAAAAAAATGCAGTAAAATGCACTAATAGCAAAGATTTCATACGAGGCTCCGGTGGCATATGGGGGTGTCGGAAAAGTCGAGTCCGCGGGGGTCAGACTCACGCTGTTTACTCCGTACTGTTTAGTCGCATTCACTCTTTGCTTCTCCTGCTATCCCCCATTGGCCGTTCTAATCTCCTTAAATTTCATTGTTCCCTTGGCGTATTTGGGCCATCTCAGGTCATCGCTGTGCTCCGATCTGAACCCCCACCCCCAACATTTCCCCCCTAACGCGCATGCCGGAGCATCACCGACCCCTCCCACCAGACTCATATCACATCATGGATACCACTGCTCCCCTGAAGCGGTCTCCGGATGCCGCTGGTCTGGAGTCGCCCCGACAAAACAAGACACGATCTGCTCCTAAAATCTCCAAAGCTCGTGCCTGTGAGTCTTCTCCGGGTTCCCCACATCATCCCCAATACCCCGTTAACGTGGAGTAGGCGCCGAATGCAAGCGCCACAAGATTCGCTGCGAGTTTCGACCAGGGGAGTCAACGTGTACAAAATGTATTCGCAGTGGCATCAAATGCGTCGTGAACGACTTTTCGCAGAAATTCGTCGATGATGATGGGATGTACGTGTGTTCTTCGTCCCGCCCCTGGTCATTGGTGAGCTTTGGGGGCCGTCAAGGCTGTACTAATCCAATCGCATTGATATAGATGGAAATCTCAAGCGAATGCGACGATAACCCAGCTGCAGGCGGCTGTGTCACATCTATTACGACAAGCAGGGCTTCCTGAGCTCTCAACATATGCTCCCGGGAACACTTTGAATGGCCCTAGTCTTGTCGCGTCATATCATGACCACCGAGCCTCAATCGATCGGGCGCAGACACAAAGCACTCATCAAGAGGGCCCAGGAGTTGTGATGGATGTCACCCGGGAGCCGTCGCCCGACCAGGATCTCCAAGATCCAGAACTGGTCCCTGCCCCTATGCGCAGTCTATATGAGGTCACTAAATTACGGAACCTCAGGAACAACCATACCGAGGCTCCCAAACAGACATTGCTAGAAGAAGATTTTATCTCGCGAGGTTTGATCCCGCTCCAAGAAGCGGAGGAATTATTCGCATACTTCAGTCGTACCATGAACCAGCTACTGTGGGGTGGAATAATTCTTGTACACCGCGATCTAACATCTGTCCGTCGCGCATCGACGATACTCTCTGCTGCCGTTCTGACTGTCGCAGCGCTCCATATCCCCAATCGCACCGAAACATTGAACCGGTGCTACAACGAGTATGTATCTCTCGTGTCTAACATGGCCCTCACGCGGGCTCACACTCTTGACGACATCCGGGGCCTCTGTGTCGGAGCATTCTGGCTCTCAGAGTTGAGCTGGAAATTGTCCGGACATGCCGTGCGAATCGCGACCGAGATGGGCCTCCATCAAAGCTACCAGCGCTTGATTCGTGGACACACCGATCAGTATAAACGGGCCCAACTCTGGTATTTGCTCTATGTGTGCGACCATCACTTCAGTATTGCTTATGGACGGCCACCTGTCATCCACGAGGATGTGGCAATCCGCAACTATGAGACATTTCTCGCGTTGTCAATGGTCGTTCCGGGCGACATTCGACTTTTAGCCCAAGTCGCCCTATTTATGATTTTGACCGAGGCATACCGCATGTTCAGTAGCGACACTGAACAGGCATTGACCGAAGAGGACTTCGGACAATTACGCGTGTTTAATGTCGCAATAGACCAATGGCGACTTCTCTGGCAACCTCGGTCTGGTGAGTGATGTTTGAATCCTATTTGCAGCAACTCCCGGGCCTGACGTACCTTGGAATGTATCACAGCCGATAGTGCCTATGTGCGAACGTACCCATCTAAAGGAGTGGTTCTGCACTATCACTTTGCAAAGTTCCAGCTGAACTCGCTTTCCCTTCGTGCGCTTTCTCCAACTAACGCGCCCGTTTTCTCCATGGACCGCAAAGAATCGGCCAACATCGCAATTTCCTCAGCGATGGCATGTCTTAACATGGTCCTTGAGGAGCCCGATGTTCGGGATGCGATCGTCGGAGTTCCTATCTTCACCCACACTATGGTTACATTCTCCGCTGTCTTCCTCCTCAAGGTGGCCATCAACTGGAACACGGCCTATCTGAGCATCAACGCACGCCAAGTACGACGGCTAGTCGAACGTGTAATCGAATTGATGAACTGTGTCTCTGCAGGCGATCGACATCTCACTAGACACATCGCACGTGGATTAGGCAAGATGCTTGAGCGCTTTGACTCATGGGAGGCTGCTTGGCAATTCCGAGGGAGCACCGAAAACACAGTTGAAGGCCGTGAGGTCCCTGGGGGAGCCAATGCCATGGCACAGGGATTCCCTCCGCCAGATCTGATTTATGGCATGGTCGGCACATATGGATTTGGTCTTGATGAAAACCTGCTAGATCCAAGTATGGCTGATTTTGACTTCCTGTCGCAGTGATACTCAAGGCCCTGAACGGGACTTGAACCAAAACCACCAAAATATTCAGGGGATCAAAAACACCGAGACACAAGTACCACATCCGATGGACATGAAATCATGGAATGTAAATAGCAAGGGTTTCCCACCGTGGTACACGCACCCTGCTCTCTCCTACCACGCACCGGAGTGTCAGCTCCCGTGGACCTCGACGTTGACCCTAAAAGTCTGGTCACTCGCATGTCGTCACCGTCACCTCTGCTTATGCTCTCCCTTGGGTTCCCCCCTTCTTCTCTTACAGCTACGCAGTCTACTCTCTCCCCTATATAACTCTCGTCCTTCCCCCCACAGGACTTTTGCCAATTCCAATATTTCTCTCTTACCCATAATTCCATCTCTTCCTACTCTTTATACTTAGTCTCAATCCATATTCCGCCTCCTTTTTTTTTAAGTATGACGACTCGCAAGAGAAAGCAAGAGACTGAGGAGGAGCTCCAGGCTCTTCCTAGCGATGAAAGCGAAGAGGAGGAGGAGTGAGTCGTTCTATCTGCCAATCTCACCCTTTCTTCCTATCCTTGCGCCAACACCCTGCGCATCGTTGCATCACGTTTCTACTCATTTCTATTGGTCGCGCAATTGTCGCAACGCCATCGCAATACCCACCCCGGACGGAACTATGCCGCGCGCAAATCTTTAATACTCATTGGTCCCTTGCTAACCTAGTCGCGCGATGGATTAGGTATGAAGACTCCGAACCCGAAGTAGAGGAAGGGAGCGACGAGGGTGAACAGGAAGAAGTCGAGGGAGAGTCGGAGTCGGATGAAGACGAGGAGGACGAAGAAGAAAAAGAAAAAGAAACTAAAGATAAAGGTATGTTTTCCCCGTTGATGCTACGTTCTGCCCATTTCCGAATTCGTCCGTATTCTGACACAACACCCCCCATCTCTAGGTCCTCCAGCCAAGAAACAAAAGACCGAACCCGTTGTTGTCGATGATGATGAGGGTGTCGAGGTCGTGGAGAATGGTGCAAATGGTGAAAAGAAGGAGGAGGAAGAGGAGGAGCCTGTTGTAGAGGAGGCCGAGGAAGAGGATGTTGGTGACACTGCTGAGAAGAGTGGTCCTGCTGCAGCTGCCGCTGAGGAAAAGGCCGGTGTTATTCCCAAAGAGTCGGACTTGCCTGAGGTTGAGGAGGCTGAGAAGGGGGAGTGAGTGTGCGATTGAGCGTATACTTCGACAGACATCTTGTCTCTGAAGTAAAATGAGAATCGCCTTTGGCTAAATGGCTGGATTGATTCGCTATTATAGCCTCTCGGAAAATGTACGATGTCTTCAATACAAGTGTTGCAGCCTTAGATGTGCTGGGTTTTTACTTGATAATAAGTAAGCGCTTGTCGATGTAGAAGTAACCAATCCACGCCATGCTCTGAGGACTTGGGAGATGACGTGCATATAAATTGTCGTGTATCATACCTGACTGGCTGGGTCTTCTGCTTCTCTCCACTCCAGTGGGCTCCAATGCAGGTCCTAAATTGGATTGGTGCTGGGCAGTGATTGGACTAACCATTGAGTCCAAATCGGATACCTCCTATACCTGAGCACCCTGGTCGGCTCACTGAGCATGAGCTGGGCGTATGAGCGACCGAGTAAGCTATATCAATAAAATCCAACGCGCGAGTTACATCACTTGTGGGCTTTTCTCTAATCATCTTTGCTGCACCAGCAAAAAAAAAGATTAGCGTCGTCAATACGACCGTTCGCTCTAGGTCTGTCGCTCTCGCCTCCAGATTTACTCCCAGTAGACTGCCCTATCAGGCTTTGAACCTCAGGCTGGGCGATGGTCAGGGGGCAATTTACTTGACAGCTCTACAATATTGCCCTATAATGGAACAAGTTGACGCGATTCATACTCAGGAGTCGTAATGTCCGACAGTAAATTGGTGCTGATTTGTCGGAAAGGTCCAAATGCAAACCCCGCACATGTCCACCTGGTTCATTCTTCTTCCTCATGAGCTGGTACTTCTTCTTCAACTAAGACCTGGAAAGATCTGACCACCTGCTAAAACGATGCCCTTCAAGATCAACACTACTACCCTCCTCTACATCGTGGTTGTGGTGGTAAGACATTGAGAATCCAGCCGATGAACTCCGCTAACAACCTTCGCCATCTAGGGAGGGGCCATCTCCTTGATCCTAGGAGCGTGAGTTTTCGTGTTTTTCATCACATCTCTAACTAGTCTATATTCAAAGAAACAGTGGCTAACAGCCCTCTCACGGAACAGGATGTCTTGGGCTCGCACTGCCGCACAGCTTCTTCCTTTACCGATATGGGTTCCAGCCATCGCTACACTCATATCCCCAATCACAATACTCACACTGATAGCCACGCGAGTCCTTTTCCCACGGTCAAGCAATGAGACATCTCGCAACCGTCGATGGACCACAATATCCGGTATACTGAATCACATCCAAACCATCATATCGACCATCGTGGCCACAGTAGCACTTGCATATCTCTTCCCCGATAGGATTCTCTCATGCAACCTAGATCAACAATGGCAGGCGTTCTTCCAGTCGAAGAATTCCCACGCTATCCGCTCAATCCAAGATGAGTTCCGATGCTGTGGTCTGAGAAGTCTTCACGACAGGGCATGGCCTTTCAAGGACCGGAACCACGGAGACAACGCGTGTGAGTTGCAGCTGGGATATCAGAGGAGTTGTTTCGCTCCTTGGAGGGAGCACCAGCAGAATACGTCTTGGATGGTTTTTGCGGCGGCTATTTTGGTTTTTGTGGCCAAGGTGAGTTTTTCCACACTGGAGTGTATGGTGCCGTGGCTGATATCCTGCAATTTTGCACAGATCGCTTTCTTTCAGCTTTCCAGCCGTCAAACGAGTTGGATGAGCACGCAATCTACAAGCGGGAGGCCTGATTATCAGCGAATCTCACCCCCGGGTGTGCAGGACGAAGGAGATAATGAGGACGATGTGCCCAGGGATGCGCGGAGGACATTCTTACCCCAGTCGAACGTTGGGTATAGAAACGACTGGGAGGTGGAGTAAGTTCGAGAAAAGATCTGGCCCAGTCAAGGAGGGGAAAGCGAAGCCTTGACCTACCTCCAGATTGAGAGAAAAGGAGGTTCAACAGTAGCTGGAAAACTCAGGCCGATGGGACGCGGAAATGGGACGTGGAAAAGCTGGAAAATGACCCTGTGTATTACTTCAGTGCGGTCGAGCCGGAATAGGAAGCCGAGGTTGATTGGATTTGGGTGCAGGAAAAGAAGAATCGGTTCGAAGAAGATGCCGAAGGAAAATATTGATATGGGTGGTTCAGTCTAAGGGCCCACAGTAACAGAATAGGATCATTCTACAGTTCCGCTAACTACATGCACTCATCTATAAGCACTCAGAGATAAGTAGAGGTATAGGCACGGTTTAATTCTTTGTTCGGGGCTTATCCTAATGGGGCCTAGCTGTAACTAATAGTAGCATGTCAGTGGATGTTAATTTACCGCTTTTCTAAATTGAGTATAGTCTATACTCGTTTTGGGTACGAGCCGAGAAACAAAGTATGTGTGCCTGAGGAGTAGACTGCGTTCGAATTCGACTGTAGAACTACCCGGCGCTTTGCCTACCATCGCTCCTCGATAGACCCCCCTAAAAGGACTCGGTCCGTACAAGGCCTGACAGGCAACGATACAATTGACAGACAGATCGTTGATGTGATATGTATATGCGTGTAAGTGAAATACCTAATAACAATCGAGTGACAAGAGAAAAAAGAAGAGAGAAATTAAAAAAGGCTGTCATCAATCCAGGATGGTCATTAGCCCCTGCCTGCGCCCCCGCTTTCTATCTTGGTATCCAGGGAAGACATAAAATACGATGGCATCACAAAGGCGGCCCTGCCTTCCAGCTTAGCTTATGCTTGATCTTCAACACATTCAAGTATCGCTGCCGCTGCTGCGGAAAGTGGCACATAGTTGGCAGTATTGGTGCGTGAGATCGAGAACGGGCTGGGGCAAGTTTGTAGCTTGAACAATGCTGCGAACCTTGACAGCACCTTCATCCTCGATCAATTTACGAACTAAGAACAAGAGCTCCGGGGAGAACTTGGATTTGGTTAGTTGCATAGTCCACACATAGAGTAGGAAATAAAGCATACCTCGGAATACCAGCGATATTGCCAGGCGATCAGACGGATCAACGCGCCGAGCATGCCTCTGGTATCGTTTCGCTGTTCGTATAACTTCAAGACCCCACGCATAGCCTTGGGCGAGAAGCGAGTGGCTAGACAGCTCTGATAGGCCTCAATGCTCTCATCGAAATGGTGCAAACGCTCCGCGAGTTCACCAAGAATCTCCCACTCGGTGGCGGACTTTTTGTATTCCATAGCTTGTTGGCGGAACTGAGCCATCTCGGTCCGCCAGATGGTGTAAATGCGAAGGTCCTCATACAACACCATAAACAAGTTATCTAGCCATCTTTCACAAAGTCGCTTGTTACGGAACTGCGTGTAAGATGCGTGAGAGGGATCAGGCTATGGGGCAAACGGTTAGTATCTCCATCGATTACATTTTCAGTGGGCATGCGACATACAACTTCATTGCCAGACTTGACAACCTCAGAGGCAACCGTTTGCTCTGGTCGCTCGAGGGGGCTCTGGGCATGGCTGTCTCCGATATCGCCATTGGGGGTTTCTTCTGAAGACGGCTCGGTGGATTCAGGGCCAGCCACAGACTCAGAGTCTTCCTCGCTGTCGGGGCTTGCTCCGTTGGTTTCCGCTCTCATAGAATGTGCGGGCTTAGGAACATGCTGCCGCTCAACACGGTATTCTTCTTCCATCACAAAAACTTCGCTGCGAGCCTTGAGGAGTTGATCCCATCCAATGGCAGCAGCAATTTTTGTCAGAAGATTATAGGCCTTCAAAAAGGTGCCTTGGTAACTAGCAGCATGAATTTTTCGAAGCGAAGGGTGAACATAATCGTGAGGATCTCCCTGCTTTGGCTGGCCTTCGTCGATCTCATCAAGAATGCTTTCAGAAAGGATGGGGAGCATAATGCGTGATGGTTGTGGCATGCGAGGGGTATCTTTATCTTGATAGGTGAACATAGGGCAAGAGTTGAGAGTCAGGAGCGCCAAGTCCCAGCGTTCCATACCGACATATACCTCTGCCAGGCGGGCCCATGTACTGAATTCGCTAGGAGCAGCAGTAACTGCTCGCTTAGCGCACTCAAGTGCCATCTCGCTTTCGCCCTTGCTCTGACAAAAGCTAGCCTGACAATCGAGTAGAGCATAGTCCATCGGAACATCTTGTAAAGCGTCATACATGAGGCGTACTGCTTGCACCTCCTCATCTGCCATAATTTGTACACGAGCCAGAAGGGACGAGACTTCCACATCCCTTGTACGGAGCTTCTCGAACAGATTGATTCCAGATGTGTAGCGCCCGGTGGTGTGGATATATTTTAGGATGCCCGATGTGAGGTGGTTGCTCACAGTGTTGGGGACTTGAGTTTCGGGATCGGAGCTGAGTTGACGTCCTGTAAATTTGTTAGCCAGATAAACGAGACAGATAAGTTGGGAGCCATGCCTAAAAAGAATAGCTTCTCGGCAGCATCCAAAAACTTGTGCTCCATTTCTGTATTTGTCACAGGATTGAATCGTCTAACCCCAACGATCCTTTTGACGGAATCTCCGCTTCCATCGTCCGCATAAAGATAAGCCCTCAATACGGCGCAAAGGAACGTCTCAAGCCAGAGAGCTTCAGTGGCCACTCGCTTATCACCCCGCTCATCAATGCAATAGCTCTCCAAGCTTCCGGGGATTTTGACTTCAACGCGCATATCGAGATGAGAGAAAGCATTGTAGCAACTGCATAGGTATCAGCACATGAATAACCACTATACCAAAAAGAAAGGGTTCTGACCAGTAGATGCCCGATACCACTTTATGTGTCTTGTCGAGGGGAGAGAATGTGAGGGTGTTGACGTAGGCGGCTAAGCTGGCGGATGAGGAGGCATCGATTCCGGTGACATGGTGATAAACACCGGTCTGCGATAGATGTGGTCAATCGATTGTCCACATACGAGCGAGTCGCTCAAAAACTGTATACGTACCTGGCGAGTCGAATTGGCCTTTGGTTGCTTAACCAAATAGACCAGGTCTGGAGGGCCTAGTTCTCGCAAGTTCTGCAGGGATTCTGTGCGCGCATCAACCGCAACATAAATATCCTCCTCCTCGTGGATCCTAGATGATGGTCGCGACGTTAGTCACAAAGCCCGGAATTTTCGCAATGGCAACTGTCGGTGATCTCGAACAATGGCCATGCATACGCAACCCGGGGAACACGTAAACGGGGAACAGGAACGACATACTCAGGAACAGCGGGCGCGACCATGACACCTGCAGAAGCGCGGGGCAAGCAAAGATGGGAATAATTTGAATAAAAGAATTCTACGTCAATCGCAAGACGTTCAGGGGTTGCGACGAGGGGAAAGCGAAGAGTAATCTTAGAATACTCCAACTGTACTCCCCAAGGAAAGGGCTTCAGGCCACAAGGCGCCCAGGCACCCAGGCCCCACACACTTTCCCCGATCGGTGCAACGCGTGATAACGTGTCCGCGATAACCAATTGATTCTACTGATTTGCCCATTGTTGCCCGCATCTAGGGTTTGGCATCTAGATGCTGTCGCCTGATTCCACCCTTTTATTTGATATCTGAGGGACCCGCGTGGAGCTCACACAATGTCGAGCTGGGTCGCATTGAACGTGGAGCCTGATGAGGCTGTCGAAGAGGAGGTTGACGACACCAAGGAGCTTCAAATCGAGGAAGCTCTGAAGTTGTACCACAGTGCTTTGAAGTTACATTCACAAGGACCAGAGCACTATGCGCAAGCTGCAGATGCCTATGAAGCCCTTCTCAATTCGGAAATCTTCAAATACCCAGAGTCTATCTCCGATTTCCAAAGGAGTGCATTCGATGATGTGCAGGCCCAAGGGATCTCTGATGAAGTTGCTACAGAATCTATCGCCGAATACAACGTGAATGACTCAACCTCCAGTCTATTCCAGGTGCTCTATCTGTCCTACAAAAACCACGGCAAATTCGTCCTTGACTCAGTACAAGACTCCATCCGAACAACACCACAGACCCCCGAGTCCGAGCAAGAGAAACAAAAGAGATTGATGGAGGCATCCAGGACAGCTCTAAAATCTTTTGGGGATGCGTTGGAACGAGATGACTCGGATCTCAACCTCTGGAGGCAAAGCGCCAGACTCAGCAGTGCCTTGAACAGCTATCGTTTGTCTCGGTATTGCTTGGAGAGTGTGCTAGCGGATGATGATAATCGCTTGGAACTACGGTCAGAGCAACTCGGTTTAGAGGAAATATTTGCGGAGCAGCGTCTACGCAGCACGCTACAGTCTCTCTTTGACAAATTATCCACGTCCCAAATTCCTACCAAGAGACCCAAAAAAGCTCTTTTGAAATACCTAAAACAGCATGAAGACCCATATCCCAACCTGCGCGCCCTCCCAACTGATTTGCGCCACCTGGACCTATCCAAGGGTCCTCTTGCCATATGTACCTCCCGTCGAGAGATAACCCCGGCCGATCCAACCTGGCAGTCACTCGGCAAGGCGCTTCTTCAGGCACTTGACAATGAAGATGATGCCTCTCTTACTGATGTTCCCACTCAGGCTATTGGTATTATTCTACCAGCAAGGGGTTCCCAAGCTCCAACCACGCCGACCCCCCAGGAGGAGGAGGACACTATAACTGGCGTAGATACAGAGGAAGGGGAAAACAAGGGCAATGACGAGGGCGATGATGCGGAAATGCTTGATACAGCGGAGACTGATGCTCAACCAGATCAAGATGCAGTGGAACCAACGAAAGAGCCGTCTGATTCAGTCGAGCAACACTCATCCATCGATCAAAGTGCCGAAAAGCAATTGATGGAGTCACTCGAACGTCAATCGACCCAGCCACAGGACCAATCGGCCGAACAAGATGATTTACATGCAGAGGAAGCTGATCCAAACTCTGCAGTGGACGTTCGAAAGAGATCGTCTGCGTCGGCTGCGAACGAAGAGCCGGAAGGGGGGCGCATGAAAAGTAGACGGACCCGAGCTCGGGAGTCAAATGCTGATGCTTTGGCACCGCTTGAAGAGATTGCATTTGATCAAGAAAAGTACTACGAAGACCGTCTCGAGGTTTTTGTCAATGCCGACGATTGGATGTTCAGCACCATTGACTCTTTGTTTTCAAAGGTTGGCATCGATGCACTCGGTAGCATAGAAAGTCTGAGAGGAAAGTGCCCTCCCAACGATTCTGATAGCATATCCCAAGATCTTGAAACGCGATTGGTTCAAGACTTCAGAGGTCTTATCAAGACATGGGATGACGAAAAGTCTCGATTGATGCAACAAAAAGATGAAATATCTCCGCTCAAAGACATTCGTGGCACAAGCAAGTCAGGATTGGCCGTTTTCCTTGAGCACTCTAGGAAAGGGACCCGGAAGCCAGTTGTCGCAGAAGAACTGCCTTCTGGAGAGCAACTCTATAACTTTTCTAATTCCATCAACTCTGGCTGGCTACATCCCCATGAGACTTCGTTTGAATGGATCAAATGTCTTCTCATGCCAAACTTTGGTGAAGAGTGTCCAAATTGGTCTACCGCAAAGTCTACTTACTCTTGTTACCTGTGGCCAAAAGACCTCAAGGACACAGTTGTAGGACTCTTGCTTCGGGAAGATGAGTTCATCTATCGGTCATGCAATTCATTGATTGCAGATCTTGAAGAACGCATTCTTGGCTCGACCAATGAAACGCCCTTTGAATATAAAGCAACAGACTTCTTTGAACTTGAGATGATACAAACCATCTACGAGCTTCATTTGGATATATTTGCTTCCGTTGAGGGTCTTGGCAGTGAGACGGCCCAAGAGACAAGACTTGCACAGCGTGATCGTTTAGCCCGCTGGGGCATGCTGGCCCGGTCATCCATAGATCATTTTGTCGACCACGGTCCATCCGGTGAATGCCAATCCAGCCTCACTCTTCGCCATTTGTGGGTTTCAGCATTTCATATCAATCTTGCTGGGGACGCACAGCGAGAACATGTCCTGCTCTGTCTTCAAGACCTGAAGCAAATTCTTCAGTCGTTTGGCGATCCAAGTGTCAATCTCGTCAACAACAGTATCATGTCAGAATTATCTGCTGCTGTGATAGACCAAGAAGTTCTGAAGCTTAAATGCATGGACTTCTTCGCTAAAGTATTCAACTCGGACTCCGAGGATCCTGTCACTCTGATTGAAGCCATTGAGCCAATCCTTGAACCCTTGTCAATCGAGTACGCTGAAATGCCAACGGAGAATGACATGAACCACCCTGCATCGCATCTCAGTGAAATGGCTGCCTTCCTCGACCGGGGAGATGCTACATTGCGACTATTTCTGTGGCGCAGACTACAAGAGGCATACCAAGCCATTGACTACCCCCCAAGGTTGTTTCTTGCTATTTGCGCAGCATCGAAGTGGTGATGGCAGAACTCGAGGCACTGAAACACGCCGAAGAAACAAGTCAGCATCGTCAACTCGCTCTATTGGCCTCGCTCAAGGCCCTTGACGGCATAATGGCCAAAGCTATACCACTGATTCTTGAAGAGTCAGACCAAGCATTTGAGTGCTTGGATATGGAGCATTTGCAAACCTCAATGTCTGCTATAGCCCGCCTCACCAGGCTTTTGCACAGCTTTATCCTTTACGAAGACTCGGTGCGGGTAGGCCAAATTTCCGGTCGCGATTTCCGAGGTTCATTGGCAAAATCGCTGGAAAACTTGAAAGATAGAATGCGAGAGCTTTATGTCCGCTGCTGGATTATGCAATACTATCTTTTCATGGAAGCAATTGCCCAGAACAAGGAGCTATTTGATGACCCACTTGAAGATCGTATCCATTTTCTTCGTTCCGTTCACAATGCACTAGGCGTTCGATCAATGTGCAGATACTCGCAAAAGAAGTTCCTAAAGCTTCTGAAAGCGGAGCTATTTGGCCTCGAAACTAAGGGAGATTATGAATTTGATGTGTGTCAGATACTTCTCGATCTCCATGGCATCAAATTCTCTCCATTTGACGGGACTGTGGATCATGGATGTCCTTCTGAGAAGCTAGATCGTCCTACGGCCATTATGATGATTGACTTTGTGCTCCAACAGGCAAACAAGATGAATATGAAGGATCTTTCCAAGTCAGAATTGAAGACTACTATTGAGAAGATGCAGCAAGCAATTGGTCCCGCTAAGGCTTCATCGCAAACACCTCAGCTGACCTTCAATCGTCGCCTCGTGAATGCGTATCTTAAGGCTGCGCTTAACCCATCCAATCTTCTCCGTGCCGTTCAGGGCATCACAGAGCTTTCGACGACAGTAGTTCCCACCGAGAATGCGAAGATAGCAGCGAAAGGCTGGTTCTTCCTCCTCGGCCATGCTGCACTCACCAAATTCCGATCTCAAAAGCGCCTTAGTCCCGGTTCAACGGGTGAGCTTGATGACGCTATTGGGTTCTTCAGACAAGATTTGGATCACGGTACAGGCAGATGGGAAACTTGGTATAGGCTAGCCCAGACCTACGATTCGAAGTTGGACGAAGATATCACATGGACAGCTGATAAAATCAATAACAACCGCTCGGAATTGGCAGCACTGCAGCGAAATGCAATCCATTGTTATGCAATGGCTGTTTCGACGGCAATCAGAACTGCAGAACCAACAGCAGAGACCAGCGCAGTAATGTCAGATCTCTACTCTGACTTTGGTATTCGCTTATACTCATCCTCTCGCGAACCGCTTTCCATGGGAGCTTTCAGTGTTGCAGACTTCCCTCGCCATTTCAGCAGTGAGGAGAGCCAGCAAATGTACAAGGGAACACCCTTCAAGGAGATGTCGGTGTATTCAACGTGGAACTTTGCTAGCAACCTTCTCAAACGGGCAGCTGTCGACAAGTCCAAGCGATGGATGTAAGTGGTTTCAATGAGATTGAGATACCTTAACAGACATTAGATAGAGCATTGTGTTAACACATGAACAGGACCCATTACACACTCGGCAAGTGTCTCTGGAAGATGTTCACCAGTGACGACTCCTTAAGGACGAGTTCTAAGAAGGTTGAGATGCACGAGGTGATAAATGCTCTTCTTGATGCGATTACTGCCCTTCCCCAACGGAAGGATTCACGCTCCGATCCAATCTTTGAACCCCATTTCAAACTCTTTTCTATTGTCCACAAGCTTGTACTCCGAGGGCACATGACAGTAAGTTAAGTTTCATCTGCTTTGTTGCATTCTATCTGACAGCGATATCAGCCTGCTGAAGGTAGTAAGACCCTCCTTGCGACTCCATGGGCCCGTAAAATTGAGGCTCCTGAGAACATGGAAGGATGGAACCCATATATGCTTGAAGTCCTTCGGAAATTCAAAAGCGCCGACAAGTCAAATTGGCATCATCGCATGGGTGTAAAGGTATGTGTATTCACCTCAATTCAACTGTTGTTATTCAGCATGCTTACAACCGCTAGGCTGCTCATGTCCTTTATGACGGCCAAGAAAACGCAACCGCTGCTCTTGCCGCCAAGCAAGAACTTTCCCAGATTTTCACCAAAACACTTACGATCCAAGTCTGGCGGCCAGAATTCGAACGCCCTGGCAGACATTTTGTTTACACCACCCGCTATGTATACTTCTTTGTTGGCCTGCTCGACCAACTCGATGATCGCGCAAGTTTAGATCAACTCTTGCGTCGCGTGAGGAAGAAGCAAGGCGATTTCCTCAATCACACCAAGCTGTGGGAAGACATTTGCCTCACTTATGCAAAGGTAAGACAGTTCCAACCCCACATGAATATGCCCTCAAAACTCACTATTCCCCAGATCATTCGCCGCGCAGCCAAGATCAACGAAGGCCATGAAGAAAGTGTATTCAAGCCAATCGGTTGGGAGGAGTTCTCTACCAAGACAGCTCGCCTAGAAGGTCTATCCGAGCTAGTCCCAGACAGCCAGGCAATTCTAGAACTTCTAAGAGACGCCCTGGAGCTCAAAAAGCTCAACAACAATCTCATGAAAATCACCATGTTTGAAGACCTGATCGCCGACCTCTATGCCCGACTTTACGAGATCAACATGCCCCATCTCGTTGAACAAGCAACCGACGAAACCAAAGAGAAGATGAAAGTCGACCACATGCTTATGGTCGGCGAAGGCCTCACCGAGACCCCAACTCTGGCATCCGTCCCAGCAGCCGATACCCCCGCGCCCCGTGGCCGCACTAAGGGCATTGCCCGTCGCGATATCCAGAAACGCGCCGACACAATCGTGAACACTAAGTTAGCCCCTCGAGCGATAACGAGCAAAACAACAGCTCCGGGCGAGACAGACCTCCCTGCGACTCCCCACGGCCCTGGGTCAAATGCTGCAGGGCCGACTTCTGCGCCTCGTGCCCAGGAGGCTTCTACTGCTATGGATGGCTCGGGTGAGCAGCGAGATGAGCATGAAACTGCCGATGATACCGAGTTGAGTGAGGCTGATGACACGAAGCTGGGTGATGAGGGCATGTCAGCACTTTTCCCTCCTGTTACGGATGCCGAAGAGGGGGCGACTGGTGATGAGGAAGGGGATGAAGGTGATGGGGAAGATGATGGTGAAGATGTGGAGGGTGATGGTGAACATGGTGTCACTGAGGGTGAAGGGGACGAAGATGAAGAGATGCAGGATGAGGAAACCAAGGCGGATGAAGAGGACAAAGACACTCCCACTGCGGATCATGGTGCCAATGATACTGAGACTGAGCTTGGCACTGGAAAGCAGGAGTCTAGGGAACAAGATGCCATGGACATCACTCCCTCTCAGTCATAAGGCATCGGGTGCATATTCAAAGGGTGTTGGTTTTTAATTCATTTGCTTTCTATCTATGGAGCGCATGGGTGGTTTTTCTCAAGACGGTATTTGTTTAGAGCAGCAGACTGGCGTTGAGAGGCGGGGGTTTTCAAGGAAGCTTACAAGCTGGGATGTACAATAACAACAAAATTCTGAAATGGGATTGTGAATCAGGAAATGGAATATCAACAATCATTAACAAACAGAGAATTGATCGAGCCGAAACGCCTTAGTCAGGGGATATCATCCGAAAGTAATCAAACAAAACAACTCCAATGATTAAAAGTTCTAGTATGGTAAACAGCAAAAGATGAATAGATCGTAACCGTCATGAAAGGGGGAAAAGAAAGCAAAAGAGACAGCTTAGATCTGGTCCTCTGGGGCGAGGTCCCATTTCCGAGTTCCCATTTTCCGCGTCTTCTTGGTGGGCGAAGTCCCTGCTGGCGATGGAGGAGTAAACATGGTGTCTGCGAGCTTCAGTTGATCCATACGTTGCAACGCATTCTCAATATCACTCTCACGGCCTAGATGGTTGGACCGAGAGGGTGCAGGATTTTTGGGCCTATGCTTTTTTGACGGAGATTGACTGTGCATCTCACGCTCAAAAGCGGCAAGTTTGCGGCGAAGCTCGTCGTTTTCTTGCTCAAGCTCTTCAACTCTTTGATCTCTTTGATTCGATCCTGAGTCTTCGAAGACTAAGGTTGTCAGTTCACGAGTCCTCTATCTTGGTCCTTGTTAGTTGACTTACTTTGGAAGCCACGGGACACAAGCTCAACCTTCTTGTCAAGATGCTCGTAATTGCGGCCGATCTGGAATATATCAGCAATTGCCAGGTTCGGAAGAGGGATAGAGCGACAAACCTGGTCATCCCACGCCTTTTGCCAACGTCGCCTTTCTTCTTCCGTTTTCTCATCCATTTCGGCCCAGCATTCCTCTCTTACATCCTGTTCAATCATGAGACATCTTTCTTCAGCAGCCTTCAGTCTAATCTCAAGATCAGATCTTGCGAATTCTTCTTCGGCCAACTTGACAGCGAGGGTTTGGCAATCGTGAGTTAGGCGTGTGATGTCTGCGACAGCTCTTTCGAGCTCTTCGGTTGAATCGAAAACTGGGGAAACACAGCCACTAGCCGAACGGTGACTACTTGATGCCGAAGACACAACGGATACAGAAACCGATGGGACGCGAGGAACAGTGACTTCACGAGCCAACGCGGAGTAACGCAAAATTTGAGAGGTGGCGTTGAAATCGCCCAGGGGATCAGCCGTGACGATCATAATTGCCTTTTGGGGGTATTGGCCCCGGGACATCTGTTGAGATGATGGGAATGAATTCGAAAACAATAGCTCAGTCAATTTGCACTGCCGGTATGGAACGAGAGCAGTCTGTCTGGGTCAGCAACTGGCAATACAACGGCTGTCAAAAAGTTGAGAACATACCTTCATTCCATCCTGAATGTTACTTTGCATTTGCAGGCATTGACCGAGATACATCAAGCTTTCGTTGATTTTCCCAGCCTCGGCAAGTGTGGCACCGGCCGTCTTGGCTGTTCTCGCACGCTCAGAGCCTAGATAAGTTAGTCGCTGTCCTACATAATGTGCTGATATCACTTACCAGCAAGATCCACAACGGTGAGTGCGTTTCCAGCCCAACTGTATTCACGGGTTCGCTTTGAGTATGTTCGCTTCTTGACTTCCAGGGAAAAGAAGCCATGGCTGCGAGAGCTAACGCTGTTCATTCCAGTGCCAGTTACCTTGCGTTCGGTCAAACCAACGTCCAATATAGCAAGTGCTTCATCATAATTGCTACAGGCAATCTTGCGTAGCCCAGCAACTAATTTGCGATCTGGTGAGCCCTCGGTGGGTTTGAAGAGTAAGGGCCGTCGACGATCTTTTTGGTTATTTCCACGGGACATGGTACCCTGTCCTGTGACTATAGCGGGAGAAAGAAGATCAAAGATTCTGTCGTTATATACCTCATACATGGATACCAAAACGACATAATCGGCGTTAGAATCCATCTCAACCGTAAGGTGGCTCATGTCAGGCAATCTCGGAAGGGCGCATGGTCGTTCACGTATGTGACGGCGGGGGAAATTCAATGCAGGGGTCGGTTCCTGCAAAACGTAAAGTCGAGATTTAGCTAACTGGGACTCAAAGATATTGGAGTGGGTGTAAGGAATAGGATTAGAAAATCCGGGGGTAATCCATCCAGGGTACTCAGTCGAGACCTGGCCAATCCCGGTCCGATCAGTGCTATTGGGAGCGGTGATAGGAGGCAAGTGAACCTTGCGGGGACTTCCAGATTTAGACCTTGGCCTCGGGAGAGAAGATCCAAGTGTGCGTGCTCGTGGGGTAGGCGATCCTTGCGAGGGATTAAGGGTAGGGGGGTTCGTACCATCAAAGGTGTGTTGGCACGGGATGGGCTCATGGGAGTTTGAGCTCTCGAAGTCCGTCCATTTGGCTCGCCATATACTGCCTCTAAAAACGTCTGGGCGGAGAACAACTGAGCTTCAGAAGTATCCGCAGCGGCCAGTGAGGCCAGCATTACGGGAGTAATGCTGTGATCTTCTGTTTTGATGGTCGGCTCCAGGGAGCGGAAGATCACGTCAAGTGCCATTTGGGTCATTCCTCGTTGTGTCTTGGATCCTAGAATGGTATGGCTCTGTATAATCATCTGGTTAATTTGGTTGTCGCAACACACGGACTTTCAAGATCAGACCTTTCCACTCCCTGTGACTCCAAGGGTAGCAACGAGTCCATCTCGATTTTCTTTCAGCACACCGCGGATGATGGGTTCCATCCCAGTATCGTGAAAGACGTCCAATTGCGAGGCAGCCTGCTCGAAGACCTTTGTAAACCCAAACCTCTCAATGGCGCGCTTTCTCGTGTCATTTGGAGATTGGACAGTAATATGCGTGGATCCTGGCGAGACAATTTCTGTTTCATCTTGCGAGGCCTCTGGAGGCTCAACGTTCAGGAACCGGTCGGATTCATTGGGGTTCTGGGAAAACGGCGGGCGTAGACGGAGATAAACTTGGAACAGCGATGCCTGGGGTTGTTTGGGCGGCATGTTAGGCAGCTCGTGAGTATCTGTACGATGACTCGGGAAGTGGCGACGTTGAAGCTCCGATGCAATCAAAGGCTACCTGGGGAAGTCAAAGAAAGTCCAGAATATCCACAGATCAACATCGTGCTTACCTCTTTGGGCACGTGGTTCCCCTGACAACGTCCAGGTCACGTGCATCTATATCCCGATGCTTCATCCCTCTAGGTCTCTGAATGTTAGCCTTCCCCTTCCTTTGGGACATAATCAACTTATTTCTTTAATTTCAGTGCTCTTGTTTAACTTTAGGATAGCTGCAGGCTTACTCAACTTTCAACTCACCTCCAGGGCTGGGCGGCTTGGCTAATATCACGCGCACCTGATCTACTACATGTGAAAGCGCATGGATTCTGGGGGATCTCGTATTCCTTCGATGTCAGGATTACGCCTCTTGGTAATATTTTCAACGACAGCCAGTTCATCATAACAAGCAACAAATCGACGCTTAGGCCTAAATTGACCTCGTATCTGTCTGTGAGCCATGCCAAGCCGCTCTCTATACGAAGCTTCTATTTTCTTCCCTGTCAGCGATCTTTGACTTCTAATTCGACGAGACTCTTTTCACGCTTAACCAAATTAAGTAGCTCGTTTTCGCTTGTCTGTACATCGGGCACATGCGACAAACTTACAAAGTTATATACGGAGTACCTTGACATATATATTGGTCAAGGTCCCATCAGGACAACCAAATAGTTTAAATAAGATATCCTTGTCTTTCACTGCATAACACACCTAAACTATTATACAGATTCCCTCATAAAGATTTTTGTTCTACCACGGAGCAATATATAGCTGGCAGATGCTCAAATATGCTCGAGGCAAGGTCATCATACCGTAAGTCGACCACAAGTTGAACAAACCGAGATGTATATCTAACAATATGGAGAGGAGGGAAGCCTATGGTTCTATGCGCCAAACAAAGGCGCTGCAATTGCCTTTGCGATCCTTTTCACTGTCTCTGGGGCCATCCATGGATACCAATGCTTGTATGTGATCTCCCTAGCACGCAGTTCAAGATATCTAATCTTCTTTAGCAAATATAAATCCTGGAAAGTCACCGGGCTTCTTCCATGGTCTGCCCTCCTATTCACGGCTGGTTTTATAACTCGAACTGTTGGAGCGTTCGGGCAATGGGGAAATAAAGACGTCTATATTGCAAGCACTGTACTCCTTCTTGCTGGACCGTAAGAAGTCATTCCCTATTACATTACCCGATCACACACTGACACCCATTTCTTTTGAAAATGTTAGGCCAGTATACGAAGGCGCTAATTTTTTCATACTTGGTCGCATGCTCTACTACATTCCATACCACTCACCCATCCACCCAGGCCGGGTATTCACGACCTTCGTCGCCCTAGGTGTGGTCATTGAAAGTATTACCGCGAACGGAGCAGTCCGAGTTGCAAGCTCGGATTCCTCTGAAGCATCACAAAATGTCGGAAAGGCGCTATTGAAGGCAGCGCTTATCATGCAGATTGCTCTCATGGTAGGCTTTGGGTCTTTGGCTGGCCGTTTTCATTTCAACTGCTTCCGAGGAGGTGTACTGAATCACAAGATTAAACGTGCGCTGCTGGTCTTGTACTGCAGCTGCACACTCATTACGATTCGTACCATCTTTCGCACAGTGGAATACTTTTCTGCTGCCAGTCTAAATGCCGTCAGTGGTATTGCAGATATCAGTCCTGTCTTGAAGCAGGAGTGGTTCTTCTGGTTCTTCGAAGTTGTGTTCATGTATAGCAATACTACTTTACTCAACGTCTTCCATCCGATGCAGTCGCTTCCGAGATCAAACAAGATCTATCTTGCTCAGGATGGTGTCACGGAAATCGAGGGCCCTGGTTATGATGACCCCCGCCATTGGCTGCAGACCGTCTTTGATCCGTTCGATATTTATGGTCTCATTGTTAACAAAGGCAAAAAAGAGAAGTATTGGGAGGCAAATCCGTCTCGGGGAGAGGGTGCTATTGTGCGTGACAATGAGGGTGTGTGAGATATCTTCTCTTGTTTTACATTTTTTCCTTGCTGTTCAAGGATAGCTCAGGAGCTTGCTTTGTATTTCGTTCTTTTAATTAATTTAGCTTGCAAGTAGGATGCGCTATAGAATATTAACTTTTTCCGAGAATCCAGGGTATACATGTATCATAACAATTTCACAATTCACCAATCTTCTTCCTCTTTGCCCAATTCCTCCTGGATTTCCCAACTGTACCGAGCGAACTTGCTTGCTCGACGAATTCGCTCTCCATAGAATATGAATACAGGTGGCACTATGCAGAACGCGGTTGCTACAGCAGCAAGTATAGACATAGCAATATTATTGCCCAAGACAGTAAACATCTGCATCGTAAAAAGCGGGAATGCACCGGAGAGTAGTGCCCGCATAAGCGCAACCGCAGCAGTTGCGCTGGCCGAATAACTCAAATATGCATCGGAGATATACCCATACAGCACGGTATCCATTTCCGTTAGCGCATAGCCTACCAGAACAAGGGAGATTGTGGGCACAATCCATGGGGTTTGTACATCCGGTGGAATGGTCCAGGCAAACCACCACAGCCCAATCGCTAGAAAAGGGCCACCTAGACCAAGCCCGAGAAGTTTGTGTTCCGGCTTGATCGGGCGGCCCTGACTGCGGAGATAGTTGAGAATGTAGCCATCTAGCACGCGCATCAATGTGCTAAGACACGTCCCCAGGCCAATCGAGATAAAAATCAGGGAAGCTTTAGTCTCTGAAAATCCCATTGACACATAAATTGGCTGGAGGGCTTCTGTGAAGATGTAGATAAGGGACATAGCCACGGAGATCATTATTGCGATGACGAGAATAATGGGCTCTTGGAAAAAGAGCTGTGCTGGACGAAAGAGGGCCTCTTTGGCGAATGTTCTGAAATCTGGGATATGGTCGTGGTTGAGAGGTGGTGGGATTGATTTCATGGTAGTCATATCGCTGATGAGTTTAACCTCTTTGGCTAGCAATAAGGAAGGTCGAGATTCTCGGATGAAACAGAGACCTCCTGTGACGGCCGCAATAATGATGGCGAAGACATAAAAGTTCCATCGCCTGAGTATCTAGTTAGTGGGAATCGCAGGTAGAAAAGGACGGAGAGTTATGTACCAATCAAAGCTTGCAATTATATAGCTGCTCATAATAGGCCCGAGAATCAAACCAATGTTGGAAGCAACAGTCCAATAGTACATGGTCCAGATGCGAGCCTGGCAGTTGAACATGTCCTCGATACTGCCACCAATGATTGTATATGGGATTGCGGACAGAAGCCCGGCAATGATGCGCATGATGATAACGAGTGGTGTTGATTGTGCGAGACCGATGATTGCACAGCAAATGGCACTGAGGCCACTGCTAAAAATATACATATTCTTGCGCCCAAATGCCTCGGACCATGGGGGAAATAGGATAGTGCCTATCACCTGGCCGAGGAGGAATCTGTTCAAGGTTAGATATGTAATGTAGGTAGCTCGAACTAGAGAAGCTCTCACAATGTGACAAAAATGAAAGTAGAAAGGGTTGCGCTCATGTTGTATTCATGTCTGGCTTGTGCAGCAGCTGCCGACTGGAGAAACCATGATCATTAGCTCGATGAACGTGAAGCTTGCGAAGATTTGTGTTCACTCACACCCGCGGTGCTAGATGCAGTTCTGCCGATGTCGTTAGCCTATAATCTTTCCAATGCGAACAACCGGACTGGTCATACATAAAAAGATCCAGAAGACAGACAAGAATGATGTCGTAGCTCTTTCGCAGGCCAGACCAATTTCGAGGATGCCTGGGGTGATTGCGCAACCATCGCACATATTTTCCATCCGGTGTGAGCTCCAGATTATGCTCATGTAGAAGGTTGAGGATGAAAGCCTTGGGCTCATCGGTCGATATACTTGATTCTGGAGAGACAGGCTGCATATTGGGCAACCGTACAGCTGAACATGTAGATGATTCTAGAGAATAATTGAGCAAGTCACATTTATCAACAAAACATCTCTTGAGCGAAGCTGCCCGAGAAGGGATTCGAGCTTTTTATCATCGTAAATGTTCCAATCATCCCGGACATTTTTATTGGAACCCAGCCTCCGAGGAATGGAACCCCTTGCGATCTTCACTGTGGGGGTTCTGGAGCTCAGATTGTCAAATACACGCGTCAAGCTAGAGCTCTGCAAGGAATTCTGGCTCCGGTCTACTGGTCTCTTCTCTCTTCATCCGCCGATAGGTAGTAGTCGAGCCTTACTAGATCAAACTTTGGTTTCTATATCAATGTACACCATAGCTCAACACCGCTTTATATTCAGTTGGCCAAGATCTAGCCGAGAAATGGCTGAAATTGGGCCACGAGATGAAGTCTAGTGACTTCATCTCTCATCTCTAGGGATAACGTATGTGTTCTCGGCATTCTTCAGGATCGGTGCCCCGCGCAGCTCAAAGGTGAAAATTTCATGTGTACTTTTTTCAGATCAGAGATAAATGAATAGAGAAATGATTTGCCTATGGGGAACACCCGATATACGGATATAGTGGCCTGAAATACAGAAGCAAGTTTCGATCCGCGTACGTGTAGGGATGTCCGAGGACGGTTCGATGAGATGGTCGATGGCCATGACCTACACTTACACAGTTAGCAAAGGCCTGAACAGCCAGTTAGTTGTGAAGAAGCTACCTAGGTCTACACATGTATATATATATACAACAAAAGTTTTCGTAGAGACTCAAACGAAGACAGTGAAATGCCACAACTCAGCCGGCTACAGTGATCGTTCTGCTGCGTGACATCTCTACGAGCTCAGGAATGGCGAAAAATGACCTCCTTGAAGGTACAATTGCATCCAACTCAAAATCACTAGATATTCGCATTCAAGATGTCCCTCTAGGTTCCAGATGATCTATCGGCGCTTACAGCGTTCATCACGCCACAACGAGCTTCGAAAACAAGGTATCGGTCTCACAACTACTGTCGGTCTTGGCTAAACCAAGTCTCATATTAAATCCAAGCATATCAAATTGGTGCAATATATTCTGAGCTGCAACTGTAGAAGGCATACGGAGTATAGGATGCACAGTTACGCCTTGGCTGGCGGTTTATTTGCCACCAGATAAAAAGAACAAAATAAGGACTCTCGTGGATACTGGCCCGATAAGCACGCAAATCACTTGCGCAATTCTCCAAGCAAGATGTTACTGTGGTAATAACTGGGATATATACTCGCACTGTTGTTTGGAGTACCCAGCCTGCAGAAGGCGGAAAAGCCAGTGGATCTGCGCCAAGACGATCTCCGACGAGGCCACCTCTCCGCACCCAAATCTAGATCAAAACACGACCTTCCAACTAGCCCAGCTGTAAAGCTGAACACAAGAGGTATTGGCTCTATCTGCACCAAGAAAATTCCGAGCAGCATATCTGACCAACGCCAGTCACCGTTACGCGACCGACCCCAACCGTCCTGTCTTTGTCGACCGCGAACCGCCCACCATGCTATCCTCCCTCTCCTCGAGCATCGCAAATGCTCGACAGTCGATTGCGCAAGTGCTAAACTTTGCGCTTGTCTTATCTACAGCTTTCATGATGTGGAAAGGTCTCTCAGTCTTGTCCGCATCAAGCTCGCCAATAGTTGTGGTTTTATCCGGTAAACAATACCATCCCACGAAGGGTTGAACCCAGCTCATGGTATCTTTTTTCACAGGATCAATGGAACCGGCATTCCAGCGTGGTGATCTGCTATTCTTATGGAATCGGAGTCCTGTGGAGATCGGAGAAGTTGTGGTCTATAACGTCCGTGGAAAAGAGATTCCAATTGTCCACAGGGTGGTTCGCAGTTTCCCGGAGGTAGAAGGACGTGCGAGCGCGAAAAAGGTGAAAGAGATCACAGTGTACGTCGATAATCCCACACGTATCATCGCACCCGTGGCTTGCTAATGTGGACCTAGGGATACAACACCGAATCGCCTGCTCCTCACTAAGGTAGGCGACCCAGCGATTCGACTGGATGTTTGGATTGGGTGTGTGCTAACTTTGGAATCAAGGGCGATAACAACGTGGCCGATGATACTGAGCTCTATGCCCAAGGTAGGTGATACCGAGGCTCAACGAAACAACAGCAATCTTACAAGTGACTAACAAAGTTAGATCAGGATCATCTCGACCGGGCGGAGGATGTCGTAGGCAGTGTCCGTGGCTACATACCTATGGTTGGCTACGTTACAATCATGCTCAGCGAGTACCCTTGGCTCAAGACAGTGATGCTCGGAATCATGGGATTGATGGTAATCCTTCAGAGGGAGTAATGGATGTACGAAAATATAGATTATTGATAATTCCAGCAAGGCAATTTACCATATGCAATATCTTTTGTTTCAAAAAAGAAAAAAGGGCGATTGTAATGCACTATGGAGTGTGGCAGGCATATCAAACCTCCACTGACGTCGCCGTCTTTTGCCGCGCACCCCACTAGGCCCGGGGAGCTTCTAGCTCCAACCTAAGCCAGACCACCTTTGTTCTCCTATATTTTCTTGCACGAACGCTTTTTTTCATTCTCTCCTAAATAGCTTGAATCTGCGCTACTGATTTGACATTTCGCAACGAGCATTCGCATTTTGCATCAAAGCGCTCGCCTGCCCGCTCCTATCACCCCGCCAAATCCACGACTCAACATCACAATGGGCAGCATCAAGCGCATATCCAAGGTAAATACTTACAATCCCACATGTAAATTCTTGTTTATTAGCTTGCTAACCATTTATTTCAATCAAAGGAGCTGAGTGAGCTTACCGAGTCCCCTCCGGAGGGGATCACAGTCGAGCTGGCCGATGAGTCGAACGTGTACGAGTGGAAGATCACCATGGAAGGACCCGAAGGATCACCATATCACGTATGTCAAAACATGACCCGCTCCCTCTCTTTCCTCTGAATAGATCTTTCGTGACACTCGTCGCCTTTCCAAGAACAAATGCGTGTCTCACAAACCCGACCCCACAGTTCCAATCCAATATGCGGCATGCTAACCTCCTGGCGCATACATACAGAATGGAAACTTCCGAGTCAAGCTCTCGCTACCCACCGAATACCCCTTTAAGCCCCCGACAGTCTCCTTCGCAACAAAAATCTACCACCCGAACGTGACAAACGATGACAAAGGGAGCATGTGCTTAGGCATGCTACGTGCAGATGAGTGGAAACCCAGCTCCAAGATCGCCGCTGTTCTCCAATTTGCTCGGCAACTACTGGCCGAGCCGATGCCAGATGACGCGGTGGAGGGGAGGATCGCAGAGCAATACAAAAACGACCGGAAGCGTTATGAGGAGGTTGCACGAGAGTGGACTCGCAAGTACGCTTCTGAATAGATAGTCTTTCTGTGCTCCTACCAGCGAGGAACAGTTGATCTCTTGAGAGAACATCTTCATCCTTTACCGTCGCCTCATAACTCTGCACGGAAAATGGGGGCTGTGTGTCGGGTTATTATACTGATCATAGAATAACTTAAATGCTCTCCTCAAGCCACGGCTTACGATTTCAACGCTGCCATGCCTTTTTTTTCCCTCCCTAACAACCTCAAAGAGCATGCTGCTCGTCTGCCCCTTTTCTGTTCCTTCCGTCTTAGCTCGTGTGCCTCAGTCGAGTGCGTTGCCCCAGCTGCTGCTGGTCTATTCCGTTAGCTTTGGGATTAATCCTAAAATACTGATGTTGAAAATCAATGTACTATTAGCATGGATTGTAAGAGGCTTCACTAGAATTAACAGCTTCCATGATTTTGGGTGGGGTTTCCACTAAGAACAAAATAGATCTCAATTGTCCCCTATCATCTCCGGAAGACACAAAGAACCGAGTCACAATATTGCCCAAAGAACTTGATTTTCAATGTCATATGAAAGGATATCTTCTCTTCAAACCCTCACCAGCCTCAAATTCCATCTTCCAAGACACTTAGAGAATAGTCACACGACTACCAGGCCGAACAATCGTCAAGCGCTCAATGGACGGCTGAAACCCATGGTCCTTCAACTCCTGGTGATTGTAATAAAGATAGCTTTGTTTCATACGACGAGGAAGCCGACTAAAGTCAGCAACGATGCTCCTATGCAAGGATGCCACTTGCGACTTGGCCTGGAGCCAGGACCGACGCTGGATATTGAGCTGCTCCGGGGTGGTGTTCGAGTTGCGGATACTCTCCACTGTTCTGTCGTAGACGCCCAGTGTACTCTTCAGATATATCAGCTCGAGGAGGTCGTTGTTGAGCTTTGATACCTACGTGGCACGTTTGTTAGCAGAGATAGACTCGGAGGTTAAGTATACATACCGTTGGTGGGAGTTCTACATAGGGATGAGGAGGCATGGTGGTCCTGGTTCCTGGTATGATCTTCGATACAAGCGAGGAGGGCGATGGGAAGAAAAGGAATGTTGGAGGTATCGATCTATCGGGGTTTATATTCATTTGGTTGGCCCGAGGAAGTCGCGACTATGCTTGATGTTGCCCTGCCTTCAATGACTGAGCCCACAAGCATCAATACCCTTCTACTGCGCCTTTGGCAGCAGTATAGTGCAGCATCCTCTCTGACAGCATCAACGCATCCTCGCGTAGGTACGAGCCAGACTTTAAATCTCTGTCACTTACTCTAACCAATCGCCAATAATGAAGTAGTTGAGAGGTTTGCATCATCATAACCTGGGGGATGTCTTTTTAATATGAGCTTCGACTGCTTCTAATGAAGCCTTTTGGCCCCCAAGAATCCAACTCCCATTACTCTCACCACCGAAAGACAAGGAAGGTCGTCAAACCCCAAAGGTCGGAATGTAAGTCGATATCAGAATCATGTAGCATCAGAATAATATTCCTCATGATTTTCAGGCGCCGGCTATCTTTCTTGCACGCGACTGACCAGCGGCGAAATGACTCACAAACGAGGCTTAGCTCTATAGTCTAACACCAAAACTCGCACACTCGAAAGCGATGAAAATTTCAAAAATCCGAGAAACAAGTCCCCAAGGTGGCCTGACAGTGAAGCAAAAGATATGGCGTCCATCACCAAGCTGCCGGCTGAAATCCTGTGCTCCATCATCCAGTACTTGGACCCAGCGGGGCTGATCTCGATCAGCCAGACAAATGTCCATTTACGATCCGTCATCCAGCCAACTAAATTGGATTTCTGTGAACGACTGTTATTCCTCGAGTCTCAGCAGGAAGGTGGTCCTACACCGGTATATAACGCAAGGTCCAACGAACTCCAGCCCGCGTGGTCTGAAGTTGAATGGCAATCAATGTTATGGGCCTGTAGCGACTGTCTCCGAATGCTGCCTCACACGGCATTCGACAACCATCGTATTCTAGGGCTAGGTTATCGAAAACCAGTCCCTGGCTCATCTGCCGTCACTAAATTCACAACCTGGCAGCCCGGCACCGCCGGAAGAGACTCTGCGACTGAGTACGTCTGGCGCGAAAGGCATAATCCTGGATTTGAGGATGAGATCCAAGCGGTCCAAAAGAGATACAGGGTTGCCATCACACATCTGCAGTCGAGACGCAGGCTCAATGAGGATTCAACTCCACGACTGGAGAGGTTCCAAGAATGTGGGATGGCCGCATTTGAACACATGACTCTCGAAGAATTCGTCCAACTACTCGATGACGAAGAAAGCGATCTGTTAAGCCAAGAAGCGTCGAGAATTGAACTTGCGTATTGCGGATTCAAACGCCACCAACGACAATGCAATGAATGTCGGTACCAACGAGGCGAGCTTCTATCATGCCGTGACGGCATCGGGGGTTCCCCCACAACCCCGGTCACTCGAAGCCGCCGCGTATGGTACGAATCACAAGTCGACCGTTATTTCCCAGGACTGGCGATCACCTTAGACATCAAGAACGCCAGGGGGCAGTCGAATTTCGCAGTCTACCCGGGAGACACTGACTTTGGCAATCACTGGTGGACAATGTACATGGTCAGATGCTCGGGGTGCTCGACATGGAAGGAAGCACATTCATTCCCGCTCCTTGAGCAAAATTGGTACTGGAGACCTTCACGTACTTGTCTGCATCCTACGGATCTGACCGATGAAGCAATCCTTGTGGGCGAAAGAGCCAATGAGGAGTTAGGGAAGTGGGACAGGACCCCGGCGGATGGAGAGATATTTGGCAAGTTGCTCTGCAGTCACTGCTTCTCGCGGGAGAATGGACGCGAGCCCCTTGAAACAGGCATTCTGGGGTGCTTGAAAAACTTGCTTCATTATCAGAAGTGTTATGTGGCGACGGGATTATTTGATCTATTCCAAAGGATACGGGATGATTCATTCAGCTGCCCGCCCAAATGGAGATCTGAGATATACGACATCACGGATCCACCTCGCGAATCCATCAAGACGAATACGGCGATGTGTCTGGCTTCTTACAAGAAATGGATCATGTTTCTTCAGCGTACCAAAAATGCAGGAAGACATCGCAATTGGCACGGTGTTGAAGGTCCGTTCGATGACAAGCAACGAGATTATGAGGAGAGGATGGAACATTATACATGCATGAAGGCTATTTATCTTGGGATGAAAGAGCGGGAGAAGGTTGAGAAGCTGGTTGAATGGGCTCTAAATGACTCGGTTAGCCTTCTGTGAGGATCTCAAGAGCAGTATAAAACCATGCGTTTTAATTGTACATAGTATCCATTTAGTCTCATTCGACTCGCATTGCTTGGTTATCCAGTATAGAGTGTATTTTAGAACACATCATCTAGACTTGCAGTACTGGTGATTAGCGTGGCTGTTCCTCCCTCCCAACCAAATAGGAAAGAACCCTCAATATAAAAGCACCCCTTCTAAGGAAATGAACTTGTTCTCCTCATCACCCTATTGTATCCCATACTGTGTGTTTTCATTCACTCAGCTTTTACTTGAGCCTTCCTCTTAGCTTGTTCCCTGCCTCATCACAATGGCTGATGCTGAAGCCCTACGTCCTCACGTGTAGGTCTAGCCAATCACTGCCACTCTCTTTTCCCTTGATCATCACACCCCGCAAGGTTAGAACACTTCAATATGAGCATCATACTTCCAAACCATATCAATGTGTACAGATAAATGATGTTAGCAACAGTGTACTCATTGTAAATATGTGCTCAGCGGCAACTCCTGCCGCTGGCGCCACTCCCGATATTGGTTTCTCAGTTAGTCTCCCGCCGGTTGTTTGGCGGACGAAGATTGTACGACCGGTTTGCGAGGATATCAGGCCGCTGTTCACAATAGGCTGCAAAGACACGATGGCTTTTCATTATATTAGTCAAAGATCTGTACCTCCGATATACAGATATAGATCGGATAAGGCCTTACACAGGAAACAAATAGCCACGACGACGTAGATGCTGATGGAGGTAGGTCCTTCCATAACCTTCAATATCGCCCATATTAATTTCATCAGCGATGAGCTCTTTGATCTGCTGGAACTGCTCGCTCTGTGCTTCTAGATCGTCCGTACGACGACAGATACCAAGCTGTTTTCGTCGTTTCCGGAGCGTACGATCAGAGATCGCAAACCCTTCTTTATGGAGGATTGGGAGGATTTGTTTATCTGAGAGCCCAACCTGCAACACAAGCTCTTTTATACGCTTGTGGAGAGTATCGTCTATTGTGGGAGGGGTAACTCTGGGTTTCTTTTGACCCCATTCCAGCCGCCTTTGGATCGTACGAGGATTGACATCAAGAGTAAGGGTTTCACATATAGAGCTAGGCGATGCACCTTTTTGGGAGAGACCGATGATCTGATCTCGATAAGGAAGGAGGTCAATCAATGGAGGCATGTTGATTTTCGATAACTCAGTAGGTGACTCATGGGAGCCCTGTATCCGGGGTAAAGGCGGGGGAGAGAGGGCGATGACTTGGTACAGCAGCTCAACCAATAAAACGGCGTTGTCCAAAGTACCGCTATCAACGTAGCTGAAGTTCATTCGGGCACCCCCCAAATTCAGAAACCTGGGTTTGCTTGCGAGTTGACTGTACATGTTCAGAGAAGAAGTTATAAATCCAATGTGGTTATCGACGGGTGGCTTTGAGACGGCAGTGTTGGGTGGGTATCTCCAGAGCATTGATGTAGCAGATACAAGAGAAGGATACTTGGACAAGCTGCCAACTACGTCTAAACTTGGTCTTAGAACACAATAATCAAACCAAACGTTATGGTTCATATTCCAGAAGAGCGGTCCTAAGGACCGTGTATGGACATTCATTAAAGCGTGTCAGAATACAACGCTACATACAACCGGGACGCTAACATCTCCGCGCCCATCGCTTTTTCGGCCGCATGAAGAGAGGATATGAGGGTAATCAAAAATAAGGGCAAAAGGGAATCAAAGACATCACAGGGACATCCACATTTACAGCCGGCCAGCAGTGTTGAAGTCCTCAAGGGCCTCCTGGACACGCTTGCTCATGGTCTTCTCACCCTCGCGGACCCAGACGCGGGGATCGAAGTACTTCTTGTTGGGCTTGTCAGCACCGTCGGGGTTGCCGACCTGCTGGAGGAGGTAGTCCTTCTTGTTGAGGACGAAGTCACGGACACCGGAGAGGTAAGCGTACTGCATATCGGTATCGACGTTGACCTTGACGACACCGTAGCTGATGGCCTCCTTGAACTCGGCCTTGGAGGAGCCGGAGCCACCGTGGAAGACGAAGAAGACGGGCTTGTCGGAGGCAGAGCCGGTCTGCTCCTTGACGTACTTCTGGTGCTTGGAGAGGAGCTCGGGGTGGAGCTTGACGTTGCCGGGCTTGTAGACACCGTGGACATTGCCGAAGCCAGCGGCAATGGAGAAGTAGGGGCTGATGGCGGCGAGGGCGTTCTGGATGGCCAGGATGTCCTCGGGCTGGGTGTAGAGGGAGTTGTTGTCCACATCCTCGTTGTTGACACCGTCCTCCTCACCACCGGTGATACCGATCTCCTGTGAAATAGGTTAGCACTATATCAAATGTGGTTTTTTTTAGAATGAAGAACGACTTACCATCTCGAGCCACTGCTTCATGGGGGCAGCGCGCTTGAGGTAGGCAGCGGTGGTGCTGATGTTCCAGTCGACGGGCTCCTCGGACAAATCGATCATGTGGGAGGAGAAGAGGGGCTCGTTGTGCAGCTTGAAGTAAGCCTCATCGGCATCGAGCATGCCATCGAGCCAAGGAAGGAGCTTCTTGGCGCAGTGATCGGTGTGGAGGATGACGGGGATACCGTAGGCGGGAGCCACGCTACGGATGTAGTGGGCAGCGGCGACGGAGCCAGCAATGGAGGCCTTCTGGCCCTCGTTGCTGACACCCTTACCGGCGAAGAAAGCGGCACCACCCTGGGAAACCTGGAGGATGACAGGGCAGTTCTGGTCACGAGCAGCCTCGAGGGAGGCAACAACGGTGGAAGAAGAAGTAACGTTCTCATCGTTCGGTTAGAATTATGCTAGAAAGCACTCAAGGGACACAACTCACGATGGCGGGGATGGCGAAGCCCTGCTCCTTGGCGTACTCAAAGAGACGGAGGACGTCGTCACCGACAATGACGCCGGACTTGCGGTTCAGTTGCTCAAGAACACCCATTATGAAGTTTGTACAAAGATAAATTGAAATCTAGAGAGAAGAAAGGAAGAGAAAGAGTCAGATTCAACGGTAGAAGTAGTCAAAGCAAGCGCTTTACCGGGAGCTGAAAGCGGGTAGAGTTAAATAGGAAAGAGGGGCAACGGATTGGAGGGGCACAGCGTCATCGGTAAACCAGAAGATGAGACTCACCGGGTTGTGGAGCTTTGGAGGATGAGGTCAGTGTGATTTCAAGAAGAAGAGAGAAGAGGGCGATCAAATATCCTCTTTATGTATGGCCCGGTCCTGTGTATCCCGACCTCCTCCGTGATGGCCCGATGTTGCCGTTGGCATCGGGAGCTCTGTGATTCTTTTATGTAGGACCATGGCCATCCATTTTAGGCTGAATCGTTACAGGGCTCGATGTTGTGATCTAGAACTATGTTCATGCCTCCTAACTACTTGATGATACGGGGGTAGCCATTCCAGTCCTCAAACGGCTCTTCTCCTCGTCCACGTCCAGCAAAACAGTCCGTGTTTTGTTCGTGGCGGGGGCCCCGAGGAGTTCGAGGCCATTCCCCGAATTTCCACTTCCCCCTTTCCACGTTCTCCGTGAAGCCAAACCGGTCATATTCAATTCAATCCGGTTCATACACAGGTAGCATTCAAGGATCGACTGTCCATGACCACGGTTCCACTGACAATGCCAATGTTGGAGGGGAAGCTGCAGAGGGTCTGGTGACATCATCTTGGCGGGGAGGCCCCCGTTTCTCGGAAGTAGCTATTTCCCTCGTTTCGTTGGGATTCAGTCCCCTCCGGACAGCATACAACGTAGGTACTTAGCTAAGTAGGTAATTAAAAAGAGATTTGGCGTTTTACTTGGAGTAATATGGCTTGGGATTATCTAATGGTCTCGAAATCACATCACCTATACCCCTCTTTGCAGAAGTACGCGAATGTATAGATTTATGTACTAGATGCATCTACATGAGGAAAGAGACATTGCGCGATTATAGCCCCTCAGTAGAGCTCGTGTCAGGCTTCTCCAGCTCATAGAACAAGAGGTAGACCTCCTTTTGCATGCCCAACACATCCGAGGTCTTGCACTCCTTAATCTTCTCATCGGAGATGCGCCACCAACGATCGTTCGGCTTGCGACGGCGCCGAAGCCGCGAACTGACCGTCGGGGCGTCCAGAGAAGGGCGGGGTAGGCTGCGGGAGGGGCGCGGGCCAGACGAGGTACTCCATCGACCCTGTTCTGTCGGCGGACTGTTGCTATCAGAGACAGGGGATAAAGTCTGTTTGGAGGATTGAGAGATGGTGCTCTGGAAAGAGCGTCGCGAGCTAGAGGTTGGAGGCCGCGCTTGAGGAGGGGAGAGTTGGGTTGTAGATGTCTCAGCCGAGGCCTCAGCCGAGGCACCGGATAGCGAAGTCGATGAGCCCGCTCTCGAAATGCTTCCGTCGCCATTCGGATCGGGGCTGCTGCGTGGTACAATCCGAGGACTGGGTGCCGCAGAGGGGTCCCGACTAGCAGTACGACTCTGAGCATAGGAGCTGAAAACCTCGGGCGTAGAGAATGGCGGGTAGATATGATTGCGGCGGAAGGACTCATAGTGTCCGCTGTGGTGGCTTCCTTTGTGGCACACAATAGCGAGCAGCTTATACCACTTCTGGCTCAGGATGCTTCCCAAAGGAAGCCGCTCGGGGAACGACACCTTGGCCGCATTCTTGCTTGAGCTGCTCTGATCAAAGATCGATCGCGATAGATGGATGGCAATGACTTTGGGGAACGCGGTGATACGCATATGCCGTGCAATCCTCCGCTTAGGGATTGTCTCTGATGGAGGGAATACAATTCCCTCCAGCTCGGCTTCGGGATCCGTTTCCAAAGCCTCACGAAGTCGCGAAATTTCCTGTTCTAACCGATCTCGGTCACCCTGTGCGCGAACACGGGCTAGTTCGTTGGTCTTAACATCCACAGTATGCTGCAAGCGGCATCGATCACACCGGAAATCTTCAATATATTCTGTCTTGAGGAGGCCATCGAAGCATGCGTTCAGCGTGGTCGAGCTCTTCTGTGGCACCTGGAGTGTCAAGTTAACGAATGCTGTCTGATTGGGCTTGTATTGATAATGGCAGAACTGGCACTCGATCTGCGATTCCATTTTGCCTTCGAACGGGAACCCTGACTCCTGGTCAAGTTCCTTCAATTTTGTATCGATGATGGCCGGCAATCCGTTGACGGATCCATCATCGATCCGAACCTCCACCTCGGATGGGCTTTCTTGTGTGTTGGTCTCGTCTTCTACCGGGCTGGAAGCAGCTGCGTCAATGGCATCCAGCGCTCGTTGACGTGCGCGCGCCCCAGCATGGTATTCATCGCAAAGTCGCTCGAGAACAATCTGCAGAAATTCCTGGGCATCCTGTTGGTTGCGACTGATGCGCGTGCGGAATGCGTATTCCAGGGCCTGGATAAAATTCCGTGCCGAAATTGTCTTCTTGTAGATCGGCCGCTCGTTCAACCGATCCAGCATTTCTTTCAATGCCTGTGTGGTTATCCCCTGTTGTAACTCGCGCAGCTTGTCCGATCGCGCAAGTGTCAGCTCTTCTTCGCTCGGCAATGCATGGTAGATTTCCGGTCCGTCTAGCTGGCGTCGGTGCATCTCATGAATTAGGTAGACCCGCAGATCCCCCAGCCCAGCCAAAGCCTGCAGCACCGAGTTGATGAAACAGTCATTGGCCAGGTTGGACAGGCCTACGATGCTCTTCTTGCGATTGTTGTCATTTGACTCGTCTCCGTCAATTGTATAATTGGGCCCGAACACGTAGAATAGAGCAACGGCAGCGAGGGAGGCCCCGGCCGCATAAGCGGCGACCGTTGTCGGCTTTTCTTGCATCAAGCACGGTAATATAGAGGTTCGTCGGTTCGTATAGGGGTCGGAGCAGGGATTCTTCTATCTCCTTACCCCATTCTCGGATTGGCCCGGGTAGTGGGAATGGCACCAAGAATCCGAAGATAAATGATCACAGGAGAAGACTGTGGGTCGCAGTGTTCGTATGGAGGGCTGGGAGGGAGCTGGAGAACCAATTGTGAGGAAGTGCAGAATTGGCTGGGGAAGAGGGGAGGAAGGGCGAGAGTGGAGCGCTTATGCGGAGAAGGAATTATTCAGAGCATTTTGGTCAAGTCAGATCAGGTTAGCCACACATGTTCTCTCAAACGGGATAACCTCCGTTCACGATGATCGTCCCGAGTCCAAGCTGGACTCCAGGATGGTATCCCCGAGCATTCCCGTCTCCTTTATCGTGTGATATTCTGTGATCCAAGGGGCATTCCTTGTGGCCCAGGCGCCGTTGTAGTGGGTTGGACCCCCCACGGAGTTTCCGGATATCCGTCTTACACCGTCCCCGCATGTAGGAGTTGACCGCAGTTGCACATATAGTCTGGGGTAGAATGACCGTCTTGCTCGATGTAGGATAAGCTGGGCAATGGCAGGAGTATCGAGTGAAAAATAGGCTCGGGCTTTTCAAAAGCAATATGCACTTTCGACAAATCATCTTCCATGTAAAATCGGGAGCAAATTTATTGGCTTGACAGCCTGTCCAAGTGTTTGAAACGGCCCTGCCTCACACGAATGGCTCCTCACACTACGGAGTAATATATAAGTAAATATGCCACAGGGGCTCTGTCACTGCTCTAAACCCAGAAAAGAGACTATACATAGCATCTTGGACATCCTACTAAGCCAAAGAAAATTACTGACGAAGTATTCAGCATATCAAAACTGGGAATTGTATGTCTGAACTTTCAACTTTTACAGCGTTCCTTTTCTGGAACGAATTGTATCAAATGCACCTTATCATATAAATTTATCAACCCCCAAACACCTACCAGCGCGAGAGGCTTATGCCTGAAGCGACTGAGGCAGGGTAGCAACCTTCTCATCGAAGAGCTGTTCAGCCTGCTTCCAAACCCGGGAGTTGGCCCGGTCGTTAAGAGTGAGAAGGCTGGGCAGAAGCGCCTCACTGAACATCTCAGAGCTCTCACGGGGAAGGAGGGATGGGAGGTGATCAATGCTGATCACGCTCAGGGGCAGACCCCCAGCCGGTAGCCCGGAGACGGGGACTGTGGGCTTATCGAATGTGGTCGTAATATCGTACAAAGGAATAGGGTTCAAGGGGTTAGAGCTGTTAAGAATTAGCCATACACTCGCTAGCAAAGTTAATATCTGATAACTCACGTGTCGGCGCTGACGTCGCAAATAACGGAAAGTGTTCGGTTGGGGGTAGAAAGGGACTCCAAGTTCACGAAGTCTGATCGAAAAGAGTATGTTAGTCAATGGAGCTGACAAGAGAGGACCTGGGGGAAGATTTACGTGGAATCTTGGCAGAAAGGTAGATGCAGTTCACGAAGATATCAGCTTCATGTGAAATTTCCTTGAAAGGACCACCTGAGAACGTTAATTAGCTTAGATAAGATAAAGTAGATAGCAATTTCACTCACCTCGGGCAGTCTCGGCCATATCCCACTGGACGATGTTGGATTCGGGAATACCAACATCCTTGGCCAACTGTACGGCACCGCTGCCGCAGCGTCCCAACTATAGCATTATTAATATCCACATTGTTCTCCATAGGCCTAGGAAAGACTCACAGCTCCAATAACAAGAATCTTTGGTGCCTTGCCGGCGACCTTGATGCCAGCCTCAAGCGACTCCTTCACGGACTCGACCAGGCGGTCCTGGTTGGCATAAGGAACCTCACCAGGCAAGGTCTCGTTGGGGTGTGTCAATTGCCAAGCCCAGTTCTTGACAGCCAAGGCAGATCCTGTTCCACGATTTAGTATTGAATGTGCGCAATTGCTAAGCTTGTAGTATACGTACCAGCATAACCGGCGGACCATCCGAAGGCTATTGTAAGAAAAGACAAGTTAGTCAATTGAGTTCCGGTAGGAGAGGCTACGAGACATGGATCTTACCAGCAACTCGGCGGCCGACATCATCAGTCAAGAACTCCAGGTCGAGCAATGTGCCCTTTCCGCGAGGCCAGCGGCTGAGAACCTTCTCCCAGCCACCTTGCTGCTTGAAGCAGTGGGCAAATGTGACATGGACATGCTCCAGAGGGAAGTCGTCCTCGGGCAGCTCCTTGAGGCCCAAAATGACGGCGTCCTTGGGTGCATCCTTCACCCACGATCCCTCCTCAACCAGAGGTGCTCCGATCTATACCAATCGGTGTTACTTCTGCCGAATCTGAGTCACATTGCCGATCGATGCATACCTTGGAGAATTCCTCATCTATACAACGCAATTAGCCATTGAGTCCGAGGATCAAGAGTGTTGGGATAGGGGGGATTGATCGAGTTGGAACCTACCATCAAAGATGCGCTGAGTTGAACGCTCGACAGTCACGTCATATCCAGCATCAATCAATGCCTTGCAGGTAGTCGGAGTCACTAGGTTAATGATCCTGGATCAGCCAATTGCTTCCCCGCCATTGCCGATGTGTTGAAGCTACTCACAGGCAGACCGTGCCTCAGCGGGCTTGGTCTCAGCGCGCAGCCAAATCTTCTGTCCAGCCATTGTGAATGTAGGGAATTGAAATATGGTGAAAATCAAAAGAAAGTTAAACAGTTATTAATTGCTCTATCACCAATAATGACACACACTTGCCCCTCTAGTAATAGCGGGGGTGGAGAGGGTTATTCCGCTCCGAAGAAATGACTCAGTCCCGATTATCGGCCCTTCGAAACTCTAAATGCCGAGTTGGGCTGCTTTTAGCCCGGCGTTTCCTTTTGCTAAAGAGGCCATATTTTCGGCTGTCGGCGATGTATCTGCTCCATACTCCGTACAGGTATGGCCATTTCCGTATGCCAACTAGATGCTTTGTGACAATCTAGATATCTATTATGCATGAACAGCTCTTTTTTTTGGATGATTTCTTACGAGATTGGAATGAGACTGGTAATTATCTAGTTGCTAGATTTAGGATCTTTCACGTCCAGTCATTGATTCAGACAGGGTGAGATATTCTTCTTATTGCAGTCCGTGTATAGTCACAGATTGACAAGTTTCCCATATGAGGTAACACGATTGGAAGTTGGAGAAAACATGATAGAATATCTACCACAAAAGTTCCCGTACATGAAGTGTTTAAAGGCGTTTCAAGCACCCTTGGTTCGACTGCGAGTGCGGCTGCCAATGCCATCTCCTGGAATCACTTTCTTCACGGCATCCTTGATCTTCTCCTTCTTTGTTCGACTAGCCTTCTTCGGAATTTGATCGTCCACATTGGACAAGCCAGCGTCAGTGCCATTAAAATCTGTGCTAGGCTCTTTGGCTGTCTTCAACTTCTTAGCACCAGGTTCTCCCAGTAATTCAGGCTTCTGTTGCTCCTCGCCTCCCACCAAGGCCGGGGTGGGCGTTACAGTCGAATCAATGTCCCGCTTCTCCCCAGTGGTTGTTTCGTTCTTGGGGCCTATCGAGATCTGTGATTCGCGGGCGATGGGAATACCGCCGAGGGGAGATTCTGCCGGCTCTGCAACAGGCGGCTCGGTGTCCATTTCACCTGCACCCTTGGGTACATCGGGCTCTGTCTCTACCGTGGGCTGTTCATCGGGCAACGCAGGCTTTTCTGCTTCAACCGGAGGTTCACTATCCGTTACAGTTGTATCCAATCTGTTCTGGAATGCTTGCGAGTGTTCATTGACTAGTTGCGCGGTGCTCCGGTCTGATATGTTCCTTAGTCAGCATTTGGCTAGCGGGACCTCCAACGCTCTCGGATACATGAACGACTTGACAGTAGGGTAGAGAAACGCCATTTTGCAACGGGAACTTGAGCAAATGACTGAGGCACTCAGGCCAATCACTCTCGCCGTTTCGCAACGGTCCGCAGGGGGTGAGACCACATACCAGAAGCTGTATTGGCTTGCATGGAGACTCCTTCAGTAGCCATTGTGGATCGATGATGTCAGAATCCGGGGCTGTACGTCATAAACCGGCAAAGATTGAGCAAGAGGGTGGTCGCAAAGGCAAAGCGACTACAATTCTTGCTAAAGGAGCTGTTTATGAGCAATGAAGAAATGGGGACGAGTCGGACAATTTGGCGAAGCGTGAGGTGAGGTCGCGCGGTGACGTACTTGAGAGCACTGGAGATGCTACCGGCTGATTCGCCGCTCCACTCCTCTAACTCTCCACGGCATTCTGTTGCACAGCCTCGACCAGCTCCGTTTTTTCCCATTGCCACACAATGTACTCCACCGGAGATACAACATAGATGTGACCACTGTTGAGACAGGTTGGTGCTTGATCGCGAACGCTTATCGATTGGGGTATAGATGCTAAAGTATGTACACCGTATGCTCTTCATTGGACCTATAGACCTTGTTTAGAGGGAAGATGAGCCACTATTGATAATAGGGGTATATAGTATATCCAAAAATAGGGCTTTCCTCTACTTAGTACTGCAATGCAGGCAAGTATGAGGATAATTGACAGTGTTGGCGTACATCAATAAAGCCGAGGGCTTGTTCGGCCATGTCCTCCTAGGAGTTCAAACTCCCGATACAGTTCGAAAATGAATGTGTACATAGAGCCCAAGAGCATGCGACTTTGATTTGGACGCGTAAGGGTGGGTGGAGTAGCAACAACGGTATGTTGCCCGTGCGAGTCATTCGAAAAACAATGGCTGTTTAAACGGACAGATTGCGTAAATTTCATATGTGCAAGCGTGCAACAATTAACGCACAGGGAGATGTTTCCTTTGCGATCTCCCAATATAGCAGAAGGCCTGTCTACCATCGTGTCAGATGGCATATGAATAGAAAGATGCTGTATATCTCGATTGTTTTGGAGAATGGGCTTGCGGTTAGAGTGGATGCTCTTTAAACATCCATGTGAGTTGAGAGGTTATTCAAGGAATTCGAAACAGAGTATCACGTGAAGCTCAAATTCAAACGACCGAGGGGTTCTTCATCAGGCGATGCGTGCGTCTTCTCAGCGACGGGAGCTTCTGGTTCCGGTAGTAATTCTGAGATTTGCTGCTCCAGCCGGGAGATATCACGGAACCTCTTCCTTTCCACGAGGACTCGAAGTGCCTCCGAACCTATCTCGAAGAAAGCATCACGTCTAGTCTCATTCCAAGCCTGGAACTTGCTTGGTGAAAGGTTCCCCACAAATTGAAGGAATGGGCGTGCATCAGGATTAGTTGGGTGACAGACAGCCACAGATGCGACCAACAAGGACCGAGGAGACAACACAGAAACCGTGTCTCTAAATTGATCATATACCAACTCCGAGACTTGCTCACCGGATGGTCTGTATTCCATGGCCATACGGCTCAGGTGAGCGCCTGCAGCTAGAAGCATCGGCTTTCTTGACTTGTGGGAAGATGGGCTTTGGAAATGCATATGGCATACACGCAGATAATATGCCATGGCCGAGCTAAAGCCATTTCCAAAGCAGGCCTCTGCATCGACAAAATCAACTAGGAGATGACTGAATGTTTGTCGCGCAAGACCTTCGGTCAGGCGGCCATTCTGACTGCCCAAGTCATGGGTCGTGAGCATTTGTAACCACTGGATGACAGTATTGTGCAATCCTTCTGCAACCATAAACTTGGTCAACGATGTGGTTACTGACCGCAAACGAAGAAGCATTTGCCTCGATGTACCATCTGATGCCCAATACCAATCAACGATCCGTGACCCCGCCCGAGATGCTTTCATATCGGCGGGGGATCTGGAAAGGAGAAGTTGAGACTTCAGGCAATCATTTATTGTGTTTGCAGTGACGGAGCCAGCTGCAGCCATTTGATCAAATACTGCCATCGGTTCTTCGGCTAGCCGTCGCTGGCCCTCGATGCTTTGCAATGTGGTGGGCTCTTGGGAGATGGGTCTAGTCGGCATGATGCGGAAGAGAGGGTTATCAAGAATGTTCTGCAAATGCTGATCGGTGGCATGGGCCGATGATTCAGGATTCGCAAGCGGCCGGCCATGGTTGTTGCCGGATGGGGGATATGCCCCATCTAGTTGGCGACGAAAGGAAGATGTAAGAGCATTGAGCAGTTGCTGAGACTCTCGAGGTGTACGGGGCAAGGGCTGATGAATCTTAGGCCAGGACTTGAACTGGAAAATGGATGTGCCTTTCATGATGTCGGTGAGTTCCAAACGGTGAGGGGTGTGGTACGTTACAACGACGTGACACTCAAGGAGGATCGACCAGGGCGGTGAGACGATGAGTCTCACGCAAATAGCGGAAAGGTGAATGACGAGTAGAAGTAACCACACTGAAGAAGACGCGAATTGGTAAAATTTCTTCGATAGACAGTAGTAAAGGCTCTCTTTGATTTACATCTAGAAATCTAGTGCAATGAAATTCGACCATCTCGTTTCTCAACGTCCAGTTTCTCTTAAAGATCCCTTTGTTACTTGTAAATGCAGCACCAATAAGCGCCACTCGCTAAAAGCCAGAGCAGCGCCAAGACCTGAGGGAAGCAACTCAGATTCCGTTAGCTTTTGATCCTTTCTTCAATCTTGTCATCTGCTACATATTCTTCCCCCAATTAATCTCTTTGATTTACCTCTTTTTCTGCCTCTTCTGGCCCCCGTGCCTGTGGTTTCGGTGCTGTTCCTCTTTTGCGAGGGTGCATCTCCATTTCGATAACCTTTCCTCCCTTCCTCTTGCGACTCCATCGTGTCCTCCTTCCTGATACTTCTCCATCTCACACATCTTCATCAATCAACATGTCCGACATTCAGAACCGGTCCTCCGCCTCGCGGGGTAGAGTATCCGCCCGTGGTGGCCGAGGCGGCTTCAGCTCCAGAGGTGGTCGTGGTGGAAACAGACCTGCAAATGACAACTCAGACATCTCATCCTTTGAGGAGGGTGAAATTGGACAGATGAAGAAGAAGTACTCCGACACTCTGCCAACTCTTAAGGAAATGTTCCCGGACTGGAAGGACGAAGATCTGGTGTTCGCACTGGAAGATTCGAACGGCGAGCTCTTGGAAGCAATCGAGCGCATTAGTGAAGGTGGAGTTCCCGTCAACCCCAATATCCCCGATATTCCCGATTCGCTGGAACCCAATCGATTCCCATAAATCAAAAGCTGTGGCTGACTTGCTTTGCAGGTAATGTGTCCCAGTGGGGCGAGGTCAAGAAGAAGACCACAGACCGGACTCGCCCGAAGCCCAAGGAGGCCCAGAGTACTTCGACCGATACGACTGCAGTTAATGCTCGTGGGACCCGTGGCCGTGGCGGATTAGAGGGTCGTGGTGGACGTGTTCGCGCAGACCGGGGCCGTGGTGGTCGCGGTGGCCGTGCAGGAGCCGCTACAAACGGAACTCGCACAGTGGCCCCTGCTGTAGAGACTTCGGCGCCAATTGCTACACCTGCTACCACATCGGAGTGGAATACACCCAAGGTGGAGGAAGCTATCGCAGAGCCCGCAGCTGAAGGCGAATTGGAGTCAACCGATTCCAAGAGCAGTGTAATTCCCGAGGGTACAAAGAAGGGGTGGGCGAGCCTTTTCGCCAAACCACCTGCTCCTCCAGTGCAGAAGAAGCCTCAAGCTGCCCCTCCTGCCCCTGTCGTCGAGAAGCCCGCGGAGCCCGTGGTGGAGCCATCCATTCCCACTCCGGAACCTGTGACTGCACCTGTTGCCGCTCAAAAGACTCCCGTTGCCAAGCCCACTCAACCCGTGATCCCCGCCGTTCCAACCACCACTGTGAATCCTCCCAAGAGCGATTTGACCGAGACGAATCTTGAACAGATCCCCGATGTTTCCGCCCCCGCTCCTACCGCCACCGCCGCAAGCACCGTTGGCAGTGGTATCGACCCCGCAGCTGCGGCTGCAGCTGCTACTCCGTCCCGCTTCCCTTCCTCTGCCTACCCCCCAGTGCTACCAAGCAGGGCCGTACCCCTGGTCTTCAACGTCGTGTGATGGAACAGCAGCAGGCTGTGGTCATGCCTGGTAACCATGCTGTGGACCGTGCTGCTGTTCAGTTCGGCAGTCTTGGATTGAACGGTGACGCTGTGGATATTGACGAGAACCGCGAGGAGGCCGAGACCCGTGCTCAGCCCCCGCAGCACTCCCCTGTTGCTCCCCGTGCCTCTCTTCCTCCCGCGACTCAGGCTCCTTTGGAGACTGGTGCTGCTGGGCGTCCTGCTCCTGGTTTGCCTCCGGTCCCTCAGGCATCTGCCGCCGACTCCTTCACCGACTTCGCTCGTTACTCTGAGCCCCAGCAGAAGCCATTCGATCCTTTCACTCAGCAAGTGAGCCAGCCGCAGCCGCAAATCCCTGAGCCATTCGCCAACCAAGCCCCCGTTCAACCTACCGCTACCACTGGCAGCGAGTACTCTCCCTTCTACGCCGCTGACCAACAGCGCTTCCCCTACTACGGCTCTTATGGTTCTTACGGCCAGTCCCAGGATGCGCCTACCGGTCCCCGTGCTGGAGCTGCGTTCGGTGCTTCTGGTGCTGAGGCTCAGGCCCAAATTCCCACCACACAGCCTCCCAACCGTTACGGACCTGTTGATGCCACCAACAGTGGACACAACACCCCTAACCCCACCATTCCTGGCGCCACTCAGCAGACCCCCACTGCTCAGCACATGCCTGGTCAAACTGCGCAACAGCACGCCTATGGCTATCAATACCCCTACTACAACAACCCGCATTACGCTACCTACATGAACCAGATGGGCCAGCAGCAGTATGGTGGCGGAAACCGCCCGAGGTATGACGATGCTCGCCGGTATGAGGATCACTACATGCAGCAGCAACAGCAGCAGCACAGCCAGCAATACGGTTACGGCAGCCAATATGGTCCCTACGCCGGCAAGGGTGGCATGTACGGCCAGCCCCACGGTGCTTTCTCTTATGAACAACACTCCTCTTCCCCCGCCAACACCGGTAGCTTCAGCCAAGCCATGCCCAGCCGCGACTCGGTTTACGGCCGCACCGGCTCTGCCCAGCAGTCTGACAACCAGTCTGCCACCGGCACCAATGCCTTCGGCACTGGAATGTCCGATGTTTTCAGCCGCTCCCAGGGCAGCTTTGGTCAAAACCCTCCTATCGCCGGACAGCCCCCAGTTGCCGCCGACGAGACCAAGGGCTTTGAAGCCCCCAAGGCCGGTGGTCCCAGCCCCTCGCTTGCCCAGAACCGCCCCGGGTCTGCTACCAACAGTGCCCCCGGTCAGCCCCAGGCACAGACTGGTCTTCCTCCTCTCCAGGGTCAACAGGGTCAGCAGTCTTTCGGAAGCTACCCTCAACTGAACCCTCAGTATGGCGGTCTCGGTGGTCTCGGTCACCAGGGTGCGGCCACCCAGACTCACCAGGCCTCCGGCTACGGTAACTACGGTGCCGGCTTCGGTAACTACTACGGAAACTCCGGTCGTGGCGGCTGGGGTGGCAACTACGGCCACTAAAGGAAGAAACGAAAGGGAGACATAACGACCCACCAAACACATATGGCGTTGCATTTGCGGATGATTCGAAAAGGGAATGTTTTCTGTCCACTTAGCACAAGGGAGAGAAAACACATGTCATGTCGACGGGGACGGACAGAACCCCGAGATTTCGCTTCATCCTTCTCTCCACATTTGTGTAATCTTTACTTCTCTGCTTTAGGGAGCTTGGCTGGTTTTCTTCACTCACGGGGGATTGTCTTCTTGATGTTTTTTCTTTTTTTTTCCTTGTTTCCTTGCTCTCTGCCGTCTTGCTTTTCTTTGCTACCACTGCACCCAACTGATGCGGTCTCTGTATTAAATTCACCAATTCCTCCCTAGGTTTCTCTGTTTTCTTTTTCCTGTTCGACTCTTTTTTTACGTTTTAACCTAGTGGGTGTCTATTTGGGTCTGGTGTGCCATTTGTTTCCGCGGACGGTTTTTCCAATTTTTTTTTTTTACCTGCCAAGGTACTTCTCCCTGTGTTCTGTTTCTCTCACCACACCTTGTGAAATATCGGTCGATGATTATGATGGATGATGGCTCAATGGGTCTGGTAGAGGTAGATCCAATGCTCAGTTGTGTTCTGGGCTAAAAGTGTCATGAATTATGTATGTTCTGCACGATCAATTATGCAACCGGTATTTGGAGATTTTCTTAGTGCCGTCAACGAGTAGATTCCAATTGTTACATTTGTAGAATTTTGGGTCCTTGCATTTAGTCCCATGTTCTACTTGTATAGCTCGAAGGCTGCACACTGGAGTGTATATATACTTTGTAAGCACATTGCGTTTTTGGTTGGAACTTCGCAAGTACAATCCACTTAAACCTCAAATATGTAGACCATAATCATGATTGAAGATACCATATCATTAGATGAAAAGGCTGAGCCGTCAGGCCCAAGCATATAAGCAAATGCGCAACTTCAACATGGACCGGGAACTATATACAACCGAAATGCAACATGACACGGTACAGAATAATCGGAATCCCAAAAGCCAAATCTACGTGGGGCAAGCAAGGCCCATGATCAATTCAACTGAGCCAAAAACGAAAAAAGAAAAAGCTATCCAAGCAGAGCCGATAATCTATTCGGTAAGGCCGAGGCCCTTGCCACCGGCCTTGTGATAAGGTGGCTGAGCACCAGCTGCCTTCTGGGCATCGAAGCGCCAGATACCACCGGTTTTATCAGTCTCGAGAGTAAGATCGGCCGATTTGGCAAGACGCTGGGTCTGGGCGTTCTCAGCGCTCTCCTCTATGCGGTTGAAGAAACGGCGCTCCCACTCGCGGCCCTCCTCCTTCTCAACACGGCGCAGTTCGCGCTGAGCGTTCTCGATACGCGACTTGTATCCCGAAACGGCATCCATGTCACCCTTCTGGATGTTGGTGGCCACGTCGTTCCAGGCACGTCGGCTCTCGTACACATCCTGTTGCTCGAGGGGTGCGAGGGAGAGCGGGGTGACGGGGGTCTCCTTGGAGTTCCAGGTATCGATGACATCCTTGGTGTGGGCGTCCTTGATAGTGAACTTGTCCGACCACTGACCCTCTACAGTGTAAAGAGGTTTCTTCTCGCCCTCGCTCTCCTTGAACAAGCTCGCGGAGAAGGTGTTCTTCTTACCGCTCAACCAGCCCTTACCGGAATAGTCGATCTTGGCGACATAGCCAGTGCTGCTGACAATCTTGGTTGATTTTTCAAGTTCGACGAAGGGGGTGCCGTAGATCAGCGATTCGATATGTAGGTTGGGTAGCGTGATGAGGTATTGTTCCTTCTCGTCGGATCCGGGTGGGGTGAGTGTGTAAAGTGCATGGCCAATCTGCTTCACGAGGATGGTGCTCGAGAAAGAGGCCTTTTGCGCGTTGTATCCTTGCAGCTGTGTGCGCATTGTCAGTTATTGCTACTCTCGGAGACGCGACAATCTTTGCTAAACTCACCTCCACGCCGTTCTTTTCGTTGCGAATCGCATAGGCGGTGGCCGGAGGGTGGTGGCTATGCTTTGATCAGTCCATGTGATGCCATGGAGAAGTATCTTCACATACCTGACTTGCTCACTGATCAAGGTTGTCTCGCCGACTGTCGCGTCACCCTCCCATTTGCCGATAAACAGCTCTCCGAGGAAAGGATTCAAGGGCTTCTTCTCACTTCCAAGCTTCTCGCTACGGCTGCAGTATTGCTGGCGCAGTGTGCTGAGGAACCACTTGAGGACCAACAGAGCACGCTTGGCGGGATCAGCCTCTTTAGCCGGTGCCACAAAAACGGCGGGGTGCTCGGCCCAGTACGCGGAGTACTCGGTAAGGGAGGTGGTGGACAGGATGAAGGGAGGAGCAGTCAAGGAGGAGAGATCACCGTTGAAAGAGGCGATCGACTAGAAATTTTAATGTTGTTAGCCTAGTATACCTGGCAAACAAACGAGCCTGCATACCTTGAGGAAACTTGTCCATGAACCCTTGCTGTTGGGGGGGACCTGGCTCTGAGGCGACATTTTCCCTGAATAAGAATGGGTTTATATGAGAAACTTGATATCACAGAAATCTGTCCAAAATCCAACAAGAAAAGGTGGAGGGGTAGAGAAGGAAGTTGGGTCTTTGGCGGTCAGAATCTGATAACGTCATGGCTGTCAGGGGGGGAAGCGATCTGGTGTGAACAGCCACAACCAGATCGGGTAATTTTCCAGACGCTCCTTCGAAACAAAAACAAGGTCATTCTGAAACGCAATTTGTTGCATTTTCTCTGTCGATGGGGGCGATGAGGAGAATATGTATGAGAACTACTATGGGCACCCAAAATTACTACGGGCACCCAGGGCGCTAAGCCTTTTACGATTTACTTCCCACTGGCCATAATTTGTTCACAGCCTGTCGTATTTAATATGGTACTCCCTTAGTATTTCGGACAGTCCCCGAATCTTATCTGGGCACCCTATCAGTAATGTAGAATCTCGCACGCCATCTACACTACTATACAAAAATGAAGCTATTCGCAGATGCTGATTTGATCGAGTTTTTTTCTACTAAAAAAGGGTTTGGTGCAAAAATGAAGCTATTCCCAGATGCTGATTTGATTAAGTTTTTTTCTACTGAAAAAGGGTTTAGTGTAAAAATGAAGCTATTCGCAGATACTGATTTGATCGAGTTTTTTTCTACTGAAAAAGGGTTTGGTGCAAAAATAAGGCTATTCGCAGATGCTGATTTAATCGAGTTTTTTTTCTACTAAAAAAGGGTTTGGTGCAAAAATGAGGCTATTCCTAGATACTGATTTGATCGAGTTTTTTTTCTACTAAAAAAGGGTTTAGTGCAAAAATGAGGCTATTCCTAGATGCTAATTTAATCGAGTTTTTTCCTACCGAGAAAGGGGTTTGGGGAGATAGGGTTTAATCGGTTACGTGATCGTAAAATAGAGGCTATTTATTAAAGATAGTGCTAATCGAGTTTTCTCACTATAGTTAAGATAGTATAGCTATTAACGCTAGTTTCCTACTATCCTATATAGCAAAACTTTTATCTTTAATAAGTCATTTCGACTGATTTTAGTTATATTTCTAATATATAAACTAGATATTAATATTATTAAGGGCCCCCTCTTCTACGTCTACGTCTACGTCTACGTCCCCTTCCCCGCCTAGTTATAACACTACTAACTACGATCTAATTATTAGACTCCGTTGTCTCCCCCTATATAGTCTAATTATTATTATACCTCCCACTAGCTATCCTCTACCGACCCGACCGACGAATAGCTACCTCCTCGTCCCTTCGTATAATCTCGAATCGTGATAGCTTACGACGGGTTAAGCTCTTAAAGCGTTAAGATACTTACGATAATAAGATTGTCTACTAGGATAACTACTAAGATAACTACTAAGATAACTACTAAGATAACTACTAAGATAACTATTAAGATAACTATTAAGATAACTACGGTAGGCGACTATACCCTTATATAATATAAGGGTTTACTATACGGAGTTCTATTACCTAGGGGTGATTAATTATATTAGTATACGCTAGGTCTCGCTAGATCTAGTAGTGAGGGTAAAAGTCGGCCTAGGTAAGGCTCTTACCCCTTATCTAGGCCTCGTTAATATAGTAAATATATAGATACCCCTATATTAGTGTTATAATACCTAAGTATAGTAGTAGGATCGGAGGTTTCTCGTTATAGGATAGTAGATAGTAATTAAATACTAATTGTACCTTTTTAATTATATAGTAAGTAACTAGCGTCTTAACTCCTATAAATAGAGGGCTACCGTTAATCTCCCGACTAGCTCTCTACGAGGCGAGCTCCTATTAGATCTTAATACCGAGACGCTTAGTTATATTTCCGAACTAGGTATAAAGAGCGAAGAGATCCTTCGTACCCGATTATATATCGAGTTTAAGGTAACGATAGGTAGATTCTACGCGGGATATAGAGCTTTTATTAAGATAGAGAAACCTACTAGTATAGTATTATAAAAAATAGGGACCGTAACCGCGGATCTATTCTTTATTAATATATACTAGTAGACCTAGATAGTACTAATACTTATCCTTAAAGGTAGCCTACCGAGTCTCTATATTATTAACTATATACGCGAAGATAATAAAATACTAGTCCTTTTTTATTATTTCCTAGTATATAGTGATTATATATATAATATTATTAACTATAGGGTGTATTTAGGTATCGTCTTCGGCGATATTATTAAGGATATAACGATAGATAAAGGGCCTAGCGTATAACTCGACGTTATAAGTAATATACTAGAGGTATAGGATAGTATTAGTTATAGGAAAAACCTAGTAAAATAGCTAGTAGTTAGTATATAAACTATATAATAGTTAAGATACTAATATTTTTAACTATATTTCGTAAAGCTTACTCCTTATCTATTAAGATAGTATACGGGCTAAAGTAAGAGGTAGTAGCTAGAGTAGTATCCTTAAAATTATATATTAATATAAAGCTAGATAGATAGCTATTTTCGAGTATACTTTATAGAATATAGGGTATTAGGGGACTAGCTACTAAAGACTCTAACTCTAGGGGATTAGTTATAGTAGTGCGGATAAATATTAGTATACTCGCACTACTACTAATAGCTATATAGATATCCCGTAGCTAGCTAAGTGCCCGATTATAAGCAGCTTCCTTCTTACTACTTAAAAAAGTATAGGTAATATAGAAGGTCTTCCTAATAGAAGATACTCCTACGATATTTAATAGGGGTATCTTCTATTTATTAGTCTTATACGTATAGTCTATCTATAAAATATACGGATAGATACGTAGAAGCTAGAGACTAATTTTATAGACTAAAAAAAGGGAAGTAAGGGAGTCATTAATAGTATTTACCTTATACCTAATAATCTAAGTACTATCCCTTAGGAGATCTATAAGAAGGGCCTATATTAGGGTACGTCTAGCGAGCTATTTTCGCGTTATACTAGCCCTAATATTATTAATATTACGGGTGCGTAGATATAAAGTACGCCCCTCGGCCTCGGCCTACCCCCGAACACTACTTATAATATAACGGGTAAAGATACTATCGGTAATCTAGATTATAATAGTAGGTAGGACTCGCCTTCGCTTACGCCTTCGGGGGATAATTATAGTTAACTCGTTAACTATACTATAATTATAGTAGGAAGTAATAATTTTAACCTACTAGATACCGCCGGTAGTAAGTCGAAGGTTACCTTTAAAGGGGTAGGAAGTTATATAACGAACTCGCCTTCGCTATCTATTTAGGGGGGCCCGATTAGTCCGATAACCCCGACTACGGCTATATTAGAATCGTATCTTATTAGGTACGCTACGCTAGGTAACGATTAGGAAGCCTAGCGGGAGGGACTATAAGTTAAGGATATCTAACGCTTTAGCTTTTACGGCTTAGATACTAATAGAGGTAGTATTCGTAATTATTTAGAAAGAGGGTATAGTATCGGGAAGGTTAGGGGGTTAGGGGTCTATAGTGTCTAGTCTATCTATATCTATTAGATATAAGTAAAAATTTACGAAGCTATACGTACTAGGGCTTATAGTTTAGGAGGTAGGCTAAGCTAGGGTAAGAAAACTCGATTAGCACTATCTTTGAAAAACAGCCTCTATTTTACGATCACGTAACCGATTAAACCCTATATTACCAAACCCTCTTTTTTAGTAGGAAAAAACTCCATTTTTACACTAGAACTTAATCAAATCAGCATCTAGGAATAGCCTTATTTTTACACTAAACCCTTTTTTAGTAGAAAAAAACTCGATCAAATTAGTATCTACGAATAGCCTTATTTTTACACTAAACCCTTTTTTAGTAGAAAAAAACTCGATTAAATTAGCATCTACGAATAGCCTCATTTTTGTACTAAACCCTTTTTTAGTAGAAAAAAACTCGATCAAATCAGCATCTACGAATAACCTCATTTTTGCACTAAACCCTTTTTTAGTAGAAAAAAACTCGATTAAATCAGTATCTGCGAATAGCCTCATTTTTGTACCAAACCCTTTTTCAGTAGAAAAAAACTCGATCAAATTAGCATCTACGAATAGCCTTATTTTTGCACTAAACCCTTTTTCAGTAGAAAAAAACTCGATCAAATCAGCATCTACGAATAGCCTCATTTTTGCACCAAACCCTTTTTCAGTAGAAAAAAACTCGATCAAATTAGCATCTGCGAATAGCCTCATTTTTGCACTAAACCCTTTTTCAGTAGAAAAAAACTCGATCAAATCAGCATCTGCGAATAGCCTCATTTTTGCACCAAACCCTTTTTCAGTAGAAAAAAACTTGATCAAATCAGCATCTGCGAATAGCCTCATTTTTGTATGGTAGTGTAGATGGCGTGCGAGATTCTATGTTCGCGATAGCGTGCCCAGATAAGATTCGGGGACTGTCCGAAATACTAAGGGAGTACCATATTAAATACGACAGGCTGTGAACAAATTATGGCCAGTGGGAAGTAAATCGTAAAAGGCTTAGCGCCCTGGGTGCCCGTAGTAATTTTGGGTGCCCATAGTAGTTCTCATATGTATAAACATCTGCAGTCGACCATCACTGCATGTCGCTAGTGTCACCTTGTGCTGGTGAAAATGGGAGTCTGGGCTTGGGTATCCTTCCAAGGATAGCCCTAAAGCGTCCATAGGCTTATATACGGGACTGATGGCTTTCTAGCCTTACATCCCGGTGGGAGTAACCATTCTAATATCAGTTTATACGACCTATACACCGTATGGACTATACTGATCAGGCTTACCCTCGGTAGCCCGGATTCTTTTCCGCCCCCTTTGCCCTACTCGGCTACTCAACCGGTCGTCTCCCCGAATCATAGAGGTCCATTGCCTCTAGATCCGACCAAGATGGACCCCAAAACAAGGCAAATCCTCTGTTTGGAGAGTACGCCGGTGTATTGGCCTCTTAAAATGCGACGTCGGTAACAATGCGCCGATCCTCCCCCCAAGATGAATGAGTAAAAGAGACATTCATATTTCTCTCTGTGACTCACGCTTCAAGTTTACGATGTGCCTCTTTGCGATTGATTCATTACAACTCAGTTTGCTCGCTCCCATTTCATCTCTCAACATTGCACGTCCATACCCGACGAACATGATCTCGGAAAGAAGCCGAGCTTGACGACCAATACCGAGATTTATTTCATATTTTTCGTATACACCGCAAGAGCTTGAATCTAACTCACTACCGGCGAGCAGGTACTCATTCCTGTTAATTGCTTTCCGCCATGTCTCCTACAGCGTCAAAAGCCTCGAGTGAGGACCGACGATCTGAGTCCCTGATCAACGGAAATCAGATCCAGAGATCTCAATCGCAGCGTTCCCAGCGAGAGCGCGCTGCAAATAGCCTTGTACACACACAGAGCCATGTTTCTCACCACGACATGCCTGCCAATGACGACTTCCATGAGGTTGATGCAGAGCAATATCTACGCTTCTCGCCAGCTCGCAAAATGACCATCGTTGCAATTCTCTCGTTCTGTTCTTTCCTGGCACCCATCTCTTCAACTTCTATTTTAGCCGGTATCCCCGAAGTCGCGAAGACCTACAACACTACAGGAAGTGTGATCAACGCGAGCAATGCACTATACATGGCGTTTATGGGTATTGCGGCTCCTTTCTGGGGGCCTTTTAGCCAAGTCTGGGGGCGACGACCGGTGCGCAATCACCACTGAAGTCTGTGAGAAGCGAGGAGCTAACAAAACATAGGTATTCCTTGTTAGCGCCTTCTTGTTCTCCGTTTTCAGCATCGGCACGGCTCTAGCACCAAACCTACCAGCCTATTACATTTTCCGCGTCTTAACTGCGTTTCAAGGAACATCTTTCTTGGTCGTGGGAAGCTCGGCATTGGGCGATGTGTATGAGCCTCGAGCACGAGCGACAGCGCTAGGATGGTTCTTATCAGGGACGCTGATTGGGCCGGCCTTTGGTCCATTCCTTGGTGTAGGTTTGCTCCATATTGGTGCCATAAAAAGTTGCTGACAGACAAACATAGGGAGTGATTGTCACTTTCCGGTCCTGGAGGGTGATTTTCTGGCTCCAGACTGCACTTGGAGGCTGCGGTACGCTCCTCGTCTTCTTTTTCTTCCCGGAGACCTACCCAAATCTGAAAACAAATGACATGAGCGACATAACAATATGGCAAAAGGCCAAGTACCTTTGGCATCGCATATCACCCTCTCCAAGTTTGTACTATGCTCTTCAAATACCCCAACCTTTTCTGTACAGGCATTGCCGCTGGAGCTCTTGTCTGGAATCAGTATTCTCTCCTGACTCCGATTCGATATGTGCTTAATCCGCGATTCCACTTGACCAGTCCTATCCAGACGGGGCTGTTTTACATCGCTCCTGGCTGTGGGTATCTGGTTGGCACATTTATGGGTGGACGATGGGCAGATCATACTGTGAAGAAATGGATCCGCAAGCGTGGCGGTGTTCGAGTTCCGGAAGACCGACTGAAATCTTGCCTGATATTTTTGGGCGGTGTCATCCCCGGCTGTATCCTCATCTATGGATGGACGGTCGAGAAGGCTGTTGGTGGAATTCCAGTACCTGTTCTTGCCATGTTCTTCCAAGGAATTGCGCAGTTGTTCTGCTTCCCCAGTCTCAATACTTACAGCCTGGATGTCATGCAGTCGAGCGGACGGAGTGCTGAAGTCGTTGCCGGTAGCTATCTGGTCCGATACATATTCGGTGCGTTGGGATCTGGACTTGTCCTGCCGGCAGTAGAGACCATGGGCGTGGGATGGTTTAGTACTATCAGTGCGCTGTTTTTGATTCTCTCCGGGGTTGGTGTTTGGTTGACGACTGTCTTCGGTGACCAATGGCGCGACAAAGCTGAAAAGAAAAGTCAGCTCCAGGCTGGGGAGTCAGTTTCAGAAACACAACCGGACTCGACCAAAGTTGAGAACTGATCGATTAGGTGGATCTAATAATGTCTCGATGGGGATATCGAGTCAAAACTTAATGAGAAAATGTTTGATGACCTATACGGAGGCATGAAAGAAACACAGCACCGTGGTTTGATCAAGAGCATTTCAAAATCTACCCCCTTAATCCCTCGCCGAACCGCTCGCGTGCCAACTTTCTACTCCAGGGACATGTTCACCAGCAAAAAGTTTCCCCTTTGCAATATCATCGGCATTTAAACCACTTTCTGCCGCCACACGGTCGATTTTGCGCTGCTCGGTGAATCTCCGACAGTCCTCACGACCCTTCTTGATGTCCACAAACCAGATAGCGATCATAGCGCCAGTGCAGATGGCGAATAAAAATGGGAAGCCCATCCAGTTATTTCGAGTATTGTTAATGATGGCTTGAATGACATTGGGACCGATGATTGAAGACTAATATGTCAGTGAAAATGGATAAGCAAAGAGGATAGCCGACCTACAGCACGGTTGGTTATTCCAAATAGCGCGAAGAACATATTATCATAGCCGTGAGGCATTAGTTCGCTAATCATCGTTTGGGCGTACTGGCAAAGTGTAAGCAACTATCGAAGAGAAACCAAATGAAGACCATTCAAGGTGTCACCTACCGCATAATACGGGGCCTGGAAGAGACCGAAGCTAACGTTGTAGAAATAGAATTCCCACTCCAGGGGAGTTAGCTATAATCTTTTTCTTAGGGCGTGATACATACCATATTGTGATACCCGATGCGATGGGTCCACAGTCCCAGCATGCCCCAAAATGGGATGAAAACACTGAAGAAATTCGTGAACAAAAACATGGTTTTCGTTTTGAACTTGAAGTATCGCTGTATATACCAAAAGCCGAACGTTGAGGTGATTGAACAGGCGGCTTGAGTAATGCCGAGATAGGTAATCTGCAGGAAGGAAAACGAAACAGAATCGTTTTGGATGATGCTGACAAGAGTACCTGTTGCTGGTAAGTTATCGCGTGGAAATGTATCGAGCGCGTTTGCGACCAAAGAAAATATCAACTCACCAGTAGTGTTGAGGCCATCAGCAAGAAGGAAATAGGCGAAAAAGTACAAAAATGTCTGTGGAAGAGATCTGATTTCTCGAATGGCCAGCCAGATTTGCTTGAAACCAATGGTAGTGTAGCTTGACCCTTTAGGTATCTTTGGACCTGGCCTTTTCTGCTGGAAGATAAACCACCAAATTCCAAGCACGACCCAGTCTGTAAATAGTTAGATAGTCTGGCATCTCAATTGATAGCCCAGGAAACCTACATGAGTTGGTGAGACAAAGTGCGAGGTTATTCGCAAAATTATTGTTTTGCATCGGAAGTAAGACACTCAGATTGAGCACGAGGGTGAGAAGGTAGCCAATGTTGCTGTGTGCAGTTGAGATGTTGCTACTATCATCAGCAAGAGTCTAAAACAGAGCCCAAAAGACCAGAGCCCACCTGATATGATTTCTTTCCAGAGATTCAATGGCATCATATTCCTCCTGGTCGATGGTTCCCTCTCTGAGATCCTCTTCCCTCGCTTTACGGACATGCGGCGTATACCGCGCAAGGCGGGGAAACACAGCGGCATAGAACACTAGGGTTGCACCATAGGCAATGTATGCCACGACGTACATTCCCATCGCGGCCGGCCATTGGCTTGGGTGTCGGATGGATATCATGCCGTACTGCAGGGCCCAGCAGACTACCGTCAACGCTAAAAGAAGCCATCGTCCGAATGTGCCATAGTCCGCAGCGCTTCCTAGCCAGACGAATATCACTGTCATAAAAGCGAAGCAAAGACCATTTGCGATAAGAACCACCGAAGAAACGGATCTTGTGCCTCGCGCCCACGGCACTACACATGCCGATGAATCGGTGCAAGCTTTTGGTGGGTTCGAACCAGGTTGATGTCCGGCGCCATTCAAGGCCCACTGGAAGCTATACAGGGTCAGTCGGAGAATTCCAGACCAGTTCACCGTGCCTACAGAGCTTGGCTGTATGAGCCTGGACCAACCCCATTATCACCATTGTAATAGAGGTAGTATGACCAAAGTTCTTTCCGGGTGGTGGTTGGCTGCTCATACGCGTCCTCGTCGACGCCAAAGAGCCGCTCATACTCCGCCAATGTGGGGTGTGGCTGGGCGGTCACCACCGTGGCATTGTCCTTCGCCGCATCGTTACTCGTTGGGTCATCGTCAATTTCCATGGAGATGTATGTCGGAGGAAGAGATGTCATATTCTTGTTCACCTAGCAACCAAGGTTACCCCGCCTTCGACGTTTGGGGAAAGAGAGCTCCTGCGACTGCTCTGAGAAGATCCACTGTAAGCGCGATGTTGCATCGTCACCAAGTGGGACTCGGGGAGATCAACTCCGATCAACTCCTTTTCAACGTCAACGTCAGTTTGTTTGCACGTCAGTTTGTCCCGCTTGCTTGCAGTCCATGAAACAGGTATTCGCATAAACGCGCACATGGCTTCTCTAGATCTCCAAAAACAGGTCGGCCAGGTAATGGACGCCCATTGAAACCCCTGCTTTTCGAACACTAACGATCGCAGCTCTTCGCAGTGGGGTTCCATGGCTACACCCCAAGCCCTGAAATCAAGACGTTGATCCATGACTACCACGTCGGAGGCATTGTTCTCTTCTCGCGCAACTTTGAAGATGCCGAGCAGCTCCAGGTGACATATCCTTAGTTATATTATCGATCTCTGTAACTGATCCTTCCCAGGCTTTGACATTGGCTTTACAAAATGAAGCTAAACTGGCTGGACACGAGCGACCGCTTTTGATTGGAATTGATCAAGAAAACGGAATTGTAACTCGGATTCCTCCCCCGATCGTTGCGCGGGTACCAGGGCCTATGGCACTTGGCGCCACGTATGACCCGGAGTGCGCTTACACTGCGGGAAAGGCCACAGGGGAAACTCTGAAGGTTTTCGGGATTAACATGAACTATGCACCAGTCTGCGATATCAATTCAGAGCCTTTGAATCCGGTTGTGGGGGTACGAAGTCCTGGTGATGACCCCGAATTTGTGGGCCGGTTCGCCAGTGCGGCAGCACGGGGTCTGCGGGAACAAAACATCGTTCCAAGCGTAAAGCATTTCCCTGGCCATGGAGACACTGCCGTTGACTCGCATTATGGACTGCCGGTTATTCCAAAGACGAGGGATCAACTGGAGCGGTGCGAGTTGATTCCATTTAGGCGCGCTGTTGCTGAAGGTATTGAGGTCGTTATGACTGCTCATATCTCGCTGCCGTGTATCGACCTTAAGCGCCCCGCAACGCTATCTCCAGATGCCATGGCGATATTGCGCAAGGATATGGCTTATGATGGCATGATAATTACTGACTGTCTGGAGATGGATGGTATTCGTTCCACATATGGCACAGAGGAAGGCTCCGTACTCGCATTGCGTGCAGGTAGCGATAGTATTATGATCTGTCACACCTTTGATGTGCAAGTGGCCTCAATCAAAAGGGTATGTGAAGCAATCGGGTCCGGCAGTATTGATCAATCGCGGCTGGCGGATGCTTGTCGGCATGTTGCTACGGTGAAAGATAAGTTTTTGAACTGGGATATCGCTCTTCATCAACCCAATCTTGCAGAGCTGAGCGCGCTCAACAATAGAATCACCGAGAAAACCATGGATATCTACTCTCGATCAACCACACTTGTTCGCGGCAATAATGGCGTTCTCCCACTGTCGAAGACCTCAATAATCATCTTCTTATTTCCCGGAGACAAGATTCCAGTTGGTGGTGCAGTTGACGGCGAAGGAGTAGGGAAGGCGGGATTATATCAGTCCAAAAGATATCTGGACGTTCTTCGACAACACAACAATTCTATCGCTGAGATCATATACGGAGAGACGGGCCTGGACTCGGAGCAATGGAGAATGATTGAGGTCGCCGATGTTGTGATTTTCACTTCACTCAATGCAAAAGAGTCACCATACCAGAGAGAATTGGGCCTTGAACTTGCTCAACGTGTGAAATCAGTGGTACACATTGCTGCATGCAACCCTTACGACTTCCTTGATGATCCTAGCGTCAAGACCTATATCACTACATACGAACCAACGATCGAGGCATTTTCTGTGGCTGCCGACATCATGTTTGGCGCACTGGTCCCGACAGGCGCTCTGCCAGTAGGACCTAATGCATTGACCAAGACAGCAGCAGTCCTGACACCTTTTGATGCAACAAATGATCTGGATGAGATTATCAAAGTCTGGGCCGCTGCTCTCCCGACCTATCCCCTTCCTACTGAAAGTTTGCGGTCGCTGATAGTGCGTCCATATGGTCACCATTTCGTTGCTCGTATTGGCTCAGAGCTAGTGGGGTTCTGTCTTGCTTATATAAATGCCCACGGTGAACCAAAGACTGTGCACATCGCGGTTCTCGCAGTGTCACCAGATTATCAACGTCAAGGCGTTGGAATTGCCCTGCTGCAAGAAACAAGAGCACACTTCCGGACCACTTTCAATATCAACAAAGTGAATCTGGGCAGCTCGTTTCCCCGATTTTGGCCCGGTATTCCTAAAGATCTTCCGGAAAGCGTCCAACATTTCTTCACACACCGTGGCTTCCGACTCAATCCGCCTAATGCCCGATCGGTCGACTTGTATCAAGATATCCGGAACTTCCAGTCACCAGAGAAGTATATCACTCGTGCAAACGAGCGGGGATTCCGATTTGCACCATTAAAACCCGAAGATTACGAGGCCTGTCTGGTCGGTCAAAGAAGAAATTTCTCTCATAATGAGGTTGGTCTCTCCCTTTGTTTCAATCCCTAAACCCTAACATTTACTAACGCGCTGTGAAGGACTGGGTTCAAGCCTACGTTGCCTTAAATCCCGACCAGTATCCAGATAGCGTGATGACAGCGTTCGACTCTGAAGGCCAACAGGTTGGCTGGACGCTGATGCTGGGTCCATCAGATGTGCTGAATGTGATTTGGGCGTTCCCTCAAACCTGTGGCCCCAAAACAGGGTTGATCGGTGCTGTGGGGATTGATGAGGCCCACCGCAAGTATGGCATTGGGTTAGCGTTGATCTGTCATGCCATCGAGCATATGAAGCAACGAGGTATTGAAGGCGTCTTCGTGGACTGGGTTGCCCTGGATGGGTGGTATGAGCAAGTGGGCTTTGAGACCTGGCGGAGCTACAGACCTGGCCAACTTTGAGCGTTTCATCGCCGTTGCTTCTTTTTTTATCTTCCATCCTATCGACTATGGTTATTCTTGATGTAAATACTCCAGAGCACCGAAAGCGTACACCTCGAGTCATATGAATGACAGTGCTTTCACGCAGGCCACATATATTGAACTTGTCAGAAGTACGACTATCCTTCCGCTAACATGAATCAATTCAGATTTGGCTCCGATACCAAGAACCCAAGAAATTTTCACAACTCAATGTTGATCAGTACTTGTCATAGCATCAATTTTAGCCCGGAAATTCTGGAACAGCTCCTTCTTCTTCTCGGGAGTCCAATTCGAATGCGGAACATCCACACCCTTCTTCACAGCAGCACGCTCTTCAATCTGCTCAACCCATTCCTTCAATGCGGGGAACTCGGACAGATCAATCTCCAGGGTAGTCGGAGCCCCACGAACCCAAGAGAAAGTCGCAATATCGGCAATAGTATATTTCGAGCCCGCAAGGTAGGGACTCTCCTTGAGCCGCGATTCAAGGACCGAGTAGAGCCGCTTCGTCTCATCGATGTATCGCTTGATAGCATAGTCAGAGCGGGCATTAGCAAAGAGACGGAAGTGGTTAGCTTGGCCTATATGATATTAATAAGGCGTGCAGCAGAAGTATGCGATATTCTTCGTACGCACCTTGCATAGGTCCAAGACCAGCCATCTGGAACATTAACCAGGAAGTTTGTTCGACCTGCTCCGGGGTGCCAGGCCCATAGCTGATCTTGCGGTCGGTGTCGTACTTGTCGACCAGGTAGGTCATGATTGCTCCGCTCTCAAAGACACGCTGCGAACCGTCAAGAATGGCAGGAATGCGGGCGTTGGGGTTGATTTTGAGGAACCATCTACTCGAGGAGTCCTATCAGCATGATTTAGTCTGGTATAGGAGTATGAAAGTAGCGTTACTCTTCTTTCTGGCGATTGGTGCTGATGTCAATAGCCTCGGTCTTATAAGGCAGGCCTAGTTCTTCTAGAGTTATGGAAACCTTGATGCCATTTGGCGTGGCCCAGGTGTATAGGGTGATATCTGAAGACATAGTGAGGTATGATGCAGCGAAAGTCGGCGGGTACAGAACCAGGATGCTGTATTTAGCGAAAAGGTATCTATATTGATAGGACGAGAGCGAGAGTATATGTATCTAAAGTACTCCGTGAGCAATCATTCTAACCTTGGGTTTCACCAAATGGTGAATTTGTCAGCTGCTTGCAAATAAAGCTGGACTACCTATCTAGGTACTTCGAAGCCTCCTTACCAATGCAGAGTCTCAGTGACCAGGTCACTTTTATATTGCATCATTGTATAAGAAGTACTCCGCCAAAAAGAGTCTAGATTTTGAGATTTCTGACGTCTTGCACTACATCTAGCTAGGTACAACTATATATACCTACATATATAAGCATGGCTTTTCCTATTTGAGCTGCCGTTGTAATGAGGGATCCACCCATTCCCCTAAAAAAAAAGGTTGTTCCTATCAAGAAATGGCCGAATCTCTGTCTGGATTTGGCACTTTCTCAGCTCAGCGTGGATACGTCGGAGTTGATGGAGATACTCAAATCGGCACCATTCTCATTACGGTCTATTGAATTGGAATCCATCAAGTTCCCTTTTGATGAATTCTGTGTGACTGGACTCTTAGAGAGGATGCAGAAGGAACTGAATTGGGCCAAGAGAGCTCAATTGTTATAACCAGCCGTCACAATCGCTATGGAAGACCGTCGCAAGTGGCCGGGGGGTGTCATCAAGCTTACAGACGAGGTTATAAGCTTTCTCTACGGCTCTGGTGAAACCCCCGTGGACGGGGCAGATACGCGCAGCCCCAAAAACGGATGGGGGACGAATCATGATCTTTTTGAAGCGGAGTATACTTGGCCCAACGTCAGTATCCAGGATCTTACGAAACTAGGAATGAACCACTAGGGATAGGAACCAGTGAATCCCGAGCCTAAGGCCTAAATATCTGTTATTGACTTAGGGTCATTAATACCATCGGTGTATTCAACACACCTATCAATATGTCTACTGACTCCAATCAGATTTCTCGAACAAGACTACTCTGTACATCTCACATAACTAGATAAGCGGAATTAGAAGCCTAATCTTACTAGGTAGGGGGTCCCAATGGTACAAGATACACAAAAGTCATATAATGATTAGATATCATGATCGACACTGGACAGAGCCGCAAAACCTTCTTTCTACAACACACATATAGGCACCGTAAGCTCCGTATCCCTGGGACTTCATGCATACCGGTCTAGAACAATGCTACATCTCATGCCTGGGCGGAATCGAAATTTGATGTGTCACCTATAGTGGTACCAGCCTCGATCGGGGCTTTGATATATGTGACTCTTATCACTACTCCGTACGGTCAACGGCGACGTGTGTGTGTAGAAGCAGTCTCTACCAGGCCTCTTCGGTATTTGTTGACAGATAAAAAGGGAATTTACCTAAAACACATACTGTAAATCTATTCGAATTATACATGACTGATCGAGAGTTGATAGATGGTGCTTCTTTTCTAGGTAATTAGGGTGATTGAGTTAGGCATCCCGATGCTCTTCGTTTACCTAACCCCTTAGCAGATAGTAAGGGACAGGAGGAAAAGATTGAGGGCACAAATAGTAAAGTACTGGATATCTCGGAGTTGATCGGGTCACCTTTCAGGACGCACGCACCGCAATACCGTGAAACAGAAAAGGGATATAGTTTTAGGATTTGCGCTATTAAGATTCCAGCGAAAACTGTATTGAATTAGCCGCAAGATTGAGATTCGCTAGCTGGTTCAGGGGACCGAGACCAGAAGTATTGCTACTGAGTATTGTTTTCTTTGTTTGAGCCCTTCAAGGTAACACTGGTATCACGAAAAAGCAATCTTGCCACTAGCCAGTCCCATATTCGGGGATATCTAATTCAAGCCAAACATGGCATCCTGCTAGGGGTTTAGGTATATTCCGCCTCTTGAAATAAGGGCTAGATGTGAGCAATGCTATAGGAGGGTCGCAGCTTCTTTATTTTTGCCTTGCCCCTTGCCGCAAGGCACACAGACGGCACCCCCGATACGAGATGGAATGCCCTTTTCTCAAAGAGGCATTGACCATATGCTCCATACTCCGTATCCCACAGAGTTTTCAACAGACTGAAAGCCACTCGCAGACATCAGCACGGGAGATCCGCTTCTGGGAAAGGTAGTGGCGTGTCACTTTGTAGAGCATGGGCCAGGATTTCGCATGATTCGTGTTACAGACTAAAGTCGGAAGATTGATCGGTAGCATGCAACTCTGATCACCGATAGCCCTTGTGGGGAAATCTTCGCATCGTAATCTAGGAGTACAAGGGGTTCACCGCGTCTGACATGTCGAGTACATACTTACCTGGAAGAAGCGCTGGAAGCCCCGACCGGAAACGGAACAGCAGTGAGCAACTCAATTGATTTACTTTCGGTGTGGTTCTTGGCGCTAAATGACTGTTTGATCGTCTATCGTAGCCAGTTGATGGAAGTGTCATGCACGGGATCTTCGAGAGATGATTAATCCCCCACGATTTTCCCCAAGGGATGACCGAGTTAGGGTTGAATATAGTCGATCCCCACATGGCCTCAGCCACGAGTCTTTTAGCGCTGTAACCCCTAAATCCACACGCTCGAGCCCCGCCGACAAGCGCATTGGATCTCGCCGGAGACGGCAATCACAGCCTGTGTGCTGAATTGCGGATGATGCGATCATGCCGCTTTGGTCTGCGCCCTCGGCAATGGCATTCATGTGCTTCTTTATTTGTGGAGATTGGGGGCGTCAAAGACATGGAAACAATTGCCGGGGTCGGGGCTCTCGGTTGTTAGTTGCAGTTGGACAGAGGCACCAGTCAGCCATATACAGACTCTGCGAAGATGGAATCGGGGAAGCCTGACCATTGGGGATATTTCCCGCTCACGTTGGGTACTCCGTAGTCCGGGAGTAGTTGATCCTTCCAAGGTTGTGCTACTACCTGACTCGCTGTAGAAGTAGACTGCACTAGCGTGAGACCTGGACTCCCGCTTCGGGTATATTCCGGACCCCGGATTTCCACTTCATTTCCTGGATTCGGAAGAGAGTTGGTATTCTATTCGATCTGACCCCCGGACTTCGCGGGTATTCAGAGTTAGTAATCTGGTCAAGGTAAATGTGCGTAAATCAAGTTGAAGTCGGCAATGCAGAGTACCAAAGTTAACACCAAGGCGATTAGCCTGATTTAAGTGTTAGCCACTAAGCGTTAGTCTAGGGCTTCTTTTAGGGTGACATGTCTCAAGGGCTCCAATCAAAGCATGAGCCCCTGCCCGGGTAGAAACAAGTTTTTACCAAGACTATTTTAGCTGACATCTCGGCTGGGGTGGCTAACGAGGCGTCCAGTGGGATGTGCGCCTTGGTCACAAGAACAAGAAAGAAGAGCTCTTTTTCAGATTTGTTTCGGGTACTCGGTGCTGAGAGGGAATGTAGCCTTCTGGTAGCATTTGACCCCCGACTCTCAACTGCTTGTGGAGTAGTTTCAGTGGGTTCCCCAGGATTCCCCAGGTTTAACACGCGATCCCACTAGATTCGCCTCCGTTTTAGGAAGTAGATCACATTGGGAGAATCCTGTCAGTCAGGCTAGCTTCCTTTTGGGAATAGTGAGGACTTGACATACATTGATTCCAGGTGTCTCTCTTAGCAAACGAGGAGGTTGGATGCAGAACATAAAAGACCGACAGCCCCCCCCAACTTTCAAAACAATCCAAGTACCTCTTTGCGACTTTATTTGTCTTTGAAATTTCTCAAATTTTAGGTATTGCGGTGGCTGAAGCTTCTACTGGTTGGTTTGCCAATTTTAATTTCAACCATTCTTTATCACTCTTCTTACCTGTCCACGTCGACAACCCCTTATTCCTTTCTTCACCTTTGCTGATAATCTCAATCAGATCCTGAGTCTTTACAATGGAGAAGGAGACCATCACCCAGGTGGGCTCTAAGCAGCGGTGAGCTTTGCATCTGCCATGCCCTGTTCACATTACTAATTTCATTTCGATGTAGCTCGAGTGACGATAACAGCTGCGCCGAGAAGGGTAATTTTGAGCAGGTTGACCTGCATAACAATGTATCCGCCAAGTAAGCCTTTCTTGAACATGACCGCGAGTTTTATGCATCCGCCTCAGCGTTGAACAACAGCTCACCAACATCTACTCAGGATCAAGAATCCGTTGGCTGATTTGACCAAGTCTCGGGTGCTTCGCGATGTGGAAGACTTCGCTCGGGAATACAACGTGACCGATATTCTCCCTGAGTTGAAGAAGGGAGCTCTAGTTGCCAGGGACCCAAAGAACTTTGAGACAGTGGCAGACTTGACTGAGTCTGAGATCACTGCACTGCGCAACGAGGTGCTGCATAAGTGGCGCCAGCCCAAGGCCCTGTATTTCACCATCATTCTATGCTCTATCGGTGCAGCCGTGCAGTATGTGCCCTCGAACGCCTTTTGCATACACCTCTGACATTAATACAGAGGATGGGACCAGACCGGCTCTAATGGTGCTAACCTGTCTTTCCCCGATGCTTTTGGTATTTCAGAAGACCCCGCGAAGAGCCCCCATGCCGATCGAAACTTGTGGCTTGTTGGCGTCGTCAATGCTGCCCCCTACATCGCCAGTGCGCTCCTTGGTTGCTGGCTTTCAGACCCCTGCAATCGCTTCCTGGGCCGTCGCGGTACAATCTTCATCTCTGCTATCTTTTGCGTGCTTACACCTATTGGATCTGCAGTCGCTCAGAATTGGGAACAGCTGTTTATCATCCGTCTCCTTCTGGGCATTGGAATGGGGCTGAAGGCCTCCACCATCCCGATCTTTTGTGCGGAGAATACTCCTGCTGTTATCCGTGGTGGCTTGGTTATGTCCTGGCAGCTTTGGACCGCTTTTGGCATTTTCCTCGGCTTCAGCGCCAACCTTGCCGTCAAGGATACTGGTAGTATTTCCTGGCGTCTACAGCTGGGATCTGCCTTTATTCCTGCCGTTCCTCTCGTCTTTGGTGTCTATTTCTGCCCCGAGTCTCCTCGTTGGTACATCCGACGGGGCGAGATGAACAAAGCTTACCGATCTCTCTGTCGCCTCCGCAACACGCCCTTGCAGGCTGCTCGAGATCTTTACTACATCCATGCCCAGATCAAGATCGAGATGGGTCTGATCGGTCAGAGCAACTATGTCACCCGCTTTATTGAGCTTTTCACTATTCCTCGGGTTCGCCGTGCGACTCTTGCTTCGTTCGTCGTCATGATCGCTCAGCAGATGTGCGGCATCAACATCGTTGCGTTCTACTCATCCACTGTCTTCAAAAATGCCGGTGCAGATGACACGCAGGCTCTATTTGCTTCTTGGGGCTTCGGCTTGGTCAATTTTCTGTTCGCCTTCCCTGCTATCTGGACTATCGATACATACGGCCGCCGGACTTTGCTGTTGTTTACTTTCCCGCAGATGGCATGGACTTTGCTTGGCGCAGCATTCTGTTTCTGGACTCCAGAGGGCACAGGTCATCTAGCTTCAATCGCCTTGTTCGTCTTCCTCTTTGCCGCATTCTACTCGCCCGGCGAAGGACCCGTTCCTTTTGCGTATTCGGCAGAGGTATTCCCTCTCTCCCATCGTGGTATGTCTCACTATCCTTTGCCACACTTGATGCTAGTTTGGTTTTGGAGCACTAATCTCTGATTTTAGAGGTCGGAATGTCTTGGGCTGTGGCAACCTGCCTAGGATGGGCTGCTGTACTCTCAATCACCTTCCCTAAGATGTTGAGCGCAATGACACCCACTGGAGCATTTGGCTTCTATGCGTAAGTAGCATGATAAATCGTGCATCCTTTTTTGTTGAATTCTCTAACAATCGGGTGTAGTGGTTTGAACGTGTGTGCCCTAGTTATGATTTTCCTCTGGGTTCCCGAAACTAAGCAGCGCACCCTTGAAGAACTGGACTACATATTTGCAGTCCCTACCCGAGTTCATATGAGGTACCAGATCACAAAGGCCCTTCCGTACTGGTTTAAGCGGTATGTTTTCCGCAGGAACGTGAAGTTGGAGTCTCTGTACAAGTTTGACGATCTCGCGAGTGGCAATGAGGGTGTTACCGTGTCACGGGAGCAGAGTGCCGTCTCCGAACACGTCAAGGCATAGATTGGTCTGTTCAAGACATCCTGGACATTTGATTTTCTTGCTTAGGGTTGTCCCGGCGATACGCTGGGCTATGGCTTTTTATTACGTTCTTCGCTTCTGGCTGGACATTTAAATCATGAATCTTGGGGTATGGACTTAAGCACGAGGAATGAAAGTTATCATCATACCTACATACCTAAGTATCAAGGTTTCTCCCCATATAATGATCACCCTTCTGTATTCGTATGCTTTTAGCGAGCTTTATATGTATGTGCCTTCCGCTTTGGCACCAACCGCAGTCAATGAGCCGCGTTTGTCTCCACAAGGTTTGGCCATCCATGGTTGCCCGGTGATCAGGTGATGTGGAGTTAGGGAGTATGGTGAGGATAGCGATGTACTGTATGGACTTAGAGATGGCAGAATAAGTGTATAGAGTGGTACAGTTGAAGACAAGAATTGCCATAACCCATACAAACAGTACCAATCACTTTGTATTCTCCAGATGTACCCAAAAGTGAAAGGGATGTAGTAACCCTAGAGCCTATAGGATAAGTTGTATCACGTGGGAGTTCGGGAGGATGATGGCAACGCTCATGTTTTGGTCCACTCCCGCCCCTCATCTTTTTCCCTGAGAGCTCATAGGGGTCTATCTTTTGTGTCCTTCATTCTGGCGCTTCACTCGCATTTTGATTTGTGCCTGATACTCGATTCCAGAGGCCCTCGTTTTGTGCCTTGATAGCCTGAATCTCACTAAAGCCACATCCCTCGTCATTGTGACCCTCCCGTGTGCACCTTTCAGAATACATACACCAGCAGCTGCAGTGGAGCTTAAGGAACTGCTGCGGGCTGCTGGGCGAGTCGAAACCCACTACCTTGACCGCCTCCCACCTATAGCTTACCACCACTCTCACCCACGAGGGAAAATTAAAGCAATAACTTCCTCGCCCATACTCCATTTGGCGTCATTTTTCTCTCCTTTTGCCCGATCGAAGTATTTCTTGCCTTAGTTGCGGGGCAATTCTGGCCTTCATTGGACTCTTCCCCCCACAGTGCAACCTCCGTATCCCACTTAACCCCTTCCCACCATGCCCTGCTTCAAAGGGCTTGCCGTGAGCATCCACACGCCCACCGGCCCAATTCCCGAATATTCTATCCAACGCCATTCTCGAGCCTCGCGTATAGGTTGCTTCATTCCTGTTCCTCCGCCAAAAATTCCCGAATCTGGGACCGGCAAACCGGAACAATCAACCTTCGCGATTTCCGTCACCCTCCTCAATCCCGAACAAGATGTCCCGTACTCGGCCCCTAAGCCGACACCAGAATGCCCCTCTCCGAAACCCAAGGTCGTCGGTAAATTGCCTGGTGAGCCAGGTCAAATTGCCGGGGCAGTTGCACCATACCAGGGCTTGACAAACTCGGAAAATGAGACGGTGGCTGCATACATCTACTTTGATGGAAGACAAAAAGAGGAGGTGGCTACACTACTACGACGTGGAGAGGAAACGTGGGTGAACTCGCGCTGGGTCAGCGTTCCGGAATCCGAAGGCGGGGGAATTGCCGAGCGTGAATTTTTGTTCCGCGAGGTCGGTCTTGAGCGTTGGCTCAACGGATTGGACCTAGAAGGCAAAGATGCAGCAGCCAAGATTGAACGCCGGCGGCAAAAGATGGAGAAGCGCCGTGCAAAGCGTGCCACCGAGGATCCGTCCGCCATGGAAATGGAAGACAGTTATCCTGTTAAATCCAAGACTATTATGCGATATGGAAATGATGCGAAGTCACCCCTTGAAGATGTCTCAGATGACGACCTCTCTTCCGACTCTGACGATGATGATCCCATTCCGGAGACTGCGGGTCAAATCAAGGTCGCTTTATTCCGAGTGTTGGCCTCGGGGGAAATCAAGCGGGGCGAGTACTCTCCACAGTTCGATGCGCACGACGATGAAGAGGGTGCCCATGATAACAGCGGCGGCGGAGATGCCGATGTTGACCATACCACAAGTTTTGCGAAGCCCAAATCACTCGATCCGAAGACCATTAGCACTCAGACTGTTACTGGGATTGACCCGTCTGATAAGCCTTATGCTATCTTCACTTTCATGTACCGAGGTGAACGTGAGTATCTTCTAGACTATCACTTTTAAAGACTGATTCTAATGTGAGATGGACATAGGTCAACTGCAGAAGATGGGCATTTTGAAAGACTCCAAGGTGCAGGAAACGCCCACTGCCACCAAGCGCAAGTCACTACAAGCTGATCTCGCAAGTCTTGGGCCGATCAAACCCGGCGGATCCGTTGGATTCCTTAATTTCCGGGACAATGAAACCAAGCCGCGGAAGGGCAAGAAGAGCGAAGATGATATGGATAGCGACGATGATGACACCGACAATCCCATACTTGGCAAAGCAGACGACGAGGAAGCTAAAGAGGATGATCGGCTCTTATCTCCAGATGATATTCAACGACAGGGAGAACTAGCGGAGAGCATGCGGAAGATTCGAGTAAGTACAGTTAGCTAACCTTGCCAGTCCGGCTTTATTAACAGTGCTGTAGCTCAAGCGTCAACACTCTGCCGAGCCCGGAGGCAGCGTTGGTGATTCTGCAGATACCCCAGCTTCTGGATCTGGATCCACGCCTCCTGTAAACGAGCGCTCAGCAACACCGCCAAAAGCTGCCGCGATTGGATCTGGGCTCTCCGAACCAACCCAGCCAGCTATCGAAGTTTCAGACGGTCTTTTTGGAAGTCCATTGAAGAAACAGCGCGGAAGTGTCTCAACCGCAGATGAGAACGCCCTGAGACGCCGGATCGCCGAGTCATCTGGTAGAATCGGTGACGCCCTAGGCCCTTCCGTCCCCACTCAACCCGCCCCGACCTCTTCGCAGATGTTCGGAGATGGTTTCGGCCTTACACCCGAACTTTCTACTGGACCTCCAGCAGCTGAGGAGGAGTTGTAAGCCTTGAATATTCGCCAAAATCATGGGGGGATCTTTCTTTTCTGGGTGGTTCGATCTCGAAATCTCATTTGAGTCATTAAGCCTAATAGGCCACTACTCATTGCTCTGGAAAGCACTGGTCGTTTTGGCTGCGTTCATATGGATTCACTAAGGTTTTGCAGTTGAAAGGGATCTCTTTGTTGCCATATACCGCGTCTGCTGGATGGTCATTCTGCTTTCTATGTTGCTTCTCTACAATTACGCCGTTATGTCCACAACTTACACTACAGGGAACATGTTAAAGGAGAAATACATTTGCTGCACCGATCAGGGCAGCTTGTTAATCATCTTATATCCATCAATATGCAATTTTAGTTGAAAAAGGAGTACCCCAGTATCTGTAGACCACATGTATACATTCTGGTTTTGTCAAGCATTAGCTGAGGCGGCTCTAAAGCCGATAAGCTTCCAAGCCATCGAGGTTAATTCAAACAGGACCTCTACTGCGGACTTAATTCCAATCTTACGAATCGGATCCATGCTCAGAAATATCCTTCTACCTGCATCGACTGCATTACGCAGTGTATTGGCTCAGCCCGGCTGTTTTCTCCACCAAGTCAGCGATTCTGCCAAGCCCAGTTCAACCTCAGATCATTAACAGCTTCAATAGCCCCGAAGAGTGCCCATCCGCCACAAATCCACGATGCCGCTCGAACGCTCAACAGACCCTTTGGTCTGGATCGACTGCGAGGTGCGTCTGCATGGCCTCCGATCCGACTTCCCGCAACGCGTTCCGCAAATCTCATCACTAACCATCCCAGATGACGGGCCTAGACCCGGAGACCGACAAGATCCTCCAAATATGCTGCTTCATCACAGATGCACAACTGAACCTCCTTGAGCCCACGGGCTTCGAAACCGTCATCCACGTCCCCGACTCCACCCTCGACGCGATGTCGCAGTGGTGCATCGACACGCACGGCCGCACGGGTCTCACCGCCGCCGTGCGCGCCTCGACCATCTCCCCCTCCACCGCCGCCGACGCTCTCCTCGCCTACATCCGCCAGCACGTCCCGGTCCCGCGCACTGCCCTCCTGGCGGGCAATAGTGTTCATGCAGATAAGGCATTCCTTGCTTGTGCGCCATACTCGAAAGTTCTGGATCATTTGCATTATCGCATTCTGGATGTTAGTTCCTTGAAAGAGGCGGCGCGCAGGTGGGGAAGTGATCAGCTCCTTGAGCAGGTTCCAGCTAAGCGGATGGTCCATCTGGCGAGAGACGATATTCTTGAAAGTATTGAGGAGATCCGGTTTTACAAGGAGAAGCTGTTTGGGTGATGGCGTGGCTGCTATGGCTTGTATGTCGCTCTACTCTGAGACATGGGTCCAGGAAGTACCCAATTAAGAACCCTGCCTGTAGGACTTGCTCTTTACGATCATATTGCACCAGTGAGAGGGACCTCTGCACAATCTACATGTATGGATGTACAATGGACTTCGGAACATCGTGGCACCAAACAAGACAGTATTTTGATTCCCCCACGGGAATGATCTGCGGGGCAATTCCAAAGTGTTCGGACGGTTGGGGGTAAGATTGTTAGATAACTTCCAGATTGGACTGAGTAGAGCAAATTAGAGGCCTTGTACTCCGTAATATATACGGATTCAAACGAAAAGTGTGGCAAACCTGAAGGCCAACTCACTAGTCCCCAGTGCCTAAGTGGGATGATAAACACATGACGCCAAACTTTGGCCCCTCCCCGTGGAGCTCAACAAGTCGGTGAACTTCCCCCCTCTCCTTTTTTCCCCCCTTTTCTCCTTACTCTCTCTTTACCTGCAAATCCCATTCTCATAATGTCTGTCCAGACGGTGTCCATTCAGCCCTTCACCGACCAGAAGCCTGGAACGTACGTTGCTTGTTGCCCCGCAATTGAACAGCTAGCTAACCTACCCCCAGCTCTGGCCTTCGCAAGAAGGTCAAGGTTTTCCAGCAGGCCAACTACTCAGAGTCCTTTATTACTAGCATTCTCCTGTCGATCCCCGAAGGTGCTGAGGGTGCGTTCCTCGTCATTGGTGGCGATGGCCGTTACTACAACCCCGAGGTCATCTCCAAGATCGCCAAGATCAGTGCCGCTTATGGCGTGAAGAAGCTCTTGGTTGGACAGCATGGCATCATGAGCACTCCGGCTGCTAGCAACCTCATCCGTGTGAGGAAGGCAACCGGTGGTATTCTCTTGACTGCCAGTCACAACCCCGGTGGTAAGTAATACCGGAGAGTAAACATTGGCTATTGGGAGCTGACGAAACAACCCCTCAGGTCCCGAGAACGACTTTGGTATCAAGTATAACTTGACCAACGGTGCCCCTGCCCCCGAGTCCGTGACCAACAAGATCTACGAGACCGCCAAGACCCTGACCTCCTACAAGTACGTCGACGTCCCCGACGTTGACACTTCCGTCGTCGGCACCAAGAGCTATGGTCCCCTCGAGGTTGAGGTCGTGCACTCCACTGCCGACTACGTGACCATGATGAAGGAGATCTTCGATTTCGATATGATCAAGGAGTTCCTCAGCTCCCACAAGGATTTCAAGGTGCTGTTCGACGGCATGCACGGTGTGACCGGACCCTACGGCGTGGACATCTTCGTCAAGGAGCTCGGATTGCCCGCCAGCAGCACCATGAACTGCCAGCCTAAGCCGGACTTTGGCGGTGGTCACCCCGACCCTAACCTGGTGTACGCCCACGAGCTTGTGGAGGCTGTCAACAAGAACGGTGTGCACTTCGGTGCTGCCAGCGACGGTGATGGTGACCGTAACATGATCTACGGTGCCAACACTTTCGTTTCCCCCGGTGACAGCTTGGCTATTATCGCTCACCACGCCAAGCTCATTCCCTACTTCCAGAAGCAGGGTGTTTACGGCCTGGCCCGCTCCATGCCCACCTCCGGTGCCGTCGATCGCGTGGCCGAGGCCCAGGGTCTGCAGAGCTACGAAGTCCCCACTGGCTGGAAGTTCTTCTGCAATCTGTTTGACGAGAAGAAGATGTCTATCTGTGGCGAGGAGAGCTTCGGCACTGGCAGCAACCACATCCGTGAGAAGGATGGTCTGTGGGCCGTCGTCGCCTGGTTGAACATCATTGCCGGTGTCGCCAAGCAAAAGCCCAGCGAGACCCCCAGCATCGCCTCCATCCAGAACGAGTTCTGGCAGACCTACGGCCGCACCTTCTTCACCCGCTACGACTACGAGAACGTCGACAGCGAGGGCGCTAACAAGGTCGTCGGCACCCTGTCCGACCTGGTCTCCAACCGCGACACCTTCGTCGGCTCAGAAATCGCTGGCCGCAAGGTCGTCGATGCTGGCAACTTCTCCTACACCGATCTCGACGGCAGCGTCTCCAAGAACCAGGGTCTGTACGCCAAGTTCGATGATGGCAGCCGCATCGTTGTTCGTCTGTCCGGCACCGGCAGCAGCGGCGCTACCATCCGTCTGTATGTTGAGCGCTACGAGGCTGACAAGTCCAAGTTTGGTCTCACTGCCCAGGAGTACCTGGCTGATAACATCTCGCTGGCTCTCTCGCTCCTCAAGTTCAAGGAGTATGTCGGCCGTGAGGAGCCCGATGTTAAGACCTAAGTTTGGTCACGTTGTTAGGGTTAATGTGGAACCTGCTGGATGGGAATCACCTTTTAATTGTCTTGCAGTTCTATGATCTCAACGCGAGGAGAATGATGATCGAAAAGCAGGATCAAAATCAAAATATTCGCAATACGTTGGCATGAGATAGAAACTGCGTCTTTAGCATAATCCAAGCCTGTCTTGTTATAACTTCAGATTTGTGAACTGGATTGAGTGTATGCATTGTTTCCCAGGGGTCAGTGGCCGCTGAATATCGTAGATCCATAGAATCATCAATCATTAAGAAGTCTGGTCATTATTTACGCCTTGCACGCAGCAGCAGAAGCCTTTAGCTTGTCCTCCCACCAGCTGTCCCACTTAACAACTCTCTCCTCCCTCCTTGCTTCCTCCGTCGCAAACACAACAGCATGGCTGCGCACCGCCTCCTCCAGTGAACACCCCACAAACCTCGCCTGCGCGGTCGGAACATCCAGCGCCTCATTCTCAACCGCTTCAACAGCTTTAACAAACTGCTTCGCAAGCCCAAAGTCCCCACCACCATGAGACTCGCTATGAGAAGGCTGCGGTTTCGGCACATCAAAAACAGAAGTCGTCTTCGTCGCAAAGTCATAAATAGAAATAGTAGTACTATCATACGAAAGCTCACCCGTAGTGCCATAAACACGACCACGCCGCTCGCACTGTTTCTCCGTAGGCGCAATCATATGGAAACTAGCCGTTTTCGCCAGCCGATGCGGCGCCGATTCCTCATCGTCCCAAGCAAAGGTTACAACTTGATCGTCGCATACGTTAGTATCGGACTCCCACACGCATCGACCGTACCAGGTGCGCGAGGCAATGGTCTCGTCTGGAACTGATTCTCGATCATAGTCCTCACGGAGACTGGCCATGAGCAGCTCCTTCGCAGCACCGGGACCCTGGACACTGTACACATCTTCTATGTCCGGGCAAACGATGTTCAAAGGCCACCTCGTGGATCCTGTGGCCAGCTGACGGTCATTGTAGATTTTTACCGCGCTGTAGCTGCAGTCCCGTTCAATCGGACAGGAAAGGCAGTTCGTCGCATCGCCAGCAGCAGGTGGCTTGCGTGAACGCCGGAACTGCGTCATCGTACCGGCTGAGGAGATGGAGCGCGGGAGATGTGGCCTGTGTCCCTTGTGCTTGGCTGTCTCTGCGTCTGGAGGAGAGCAAAGCAGCCAGAGAATGAAGTCGATGTCGTGGCAGGACTTTGTTAGTAGACTGCCGTCGCCTGCGGGGGTGGCGCGCCGCCAGTTGCCCCGTACATAGCTGTGCGAAAAGTGCCACCACCCGACTGGTTCGCAGTGTTCTAGTGAAACTATGTCGCCGACGACCTGCTCTTCAAGTAGCAGTTTGCGGAGAAGGACGTTGTGCGGGCTGTAGCGCAGGACATGGCCAATGGAGAAGATCTTCGCTGCTGGGCGTGGGGTTTGGTCTGCGCCTTCTGGCGGTTGGAGGGTACGATATACTGTGAGACAATCGTCTAGTGAAAGGGCTAGTGGCTTCTCGCAGAGGATGTGGAGTTGAAGCGGGGCGAGCGCTTGAATAATCTCGGCATGTGTCTCGTCAAGCGTGCAGATAAAGACCCCATCTACGCCTACAGAAGATGGGGTAGTATTTTCTTGGCTGTTGTCATTGGTGCTCTGGGTGGCTTGTTTCCGCCGCTCGAGCTCCCATTGCACCCATTCACGCCAATCTGCGAATTCTTGGCCTTCGCTTGGGAATCCTGATTCTCCCCATATGTACTTCCGGCCGAAATCGCGCCGTTTAAAGTCGTGGGGCTCGGCGATCGCGTGGATGATACCCGATGTTACTTTGGTCACCGCACGGGCATAGGCATTTCCACGAGATCCACCTCCGATGACCAGGAAGCGTGGTTGTTTCGGGAATGAGTAAGATGCAGAGCCGGAGCTGGCAACAGTAGTAGGGGGTGGGATTGGTTCTTTCATGGTTGAATTTGATATAAGATTGGTTAGGGTTCCTTGACCAAAGCTCCAAGGTTGAGTTAATTCGAGTCCGGAAGCCCTGCTGTGTGGGCCAGTAGGAAGTTATATATTAGCAACGAGGAGTCGGAGAGTCGACAGGTTGCAACGGCAGGTCGCAGGTGCGGGGGAACGCAACCTCACGTCGCACGTGGGGCCACGGGGGGCTTTGGTCTTTGGGGCTTTTGGTCTTTTGTATACTTCAAGTCTAGATTACCCTCCTGGAAGGGCTTTTCCCAGGTACCAGGAGTCCCATCGGACTTGAATCCCGACAGCTCACTCTACGCACAAGCCTACCGCCGGAAGTAGAATCATTGACAGATATAAACATGCCCGGGTCACAACAATGAGCTATGTAATATGTAGTCATGCAGAGGAAGAGAGAACCAAGCACTGCTGTTCTCTAGCTATTGGAATATTCTGCCTCATCGAGCAGATCTCTTTAGTCTATTTTGTCTCCGTCCCCTTGTTTTGATGATCCGTGCCATCCGGCTCATCTTCATTGTCGAAAATCAGACCAACCTCCTCCAAAGAACGCCCCCTCGTCTCAGGGAAGAGCAGGTAAATGGAAACCAAGAATACAACCAGACAGCCAATAAAGACGCAGTAATATCGCCATGCAATCGCCGTAAACGCCACGGGGTTGACATATTGGTTGAAGAAGCAAGCCACGGCATCCACGGACAAAACGACAGCAATACCCTTGGCGCGCAGCTGAAAGGGAAGAATCTCAGCTGGATACGAGATAAACAGAGGTCCATAAGCCATATCATATGCACCAAAAAAGAGAAACATAAGAGGAACCACCGCGATTCCCGCGGCGGGCAGATGGTTTTCGGAAAATAGACCGGCTGCCAGCGTGGACGCAGACAGGAACACGAGCATAGCCTGGGTGGAGATAAGCCACAAAGTACGACGGCCGTATCGCTCTGATGCAAGTGAGCCGCCTGCTGACAGAAGGAAGTTCCAGGCGTTGAGGCTGATGTTCAAGGCTGCTTGGTCGGATTCCTTGGTGATTCCCACTGATCCAAGAATGGGTGCGAGGTAGTAGGATAAGATGCCTGCGATGCTGTCAGCCTTGTTCCCTGCCTTGGATAATTTCATGCATAGCGTACCATTTCCTGCCCATTCTTGCATGAGGCCAACCAATACACAGATTGCCAATCGATGCATATTGCCCTTTGATGAGAAGAAGGTGCTCCAAGTTGTGGTATTGGTGATCTCGGCAGTGATCGTGCTGCATATCTGACCGTACTCGTACTGGACCAGTTCATCATCTGCGTCTCCATTTGCATGATACTTCCCCAGGATAGCCAGGGCCTCCTCTTTCCTGCCCTTGGATACTAACCATCTCGGGCTCTCGGGCACAAACACAATCAACCCTAGGATCTGGAGCATCGGATACGAGACCTGCAGCAGACAAGGAACTCTCCACGACCAATTGCTTTTCATGCCCATGGTTGAATAGGTGACTACTGCAGAGCCAATGGCTCCCAGACACCAAGATGAATTGTAGAGAGCCGTGGCTGTCTGTCGTTGCCGCGGGTGAGCAATCTCAGTGGCGAGGAGAGGAGCGGCAGTTTGAGTAATACCCATCCCTATACCTGACAAAATTCTCGTTCCAAAGAAGGCCCAGTGGTGCTGAATTGAGGTTTGAATGATTGCTCCGATAATAACAATACTGGATCCAATCCCGACACACGTCTTGCGTCCGAACCTGTCGGCAATATAAGACGCCGGTGCAAAGGAGACCAATGCTCCCAGAGAAGTGGCGGCAATGATCAGTCCGACTATATTGGGGTCCAGTCCTCCAATAATGGTGTCAACTATATCAGAATTAACGGGAATGCTCACGATATCAGAATGGGGAGCTTACACTCCGGCAACACAAGCAAGCTATTCACAAGGTTTCCAATATACCCAGCCGAACAGGCAGTGGAGAACATGAACACGATACATAGATTGAGTTTGCGGAGTCCCCGGTCTTTGATCCAATTCGGATCCGTGTTGTTCGGGAGGAGCTTGAAGGCCTCCATTGGGGGCTCCTGCTTCTCCGCCGCTGAATCTGTTTTCGCCATGATATCGATCCCGCACACGTTTGCCAGATAAACTGGTGAAAGATACCGACTTCAGTCTCCAGTGCCATCATGTTATATCACCTTGCTTATATCCCAGAAGTATAAAGGAGAGCAAGGGATAGTTCACATTCCTCCAACCAAGCAAATCCCCAGCCACGGGTGATTCTCGGGTAATTCCAGGATTTTGGGTATCTGGTCACAAAAAGGCACGGAATGCAAGGGAGGAATGCCAGATCTTATTACCAAAACGAGCAGTTCACCCAGCACGCAAGTCTCACCTCTCTATGATCTACCGTGTCACATCACAAAACGGGATCGTCAACTTGAATAACATATAAACTTTGTACTATGACGCTCAGAACACTATTATTATAATATAGACACATATACAAGCCAAGCAAGACACATTTCACTCCTCGCACTCCCCCAGCAGCGAAGCATACCGATTCCCAAGTCCGCAGAATCCCTCACACTGTCCACCAACCTCCCTCCCCTTGTGAAGTACCTCCTCCATACCCCATGCAACACGTTCTGCGCCGACTCTCGCACCCTCGAGATTCGGCGCCCCAGGTCCTAGACGAAGAGATGCCATGCGGCCCGTCATAAACAACGGCACATCATCTCTCCATGATAGATCGTTGGTCAGACAGGGGAACCCTGACTTTACTTCGATCGGGTATTTCTCGTTCATCTCGCGAAGTAATGGCATCTCACGTACGTCGGCTCGGGCTCCTGTTGCAAAGTAGATGTAATCGATTGGTGGTAGGTCGGGGATTGGTGGGTCAGTTGTCAGGGTCCAGGTCTTTGTGTCTTGGTTGTATTCGTGGGTCTTGATCTCCGTGCAAGGGTGGATGGAGGCACGATTTTGGGCCTCGTGCTGCTTTACAATCTTCGTATAGCGTGGTGTAATACTACCCCCGTTGCGGGCGGTTTGGAGCATCTCAAGGCGTTCTGTGTGATGTCAGTTTGGTATGTTGCAAAACCAGTTAGGGTTTTCGTTGTTACCTTCGTCGGTGTCTGCCGACCAAAACGCTGCTTTCTCCCAATTCTTGTACTTGCCCATCCAAGGCAGACTGATATCAAAGTGTTTGACTGTTTTTTGAATGAGATACATATATCATAGACCAGACTGCCAGGATGTCTGTACGTACCTTTCATGTCAGAACGCATTAAGAACCACACTTTCGTCACGCCCTTGCGCACAGCCATATCAACAATTTGTGCGGATGACAGTCCACCTCCCACAACGACAACGTTTGTCTCCTGTCGCCGTTGGATCTTGTTCTGTACATTGAGGCTGGGGAATGTTTTGATCTCCATGCTGTGGCAACATCCCGCGGCTCCCTCTTGTTCAGTCAATGGTTTCCAGGGATAAATCTTCGACACTCCTGCTCCGCCTGGACCGATCGCAAGGACAACAGCCCGGCTATAGAACTTCTCCCCAGAGGATGTGGTAACGGTGAACACCTTTGAGTCCGAGCTATCATAGAGATAGTCATATGAGATATCTGTGGCTTCGCGCTGCAAGATCTGGCCCGGCTCATCCAGGCCATACCGCTGGATAACCGAAGAACAATAATCCGCAAAGAGATTGGTGGAGGGCGAGAAGTAGTCTCTGCGATCTCGTTCGTCGATCTCAGCGCCAATTGTTCTGCATGAGAAGGAGGTATACGTTAGATATATGTCCATACAAGACTTGGAAAGTGCGCAACTTACTGAGTCTTGCCCCTCTGTCTTCTCTTCTTCTTCTTATGCTTGCTCATCTCCTTCCCCACACACCCCGGAATCTCCCATAAATCTGCATCTCGGCCAGTCTCCTGCGTGTAAGCCAGCATCCCATCCCGGTCCCCGGGATCAACATGGAAGAACATCGGACTGCGGAGTTGTTTGATCTCCAACGTGCGAAAGGCATTGTTCCACCTCTGCATCCACTTATCACCCGAACCATCGAGCACTAGCGTTGAGATAGATGAGGAAGATGAAATCGAAGTTGTCGATGAAGCGGACGATAGCGAGGGCACAGAAGATGCAGAGTCTGTCGAGGCCCGCCGGTGTCGATCCTCTGTTTGACAGGGACATCCATGTTCGCTATCCCATTTGGTTGCTCGCACGCCCTTGATCTTGCTGTGTCGTGCTTGCACGAGACTCATCCGTCCGCTGTGCTTCTTGATCCAATGGTAGCGTTGGTGTTCCTCGTCCGTGAAGACTGCTGAGGGTGTTTCTTCGCTTAGGCGTGCGGCCACGGCGAGTCCGCATGGTCCGGCGCCGATGATTATTACGTCGCGGATCTCATGGCCTGGTATTGTTTGAGGTGAGGACATCATTGGAAGTAAAAAAACGTGGGCTGGGATATGTATACAGAGATGTAGTATGGACCGCAGATGTTGTAACGTTTTAGGGCCAAATTGAACAGGAAATATTCCAATGGATGATCAGGGGGAACTATTCCCTTTTATATTAACCTAGTGGAATGTGTTTCTACAATGTCCTCAGTTGCGAGTTGGCTATCGAGGTACTCTTCCCCAAGGTCCTTAGGGCTTGCATGACACAATACTGGAACGGGGGGAGCTCCACGCTCCACATTTGGGATCATTGATCTGGGAGTCTATTGGAAGTGGTCAATCTGTGAGGACCTTGTGGTTATTCGTTCTCAGATGATCATTTTGGTCTCTGCAATAGTTGGAATTCCATTCCACTCGTGGGCTTTCTGGCAGCTAAATATGTATCTGCACCCAGTCATAGACAAAAGTCGTAAAACCACCACTCTAAGTTGTAGAATAGAAAAAACAGAAGACAGAAATAGAGAACCAAGGAAATTAAATTACTATCAACATTTGAAAGGGGGAATAGGGCAGTCAACATCAAAGATACCAAACCAGAACAGAAGACAAGAAAATAAAAAGCAACAAGTTGAGAGAAAGAGAAAAGAAGAGAAATTTGGAACAGAACCTCCAAAACACCTCAAACACCCCAACTATCCCACCCTGCGCCTGCGCCAGACAAAAAAAAAACAATAAGAAACTATTTATGCCATTTCTTCGTCCTCGTCTCCCCACTCTTCGTCCTCGAGACACCACCGCCTTCCCTTCGATGCCAAGGATCCTGAGGCCAGACCCAACCCCGAACACGCTTGGCATCGCGCTTTTCCCCGATCTGCGGCTCAGGGATCCATTTATCCTTAGGCTCCGGCAGGATCCGCTGGCGGGTGAGCGCACCAGGCCCACCGACATTGAGATGGGCAGAGGGCTGGTGTGGGAGCGGTACAGACTTGGAAAGCATGAGCAAGAAATATAAAGCTAGGCTCGCCGTCATGGGCGCAGGAGACGCATCTTCTGTCTGATCCAGATCTGGGGAGTCATGACGAGAAGCAAAAGACGAGCACGAAGAGGAGGAGAACGAACGCGCGCTGGTGGGCGTTGCTAGTGCAGCTGAGGGCGCGTAGCGTGAAGTCGCGGTCTTGAGCGGGATCGAGGCTGCGATCTCGAGGTACCCGAAGTATGGTATATCGTCGCCGGTGTCGCACCCGGCTCGGACGCAGACAAGTTCGATTTCGGTGATTATGAAGCCGTACCGGCAGGAATGTTCCCGCATGCATCGCTGCAGGTGGGCGAGTCCGTTGAGGTATTCTACTTGTCGGTAGGGTGCTTCGTTGCGCATGCCGGTGTTCCAGCGGTCGAAACTTTTGACGATGCCAACTAGCCGTCCGCGTGGAAGGCCAGAGCTGGTTTGTTCGGTGTCGGAGAGGTAGTTTGCTAGGAAATGGGGGTGGCCATAGTTCTTGTGGCCTGTGTTACGAACGTCTGGGGCTGCATAGAGTTGGAGATGATCTTTGCCTTGTGACACCGCTAGAGCGGCATTTACTCGTGGCGCATAGAGGTCTCGGATTAGGCTGACTAGGGCAGGCTCCGATTCTGGTGCTAGGCTCGCTGGGGCTACTGTCACGGGGGGTGTGAGCTCTGCTGGGATTTCGGTCTTCAGAAGCTGGATCAGTCGACTGTCCAGGGAGTCGAATGTGGCGAGCGAGAAGGAGGTCCAGCTGCGGAGGTTTCGAATATCCCACCAGAAGTAATCGTGTAGGCCACGGGTAGGAACAACGCTGACGTTGCGGACTAGATTGATTGGTTGGATTGGTAGGGTCAGGTATGATAGTAGTGTCGTGGACCGTGGGGCTAGGTCCTCTTGGGGACTGAGCAAGACAGGTGAATTCTGGGCAGCCGATGCTTGGCGATAATTGTATTGGGGTGTTGGTACTGTCAATGAAGGAGCTTGTTGGGCGCCCACTCTCTGAGAATACGACGGGTGGATCATGATATTTGGAGTGACTGGGGTGACTGGAGTAGTCGGAGTCGTTTGAGCATGCATCTGCGGTACATATTTGGGCAGATCACGGTAAGTGGGATAGCCAAATCGACTCAGAGTAGCGGCATCGATGCCAGATGCTGATACTGAGCGTGAGTGGCCGCCGCCTCCTTTGCGTTTATACGAAGGAGTGATCGTCACAGGTGACGATAAGGCAGAGAAGCTTCCATGTGCAGCCACTGGCACTGGTGAAATGGGCGAGGCCAGAGTTAAGCGGTCCACGACATCGCGTGTATGACGACTAGTTGATGGTCGAGCTGGTGGGTAAGGGACAAAGCCAGGCGGGTTCCGCGTGTTGGACAGAACCCGACGGTGACGGAGAGGTCCGCCGGTAGACACTGGCTCGACCACGACATCTTGAGGTCGGATCTTAGGCAATAACTTCGGGCCATGGTGATGTCTGGTGGGTGACGTGGTAGGGCTGGTATTTCCCGTTACAGTCGACCAGGGAGATGACTCGCCTGAGTAGATCGAAGAATTGGAGGCATGACGACTATGTCCAGAGCCAATATACTCCTGGAGAGAAAGTCGCGGCGGTGTCGTCGGCCGATAGTGAGTGTTTTCAGAAGGAGACATGATAGCGAAGTTGTTGACGAATGCCAACAATAACAGTCTATCACAAGAGTGACCAACGAATGAACTGATATTTGATTGACCAAGTCGTTCAGAAAGGCATGATCCAGAAGGAGGAGCTTTGGATATTAAATGGACATCCACAAAGTCTCAAACAGCCAAGCTTGATGCATATAAAAAGATTGACTGACGAACCCTAGCCAATCTAGAAAACATGAAACATGGAGAAGAGCCCCATTGTAACGCCTACGGAGCTTCAGAATCTTTTTTTGGGATCCTAGTCTCCGATCAGAGGCACCTCCACGCGATGAAACGCGAAACTGCCGATATTTTGCCTGAAGGACAGGCATGTCGCGCAACAGAAGCACTTGAAACTGCATCTCCGGAGGGTCGAGTCCGGTATAGTGTGGTTTCATCGGACTGTCGCGCGTTAAGGTGTTACTATATTTTGCATCTTCTTCATTATCGTTCTTCAGATCCCTTCTTTGGGTTAGTCTGCTGCAAGTTCCTCAAGATGTTCTAAATTCGGCAACAATTAGGTCGCATTTTCAGGTAATTAGCGGACTTGTTGGTGACTCTCCCTGCTTCAGCAGTCGCCAAGTCAGCGGCTAAGCGTTCTAGGAACGACGATGGATAAAAATAGCCATCAGGATCATGGATCGTGTGATTCCAGGGTGTGAAAAAGGCCGATGAACTGTTTGAAAGGAGGGTTATCCGTTCTAGATGCGCCAGGGTCGAATGTGATATCCAAGTCGGCGGCTACAGATGTGGGATGAGTTTGAGGTACGCGCCGGGGGATCATCGGCGTCACGTTCAGTGATTGGATGTTTCTGTCTCGAACCTGAGAAATGTCCCATAATTAGCAAAAATTAATGCAGTGGATGAGTTGATGCAAGTGTGGAGAGAGTACGCAGTACGGAGTATAGAAGAGGATGGTCTCTGGGCACATAACCGCGCATTGACCCCTGGGCGGGTCAGGGATGTAGGGGAACTAATATCCAAGTCTTTTCAGACACAAATTATTTTGAATTGATTTCATTATTATCCATTGTAATTATCTCATGACATTCATTTCAAGTAGGTCGAAATGATGAAAACACTCAACCGAAAAGAAGTAAACAAAAAGAAAAGCAAGGTCACAATATGTGGTCTATACACCTTGTCAAAACACACAAAACGCTCGGGGGAATCTCTCTGAACCGTCTAAAGAACATGTTGAACGGTAGTCAATCGCAGAACATCAAAGAAACTTAAGCCTTGATCTCGTACTTGCGGCGGAACATGTCGTCCACCTCAGTCAGGTAGTAGACACCGGACTGGATGGTCTCGACCTTGCCAGCAGGCTTGAAATCCTTCTTCAGGTGAGCGTGCTCACGGAGGGTGCACATAGCATCGTAAGCAGCAGGCTCGAGAATAGTGCGGGCCTCGAGACGCTTCTGAAGGTCGAGCTTCTCGACCATGTAGGAGACATCGCCGACAATCTTGGCGCTAAACAGAGAGCTGGCAAGACCGGAACCGTAGCTGAACAGACCGATGCGCTTGACCTCCTTGGGGTCGAAAGCGACGTAGCTGAGCAGACTGGCGAGACCGCCGTAGACGGTGGCAGTGTACATGTTACCACACTGGGTAGCGACCTGAAGACCAGGGTTGACACGCTCAGCGAAGCGCTTCTTGGTGAGACCCATGAAGGTCTTCTCAACGACCTTGTCGGTCAGAGACTTCTCGTAGTCCAAATCACGGAGCTCGGGAGCAACCTCGGCGAAAGCGGGGTGCGAGGGGTGGCCAAGTAGTCGTTGTAGAGCATACGGGCGTAGGACTTCTGAACGAGCTTGCAGGTGGGGGCGTGGAACAGGATGTAGTCGAAACGGTCCAGAGGGGACAGGGACTCGTCGATAGCACCGTTGGTGCCGTTGGTGCCGTTGGTCTGGGCCTTCAGTGTCTTCTCGCGGGCATCGTAGGCCTTGTAGCAGGCATCAACAGCCTCGGTGTAGCAGCGGAGGGAGTAGTGGCCATCAACAACGGGGTACTCGCTGGTAAGGTCGGGCTTGTAGAAGTCGTAGGCGTGGGTGATGTAGGAGGCACGGAGACCGGCCTCGAAGACGATAGGGGCGTCGGGTCCGATGACCATGGCGACACAGCCAGCACCACCAGTGGGGCGGGCAGCACCAGCGGCATAGAGAGCAATATCACCGCAGACGACAACGGCATCACGGCCATCCCAGGCGGAGGACTCGAGCCAGTTGATGCTGTTGAAAACAGCGTTGGTACCACCGTAACAAGCATTGACGTTGTCAACACCCTCGATGTTGGTGTTTCCGTGGGGAGCAAACAGCTGCATCAGAACAGACTTCACGGACTTGGACTTGTCCAGAAGGGTCTCAGTGCCAACCTCGAGTCTTCCCACGGAGTTGGGGTCGATGTTGTACTTCTTCATGAGGGAGGAGAGGACGGTGAGGGACATGGAGTAGATATCTATAGAATGGTTCAATTAGCCGGTTATTCTCATTGCCATTGCAATCCGTCAGTATACATACCCTCGCGGTCATCGCAGAAGCTCATCTTGGTCTGGCCGAGACCGATGGTGTATTTTCCGGCGGAGACGCCATCGTACTTCTCCAGCTCGACTTGGTCGACACACTATGATTGACCGGTCAGCATAGAGCTTTGGGGATAATTTCACAGACCGGAATACTCACCTGGGTGGGGAAGTAGACCTCAATGGCCTTGATACCGATGTTCTGGGGACGAGCAGCCATGGTGGGGTGTATGGAGGGGCAACTTTTTTTTTTTTGGAAAGATGAAGAACACGACACGCAAGGTGAAGGAGGGAAGAAGGGAGGAATAGAGGATAGAAAGATTAAGGAGATTGAAAATGAAGGGAAACAAGCTCCGGGCAGGGCAATTGATATAAGGATGAGAAAGGAGTCTGTGTACTCGGATCTACCGTGTACGATCTGTCACCCTACTTTTTTTTTTTTTTCCCTCTTTTTCCCTTCTTTTTTGTTTCTCCTGAAGTGGGGAGATCTCCCCATCTGCTTCTTCCTTTGGGCCGGATCATTGAGAGAGAGCTCTTTGTGTTGTGTGTTGTGTGTTGTGTAGTACCTGGGCTCCTGGGGATGCTGTACCTGGCGCGTGGTGAAGAGGTATAACACTACAACATAACGTTACACCGTACACCCCAACAACTGATAGTATACTCCGTACCTACATGTCTAAGAGATATACCGTTTTGATCTGCGCAGTACCTGCGCAGTACCTGCAAGGACTCCTTTACCAATGACTAGGTTCTGTGGCTTTGGGGCCACAGCTCGACATCGCAGCTACGGTGTAGAACTGAGTCCATCTTATCGATCTGTGTATCCACCTTGTCCTCTTTGAGGTGGCTAATATACGCTTGCCATCTCCTCGAATCACTGCCATCCAGTGGAGCACCGCGGGAATCCATATCCAAAGGACCGAAGGGTTACTACGTACTCCGGACTCCATACTGGACTCTCGGGTGCGTGAATGTGTCAGTGGCCTCACTTCGGCGAGTTGCTGGTCAAAGTTCGGCCTTGGCACTGATTCTCTAATCTTGAAATGTTCAACCCTGCCAGCGCTTGAAGATGTCGCGTGTTTCGAGTTGTTTTTGATTGTTCCAGATGTTCCAGATGTTCCAGATGTTCCAGTGTGGCAGTCCTTATGTACCATGTACACATGGGTCTAGGTACAGGGGTACCGATGTCTTTGGTGTGGTCAGGGGACGTAGCATAAGAACATTCTCTGACCTATTATATCTCCTTGGGAGAGGTCATTTGCAAAGAAAGAATATCAAGAAAAGAAGCCAAATTCACTCTAAACCGACTCTTTCATCGGAATCTCTCGAAGGGTGAAGAAGGGCCAATGCCAATGCTGATGCGTAAGTTGCCGAGAGCGTGGGTCACTCCGGGGAGGCGTCTGCCTGGACAACCCCTTCTCCTAAACAACTCCATCGAATTCTGGACATAACCCATTCATCGGCATATGATGTCGGACGTCGCTCATTTACCATTTACATCCAGATCATGATCTTCCGGATCTCCGCATCCGCGCCACACCCTTTCTACTGCTCCCCGGAGCCCCGTACCATTCACAATGGGCGACGAGAAGTTTGACTATCAGGCCGTCCCCATCCCCTCTTATGCAGAAGCCACCGGCCAACCCTCCTCCTCCCGATCCGACCTGGGCGACGGAACCGATGTCGAACGACAAGGGCTGCTCAGTCGCGATCATGCTGACAGCCGCGGGTACCACCCACCAACCGTGGAGTCGGCGCGCACCAGTCTCGATGACTTGGAATCGTCCGCATCACACTCCGACCGAGAATCGGTAGAGGAACTGCGACGCGAACTAGATCAGATGGACGTGGACGATTCGGCAACCTTGACCAGCAGACGCACCCCTCTTCGACATCGGTTTTCCAAGCAATTATCAAGCCTCAGCCGGACGCTTTCCGCTATACAACGGCCCTTCCAGCGATATATGCCCCGCTTCCGCTTTACGATTAATCTTAGCGAAACGAGGGCACAATTCAAAGATCAGGGGTGCATCTTGCTTCTGCGAGTGTTTGCTCTCCTACTGGTGGTCACCCTAGTGTATGTGTTCTTTATCGCAGATGTCTTCAACATCAACAGTCGCATGGCTATGGGTCAGTCCTATAGCTCCGCATCCGTCGAGAACTTCATCCAGGGTCATATCAACGAGACAAACATCGCCGAAAACCTGCGACGAGTCACCAATTATACCCATGTTGCTGGTACCGAAGGCAGCTTTGCGCTGTCACAATGGATTGAACAGGAATTCCGGAACGCAGGATTCGACGAAGTCTCGCGGGAGGAATTCCAGGTCTATCTTAACTATCCACGCAAGGATGGCAGGAGAGTGGCAATCATCGATCCACCCAGTCTAGCTTGGGAGGCGAAACTCGAAGAAGACAACGCACAAGATTTGATCTTTCATGGACACTCGAAGTCTGGCAATGTTACTGGCCATCTGGTATATGCTAATTTCGGTTCTCGGGAAGACTTCAAGCTGCTTGCAGATAAAGGCATTTCACTCAATGGCTCAGTTGCCTTGGTCCGTTACTATGGGACCGAAACCGATCGTGCTTTGAAAATCAAGGCTGCGGAATTGGCCGGCGCTGCTGGCTGTATCATCTATTCCGACCCCGCGCAGGATGGGCTTGTTCAGGGCCCAGCCTGGCCCGAAGGGCGGTACATGCCAAGTGATGGCGTGCAAAGGGGCGGGGTCAGTATGATGTCCCAAGTAGTTGGCGATGTTCTTAGTCCTGGATGGGCATCCACCCCGGGAGAAGCCCGCCGTCTCACTCCCGAGGAGAGTCCAGGTTTACCTAAGATTCCCAGTCTTCCACTCGCTTGGCGCGATGCACAACCACTCTTGCAGGCCCTAAACGGCCACGGCTCCAAAGTGCCAAAGGAATGGGTGGGTGGGGTCCCCGAAGTCAAAGAGTGGTGGACCGGTGACGGTGATTCCCCGATCGTTCATCTGATGAACCTGCAGGATGAAGTAGAGAGACAACCTATCTACAACATCCACGGCAGAATCCTCGGAATGGAAGAGCGTGATAAAAAGATCATCGTTGGCAACCACCGAGATTCGTGGTGCATGGGAAGCGTCGACCCTGGAAGTGGCACGGCTGCTTTCCTCGAGATTGTACGAGCCTTTGGCGAGTTACTGACCTACGGGTGGCGGCCACTTCGCACCATCGAATTTGTGAGCTGGGATGGAGAAGAATATAATCTGATCGGTTCAACAGAACACGTCGAGAAGGAGATAGATGATCTCCGCGCGCATGCGTTCGCCTATCTGAATGTCGACGTCGGTGTAGCCGGGCCCGATTTCCGTGTTTCGGCATCGCCCGTTTTTGAGCGTACCGTGCTCCAGGTTTTGAGTCGTATCTCAGACCCCTATGCGAATGCCACATTGAAAGATCTTTGGGATAAAAAGGGCTCGAAAATTGCTCCACTCGGTGCTGGAAGCGATTATGTTGCATTCCAGGACATTGCTGGCACCTCGAGCATCGACTTTGGATTTGAGGGTGAGCCCTATCCATACCACAGTTGTTATGAAACATACGAATGGATGGTCGATTTTGTCGACCCTCATTTCCAATATCACAAAATTCTGGCTCAGTTCTGGGGTCTCCTTCTTCTTGATCTTTCGGAGAATTCCATGCTGCCATTTGACATGGAAGCCTACGGCGACGCCATTAGTGGATGGGTTAAGGACTTGGATGAATTCGCCAAATCAAAGAATGCTAAGGTGGATATGCAACCCATGTTCAAAGCCGCGGCTGAAGTGAAAGCCAATACTGTTCAATTTGAGAGCTGGAACAAAATCTGGCACGATACTGTGTGGGGCATGGGTGGATATGAGAGCAACATCATGGCTGTTCAGCGGGTAAACCACAACGCTCGGATGGCTGCTTTTGAGACCAATCTACTTGACTTGGAAGAAGGCGGGGGTGTAAGTTGGCTTTATTCTCGATTCGTCGCTATGCCTCGACTAATGACTAGTACAGATTCCCAACCGTACGCAATTCCGACACGTTATCTTTGGCCCAGAGCTGTGGTCTGGATACGATGCCTCGCTCTTCCCTGCTATTCGCGACAGCATCAATACGGGGAATTGGACCTTGACTCAATATTGGATCGACCGGGTCGCCAATACCATTCACCACGCCAGCGATAAGCTGCTCCATTAATGTATTCTAGCTTTTCAGCCATTTTCCTACTTTTCGTTCTTCTCAGCCATGCTTTATCCACGCTTATTGGATTGATTCTTTTGTCACGTTCTAAACGAGCACTGTACAGCCCGACGCCTGCGATATGGTTGTCGGGATACCTTTATTCTTGCATTTTGGGAGATTTTCTTGTCCCCATCATATACCAACCATGCATGTTTTAAGCTCATACGGAAACTGGCACACCGTTCTTCTGTCGATTCTTTTGGTCGCATTCTTTTCGCTTTTCTTGAATGTATCTAGCTTCTCATCCTTGTCCCGCGGGACCGGCGTTTATACGGGGGGATATATCACATTTTGTGTCTAGCTTTCTAGAGGGTCTCCAATTTTTCAAAGCTGCCAATCCACATGGTTTGCGCAATCCCTCAGCAATGCACATGCTCACTCCAAATTCTTTAATTTTGTCTTCTTTCTTCCTATCGGAGTGTCCTTGCACACCGCCGGGTATCATAAATCATCACTATATCAAACAGGAGGCAAAGAAGGCTCAATAGCTAACAAAGACGGATGATCTGCCAAACTCTGCCAGAACCCTGACTCGAATTCCCACAGATCCTGACTCAACATCGCCGCCCACTCGTCATTCCCCTCCTGTTCAGCCAGTTCAGGTAGAGGCTGTGCCGGGTCTGAATGCGTCGAATCTAGAAACCGCTGTATAGTCCTCGTGGCCTTCGAAAGCAACGGGTAATTCGGTTCTCCGGCTTTCACAATCGTCCCGATCTGCACCTCAGCAGCAAACACACTGAGATCTTGCAATGACCGCGTCCGGTGCTCTCGTGGCATGCGCTGTTTCAACATGGCCAGAAGCATTATCCCCGCTGCGGGGAGACCGTAGTATGCAACCTGGTATGAACATCAGTGGACTGTTTCATGTTGGGATTTAAATGCAAAGACAGGGTGATCTATGTAAAAGAAACTGCATACCTTCCAAATAAGACCGGTTCCAGAATTAATGAGTTGATCCCGCAGAAGAATCACCTCCACAACAAGATTGAGCATTTGTCCTGCCGTCTCAATAATAGGCAAATCCGGCTCAGTCGGTGATTTCAGTAGAAGGAGACGGAGCAGAAATAGTACATGTAAGTGGTGAAGTCGGACACCGGCAACAAAATCCCGCTCCAAGGGGCCTTGCGTGCATTTCTTGAGACTGCTCTCGAGTCGGAAGTGGGATGGCAGGCTTTGCCACTGTCTCTCTGCTTGACATTGTATCACGCTGTATATTATTCAAAGGTTAGCTCAGATGAGCTATGTGGGGTTAAGTTGTTTCCTAGTATAAGGTGATATTACGTACCTTGCTCGCTGTGCGCACGAGGGGTCATGCTTGTCTTGGAGAAGTTCCCAGATCTCCTCTTTCAGAGAAGCACATAGTGCAGACCACCGCGTATCAGCCCTGTACCCGGCCTCCACATCTGGAGTCCAGTCTGCAGATTCTGCTTTCGGGCAGTATGGGATCTGGAAGTGACAGAATCGCTTGTTCATTCGCGGTGGGCGACCGAGGAAGATTGCTATGTTCTTGTCTGCGGAGTAGATGCGTGCGAAGGCGGTTTTGCGCAGCTCTTTTAAAAATAGTGGGATGCCTGGTTTGGCTGCGATATTCTCATGATAGCCCAGGGCAAAGGTAGAGGATATTGCGTCACCTAGTTTGCGCCATGAATGGTAGCCTTTCGTGGGATGTTAGTATATGATTGGATCAAAGCGATTGCTGGTATTGTGGACGGAAGAGCTGGTGGCTTACTCTGATCACCATCCACATAGGAATGAACAATGAAATTTTCATATTGCATGATCAATTGCAGGTCGTTCAGACAATCTAGAGAGAGGGAGATCTCTAATGCGAAGTCGCAAAGTTTTGTACACAGTCGTCGGAGGGTGTACTGTTCTTGCTCGGTGGTATATAGAGATGGGAAGAACGAGATATCAATTGAGGCTCGGCTAACAGCAGCAAAGAATATTCCCAGTGTCTCCCAGCGTGAATTATGATTTAGAAACTGGGCTGAGAAACTGGCCAAATCAGAGGTTTCATCGAACTGTAGTGGTTGAGCCGAGTTATACAAGAGGCGTCTTGCGTAGACTAGATGCCAGTTCACATCATGATAGGTGAACAGTTGGCTCACACTTTGGGCACATTCATTCACGAAGGGCTCTGCTAGCGCTAGATTGGCCCCTTTAGCTAACCAGAACATGATCAGGTCTGTCATAGCGGACAACTTGTATGTTGTCAATAAATGCTTGAGAATATCGGCGCCTTGTAGGACCAAATGGTTGTCCCCAAACAAGTCTGAGTGCAAAGCTTCTGGTACTGCTTGGCAGCTACCAGAGACATGGTCTCCGTCCGGGGTGATGTGCTTGAATATAGCTGCATGGCTGGACGACCCTAAATACCCAGGGTTTGGGTATGGATTGCGTCTTGGATTAAATGAGTGTGATTCATCTGGTGAACCAATGCTGCAAAGTTATCAGCTTGTTTCAATGGAGTCCAGACCAGTATAAAACCGACCTCTGGTTCTCTGCTCTTTTGCGCTTAAAGGGTGTGGTTCTGTAGATACAAATCCCCTTATTAGTATCACAACGCGAGCAGACTGGCAGCTTGTGGTCGCATGCCAATTTAGCCTTTCTACAGGCTTCACAGGCAGCCAGACGCGACATAACTTGACTGGCGGACTTTGGCCCGCCAGTGGAGAAAAGGAATGAGGTGTTTCGGCTAATAGCGGCGAGATCGGAGAGTCGGCGTGTTGATAAGATGCGGGGTGGAGACCCCCCCATCTATAAATACGCGGCCCTTCTTTCTTCTCCAACTCCAACAACATCCCACATCATGACTCAAGATATAAAGCTTGCAGACTACCTGTTCACCCGGTTGCGCCAGCTGGGCGTCGACTCCATGTTCGGCGTCCCTGGCGACTACAACCTTCGTCTCCTGGACTTCGTTGAACCCGCCGGTCTCCACTGGGTGGGCAACTGCAATGAACTCAATGCAGCCTACGCAGCAGACGGATATGGCCGGATCAAGGGCCTGTCTGCAATGATTACTACCTACGGAGTTGGTGAGCTTTCCGCTATCAATGGCATTGCCGGCGCCTACGCTGAGAACACGCCTGTGTTACACATTGTCGGAACTCCTCCACGCCCGCTCCAGAGCGCGCGTGCCTTCATGCACCATACCTTCTCAGACGGCGACTATCGTCGCTTTGCAGAAATGTCAAAGCATGTCACTGCAGCCCAGGCTAGACTGGAAGATGCCGTCACGGCGCCAGAAAGGATCGACTATATCCTCCGGCAAGCGTTGATCCACAGCCGTCCGGTCTATCTCGAGCTCCCCGATGATATGCCCGACGTACTTGTGTCAGCCGCAAACTTGCAAACCAAGATTTGCATTCCTGAACCACCAAGCTCTACCCAAGAACCCCAGGTGCTGGCTCGGATCTTGGAGCGAGTGTACAGCGCCAAGCGTCCGTTGATCCTTGTGGACGGAGAAAGCACAGGTCTCGGTATCGTGGACCAGCTTAACGATCTGATCAAAGCAACGAACTGGCCGACATGGACAACTGTGTACGGCAAGGGCTTGATCAACGAGCAACTGCCAAATGTCTACGGGCTCTACGCAGCAGCCTTCGGCGACAAGCCAGCACAGGAGTATTTCAACGAAGCAGATCTGGTCCTGTCCTTCGGCCCACACAACAGCGACACCAATACTCTCTTCTATACCACAGTCCCCAAACCAGCCGTGGCAATCACTTTCTCGGGCAGCACTGTCCAAATCGAAAATGATACATACCGCGACCTGTCTGCCCGCAAAATCCTAGCAAACATCCTCCAAACCCTCGACTCCAAACGCCTCGTCCAGAACAGTGGACCTCCGAAACAAGAAATCACCCTAGCCGGGATCCAAAACACTGATCCCATCGCCCAAGACAACTTCTATCGTCTGGTAAACCCGCTCTTCCGCGAAGGGGACATAATCCTCACCGAGACCGGCACCGCTGCTCACGGCGGCCGGAACTTCAAACTACCCGCGAAGTCTCGGATCTTCGGCGCCGTCACCTGGCTGTCGATTGGATTCATGCTTCCCGCAACGCTAGGCGTAGCGCTTGCGCAGCGCGAACTCAATAAAGGCACTGGAAGCAAGAGCCAGACAGTGCTGTTCACCGGCGACGGCAGTCTGCAAATGACTGCTCAAGAGATCAGCGTGATGATCCGAGAGAAGCTGAACATTATCATCTTCATCATCAACAATGAGGGGTATACCATCGAGCGGGTGATTCATGGCCGCAAGCAGGCGTACAACGATGTGCCGTTTTGGAGACATGCGCAGGCGCTGAGCTATTTCGGCGCCGATGAGGAGCATGTGGCAAAGAACACCTTCACGGCGAAAACTTGCGGAGAGCTGAAGGAGATCCTGGCCAATGAGTGTATTCAGAATGGGTCTGGTGTCAGACTTGTTGAGGTGGCTATGGGCAGGGAGGATGTACAGGGGGCTTTGTTATATCTGTTGAACAAGCAGCTTGCACAGGAGAAGGAGGAGGCAAAATAATGTGTGTGAATAGAAAGCATCTTAGAAATTTGTTACTACTTAGGTACACACATATATCTGTTTTTTAAACATGAAGTTTGACCAGCATCAAGGCAGTACTCGTACGTTTGATCTGGTCAATAGAAACTACAATATAAAAGCAGTATGTAGTATGAGCAATGGTGTTCGTCTGATCAACCCAATTCCATTCCCACGACTCCATTACTGGAGCTGCCTTCTTGCGGTGATCGGTCAACGCCCAGCACAGCGCCTCGGTTACTGCTCAACTGACTTGGACCTCAGGGCCTAAATTTGATATTCACTTACACCTAACCAAGTCGAGCACTACCAGACTCGGGATAACATCGGCTACGCCATGCACTGTTCGATATTCATCTCTCAGAAAGCAAAGTAGACGAAGACACAGCAAATAAAGAAGTCAAAGCTAGCAGATTGTAACAGAAAAAGCAATGAATAGGGATGCTAGTTTAGCCTGCTCAATCGACGAGAAAACACAGTGCTTATTGTCGTGCTTTATTATCGTTCATTATTGCTTGGGGTATCGTACATGAGGGTTATAGTTCCGATCTAATGGAGTTAGACGTGCAATACAAGTGAAGTGAAATTGACTTGGTGAACGTACTGTTCTGTTAGAAGATGCAAGCGATACTCTTCTCAGCCGATTTCCATAACTCCAGACTTCCAGAGCCCCGGATTATGGACGAAACCATGAGTCACAGATGTGACTGCTGTAGAACCATTCTGCGACTTGAGCTTTAGTCCGAGGCATCCGGCGGAATCATTGGGTCCTTGTTTCGAGGTTTCTTTGAAGACATTTCCGGACTCGACAGGTCCAGATGAGGAGACTGATGGAAGAAATTTGGGTTTGAGAAGCTCGATCCCTGCAATATGAGTCTCGCAGGAAGAGCCAGCCCTATCACCCAAGTATTCAAAAAAAACAAGACCATTGCCAGCGCTGGTGGCAAAGAAGCATGAAAAGGCCAAAGGAGCCGCGCACGGTGCAAGGAGCTCATCAAGAAATTGACGCTGTTTGGGGCTACCAAAAGGTAATCCACGAATGAATAGAATTGTAAGACCCAGTGCTCCTTTGGGTATCAACTAAGCGTAGGCTGAGCGCCTAATAGATGGCTCCGATCAAACTCCGAGTTTGAGTCTAGACTAAAAGTCCCTCAGTGAGCTTGACTGTGAGCCGCATTGAAGCGGCATCTGGAATATGAAAGCCCCGGCAAGGGAATTTAGGTACATAGAGTGACTTCGAGAAAATGGTAGTATTGATAAGAAGAATGATGTCTTACTATGATTATTGTGTCTCGATCCTAGTACATGGGATGAGAAGCCTATTGAAGAACAAAGTCAGGCTAAGTAAACGCCGATTCCCTATGCTCCAGGTCCGCCATGCACACAGTGTGGTGTGAAACTAGAAGAAACGGAAAGAAAAAAAAAAGAAGGGCCCGAAACATTTTAAAACAGACATCTGCTTGAACATGTCCGAGAAGTCTATACTTGAGCTGTCGGTGTGTGGAGAGGGTTGCTCTCATGTTGCGTTGTGTTTATTTGCGGAAGTTTTCAGCGCCCAGGGTTGGGGTCTCCACCATGCGGTCAGTGGGAACGCCCTCGTCGCGACGACGGGCGAAGAAGCTATCACATTCGGAAACGATGTGTGCCCATTCTGCAAGGGCGCGACCTGCATATTTGCTAGGCACAAGATGGTCGTAGGAAATTAAAGAAGGAAGTTGAGGTAGGGGGGAGTCTTTGGTTGTAGGTGTTCGGGGCCAGGTATCAGAAATAGGTTGAGTAGGAGTAGCTTCGGTGGTAGTGGGGGGTTCTGGGTCTTGTTCTTGTTCATCGTTCTCAAAAGACTGAGCCGGGTTCTCTGATGCTGTGTCATACTCTGACTTGTCAGGAGAACGGCGATGCTCAACGTGCAATTGGGATGCAACTGGGAGACAAGGGGGGAAAAGACGTTTGTTTTTGGTAGGATAAGGCGGGCGATCTGACCATTCCAACGAGAATTTGAAAAAGAACGGCTGGTGTGGAGTCTTAGGGCGAATGATTTCATCCATGTTGTTGGTTGGAGTCTTTTCGTGGTCATCCATACATTTGCTATCAGCAGTCACTGTGATATCCGATGCACCGGTCTCAGATTCATCGGAGCTGCTGCTGGCACCATCGCCGGAACGTGCAGTGGAAGAACTGCCGAACATAGATTTGAAGAGTCCCCATCGTTTCTTGGGGGGAGGATTATTTGAGTCAGTCGAGTCGGAAGAGCCAGTTCGTCGGTGCGACATGAGTTGGTCCGAAGGGACGGGCGGAACGACTCGGTCAAAGCTGACGAAGAGATTAACTGGGGATACGTGGTTGTCGCATCGGATGATGATGATTCTTCGTCCTGGGGCAGGTGAACATGGAGCAGAGGATAAAGGTGCTGTCAAGCCCTCTTCGGCCCTGGATTGGGACCCAATATAGTACTCCCAGACTCGTAGAAGTCGGTCCGAAAGAAGCTCATAGATGTTGGAATCAAGTGATGAGGGTTCAGTGTTGAAACGCCCAACCCTCCAACATAACAAACGATGGAAATAGGCTCGGACCATTGGACTCCAGTGGTTGAAGTAATAGTAGAAAACCGGCTCATTCAGCAAGAAGTCCAAACAGATAGATGCTTTTCTTTCATCTGTGGCCGTCCACGTACCCCAGACGGAGAAAAGGAAAGCGAACACGCGAATCTCGGTTATCGAATTGTGGCTTTGCATCATCTGGCGACAAACAGTGAGCCAAAATCCCCAATCAAATAGTTCCGTTTCAATTGACTGAGCATAACGTGTGATAATTGGAATGACCTCTTCGAGAAAGTCGCATAGCAAAAAGCATGCGTTATGATCAAAAAGCGACGTTTTCTGGGCTGCAGATTTGATAATGGAACAGAATGATTCAGCGAAGAGTAAGCGAGCACGATTCGGTTCCACGGATGATTCGGAGAGGAAATCTCGGAGCAGGATGATAAGACGATTCTCTACCATTGATCGATGGCTATTGCTGCCATTCCGGAGATGGTGGGGGAAGCAGCAGCATCCGGTGTCTCTATAAAATCATCGAAAGTGATGGCAGCAGCTGTGTGGGGATTTTCGGCTATTTGTGGTGCTGACTGCTTGTATAAGGTATCCTCTAGGACGAGCAGGAGTTGCGCATGAACCATCAACAATCCAGGTGCTAAGATCCGTTTCGCCTTTTCCGTCTCCGGGGGCAAATACTCAGCATAGAGAATGTGAATGTATTTCACGAACACGAAGAACAGATCTGTGTCACGCCCAGCCCATCTAGCGATCCACGGGCGGTTCCAATTGATAGAGGCGGTGTTCAAAGGGGCATCAAGTTTCTGACGTAGGTACCGTAGCAGAGGTGCCTGTGAGTGGAAAGCGAGAGGGCGGAGGGCCGGTGGGAAACATTGAGCAAGTTCTTCGGTGTATGGACGAAAATTTCCAGCCCTTGACCCCGCCGATTCAGATAAGATGCGCCTGAACATGGTAGGGGGCGTGCACCACAAGCGGACCAGGATTTCAGGCACCCCGGGACAGAAGAAGAAGGCATATGCGCAGACCTTTCCGCAAAATGCGACCAGACTGGCTGGTGCATGCCTCATGGACATTCGTTCAACCACAAACGCCATTTGGGAAAGCAGATTTTGAATAAAGATGTTCCGAATGTTGTGGTGAATCGATTCAACCAGGAAATCCGAGCCCGAGGAGCCTGAGCCATCCGATGTTTCCGATACTGAGGTCGATGCATATTTTAAAGAATCTGTAGGTCCACTGCTTTGCTGGGCCATTGGGAATGGGATGCGCCATTCCGGTCGAGCCATAATTCCTACAACAGCTTCCAGAAACACCGGTCTGTCGGTTCCTGAAATAGACTGGTTATACTTGCCATTGAGCATTTCCAGCATTCCAATCCACCATTTATTGAGAATGTTGACTCGACGGTCCAGGTCTTCGGGTCTGATGTTCTTGCAAGAGGCGTGGAGGTGATGGCGACTGAGAAAAGGGAGGAGCGAGGTGCGGATGACATTGGCTTTCAGCGAGCTAGATTTGGATTGAAATCTGTTCTCTGGTCAGCAATCGTAATCTAGATAGGTCACGCCGATTGCACCTACTTTTGGAAGTCCGCTTCGAGACCCCGAAAGATACCCCAAAGTTCGTCCTTTTTCCTCGACGGATCAACACCGGTATTCGCATATGACGCTGCAGTTTCGGCGGCTCCCTTGGGCATTGGCGGCAAAATTGGAGTCGAGACGGAAAGTGATGCTGTGAACTTTTCGAATGAGGTCCGATGTCGTAGGGAATAACCCGATGGACTGCTCGGGGAGATGGGACTGTCTTCAGGGCCTTTGGCCACAACAGCCACCATTGGCCGACGTGGGCGTTTGTAGAGAATCGTTCGCTTGCGGGAGGGTTGAGTTTGATCATCTTCTGACTTTCGACCATTGGGCTGAGCCACGTTCGGAGAATCTTGCTGTTTGGATCTTTTTGCTGATGGAGACGGGGATCGAGAAGAAGAGCCCCATGGTTTCCTCGCCAGGCTGACTATCCTTCCAGACATTGACCGGCTCTTCGATGGCCGCACAGCAGGCTCCGGTGCCCTAGTTTCTGGCACATTTGTCTCTGTATCCTTCAGGTCCTCCGATGACGACAGTGTGAAACGTGAGACGGGGGTTGGCTTCGGCCTGTTCTTGGAGCGCAGAGAGGTTCGGCGGAGAATATCCTTCCCCGCCGCCACGCTCTCCTTTGTTGGAGATTGCGCTAAGGTTGGAACGGCATAGTCGGAAAATGTACGCCTCAAAGTAGATTCTGGGGCGGTTTGACTGGGGATATCGGTGTAACTGGCCGCACGGGAGAGCTCGGGCTTCTGGTCATCGTTGTAGCTGGTTGTCTCGGGGGAGGGCGAAGACATTGTCTTGAAAGGGGCAGGTCGAATATTGGGATCTTTTTTTTATCTGGTCATTTCCCCTTAAACCTCACGATTCTGAGCGTCGAAGAGACCAGCTCCTCTGTGCACCAGGTGATTTCCGGTCGAAGTGGTCAGGCGCGCGGCATCTGGGGGAAGGGCAAACAAACACAAATGCCAGACTCTGAGAGGAAACGGGGAATCACAGAGACCAAACGTCAGAATAATAATTAAAAGCAACCACGCAGTTGGTGGATAGATCGTCTATGCTGGAAAGGCGCCACTCTGAAATGATCGGCGCTTCGGGAATCTCCCCAAGGGCCTGCACAAGCGGCAAAGATGTGGGGTGTGGCTCAAGAGAAGTGAGGAGAGCCAAAAGAGAAAAAGAGCAAAAAAAGCAAACAGCAAAAAGCAAAAAGCAAAAAGAAAAGAGTCCACGAAATCACCAAGAGTAGAAAAACAAAATAGGAAGCCAACTAAGTGCCAAGGGGGGGGAGGTTTCAAAGTTTATGGGCCTTCACTCGAGACATGACACCCTCTCAGGCTATTCTAATCCCAAGATCATCTTGGTATTCCAAGGGTTTTATATTAAACCCCCCCCCATCAATTCCTGTTTAGCTGACACAACCTGAGACGGCTTTTCCCTTGTTTACTCCACTTCCAACTCGGATCTCCTGTTCTCTCGACTCCATAGAGTAGCCATCATGATCCGGTAATCCTGGGTCAAGAGAGTCTCACGGTGTCAGCTCGAGTTCATGGTCTATGCATGCACTGCCATGCATGAGCAAGTCGGATTCGTAAAGAACCACCCCTTCAGCCCCAATTGTAAGGTCTTTACAGGCGATGGGGCCAATCGCATCCTGTCCGGAACATAAAGGGAAGAATTCACCGAGTGGGCTATGACAGCTGGACATCTCAGGTACAGATCCAACTCTCGTATCCCAGCCTTGGGCATGGAATGTTGGAATGTGGTCTCTTTCTCCGGTGGCATCATCAGCCTTAACGCCCTCCAATTCACACATTCTTGTGGTTCCTATGATTCATGGCTACTCTCCGGACATGTGGTTCGCAAACCCCATTGCTCCGTACTTGGGCATACAGATGGTCTAATCATATTTCCCCTGGGCGTGTGGAATCTATTTCCATTCTCGATCGCGGTCTGCCCTGCAGGGGTTGGGGCCATAATATGCTTAAATCACCTTAGAGCCTTCCACCCGGGGTGCCGTGTCTTGTCTGTTGTTCATGGCATAGCCCTAAGTGTTATACTTTAGGGTATGTATCCAAGAGGTCTCAAATGCAAGAGCCCTGTCGACACACCATGCATCACATTGCACAAGCCCTTGCTAATGTTTTCATTGCCCCCTGCTGGAAAAATCAGGACCCAACTTGAACAATGGCTGGCGGAGTGGATATGCAACGATGGTACAATAATAGTGTTTGAATAGTCTTGTTTTCTCCTTTCGTTTTTCTTTTTTAATTTGCTTTTAACTTTGCACTCTCCGTTGATCTCTCCAGGGATGTCGCATATCCTGTTCTTGAGGGCATAATAAGGTCTGATAGGTGTACAATCCTAGGCATGTGTAAATCTGATATATCAGATCAGTTGCAAAGCGTTTCCGATCTTCAGTTCTGTTCTCAAGGTGATCGCTCGGTTGCAGCGGTGGATCCCAATAATCATAATCAATAGTTCCTTATACGGAGTACGGAGTACAGAGTACAGAGTCCTCCATACATGCTACGGAGTACGGAACATACGGAGTACAATATATGCTCTGACCAGGCGACAGATGACCTATTGCATAACCGGGAGAAATTATTCTCAGCAGTTCCATGTTCTCATATGTTTGGTCCATCTACGGAGTAGCCCATGTGCAACAATCGCTTCCCAGCCATCTCCATCGAGTGCACAGAGTACTCCGTACAGAGTACAGAGTACCTGGGTACAGCTAATATAGTGTATCAGTCCCGAGTCAACTGAAATACAGTGGTCCGGAGTACTGTGTGTCGGGCACCCATATCATCACCTCATGAATATTGTGATTTTCCTGTGCGGTGTACGTAGATGACTGCACATGTGCCTACATCGTTTACAGCATCACGTGTGCCAAACAATCCAGGTACTTGCTATGCAATTATTTTTAAATGCTACCTCCGAATGCTACAAACCCCGCTCTTCACATTCAACTGTGGACTTGATGAGGTTAGAAATGACCCCGGCATGGACTATCCATTGCATTCCGCCGAGGGCAGTCTTCGATGTCTGCCCCGCGTAGCCCTTCCAACCCTAGATCCCTTACTCTGAGCTCTGCCCTGGATTGGACAACAGGGGAAGGCCAATGAAAAAAGAAGTCTCAACGTTCAAAAATATGGTCTAATTTACAAGCTTCAGGACCCGAGAGGCGGCCACATTAGTTGCGCCACAGGCAGTTAAAGCCCGCCATCCCCCATATCTCCCCAGACCTTGCCGATTCGAAAAGATAAGGAAAATTTAGTGGGCGGCAGGAGCCTCCTCATCCTCCTCGAACCAGCTCTCCTCAACAGGGGCGGCCTCGCCAGCGGCGGCCTGGCCCTCGACCTCGACCTCCTGGCTCTCGTAGGCGGAAAGTTCGCTGGCGAGGTTGGCCTCCTCGGGAGACTGGGGGGCCTTGGGGGCATTGAACTTGTGGACGTGCTCATCGGCGTCACTGGCCTTGATAGGAGTGGGCTTGTAGGCCTTGAGCTCGCGGAGGTAAAGGTCCTGAACGGGGTCGGCTGGAGCGGGTTGCGAGTTAGCGAGAATGCAGCCGATGGATATAGGAGGAACATCTAGATCATTTCGAATAGATTGCCCAGGTGGTATACATACCCTGGCGGACGGCGGAGGTCAGGAAGGTGCGGCGAGCGACCGAGACCTGTGCCCGAGAGGCACGGGAGAAGAGGGTGCGCTGCATTTGGCGTTAGTTGAAGATCAAGATAGATGAATGGAGATCGATCACTACTCACCGAGGCCCGGAGAGACTGAGACATCATCTTGGCTGAGGGTGTAGATGAGGGAGGAGGGGTGGTTCTCAACAGGATAGATCTGATCCGTCTTTCCGTGAAGTTGGAGGTTCAAACGACTTCTGTTCGGAAAGGATTCTTGGCGGATGACTCAGCCGGGCCATGTTGTTCCCGAATCTCTCCAGGACTCCAACGCTCGACCTTCATGTGAGTTGAAACAAGTAGACTGTGCTCAAATCAGAAGGATATGATTTGTGACGGATTAAGATATAATGAAGCACTGGCAACATTCTTTATTCGGGACCCTAGGGACTTAGATCTTGTAAGTAAGTTGTGCCATATATTCCCGAGACCATCCGTCTAAAAATCTTGAAATCGCAAGCATTACATATGTATATCACGGTGTGCCTCACAGCTCCTAAATATGAAAATTCATCTCATTCCCTCGAGCTCTTTAACGTCCATATTTAATTGGTCCACAACGGTGAACAAAGAACAAAGAACAAAGAATCGTCCTTTGCTACCAAAAGTTTGCTATAGTTCATCAACCAATGAAAAAGCAGCATGTCAACCACGTGATTATCTTACCAAGCCAGATTTGGACGCGGCTTTCTCCAGGTGCCGCCCATTGTTGCCTCACCTCACCCCCGTTGTCTCCCTCCCTCACTCTCCCCCGGTCCCTGGCTTCTTCTTTCTCTCCTCCTCAGCCTGTCCCCATTTTCGTGAGAGACTTCTTGCGGAGACCTTGACTGGTTCCATACGGCTGGACAAGCTGAGGCGAGGTTTCTGTTCCACTTTCAACCCAGAAAGCGCAGACTGGCGAAGGTTTTTCTACGACTGGGGGTGACTCCTTCGACCTCTGAGGGCTCTGGCCTGTGAAAGGTAATGAAAGCGTCTTTGTTCGACCTCATCTTGGCGTGACATTGTCAGAGATCAAAGATCAGACAACGTTGCTGTGTGAGAGACAATGAATTTGCTTTGGGCTGAGCTAACATGACTGCGCAAGACAGTGGCCTTGAGCAGATTGCCTTCTGATTTTTCGTCTTTTCTCCGTTGAGGGATCCTCCACAGGTGGCCCGCTTTCTTTTTCCTCACTACAGCCGCCAAGCTGTATTCGCCACTTCTCCTTCGCTACTATAATCGCAAATATCATCTGCCGCGGATCGCGCCAAAGACTCTTGCAAAGAGGTGCCATCACCGCTACGAAAGTTTCTTCAAAGCGGAAAAAATGGCTACTCCCGCCCTCGCAAAACCCGAGGCCGCCCCTTGGAAGAAAAACCTGTCCGCCCACCTTGTCTGCCCTGAATGCAAAGAAGACCCTCCGAACCTAGAATTCCCCGATTCCCACGAAACCGTTTGCGGTTCCTGTGGTCTTGTGCTCGCCGATCGCGAAATCGACCTGCACTCCGAATGGCGTACATTCTCGAACGACGATCAGAACAATGACGATCCCTCACGTGTTGGAGACGCCTCGAACCCTCTGCTCAACGGCGCTCAGCTCGAGACATCAATCGCAAGTGGAGGCTCAGGCCGCGCTCGCGACCTGTACCGTGCGCAAAACAAGCAGTCGGGCGAAAAAGCGAACAAACAACTTCTGGCAGCTTACAAGGAAATCGGTGCTTTGTGCGATGGTTTCAACATTCAGAAGACTGTCGCCGATACTGCCAAGTATCTCTTCAAGATGGTCGACGATGCCAAGGCCTTCAAGGGCAAGTCTCAGGAGGTCATTATTGCCGGGTGCATTTTCATTGCATGCCGCCAGTGCAAGGTCCCACGTACCTTCACTGAGATCTTCGCCGTGACTAAGGTAACTCGCAAGGAAATTGGCCGCATTTACAAGGCTTTGGAGAAGTTTTTCACCACGCAGAACGTCGAGCGCCACAACGCTGCCTTGGAGAATGGCGAGACTCACGACGCTACCGGCGATTACAATGCTACTACGTCAACCAAGCCCAGCGACCTCTGCAACCGTTTCTGCAATCTTCTCGACCTTCCTTACCAGGTCACCAGTGTCTCTGTCTCCCTTTCGGACCGGGTTACCGCCATGGGCGACCTGGCCGGACGTTCTCCCCTGTCTATCGTTGCAGCCTGTATTTACATGGCCTCATTCCTCATGGGTCACGGAAAGTCTGCCAAGGAGATTTCCCAGGTTGCGCACGTCAGTGACGGAACCATTCGTGGTGCTTACAAGCAATTGTATGCGGAGCGTGAGCGCTTGGTTGATCCTGAGTGGATCAAAGGCGGCAAGGGCGATATGGGTAAGCTGCCTGTGAGCTGATCAGCTTATTCGGAAATCATCTATTTTTTCGCTTGGACAATTCTCTTCATCTGAAAAGTCGACATGGCAAGGCTGCATTGCATGTCAGCCGAGAAACAATTTACAAAAAAAAAAAAGAAAAAAAGAGAGATATCAATATTTGCTGTTCTTTGGGGCACTCTGAATGTCCCTGAAATACCATCATAATACCTCGCTGCAATGCTTCTATGGTTTTGACTTCAAAATTCGCTTCTGAATGAGCCTGAGAAGAGGCTTGATTTGTAAATGAGCATATGGATAGCTAGGTTGAACAACAATCAATCATCTTGCTATGAACATAATGAATGTAGTTGTAGGTTTCGGTCCACTTTCGACTGCTTCCATGTAGATAGTAAATACGCAAGGTTTCAAATACCCCATCTGCCAGGCCGTCATGGCTGCCACGTTATATATTGCAAATGATCTACATGTATATATACCCACGTGGAAGTATGCAAGTACCAAATATTTTCTTTGATTCCAAGTCAGTCTCATAGACAACACTACTTGAAAGACAAAACCCACGTAGAAATATAAATCCCAGAAACAATCTCACGACCGAAAACGCACAAAGAGCGTCTATTCCAGAATACCCCAAAATGATGAAACCAGCATCAAAACCCAAGCATAGCAGAACCAAAGCAACAGAAAGTACTCAAAGCACCAATCAATTTACCCTTTGTTTTGAAAGGCTGGCTCGACTTTCCCCTCGTCGCTTGTACGGTTGTAGGGTCGATCATACCGCTCTTCCATCTCCTTGTTATGCTTCTTCACGTCCTCGGGTAGATCCTCTCTCAGATGACCCTCGTTATCTGCCAGCGGGGACTGAGTTCCTGCGCGTAGAGTGGGTCGTGCTTTATTGGAGGGGATTGGGGCATTGGGTAAATCTTGGGGATGCGTGGTGGTGTCTGTTTGCTCGGGGTCGTTTGCGGTTTTGTTTGCGTAGCTTCGGCGCTGGGAGAGAAGGGGTGTCTGTGTTCTTGCTGCTGAGAGAGCTGTGATGGGGGATCGGGCCTGGAATGGGGTCTTCAGGCGCATGAAGGTTGTCATTGTGGAGGTTGACGTGTGGAGGTTGGCGGGTTGATGTTGGTTTGGAGGAGGGTTGAGAAGGTGGATATGAAGGTAGGGAGTTTGGATTAGAAAAGCCACTGCTGAGGCGACTTATATAAACGCCTTTGCTGGTTCCGATTTGATAAATCAGGTTTTAATGGATTGGCAGGGGGTTCGCCTGAACTATATCATCGGTAGTGATGACGTCTTGCGATGTCATACTGCACGCGCCAAGAGCTTCGACAACTTTATATCTATTTTTATGAAATAGCTTCAAGGTAATTATACCTAGGTATATGGGTGTTTACGGTTGATAGGCTCATAATTATACACTAAAGTCAGTCGAACCGATTCACTGAAGCATGAGGTAACGATAGTCTCGACGGCTTTTGGTTAATTCTCCCACAGGACTCGGTAGCCACCAAGATCCAACCAGCCTAATCAATATAGAACACCAATGCCAGCACAATAAAAATACATGATTGGTATCTTTGCAATGAGCAAAATTCCCCCAATGTGAGTCTAGAGCAAAAGTGAGCTCAAACAACACACGAAACACCCATAAACGCCTTTTTTGTCCGATGTCGCTGTATGCACAATGAAGAATGATATAAGGCCAGTACTCAATGCCTGAGAGAATAATCTGAATTAGAGTCCAGGGGGAAAAAAGGAAAAGAAGAATAATCCCATGGCCATGTGACATACAATTTAATATCACTTGGTGTTGTCAACCGCATCTTGCGCGGGTTCTGGAGCATCGACAGAATTAGCCGAGCTCTGGAATCGATTTTTTCGCTTTCGGATCCCTTGGGATGGGGTCAAACTGGGCCTCTCTACCGAAGCCCGGGTAGAATCTGACGGCTGCTCGGAACAATCAGCCTCATAAGCACGGGAATCGTTGGGGCTGGAGATATCACTTTGTTGATTTGGTTCGGGTTGCGATTCACCATATGAATTCCGACGACTGGAGACTGACTCATTGCGACGGGATCGGGGTGGAGGCACTTTCTCGTGTGGCCTTTCATCTTTTCGCTTTGAACTAGGGGGGTTCATTTGCTCTGCGCGAAGTTGAGGAGCATTCGAGGCGGCATGGTTGAATGTCAGTAGTGGCGGTGGTGATTGTAGTCGGGATTGTGGCCGATCTAATTCTGGGGGAGACCAGTGATGATATTCAAGAGGAGACTGCGAGGGTATTCCCGACGTCCAGATAGTCGCTTCACCAGTTAGAGTCGGAGGCGTTTGGGTAGGACCGCTTCTGGCAGGAAAAGGCTCCGGGTTGAAGCCTGGATTGAGGGAATCCTGGTTAGCTGATTGTGTCATTGGGGGCTTCAGCTCGCGCTCCAGCTTCTGTCGGTCAGACCGTGATCGTGATCGGTGTAGCTTGGATTTGGCTGCCGTCGACGGGTGTTGGGACATTCCCGGTAGATACGATGTCGCCATGGGCCATGACTCACTAGATAGTACTTGATGGGGCTGTTGTGGGGGTTGTAGAGGAGTACTTTGAGACGGTTGAGTTGGATGTGGAATATTTACATGCTGTGCAGGGACGGCACAGCTGTGTTGAGGCGCCGGGACAGGTCTAGCTGGTGTAGACCACTGCCTCTGTAACTCGGCAGCCAATTTCAAATTGGCACCAGTGGTGTAGATACCGTGAAATATGAGTGGAATCAGAGTTGGTGGGACACCAGCGCGCAGGGTATCGGCGATTACTGCCTGTTCGATGCGTCGTTGTTCCAGTAGAACGTTCGCCTGGTATGATCTCTCTTCTTCCTGCTTGCGTCGATCCTCCTCCATTTTGGCATTCAGCCATACCTTCATCTCCTCTTTACCTATCCATGCAGCTGGTAGCGGAGGAACAGGACACGGCATCGTCGGTGGGTGTGGTAGACGATGGAGGCCAGATGGTGGTACTAGGTCATTGGACGAGCTCATCGTATCTTGGGAAATCCAAAGAGGCGCCCCTGTTGAAGGCTGAGGCAGTGGCTGCGGTAGCTTTGGGGGAGACAGGGACCTTGATCTGCGAGAAACAGCAAGCTGGTGGCGGACTTTGGTCCCGTTCTGGCGCATGGGTGAATTTGAAATGAGCTTCATTTTGGCAAGAGGATAACAGCGCCTTCGGTTGCATAGACGAAGGACTTGATAGGAACGCACAAGAGTTGGATAGATGACATGAATGTCATGCAAAGAGATGCAACGAGAAAAGGTTGAACAGCAGGAGCCCAAAGAGGAAACAACATACTCTCTGGGTCAAGCACTACCCCATTGAGACGTCCTAGTTCTAGATGGGGGCACTATAGCTGTTAGTTGCATCGACCTTTACCTATATAGGTAAATCGGTAAACTTGCAGATCTGAACTGGCTCTGGTCGTGGAAAATAAGCCTGAAGCCCCGTTTCTTAGTGTCTGATGTTGATGTCTTCTAGAATGGCCAACGTCACCGATGGACTAATCGGTTCAACACTCTGAATGTGTCAACAAATAGTGGAAGCTGAAAAGAGGCCAGATCTCGATCATCCTACGTCAAGGATCGATCTGGAGAGAGGATTCCATCAACAGATCAACAGATCAGTGAACGCAAGTGATCCACTCTGGAGGATATTTTTGGCATCTTTTAGAAAGCGAGTCTATATGGAGTAGAAAGAGAAGTGTCTCGGCTCGACTTGCTCAGGAGAAGATGTGGCTATACTTCATTAGGAGATTATGGACACGACATCAACAGGAGAGCCCAATGGAGTCATCCCAACAATCCGGAGGTCGAATGATATCATTCGCATGTTTAGCGAGCGTGTTTCTCGTATTCTCCCCTAAGGGGGGGGTTTGTGTTAGGTATGGCTTGGCATCGCTATATACCTGTCTCGGATTTCTCATGTTTAATTTCCTGTTTCTTCTATATCATCCATGATACCTGTCTCATTCGGCTATCTCGCCTATAAGCAGAATCTTGTTTCCCCGACGAACATATCACAACCCATCTCCATATGACTTGGCTCTCCTCAACATTTGACCCGCATCTGCAGAGTCTCTGTAGTGGATTTCTTCGCATAAGCTGACGTGCTACAGTGTATACACCAGCCCAATACAGGCAAGGAAGATCCTTGTTCAGCCCCAGCCCTTGAACAGCGTGGCCAGGGCTCAAGCTATCGGTGAGGCCGAGTGAGGCGCTACTTATTGACATGCGTCTATGGGCATCGGGCACGGTGCAATGCACGGAAGAGAACCATTTTAAATATATATATATACTCAGCGCGTTGATAGACGCCTATATGGAACCCACATTTAGCATCCCCATCAAGCAAAAAGAACGCAGAGGGTATCCCATCTCTAAGCTGCCATCTTCATCTCACCGTTTAGTCCCATCTCGGGGCCGACGAACAGCAATATCTGAGCGAAGGTGGCAGGTCGCGTCACCCAGAATTGAAAGCTGGAGGAAAGTAACAAAGATGTCATGGCCGTCTTGATTCATATATCGCCACGATCGAATCGACTCAACACCTCCGGCGGGACCGTAGGAATGTATTTGCGAGCTCGTTCGCGATTGGTGCCGCCAAAGCCAGCACCGTAGCTGATAAGCATGTCTGTGCTTGTTGGAAGGGAGAAAGGGAGGAAAAGTGTGGGATCGAGGAAGACACTATTGCCGCCACCTGGGCGATCGTCATTTCTACCGGCAATCATGCTCGCAGGTCGCGATGATATACCGGTTGAGCTGGGAGATAGCGTCTGGTCAGGAGATGTGGGTGCTTCGGAGGGCTGCTCCCTTGATGGCGTCTTCGGACGAGCATCTGCTGCTGCTACAGGCCCTAGTCCAGCTTCTGCCCTTGCCTTCTCTTCTTGGATTTCTTGCTGCCGGCGAAATAGCAATTCGGGGTCATGGTGCATCTCGAGAAGGAACTTCATTGCTTCCTTATTTAGCCCCTTCTCGCCTACTTCTGGGCGATATGACTTGACAGCATGCAGGAGCTGGGCGGGCGTGAGTTGTTGGAGTTGGAGCAGGGTCGTCACAAGAGATTCATGGTCATCACCGAGCGATGAGAAGCATTGGAGCCATTGAAGAAGCTGAATGACCGGAGCCAGATGTCGACGGGCGGCCTCAATTGTGGACTCTCCCGTGCTGTTTGTAGATCCGTTTTCGTAATGCTCTGGCACACGGTTGTTTGTGCGCGCCCAGTCCTCTAATGTTGAGACATTCATGCGTATTTGCATCGCTTTCGTCCGCGCTAGATATCGTTTTGTGCTCATGATTCGGTTGAAGATTTCGGCACTAAGCCAGTAGAAAAGTTGAGAGAGGATCTGTGTCGTGATCACCGAGTGAACATCATACAGATCGAGTACAAAGAGAGTGGATGAAAGTAAAGAGGTGATGTTCCGAGGCGAGATCTGTGCTCGTCGCCGCGGTGATGGAGGTCGGAATCGCTTCTCTTCGGGCTCGGGGTCTTTGCTTTTATTTTTGCGGAACAGCTTCCACTCGTTTTGGAACGCCACATCCTCCAGTCCAGGGATGGTCTCATGATCCAGCATTGCCGCATCCAGGACTTTGTTCATTCGACGCTCGGCGTCACGAATAACGAGAACGAAAACCTCGTTGATCAGCTCCGCCAGGTGGAGCTGAAACTCGACAGTAGATTCCACTAGGCCTCCATCCTTCTTAAGATAATGGAGCAGAAGTGTGGCATTTGACAGCCAGAAAGCTTGCATTGTCATATCCCATTGATAACGTTCTACAACGTCGTTGATCTTATCCATTGCAGATGTGAGCAGAGTTGTGAGCAGCTCAGGACTGGCATGGTAATGTGCATAACGGGCGCTGAGGAAGAGAAGATTTGCAGGCACTGGCTTCTGAGAAGGGGACCGCTGGGGGGTCATATTGGTGATGATGATATCCAAAATGCGCTCTAGCTCATGATCCTGGAAGACAAACATCTGATCGTTCAGACATCTGTCCCAAACAAATTCCTGCTGATCTTCCTCGAGTTCATCCTCATCGGATGGCTATGAAATGAATAAATTAGGTCGACCAAAGACACAACAAGAGTGCGCTATTAAGACTCACATCGAATTTCTCATCGAGCCCTAGGCTAGACAGATCAACCTCCAAGTTGATTGCGCTCTCTTCCATCATCATCCGCCTCTTCATCTCAGTCTCAGCTAGCTCTTCCTCGAAACGACCATGCGCCAGTCCCGCATCATAGAAGTCATCTGTGATAGCAACAGCGCCAAAAGTGTAGCCATATCCATGGAGATATTCGGAAATTTCACTGCCCGGCTGCGCGAAATCAAAAGCCGTACCCCCAGACGACGACTTGATATCCGGCGATGCCCCATGATCAAGCAGTATCTTCGCTATCGTCTTATGTCTGTTAGTCATAGCCCACATCAAAGCGCTCCACTGATTACGATCCTGCCTATCGACAAAGGCACCGGCGTCAATGAGCGCAGCAACGACTTCCTGGTGACCCTATCATAGTCCGTCAGCATCGCACCAACAGTATGCGTAGAATATCAACCCACAAAGCAACTAGCATAAATCAACGGCACAGTCCCCTCCTCATCGGGCATATTAACATCAACGTATGTCCTCGCCTGACCCTGTACTAATTTGCGCACGCGCTCCACATCACCATTGCTGGCTGCCATATTCAAGCTCTTTTGGAGAATATCGCGCTTCTCGGCATCGGTCAATTTCTCGTCCGCGGCGATTGTCTCTTCGTCCGCAGTGAGTGAATCCACCTCTCTATGTGCCGCCTGGGCAGCAAGCATCTCCATCAACCGGGCATCGCTATCTTCGAGATCGCGCCCATAATAGGCCCGCAGGTCATGTTCACTATCGTGCGAATGGTCGTCGAGCGCCAGGCTGAAGGATAATGGCTTTGCGGCGACCGGCGCGGTCAAGAATTGTGATTGACCTGCGATAGTTCCGAGGATTAGATCTTAGTGTTCAACCGCTACCACGGCCAGCTGGTAGATGTGCTAATGTAGGAATGTCGGGGACATCCGTCCGTTGAGGTTCGGGGAGTGAGTTCCGCGGACCTCCAGAGAACACTCACCTTGCCAAGCATCATACATCTCAGTCTCCGGCTGGAAGAATGGGACGGAGCGACGATCATCCAGGGATTTGGGTAAGTCATCTGGGAGTTCCTGTTTAGCGTCGTGGAAGGACACGGGGCTGTGGCCACTGTGGTCGCTGTGGTCATTGGCATCGGTGTCCTCTGAGGCCCCGCGCCGCGGTTCGGTCGTGTCCATCGTGGCGGGCTGGCTGTCCGGTAGACCTGTGGCGGGACATCAAATTCTGGATTTGCGAATCTGCAGAGCCCTCTCTAGGGGTATGTGAAGGAGGAGACCCTCCAGTAGAAATTGGTGGTTGGAGGGGGTGGTGGTGATGGGTGAGAGCTGATTTTGGTGTTCCGTTCCTGGACCAGCGCGATGCGGCCCCGAGATATGACGCACCTTCACGCTTTGCTATGGGATGTGGGGGCTAAGGCGATATGATTTGTCTATATTTGATCGGGAAGATATATGTCATGGATTTTCATCTCTTACGCGGGTGCTTCATGTAGTATGGAGATCATAAGTTTGTTCGAACCCCCTATTCGCCCACAGATCGTCTTCTCAGGAACTGCAACTTTTTAGAAACATCACGCAATAGGATACTTAATGTCTTGCTATTGTTATCTCTGGGCATTGATCAGCTGCCTGATAAGAAGTAGGTATGAGTGCCCAATTAGGTAAATAGGGTGAGGAACTAGATGCCTATATTGTACATTGGAGAAATGCAAGTTTGACAAGAAAGGAAAACACCAGTATTTAACGAATGCCTAAGGTAGTGTGTAGAAGCGCTCCAAATACAGAATAATACTAGCCTTGAAAAGGACTATGATGTCTCAACCCCACGCTCTGATGCAAAAAGGACGCCCCATCCCACCGTGTTATAGGCATGTGGTCATCAACGAATGAAAGAAGACAAGGAAAGAGACGATGCTTAAGAGCAAACCGCAAACCGCTAAGCGACTTTGACAGATAGGAAACGACAGTGGCTGTCCCCACTACAGTAAACCACCGTGGCCATCTCCGATGGGGATTGATATCGACAATGTCATGTGCGACACATATCCTGGGATGGCCGGGATGTGCAGGAAGATAGCTGGAATCATGAAACAACCAGGCCAATCATAGACAGACAGAAGTCTCCCTTGCCAGACACAACCCTGTTCGGCTCCGAAAAAGACGAAAAAGGAAAATCCAAAAAAAAAAGAAAGATAAAGAAAGATATTAACCAGATGCAAAGTATCGGTACAACGTATACAGCAGAGGGACAAAGTCCTCTCTGGAGAAAAAGGGGGTATAAAGTATCCAATCGCCGTAAGGATTGTACAAAAGTGGATATAGATGCAACCAAAATGACCAAGGAAAGAAACAAATGAGAGATTATTCAAGTGCTTTGCTGCGAGCTTGGAGCTCGTCTTCGGGAAGACAGGCAATCCACAAGCATCGTTCAATAATGCCTGGCACGGGCTCGAACTTGTATTTCGTGCTGGCATCGATGAGACGGAGCAGGCTCTTAACGATTCGTGCTGCTGTGCGATAGCGCTCGAAGTTGACGAGCAGACCACCATTGTTGTTGCTGACCTGCGCAGGTTTCTGAGCATTATAAGTGAGATCATGAACGTATAGACCTAGAAATTAACAATGTTAGCATATGAGACCTCGAATGCTATCTGAGGAGATGATCTCAGAACTCACCAATGAAGGGAATGCAGCCTTCCTGCAAGTTGGCGGTTTCCATTTCGACACGCAAGTCATTGAAGTTGCGCACCGGTTGAATCAAGCACTCCATATCCTTGAATAGTCGCTTATCCTCCGCGGGAATCAATTGCCACGTACCCTGCAGCCGGGAGCAATCCGAAGAGGATAGAGCAATAGCAATCTGGAGCATCGTGGCATAATTGCAGATGCGGCGTGCATGTGCAGCAGTATGGATATACTTGATGATTGTACGGGCCCGCTCGTGGATGTCACGGGTCAGGACAATCTCCGACAATATCCATTTGACCATGAGATTGAAGCGGCCGACGACCAAGTCGATGCCCTTGCGTTGCTCGTCTGTGAGGAACTGGACCCAGTTCGTGACTAAGGGGCAGGCACTGCTCCATTTCATTTCGACTAGATCTCGCCAGTCGACTTCACTCAGGGCAGCCATTTCGACCAATGTAAGTTGGTGGGCAAGAACCTGTGATTCACAAGACAGGATGAATGGGACATGGTCAGGAACAAAGCTGGTGATGGAGTTGTGATCTTGATGGTTGTTTTCCGAATTGAATAAGACATCGCTCGAGACTTGCTGTATGTTGATAGGACGCGAAGCAAAATTGGCCACTTCTTTATGGCGGGGGGATGTGTCGGGTGTAAGAGGCTGGGCCTGGAACAAGACTGTATTCAACGGGGAAGGATAGGAAGTGAAAGATCCCGGATGTTGAATGGTCATCGGCGGGGAGGGAGGTTGGGCTAGAGGGGGAGCTGAGATCTCTACAGTTGAAGAACTAAAGCTGCGAGTGTCTGTCGACTGTCTCGCGGCTATAGCCTCACGCGGATCAATCATGTCAACTGACATCTCAGAGGACAGTGTCGAGAAACGCTTTGGGGTAACCTGGCCAACATCATGAGGATCTGAGGCCGGAATGGATGAGCCGGGAGGAATGCGACGCATGCTATCGGTTTCGTGCACTATCTGGATTGAGGGGTGCGAGGAGGCAGGTTCAGAAGTGCCACGAGTGGAACTGAGAGTGAGCGGAGCACCTTGCGAGTCATATTGGAATGTATGGCTCGTGGGCTGCCATTTCATGGTCTCATCGGTTAGTCCTCTTTCAAGGAGCGGAATGGAGTTATAAGACTCCTCGGAATCGGCCACAGAGTCAGAATACGGTCTAGGCGGCGCCAGTCGACCACCCACAGTAGAATACGCAGACCTGTCTGTCTGTCGCCTGCGAGAGAGAACATCCCATCCAGGCTTGGCCGTTGCGAGCCCCTTCGAAACCAAGGGCTTTTCGTTGTGGATGTGAGATTCTCCTATCTGTGGAGATACAGAGTCTCGGTCAGCACCTGAAGGCCCATCCCATTTGCCCTCCAGCTTCAATAACGTTGACTCAATGCCCCCATCATCATCATCAGGAATTTGTGCAAATTTGGCAATGACCGACTCGAATGAACGCCTCAGTGGCCGGGAATTGCGCGGCTGAATGAGCGAGTATCGTGGATTCGGAGGAATCAAAACCGAAGGAGGTCTTGTGATATCGCCATCAGAGGAGCCCGTTTCATCCATAATCGAGTCATCCCAGGATGCGAACGAGTCACGACGCATGGGAGGCTCGGATGCGTCTCCGGTTTGCATTTGACGTAGGTTTCCGCCTCGGCGCCTGCGAAGAACCGGCCCCGACATTTTGTCGTTCTGATCTTGTGAAATATGACAGCTTGCAGTGGATGGAGCTACCGAGCTGCCCATCGAAGACCGCTGTCTCGAGATCCCGCTTTGGAAGGATGCGTACTTTCGTAGTCGCAGGGAAAGAGAAGTTTTGTTCTTCTTTATAGGTGTTGATTCACGCTCGACGGAGGACGATCTCTGTGGTGTGAAAGGGCGAGGAGGGTAGAATATGTTTGGGTCAGCTGCCACTTCTGATTCATCGGCATTATAGCAAAGTGGTCGAAGATGTTCGCCTCCCACATGTATCGATTGCATCGAGGCACAGTCATCTGGCAGTTCAAATTCCGACCTTTGGTAGGTGATATCATCGCCATTTGCCATTGGCTCTGGCGCAGCTCCCGACATGAAGGGCATTTCAAACCCGGTATCATCAACGATGATGATTGATTCGCTTCCCATAGTGATACCACTCCGGAGTTTGGATTCAGCATGAGGGGTTTGCATCGGTAGAAGATTAGTATTGTGAGGTGAAGGCTCATGTAGAGCCACTTGATCAGGGTTAGCCGCAGCTCCCGGTTGAGTTTGGTCTTTCGTTTCGTCCTTATTCATAGCTCGACGATATTGTTTGAGGACCTCGTCACAGAGTAGATCAATCCGAGCTGGGTATTTCGGAACAGCAGCCATCTTCCTCTCACGGTAGAATTCAGAGCCAAAAGCCATTCCAACTGGCATTGCGGATGTCTTCCCACGAGAAGGCAATGAAATGGCCTCACTAACATTCGCAATACGAGCAGAGACGCTATGTCCACCGTTCCGTGTGTGCAAGGCTCGTTTGATCGAGCCGATTATAGTTTTCATACCCGAGCTAGATGAGGACTTGGGTACTTCTGGCGTACTTCGACGATCCGTGTTTGTGCTCTTGGTTGGAGGGGGAAGGGGAGGAGATTCTGGTGCCATCATTGTCATGTATGATTCTGGAGGAGGAAACATCTCTCCGCGTATCAGACTGACCGGATCCAACAGCTCCTGTGGCGCGGATCCCGTTTCTGGCTCCGTCGCAAACATGGGCACTCGGTCATCTCGCACCGAGTCCGAGAAACTTCCACTTCTTTTATGACTATGGCTTTGGTAGGGATGCCGCGAAGCCATGGGAGACGCAGGTAGAATTGGCGGTTCGTGAGCCCTGGACGGGGACTTGGACTTTGTGGGGGCCAACAATACAGGACGAGGCGCCTTGGCCTTCGAGGCAGACATGGAAAACCGCTTGGGGGATTTGGGTGGCAATGAACATGATAGTGCCATCATGCTCTGTTCGCTTTTGACGGATAACGGAATACTTTGGGCAGTTGCAGAAGAATCATTGCGATCATGTTGGATAGAGAAAGGAAGACTTTCGCGAAAGGTCGTGTCTGCATAGGGCGTCATGCCAGAGGGAGAGATGTGTTGCTGCAATTCCGTGACCTGAGATGGCTCCATCTGAGCGTTTCCAGGTAGAATTGGAATTTCAGGGTCGTTATATGCGCGAGACAAGTCGGCTGAGGACCAATACATTGAACATTTGCCATCCCAGCACCGCTTAAGGTCAATGAGAATCTTTCGATCACTCGTGCCGCCATTCTCGCGAGACCTGACATCGGAATATAATTCGTTGATGGTGTCGCAGAAGTGGGTTCGAAGTTCGTTATTCGTAACAAAGTCATCAACAAAGTAATTGAGAATCCAGTGTCGCAGAGCTGCAAATGTGCGGATCCTAATGATGCGTCCGTCGTCCTGGGGCCGGTTGATTGCCCACTTCAACCGCGCAAGAAGAAGAGCCAAAAGATGTGTTGTCGATAGATATGAACGGAAAGTAAGGAAGAAGTCTGACACAAGCTCATAATCCATGAACGACTCAGAAGAGATTTGCGCAACGATTCGGGCAGGTGTGGCCGCGCTGATATCTTTCGTCCCAGGAATGTATCGAACAACTGACCCATCATCCATATCATAAACCAACGTTTCATATATAGATGGCTCGACCGGCTCCTTCAATTCATAGACCATGGAATTCCTTGGAACCGGCGAAGCTCGGTTCATCTCAATCACCGCCGCCGTGCCCGAGAACATGGAAATCGCAAAAGACGGCCGGTTTCGCGAGAAAGAATCTCGAGGATATGGACTGTGAAGTCCCGGAAGTGGATCTGCCATCCCTCCGAGTAAGGTTGAATTCCTGAAAGGGTCCGACATTGAGGTTCGCGAGTAGACCGAATTCTGTATCATGGCATTACCATCGGTGTTGAAACGTGGCGACCCGAGCCGATAGCGAGGGATGGGGACCTCCAAGTCCGGTGTTGAATTCTCATGCGCAGACTTGGGGCGATCTTCCGATCTATCGATCACAATTCGCAGCTCTCCGCGCTTTCCAGCCCCGACGATCGATTGCTGTTCGGATATTGTCGAAAAGGAGATCGGTCTGGCGCGGTGCTGGGTTGAGAGTTCGTGGGGAGCGCATTCGGAGAAGACGGACTCGGTATCCTCGGGATGTTCGCGCGGACTTAGTTCAGAGAGCTGCGAGCTCGACCACCTGGATGGATCGTCGCGGACAGGTGCAGGAGGCTGCGGCTGAAGGAAATTGGGTTTTGCGGTATCAACTGGAGAAAAGGATGCAGGCTGCGGTCCTTTCTGGGGTGAATTGGCAATCGGTCTAGGTCATTCAAATAGTCAGACTATCAGCAGACTGTACATATGTGACACAGCACGGGGATATTTAGATTGATTGGTGTACCTGAGGAATATTTTGCCATTTTGGCCGACACTTCTCACGGTGAAGTGCCCGGCCTTCCTCCCGGATGGAAGCGCCTCTAGCGTGCCACGATGTGTTTGGGAGCGCTGCAGGTTGTTCTGTCGTAACATCTCATGGCTCTTCCTAGCGTTTATCCCTGTTGGTCGCTCGCGTGCGAACTTCAGCTCTAGGTTGCGCTTGAGGTTGCCACCCGGGACTATGGTATTGGCACGTCGAATATTCGAGTTCAGATTCTGGGGTCCTTCGCCCGGCATCGGCTGTGAGGATAATTCATTGATTTGGACTTGCGAACCCAAAAAGGCATCTTTGAACTCCGGCTGATCGATAGGAGGGAAGGGCTCCATGGCGCGAAATGGAAAACAGCGCGAAACCCGCGACGGGGCCAGGGTGTGTACCACTGGAAGTTAAGGCAGAATCATTCAAAAATTCATGGGCTATGAGGTCAGAAACATTAAAAAAGAGAGAATCAGACAGCTCTGTTTTGGTGGAGTTCCCAACGCGGGAAGGCGAACGGAACTCTGGGACGCTGGGAACTGGGCAACGGCTGCCCCTTTACGACTAGTTCGGGTGAATTTCTGTGAGATTAATCTTACGCTCTGCAACTATGCTTTGGTCCCGAGGATTTCATACGATATACATACACTATATGATGCAAGTCTCGCCTCTCGAGCTATCTGTCCCCTCTATATCTCGACCATGCCGAGCTGAGGGCGGGACTCGACGGCGTGTAAGGGATGTTGATAGGTCACTCCTTGGTTCCACCGGCCAAAACAGCCCCAGTGAAATGGGAGGATTGTCAAAGATTGGCAATGCAGATTTGGCTTGTGGTTGGCTGGAATCCCCCGTTATGTCCATCTCCACTTGACCGGCACAGAGTGACGCGAAACTGGGAAAATGCTACGGAGCATCGATTGGTGAACGGAGCTTCCGGCTGTTCGACGTGTCCCGGATCGGGGTCTCTTAATTTATAGGTCTGACTTCTTGTCTTTGACGATGTGTGATTTCCAAGGTTTTGTACGGAGTACTGATCATCCAGATTATCATGCAATGATGGTGTAGGAAGATTGGCTGCCCTGTATGTACAATGTACTCCGTACTCTGTACTCCATACGGAGTACTCCGTACTCCGTACAACTCGCATATGAATTTGAGATCTGAGGCCCCATTGAAATTATGGAGATCCGGAAAATTATTCAACGTACTTTTGTGGGCTCCATAATGTCTCAATGGAGTGGCCTGATCCATAGCTGCGGACACTCTCGTCTCTTATATCAGATTCCGCGATTTCTGGCGGATGAGATGTCACATGTCAAACGATCAGACTGACAGGTCCAGGAGAAGTGACATGTCCAACCCAAAATCAAGGGCCTGAAACTCAAGGTGAGGGGCTTCCACCTTGCTCTGGTAATTTGGACGGTCTCCGGGGAACGGCAAGCTTTTCGTGATCTGAAGCTTCGGTTTTGGGCAAGGATCACATCGCTACTCCCTGCTCCGTACGAGATCGGAGGTACGGAGTATTTAGGGGGGATTTCGGTCGTTTGCCCTGGGGGTTTTTTTTTCCCGCATTTTCGCCATTCCCGAGGTCAGCTGCAGGGGGCTGAATATCGCAAATGTTGCTTTGTCGCTCTAGGCGAGCAACGCTAGCATTCTCTGTTGGAGTCTCGGACCCGACATGCCACGCGGAACTGGTTTCGTCTGTAACGCTCATATCCCAGTCGGGGATACGGGAGATACAGGGCTTCAGAGTTGGCATTCCTTCGGGTATGACCTGGCCCCAATAAGCAACCTACTCATCTTATAGTACGATAGCAAAGAATCCGTCGTTTCCATTCAGTCCCACTCTTTCCTTTTTATGTCTTTAAGTAGAAACTATTGAAAGCTTCGCCAGTGGCTCCTTCACACGTGGTGAGCATTTGACGGTCCCGAACGGATCGAAAACTGCTTCAATAATGCGTATATTAGATCTGTTGGGTTCTATTTCATCGTCATTGTTGATGTATCGTTTTCACCCTTTACTGGGAATACCCCAGTTCCAAGGTTGGTAAATTCGAGTCTCAAGTACGTACTGTCAAGATACCCGTGGACGTTTCATCCACTCACGGCGCGGTATGTACATGTAGTTACCTTCTTCCACGAATCCGAAGATGTTAAAAACCTAGCCAAGATATAGTGCACAGACATTTATTGTTCATACTTGAATGAAACATGTTTGATTGAAAGTAAGTGTCGGTAGACTACAGCCAAACTACCAGAGCTTGCAAGTCGGCTTCCTATCCGGGCAACTAAATGCATCCTTGAACTCCCTCGAGTTGGCCATGGTTTCCTACGGCAGCAGTCAGTCACATCACACCCAAACCAAAATGCACAGGTAGTACTTACGATAACACGTGCTGATTTCGGGGCATGAGGATCGTTATAGATCGCCTGCTCAGCCGCCTCCTTGGTAGACTTTCCGCACCACCAATTGCCGTAAGCGATAAAGAACAACTGCTCTTTGGTGAACGCTTCCAATCCTGGCAGATGAAGATCAGGCTTTACCTCGTCGTGCTTCTTCCATGCGTGGTATGATGCGGTCAGTCCTCCAGCGTCGGCGATATTCTCGCCTAACGTCAATCGGCCGTTGACATGGAGGACCTTATCACCGGGCCCAATGACCGTGAAGTTGGAATACTGGTCAATAAAGCATTGAGCACGCTCTTCGAACGCATCGACGGTTTTATCGTCCCACCAGTTAGTGTAGTTTCCGCTCTCATCATAGTGTCGACCAGTAGAATCGAAAGCTGGATGGCACCAGTCAATGAAAAGGGTAACAGCACTATAGGAGCCTGAACATACCATGTGAAAGCTCGTGACCACTGACAGAACCAAATGCGCCATATGCCATATATAATGGCGCAGAAGGTCCATAGAACGCCGGCGGCTGCATGATGCCGGCAGGGAACACAATCTCATTGCCTGGGGGGTTGTAATAAGCATTGACAGTCGGCGCACTCATGTCCCATTCATCCCGGTTGGTGGGCTTGCCCAGCTTAGACCATTCTTCCCGGAGTTGGAACCTCGTCACGGCAACCTCATTTTCAAAGAAAGTATCCTTGGACACTTCCAGGTCCCGATAATATTTCTTCACATCTTCGGGGTCCAGAACATTGGGGCTTTTTGTAGGGAATCCAATTTTCTGGACAATGTTTTCTACCTTCTCAATTCCCAGTTTCCGCACATCTGGAGACATCCAGTGAGTCTGATCTAGGGTGAAAATGAATCGCTCCTTGATATCGGATACGATCTGATCGCCAAGCTTTTTTGAGGCCTCGGAGAACGCATCGAGCACATAGAAACGACTGAGGCTCCATGGAAGTCCGTCGTCTAGGCGTCCCAGGCATTTACGCCATCGCTCCTGCTTCGCCTGAGGCTCTTTGCCTGCAAGCACATTCTTGAATCGCCGAAGAGGCTCGACGGAGTCATCTTCAATGACATCCGCAAAGGCCTGGATGATCTTCCATTGCAAGAAGAGCAAAACTGTATCCCTGTGTGTATCTTTCAGCAGACCAGACAGTGCTTTCATATAGGAGGGTGATCCAATGATTAGACGGTCTCCTTTGTAGTTGTGAGGAGCCAGAGATGAGATAATATCAGCAAAGGAGATCTCAGGAACAAGTGCCTCGGTTTCCTTGATACTAAGCGGGTTGTAATATTTGGTGACATCTTCCTGGGTTTGAGTATCCGGGGTCACGTCAGCAAGCTTCTTTTCGAAGGCTACAACATCTTCAACGACTTTATCGAGTCCGTCGCCAGCAAGTCCTCGAATGACCTGTTTTAATGTGTTTGTGTAGTCGGCTACGGTCTTCGTATTATTATAGTACTCTCTTGCGGGAAGTCCAATTTGCCGAGGTGGCGAGATCATGATGACAACATTATCAGGATCGCGATCGTCAGGCTAGGAAACAATAAGACATTAGCAGCGCTCAGACACGTCAGACAGCTAGCATCAACTCACAGTAACCCCGGAAGAAGCCAGAGCATCAACACCAGCGCTCATCAGATACAAGAGAGCACTTGTGAGATGGTCCGGGGCTCCGTTTACAAGACCAGTCTTCACGGGATAGATGCTCTTCAGCTCATCAAGCATATCAGTCAAGGGCTTGCTGCCCCGTTTGCTGACTGTAGCCTCATCTAAGCAAGCATCGTATGCAGCTTTGAGTTTCTCGAAATTATCAGCATCGGATTGTTGCGGTGGTTCCGTGCGCTCCAAGATATGACGCAATTTAGTCTGAGCGTTCTCTGCCATTATTGTGCCCGCAAAGATGGATCCCTGGTCGGGCCGCATGTCATGGCGCTCCCTCCATCCACCGCAGACGTATTGGTTGAAATCAGTACAGGGATCTATATCCTTATAATTTGGATCCAGATTGTAGAGAATTTCGGATGCAGCGTGAATGCATTCCTGCGATTGACAAAGCGGGGAAGCCTCGGGGTGCGGGGACGCGTTGTTGTCACTAGACGGGGAGCCTGTAGATAAGGATGACCGTGTCAGCGACGCACTTTAGTAAGGAAGAGTCGCTTGTACCATGTGGAAGGACTAGATAGTAGGTGATCAACCCGGTGATAACGAGGGCACAGAGTCCCTTTCTCAGGGCCCTCGCCCAGCAGGGGCGAGTTCTTTGTGCCCTATTGTGACGGGTTTGGCGCGAAACAAAGTCATTGTCTTCAGAATCGTAGACCTCAGTTACATCCAGAATCGGGCCCTTCTCGAACTCCATACTGGGCAATGGAGTTCGGTTCACGTTCGGTATGGGTCACTGGAGAGCTATTAGCACATCCATCCTCATGGCCGTTGAGTGCAATGCTCATGAAGACAAACCTATAGGATGGTAGAGCCAATTTGCTTAAAGGGTATTGATTGTTTGTAGATCTAGATTTTATCAAAGAAAAGGCCCATCCAAGACTGATGGTTTTGGGGCATCCAAGGCAATGAGGAGAAGCTGGGACTGGAATGGCGTCACACTCGGAGTCAATTGATGATGACTCAGCGTCCCATTCCGGAGGCAGCCAGCTGTGGAACTATTGGCAACCTGCATTTCAGCTGATCAATATTTATTGGGGCGATCGGGGCCAGATTTCTCCATAAGTCGTGGCAGTGAACAGCCATGTAGGTACAAAGTAGTTTCCAGTTGAAGAGTGGACCATCACGACTGTTATCGGTGGCGGTCAATTTCTCGATAAGGGGGTTCACATGTATGTAGACAGATGGAAGAGGTCTACAATGATGACTACATCTACAGAAGCAGGGCTCTTAAACATTTCTCTCGGGTTGTTACTCATAAGCCTGTTACTCGGGGAGAATGATACAACCCCCTTACAATCCAAGCCCATCTCAAGAGTGGTCGGGTGTGTTGAAGAATATATTTACCATCCGCCAGCAATGTCCATCTGTCAATCACAGCCTAGCCAAAGGCCCATTCGCATTCACAGCCTAGCCAAAGGCCCATTCGCATTCACAATGCCCACACTTGCCAAGCTAATCTCAGAGATAGACCGACAACCAGTGAGCTGCATGCATCGCTTGAAATCATCGAACAGGATTTTAAGCATTAGCTCCACTCCCTGTTGACCATCATGCTACCAAAGGAGTCAGTAAAAGCGCTTTCATCAAACCTTTGAATGCAATCAGCAGCACTTACAGCGAGTCCCCAAAGTGCAGGACGACCAACCCAGCAGCATTCAGCACCAAGAGCGAGCGCCTTGAAGATATCTATCCCGGATCGAATTCCACCATCAACATGAATTTTGATCCTCCCCCGCGCGGTCTTAGCACATGCAGGGAGCGCATCAATTGTGGCCGGTGTCTCATCCAGTTGTCGACCACCATGATTGCTAGTGATGATGCCATCGCATCCATATTCAATAGCAGTCTCGACATCCTCCGGTGTGAGAATACCTTTGATCCAGATCTCCATCTTCGTGATACTACGCAACCACGGTATTTCCGTGGCCCAGGAATGAGAATCTGAATTGGCTGAGGCAAAGCCATCATCGTGTGACTGTGCTTGGATTTCGGCAGATGTTCTTTCATACATCGGAATTTCCAGACCAGGTGGAGCCTTGAATCCATTGCGCCATTCATTCCAGCGTACACCAAGGACGGGGCTGTCAGCTGTCAGAAAGATAGCCTTGCAACCTGCAGCTTCCGCCCGTCGGACAATTCGTTCTTGTTTAGCCTTGTCATTCATCGCGTACAGCTGCATAACATGGTGAATAGGCCCCACTTCCTTGCCCGCGTCGGTGATTTCTTCAACCGAGTGGTTGGCATAGGAGGAGACACCCATGGAAACACCCATCTTGGCACATGCTCGACTTGTGGCTAGCTCGCCTTCTGGGTGCGCCATGGCCTGTAGTCCAGCAGGTGAGACACAGAGCGGGAATGCAATATCTTGACCAAACAGGGAAATCTTGGTGTTGACACCAGAGACATCTCTCAAAACCCTGGGTAAAAGACGATATTTCCTATACGCAGCACAATTGTCGTGGAGTGTCACTTGGTTTGTTGCCCCGGAATTGAAGAATTCTGGTTGCTTATATCGTTAAACATCCATCGATGACACAAATAAGAGAGGAATTTACAATTACCTCTTGCGGATACGGACAAAGATCTCGAAGCCGCCTCTTCGAGATCAGCTATAGATAAGATCTTGTTTGCCATTGCAGCAGGAAGGAGTTTGAAAGGTGTAAAGCGAGATACACATCTTGACAGCGTTGTTCTGAGGGGTAAATGCGGGGAGCTGTTACTTCTGCAGTAGCCAGAGTTGATCTGCCTTTTCTAATGAACAACTGGAGTAGATGTACCATTCTAGGCTTGAATCTGCCAACCACGTCCTCATTGTTTGTCCCTTTTATATGGTTGCTCTACATACGCTATGAGTTCCTGTAAAGTGCTCTACTCCGACGATCAGACAAAATCTCACAAGAAAATTGTATATTAGGCCCTTACCATGGCTAAGCTGAGGCAGCCAGCCCTAGAGTTCGAAGTCAGAATAGATAGTCTAGCAGAATGATACGTCTTTGTAAACCGGGGCTGTTGTATCATTGTGATTGGAACATTTCGGATACAACCTCGAATAGAGCAGGACTGTTGACCAGATCCTCCTCCATTTGTCTCATTATAATTTGACTTCAACAGTATCCAGCTTGGTATCAGACAGGATTACCATCAACCAGAGGGTATATACCAGGTTTCACCCTATAGACGAAATGAGTCGAATAAGTATGGCTACTTGACTACATATATGTAGCCAGAGGTAGTGAATTTGATGGAGCGCAAACAGGAACATTCCCATGAAAGCGAAACCCCAGGAGCTTCCAAGTCCCCATAAAATCCGGTGGACAAGCTTTCACCTTCTTTGTTTACCAACGACCTGTCTTTCAACTGCCCGTGCGATACTTCATATTGTCCCTGGCCTTGACTTTCTCTCTCTTCCTTGCCTCTTACCAACTATCCAACTCTCTCTCTCTCTCTCTCTCTCTCTCAGTCTACCAACAGTCCAATGATGGTCAATATCAACCCTTCTGGCCATCTTGCTGGACTGTCCAACCCCACGACACATCCACCAATCACGTGTGGCTCACAATATGTTCATCCAAGCCACAGGCATTCAACTCTTGGGTATGACCCTTGTCTATATCTAGATTACCTCTCGCATATGATGACCAAGCTTTATTCAACTGATCTACAATGACGTGAAAATTGTCACTCTGATGCGAGATGGGAATGACAGAATCAAATTGCTTCCCAAGTCACAAGACTAAATAAGCTTCAGTTGACTCCTATCACTAACTGAGATAGTTTCTCTGATTTAGCAGATTTAAATTCCCCTACAACGCCCTTCTTACTATCTCGAACCAAGCTCCTATCAAATCCAGCGAGAAAGCTACACACGGCCATCAAGCACAACAGAGACGAGCGATGTCGATCCTTGTTTTTCCTGGGCCTGGGTATCTCAGCCCTTCACGGTCAATATTCCAGCTCCCCAAACAATCTTTTGTGGAAATTAAGCGTTATAAAATGACCTAGGAGTGTTTGCTAAAGTCCCCGTTCCCGATCTGATGGACACACACATACGTGCCTTTGAAAGCTCATTGAAAGCTTATGACGACCTGGTCATAGAGGACTAGCCCAATACTACCACATGCCTCCCCGGATGCTTGTTTAATCAAGTCCTACAATATGGTCTATGGATCCAGTTCCTCCAATCTCTGTTGTCCAGTGCACAGATGACGCGAAACATGAAGGCTGAGAACACACATGTTATTTTTGCGGGTATGTGATGCTGATCTCTCCATTCCCTTTTCATGCCCTACTTGCAAATGATGACCCATTGTTTATCGTCTTGAAAGCTGAATCTACCATGTCTAAGAACATATTACTCTGATGCAAATTTCTCTCTCGAAACTACATGATTGCCACAAAGAAGATCCCCATAAGAAATAAAGAGCGCCAGCTGACCGTGGGCATCTTCACAGGCACTGACTGAGATTTGTATGCAATCGGATGCCTGGCAGACACAAAAGAAGGCAGAGATTGCAAACCTGCACCTTGTATCTCGCCTCTCCTTCAAAGCCAAGGCACATTCCAAAATTTTTCCTTGACATCTGTTCTTCTGGTAAGGAGCACACACATCCAGCCCAGAGACATCCATACTGCGTCATTGCTGTCCCTCCACATGATGATAATAAGTTTATGGTGTTGAAAATCCCATGTGAAAAGTTTACCTCATTCTGATCCTGGTGAAAGCAGCTGGCGCAGGATCTCCTTTCTGTTTTCTTGAAGCTGGTCCTACACTTCTTCACTTATTATTGCGCAGGGTAGGCTAACAAAAGCTTCACATGCAAGCAGTTCCAATAGTTATTTGACGTTTTTTAGTCTTGAAACATGCACATACTAGAGACCCTCGAGTTGTGAGTTGAGACTCCCTGCCTAGATTGGTTCCATTCACCACTTTTGAGCCCTCTCAATCTTTGGAAATGCTTGATTCAAAATCCACAAGTGATGACAGCCTCTCTTTTTCTGATGTGCTACTCACAATGCTGCAAATATCTGGCCATCTGATGTGGAATGAATCAAAGTCCCCGAGGTTAGAGGGTTGATCCAACGAGAAAATGTCCTATCTTGATCATCTTATATGCATCTTGGGTCTTTATTTGTACAAAATGAACTAATGATCAATTTGTGCCTAGGTAGCTAGACCAGGGCATCGTACCACTCTGAATCTCGAGGACTCGTATTGATCTCTTGCAAACGAGGAAATACGACCACCCACCTCGGTACCCTGCCCGATAGACATTGGCAGATATGCTGATAACAGTCTTGGAAACAGGGAGAAACATCGACGGAGATTAGCAAATTGCTCAGTGAAATGATGCTTGACGTCCAAGTTGCCCAAATGATGATTATCAAGACAGCTTGGAATCTCCCATGTCAGAATTCAACGACACTCTGATGTACAACGACGATCGTCACGCGGATTTCACTGGCCTCAACCTCTCTGATCGATGATAATGCATGGATGTATCATACCTAGGTTTGCACACTGATAGAAGACTGCATACCTAATGTATCTCAAAAATAATACTAGAATGGGGGTTTCAGGACCTTGAAAGTGTGTATTTCCTACAAGGTATGAGTCGCTGAAATCCATGTAAATACAAAGTCATGAAATGCTGCGCAAATCAAGTGAAGAAGGGGAAAACTGCGACAGGCTACTGGTAACGCTGTGGAGCCCGCTGAATGGTATCACTCGCGCCATCTAGGCCAAGGCGATCTCCTTCTTCACCTTCACCGTCATAGTACCGTCGCTCTCGAATGAAGTACGGTCTCTCCACGTATTCCCCAAGTGGCCTGTCATCCATGAAGATACTGGGCTCACGGCCCGGACCTGTTGGTCGCACGCTTCCAACTCGCTGAACAACCTCATGCGGGTCTTCATAGCGAGGCTGTGGAGGACGAACACTGGCTGTTCGAATTATTCTCTCCTGGGGCGCTGGACGTTCATCAATATAGACTGCATGACGAGGAGGTAGGTACTCTGCTACTTGCACACTGCCACTGCGTGGGTAAGGTTCATGGGCTTCCATCGGAGCAGCGTAGCTTTGTCTGTCATGGGCTGCTATTGAGCGAGCGTAATCTGACGTGACACGCCTATAGATTGGTTGGGGCGGGGGCATTTCCTGCACATAGCGCCGTTCACCATAGGGGTCCTGCACAACCGAAGGTGCACGGACACCGCCCGCGTGGTGAGGCAGTCGCTCATCGTAAACCTCCTTCGACATCTGGGAGACTGGGCGGGGAGGGGGAGGAGGAGGAGCCATCGGCTGCAGTCTTGGTGCTTGTAGCAGCTCATAATATTGAGTGCCATGCTCATCAACGACAATCCGACGTTGAGGTGGTGGCATCATCCGTGCCGGGAGCAACTCTTCGTAGTAAGGATCTCGATACGTTGGGACTGGCATGTCATCCGCGGCAACATAACGTTGCTGTGTGTAAGGGGATTCTTCGTAGTACCTTGGTCGCTCTTGTGCCGGACGTTCCACAATGTACGATGCTGCTCGAACTTGGCGTGTCGGGGCCTCAATGTATTCACGAGGATAGTCTGATTGACGAGCATACTGTACACTTGCGACTCGTCGGAGATCGGCTTCCTCGCGAATTGGTCGCCTGGTGCCCAGTCGAGAAATGGTGCGCTGAGGCCCAGCCTCTGGTGGAGGCTCGTGGTAAGGATCAATCTCGTAGACTTGCTCTCGCATTGGTGGACCACGACTTTCGTATACTGGGGTGTATTGAGGGGAAGCGATGTCAATGTAGATAGGGCGCTCTTGAGGGTGTCGGCTGCGGACAACAGTAGGATCGTCGGCAAATGGTGGGGGCGAAACGGGTTCCTCTTTGATGAATGCCTCAGTAGGTCCTGCATTTTGTCTCCTGTATGAGGTTTGACGGGACCCTTCATCACCTTCGCGCAGCCTCCTCCGCTTCCGGGAAATGATGTTAGAGACCGGTGGATGTGGACTGCCACGAGCAGAATCACGGTCCGAATACACCTGATCAGATTCATGTTCAGATCGTTCCTCTCGGATTTGCTGGACGGAGGGAGCCTTGGCAATGGCCAAAGGTGAGACGCGGGATGGCCTAGGAGCTGCCGGTGATGTGATGTGGTTTCGAACTACCTTCACGATTTCCGGAGACGGAGGTTTGCGTAAGTCTCTAGCGCGGTCCGCATATCTCGCATCTGGCCTAGGTTGTCTCCCAATACCACTTTCTACCCCGCGGTGTGAGTCACGGTGATCCGCTGGTGGCGCTGCTGGGGCGGGTGGAGAATACTCGGGTTCGTCAACAATCTCGAATCGATGCGAATCACGGAACCGGCTGACGGGAGCCTCTGCTTTCTGGTAGCTGGTCTGCTTCTGAGAATAGGAGTGGCGCTGGTCAGCAACAAGGTAAGCATCTTGCATTTCCTGATCAGATCCAGGTTGGTTCAGAGCTTCAAGTCGCTGCAACTCATCTGCGTAATGGGTAACCGGAGCCCGCGTAGCAGGTGCTTGTGGCGCGGGCATGACCACGGGAGATGGCTTTTGTTGTTTGCCAGTCTGGGGGGGCGAGTCAGGAGCTCTACTGGAGTAAAATGAATTGTCGTCAAAGGAGTCACTAGCAGCGCCGCCTGGTCCAGTGGCCTCGGACGCATCACTCAGTGACACGGGTTTCACTACCTCAAGTGCCTGCTTGAAGACTTCTGAGACATCAAAGTCAGGCTTCGTGTCTTGAACCGCAGGTCTCTGTTTGGTCTCTTGTTTTTTGAGTTCCACTTGATCACGCAGCGCTCTCTCCAATCTCTGCCTTTGTAGCTGTAGTTCTGCTCTGATCAGGTCATCTGACTTGGTCAAGAAGATAGGATCGATCTCGGAAGTAGGTTTTGATGCCACACGAGCGGGTTGTGGTGCTGTAGACAACGCGTTTTTGACCAATGCACCCTGCGAGCTATTAAAAGATTGTTTTGTGGTTGTAGCCACAGGCACATTCTGCACAACTGGCCTCGGGGGGGAGTTTTTAGATAAATGAGTCTGAAGAGGAACAGTTTGGCCATTTCGCCCCGATTTGCGCACAAGGTGTTGGGGAACACTGAGCCGGGGATGAGTGCCCGAGAAGATTTGATCATTGATTGTAAGAATCTTTTCATATTCCCGCACTTCATCAACTGGTGTAGGTGCTGAAATGGCCATCGGTCCTGCTGGAAAGTGAGCTGCTGTCCCATGGGTTGCGGCCATGGTCCTAGGGGAAAAGGATCGGTGAAGCTAGAACAAGACGGAAGGAACTGAACACAAGTATGTTTTTCAACGAGTAGAACACACGTTGAGCGACCACTCAGTCCGATCTACAATTGAGAATGCTCTGAGAGTTGGACGGTAGAGCGAACGAAGAGTTGCAAAAAGTCCACGATGCTGGCTGTCTGGGCGCGGACGCTAGGTCCAATTAGGTAAAGTCACGGGTATTGGATGTGGGCATTGGGCAGGTGAAGGAGGGAGGGACTGGTTTCGTTCCCATTTCCTGTTCGTTGACTTATGCATCGCTTGTTTGCGTTATCTTCTTGTCGCATTATTAGACCTGTTGCGACCTTGTCTAGACCTTCATCTGCCCACTTACCACTGCGATTTGGCAATTCAAGATTCATGGCAACTAACGGCGCCAACGGAGTCGGTGACTCACGGCCGATCTTCTTTTTTGATATTGACAATTGCGTAAGTCCAGAAGGTTGATTATTGGGGTTCTAAGTTCACTAATTAATATGCGCGCCTGTAGCTCTATTCTAAAGGTCGGTTCTTTGCGGTTGGCGCTTCCGTGAGCTACTACTGACTCGGGATACTTCCGCGCAGCCTGCAACATCCATGATGAGATGCAGGCATTGATCAGTAAGTGATGCCTATACGATCTTTTTGAATATCTGTCTAACACAATCTTACTCCTACTAGATAAATTCTTTGTCAAACACCTCGACCTCAATTCGGACGATGCCCATATGCTGCATCTGAAATACTACAAGGAGTATGGGCTGGCCATTGAAGGACTCACCCGCCATCACAAGATTGACCCTCTCGAATTCAACTACGAAGTCGATGATGCTCTACCGCTTGACAACATCCTCCGGCCTGATCCCAAGCTGCGTGAACTACTGGAGGACCTGGACACAACCAAGGTGAAGCCATGGTTGCTCACCAATGCCTATGTTAATCACGCAAAGCGCGTGGTGAAGCTTTTGGATATCGAGGACCTTTTTGAGGGCATTACATATTGTGACTATGGAAAAGTGCCTTTGGTTTGCAAACCAAGTCAGGATATGTATGCCAAAGCGGAGAAGGAAGCTGGTGCTCCCAGCACAGATCAGTGCTATTTTGTCGGTATGTCAATTCACCCTACCACGGACTAATGAATACCTTGGGATCTTTATGCTAATAACCATGGAACAGATGACTCGCATTTGAATTGTGTACATGCACATGCTCGGGGTTGGACTACAGCACACCTGGTTGAACCGGGTGTTCCCATGCCAGCTACGCAGGCATCAAAGTACACGATCTCAAGCCTTGAAGAACTCCGAGTTCATTTCCCTCACGCTTTCAAAGAGAAGAGCAAAAGCAATGGCGCATGAATCTGGCCATGGCGGCGATAAAGATACCCTTTGTTTATCGCCCTAGGCTTTTTTTGGTTTATGACTATGAATGTATATGATATAATGTCTATCCATCTTCCCAAAAACGAGAAATTAGATTATTTGAAATGAAACGAGATTCAGAGCATGCACCGATGATACACCAGAGAGATGAGCGTAGTGATAATAGTAGAGCATGATACATACATACTAGTTGTTGTTGCCTCAGGCAAAAGTCGATCACTTGACGCGCTCCGCTGGATTCAGGAGTTGCCTTGTTTCTGTTCTGCCAACAACCAGAAATTCCCGGTTATCGCTCAAGAGCTCCCTGTGGCTCTTGAACCCATTTCAAAATGTCTGGCCCAGCTTTATCACCAGGCTCGGTGATTGAGCTGCCCGATGGAAGGCGAGCAACTGTGCGGTTCGTTGGCATCACCCACTTCGCGGACGGAGAGTGGATAGGCCTTGAATTAGATGAGCCCACCGGCAAAAACGATGGTTCAGTTCAAGGTGAACGATACTTTGATTGTGAGCCAGGATATGGCATGTTTGTCCGCCCAACAGTAGTTGGTAAGCTTATCCAAGCTGAGCCGCAGAGTAAACAAACCACCAAACCGGCTACCAGTGCTGCAGGCAGCAAAGTGCAGGCTAAACCTGGGATCTCCCCCGGTATACGGAAGCAAACGGGTCTTGCCCCTACAGCAGTAAGACGACAGAGTACCAATGCAGGCTCGACTCCTGCTCCGGGGCCGAGAGGTGCGGCCGCTCGCGCGTCAATCCGAGTATGTCATTTGCCATCCTAGTCTTGCCTCGTGTTATGCTGATTGGAAGTTCTGTATCATCTAGTCACCCACAAAGTCCCCAACGAAACAGCTTACAACGATTGCCAGTCATACTTCCCGCACCTCCGCAGTGGCCTCTAACCGACCTCGAATAGCATCTAACGCTAGAGGCTCTCTGGGTCCTTCTGCAACACAACCAGCAGCCTCTAGAGGCTCACGACCCTCGGTTTCCGGTCCGGCAACTCGAACATCAAGACCAGGCTCCCAAAGCACTGTGACTTCATCAACCACGGGGTTGACAAAGCGTTCTTCATTACGGCAGGGAAGCAGTCCAAAAGCATCAGATGGAGGAGAAGCAGGCATCAGCGGGCGGTCGGGAGATCCAACCGAACCTGAATCGCCTGACACTGAAGGAGATGGCGTACAAGATGGAACCCCTCCGCCGAAGGTGTCCCGACAGTCGATGACTGCTACACGCCCAGTGGTCTCGCGTCCTGGTGCTCCTCTTTCTGCATCCCAGCGCCAAGCTCAAAGCGGAGCAGTCCAACGTGAACTTGAAGAGCTTAATGCCAAGCTCAAAATCATGGAGAAAAAACGCGCTGATGACAAGGAGAAGCTCAAGATTCTTGAGCAAATTCAGACCGAACGTGACAAGTTTGAGACAATAATTCAGAAACTTCAAGCCAAGTACCAACCGCAGCAAATGGAAGTCACCGAGCTGCGCAAAAAGCTCAAAGAAATTGAGATTCGTTCGGATGACTTGGAGCGCATGCAGGCAGAGCATGACTCACTCATGGAGATGGCTACTCTGGACCGTGAAATGGCAGAGGAGACAGCTGAGGCGTTCAAACATGAGTGTGCAGCTCTACGATCGAGATTAGATGAGGTCAATCTGGAGGTAGAGGTTCTCCGAGCGGAGAATGAGGAATACAACAATGAAACCACACCCGAAGACCGAACCAGTCACGGATGGCTCCAGATGGAAAAGACCAACGAACGTCTCCGAGATGCTCTCATTCGTTTGCGAGATATGACACAGCAGCAAGAGTTAGACCTTAAGGCTCAAATTAAAGAGTTGGAAGACGATCTCGAGGAATACGCTACCATCAAATCCGATTACGAGGCGGCAAAGGAGAGAATCTTGGTCGCTGAGACCAATGTGGATGATCTTAAGCAGCAGCTCGAAACAGCGCTGGGCGCCGAAGAAATGATTGAAGAACTGGCAGACAAAAATATGCGCTACCAGGACGAGATCAATGAGCTCAAAGCTGCCATTGAGGATTTGGAATCTCTCAAGGAGATCAGCGACGAGATGGAGTACACACATATCGAAACCGAGAAGCAGCTTCAAGAAGAGCTAGAATACCGGGAGGGTGTCTCCAACGACCAATGCCGCAAAATTATACAACAAGACGAAGTCATCGAAGACTTGGAATATACATTGACTCGTTTCCGAGACTTGGTGACAACTCTGCAAGGTGACTTGGATGACATGCGCACAAACAAGCAAGTCTCGGAGGCCGAGACCACAGAAACTGCAATGCGTCATCGCCAAATGCAGGATTTAACTATGAAACTACAGGCCAATCAATCGAAGGCTCTGACCAAATCCATTGATCTCGAACTAAATCGTATGGAGTCCGAGCAAAATGCACAGCACCTTTCGATTGTCAAACTCTATCTTCCAGAGTATTTTGAAGGCGAAAAGAATTCTGTCCAGGCCTTGCTTAGATTCAAACGTGTTGGGTTCAAAGCCAATGTCATGAGCAGCACTCTTCAAGAAAAGGGATCTGAACACTCAGTGGTCTCCAATGAAGAACTTTTCCAGGCCCATGCGGTTTTGGAATATCTTATGTGGATCTCAAATGTGTGTGATCGGTTTGTGAGCTACATCACAGCCTGCTCACCTGAGCAATTTGGAAACATCAAGGTTGCAATGTTCGAAATGGAACCAGTCGAGCGCACTTTGAACTTCTGGATCGAGCCTTTGAAAAAAGACGAAGTAAATCTTGCAAAACTTGCTGTGGAATTGCAGCGGTCGATCGCTCTCCTTGCGCACCTTTCCGAGACCATTCTTCCCTCCAGCCTAGAAATGTTTGCTGATGAGCTGTGTATGCGCGGCCATCTATCCCAATCTTACATTGAGCATGCAGCTGGTGCAATCTCGCGGGTTAAGGTCATCATTAGCTCCAAAATGGGTCCTGCCGAAGAAGGCGACGAGGAGAACATGATTGCTCTCAATAAATTAGATGCCTTCGCCCCTCAGGCCCGAGGGTATAAGGTGGCGATGGGTAAAATCAGCCGGTCTCTTGACGATCTACGTTCAAGGTCACTTGCACTTCCAAAGGATGCTGACGAGCCTTTCAAAAAGATCGAGAATGAAACCAAACAACTTTCAGAATTTGCTCGAAAACTCGGAGAGAACTTAGTGGTCCTCACGAGCGACGAAGGTCGTACGAAACCATTCAAGTCAGAAGAGATTCTGAACTGTATGTCCCAAGTCTCTGCATCTTTCATCTCATCTGGCGAAACTTTGGATGAGAACAACGACCCTATCTCACTGCTCTTTACGAAGTTGCGAGAAATTGGTGATCAGTTTGAGGAGCTTGACTCCATATCCTCAGACTTCTCCCGCACAACAGAGTTTGAAAAAGGTGCATTTCCCTGGATTGCCCGTGCTGCGGAGTTGAAGTCAAACAAAATGACATCCCCTGATGCGGATGAAGAGATTCGCCAATTGCGAAATGAGATCCACGAGGCATCAGCCGCGCTTGGAGTGAAGGACAATACCCTTGACGAGCAAGGTTTGAAGATTGAGCACCTTGAATCGAGGATGCGAGAGGCAAGCAAAAAGGCTGCCATGGTCAAGGAACTCGAAGCCAAAATTGAGGAGATCCAGGCAGCAGGGACTGAGCTGGAGAAAACAGTTGAGCAACAAAAGAAGGAGCTACAGGTAGCCGAAGCTGAGCGAGACGAGTTCATGGCTCGTCTTGAGCGAATGAAACGCTTGTCCGGAAGCGCAGGCCTGGCGACCACAGGCAACGGTGCTGTCATCGCCAGTGAGGCTTCTTTGGCTGCCTTGGACGAGAACGAATCCCTCCGCGCTGAGGTTCAAAGCCTTCAAGCAGCCGTGCGTTTCCTACGTGAAGAGAACCGTCGTTCGAATATTCTCGATCCATACTCTGTACAGCGATCTACTGAAATGCACGCTTGGCTTGATGCGCCACTCACGAGGGCTAAGCCAACGCCCGATCAAGAGAAAATCCAACGCACTGCTCTCGAAAGTCGCGACGTCATGACGCATCTCCTCAAATTGACCAAAGATTCCCGAGTAGCCGATCTCAAGTCCACAATGGCTATCTCAGCCAACGGGGACAACGATAGTGTCGGCCGGACTGCTTGGCGCCCATCCAAGACCCGCCTCCGCTACCAGGTGCTACAACAGCGCGAAAACTTCGAGCACTGGGCCGAATGGCGCGATGAAATCGTCAACCATGAACGCGAACAGGACCGCCTGGTTGCCGCTAAACAGGAACGCGCAATGCGTGATCGAGTCTCTAGACATGCCCATAAAGCTTCGGTCGAATTTCCTCAGGGCTTGGGTCATGGCATGATGGGTCGCGCGTGGCAGATTCTGGGGATGCAGAAAAACCGCAAAACTGGCTCCACAAATACACCCACTCTGGACGATGTGGAGATAGTAAACACGGATTGAAGCCTCCAATGCATTGCATAGAAGCGAGGAAATTGACTTGAGCCTATTTTTTTCCAATGCTTCATGGGGTTGTACATACCATCCGCTTTCTTTTTCACGTGTACCCTATTTGTCTTCCTGGCAGCTATATTGTCCTTTTCGAGATACCCTACAGAGATAGCTAGCGTCAGACTTTGTGTGCAATTTACTTTCAATTCATAGGAATCTGGTACCTATGATTCATGAATAGAGCAGACCAATGTACCTAGATGGAGTGCTTGTACTATCCTATGTATTGTTCCTGTACTTCGAGCGAATTTATCGATTATTGCTTCCTAGAGAGATTACCACATTATCCCCCCGAATGGCAAGTAGACAACCAACCGGAACCAGTATGGGGTATTCCAACGCGCGATAAAAAGCAAAATAGTCCCTAAAGTGAACACCAGCGAACGTCCAAGCAAATCCAAAAACTCGGTTCAATCAAAAACATTGGAAAGGAAAGGGCTGAGTAGGCGAGGATCATTAGAAGCTCGGAACGCCCGAAAACATCATCTTGTAAGAAGCCGTAGGACGTCAAAGAACTCAGAATGCCACCCCGATTCCAGACTCGTGATACTGCATATTTCGGTTGTCCTGATACGCGGAGAAATTATGGTGCTGCTGGCCCTCAAAGATAGTCGGGTAGCAGACACCAACGTCTAGATCTTTTTCTGGGGCAGTCGAGGCAACCTGGAATGAAGTGCGTGGGGTCATGGCGCTGGAATATGCACTCGAGATTGAACTGTTGTTCCGTGCTCGGGGGCTACCGGCGATGGTTGTGCTATTGGATGCAACAGTAGTGCCGCTCAGTGTGCGGGCGCGCTCCCAGTTGAACCCGTTCGCGCGGGGCACAGAAATTTGTTTTGGGGGCGAAACGGACTTGGTAGATGTAGGGAACATCCATTGGGTTACACGATTGGAAGCAGAATTGGAAACGGGGTCGATTCCGTTTCGGTCCTCAGAGACTGGGACAGAAGGACGGTGTAATGAGATTTGTGATGACGTCGTGCGTGAGCTGGCCGACGAAGGACTGTCTTTATACTTCCCCGAATACTCGGATGGGGATGTATCTGGCGATTCTGTGTGCAGGGTCTTCGAGACAGGAGTCCGGGGTTCTTTCCCCCAGGGCTGACTGATGCTTACGTCGGTCGGCCATGGCGTGTTCAGTGTTAATTGATTGCCTTCTGATTTTGACCTGCCGTGGATGGGAGATGCTGCTCGAGTACCCGCGACAGATACCTCGAAGGGGTTGAGCTTGGAGAAATGCGGAACGAGAGAGCTAGTAATGCGAACTGGTTCTTCGACGAGGACAGGCTCTAGGTTTCCCAGTGATCGGCGTTTCTGGGACCCAACTGGCTTGCGAGATACTACAGATGCCTTCGAGTGATGTCGCTCTCGAATGCGTGTTGAGGTGGTGAGGGCACGAGGGGGCACTGGTGGCGTCTTGCGCTGGCGGCTCTCGTACAGTTGAAATGTTTCGAAGGAAGGTAGGTCGGACAATCGACTGCCTGATTGATGGATTCGAAGATCCAGGGGATGATATGTCGGAGCTGGAGGATAGTGGAAGGACTGTGCTGGATGGTCATGGAACGATTGTACTCTGCGAAAGTCCGAGGGTGCGCTGATCTTCAACGGGGTTGTTGACGATCTTTTCAAGGACAAGCTTGCCCGATTAGAGGCTCGCGATGCTAAGTGTCGGCCATCGTTGAACCACGATGACAGCGAATTCCGAGATTGATGGATACTTGGACTGGGTAGGTCATCATATACCACCAGTTTCATGGGTGGGACAAGATGCGGTTGAGTATGGCATACTTTCATTTCCCGTTCGACACCTGCGATGTATATCGTCTATCAGAAGGCGATCATGTCTTCAGTGCAGAGTAGTACACATACCGCGGTTTCCAGCTGGTCGATTGGGCTGGCTGCCATCCTCCAAGTCTATACATGGGAAGCACGATCGTATCCAGCCAGTGAATGACGACCCTGCTTTCTCCAAAGCCAGCGTCATGGCGACCAGCGCAAGAGCTTAATCCATCACCTTCAAGGTAAGAGAACAGAAAACCAAAAGAGAGCAAGAAACAAAGGAAATGAACGGACAAACCAGTTGCACAGATCAACCCCTCCTTGGACGGGATGGGAACATCCCCTCCTATAAGCCCGGCAGGCCGGACATGACCATCTTACCATATTCGTCCAGGTACACATTATCGTGGCGCCACTAATGGCCAAGAACTATACCCAGAAAAGAAACCCTTCTCAGTGCCAGCGCATTAGGACCTTTGATCGCCGGGGACGGAGCTAATGAGAGACTGCCATTCGTTGGCGCCCAGTGGAGTTGTCACATCTCTGCTTATTATTGAGCAACCCTGCCAAGTACTTCTGGAGAGCGTGATGAGAAGTTGGGCGCTTACAGAGATTGAAGGAGATTTTTCCATTTGAAGTTTCAAAATGTTTTGCATATTGCTTCATGGTGTAATTTAAGACACAATATGTACAGAACATAGGGTAGAATATCAAACCGAGATTGTAATAAAGGAAATGAGGAACATGGGGTAAATGATCATAATCCAGGACTCGTAACAGGCATAAATCGCTATAGGACGCTATGTGCCCCATACATTATCCTGCTCCAAACCGTCATAGGCCCACTTGGACCGATCATCTTTGTTAGATTCTGGCGGTGTCGCAGGATCAGCTTCAGCCTCCTCTTCAATTGGCTGTCCGGAAGGTCTTCTAAAAATTGGGATTCGAGGTTAATAACTCTGCTATAGCACCTTCTATCGGCCAATTATTCGGCAACTTACGAGAATCGCCGAGTTTCAGGCTCCGCCCATGCAGAGCCATACTCTCTCTGTGCCCGAGCTCGATCTTCTTCCTCGGCCTCTGTATTCTCCACCACAAGATCAACTAGCTGGCTGCGCCGCGTGCCGCTGGAGCTAGTGGAGCTGACGGTTCGCTGCAAGGGACCAGGTGTCACCGAGCTGGGGCCAGGTTTGTCAGAGCTTGGTTTGGGGCTCCGCCTACTTTCGCCATCTGACGCGCGACTTTTCTTGTGCCTGCGGGCCTTTTTGATACGTGCTCCTCGGTTTGAATCTTGATATCTCCGCGACGGCGGTAGTCGTTGGTCGCTTGGCACCTCGTTGGCCGTAACTACCGGATACTATGCGCAGTCAGCATCTCAATCATACCGAACCCACTAAATTAGCATCAACTTACGTTCCAGTCTCCGAATTCTAGCGCGCGAGCATTCAGAAAGAGCCGTTCGTCTTCGTCGTCCATTGCAGTTTCATCAACGTCACTGTAAGATCGGAATCTTTCTCTTGAGGTTTGGCTGACCCGTTCATTCCTTGTGCCACGTTCACTAAACTCGCCGCTTAGTAGAGGCGTACGGCTGTTAGCTTCACCTGGCTTGGGGATCCAGTATTTTGCTTTGCCTCCCCGTTCATATCTCATGCCATCCATTACTCGCTTCACTCGCGACCCTGACTCCAAATGTGGGATGATATTGTCACCCGAATCGAAGAGTCGGTATTCATAATTCTCTCCGCGAAGAGTGAGTTTGGTGTCTTCAACCAAATCCCGGACACCAAATGCGTCGCGCAGCGCGTATTTCACGGGCAAGCGTGCAGCTGAGATGGTTGGGTCTGCATAGTCATGCCAGGAAAATGCATACCAGTGAGCCATAGCAAAGATTGGCATTTCAAAACAGATGAGACTGTCCTGAATCGCTGCCGCGAGGTTGTTGGGTGTGTACCCAGCGACGCTGCCAAGTGCTCCCAGCCATTGAAGAATTGACAGGAAGAATCCTTGCCAGTACGAGGCAAAGATGATAAGCTTGATGCAGAGAAATTTGGGAACTGGACGGAATGGCATAAGATCGTCGTGCAGACACACCCAGAACATGGCGAGGGAGTAGAGACTGATTGTGACGCTGACATTGTATATTATACCGGTCCAAAGGTATCCAGAGCTTATCCCAATATAGCCTTCTTGGTATGTGTCGGTCGCCTTCATCACAATGGAGACCAGGGCCAAAATGGGCTTCAGCCAAGCGTACTGCAGAATACCACGTTTGACAGCGAGGAATGTGTGGGGATCGGAAACGTCAATCTTTGGGAGGAAGTGATTGAGAGGCCAAGCATGAGAGATGGGAGGACGGCCATGGGCCATGATAATCACGGCCCGCTCGCCGCCGAGGAAATTGATGAGGAGCTGGAAGAACGTGTAGATGGTGAAAGCCTGCCAGTGCCACTCGTTAATATGAGGTGCTCTGATAACCAGCCAGAATCTTACGTACTTCATAGATATCGCGAACTGGAGCTAGAAACTGAGCCGCCTTTAGCGACACGATGCTTGTCCAAGATGATACTGCGTAAATTGGGACCCTAAGCTCGATCAGCACCGCTCTTTGTCCCAGCCCCCTAGGCGAGTACCCAAGCCAATACTAACATCAACAATATCCGCACCACATAGCGTTGGAGGAGAGGTTTCCGGTAATTTTTGCTATGGGATGGTTAGGCATGGCTCGGTAGATAGGGAATTAGAAGCTCGTACGTTTGAAACCATATAGACCTGCGGTTCGCGATAACATGTCAGTCTGGTGATCTCCAACAATCGCGCCCATAAAAAATGATAGACAGTACAGAAAAGACTCACACAAATGATAAGAGCGAGGAAACCAAGGCGGAAACGCCAGTGACGATGATAATCGCGCGTGCGAGGCTGGAGCCTGTTCCTCCACCGGCGGCGCTCGTCATGGTTGCTGAGAATTAGGGACAATCACGGTTCAAAGACCGCCTTTTGCCTGCGGATTACGCCAGCTCATTCCGCAGAGTCAGTAGAAGGGCAAAACATGGTGGCGAAAGCCAAAATGGGGGGCAGATCAAGCTGGGAAATTGATGGCTCGAAATGAGGAGGCGTGTTGTCCGATGACGATCTTCTCGTGACACCGCTCTCGGACTGACCAAACAACGTCTTCAGATTGCAACTTCCAGAACATTTGACCCAGCCAGCTTGGTGTCGATGGTTGAGAGGCTCATTTTGGCTCGTCATTCGCGTTCTGTCGCGCTGACGTTGTCCATGTTGGCTGGCGGGGCGAGATGGCCAGTACAAGCTTGACATCGACCTTCCTGACGCCGGATCCAAGCTTCAATTGGTATGTAATCGCTACTTGGATTACAATAACTGTGCTTACCGGTGATTTAGGTTTTTCCTTTTGGAGCTGATTGTTTCTTGCATTCTGTAAGTTTGCGTTATCCAACGCAGCCGAATCCTGCTGATCCTCGGCATAGAGCTCTGTTCTTTCTGCTCTACTTCAATCGACTCTTCGCGAACGTCCTTTCTTATGCAATCCGAGCATACACATGGCATTATTACCGCGCATATGTCGACATCAATGCACTCCAGTTCTCTTTACTTGGTGGAAGAATCTTCTTCAAGGGCATTCGATATCATGGCGTGAACGAGACAATCTTTATCCATGGAGGTTTCATTACATGGCGGTATTGGACGCGCACAATCGAGCGAAACGATTTGACGGGGGTTCGACGGAAGACAGGGCTTTCTAATAATCCCTCGACGGGTGAACATAGCCCATCCCCGCATGATGGTATAGAGAACAAGGTGGGGGAGCAAGGTGGCATGGGAAAGACGACCGAATTGCCGTGCCGGATTACGATCAACACATATGGCCTTGAATGGTTTATTTACAATCGGACCCCTACCTATGACAGTATCCTTGCTGGCTTCGGGTACTCTCCCAAGGGTGTTGATTTAGACAATGACAGTTTGAACCCCCCAGAGTCTCGTGCGACGGCAGCACATGCCGATGCCAACAATGCCTTTGACTTTCAGCCGACACCTAGCCATCTGCCAACCATGAAAGCCGTGTCAGAACGCAGCATGAGTGATAGAGGCGGGGATTCCTCGCAAAAATCTGCTATTCGCGAGTCAGAACTATCAGATCCTATATCCAACATGCTGCAACTGTTACCAGTGAAGCTAGATTGCAAGAAAGGGGCTATTGTCATGGGAAATGAATATACCCGATCTGTCTTGACAACGACATTTGACACAGCAACGGGTACCATTGACGCTTCCAACTCAGGTCCTCTTGATTTGTATCGTCAAATATTCTCATTCCAACTCAATAACCCAGTGGTTCAGATGCGACCTAACCCCGATTTCAAACAAAATCAGTCAGCGACCGCCCAAGCCCTAGGTGCTATGCAAGATAGTGAGCCCGAATCGAAGAAAAAGCCGCAACCTATCTTCAATTATCAATTCCAAAGGCGCAGAGTATGGCACAGCATTCGAGACCTAGTTCCATATTTCCAGACATCTGTTGAGTCATTCCATGTCAACAGCAAACATGCTGATAGCATGCCAAGAAGCCAGACAGATTTCCCTGAGGTCCGCTGGACCGGTCTGTCTCGGTATCTGGATGAAGACTGCGAGGACGAACATGAGAAATGGAACTCAGTCGAATATGCCCGGTTCTCTACTATCTTGGATAGCCCTAGCCTGACCGTAGCCTACTTTTGGGATATTCCTGGCCGAGTCATCATTCAACCAACCTCAACTGATCGATCTAAACCAAGCGATTGCAATATCAATTGCGCCCCAGCTCCCGAATGGGGAATCGACATCAAGATTGAGGGGGGCACAATAAATTACGGACCGTGGGCTGACAGAGAGAGGGTTGGCCTGCAAAACGTCTTTTTTCCAAATTTTTATCGAAGTGCCGAGCCAACAGAGAAACTGGCACCTGGCGTCCTGCGACAAAGCACGGCGTTCAAATTGCGCGTGGAAATTGACAAGGAACTGACACTGTGCATTCCCACACGAGAGCCTTCTAAGGATTGGCAGTGGAAAGGCCGTGCTGATGCCATCGGAGGGGCATCGAGGGCGAAGAAGCCAAATGACCAGAAGAAGACACGGGCTAAGGAGGGTGAAAAGGGCTACCTTGGCCCTGAAATTCGACCGTTCGGTTGGCTTTCCCTTTCTGTTGCCCCCGATTCCACCATCAATTATACCATGGACATGGTGGGCTCGAGCGCAGGCTTTTGCAATAGGCTTTCCATTGACTTGCGAGACTCAAGACTGTCGTCCAGCATCAACCATAACTTACTCTGGCAATGCCCTCGACAACAGGTCATTTGCGATCTGTCAAACCCCCTTACCTGGAATAGTCTCCGTTCCTGGAAATTTACAGTTGAAGGCCAAGAGTTACAGCTATACCTCCTACGTGATCACATATTTCTTCTCACTGACCTTGTGAGTGACTGGGCTTCAGGTCCACCTTCGGACTATTACGCCTTTGTACCTTTCATCTACAACCTTGATCTCAATTTCTCCGACTTTCAACTTTACATCAATGTCAATGACCGAAACATCATCAACAATCCTTCGGACCTAGAGGATAACCGCTTCATCATCATCAAAGGTAAGCGCCTAGAGACCAATGTCATGATACCATTGAACAAATACCAACCTGAACAAAACACTATTGAGTTCAAACTCAACCTTGAAGATGGCGGCGTGGACTATGAAACACCTTTATGGGATACCCTACATGAATTTTTGCCACGAAAGTCCATGGCTACCCTCGAGAGCTTGTTCATTGATGGCTCCTATAACTATTTTCAGTCAACATCCCCGGAGTTGACTGACACTCTGGTGCTCCAGATTGATGGAACATCGCCCCGGCTATACCTCTTTGGATTCTTGATAAAGAGCTTCATGACAATCAGAGAGAATTATTTTGGAGAGGAGATGCACTTTAAGACTCTTGAAGAGTATCAAGAGCTGGTGTACGCGGGCGAACCGCCATCAAACCCCACAGGTATAAATCCAAACCGGAAGTCAAATGACATGGATGTGCTTGTGCGTGCCACAGTTGACAAACCCCGTGCTTTGCTTCCTGTGGATATCTACGATGATTCAAAGAGCATGGGACTTAGTGCTGCCTCACTCGAAGTGGATTTACGCTTCACCAACTACTATATGGACCTGCAGTTTTCTGTTGCTCCGCTGAAACTTGATTTGGAGACCACACAGCTGGATGGCCCACCCGCTATCTCTGGTCCTCAGTTGTTCATCGATGGAATTTCTGTGTACGGTCATCGTCTGTTTGGGCTACCACCCCTTGAACCAACCTACGTGTGTAACTGGGATTTTGAAGTCGGTAGAATCGTTGGAGAATGTTCTACAGAGTTCTTGGCCTGTTTGGCTTCTTCTTTGAAGACCTTCGATTTCTCATTTGACAACGAAGAAAATGCATTGCCGACGCTTTTCCCGGAGATTCTATTTGATGTGACTTTCTTGAGAGCCAAGATTGACTCAATCCATATTTCCGTGCTTTTGGATCAAACAGCTGTGATCCTGAGCACCCAGCCGTTGAATGTGAATTTCAACGACTGGGCAAACACCAAGTTCTCGAAGCGCATGAGTCTTCTCGTTCCGGACATGTCAATTGCCGCTGTTGATCGCCAATCTGTCTCTCGGTATAAGGCGTTAGCGGGAGAATTGATAGCACCCATAGGTCTTTTCCAACTCACAATTGGGCTCAAGATGGCTCTGCGTAAATCTGATATTGCTGAAAGTCGACGACTTCAACAAGAACATATTAAAACTCACGATCAGCGAACTCACAGGGCACAATGGTTGCTTTTCGATTGGGACGAGACTGGCCCGACTTCAACGCTACCTCCGAATGATGATATATTCCCTCCCACTATGGCTATCCCTTCAATGCCTGAACCCATTCATGGCAAAATCGGCTCGTTTAACATACCATCCTATCGGGGAGCTTCAGGGCTCCGTCCCACTGGAAGCGCCAAGAGCTTCCTTGTCCAGTCAGAAACATCAAGTTTGAAGAGTGTCCGGAGACACACTGCCAACAGCACTAGAGCAGCCTCAAATCCAGTTTCCAGATCACGACCGTTTTCCCCCGCTAGGGAATCAACCTGGTCTGTTTCGAAGACGAACCGTTCGAGAGATGGAACAGACCCCGGATCTCGGTCAGGCACATTCTTGTCATCTATGATGCGAGACGCAAATCCGTGGATAATGCCACAGTTCTCGTACTATAAGCTTCGTCTGGATACATCCGAGCTTCCGTTGCCATTTGTGGACGAAGACGACATAATGAATGATGACCCTGCAATGAATCAAAAGTCCGTGTTTCTCACATTTGATGACGATCAAACAAGTTACACAAATCTGGCCTGCGATCTTCCCCTTGGTATTCGAGGATATTGCACACCAAAGTTCCTCTTGAGTCTAGCTGCCTTGTTAGATGGCTTGGGACCGAAACACCCTACGCAAATCATCGATTCCCTTCAGAAAGATGTGATATCAGACATTGTTGGTTATGACAAGGCCATGAGCCAACCGAAGATTTCAACAGCTGTTGCTCTTCGAATTCCGGCCATTCAATTACGACTTGTTGACTTGTCCGAGGCCCCCAACAACAAAGCAATCGAGTTCCGAGATGAATACAGTATCGAAATCCGTCGTCTAAGGACTGAGTTCCGGAGAAAGGTTCAACGTCAAAAAGACGATCTGCTTGAAGGTCTCAAACAAGATGTGACAGTTCATGCCGCGGCAGATCACGTCTCTATTTCCGTCGAGGGCAGTCGAGTGGATGCTTTCCACGAGAAAGCCATGTTCAACTCTCACTTGGAAGATATGAACTTCTGGCTCGTTACGTCGCCCAACGTCCGCTCTAATTTCCAGATGCGAACATTCAGTACAATCACATCAGCAAAGTCTGTGGAACGTCTCGCATTTCTCGTTCGTCGAGCCACGACTATGTTTGATTCTGTCGCCTCATCTTTTCAGCAACTTTCAGCCTCTAACGAGAGGCGCCTACAGTACCTTATCTACTCTCTCACTCAATCAGCCGCCAACATACCGGATCCAATATTCCTTGCTCGTATATCTTATATCCTCAGGATTGCTTCCACTCACCTGCGACAGCATGACTCGTGGAAGATCATCTCACGCATCCGCAAGATCTATAATAGCTTACCTCTCCAGCACAAGCGTGATTTGGAGCAGAACTGCTTCGGTGACGATCTTCCTCTGCCATCGGATGCAAAAAAGGCCGTGTTGTCTGGGTTTGACCGTTGGCGAGCTTGGGATCTGGCACATGTAGCGAAAAGCTATGTTATGCGCCATGTTTGGCCATATACCGCTGAACGAGACACTCCGCAGCCTTCGATATTTTTATCATCAACTGTTCAAACATTCCGATTCTCTATGGATCCTGGTCCGAGAGAAAGTGATTTAATCATAGGAAACTTGTCAACAGTTGCATCCTTCATTCCTGACTCGCCTGGAGATGACGGCGAACAGAGCAAGAAACTGATTACATTGCAGTCTTATTGTGGATCAGCAGCCCTAAGGCTACGTTGGGAAATTTTAGACCTTGTTGAAGGAGTGATCAAGGTCATGTCAAATGTTACACTCAAATCCTCGCCCGGTCATGTCCCTAGCGACAATACGCTGGAGCAGACCCCGACTGAGCTGCAGGTAGTATTTGGCACTGATTTTGGGTCCATCACTCTTGACGGCATCAATATCAAGCTTGCTCTGGTAGCGAAAGCCTTCCGAGGATCGATCGTCCATAAGTCGTTTGGTGCCAGACGATCAAATCACGAAGACCTCGCTTTATTGTTTAATGCTGAAGGCTGCTCAACCGAGCTTCAAAGTCAATCTATAACCTTGACGTTGTCAAGAATTGCTGACCCATACATGTACTTGTCGCTTGTGTCGGAAGAAGATGCCAGTGAATGCAGACACAACTGGAAACTCGCTGCTTCCTGTAGGAAGCTTCGCTATGACATCAAAGAAGACCCTGTCAGCTTAGCGCATATAGCAGACAGACTTATCGCGGATGAGGTCAGATACATCCGGGATCTTGTGGATAGTGTCAAAATTCCAAAACAGGAATCTGATTCCAGGCTTGCGCCGATCAAATCAACCCGCAACACTTTCCATGCAGCAATGTTCTTGGAAGATTACCAGTTGACATTCAGCCTTCTGCCATCTTTGACCTACGTTGTCTCAGGTGAAGTGGCTCGCATGTCCGTCATGCCCGCAGAGGCTTCCAAGATTGAGGTGGACTTCGATGTGAAGAAGAATTCGCATATGTTCGTATCAGGCGAGGACGAAAGTTTCCAAGTTTTATCGATATTGGAAATACCGCCCGCAAACGGGCGAATTGTCGCGAACCTCTTATCGGATCGCAAGGAAGTGGAAGTTGATGTCACGATTGAACTCATCCGTTTAGAAGCCAGTGCTGTGCGCAGCCTTCTTGCTGTTTTGACAGGACCTGATGTGTCCCATTTGATCTCAGATCTCAAGCAGAACGTGGATGTTCTTCAGTCCCACTTGGAAAATGTGTTACCCCCAGAAAAGGCCTTACCAAAACCTAAGCCAACGTCAGATAGCCAGGAGATCCTCTACAAAGCCCGCTTCACGATGGCAGGGTTCGAAATTCATGCCATTGCACCTGGCCTCAACGGCAAGGATTACTCTGCGGAGATGATCTTCAGCCTTGGGATGATGCGAATGCGACTTCACAATGGATTAGACCAGGGCTACGCCATGGAGTATCCTGAGTTCAACATCGATGCCTCTCAAATTAGCTTTGAGCTTCGAAGACAAGAGAAGACTAGGAGTCGCTCATATGGTGGCTTCAGTGCTGGAGTAAAGCTTCAGGGAACCTCTGCAAGCCGCGAAAATGGGGAGATTACCAGAGCATACCATTTCACTAGCGACAGGTTTGACGTTGAACTGTTCCCTGAGACAGCAGCCCTCGTGGTTGATATTGCTGTCTATACACAAGAGCGCATTAAGACGCTAGACCTTTCCCACGAAGTCAAACGTCTTAGGGAACTCAGACATGGTGGCCACTGTAATACAAATGATGGGGCGGCCGATGGCCCTGAAATCCACGTCAACGATGATTCTACTCCAGAGACATTCCTCAATGCCCTTTATTCACTGCAATTCCGAGCCATTGAAGTTGCTTGGAACATGGCCACGATGCATAACAAGTCTGGTCGACAGCCCGAGGATTTGGTATTATCAATCCAACAAGTCGAACTCTCAAATAAAAAGAAGAATGCAGCCAAGCTTCGAATCGAAAACATGCAACTTCAGATGGTTCCATTCGGGGCGGACAGAGAAAAGCGCTCGCTCAATTCAGCCCTCATGCCAGAGCTGGTCTTCAATGTGGCATATTCCTCCAAAGGGAAGGAGGTGTGGCTTGCTTTCCAAGCAGCTGGTAAATCTCTTGATATACGTGCCACATCTGAGTTCATCATTCCGGCTAGCATGATACGGGACTCGATTGGTACTGCAAGCGAGGCGCTTCGTGAAGGCAAGGCCCTCTGGGCAACCAGGGCAGAATCCCCTGAAAATGCCAACGCCAACAAAGATCGTAGTCTCTTTGGCAACAGGCGATTGAGATCTCTTCTCATTGATGTGGACTTTGCAGGTGCGACTGCCACGCTTCAGGGCAAACTCGGTCATGATCATCAAACGTTGTTAGCGGCAACATGGCAAGGCACTCGCCTCTCTGACGCGAAATATGGCCAATATTTGCAAGGAGATGCAGCGACCACCGCAACCCTCCGTGCGCCCGGGGTGGCGCTCAAAGTTCAGTTCGAGGACAACGGTACCGATGATCCCGCGCTCAATGCAGAGTTAAAGGTTGACCCCTCTACGAACACATTGTATCCAACTCTTGTACCTCTCATCAAGCAAATGACTGCCACGGTCAAGGAGATTATGGGGAATCAGCAGGGCCAACTTCGGAGACCATCTACAGCGGCGAAATTACAGTCTCAGAAATTGATGCAGGAAAAGCCATTTGGTGCCGACGATCCAACCAGTATTCTTGGTCGATGCAAGGTAAACGTGGGCTTGTTGTTCTGCAAGCAGGAGTTTAGCCTGAGCTGCCAGCCTATCGCAAGGGTCGCAGCCACTGCACGATTCGAGAGCGTATACGTGACTGTTAACACGGTTCTATCTGAAGAACAGGGCAGATTCCTCGCTCTTTCCTTGGCTTTCAATGGCTTGGAAGCCTCTGTAAAGCATGTGTACTCCAACGAATCAACCGCAAGCTTCGAGGTCAAGTCCATGGTGCTCTCGTTGATGAATAGTAAGCATCTCGGCCGGATGAACGGAATGTCAGCTATTTTGCGAGTCAGCCCAATGAAGGTCGCAGTGAATGCCAAGCAAGTCCAAGACTCGATGCTTTTCAAAGAGATCTGGCTTCCGTCCGACAATGAAACCAGCTCGAGTGATACTGTACAGCCCGAGCCGTCTGAAACGCAACCCTACATTGTGCAGCGATATCAACAGGTTACTTCGGCATCAGCATTCCCTTGGAACACCACTATCGCAATTGAGAAGCTCGAGATGCAACTTGATCTAGGCTCAACCCTAGGAAAGGCGCAGTTTGCCATCGTTGACCTATGGGTTTCCACCAGCAAGACGTCTGATAATGAGCAGAACATGTGCATCAATTTCAGTTCAGTTGCGATCGAGAGTAAGGGCCGCATGAGCGGACTCGTCGAACTCGGAAAACTGAAAATTCACACATCCATTGAATGGCCCAAAGACTCCCACAAGGCGAGACACACGCCATTAATTCAAGCCACGATTGCTTTCGATCACCTTCAAGCGAAGATATCATTCGATTATCAACCCTTCCTGGTAGCCCAGATTGCCATGTTCAACTTCCTGATGTACAATGTTCGAGACACATCCGGCGCGCAGAGCCAGCGTCTCTTCAGTATCCTGGAAGGCGACAAAGTTCAAGTATTCTGCACATCTTTAACAGCATCACAAGCATTGGCACTATTCCAGGCTTGGGGCCGCTTGATCCAAGATGTCCAAACAGCCTACAAAACATCCCTCCGCGAGGTAGAGCGGTACCTCCGTCGGAAGTCTGCAGTTCTCGCAGAGCGCCCCAGCGTCGGCACTAAGGAATTGGCAAATGATGACGACGATCACCCCCAGAAAGCGCCCATTTCGCTCCACACCGGAGTCGTCGTGAACATCCGCCACGTCAATCTGGGAGCATTCCCGAGCTCTTTCTTTGACAACCAAATCTTCAAAGTAGAAGCCCATGACGCCGATGCCCGGTTCTCCGTCTCACTCGAAGGCAACAAAATCCACAGCGCTCTAGGCTTGACACTTGGCCAGTTACGTGTGGCTCTATCTGGGATCACGCGGCCAACCTCCGCCCAACTAGACGAGCTTTCAGTGGACGAAATCGCTGAGCGAGCCGCAGCATCCCGCGGCGGAACAATCCTCAAAGTGCCCCGACTTGTCGCAGGCATGGAGACCTGGCAGGCACCAGGCACTCACCAGATCGACTACATCTTCCGCAGCACGTTCGAGGGCAAGGTCGATGTCGGCTGGAATTACTCGCGCATCAGCTTCATCCGCGATATGTGGGAGACGCATTCACGGGCGCTCGCCTCACGACTTGGCAAGCCCTTGCCGCCATCCGCGGTGCGCATCACTGGTGGGCCCGGTAGCAGTGTTGAGGGTGGCGGTGCTAGCTCTGAGCAGCAGGAAAAGATAACTGCGGTTGTCAATGTGCCCCAGTCCAAGTACACCTATACTGCGCTTGAACCGCCTATTATTGAAACGCCGCAGTTGCGGGATATGGGTGAGGCTACGCCGCCGTTGGAGTGGATTGGATTGCAGCGTGATAAGCTGCCGAATGTGACGCACCAGATTATTATTGTCACGTTGCTGGAGATTGCGAAGGAGGTGGAGGATGCTTATGGCAAGATTCTAGGATCGTGATGTCTGTCTTTTTCGCTGTATCCCTTCTGTTTTTGGATAGATTATTTCTCTTGGGTTCTTTCGGTGGAGTCTTTTTCTTTTTCTTTTTCTTTTTTTGTTTTTTCTTCTGACATTATCTTTCGCTTGTTCTCCTATTGCCCGATACCACCATCGTCGTTGTACATTATTATATTGCATCATTAATCATAAATATGTTTTCTTTTGGCTTGAATCTAGATATAAGATGTACAAATGACCTGACGGCTTTAGGGATGATCTGAGAGAATCAAAACAGAGAATGCAATATATTCATCTGGAACAGGACGATAAAACGTCCTTTTTGGGAACCGCAATATCTACTACCTACCTTCTAAAACCGCAAGACTAAACAAGCTGCTGCATCCTCTCTATGATCAAAGAGATTCGTCAAAATCGTAGACATACGTAGGACCAATTTACAGACCAAACTGAGTGCGCAGAGACGAAGCGAAGCGAGAGATAGCCTCGTCGATCTTCTCGGACGAGGCAGCTGCGAAGGTCGCACGGAAAAACATCTTCTCCTCGACAGTGTCGTGGTCAGGCTTGAACCAACTGCCGCGAGAAAGAAGAACACCTGCGTTGACGGCGGACAGGAAGATTTCCTCTTCGATGGCGGCGTGAGTCTTGCCAGCGGCGACGCCAGGGTGCTTGCGCCAGTCAACATCGATCCAGTGCTAGTGAATAGATTAGTATTTTTCTGAGATCAAAGGTGGAACAGCAAGGCGAGAAAAACTTACGAACATGCCAGCCGCGGGGGCTTCCCAGTGAGCGATTTCGCGGGGCAGGTGCTTCTCGCAAGCGTGAACAAGAGAGTCGCGACGAGCGGTGTACGACATGCGCAGGTTGATCAGCCAATCCAGGTACCCGGGGTGGCCCCAGTGTTCATCGAGGAGCTTGAAAAGCGCTATCTGGGCAATGCCGCTAGGGTTCTGTGAAGAAACCTCGAAGTTGCGGATGAAACGTTCGAGAATCTGCTCGGATGCTACGATCCAACCGACCCGGGAACCGGGGGAAATAACCTTAGAGAAAGACTCGAGGCGGACGACACGGCCATCGACATCCATGCTCAAGAACGAGGGAACGAGGGACTTGATGAACTCCTCGTGGTTCGATGGGGGAGGGACAGGCGAGGCGTCCTGTCCAGCGTAGGGCTGCATCTGCAGGAAGTAGTAGGGCTCGTCCTCGACGATGATGATATCATGCTTCTGCGCAACCTTGTATACGGCGCGGCGGCGTTCTGCAGACTGGGTGGCGCCGGTGGGGTTCTGTCCTGTTGGAATGGTGTACAGGACGTGGGGCTTGCGCGCACCTCGGGCAGCAACGTCCCAGTTGCTGAGGATGTTGTCCATTGCCTCGGGGAGGAGACCTTGGCCGTCCATGGGGATGCCCGCGACCTTCAATCCTAGGGGGAAAGCAGTCTCTGCGGCGCTGGCGAAGGTGTATTCTTCCATGAGAATGTAGTCTCCGCGCTCACAGAGCACTCGGAGGGCAGTGTCCCAAGCATAGGTGCTGCCGGCGGTCAAAGTACATTGCCAGTCAGAGTAAGGAGGGCTGTGGATGATCTGATTTGGTCAGTTCCTGTAGAGAAATGCAAGTCCGGGCATTATGAACCCACTTCGGTGTGCTCGGTAACAAAACGAAGCAATGGCGCAGCTCCAGTGGCTTGTCCGTAGTTAAGGGCAATCTCCAGATCTGAACACTTGAATCAGTCATATTTATTGTGAGATGGAGGTGAGGGAGAACTCACCGTAAGTACTGGTTCCTTCTTGGATATCATGCTTTCCAGCATGGAGAACTGTGCCTGACTTCTTGGTGGCTTCCGGGGAGAACCCGGGGGGAGTGGGGACCTTGATATCAAAACTCTCAAAGGGGAAGTACTCAGGCGAAGGCAATCCACCACCGAGCGAGATAAGACCTTCAGATCGCAATTAGCCAGGTTATGAATGAAAACGAGAAGATGTAATATTACCTGGAGTGTTCAGGTAACGAGCAGCGTTCTTCAAGGTAGAAGCCTACAGTTGAATTAGCAACAATGGGGTTCACCTTCTAGATGACCGAGGACAAACCTTGCGAGACTTGGCTTCCAGTGAAAATCGGTCTGAAAGAAGTCAAGAGTGTCAGTGGGAGTAGATCCAATAGTTATGAAGTCCTTCGGTATATTCCAGGAATATTTCCGCCAAGAGTGAATAGCAAACTCACGCTCGAACCGCTTGGCCTTGGGCTTGGTATAGCAAATCTAATAGCGTGCCCGATAATACATTAGCATACTACATTCTGCAACGAGTCACCTCGCTTGCACATTTGTTAATTTAGAAATATCATACCGGGCTCTTAAACATATCACTGCTGCATGCCGCAGCTACACCAGTGGGGATCTTTGCCACCTTCTGTCTCCATGCTGGCACGCCATTGACAGTCAAGGGTTCTGGAATAGGAACAGCCGACGTATCGGAGACGCCAACCAGGTTGACATCCAGGGGTGCTGGCGGACTCATTGTGATCAAGCGGCAATGGTGTTAATGCGAGGTGCCGGGATCGGAGGGGTACGGATGCGGGGTTATGCGGAGTGGTTTTTGGTGTTATGGGTTTGTAGGGATATTAGCCTGCGATTAGGATTCTGTGGAAGCAGATCTGCCAGTTATTTAAAGGGCAGAATCCAAGGAATTGGAGAAATAGAAGGTATTCCAAAGAGGCGAAGAGACTCGGCGAAAGCGGAGCGGAACTGCTCCCTCCAGCCCGCTGAGAGCTTTCTCCGAGCCACATGACTCATTGCAGATAGTTACGCAATATCTACTCCAACCTCCAGCGATACACTATCCTTTCTCCGTTCTGAGGTCAATAGCTATACGCAGCCAGCTCCTCCGTACTTGGTTTCTATTTTCTGGTTTGGTCTAGAGCTGTCAAAGGGGGAGCTTGATTTATAATGAAGTAATTAAGTGCCGGTCCCGGAGATAGTAATATCATCTCCATCTCTTTAAAACACTGATCGGAAAGAAGCTACAAAAAAGAAGAGAACAAGGCTATGTAGTGATTGTACCCTAATACCAACAATAAAATAAAAAAAAGGTTAGGACCGGAGCCGGAGTAATTCAGAATCGATTTTGATAACCCAACGGGGCCGCAACTATCAGATCAACGGAAAATCCTAACATTCAATAGAAGAGGCTAAAAGTCTCTCTGCCATTGGAGAGGCTCGCTTGTGATAAATAATCAAGAGAGAGACATATATATAAAACAGTAGTTGAAATTGAAAATAGTCTTTCAAATAAAACAGCGGTATGAGATCTATCAAACAATCTATGATTTACTATCTTCTACGTGATTGGAGTTGAACTAGTCTAGGAATAATATTTAGGCATAAGACCTTCTCTTAGCAACTCTAATATGCTATCTAACTTTCTCACTCTCAAGGACTCTCCACATACTTACCAGTGGTTCCATCAAGCTGTGCTTCGAGCACCGCTCCCTTTCCACTTAGAACACTCTTAATAGCATCCGGAAGTTTTTCAGCGAGTTCAGCAACAGTCGAAGCTCGTCCAGCCCACATCTCACCACCTGCTGCAGCCTTAGCGATACCTGCATAGTCCGGTGTAGGCGCAAAGGAGATGTTAAGTTCTTCATTGGTAGCACGGGCGCCATCACCCTCAGGATGAACAAGCAACATGCTTCTTCGAGGGGCATTCCAGCCCTTATTGTTCAGCACAATAGTCAAAACAGGGATACCATAGCGGCGGGCGATCCAGTACACGGATCCAGGTACCGAGAATAGGAATGTTCCGTCACCAACAACTTGACAGACGAATTTCCCCTTTCCACGTCCTCCATGTTGTTCGTCACTGGCAAGCTTGATACCAAGTGCGCCGCCACCAGACCATCCTAGACCACCACCGCCGCAGTTGATCCACGAATTAGGTATGGTCGCTGAGACTTGATCCGCCACGAAGTGGGTCATTGTCACGGACTCAATCGCCCAGATGGTATCGATCGGAACCCCCTGGCGGACCTGAGACATGAGATAATTGATGTTCAGATTTGCGCCATCGCCGCCTTCCGGGACTACGGCCAATTCGGTGATCTCGCGCCGACGCTTCGAATACTCCTCGTCCCGGAGTTTTCCCATGGTAATATTCTCCTTGGAGCCAATGAATTGCTGCAAAGATTCCTGGGAAGCAACATAATCATTGATCTGCTTGAGGGCGGTAGAAGAGTCGGCGCGGAATGTAGCCATCGAGTGGATGTAGAAGACCGGGATCTGTTGCTTCAAAGGATCGACATCGATGTGGATGATCTTGGCTGATGCGGATGGCTTAAACTGTGTAGGTACCCATGGAACATCGCAGTCAATCACAAGAATCAAGTCGGACGTTCGAACCAATTCATGCCCTGGATATCTTAATCCCAACCATCCCGGGTGGTCAGCAGGAAAGCACATATCGCTACCACCGGTGTCGAGCACACGAACTCCCTTGAAGCTGTTTGCCAAAGCGACCAGCTCAGTCACAGCCTGGGACTTTCGACCAGAATATCCAGTAATAATAAGAGGGTTCTTGGCGGCCGCAAGCTCCGATGCGATCATTTCAACACCAGAGATTGGCAAAGCAGCTGGGGCCACGGGGCCCCAGACTGTTTGATTCAGCTGGTAGGGCTCGATATCCTCTTCCATAACTTCCCGCGCTCCAAGCAAGTACACGGGTCCCTGTGGGTCACTTGTTGCAAATTGCAAAGCCCGATTGACGATCTGCTTGACATTCTTGCCAGACTTGATCTCCCCAGTGTATCGGCAATACTGGGAGACAATCTGCTTCTGGTCTGGTACATCTTGAATCCAGTGAATATATTCGGTGCGCGAACCTCGCATCTCACCCTCAATTGTGTAAGGCGACAGACCGGCGAAGATCAAAACTGGGGCACGCCCACATGAGGCGTTGTGGACTGCTGCTCCGAGTCCCTGCGTGCCCACATCGACGTGGACAATTACCGCCTGTGGCTTCCCGGTCAATCGGGCATACCCATCGGCCATGGACATTGCCACCATCTGAAGAATACATCTAATCATGAGCTGCTGTTGCACACCGACTCTACCCGAATTGTTGTGTAGTGGGTCGCATGATGCAATTGTTGACGTACCTCATTGGGACAGGTGATTATCGTAGGGAATTGATCCCTCTTCTCTTTTTGGCCTTTCACCATAGCCTCGAGGATGGAGGGGTGGTCGGATCCCAGATTGACAAAAACATGGCTGACACCGCCCTATGGAGATAAAGACCGAGGTTAGATTTCCACGTTCGAGACGCTGGAGAATAGGTAAAAGAGGCCAAGGTTCCATACCTCCCAGAGGGCTTCAAAGAATGCAAAGGAGGCCGTGTAACCCCTAGTTATATGTTAGCAAAGAATGATGTCCATAGTTTGTATGACAGATCATACTTGCATGGTTGGGCTCTATAAACATATGACAAGCTAGACAGCTAGAAATGAACTAGTTGAAGGATGTCTGAGGAACAATCAGAGAATGTAAAGAGAAGAGAAGATAATAAATGCAAGGAGGGGTTGTAAGTTGTTGATACAGGAGCTCGGAAGTAGAAGCTCGGCGTAAACTCCGATGCGGAGGCGTGGGGGTCCTCGAAGCAAGACCGACTGCCTCTACTGAAGAATCCAAGTCTTGGCTATGATAGATTGTGAAAATCATACCCAGAACAGTATTACAACACAGAGAACGATCACGGATGATATCTTAAGAGGATTGTTATTCTAATTCCCTGAACTTTCAGGCAGAAACCTTCTCTACCACTTTTTCTACTTCACATGATATCTAGTCCAGACCAGCCAAATCTTAGAATACAGACAATCTTATCTTATTGCCTTATTCTTACTTCTTCTACATCTGCTACATTCAATATATGCTATAGAAAAGCAAGCTATCATCAAAATGCCTCTCGCAATGCGAAGGAGAGCGGATGCTTCTTAGGAGGAGCCCAAAAAACAAGCCAAGTAAGGAGCAAGGACATGGCTGAAAAAAGCTACAAACGATCTATATCAGACCGACTTAGCCTGTTGCCCCAAAGACGGAGACAAGTACCAAAAGATTAACGACTGGCACGTCAAGGAAGCAGCAAACCCCCTGGGCCAGGAATGGCACATATAAATCAAGACAAAGCTCGTGTGGAAGTTCGAAACCAACGACGGGTCTTATTATCCAAAAGGGGGTTTTATATCAACACCCTATATTTAGGTATTGAACTGTGAAATTTTGACACCAAAATGATTATCATGATACATAGACCTCAAATCCTACGGCCAGTTGTGGGATACAGATCTGAGATGGCCCCTAGATACGTAGATGGTACAGTTGTACTTTGAACTCGTAGTTCCAACACAGCTACAGAGTACATCGTACGTTGTATGGAGTACTCAGTGGGTTGTACTCCGTCGGTCAGCCCAGTTCACTCCACTGCTTATCCACTACACAATTTATGATGGCCAGTCACTGCCTAGGTATGTAATCTGTTAATGTCGCAGTGGATTTTCTTAGTATCCAAATATGGGGACTGCGATGCAGGGGCATTAACGGAGTTAAAAGAATGTATATTAATGTACTCCGTGCCTGTCCCGAGCCCAGGAATCATATCCATGGATGCCTCCTCCGTACAGTGCTAGGACAGCTCGAGAATATTTAGAGGCTAGCTTCCCTGTAATACCAATACTAGCCCAGATCTTATCCTAGTGCGCTCATATAAGAACATATGTACTGACGTGAAATAGCTTACTAGTGTATATAGTGGGGCAGTGGAGACTCATGCCTGGGCTGTCCTGCCTGTATGTAGGTAGTTAGTGTATATTATATTGTACTAGTCTGGAAATTTTCCCAAAGAACCATCCCAGGAGATCTAAATTTATGATACTCCACAGTCAAAGTGGCACTGTACCTGACACAGACTCTATCTTAAAATGAGGCATTCAGATAGCTTTGTACGGGCTGGCGTGGTGCTGAAACAATAATGCCACTTTCGAGAAGAGGCGATCTGGGAATGGAACCCGCTTTAGATTGCCTCAACACGATCTCGGCGAAAAGATCCCAAACCAGCGGGTGCTCATTTCGCTAGTTTAGGGGATTTAGGAAAGCCACGTCTATCATGATTGGCCCACAAATCATCTGTGTCCCCAATTCTGGAACTACGAACCAGTCCATCGCGATGAGACTCGAACTGGTCCTTGGCACGGGTTTGGTTTTCGAATGGGCTTAAGGGGGCCCTGCCTCCCCATGCGACGCTACTTGCGCCCGTGCCTCTATCAATCTAGGCGCTGGCTATTCCAGATGATTTTTACAATTTCTCCACTGTTCTGGCTACTTGACTGGATCGCTCGCTTGCGAGTGTCCGGGGATTGGGTTTAATCTCAAAGCTATATGATGCCGGGATTCCTGTACATGGCGTCTAACACAATTTATTTTCCTGGTCTGTTTTGTCCGTTCCTTTTCTTGGTCCTTTTGTTTTCCTTGTCTCCTATCAGCCGCTCTTTTCTTTTCTCGTTTGCTCAGAAGGACCGGGAAGATGCGAACTGGACGACAATAATCAACAAAGGACTGGCCGTTCAAAGACTAAAGCCGTGTCGTCAAAATGGGATCCGCAATGCCCCTCGAGGGCCACAGTTTGGCCATCTTCGTTGTATGCATTGTGATGATGTCAATCTCCACCCTAACGGTTTTATTGCGATGTTTTGTGCGAGTCAATATTCTCCACGCCTTTGGGTGGGATGATATCTTAATGGTTGCTGCATTGGTATAGTTCCACATATGAGATATCGCTGTGACCATAACCCTAATTGGAATTTAGGCATTGTTTATATGTTTGAATGCTTTCCTCATAATAGGATCGATGCATGGGATCGGACACAGGTTCGATGAATTTCCGAATATGGAGATCTACCAGAAAGCCCTTCTGGTATGCGTTACTTATACTACATACAAGATTGTGACCCGCTCACTGCTAACTGTTCTCTGTAGTGGTGGTGGCTGGCCCAAATACTCTACATATGGTCATCCACAATTGCCAAAATATCAATTGCCCTCGCGCTCCTCCGACTAGCCGTGAATAAGTATCACCGAGTGATACTCTGGAGCATTACCGCGACTGTCATTGTTGTTGGAGCCATGCTATGGCTTGTAGTTATCTTGATCTGCAACCCCGTTTCCTATTTCTGGACACGTGTGGACGGAACCAGCACCGGAACTTGTATATCCATGGGCATAGTTGTGAAAATTCTATATTTTTACAGTGCAGTGACTATAGTGTGCGATCTAGGACTTGGTACACTACCGGCCTTGCTGGTCTGGCAATTGCAAATGAATACCCGGACGAAGTTTGCAGTCGGAGGAATCCTTGGCCTGGGGGCAGTGTGCGTGACTTTTGCCCATTCACCAAGCCAGTCTGATAAAGAAAACATTGCTAACTTTCATTTACCAGTGCAAGTGTGGCAGTAGCCTGTCGGTTCCCATACCTACATTTCTATGTTGATGCGGATTTCCTTTGTACGTCGGCCACCAAACAACTACCTCCGTGCCGTACTAACAGCGTCTAGACTCCACCTACCAAATCGCCATCTGGTCTGTGATCGAGACTGGTCTCGGAATCACGGCAGGTAGTCTCATTACCCTTCGGCCCCTGTTCCGCTGGCTTCTAGACGAAGTTTCGGATTACAGACGTAATACGCCAGGCAGCGAAGGGAAATATCGCAAGTCATACCCATTGTACAGCTTGCAAAGTGAGGCCATGGGAGGATCGAGAACCACGAAATACTGGCGTCCTGATATTGATCCCAACGAAAACACCAGCACAGTCATTACAGCTTCTCCGCCTCGGAAAAAAGAGCTCAGGACGACCAGTAGCCAGGAAGCTTTGAACCCTGAGCTAAGTCCGAGACCTTCGCCAAATCATGTTAAAATAGAACAGACCTTTGTACGAACAGTGATGGAGCGTCAGCAATGAGATATATGAATTTCATATCGATAAAAAGAAAGATGAATCCACTGATTTAGAGCTTTAGCATATCCACAAACTACATATGTCCAGGTGGTTGAACATAATGGCGTCCAGGGCTGAGTTCCCCCGATCCGGCTAGCCTGGATACCCCGGATTCTGACACAATGACATCCAGGATTCAGCCCTGTTTGTCGTTTCTCATGCGGCATCACCGACAAAGCATACGGTCGGGCCGCTTTGTTGCGTGCCCCTGCATCGTGGCGATGAGGCCGACCCGGCGGGGCTTATGCGCCCGAGGACACGTAACCTGACAAACTTGCATGATGATTGGTCTGGTAACGGTCGTGAGGAGCTGATTCCGCCAAGAGCCTCAAGGCCTACAGCAGCTGAATAGAACACGGGTGATGAGGGCTCTGGGCGACGCGGAATAGGTTTAGCTTCCCCCGACCGTGGCGGTGAGCGTTCGTATCCCAACGCTAGACACCATAGTCGCATGCATGCAGATGACAAGTAAGATGATGCAGCCCCGGAGACCAACTCTGCTTATGCGACATTAATAGTAATGGCTCAAAAATGGGTGTAAATCACATTTATATAAAGATAGTCATATCCACCGGCAAGACTCGATTCTAATCCCAACAGCCCTCCCCATAGGATCTTGTATCCATTGTACTTTTATAAAGATGAGCTTATGTTACGAGAACCACGACTTATCACACATATTTCGAAGACCGAAGGATGCAAAAATCCATCCCTGCCGGAAACGTATCATCATTTGCTGCGATGGAACTTGGCAATCCGCCGTCTCAGGCAAGAAGAACGTCGCCTCCAATGTGACGCGCCTTTGCCGCGCTCTAAATGGAGTTGGAACCGACGATGAAGGGAACCAGTGGCAGCAGATAGTCTGGTATGATTCGGGAATTGGTACGACCTCCGGTGCTCTGGGCAAGCAAATCGAAGGCGCCATTGGCCAGGGCCTGGAGGGAAATGTCATCGAAGCATATAACTTCTGTGTCCTAAACTACAACCCCGGCGATCAAATCATGTGTTTCGGTTTCTCGAGGGGTGCGTTCACGGCCCGTGCCATCGCTGGTCTGATCTCGGACATTGGTATCTGCAGAAAACAGGATCTGAACCAATTTCCGAATCTCTGGAAGATGTATAAGAAGAATAAACCCGGCGAACGGTTCTATTGCAGTGATATCTGGTTTGAATGGATGAATGGAAAGGCCGACGAGAATCAGGGTGCTGGAGGCGACTGTTTTGTGTTTGAGAAGCGCCCTTCGGGTGATTGGGCCCAAGAGGGGTCAAGGAACGTGGAGGTTGTGGGTGTCTTTGATACCGTCGGCGCCATTGGAATGCCCGAGGTGCTAGGAGTAAAACTATCGTCGTGCCTGTGGTGGTCTGATAGGAGTGCACGCGACATTGTTGGACTCTCACCAAGTAAGCAACCGGAACCCTTTCTTTCCTCCGTGCTTTGCTGTTGGGATATGATGATTTGATGACTGACCAACGGGCCCTCAGATATCAAACACGCATTTCAAGCTTTGGCCCTCGATGAACACCGGAATGCCTTTTCACCTACCCTGTGGTACCTCCAGAAGCTTGGAAATGTGACTCCAGATCAGGTAGAACGTCAAAAGAAAATGGTCAGAGCGAAGGCCCAAGAATGGGACGATCTGTTGCAAAAGGCAATCCGCCTCAAAGACAGTGGCAATGCCAGTGATGAAGACGTCAATAACGCAGCACGAAAGCTCAACGAGATCGCTAAAGAGTTAAACGAGGAGAGTCGAAAGTTAATAAAATTGGAAGACGATCGCCGGCATCAGGCACACCCCCGAACACTGAGACAGGTGTGGTTCCCCGGCTATCACATTAATATCGGTGGAGGGTCCGACGATTCCCTGCGAAATGAAGGTGACATGGAAGAAATGTCTAACATCACCTTCGCATGGATGTTGGACCAGATCAGACCCTACCTGTCGCTCAACGAAGAATATGTTCTCCAGGAGAGAGAAGCGTGGGAATATTATATTTCCAAGCTCGCCGAAACTTCAAATAACGATAATTCCTGGGGATCATGGGTTCAGCGCAAGGCTGCATTCATAATCTCGGCCTTCAGACGTCCCACAACTTCTGCTACGCGCAGGGGCACACATCGAACCTATGGCTGGGGAACAGGCCATATGCAAGACAGCTTTACCCCGTTCTATTATCTGAACGGATCGACGCCGCGCACTCCCGGGCGCTATGACTCTTTTGATAAAGATGGAAACGCACTCGGGGAGTCTTTTGAGTACGTTCATCCGGTGGTCGGGTTCAGACAAAAGCAGCTCAAGGACTACACGCCGATTGGACCTGGTGTCAGATTCAATCGCCGGGAGGCAGTTGACGAGAAGGGTCATCCTACTCATGTTTATGATGTAGGCGATGGCCTGGGCTGCAAGACTTTACCCGAGTGGCGCCTCGGAGGTGTAGATTCATATGAGAGGCTGGCTATCACTAGCAAGGCTGCATATGACTATATCGACGAACTGGACCTATACCTGAAGACCGGTATTAAGACAGCTCGCCGATCTGTCTGGGGAGTCGCAGATATCGACCTCGGAATCGAATCATCTGAATCCACTGAGCCTGAACACGAGAGCGTGCAAGAAATATGCTTTAGATCAGAGAGCTTTCGACAGAGTGGTTTCCAATCTACGTGCTTTGAGGCTAAGGGGTTCCAGTTGAACACCTCGGCAATTTCATACAAGCAGACCGTGATTACGCCATGAGAGTTGTCATGCTGGTCCAGAATGAAGAGAAACAATAGGGAGAGGTGTCATTTGATCAACGCCCATGTACACAGTTGATGTATTTTTGCATATTTTGAACGGCGTTCAACACATGTATTTCGATTATCCCAAGGCATAATTCAATGTATTTCACCTAGTTCCTTAATTTAGCCCAGTAAAGATAGATGTACGCACCTGGTTTGTGGGGAGAATGCACCCGACGTCATAGGGCTGGGTTCCAAGAAATCCAAGACCTGAATGACCAGAGAAAAGGAGGGAGACCTGAAGGCACCACAATTAATTGACTCCATTGCGATGCAGTATCTCCATTGAGACCCAGTTGTTCTTCTGAAATCCCCCAAAAAACCCAGAAAGTTGCAACCCTAGGACCCGAGCCAAGCGGCTACGTCATCTCGATGGATGGTATATTCCACCCGTGGGACCTGGCTGGATCGATCTTGAATGTTGTTGAGGCTGTCAAACTATTTGCAGCTGCCGGGACCTTTTTCGTTGTAGGTGTTATATTGACTATTCGACAACCCCGGAGTCCTAATCGAGCTTTGTGCACTATGGTACCGCGCAAGGTGTACAATCTATGCCAGGGCCCGACAGTGACCTCGGAATTAGCGTGTGACCCGTCACAATGTCCACAGAAGGTCTTTCACAAGCTTGTTGAGGGTCAAACCCGTAAGAAAGACAGTGTAGAAGACTTACACGATGACAAATTGTCGAAATGGGATACATTAGATGAGTTACAGAAGGCTCGCGCTTGCGGGCAGTTCGGCTCTACGGAAACCAGTGATCTTTTCTTAAAAGTGAGTGAAGTTTGGATCGATACAGGAATTTCGAGAGGAACTTAACATATATATGCCTGCCAGGTATACCATGATGCCTTGTGTTCTCTAGAGAAGAACCCAAAATCGGGGGTTGTATCACCCAAGCTGTTGGGGAGCACAGGCGTTGTCCCACTGACAATTGTCGCACCGTTACCCGATCTTTGTCGCCATTTAGCAAATTGCATTGCGCGCGCCGAAAGCGAAGTCTTCCTAGGGACCAATTTCTGGATTCACTCGGACGCATCGACATTAGTGACCAATGCCATCCGCGAACTCTCAAAACGAGCCGGGCAGAGGGGGCAGAAAGTAGTCATGAAGATGATCTATGATCGAGGAGATCCCCGTCAAGTAAGTGACCTGATTTACGCACTATCTATGTAGAACACACATTCTCGGACATCGTTCTAATAGATCATCAGGCATGGGACAACAGACTAAGAGTCCACGAGGAACAGTACATCGACGGAAAAGTAAAGCTACCTGCAGCGAGCGAGATCCCCAATGTCGATCTCCAGGTTATCAACTTCCATCGGCCTGTCTTCGGAACCTTTCATGCAAAGTTCACCGTTATTGATCGACGCATAGCTCTCATACAAAGCAGTAATATCCAAGACAATGATAACCTCGAGATGCTGGCTCATATTGAGGGCCCAATTGTTGATTCTTTCTATGATGCTGCTTTGCTGTCGTGGGGAAAGCCTCTCAAGCCGCCGTTCTCACTCTTGAACTCTCCGGCGGCGAATGCTCCGATACCATGCCATGGGGAACAGAGCGATGGCATTCCACTAGCTGATGGAAATGGAGTCCTTGCCGAGCATACTACCACGTCTCCAAGTTACGATGTGGATCTCAACCACGAAGCCTGGAGAGTTAATAACCGCATTCACCCAAAAGGCAATGAAACACGCACTAAGGCCGTCAGCCGTCATCTCAGTATGTACAGCTTCACTTATTCAGGATAATCCCTAACAACTAGCTAGATACAACTATTCAACCCCATACAACCGGCGATGCACCAGACACCGACCAGGAGCATCTATTAACACCTTATATGGTCTTACCTCGACACGAGCCGGTTGCAATGGCAGTGGTTAACAGAGAACCGTTTGGAAGTAAGTTGAAACAGAAACAACAAGACATCAAAGATGACTGTCCCTAACTCTCAATATCTTCAAGCCCCAAATCACAGCAGCGTCTACACCCCCCAAAACTCCGCATGGTTATCCGCAATCAATCATGCCGAGCACACCATTCTCATCCAAACCCCGAATATGAACGCCGAGCCTCTCATGCAACCTCTGATTAACGCCGTTCGCCGCGGCGTAGTATTATCCTGCTATCTATGCCTCGGGTATAACGACGCAGGCGAGCTCCTTCCATTCCAAAATGGTACCAACGAAATGATTGCGAACAGACTGTACAACTCTCTGGAAACCGACGAAGAGAAGTCTCGATTGCGGGTATACTATTACGTCGGCAAAGACCAAACTCGTCCGATCCATAATAGTTTCAAAAAGCGGAGCTGTCATATCAAGTTGATGATTGTTGATGAGCAGATTGCCATTCAGGGTAAGTGAAACAAGGATACTGGAAGAGTAAAGCTGATTCACGACAACTCTCTTAGGCAATGGAAACCTCGACACACAATCTTTCTTCCACAGCCAGGAGATCAATGTTCTCATTGACTCCAAGCTAGTTTGCCGTGCTTGGGCTGAGTTGATCAATCGCAATCAAAACACTGCTAAATATGGTGCTGCAAGTACTAGAGATGGTTGTTGGCATGATCCTGACACTGATCAGATGCCGTCGGGCTCAATGGGGCCTGTACCGGGTCGTTTCAGTTGGGCGAAGGGGGCTATTGGTGCTGTGAAGCGAGTGAGAGGTGTCGGTGGGTTTTGAGAGCTCGGTGGGTCGCTCATATATCTGTCCAGGTAGAATTCCTCCCTTTTTGGATACTATTATATGACAAGATAAATCTGGAGGAACTATGCCCTAATGGCTTTAGGTAAATGGAACTTATTGACGACAGTTCCAATCTATCCTTCTACACTAGCACTCCGATTGTAGAGCAAATGTTAAGAATTCGTGTTAGATTGACATTGATCGAGCCTGATATCGTCATGTGCGACCGGATCATTTCTGTAAATACACCGAAACAAAAACCTCTGCATCGTGTATCTTGCACAAGAGAGCTCAGAACTGAACTTCGAAATGAGACGACAGTCCGTCTGTCTCATGATTTGACTCCCGCCAGCCAACAAAGCAACCGAAAGTCTGTAAAAAAAAGGCATTCGTCATGTCCCGCTCATACGATCAGCCAATAATAGACATAGTAAACTATGTTTACCACTACTTGATCGACCCAGATGACGAGGCAATTTGGGGATGTGCACGAACGGCCCTCCTCGACGCAATGGGCTGCGCTATAGAGACAGCGGCGACGAGCATGGAATGCCAAAAGCTGCTCGGCCCCGTGATCAAAGGGACTGTCGTGCCGGGTGGATTCAGGGTTCCGGGAACGGCGTTGCAGGTTGACCCCGTGAAGGGGGCTTTTGATCTGGGCGTCTTGATTCGGTATCAGGATCATAATGATGCACTAAGCGGTGCGGAGTGGGGACATCCATCAGGTATGATAGATCCGAGGAATGGAGTTGCGATTGGTGTTACTAGGCTAATATATGATTCCGATCGCAGATAATCTCGGTGCTATAATCTCGGTGATGGATTGGCTGTCGCGCGCAAACTTATCTGAACGAGGGGTTCACAGTGGCCCGCCCTTGACGATGCAGATACTGCTCATTGCGCTGATCAAGGCGTACGAGATCCAAGGGTGTTACCAAATGCGGAACGCGTTCAATTCCTATGGAATCGACCATGTGGTATTGGTCAAATTGGCTTCCACAGCTGTTGTTTGTTGGTTGCTTGGACTGACTGAAAATCAAGCCATGGCAGCCATTTCTCATGTTTGGATGGACGGCCATCCAAACCGGCTATACAGATCCGGCACAAACACTATCCCAAGGAAAGGGTGGGCAGCAGGAGATGCGACGAGAAGAGCTGTGCAATTGGCACTGCTGGTACGGGAAGGCCAGCCTGGTTCACCCGAGGCTTTGAGCGCGAAGCCGTGGGGTTTTTGGGAGCAGACGTTTGGTGAGACGGGATTTGTACTTCCACGACCCTTTGGTTCGTGGACAGTACAAAACGTGCTGTTCAAGAATATGCCCGTAGAAGGACATGCGATATCGGCCGTGGAAGCAGCCGTACTGCAAGCTCGTCTGTTTCGACAAATGGGGTTGTCAGATCCTCTCAAACAGGTCAAACGAATAGATCTGAGGACCACTGCTGCTGCCTTCTTAATCGTGAACAAGCATGGACCGCTGCGCAATGCTGCTGATCGTGACCATTGCATCCAGTATGTGGTTGCCTTGGCTTTCTTGAAGGGCAGTCCACCAGAGGCTAGGGACTATCTAGATAAGAGTCCATGGGCGACGAGCGAAGAACTCGGAGTTTTGCGAGAAAGAATAGTGGTGCAGCCCGACTCTAGGCTCACCGAGGATTACCTAGACTTGGACAAGAAGAGCATCGGTGCGGGAATGACTGTTCATCTCGAAGATGGTTCTTCGATCCCTGAGATCCTAATTGAGTACCCCGTTGGACATGCCCGGAATCCAAAGACACCAGCAGCGGTGCAAAAGAAGTTTTTCCAAAACATGGGGCTTATGTTCTCCGCAACAGAGATTGGTCGGATATTGGGTGCTGTTCAAGATCCAAATACGTCGGTCTCGGATTTCATGGACTTGTTCACCCGTCCGTCGGCCAAAGTAAAATTGTAGAAAGGCAACGCTATCTGCAATATCACAAGTCGGATGTTCTAACCAAAGAAATTTGATCTTGTTCAGGGTATCTAGTGCTGTCGCTCTCTTTCGCTCAATCGATTTTGCCAACACCCTGTAGCGTCAGATAGACATCTGTTCCCCACCCCCAAAGACTTTGCACCGCAATGCTACCACCAAAGTACTCGGCGTAGGCTCGGCTAAGCGGCAACCCATAGCCAAGGCCTGCGATACTGCTGATGTGGCCACCGCTAGCAGCGATGGTGTTCAATGCATCCATACTGCCATTCTCCGAGCCCTGGTAGTCCATATCCGAGAAAGTAGTAAAGCTGTAGGACCAGATATGGGGTATGACCTCGGGGGGGATACCACCTCCACGGTCACGGATGCGGATTGTGATACTCTGAGATGACGGGGCCGAATACCCTATAGTTTCATTCTCACTAGCTCCATCACGTTTACCATCCGAGTCAAACTCAAAACCAGTATCAGTATCTCCTCGGACCGGGGGTTCGTTCCCGGGGACATCTGGAGCAGCGGCGATGGTCACCTCGATAGGCTCACGCTCATTTCCATTTTCAATAGTTGCTCGGAACGCATTCTTCAAGAGTTCGGTGATGATATACTCCAGGTGCACGGGAATATGAGCAAAGGAAGCCTCGGGTTGACCTTCAATCTTCAGATATGGTCGAACTCCGTATTTGAGTTCACAGATTTCTCCAACGAAATCCTCGCATAGCCGGATAATGCGTGCCGGCTGTAAGGCTGTGTCAATTACGCCTATGTAATTTGACGGAACCGAGTTCTTGGGTACTGGTGCATCAGCGCCATCTGATGGGTTGTCACTGATGGGCTGAGATGCATAACGGAGAGCCAAATGCTGCTCCGCAATTAAGCGCGTTCCAATACGCGCACGCAGATGCGTGTCCAAAAAGGTCGTCACGTCGGCTGGGCTGACATACTTGCTGCACTCCAAAAACCCACGTGCAAGGACGGGAATTGTGTTTGTATGGGTTTGTACGAGGTCTGCCAGTACATCTCCAAACTGCTTTTCCTCTTCGAGTGTCGTGATGCGGCGTTGTTGATATGGGAGGAGAGTAGACAGCGAGTGGAGGTAATTATGGTAGATCTTGGAGACGTGAGGGTTCGAGACGACGATGAAGGGAAGGTTGCGTAATGCTTGGATCCGAGAAGCCAAACGGGCGGGCAGGAGAGAGAGTGTGAAGTTGGCGGAAGCTAGAAGAGCGTCTTTGTTTAATGGCGGGCGGCCGTGTCTGGGTTTTTAGGATGGGGTGAGCAAATTTATTTATTTAGATCAGAATATTTATCCGAGACTAACTTCAGCAGGTCCGCAAGTGTCAAAGGTCGGCGGGGACTCGCAGCCAGCTGCGCAACATTGTCTTTGGCGACATCGAATGGGCGACCAGCCCAATTTTGACTCTGCGTGGACGATTGACGGGAAAGGTGTAATCGCGTAAGCGGAAGGGGCCGGTAGCCAGGCCGGAATGGCATCGCTCTAGGTATTGAGGTTGCCATCATGAATTGTGGCCATAGAATGGGGAGAGAAGTGTGAGGGAGATAGTAGTGAGACCCGGGACGGAAGATCTGCATCGGCGGTGCGGATATCGTCGGTCGCTTATGTTGTTCTTGCAGATCAGCAGGGATTCGACCTCCTATCTTACCGATAAATGGCGTATTTACTTGAATTTCTACATTTTGATGTTGTACATGGCTCATAAATCGTCTCGATTTCTGTGCGTATCACTCAAATTGATGATTGTATTCATGAAATTGGCTCCATCTGCATGGATGCTTGCACATCGGTCCCGGAAAGCTGGGTAATCATAAGATGTACATGCAAGTGGCATGGCGGATGAAAGCAGGTCGCGTAATTGGTATCAAGTCATCTCGCTGAAGCAAAAAAATAAATCAAAGAAGAGAACCCCAGTATCCAGATTACCCCCATAGCGTTGTTCGTTCAGCCCATGTCGAGTGGATAAGGTAAATGATCGACGGCGATTGTACTCCCTCAAATGCGTCCGAGGCATGTCGATTAGAGATCTTTACTGCGTAGTCACAGCTCCATCCTGTTCGACATGGACGTGCTCGGTAGATTCGAAGGTTTGGACAGTATCATCGGGGAACTCGACACTAGGAATGGTCCATGTTAGCACCATGGCAAACACCAAGAGATATGGTCCGAGAGTTGCGAGTCGAATTAAGGTGAGCCACTTACGTGAAACCCTTGATGATGCTGTATTCATGTCGGATCACACCGCCCTTCTCCTTGGCTGTGGCCTTGGCCCTTGACAAAATATGTGTTAATATCGAGGTAATTGCAGAGAGTGGGGTGAGACGGCATACTTATCCAGCTCCTCGACAGGAGCGTCGGCCTTCAGAGTGATCTATATGAATGTGAGTTAGAGAATACCGGTAGAAAGGACCAGGTAACTCACATTGTAAAGAGGCATGTTGATAGATCCGAAGTGCAAAATGTTGGAAAGGAAGAGTGTTCACGGAAGAGTGAAAGAGTGAAAGAAGAATTTATAGTGGGACTGATAAGAGGGGCTTAACACTACACTTTATTTTTTGGGGGCGTTTTGAGGGAGGTGCCTTGAAGCAGGTACCTTGGATCACCGGCAGCCTACAGATGTACTAGGTACCTCTCGTTCTTCTTTGATGCACACCCTCCTAAGCCACATAAGTCACCTGGGCACGGTGAAACTAACAGGTCTTGCTATCCTACTTGCTACATACCCTACGTGTGACTTGAGAATGCCGTGATCTGAACTCTAGTTTTGCAAAGGAGATGTCTGGTCTGAGATGGTGTCAGCATGTCGTATTAGTGGGTGTTAGGTTCGACTCAGCCTCCAACAGCCCGGTTTCCCATAATTGCACCCATTCCTGAAATGGCTATGGTATCTCCTTTCTGATTCCAGTCCCGCCCAACGAAGGAGGGGAAAATCGCCGTTGATGTAACAATGCGAACAATGACATCATATCCGAGAAAACGCGGGGCAATATGTCGTGCATAGCGAGATGGATCAAATGCTTCAATAGACTCTATATTCTACTTAGATATATCTTGTTTCTCTATAATCCTATGTGACCATCCTTTTCGCGGGAAGGCATCTTCATGCCGTGCATTCCCTGGTAATTTGGGCTTACTGGAGCCTTCCACTCTTCGAGGACCTTGTCATCTGCCAGTTGATATACCTCCACGCCCAACGGACGACAAGTGGCCCCCATACCACCTTCCTTGTCATCCCAGCCCCAGTTGGAAAGATCACCTGCGAGTACTATTAGCATGGAAATGAGAAATGGGTGTACCATAGAAGGTGCCATACCGCCAGGGCACGCGGAGAGCGCGCAGAGGACATCCACTTCGGCAAAGAACTCAAAGTACTCGCCTGCCCGGGCAGGGGAGGTCTCCATGAAGTATTTTCCATCCTCATCTAGTCCTGTCACTTGAAACACGTTCAAGACATCGTGGACATCCAACTCCGTCAGCCCATAGGGGACAACGGAGCGAGTGAGATTTGAGTGACAGTGGAAGTCGAAGGTCTCTCCGCCCATGAGCAAGTTCACGTAAGGATCGCAACGAGTGCCCATCAAGTCATGCACTCTTCCACCAAACTGCGTAGTGCCGAATACGACCTCCGGGTTTCGCTTGCCATCGGGTCCAAGCACGTCATGCAGCTGCCCGCCGCCCAGCGAGTCACCAGTGATGGTTACGAGGGGTCGCAGGTACGGCAGGTTTGACCATAATCGATCGCCTACTGAGACATGGGAGGCATGAATCTGTCGGGTACGTGCAGCCCACATCCGTTCCCGCGGATTGTTCGCGTTCCAGATATTCAGGTCTCCTACCTGTGGGCCGTTTGGTGTGGTCAGGCGGCAGATATTTCCGGCAGGGACAACCCAAGCTTGGGCGGAACACGGTCTGATGGTAAAGGATTCCTTTGAGATGCGCGCAGACGGGCTGGATGCGGTCTCGGAAATTGAACGGTACAACTGCGAAGTCGCATGAACCCCCGAATCGGGGGGTGCTGTATATGCTGGGGGTGGTCGTCGTGCAGACATTGTTATGCCTGAAATCCTTTGAGATTCTAGAGGATTTGACGCGCAACCTACTCAATAAGCTAAAATAAAGGATTATTCATAGCCGGGGAAGGTAGATTTATAGTCGTATGAATGATCGGGGGATTCGCCGACATCAACGATTTCTGCCCCGCTTGCTAGCCACGGAGGGAAATTACATCCCGCAATTTCTGATGGAACGCGGAGTGAGAAAGCGAGCTCTCGTATGGAAAAGTGCCGTTGACCCCAGAAGCGCTGCGGGGTCCTTTGCTGGGTGGAGATGACCGGGCCGGTAGACGATAAGCGTCGTGGCCTCAGGCCAAATCTGATATCGATTGTGCTTACATCAGTCAATTCTCGAACCATTGATGCCTCAGGCCTGAAATCATCTCCCAGTCTTGGAAGGTGGAGACCCTGACTAAGGTTTCTTCACTCCGCTTTGGCAAAAAATAATTGCTACTGATTTTTTGGTCGGCAGTGAAGTCCCCTACTTTGATTGCGCTTGCCTTTTTTCTCTTCGATAATAGAAGGTGTGCATCTGTTGAGGTATAATACCTCTTTACAGACAGCATGGAGCAACAGTCCAACAGGGCGCATCGCCCTGTGAAAGAGAAGAAGAAATTCGAGGGTAAGGCGAGACCACTCTGATACAAAAACTGCGGACTGTCTGATTTCGAGCCCATGCTGATGAATGATTCTTTACAGGTGCCAATCCCAAAGCTTTCGTCTCTTCTAGACCTGGAAAACTCAACAAGCAGGCTGCACGAGCGCACGATGTACGTATATCGGAACTTTTTGCTGGTCAATCGATGCTGACCTAGATCTCTCCTCCAGGTCAAAGAAAAGAGACTCCATGTTCCCCTCGTGGATCGTATGCCCGAGGAGGCCCCGCCAGTCGTTGTCGCAATCGTGGGACCGCCAGGAGTTGGCAAGACAACTCTGCTCAAATCGTTGATCCGTCGCTACACCAAACAAACTCTCAGCTCGCCGCAAGGCCCTTTGACTGTTGTTACCACCAAGCGCAAGCGTCTAACCTTCCTCGAATGCCCGTCCGATTCACTTGCAGCCGCGATCGATGTTTCTAAGATCGCAGATATTGTGCTTCTCATGATTGACGGCAATTTTGGATTTGAGATGGAGACTATGGAGTTTTTGAACGCCTTGTCGACAGCCGGTATGCCGGGTAACGTCTTCGGTATTCTTACACATTTGGATCAGTTCAAAAAGCAAAGCACCTTGAAGGATGCCAAGAAGCGCCTGAAGCACCGTTTCTGGAGTGAGCTGTACGCCGGCGCAAAGCTCTTCTACCTATCTGGCGTTATCAACGGCCGTTACCCTGATCGTGAGGTGCACAATCTGTCACGGTTCTTGTCGGTCATGAAAAACCCTCGTCCGCTCGTGTGGCGCAACTCGCACCCGTACTCGCTCGCAGATCGCTTCCTGGACATTACGCCTCCTACTCAGATTGAAGAAAACCCGAAATGCGATCGCACAGTTGCGCTTTACGGTTATTTGCGCGGTACTAACTTCCCCGCCCATGGAGCTAGAGTTCATGTTCCTGGTGTTGGTGATTTGACTGTTGCCAACATTGAGGGCTTACCCGATCCATGCCCAACCCCCTACATGGACCAGCAAATCGCCAAAGCAACAGGCAAGTCAAACAGGCGCAAGCTTGGCGAGCATCAGAAGCTACTCTTCGCTCCCATGTCTGATGTTGGCGGTGTCCTGGTCGACAAGGATGCGGTCTACATCGATATCAAAACCAACACCTTCGACCGGGACTCAGATGAGGATTCAGATGACGAGGAGCGCCGGGGCCTTGGTGAACATCTTGTTGTTGGTCTTCAGGGTGAGCGCAAGTTGCTCGGTGAGGCCGACCAGGGTGTTCGTCTCTTCCGTGGTGGCGAGGCTATTGCTCAAGCCGACGACGACGAGACAGGACGAAAGGATCGACGCCGCGCTCGCGTGGCTGTGCCCGAACAGGACGACGAAGACATTCCCGAAGGATTCGATAGCGAAGAGGAAGCCGAGGAAGAGTTTGATGAAGACGATGTAACCGATGATGAAGGCGAACTCGACATGTCCGCACCCGCAGACTTTGGTGCACGCTTCAAGGCCAAACAGAACGGAAATGCTGAGGGAGAGGAAGAAGATATGGCTTTCGCGGACAGCGACTCTGACCTGGGCTCCATGTCTTCCGTCTCAGACCAGGAAATTGAGAGTGGCGACGAAGACGAGGACGAGGACGATGACGAAGATGAGGAGGGCAATGTCAAATGGAAGGAGAATATGCTCGCGAACGCTAAGTCTCTTCATGGGAAGCGTCCTCCTTTCCGAGTCACCGACCTGTCAAGAATGATGTACGATGAGTCAATCACCCCTGGCGATGTTGTCAAGAGGTGGCGCGGTGAAGAGTCCGACGACGAAGAGGACGAAGAAGATAGAACCGCCGACGACGAAGGCGAAGATTTCTTCAAGAAGTCCAACAACGAGAAAGAAGATCAAGTCGACTTCCGCGCCGTTCCAGAGTACGACTATGATGAATTGGAGCGGAAGTGGCGGGACGAGGATCTGCTCGATTTAATCAAACTTCGCTTTATCACCGGTAAGCTGTCTGGAGGCGATTCAGACGGTGATGATGATATGGATGAGGATGATGACGACGAGGACGAGGGTGACGGTGATTACGAAGACTTGGAATCGGGCGAGGTGTTTAACGGTATCAAGGACGATGATGAGGAGGAAGAGGAGGAGGAGGAAGGCGATGAGGAGCCCGGAAAGGCAGCCGATCTGGAAGCCGAGCGTGAGCGAAACGCTAAAGAAGGAGGAGCTGAAGCTCCGTTTCGAAGAGGAGGATCGCGAGGGCTTCGGAAAAGCTCAAGATGGGACGCGTGATGGTATCGAGGGCGAGTTTGGCGAAGACGATTGGTACGATTTGCAAAAGGCCAAGCTGCAAAAGCAGGCTGATATCAACCGCGCCGAGTTCGAGACGCTCGACCCTGCCTCACGCGCTCGTGCTGAGGGTTACAAAGCCGGCACATATGCACGCATTGTCCTCGAGAACGTGCCATATGAGTTTGTTTCCAAGTTCAACCCTCGCTTCCCCGTCATCGTCGGCGGTCTGTCGCCTACTGAAGACCGCTTCGGCTACGTGCAGATCCGCATTAAGAGACATCGCTGGCACAAAAAGATTCTTAAGAGCAACGACCCGTTGATCTTCTCGCTTGGTTGGCGTCGTTTCCAGACCATGCCTATCTACAGTACCTCCGACAGTCGGACACGAAACCGCATGCTCAAATACACACCTGAGCACATGCACTGCTTTGCTACCTTCTACGGCCCTCTTGTGGCTCCCAACACCGGTTTCTGCTGTGTAAACTCATTCTCGAACAAGAACCCCGGTTTCCGCATCGCCGCCACCGGTGTTGTTCAGAGCGTGGACGAGCACACAGAAATCGTCAAGAAGCTCAAGCTCACTGGTCACCCTTACAAGATCTTCAAAAATACCGCCTTTATCAAGGATATGTTCAACTCCGCATTGGAAATCGCCAAGTTCGAAGGTGCATCTATCAAGACCGTTTCCGGTATTCGTGGTCAGATCAAGCGTGCGCTGGCGAAACCCGAGGGCTGTTTCCGTGCTACATTCGAAGACAAGATCTTGATGAGTGATATTGTCTTCTTGCGCGCCTGGTACCCCATCAAGCCACACCGCTACTACAACCCTGTGACCAATTTGCTGGACCAGGTTGAGGGCGAAAAGGGTGATGCCGGATGGCAAGGCATGCGCTTGACCGGTGAAGTCCGTCATGCCCAGGGTATTGCCACACCCAAACTCAAAGACTCGGCTTACAAGCCCATTGAGCGACAAGCCCGTCACTTCAACCCGCTTCGCGTGCCCAGACAGCTTGCTGCCGATCTCCCCCTTCAAGTCACAGATCACCAAGATGAAGCCTCACAAGGAGCAGACCTATATGCAGAAGCGTGCCGTTGTGCTTGGAGGCGAGGAGAAGAAAGCCCGTGACCTCATGCAGAAGCTTACTACCATGCGTAACGAGAAGCAGGCTAAGCGATCTGCCAAGCAAGAGGAGCGCCGCAAGGTCTACCGCGCCAAGGTGGCTGATAGTTTGGAGAAGAAGGCCGAGCGTGAGAAGAGAGAGCGCAATGACTACTGGCGCAAGGAGGGCAAGAAGCGCAAGAACCCCGATGAAGACTCTGGTGGCCGCGGACGCGGCAAGAAGCGCAAGTGATCTTTCTTGGACATGTCTTAATCCACTTGGGTCTTTTCTTTGCATAGATGGCGTTTGAACCCAAAACTTGTACCTACCTACATTATGGATGTTTATTTCCACCAAAACTATTTCATGACTCCACTACTATTTCTCCAGACTAGCTTCGCATTATAGTTCCCCTGTCACTTCTCTCCTGTACTGCGTTCTGTCCTATTGCCTCTCTATTGTCAATATACTCCGGTCTCCGATCCCAAGAACAGATGGTCTGACTCACTGACTCCAAGGCTGAAGGTTCTCAGAGCAAACCCAAGGTTCGAAATGTGTTGATATTTCCCGATATTGTTTAGTTCTCGAGTTCCGAGTCCTCTTTCCGTCGCCCGACACCATAACGGGCAGCGCTCCTTCACAAAGTTGGGCAAATTCCATAACAAGATTAGTAGTTCTCACAGTCTCATCTATATCATCCTCGCGATGCCCTGTTCTCCTCCCTCTCCAATTATCTACCTTCATATATTTTCCATCAAGCTCCATCAAAGCTCGATCTCATTCCACCAATACAAACCTCTTTTCCCAGTATCAAGCAACCATTAGAAGACATGGCCCCTATTTCAGGCTCTGACAACTCCTTCTCTCCTCGGGAAACCAAACCGTATGAGGTCAATATGGAGAAGGAGATGTTCATTGCCAAGTTTCTACTTGGGTTTTTTGCCGTCGTGGTCGGCACAATCGTTGCGTACTGTTTGTAAGTCCACCGTCCACCATTTCATCACAGATATATACTAATGATTCTCTTCAGGTGGCTTGATATAAAGCCCAAGTACAAGGAAATCTGGAAGCCCAAGCTTAAGCGCAGGCTCCAGGACTACGAGGAGAAGTATGAGGAGTGCAAGAAGAAGCTTGGTGCCTGGCATGGTCCCAAAGAACCAGGTAAGTCAATTCCCAGAATGCCTTACGCTTGATATTAACGTTCTTCCAGCTGTGCCGGCACCAGCCCACGTGGTTGATCGTGATGCTCCTCAGGTATCGGAGGCCGATAGGATCACCACTAATATGACTCCGGAGTACCTGAAGAAGACGACTGCGGTCATGTTCCCCGCTGTATAGGGGCTGATAATGTTTGTGGCTTAGTCCAGGTAGAGGTATCAAAGGCCTGCCGGACTAATGACTATACTTTACATGGAGGAGCAATGTCGTTCTCTTTTTCTTCTAGTTTCTCTCTCTCTTCCCTTACTTCTCTCTCTCCTCTTTTTTTTCTTTTCTTTCGTCTGTTCTTGAGATTGGGGCTGGTTCCCTCTTGATTTGTTCTCAGCTTGCTCTCACATTCGGCTGAGTTGTTTGTGACTTTGGGTTTCTTTCTACTGTAATCTATGATTCTTGTTGTCATTGGAGTTGAGTCATTATATCGGAGTCTATTTCTCGACTCTATTTGATCTAATCTTTGTTGTGACTCCTCCAAATATGATTCTCTTTTTCGGTCTTTGGTTTTTTCAAACAAAAATGGATATCGATGGTAGTCGTGCTTGTAGATGTTGTGGATGTAGGCGTGGGTAATACTTCGAAGTATAGCCCATCCGGCACAAGGCCCCAAGCTCATCAAACAGCCACTTCCATCTGCGGATGACGACAGAGCTCAGAAGATTGACGCAGAGTTTCTTTTTGCAAAATCCTCCGCTGCTAAATTAGATGAATTTGGTTTAGTACCATCCACGTGACCACGCCTCGCACGCGCGTTCCGACACAAGTGACCCTCTCCTCTGCCAATGACTGCGATTTTTGGTCCTAGTATCCTCAGGCGCATTTATGTCAAGAATAGCTCTTATTGTCCGCATTGTTTCCCTCGAAATTCTGTTGGGCCATTCATCCGGTGTCTGAATCACGGCCGGGAAGCCCATTTGCCGCCTCGTGCTGTCGCAACCCTTGCGCGCGTGTGTTGGTCGATCGCCACCGATCGGGCAGATCCTCCTAGTTTTCACAGCACTCACACGCGTCTTGTTAAGATCCCGACCGTCAGTTGCATCTAAATTACAGGGTGTCGGATATTCCCGGCTCCCATTCTCAATGCGTTGACTCGGCGAGCACAGGACATGCGTGTTGAGACTCGGCCGCGTAAACCCGCTGGATCGCGCGTATTTGTCGATTGTCGCCAATCCAAACATATTCTTTAATTTCCCACCGCCTGACCCTGACCATGAATGACGGCTGTGATGCTTTGTCCAGTCGCGGGGTGCCCGATGCGGAGGCCAGTACGAACACCCACTCCATGAACAACGCGTTGTCTCCTGCGCCTCACAAATCAATTCCTTCGGCTGAGATCCAAACCACCCAATCAGCACAATTATTGTCACTGCAAATAGATGGCTTGAACGCTGTTGCTATCGCTCACGGCGAGGGTAATCCGAACCCAGCCTATATCGAATCATCAGAGCGTGACCGACGACCAGACGGTTCCGCCAGTACCCTCACGGATTCTCTTTCCGGTCTTCTCTCCTCCTCGAGCAGTGACGTTGGCCATGCGAAAGAGCTTGGCAATAACCCCAATCCATTGAATGGGCATACAACGAGACCAGAGATAGACCAAGAGTTATTGGAATCCCGACTTGCCCCACAGACGGAACCAATGAACGGAAACACTTCAATAGATCGATGGCAACCCTCATTGTCACCGATCAAAGCGAGCAATGCTTCAATATCCCCACCGCCATCCCCGAAGCATTCGCGCACAAGGTCAAACTTTGATACTCGGTTGGCCTCAGGCCAGAAACGGAAAGCAGCTGGCGGCTTCAAGTCCATCTTGGATTCCCCCGCAATTTCTAGTGCCGATGCGAGTGGACCTGGGCGACGACGTTCGAAGAGCACGGGCTCGTCAGCTTATGGAAGTAGGATTGCACAGGTAAAGCGTTCCCTCACTCCTTTAATCGTCCATGGCTCATTCATATTACCAGTTGTCGGTCCATATCCGCACGCGGTTATCATACGCGGCCGCCAAGGTACAAGAACAAGCCCGGCAGTCGCGTGAAGCTAATCCTCAAGCGACATTTGGAGCACACAACAGTATATCGCCATTGAGTCCGTCCGCGCCAAGTGACATCGTATCATTGCCAGCCAGAAACTCAACGCCTTTTTCACAAGACTCACAAGCATCTTCCAACGGAAACTCTCATCATCCTCCAAGCCATAACCGCTCCCAATCAGCGTTTCCCTCTAATCAATTCCTTCCAATTCCTAAGCTAGCACCGCCCGTGGATATCATTTCATCAAATGGCCATAACCAACGTCGTCGACCAAACCCTAACGCAATCTCCAAACCTTCAAGCAACAGCCCCATCTCCCGCCACCGACGCCACCATTCAAACCAAGATAATGGATTCAGCCGATCACTCAATAGCTCATCATTCCTAGCGTCCGGGGCGCCCTCGCTCTCATCATACACACATGCACCAACGTCTACACCGAATGGGTTCTATAGACCCCGCACACATTCCCAAAACACACTGATGGAACAAGATGCCATCGAAACCCTGATGTTCATGTCCAGTCCCGAGAACTCGGGATATCGCTTCAGCCCTCGCCCGCTACAAACAGAAAGCACGCAAAGCAGCCTAAACGAGTCTATCAATGCTTCCAGCAACGGAGCCAACCACAATGGAAGCCAGAGCTCACAAACCTCCGAATCTCACATTGGCCATGGCATTGAAACAAAGCCGGGGCTAGAAGCTCATGCTGGCGATGATATCGACCGCTTGCTAGATCAGATGGACAGTGATAGCGAGGACGAGGGTCGCTATGCATCGTATCGCCCTCGGATCAACGGCGCACATCCGTTTCGAGGGCATCAGCTCCCGAGATGATTGCATTTTGTTTTGCGTTGTCTCATGCTTTGAGATTTTGTACCTAGGTAGGGTACCACGCACAGCGTATCATCCATTTATGTATATCGATTCGGACTTTTGGCATAGTTATGCCCATATGATGAGAAAATACGACTTCAAGCTATTGGCTATAAAACCCCCCCCGATCAGGAATACGGCCTGAAATACTTGATAATATGCATGTCATTGATTGCCTCTATTTGATTGGCACCTGGTGGTCCTTAATGATTAAATTACTTCTTTTGTTCATGTGCGTGGTCGGTATGCGCTGTGTATATCTTAATGTGCGAGCTCCTGATATTCTATTAGCTCCGGGCATGCGTCGTTGCTAAGAATCACTTACACTTGCGAGCTTGCTCCTGGCTCGAATTTGAGGTCCATACAGGGCCAGTACCCAGGGGACCAGAGTCAGAGCAACACCCTGTTTCGATTGAGTCAGTTGATTTACTTCCCTTGAGCGCAATAGCCGGAACTTACAAGTCCTCCAAGTAGACTTGATGCCTCTGGGTAACCAAGATTAGTAAACATGGCATTCGTAACCAATGGAAAAACACCACCAAGTAGATTTCGGCCTGCAAAACAAGTCAGTGAATCCCATAAATCAAAACATGATATCTGGCAGGTATCCAACTCATGGGGGGAAAACGTACAGCAAGACTGCGCCGCAATCGCAGAGCTCGCATACCGATGATAAGTATCGGCGAGATAGTTGAAAGTGGCCAAATAAATCGAAAAGATGCCCATAGTAGCACAGCCCACGGCCATAGCAGGCACGATCCAGTGCACCGACGGAAAAGACGACCAACCAAACCAGAACAAGCCAATGGGTAGAAGAATCGACTCGATACAAACGAAATACAGTCGACCCTCAATATCAGAAGAGTACTTGCCGAAGCGCATGGCGATGCGCTCTTGGTAGATACTGATGATTGTGATGAGGATGACACCGACGCACATCGACGTGAAGACAGCGCCGGTTTGCTCGATCGTGAAGTTGTGGTTTGTGCGGAAGACCAGCGGAATCGAGCTGAATTGAAGATAGAGGGCTGCCCAGCTGAACGAGACCCACAGGGAGAAGAAGAAGACCACTGGTTCGGTGAGGAGCATGTCTGTATCTTGGTATTAGTTGTTGTTTTTGCTTTGGGGTAGTCCTTTGGGTCGGCTTTGACTTACGGAATGGCCGATACAGCGAGATCTGGACCATAGTTGCAATCGAGGCACGTTGTTCGTCGCTCTTGACCTTCCATCTGATTCGTCGGATACACTTTTCTTCGGGGGCTTCTTCGCTCGTCAGGATAACGCCGTAGTGGCCAGCTACTTCCAGTTGCTCGTAGTACTGATTAAGCTTTGTGGCTTTTCGGCTGAGCAGGACAGTGCCGCGAGTCTCTTTGAAGAAGAAGTATATCAGAATGACAAATGCCGCGGACACGATTGCGTGTGAGTAGAATATCCAGCGCCATGTGGTGCGGGTAACGATTGCACCAGAGATCAAAGGTGCCAGACCGGTGCCGAACAATGCTGATGCCGAGAAGAGCGCCATGGGCGTATTCCGGTCTTGAGCGTGGTAGATGTCGCTAATTACACCGCCGACCATGGTAGAGAAAGTTGCTGCGATAGACAGGTCAATATCGTTCTTTTGAATGTCGAACGAGACACAATGCGCCGTTCGAGAGTACGCAGGTATACATACATCCACCCACGCCCTGGAAGAAACGAGCTACAAGCAATCCAGCGAAGGACTGCGTGCCTCCACAGCCGATCAAACTAGCTATGGAACAGTTAGCCCAGGAACAGTAGATGATGAAGCACAGAGTACATACCGACAAAGACGATCCCACTAGCAATGAAGATCGGCCTACGTCCATTAATTTCAGAAAATGGAGCCAGCACCATCGGCGCCAAAGCAAACCCACAGCAGAAAACCGTGATGCTCAGATTGTATACGACGGTACTGATCCCCCACATCTCAGTCAGTTCCTGGGACGCAGGACTGACCTCACCAGCGGCATAACCCGCCAGCGCAGTAACCGCGCAGGCAATATAAGTCATCATAGACTTGCGCCATTTGGGCCACAAGAACGGCGATGTATATTTCTCCAGACCTGGCGCTTCTGGTGGTGGTGATTGCGCCGGGCCGGGAGGTAAAGTGATACACGGCGTGGGTAGGGCAGTTTCCAGCTCTAGATAGCGGTATTCAATATCCTGTGACTCACAGAGAGACTCGGGGGTTTCTTCGCCCTGTTTCATGGCGATTGACTGCAATTTGAGCGACTGTGGCGTTGCAGATGCCATTCAAAGGGAGCTGGGGCTGATACGACTAGTGCGATTTCCTTTTTTTTTTTCTTGCTTTCTTTTTCACGAGGGAGATTGACGGTTTATAGGGAGCTAAGCATCTTAGGGCGTGGAGTCTGACCGAACAAAATTGGAGAAAAGGGCAGGGCAAGACAGGGTTTCCTCAGTTGATACATACAACACCGGTAGATAGCAGGGCTTTCCAATTGGTAGGGGAATAAAGGGGAATAAACATGTCACAGTGGAGTACCGATATCCTGAATGCGTTTGCCATGACTCAGTCCGTATCTCTCCAACTCCTTTGCAGATTCATGCTCTCGGCATTTCAACGTCGAGCTTTGTAAGATGCCAAACCGTAGCCGATATGTTTCCCGGTAACCACACGCCCTGTGGGGTCTATGCGCACGGCAGTGGGGCGGAGTTGGGGTCATTGCGGGCATACCGCCTACCCAATCCGGACTTGACATATCTCCCAGCTCTCTCCCAGCAAACCCCATAAGACAACGGAGGTTTATTCTCTTCGACTTGAGCATTGGGACTAAATACCTAGAGAACTCTTTTCAGTCATGAATGAAAGAGAATCATGTTGTATGCGACTCAGTCAGGCATCTATCTCTTTACATGTGGCAATATAATTTCTCCGCACTTTAGACACCGGAGGCCGTGTTCGTACGGCAAAACGCTTCTCCAATTCGGAGGAACTGGGAATGACCGCGGGAGATTCGATAGAAAGCAAAAATGAGTGGGAAGCGATTTAGAACAATAACCAAAAGGAATAGACAGCCCACGAGCATCCTGATGCAGGACTGTGTGCATTGTGACGTTCCAATAGATTCATGGAGTTGGGGAGTTGGACTCGGAGGGGGCTGGTCTCTCACGATGGCAGCAAATCTCGGAGTTACACTGCTTCCCCCCGAGAGCACAGATTCGCCAGCACTCCACGTCATGTCCACACGCCATGTTGAGTAGCAAGCCCTATCAGTGCCAGCGATGCTCAAGGGCATTTGCACGTCTAGAACATCTCCAAAGACACGATCGCTCACGTATGATGTCCTCGCCGGCGCATGAATCCCCACATCTAATACCCCACAGATACAAAAGAGAAACCCTTTGTTTGCACGCAGTGCCCCAAGGCCTTTACTCGAAAGTACGACTCAAGACAACATTTTGGACTCAGATTCTAACAGCTTCAGAGACTTGTTGGCCCGTCATGAGCGTCTTTCTCACAACCCCGACGCGAGTCCGGCTAGTAACCAGGCACAGACGCCCTCATCTGCGCATCCCATCCTAGACGGACTGGATACCTTGGCGTCTGTAGCGAAGAGTAGCGCACGATCTAATCATAGCTCTGTGCAGGAGCCCAATGAGCATTTTTCGGGATTATCACCGGCCCTGCACCGCCCGATACTGGGTGCTCAGTTGACAAGCACGGATACTCCCTCTGCAGGACCCACCACTCCAATCCTAGGCTCTGAATTTGGTTACAACCTGAGCGGATTTGCGTCTAGCTCTTATCATGGGCATGATTTCACCTCTTTTCTGGATAGCGTCGCTTTGCCGAATCATCCGTTCTCGCCGGCCTATCAGCCACTCCCTTTGTTCCCGCTGCAATTTTCACCTCAGGACTATAATCAATCCTCTGATAGAGAGCTCCTGACTGAGAACACCACCTCAACTTCTTCGAGTTCTGTACTTCCCCGACATGGAGCCCACCTGCCATCGCTCCAGCCAGAGGGATATCACACTATCCCCAAGGCGCGCCAGCCCACGGGGTTTGTACCTGTTACGGCTCAATGTCGGGAAAGACTCTTGAACGAGTTATCTGAATATGCCAACGTGGTCCCAGATCTGTCACTGCCATCTCGACATGCACTATCCCGATGTTTGACCGGATATCTAACCGGCTTCCATGATCACTACCCGTTCTTGCATATCCCGACGCTCGATGTAGACACCATGACATTGCCGCTCTTTCTATCAATGGCAGCGCTGGGCGCACGGTATTGCCGTGAACCAGACACCAGTATGCGTCTCTACCAACTTGCTAAACCGGTGACTTTAGAGCATGTCCGCAGGGTTTTCCAGTCGGGCGATCTACCCCAGGTCAATGTGGCCAATGATACCGATGCCCTTGAAACATTGCAAGCTTTGATATATCTAACCTCGGTGTCGTTATGGTTTATCAAAAACCCCCCATGGCACGAAGGGCTTTCATATCGCAGTCTGATGGAAATGCTTCTCCGACAAGGAGGACTCAACCGGCTACCCGAGCACGACGGGACATGGAGTAGCTGGATACGGTATGAATGCGTCAAGCGCACTAAATTAATTGTTTTCTGTTTTTTCGGCATTCAAACTATCGTGTTCGATGTACCACCAGTGATCCTCACGGAGGATTTCGCCCTCGAGCTACCATGCACGGAGAAAGAATGGCAAGCCGCACGCGCAGACCTGTGGCAGGCCGAGCGCATCAAGTTTTCCGGCGAACCGAAATTTCAAGATGCCCTCTCCGCCCTCTTTGGACCTTCTACCGACGTGGAACGGTTCTCCTCGCTCGGCGGCTACATCTTAATCCATGCGATCTTGCAAGACATTTGGCTAATGACAAAAGCCAGCCGACTATCCGCATCACGACGAGATCGGTTTGCGTCTTCATCAATCACATGCACACCCGAGCTCGTCCAAGTCGAACAAGCATTGGAACGCTGGTGCCAGTGCTGGGAGCGCAATCAAGAATCCTCAATTGATCCACTCAGCCCCAATGGCCCACTCTCCTTCACCTCCGCGGCCCTTCTTCGACTGGCATATATCCGCCTCAACGCAGACTGCAGCTCAGCCCGCCAACTGCAGACTTGGGACCCTGTTCAAATTGCAACAAGTCTCCGAGAGAACCTGACCGTTCACCGCGGTGACCGTCTCACTCGCGCGGCACTTCACTGCGCGCATGCGCTCAGCACACCTGTCAAGCTCGGTATTGACTATGTTGCACACTCGCAGGTCGCTCTGTGGTCCAACCAGCACGCATTGTGCTCCCTAGAGTGCGCGGTGCTGTTGGCCAAATGGCTCGAAGCAGTGACAGTGCCGGAGCCGGAGCCGCCGTTGACAGAGCAGGAGATTCGGCTGCGAGATTTCGTGCTCGAGATGGTTATGGAGGTGCAGCATGGTGTATCAAGGGAATGGCTGCTTGCTACTAATACGCGACTCAGTGCTGCGATCACACGGTTGTGGGCGCGGCTATTCACGGCGGATCACATTTGGGAGATGGTTGCTTTGATCGGAAAATCCTTGAAAAGTTACGCGGACTTGTTAGAGCAGTAGAATCGAGTGTACTGTTGTCTTGTATATAAGAGTTATCATGTCTTCCGCTTAGGGCTACCTAGGTAGTTGAATGGCTATTATCTATAGCCATCTCAGCGGTTTCTCCCCGATTGGTGGGTTTCTACAACATTCAAGTGACATCAATCATATTGCCCAGGAGCTAATCACTAGTCTCGTCCATCTCAATTTCCAATTTTGGACTTCTGCTTCCCGAGCTCTCGTGTTTAACCATTTCCCCGCTACAGGGCGTACGGAGTTGGCCCTAGACTCCGACGAGCCAATGCCACTGTGTTCACCTTGAAACATCATACAGCTTGTGAACCTTGTAATCAATTTTCTCTGTTCGATCAACTCATATTCCAACCTCAAGCCAACAATACTCATTCAATCCCCGCTAACTGAGAACTCCCTCCAAATGTCACCCTCGCCCCTCACAACAACACCCGAAATCCTCACGCTCCTCAAAGACCTCCATGCCAAATCCCTACTCCAAGAATCCACCGTAAACTGGCCCACACTACCAGCACAATGTAGCACCGAATTCGACACCATCATGCGCGATAAGTTCATCGCACTTGACCAGGACAAATGCGAATTCGTCTACCACATACTACGCAGCATCAACGCAAAGACAGTCGTTGAGGCAGGGACCAGTTTCGGTGTGAGCACCATCTACCTAGCGCTCGCCGTTGCAGAGAACGCAAAGCGGATCAGCGCCACCTATAAACCGCGGGTGATTGGTACAGAGAAGGAGGAAACGAAGGCCCAGCTGGCGAGGGCGCACTGGGCGCAAGCTGGCAAGGAGGTTGAGGATGTGATTGATCTCCGAGTTGGGGATTTGCGCGAGACTCTTACCCAGGATTTGGGGACTGTGGATTTTTTGTTGTTGGATAGTAAGTTGATTAGCGGTTGGCATTGGCATATGCCTCCAGGTCTGGGTGTAGATATTGATTGTGTCTATGCTAATCACGTCTCCTAGTCTGGACGCCGTTAGCACTCCCAGCGTTGAAGCTTGTCCAGCCGCATTTCCGGCCTGGTGCGGTGATTGTGGTTGATAATACGATCAAGTCGGGTGCGAGGTATCAGGAGCTGTTTGAGTATGTGGATGCTGAGGGGAGTGGGTTCCGGCGGGTGACGATGCCATATGAAGGAGGGTTGGATATGATTGTTTACCAGTAGAGACAGGACTCTACATTCCTAGAGTACAGAGACTATCGTCTCTACAAACATAGTATATAGCGCTCACCCGCCAAGATATCAAGAGAAGATCGCCAAATGCCCAACCCCTCACTCAATCACTCCTCGATCTTATTTTGAATCTACATTTCAATCGATCAAAAACACCTATATATATCCCTCTATATTCCAGCTACGATGCCAGTCCAGAATAACTTCCAAACCTCCCCACCGCAAGAAGAAGGCCTCTTCAACGCAGCCCCAAGCATAAACCCACCCCCCACACCAGCAACAAAAGACTACAAACTAAACCACCTAGCCATCCGCATCCAAGACCCAGCCCGCTCTCTCCACTTCTACATCGACCTCCTCGGCATGCGCATCATCTTCACCATGAACGCCGGCCCCTTCACAATCTATTACCTCGGCCACCCGCCCGCAGACGCAAAGACGGAAGATGATATCACCGCGTGGGCACGGCAAACGAGCGAGATCCCCACCATGACGAGGACGAGTGGGCTGTTGGAGTTGTATCATATGCATGGAACGGAGGATGGTGGGGCGGGTGTGTCGACGGGGAATGAGCCCCCGCATCTTGGATTCGCACATCTGGGGTTTACGGTTCCTGATGTCGCTGCTGCTGTGCAGAGGCTGCGGGATGGTGGAGTGACGATTCTGAAGGACGTGGGTGTTTGTTCGAGGGAGTCGGTGCCGCTTTCGGGGTGGGAGGAGGAGAGGGGGATCGGGCGTGGAGAGATTCATGGGAATTATGCGGCGTTTTTTGAGAAGTTTGCTATGATTGCTGATCCGGTGAGATTGAGATACCTTTCCTTGACATAGTGTTTGCGCTGATGGTGACAGGATGGGTATACGGTGGAACTGATCCCGCAGAGTATGTGATACAGATCGGGTGCGAGGATATCTACATGCCAGGTGGGATCCTAGTTATAGACTACGATTGTAGAACACTTCGTTGACAACAGGTCGGGGATGGAATGTTCCCGGGAAAGATAGCTTAATGTAGCCAGCCTATACAACCAACATTCGGGACATACATCTCAGCAAAATTACGCGCCCCAGCTGTCTTCCTCAGCAACATCGTAGTCCATATCACGCGCAGGAGCCGTGTTGACCACAGGCGTGGATGACATAACAGTGTCTTCTGGCTCGTCCTGTCCCATACCACCCTTGAAGTCTGTCGATGATCCAGCAGCAGGAAGCACGATAGGCGGGTTGGCAACCCAGGTGAGCTGGACCTCACCTACAGAGGGGATGTTCCAGGGAGAGAACATAAGCTTCTCGGCTTGATACCGTTCTTTAAAGGCCACCACAACGGAGTTAGGCTGGTCGGGGTGTGCCTCGATAGATTCATATTCACCAACGCCCTGTAATTCCATAGATTAGTATATGTTTTGCTGGGTGATAGGGATGGTGAACCTTACCATCAGATGCTGACGCAATGCTTCATCCTTGTCTGAGTTGAGTTCAACGCCTGACACCGCAACTCGTCGAGGCCGGTTATCGAGACGAAGCACGCCTCCTCGACCCCGAGCTCCGGGTCCACCACGTCCACGATATCCTCCGCGGAAATTGGGGTCAAAGCCTCCGCGTCCACGGTATGCGCCTCTGCCACGGTAGCCACCACGACCGCGGTATCCACCTCGTGCCGAAGGGTCAGCTGAAGGGTCAAGACCGAGGCTCTTTGCTTCGGCCTCGAGGGCGGCAAGTTGGGCGCGTAGCTTTTTCGTCTCATCACTGATGTTCTCGTCGGCGGCAGGCTCAGTGGCCATGGCATCATCAGTGCTGGCACCGTTGCTGGTATCAGCCGTGGCTCCAAGTCGCTGCATGAGACGCGCCCGTTCGTCCTGCTGTTTCTTAAGAAGTTCATCGCGCTGGCGCTCCAGAGCTTGCTTAGCTACTTCGGTTTCCTGGCGCTTTTTCATTTTTTCTTCGTGTACCCTTTGTGCTTCTTCTTGTTGCTTCTCGAACTCTTCTTGGTTGAAAGCCGGAGCCTCGGGGTGTGCACTGTCAGGCTTTTCATCACGGTTCGGTTTGTACCAGTAGACCTTCACAAAACGATTGTCAAAGATGACCTTGGGGCTTGACCATGCGGCCTTGGCTTCCGGGAAGGTCTCGTATTTCACCATTGCCACTTTTTTGTAAGTTTGCAATGAAACCTCGGTGATATTGCCAAATTGAGAAAAGAATTCGCGCACAGAATCCTCGTTGAACTTGTCATCGGGAATTTGCTCAACAACAATTGTCGTGACTGACTGGTCCTCATTGGGTCCTGCCGACGAGAAATCGGACCGGCCGCGTCCTCGTCCGCTGAATCCACCGCGACCACGACCACGGCCTCGGTCACCACGCATGAAGGCACCACCTCGCTGCGCATTCATACCGGCAGTCTTGGGATCATATTCTGTGTAGATTAGCTAAGAGTAACTCTACAATGCGTCGGGGATTTGTCTTACCATCATCCTTCACAGCACTACTCTCGACGTGCTGATAAGGGCAAGTGTTCCCTAGGTAGCAAATACCCTGAGTGTCATAGAACGGACAGCGCTGGTTGCTTTGTGGCATTTGATCGGCGCCTTGCTGGCCGGGCGCACCGGGCATCCCGGGCATAGGCATGCCTGCCATTTGTGGGAAACCCATCCCTTGCATTCCCTGCATAGCCATCATTGCTGCCATAGGATCGTTAGGATCGAATGGCGGGAACCCAGGCATCATAGGGAAGCCGCCCGGCTGCTGTGGGGCAAACGGCTGTCCCTGTTGCCGTGGAAGGAATTGTTGACTCTGCTGCTGGGGGAACTGTTGGCCCTGTTGCATCTGATGCCCCCCCATGAAGTCCCCATGACCACCTCCACGTCCACCACGTCGCGGAGTCTTCATGGCGCGATTCTGGAACGCACCACCATCACGCTCCCCTTCTCCTTGGAATCCTTCATTGAATGTTCGTTTGCGAGTGGCACTACCAGGAGTGGTGGCAGCCCTTGGGCCACTAGGCGCATTCGGCGGAGGTTGCGACGAGGGAATATGGGCAGCAGGTTGAGGTTGTGGTTGGGCTTGAGGTTGAGATTGAGGTGCAGGCGCGGGTGGTTTAGGGCCGAAGGTTGTAAAGAGCTCATTGACAAATGGCTGCGTGTCTAGAGATTGTCAGCCGCATGGAATGACTTGATGCGATCGTGATATATTAGACGTACGTTCACGTAGGAAATCCTCTAGGTTTTCCACCGAAAGCTTCTTGATTTCCTCAGCGGGCGCATCAGACCTAACCAGCGCCAAAACATAGTCTGCAAGCACATCCGAGTCGGCATCAGAGCTAGAGGCAGTAAAAACAAGATTAGTTGGGGTTTTATTCCCTTCGGCAAGATTTCCAATCGATTTGAGGGCCTCATTGACTTACATATCCTCAAGCTTCTTGACCACCCACTTCTTCACATCGACGGCCTCTGCATCGGTGAACTGCATGGCGAAGATAGTTTTTAAATGATCCCAAGCCGGAAAAACAGGATTGTCTCAAACAAAAGATCCACGTGAGAATAGCGAATGCAGGGATCCGATTTCCAACAAAGCCGTCTGTCGCTTGTGAAGATTTTCCGCAAGCACGGTGACAATTGTACTTAGAATGATATTGAAGCTTCAGCTGGTAAAAATAATGCCTGTTAAGAGTAGATTATCATCAAATTGACAAGCATTTACCCCCAAATATGAGGGGATGTGAAGATACGACTGGGAACGCGAAGCCGGAGGCAAAAACGCGAGTTCCATCAGATCACGTGCGAATAGAACATGGGAAAACGTGTGCAAGTGCTGCTGTGCGTCGAGCAGAGCTACGGCCGTGGACTTCCTACTGATTACTTTGTCTCTACAACTACAAATCCTACACAAAAACGACTGCGCCTAGCATACCAAGTTTATTTTCATATCGAAACTGGTAGCTAGACCACAGCAATAAAAGCAAAAGGAAAACCCCTCGATAAACAGCAAGTGTAGGAAGAAACAAAAGGTCAGAGTGTTCATGACTTAAGTCATATCACGTCCAAGTCGATGAAGCTGGAGACTCCAAGGCGCATGACCATATTTCTAAAGACGGAACGATCGAGGCAAATACCGACGAATGAGGGAATAAAATTTTGTTGAACCGAAGAAATTGTATTGAATTCATCAATCTCATAAAAGATTCCACGAATGACTGACAGAAGGGCAATTCTGGGTGACCGTGAACATTTTTACAGCTTGTCGTAGTACTATGAATCGGCGTTAGTGAGTGAGACCAAGACTGGGAAGCAATGAAACTTACGTTTTCGTATCCGGGAACGACCTCCTTGAGACCCTTGCGCTTGCGCATTTCCTGGACGACCTGACCAGGCTTGCTGGTAGGGTCGAGAGGAGAACCGCCGGGAAGGATGCTCCAGTGATCGAAGACGGACTGGGGGAAGGCCTGACCACCGGTGGCGGAGCGCAGATCGGCAGGGAAACCGAAAGACTCGTTGACGGGCAGGTAAGCCTTGACCATGAACAGAGGAGTACCGGGACGCTGCTCCTCAGTGTAGACGTGACCACGACGACGGGTAAGGACACCGTAGATACCACCCATGGCCTGCTCGGGAACCTGGATCTCGACGTTGAAGATGGGCTCGAGGAGACCGGGGTCAGCCAACATGGCAGCGGCGTACAGAGCACGACGAGCAGTGGGGATGATCTGACCACCACCACGGTGAATGGCATCAGCGTGGAGGGTAACATCAAGGATGTTGAAGCGGACGGAACGCATGGGCTCCTCGGCAACGGGACCCTCACGGGTAGCCCACTGGAAGCCGGAGACAACGGAATCCTTGATTTCGTTCAGGTACTGCACGGCCTTGGTCTGGTCGATGAGCAGGTTGGCACCGGTGGTGTCGGGACCGAAGCACCAAATCTTACGGGCATCGGTAACATCCCAGCCGTACTCGTCGGCAAGGACACGGGCACGAGCCTTGAAATCGTCACGGGGGCTGATCTTGCCAGACTCAATGGCGAGGGAGACATCCTCCTCAATGGGCTGAGCAGTCATGTACAGACGGTTGTGCTTGTTGGGGGACTTGGACAGAGCAGTCATGCTGGACTCGCCAGCGACGGTCTCACGGTAAGCAACGACGGGGTCGGAGATACGGAGGGGAACACCAGCGTGGTCCTCCTCGAGATCCTTAAGACAAATCTCGAGGTGCAGCTCACCGGCACCGGCAACAATGTGCTGACCGGACTCGTTGATCATGGTCAGGACACAGGGGTCGGACTTGGAGAGACGCTTAAGACCCTCGACAAGCTTGGGCAGATCCTGGGCGTTCTTGACCTCAACGGAGCGCTGGACAACGGGAGAGACGGAGAACTTCATGACCTTCATGTTGTGGGCAGTCTCATCGGTGGTGAGGGTACCGGACTTGAGCAGGAACTGATCGACACCGACCAGACCGACAATGTTACCGGCGGGGACGTCCTCAATGGGCTCAACGAAGCGACCCATCATGAGAATGGTACGCTGGATGGCCTTGATGAAGAGATCCTCCTTCTTTCCGGGGATGTAGTTGGGACCCTGGATGCGGACCTTGACACCAGACTTGACGGTACCGGAGTAGACACGACCGAAGGCGTAGAAACGACCCTTATCGGAGGTGGGAACCATCTTGGAGACGTAAAGCATGAGAGGAGCAGTGGGATCACAGTCACGGATACCAATGCAGGCCTTGTCATCGGTGGGACCCTCGTAGAGAGTCTCAGCACGGTACTTCTGGGCAGTAACGGGCGAAGGCAGGTGGATACAGATCATCTCAAGAAGGGCATCAGCGGCAGGCAGGAACTTGCGCATGATGAGCTTGAGGAGGGCCTTGCCCTCGAGATCCTTCTCATCGCTGGTGAGGGTAACCTCAAGCTTCTCGAGAAGAGTGAAGATCTCATCACGCTTGTTGTGGTTGACAGCGGCGAAGATCTTGAAGATGGGGTCCAAGATGAACTGGTTGAAGGCACGCTCAAGGGTCTTGCCCTCGTGCTCACCCTTGGTGGTCCACTTCTTGGTCTTGGGGTTGAAGTAGTTGTCGCCCCAGAGACGCTCAAGCATCTTCTTGCGGTCAACACCGAACTTCTTGGCGTAGCGGACGGCGAACTGGCGGACAGTGAAGCACCAGCCGTGGAGACCGGAACCGAAGGCGATGGTACCGCGGTCGGGGTAGACCTGGACATCACCGAGAGCCTTGTCGAAGTAGGTGGAGATGATGACGTTAACGGACTCGATGGTACGGGAGAAGGACTGGTAGAGATCCTCCTTGGAGACCTGGAGCTCGAGAAGAGCACGATCAACCTTGTTGATGCAGAGAACGGGCTTGATACGCTCGGTCAGGGCCTGACGCAGGACGGTCTCGGTCTGGACACAGACACCGGAGACACAGTCGACGACGACAAGGGCACCGTCAGTGACACGGAGAGCGGCAGTGACCTCAGAGGAGAAATCGACGTGACCGGGGGAATCGATCAAGTTGATCAAGAACTCATCACCATCGACGGTCTGGGGAATCTCCTTGAGATCCTCGGGATCGGGGAACTTGGCGTACAAGGAGATAGCGGTGGACTTGATGGTAATGCAACGATCCTGCTCATCGGGACGGGTGTCCATGAAACGAGCCTCACCAGCCTTGGCAGCCGAGATAATACCGGCACGCTGGACCAGAGAGTCGGAGAGGGTGGACTTTCCGTGATCGACTAAAATACCGTAGTATCAGTATCTACCATCCCATTTCACCACAGCCGTGAAAACTTACCGTGAGCAATGACGGACATGTTACGGATGTTAGCCCGTCGGTCCATCAGGGTCCGGATCTACCGTAGGTTAGCCACGACACTCATATTGATCGGTTGAAGGGGATTCAATCTTCAAGTAACACCAGCGGAAGTTGGAGATGCAAAAATGCAGGATAAACGATGCAAGATGCAAGATGGGTAGTTCCAATGAAGAAGAGATGGTGCTTCTCCCGCTGGTGCTATTTGAATGTTTGATCAAGGCAATCACGAACCTCTTCGATAGTGAAGCTGTGGACATGTTTGTTAGCTGCGTGTCTTCTTGTCGCTCCGAGGGTGTCTCGGAAACCTCTTCAAATCTGATATGACTTACTTAACCATTTTGGCGGTTGTTCCTTAGTAAATAACTTAGGAAAAAGAAAAAGAAGAAGAGCACACAGATGACCAGGATCGAGAGCTCTCGATCACTTAATCAAAAAGTTCTATGTGCAACTGCTCCTGGGGAGAGAGATAGAGGGGAAAAGAAGAGGAAGAGGGGAAGGGAAAGTGGGAGAGAAAAAAAAAGAAAAGCGAAAGTGGGGACTTTTTTTCTCCTCCCGGTTTTGTGCGTTTGGCTGACTAGCCCATTTCCCATTTCCCATGGACAGTATGATCGTTGGTTTTTTTTCGGGGATTTTTGAAAAATGGCTTACTGTATTTGATACGCTCCGTGGATTTACCCAGCCTCGTTGATTTCCAATCCTTGGTGAGGCACTCTATCTTGACTCACGATGACTTTGGCCTGTCGCCCGTGGTACTCCGATGACGTTGGGCAACATATCACAAGCGAGACTCTCGGGGTTCTTCTCAAGCTACGGTCCGAGATGATCCCTTGACCTCTCTGCTCGGATCCAAGAGGCAATTCCACTATGATTCACACTATCCTTTCTCGCCTTCCGTGGATTCCCAATTGCTCGACTCATGCCCAAACCCCTCTATCAACCCGAGGGGTGGTGGGGCAGACGTTACATTAGTAAGCAGTTCAAATTTGACCTGCATCGTAGGTAGTTCAAGAGCTCAAGAGCTCAATGCGTGGTATCAAAAATTACAGCTCGTGCAGGAGAATAAAGTGACCTCTCAATTCCACTTCATCGGATTGAAAGAAAAAGGTAACCTACCTGGTCCAGCTGCTGATGGAATACAAATTCTCATAAGAGTTTTCACACTAGCTGCATGCCAGTGCATTAGTGGGGGCAAAGTAACTCCTCATTCTAAGGCGCCAAGGCATCAAAGTCATCAAAGTCATCCCACCTGCATGCCCCTCGCAAAAATTCAGTGGAAGACGATGGGCTGATGGAATTGAAGACATCTGTTGGTTGCAGCCACTCTATCATATTGCCCAGATAGCAAATCATACCTGTCGGGGCTACAGTCCCAGGGAAGCCGAGGGAATGGGCTCTATCCCGGCAAAGCCCTAGACTGATCCGGTATCCAGTCCCGACACCTACCGCGGCCATACAACGTACACTTAGGTATTTTGAAAACTGACGGCCAATAAGTGATATGTATCCTAAGGTTCACAGTACTTGAGTAGTATCAGCGAGAGAACATGGAAAGGATGGGAACCTCTCATCCTGAATTAAACCATTATGTCCTTTAGCCCTCCATGTCCCCAAGCCCACAAATAAAATTGTCACCTTGCCAACTGGGATTTCTAGCGCATTAGCCCTCAATGCAATCTCACTGCTAAGCATTTTGCTTGTTCCAGCCAGTTGGAACCCGTTTACTTCTATGTTGTATATACCTCCTGGGGTATCAAACCACAAATGACGTAGTTAGTCACAGATCGCTACTTGAACCACTGCTATAATCTACGGGGTATGGTAGATGTAGCACATGGTAAGTTCCATGGGTTTGACTGAAGCAGCAAAAGGAAATTTGTCTATAAAATGGTTAGGTGTATCGGTAGAGAGGATATATATCAAGATCACGATCTTTCCTGTCGGGATTATGTATCAGACACGAAGAAGCCTGAAAGCATTTACCGGTTTGCGATTGACCATCATGTACCCATACAGAAAGTTTGTCAATTGCCAGCACTGTACGAAACATATACGCTCTGTGCAGAAAACTCGGCTACGAAGATAGAGGCAATAGTGGTTCGAGAGAGACCATGTTTGGCTGAGTTATAGACATCAAGTGTTAGGATGCATGTACATTGGTTATTGACGAACAGCGACCAGGGAAAGACGATACCCTGTGGAATTACCTGCTTTGTGCAGTTTAAATATGCCTAAAATCAAATGATTTGTGTGCTTGGCCCTATATATAGTAGCCTCGGACCCTTGGAAGCCTAGCGCCCCCTAATCCCTAAGATAAAAATTGCTGAGTGACAAGTATGCTATAAGTTAAAGGGTTTAGCGTTGATTTGCCTGAATCAAAATTTGCCATTAAACAGATAGAAATAAAATCTCAATGTGCCCCTTGATAAAAGAACCCATTGTGCATTCTCCCCACGCTTAATTGCCGATCGACATGCGTAGTGGGCCGTGGATCCTAGCCTTTTTGGGCGCTTCATTGGCCGATGCTTTGTCTCTAGACAAACAAGAGACGCCTGCTGTGTTCAGTGTGCCATTAAAACACAAGCAAACAAAATTGCTTACTCCAACTCAGCAAATCAAGAGGGACAACACAGTATCTGCTCCAATTGGCAATAGTGTATGATCTACTTGGCCCTAAATCTAATGTTCACAAGGTACTGACCATGTGACTATCTACTAGGAAAATCTTCTTTACGCCAACATCTCCGTAGGAACTCCGCCACAGAATATCGATGTCTCATTTTGGACGGTCGGAAATGAATGCTGGGTGCCAAAAATGACTTCGCAGGCTTGCAATGCCCATGGCTTTCGCGGCAATACAGGCTGCCGCGGCTCTGGTGGCTACCTACAACCAAAGTCTCTATACCAGCATGAAGGAATTGAATTCCAATTTTACAGTTAGCAAGTCCATTGAACCATTCTTCAATATCGCCGGAGAATTCATAACCGATACTCTTATCACTGGAAATATAACCGTGGATTCTATGAAAATTGGGATTTTGGATGTGGCTGGTACACAGAGTAAGTCTACACAACTCTGTGGGTATATTTTACGGCTCACCAATGGATCTGGTAGACGTTCTTGGATGGGGCTATGGTGAAGCAAACTCGTCTTTCATCTCTCTTCCTGAAGCACTGGTTAATGCTGGCACCATCAAATCACCAGCCTTCAGCATATATGTGGAGAAGCCTGTCTATTCCCCACACACAAGAATTCCAGAAGATCGAGAGCACGGCATTATTCTTTTTGGTGGTGTCAACAAGTCTAAATACAATGGCACATTGGAGACACTTCCTATTGTGGAAAACCTTACAGATCATAGAAAGGCATTTCGTGTTGATATGACCGGCCTTTCTATCAATGAAACGTCGGTGCTTCCTGAGGCATTTCCAACTCAGGCTTTATTCAATCCTTCGAACTATTACACCTATATGCCCGATCCCATCGCGAACCGTGTCTTCTCTGAGTTAGGTATCATTGAATCTCCAATGTTTGGGCCAGCCTCTATTCCATGCAATCTAACCTCCAGCGGCATCACACTCACATTCGAATTCGGAGCTGCAAAATTCAATCTGGACATTGGTCTATTCATTGAGACATATAGCATGTATAATGAGAAAACTATTTGCTACTTTTGTGTGAGCACGAAGACTGATAATACAGACGCAAACAGTGTCGTGCTCGGCGCAAGTTTTCTTCAACAGATCTATACTGTCTATGATATGGGCAACGATGAAATTTCTCTTGCGCAGAGAAACTGGGACTCCAGTGAAGACGAGATCCTCGAGATCGTGACGGAGAAGCATGAAATCACGACGGAGAAGCATGCAGTCCCCGAGGCTATGTTGGAGGGAGACGATGCAGATAACACCGATGACTCGAAAGTCAGTGGTGATAGCGAGGATAAAAAGTCTGTCGGATCCCACATTGGGGAAAGCACAGGCCTACAGCTCTCTCTTTCTATATTTGTGATCTGGTCTTTCTTTTGTTAAGTATTGGGAGGGATACTTGATGTACACTATGTTTGTTACCCCGTTCGTTGTATGACCTTGCATCTCTGCTTAACGCATATAATGATATTCTGTTTCACGAACATCCACCTAGCCCTAATATGTGTTCCAATGTCGGATGATGTGTAGTCATACCTTATGGGAGACGTATACTAGAATGTTTGATCAGTGACAGCCAGGTCCCACCTGTCTGGATATTTCATCATGAGCTCATCGACATTCATTATTCCTCGTCCTCGGATAGGTGAGTGGAACCGAAGCTACTGGAACAATTTCAATTCACGATGCAAGACGAGGTAACTATGGAGATGCTTGCATCTAACTTCAGGTAAACTAGTACTATGTAGCTTCATTGAGAATACGTAGAGGCAATCAAAAGAACTCGGCGATGAGGCGTCATGATAAGCAACGCACGATAAGAAATCGGATATCGATAAGATTCAGGGCGATACTGCGATAACCATCTAATCATCACGTGCGAGGATATCATCAACAACATCTGGCGGCCTGTTAACCACATTGTTCTTCGAGGATATCGCCATATATCGGGTCTTGTACAGCGGAGGCAAGCTGTACATGAAACAGGCTTCTCAAGGCTGTATGGCTCTCTGAAATTCCCCCACGTGCTTTTGCTCACGGCCCGGACCCGCTTTGCACATTCGATAGGCCAAATAGAGAGTCTCCCGAGGTTGGCATCTCTACTCGATTACATCGTCGGCTTACATCGTCGGGTTGATGACTCGTTACGCGACACGAATGAACCAATAGGTATGTTACAAGCTTGTTTCAAAGATGATCCTCGGCGTGACTCGATTCCTTCTCATCTCCTCTGTTTCATCCCACTATTTCCGTCATCAAATTGATGCCCAGAATCGATTGATTACAATCGATGTGGCTTAGAGAGTATCAATGGCTAACAGTACCCCCAGTTCACGTCATATCATTGAAGAACTTGGGTTTTCCCCAAGCGAACACCAATACCTGCTTCGACTGTTTGGCTCGTCCGATCCATTTGCTGGGCTTCCCGGTGCAGATATTCAGGATAGCCACAGTCACATTGAATCCTTTCAAGTCGATTCAGCGGATCTTTCTCGCCGAGTTGCTTCCGTCGGACTTAGGCAAGATATTTCTCCGTTCACAGAGAGACTGTACCTGACTGACCCGCAACGATCACAGCGAACGCACTAACCAGCCTGATATCTCATCGCCCCATGCTCACACCAGTGGCTCTCGCCAAGGCTTAGAAGGCAGGAACCTAGTCCACTACGCAGAAGAGTGGATCTCTCTCATAGCTGTAGACTCGGAATCCCTGCTCCGTGAGTTATCTCAACAGCTTGTTTCGGGCGACGAGACTTCCCGCTCCGCATCCCCTGAGCTTCCCCAATATCCGAAAACATCGGAGAACTTCACACTATCCAGGCCTGCGGAGGTATCAGGTTCATCGGTCTATGACAGCGAATCAGGTGAGGCACCCGACTCTCCTCCTGAGTGCAACGAATCCCCTCGAACCCAAGGCGACAACGAAGCCTCCCAGGATCCAAGAGCTTTAAACAGCTCTGGAACATTTGAGGAACTACTTGAATCCTTTCCAAGTCCTCCCAGCCGCGATCAAACAGGCAGACCCCTTCCCCTTTCCCACATACATTCTGAAACGGAACAAGTGCTACCCGAGGACAGTGCCCCAGCTAATACATCGACTTTCGCCAGCAGTCAGATTCATTCAGTGACTAGTCTCAACCGGCCTTCAAGATTCTCCGAAGATTTGAGTGACAGTGATCACGTCGTAGAGCAGGATTGCTCCAGTGTTTGTGCCAACCCTGACACATCATCGGTCCTCGACATCAGTAGGCTAGTCAATACCCCACTCAGCTCCCCTAGAAGCTCCCCTCAGTCCTCGCTCGGCACCTCGAGAGCCGTCTACAACCTAGACTTTTCCCTTCGACACCGTCCCCAGCTTCCCAGAGCCTCAGCGAGGGATCTTCTCTCTTTCAATCCCCCCGAAGGGCCACGAGGCAAGACTCAAGACTCCCCTCAGACACAGGAACGGCGAACTCGGTACAATCTTTTCCCCGCAACCCCGCCAGCCCGGCCAATCAGCTGCATAATCAGAAGCCAGGACTCCTACGTCACTCTTCTTGAAGGCCCTTTGCCTAAAACACCTCCTCGGTTCTACCGGCAGAACCCTCTCTGCAAATTCCCTCGTGTATCTCTGAGCTCTTTAACGGCAAGAAGAAGGAGTGCATCAAAACACAAGACGTTTGTGAAACGCTTTGTAGGAAAACTCAGGCTTGGCCTGCGTCTGTCCTCATCCAAACGTTAAATTCACGCCACAGCAACCAAAGAGTCTGCCCGTCACTTCAAACCTTGCACAGTGACAACTACTTCTTCAAACCGTTCTCATCCAGGCCTGAGTCTCATCCTCACTCTATCCTCATTTTCACGCCTACCATAATCTTGCCTCCGGGTCATTCCTACCGCAATCTCATTATCACATCCGATCCACTTTACGCTCATTGTCACCCAATATGGATCCACGAACATCTCAGTTCCTAGACCCATCCTCAGCCATGGCCGCCATCACCAAGCACAAGGCCGAAGCAATAAAACTAGCTCGAGAACAAGGGGTGGCTGTACAGGAGATGTGTCGCCGCGCGAAGACAGAGGTCCCACCATACGAGTTCGAAGAGTTGATAGGCAAAGGTGCCTATGGTCGTGTCTACAAGGGTCACCAAAAACCATCAGGTCGGCTTGTTGCCATCAAGGTTCTGGATATTGACTCGTTGGACTACAAATCGCTTAGAGATTTCAGAGACGAGTCTATCAAAGATTTCATTCATGAAACAAAGGTGATGAAGCAAGTGAAGGACTCCGGTGCCAAAAACATAAACGAACTTATTGAAGCCATTTCCATCCACTCTCAGTTGTGGTTGGTTTGTGAATACTGTCCCGGTGGCAGTGTTCGTACCTTGATGCGTGCAACAAACGACAAACTCGATGAGAAGTACATCATTCCGATTGCTCGCGAATTGGCTGTGGGTCTTCGTGCCATCCACGATGCTGGTATCATTCATCGCGACGTGAAGGCTGCAAACATTCTTGTTCATGAAGAGGGTCGTCTAGAGATATGTGACTTCGGTGTTGCTGGTGTTCTTCAATCACAGCGAGACAAACGATCCACGTGGATCGGCACACCGCACTGGATGCCACCAGAGATGTTCGCAACTCGTGGAGAGGCTCATCGCTATGGAAGTGAAATTGATGTGTGGGCATATGGGTGCACACTGTTCGAGTTCGCAAACGGAAATCCGCCAAACGCTGGCCTGCGAGAAAGAATGCAAATCGGTCGCCAGTTAAATCGCAAGACTCCTCAGCTAGACAGCGACAAATACAGCCAAGGCTTGAAGGACCTGATTGCCTACGCTCTCGACTCCAATCCTCTCACTCGCCCCACAATGACAGATATTCTCGCTCATCCCTACATTGCCGGTACAGAAGAGGAATATCCAACTTCATCTGTGAGTGAATTAGTGAGGAATTATTACCAATGGTCGCAGCGAGGAGGTCAGCGTATTTCTTTGTTCCATCCTGGCGGTGCTGCGGCAGCCGAACTCCCAGGCTTCGAGGAGTCAGGGGATGACTGGAATTTCAGTACGACAGATGGATTTGAGCGAAGATTCTCCGTCATTGACCTGGATCAAATTGCCGCCTCTTTGGCCCAAATGGAGCAATCAATCAGTCCGACCAATGCGCTGCCTGAACAGGACATAGGCGAAGAGTTTTCAGAAAGCGAGCTGAACTATGAGGACAAGGCCAATTTCGATGAACGCGTGCGTCGAGGTGCGGAGGCAATGGAAGGACTTTTTAACGAAGACATGCCCAGTTACAGATATGAAACGAAAAACGACTTTGTCCCCATTGAACCCGCCCAGCCCACTTCGGATCTTCCCCTCCGTGCGGAAACAGACCGCTCTTCTGTCACGTCAACCTTTCTCGATATTGATATCGGGTCATTCGAAGCTTCACATTACGCAGCAGGAGCTCCATCTACACAGCCTTTCCAACTGATCGATGCACATACTATCCGCGCGAACCGTTCCAGTCTTCGGTTACACAGAAACTCCAATGAAAATACTTCAAAGCCCTTTGATAGCGGCTCAGATGATAACAACGATCTAGAGGACACATTCGTGCCATCCGGCCCACGACCTCCAACTATGGACTGGAAGTTCCCGTCATTCACACAGGATGTAGAGGAACCTGCGGAAGAAGAAAAGGAAGCCCCTGCCCAGAAACCCGCGGATGAAGAGTCACTTCAGGCTGAGAAACGAGCTACCATGCAATGGACATTCCCAGTCATGGGGTCTGTCCCCGAGAGCCAAACCTACGAAGATCGACATGATACACTCCGAGCTCCACTTCCCGAAGTTCAGCCTCCGCTGCCGTCGCAACCACAGTCGACAGATGAACCAGGTGACTCGCGTCCTTCGACCTCAGCTTCAAATACCTCCGATTCCGACTATGATCCCTTCCGCTTCGATCGTCCTACCACCCCACAGGGCGCAAACCCTCTCCATCACAGTCATTTCTTCGACACTGAACTCCCTGCGATGCTGACAGCAGCCGGTTACCCTGATTATGAGTCTTCTGGGGTCCTTGATGGACCCGGTCCAGACGAGGAATCTCATCCCACTCTGAAGGAGCAGAGATCATCGTTCGAAGAGAGTATGGCAGCTTTATCCGCAGCTATCCCACCCCCGAGACCCCCACTGCTTCCTCGGTGACCTCGGGTCCAGTCTCGGAACCAGGCTCTCCCGTGTTCGAAACTATACGAAACGTACGACACGATGTACCCGAGCCCATGCCACAGGTAGAGGGAGACAAACGTGCTATACCATTCCCAGCTCTCATACCCCCAAGTGGGCCGAGTTTGATGGAAGGTGTGGATGATGGTTTGGTCACGGCAGAGCTTGATCGCCTGCTTGGTGATTTCCTTGAGTCGCTTGTGGCGACTGGTGAAGCATTGTCGTGGTCTGAAGCTGACGAAACAAACAATGTCCCTGAAGGAATGGTTCGACCGATCTAGATGCTTGAACGAGATCATGAAAGATTCTTACTGTCAGATACCTTTAGTCAGAAGCCATTGAAAGTACCTCTATGTGGGTGATTAATGAAAAATATGCGCACTCCGATCAACACGGCCGAGAACACCAGCCCTGGAGAAGTGTAGACTTGAGTAATCAAAGTACTGCCTAAAACAGTAGATGAAGCCTGGAGGCAGCGGAGCTATCCAGGTCTCAATGGAGTCGGGGTCCAGACTGTCCTGTGTGTTTTCTTCCCTCAACTACATTTCTTCTTCGACTCCATCTCTTCTTCGACTCCATCTCTTCTTCGAATCCATCTCTTCTTCGACTCCATCTTTCTCTTCCCAACTCATGGAGTCATCCTAGATTTTCTTCATTCCATCGCTTTCTGTTTCACAATTTCATCACAACTCCATCCTCCCTGTTTGCAGCATGGCTCCGAATTTCACCCCTTCAAACACCGTTCAAATGCCAACAGAGGCCTCTTTACCCGTTGCGATCTTCTCTCCCCCACAAAATGATGCTCAATGGAAGAGGGCCCTCCACGATGTGAAATGGCTCTTGTTCAACCAGCAATACAAGCAATGTGCTTCGCGGTGCAATCAACTTATCGACACTGCGTCTCATCCGGTATGTGTTTCACAGATCTCATCTCAGACTTTGGTCGCCAACCGCTGTCTACACAGCTCCATCCGATTCGTGCAACCTACCTTCACTACTATGCCGCCACTTCATATGAGTACATGGGACGGGCAGCCCACATCTATTCAGCAGTCAAAATTCCACTTTTGATCGATGCCCTGAATCGTTTTCAGATTGCTTACGACTCTTTGCCACCTGTTCTACTGCCGGTCCGGGACCCAGATCAGACATACTCGCCGATTTCTCGTCCCTCGCCCACTCCATCTTCTCGGTCTCCAGTGACTGCTACATGGAGTCCTGTACTTTCGCCGGCCCCCGAGGCCGATTCCCATCCTGGTCCTAGCCCTAGTGCTGATAGTTTGTCGGCTCAGAATCTGTCAGCTCACAATACTAGCCTATGGCACACTCCTACTTTCTTGCTTGATCCTTCCCCCTCTGGCTCTCCTAGCTCTTCTATTACCACTGCTTTTTGCGTCACGCCGTCTCCGGTTGCTCGAACAGTCCCTCGTGTGAACTACAGTACTCCTCCCCCAGTCTTTCATATCCAATCTCCCACCCGCGATCCTCCTTCCCCGCCTCATGGCATTTCCTCTGGCCCAGCTGCGATAGACCAGCTTGTCTCTTTCGATAGCGCTAGGAATGGACTTCCCAGTGGAGGATCTATTGTTCGAAGCATCGCCCGAATGATCGACAACTCTGTGCTCACGGCAAGCGACGACCCTTTTATGACACGCGCACCATCGCAGGTTCGCCCTCCAATGCAAGCACCAGTGCGCCTGTCTCCTATCAAATTCCCGGCCGATCTAAAGGATCCAGTCAAGCAAAGCGAGCTCATTCCAGCCCCACTTGCAATCCGAAAGCACTCTGGCGAGATGCTTATGTGCAGAACTTCTGCAATGGTGATCTGTAATGATCCCATGCGCAAAAGTCTAGACCGTGAGGTGAAGCGACCCAACCGAGTTCGGCCTCCTCGGCTGCCATTCAAGGTCATTCCATCTGCAAATCTGAATACTGACACAGAGAAGCCTAGTTCCTCGATTCTAGCACCGAAACCAAGGCGTGTGAGCCCCCTACTCTTCTCGCCGGTGTCGATGCCGATGCCGATATCAGCACCCAAGCGCACGTCCTCGCCCAAGCCTCTACCTGCCCCTTCGCCCACCGTGCAGCCCACCGTGCAGAAGCGAGTTCCAGTCCTTGGTTCACCATTTACCACCCCTCAAGGATCGCCAGTAAACCGTAGGGCCAACACACTCTCGTCATGGTCTACTATGACTTCCCCTGCGCTTGAAAGTGATCAGGGTGCTACTGATATTTCCCATCTCAACAACACCGTGAGATGGCTCACTCGGCATATCCCTGAAGATGTGGCCGAGCTCCGTAAGCAGATCAAACATGTTGCGGATATTCAACAAGCTCGGCGTACTCGCAATGCAGCAATGAGCCGGTCTGCCTCCTTCTGGACCTTTTCTCCGATCAAGCCTAACGCCGATTCTACAGAGTCTACCGGATTCCCCCAACCAGGGGAGTCTAATATCGATGAATATGGAAATGTCTTACGTGTTGAGACCAAGGCGCAGCGCATCCAACGGCTCAGGAAAGAGGGCTGGGTGATTGGCTTTCGGTCTAAGCATAGCCTCTGGAAAGGCCCCGAGTACTATGATAAGCTATGTGAAACTGCTTTGGCCGAGCTTGCTCCGACAGGCATGGGATCTCGCGAATGGCAAAAGCGCTAAGTACCCTGCTTTCGGATTTCTTATCTTCTACCTTCTACCTTCTACCTTCTTTCTTCTTTCTTTCGTTTTCTTAATCTGCTTTTTCCAACATTTGTTTTCGTGTGGTGTCGTTCAAGTGACGATGCAGGTTGCAAACCATTTCGAGGCGATTTCAATCGAGGTGCTTGACAGCATCCCAACCGTCAACCCGCCTAGGAGATGGACGAGATGAGTCCTTATTATCATTATGGCTTTGATCCGATTTTCACGGTTACTGGTCGAGATTGTTTGCGCGGTGGAAGTTATGCCTATCGGACATACTGGATGAGAACACTGTGGCGGCTTCGCTCGCTTGATTTGATACAAAAGATCACCTTTTCGATGGTCCTCTGTATGATATCATACGAGGGAAGGTCGCACGGAGCTACCCACGGTTGACTCTGTTCTTTAATCTTAATCTTAGTTTTAGTCTCAACAGTACAAATTCAATCTTGCTATCTTTGTTCTGCTTGCTTCTTCCTGATAAATCGCCCGTCCTTTAGAGACCTTTGCTCAGCACAGAACCAATCCCCTCTCCTAGACCCCCTTTGCCAAACACGCCACCCAGTTGGCCGCCGAGTTGATCTTGAATCTTGCTTAGATTCTGGTCCTCGGTGAGTTTCTTGCCGGTCAGGCTTTCTACAGGTAAATTTCGATTAGTTTTGTTCTTCTTCTCTCACTTTTCTCCCTTGTGATGGTCCAGCATACTCTTCAATCCGTAGGATAATTTGGTTTCACCCATATAGTCTAACAGGAGCTCTTGTAGCTGTTTCTGATATGGGTCTAGGTAGCCAGAGACCCAAGCGGCCAGTAGGATCACCTGCAGGGTGAGAAAGAAAAGGAAGGATAGCATGGTTGAGTGTTCAGCTGCACGAGATTATGAGGAACTTTCAAATGCCGCAGGGTTGGGGATAGAAAATTCGATGGCTGTTGTGGTTCATATACCTCTGGCTAAGCCTATGACGTCTGGTGACGACGCCGTGCCACAGGCACCCTAGTGGGGTCGGGGTGTTTGTTGCCAATCAATGATGGCTTGTATATTAATTCCATTCATACATCATACATATACCTGCCTAGGTGGTACGCAGTTCGTCTTTTCTTGTCGCTGTTTTCATGGACAGTCCAGAGGAACGACGTTATAGTGTTGGAATGGAGCAATGTTGGGCTACAGTCTACAGAGAGCTGGAAATGACATTTGGATTGGCTATTTAGCTCTGTTCCATTTTCAAGGATCGATTTAAGATCTATTCTCTGGTTGGGAGAATGTTAGACACGTAGTAGAGGTGACTTACTCGGAAATCCGTCTCATGATGTACTCCGTATACCGAGCCTAATAATGAGCGTAGGTCCGCAAATCTACTAACCGTGAAAGGATTGGAGTCCCTCGTCACTTTTTGGACTTTTAATATAGATCTTATGTGAACTTCCTGTTTAGTGACAGAATTCAACGAATTATATTGTGCGCCTTGAATGTTGACCTCCACCATCGGCCAGTGAGCCTCACAAGCCTGTGAGATTGCGAGATTGCGAGATTGGGCTCTTCAGGCTTTGGCCGGTCCAGGCAGCAAGATGTAGCTTACTGTTGCAAGACGCTGTCCAGCCCAGTGGGGTTGGCGTTGTATTAATCGCAGGCAATAGGGCAATAATAAATATAGCAATCGGGCCCCCTAGGCATATAGCAAAATGGGCCATATATAGCGCTCCTTCCTCAGGCAGTCACATTCCCGTTGTGGCTGTGCTGGCGCTAAACCCTACGGCGAGGCTTATCGCGTCTAGAACTCCTGATTCTCCCCTCCTCAGGCCCTGGTGTTTTTTTTTAAAAAACCCTCCCTTTTTTTCTCATCGGGCTGACAATCGAATCACGATCTCTGGAAAATCCTTGATTTGCAGTTGTGCAGAACTCCGTATGTAGGGTTCTGTTTGGATCTCCATGCAGCCACCCCCGCGCATGGCCTGGTCGCCCCTCAGATTTCGCGTTTCAAGATTGCTGACTCTATTTCCTCTTGCTAGATTGGACAACTCCATTTGCGATCTCTTGAATTCACTCACAAACCCTCCAAATCTTAAAACCTTCTTTTCTCGACGTCCAGTCCGTCGTTGCTACCTAAAGGGTTCCGTGCCCATCTAAGCCCCTCGCACACCGCGCCTGCCACCTTGGGCCTGCAGCCCTATCCCCACATCATGAGTTGTGAGTCGACATTTCACCTTCGCGGAACTTTCGTTCTCTGTTCAGTCTTGCTATGATTCGTTCCTTGATTTTGGCCGAATATTACTCGGCTTCAAGGCAGCCTTGGCTACACCCTGGCTTTCCGCTGCGTTGGGATTGCCATGTCGATCTACACGCCCCCTGCAGGCCCCCTGTGGAATATATGGGGGTTGGGGGGACTACTGGTTGTCATTTTGTGTTATGGTCTGCTTCACAATGCCTATGCCCTCCCCGCTCGGTCGGCTCCTCCAGGGGCCCTTTGGTTCTCTTGCTTCGAGCGTTTCATCTGAGAGAATCCGCCCGTTACTAACGGTCAGTCTTTTAGTCGCAAACATGCTCAATAAGCTGTCTGGACAGCCAGAGAGCTACGAGAAGAAGTACAACTCCCCCCGTTCGATATATCTTGCTCATTCGCTAAATTGTTTTTTTTTTTTCGCTGGTTATAGGGCTCTCTACAGATTCGGGCGCACGCTCGGTGCGGGCACATACGGGATTGTTCGCGAGGCAGATACCGCCGACGGACAGAAGGTCGCAGTCAAAATCATTCTCAAGAAAAATGTCCGTGGCAACGAGAGCATGGTTCATGATGAGCTTGAGATGCTCCAATCACTCCAACATCCCCACATCGTCTCGTTTGTCGACTGGTTCGAATCCAAGGTAAGGGCGTCTCTGTCGGGCAAGGTCATCGCACGTCCTAACCATGGATCTAGGACAAATTCTACATCGTCACACAGTTGGCCACAGGTGGCGAGTTGTTCGACCGGATTTGCGAATACGGCAAGTTCACTGAGAAGGATGCCTCGCAGACCATCCGCCAAGTGCTCGATGCTGTGAACTATCTGCACAAGCGCAACATCGTTCACCGAGGTAGGTTTCTTTGTGTTGTTATATCAGATCTGTACACGTCGCTAACCCCGCCGAAGACTTGAAACCCGAGAACTTGCTTTATCTCACTCGCTCTGCCGACTCTCAATTGGTCTTGGCAGATTTCGGTATTGCGAAAATGTTGCACAGCCCCTCTGAAGTGCTGACCAGTATGGCCGGCTCATTCGGCTATGCTGCCCCTGAGGTCATGCTCAAGCAGGGCCACGGCAAGGCCGTTGATATGTGGTCTCTCGGTGTCATTACCTATACCCTTCTATGTGGATACTCTCCCTTCCGATCCGAGAACCTGACCGACCTCATTGAAGAATGCCGGACAGGACGTATTATCTTCCATGAGCGATATTGGCGCGATGTGTCTCAGGACGCCAAGGATTTCATTCTCTCTCTCCTCAATGCCGACCCCAGCAAGCGACCTTCCTCCGATGAAGCTCTCAAGCACCAGTGGCTGACTGGAGAAACCGCGAGCGATCGCGATTTGCTACCCGAGATCCGTACCTACATTGCGCGCGCCCGTCTCCGCCGTGGAATCGAGATCGTCAAGCTTGCCAACCGCATCGAGTCCCTCAAGATGCACGAGGACGACGATGGGGAAGATATCCCCAGTCCCATGGACATGGGCTCCGCAGAGCCGGGTGCGGCGGCAGCATCAGAGTCACCTGCGGATGCCAGCTCCGCCCCTACCTCTGCCCCTGCCCCCACCCCTGGCCACGCAAAGAAGAAGAGCCTGGCTAGCGCTGCGCGCGGTGCCATTTTCCGTGAAGTTGTTCTGGCCAAGGTGCGCGAGCAGAAGGATAACGAAGAGCGAGAGAAGATTGAACGCGAGGCCCGCGAGAAGGCTGCTTCTGCGTAAATTGATCATTATCTTTCTCTCTGTCTTTTTTCTATCTTATCTCGTGTCGATGTGTCAATCCCATGGATATCCTACCCTGTACTTGTCATTCTCCCATCGCGCGGTTTCTTGGATATACTTCTGTGATTCCCCTCTCTCATAGTCCAACCCCGAGTGAACATACAAATTTTGAGCGATCATTATGCTTCCATGTTTCGATTACGGACTTATTGATTTCATATACCGATAGTTCCTATAGTATAGCCAGAACCATGCCAAAAGTCTTAATGCGTTGAAACATCACAAGCTCGTAATAGGCGCCCCACGCTTAACACTAAACACAGAGATCGAGCAAATCAGTATCCTAGAGGCATTGTAAAATATCTAGGTATATGGCCGTGGAACCAGGGCCAATCCATAATATAAACATTGAAAATATCTCCTTGTGGAGCTAGCGATAAATTTATGGCTGGAAGTATCCGAAGATGTGCTTTGAAACCCAAGTCACATAGCTAGTGTACCCTAGATGAGATCGAAACTCTGCTCATCCCTCGGCATTCAATGCCCTATAGTGAAGAGTCAGAGTAAAGTAAACTAACATCCTACATCATCCTAACCCCACAAGCAGTCATTCGCCCTATGACATCTATAGAGTCAGGTGTCGCTATCACGTGTATGGATCTCAGATGGCCTCCCCACTTCTCATGTTGACTTGGGGCTGTTCCTTGATCTCTTTCAGAGTAGATGATCCACGGCTATCTGTTATTTTCTATTCTTTGGTCGTTTTATTGTTCTCGCTCTTCACTGTTTATCGAGACTCACTTTCCGTCCACACGTCATACATCCGTTCTACTCCACAAGACACCGCCCCTCCTTCTCCACCGGAGCTCTCTGCATTATTTCCTTCTCTTCTCTCACAAGCAAGATCCATTACAACCATGTTTGCTACAAAGCGCCTGAGCAAGGTAAGCCTTTTCTATGTCCCAACACCATTCTAGGCCTTTTCACTAACAATACGTTCATGGTTTGTAGGAGCTCATCAAGGTACTACTTCCTCCGTTTCTTCTCATGCGTACCAACTTCGCCCTGCCGATTGCATATTCTGCTCATGCACATGCCATGTCGCTCTTGCATATGACACACTCCATAGGATTGTTCCTCTGACGCTATGCTATTTTCAGATGCAAGATCATCTCCCGCCGGGAATCTCAATTGTCAAGTGTGACAATTTGGAGGAATGGCAGATGGACATCAAGATTCTTGACCAGAATCCGCTCTATTTGGACCAGACTTATCGCCTGAAGTTCACTTTCAGCAACAAATACCCCATCGGTAAGTCCTCCGTTCCCAGCAGCCACTGTTTCCCTCGCCACCTCAACAATTCTATGCCTTGGGTCTTTTCGGTTGTCAAGTCCGTATAATTTTAACATGGCTTCTTTAGAACCCCCGGAGGTTCAATTCATCGAATGTCCCGTGTCGACCGACACTCCCCGCAAGATTCCGATGCACCCCCACATCTACAGCAACGGAATTATCTGCCTTGATCTCCTGGGCTCAGCCGGCTGGTCCCCAGTCCAGACAGTCGAGAGTGTCTGCATGAGTCTTCAGAGTATGCTGACCGCCAACAGCCGTGACGAGCGACCCGCCGGTGACAAAGAGTTTATTGCTACCAACCGCCGTCGCATTCGCGACATCAATTTTGTCTATGAGGATGATAACGTATAAACCCTGGGCTTTTTCCAAAGCACGCCTAGGATCTTTTTCTTTCCAAGAGCTCTGGTTTCATTGGGGCCGAATACCTCGGCGTTTCTGCATGGATGCAGTACCGGGCATGGAAACTTGTGGTAATTACATGGTGGCTGGGGACGCTGTGCTTCTTGATACTTTTCGTTTGCATTGATCATGGCGCTGGTCCATCATTGATTTCAAACATGCAATGGGTGGGGTTTTCTTGCCGGCGTTTGAGGCTTCATTTTAACTAGGGATACGACCAATAAGAGAACCACTCCTCTTCAACAATATCTGGTGAGTAGAGTGGACAATAGACGACAGATTGTGATGTTATAGACCAAGGTATTATTACTCAAAGGATGAGGAACGGGTAGGAAAGTGTATAGGGCTTAGGGTTAAGATGTTGAGACGAACGAAACACAAACTACCAGTTGTTGGTTACAAACCATCGACTCTATAATGACTCCATCTACACGCAATATTTCCCTTGACTTTATCATTCGCTACCTCGGTATTACATGCCCTTTGATGGATGCCTAGGTGGCATAGGTCGCTGGTTCATTGGTCCTCAAATCCGTGGCGCTGACAGGGCGCTTATAGTCTATTTGTGTTCCACGACGGCTGTGTCAGGGATATTGGGTCTATATATATGAACATTAGTGTTTTGAGACTAAGGCGTCAATTTAGGAAAAACAGTATCCAGTGTAACTAAGAGAAGAAGAAACGCCCCGGCAGCCAATGACAGATCTAGACTAGGGCGCCTCAAATAAGCGCCTGCAGCATTCCTAGTTTCGGATATATGAACTGGATCAGTATGCATCTCAAGGCAGACTTTCTGATAGAACTTAAATTGATGAAGGACAACCAACCCACCGAGGTATTCCGTACAGAGTATTCAAGTGCTAATTCTGTCCATGATTGTTCAACATCAAAGTGACAATTTGCTGTCGGCGAACAAGACAAGTGCGAGTGTAACATACAACGCCCGGTGGTTACATTAATTTTTGATGATAATCCTTTCATTCAACTTGACCTGCGGGAATTGACAGTTCACCTTTTCATCTCCTTAGCCAGATTCGAAAAGGTGGCGGTTGACAACAAAGAAGCCAAGTTTAGCCCCTAGGATATCCCCAGTCAGCAGACTCTATTACCTTCCGAGCTACTCAGATGCGGATGATAATGCGGGCTTATAGTGGACGATCTCATTGGCTCCTTTAAAGGTTCATTGAAATAGAATAAATTGCGTTTAGTTCAATTTGGTTTATGCCGTGAGCCTGGTTATCTGTGCGGCGTACCTCAAACTCAGAGCATGCCCTTTGTTACATATCAAAGTGACTCTGTCCTAGTTTTTGTTTAATAGCATATCTCTCCCTGTTTCTGAGACTAATTGATTTCCTAACCCAGTTCCTCTCCACGGCCCCAAACCTTGGTTTGCTTGAGCAAGTCATCAAAACTGTCTGTGCTATATAGAACCAACATCATTTAGACGCCATGAAGTTCTTCTTAGCACTTCCATTGCTTCTCACAGCAGCAACGGTGGAGGGAAACTTAGGTCTTCCTCGTCCCCTGGCTCTTGCTGCTTCATTCTCACACATTTACCACGAACTTGATCATATCAACCTCGGAAACTGCTCTCTCGCAAATGTATCTCTCCCATTGAATGCGACGAACTCTCCGCTGCCAGAGCCGTCCAAAAACCTGACTCTCAAATACGTTACACTGGGACGGGGAACTCAGAACTATACCTGCCCATCAAATTCTTCCTCGAATTCCAACTCCACCATCAAGCCCGAAGCCACAGGTGCAGCTGCAACCCTCTTCGACGCCTCTTGCATTGCATCATCATCTGAAGCTCTCCTCCACGAGATCCCCGCAATCATCAGCAATACTCCTCTTGGATCTCTTGCTTTCATGGCAGCCCTTGTGGCCCAGGGCACGAGAAGTACCAACATCATCATCGGAGAGCATTACTTCAACGCTGAAGGCGATCCGATATTTGACATGGCGCTCAGTGGCTCCAAGTCCTGGGTAGCCGCTAATAAGATAGCCTCTACTCCAGCGCCGAATTCGACGGTGGCATCCTCGCACGATGTCGCGTGGCTTAAGTTGGGGCACAAGAGTGGGAAGGGCATTCAGGTGAGCTCAGTACCACCCCAGCAAAAAAGATTTGAAGCAGTCATATCTGACCCCATTATTCTATATAGGAGATTTATCGAGTCTTTACATCTCAGGGTGACCCACCCTCTACGTGCGCTGGTCAAAACTCCACGATCGAAGTTGCATATGCCGCAGAATATTGGTTCTACGGGTAACAGAAGCGTGCTTGATTTGTACTTGAAACTATACGGTGGATGTTTTGACTTTTTGCGAGCGATTAATACGGCTGCGAGCGCATGAGCTTTTTAATTTATGTATTTGAAATGATACTCATAACACAATTCACGAATTTCAGGAAATTTTATATATTCAAAGGGATGATGCATAGCTCTTCTCTTGGGCGTCTTGGAGACCTACGTTAGGTTCTATTAAATGCTATTTCTGGGGTGATGACCTTCTCTGGTAGGATAAGACATTTATTCGAAGATTATAGACAACCATTGTCTTTTGTCTATATGTTACTGACTTTGTGTAGTATAATTTGCAAAATACGCCCTTATCGCTCCTAGAGTCCACCCCCTCGACTATGTTGAGAATAGTCCCTAATTCTCAACCTCTGAGCTCCTTAACGCGACATTTATTTTGGCGACAATCAACCCCGTCAAAAGGCAACAGGGCAATGGGCCGTCATACTTGAGGTCATTCAACGAGCGGGGTGAGAGTACCATCAACTGGCTCACTCAAGTTATAACGTACAAACCATGGTTTCAGCTCTTGAAGAGACCCTTCGTTGGTGGGCCAGTCATCCCCATTCAAATGTCCTGGCATCATTTCATGTTAGTTAGTGTTGTAGATAGCTTCTTTTTTTGCTGTTTCCTTGCAGCCAATATCTTTGATACTGACCTCTCAGGTGAGAAATCTTGAAGTAATCATATGGTCCCTGTCTCCACACGTCCAAGTCAGCCTCAATAACAAGATGTATTTCATCGACTTGATTGTATGGACCAAACCCCATCAACCCACTCAGAAGCCTTTCGTACTCCTTTGCTGCGAGTATAGCTCCGCAGTGGGCTTGGTTGGGCCCTACCTTCGAAGCCCAACCAAGCCCACAGCCCATTATTGGGGGCCCATAAGGCCCCCAATAAAGCCCATTTGTATGTATAAACACAGTCTTGGCGCTCATAAAGCTACTGATTAATGCCTGTTTTTTTACGCATGTTCGAGTCTATAAGCTTACCGCGGCAGAACTCGTTCAATCTAGGGCTTAGAGGGTAATCTGAATACCTAAAATGCTAGAAAAATCCACATTACTTATATATTTGCCAAGACTAGCATGTTTTTATTGTTTGAGGCCCATTGGGCTTCTACCCTAGGCCCATAGCCCATCGATGGGCCTTGGGCTTTGTGGGCTGGTGCAGAGGTCTAGCTGCGAGTATGATAGCGGGGCCGCTAGGACATCATCTATTGAGTCATGTAGGGTGCAAGTGTAAGATATCTCCGATGGTAGTTCTTCCGGATTTACATCAGGGTGAACTGGATATGTTTCGAATAGTTTATCATGATTTATCTGGGTGCGGCCGAAAGAAGCAAATGTCAAATTGAACGGTTCCATTATTCTCTAGGCTGAAAGGTGCTTGGGAAGTCTTCCATCAGAGATATCTGTTGCTCCTCTTCTTTGGCTGGTGTAGCCTGGTATGCACCTTCACTTCCTAATCCTTCGGTATACAGTATGTTTACGTTGCGTCCATCTCAACGCACCAATATCTATCTGTCGACCGCCTTATGCTTACTGCCATCACTTTGTCATGTTTCTTCACCGCTTACTGGCAATATGTGGACATTCCACGTGACTATGTAATTTCACGTGATCTCATAGTCGCAGCTAACCCGTATCAATCACGTGCCACATCATCACGACCTTTTCATCGCGAGGCGGCTACTAACACAGCATCCTCAACCACTATTATTGTGACCGTTACAGCGGTTTCCAATCCGGATGTAGCTGCGGTGATTCCTTCTGCAGTAACACAAGCTCACTCATATCCTTGCGACTTCTGACTTTCATCACCATGTCTGACGGTAGGTTTTCGCAAGCTCCCTCCCGCGTGGCCCCATACTGATCCTCACTGTAGCCGATATCGAGGCCGTTCGCCGGCTCCAAGCTGAGCGCAATGCTGCTGCTGCGAGCAAAAAAGGCTCCCGCACATTTGACCAATCCAGTCAACGAACCGATAACTCGACGAAAGCCTCCCTGACCGAATCGTTTGACACCTTTTTGTACGAACGCAATGGAGCAGAGAAGTTTTCAGGCTACGATACTTCAATCGCGGTCGACAACGAGGATGAAGAAATGGAGGATGCGAATGGAGGACATAGCTTGGTGGGCCAATACACTGCTACCAGAGGCCAGATCGATGAGATGGCGCAAGGAAACGGTGTTGAGGAAGAGGACATTCTCCTTGGCCGCGAGAAGGCTGCGCGAATTGCAGACCGCGAGACAGACTATCAAAAACGTCGATTCGACCGTGGTGGACTGACTCCGACGCGCGCCGATCCCTTTGCCGCCAATGCCGGAGCGAATGTTGAGGGAGAAACTCAAACCTACCGTGAGGTCATGGCACTCCGTGAGCTTGACAGAGAAGAGGAGCGTGTTCAAAAATTGATCGCTGAGAAGCGCGAGCAGGGTGAAGACGTGACTGAACACCAGGCTACCTTGAAGAAGGTGGAACAGGAGAAAGAAACCGCCGAACCGAGCTCAACAGTTGCAGTGGTTACCGAGAAGAAGCGCAAGCGATGGGACACGGGCGAAGAAACAGGCAAAAAATCACGCTGGGGTGATGATGCGCCTGCTCAGCCATCGAGATGGGATCTAGCACCATCACTCACGGCTGCTACTCCCGTCGGCAACCAAGGTCTCGCCACCCCTATGCATCCATCACAAGCAGCTGCCCCTACTGCTATGACCGGTTTCGGCACTGATCTGCCTGTTCAAATTGTTGGCTGGTCCGATGAAGACCTCGACATCATGCTTCCTGGCGAGGCCGATGGCTATAAGGTCCTTGACCCTCCTCCCGGGTACGAACCCGTCCGAACTCATGCCCGCAAGCTCACAGCCACACCAGCTCCCATTCCTGGCGCTGCCGGAGGATTCATGATGCAAGAGCCAGAAAGTGTTCAGTCTGTGGGTAAGGACCTTCCAACTGATATCCCTGGTGTTGGTGATCTTCAATTCTTCAAGCCAGAGGACATGGCCTACTTTGGTAAGCTCATGGAAGGTGGCGATGAAGCCACCATGACTGTGGAAGAAATGAAGGAGCGAAAGATTATGAGGTTGCTGCTCAAGGTTAAGAATGGAACTCCGCCGATGCGAAAGACTGCTCTCCGACAAATCACAGACAATGCGCGCGACTTTGGTCCGGCGGCTCTGTTCAACCAGATTCTCCCTTTGCTGATGGAAAGATCTCTGGAAGATCAGGAGCGCCATCTGTTGGTTAAGGTCATTGACAGAATTCTCTACAAACTTGACGACTTGGTTCGCCCGTACGTTCACAAGATCTTGGTCGTCATCGAGCCATTGCTCATCGATCAAGACCATTATGCTCGTGCTGAAGGCCGGGAGATCATCTCAAACCTTGCCAAGGCTGCCGGTCTTGCTACAATGATCAGTACTATGCGTCCTGATATTGACCATGTCGACGAGTATGTACGAAACACGACTGCACGAGCTTTCGCTGTTGTTGCCTCTGCCCTGGGTATTCCCGCTCTCCTTCCTTTCCTCCGTGCTGTCTGCCGCAGTAAGAAGTCCTGGCAGGCCCGACACACCGGTGTCAAGATTGTCCAACACATCCCTATTCTCATGGGCTGTGCTATTCTTCCTCACCTCAAGGGACTGGTAGACTGCATCTCAGATAACATCAGTGATGAACAAGCGAAGGTTCGGACTGTCACCGCTCTCGCTGTGGCTGCTTTGGCCGAAGCTGCCAACCCATACGGTATCGAAAGCTTTGATGCGATTCTGAACCCTCTCTGGACCGGTGCTCGCAAGCAGCGTGGCAAGGGTCTCACTGCCTTCCTCAAGGCTGTTGGTTACATCATCCCTCTCATGGACGAAGAATATGCCAATTACTACACTACTCAAATCATGGAGATCCTCATTCGGGAGTTTGCCTCTCCAGATGAGGAAATGAAAAAGGTTGTCTTGAAGGTGGTTTCACAATGTGCAAGCACACAAGGTGTGACTGCTGGCTACCTGAAGGAGAACGTCTTGGCAGAGTTCTTCAAGGGCTTTTGGATGCGACGTATGGCCCTTGACAAACGGAACTACCGCCAGGTAGTGGATACCACCGTAGACTTGGGCCAGAAGGTCGGTGTCAGCGAGATCCTGGAGCGCATTGTCAACAACCTGAAAGATGAAAGCGAGCCATATCGCAAGATGACAGTGGAAACTATCGAAAAAGTCATTGCATCCCTCGGAGCCGCGGACGTTTCCGAGAGGCTGGAAGAACGTCTCATTGACGGTGTCCTCTTTGCCTTCCAGGAACAAAGCATTGAAGACCTTGTCATTCTTAATGGATTCGGCACGGTGGTTAATGCACTTGGCACACGCTGCAAGTCATATCTTCCTCAGATTGTCAGTACAATTCTCTGGCGGTTGAACAACAAGGACTCCAATGTCCGGCAACAAGCAGCCGATCTTATCTCCCGTATTGCTATGGTGATGAAGCAGTGTGACGAAGACCCTCTCATGGGCAAGCTTGGTATCGTGCTTTATGAATACTTGGGTGAAGAATATCCTGAGGTTCTAGGCTCCATCTTGGGCGCTTTGCGCGCCATCGTCACCGTGGTGGGTATCAACCAGATGCAACCACCCATTCGTGATCTTTTGCCCCGACTCACACCCATCCTGCGTAACCGTCACGAAAAGGTGCAGGAGAACACCATTGATCTCGTCGGTCGTATTGCCGACCGTGGTCCTGAGTCCGTTAATGCTCGTGAATGGATGCGTATCTGCTTCGAGTTGATGGACATGCTCAAGGCTCACAAGAAGGGAATCCGCCGCGCAGCTAACAACACATTCGGCTTCATTGCCAAGGCGATTGGTCCTCAGGATGTCCTCGCCGCCCTTCTCGGTAACTTGCGAGTACAGGAACGTCAGTCTCGTGTTTGTACGGCTGTCGCCATCGGTATTGTGGCCGAAACTTGTGCTCCCTTCACTGTGCTCCCGGCGCTGATGAACGAGTACCGCGTGCCCGATCTCAATGTTCAAAACGGTGTGATCAAGGCCTTGTCCTTCCTATTCGAATACATCGGCGAGATGGGCAAGGATTATGTCTACGCGGTCACACCACTGCTAGAGGATGCTCTCATCGACCGTGATCAAGTCCACCGACAGACCGCCGCCAGTGCGGTCAAGCACGTTGCACTCGGTGTCGTTGGTCTTGGCTGCGAGGACGCCATGGTCCATCTTCTCAACTTGCTTTTCCCCAACATCTTCGAGACCAGTCCCCACGTCATTGATCGAATCATCGAAGCCATCGAAGCCGTCCGGACGGCGGTCGGCTCTGGTATCGTTATGAACTACATCTGGGCTGGCTTGTTCCACCCCGCTCGAAAGGTGCGCAATCCTTACTGGCGACTCTACAACGATGCGTACGTCCAGTCAGCCGATTCAATGATTCCTTACTACCCCGACATGGAGGGTGACGTTGACCGACCGGAGCTATCCATCATCGTCTAAGGACGAGGTGGTTGATGGCCCGTTTTCTCTTGATGCATTATTAGATACAGATTCTCTGGGATATCTTCTCTGCTAGCCGGTGTTTGTCCTTTTTTTTTGCCTTCAGGTCTATATTTGCAATTCTTCATACTGGGGGGATGTTTGGCGTATCATGTGTAACTGTATCCCATTTGCGAGACTTCAGAAAATACCAATCTCAATATCAATTCCAATTCAAATGACCATGTCTTTTGCAAATACCTGTACGGAGTGCGGAGTGCTCCGTACCCCGTAAAAACGGATCTGTCCACAACCGCATCGATATACTTTGTGGCTGCTTACGTCGATGTACGAGTATGCACCGAAGTCGATATATGTTCCCACCGCCTCGATTATTGAACGACATTCCACCTAGAGACATGTGGGGTTGTTTACTGGCAGACATATATAAAGCTGTCGGGGTCAAAATTTCGAGCCGCAACCCATTTATACAGTATCCCTCCATCTTTCCAATCCAACCAGACCCTGTAGAGTCGATCGTAGCATAATCGACAAGGCCAAGCATAGTGACAGGGGAAAATCAGGCAGGGATCGCTCCTCAGGCCGGCCATCACGTCAATCACGGGGATCTCAGAACCCTGAGTCTGGGGTAGGGCGCATCCCACGTTTGTCCATCCATGCAATATCCTGCGTTCGGAGTAGATATCCCTATCTACCGGTGTACCACGCAGTCATATTGCTCCCAAGTGAAAGACCCAAAAAAAGGGAAGTAGAGAATCTCTCACAGCTCAGCTCTACAGGGGGGAATCCCATGAACCCCTTTTCGCTCCCATCCTAATTTCGCCACGCAAAAATAGAAATGACCCTCGAAGTCGTCATCGCAGGGTCCCAACGAAGAGGAAATCAAAAAGGAGGGGCTCATGGTTCTCCATACTCCCTGCCAAGAGCGCCAAATGCCTAAGCTTGCTGTGGGAGGGGCTTGGCGCAGGATGTGGCCGCGTCAGCTCTGGCAGATGTGGTTGTGGGGAATGGCAATTCCAGATTCTTTTGACTGATCAATACGGAGTACATAGATTTCCAGGGTCTGTGACTGGCATAAGGGATTCTATCTTGTATGCGCATATACCCGATCTGTTGCTGTGTACTCTAAACTATCAGCATGCTCGTAGATACTCGTACATGGCTGGGGTTCTCGAATGCATTCCAGACTCCATAGTCCGTACAAGGTATCCTCTCCAAATCGTTCAATGCCCATATCGTGAACCCGATGGAACTGGAGTATGTACAAAGCTTTAAGCTACACAGCCTCCCCCTGAATCCAGGGCCTACAACCTCCCGACTCACCGTCCCGGAAACTATGAACCGAAAGAATGGAGATGGAGACGGGTTCCCTTTTTCTTTTCCAACGTCGTGAGTACGCGCAACACCTGTAATGTCCTCGACACACAGACCCTGATAAAGGGGGCGGTTGTGCAACGCCCCTTTTTTTTGGATTTTGGATTCCCATGGTTCCAGCTTGGTTCCTGTTTGGGAAATTCCCTTTTGGGATTGTCAGGGTCTAATATCCGCTTTCAGACGTCTACATTTCCTGGATTTTTCGATTTTTCGATTTCGAATTTCTTATCTCTGATCTCTGTTCTCCTGAGACTTCTCATTCGAGTCCCGACTTACCAGTTCGTCTCTTAGCGCAATGCCGGACACGGCACGTAACCCAGTAGAGTCACCGTGGCTGCAAGGACCATGGAACCAGCCTGAGCTTCATACGACGTCCTCCGTACAGAGTACAGCGTACTCCATTCACAATCTAACATACATGCTCGGATCGTGGGCACATGCAGGAAATGATGTGACCCCGCAGCGTCGAGCATCAAGGCACTTGCGTCTCATTTAATATATCATATGTAGGATGCAGTATGATGTCGAGGATGTATGGAGTACGGAGGATAGCCGAGCAGCTCGCATGTTGCGCATCTACAATACATCGCCAAGCGCCGTGGGGTTCGTCCAAGGTGCAAGATAGCTGTCAAGCATGCGAGATATTGACCTCGGGCAATTGCTTTGGGATTCATGTGAAGGAGCTCTACAGGTGGAAGCATGAAGAGAGCTGTGGTCCAATCAGCACCTATGCGGCGATTGACTTGCGTAACATCGAACAAGGATTAGGGAATTAGGGGATTGGAGAAGACTTGCGCACTGGATGATTGGAGGCCAGCTCTATACTTCTGTCTCTACGGAGTAGGATTTACAACATACCTAGGTTCTGTTCCAACTAAGCACCATTTACTCCGTACACCCCCCGTACTCCGTACTCCGTACATATAGCTAAGACAGCTGGAGGAACTAGATGTGTTTGGCATTTTACGCATTGCAAGGGATCGGAGACCCTGCAGGATGCCCCATGCTGACGGTTGAGGCACACGGCGAGGGGCGTGGCACACACTTTGTGGAGCGGGCGCCTTTGGCGCGTTGCCTTTTTCCTCTTTTTCTCCCGATGTCAACAGCGGATTATCGCGCGCACTAGGGCGTAGGCTAAGACCACGGCCCCTCTTTCAAGGCCCTTGTGCTTTTTGCCTTTTTTTTCTTCTTCTCCTGCACTGTTCGCGATGTCCAGTGACATAGGCCAAGAGAGTCATCTCCCCACTTTCTGCAAGTGCGTCTTTTACAACGGTTGCCAGGGGAAGCTTGGGATGTTTAATATGGTGACCATGATGCTATACCATGTTCCGAGTTGAGTGAATAGCAGTTGGGTGGGCTTGCCTGTTACAGCGCACACCGTAGTTTTCTCTAGTGCCCAATAGTCAGTTCTTGTTTTCGGAACTTCAACGTCCCGCGGAGATGGGACTGAACTTTCTTTTTTTTGCCTGATGGTGGCGGGGGATCCGATCAAACCGTTCAATTTAATTGCCAGGTAAGGAAAATGTATTCTTCAGGCAAGCGAGGCGTCTTTAGTCCATAACGCCCATCACACCTCTGTATCCAAGGCCCATGTCCGAAGTTCCCCGGTAGTTTCCCGATTCCTTGTTCGCCACGAGGTGCGCTACGTAATGGGTGCAGAATCGCAGAATAGGTACCGGTCAAGACTAGTGGCCGAGGGTAGATTACTACGGAGGACTCCGTTTTGCGGTTTAGACTATCAAGAACATTGGGGTTGACCATGGATCCATGGGAACTCTAACAAGGGCACAAAAAAAAAAAAAGGAAAAAAGAAAAGAAACCAAAAGATGGAAAATTACCTGTATTTCGATCCACAAGGCGTTTCAGGTTCTTAGCGTCGACCCTGGGAGTGGCAGTGTTCCTAGCGGGAAATGTGGAGGTCGCCAGGATCGCACGCAGGGATCACATCCTAGGGGGACCAAGCCAACGGGCTTTGCGGGGACGTCATTTGACTTTGGAGGCCCCAGAGTTCATGTCTGCAGACTTTGAATGTATCTGTACCTAACGGGGTCCCGAGTATAGTGTCACCGATGGGGTTGGTAACTCACAGTAAAATCAGGAAGATCAGCTATGCGGCCAAAAAAAAAAAAAAAAGGGTCCGAGGAAAGGTGACACAATTCAAGGTTAACCTTCCCTAGAAGTGTAGAGATACCACGTTGACCTCGAAAAAGATGAGCACGCGTCAGCTCCTGGTGGGTCTGGAGGTGCAATTGGTCGATCAACGCCTGCCAAGATCGGCTATCGACTATCTGCCGCTTCCAGGTGGACCCTGGCTTGCAACTACCCGTTGGTGATTGGTTGTCGTCGCCCTACAGAAACATGTAAGAATGTGGACCCAATGGAACCAATCCCAGCTAGTCCGAATTAAGCCGACTTTATCCGTACTAGTCCCAAACTATGGAGATAAACCCAAGGGGATCCGGTATCGGGGAAAAGAAACTTGGGCCAATCATCGACGCCATGGCTCATGTTTGTGTTTCTTTTTTTTTGTTTCCACAGAGACTGCTCGATCGGGTACTCCTATTATCCATTTTACCCGGACTCCTTTTGCACGGTCTTCGCTTGAGAGTCCACCGGTCCACTGGGTGTGGGTGTGAAAGGGCATCGCAAAGAATGGTTCGAACGTTTCAGCCGTTCTATGTATAGACCCAGTTCGGAGTATCCTGCCTTCATGCAGTGAGCGAGGAATAATATCCCATGCATTGGCTAGCTCCCAGTCTGGACCATACTAACGCCTTTTCGTCGGAATAAAATCTTATTCGGATATCAAAGAACGGTGATGTGCACACAATGTCAACCTTGATTTGGGGATCATGACGATCTGCCGTGTGGGAACCGCCAAGATCGGAGCCCCGTGCAGATGACAGGCCTTTGGGCCAGCGTACCTGATTGACACTCGGCATTGAGGCGGATCGTCAACGTGCCAGATAAGGATCTGATTTCGGCGTGTTTGGGGAGCAAAAAAGAGACACATCTGCTTCCAAGTGATAGTCGGAGACGATCAGTGGTAGATGAAGATCTAAGTCTGGGGTTTGACTTCCAGGTTCCTTGATATTTCTCCGGTGGTTTCTGCAGTCCATTGAGAACTTTGACCGCCCTTTTCTGTGTTTTGTTTTGTTTTTTTTTTTTTTCCAGCGGGTTTCTCGGGAAACTGATAATTCGAAAGGAGAACCGATAATCGATAATCGATAATCGATAATATAATAATCTAAAAACCATCTTAAAGGACGCGTCATTAATATCAGCTCTCGGACTACGCTGTTCCTAGGAAAAGCGGTGAGAAAGACTTTTTGAGGTCTCTGGCAACATCCACCTTGAAGGTACACTCCACTCCCCTCCCGTGTCTAGGGCCTTCGCGGTGGTGGATCTGAAAATCCTACGATACATACATTTGGCGAATCTCTGTCTATCCGGCACGCTCCGACTCAATATTGTGGCAATACTGTAGCCAAGGCATACCTTCCCCAAAAGAACATGGGGCTACTGAACGCCATGCCAATATGTATGTATACGGAGTACGAAGCACAGCTGTACGCACAACTCCGGAGGGGGAACCACCAGTCCATAATCCCTTGGCACACATTCCTGCCCCTCATCCATGCACTCAAAAATCAGCGTCTCCAAGCGCCACATTTTGCCAACACAGTTGGCGTTCGTTGAAACCGAGTTCTGCCGGTGAGATGCCAGGTGGGCCACACGGCATGGCTAAGAAAAAAGGGGGGTTGCGCTCAGACTGGAACCCATTCTTTGCATTGCTTGTTTCTATTTTTCCCCCTTTCCCTTGGGGTTTGATTGCTGGTTCACGTCGAGTTCGCGCCTCTTAATTTCGCGGGCTCCATACGGGCTTCTTAAAATGGGGCAGTGAGCTCGAACTTGGACTTGGATATGGGAGCGGAACCCCCCTTCCCCTGTGCAGTGTGGGCTTGGGAATATGGGTACCCGACTGCCCAAGGGCTCGGTGTCCACCCGACCGTCTAGACACCCGGTCGGAACTCTAGACTTGGAGTCTCCCGTACTACTGAAAATCGTTGGTCTTAGGGTGTTGATAGTAGGGATGCTACGGAGTGCTGCATATATCTTTTGCACGGGCACGCTCCGTGGCGTCCCTTGGGAGATTGATAGATCGGTTTGTGCAAAATAGTGGTAACTTTAGGTAATACAATAAACGTTCCAAGGTTTGTTTCCGTGGTCCAAGCTGTTTAACTTGCAATATAATGAAATAGATTGGACAAAGTCTTTGGAGGACAAAGGTTGATGCGAGAGAAACTTAATCTCCAATTGGAACCCGGTAACCCGAGACGGATGCTCTTGAGGTACGGAGTAGACCATCCATGGGTAACCTCTTTACAACATACTCCGTACATCCGGAGCGAATGGTGATTAGCGAATGAACACCGGAGCTCCCGATATTCGCCCACGGTCCATCAATTGATTACCTCCAGGGCCAGTTGGGCAATTTGAGTGTTTCTGGAAAATCCGCGCACATTCACGTCGTGGCCATTGGGAATGCGGAGAAGTCCATGAAATTGCGAAGATGTCGTGATTCCGGATCATCCATGGTCCCAACTGTGCAAGCTTACAAAGTCGAAGCAGTAATTGGGATCGAGAGCGTCCATGGATGTTTCCAGTCCCCTCTCTTGCCCGGGAGAGCGGCGGTTGATCCGCCCCCAAGTGGCTGGATACAATATACTTCGGACTAACGCCTATATTAAATTCATCCCCGGGGCGCTAATCGTGGAGAATTACATAAGGATACTCCATCCAGAGTAGAGTGATTGGAATTTCACGGTTCTTCAGCCTTTTCCTCGGGTTGATGATCTTGTACGGAGTACCTTGTGATCAACCCTGTCAATCACAACGCGGCTTCGCAGGGGGAAGTGACATCAATCCCCGACCCCCGGGGACCATATAAACACCCGGACATTTATTTAGACTATTGGCAAATTTGATTCGAAATGTTCTGGTTCCACTGCACGAGGCGGGAAATATCTCCAAAGCCATCCCAAAAAGGACGAATGGAGAATTGACGTTTTATGATATGTCTGATTCACGCCCTCGGGCCTACCGCGCTATTAGAGGAGCCGCGCCAATTTACCGGGCCATTTGTTCCTCTGACGTAGATGTCCAGCTGGCCCAGTGTCCGGGAGGGGAAAACAACATGGCTTGCAGCCCGTGGCAAAGGTATCTGCCGTTAATTATCACGGGCTCAATACGAGGTTGTCACTTTGTACAGTTTCGGGGGTAGATTTAAGGGTGGTTTCTTTTCGCTATGTGATACAGCTCGCATGGTCCGGCTAATCGCAGCCTCGGAATTCAAACCTATGTCTTTCCTCCTGCAGGTGGCTTTTTTTTTTTTTCGGGGTTCCGCTGGTCGCGACTTGCTCGTATCGAGGGTTTGCTCTCGTCGGAGGATGTCCGAAGTAGGGAACGTGTGGTGATTTCCTGCCGTGTGGAGCTCGGACTGGGACTGTACTGTATGCACTGTACATCCTCTAGATGAGATGGTACTTCGGACTTCATACCATTAGATTTGAATCGGGAGGGTTGAGATATCCAACGTCATCACATTTTTGCCGAATTCTCTGATCAAATGGAGTTAGAATGCAGTCAATAATGCCGGCTAGTGATTCGATAAACCTCCCTTCTTCTTGTATGTAAGGTCGGGTTGGCGCGCTAAACCATCTTTGTGCCGTGTCCAAAGCCCAGGGCTTAAGCCATCTTTATTTATTATTTATTTTGTGTCTGAGAATAGGCATCATGTTTCCTATTTGCTTACTTCCATGCACCTTGCCAATAATGAGAGGTCCCCCAATGTGTTCGAATTTTGAAGCCATGTCATCTCGAGTTGACCTTGGGGGACTGGAGTACGGAGTACTCCATCCGGAGTCGCTTTACTCCGTACAATCCATATATATTTAGTCGAACTATCACTATATCACTCATATTAACCCCCACGGAACGGGTATACCCTTTGACACTGGGATCGGCCCCGCTCCATTGAAACAGCCCAGGGCGAATCTTAGTTGATTTCTTGGCGGTCCCTTTTTCTGTTTTTTTTTTTTTTTTTTTTTTTTTTCTCTTTTCTCTTTTCAGTTTTGTGTTTTGTGTTTTTTTCCCTGAATTTTCCCTGTTTTTGTTGAGAAAATCCATTTAATTCAGAAATTACCCTGTTGGTCCCCTCTCAGACACGGCACAGATGGACCACTCATCGCCAGCCATCACAACTAGTCGACAATTGAACATTCCCCTAGTCGACACCCCTTTGATTCTGAGGTCACCGACTGCTTTTTGGGCCTGATTCTTTTTCCCTCCTTTTTCGTTTTTTTCTTTTCTGGCTTTCCCCTTATTATTTCCCCTGTACGGAAGACTGGAGGTTTGCAGTTGACCTCCATTTGCCCTTCCGATGCCGGAGTCGAACGCTTCCACATTCCTGTGCGTTGAAAGCCTTATTGATTCTTTAGATCTTCCATTCCTCAGCCTAGTCGATGCTTAAAGCAATTAATATATTTTAGACCCTGATCGCGAAAACGGTAAATTGCATTAGTATCCCTTTTCGGGTCAAAGGCGTAGTGAATTGAGATCCGAGGAACTGGTCCCCGTTACGGAGTCGAGGGCCACTTGTGGCTCGAATGTAAAAAAGAAAATAATCCAAAATCGAAGAAATCAAATAAAAATCAAAAAGAAAATCAAAAAGAAAATCCAAATACCGGTATTCTATTTTGCTGCGATCTGCAACCCCCGACGGGACGTCGTCAGTGGCACTTGGGAGGTATGGGATCATGCCTCACACCTTATATTGTCCCTTCATAAGCTTCGCCGATCCCCTTCCCCAGACTGTTTCTCATTTTCTCTTTTCTTCATAAAAAAAATAATTGATCATCGGGTATATCGTGTTGTCTACACGGATCACAGACGATCTTCCATCCCTTTGGACTCTCAATCCTTCTATACAATCTCTGCAAAGTCGCGAATCTACCATGACGATGGTTATGGAAAATCAGAACCGCCCCTATGGCGGCATGAATTTCGACAATGTCTACCACCACACTCCACCACAATTCACAGACCCGTGGGCACACACTTCGTCGCACTCGACACCTCCCGTCTATGCGACCTCCATGGGAAATGGCGCCAGCATGCCTCTCGGTCAGGTCAAATCGGAGGAAGTGAACCGCTCCGGCATGTCCATGCCATACCCTAGTATCCCCGTGTCCGCTCCGTCAATGGTGGCTGGGGGGAACTACGCGACTGCCAACTATGGCCCCGAGGTAATGGGCATGCAACACGAGGTGCCGCGCACCACCTTTGACCAGACACCCTCCTACACGACTGCTCCCCCGATGAGCAGTTTCGCGCCTTCGGCCTATGCGCCCGTCAGCTACGCTCCCATTCACCCCTCCCCGCAAGACACCCGTCGCGTTTCGCACACGTAAGTTGACCGAGGCCGCATGTGCTTATTTGCACCAAAATCGAAAAAAAAAAAATGGCTGACAAATTCCTCCAGAGACGCTCGCGTTGGTTCTTCAGCTGCCCCTACTTTCGGAGATGCGCTCGACGCTAGCCGCGGAATGGTCGCCCTCAGCCAGGACTTGACTCCTCGCAACATCTACGCTCCTGGCCCTCGCGGCGCGCGAGGCTCAGCTGATTCCTATGGTTTCCCTTCGACCCACTCTTCCACCTCGTCCATTTCCTCTGGCAGCAATTACCCATACTACAGCGCCTCGGTGGGCTCAGTCGACTCCTCCGTGACGGACTACAGCTCCACCACGTCTGAGTCATACGAATCGCGCACTCTTCCCCGACCGACCAGCCTTTTGGCCGGTAGTGCTCCCCCTGGCCCGCAATCGATGATGAGCCAATTTAGCTCCAAGATGCCCTCCAACACCCAGAAGAAGCACAAGTGTAAGGTCTGCGATAAGCGCTTCACCCGTCCGTCTTCTCTGCAGACGCATATGTACAGCCACACTGGCGAGAAGCGTAAGTTCCCTTTTTTTCCAGGAAAGCTAGTTCTCAATGCATGATCTAACATTTCCCCAGCATTCGCGTGTGATGTTGAAGGCTGCGGGCGGCACTTCTCCGTCGTTTCAAACCTGCGCCGGCACAAGAAGGTCCACAAGGGCGAGAAGGACCTCGGCTCTGGTGATGACGACGAGTAATTTGGGGATTTTCCATTCCATACGACCGCATTCCTATACTCGACGCGATACCCTTGAGCATGCTCTCCTTCCCTTTCGGCAACTCATTCGAATTCCTACCCGACACAAACCTTCCCTCATGCCACGAGCTAATGCATGACCCAACTGTGTTGGCATGTTTGATACCAATGACTCTGGCTTTTCGTCTCCTTGTACAACAGCTTGGATCACCCCTTGACTCTTTTTTTTCTCTATGTTGACTCCCGAAACATTTACCGATGGGAGAGAGAAATCTCTTATACATATTCCTTCCAAAAAGGCTCGTGATTGGGTATAATGGATTCGGTTCGAGGGCTGCGGGCAAGAGAGAGCCCCTATTTCTTTTCCTTTTTCTCCGTTTTCCTTTGTTTCCTATGTTCATTTTCTTTGTTTGACTCACGTTATGACCATAGAGGTTCCTGGATGGATGTGCTTTTTCTTCGTTTCTTATTCTTTCGCTAGACCTGGGCGTCACCTTTCTGCTTTTTCTCGATACCATGGGCTTGTGATGATTCGATGTTTCTTGATTTTGTTTGCAGGCAATACCCTGCGAGTTCGCTTCTTAATCTTCTAGCCTGCATTTTGCATGGTTCAGACCTATCACATCTATATTTTTGATTCCTGCACTCCATTTGACTCTCACCATCGAGTCTGCATTTTCAAGGGGAAGTTCTTAACGTGCAGTTTGGGATTGGTGTTGGTGATGATACCCGCAATAGGACATCTCCTATTTTCTCTTCTTTCGGCCCTGGGAGGCCTGGTTTTCGAGTCTCACACAGTCGCTACTAAATATACTGTCTAATCAATACAAGACATTTTTGAACATTTGAAATCTTCTAAAGCTCTTTTCTAGTTAAAGGATCCGCTCTATTTAAACATTGGATATCAAAAAATTACAAACGCGCGAGACTGCCACTCTTGGCAACTCGCTCTGCCGCCGCGCGACCAGCACGACGTCCGAAGACAGCTCCGGAAGTCAAACCACTGCCACCGGGATAGTTATCGTAGAAGATGCCTCCCAGCATCTCACCCACACAGTACAGTCCAGGGACCTCATTGCTGGTCGACTCAGAGATAACCGCCGCAGTCTCAGGGTTCACAGCCAATCCACCGAAAGTGAAAGTGATACCAGCCGTGACCTTGACAGACAGGAAAGGACCCTTGCTGATAGGTAAAGCCCAGTTGGACTTGGCAACGGCGAGTCCCTTGGTCGAAAGACCATCCTTAACAGCAGGGTCCCACTTCTTCTGCGCCTCCTCTCCCTCAACAGAAGCATTATACTCCTTGATAGTCTCCACAAAGCGCTTAGGATCAGACAATCCAGCAGCGGCACACTTCTCTGCAAGCTCCTCCAAAGTATCCGCCTCAATGCGGTTAACGACTTCAGGACGGTACTCCTCCTGTCGCAACCAGCCAACAGTGCGTGCATCCCAAACCTGGAACGCAACCTGTCCCGGCTGCTGCAGCACCCGTCGCCCAATCATCGCATAGGTGTAGTTGCGCATATCAAAGCCCTCATCAACAAACCGCTCTCCATCCCGATTCAACATAATTCCAAGCGGGTAACCACTCTTGGTAAACTCATTCGAAACCTCCCGGTTTCCGGAATCCGCAGGCGCATCCGCATCCCACGCAACACTGTGGCATCCACTCCAGTTACCAGCCGTCTTGGCCGCGACATCACGCTGCGCAATGCGCAGCATCTCGCCAGTGTTATACGGGGTACCGCGCACACGCGCACTATCCCAACCAGGCCCAAGCCACTGCGCGCGAAGCTGGGGATTCGCCTCGAAGCCACCGGCCGCGAGAATGACCGCGCCAGCAGTGATGATCTGCTTCTGGCCCGTGGCGGAGACGACCTCGACGCCGACGACGGCGCCGGCAGGGTCTGTGACGAGGCCTGCGGCGGCGGTGTCGAAGTAGACGGCGACGCCGGCATTGCGCACAGCGCGCAGCTCGTCGGCGACTAGGCCCTTTCCGCCGTCTTGGGTTTTCAGGGCGAGGCCGCCCCAGAACTTGATGCGGCCGTCGACTTCGTAGGCTTGGCGGTTGAAGGAGAGCTGGAAGCGGACGCCGTTGGCGGCGAGCCAGCCTACTGCGTCGCGGGAGTCGCGGACAAGAGTGGCGGAGAGGGCGGGGGAGGTGCGGTTACCGGTCATGCGCTGGAGATCGTTGGTGAAGTCTTGTTCTGTGTAGCTGGGCATGTCGATGCGGGAGGCTTGTTCTGGGGTGGTGTTGTTGACGATTGGGAGGAGGTCTTTGAGGCCGCCGTGGGCTGTGCGGAAGGCGCCGGCTGTGAAGTAGCTGTTGCCGCCGGCCCATGAGGCGGGACTCTTTTCGATGACTGTGATGCGGAGGGATGGGTTGGTTTGCGCGGCGGAGAGGGCGGCGCTGAGGCCGGCGTTGCCGCTGCCGACGACTAGGATGTCGGTTTTTTGGGGGAGGGACATTGTGTGTGTTTGGTGAAGTAGATCTGAAGAGGGAATTGGTTTGTGGGGATCTGGATTCGTTTGCTGGGACGTGTGGTTGTTTTTATACTCCGTTGCACTTAGGGTTCTTCGGGGGTTCACTCTCCGGGTATCTCCCCGCTCTCCGCAGACGGAGTGTCGATCTCCGGTTGGGGATTGCTTGAATTGGTCCAGAGCTGTACGAAATAGGCATTGCGATTCTAATTTGGCTGCTCGGAGCTGCAACTCTCTGTCATTCTTCTCCGAGATGTTGGGAAATGCTGCATATCGGCCTAAAACGTCCGTATGGCATGAGCGCCACAGGGCGCAACACCTGGACCAGAGTCTACGTCAATTGGAGATGTACAAGAACAAAGCATGATGAATTCAAAATCAATCGCAATGCAATTATGATAGTTGATACCTATTGACCCCATATTCTAGTCGCCGGTTCTGATATGACCACAGCAGACAATGCAGAACCAGCCCCAACGCCAATTTGCGATCTATGTCCAATGGACACAGCGAACTGAAAAATTACTGAGCTCGACAGCACCAGGCATATCGCAGCTCCATTTGCCTTGAAGATGAGCAAAGCACCTAGTGAATCCGGTCCAGCTTGGCCCGGTTCATGGCGATTTGATCGTCGACGTAGTCGCTCTGCAGCCAGTTAGTTTCATCTCCATACGCATGCCACAGTGAATGAATCGCAAAACACTAACCTTGCCCATGATACGCTCCAGATGCCTGTTCTGCTCGTCGAGCTCCTTGCCAGTAGCCTTGGCGAGACCGTGTAAACGGCCAGTAGCACCACTAAGCAGATCCAAGTTCTGCTCGATCTCGTCCTCCATCGCCTCGTCCTCGCTATCCGCCTCAAACTGGTACTTGGCACGCTCAGTGACACTCGCCTTCTTGCCCTTGCCTTGCTTCGCCGCATCACGATCGATATCACGGAACACCCGCTCCATACGCTGGTTGGTCAAGTGTGCCTCGGACCGTGTGCCTTCGCGAACATCACGGTCGTCCCGGTGGGTATTGAGGACCTTCTCATCACGCTCGCGACGGCGCCGTGAGGCCGTGAACGGGTTCGCCACGTGCACGGCGAACATGCTCTTATTGAGGGTCCTGAGTTCCTTCGCCTTGTCCTCTGCAATACGGCCTTCAACGGCGGTCATGTCGAGGCTCTTCTCAGTGTCGTGGATTGACTCGCCCTGTGCGCCGAGTCGGGCCAAGGTGGCGCGGCCCGTCTCTTCAGCCTGGGCAGCAGCTCGGAGTGCGTTTCGTGTCGACGCCACATCGCCCTGCTTGACGAAGCGCATCTCGTTCTTGGTCGCCTGCACCTCCTCCTCTTCCTCTTCCTCCGCGGTCAGCTGTCGGTCCTGGAAGGTCGCCATGCTGTACTCGTTGCTGCCACCACCGTAGTTAGTCTGTCCCTGACCATCCTGGCCATTCTGGCTGTTCTGGCCGTTTGAACCCTCGGAGTATGGTGGGGGTGCTGGGCCTCCTGAGTTATTCCGGTTACTGGCACCGCCAAACAGCTCGTTGCGAGCAGAGTCTGATGCTGCGGGGTCATTGGGATCGCCGCCGCCTAGACCTCCGTAGCCACCATTTCCGTATCGCGAGTTTGAGCCCGAGGCTGGTGAGCCGGCGCCTGCGCCGGATCCGCCGAATCGGTCACTTCCGTAGCCGCCTTGGTTTCCGTATTTGTTCGGGGCGTACTTGTTGTCGGAGGGGATGGCGTGGGGGCTCTGCGATGCGGGGCCTCCGTTGGCAGCTGGGTGGTCGGAAGGTAAAGGGGCGACACCGGCACCAATCTTGGCCTTTGTGTATGGGTCTATCGGAATCGGCTGGGCGTAAGGATTCGAGGGGGTGGAGGGGCTCTTGTCCTTCTTTCGGGAACCAAAGAGTGCTCGGCGGTTAGAATCGTCGTCGCCATCGGATTTCTTGAAGAGACCCATGATTGGTATGTGTTGTTGGGCTTGTAAAGATTTTGGTAGTAGATTAAACCGGTCGAAGGTAGTAGGAAAGACAAGAAAGAAAGGAGAAAGGAGAATAAATTAGACCAAGAGAAAGACTTAATGTGAGACGCCTTCAGGGGAGCTAGATGTTCGAGATCGCCGCCTGATGGTAATTATCGTACGATAAGAATACCGAGTTTACCCACCAAGATGACGAATGGTGGCGCAGCGATGACAATACACATACCAAATTTACTCAGTTACATCAGCAGTGGCAGTGCTAACCCAAAGCGGGCGCAGTGGCACTTCACGTCTTCTGTTTATTTTTGGCCACGACGTTGCCTCTGGATGAAATGGCTCCTTTATCGGGGTCTGATGCAGACCACTTGAGGGATAAAGCGCGGAGAGATCTCCTGACACTGCTGGAAGGCGTGAGCATAGCTCCCTGATCTTATGATCTACGCTAACTACTCTCCAGGCCCGGGGTAAGAAGAACCTCGTCATAAGCCAGGAACTGGCTGGTCCAGTGGGGCTATTCGTCAAATTCTCCGTCCTCCAAGAATATGGTGTGGACCGGGTCTTCTTGCTGGAAAATGCAAACATCGACTCATCACAACGCAATGTTGTATTCCTCGTTTGTGGCGAGAAGGCTCGCCACGTTCGAATTGTGGCAGGTATGACATTTGTTTCGTTTTGCCCCCTTTCAGCTTGCCATGCCGATATAGACTGGGCTCTCTCACTTGGGCCCCTTCTGGAGTACCATTGGATTACACAGATGACTTTTCCACTCTATGTAATCTGGAGAATCTTCCCCTAGATTGATATCTATTTTATTACAGTTTTACACGCTCGTTTCATTAGGGCCCTTTCCTACTATCTCTGATTGAGTGCCATCAGGATGAGCTGACATTTTTGATCTTAGAACAAATAAAGCGCCTGCAGAATAATGGCAATGTTGAACATGAGTTCTCTATTTTCTTCGCTCCAAGGCGGACCCTTGTAAGCAATGCGGTCTTGGAAGAGGCAGGAATTATTGGCGATGTGAATATCGCCGAGTTTCCCCCTCTATTTTATGCCTCTGGAGCAAGATATCTTGTCACTAGAATTGGATGATTCCTTCGGAGACTTGTATTTGGTAAGTTGATATTTTGTCAATGGTTGAATGAGGGTATCTTTCTAACCTTGCTCTACAGCACAAAGACCCTGGGTGTATCTTCCATGCCGCTAAGGCGCTGATGGGCCTTCAACAAAGGCATGGCTATTTCCCACGCATTGTCGGGAAAGGCGACAATGCTCGGCGCCTAGCAGATCTTCTCTTGCGTATGAGAAAAGAGCTCGATGCAGAAGAGAGCTCCGGCTTGGTTGATCCCTCTGCACGAGGATTATTGCCCAGTGCGAGTGTAGAGAACCTGATAATCATCGACCGTGATGTGGACTTTGGGACAGCCCTTCTCACACAGCTCACATATGAAGGTTTAATTGATGAATACGTCGGCATCAAGAACAATCAAGCAGATGTCGACACGAGCATAGTGGGCGCTGCCTCCACACCGCAGTCTCAAGAGTCATCCAAGACACCCCAGCAAGTCAAGCAGGGGTTGAAAAGAAAGATCCAGCTTGATTCCTCAGATCAATTGTTCAGCCAACTGCGAGATGCAAACTTTGCAATCGTGGGTGATATCCTGAATAAAGTGGCACGTCGCTTAGAGAATGAGTACGAGAGCCGTCACACAGCTAAAACAACAGGCGAGCTTCGGGAGTTCGTCAACCGATTACCAACCTACCAGCTGGAGCACCAGAGTCTGCGAACTCATACCAACCTCGCAGAAGAGATAATGCGACTCACCCGCTCTGAAACCTTCCGCAAAACTCTAGAAGTCCAACAGAATAATGCAGCCGGTGCCGACTCTACATATCAGCACGAGACAATCGAAGAACTCATAGCCCGAGATGTCCCACTAAAGACAGTGCTCCGGCTCCTATGCTTGGAATCCTGCATGTCGGGGGGTCTCCGCCCGCGCGATCTAGAAAGCTTCAAGAGACAGGTCGTCCAAGCGTACGGCCACCAGCACCTTCTCACCTTCTGGGCACTAGAGAAAATGGAACTCCTTCAACCTCGATCTTCAGCCACGACCATGCTCCTCCCTACATCCGGTGCACAAGCAGGCACAAAGACAAACTACGGGTACCTCCGCAAAAACCTCCGTCTTGTCATCGAGGAGGTCAGTGAGAAGGATCCAAACGATATTTCCTACGTGTACAGTGGGTTCGCACCCCTCAGCGTGCGCCTGGTCCAATGCGTTCTGCAAAAGTCCTACATGGTCTCGCTGATCAAGGGCGGTACGCCTGCCGCCTCGCTGAACACCGCTAGCACGACATCGCCGGGTTGGCTTGGCTTCGAGGATGTTGTAAAGAGTGCCCGCGGTGCCACGTTCAGTCTTGTCCAGAAAGGCGATGATAAGGCTGTTCGGGCTCGCCAGACGCTGAGCGGAAACTCCGCTACGAAGACTGTATATGTCTTTTTCTTGGGTGGTATCACATTTACGGAGATTGCTGCATTGCGCTTCATTGCTGCGCAGGAGGCTCCGCGGAGGAAGATTATTATCTGTACCACTAGTATCATTAGTGGTGATCGGATGATGGAGGCGGCTATCGAGAAGGGTAGCTTTGCCAAAGCGGAGTAAACGAATCAATCTATGCCTCAGCGATCATCATGATACCTATTTTTGTCATTTTCGGAACGAAATCAAGCAGCTTTTTCTACACTTCTTTTTTTCATATATATAGACCAAAGCTCGTGAATGGATGCATGACTCTTTGGTCGTAAGATTTCTTAAAAGGATGTTCACTTAGCTCTGTCATGTGGTTCAATTTTAGTTTCATCTGAGATGCCGCCTGGATATATTTCAGGAACCAAATTAATAGTTGAACCCAGAATGAACACCCATCAATCGTCCCTGATAACGCTGCATGACCTCCCCAAGCCGCACCATTATGCCGGCAGCAAGAGTACGGATCTGCTCCTGCGGGTCAGTCACGGCCGAGCTGGGATCGGCCCGGGCTGCGGAAGGTGGTGTCCGGTCAAAGATCTGAGAAGCCCATTCTCGCAACTCCATCATCTGCGTTGCATATTCGGTGACAAGGCGCTCCTCGCCATTGGAACCGGACGCTATATTGAGATCCACCACAGCTAGGAACAGGGATAGAAGTGCGGCTGTGACGGTCGGCTCGCTGGATGCCGGAGCTGTGTGCAGTGCCAAGAGGAAAGAAAAGGTTTCGTGAGTGAGGCCTGCAAGGAAGGGTGTGTGGGGACCAGTTGTGGAGAGAATGAGAGTGAGGGTTTGAATGAAGAGTGTGAGGAGATGCGGGATGAAGAATGGGTTGTAGGACGGAGTAGAGGAACTTGAAAAACGTTAGTATGGACAATTCACAATGGGCTAGGAAGATGACATACGATGACAATTGCAGCATCATGATCTCGAATCGGCCCTGCAATGGGAAGAAAAATCCCTCGGCAAGCACCTTATGAAGATCCTTCACTGTAGAGTTTTGACGCTGCGCCTCACGCTGCTGGCGTTTCTTTTCAACTTCCATGCGTGAGGAAAAGGTGCGTACTTTGAGAGCGTTAGGGCCGGTCATTGTATCCGCTGCGTTGGCTGCGAGCGGTTCCAATGATGTACGGGAAATTTCCCGGGTGAGGGTTGCAATAGGAGATTCCTTTGCTTCTGAATACATCGCCTCCAGTGCAGGCGAGAGACGTTTAGATGGGAATGAGGTATCGCCCGTGCTTGGGAGACGTAGCGCTTTGGTATCTTCTTCTCTATTGCCAGCCAACTCGCGAGCACTTAAGCCTAGGGCTGTGAGGACAGCGGACCTTTGAACCTGGGAAAGATCTCCATCAAAGTAGATGGCAGTAAACCAGCGGCCCATTTTGAGTGGTTGGGACACTATCAATGCAACCATGCTTTGTAGGCGAGATTCATGGAATGATGGGTGCTTATTGTCATTTTGAAGACCCACGATTGTCAAAGCGAGCTCTTCAATCTGCTCGGCAAGCTCGGTTCCGAATCCGATCTTGCGTCGAATTAGGGTTGGGGCGGTGGTGATGGCGAGATGATGGCGCTCAACATTCTCAGTGTCCCTGAGATGTGTGGTCAAGTCTCGGATGTATCTGGATACGTGTTAGCGGTATCAACTTGAGCAAGTTGTTCATACTTACACAGGTGCTGTTGGTTTATTCCGTTGGATCAATGTGGGATCATCATCGGAGTCCTCTGCATCATCATCTGGCTTTTCATATGGGATGAGATCATCGTCTTCATCTTCGTCCTCATCTTCATCGCTGTCCTCGATCTCTTCAATGGCAACAATCTTACTTGTTTGCTGGCGAGAAAATTGTACTTTCGGCTTTTGTGCAGGCTTGGAGCGGACCGGTTGTGATTTTGTAGGGAGCTTCTCTTTCAGTGCTTGAAGTGTTTCCGGCGAACCGACCTCATCTTGGAATTTGGTCAAACTCAAATACCAGAGAGCTTCTTCACTCTGCATTTCCTCCAGGTCAAACTTCAACGCCTTGCCCGGTTCCTCAATGAGTTCAGATATTCCTGTTCCAACGATCATGCCAAGGAGTCGTGCTCTGTTCGAGGATGCGGCAAGTCGGTTGGAGACCGCATTAAGATATGCTCCTGACCGGCCTACTTCCTTCATCTGTGCTTGGTCAAACCGATAAAGGTGCCCCGCGGCAAGAAGAATTATTTGCGCAGTCGCTATTTAGTGTTAACCAGGGTATATTGTAAAAGAATATTGATTGACGAACCATTCTGAACAACGTTTGGGACATGCTTGATGGAGAACTTATCTCCAAATTGCTCAAGAGCGCGGATAAGCAGCGATTTCAACAGGTCTGTTGCATATGTTAGTCTGTTTACTTTTCTTCTCTTAGCACTGAGAACTTACCACCCCTGTTACTGAATGTAGCCAAGAGCGCACGACGCAGTCCTAACGTGGTAACCGAGCCACCCTGCGATTTTGCGAGCCATTCCATGACATGGGTTCCCAGGTCCGGTTGGGAGGAAATAAGGGTGGAACACAGACTTGCCACTCCTCTGATGGTCTCTGAAGGGGTGACTGATTGGCCCACTGCTCCAGATAGATCATCCGAAAAGTGCTTCCGCTGTACATCACGGAAGATCGCCTCCACAACCGCAAGCTGCTCCGTTCGTCTGAGATGGGTTATCAAGAGCCCAAAATGCACTGGCGAGGGCTGCTCAAGAAGGACACTGGAGTAGATCTCTTTCACGACCTGATCTATGCCATGTTAGCTTAGGCCCAGCTTAAACCAGAGATGGACGACTATTAACCTGTATATCCAAGACTCAACGCTCGCCCTGTCAACAAAGCAACCGAGGCCCAATCACTCTCGTCATTTGGTGTAAGTTTCAGCACCATATGAGAGATATTGCGTCCAAGCCATGATGCGTATTGGGAACCATTTCCGACCCAGGAGATTGAAGATACTAGTTCTGACTCATCGATAACAGTAAATGCCTCCGCTGCAACAGATAAAATTTTGCCAGCAGCAACGAGCGATACAAGCTCTCTCCATGTGACTTGCTGTCGGGTTTTGCTGTCATATATGACTGAAATGTCACAGGACAGACGCAAGAGGAAGTCCTTCGGTTCTAATAAAGCAGCGATCACAGACAAGAGATCTCGGATACTGAATTGACTGCTTGAACCATGGGCTTGCTGGGGAGTAGCACGGGCAGCGTTGATAAGGGATCGCAATTGAGCCACCAAAGAACCGAGTCCTGCAACGCTGCTGAGACACCTCAATAGTGCCGCTCGAGCTTTGGCATCTTTGCCTTTGCTTTCTTTTGCATCCAGTGAACTCCAATGATCTGGAATCGTGGTGCTGACTAACAGTTGGAGAATCTGTGCTGTGATGGGACTTGCAATCCGGAGGTCGAAATCCCTTGTAGCGTTGGATTTTCTAAAGGGATCAAGGGCTGCTAGGATGGCAGATAACTGATCACGATCAGGACTGCTTTTCAGTAGATCTATAATGTGACGTGATGATAGATGTTCAAGATCCAAGTCTTGTTTTGCTGGAGTATCGCCACGCTGGGACTCGACAGCAGATGTAACGAGGGCATCTGAATCCCGCTTCACAGTTTTAACTGCCGTCAAGAGACCCTCCATTTTCGATTTGGATGTCACTTCAAGGATACAGAGAGGTTGTGCCTGGGAGAAGATCACAGTACCTGATAGGCGGGCCTTTTTTATTAGTCAGCTATGGCGCCCGCGACCTCACCTCCAGGGCCGGGGGTCTCTTCCAATCGGACCATCATAACGGGGGTTTTTTTTGCCAGGAATCTAAGAAAAAGGCCTTGAAAATGCATTATGATATACCATTGTAATTTCAAATTACGGAGTTCTCACTGAGTATCTTATCTACTTTAACTTGTTAGGCTAGATATCTCAAACCCGTCAGGATATAGCCCTAGGCCTAAGCAAAACCATAGCAAAAGGTTGTGTGTCTTCCCCCGGGCCATTTTGGGATCGCAAAATGCAATGGGCAAACAGGCGGTGGTGAAGGCGGTGACCCCAGTGTCTCGTAGTCGGGGCCCACGCGCAGGTGATGTTGTCACCTCAGCCTCTTCGTTACTAGTGGCGTGAGTGCTTTTGTGATCCGATCGAAGGGCTGATCTGTATTTGTCCTTGAGATTACCCTGGGAAAGTTGAATTTTTTGAACCGTGACGAGTATTGAACCGCAAAATCCGACTTGATACAGCGCCTATTTACTCTCACCAGTTGCCAGTAACAGGCCAATCTATCAAAATGGACGTGGATGTGGAAACCCCAGATGCCCCAGAAGCTCCAATTTATGTGGACCAGCAAGGTCGATGGCATGTGGATGACCCTTGAGATCCTCGGTCTGTCCTCACTCTAATATCTAACAGGAAGCATCTCTACAACGTCTTAAGCAGACGCGGTCCTCATACAGATGAAGACTGGACTCCTGGGCCCGAGACTATCAATGCTCTGGAGTCTGCCAAGATCTTGTAAGTTGGGTTGGCCCGGAGACATTATCCTTACTAACATAAATCATAGGGTAATGTTCGTCAACCTCCTGCGTTTGCAGTATACTATAAGATGAAGGACTGACTGAAGCATAGCGGGGCTGGTGGCCTTGGGTGCGAGATCCTGAAGAATCTTGCACTGTCTGGTTTCAAAGATATTCATGTCATCGATATGGGTATGTGTTTCGACTTAGAGTGCCAAGACCCAAAGCTCACAGTCGACAGACACCATTGATATCTCAAATTTGAACCGGCAGTTTCTCTTCCGTCAAGCAGATATTGGAAAGGCCAAGGCTGATGTTGCCGCCGCTTTTGTGCAAAAGCGAGTGAAAGGAGTCAAGATCACACCCTACGTCGGCAAGATCCAAGATAAAGATGAAGACTACTATATGCAGTTTAAGATCATCGTCTGTGGCCTGGATAGTATCGAAGCCCGACGTTGGATCAACGCTACGTTGATCTCAATGGTCGATATGGATGACCCCGAGAGCCTGAAACCGTTGGTTGATGGTGGTACTGAAGGTGCGAGCGCTCCTACACTCAGCCGAAAACATGTTGCTGAACTATGAAACAGGTTTCAAGGGCCAAGCCCGTGTCATTCTACCAACTCTTTCATCTTGCATCGAGTGTCAACTCGATATGCACGCCCCTCGTCCAGCAGTTCCCCTCTGCACCATTGCCACTATCCCGCGCCAGCCTCAACACTGCATTGAATGGGCCCACCAGATTGCATGGCAAGAGAAGCGCAAAGACGACACATTTGACAGCGACGACATGGAACACATCTCTTGGATTTACAATGCCGCTTATGAACGAGCCCAACAATTCCATATTCACGGTGTCACTTTCCAGATGACCCAGGGTGTGGTCAAGAATATTATTCCGGCGATCGCATCAACCAATGCTGTTATTGCAGCGTCCACGACTTCAGAAGTGCTCAAGATCGCCACTGCCTGCAACCCATATCTAGATAACTACATGATGTATGCTGGCGAAGAAGGGGTGTACACCTATACATTCGAAGCAGAGAAGAAGCCCGACTGCCCCGTGTGCGGAAACCTTGCTCGGAAGATGGATGTGGATCCCAATATGACCCTGGGAGAGTTTATCGATAGCCTCGGAGAAAGGGCCGAGTCTCAATTGAAGAAGCCTAGCATGCGAACCGAGGAGAAGACCCTTTACCAGCGCTTCCCGCCTCAGCTGGAGGAAATGACCCGACCTCATCTGCAGTTAAAGCTGTCAGAGTTGGTTGAGGATGGCGAGGAGATCGCAGTCAGCGACCCTGCATACACCATCGACTTCCGCTTCCGACTTAACTTCAAATAGATGTTCATTGCCCTCCCACGTTCTCACGTGAGATTTACGAAAAACCAACTAGCTTACGACCGGGATGAGAAACCTCAGTTAACTGTGTATAATTCAAAAGATAGCTGTTGGCCTCTTTTCCGAGACAATTAACATATCCAGACTCCAGCCTCGTGAGGCGAAGCCCTGATCACTTTTCGTAAATGTACAGCGCAAGAGCAGCCAAAATATCCAACGCCAATATATGCATAAATAAGGTGTAGCAGAGAGAAGGTTCAGTGCTTAACCAATCAGATCGCTCAGACCTCTCTTCCATCGGTTGCACTTGAGCTTCATAACCTTGACAGCCTCCAAGAAGAGCATGTCACTCTCGAACTGACCGGTGCTTTCCACATTGAAGATGAAGTGATCGCGCACACGTCCCAGCTTGACCTTACCTTGGAACTCATCGTGGCGCAAACACTCTCTGCTGACAGTATCGTTGAACGCATCCTTCACAACAGCCTTCTGCTCGCCAGCGTGACCCTCGTAACCGCTTCCGCGCTGGGCGGCCTCGGCAGAGGTGATGGGCTCAAGGCCAATCACACCCTTGGGGAAGCACTTGGCAAACTTCTTCGCATCGTCACCAATGATGGGATGCACGATGTTGATCTCGGGCAAAAGACGGTATGACGCAGTAGCCACGGGCGAGAACTTAGCGTGATCAGCACCGATGCCCTTTTGGCAGTGGAGTTCCATCTCGATCTTCTGGCCGGGGCGGAGCTTGGCAATCAGGATGTCCGGGTTGACGGGTGCGATGGCACCGTCACCGACAAAGAACTGCTCCTGACGACCAACGGGCATGTACATAAGGTCCTTGGCGTAGACGTGGGCATTGGTGTACAGCTTGCGGGGGTCCTGCTCATCCTTGTGTGCGTGCTCGTTCTTGTAGCATTCCACGTCGAGATGTAGCACAATGGTGTTAAAATCGCAAGGGCCATCTTCCTCCCCTCCTTCTTCGGTGGCCTTCTTATACCAGTGCATCCAGTTGATTCCTTCCACGGAACCCTTGAGCGGGATCAGGCCCAGTCGTTGTGCGAGGACTTCATCTTGGATGACGGAGGTGTTGTTGTGAATGAAACAGTCTTCAATGGCGATGGTAGGGATCTCGGCCATGAGAATACGGCGGAAAGCGTTGGCGACCGCGGCGTCGAGTCCGATCAGCGAGAAAGAAGCCTCGAATCGCTCATTGCGGTGGAACTCGACCTGGAAATTCTGTTCGGTGTAAATGGTTAGAATGGAGTAATTCCAGCAAGAAAAGGCTTTCTGGCAAATTCTCATTACATACATCCTTGAATTGGTCGAGTGCCCACCCATGCGACTCTCCGGGCCAATGACCAGGAAAATCTGTGGAGGGGATATTGGTGACGGTTTCCGCATTGATACCGATGATCTGGGACAATTAGTATTCTGAGCTGCACGGAATCGTTGGCGTAGACATACACGGCGGCGCTGCAGCTCCTCTTGCGAGGCAACAAGAGGCGCCATGGTGGGCAACTGTAGAAGGACTGGTGAAGGTTGAAGGTAAAATCCGCGATCGCCGATAAGAGAGATTTCTCGAAGCAATTTTCTAGTTTGCCTAAGGCACCCGCACGGCCTCTATTCTGTGCACGAAAAGGTGAATGACGTAAGCAACATGTGACCAGATTACGTGAAGAGAGCATGAGACTAACCCAAAGCAACGCTAGCGCACCGCTAGCGCTAACCATTTATAGAGACCCCTTCAAGCCAACCAGCGCACGACTGATGACCCAGCAGCTCTGCACGTGACGAGCCAAAATGCGACTTCCAACTTGAGACCTTCAGTGAGTTCCCTTTCCGTAGCGAGCCATATCCACCCATTGAATGCGCCTGGATTGAGGATCATCTCCCCTCTCTTTCCTTTTGGACCTCCAATTATTCATCCTCTATGGCCGCTTCTTTCGCCCGCCTAGCGGGCAATGCGCCCAAAAGGCTCTGCCTCCGCCCCTCCTCGCTCAACACATCTATTCCTCGTTCCCGCTCGATAACCACCTCTGTTCCCCGTCGTCATGCAGAGGCTGCTAGCTACCAAGCCACACGACTTGTGCCGACCGACCCGACCTTCACCTCCTTTGCCAACAAGGGTCTTCCGGAGAACCCCGATGCTGCTGGTCTTGAATCCGAGGCCGAAGGGATCGACCGCAAGATCCGTCACTACACTGTCAACTTCGGTCCTCAGCATCCTGCTGCTCACGGTGTGCTCCGCTTGATTCTGGAACTCAATGGTGAAGAGATTGTTCGCGCCGATCCTCATGTCGGTCTGCTTCACCGCGGTACCGAGAAGTTGATCGAGTACAAGACTTACATGCAGGCCCTGCCTTACTTCGACCGATTGGACTACGTCTCCATGATGACGAACGAGCAGTGCTTCTCTCTGGCCGTTGAGAAGCTGTTGAACGTCGATATCCCTGAACGTGCCAAGTGGATTCGTACCTTGTTCGGCGAGATGACCCGAGTCCTGAACCACCTCATGTCCGTCCTGTCCCACGCCATGGACGTTGGTGCCCTTACTCCCTTCCTGTGGGGTTTCGAGGAGCGTGAGAAGCTTATGGTGAGTAATTGAGAGTTGCGACATGCCTCAATGACCAGGTCTTATTTACTTACACTCCGGGTGCTTTAGGAATTCTACGAGCGAGTCTCCGGTGCCCGTCTCCACGCCGCCTATGTTCGCCCCGGTGGTGTGTCACAGGATATCCCCGTTGGTCTCTTGGACGACATCTACCAGTGGGCCACTCAGTTCGGTGACCGCATTGACGAGACCGAGGAGCTGCTCACGGATAACCGTATCTGGAAGGCCAGAACCCAGGGTGTCGGTGTTGTCAACGCCACTGATGCGCTCAACATGAGTTTCACCGGTGTCATGCTTCGTGGCTCTGGTATCCCCTACGATATTCGCAAGTCTCAGCCGTACGATGCCTACGACCAGGTTGAGTTCGATGTTCCCGTTGGTGTCAACGGTGACTGCTACGATCGTTACCTCTGCCGTATGGAGGAGTTCCGCCAGTCCCTCCGTATCATCCACCAGTGCTTGAACAAGATGCCTGCCGGTCCGGTCCGTGTGGAGGACTACAAGATCTCACCCCCTCCTCGTGCCGCCATGAAGGAGAACATGGAGGCTCTCATTCACCACTTCCTGCTCTTCACCAAGGGTTACTCCGTGCCCCCTGGTGAGACCTACTCCGCCATTGAGGCCCCCAAGGGTGAGATGGCTGTGTTCCTGGTCAGTGATGGCAGCGAGCGGCCATACCGCTGCAAGATCCGTGCTCCTGGTTTCGCCCACTTGGGTGGTTTCGACCAGGTGTCTCGTGGTCACCTGCTCGCTGATGCTGTCGCTATTATCGGTAAGTCTTTATTTGATTGTCTTTCAATTTCGATTTCTAATCTTGCATCTCTTCTAGGTACTATGGATCTTGTGTTCGGTGAAGTTGACCGGTAAATGGTATTGGCAACGCAATAATAAAAAGAAATACCAAAACTGAAGAAAACCTTCCCATGGCACCCTCTTAGATGGTTAGATTCGCCTGTCCTGGGGGAAAAATCCCAAAAGAGGAACCATTTATTTCCTTGATGTGATCTATAAACCCTGGAGCTTTCGATGCTAGCCAGGGTGTACCAAATGCTCCATGTTTTCTTCCCATGGCGTTGTGCTATTATGTCTTGTCATTCTCCTTTGTGTGTCTGTTTTTTCCTCTCTCTACTGCTTCAACCAAGCCCTGTGTATAGTGAACATCTTGATTTTTCTTCCGTGAATTGTTTTCTTCCCAGTGTAAGAATACGGTTTTCTGAATTGGACAACGTGGGCTCAAATATCCCTCAAATGGTAGTACTTCGTACCTTTCAGGGTGTACAACCTTCGGCATGATGGACCAGATATATTCATGCGTGACTTGAGGGAGTTATTCAGAATAGCTAGACTCAGCAAACATGAACCGAGTTACCGTGCACATTCACTCTTCAATTAATGTCACTATCGATTTATGAGGCCGAATTGTATGTGTTGAAACATCAATGTAACAAGTGATGGCGCCAACCGCACCTGGACAGGCGAGAAGAGGACATCCATTCACCAAAACTGTTCGGCAAAACGAATAGAGATCGAAGTATCCTACTTTCTTGTTGCTATCACATAGTTCTCGCAGGCGTTATTCTGGCGTTCGGTAACCCCCGCACTAGGGCCGGCTTGTGTTGATATCCAAATCGGCTATATGCCACTCTACAAGGTACAAAAGGATCCGATGCGACTAAATCATCAACTGAAACAAAAGAAACTTGACTTGATCATTCAAAATGAGCAAATCAATGGATCCTTCTCAATCAATTACCTACCCTAAGTGGTTTGGTGGTTCTGCATCATGTATGGCGGTCCTCGTTTCTCATCCTTTGGATCTGCGTGAGTAAACTCCCATATACCGAGAAAGCACTAATCTGATAAGTTACTAGTTAAGGTCAGAATGCAAATGGATTCTAGTGGCGCAAAAACAGGAACACTCACTACCTGCATTCGAATTGTTCGAGGAGAGGGCATAATCGCGCTATATAACGGGGTAAGTCAACTTAGAGCTATGAGAACTGGTGTAGAATGCTCATGTTTAAAAGCTTTCAGCAGGGTTTATGAGACAATGTTAGGCTTGTCAATGCCCAATTTTTGATTCCTACTTACCAATTCTACAGTAACATATGGCTCTGTCCGGATTGGTCTCTACGAGACATTGAAAGAACAAGCCAAGGCCAACAACATCCCCAACTCCCCCCAGTTCTGGGTCTCTTAGCAGGTATCTCTGGGTTTGTGGGTGCAATCTTCGGCAACTCCTCGGATATTGGCAATATCCGCATGCAAAATGACGGCTCATTGCCTCCTCATCTTCGTCGCAACTACCGACACATCTTCGATGCGTGGAGCCAAATCAAGCACCAAGAGGGATGGAAGGCCTTTGGGCAAGGGTTGTGGCCTAATGCTTTCCGTTGCGGTATGATGACTAGCTGTCAGCTTGCATCATATGACAGTTTCAGAGATCTACTAGTAGCCACCACCGGGGTTCGTGATGATCATCCCGGTTTGCATCTGTCCGCCTCGTTCCTGGCGGCATTGGTTGCCACAACACTGTGCAGCCCAATTGATGTTATCAAAACCCAGTTGATGGGTTCTTCAAACAAGCAAGGCCTCTTACAGGTGATCAAGGACCTTACTAGCGCCCAGGGATTGGGATGGGTCTTTCGGGGTTGGACACCGGGCTTCGTTCGCCTGGGCCCACAAACTATGGCCACATTGCTCCTTTTGGAACAACACAAGCGGATATATAGGGAGTTTAAGGAAGGCAGAGGGATGCAGAAGGTTATTTTGTAAAGGGTCAGCCCTTGGATGCTGCTTCGCTTTCTGGAGAACTCCATGGGTGTCATATCTCCTGATTTTCCCATGGCCTCCGCGGTTACTGCAGAGTTGGACTTCATTGAACCTTTTTTCTCGTTAATTATATAGAGATCACGATACTCCCAAAAATCGATGTGTGCGTTTGTCTTCTTATATTCACATTAAAGTTGGCAATCGTGTTTACAACAACGTGATCTGACAGCCCACCCTGGAAGAATTATCGCAATGAGAGAAACAAGCTGCAAATCTTATAGAAATCCGGATTATATGGTCAATCTCTGAACGCAGAATCATTGGAGGGGCTAGATATGGTAGGTCAGTATTGATAACAATGCAGATCTATTGAAGGCTAAGTAGAATGATTGATCAATTCAAGGGCCCATGCAAATCAACACACGACAAAGAATGGTTACTTCTCACAATATTACCCGAATTGGCAATAACGAGGCTCAGATGACTAGCGTTAGCGTTGTTTCCCTCAGCTTCGCTCTATTATCTACCGCCCTCCCTCCCTTCAGCCTAAGTTGCTGAGGACCTTGACATGATGCCTCGGGGACCGCCTCGGATTGCTCATCCAGTCTCAGCCAAGGCCTGTATTCAATCATTCCCTGCTAACTTGACAGCCCTTCCCGAGTAACTCCTGGTACTGCAGCCAGTTGCGAGTCCATCCCAGGATAAACAGTGGATCTAAACGTATCAGCAAGGTATGTTCACAAGAACCATGTCTGGATGACACGCGAGTCTGCAAGCTAATGATCCTAGTCCATGCCTGACCGAGCCACATCAAGCCCGATTGAATTTCTCTTTTGCCAGTTCAGCTTCAATGGATAGCCCAGCAGGCAGTGGACCCACCAGACAGACACCGAGTCCTACGACACCACTCTTATTCACACTCCCTGCCGAGATTCGTTTTAAAATCTACGGCTTCTGCATTCCGCGAAGATGTGCCATCAAAGTGGCAAATGACAGTCATCGCCCTTGGGGAGTCGAGCCCGTGGTCTCAACGCGAGACCACTTCATCGCGGACAGGTTTGCGAATACCAAGCCTCTCTGGACTAGTATTCTACATGTGTGCAAACAAATGAGCGAGGAAAGCCTAGATATTCTTTATGGGGACAATCTTTTTGAAGTCCACCTGAACAAAGGAGGTGAGACAACTCTGAAGAAAGCATTCAGTCAAGCGAACCTCCAACGTATCCGATACCTTATTGCCATCTCTCCAGGCCGGTGGTATAGCGGAGAGCTTAATCCCCCCGACGTCCCTTTTTGGCCCAAGATTATTCCGAACCTGGTGTTGTTTGAATGGATTACTCAACTTGACAGCAAGGCCAGACGGAGTATGTGGGATTACGTGCCTCAAGAACATTTCGAGCACTGGTTGAACTGGACAAACTCATACCTGGAATGCTTTGGTGAGCTTGTGGCGCCCGGGACAAAATTCAGGATGGGAGTCGGCGATGAAATGGGGACATACAGAAAGGTTGGACAGCTTTGTTTCCGCCGAGGGCCTTTCTTCGATAACTCTATCTAAGTAGAAGTGAGATAATGACAGTGACATACAGTCATGACATGGGGCAATATGTCGATGCAAATGACAAGGAAGATGCAATGGGAAAGTCAATATCATATTGCCATTATCTGCCTTTCAATATCTCGATTCTGATACACAATATCCATGTAGTTACGGCAATATTCATTATTAAAGACCTTGGGAAGTCGTATTCAATATGATTTGGGGCCATCAAAGGCCGCGGGCTGTGACAACTAAGAAATGTAAAGGAATGCCCCACTGGCTGTTGAGATATACGTTCTATGTAGGCCCAAGAAGCACGAGTACAATGAAATATCTTGTCGTACCCTCAACAAATATTGATAACAAATAGTGGCATCCAAGATTGCCAGTTGATGATAAGTTTCATCACTTCTCCAGAGGAAGAAACAAATGATCAATCTTCCTGTGGTATTCATCGTTCTCTTCATCTTTAACCGGGCTTTCATATGTCGCTCGGTAATGATGATGCTGGAATATCCAATTGCGAGCTTTGACCGGTGCATGATCGGGTACAGCAGCTGACAAGATCAAGGCTTGCCTGTAAATATAAGCAAGAGTTTGAAGGATTTTATCAAAGCCTTCCAGGAAGGTAAATGTCTGTCGAGGCCAGTAACAAAAGTTAGCATGACGTTGTGTCATACCTAATTTATACGCAAGATCTCGTTTGCTCGCGTTACCACTCATTGTTGATTTGAAGGAAATGGATCTCATCAGGAGTGGCAGAGTCATCGGGAAGGCCCCAATCCGCCCCTATATCGTACTTCATATTTGCACAAATATTCTACCGAATTAAACCACTTACTTCCAGTCGCTTCAATTTCGGCAGGAGCCCGGAATCGCATCCAGTCCGTGGTCACAACATGGGTGATATGGGATATCTCTTGAACACCGGAGACCCAGAGGGTGTGAGCAGACAGCTTAGGATAATGTCTCTGCTTTCTCGATATAATGGAAGCCATCATGTGGAAAAGACGTAGAGTATGTTAAATCAGATATATCTACTGGAAAGGGAGGAAGTTGATTAGGGGCAGATCAGGAAACGCAGTGGTTGACCGTTGAACAATGGGGAGCAGCTTTCCTATATACTAAGCTCGTTAGGGAAATGCCCTAGATGCCATCAAAGAACGTGTGATGCAATGAGCCGCAAAGATTGAGTGCGACCAATTCAGCTTACCTACACAGGTCATTCTGTCGACTTTCATGCTTCTCAACGCATATGTGCATTGACGTGGATTAAAGGGAATGGGGAGCGTATCTTTGATCTCTCATGGCTCTGGGCTATTAGTATGTGGGCTTTGAGTAGCGAAAAATGACGTTCTAATAGGTAGATCCCTAGATCGCTCTTTCCGCCCTATCCCATTTGCACTCCTTGTCCCAATTTCTGTGATTCAGTAGCCACATTTACTAGAATATGACTTCTCATGGGAGCAACCTTGGAAAATCGTGAAATATGTCTCAGCAAGTGAACCAGCACTTTACCGGTCTTCCACCTTTGGCTACGGCCTGCGGTTTATGTGGAGATATAATCCACAGCTTTACATATACTCAGGTCTCGGAGATCGTTTATCACAAATCACCCGACGTGTTCTCCAAAGAAAACCCGTGGATCTACGGAAGATCAACAGATCTGGATGACATACACTTTGATGAACTATGGGTATGGTCTAGCGTGTTTCGAGCGAGTAAGTGCCCAGTAACCTCTCTTTCTGATCAGGTGAATTTCGTTCTGATGGCCGAGTAACAGTAATGTGCAGGATGGAGCAAGGGACGCTCACACTCCATCTTTCTGGGGTTGGCGAGCTCAAAGAAGTTCAGCTGATTAGTCTACCGGATGATGAACAGATAATGGCTTTGTTCAACCACCGAGACTTCGATCAACTCCGCCCACCACGGCCGACTCTTTTCACAACATGGGAAAACCCAAAGGCATTTACTATGCATGAACGATGCTGGCAGCTCATGACTCGAATTCTCGATGTGAGACTGATTAAACAAAACATGGAGATTTTTGTTCGCGCGATGTGTGATCCGTGGCTTGGTCCGCACCTAAGGCCGTTCTGTCATCTAGGTCACCCATCTCAAAAGGCGAGGCAGTGGCGGGAGTTTATTTATCGCCTACCAAAGGAATACCACCGGAATGTTCGATCATTTTACACTCTTGGTGTTGGATACCCTCGCCGGTTGAATCGTCACTTTAGCGGCGCAGACCCTCTGAACGACCCCTTTGTCCAAGGTGTGATGCTCATCAAGCAGGTAGATAGAGTGATTGAGGACACATCACAGCGCTCGATATCTACACATCCAATGTCCCGGAGATCCCAGTCTTCTTTCAATCTCAGTCACATCTTTCTGCCGGCTGAGCTCGTCTTGATCATTGCAGACTTTTTGGAACACCGCGAGCACATTCGAGCTATGATTTCGATCTTTCCGACTTGGTATTCAATGATACCAGATAGCTATTGGAGACGGCGGTTCATCAACGATAACTGTCTGAAAGATGGAGATTTCCCTGCAGCTGATGCTCTGGATTGGCAGCATGTCTATCTGGATAGTGATAGGCTACTATCGTCTTCCTTAGGGTGGCGGAATCGCCAGCGTATCTTGAAGCAACTCAGAAAAGCAAAAGAGCGATTTATGCAAGCCTTGGAGGAGCAGAGCATCGAAAACTGAAAGTCACCAGGATCGACGTCGTGGATTGAGAGAAGATGCCAGACCTGACAGGTGGTTTGGCTTTCGTGGGACCCATGCTGGTCTTTTTCATTTCCCTTTTCTTTCTTTGCTCTGTTGGTTTGAATTCCCCATTGTCTCATTATTAAACTTCCGACTTTCATTGAATGGAATGAACAAATCAGTTTCTTGTCTGTACCTAACTTCTATAAGATGCCTGAGGAATGCGGCGCAGATCGTCAACCTGTTGTCATTGTGGCGCAGTGCCTGCATGTGCCCATCGTTTCTTCCAACAAGCTCTCGCGGTACAGCTGTCCACCTCTGATTTGGAGATTAAAGCGCCCGTTGAAGTTTTGACCAGGTTTTTGTCATTGCGTGAAGTCCCAGCTTGATTCTTGTGGTCTCTGCATATGTGGCGTGTGGATCGCTGCCCAGAGCACTACAACTGCCAATGACCATGGGGGCTCTGTCGTATCTCGTATAGCTGTTGAGATGGAATCCCAGGTACGGAGTACACCGAGTATTATTGCCAGAAGCCTTCTACTCGGAGTTGCCGGTTGGAACATTGACGTACGCCGTGCAATAACCTTGTCCATACCTACATGGTAAACCATGTGGTGGGCATTCAGCTTTTGATTGCAGAAAATCCCAAGTAGTAATGCCGGGTATCTTTGATCGCGACTATTTCATCCCAAGATGAGTAAATCATAGATCACCAAGATTGCTTCGTGTACGAAAACTTGTTGTGCCATTCCTACAGTCAAAGGACCTACGATATATGTCACAATATCAGGTGTAACGCTGAAAATGGATACAAGCACTTCTTTTTGTTCGGAAGAGAAAAGTCGTAGCATACAAGGCATCATCTCGTAGTAAGATATTAATAGAATATAGACTGGCACTTGGTATGGAGTAAATAGAACAAATTAAGAATGACCGATGCGATCAAGAAGACGTGGATCTGGCTTTGTGACCTGGCGACCAATGAAATCCGTCGATACCGCTTACGTAATTGTTATAACTGGTGGACCCGGGCGCCTGGCCACCGCGCTGAGCAAGATCGCGTCTCAGAGGGATCTCTTCAGCAATCCACCTTCCATTCTTTTGTCCCACCGTATGAGATTTGGACTGCAGTGAATAACAGACGTCTTATCACCACCATATTACCCCTGACTTTACACTCCCTCTCCTTCACCAATCGCAACCTACCACCTCCGATCGCAAAATGGCCACCGACTACAGCAAGAAGACCAACGCCGAGTTGGTCGAGATCCTTAAGACTCGCTCCCTCCCCCACACCGGAAAAAAGGCCGACATGGTCTCGCGCCTCCAGCAAGACGATGAGAGCAAGCCCTCGGCTTCTGCCGCTGCTCCTGTCGCAGCCAAGACTGAGGCCCCCGAGGACGTCATTGACTGGGACGACGAGCCCGCAGAGACAACCATCGCGCCATCTACAGAAGCTGGTGCAGCTTCAATTGCTGCCGGCGGCAAGGGCGCAGTTTCCAACCCCGTTGCTGTCCCAAACCAGGAGCTCGGCGAGAACCCCGCCGTGACCGATGACTTAAAGGTTGAGGCGACTGGCGCCGTCGCTGATGCAACTGCTCAACCTGAGGCTGCAACCGAACAGAAGCCTGCTGTTGACTACACACGAGGACTGCCCCAGACCGATCTGGAGGCCGAGCTGGCGAAGCGCAAGGCTCGCGCGCAAAAGTTCGGTATTGCTGAGGATGAGGATACTGCATTGAAGGAGGCTACAAAGCAGCTGGAGCGCGCTAAGCGGTTTGGCACTGGTGCCGAAGCTGATGCTGTCGCCGGGGCAGGTGTCAGCCGTCTTGACCAGGCACTGTCCGATGAGCGGACCCGCAAGCGTCGCAATGATACCCGCACCGACCAGGCTGGTCGTGGAGGCAAGAGACGTGACACCGGTCGCAACCGTAACCGCCAACGAGGTGATGGCAACCGCAACCGCGGTGATGGTGGCAACAAGACCAACGCTGGTGTGAAGAAGCCCAATGCCGGTGCGAACACGAACAACGCTCAGAAGTCTTGGAGTGAGAAGGACCATGCGGCCATGGAAGCTCGCAAGAAGCGCTTTGCAGCAGCAGCTTGAATGTCTTTACCAGTTCGCCTTGTCTAGTCTTTGACTCGGACTTTGCTTTCATCGTTTGTTCTTTTATCATGGGCGTTTGTGTGTTGATATGCTACCGGACATCTCAGGGTCAATCATTCCATTCGATTTGTTTTTAATATATGTGAATCTGGGTAAAAAAATCTGTTTATACCAACACATCTTTATCGTAAGGTAGACGTATGTGGCAGGGAATAGTTGAGGAGTAACCGTGGGTTGTTTTGTCAGACAGCCCTGGAGATCTCAGCTTCAATATTTTCCATATCTGAGCACTGACCGACTCACCCCAGCAAATCTTACGGAGTACGGAGTAGACGATTTTGATTTCTCTCTCGCGGCACCTAGCCCTGAGTTCCCGGAAACTGTGTGCGAGGTCAGCTGAAGAGTGCATTAGTCGTTTGTTCCTGCAGCGTGGGCGACCAGTCGCTGGGCGAGGATGGCCCAAATCGTGATTGTGGTAGCGATCGACCTTAAAACTCTTGTTTACCATCCCTTGGTGAGAGTCTGAGAGCACAGCCTTACAGGTCTTTCGAGCTCTCGATTCTGTATCCAATGTTACATACGGAGTATCTCCGACATCAACAGTTATCCTGGCTAATGTCGTTATCCGGCCTTGGTCCTCGCTTCGATGGCTTAGTTTTCCCATTGCCCAGATTACCGCCCTCCCCACTTGGATCAATGCCCTCCCGCGAATGGCAGTCCTCACATCCCCTTTTTTTAGACGGTGGCTGCGAGCTAACAGTTGATTAACGTCCAGGGCCTCTTCATTGCTGGATCATCCAGTGGGCCATCACAGCCTAGGGCCTCGCAGACTCCACTACGGAATAGACTCTCAAGGCCTCACGACCGGACCATCGAACATCAGTCTACGAAATGGTCTCTGTGCACACTCACTGGTTCTTCAAATCTTACAAGTCTAGAATTAGACTTGGGCCTAGAGAACCCCCTGTTACATGTTACCCCACGTTCAAAGAATCCTGCGAAGGATTCGGGACGGGCCTCAGTACCAAACTATGGACAACTATGGATGACCGTTGGGAAATTTAACCTACTCACCTGGGAGATACCTAATATGAGACATATTGATCAATCATAGGTATTAGCATGGATTTGCGATTGTTTTAGGAAAAAAAGAAAGTGTCTTGGGGCGTGTGGGATGCACTCTTACGTCTCTCTGCATACATACATGTATGCATTATCCTTGAAACGTTGGGGAATTCTCCGAATACCCGGCGAAGGGCTGTCGAGAAAGCTAAGAAATTGAAAGCAAAAAAAGGTTGGGTCGATCGTCTTACATTTTGTACGGATCACGAATTTGGGTTTAGTTGTTCGGCGTCTCCGGGGCGTGCGCTGCCCAAGAGGCGAGAGAGACGCGATAACAAGATTGGTTTGAATACGAGATTGTTTGGTTTCTACGATTCCGTGAATCCTGCAGATGCTCAGCTTGAGTCTCTAGCTGATCGGACAGGCGATTGAGTCAGAAGTTGGAGGCTTTTCCATCGAATCAAGCCATGCACGACGAATAGCCCGCCATGGTATGCCATTGTACGCCACGGGTTGTAACACAGCCTGTCACGTTGTGTCTAGCCCGATACCTCCTTGTTTGCCGCCGCGAGCCGATACCGTCCAGGCAAAGCAGCCAACGACAGTCCCTGCTAAGAGGGAACCCTTGAGTGGGCCTTCGGTCTATAGCCCCTCTATAGCCCCCCATGTGAGCTTCCGTGCGCACGCACTGTTGATCCGGCCACTGGGGAGTCGTCCAGTTTACTTGTAGAATTATCATTTGACTTTCCGACGGGGGCTATCGTTGCTTCAGGAGTACTGCGCAACTTGCGCGATAGGGTCTCTGATCCTTTTGACAGGCTCGAGGTCTTAGCAATCTGGACTCTTCCCGTCTAGTCCCAAAAGTAGTCACAATACTCTCTTGCCAATGAGATAGATGGCCTGAGTTCTCCTACGCAGTACCGGGACGACGGAGGTACACAGGCCTACGTTCTATAAGGTCATTGCGGTCCAAGGACTTTCTTCCCCACATGGAGGGGGCAATCCCAGTCAGCACATAAATGTCTGAGGTCTCGAAAATTTCTGGATGTCGGTCATTTTTCATTTTTCATTCATTCTGACTACGTATAATTTTGACTTATTTTTACGCACTTTCATTCTTCAGCCGGATTTCACCTCTGACGTGGCCAAGGGAAAACCCCGAGAACGCCACATTGCTCCAGACTGTGGCGAAGCTGCAGGTTAAGGCTTCGCCGATCAACCGGACATTTTTCGTTTTATCTACAGACAGTTGTAAGCCCAATGTCTTTTGGATTCCTTTTTTATACTTCATGTCATGTCTATTGACACCTGGTTTTAGCTACGTGGCTTTGAGAGACCCCGAATTTGATCTACTTTGTCTACTTAATTCTATATCCCACTATCAAGCGCTAGGCGCCGACAATATTGATATTTTCATTGACATGACTCAGATGTGGTAGGTCGCAGTATGAGCTTGACTAATTGACCTACGAAAAGCTGATTACAACCAGGCAGTTGTAAAGCCAACAACGACGTGATGGTTACTATAACGAAGTACATGTACCCATCGTCTAATCGTTTATCTTTGGATTGGAGCCGGGAACCTCACTTTTCTGGACGCCATGTCGTACAGTTCTGCCCATCACATGCCATACGATGCTTCTTCCTCAAACTCATCGCATGTCAATGCCGGTGCCTTTGGCCGACATCAAAGATCCCAAATCGCAAGGCCGGTCAATCGTACACCCGTGAACCACACTCCTAGGGCTAGAACGCCGTCATTCTCAGATGTCGAAGATACTGGTCCGGTACCAGCATCTTCGGGTATCAAGCGATCTACGAGCCGTGGAAAACGCTTGTCCATGCTTCCGCGCCCCAGTTTTGGTAGTACGACGTTGCCAGCTACACCGGTCCCTGCCCCCTCACAGTATTCCAACCAACCCGTCCCCTCATCACTTTCGAGCCCGGAGATCAACAACCACTCACTCCTCGCCGCTGGACAACAGCTATCCCCATTAAAACGAGCACGGAACGTTCTTCGAAGGAGGGCGCCGACTATAGGAAAACATGTGGAGCAACTGCATTCTAACAAGCTTAGCCTTGTCATCCCACAAGAGCCTCAAGCTCCCGGGATGAACAATGTTTCGAGTCACGGGAGTTCGACATCCTCAATCTCAGCGCATTTGGGTTCCTCAAATATACCAAACAGGAACAGGAGCAGTGTGACAGTCAACGTGTCGAGCTCTAACGTTCATACCCCAGAAGAGCTCGCCAGTCTTCGAACGACAGTGGATACGCAGAATTTGCCACCTCCGCCCACGCCTTTTCTTTCAGCAAGTAGTCCCTCGACAAGATACTCGGAGTCTCCAAGTATCTGGAGCCGGGGCTCCACTCCAACTTCATTATCGTCGTACTCCCCAGGTATTGTGCACTCCTCGAAGATTGGTCGTCTCAGACAACCGAGCCCATCCCAAACGAGATTGCCATTCCTCTCCCCCACGACGGCAAATGCAAGCCCGCAGCGAGAAAGAGTGGATCCGCAGACACAAAAGCGGCCACGTCCAATAATGTATTCTAGCTCAAGCTCAGGAGAAACCGTCAAAGATCAGCCAGTGCAAACAACCAAATCTGCCTCGGATCTCACCAAAGGTCCCCCACACAGCCCACCGACGAGAAAGTCCTCAGTAAATTTCAGCCCTCCAACGGCTACGGACATCGACGTTGAGAAAGCTCGAAGAGAGGTGGAGGAAGCTGAGCGACGCTTGTTTGATCCGCAAGGGATGATGGAATGTTCCCCCACACGTAGTGCGGACATACCGCAGAGTCCACCACGCCCCAGCAGAGATGGGACGCATCATCTAGAGCTTGAACAATCACCGATTGTTCGAAGCAACCTACGGTATCTCCGAACGACTGGCCACACAAGACGCGAGTCGATTGAAAAGATCTCAGCGACCCAGCTGCCACACCCAACTCCTAACAAGTCTGCCACTGCATCAATCGATTCGCTGCAATCAAGGACGGTATCGCGAGTTTCCTCTCGGGATAGCGCATCTCCAGTACTTTCCAGAAATTCGCCTCGACCATTGGTGAAGGGGGCCCCTAAAGACAAGCCAAATTCCAAACAGATACAACCGCCAAAGCGATTCGGCCTCTTCACAAAGAAGTCAAAGCCGGATATGTCGGAGAACACGATAGAGCAAGCCCGAGCCACTCGCAAAGGTCCAGCTGCGGGAACAGGACATGAGGGCTATGGAAAATATGGACAACGCGGCCGCAAAACCAGCGGTAGCAGTAGTAGCGATACGAGGACCAGATCAACTAGCACGACACGGAGTGTCACAAGCAAGGGGAGCCAGTCGAGTCGTCCTGAATTTGAGATTGATGAATTCTTAATGAGCCGTCTGGAACCTGTCATCATCAATGGTGGCGGATTAGATGGTGCATCTTTGTCACGCACTCAAAGTGAACAGAGTACCAGCAGCGTGAGCGTTGCGTCAAGCTCGAACTTGGATCGTCGTCCCCCATTATTATACTCAACAGGCCAGTCCACTGACTCGCTAGCAACTTCTACGGGCACATTTGGTGAGACTCTCACGCCGAGCCTTTCTAAAGGGATTGAACCGTCACCAAGCAAGAGTCCTGAGAACAAGTTTAACTCTGTTGATCGTCCGCATCACTCAAAGTCACGCATGCCAGTTCCAAGAGGGAGGGGAAACAGTCTATTCTCAAATGCTCGGGCAGCTGTGACAAATTCGTCTCTCCATATCCATGAATCCGGTACCCTCCCCTCAGAACGACCAAAGCATGTTCAAAAGTCCCCGGAGAAAGCCTCAAAGCCCGAGCATGCCGACAAACAAGACGCGAAGAAAGGAAAACATTCTATGTGGAACTTCTTCCAGAAGAACCGTAGCATTGAGCAAAATGCATCAAGTCCTCAAGCAAGTCAAACCGCCAAACTTCATGCAGCGATCTCGCCGGTGGTGAATAATCGGTCTGTTGCCCATTACGCAGTAGTGGATGCCGATTCGGACGAGCTTGAAGAAATCATCAACGAAGTCGAAGACTCACCCCTCACAGAAGAGGAAAAATTATTCAAGCCAGTAGAAGTTCCAAGGAGCTTGGATATGAGAAAAAGACATCCTTCGATTCTGTTGCCATCTCCACCAAAGATGCATAGCGAGTTTGAAAAGGACGATCGCCCATCCCCGAGGACCGCCATGTTCAATCGTAACCTTATGGCCCCGGAAGTCGAAATATCCCCAGGAAAACGCCCGAGAAGATTGGCCTCTATAGGTCGAATCCCACAGGTAGTTTCAACACGCGACAGAGAACATCATCCCCCCATGCAGTCATTCTCGCGCCCGTTTAGCGCTGTTGAGTCCTCCCCTCTCACGATTCCGACGACAAAAGGTCTATCCGAATCCCCACCAGTCATCAGTGCGCCGTTGGATCTAGGAATTGGACCTGGCGACAGCCCTGAATGGGGCCGTGGCTTCAACCCTACTTTCAGTGCTTCTGAGGATACCAGCGCTTTGGAGTTTCTTGCTGGGCCATTCTCAACCTACGAGTTCCTTCAATTTATGCCAAAGAAAGGCTCAACATCATCGGATAGCTCCGGGGCTTTGGCCGCAGTTACAGCTGTGGCCCCGGTTCCAGGCTCTCCACCGACTGAGGACGAGGTATGGAATGAGTATGATGATCTCATTGATAACGTTCTCTCGCCGGACGAATCAAAACCCGAAGATCCAATTGAATCTGAAGAAGAAGACCGATTTGGGCTTGCGACAATGGCAAGCAGGGCCCTTCAGGACGAGTTAAATAATGCTAGCCACCCTCAGTCGGTGCTTGGTGAGACTTCAGCCCGGTCAAGTGGCAGTTCAGTTCATCTTCGACGCTCGCGAATAGTCTCGGCTTTGCAGTCATCTACCGCTCCTTCGTCCCAGCCGTCCTACAGCGACATTACTGCTAAACACAGGATCTCAATTGAGGATAAAGACCCACAGACTTCTACTGCACAGCCTTCGGCGGTTGATCCGCGCTGTGAACAACAGTCTACATTTCTTCACTCGCTTGCTGCCGTTCCCTCGCCTCGGCCAAAGTTTCGTCGCGAGCAAGAATCTGCATCCCCAGAGCGGGAGTGGGATATAGTAACAAGAACCAACATGCGATCTGCTTCGCTCATGACTAGTCGCTGGTTGACTTTTGGTCGAGTCCTTTTTAGCCCGGCACATAATCATGTCAAGGCGGGAGGTCAAGGGCGAATTCTGGTGGTCGACGGACTAGGAAATGACGACTGGTCTTTCTACTGTTCCTTAAACTATCCTGATGCTGAGGTCTACTGCCTTGGTGGACGTCCAGTATCCACTGCGCCTCCCCATCCCGCTGCACTGCAGCCTCCTACCAACCATCACACTGTATACCATGCGGGTTTGGGTAATCCCCTCCCATTCCCAAAGGATTACTTCACAGTCGCCGTGCTGCGCTTTCCTACTGTATGCTCCGAGGCCGTCCAGAGCAATATCATCCAGGAATGCAAACGAGTTCTCCGCACTGGAGGGTATCTCGAGATGAGCCTTATCGATCGGGACATCTTTAACATGGGTCCCTATACGCGTAAAGCGGTCCGCCAACTCAAAGAAATGACGTACCTTTCAGACTCAACCCTCAGTCTCAAGCCAACCAGTGACAGCGTACAGCGCGAACTTGGCGCACAGGGCTTCGATAGTCTCCGCCGCTGCATGGTCCGGATCCCAGTCGCAGGCATGATCGTCCGCTCCTCCGACTCCACCTCATCAACCCGCTCCATCTCGACAGCCACCCCTTCCACCACATTCTCGATACCCACCATATCCGTCACTACCGCAGGTAGCCAGAGCACGGGAGCTACCTCAAAGTCACCCTCAAACGATGCGAACATCTCACTCGGCGATCTGCTTTCCGACCCATCTCCATCCCCGGCAAACGACGAGTCAATCGCAAAGATTGTTGCTCGTGTCGGACGCTGGTGGTATTCGAAATGCTACGAAGATCCGGTTTTCTCGACTGGAGACACTGATCGGAGCATCTGGAATGACCGCAAAGTTCTCCGGGAGTGCCAGAAGCATGGCAGCGGATTCAGCATGTTCATCGCCTACGCCCAGAAGCCTAGCCAGGTTCCGCGGCGCACGGCGAGTGTATAATGGAACGATACCATGATTTATTTGCATAATGCGTTTTTTTGTTTTTTTGTTTTATGAGATCCATGATTGATACTCTGCACGTTTCAAAAAAAATACCCATATGTCCTTATGAAGTCCGATTTTGTTTTTGAGCGTTTGGAAGACTGTCCATTCAGTGGGACAGTTTACAAGCCTTCTATTTGCGCGAATTCTTGCTTTTTGTTCCAGGTGGTGTGCATGATCCCATTCTTGATATGCCATAGAGAAAGAGGTGTGATTATTGTGTTTCCATTGTACAAGCAGGACTTGATTTGGATAATGAATAGCATAATTTGAATAATTTGAATGACTTAACTGACTACAATGGAATGAATAGAATGAGCTAGCAGCTGGGGTGACTTGAATGACCCGGTTAGGCAAAGTACGTGCTTGACTTAATTGACCCCAATAGCTCGAATAGCTTGAAGGACTTGAATGGGTTGAATGAATAGCTCAAATGACCTAATTGATGTCTGCAACCACGCACTTTAGTACTCAACACTCCATAAATTGTCCTGACGCAGAACTCTTTCTTTTGCAAGCTCCATCTCCCTCCTTCGCCTGCTTTTCTCTGCATCCCACCTCACCAGAAGGGTCGCGCACCTATCCAGTTCCTACTCTTCACCTCAGCTTCTTCAACTAGCCCCCACTAAGTAAGTTTTGTTCGACTTTCAGTTCGCACTTAATCATTCGGTTAACACAAGTTGTCACACAAAAGCACTCTTGTTTCGACACCGTCGATAACCTCCGACTTCGCCAACATGTCTACTCAACTGAGCCCGCAAGAGTCTGAGTTCCAGCTCTACGAAGGAGAGGAGCGCAAATCCATCGGCGGCAACCCAGTGGTCTACAAATACATCCCAGCCGACAATGACGAAGACAAGCCTCTCGTGGCATTTGTGCCGGGAATGGCGCACAATGCACGCATCTCTTATGGTGGACACGCAGGATCCTGCAGCGAGGACTTCCTCGCCCACTGGTTTCACCACAGTGGTAATGGATTTCTGGGTATTTCCTACCCACTCGAGATGGAGTCGCCAATGATGCCGGCCACCAGTGCCACTTTCACGCTTTCCGAATGGGGTCTCCAAACCGCTCTCACCATCTGGACCATCATCAAACAGGAAAAGCTCTCTATGGAGGTTATTGTCCTGGGTTGGAGCATGGCTGGAAAGATCATCCAACCTCTCACCATTCAGTTGGCCCGACTGGGAATCAAAGTCGTGCTATTCGTTTCGCTGGCGGCAACTCCTGCCCTCCCTGGTCTACTGGATCCCACCCCGAGAAAGAACCTCGAGCTGACAGCTACTGGCTATGCGATCAATTCAACCTTGAAGCCCATCTTCTTGAGCCAGCTCGGGGAACAGGACAAAGATGAAAACCTTGCACCCAGTAACCTGATTGACCCCGTTATCTACGAGAAGGAGTACATCGGTGCTACGCCAATCGGTATCACGGGATCTGGCTTCCGGTACAACAGTGACACCAAGGATATCGTCGAGGAAGACGACAAGTGGAAGTTGATGAAAGACGCACAGGTACACGACTACCAAAGCTTGCCGACTATTGGTGCCATCTACCCGAAAAGCGGGCTCGACTTCCGCCACGCTCTCTCGGACAAAACAACCTGGTCGTTCCTCATGAATCAGCAAGTGATGGCTCAATGCTACCAGAATGGTATTGCAGCTGCGTACTGCCATGATTCGAAGATCAATACGGCGGCTAGTCTTTCGGCGCGCCGGAGATACTTCAGCAATTTGCGAGAGATCGTTCACGGCATCCCCAGTTCCATGACCACTCAGATTCCCGGAAATCATTTCTTCTTTGTCGGTAAGATCGGGGCAAAGCGCACTGCGGAAAGCGTCCTTGGGTTCCTTAAACGTTCGAAGGACACTGAGAAGCAACTTGAGTGGCTGGCTGAGATGCATCGGGTGATCATTGAAGCCACACAGCGCAAATGATATTCACTTCGGCGATATCGGGTTTAGTATTGACACGGGATTCTAAGTTTAAGCAATCATTTTAATCAGTTTCAAATTCGTCAAAATAGCTTTATGGAGTCTAGTAATAATGAGAGAGTCTTATTGTTTAAATCCTACTAGGTCGTAGACCGTTGACTCTGTTCTACCGAGTCGTTCAGGGCAGCTAGCTGGAATCATATTCTCACGATCATATGGTAAAGACAGTAACAGTAGAGCATAATTATCCATTTTCCCATGTGCTTTGGGTAGTTCACTTTCCCCAATATCTTCCTTCAGGCACCAAGCCAGAGATCGAGCTGTGTATTTGTCAGAGTACAATGTCCCTGAAGCTGGAAATATGTCCAAAAGACCGAGCAAGGACCGCCCGAAAGCAATGATTGTGTTGGTAGAGAGTTCTCTGAATGGGCTGTACCAGACACTCCATTGGTTTGAATAACGCATGATTCTTCTGTGCTGCTTGTCTCTGAACAGCACAAAGTATGAGACTCGCGTTATCCCCGCGGCTCTGACGCTGGGCCCCGGTCTAGGGTCTATCTTTCCATCAGGATGATCTCTCGCTTATATGTGATGCATGTGGCTTGGCGTGGGATAGGAAAGCTTGTCTTGCCAGAGCCTCAACCGGTATCGACGGGTGGGGACTGGTTGCGCACAGCACGGCTAGGCCACCATCCAGTCAGAATAGCGAACTGGGCAGGTCTCGAGGTCAAAGGGATAGATTGCGGGATGAGGCAATGAACAATCGCAACTGTGAGGCTGAGTGTCTCTTGATCTTTACCTAGGGGTACTTCTCAGTTGCAAGGGAATGAGGAAATGCAGGTGTACAGCAGGTGGCCCTGTTCTGTTCGCTGAGGAAAGAAGCAATCCGTCAGTTCTTTCCCAGAGCCATCATTCTGCCAGGAAACGCGGTCAGGCAGGTTGCTCTTTCGACTTCCAAAACAACTCTGCTGTTGCCAACTGGGGAAGCGAGGGCCCCCAAACGGCGATCCGGGGACTCTGGTCTCCACTGGCTCTGCTTGATCTGCTCACTCTGGCGAGGACTAAAGAAAAGGATAGAAAGGACTGGGGACAACGTATGCACGGATTTCTGGTACATCGCAGTCATCAAGAAGACGCTCAAATGTTTCAAATTGCGGGTCCACTTAGTCCTCCAGAGCCGGCCAGCTCGGATAGACTCCAAATTCGCTCCGGTCGACTCGAACTCCGGAATAAAAGTTTGGGGCCTACCCGAGCTGTATGCCCAAAACTCCCGAGGTTACTTGCCAAGTTGCAGCAGGCATGTCTTAGTACTGTGGGGTTGCTAGCCAGATCAGATCCTCTGCAATGAGGGTTGAGAAGCCGAATATTGATATTCTCGATATCCGCGGAATGCAACAAAACACGCCTTTCATGGCCTGATTCTCACTCTATATTTAAAGTTCTCTGAGTCGCTGTTCAACTGTCAGTGAAATCTCCCGATAGGTCGATATCAATCTCAGGATTACGAAGGAAGATGCGTACTAACGTACAGAGTGAGAACTAAGAATATAGCTTATTCACAACGAAAAGGGTCGACGATACCTATGAACGAGCTCGTTATGTTGCAACAGCAGCCACCAAACAAAACCTCAGGACTCTTTCTTCTCTTGCTTTCATCATGCCATAGAGGATAAAAATGACGCGAGACAGGTGAGGCAGATACGTGGAGTTGTGTGGGATGATCACCCAATGGCTTGTGGCGGCGAACAGGGAACGAAAGCTAGCGCCATGCCCGCTTTGTTATATCAGCCAGTGGGCTCTGGCCCTTGGCCTTTGCCTCTCATCTTGACCAATCTGAGTTTACCCCAGATCTACCCACGGCAAATCGCGGGGGAATCACCGCTGCGGGGAAGGATTCATTGGCAAATGGATGGACTTGGCAAGTCCGCCAAGCCATGGTTATAGCCGACTCCAAGTAGGCTTTTGGGAGCAAACTAGGGATCGACCTTGTTGTATGGGTTTAGTGGAGGTTGTCTGGCTTAGATCCCGAACCCCTCGGCCCGGGGCGTTTGGGGGTCTAAATCTTCTACACACGTATCACAGCAAACATATAAAGCTAACTACCGGACAGCCTTTCTCCACGTATCTTGGCTGGATATTCCACTCAACTCTCTAGATCCCCCACATTTCAACGCTATCATGGCCGGAACACAGCCCGGATTTGAGTCACGAGATGACTTGGAAGACGAGAAAGCTTGCACATCCGAGAACGTGGAGAACTTTAGCAACTTTACTACCATCGAAAACATTCCAGTGCTGGGCCTTTCTCATGATGATGCCCAATTTTATCACAGCTTTTCCCCGGAAAGACGGAACAAAGTCAGGCGGAAGGTAAGGCTCCATTATCCGTTTACGAGAAAGAAACTAACTATGTATTCTATTGCAGGTCGATATCAGACTAGTCCCCATGCTTGCTGTCCTCTATCTGGTCTCCCACCTGGATAGAGCCAACATCGGTAATGCAAAGATTGCAGGGATGACAGAAGACTTGGGCTTGAGCGGTATTCAGTACAATATTGCGCTCAGTCTGTTCTTTATTCCATATGTGCTCCTCGGTGAGTCTAATTGTGATACATAATGCCGACGTGTGACTGATTCATAGTCAGAGGTACCAAGTAATATCATACTCAAGAAGTTCAGTCGGCCATCGGTTTACTTGGGGATTTTGATTGTCAGTTGGGGAATTATCATGACTTTGACGGGCGTCGTCCAAAACTTCGGAGGACTAGTGGCTGCACGAATCTTCTTGGGAGTCTTTGAGTATGTCAAAAGGTCCAATCCTCCTTTCCTCATTTACTGACTAGACCAAAAGAGCTGGATTCTTTCCAGGAGCTGTGTACTTGTGTTCATTCTGGTATATGCCAAGACAGCTTGCTACCCGACTTTCCTGGTTTTATTGTGCTAGTGCACTATCAGGTGCTTTCTCTGGCCTCCTGGCAGCTGGACTCACCGAAATGGATGGTGTCGGTGGCTACGAGGGTTGGCGCTGGATCTTTTTAATCGAGGGTCTACTGACCGTTGTCTTGGGGGTTGCGTGTTTCTTCTTGCTCGTGGATTCCCCCAAGCTGTCTGGCAGATGGCTTGACCAAGAGGAAATTCGGTACCTCGAGATACAGCACTTTATCAAAGAAGGTGGTCGGTTCAAGGACGAACAGAAAGCATCTTCGTTGAAAGATGTCAAGGCGGTCATGCTCAACTGGAGAATGCATTTGCTGGCCTATATTCTTATTGGCCAGGGTGCCTGTTCCTACGGTTTGTCAATCCGCCAATGTTTGAAAATTATATGATTGCTGATTCACCCTCTACCAGGAACAAAATTCACTCTTCCTACAATCACAAAAGGAATGGGCTTCGAAGGCACCAATGCGCAGCTCATGACGGTTCCGCCCTATGTGGCTGGTGCCATATCTGCTGTCATCTTTTCGACACTGTCTGACAGATTCTACCGGCGCATGCCATTCGTGGTAGCCCCATTGTTCCTCATTGTCATCGGTTATGCCATCATAATGGGACTCAAAGGTCAACTCCAGGCGAACATAGGACCCGGATTTTTCGCAATCATCCTGACCTGCATGGGAATATACCCTGTCCACCCTGCCACATCATCATGGACATTGAACAACCTAGCTCCCTCCAATCGCCGTGCGATTGGAAGTGCTTTCAACATCTGCATTGGTAACCTAGGTGGCATTGTCGGCAGCTATATGTACCTTGACAAAGAAGCCCCATCCTACCCCACAGGCTTTGGCTTGTCTTTGGCCTTTGGCGCAACGGGTATCATTGCAGCTGTCGTTCTCGAATTCTCATACATTTATGCCAATAAGCGGAATGGCAGTATGGACGAGGCAGAGATCCGTGAGAAATACAGCGATGAGCAACTGCTCCAGATGGGAGATAAATCTCCACTTTTCCGGTATACGCTGTGAATGAAATTGTTTTGTCGCGAAGCACTTATTGGGTTCTTGTCTGTGAGATATTCTAGTAACGTCCTATCGATATCTATAGCGCTGAGGGAAGTAGAGAATATCAGGTATAGGGGCTTTAGAAATGCAACTATCCAGCATGGCCATGGTCTTCACTATCTTCCTGGGATAATCGCTGCCCATGTAATTGAGAAATCAACGTATTTTGAAGGCGCACTATCTCTCTTTGCTGATTGATTCTTTCGTTCTGGTGTTCAACCATCCTGATTATGATGCTAGAATTCCATTAGACATAGATGATAAGCCACAAGAAAGAGAAAATAGATCACCTACGTTTGAGTCACTCTGAGACAAAACATCTGTCGTTTCTTCCTTAGTTGTGTAATCTGCGCCAGCTTACTTTCCGCCTCGGCTTTCTGAGCTAGAAAGTAGCCCCGACGACCAAGTAGTTGCCACCACGCAAGAGATTCATTTCTGGTTAAGTTGTCTCTGGTTTTGGAGGCCAAGCGCTCTAGATAACGATAATCCTGGCTATTGGTCGCTTCGGATTGTAGCTCATCGGGAATCAAATGGGACATGCTTTGTAGCCAATGCGAACCGATTCAAACGCCGCATATTCATCAAGGAATCTATTTTGAAAATCTCGCTGTTGTCTCTCAGCATGCAACAAGCGATTTGTGTGGAAAATCGATGTGACTAGGATCGCGTATGCTAGAGTCAAGATGCTGATGATGTTGCCAGTTGTTGACAAGGGGCTGTCAGCACATGATAGTTCTTGTACAGGAGTCGCATTCCCGGCCATGACAACCTGACTTTGAGAATTACCTTGATATCAGAAATTACGAATATGCTCAAAGCCGCTTTTTATCAGAACTCAGAATTAGAACTTTGAAAATGTAAGCCCATTTTGTGGAGGCTGAATACGAGAACCCCGGCCAACCTCGGGATGAGCTAGGCGCTTAAATGCCATCGTGGCGCAGGCAAGTCTCCAGGTCATAAAAGAGGGTCTTAACACTTCATTTGAATCGATAGAACAAGCTTATACTCGAGTCAAATGAACCTTCAACGGGCCCTTTTCCCACATCAGAAAATTCCTCTGGTTGATCCAGTCACGGGCCTCATCGGCGATCTCGATGTCAAAATTGAAAATAATCAAGGCGAGGATCAAACGCATCTCGCTATATGCAAGACTGAAAGACATCCATCAGCATCTCTAGAGACCTCGGATACGTTGGGTCAATACTTACTTTCTACCGAGGCAGTTCCGCGGTCCAGTATGGAATGGCTGCAACACTTCTCGGCGATCATCGGCGAATTTTGGATCTCCCAAAAATCTCTCTGGGTGATATGTATTGGGGTCTTTGAAATAGTCTTCTCTTCGGTAGAGAGCCCATTGATGAACCGCGACATATGTCTTGAAAAGGCCGTTAGCAGAGGCAGAAATGCAGTATGTAATTCAAAGCAAAACATACATTTTCCGGAATATATTCACCCAGCACCTTGGCTCCTCCCGCGGGACTCATTCGAGGTAGGCCGTTGGCGATGGGTGGATACATACGCAGTGCCTCGTCGAGACATGCAAGCATATAGGAAAGCTTATTAACAGAGATAAGGTTGATCTCCTCCTGGCTCTGGAAGACAGTTCGTACTTCCGTTTTCAGCTTCTCATAGGCACTTGGATTCGTGAGGAGAAGGTATGTGACTCCGCTCAATAACGAGGCCGTAGTCTCCGAGCCTCCAATAATGAGAATTTCGGCATTTGCAATCAATTCTCCAACACTCAGGTTCTGATAATGATCAGTCATTAACTCATAGACAAAAAGGAGCTCAAACCTACCAACTCCTCCTTCTTTCGCAAAAGTCCTTCAATTAGGTCGGCTCGGCCTTCTTCCTTCTCCATCCGACGGAACATCTTTTGTTCGGTAAGTTTCTGGTGTCTCTCGTGGGCTTCTTTCATCGACGCAGGAGCCATTGATAGCAACGCCTGCTTCACGAGTGGATAGAACGAAAGAGCCTGCAAGATAATTCCGAGCCGACCGGCTTCAAAGATCCCTTTGATCCATCCATCAAGATTTGACCCCTGGAGGCAGCCAAATGGCTCACCAAATGCCAGATCCCCGATAATATCGAAAGTGGTATAGTTATACCAGTCGGATAGGATCACCGGACTACCGGACTTGCAAAATTCATGCAGTCGGTCGAGCAACATGTCAACATACCCGCGAATCAGTGGTTCCTGGTCTCTCATCGCTTTTTCAGAGAAGCCATGAGCCATTTGTCGGCGGAGACGCCCATGTTGCTCTCTGGTCTCATTGACTACATGTGACGGCTGTTCAACTGGACGGTAGAACCAGTCAGCCTTGGAGAATTCCCCTTGTCCCTTCTGGTGACCCATAATATCTTGCCAGGCATCGGGATGTGAGAAAGCCAGCTCATCTGGTGCAATGCGGACAATGTCACCATATCGCTTATGCATATCTAGCATATCGAAGGGAAGGGTTCCCCGAGCAGACCGGTAGACATATGGCAGTCGGGAGATTTTGTGCACCAATGGTCCTGGAAATCGGGCCAATGGATGAAAGAAAACATTGTAGATAACCCTAGAGGCGATGTACAATGTTGCCTAGACGCGTTAGAGCCGAAATCCCAACGAGAATCTCAAGATATACCGTAAAGAGTCCGGTTAGCAGCACATGCTGCACGTTGAAAAGAATACCCATCCTGTCTCAAGATTCTACTCGTGTCACACCATTTAAAGACGTAATTCCGCTACCGCGTGAGGGGGTCTTATATGTGCAGGTTCAGAAATTCAGATGCAAACCGAGGTTGATTATCACGTTGATCAACATGGATTCTAGGGATGTCGTTGAAGCAGGGTCAACTTCGTCAAACACTGGCTCCATGTAGTGAAGCGTTAATTGGCTGGAGATTATCTGGGCGCCAATCTCAACCCAGGGGGGTTTAGGGGTTCAGGGGATGGAGTCGAACGAAGAAAAGCACATGTTCTCACCCGAACCCGAACCCGAACACGATGTCGATCCACCCCCTTCTAAACATCGGGGGTCAGTCCATTTGTTCAACCTCGGGCACCAATGAGCTTCATGCAAATTACGAATACGAAGCCACCTCTCGGACTAAAAGGACGGGGAGGGATGGTCTGAGTATGCATAACATGTCACTGTCGCCTTTGATAGGTGCGCGGAGATGAGCCATTCCGTAGGATTTATGCATTCTATACGTCTGAAGAAATTCGAATCATTCAAAAAGCCCATCGGCCCTCATCAACCCATCATGACTGTGAAGTTTTCTTTTGATAACACTCGAAATGGACTCGGAAACGCATGACCCTGAAGGCCAGTCTGTCAAACAGGCAAATGAGAAAGTCAGCGAAGAACCCACGACACAGGATTCCGAATATGATGTCTTCTGGGAGAAGCCAGCCAATGAAGATCCCGAGAATCCGATGAACTGGAGTGGTGGACGAAAATGGACCATCATCGGGATGGTTTCGTTCGTCACGTTCTTGACGTGAGTGCTTCAATATATGCCAAAGACCGAAACTCTAACAACATAAGTCCCCTCGCCTCTTCGATGTTTGCACCAGGTATCCGACAGGTCCTCGAAGATTTCGGCTCCACATCTAAGGTCCTTTCGACGTTTGTCGTCTCGGTGTACGTCCTAGGGTTCGCCTTCGGTCCTCTTGTTGTCGCGCCAGTTAGCGAGTATAGTGGCCGCGCATGGGTCTACAATGTTTGCAATGTGTTGTTCGTAATATTCAACATCGCAAGTGCGCTAGCTCCCAATATGGCGTCGTTGATTGTCTTCCGGTTCCTAGATGGGTTCGCAGGCGTCGCTGCCATCACATGCGGTAGTGGTACAATTGCGGATCTTGTGCCGAGTGAGAAACGAGGCCAAGCCATGGCCATCTGGTCCCTGGGGCCTCTGTTCGGTCCAATTATTGGCCCTGTCACTGGTGGATTCCTTGTGGAAGCTACAGATTGGCGATGGGTGTTTTGGGTTCTGGCCATTGCGGTAAGACAGATGTTACAAGGGCATAAAACGGTTCGTTTACTAACTCGTATTCTAGAGCGGAGTCGTAACCGTCGTGTTCTTTTTTGCCGTACCTGAGACATATGCTCCGGTTCTCCTCGAACGAAAGGCTGCCCGGCTACGAAAGTCAACAGGAAATACGGCGTACAAATCTCGTCTGGATTCTGGAATCCCACCAAAGCAGCTTTTCATTCGCAGTCTCATTCGACCGTCCAAAATGCTTATCCTATCGCCGATAGTGGCTCTGATGTCCACTTATATCGCTGTTCTTTACGGCTTCCTCTACATTCTCTTCACCACTTTCACGATCGTCTTTGAGGGCCAGTATAACTTCAATGCCAGCGCAAGCGGTCTATCATTCTTGGGAAGCGGTGTAGGCATGTTGATTGGACTTGCCTACGTGGGGACATTGAGTGACCGCAAGATCCGGCTCAAGCTCGAACGCAAGGAGACTCCTGTCCCCGAGGACCGCCTTCCCATGTATCTTACCATACCTGGGTCCTTGGCTATCCCAGCGGGTCTTTTCGTCTATGGATGGTCTACGGACAAAGTAGTCCATTGGATTGTGCCTGAGATTGGAAATGCAGTGATCGGTTTTGGCATGATTATCATATTGATGTGTGTTCAAACATATCTGGTAGACGCTTTCCTTGCGCATGCAGCGAGTGCCGTGGCTGCATGCACAGTTCTGCGAAGCTTGCTTGGTGCCCTTCTTCCTCTGTGCGGATTGCAGATGTACGAAAAAATGGGTCTTGGGTGGGGCAACAGTTTACTGGCGTTCCTTGCTTTAGCAATGGCTCCTATACCCATCCTGTTCCAAATCTGGGGAGAGAAGCTGCGGACGAAGTGGGCGATTGACCTCTAGCGTCAAACTTGTGAGTCCATTAATAGTCTACGCCATTAATACACCTCGGTACTTTATACAGAGAACGATACTGTCGAAATATTCAAGCGAATCATCATCGTTTGGATTTCCCTTACTTTGGCACTCTTGGGTCAGAGTAGATCACATTTCCCATTGCAGATCATGGTATCTTAGGGTACACATAAACAATCATAAACACAAAATCATTAAAACATCAAAATTTGTACACGGACAGAAGAGGGAAAATGTGATTCCTCTTTACTGGAGAAGAGCAACCATCAACCGCTCGTAATCACCAGAGGTCTCACCGCGGACACGGTCAATCAAGCTCTGCCCGAAAATGTGCTGGTAAGCACGCTTGACCATCTCCTTGTGGTTGCGGTCCCAGTGGACTCGAACCGTGCGGATGACAAGGCGCTCGTCCTTGGTGCCCATGCCACTCATACAGTCCTCGAGGAGGATAGCATCGCGCATAGCAGGGTCCGTAGCGGAGCGGAGCATCAAAAGCAGCGCATCTTCCATGTGACCCGAGAATTCCTCCTTGATATGCTTCTCAAGAGGGACATGGTAACGTGCCTGGAAGGCCTGGCTGATTGCGCGGAGCTCCGCATTGGAGGCCTTGGCGATGATTGCGCACACTTCAGTGACGTTCTTCTCGCCTTGTAGGTGGCGAACATCCGTCTCAATGGTCTGCGGGTTGACAGGGGTAGACTCTTCATGGCGCGCGGCACGAATAACGGTGGCGAAGAGTTGAGATGTCTTGAAAGAGAGGTCGCCTTCGACATCACTAGAAAGCGAACGCTTGTATTTCATCTCATAGGCTGTCCGGATGGCATTCATATCGGCATTGGACCGACCGAGCAGGATATCGTTAAGCAACCACTCCTTTGTACCAGCGCCGTCGATTGCGTCATGGGCGCACTCGACATCATGCAAAAGCGGCCCGTCCAAGACGGCAAGGAGGCCATCGCGGAAATACCCGCCAGTCTCGGACTTGACATCCTTGTACAAATCGCGACCGAGGTGCTTGGAGTATGTATCACGGACTGCGGCCATCTGGAGGGGATCGAGTGGTGCGAGAACTGCAATCAGCGCCTTTTCATCGGTGCCGAAGCCCTTCATCGCTTTGCGAAGTGCATCTGCCTGGGGCCGGAAGTCACCTGGTGCCAGTTGGCCTGGGACGTAACCGGGAGATGGCATTGCTGGAGGGCCTTGGGGAGGCAAGGCGCCGGATGGTGGAGCACCATATCCAACGGGAGGTTGGTTCGGAGGAGGGGCATAGCCATGCTGCTGCTGGCCGTATGGAGGCTGTGCCGGCGGAGCGTGATATCCGTGAGGTTGCGGGGGTGGTGCACCATAATGACCACCCTGCGGAGGAGGGGTACCGTAGTGGCCTTGTTGGGGAGGATAATGCCCTTGTTGAGGTGGTGGGTAATGGCCCTGCTGAGGAGGGTATTGGCCTTGTGGAGGGGCACCGTAAGGCTGGGGTGGGTAAGGGGGCTGCTGGTAGCCCTGGGGAGGAGGGGCCTGCTGTCCGTATTGCGGTGCGTATCCCCCGTATGGAGGCTCTGTTAACCATGTTAGCTAATGCAGCTAAGCCCGGGAGATGTGTCATGGCATAACATGCGACTTACGGGACGGATGTTGATAGGACATGGTGTATGCAACGAGAATGCGACACGTTTACGGAAGTGTTCGAGAACTTCCGGGGGCGAGGGGTGTTTATATGTATCGGTTGCTCGGCTCGAGTGTGGCGCAGTAGAGTGGGGGCGCTCACAGCCCTGTGGTTTTGGAGAACTGACGCCCATTTTTTTCATTTCCTTTGTCTTCCAGGCTCCAGCATTACTTGTTTATAATTCAAGATGACTATCTCCGTATTACTTGCGCGGGGCTTTGCTCCACAGCTGTATACGAAGTATAATATCTCAAGGTTTTCTCGTATTTACCCTAAGAGGTACAAAACGGACCTTGTGAACTTCCAGCTTCATCATCCAGTGTATTACCAAAATCCCTGTCATCTCTCGATCAAAGCTTGAACCATTTCCCTGCTCCGCCAACGATGGACCCTTTCTTTACCTCGCCATCGCTGAAGGGCATATCAAAGCCGCCCGTGATCGCCACGCCATTCTTCAATCTGAGTTGAATCTGGTCCTTTTCTATAGGCAACTCCTCAAAGTTTTCAGATTGTTTCTGAAGCTGATCTGCCGAGTCATAGGTAACATCGGCATTAGGGATAGAGAAAGACTGCCCGAAGCTGGTCAGATTGCCCACGAAAATATACTGAGCTCCTTCAACTTCGAATTGACCGAGGACACGTCCTTTATCGCTCGTGAGGGTTCCAGCTCCTTGGGGCATCTGTTTCGTGAGACTGTTAGTCGTGTTGCAAGTAAGCTCCTAGCTTCTGAAATTCTCATAGAGACGGGGGTTTTCAGAGACAGGAGGCATTCTGGGAACTCACTGTGCGAGGTATCTTCCAGATATTCACGGGTATCAAGATTGGAATTGTGAATGTATCTGCTCTTTCATCTATTTAAAAGAAATGGATCAAGAAGAGCGGTCAGCTCAGGGAGGGTTCATGGCGGGATACTGCGCAGTCACCAGTGCGTCCGATGTCATACATGCAGCTTGAGTGGAGAGCTGTGCTTGGCCTCGAGATTGTGGACGGTGATTTATCCATAGATCGCTTACCAAGGCACTTATAACAAGGAACGGGACACAGGTGCATGGTGCGAAGCATTATGCTGTATGTACCCAACATGCACGGCTACGTAATGGAATAGTTCCCATAGCCGTACTTGCAACAAATTGCTAAGAACCAGAGACTTGCTATCAACAACCTTGCATTTTCAGAATTTACGATTCATCATGTGTATGTTCTTTATTATCTTCATATAAGGAGTCTGTTTGGAGTGAATTGCTCTTCATTCTTGCCATGGAATTAGTGACCCGATAGTTACCTGCATCCTATACTGATTTTCCACCCAATATTGTAGTTTGAAGTTGACAGATGGTCTTCATGCGGGAGAAACTAGAGGAATTGAAGAAATACGGTTATTGATAGCTGTTTCTCTATATTCCTGTCTCACAGGGCTACATGTAAGGACTGAATCTCGCCTTCAACACCCCGCCATGGGAGTGATAGCGCTAACCGGATCTGGCTAGCGCAACCCCCTTGGCCTGGACCACTGCGCCTCCGCAAAATCTCCAGAATAGGTTCCTGGACTCCTTCTCAGTGGTTCGTTTCATGTCAAAGCCTCTTGGGGTCCACTATAAGCTCATGGTCTCCTGATTTCGAGTCGTTGACATGGCCACATTTACACCGGGCCGACGCTCACACCGAAAGTCGCGGACCGGATGCTTACAATGCAAAAAACGAAAGGTCAAAGTAAGAGCCACATAATTCTTGCTGACGAACCGGACTCAAATATCGATTACAGTGCGACGAAAGCCAGCCATGTTGCCGTAATTGTGAGAAACATGGTGTTGTTTGTTCCTTCACTAGCCTTTCAACCGTGTTGTCCACCAAAAAAGCGGATTCTGCAGAGTCGCCAGTCTCCCTATCTGGGCCAGAAAGCATAGCATCAGGCAGAGCTCCTGCTGCACCAGTTATCCCACAGCTCTTACCAAGCCTATCTTCCCTGGGGCCTTTTCCCTCGACACTAGCTGTGTTTGACCTGGAACTGTTGCACCATTGGACCACGTCAACATGTTATACGCTATCGCGGAGTCCAGCGGTACAGGCCGTTTGGCGTGATGAAGCACCTCGAATTGGGTTCGCTACGCCCCCAGTATTGCACAACTTGCTAGCCGTTGCAGCGCTACATCTAGCCCGCTCAGATGAATCCCGGCGTGCAAGTTGCCTAGCCCACGCGAAGATGCACCATAGCACTGCTGTGAGAGAAATTATTCCACTCGTCTCACCTCTGGCACAAGAGAATGGTGCTGCACTGTTTATTTTCTCCAGTTTAACTTGCATGTTCTCCTGTGCCAAGCCATCAGAAGAAGGGGACTTCCTAGTCCTCTTTGAGCGTGGTGCTTTATCGGAATGGGTTCGACTTTTCCGAGGGAATACCACTGTCATGCATACCGGAGGTGAAATTCTTCGTACTGGGAGGCTGGCGCCAATCTTCACAAACGGAAATCACATTGCCGCTGCTCACCACTCACCACAGGCCCTTGAGCAGGGCAGGCCGCATGTTTGGGAGTTAGAGCAAATGATGTGGAGGGAGTGTGCAACTGATCCGTCACTTCGAGCCATTTATCAAGAGGCGATCAATGAAATAGCTCGTACCTTGGGCGTAGCGATAAACTCTGGCATCATGCGGAGACTTGAAAGCGCAGATGTTTTCCTCTGGCTTCTTAATGTCTCCGATGATTATTTGAATCTCCTGCGCCAGGAAACTCCCATTGCGCTTATTATATTCGCTTATTGGTGTATATGCATTCGTCAGATTGAGTGGACGTGGTGGGTGGACGGTATAAGCTCACGGCTTATGACGCAAGTTTCATCTGTCTTGGATGCGAAATATCGAGATTGGCTTACGTGGCCCCGTGATATTGTCAATGGATGTGTCGAATTGTCAAATTAAGTCACAGTTATAATTGTACAAACTGTCCATATCGCTGTAAAGGTCGAAGGGAATAGCAAGAGACGTAGAATGAAACAATACAGAAACAATGCACGGCAATGATATTATTATTGCTAACAAAACTCGCGATGTCAGGCCCGGGGATGCACTTCAGTATTAAAGAAGGGCAAGCTTTACCCAGGTCGCACCTCCCTTGGAATGTCTCATTCTGTCCACTCTGTCATTCCCCTGTCGCTAATCCATTTCCAAGATGCCTTGCAAGGGGAATCCACTGGTAGTTGCCATCAAATGCGAGGGCGTTTCCTCTGAGGACCATCCTCACAACACCCAAGCTGGAAGATCCCCTGCTTTTCCTCATGCATGGGCTCTCCATGAAATGTGGCCATAATACGCATGAGCCCCTCGCCAGAATCGAGCTCCCCGTCGTCTTCAAGATATGGGGTAATTGACTGCCAGGCCTGGAAGACTTCAAGTAAGACGATTTGGGTTCTGCTGGGGCAAAGCCTTTCCAAATTTTCTTGGTATGCCCGTAAGCCTCCCACAAACCAGTATAAATCTGGGGCAGCGGCAGATTCCTGTAGGGAATCTTTGCTTGATTAGAAAGAGGCTTTAACAGAAGATGGAGCCTTCCTATGAGGTTTGAGATATTGGATGATACGATAGCGACCTTACCAATAAGTTGCAGGAATGGGGTAATGATCACGATGTCGGGATCATTAGAGAAATCCACCGTGGGTGCGATCCTCACTCGAGGAATTTGGCCCGTTCCTGTCTCGTCATTGGGCCTGGTGCTCGAAGTCATAGCTCGATTCGCTTCTGCATATCCCTGAAGATTTCCATTTGCCTCGGAAATGATTCGGCGTTGGCTTGTGTGGCTCAACTGTCTTAGGCCATCGACCCATATGTCCTGCGACTCTTCGATTCTGGCGTCGGTGTCGCTAGCCATGTGGGAATGCCGTGCTGATGGTGGTGGAAGATGGAAGATAGGGAGAAGTCAGATGGAGAGGATGGTTGTAAAGTAGAGGTGTGATGGACGACAGATTTGTAGCGATAATAGGAAGCGTGTCGTAACTTTGTTCCTAAGAATGGTATTCCTTTCTCACTTTTCTCACTATTTTCAGTTTTCTTGTTCATGAATTATCGCTTCCTATTCTCTCAATTTATCCTTAAGTATAACAATATGTCCTCTCGCCGCTTTCTCACTTTGATATCAGCCTTCACAATGTTTATCATCAATAGCTGGCTAGCTAGCTCCATCAACCAATAACCGGAAGAGACTTCACCTAGCAAACTGTGATAAATACAGCTCATGAGCTAGAACATCAGCATCTTCAAAGCAAAGTGAGATGCTAAGAGCTAGGGGGGTCAAACCTATCATAGCCAGGGCTCGTATCAAATTTCACTAATTCTACTCAGGCGGCCTTTTTCGAATTTCAGATCTCAAACCAACCAGTGTTGAAAGGCTCATAGATGGCGCTGAAAAGCCATTCCTCAAACCCAACGATATGCCCGACGCTGAAATTCCTATTATCATCGACTTCCTTCGAGGTATGCTTACAACTAACCCGACACGTCGAAAATCGGCTGCAGAACTGCTGCGGCGTGAATGGCTTAAAGTGCGACTACTTCCGAATGCCAGTTGGAGTGAAAAGAGGTAGTGTCGTTTCAATAGCACTTTCCATAGGGAACCAAAGTATACATCTGGAAGGACCGTACAATAAGGAGTATCTGAAACTGTTTATAGGGAGGCTCTCGTAAAGCTTTGGCGCAGTATGTAAGGGGGGTCGTCTTCTCTGGGTGGAGGACTATGAGAAGGGTGTTAGTCCAATATGTGCAATCACTTGCGCGCGCTAAGGGAAATAGCCTCGCCATATGAAATAAACAAGGGGTGTGCGCTGATTATACAGGCGTACTTCTGATGATCCTGTGCCAACAAAGTTACATGCATATTCATTATAGTCAACTATGAGTCTACCCAGACAGTACCATTTTGCCTTCGTTTTCGAAAAGCTTCACCCTCTCGGTCTCCCGGACGACTGGGGTACCCAGTAGCTTTTCATTTTGAACACCCCCATACAGCGACAAAATAGGCATAAGATCGTTCTTCCAAGCTGGAACCATATCCCTTCGAGTCTTCCACATGGTACCCAATAGTGTAATCAGCCCTAATAACCACACCAACGCCGGAAGGGCGATCCACTGCCAATGAATGGAAACAAATGTTGCATTCACCATTGCTTGGCCGCGAGTGGTAGCGAGATCAGAAGATGATGCCGTATCCCGAATGGCCTTGGACATCGCTTTCGCCACATTATCCATAATACAAGGCAGCTTCTCCACAGTCCGAACTGAGCAGTTGGTGACATTCGAAAGGGTAATAACCTCCAAAACGTCCTTGCCTGTGGTAGAAAATCTGAAACCGATGGAATCAAGTTCTGCCTTGCCCGAAAAGAAATCACGAAAGAAGACTGAAAGCGAATCCAGTTGCCTCTTCCCTATTTTGTAATTCTTTCCCGGCTCAATGCCCATTTCCGGTCCCCAGGGGGGTTGCAAGGTGTAATTCCGAGTCTCAATAACGTTGTCTGGGAAAGATCCATTGGTCCAGGTGGCTAAGGTTTCTTCGTGATAGACACCTTCAACTACTTTTGCGCGAAAGCTGTGCACGATAGGGATAATGGTGCACTCTACCGCTTGCCATACTGTGTGGTTGAACTTAGCACCGTACATGCCCGAGGCTGGTAGCTCATCTGGGCCGATAATTTGGACAACGGGAATTCCGATATTGTTTTCGTAGACAAAAGGGGTCAACCATGTCCCTAGGACGACAGGGGTACCCCGGAGCGAGTCGGTCGTGACGTCTGCGGAGACATTACTCCATTTATCTTTTTGGAGATAGACAGAGAGCCTTTCTTCAGTTATACTAGGCACGTATTTCACTGTGGAATTTTGGGTTTTCATTTGAAGTCGGTCTGTTATGTTCGTGCAAGTCGCTCTCATTTCCAGGGTAGTAATTGGATCCCAAGTACAGTTTCCAGAGCTGCAAGTGTATCGTGGAATAGACCATGGATCTGACGAGTCGGTGCTGTACAGAGAGTTGTAGATGTTAGCTTTCATTGCTGGGTCGACATAGTATGTTCCTACACGCTACTGTTAGCGAGGATTACATGAAATTCATTTAGTTCCGCCTCTCACCACGAGACAACGGAGGGCCCAAAACATTGTATACAGAGTTACTCGACAGTATCGCAGTGCCTGAAGGGTCGACAATAAGTCCAGAGTAATAGTTGATTAAACTCTGCACGAAAGGGTCAAACGCAATCGCGAGGATAACTGCTAGGCTGCCTAGGCTTGCGAAGTGTCTACCCAATTTAATCAGCAATTGTTCACAGAAAGGCCCGCAGTCCACGGATTTCCATACTTCGCTCGAAGTCTCCAGACTAAGCCTGCACAACCATATATCCCTCGACTAGCTCCATCGAAGGTGCCTAGATCACCCAACGGGCGGCTCTTACGTGTGAACCACACCCATTTTAGTTGGCCTATTCCCTCGCTGACAGTGAACAAAACACAACCTTTGGCGATAGTGCTTAACCAAGAGATTATCGTGTTCAGCGACACGAATCTCCAGGTCGGCTGCGGTTGATGATTATATTGCGCCAAGATCACCACGATGGCAACCAGAAGCGCCGAGGATAGTCCCATGGCGAGTACTTCCCAGATGAATAGATCTGAGATCAGTTTCCATATCGATGGCTGTGTTTTACTCGTTTTTTCTCGATCTGTCGTGTCGGATACCAGAGGTTCGTTTGCTGGTTCGGCATGAGGCTCAACGGGTAGGATCCTGGGGGACTGGGACGGCGTGGGCGCCTCTTGGCTCGTGGCTTGAGCAGCGTTTTGATCTGAATGCACCCGGGACACTGGTGATTCCTCGGAATCTTCTGTTGCTCTTGTTGCTCTTTGGTTCGGATTCATTGTAAAGCATCACTTTCGACAGATTTCAATGCCGGCGGCTAGAAGGGAGAGACAAATAAGGGCAGAGGAGCCGCGACCAATCGCCCATGGCTCGCTAACAAGTTGTCTTGGCATGCACCTCAATGAGGTTAGAAGCGTTGGGGGCCGGGTGGAATTACAATCCTTCTATGCCGGGGACATCGTCGGATTTTAGGCCGGGGAAGTTGTCTGGTATGGAAGTATTGAGCAGACTGCAGACTTTGCTGGAATCCATCGAGTATTTGACGTGAAGACATGCGGCAAAAAGAGCCATAGAGCTTATATTGGACCCCTCAAGTGCCAAGATGGCCCCTGTCATCGCAACTTGCTGATTGGCCTTTGAAAAGCATTTGATAGCGCACCAGACTTCCGAAGATTTGGGTTCACGGACGTTGCTATGAAGGGGCAACGTAATAGCAAGCAATGGTTATATTGTGAAGAGGAGAGAAGGAGGCAAAGCAGAGTGTGGCAATCCCCGTGAAGACAAAGACCACACAGCAGAATGGAAGGATCGCGATGGACGATTTTAGCAGTGTTTCGAGGTGGACCACTTGGGGAAACAGAGGAAGATACTAAAAAAGAACGTAAAGTACAAATCCATGAATGAAGCTTCCAAGCAGAGACATTCGTGCCATTGTCGACCTGGAGATACAGTGAGGGAAGAAGGCGTCAATTAGATAACCCTCGTAAAGCGCCGATCCCTCTCTATCAGTTGTGGTTGATAGACAGGACCAGACTCTACGCTACGAAGAGAGAGAGAGACTGGAAATCCTGTATTCGTCTGCGGAAGAGAAGAAGGGAAGGAAACTATCTAGAAGAAGGAGCTTCTTATAGCACGGCGAGGAAGGAGGAGTCACCTGACTCCAAACACCCCCCATGAGCCATGCGAAGAAGCCAAAAAACCCCCTATAAGCTAAGAAACCCCCTATAAACTCTTAGGATCAAAACCAGTCTTTTTCTTTTTAAACGTAGTAATGAAGAACCTCCTAGGTTAGCTTATGCAAATAGCTTTTTCCTATTAGCTAAGCCTAGCTGACTGATCCAGCGTTAAAATATAACCTTTGTAAGAGGCTTCGTTATACTATCTATAGCTATCTTTACTATAGGAATCTTCTTAAAATTAATTCTTCCCGTATTAACTTCCTTACAGAGCTTATAATATCTTACCCCGATATACTTAGTATTAGTATAGAATTCCGGGTTACTAGCTAGTGTAATTATACTATTGTTATCTACGTATATAGGAATAGGCTTTTTAATAAGACCCTTAATACCTAGTTCCGTTAAAAGCTATAATAGCTAGATTACTTCTTAAACCGTAAGAGCTTCTACGATATACTTACTTTTAGTATTAGAAAGGGTAACGTAGGCTTACTTTTTCGAGGTCTATAAGATTAGTCCCCTAGCGAGCTTAAAAATAAAACCCGAGGTAGATAGTCCCTTTTTAGAATATAGGCTAGCTTAGTTAGTATTATAAAAACCTAGTAGTTTTATAGAACTAAGATTAATATTAAGATTAGGACTAAAATTAGGATTAGTAGAACGTAAAGTATATATAATAACTATATCCTTAGTACCTATAAGATAGCGGAAAATTCTCTTAAGAGTAGTCTTATACTATCTACCTAGATTTTTTATATAACGAGCTAGCTTTATAGTTATAAAGGCGATATTAGGACGTATTAAAATTATTAACTAGACTAACGTACCGATCCTTATCTAATAGAACCGTATTTTAATTATAGTCGTAATACCCTTATTTTTAGTACGAGGAATAAGAATTTCTTTCTTATAAAAGGGAGTTAGAATAAGATTATAGTCTATTATACTGAAGCGTATAAGGTTCTTTTTAATATAATATTTCTAAGAGAGAGAGATAGAGCTATTAGGATTATATATAATATTAATTCCTAGATATCTATTTATAGGACCTTTATCTAAAATATTAAAACGTATAGAAATATCCTTTTTAAATTAGCTAATTAGATCCTCGGAAGGGCTTAAAATTAAGAGATTATCTATATAGATTAGTATAAATAAGCGATCTTTTATAAAAACGGAGTGATTAGCCTAAAGTTTCTAAAAACCTATAGCTATTAAGGTATTTCGTAGTAAAATATACTATTCTTAAGAGCTCTACTTTAGTCTATATAGCGTTTTTATTAGTAAACCGTACTTTCCCGGATACTTATCTTATATAATTTCGGGAAGTTCTATTTTAATAGGTTCTCTAATTTCTATATTAAAGAAGGTAGTAATAATATCGAGATAGTATATCGGCTAGCCTTTTAATATAGTAATAGTAATAAAGACTTTAAAAGATATTAGCTTCGTAATAATAGCGTAAACCTTATAAAAATCTTAACCCTTAACTTATCGAAAACTACGTACTACTAGGCGAGCCTTATAGCGACTATTATATTTAATAGTCTATACCTAGCGAAGAGTAAGAGGTTTACGACGCTTTTTCGATCTTTTAATAACTCTCTAGGTACCGTTAATAATATACTAAGAGATCTCCTAGTATATAGTAACTAACTATTTATCTTTATCCTTATAATTTATAGCTTACTCCTATATTTTAGGTATATATCTAGATTCGGAGGGAGACTTATTAGACTATTATTTTTTAGATATAGCGTATACGTAAAGAGTTTCTAGGATATCTATATTCTTAGTAAGAAGCGTAGTAATACCTATATCGTAAAGAGTATAAGAATCTAGGCTTTCTAGATAAGCGCGAGAAGGCTTCCTAATCCTAGTTAAACGGTATAATTAAGATTAATTAGTCTAATCCGATTATTATATATCTAATTCTCTAGGCTACCGGGAAGCTACCTAAGGTTCTATAAGAACCCTTAGTTTATCTACGTTAAAATAAATACTATATTCCTCCTTACTTTATACCTCTATACTATTTCTAAAACTACCCTCTATTTTAATAGGTTTAAGAATTGATCGAGTTAGAGGATCTTTAGACGGAAAAAAGCTTTTATCTATAACTTCTTCTATAGTTAGCGAGAGAGGAGAGGAGGGTTAGTGAAAGGACGAGAACTAATAAGATACCGGACGAGGTAATATAGAGCCTATTAGTATAGGAATAGGATAAGCTAGATCTAAAGGCACGCCTTTAGTATAGAATTAAGGAGAACTAGTATTAGTACGATTAGATATAGACTTATATCTATATACTAACTATAAAAAATTAATAGGAATAAACCTTTTAGATAACGGGTTATTATAAGATCCCTTATATTAATTACTACGATACTATTAAGTAAGATCTAGCTTATAAGCCGGAGTAGGTAAAATAGTCGGAGATAGAGACTTATTAAAAATAACGTTACGAGATCTATCTAACTTCTTAGTGCGTATATTATATAAAACGTAATATCCTCCCTTATTATAGCTTACTAGTCTTACTTCCTCTATATAAGGATCGAGCTTAGTATTACGTTTTTCTTTCGGAATTAGAAACTAGTATTAGTAGCCTAAGGCTTATAGGTTTAAAAGATTAGGCTTTCTACTAAAAAAGGCTTCGTAAGGAGTTATCTAAACCCTACTATAAAATAGACGGTTTATCGTATAGTTAATACCTTTTAGTAGTAGACCCTATAGGTATTTAGGTAGCTAATATTCCGCTATAATTATAATAAGAGGTTTAATAAGATAGCGATTCTTAATTTTAGCTATACTATTTAGCTACTTAGTATAAGGAGGAGTCGGATCCTAAATAACCCCCCGGTTTACTAGGTATTCGGCGAGTAGTTTATACTTAGCCGTATTATCACTATAAACTCTCTTAACTATATAGTTAAGTTAAGTCCGTAGGTAGGTCTCGATCTATATATAGTATTCTATAATCTCTAAACGAGACTTAAGTAAGAAAGTCTATATAAAGCGGGACGTATTATCTATAAAAGTTATAAAATAGCGCTCTCCTCTATATAAAGTAATAGAAATTAGACCCTAAATATTAATATAGAGTATATCTCCGGGTTTAGTACGAATAGCCCTTTCTTTCCTAAAGGGGAGGGTATATCCTTTTCCTTTAATATACGGTATATAAGGGTAAATCACTCCTATATCTAGAATTAGGCGTATATCCTTAGCCGAGGTTTCTATCTTTCTTACCTTAGCCTCGCCGGTATAATAGGCGCGGCGATAAGCTAAGTCGATAGTAATAGGTTTCGTATAACGAGAAATAGAAGCTATAGATATAGATACTAGAATAGTATATTAAATTAGATTTACTTCTAGTATAGTATTAAGCCTTTCTATACTAAGATAATTTAGCTAATAATACTCGCCTTTAATACTAGTATACGTAATCTTAATTCTTTAGCTTAGTAGTTTTATAACCCCTTTTTTAAATAGAGTAGTAATACTATTTTTATCGAGATCCGAGATAGAAATTAAGCTAGACTTTAGAGCTAGAGTAAGCTACACTTTTTTAAGACGAAGAGTGCCTAGACGCTTATTTATACTTATAGAACTTAATTATATAATTATATTACTATAGCCTTTAGTGTAAAAAATATTACTAATCGTAGTTCGTATAGGAAGTATATATTCGCGAAAGCTATTAAATATAGACCGATAAGGTATTATATAAGTAGAAGTGCTAGAATTAAGTATCTAACGAGTAGGATTATTTCTATTAGAAGCGTATTAACCTTCCTAAGAAATAGTTAAACTAATAGTATTAGAAAAAAGGTTATTATACTTAAAAATAGGATTACTAGATAGTATAGAAGGTCTAAGTAGTACTAAAAGTCTAGGTTATATAAATATAGCATTTACCTAAGGTCTCTACTACTATTAAGGAGGAATTATAACTATCTAACCCTAACTATTAACTATACTAATTATCTAACTAGATATAGGTATAGGAACTTATTAAGTTTACTATAATTACGTAGGTTATTATATTTATTATAACCTAACGTACAGAGTACGAATACGGTACGTATATCTTATAGTATATATCGGGTATTTAGGTTAGTAACCTGATATAACGACCAGTTAGTCATTATAGTAGCTCTTTTAGTAAACGCTCTATCTTACCATTACTTCCTACGTTTTATAGTAGTGTCAGGCCCACTTACCTTAACAATATTTATATAGTATTTAACGAGGTAGGTCTTAAAGGATATCTCCTAGTAAAATAATCACCTATAGTATTATAATATTTATAATAAATAATATTCTCACGCTTATATTATTATTAATCTTACTATTTTCCGTCCTTTTTCTTACCCTTATTATTATTCCTAGAACCCTATATATTCTTATCCTTATTACTAGCCTTATTATCCTACTTCTTACCGTTATTAGAATTACTAGACGAGGACTTATTATCTTTTAAAGTAGAATTAGCCGAGTAGGAAGCCTTAATACTAATCTTATAAGCCCTAATAGTGTTCTTAGACTATATAAACTCTCGATAAATCCGATCTATCGAGCTATTAGAGATAATTATATTCTAGATAAAAGCACTATAACAAGGGTTCTCCGAGATTACGGAAAGAAAGAAGTAAAACTTATACTATTTATAAATACTACCCGTAAATTCCTTTAGTTTATAGAGGGCTTCCCGGAAACGTCGTATAAAATCTTACGTATTATTCCCTTAGTATCGAAGTTAAGTAAGCCTCTACTACTATATAAAGATAGTTTAATAAGAGATAATAGAGTAGTTTTTATCTAAAATATCTATAATTTCTTAGGTATCTAAAATATACGAAACTAAAGATAATAGAATAGATTTAAGGGTTAATCTAATATATAGATAGATACTAGAATTCGTTCTATCCTAGATATCTTTCTCCTTATTATATTCCTATAGTATTAGAGTATTCGAACGTTTAACTACTCTAATCTTCTCCTTTACTAAGTTACTAGGAACCTCCTCCGGTTTAAACTTAGAACTAAACGTAAGTATTTAGCGAATTACCGTTTTAGAAGCGTTAAGGAGATCGGGAGCTATAGGTTTAGGAATAGACCCTTTAAGAAACAAAATATAACCGGAGTTAATAGTCCTAAGAGCCTTAAGAATATTAAATTTCTATACCGAGAAGTTACTCTTACCCTTAAGCTTAATAATAACTTTAGAAATGCGGAACTCCTTTTCCTTATTAGAAGTGGCCTTAAGGAGATCTATATTATCGACTTAGCTAAGAGGCTTATTATTAATAATGAAAGAATGATTATATAACGGGGAAGGCGATATAATCAATAGAAAGAAGATAAAGTCGTTAACCTAGTAGAAAAACTTACTATTAATACGTAAAGACTATCGACTTAGTATAAAGGCTTATCGTCGAGAGTAAAAAATATCGACTTAGTAGGAGCTTGTTATTAACGAGAAAGAGATACCGACTTAGCGAAAAGCTTGTTATCAGTAGAAAAGAGATGCCGACTTAGCGAAAAGCTTATTGTCAACTGAAAAAATTGCTGGTAGACGAAGCCAGCAGAAGGGGTGCACACGGACCGTAAGATCACAAGATGTGCGAAGCAAGGTGCTCATAACCTGATAGATAGGACCAGACTCTACGCTACGAAGAGAGAGAGAGACTGGAAATCCTGTATTCGTCTGCGGAAGAGAAGAAGGGAAGGAAACTATCTAGAAGAAGGAGCTTCTTATAGCACGGCGAGGAAGGAGGAGTCACCTGACTCCAAACAGTGGTATCTTTCAGGTCCTTCATTGGCCCGCCGCAGGTCCACGATAGTCCTCTTCATATGTTTTGAAAGGTGATCCAAAGAAGAAAGGCACCTTTTGCCCGGGTCGTCGTCTCAATTCATCTTCTCGCTGTCGAATGCGTCGACTGCGTTCTCTACTCCGGCGCCTGGCGGCTTTACGTTTCTTCTGTGCTTCCAAGGTTTTTGAAACCTTGCTCAACAGATTTCTGAACCAGTTCATTGATGTCGGAAGTATGTTTGCGTTGGGTATTTGGACTAGTTTCCCGATGGACGACCGATAGTCAGCTCGCCTAGGCAGTAACGAAGGTGTAATTTGATGGCAGGTCGAGGTCACAAAAGAAAGTACTAGGTTTAAGTACAAGTTAGGTCGATAATGCATGCTAAGGACGGACTCCCACCGTTGACAAGTCTCACCTCGACAGATATAGCCCAGTCAATAGGAAATACCTCGGCACTGGCTTGCTCGAACGGATCTTATTTTCTAGCCGCCAGTAGCGGCTTGATGAAGCTCTCAGTCACAGAACAAGTAGGTAAGGTACTGGGAAAATGGGGATGGCAGATGTTCAGAGATGAGATACAATCTTAAGAAGCTAGGTCACCCAGAAGAGTCAAATGCAGATGGGTAGATCGGCCACAATATCCTCGAGGATATAGATATATATGCGGTTGAGTGTATCGAATTTAACCAAAGACCGTACAAAGAGAAATCAGCCCCTGAACGAGGAGATGAAAGGTGGAAGTCGATGAGGTGGAGGACCTTTGTCAGCGCAGTATAGGCCCCCTAGGCTATAAACAGGAACCTTGGCTTTTGTTTTGGGCTGGTAATTTGCTGTGTTTTCCAAACTAATAACACTGTCAGCTTTGGGGGGCCTAACTGGGCACTCCGGGGATCTCAGGGCCAATCAACCCCGGACTCGGCCCCCGCTCCTGCGCCCCTCCAACATTTGTATACGTCTATCTATATGTAGGGATATAGGATATACCTCGTAGACAAAAAGTATTTACCTCCGCTGCAAGACAGAGTTGGGGGCAATGCCACAAAGCTGGAATGACTCAAGTGACTATCGCTTGATTTTCTATTGTATAGTGATTCTTTTGTTTTCCCGAACAGTGATTCTATCTATACGAGTCAAACCACCGATCACAATGGCGATATAGATCCGCCGAAAAGGTACGGAGTAGACGCCTTCCATAGAGGAGGGCTACAGATAATCTCTGTCAGGCAAACAGCTATATTAGCCCGCTCGTCCCATCATTGAACAGTATTGACGCCTTTCCCATGTTACAGTTACTCATAGGCGCGGTGTAGTTGCGGCCCCCGGCCCTTTTTGGCCCCAAAGATCGTCCGCCCTATACAGCGTAGTCAAATTGCGTACGTCATTGTTTTCTTTTTTTTCCCTCTTGTTCCTGAGCCAAATTCCCTTGTTGTCGTGCGTACTTGCAGATGTATGCTGAGTGTACTTTATATCGTCATCAAGTGGATTACTTGCTTTTTTAAGGAAAAGCCTCTTCTTGAGAGACCTGAGTGAAAGTGGATTCTTCTCGAGTTAATATAAATCTCGCTCAGCCCAGCATCCCAATCCACTTATTTCCGCGGTTTAGGGCAATTCACTGCCCCTTTGCGATTGACGGGGCTACTATTGTTGATCTTAGCGTTTATAAGATAGGGAACGTCTATCGTGTAAAAGTTTTCTCTCGTAAATTGCTGTTCAGCATACTTTTGTGCCAATTACACCCCTATCACCCTCCATTCTTCTCTGTATGAACTGAGGGCCATAAGGATTCCTCAGCCTGGAACCATTAGAACCTCCAGATACGCACTGGTTCACATCCGTTTTGTCGTCTCCTTTCGCAAAGCAGCGTTAAAGGAAGCTTTCCTTAACACTATATAAAGAACCAAAACACAGCCAAGTCTAGGTGAGCTCAAACTCTGGGAATCTTCAACATTCTACGAGTACGAGTTAACATTCCATAACAAGTACATCCTACCTACCAGTCGCGCGCAACTATCAAACAATATGGAACCCGCAAAGTCGCAACCCCTCGCACACCTATCGCCCGCCGAGAGAGCGAATGTCGACGTAGAACAATTGGCCGAGCAGCCCAAGAAGCGGAATCTCAAAGCCAACCAAAGCTACGTGGACGAATGGAAATACGGCTCCAAAGCCAGAGTGATCAAATACCTTGTCGTACATATGCTCATAGGTATACTCGTTGGCGGTATCATTGGGTTGATAGTAGGTCTATGTATTCGGTATGTTGGGAAATGAGCCTCCGGAGAGGGCGGGTACATGATATTCACTGGAGCATTTCATGGGTAATACAAAGGTACGACCCGCACGTTAAAGATGTATTTAATAAGCGGGACATCATCATGCAGCATTCAAATTCATAAATCCGAGCGTCGTAACTATCATAAACAAGCGGTGAAGTGCCGTGGAAGAAACCAGACGTGTGCTAGTCGGTCTATCATGCTTGTCATGCGTCTCATTGGACGTGAAAAAAAGAAACAAGGGGGGAGAAAAACCAGAGCCCAACTCATCCTTACCTATGAACAACCTCCCTTACAAGTTCGACATGCGAACCAGGGAACAGTCCCGTCCGGCCAGCATAGCATCCCCAGAACCAATCATCGTTGATATTCTCTGCCTCGTTGATCTGCGCGCCGCGTGGAAAGACTAGCTCGTCCTCGACCTCTTCTTCGGGGTACCAGGCCCATAGAGCGCGGACAATAAGGCCGACACCCCCATCAGGCGGGAAGCGACGGAAGGGCAGATTGCCCTGAATCTGACTAGCGGTGACCCCGGAAACAGCTGGACTTGAAGGGTCGGGAGCACAGACAATACTTCCACCGTTACTATTCAAGGGAATAGGACCGCCGCGGAGACGGGATGCTTTCTTCCGGCGTTCGGGGCCATCCTTCCAGCTCCAGTCGCCGGTGCCTAGCTCTGGAGAGGCGACTGGCCCGCCGGTTGCTGGGGAGGAAGTAGGGTACTGGGATTGGGCTACGTGCTCATCTTTCAAGGCGCGACCGCCGACAAGATCGCGGACAATGACGCGACGCTGGCCTTCTTCGTGATCTTCAAAGCCGACTGTTATCATGCGGTGGCCATTAACGCAGCGACGCCAGCCGTTGTGACCGTTCTCTTTGCTAATTTTGCCGGTTGCCACGAGTTTGAGATAACAGTTCGTGCAGACGTCATAGTCGCCGCTATTGCATTCGGAGCAGTGGTAGCGAGTATTTGAGGCTGGGATTGGGTAGGTGCAGATGTCGCAGTTCGTTGAGAATGAGAGGATTTTGAAGCTCTCGATAACGGAGGGTGCGGGAAGCGATTCAGCCATTGCTGGTGTGGTAGATGATGCTGATGCAGGTGGAGTATGAACGATGCGCCGAATGGGTAATAAGGCGTGGGTGCAGCACCGTCCTTGGTTAACACAGGAGTTACAGAAACCCCAATCTCCCTCATTACACATGTTGCATTTCCAAAAACAATCGTTTGTAGGTGAATGGCACATATCGCAGAAAAGACCGCTTTCTAAACGGCGGACAGGATTATCGCTAGTCATTTGTCTTTCCCCACTCATCGTTTGATGGGCAGTTTCTGAGGGACGTTGGTATTTCTGCCACATCAAGACATGACCAGAGTCAATGATTTGCGCAGGGCGGCGATTGGAGGAAGATATGATCCGTTGGAAGCTCGCGTGTGCAGATACGCCAAATCCATTCCACCGGAGACAGCCACGTCCCAGGCGGTAACACCGGAGGCACAAGTGGAAGTCTCCGTCTTTGCAACTCGCGCAATTTTTGTGTAGATCATACTGGATGTTACTATTTCCGCAGCGATCACAGGATATTGACGGTTCGGGATAATGTACAGCGGCAGAGGAAGGGACATTCGATCGGGCCGAAGATGATCTTGTTCGTCTGTCTGACCGGCCAGGGACAAGGGGCGAAGACAAGGACGAAGTAATTTGGTCCGTGGGAGTCGAACGACGGGATGAAATTGGGGCCGTAGCAACAGATGCAGAGGAATTGGTGGCTGACTGGTTGGTAACATTTCTGGAAGAGCTTCGCTCTCGTCCCCCAGCCATCCACGTGCTAGAAACGTTCTGTTCTGATTCCGTGGCACGTCGCGGCCGAGCTGAGGAGGATTCTGATCGTACCCGCCCGGCCTGGGAAATGCGCCGATCGGAGGTCATATCGCTTGAGGATCGAGCAGCAGGTCTGATGGCTTCATCTGACACAGATGCCTGGTTTGTGCGGACAGGCGAGGTTCGTCGGCGTTCACCTCCTTGCTCCGAGTTGCGCCTTCGATGGCCTAAAATGCTCGGTCGCGTGGGGGTTGAATTGAATAAATGGGGTCTGGAAATTGGTGGTCTGTTGTCAGGCTGTTCCCGAGGAGCTGTTGTCGGTTCCGAGGCTCTTGGGGCGGATTCTGATCTCGCATGTGCGCGCGCCGTTGCCTCAGGCTGTTGTCGTTGTTCTCGTCTTTGTTCTTGTCGCTGATTTGGTTGTGATCTTTGCATATGCCTCCGTCGATAAGCATCTGCTATGCGTTCACTGAGTTCCTCTTCTTGCCTCGGCCCCAAGTTATCGAGGTTGATGTCGTCCAGTAATCCGTCCTCGAGAATTTGTCGCAAGATCTCCTCCTCCATAGTTTCCACATCTGATGATAAACTCAGTAATGACCGTAAGCTAGATTGGTGCTCGACCCGCCGGGTTCGGTCCGAGTCATCAGGCCGTAGTGTACGTTGCTGTCGTATCGTATCATCGTCCCTTCGGCGGCTTGAGCGACTTTCCTCCCCGGCTCTTTCGGTATTGCTCCGGTCGCGCGTCCGCGAAGAATGCGCTGTCCGACGGGCCTCACGACGTGCTCGAGCTCGACTTTCACGCATACTCAGCTGGCGCACATCGTCCAAAAGTCGATTATCCTCCTCAAGATCCCTCTCCACACTTTCCCCGTCCGCAGGTAATGCCGGAAAAACTGACTCGCCATGAGTGTATCGAGTAGCGATTTCCACCTTTTCATCGGTCGATCTGGCACGATCCGGGTGCGCGCCTAGGACCATGTCCAGCAGGGTGGTCACGGTGGCATTCGGGCGCGTGTCGCGCACTTCAGCGCGACAAGATGGACAGGTAAATCGAGGTGAGGTGGGCGCACGCCGCGATCCTTGTGCGGAGAACCATTCTTTCACGCAGGAGCCGCAGTAAGTGTGGAGGCAGTCGAGAAGAGTGAGGGGTTGGTAGAGAAGCTCGGTACAAATCTGGGGGAACGTTAGAAATGCAAGGGACAAAATGGACAAGTACATACCGAGCATACCAGCTCTTTCTCAAGATCTGCTAATCCGGAACTTTGAACTTGAGACATGGGCAGACTTGGGTGGAGGAGTCCACAATGTAAACAGAACCAAATCGGTGACCAGGGATCCGAGTGTGGGAGAAGTTGACTCCACCCGACGATCTCCCCGGGCTCACAGCTTCACCTTCACCTTCAACTTGACTTTCAACTTCAACCTCGTCTCTTTCGGGCTTTGAATCTGGACTGCGTTGTGTTCGTTGGGAGTTTAGTAATTCTGTCCCACTGTTGTAGTCTTAATTGTTTCTTGAAACAAAGAGGATGTCTGCGCATGTACTGTTCCGATAACACAATGTCGCATTTGATGAGGATAAGTTGGACGCTGGCAGTTGAGCGGAAGAAACGAGGTTTTTCCAGATCAGGCCATCGTGGGGAGCCTGAAGGCGGCCAACCTGAGAACTCAGCTGAGACCTCAGTTTCAGAATACATGATTCTTTCATGCCCTTTACAAAGCTCGATATGCACTTGTGCTCGGATATGGCCAGTTTCCATTTCAGAGAATAATATATTCAAAGACTCAAACTTACTAGAATGCAAGATTAGCAAACAGAGTCAAAGCAACTTGCATAACAATGGACGCAATTACTTGACATCAGCATCTACGCTGGGACAGTTGCATCAATATTTGGCCCTCACCAAGTCCGAAGGAGAGCGCTTCCATTGCATAATCTCGCACAACAACAGCCCTCGGTCACAGGGTGTCTGTTAGACAAACACATTGTTTCCAAAGCTCCTATCCAAATCACTATCGTGGGTGACTCTCTATACCAGACGTTCTATATATAAAAACAGAACATTAACAACCTGTGAAAATATTCATCTTCAAGCCACCTGAGGATTGTCCCTTCCAACCCACCCAGTGTGTTCTAAACCCGACTATAGGGATCTGTCATATTCTCCATCACGTCCCCGACAAAAACCACCTATTCGCCGATGCAGCGGTGGCGGCAAAGATGCAGGACACGTTCCCCAGCGCCATGAAAATACAGCACTCCCACTCTATTGGCGGATAAGGAGGTACCTCCCAGTGACAATGCGACACAAGTCCGAGCACTATTCCCTGAAGAGACCGGGCCGGCCGAGAAGAAAGAGTTTCATTTTAGTATCATCCCTGACCCACCTAAAGGACAAGGTGGCGGGCTTCCTCATCCCAACGAAAGCAAAAGGAGAAACGCCAAAGTCTTTCTAGACCTTGCCTCCGTTGTGGCGGGTATGGCAGTACAGATGGAAGGCAGTTTCCATCAATCCTGTGGGCTGATATGATTCCTCATGGGTAGCGGTGAGGGGGTGGCTGCCCCAAAGCGAACAATTGACTTTTTCAAAGTGCCATTTTGTGTACGGAGTAGAGTCTGAGCACAACGTTGTGAAGCCGGAGCGTCGGAACTGAATACCTGCCGTTAATGGGCATCATGTGAGTGAAGGGAAAGGACCTGTGTTTCTCTGTGTTCAGGTGTTTTTCTGAGTCGATATGCATACGACCTCGCGTGGAAGATAGGCGCTAACGCTGTTTTCCTCACGGATCTTTCGGCGCGAGTTGCAGTGATCACCTGCGCAAGCACGACAGTCGAATTGTGGAGGAAGAACTGTGAAGAGAGCTCGGCTTCACGGGCCCGGTCACTGGCTCCCGTTGTGGCTTGAGCATATGAGTAGGAGACAAATAGCTCCGGAGATGTTTGGCAACGTCAGGGGTTTCCATTTGGCAGTGCGATCAATTGAGGGGTTTGCTTTGTTGGCCGTGTCTTGTGATACGGCATTATCAGCCTGGGAAGACCCAGGCGACGGGACTTTCATATGTTCGTAAGCTGATCATGTCCCCGGGTCGCTCGGATAGGATGAGGTGGCAGATGCACCCCGCAATTTGGGGGCGCAGGGCTACAAGCCAAAGCACTCACAGTCCCCGGTCGTAAATGTGTGTTGAAGTGAAGTTGATCGGTCTGTGCCTCAGGTTGTCTATGTGCACAATACGGAGGAGAAAGCCCGCGATATGCGAAACAGGTGGTTTAATTTAGGGATTGCAGCCTCGTGTCCTAGCAAAGGGTAAATGATCAACCTAATAGCGATGATCATTACTCCGATGCTCAAAATGCCAACGTTTGCAGCTCCAACTGGTCGTCAACCCCCACGAATAAGGGAGTATTGCTTTCCCCTCATCATTCTAGAGGCCCATTCTCTGGAGATCAACCTTGAGATATCCCCTCAGGACAAGGATCTCCCTACCCCGCGTCCTTATCACTGACCATTTTCCAATGTCGCCATGTCGCCATGTCGACGGATAATCAGTGCCGACTCCTAGGGGGCTTGGAATGTAAGCGTAACCTTCTCGTGTTATACAAAAATGGGCGTCTGTCTATAGCGCTGACACGGAAAACGCCTCTCCCGTTAGTGGAATGATAACAAGCACTCTCGCACTCCGCATTGGCTCATCGTCTAGCGTGGGCAATACATGGCGGTTCTAGACAGCCGAGTGGATGCTATTGCTATAATTGTCTCTTGGCCTTTAGGTAATCTATCTGCTACACACCGAGTCACTCCCTCTGAGTGGCTATATTCCATTCCGTACCTACAACCCGCTAGGTACATCTAAAGCTAGTGATGAGTGGAGCAACACGCCACAAATAAGACAAATAACGACAACTTAGCCGAGGGGAGTATCAATTGAAGGTTTCGCGAGGACCTTCACCTCGCAGTTTAACACCCCCATTGACCAGAACCCCCTGTACCTGCAACTCGGAGTACATGTGTGGAGATAAAGCCCCACAACCTCGGGGTAACTGCAAGTAGCACGTCTTTTTTCCCCGGAGTCCGCAACTATAGCCAGGTTCCAAGGTGCCAAAACAAAAAAAGTTCACTAGCTCTATCAACCTGTCAACCTGAAACCCCTGAGATAAACCACCCGCAAACAGCTCATAACAAATGCACAGACCCCGGCCATGCATGGCCAAATTGTCAGTTCGCCGCACTAATGTAATGCCCTATGCACGGGCGCGCAGACTAATCAAGCTATCCACGCCCCCACAGCCCGGTGTACCATCGAGTCGTGGCCCCGGGATTACGCGCACTGACTACCGCGCCTCCGTTCTAGCCGTTGATCGAACTCGGGGCTGCGTTGGCGCTGGCCTTTCCTTGCTATGCTCTGCATAAGCGTGGGGCCGCAAAAAGATATAGGCGACAGGGGCTCGGGACATGGGGTGCTATCTGGGGTGAAGTATATGTTGGCCCAGTATACTTTTCTCGGAAGTTACTACTGATGTCGGGGGGCCGTGCTGGGGCTACTTGGTGCGCATGTATAGCAATCTAGGTATAACGGCATGGACTAAAGCGGCTGTCCCTGATCGCCTAACCGTCTTGCCACTGATTGATGCCAAGATGGGTAAGGTGGTGCCACTCATTCACTCGACGTTGATGTGATAACGTCCGGGCTACAGATGGCCCTTGGGGAGAACGTCTATGGAGGGCAGGGATGTTGGAAGGTCAGGCGGTGCTCGGTGCAGTGCAGAAGAGGCGCCCAGCGATTTGCGTGACGTGCGACATCGCATAGTCAGCCCATATGCGCTGCTTGCGAATTTTCTTTTCTTATGTTGGAGCTATCACTAGCTACGACCAATCATCGTGGAGTTCCATATCTTGTCTCAGAAATGGGAACTGTCCGAGAGTGCAACCGCTTGAAACAACCATGCTGTGGTACACATGATTAAAGGGGATGGTTCGTGGGTCAGATTGGATCTGGTCAGGATGTCGACTCGAAATAAAGAACGTGCATCTCAATTGGAAGATTTGGGTTCATTTTGGGAGAGTTGGGAGATATTCGAGGTGATTTCCATATTCCCGACCCCAGCACGACCAACCTCCATCTCCCATTGGTAGATAGGTAGCCTGCGTAATCATTGCCAACTCAATGCGAACCCTGGGGTATGGGACCGCGGGGTAACGAACTGGAAGCAAGCTGCGATTATCAGCATTGCCCCAGATTCACGGGGTCCGCATGGATTCCAAATTCGAATACCATGCATCATGAATGCAAGAGTTGACGCCAACGCTGTCTACGCGGGGTAGACAGAATACTCAGAGCTCTGTGGAAAACCTACAGCCCCTCAACTCAATGCTCTCCTCAATGCATGCTGCTTCTGCTTCATTTCCCTCCTAGTTACTCTTGGCAAGCAGCGACCGCGGGTTGGCGAGGCCGCTGCCCAAAGCGTGCGGGGGAGCCTTTGTGTTCTATCGGGTGAAGCAATAGGAGCTTATTGTTCGCAATGTTCGAGTTTCGCAAGGTGATACTCGGACACGGGGCCGGCTTGGTCGAAGACCCGGTCTGAGTTCAGCCACGGTGACGCCCTCGGGGGGAGTTGCAGTTTGGGATGGTCGCCAGCAAAACCAGGCGGAATTCGTGGAGCACGCCACTCCGACTATCGAATATGGTGTTATCGCAGTTAATTTAGATCGACTTTGCAAATTGCACCTTCGCATGCATATGGCAAGCTCAGATCGCATCTGGGCATCTGGGCGATCATCCAAAAATAATAAAAATAGGGCTTCAAGGCTCCAAATTCGTCACCAAGTCAGGTCCCAAGGCTGAACTCTGCGATCTCAAGGTTCACGGGTCTGAATGTATACTTTTGATAGGTCCTGACCTGACCGCTTCGCCGCTTCGACCCCATTAAATTTTTTTTCAGTATGCCATTATAGCGATGTACCTTGTTGCACTGACAATCATGCCGGCCGAGAAGTATGTAGTGAGCTGATTCGGGGTTCCCGTGGGCCGGCTAACCGGCCGATGGCCTTTTTTTGGTTGCGATTTCGGGAGCAAAATTCGAACGAAAAAGAAACGCCATACAAAAAAAGAAAAAAGAAAAGGCCGAAAAAGCAAATAATACCACAGGTTTCCGGGGTCTCGGTACGGAGTATGAAGGGGCGCTATCGCCCTGCAGCTGCGCATGTCGCGACCTTGCCGCTCACCGAGAGGTATTAGAGAGCATAGTGTGTTGACAACGCCTGTAGTCTATGGAGAGCCATATTGGATGGAGACCTTGGCAATTGTGGGACGGTGTCTATATGGAGGGGTACTCCGTACTCCGGAAAACAACCAAAGATCAACATGGGAGCCTTGTGCAGATCGGAAGGGGGTTGAACCTGTCGAAGCGCTTGCGAGTCTCGACTCTAGCCGACTTCTGATACCTACATTGCCCCATGCGCATTCGAAGTTTTCCATGTGAGCAGTAAGCATTTCCGAGGAGGTGATTGAATAGAAATCACAGCCAAACGCCATAGAAGCCACTTATTTTGTTGGGAGATTCCAGTGGCAAAATGGAAAACTCTGCACCGCTAATACACAGGGGTTGATGGTCCGGGCGTTTAACGAGCTTCGTGGACGGAAGTACAGGGGTCAGGAAGGCTTGCACTGGGGAGAACAAAAAAAAGAACTATATTACTCTTGAGCCTGTACGGAGTACAGCCACCTCGTTGGTGAGACAGAGAAATGAGACCTGGGCTGAAAGTACCGTGAAACGTAGTGGAGAACTAAATGATTCAGACATCTCTCGGGGAGTGTATAACGAAATAGTGCACACAGTCGTACTTGGTCCTTGTACAATGTAGCAATGGCCCCTGCCACTACATCGGAGAGTTTCACAGCAACTAAACGACTCTGCACGGGATCGACGCAGCTTAAACCGTCTGTTCGAGAACATGCCACAGATCCTTTTGAATCTTTTCAATTGACTATCCCTTTGGTGACTGAAGACTCCGGTGGAATTACCTATGGATCAATTGCAAGATGCCTTTTTATGCATCATACGTCTGATGAATGGCACGATCGACATCCAGGGTCTGGAGGAACCAAAAAAAAAAAAAAAAAAAAGGGGAAAAAAAAGAAAAAAAAGAAAAGAAAAAAGAAAATCAGTGCTGCACGAGCGACCGGGGGTCCAGACCTCCAAAAGAACCCAAACCAAGGAACCTGTCAATTGCGCCTTGACGTCATGGACTTTCCCGCGTGGAATTACCACGACTCGATATCGTGATGTCGGATCTGCATTCGGCAATATCAGAATTTGATAAGTGATTTTCGGGTTCAAAATCATCCGATTAAGCAATCTTCAAACCCTATCTTGCCAGGTAGGACCAAGGCTGGTTCTGATTCTCTGCGATATTCTCCAGGTCCGCGATACCCTCGGGTGGATCCTGGAAGTATCATACTACCTAGGTATGCCTCGTAGATCCACCAGATTCCGGAGTACAGCACCAGTGCCCCCTTTGATGGCCACTATATTGTAATGCACCATGCACGTCACTGTGGGATTTCATACATCGATTGGGTCCCGGTGAAATTTCTTGGTCTGTGTTTGATATTTGATATCGACGTAGTTGAACCATGGTGTAGCGGCAAGACGGCCAATTTGTGTTGCGTCCCACGACAGCTTCATCTGCAAGGCTGTCCACCGGGTAGTGAACCTTCTGATTCAAGATCCAAGGTTCCGATGATTGCAATCGAGTCTTGATAACAGTGTAGTATACCGACCCCGGGGGTGAATTAGGACTTCCCCCCATTTTCTTCATTCTCATTTTCCTGTTTGGGCTCCGACTGGTAGGACAACGTCAGGGTAGCTTCACTGCCCCTTCGACTGAGTACAAGACGAAGCCCCCAGCGTCAATCTCGCAATGTCTGGAGCACGGTGTACATAGTAATCGACCCGCACCGAAGGGGGGGGGGTGGATACTAGCCTTCTAGCACTTGCATGGCGAATGTATCCCTAGTTACCTGTGCGCCAGACAAAAGAAGTCGAAATCGAGGGAGAATCTCAATAAACCGGTTTTTCGGTTGGCTGGGACGATCCATAAATCTTGGCGAGTCTTTGGACCACGGGCCTCGCCTCTACTAAAGGCGCTGTTGATAAGAGATCCGTGTAAGGAGTATACACACCGAGCACCCATGGGGGGAAGCCGTTCCCAAGATAAAGATCGGAGAATTCGGCTTCAACCCATTCCGGTGATTTTGAGGAATGATAATGACGGGTTGTACAGTTGATGTACGTCAATAGCAGAAATAGAGAGAGTGAAAAACAGGGAACACAGGTTGAAGCAAAGTTAGTGTACATGGACCTGTTAGCGCCTGTGGGCTGAGGGAGCGCTGTAGTCCGCTAGCCCTGACACTAAGGGGGAAGATCAGTGCAGTATAGTGAGGTATAGGATCAACGTGCTCGTGCAAATGGACCACATGTCGGAGATTTTGGAAGGAAAAAGCAAGTGGAAATAGAGAATCAATGTGCCCGGGTACAACGGATGTGATGCTCCATACTCCATACATGGCTCTTGTACCCATGTCAAATCCCGCCGTTCAGGTGATCATAGAACAATTGGATATCGAAGTCCCCTAATCTGATTCCAGAATTGAAATAAAAATCAAAAATAGCCAAAGAAGACAAAAAAGAAAAAGCAAAAACAGCAAAAACAGCCAAAAAAAAAAAGAAAGAAACAACCCAGGCAGTTATCCCCACCTATACGGGACGCACTGACCTTGGTATCGAAGCGGAGTCGATGTAAAGCGGACGCACCTGGACAATAATTTTTATGGACAAATCTTTATTTTCTGATCGGGATTTCTCTTCAAAAACCCTTTAATACCACATTCGTCTCTGGATATTTCCTTTTTGCTTATCTTTTCTCAACGGTCATAGCGGACATGGCTTCTTGATTCGCCCCCATCTTTTAGTACCTCTCAAGTACCTCTTAATCGCCTCTCCACTGGGAGCTGGACCTGTTTCTCTTTCTTTATTTGTATGAAGTACCATCTCCTCTCGGTGCTATTTTCTTTTTAAACCTCCCGATACTGATCTCGCCACTCGATGTTCCTACTTCACGGTATTGATAAGCTCCTTTCCCCCCTCTTACCTTTCCCGGTCAATTGATCTTCCCATTCCCTTCCCAACCCGTCTCCTTCTGGTATCACCTGTGAGACTTTGCGACATTGTTACTGCCCCCGGTCTGCACTTTCCTCAAGTGCCACCATCTGCATCTCTCTGCTTTCGTTCTGCCCTGGTCGTGAATTCGATGACATGGTGTCTCTGCTTGTCCGTCGCCTCTTGCCACCCCCATGCTCTCCTTGCCACAACGTTCGGAATTAAATGGAGCCTTGCTGACGATGAATGCTACTTCAGGCACTTCATTGTGATTGAAAAATTAGAACCTGACTTTTCTCCCACTTTTCATCCTCCCCTTCTTGTGTTGAGACACGCAAGTCGGCCGGATGCCATACACTGCGCCGTTGAAGCCGTTGCTCGCCGCGCAGCACATTGAACATTCCCAACCAACCGAAGAGCCCGGTGATCGGCCCGGTTTGGTTCGCTCCGCATCGGGACGCACCCAGAACTCCCGCTCATATTCCTCCACCTCCTACACCCGTCGTCATCGGAGGAGCCCTTCGAACACCAAATCGACAGTGCATTCTACTCCAGATTTCCCGGCGCGAGCCTCTCCCTCCATCGATCCACATGCCAGTCTCCGTCAATCCCCACCGCCGGTGAATAATGCTATCATCCCTCCGGGGGCAGTAATCTCGCCTCCTGAATCCGCACCGAACTCGAGTGATGAGGAATCACCGTACCAAAGTGGTGAGGGTGTGAAATTCGACGAACTGGAGGCTGCCGTTCGGTCAATCAGATTAAGGAGAGAGAGTTCACCGGAAAGGATGGCCCCATTAAACCAACCAGCAGTACCGGCTCAGCCCTCATCGAGTGCGCCGTCGACCACTGATAACAAGCCCAACCGACCCAAGCTTCCCCACCTACCATTATCCAAAGAAGCGCGCAAGATCAGTCATTCTCGGTCGTCCACCGAAAGTGCCATCGAATTGTCTCGGGAAGAGGCACTGACTAGCTCACCCGATGACAGCGATGTGGAGATGTCGTGCAAGCCTCCGATGGTCCGGAAGAAGTCGGGTGAGCTTGTGCGACCTGCTCTTCGCCCTGCTTCAGCTCGGCGCCGGCCATCCAGCATGCCTGGTACTCCAGTCTATTCCAAGGCGGTACACTTCGACTCACATTTGGAGCATATCCGTCACTTCCTCCAGCTCGACCGTCCATTGGCAGTCAGCACGGAAACTTCTCCAGTTGACGACCATGCCTCCAAGGACGAGTTTCCGTTTGGATGTACTGCGGGTCCCTCGTGGGAATGGGACATCAAACTCTCCAATTGGCCGAAAGATGATTCGTCGCGTGCAACTCGCCCGGTCCGCCTTGAGCGATTGTTCTTATCAGCTGATAAGAGCACTTTGATTGGCACCGTGGCAGTCGCGAACCTTGCTTTTCAAAAGTATGTGACCGCGCGATTCACTCTGGATTATTGGAGGACTACATCCGAAGTCGGAGCGGCATATTGCCATGATGTTCGGCGCCAACAAGCTGCGGACGGGTACGATCGCTTTTCTTTCGATCTCAAGTTGAATGATCAGGCCAATCTGGAGACCAAAACCATGTTCATGTGCATCCGCTATAACGTGGATGGACGGGAATATTGGGATAACAACGATTCGGTGAACTACCAGATCGATTTCCACAAGGTTCCCAAGACCACCACGAGCAAACCTGCAAATGGAGGGTCTCGCCCTGCTATTCCACGCAGCCGATCCTTCACCAGCTCTCACAATCCGCGCCCGCAGTCCATGCCGCCCACTTATGATTTCCCTGACTTCGGTACTACAGCAAAACAGCTTAGCGGTGCGAACGGTGCGCCGCTGGTTCGTACTCCTTCAGAGGAGATGGATACGGTCGCACCGCCCAAGCGCCGCGAGAACAACAACCGCCAGGCATTCGGGAACCGATACGATTTCGGAGCGTCGCTATCAGCTGCTATGCGCTCGAAGGCCCCCCTAGATCGCACCACCCTGACTGCCCGCGCGAGATTCGGGGAAATTGCAGAGCCGGAGACAACCAAGCCGAGCAAGAAACTCGGCTTTGAGCAGGGCCATGGTTCTGCAGTGAGCGATAAGTCCCGCACTGGAGGCCGTGTGGGGGATCTGAAACCTTCCTCTCTGGTATCTAGCAAACCGCAACTCGAATCCTCCGTGTATCAGGAGTTGGTCGATAAATACTGCTTTGTAAGTTTTCTATGCAGCAAACCACACGTTGGTCGCTAACTAACTTCGCATAGTTTGGGTCTCCGCAAGGATCGAACCTCAAGGCACATCCATCGATCTCGAACGGGCGTGAGGGCGAGGCCCGAAAGCACATCTCTGCCCCAGTCTGTCTTTCGCCTCCGCTGTCCCCTCGCTCTCCTGCCCCTCTCAGTGCACCTGAGGCTCAAGCAGCCTGTGCTTCTGTTAGCCCCCGCACCTCTCCGCGGCCATCCACTTCCCCCATGGATTTCCACTATTCTTTCCACCGCGGTTTTATGAATGACCCTCACTCTTCAACTGTCATTAGAGGGTGAGTAACATAGACCGTCATACAACAGCCTTCAAGATGGCTATGATCCTTTCGATCAGGCTTGAGAACATTCCGTTGACGACTTTCGTTAAGGGGATTTGGTCTTCCTTGCGTGGGACTGGGGAGATCCGTTGACTCGGTTTCAACCTGTTTTTTCCCACCGTGTATCGGCGCACTTTGATGGGTGGCACTATTCTTGTCTTTTTTTCCATCTCGACTCCCCCTCAACAATATCTTCTTTATCCGTTACGTGGTTCTAGCCAGCAGCGTCTGTGTGAGCGATCGCCTTTGCGATGTATAATAAACCGCAGACGTTTCGACGCAACATTCGCCGTTCGGCTCACCACCACCTGTCGACCCAACTTATCGACCCGACCGTCCCGACTTGTACATGGTGCGGTCATTCTCACGTTATTTTTTTGCTCTATTCACCTCTGCATGTTGCCCTAGCCATGCATGATGACGTTACGATTTTTCTTCCGAGGCACTTTCGATTCTTCGCTGTTCTGTTCCGGACGGCTTCTTTTCATCGCAAAAAGTTTTTTAGTCCGTTCGCCGCTGCTCTCGATTTCGATGCATTGCAGTTTATGGGGGGTTTTTTTTTGATTGCATGGTGTTCCGGCGGTATCTCTTTTCTTTTCTGTTCTATTCTGCTTTTCAATTTCAGTTCCACGATACGGTCTACCTTTCTGGTTGGACGTGGACCAGGGATGCAAAGATGCAAAGATCCTGATACATGACTGCCCATAAGGCACTGAGACGTAGTTTTGAAATGACACGAGACATGATGCACGCGACCGACGGTATTTACTTTTTCCTTGTAGCTTTGTAATGATTATCGTATATTAATAAAGAATCGACTATTTGAGATGAATAAGGAAGAAAAGATGAGGAATTGAGCACACGAAAATCGCATTCGTCGGAGTGGAGGGTCCTGGGGTATAGTTCCCAATCGGGCTAGTGCCTTATCTTATCGGACTAGCCCCTTTTTTATCTTATCGCCACGTGCCCAGTATCAATGTCGCCCGCCGTAGCAAATTGCGGGTTGGTCGATGTCTGGTAGACGCGCTGGAAACCGGCCCTTCATAACGCCCTTTTTCCTTCCCCGCCGCCCGCCAATCACCGCCGCATTGCAGAATGGAAGAAAAACCTCTCGCTTACCTAACTTTCCACCGGGATCACGCGTAGTCGGCCCATTCCTTATTTAAAGCACCTTTTCCCCTCCGTAGGCTAATTTTCCTCTTTTTCCTTTTCTCTAATCCTCAACACCAACCCATCAAACGCGTATTTCTCATCAATTTTCGACGCCACATACGTCGAATCATCACCTTTCTTCACATTTTCTCATTCTCGGACCTGAAAATATGTCTGGACGTAAGTATTTCCATCATTCCACGTGTTGTTGTCCCTATATACCTCCGCGTCGTTGTCCATGTGGTGAGGTGATCAATATTGGTGATACCCCTGGCGACACGTGACTCAGGCCTCAGGCACCAATTGCATCCCACCTTTCCCAATCAGGAAAGGGCGTCTCCCTCTCCACCTTAAGACAACGTCCAACCACCCTCTCCCCCCCCCCCACACTCCCTTTGTATTCTTTATATACATCTAGACACCCACACCTTACCGTCACTTCCAATCTTCCAATACTAACAACTGTGCACAGGCGGCAAGGGTGGAAAAGGCCTCGGCAAAGGCGGCGCCAAGCGCCACCGCAAGATCTTGCGCGACAACATCCAGGGTATCACCAAGCCCGCCATCCGCCGTCTCGCACGCCGTGGCGGTGTCAAGCGTATCTCCGCCATGATCTACGAGGAGACCCGTGGTGTCCTCAAGTCCTTCCTGGAGTCTGTCATCCGTGACGCTGTCACCTACACCGAGCACGCCAAGCGTAAGACCGTCACTTCCCTTGACGTTGTCTACGCTCTGAAGCGCCAGGGCCGTACTCTCTACGGTTTCGGTGGATAGAGTGGTGTACTCGGGCGAGGCTTGCGAATGTGTTCGGGCACTTCGTTGGCTGGGAGTCATTTAATGTGTTATGGGTTTTGTAACTGGGAATGGGGTTTATGGGAATTTGTTATGGGATTCGGGGTTTATGGGATTTTAGCTAGTTGCTCTTCGTTTGGACCTTTGGGTTTAATGCAACTTTTTTTTGGTTATCTTTCGTTTTTGGAGATTTGTAGGAAATCTTTGTTGCTGGGGTGTAGGCGTAGGTGTAGATTTCGCTGGGCAGGCTGTCATGGAAATGCTGGACGTGGACTTTTCATCTTTCAGTGGTTTTCTGACTTCCGGGCTATATACTATTTGGATATCGTCCTAAATACTTCTCGGGTGTGCCATCTTCTCCGAAACTACGCAAGACAGGGCATTTGATATTGTTGGACCTATATTTTAACAAGATCCTAATTCACACCGGTGTCATCGGGCAAGTTTGATTTTGGGCCGAATGCTGAGATTCTAGGCAATGTGAAACTCGGGACTCATTGTCATTTAAACCTCGACATAGAGCTGATCACAACGTATTTACCTGGCTCAATACTATCTGAGCCCGGGCAATCTTCTTAATGGCATCCATAACGTTCACTCAATAGGTTACGAGGATTACCAGGTGACTACCGATAAGCTCACCTGAATGAAAACTGATCCACCCCAGTCACCTCCGTGTTCTCCGCATCCCAGTTTCAGCAGGTTTTCCTTTGACAGCTTGAAAAACTTGATTTTCAACGGCTGGAATATGTCATACGAGACGATCCTGGGAAAGCCTTAGCCTTTCCGAGAGTGGGCCTCTAGGTTTGTTGGGTAATTGCTCTCTCGAAGATGAAACTCGAATGCCTATGTTGAAACACGCCTTCCTCTGTGAAACGCGATGGCCTGATCACGCGTTGTTCGCAGAAGTGACCGAATCATGGCAGACACCTGGGCACACCGTGCAAGAGCTTGAGCTGGCCTAGATCGCATCCATTTTCGATGGACTGTGCTCGTACCTTTTATCCGTGCAATGCCGCTGTTCCTAGGGCTAGAACAACACGGGCCTTATCTGAACGCCAGATTCCCGACGATGCAATAGGTACGTGTAAGGTTAAACTTCAAGTGGACCGCGGAGTATGGGTCGGTCAGATACGCGGAGAAGCACAGTGGAGGCCCCTGGAATTTACCACGAGCTGTTCTGGCACGAGTCCTGGGGATGATATCAGCGGATCAAGCTCCATCTTCAAGAGAGGCCGGAATGGCTTGAACGGATATTTGACAAGGGGATCGCTCTGAAGACTATGATCGTGTGGGATGGAATCCATAATCCTCAACAACTCGCTTCTCTGTGGCGATTTCCCAGGAAAATTCGGCGTTCAGAAGGGGAAATGGCCAGTGAGTACTCCGTAGAGGCAGATCTAAGACTCGGGACGATGTTCTTGGCGCAGGAATCTCAGGAGCCGTTAGTTTCTTCTCGAGGACAAACACAGGGGCACGAACCGCGCGGGACCCAAAAAGGAAAGATTAACATGCTCGAAATTCTAGCTAAAAAGCAGGCTAGAAACGCCCTATCTGCTAGTTGGGGCCGGATAGTTTCATCCTCTACCGCTTAAGCTTGGCGTGCAGATCCTTATTTCGCGCCTGAAGAGGCTCTGATCCTTGTAATAACCGTTAGACTAGAAACAGGTATAAATATGTGAGAATGGATTCCGAAAGCTTTTCCGGTCTTTATATCGAAAGCTTTGATGCCACTGGCGAAACTGGCGGAAGGAGAAACGATGGAGACAAGAGGCGTTGCGGGATCCACGTGAGGGCCGGACAGTATGGTCCCCGAGACGACATCCACTCACAACACACTCAGACCGTAAGCACACTTATCCACTCTTACTCCACCGCGGGCAAACTTCGCAAAGATAGAACCCCTTAACTCCGGACAAGGATTGTACATGATTGTCCGTCGCGCGTTTAGGGGACAAATCAGCGGCAACGCAGCTACAGATCCCTGCGATCTTCGTCTGATCTTCAGTTGCAGACAAGGATAAAGGCGCTAAGAACTTCCCTGCCATGAATGCGGGTTGTTTGGAATACACACGCTACCATTGGCGCAAAACCTCCGAGTCTCTGAGCGTACTAAGAGAGAGGATTTTGCGCTAGGACGATGACTATATGAAATCGCTCAATTACGATGGGCTCCGTGTTGTAAAGGGAAAGTGGGATCAGTGAACGTGACCAGGCCGATTTGCGGTGGAGCAGATCATCCAAGCTCCACAGGTTCCTTGTGACAATTGCTGTATATTAATTGGCAATAATCTAGAGAACTGCTTAATGGGTTCGGTTAGAACCTTGATTTTCGTAACGGCTATGGACGAACTGATTATACCACGACAATTAATATTAGTTGGTAGATATTAGTTCTGTTCTAAACTTGATATATTCTATGGTATCGGACACCAGACGCCTCAGAAGCAAAAACAAACAAATGAAAAAAGAACAAAAATAAAAAAAGGATTGCCACCCAATTGATCGCTGAGGATTCATGAGGATACCTCCGATGTAACCGTATATCCACCAAGGCACCATATCGTAAAAAGTGAAAAAGAAATCTGATATAAGATATGCAGCTCTCATCGACGCACTGGACTCATCCATTCCTTTGGAGGTGATGTCGAAGGACCGGGGCCTGATGCAGTCCCCTCCTCCATAGCCCATGGCTCGCTCTGCACGACCGTTTCCGAAACGACAGTGATGCCCTTCGCGCCGGGCACTTCGTGAGAGAGGATATGCTCGTCACTGCCCCAGGCAGAAGCCTGCAGATGTGATGGCGCAGCGGAGTTGTTTTTACTCTTCTTGGTGTCGCGCTCAGCGCGGTTGGTCAGGGTGTTCAGACCTCGACTAGAGAGCGGGTACGATTGAGATTGTTTGCCAGAGGAACTGAAGAGGTGCGAGAGACCGATCTTTCTGCAACCCTTTCGGATAATCGGTTGGATGATGGGTAGATTGGAGACGATGATTGAGACGAAGGTTTCACGACAGGCCCATTTAGAGCCTTCCAAAGCGCCGTTGGGACTGTTGCTCATGATCGTAACTGCGCGAATGATACCGGCGATCATGACGAATGTAGCGCCGGAAAAGAGGGCCATGAGAGGGATCTTTCGCCTCAAGTCGATGTTGACCGTCCAAAGGAGGGGAAGTGGGATGCAGAGCAGGTAGACATCCGTAAGGATGTTCAGGATGACGGTGACGAGAACCCACACGCGGGAGTTACTTGGATTGCATATATCTGTTAAGAAAAAAAATAAGATTGGGCAGTTGTTAACGATGGGGCTCGTTACTCACTGCCCGGGTCCGGGTTAATTTGCCAGTACTTGTGAAATGGCTGGCAGGACAACAGGATGTTCAATGCCGTTGCGATGTATGACACAACCAGAATGAGATATGCGAATCGAACTCGAGTGGGGGAGAGATTGGAGGCCAGTTCTGCGATACAGTTAGCAGATCGATTCATTATATCCAACACAGCACAGGTGAGGCGTACGTTAAACGAGAGTAGAAGACCGCCAGACTGAACTTGACAAGCCAAAGAATAGCTGCGTATAATGACCATCCAATGATTTGAACCTTGGATCCAGCAACACGATTCGACCACTCCACTGAATTAGGGTCGAGAGCTGCGCGCTGCTCCGGTGTCATATAGCTGTTGGTCAATCCCTTATATTTGGCACCGACCAGGTGGGCTGCTACTGTTTCGAGGGTGAAGAATACCTGTCAAAGCACATGCTGTTAGTTCTATTCTTCAATCTTCTCCGACAGGACCAAACATACTCCTGCCAATGGCATGAGATAATCATCGAGCTGGAAATTGGCCGGTCCCACGAGCTTCCATCGTACACCACAGCGCAGGATGATTGTGATCAAAGCCAAGGACAACAAGGTCCACGCCTCAACATTATCCCCGGACATTCCTGCAAGCCCTGTGTAATAGTGAAAAAAAAATAAAATGGAACGATCACACAGGAGATGAAAACGGGAATTCAAGGGCATTGAAAAGAAACATTTGAATGTTTTGAGACCCCACAAGACACTCCGACGAAAAAAAAGGATAATATACTAGCTCCATACTCCATTGGGGTTACGAACGGAGTACAATGTACATCATAGTGCGGAATCAACCCCCTGGACGATCAGCCCGGGGATCTACACGTAAAATTTGTCTCCCCACTCAACCCAGAGGGGCGAAGACGGACATTCCCCCTGTAGCGGGGCCGAGGATCCATGTGGTCGACACTGACAGGCCTGTCATGCTCTGCGTTCAGGCCGTTGCATTTCCGGTGGAGCAGTGATGAGCCCGAACATGCCATTGGTAGTCTTGCTCAGGAGGTTACTAAATCGGATTCTGCAGTTAGTTCCTTGCACAGCGCATTGATAAAGTCAGTAGTGACCGATCTAGTGCCCCTTTTCTTTTTCTCCGATAGGCCCTGTTTCTTTATTCCTTCTTTGAGACTGCACGTTACCTGCACGTTATCGTGGTTTCTCTGACATCCTGTCGGCATAGAGCATTCGACATGTCCACCTTTGACTTCGTCATCGTCGGAAGTGAGTGATGCTGCAAATCCGCTCTGATCTCTGTAAATGGAGAAGTCCGATTTTCAAAATTCGACCTGTTCCCCGCCACATCCATCGCCACCAAAACTCTCCGATTCTTAAATATTGATCTGACTCATCGTATAGGTGGCCCGGCCGGTAGCACCCTCGCCGCCGGCCTCGCTAACTCGGCTGCCAAGCCCAGCGTTCTTCTGCTGGAGGCAGGCGAAAACAACGAAGATCGCAACCTGCGTGTCGACGGTCAGCGATGGATCACCTTCCAGGACCAGTCCATGAACTGGGGCTTTAAGACAACCCCGCAGCCAGACTGCGCCAATCGCGAGATTGACTACAGTCGCGGCCGCTGCATGGGCGGATCAAGCGCCATCAATTTCGGCGTGTACAGCGTCGGTGCCCGCGACGATTATGAGGAGTGGGCGCGCATTGCTGGCGATGATGATTTCGCCTGGAGCAAGATCCAGCAACGGTTCAAGGATCTGGAGACCTTCCATGGCGAAATTCCTGAGGGTATGGATAAGAAATATGCGAATCCCAAGTCGGAGGACCATGGAAGCGCGGGTCCGTTGCATGTCGGCTTCGCGCAGGAGTGGGAGAGAGATTTAACTGGACTTTTGGATGTCTTTGAAGACGCTGGGTTCCCATTGAACCAAGATCATAATTCAGGAAACCCGATCGGGATGTCGGTGTTGATTAATTCTGCTCACAATGGTTTGCGCTCAACAGCGGGGGATCTAGTCAAGGAGAAACAAGTGAACTTGACCATCGTCACTGGCGCCCCTGTGCAGCGCGTTCTCCTGGAGGGAAAGAAGGCTGTGGGTGTTGAGTCAAATGGAACCAAATGTAAAGACGCGATCTGTCCCTGCTACGCGCCATCTAGATACTGACTGCTACGAACAGACTACGCCACAAAGGAAGTCATCCTCTCTGCGGGCTCGCTGAACGATCCCCGCATCCTGATGCACTCCGGCATCGGGCCCGCCGCCCAACTCGAGCAATATAATATTCCCGTCGTCCAAGACGTCCCCGCCATCGGCCAGGGCCTCCGCGACCACTGCTTCGTGCCAATTGTGAACACCCGCACAGAAGCCAGCACCGACCGCAAAGCCTTCTACGGCGACAAAGCCGCCATGGACGCCGCGCAGAAGCAATGGCAAGAAGACGGCACCGGCCCCTGGTCAAAGTTCGCCTGCGAGCTGGGCATCGGCTGGTTCAAGCTGGCCGAGCAGCTCACTTCCTCGCCTGAATTCAAGGCCCTCCCTGCCGACGAACAGAAGTATCTTCTCCAGGAGACCGTCCCGCACTACGAGATGCTCACCCACTTCCCGATCCACTGGTTCATTCCGGATTTCCCAGTCGAGGCGCTGAACTACTCCTGTCTGCTTGTTTTCCTGTTCAATGCGCAGACTCGGGGAGAAGTTACTCTGCAATCATCCGATCCCGACTCTCCGCTCTCCTTCAACCCCAAGTTCCTGGCTCACCCATTCGATCGCAAGCTTGCGATTGAAGCCTTGCGTGATTCGTTCCGTATTATCAAGCACGATTCTTACACCAAAGATAACGTGGCTGCGCTGGCCATGCCCAAGGGCGACTCCGATGAGGAGCTGCTCGAGTATTGGCAACAGAACATCTCTTCCAGCTGGCACATGACTGGAACTGTGAAGATGGGCAAGACAGACGATGCGGATGCGGTCGTCGACCCGGATTTCAGACTCAAGGGTATTGAGAACCTGCGTGTGGCGGATATGGCAGTTGTCCCAGTTTTGGTGAATGCCCACGTCCAGGCTGTTGCCTATGTGACTGGTGCAACCTGTGCGGAGAAGCTGGTCAAGGAGTATAACCTTGCTTAGATTTGATTTGTTGGAAGTTAGAGGCTAATTTGTACATAATAGCATTGTTAACTCTACAGGCACTTGGGGCATTTACTATTGTTGTTAGATTCCAACGAATGCATTTACCATTATCTCGCCCAATGGCAAACTTTACCTTTTGTGTGATATATCGTGCATAGAGATAGGTGGGAGAATGTCCAACTATGTATGGAGTAGATATATCATAAACACTGTGTATGCGAAGCATAGAACTCCACACTTGATCGGGTGTACGGAGCCAGCTGCGGGGTATTAGACTGACTACATGCATCTTTCCTAGCATACTATGTACATATGTAGAGCTGACAGTCCAGTCAATCTATACCTCGAATATGTAAGGAGTATTCCATATGTATTACGTGCTGTGCTAGACATGCAAGGGACTTCGGGAGATAGTCGGACTTTCAACTGCATTGCATTCGATCTATTAAAAATGGTTGGATTAGCGTTCTTATTGACTGAAAAATACTCCGCATGTCTGCATTATCCAATTGAACTCGAAATGTATATTTTGTGGGGTGTAGGCAAGAGAATAGCGCTATCAGTTTATTAGTAGAGTATAGGTGTAGATTCATATCTTCCTCGGCTCAGTAGAGAATTGTCCGCTACATAAAATCCAGATTTATACTCCATACTCCGTGCATTAGAAAGAGTTTCTATTTTTGAACACGATCCCATGTCTCATACAAATAATCCCTCGATCAACAACCTGAGGCTCGGAACACATGTTCTAGACGGGCCGTCAACTGTTGCCGCCAGCCCCCTCATTTGGTCCTTTTGGCGCTTAGCTCCCTGCACAAGACAATCACATCACACCCCGCCCCTTTTTCTTTCTTTGCTACTCTTTCTTTTGGTTAGAAGCAAAAGGCGAAGGCGGTAGCTATTAGCGCCAACGAACATTCACGTTCGAGAGCTCTGACAGTCAACACTCTGTGACCGGTATATCTCCAATTGCTGCGCCGTACATACAAATCCCCTCAATTCCATCAAAATGGCGACGTCAGAAACCGAGCCTCTGATAAATAAAAATCCCGCTCTACAGTCCTACTATGCCTCCCTGGAATCCAGGATTGGCTATCGCATTATTTTAGGCGGCACTCGACACTTCGGATACTATGAGCCCGGCAGCTGGTGGCCTTTCCCAATCACCAAGGCGCTTCGCAGAATGGAGGATCATCTCTTCGACAGCTTGAATTTACCTCCAGGTTCCGCTGTTCTCGATGCTGGCTGCGGTAACGGCCTTGTTGCAATGCACCTGGCCCGTCGCAAGCTCAACATCAAGGCTGTGGACGTGACCGAACGACACGTGGCGAGAGCTCAAAAGAACGTCATCGCAGCTGGGCTGGAAAAGGCCGTGACCGTGAGCAGGGGAGACTACCACCATTTGGATGCATTCCCGACCGCGTCTCTAGACGGAGTCTACACCATGGAGACACTAGTGCATGCAACAGACACTAAGTCGGTTCTCGACGGATTTTTCCGCGTGTTGAAGCCTGGCGGTACCCTCATGCTATACGAATATGCACACATCACCCCGAAGGATGCGCCCGAGGTATCGAAGATTTTCGGTCAAGTAAATGAATATGCCGCTATGCCTGCGAATGCAGAGTTCGAAGCAGATACCCTACTGTCGCTGGTGAAGGAAGCTGGTTTTACCGACATAAAGATGAACGACCTGTCGGAAAATGTGAAACCGATGCTACGCTTGTTCTTTGTCATTGCCTATATTCCTTATCTTTTTATCAGGCTGTTCGGCCTTGAAAAGTACTTTGTCAATGCTGTGGCTGCGATCGTTGGCTATCGATACTACGACATCCACCGTTATGTGGCCGTTCGGGCGACAAAGCAGATGACCGCAGATGACCATCCTTTGGAGCCCAAGAAAGTCCAATAGGTGGAGCTTTTCTTCCGAATATCCACTTGCGATATATTTATGGTCTATCAACATGACTTCACGACGTTACTTGCGTTTTCCTGCTTTCTTTCTTGTTGCCAATGTGATGTGATATACTACTTTGTTCTGTCATGAGATCATGTACAAACTCCTGGACTAGATGTTTTGTCTCAACACAAATGTTTGAAATACATATTAGTTAGAATGTCAATTGTTTCAACTTTAAAGATCAAAAGATGTATTGTCATACGTGGGGCCAAAAGTCAACCCATTCAACTGTGCTATACGCACTCGCTGGGAGTGATCGAAGTTCAAGGATGTCTTCAAGAAATATGTACGCTCGAGCATGGCAATATACCACGCCAATCACGTATATTGGCAACATTGCCTTCAATGGAACGGTAAGTTCTGGATCTCGTTCAATCGAGTTGTTTCTGACCCGGTCGCACACGCGCTGTGCCCGTTGCTTGAAACTGATCCACGCAGAACTTGGCGACGATGCCTCTTCGTCGGAAATTCTGCTGCACCTTCGGACTTCGAGCAGCGGCCGGATATGAGTAGGATATACCGAAAAGGCAAAATGCCCAATTGCCCAGAAAAGAAACGCGCAGACCAAGACGGCTGTGGATGATATTCTCCATAGTCGCTGCTCGGCGATGGTCGGGAAGCTATAATTCCAGCCACAGACAAAAATGGATGCGTAGATGATTGTCAAGAGTAGGAACATCCCATATCCAAACGCCGAAGGCTCGGATATCAGGGTGTTTTGAAATCGATCAACCGGCCGACGTTGTTGGTAGATCACAATACGCATCTTGCGAAGTATATTAACCCAGTTGGACCAGTACAAAGACCACGGCCACTCTTTTCGAGTGACAAAGTCAAGCGGCGTATAGCGACACGGCCTTTTAGCCACCACTCCTGCGTCGGCTAGTATCCGCTCGATAGTTGTATCTGTCTCGATGACTTCCGAGGTGCGAATATCGGCTGGCTTATGATACCAGCAGATCGTGGTTGCAACGCTGCAGACAATAAATGCCGCGGTCGTGAGTTCGCCCGTGGTAATAGCTAGATCCAGCGATGCACGTCCACAGATACTGAAAATAAACCAAAGACATTGACAAAGAGTGATGAGTCGTAGCATCCCGTCTACCTTGTTCTTGTCGTCTATAACCTTTTCGTCGACTCTTGGTAGCTCCACATAACCCTTCACGACCAGATAATGCAGTTGTTTTGCATTAATTGGAAAAGGCACCGAGTCCTTGGCTTTCAGGACAAATCCACCCATATCTGCATAGAATGCGTGCGTTATCGTCCACCATTCGATTCCCAAGTCTTGAAAATCCACCACCGACTGACGGGCAGACTCCCATTGGGACAGCGCAATTTGGAAAATAAACTCAGGTCCCAGAAGAGCTAGGGCAGTCAAGTAGACTCTTCGTCTGAAGATTTGCCATGGCGAGTCCTCCGGTCCTGGCACGTTGAGACACAAACTTGACCATGAACAGAGAAACATAGTAAAGCAGCAGCTCCATATAATTGCCGCTGTGCCTCTCCCATTGGGCTCACCAATCCATCCTTGTGAGCCACATTCTTTCAGCTCGGTACCGTTCCTCGAAAATATAGCAGCGCAGTTCGCGTGTTCGGGATTCGGAGAACCAACGGACAAGGAATATGAAGGGTTAATCAGAAGTGAAAAAAGAATCAACTCGCACATTCGTATCATAATGTGAATTCATACATATGTTATTAGGTTCAGTGGGAGTATGAAGTCGATCTAAGTTGGACCTGACGTAGTGGGGAGGCCAACCCTAATATCAATCATACAAGATGTTAGACGCTCCCTCTTTGTTGTCCAATCGACCTACCTGGCTTCGTGGCATTCTTACTGCCAGTCTGAATGTTTTAGAAATGCAAGCCAGAATCTCCTTTCACGCTCTAGAGACAAAAGGGGAATAGACGTCAAACTTTTGAAACCGAAGCTCGATGCCAGCGCGTAGCGCGTGCATTAGTGGTCTCCGCTTCGCAAGTCCATATTTACTTGCCTACATGAGACACACCAACCAGCCCTAGAGGTATATCTAGCAAGCAAGCGACAATATTCGAAGACGGATCAAAATAGACCTTCTGTCTCTATAGGACATCGCCGAGAACCAAAGGTATTTTGGTAAACTTTCCGCCTCCCTGTATCCAGAATCACCCAGTTTTGCCCTTTTAAAAAGCTGGCTTCTATTAAGTACTCCGTATGGCGTACTCAGATGGCCATCAGATCCCTGCGATCGATTGAGATAAATTACGACGTACTTTTGTAACCGATACGGGTTATTCTGCCAGTGTACATACTTGTGTTGAGATTTCCTCTTTACTAGACTTTATCATACGGCGTCAGATTGCGGGTATCCAGATCATTTCCTTGAGCAGAAAATATTTTTGTTGCGTTTCTAGGGTTGGATACAGATATGAATGACGGAATATTCTCTAATTTTCTCCAATAACTACCTACACACGCGCGCGCACTATGAGTTTTCCCAATCAAAAGACGTATAATAATAGTACCCGCGGTCAATCTTTCTGCATTTGCTTCTTGGCCTATCACACACTGTACTTCCAATTCACCAATCATTGAGTCTCGATTTGCGGACATTGGGGGGTTGGCGCTTATCAAGAAGAATACAAATACTCCGTATTTATGGCATTCATGGCCTATTGATTGTCGGATTATTGCTCAAATGGGTGTTTTCACCTGTCAAGCACCAGTTTTGGAGACATAGAACTCGCAATGCACCCTCCCTCTCAGATGTCAGCCGTAATCTAGGATCAGTAGCATATTGAAGCCGAACTGGGGCGTTAGCGAGTCAATTTGAAGACCTTCATATATCTCCATATACTCCATAAAGAGTAAATAGTTGTTAGTTACCACCTCAGTACCTGAGTTTTCCTCGCCAAATTTGGTATTTTCCATACTTAACGATGCATGCAGTGGTACCTTTTTAGGGGAGAGAAAGATGACAGGCTTCTCGATTATGCCCAGGTGACTGCGCATTCTCAATCTCACTGTCAGATGACTTCATAGGCGCCTAGTGTCTGCCCTTCATTGGCCGAACATGTCCGTAGAGGGAGGGTCCTAGGCACTCGTTCATTCTGCCAACTAGGAGTAGAGATACCGTATACACTTGGCCTCAGAGATCTCGAGTCACCCGCAGGTTGCTATGGTGTTCACTGAATACACATGGCACTGGGCCCGAGCTATCAGTAATGGGCTCAACATCAAGCTGTAGATGGACGATGCGAAGGTTAGGTCAGGAAGCTTCCAAGCTTTGTTGGGCTGGTGTTCCGGTTTAGTCCACAGCAGAGCTCCGCACAAGGTGCAACATTTTGGTAGGGAAGATCGTACTTTAGAGTGTTCCAGAAAGATTGATTTTGCGCTATGTTTGTACATCTACACCCTAACGCATGTAAAACAGGGAGGCCAATTTGGGAGATTTGCTGTAAACCCTCAAGCCCACCGCTCTCCACGTGGAGAAAAGCCCGCCAGCGCCGATTTCCAAAGACAATCAAATCTTGCATTTGCCCTTATATCTAACAAGCCAATCCCAAGAGGCTCGTTAAAGTCATATGAAATCAGCACATGCGCCCGGGAAAATACAGTGACCATTGATATTGTTCATTTCAATCCTGTGCTAAGCCACCCCCAGTCACATCCCCAGTCATAACAAACATGACTTCACATGCGTTGCAGAAAGCTGCAAGATTTGTCTACCCCCGCGAGACGGCGCATCATGTTGCCACCATTCTTGGATTTCCATCCAAAGTCTCCCTCGCCCCTGCATACTACGAAAGGGCATGTGTCGACATTGCTAATTTAGCGTCTGCCATTTCCGCTCACGAGCCAGTTCGGCTTTATACGCGACCCGAAGATGCACCAAAAGCAAAGTTCATGGTTGACGAGGCTATCACAAGATATCCGAGTGACCCTTCGAAAATCTCCATCATCCCGTTTCTCACAAATCATCTCTGGGTGCGCGATACAGGCCCTGTCTACGTACGGGGAGTTGGCGAAAGCACTCACCAACGCTTTGCAATCAACTTCCGCTTTAGCGAATGGGGCAAGAAGATCGATATCAGCGCCCATGACCGGGCTTCCGATGGGCTGCAATGGCCGGTGATGGCCCCTGAACAGCTGGGAGAAAATGCGAGCTTTGCGCGAAGGGTCATCAAGTCTGACGTCTCTCCATCCCAGGTCACAATCGTAGACTCGGAGATTTGCTTGGAAGGCGGCGCGCTAGTTGTGGACGGGGAAGGCACACTCTTCGCCACTGAAAGCAGCATCATCAATGAAAATCGCAATCCAGGTTTTTCCAAGGCTGCGATTGAGGCAGAACTACGCCGCTTGCTCGGCGTTGAAAAGATCATCTGGTTCCCAGGTAGAAAGGACCTGGATGTCACTGATGTGCATGTCGATGCTGAAGTCAACTTTGTCCGGCCCGGAGTTGTTGTCCTCTCGCGACCACATTCAAGCGTACCTCATCTGTGGATGAAAGTCCATGAGGAAATTAGAGATATCCTGCATCAATCAGTCGATGCGAAGGGTCGCCGATTCAAGGTACATATAGTGGACGAGCCAGATCCCAAAATTTTCGGGGACTTGTCCTACGAGGAACCGGCGACGAACTACGTCAACTTTTATTTTGTGAACGGGGGTCTTATCCTTCCCCAGTTTGGGGACCAGCAGCGAGATCGGGAAGCACTGGAACTGCTTCAGAGGCTGTGCCCCGATCGCGTGGTTCAGCCAGTGCTGGTTACGGGGCTTCCATTGGCTGGAGGAGTGATTCACTGTGCGACCCAGCCAGTCCTTTCTCTTGGGTAATAAACTCGCTTTGGGGGTATGATAGTATCGTCGATAGGTGCTGTAATATCAATCGGTGGTCACGGACTGGGTTGTGGCGTATAAACACCTGTCATGCAGACATATTTCTTGCATCTACTCCGTATACTCCGTACTGTATGACTCAAAGGTCGCCCATCTAAAACGAGCCTAACAAAAATAACCGGGGTGACAGATCCAGGGCAGGAAGCATATGCGCCGATCAGCCCTCGGCTATGAGAAGGATCCTGGGGCAAAGCGGGGAAATCGGCCGATCTCATCTCTCTGAGCCTTCATACCTCAACCCCGGCAACCCCTCAGATCGACTACTCAGACGGTTGACTACTCCGGAGCCGTGGTCTCTCCCACGTTTTATTCGTGCATCTGCTTGAGATCATGGTGCCGAAGACTTGTGATCACTGCAACTGGACTAAAGAGAAAGGCATCAGTGATGCGCCGCCATGTGCCAGATGTAGTCGTCTGAAGATCTCAGAATCCACGTCTCGTCGTTATAAACGCATGAAATATCGATCTGCGGTCCAACCCTTCCCACATAGGGAGAGTTCCAAAGTTGAGTGCCAGCAGCCTAGGGACTCTGAGGGAAGCGACAGCGATGCTTCATCATCCGCACTCAGTCAGTTTAGCTCTCCGGTCGCGGCCGGAGACGCTTTGACACCAGAAAGTACCGACTTTATGATCATTTCACCAGAGAGATTACTGGCCTCCCCAACAAACCTCCAGACAGCATCTGACGCGCTGCGTATCGTCATGGACTTTGAAAAGTTCTCGGTCATCCATTCACCTTTTATGCTGGGAAGTCGCTTCATTCCTGATTCCCGAAAGACAGTCTATGCTATTTTGAAATTCTCTGCTCCGATCCTGACCGAGGGGTATCTGGCGTTCCTGGGGCTGATGACAAACTATCAAAAGTCCCCTGTCATGCGCCGAGATGAGCCGGATATATGTCAAGCTGCGAAAGGACTGCAGCGTTTGAGAAGTGTGAATATCACACACGATTACGATGCAGCAGGTGTTCTTTTTTTGGGTCAGATTATGTACGTGTTCAATGTACTGACGGCGCCATATTCCAACACGGCCCACTCGATTGTTCGGAGCGCGCTCATGTCGACTGAACAATGGCTTCCGAGGCTGGTCGAAATACCTATCCTGGACGGAATAACTATGACACCGATTTTGATTGATACAGTCGAGTGCTTAGTGCACCGTGAAATTCCTATTATACGGCTAGATCATCAGCGTCGTATCATCGTCGATCGCTATGCCGGCCTCTGTGCGACTCTTCTTCCTCATCTCTATGACATCTGCGAATGTACCAATGCCTTGAAGCGAAATCCGCCTGCTGCGGGATCTGCGTCCCATTCGGCTATTCATGATCGACTGGACGAGATAGAGGAGACAATCCGACGATGGCATCCCCGAACGCCAGCTCAGTTATTTGACAATTACGGCCAAAATGCAGTTCTAGCAATGGTGACCCAAGCGAACATGTATCGTCTTGGGGCTTTATTGGTCCTTCACCGATTACGTTTTCCGCTAGGAGTCGAGGACGAGCCCGCACATAAACTGGCAAATGGCATATTTTCCGAATTGTCATTTTTTGCCAAGTCAGTCACTAATGACGCAAGCGCTTTTCCTGTAGTGTTTCCCCTGACAATGGCTATGCTGGAGATTGAAGGACCTGGAGAAGTTTTACTTGAGCGCCTGTCTTATTTCACGGTGCAAAGTGCAAGTGCGTTGCGGCTGCAGGAGTTTGTGAAACTGGTCAGGTCATCGAAGGAAACGGGATATGAGGGTATTTGGTTTGACTTGGTTGACACTCATCTTGGCGTTGCAATGCCACCATAACACGCACCTCGTTTCAACGGCAATGTTTCTTATGTATACTACGTGGCGGATCGTGGCTGGTTCCACAGGATCAGATCATGATCGTTTTGTTTTTGTGAGGATGCCAGACCTTCCACTTCAACCTCCTTGAGCAATTGTTTTTATATGCAGAATACCTTTTGAGAATTTACTTCATTTATGCATTCTTGGTAGTCCCTGGTTGTCTAATAGGATAAACAAGCATGAGCCGATGCTATCTTGGCATTGAAGCTCAATAGATATACGGACATTGCAAAACTCGCTACTTCTTCTCAGAACTGAGACACTTTGCTTCCCATATATATTCCCATATATATTCCCATAGCTTATTCCCAAGCCATTGGCTAACATTGAAATGGTGACATTTGTGCAGCGTTGACAATTTAATATATCGGTCCCTCCAAAGCAACATGGACATTACCAACTGCACACAACCTGTGTCCTTATTGGCTATCATTTTCCATAACAGATAATTCACAATCTGTCTAGCTCGGGGATTCCCCCCTCAAAGCTTCCCACTCATGCTCCAGCATGGATAAATTGATAACATCGTGCCAAGCGCGGTAATGATACAAGGCCTCTCGTTCGCGACCCTCTTCCACAAAGCCAAGCTTCCTGTAAAGCTTCAAAGCATTGTGATTGAATTCAAACGTGCTGATTGCGATCCTGTGCAGTCCAGCTTGTCGGAATCCCCAGTCCAATACCCAGTTGATGGCTTCTCCGCCATACCCTTTGCCCTGGTACCCATCCACAAGTGATATCGCAATCATCGCATTGCGATGATGTGCCCTCTCCGGCGCAGTATTGAACAATGCGATGAATCCAATCGGGACTGATTTAGAATTCTGCGTGGATTGGTTGGAGGATTCGATTTCTTCCGAGGATTCTTGGGGAGGAAGGCATATCAGGACTCCAAGGAGGTTATTTTGCATCATTTTCATATGCTGTTCAGCATCGGCCTTGTTTGCAGGACGAATGAGTCGCATGGTACTCATTGTTTGGACATTGCTGTCCATATGGATTTTGTTTTGAAAAAATGCTATGTCCTCTTCGGAGTTCTCTACAGCTCTGTAGAGAAGCCGACTGGACTTGAAGGTCACTTTGGGGACTTCGTTGCCTGCCATCTTGAAGGGTAAATTCGGAAGTTTGGAAGTCTGCTCGCTTTGGAAATAACAAGGTTCTTTATAAACACGAGAGGTGAGTCACTAAATGGCCAATATTACCCAGTTAGCTCCCCGCCATGTTGCATCTGACCTCGGGAGCAAGTAGGCCGGCGACGTGTAAGCACTAAGCCCACATTTCGCCATTTCGGGCTCCTAGTTGAGATAGTAGCCTCAATATTTCAAATTCTACTCCGGAGTCACTGTGACCTTGCGAGTGTCAAGCCTTTTTTGTGTGTTGTGAGCACGTCGGGAAATAGGATTGAAACTCATATTTGTTGGTTGTTAACCGAGACCATCGGATGTGCTTATCAGGTATCTAGTAACACTTGTTCTTGAAATAGAGAAATTAAACATGTATATAATTTAGGGTGAAGACGATTCCGAATATAGAAAGTTCAATCGAAAGGCCACCAAGTAAGTGATCAGTTCACCAAAATAAACGCCAATGCAATTTGTGTACATAGTTACTACGCTACACTTTGTATCGCTATCCCCAGCCTTTGTGGTCGGAGAGAATATTTTATATGGCTAGGCAAAATATGCTATGTAGTTGAAAGTTGAAACATCAATACCTAGGTAGTGTGTGAAGGAAGAACCTTGGAAGATATCTATACTAATGACTTCTAACGAGGCTTTCAAGGCCACTAAAAGACGATTCAAAACAAGCAAGAGCACGAAGAATATCACGAGAAAAATACTGCAAGCCCATAAGCGCGGCTGACTATCTGGGATCCCCCATTTGGATGGCCTGCTTTCTAAGGTTAGACCTAGGTATGGGTTTGACTAGGTACTTATTAAGGCCTTGTTGTAGTAATTTAGGTATCGCAGTTGTCTGCCAGCTTGAAATCACGCATTCCAAGGCAACAAATTCGATTTCAGTTGAACCGGCCCCTGAGCGCTAGATATCTGCGTAATAGTGGCACGCAGTAGCTAGATACCCATATCTTTAGATAACTTTGGCGGATGAATAGAAAAAACTTAGGTAAATTTGGTGAATATATATGCCAAATAGGCAAACAATGAAATATCTCTAGGCTTGTACCTATAAAAGATAGCTAGGTTGCTCCGTGGTGTGCTTGCTTCACTGCCTGCTTATATTGGCATTGTATATCAATTAATTTCGCCCCTATGTATTTCTTGGTGATTTTTTCGCCTATACTTGACTCATTTAGCCTATTGTTAGAACTTTCGATTCATGTTCCTCCGAAATGAAACAGAAACGAACAAGGGTATATATTTGTTGCCTATAGCCTTCGATTTCCTCAAAAGTTTCGCTTCTTGCGACCCACGTGCGTCTCTTGGTGCTTGGAATCCATCTAGCACGACCGCACGATTAGTCAAAAACATACGATACAGTCTCAGGATCTTGGAACGCTCTTCAAGATTGTTCATCATCTGCCAATAAGCACAAAGTATACCTTCACCTGACGAGTCTATGGACTCAGATGCCATAGCATCTCTCCCTTGGATCAAACGTTTCGATATTCAAACGACACATTATCGCTTGGAAAGCTACATCCATGCTCTTTTCCGAGAGATACTATAGCCCAAGTCAACTCATGTATTCACTACATTGACACATGGAAAATAAGACTGGGTTTCGAGCCCATCGTGCATCATTCTACTTCAACTCCCCTCCCCATTCTTTGAGTGAAAATAGGACAAGCAGGATGTGGGATGCTAGGTGGCCATGAAACTTGAGTCGCGCCTTCTTTGGCTCATTTAGAACTTCGCGAGCGCGAGCTGGACATACAGACTCTTGATGGCCTTCTGGGGCAGTACAAATCTTTGAAACTCTTCATCTGCGAGCGTGGAGCATACGGATACGATATGGACGACGAGTGTCAAGACATGTTATCGCCTGTAACAGATGCACTGAATGGTCGAAGAAGAAATCTGTTCTGAGAACTGCAGAATGCTTTGGATTCTGATCTGATGACCCAGAATTTAACAGTTACCTAACGACCTGGTACCAACCGCTGCTTGCAAATGAGATGCAATCTATTAGTTGCGCATATGAAATAGACTCCCGAGGTCGAATGCTATTATGTATTTCAGTAATAATCCAGAAAAACGGCGGTATCAAAAATGCTTATAAACACCACATAAACCAGACTTCTCGAAAATTAATCATAATGCCCACGATCCTTCTCCCAGAACCAATGGTAAAAGGACTTCCATTCAGCCGCCTCGTCTTCAACATAGTCACCGACCAGCTCCGCTGTCTCGTTGAACTCGTCGGGAATCGATGTAGTAGAAACCTTCAGCCCCGAAGAAGCATCAATTGCATGGCTCGCACTCCCTGCAGTATCTGCAGCAACGGTCGAGTTTGACGTCATATCAACAGAAACACCGCCAGAGGCGACATTGAGAGCCTCCTCGGCGCCCTCTTTTGTTCTCTCTGCTAAGTCACGCGCTCCTTCACGTGCCATCTGTGTGTATTCCTCTGCCTGTTCGCGTGCACGCTGGAGGAGCTCCTCGGGTGAGGGATACCGGTGTCCCAGCATTAGTATGAGGTAGTAGCCCTTGACTATAGATGCGTATACGGCGTCCTTTGCAAGCATTGTGAAGCCATGTGAGAAAAAGCCTTTAAGCACCTCGCCTTGGAGTCCGGCGTAGAGCCCAGGTACACCGTCTGTACGGGCTATTGTAGCAACTGTGGAGAGGATTTCGGGCGTGAGAGAAGCGAGCAGGGAGTTTTTGGGTTTATTCTCTTGGGTTCCAGATTTGGGGTCCGAACTCATTACTTGTGCTCGAGTCTTTGCGAGCGAGAAGGGATAGGTGATTGACGATGCTGCAACTTTGCTTAATGCCGCCAAGAGGAAAGTCAAAAATGGCGGAGGTTTGTCGCGCTTTGAGCGTGGGAGAAGGGTTCGTTTCAGGATTTCGTTGAGGAAGAATGTGAGAGATGGATTCAGGGTAAGTATCAAAGTGGCCGAGTATCCAGACCAGAATCCCAAAATTCCCTTCTCGGCACGGATCCGAGCAGCAATGTCACTGGTTGTCAAGTTTGTCAAATTTGCACCCTTCTGTGTCGCGGATGTCTGCTTTCGCGCCACGATATTCGACAGCGGTGTGGTAAACAGTTTAGCAAACGAGCCAGCCAAGATACCAACGGCCAGCTCGTCAAGTATGGGAAGCATAATGTTTTTACTTTTGCGGGCTCGCTCCGCACCGAAACGCGCAACTATCCGTCTCTGGCGTATAACACTATATGCAAGGAAGAAAAGGAAGGAGTCCGCGACGGTTTTCCAGGTATCTTGCGCCAGACCAGGGTAGAACCCAGACATGCCTTGCTGGGCGTATATCTTGCGCGCAGCATCTACCACACTGGTATATACTTCTTCTTTCTCGTCTTCGCTCTCATTTTTGTCTTCTTTCTCACTCGGTTTGCTGGCTTTGTGCTTCTGGGTCTGTAGACGGGCGACGATAACATTGAGAGGGTAGACGACGACATTAGAGATGGCTGCACCAACAGCACCGGCAGTCGCATTTCCTAGAGCTGGAAGTGCTGGGCCACGCAGAGCGGCAGATTTCCAATCGCGCGGATCATGGGTCTCGTAGCGGTAGGAGGGGTGATAGACGTCCTTGTTGCATGATCATGTTAGTCTGGCCAGGTAGAGTATAGGAATGCGCAAGGATGGGAGGATAAGACAAATTGAATTGAATATATGAACACACCAGTTGGGACTCATAGGATAGCTTGTAGTCAGTCATCGCTCGGTTAGGAAACGAGATCCAGTGCTTCGGTTCGATGTTTGGTTCTTGGGAATTGATTGTTGTTATCCTCCGGATCAAATGCCTTAGCCCCTGGACTGAGTATCGCCCGTCCTACGGGTCAGAAGTAAAAAAATTCAAAATTTGGGTGTGGATAAAAACACAGATGGTGGGATTATGTCGCAACAAACTACGAATGTGATCTCTTAAAGTAAGACCGAGGTCCAGGGTGCTGCCACCTGCATGAGGATAGATTACGTCATACCGATCTTGTGCGTATCTGGTCCGTGTATCAGGCCATAAGGCAGCCAGTTTCTTTTATAATTCTTTGGGATTCATCTCCTTTACCTCGGCATTCCATCGGATATTCCTTTTTGTTCTCGGTCAGGCTTCACAAAGGTTTTGGGCTTTTTTGTATCTCTATGCGTATGAAGAGTGGACGAGGTACGTCCATAATTAGCTTCCCCTCCCTATATACAATCTTTTTATCTCTACTTCATATCAGAAATCTGTTTATCAGGTCACGATCAAAAGCTTTGAGCTAAGCTGCTTGACTTTCCTGGGTTGCCTACCTGTGCACAGCACACATGTCTGAATACTCCCCGTACATCCATGGATGTACTTGCTCCGTAGTTTGGGTTATCTCGCTCTCTCTTCCACACATATAGAGAGACCCACCACCCACCCACTATAGATAGTCCTCTGGCCAATCACCCTCCCTCGAAACAAAAACAAAAAAAACTAAAAAGATAACAGGCCCGAGCCGCGGATTGAACGCGGGACCTCGCGCAATAATGCTCAGGTTTTGAATACCCTAAGCGCGAATCATACCACTAGACCACCCGGGCTGTTGTCGCAGATAGGGAGAGCCCCACCCTCTATAGTCCTCTGGCCAATCAACCTCCCCCGAGACAAAAATAAAAAACAAAGCAAAAAGAATAACAGGCCCGAGCCGCGGATTGAACGCGGGACCTCGCGCAATATTGCTCAGGTTTTGAATACCCTAAGCGCGAATCATACCACTAGACCACCCGGGCTGTTGTTGTGATAGGTCAGCAAATTGATGCTACAAGTACAGATAGCCATTTTGAAATTCTTACAGCCTCATTGAACTTGTTAATTGTCAAATTGACTATGGCTTTGGTCTGATTGACGCTCTGATACGTTTCGACCAATTTTCTATTTTCCAGACTTCTTCACACCTATCATATCATAAAGATAGTTGGTCTATTTGAGTATTCAAGCAGCCTATGCGACGTATTTTCAATTTCCATTACATTATTGCGGCTATATATCCTGAACACAATCCGTTCTTCGACGGACTAGAACCACCACCAACCCTTCATACTTATGGATATTTGTATGAAAATAAAGAGATGCGCGCGTTAGATGCTCAAATAACACATCATAGGGAGACTAATTTAAGTATATACCGAGGCCCACGAGGGTTGAAAAAAGCCCGCCAAAAAAACGCAAGCACCATTAAACGCTCCATGAACAGACAAAATGCATCGCCATAAGAGCAACGGCTACACAGGGCGAGTAATTCATTTATTAGAATTGCCAATTAACATGATTCTCATTCAATCTGTGGCGATCAATCCAAATCAATGATGGAATCACCCAACCTTGGGCCACATACTTTCCATACACAAACCAAAGCCCAGGCTTATAGATCCTAGAATGATACCAACGGGATCAATATAGACATCATAATTGAAGTAATTTATGCTCGATATGTTGCTCTATCAAACCATTGATTCGTACGAATTGAAGTAGTTGTACATTAGATATTATCGGCTTTTCCCGAAGTGTATGATAGTACCGAGGTAGACTTGGTTCCCGGGGCTAAACCCAATCTCAATCCTCGTTGCATCTCGACCCAAGCTGCTTCTTCATCTATTCCCCTCTGAAAACCCATGTTCGATTGTTATACACCCATAAACACAAGTGAAACCAGTAAAACCAGTCCTATAACTGGCTCGGCGTGTTTGCCCAAGATGCCACTATTTTCTGTTGGAGTGCCAGCCGAACTAGTCGTGCTAGTTGAAGCTGTCGTACGAGTACTAGGTTCAATAGCCTCGTCGCTCGAATCTGGCTTCACAGGTTCAGGTCGAAGACACGTGAGGGTGGCATTTGGGGTCTGCCTAGTGTCTTCATCTGCGGATGGGCTGTAACCCCAGACATCGACCAGAAGGTAAGTTCGTTCCGCTGCGGCTTCTCGTGGTGCAGTATTGCCTGGACTGTGATACCCAGTTCCCATTCTCCAGTTCCAGGGATGCTGCACATCGACAGCGTCGACTTTTGCGATCTCATCATCTGACATGGCATTTGAATCAATGCCTGTATTCAGATTTACCGGATTAGCTACAAGACTCTTCAGATGTGGTAGGAAGAGTGTACTGACCGAGAACATCCATTCGAGCGAATCCAAAAATCTTCCTGCAAGACGAAGGGATAGGGTCAAATCCCAAGCCAGAGCAAGGGACTTCAGGGGTAACATTCATCCAGTCCTTGGTTAAGCTCGATTTCAAATCAGTAATGCACTCTGAGCCCAGGAAATCACAGGCGCTGTCGATTTTATCGGATATTTTTGGCTTCGTGCCAACAAAGATGTGCCGGCAGATGTACCACGAAGGGTCTACGGGCTTAGGAAGGGTGCCATCACTCTGCATCATGGATTCGGGGATGCTGTATGTCAATGATGTCAAGGCTGTGGTGGCATCTTCAACCACATCCCCAGAAATTGGCACGTCGTATGCGACTCGCAAGTGCGTTTTGAAGCCGGAGATAGCTGAGCCTGGGAAGGGCTTCGTCCAGTCATAGCCGCTGAAAGTCACTTCGTCGGTCAGATTGGGACTCTTGAAAGCCGCTTGGATATCCGAAAAAGCTACTGAACCAATGTTGCTTCCGTTCATAAAATACTCGTCGTTGTCAATGTAAATAGGAGACATGGTCGTGTTGACGCGCGCTTCAGCAGGGTTTGTGCATAGCGAAGTCAAAAGCAAGGCGACCAACGAGGCGCTGCTATATTGAAACATGATGAATAACAGTGGGTCTATTTCCTCTCCAAAAGAGCGGAAAGTGAAGTCGAAACGACTTCAGACAAATAAAAAAAAACCAAAACGAAAAAAAGTGAAGTAGATGCCTAAAAAAAATCAGGTAACTTAGGTTTGTACGGAGTACGGAGTAGGCATCGCCTAAATATAACCAAACATGTGCAGGGTCACATCGGCTCTGAGCCCCCCTATCAGTGTGAACCCCAACACATTTCGCTAATGTCCTTTGAGATCCTTAGAGGCCACTGGGTTATTTGAAAGCGCTAACCAAAACCCAGCCTTTTTAAATTGCCACTTTCCCTTGGTATCGGGGTGATGTCGAGTCTGTTAGGTATTCGCGCACCGTTTCCAAGACCGAGATCTTAATTAGGTATCCCTGCTCCAACGCTGGCCGAGAATACCAAGAAAATTAAATCCTGACTCATTTTTGAAGCGCTACGAATCGCTCTACATAATATCTGGGAAGGAGGTTATCAGGTATTAACCATTATATACTCTGTAGGGCTAAACCATTCATGGGCTCAGTCAGGTATTACCGCGTTACCTAGATACCTGACTTCGATTCCGCCACGAATCAAAACGTATGAGGCCTCTAAGAAGAGCGTTTGAGCCACTATGCCTATAAACTCTTGAACCAATAGAACCACCATTTTCTGGGGGATTGCAGCGGTACCATAATGACCTATATATGAGACCGGGGAACCTTCTGAGGCTGTGCTGAGCTGCCAAGGTCTAAGCAGAATGCGCCAACTTCGATGAGCGTTGTAGTGATTTTCCCCCCAATAAACGATGCAAGATGATCAACCGCTATGATATCACGGCCTTGCCCCACAAGATTTCTCTTAGTACAGCAAGAAGCCCTTTTCTATCAACAATTGCCTCCATACAGCCATGTATATGTCAAGTCCCCCACTATCGATAATGTCCCCGCCAAGGCCAAAACGCGTAATTAGGGGGCAAAAAGTTTGAATGAGAAACACCGACGCGGATACATTGTACCCTTTACTCCGTACAGCTTGTGATCCTATGTATTCAAAGGTCGTCCAAAGGTTATACCCCTGTGTGCATATTTACCACTAGCTTCAACATCGAACAATGCTAAGGAAGCAATGAATGTGTTACCGCAATCATGAATGCAAATTGCATGGCGAGTGGACCTTTCCCACTAGCCAATATTGTACGTTTGGGGTATCAGACAAGTAAGATTTCTCAAAATGCATTCAACATGACTTCGTGTTCCAAGAGCTGTGCAGAAGCTTACTGGCTCTTGCGATCATTGCTGGTCTCCGCTGCCACAAAGGCACCGCGCAGCTCTTTTGCTGCCTCCCACAACACCCACAGAGGAACGAAGACCCAGAGAGTGTTGAAAAAGAACAAGTATAACCAAAGATAGACTGGATCCTCAGTAGCCAGCTGCGAGCTTCCCGTCAACCACTCCGGCGCAAATGTCATGAACCCGCCGTACAACTCTGCGGTAGCGAGCGCAGTGGCGACAAACCACAGGGTCGCCTTAGCACCACCACGAGACTTGGCACTGATCTTCTCGTTGGATGAACGGCACAGCAGATAACAAATGTAAATCGCTGCCGGACCACCGAGAAAGACAGTCAACAACTCCAGCGAGACGACGGTCAGATCGGCGCCAGCCCAACGGTGGTCGGCCTTCGCGTATTCCTGCCACAGGCGCGAGGTAGGCCTAGTTCCGTATGCGGCCCCATAAACGCGGGTTGGGTCATTGAGGAAATATGGCTCTGCGGTGGCGATGCTGGCTGCGACGGTGGTATAGCTGAAGAAACACTCATAAAGGAAGGAGCCCTCCATGAATATGTGGGTAAGGGCATCGTAGGCGTGCCAGAAGAAGAGGATGCGATTGCGGGTCTTGTTGGCTGGAATAAGGGTTTTGCTCAGGACGTAGGCAATTGGCATCAAGGAAAGGGAAATCGCGAGACAGAGGACCGTGGGGACATCCAGGGTGAAGGACGCGGCGGACGACATGTTGGCGTTGGTTTAGTTAAAGGTCGAGCTCGGAGGATGCGCGGGGTGTATATGAGGGCTGGCGAGCTTGGAGATGCCTCTGGCTGATTGAACCAACACTTTTTATACGTGTATCATGGCTTGTAGCACCAATTGGAAGCTGGGGGAGGTGTTTGGCAAAGCGAAGGAATTAGGGGGGTGAGACGACCAACATTATTCGGCGCCTGAGGCAGAAAGCGGGTCACATATTGAGGAGCTGAAGATGGTACCTACCTCCTACATAGATAGCTATATTTGATTCCAGGAGCTATTCTTTGTGCCACTTGAGACAAGCAGTGTAGCAGACAACCTTGGAACCCTATGAATTGCGTTTGGATGCTTCTTGGGTTTCCAAGTTGAGCTATTTTGAGTTACTCTGACAGCAGAACACGGGGAATGTGTGGATGGCTTCAACGCGTCCCATCTCACCATGTCCAACCTCACAAGACTACCCCGTACAACGTGTGGCAAGTCCTCATATCATAAATCTCCTGGAGTCTAGCTTTTTCTGAGGTCGCCACTTGCTGCCAACTCAGTATTTTTGTCGGTAGCCCCAAAAGCGTTTTTTCAAAGGTTCTTTGTTTGCCTGCAGCAAACACAGCTTAGTGGCGTGCTATCAAAGAAAGATGGGCTTTCGAAATGCTATTTGCATTCTCCACTGGTGCCCATTCACAGTGCAGCTATACCCCGGCCAATAATCCTACAGCCACTCGGTGCAACTGCTGTGTGAATGGCCGACTCGAAAAATGACCTAACGCAGTTGGGTGCAACCATCGAATGGTCGAATCAATCCTAGCCTTCATATTGGCTGGGATTGCTTGGCAGATGATCCTTAATGGGCATCTCTTTCATGGTTTCGACCATGATAGCCAACTGATCGTCGGTTTTGTTTTTCAAGCAATGCTTTGTTATATTCTACTGCCTACCCCAGCCCGCGTCGCAAGGAAGGCATTCTGTCTACCTAGCCCTGGTGATCATGACTGTGAGGAAGACTGTCATTCCTCCAGTTTTGAAGGTGTCCTCTACTCGATTCTATCGATAATACACTCTATCTCAAAGCATGGCTTCGAATTTCGGCATTGTCGATATTCCCGTTCTCACGAAGCTGACATGGGATCTACATAACCAATGCCATCTTATGGCAAAGGATGCTCCGGATGGATTTAAGAAGCTAGTGACCGAACTGGGTTTGTTGCAAGGGACATTGAGAACCTTTGGAGACGACATATCCTTTTTTGAGAAAATGGACGAAGACCGAAAAAGGGCGCTCCAAAGATCCCTTGGCGCTTGTTTGGCAACACTGCAGAGATTGCAGGATCTTCTTACCCGATTCAAAGGCTCTGTAACTGGCGATGGAATTGGCTTCTGGCAAAAGATCAAATGGGCAACACAACGGACTCAGATTGAGGATATCAGATCCAAGATTATGGTGCACACTTGCAATCTGAGCCTATGTATAAGCACAATTGGAAAGTGAGTGTTCTTAGCTTGTCCCAGATCTAAGCTCGGGGTCTCATCGTTTTAGCGCCTCGCTTGCTCGTATAGAGAGAACAATGGTTCTGGCAATGAAGGAGGACGAGCAGATTATTCTCAGCACTGCGGCTTCGCCTGTTCGGGATACGGACTCTGTTGTCTCACCAATGAGCCCGGGCATGGTGGAACTACCAGCCAACAACGAAGAAGAGTGTGAAATGGACATAATACATGAAGTTCGTACCAGAATGTCAGAGCTGGCTAATAACAGGAGCTCCGTGGGGAGCAGCAGCAAGGTCAGACATACTTCCACATGTTCCGAATCAGCAATAACTGGATCCGATGTGTCGCTCTTGGATGGGTCCTCGCCGACTTCTTGGTTGTCCCTGAATACTTCGCCGTTTCTACCCCCGACGGGTCGTGTCAGCCATTCCAGAGTGCGCAGCGAACAGCTCCTCTCTGGTGGCTCGATTGACGGTCGGACACTTCATGATGGAATGTGGACGGATGACCCAGAGCTAGAGGAGAAACAGATCATCAACCGCAATATGTCTTACTCCGATGCTGTTTATCGACACAATAACGTTATCGAGGCGGTATCATCCGCTATGAAACATCTGCGTGATGTACGGCACCAGGAATATACCTTAAGGCCCATCCGATTTGAGCCGCAGAACCAGTTGCACAAACCATCTGGTGAGACATTGGAAAAATTTGACGCGTCGGTGCACGACGAGTTGCAAATTACGAGATTGATCACCAAAGACTGGCTTCGAGTGGCGACTTGGTGGTTATTAAAGGTAAAGCCCTTCTGTATAGTTGTGTGAAATGTGTACTGACGATCTATTTCAGGCACGCGCGACCCTGGCAAATTGCAACAGGCACATTTATGTCAGCGCCCGGGGCAGTCTCAGTCCGTCCATGGAGTCGAGATCGACCAGCAATCAAGCCTATATTGATCTCCTCAAGGCCTCGTATATCCTGTACAATATTGTTCTGAGAGACGATGCCTCGACTGACTTCCTGGTGGATGAAGATCGGAAGTCAATTCTCGAACTTTCTGAAGTGAGTAGCTCTGCATCTATATGCCAGTGTCTGTGGCTAATCCAATCTAGAGCATCAATGAAGAGCTTTCGCAATATACTTCCATCGACATCCCGGACTCATCAAGTCTACATACTCAAAACCTTGCTATCTGGGAGCCAATACAACCAGAGGAAACCTCAGATGACGGAACAGACCTAGAACTTGGCCTGGATAATTTGCGTTGGATTGCCGTGGACCAAGAAGATGCCGGCAGCGAACAGGAAAAGGTTCTCTATCGCACATTTGTCAATGCTAGCATAGGAGGCAAGAAATTCCGCATGCGCACCAAGAGCGCTCCATACATGCTTCTTCTTGCAACACGAGAAGGGGAAAGTGAGCCGAAGATTGTTCTCTGCAATCAGAGTGGCACACTCTGCCTCGAGCGAAACTGTAGGTGACGCTTCCCCCCAGTACCTTTCCATGTAATTAATGAAAAATAGTCACACTGGACGACATATCGCCTCTTGCCCAATTATCGAATGGCCTGTTGACTGGTTTTCCTGGCGCTCGAATCTCAGAACCTGTTCCGTTCAAATTCGAGAACATGAGTGTTTTGATCTCATTCCAGTTCGAAGGAGACCTCGGGCATTTCATCCACATCCCGAAGAATTATTTTGATGCCGTATGGCAAAGAGAGCCAGTCGATTCAAATGAATTTACGGAGAGTGTCATTTTTAAGAGCTCCGTGGATATCTTTGAGCAGGTGAACACGCCGAGCATGAAATCAATGAATCCGCCCGTGCTCGTCAAATCCGCCGAGGTGCGCATCCTAGAACGATCTTTCGGAGAAGCTTGGCGGTCTGTTCGACGTCTAGTAATTACTTCCTCTGTCGCTGAAAAGGCCCCGACAACCATGGAACTCTTCATGCCTCTCAGTAGAGTACAGGTCAACCGAGGGGAGATGTCACGCCAGCTGCTCCTACAATGGTCGGATACTTGCCAGATGAGATCAGATAAGACTGACGGCAACTACAACACTTTGCACTCCTACATATACGATGACAGTGCACCAAATCTTGGTACTAGTCTGCAATTCCGCACGCCTCAAGGGGCAGAGGACTTTGAGAAAGCCATCCTAGAAATGAGCCTCCGCCCGGACTTTTCTTGGTCCCAACCCACTACTTCCGGCCTTGTCTACAACGTGGTAGACTCTGGGATAGAGCACAAGCAATACAAGGCCATGTTAGTCTTCCGAAATCGAGATTCATGGCGATGTTCAGAATTATACTTTATCTACCGCGACGCCGATTATACATGCGACCACACCTCAATGAGCATACTGTTCCCTCGAATCTACTCCACAGATTATATCTCAACTCACGTTGACCAACTCTGCCATCCAGAAGCCCCTGTTACGTTCTCTCATTGCGACAAGAAGACCACGCAGACAACTATCGAGTTCGGCGACGACCTTGTAGCCCGTTCGTTCCTTAGCGCACTTTCTCCTCTATACGACCTTCTCTACCTCCGGCGTATCCAGTCAATATCGATGAAAAGCAATTCCCTCTTCGGGTTTCACAAATCCGGCAGGGGCAGCGTCGACATCCAACTGTGGCGTCGGGGAACGACTTTCCAGCTGGCTGCACGGTGGGACGACTCGATACCAGATAAGTGGCTTACTATAAGTGTTCCATCGGACTTCACAGATTCCTCGAAAGAGAATACTCGCGTCACTCTTCCGCGTCTTCCATACTTGCGTGGCATGACACTCGACATGATGAATGTTCTCGCTCGAAACCCCAAGAACCCCAATGCCAAAAGCAAAGAAGGGGCTATTTCGATTTCTTTCCAAACAAGCCAAGGTCAGTATCTCACCTTTAAACTAGATTCTATATCCTCTGTATGGTGCTGATCGATAATTGAATGGATTATAGACCGAGAAGAGTTCTTGGCTGTATTACAAGGGCAGCAATTGCCGAAATTCTCATAGTAGCCTTTTTGTTTTGCGTTGTTCAAACAAATGACAGACGATCAGTTTCACTACCTAATTATCTTCGATCTTTTAGCTATCGCAATTGAAGTAGGAAATTATCTCTGCGACTCTAGAAGAGAAAACCGCTAGGCCTGGTATGGACTGGTCTATCAAAGTCATACCTCTCAAAGAATCATGATTTATCTTATTCTTCTATCATCTGTCAGTTGATATACAGAACATATCACTATCCGACATCCCAAAGCGATGTCCTTGAACGCCTAAAAACGAGCCGGCGTGACCCACTCACTATAATCTTTCCCTGGCAGGGAATTAATATAACCCAGCGGGCCCTGCGATAGGCTCGGTCGTAACTGAGCAATCCATTCTTCGAAGGAAACGCCAGCTCCCTCAGCATTGAAAATACGCCAAGCCTCGAAAGTTGGCTCCAGGGAGCCACTCAGCTTGCTCAAATCATCTTCCATGAGTACACGATAGCCTCGATAACCTACATTCTTCAAAGCAATCGCTCTTAGTGAGTACTCGTCCCCGAGGAAATTCAGAACCTGTTGCCAAGCAGATCTGCTCTCTTCAATCATCCCGGGATAGTCCCGAAAAACATCCCGGTGATGGCCAGTGTGGTTGTCCGTTGGGGGCAAAGCTCTTCTCAAGTTTACTGATTGTAGGGATAGAGCCCTCAATGTCGGCTTTGCTGTGCGTAAGAAGGCTTTCAAGGTTTCAAGGGTGATTTCAATTGAGCAAAGATTAATTTCTTCTATGCGGGTAAAATTGATGCGCTGGGAGAGATTGTCAAAATATTGAGGGTCCAGTGCGCCGTTCAGGTCCCATTGAGAGAATGTTAGCACCTTGAGACTTGGTGCAACCATTATAGGGAGATTGACAAGGCTCTTGAATGTAGAATTATCAAGCTGTGGCTCCCAGATGCTGGTGCAGAGATGTAAAGATTCTAATTCTTCCAGGGACGAGATCAGAGACTGGCTTGTTTGGTTGAGTATAACATCTGCAGATGGCAAAGCACAATGCTCATGGCCGCATGTTTCCAGCTTTTTGATTCTCCTCTTGGAGCTTACCACTGCGTCCAGGAGAGCTGAGAAAGCTACAGCTTGGTCCTTAGCTCTGGTCTTCAAAAGGTTGTGCATGGGCTTTTTAATCGCCAAACCGAAAGGATCAAATCCAAGCTGGCGTCCAGCAGCACGCCAACCGATGCACCGGAATCGATCATTGATTGATCGATCCCAGAAAAATTCATCAGTGTCGTGTTGCAATCTGATGATCGTTAGGTTATCAAAGAGCGCAACGCATTTCTTGAGAACGTTGCTAAGAGTATCAGATTCGATGATACTGAGATGTTCTGCTACTAGACTTTGGTACGCAATATACTCAGTCTTGATCCTATGGGCCGATTTTTTGCTGTTCAATGAAACGATTGCGTTCTTAAAGGAATCCAGGTCCATCTCGTAACGAGCTTCGAATAAGGATGGCCTTATCCATAGCTCTTGAACACGTGTCCGACAGGTATCGTGCGCGGCGAGCTCTTCCAACCGACAAAGGCTTTCGCGGGTGAGCATGAGTCCGATACTCTTGAAATACCGGTCCGCAGAACTTTCCAGTGACTTGATGTACACGGCTTTGCAAGTGATACGAAACCCACACCAGTCGCACAGCTCCAGATGGCTGCAGATCTCGTGCATGAGCTCTGTGGGAAGTGCTGAGACAGACATCAATGAGTATAGGTAATGTCTTAGATTGTCCTTTCACGGGAAACGACGAAGAATTCGGATGAGCGGAATTCGGTGTCTCGATGACTTTTTTTTCTAGAGAGGAGGCATTCGAGGCGTTCTCGATAACATGTGAGACACCTGACCTCGGGGCGCTAATCCACTTCCGTAATGCATACAACCAGCCCTGTTGATATCATAGCTGTTTTTATGCTATTAACTATGAAAGTGATGAGATACTGTCAAGAATGTCGGGGACAAGCTATATGGCGTCACGCAAAATAGAGCAAAAAGAACCGAAGAGAGTAAACTCCGAGTCCGTGTTTGACATTTACATAAATCAATTCATGAGGTGAGCAGAAAGCCCTGCATAGTATGTACATTGGTCTCGAAATATTCAAACAAACGAAGAGGCAATATGAGTCCCCTATATCAAAACTTTCCTCCTTCCTAATCAGCCCTTAATCCTTGGCTGCTTCTCTCAATCGAATTGCCAACACTGAGTTAATAGCCTTGTTCAACGACTTTCCCAGAACTGTGCGTCAATAGCAACCAGCCGATTGAAAAGCTGGTTCCGCGACCTCATCCCAGTAAGATGGTAAGACTGGCCGAGCTCATCACCACTAATGACCAGTCCACCCGCAGCTTCTTTACTTCCAGCTGTCAGTTCAACAATCAACTTCCCCTTCCAGCCGAGTCCCTCGGTCTTCTTCAACTCCTTGATCTCGGTGACAGGGATCTGGAATAAAACAGATCCCTTCTTCCGACTCTCAATCCGGAGATCATCCAATCCGGCGGACTGATATGTGGTGAAATATAGGATAGGAGGCTCCTTGGAGGAATCAATAACCGCTGCGCCTCTCTTGCGTTCGAACTTTGCGTCGAACTTCAGCGGCCCAAAAGGTGTCGTGGCGAAGTGGCGATTCTGTAGCATTCCAAGTAGGTTCTTTGTGTGTGCTGATCCTGCAATGGCCATAGCGCGGTCAAACGCGATATGGCCCTTGATTGCTGTCGCAATTGTACGACGGAGGAACTTGAAGAGTTTGAACACGAATTTTCTCTTCGGCGGCTTTGTTTCAGGGAGGGAGGTAGTGGAGTTCGTGGCCGTAAGGTCTGTAGATGAACTCTGTTTAGTGAGATCTGTGGAGCTCGCTGCTGGAGATTTCTTGCGGCGCATGGGCCAAACCGGCTCATTATCATCCGGGGAGGGGCTGGTGGCAATGGCGAAGAATTGATCTCGCCAATTCGGAGTAGAGTCAATGTAAGCTGGGCATTTGTAGGAACGCCCTTCAAAAGCGTCCTGGATCCTTAAGTCAGCCAAAAAAAAGCACAACGTATCATAGATCAGAACTATCGTACTTCTGTAAATCAAGTTGATCTTTCCAGTTCGGTACTTTGCTGTTCAGTAGATTCAGGGTGTAGGTGAAGATTGGATCACCGAAGAAGCCTAGTCCAAGTGTAAATCCAAAGAGCTTGATAATCCAGTAACTAGATGTAAAGGGCATAACAACAGACACCAATGTAAAGATGCTTGCAAGGCGTAGCCTAGATGTAACCAGAAAGAACGGTGGTGTAGGAGAAAGAATGCTGATATATCGTTAGTAATGGTTTACTTTCTCCCCCAGAATGCACTCACTTGGCAAATTTCTCATAGATATCAGTAATATCGCTCAAAACGCGCATGACATTATCGGTCGCGTGCGCAACCTTCTTCTTCATAGGCTTCTTAGTTTTGTCTTCAGGAGAATCACCGGTCGGGGTTCCCGCTGCAGCCTCTGCAGCTTCTAAACCGTCAGTAATTGCATCCCTTTCGGGCGACTCTTCAGTGACAGTCTGGCCATACTTTGCTGCCGCGCTCTCCATCGCGACATTAGCAAAGTTATCCACTAGGTTTCTAGCCTCTTGTTCAGCGGCTTCACCCTTGTGGCTTTCCGGAGCACCAGTGAGGCTATCCTCGGATTCAACCTGGCCTCCCCCAGAGCTACTTCCATGTGAGTCTTTCGTCTTAGCCAGGCCAGGGAATAGTAATAGCCGGACGGGCGGAACCATTATCAAGGCAACGACAAGACCCAAAATGGCTGGAACCAAGAGATCCACAGCCCAGGCGACAAAATAGCCCTGAAAACCTTTAATACACATGATAAACGATAGAAACTAGCCTCAAGTCCACATACCGTGCAGAAGATTGTCGTCCGAACTGGTTCCTTCCATGATCGTAGACGCGTAATATGGCGGATAAATTCAACCACTCCAACAACCACCGAGGTGTAGAATCTCTCAAGCGTGATGCGCAGTTTCTCGGGCGGAAACTGCTCATTTTCAGTGCGATTGAGATCCAATTTCTGAGAAGCTGTATCCTGAACCGCTTTCACATGGTAGATTTGCTGGTCACATGTCAGCGATTATTCCTTGACATGGGGTAACCGGGCTGACCTTGTCAAAACGTCGGATCAGCATCCACAGGTCTTCATTGGACAGACCCTGGGCAAGAGTCTCCTCTACTGTTCGCGAAGATGCCTTCCATTGGGTGTTTGGCGGAGGCTTCGGGTTTAGCGTCTGAAGATGACCAATGTCCTCAGGAACCTGGGTGATCTCGTAGCTCTCATCTCTAAACTCCCCCGGTAATTCTGATCCATTGCTCATGCTCTGTGGTTATTTTCGGTATAACCGTGTTGGGGAGAGAGCCTAGGAAGCTTGGTAGACGTGGCCCAGGCACGAACCCCGTCCGGAAAGGTGGGGACTGACGTCATCCCTTGGCTATTTTTGGGGCCTTGGCCTCAGGGGGAGTATCAGATGTGCGGCCCATGTCTCCCCATTACTTCCTACGGCATTTATTTTTGTGAAGGATGCTAAATCCATAAATTATGCTCGGACCGTGACAGAAGAGCCCTGAAAAGCCCACAGCAGAAGAGAATCTGCATGATGCTGTTCCTGCATCAAGTCACATTACACAGCTGACAATATCGACATTTAGTTCCAAATCGATAACAGCCACAGGTACAAATCGGTCGATAGGTCATGAAGAAAGGAATGCCAACTGATTTATTCTGCGCTCACATTCTCTGTCTTCAAGATCTCCATAGACTCCACGGAATTTTTCTCTGCCGCTATCGACCACGGCGTCTGTCCATGAACGTTGATCTGGTGTACCAACCCCGGGGCTTTTTCCGCGAACAGCGACAGTGTCCGCCGAACTTCAGCCGACGCAAAGGGATCATTGGTACGGTTAAGGTCTGCCAGGTGGTGCAAAACGTTGTTCTTTTCGTGATCAACTGCCTTCAAATCCGCCCCACGTTCATATAAGGCCATAGCACGTGTACAATCGCCTTCCTTCCAGGACGCCGGTCTGATATTTCCACCTCGGTTTGAGTATAAAGTGACCGTACAGGCATAAGACTTAGTTCCGATTGCACAGCTCGCGGCTGCCAACAGCAGGGTTCTCCCGCTAGGATCGCGTCGTTCGAGGTCCAGGTCGGGCATATCCAGCCAGGGCTGAATGATTCCCCCGCTAGCAAAGATTTCGTGGAGGATGGTTTGGTTCTTATGGCAAGGCAAGAACGGGTCGGCCCCACGTTCCAACAAAAACCGAATCATTTTACAGGCGTGGTCGCGACTGTTGCATTCGTTGAATGGTAGCATCGAGATGAAATGAAGAGGACGCAGGACAGCAGTGGGGTCTACCGCAATCTTTTGGACACGGGAAGTGTGCCAATGTTCCTGCGCATCGGATAGAACCGTCGTGTTGCAGTCCAGGTCCATGTCCAGGAGAGCTGAGACCACGTCGACATTCCAACTAGAGAGCGCATTGAATAGTTCCATGGGGTGATCCTGCGAGGGATATGCTCCATGTTCAATCAGTAATTGGAACAATTGCGTATCATGCGTTGACATGGCCAGCGGGGTAAAACCGCATGTTGCAGTGATGTTGGGATCGGCGCCGCCCTCTAGCAAAATCCGAGTGATTGCGAGCTGGCGGTGGCCGCCCAGCTCCCCTCGTGAAACTGCATTGCACAGAGGCGTCTTTCCTTGGCAGTTTCGCGCGTCGGGGTCTGCCCCATGCTGCAACAGGTACCGAATGGCTGGTTCATACCACCAATGTGTGCCTTGCGCAAGTCGATGGAGAATTGTATCGCCCGCCTTGTAATGCCGACTCAAAGACATCTTTGATTGGTAGTAGACCCGAGGTTTATCGACCATACCCTCTTCATACCTGATGTTAACATCGGCGTTGAACCTTTCGACCATGACCTTGATGACATCCAGGTTGGGAAGGTCACGTTGGCCGGCTGTCAGAAGATACGGAGTTACTTTTTGGCCCTGAAAGTTGGTATCGCTCTCATTGATCCAGTCGCCAGGAATTGCACTGCCGGTCCAGGCAAAAAGCTCCGAGAAACCCCATCTTGCAAAGGTTGTCATGATGGCTGACATGGAAGATTTTCCCTCAACAATACCAGCGTTCGTTGCCAAAACTTGTTTTAGATCCTCGTGATGACCGAGCAGGACCATCTGAAGCACATCAGTCTCAGAAACGTACTCTTCCAATCGTTCCCGAAGTAGGACTGGGAGATGCTGAGAGCGCAGCAAGCAACGCTCGGTGCAAAGTGAGCTGAACTTCTCGAGTTTAATGCCCATTTCTCGTGATACTCTGTCCAATTCCACGGCCATTTCCTCGTTGTCCTCAGCAACTGCGTGGTACATAGGGCCGCTAGCAAAGCCTCTATCATATGAGAGAGCCCCATGAGATGCCATTGCTCGAACGATCTGTCCAATTCCCACCGTTGCACTTTCGGACGTGACTTCTCCTTTCCACCCTAGACGTCTGGCATTCTCACGCGTCCTTTTGTTGTGGGATGTGGGCTGTATGGGCCGGCTGTTGTCATCTGCCAAAATTCCCCCCGCAGAGTATGTATTCATCATATTCTCTTGGTCGTCAGCCCCTTGCCAGAGCTGATCTTCCACCATAGATTCAGAGCATGCATCTATAGGAGTTCGCTTAACTTTGTCTTCAATCTTTACGTCTGCCCCGTGTGCGAGGAGGAGATTGACTGTCTCCAGCCTTCCAGAGCGACAAGCCACATGCAAGGGCGTTCTCCCATCAGAGGAGCATGCATTGACCATCGAGCTCAGCTTCTGGGAGTCGCAGTGGTCTAATAAGAGACCGACAGTGTTGCTTTGGCGCGCGGTTGATGCAATATGCAGCAGGTTGCGTCCATCCTTTGTGCAGACAGTGACATCAGCCCCACGGGATATTAGTTTACCAACCAAGAGCTCAGAAACCGAGGCGGCAAGGTGGATGGGTCGAATTCCCTGGTGATCGCCCGTGTTCAAGGTGGCATGAAGGCCCTCATCTAAAAGTAGATCAATCGCACATTTTCCGCCCTCTCCGGATGCCGCAAACAAATGATCCGAGGACTGTCTACACAGCAGGTGCAGAGGCGTCCGACCTTCGAAATTGGGAACGGTTGGGGAAACGCCCATTTTGATAAGTTTTATCATGGCTAAAAGAGCCGTGTCTTGGTCAATGGTAGCGAAATTGGCTGCAAGTTGATGCAACAAGGTATCCCCGTTGTAATTGGCCAACTTCGGATCTCCTCCAAGGGAGAGTAGAAAGTCCAAGTGTTCGGAATGGAAATGGTAAGGCTCGATCAGATGGGAAAGTAGTCCGTTGCCTTTGTAGTCCTGTGCATTGACATTGGCTCCCCGGCTGATGAGGGAGGGAAGAATCCCGCGAAAATCCCCATACAGGTTGCGTGCAGTGTGAATGAGAAGTGTGCACCCGCGGTAGTCTCTAGCTTCAAGATCCGCCCCGGCTGCGCAGAGAATGTCCAATATCTCCTCCAGCACCTCCCGGTGACACTCCTTCACCATGTGAATTGGTTGTTGTCCTTCATTGTTGCGCTGGTTCGGGTCAAGACCGAGCTTCAGAAGTTCAGTAACGGTTTTGCTCCCAGCTTGATGCTTTGCGACGGCGATGTGAAGAAGTGTGTTGCCTTTTCCATCGGTAATTGACCAGTCTGATACAAAGGGTCGAAACAGAGAGAGATCGCCCAGCTGCCAGTTAGCCGCGAAAGCATGTAGGGGGGTATGACCATCATGATGGCGAACGATGTCTAAGCGGGCTCCATGTGCAATAAGGCTCTCGAACCACCCGGGGTGGCCCAGAGGGCGATGGAGGAGATGTAAAGACGTGCTCCCCCCATTCTCAGCGATATTTGGGTCTGCTCCATGTTGTAAGAGGAACGGAATGAGCGGCACCTCCAGGTGTGCCGAGAGCAGCAGCGCAGTATGTCCGTGGGCATCTTGTGCGTTGATGTCACACCCGGCATCGAGCAGTAACTGCATCAGCTCTTCATAGCGTGGCAGATCTTCTAATTCCTGATAGTGCCGCAGCCTGTCTACCACTCCGTGGAGTGGTGTCAACGTCGGCTCGATTTGCCTATTCTTGGATCTAATCGAGACATCGGCCCCATGCTGGAGCAAGAATTTCACTATTTCCAGTTCAACATGTGCAGCAGCCAGGAAAATAGGCGTATCTCCATCCACAGGGGCGTTAACATCACATTGCCCGGTTTCGATGAGAGCCTGAACAGCTCCTAATTTACCACGTTGGCAAGCTCGACATAGAGCTGTAGCCAGATCAGCAGGCTCTGCAGTCGCAGCCAGCTTGCGTACTTCGTCCACATCTTCCCCATCAATCGCTGAGTGCAGCGACGGAAGGGACGATTCTGGCTCCAATTCACCATCCGAGAATAACCCAGGCATTGCACCACGGAGAGAAGATAAGAAGGCCATGGTGCTTAGTTTTTTTTTAGGATTTTTTTTTTTTGGAAAGGAGTGATGGTATATAAAAAGAACCAAAGTGGACGAATCCATGTCTTAAATCCCCCATGGTCTTCCTTTTATCAAGCCCATCTAGGCTCCAGTGGCCAACCAGACCACGCTACCAACCGTACCTGGCCATTGGTCTCGGACTAGACCAATTAGGGCATTTCTGCCTGGGTCGGGGTTTAATACTGCACTATATACACCCGATGTACGGATTATATACTCCGTACCCAGCGTTGTTCCTTTGACCCCTATTTCGCAAGGCATCGCCCTCATTAGGATCGGTACGTGCCAGAATGGTTTCAGGCCAACCTCGGGAGCAGCCTCAACCATGAGTCAGCAATAAGGTCACGTGCATTCGTCTCTTTTGCCAGTTCCCCGTTATCCCTGTCGCTGGATGAATACCAGATTGGAAACATAATGGGTATAAGCCCTTACCCTCCTAACAACGCAACCACAAACCAAACTAAGGAATAAAAAAGAAAAAGAATACAGCCCCAACCTATCTCAAGAACAAGGCAGGAATATCGCCAAGATGCAAAAAGAAATCTCTCCCTCGGGGAATCGAACCCCGGTCTCCCGCGCTTATCGGTGTTAATGACAAGCGGAAATCATCACCACTAGACCAAGGAAGATGTGATGGCTGAGTTACTGCTCGGCCACTTGGCTGGTTGATGGAAGAAGCAGCTGATTATCACTACATGATAGAGCTTTACAATAACTCATACTCATATTGCAACCCACTTTCCATGGATTGATACAAAAGGGAGGAGGAAACCTCTATGAACTCAATCTTATATCTCGAGGTGTAGCAAAAAACACATTTACGTTTACTGAAGAGTATGCTTTATAAGAAATACAATTGATTCAATAAAACTCAAACGAAAGCTAGCGGCCGGGTCTGTTTCGTTCACCCATGATGGGAAAGAACCCAAAGTTGTCCATACAACGGAAATGAGCAATTCAACATAACTCAGGCCACATTGAATCGTAAACAACATTTAGGTACAGGAGACCCAAAAAGAGACATGTAAAATTCCAAATCCGACGGGCAGACATCGAGGATAGGAAGTCCAGTGGAAAATGAATAAACCACCAAGACAATTGGCCAATGCCTGCATTGCTGTAGCAGGAAGGATGACTGCGCAAAGTCACGCCCGTTTAGAGCAGACCAGGACCTCGAAGTGAAGCAGCTTCAACTGACGGCGGATCAGGATGGGATTCTCGCCGGAAGGTCGGAGTGGGCATCATCATGAGATGAATGTTGTAAACCAGAGGGTAAACAAAGCAAGAGGAGATTCGAGAGGAGTTCCAAATGTTGGACGCATTATCGCGAAAGAACCATTCAGCTTTCCTTGCGGAGCTTATCAATGCCTCCACGGACAGTCCCGCGAACACTGAAGCCACCGAAGAGCCAGTCGTTCGAATGGCGACCATAGTGGTTAACAGTTCCACTGTAGCGCTTGTAGTCGTCGCTGTTCTTGCGCATCGGGGTGGAAGCACGCTTCAGGAAGTCCGGCTTGGGGGACTGGGGTGAAGACATAGTGGGAGACATCTGGGTCGGGCTAGTTGAGGTATATTGTTGGTCTGGGAAGTAACAAGTTTCTGTTGTGCTTCGTGGGATATCTCGGGGCTGGGACATCGAGTCTTGGTGGCTCTGGGGGATGTCGATTGGAGCAGGAGTCTTAGACCGGAAGATCTTGGAAGAGAGAGAGCCCGATAGTCTAGATTGTTTCTTCTCCTGAGAGCACTGGCTAGTGTGGGAGGAGGTGGAGGCAGTTGATCTTTGAGACAATGATCTTTTAGGATAGATGTTGGATTGAGCTTGCATTACTAGGATTGAGATGAAGTAAAAGGTGAGTAATGAAAACAGAGAAGCGTGCGAGATGGGTTTATTTATGTTCAAGACATTCTGCTTCAGCAATTTCCTTGTGATCGTCGGGTCCCATAGGGCAAGCCAACCAGCACGCCCGGGGGGGTAGCTATGATGCACTCAAACCCGGACAAAGGAACGCCCAAGGGACGCCCCAAGCGAGACACACCCAATCAGGTTCATCACACATGACTGATCCCTGTCGCAACCCACAGGAGACCATAGGGCAAGTCCGAAGGTCCACTGGTAAGGTTTAGTGTGATGGTCGAGCGTTGTCGGTGAGATTCGCAAGTTTGGAGCAACCCAGCGCCCTATCGCCCGTGCATCGGCCAATCAGCAAATGAGTTTGCCTTGGAGCCTCCTCTTCCCGCCCTTTGGACCCCGCACATTCACCGTCTCGACTCCGAGGTGCTTACTCCATACTCCCCACTTCCACTGTCGACTTGACACGTCTGCGTCTGTATATACTTTTCGGAATGCGCGTATACGAAGGCATCCCATTTCACAGTCCTCGATATTCAAAACCTTTCAGGATCGTGATTCTGTTGGCACGGGTGGGTCACTCGAGCGCGCGGGGTCGGGATGAACAAGAATGCGAAATGTACAGAGCCTCGAGGGGCCAGCCCTCCTACGTGTACGCCCACTCTGCTCACACTCCTCGCCAATCAAATCTGTTCATATCCCGCTTCTAGCGTCATTCTAGAATTACGGGCTAACCGAGGGACTCGGCGCCAATGTTTGAGTGAGTCACTTGCCCCAGGAGTCCGTCAGCCAAGATATGCATACACGGTTGGAATCAAGGCATATTGTACTCACGACACGCCGGTCCCGATTTGACTGGCTCGAGAATTATGGGATCCCGCAAGGTCATTTGTGAAGCCCTTGGCTTTGTGCACCGAGCATTCGACTGGGCACAATCGAGTGGTAATCTGCGGCCCCCAAACGCTTTTAAATTAATAAACAGCATAAACAGCCAACATAGCACTCTCATCTACCTTTTTGCGGCATTGATTGATCATGTATTTTTCGTCAGGCGCTCTACACCGATAATATGGGCTGATTCAATCTCCAACTGTGAACTTGTCTCACTGCCATTCAAGTTGTAGGGGCTTTGGCGCATGCTGCTTACAGGAGCGACCAATCCGCTACATTTATACTCCCACGTCGATTTCGTCTAATTTTAATTCCTCCTAGTGCTTACACAAGACGTTGTTTTGGTATCCATGCGCATTAGAATCGTGGACCCCTTTATTCAAGCCTATTTCCTTGATGGCATGAGTGATAAATCCAATCCATATTGCCCAAATCATCTTGTTGTGATATCCTTGCCCCTCCGATCGGCCAGAAGAATCAGAATGATTGGGCTACAAACTACATATACCGAATGTGAAAGCACCTCCTTCCATGGACAGTCGACTTTGAACTCCAAGCGACCACTATGCTTTGGAATCTGAAGAATACCCCATTCCCTACTCTATATGTACCTAGTTAGTATGTACTTGGCAGGCACAGGGAATGAGATCCCTGGTTGTTCCTTCCCGCGATGCTTGATCTGCGGGGTGGCCACAGCGACGAATCACCATTTTGGCCATCCCCGCTGAATATCATCTGGGATGGCTACCTTTTTTGTAGAAAAAACATATCTAGGGCTCGAAATAGAATTCCCAGGGCTAATGATAACGCTGGCACTGGTGTTATTTATTTAGGCTGCCCTGGTCAATGCTGAATTTTTCGAGAATGCGCCAACCTCGCGAGAATGCTGGGGCGAGTATAGTTCCAAGGTCCTTCAACGGATTACTCCAGTGCTATTCCAGATACCGGTGTTACTAGAGAGGCAAGACATGCACATTCCCTGATCCTCTAATTGAGGCGAACTGGAGTGATCTGTTGGTCATATATGTCACCAATAATATCACAGACAATGGGTAGGAAGTCTTCTATAACGACTGAACGCCTTAAGTCTAATCCCTCTAGAACTACTATCCATTGGCCTGGTATCAGATAGCAGGGATCGGATCAATATGACGGTATAATATCCACCTTGGATTATCGAACTCCGCGGCTGATATTAAATAGGAGTCCCCGGAGTGACCTAATGTCCTATTGCCCTAGGACACACAATGACCTACAAACTCCGCGCAGCTCAGTATGGCACGCCGTAGTAACATTCCCACTGGAGTTTGCAACTGAGCGACGGCATGTATGGTCCGCTGATAATCCACGGACTCGCGACTGCGGACTACGATATCAACCTGGGACCTGTCTTCCTGACGGACTGGTTCCACAAAAGTGCGTTTATCGTCTGGGCAGAAAGTGCCATGTATGGAGGCTTCCCCGTGCGACCAAGAGCAAATGCACCGAACAGGTTGATTAACGGCACAAAAGTATTTCTCTGCGACGAATCAGATGACTCAGCCTGCTTGGGGACCGGGAAAAGCTCAGAGGCCATAATCCAGAAGGGCAAGAAGTATCGTCTCCGATTGCTCGATGCTCAGACAGATGGGTGGATGAAGATCTCGATTGATGGGCGTAAACGCACAGTCATTGCGGAGGACTTGGTTCTGATTGTGCCGTATACGACTGATGGCGTGATTCTTGCTTCGGGTCAACGGTATGATGTTGTATTCGAGGCGAATGAGGATGTTGGTAACTATTAGATGCGCGCGATCTACCAGACAGCATGCAATGGAGTTTCAATTGACAGGAATGATACCAAAGGAATCATTCGCTATGAAGGCGCTGACCAAAATGAAGAACCGACGACGAAGAAATGGTCATCGATCACAAATTAATGTGGCGACGAGCCTTATGCGAGTTTGGTTCCATTTGTCAAGAAAGATGTCGGCAAAGTAGAAAGTCAGAAGAACTTGAATCTGTATACCCAGTACTATGTGCCTACATAGATATTCAAGATGCCATAGCTCTTCGGTGAGTCTGAAAGACGAAACAGCTCGGTTAGGAAGTCAATTGAACTTTTGGTCCTTTGCTTCGTATCGAACTGGAATAGTCTTCTTTTCGCGCCGTCGACCCCTGCAAGGGGTCATCAACATCCGGCAAGACAAGCCCTTAAAACAAAAACAGCAATGCAAAGCTATAAAGTCTCAAAAGCCAATAAATCCCAAAAAGTGCCACAAGGTCGACTCATTCTTCGTGTTCCTGAAGTGTCCACAGTGTAGCACTCGGTCTCCTCCACGCGCGCGGTTGTTCAGAATGACACCTCCGATGCCGTCTCTCAGCCGCAACTCTACCCACATAAGCCCCAGACCCAACCAACCTCCGTCCATCGAAGCCCGAGACACCAGCCTGCTGAGCCAAAACTCCAGGTGGTATCCAGCCACGCCTTATGTATGCATCACCAGCTCCCACATTCGAAGGCACGACAAACAACGAGCGAGACTTGTTCAGAGGCGGCCGACGTGTCAACCGACGTAACACACTCCGATAAGTATTCCTCGTTTGTCCCGGTGACCCTGACAGCGATATCTGCTCGTTTCGTTCTTTGTTCGATCGGAACCACAGCCGGGGTCGTCTTGGCTGGCGGGTGAGTTCTGGCATGCCCATATCATCGCAGAGTAACTCGTCGGGCATGAATGAGGCGGGAACTGCTTGCTGGAAGGATCCTGAGATATAGCTTGCGGGGCCGTTGCCGGGCTTCGAGATGTGTATCTCTACACCTCCGGGCTCACGCATGCACAGCTCTGAGCCGCAGTGGGGCCACGTGTGATGTCTTCTGTGGTAGCGGGTATGTGCCATATTGATGGGAACTAGGGAGTAGAGAAGGAAATATCAAGCAGTTGAGTAAAATTGATGGAGTAGGGGGTTTTATCATCTGTCCATGATGTATAGTCGGCGTTGGAGATAGTGTGGTTCGTTGTGGAAGAGGGTTTATGGAAAATGGACAGGGGTGTAGATTTATCTGGCGGGAAACAGGGTTATAAAGCAGTCTTGACATAACTCATCATTTACACCTTTCGAGCTGTTCATTGATCAGAGGTCTGCCCGGGTGACTGCCCGGGTGAAGACATCTAGGGGCGAAGATGACCCAGGTGCATATAAATGAGAATGCCAGGGGCCAAATTCAGGTTTTTCAAAATGATAGACCAGCCAGGAAACTCAGGCGAGCAACAAGGAAAAAAAGAAATCAAAAAAGGACCGAAAGAAGACGCCGAAATGCCTACAAAGACGCGTTTGGCAAATGATTCACGAAATTAGGAAGTCGAGTGTCGGGCGATCCCGAGAGGGAAATGACCAGCTAACCTGAGCTAGTCAAGAGGACAGTCCCATGATTCACGGTCTGACTTGACACTGAATCTGCAATTAACGCTCAAAGGAATTTAAACACAGTCGCGTTAAAATAGCTTGACTAAGTCTTGAGCTTTAACCTAAATCCTGCTATGTAGGGTTCGACCAAAACACGGCTCAGCTAAGTACTGTGTACCTGGTATTTGGGGTGTTGTATGTCTATACACAAGTATCTGATACTTACGGGTCTCAGAGCTGGGAAACGGGTGTGCAGACTGTCCTCAGTAGTCACTAGGCCATATTCGATTCTCAATCACGTACTACGGAGCAGATAGTATATAGGTCCGCAGACACCCTATCAGGAGGATCCGGAAATTGTGGATATTCGGATACTCCCTAGGGTAATTAGTTGCTCGGGGATAATTTCCGAGGACAAATCATCTTCACGTCTGTAGAAAAGATATATTCCCAATATCCGGTGACTAGGAATTAACAACCGAATCCCCCGTCTACCCCACTGCCCCAAAAGGCCGACTGACACCGGGGATTTAACGACGGAATCATCCGTGGATATGGCGGTGGCGTAGGGTAAACATGAAGCATGAACTGATCGGCATTAATTCATATGTACACTCACATTATCAGCTTGGGATGATGTGCCAAGGGTTGCAATGGGTATAAAACAAGCTGCACCTGTGGGCTGAACGCGTACTGTGTGGAAAGTACTCGAGCGGTGCAGAGAGGTGATTGGGCGTCGTGCCGTTTGCCCGTTGATCTTCGATCTTTCAGGTTCAGCAAGAGATGGGTTCTTTTTAAATTAATTCCTGAACAAATTCCCGAGTACACGAGACCTAATCTAAAGGTGCATTTGCCCCGCTCCTTTTGGTATCTTGTACATTCGTCTGCGAAATGTCTGCAGCCGGCCAGCTGCGCCACCAGGCTCCATCTGTTGAATTCCCACACGGCGGATAGACCTGATTTTTCCAGAGAGTGGTGAAATATATACTTATACCACTTGGGGAGGTGCCTGATAGAGTAGATGTCTCATGCAAGCCAGAGATCCTCCGATATGGACTAGTGAATATACTTGAAATCAGAACTTTCTAGACGGACGATCCAAGACGGTGAGAGCTGTCAGGCCCCGCGGGATGGGTCCATAGAGTGGGTTGGATTCTTGCGTAGTCAGACTCCGGGATGCGACATCAAGCAGAATGTGTGCAAGTTCGGGATTCCAGGCTCGGGATCTCCGTGATCCACGAAGCTATCCTGCAAATGACAATGGGGCAAATCCCGACTTGGGTGGACTGAGAGAAGATGATCATAGCCTGTTTTGGATCTTGAAGATTTCTGCAGCTAAGGTAAAAAAAGATCATGCAGTCGAATTCGTCATTGGATTGATTGAGAGAGGCGGAAGTTTCATCCGGAGTAGAACATAAACGACGCTAAAAAGGTTGAAATGCAAAAGAGTATGGATAAATTCTCCGCGCAAAAAAAAAGAGTGGATATTGAACGGAGCAGAGGGCCCAATCATTTGCATATTTCAAAAACATGTCGTTATCTGCTCTTCCAGATTCTCCGAATAAACAAAAGACCGAGGATATTCCAAGCCTAAAACAAGTTCAACGCCAGGAAACCAAAGGAGAGCGAAAGACCAAATTAAAAAAAAAAGCGACAAATGCAAGATACCCCTCGGTCATGCACGCTGCCAAGTAGCAATGTCAGCGGGAGAGATGTCCAAATTTTCAGCAGTGAGCTGGTGAAGCCGCGCGACCTGAGTGGGAGCTAGAGTTTAGAAGTGTCAGCAGCAGTCCTAAAAAGGAGAGCGGCGGGGTGAAGCGTCGGTCCTAAGAGGAGTACCATCGTGGGAAAAGAGGGGCAATGGGAAAGGGAACCAGGGAAGACCAAATTGCGAAGGAGACACGGAACAATGAGCAAATACGAGCCATTAACAGGAAACAGGAAAGGGGATTGACCCACTTGGACGTTGGGCAGCCGCGCCGGCGTGCACATGAATGACAGTCGAATCCACATACTCCTTCGTTATGACACCGTTCACTGAGGCAGCGCTGAGCATCACTCGCAGTCGAAACTTGCCTGGCTGAGAGATCGTGAGCGGACCGAGCTTTGCATATCCGCTCATGGTATTGCCAGTCCGACTGCGCACACTTGCTGTGAGACTGCCGCTCAGGCCGACAGCGGCTCCCGTGCCGGCTTCATCCCGGAGCGAGGCGCTCACAACCAGATGTTGCACATTTTGAGCAGGTGTCCCGATGGGCTTCACAGCAAGAACTACTGGCATCGTGAAGGGGAGACCAGGCCGGGCAGCCGCTGGGGGTGTAATATCGAAGGATAGTGTGAATTCACGACCTGCCATGTTGTTTATTCCCTGCCGATTTGACGCTCTGGGATAGAGGAGTCGCCTTGGATCAAGTTTCGATACAAGGGGTTAAGGGATCGAGGGTCTGTTTCAATCCAATCGGGAAGTAATGAACCGGAATAGATCTTGGAAGTATCACCGTGAAGTATATACCAATCAAATAATTTATGGCGAAGAGAGACAAAACCAATGGAGAGAGAGATCGACGGAATGGACCGGGACGTAGAGAGCCAAAGTCAAGATTCTGTGAATACTGAAATGGGAATTGTGTCAAGAATCCAGATGGCGCGTAGGCCGGGCTTCATATACCTCAGGGCATGCGGCTAGAATCAAATTCAGCCATAGTTTGACCCATAACCCCAATTAGGTGGTACGCCAGAATGATGGCCGAGGAAAAATCGCCACCGTCTAGAAGTGCGCGATTAGACCTAGTGATGGTCGATGACCAGGTAGCCGGGAAAGCCAAGGCGGCCATTATACCACAAAAGCCACAATTGTGATCTCAATACGGAGTAAGAGGCATGTTCTCCAAACATACTGCAAGATCCTTGCATCAGCACGTTCCGGCGACGGGAAATCGAACAGTGGGGCAAAAAAAAGGATAGTTCATTGCTGTTTGGGCGGCTCGATGGGTACGTGTCCCGGCGGCACATCAGTGGTGGAACAGGTACGAGATCTGTGAGATCGAATATGCACTGCAAGAGATCTGAAGCTAGTGTCATGATCGACCGCAAAGTTTCTCACGACAGGGGTTCCACTCTAATTCGTACAACATCCAGCTGTTGATCTAATCCTGTTTGGCGCCGATCGAAACAACCCCCGAGGCTCTCCGGGAATATCTGACAAATCTGACAGGTAAAAGGCCTTGCATATACGGGCGACGTTCATGTGCATTGGAATTTGTAAGTTAAGGCATAGGACCTCAAGTGGATGGGGGGAACTTGGAGGTTATCCTTTCAATAGTTCCGCGCACGGATCAATCAGCGGGGTCATGGTCAATATTGCTCAGTCACTATCGAATTCTGGATGGCTCCCTATTTGGCAGCTGGTATTAGCCAGATGGCAGATGTCATGAATGGGGAATCTCGGTCTGAATGTGGCCTACTAGTGTGCCATCATTTCATCACAGTCATGATCCATGACTTCCAAGGGTTGTTACCTGAGGTTCCCGCTGCGATCAGACCTAGTGGAGACATGATCTCCGAGTCGGGTCAAGGGAGAAACAACATCAGACCGCAATATCTCATTTTGCAGGATCTCTGTCCCTTCACGCAGGAGCTGCAAGCCACACTCTAACGGTGAACTGTGGCGCCATAACCGCCGGCTGGACGCCATGTGAACCACTGGAGCACGGGCATGTCCCAATGCGTACTCCGATGACACTTTTTGTGATACAAGGATTCTTCTTTCTCTTCCAAGATCTATTGATATTCTCATGTTCAAAAATTGTTACCTAAAGATCATCATAGAAGAAACTGGTGGAGTAGAGCGCGGGCTGGTCACAGTTCCGACGATGTGTATCTTCAGCCTCACTGGGTCGAGACCCGTCTATGCTTTGTGCGGGATGTTCTTGTTTAGACCAGCGGGCGGTTCGAGTTCGAGCTGTACTCCACACGGGAGAAGCTTCAACGAAGATCCCTGTACTCCCTACAACCCTGTTACATCCTGTCTCAAGGCTAAACGATCGTTTCGCCGATCTCATCAATAATTTGAATCAGTCGATGCGCCGCCACATCGACCGATGAACCAGAAAACCGGGAAATGCAATGGTCTTTGGATTGAGGGGCCCGGGAACCTCCTTGCGAAGTTGGGCAGACTATTGCGATGCAAGCTCATGCAAAACCAAGTTGATTTCAAGTGATAGGAAGTGACGTGGTTGCGAGACAGGTTTTCGGCGCCAAACCTGGCTGGAAGAACATGATCATCATGACAACAGCATGGATGAGAGGTTGCAACAAAAGCAAAGGTGGATCTCTCAACGAATACGAAGCATGCAAAACCCCAAGCCCAACAAAATGGAGTGTGTTTTGAAATCCAATATTTGCACAGCCACGATGCCAGCCGCAGGTGGCTCGTGCGTGGCTAGTTTGTGGCTCCTGATCTGCAAGGAGAGGCTGGACTGATGGGACTGTGGATATGGTCGTTTCCTAATTGGGCTGCCAAGTTTGGACGGAAGGTTCCCCGGGTCATTCGGATCGCCGATCATTTCATAGATCCAAGATCAATTTTTCCGATTTGTGGGAGAAGTCTTAGATTAGTGCCCGAGGTAAGCATGTGGATGAATGGGGAACGCAGTGCGAGTCTGACAAGTCAATTTGATATCAGAATTCGGGGTGTTTTCTCAATGTTGTTATCAAGACATTTCGCCACTCCAAGCATGTATAAGCTGTTTATACTTCTGACAAACTCAGTAAAAAAAAGCAATGCTTTACGGCTGAGCAGTTGACTGCCCAATGACATCTGCATGCATGTACGTTGAGCCATTAACTGCAATCGTTGTCTATCACTCAGTGGAACCATCTGAACACGAAGTAGTAGGAATAGATAGCGGACAAAAGCAAAGGAACCATCGAATAGCCAAGAGATCCTGAGTTATGAAACGTTGCCATTGGGATGCCAACTTTCTCCACGACTGAACGAAGAGATCCTTCAGTGAAGGGCAGTCACTGCATCATGTCCCACGTCAGACCTGCAGTAGTCTCTGCACGCCGAAACGAATTCTCTTCCAATTACTTGACCCCAGCTGGGAGCATAGAGGTTGTGTCCAGCGAAGTCGACGCGTTGACAATAGCACGAGACAACATGAGCGCATCCTGCAGGCCCAGATTGACACCTTCACCGGCAAAGGGTGCCATCACATGGGCTGCATCCCCAATCAAAGCCACATCTGCGCGATTTGTGCATTCCCACCCCACAGGAAGCATGGGGAATAGCCGGATGAAAGGATCCTCTTCCCGGCGTACAAGGTCAAGCGGCCACGAGTCCCAACGCTTGTAAGGCTGAAGAGTTACCGCTTTCACAGCTTCTATGTCATTCTTGTATGTAAGTTGCTCCCTCCAGACTTCTAGCTGCACGCACCAGCTGAATACATTCAGACTCCCATCTCCGAGCTGCTGGCTAATGATTGTCTTTCCATCTGAGTATGCAAATACCGGACTGCGATTTGTGAATTTATAGAATTTCGGTGCTGTGGGCTCTACGTTAGGAATGGTGAAGCTGACACCACCGATCCCAGAGTACGTGGGCATTTGATCCGACAAAAGGTTTCGAATTTTACTCCATGCTCCATCAGCGCCAGCAAAAAGCTCAACCCCTCTGTGCTTCCATCGAGAATTAGATTAAGGTATTCATCAATTGACCGCAAGTGATGGCTCCATCGAATTGTTTCTTGGGATGAGATTCGAGAAGCATTTCCCGGAGGGAGCGACGATCGGTCTCAGGACATCCGCCGGAGGAAGCTTGCTTCGTCCTAGATTCATCGATATATGGTATGATCTTCTTATCACAGATTATCACAGGCTCTGTCAAATCGTGTTAGTCTTAATAATTCATTATAAGGGCTAGCATCCTTTACCGTGGCGGTCCCCGTACCAGAATGCAAGTCTAGGATTCCGCCTTGTTCGCGAGCGTGCGGGGGCTTGTCTGTTTCGAACACAACTACTTGGATGCTCGGTAACTTAAGCGATAGGTGGGAAAGTGTGAGCCCGACTGGGCCTGCGCCTACCACTGCGACTCGGATGAGAGACATGAGAAAAGAGAGCCGAGGACGAAATTGGAAGGTGATGCATACATGAGCGTACTTACGTCTGGGCGCCAATGCTCTTTTAGTACGGAGTACTGGAAGCACCGCTGCAAACATACGCAGGCAAAATAAAACAGGCAACATGGGCTCTCAGATCAGAGGAAAAGCGGAGGTGCTTATGGTCTCATTGAATACTCGTATAGCTGACTGCATTTGCTGCTAGCCTAGTGATCTAAGACTACTGTGCGCTAACGCATATCTGCGATCCGGAAGCAGATTGGTTTACGCACAAAAGGCTTTATATATTAGCCTTGACCTATACTAACCTTGACCTATGACTGCCTCGAGCTTTTGACTGTTCCTTAGGAAAGCGGGGAGGGTGAGATCTACTATTCCCAATCTGGTTCATCCGCGAGCTTGCTGTCCGAGCCCTTCGTTCAGGAGACTAATAGCGCCACTAAAAATGCCGAATATTGGCGCCTGTTCTAAGCAATAATTTCCTTTCCATTTGCTTTCGCCAGTGACTCTTCCGTGCAAGTGTTGTGATACATAAACAGCCACGATACACCCTAGCTGTCCGTGGACGCGGAACCTCGAGCGTCGTGGAATCACAAGTGGAGTTCTTGTTCTCACTTTTTCACCTGAAATCCCAACATGATCTGAATAGGTAGATAGACTTCTCTAAATGAGACGAATCCTGATATATATGTATGGATACCTACATACACGTAGACTCTGAAGTTGCGCGTGTCAGGGAAGTCCGGTTCCCGACTTGTTGCTTCCTCATGAGTTCCATTTTTGTCTCTGGCCCATCACAAGAATACAGTCTGGACGCCACTTTATGTATATTCTTACCAATACATGGAGAGTATATGCAGGCTTCCACTAGATGGCGCCTTTGCGTACTCGACAGAGTCACTCCCTTGGACCAGGTATACCCCGTCCTCCCAAGCGACCACCGAACACTCCAGTCAAAGTCGATAAGTCAATTGACCCCAAAGTATTCGGTGAGCTTTTAGCCGGAACAGTCGTGATATTTATACTTGCAGTGTTGTTTTGGAAGATTGGACAGTTTGTCAGACGATTCAACCGAGACAAGGTGTTGAGAGCAGGCAAAAGCACTCACACCCGTTACGCACGCACATGGTATGGCTGGGTCGCGCGATCGACTCATGAGAGAAACAAGAAGTTAATCCATGACTTCTTCGCGTGGATTTGGGATTCTTTGGCGTGGAAATCGAGCCGAGATGACTATAGCTGGATATGGTGGGATCCTGGCGACGTGAAGAGGCAAAAGCGCCGCCGACAACTGAAGGGACTTCGTTGGCTACCGGACTGCTTTAAGAGCTATGATGATTTTCCTACTGCTGATGAGATATGGAATCCTTGTGCACGACCTGAGTGTCACGGGGCATTGAAGGACAGTTCCTCAATACCTCATCGTCCTCCAGTACCAGAACCCATCCAGTGGCCGCGAACCCAAGAGACGCCGGCACCAACCTTACCCCAGCAATCTGTTTTGATCAAGGACCCGCCTGTCATCACTCGTTCGATTTTAGAAGAGCTTTTCAGAGACCCACTGAAGCCAAATGATGGCAGTTCTGATCATCAACCCCTGTTCAATTATTGCAAGAACACACCGAGGCCAGATACCCGCACGCCAATGCCGTTCCGACATGTTCAGTCGTTACCATGTCGCCAGAACCGGTCCTATCAGCGCGGAGAATCGATGCCATGGTCGCGTGCTGGGGAGTCCCAGCCCATTCGTTGCCAAATTCAATCCGTCGCCCGACGTGCAGAGTTTCAGTACAACCCAGTGGAGCCAAATGTTTCGATCCCTACAAAAGAGGGCCGAAAGCTTCATTCGCAGGGTCATTCACGCAGGCACCGTGGATGGTCAGCGAGAATGCAGATGGGACCAAAAGCTGTGGATGAAAATATGGGCGACTCATCTGGTCCTCCTGGCACACCAAGAACCGAATTGTTGGCCAGCTATATCTCTGACCCGAGTTCTTCATTTCGTGGTCATCTCAAGCAGCAGAGAGCCAGCGCAGAAGGAAGATTGCGCATCTCTGAGGATAGAACATTCGCTTCCAGAGTGCTTATGGGAAATCAACTTATTTCATCAAATGAGCGTCAGACATACACCAGGACTATCCAATGGTATTCGGCCCCGGCAAGAAGCCGTCTTCAAGGTGAAGCAGCAGCCTCAAAAGCGAGACCAGAGTTGTACAATGAATGGCGATCCATATGTGACCCTAAGAATCATGTCCTGTCCCATCGCCAACGAAAACTTCCCGCCGCTCGATGCTCTGCGGACCAGATCCAGCTTAAAACTGGGGGCAATGCTGATCCATTGAATGACTGGGAGGTCAGAATGCTGGAAAGGCTAGATCGGAAGCTCGTATGGCTCTTTGATGAATTCACTCCTGGCCAAAAGCCGTATCATTTCGCCTTGCTCGCCAATCACTGGTTGAATAGAGAAACATGGCTTGTGTATGATCCAATATCCAGGGTTCCCAACGATGCCCGCCGGGAGTGGGGAGATCCTCGATTCAATGTTCCCTATCCACAGCCGGTTCTGAGCCCGAGACCAAAATACCAGGTTTCCTCACGGAAACGCGTGCAGACACCTCGCATCAATTCTTGGCGAGCGGCAGTGAACAGGCAAAGGGAAATATATGGCATACGAGAGACGATTCGCACCATCACACTGTATGAAGAATCAGCCGAGGAACCGCCAGATGGTCATATTGACCCCGGCTGCTGGGTTTTGCCGAAACCACCTCAAGGCTTTGAGATGTCCACCGCGCAGAAAAACGCCTGGTATGAAGGAGGCGCTGGCTGGCAAGAGAAACTTGAGGACTGGCAAAAGGTCCGCCGGGGATATCGTTTACACAAAGCTATCCACGAAGGCCGAGTCAATCGGGATAGGCTGAAGGAAGTGGCAGCTCAAGTCCATAAGTGCTGTCGTTCTGCCTCGGGAAAATTGATTCCAAGTTACGATCTGGGGCAAACGAGGGTTTCCAACTTTCTTGTGTCATGACTCGTCCTCGAATTGGGCACTTTTTGCACCAGTCCTTTGGTCAACTCGTTGTTCTCTACCTATCATCCAATCATCTGTTCACACTCATTTGAAAAAACCGACATATTTATTACTTGTGGTGTCATACGCTCAGTACCACCCTTTCTGTCCCTGCATTGCTATCATTAGTATAGCTCGGGGACCCCGGCACAGAACCCAAAGAAAAATATTCTCAAAATGCATTTGAATTGAAAGCCTGATCTAAGCGCTGGGGTAATAATGGAAAGTCGTAAGCCACCATCCGGTTCAGAGTGGCCGCGCTGCAATTCCAAAAAGCCAAAACTCCGGTAGTCCATATGTTGTTTTTCGCTCCGACAAGCCCCCCGCCGGAGGCGAGTTTCGGATGTATAGTACATGTGCGGGGGGAAAAGAATCCGTTTAGAAACCGGGAGGGTTGACACGCTGGCTGACACGAGTCCACTTGGGCAGCTCTATAAGAAAATGAAGTGGTTAGCTCATCCCTTCAAGGTAACATTGAACCACAATTGGTGTATTCAGGTCAAACGGAATTGGAACAAGGACGTACTGTGGATGCTCTTGCGGTAACTCTTCTCCTTCTTATCGAAAAGAGTGTACTTGTCCTTCGGCAGCATTTCCTCCTCGCGCGGCATCTCCGCGAACCACCGGGTCACAGCCTTGGAGGTCTGACCATTCCGCTCGAGTGCGGCACTGACGGTGTCGACGACGCGATCCACGGAGCGCAGGCGCTTGCGCTGACGTGCCTTCTGAGGAGAGGAGAGACGCCACGGGGTCTTCCTGTGATTCGGGAGGAACTGTTAGATTGGGCTCGTTTGTGGTTGTGAATCAGACTCGGAATCTAAATACGCACCAGAGAAGACCACCAAATAGTGCTTGGGTTGACTTGAACATTGTTGCTTGGTGATGTTGTCAGGGTGTAGGCGGAAGAAAATCGTGCTCGGAGTCGGGAGTGTAGCTGGTCCGTGCGCAGGATGTATAGAAAAGCAACAGATCTAATCACTAATTTACGGATTGATACAGTAGATATCGAGGATATCTGCGATATTTCAATTGGATCAGTGAGATTAACTGCTGATTTTGAATTATCATCTGCCATATCATTATAGAATCGTAATGCTGGACTGGTGATTTGCCGTGAATGATTACCCCAACCAAAATCATGTGATTTCGACAGAATGTCGAACTCCGAGGGACGCGATATTTTTTTTTTTTGAAACTTCACTCGACTCAGTCGCACCTGCTTTTGGAGAAAGGTCTATTCAGGCTTCTTTAGCTTGCCCGAAGATCTTCCCTGTTCATGGATTGCGCATAGCACTCTTACACTATCCACCATGGACTCGAGCGCAACGGCGGAATCCCCGTCCCTCCCCTGGAGGGTACTCTCCAATACAGCGATGCTTGGAGTTGCGGGCTTATGTCGTGGTTTCCTCTCGGCTTTATGTCACGCAAAATGCTATGGGGAAGAGGAATTCACGGAATTATTGGACTCCCGTCGTGATATTTCCAAGCGAACGCGAGGATTGATTACAGGTATGTCAAGTCACAGCGCACTGCATCAGATCAATGCAGTTGCTAATTTTTTTGTCTCGAAATAGTATCGAATCACATTAGCGTGTACGTGTCTCCAACCACCTGAATCAAGGCAACTCATACCACAATTGTGAAAATGGCTGACGTTGCGCCGGGATACCAGAATGGATGACCCATTGATTTGGGGCATTTTGCCTATGCGGTTTTGGAATAAGCGATGGTCATTTGGAAGCCATGATATTTGCTATCAGACAAGGTATCTCACGAATCATCCGGATGCTTCCATGTATTATTTTGCTTACTGGAGATGACTGTAGACCGCTGTCACTATTCTTCACCATGGGACAAGTCTTGCCAACACATCGTTCTGCGCATTCCATATTCGGTGGCCTAGCTCAACCCGCTATGACCGAGGCTGTTCGCCTTTTATCGAAGGGTCCTTTCCCCGTCGACCACCACCGCGCCCTACCGGAATATCAGCGTTGGAGCCGCGAAAGCGTCTGCGTTGATCCTTTCTCGGACCTTGAAGTCGCCTACACAACCAATGGCCACGATGCACACCTGGCACCTTCAGCATATTCCTGCAACTCGAATTCATGGGTTCATATTTTCCCGGAAGGCAAGATTCACCAGTCACCACGGAAGACCATGCGCTATTTCAAGTGGGGAATTGCTCGGCTTATTCTAGAGCCCAAAGAATGCCCGGATGTGGTTCCCATGTGGATTGAGGGCTTCGACGATGTCATGCATGAGAGTCGGGAGTTCCCACGTTTCCTTCCTCGGCCGGGCAAACAGGTCAGTGTCACCTTTGGCTCAAAGGTAGACTCAGAGGTTGTGTTCGGAGACATGAGATCCCGTTGGCAGAAGCTGAAAGCGAGAGTCGAAAAGAGCTACCCCGAATCTCGTGATCTGCCTATTGGTGTGCTGAGTGATGAGCTGCTGAATGACAAGGAAGCCGTGGAGCTGCGCAAAGAGGTCACCTTGAAGATCAGAAACCTTGTCTTGGATGTCCGCCGATCACGCGGATTGCCCGATGAGGATCCGAAGGAAGGCTTGGTAGATACCTGGCTAGCGGAGGGCCACAAGCGTGAGGGCCACATGAAGGACGATTCCTGGGTTCGGGATATCTAAGCCCTTGTAGATAGACTGTACAGTATTGTATAGATTTGATTATGAGCAACTATGAACTATGAGCGTCATTTTAGTCCTATTTGTTTCCCAAAGGCGGTAAACTCTTGTATAGATCAGGACTGGGGGCGATAAGCGATATGACGCGGGGCATCATTGCCTCCGTCAACTCCGCATTCGACCGCAGATGCCGAAAAAGCACCAGTGGTTTCACGCAAAACCTGCCAGCTCAGCACACCCCAGTCTCGCGCCATCTGAGTCTCGTCAGCATGGCGGGTCTGGGGTCCGGGGCTCGTCAACGACGGCGTCAGTTAACGATTTGATCAGTCACCTTCGTCGCACCCAGATCCCTAGTCCATCCCCCGATGATCCTCCAAGCTCCCAACGTGCTCAACGTGCCTTTATCACTCCGCGATCCGTTCACCCGTCTCTTCGAGGTCTGCTAGAGCTTCCCGAAACCTTACCGCCGCGACCTCGCCCAGGTGGTCGTCGCACGCTGTTCGGTGTTCGTCCGTCTCGGCGAACTGTGGGACCTCCGCCGCCTGCGAGTTGGCTCTCTCGGAACGATGATGCAGAAAAAGACCAAGGGTTCCTGAGCCGAGTCCCAGGGCCCTTGGAGCAGGACATTCACCGACTAAATCGGCTCCAGAGGCCGCTCTTTCCTGATAGGAGAAGTCTGCTACATCTGTTACTAAAATCGATGGCTTTAAACTGGTCTTGGCACATTGAATTCGACGGTCCATTTCTGTCTCAACTCCCAAATCATATCAAGGAACTGCTATTGAGTTATGTTGCTGTATATGCAAGAGGCTTGTCTCTGGACGGGTATATGAAGGGGCTGAAACCGCTCTTTTTGACCCAGGAAGACCAGGATCAACTCAGCAAGGACAATCCAGATTTCAGCGAGTCAATGGGCGTCAACGGAGATTTTCAAATTGCGCAGTTGGATTTGGGAAATGCTCTGGGAAGATGGATAACTCTCAAGCAGCTCACACACGAAATGATACACTCGCCAGCTCCGGCTCTAAGTCGCGACACAATAGAGGCCGTCCCATCTTCGTGGGACGAAGAAATCGACGAAGGCAAAGGGAAAGCTACACCAGATGATGATCTGGCTCCATCCGTCCCCATGAGTATTACCCAAACTCTTCGCTTCCCCAAACTTCGCGCATTGTCTTTAGCACACCCGAAGCCTAGTGCTGCAAGCTGGCCCGCTCTTCTCAATTTAATGGCACACCTGCCTACCATAACTCATCTCTCACTTGCACACTGGCCAATACCACATCGCAACCCAAGTGCTGCCCCTGAACGTATTCGCGAAGCGATGATCAAGTCTTCGGCTTCAGATGCCTTAGAGGACCACTGGGCAGAAGCTGCGAGTGTCCTTCGCCAGCTCTCGCGCTCAACCTACTGTCTAAAATGGTTGGATCTTGAGGGCTGTGCCCAGTGGCTGCCAGCCTTGAGTTGGGTCGGGGACGATCCCAACGGCATACCATACAGCCCTGATAATGTTGGTCCGGAGTGGAATGGATCATGGAGAGATATCGAGTGGCTTGGGATCGGCCCTGGCTTCCTGGATCTGGCGAAATCCAACAGTTCCTTGGATTTGTCGTTCCCTGAAACTGCCTCGCAAACGCTCTCAGCAGATTCCCTTTGTGCATATCACATTCAAAACGCGCGTGATGTGCAGAGACACATTCGACAGTTGAGAAGTGGGAGGAAATGGATTGAAATTGAGCTCGGACTGGGACTGGAAGACATCGACACTGAGATAATCAGGCCGCCGAATGGGCATGAGTTCTCAGTCTACTTGTGAGGACTTGCTACGGGGACCATAAAATATGTACAACGCACAGCTTTTAATAAAAGAAATGCCTAAATACGCATTTGTATCATAGGTGTAAATCGAAATTCTTTTTATTCATATCTGACTGTACAATGGTATCCGGACCAAACGCCCACCGATTTTAAACTATGTAACTATTTCTTCGACCGATTAAATGTCTTCAAAGGATCAACCTTTCCACCGGACTTTCCACGAGCACGGTTGCGGTCTCTCGCCTTGCGGATGCGGTTCTGCTTTGACTTTGAGAAGCCAACATACCCAACATTCTCCTTTGAAAGACCCTTGCGGCCCTTAGCAGGCATCAGGTAATCGGGGACATGCTTAAGATGCGCCTGGACACGCGCAGCACGGAGCTCGCCGTCGTGACGCAGCTGTCGCAGCTCATCGGGGTTATCCTCGAAATGGCGCTTCAACTTCTCACTCTTGATTAGTTCCTGTCGGATCTCGCGTCCTCGAGCTTCCTGCACTGCCAGTCTAGTCACAGCGCGGAGAGCATCGGTCATACGGTATCGGAAGGCGTCGACTTGCGACATCTCGAAGTGGTAGGGCTTGACTTCATGGCCGAGCTTAGTTTGTCTCTTGATGATCTTGGCGAGCATGGCTTCGTCGTGCTTTGTGCTGGGGATTGAGGTGGGTCTGTGCTTGCCGTGCTTCTCGGTGGGAACAACGAATGAAAGGGCCATTCCTGCCTTGCCAGCGCGGCCGGTACGTCCGATGCGGTGGGTGTAAGATTTGGAGGTGGTAGGGAGGTCGAAGTTGAGGACGCAGGCGACATTTTGGAAATCAATGCCACGAGCAATGCTGTAATCCTTCTCCTTGCTAGTCATCTTGCGGCGCTTCTGTGTTTGCGGCTTCTTGGCCTTTTCGCTCTCATCAACTGCCTCTTCATCCTCGCTGCTTCCCATCTCTTCTTTGGCTTCCTCTTCTTTAGATTCCTCTTCTTCAGCCTCCTTGGCTTGGCGAGACTTCTTAGATTTGGCCACTCCCATTACTTCTTGCTCATCGGCTGCAACAATGATATCGTAGACACCCTTGTTGAACTCTTCCACAACGTGGATTCGGGAGTTGATAGGGAGTTCTGAGTTGAGGACACAGCTCTTGAGGCCGAACTGTTCAAGGAAGAGCTTCACACGGTAGCATCGGTCCACATCTGCCACAAAAATGATGACCTTGCCCTTGATAAGCTGCAGTTTGAAAATGACGTAGGTGAGAAGGAACTTCTCATCTTCCGCGCATCTGTTGGAATTTGATCAGTGAATGTTGTAAATGAAATGTAGCACATTGTCTTACCGGACGATAAACTGGCTGACACCAGCACCCTTCTCTTCCTTCTCCTCCAGCTTAAGAATCACCGGGTTTCGGCAGTACAAGTCCTTCAATGTATCGACCTCTGAAGTGAGTGTAGCACTCATCAAGAATGTCTGCGCCCCACGCGGAATTGCCTTGGAAAGCGCATTGATTTCTTCGTCATATCCGTAAGACAGAACGAGATCTGCCTCATCGATGACCAAATGCGTGATTTTATCGAGCGACAAAGCGGAGTTGTTGACGTTGCTGTAAACTCTGGTAGGCGTGGAAACAACGATATCCGGGAAATCGGCCAACAATGAACGCTGAACTTCATCGGACACCTTCTGAGTCAAGTTGATTGACCGGATATCCTTTCCGCAGAAAATAGCGAAAGATGTAATCACTTTTTGAACCTGTTCTGCAAGCTCGCGAGTGGGGACAAGGATGAGAGCAGTTGTGGCTTTGGAGGAGGGGTCGGCCTGATCGATCAATGTTAGACTTTTTGTATTCCTCTGCAACAATCAGATGAGGAAAAGAGGTTACGAACAGTCTTCTGCTGGAGGATGGCTTGCAAGATCGGGAGGACATAGGCGGCGGTTTTGCCAGAGCCGGTTTTCGCACGGGCTATTTCTGTCAGCGGAACTCTTTTGACACGTCAATTTGAGATGGTCCACTCACCAAGGATATCCTTTCCTTCCAATGCAAGAGGAATCGCCTTGGACTGTACAAGTGTAGGTTTGGTGAACTTTTCCTTAATGAGAGCTTGGCGCAATCGAGGGTCGAGGTTCAGGGCTTCAAAGTCGAGTTCTTGGTCCTCGGCCGCAGCGGCCTCGGGGGATGGGACATCGTTTGCGTCCAGCTTGCGCTTCATTGTGATTGTGCTAGGCATTTGCTTGATGGAATCTGAGGAAGTTGAAACTTTTTTGGGAAATTTTGTCGGGCGGTGAGATTGTCGCGGGCGGTGAGTTGGAAGATTTGGGCACTGGAGCATGTTGACATAATTGGTGATGCCTCAGGCAGAAATGATATCTATAGAACAGTGTTGGGACGAACTTGAAATATCTTGGATAGTTCAATTATTCCGTAGTGCTCATCTTGGATCTAAGACAATGTGTAGAAATATACTAGAAATTTGTGCTATTATCAGAAATCATACTAGCGGTAAGTAGGCATACCATCTTAGTATTGAATACCCAATGTATAGATCAAGCGATAGAGGTCGAAGCTTTGTTTTCAAGATCTAATCTAAATGAATACTCCAAAATAACAATAGGAAGCAGATATGCTCATGCTCACTAGATATTAAATTCAATAGGCGTCCACATGGTATGGCACTTCACGTATTACTGTGCTTAACATGATAAGAAGACAGAACATAAAGGATAGGAAGAAAGAAGAAAGAAAGGAAAGAATACCAAGAGAGAGAGAGTAAAAAAGGGCAGAAAGTCGTATAACAGAATAGCAAGATCTCAACTGACTACATAGGATGATCAGTTTTTGGCAGGAACCCTTCCAATTGCCAGAGTGATTGATGACGAAGCATCTCGCATATCGGCCAAATGCATGGGTGTTTGGCGCTCCTAATCATCATCTCAAAAACTCGTAGTTTGCATACTCTAGAAATTTCGCTTGGGATGCTTCCGTGATTTTGCCTACGGGAAGAACTTTGACATTGTGCTCGACAGTGTAGATCTTGCCAAAGTTCACCCGAGACATACGATCCAGCTTCTGATCAGCCTTGGCGGGTTCGACCTCTAGAGGCTCCTTAATCATACGAGGCTCTGCTCGCGAAGAGTGAGGTTCATCACCTCGCATATAGATGACGGCATGCTTGGGCACGTCGACCCCGGACTTAGCTACGCCTTGTCCACCGTAGGTAGCAATGGGACTAAAATGGTGGATCAGCATGTTATCACACAGCTGAAAACTCTTGGAAGCTTGGAAATTCCACATACATACACCAGCAGCACCCCTTCCGCTCTCTAACTACCACCATGCGGCGGATGCTACTGTATATAGACTCTCCGTACTTGCCCGTGGTGAATGGGCTTAATTGTTGACTGAGTACAGTCCCATGTGAGCCTGCATTCTCATGATAGAGCATTGAAAAAACCTATACAACGGCAATTATTAGCAGGCTTTAAATACAGATCCATTTGGCTTGCGTGAATATACCTTGCCCACTCGAAAAAATTTCCAAGCCTCTCTCTGCCTTTGATAGCCTGGTCCACACAAATATTTCGTCAGTTCATGGCCCTAGATATCGATTGAGAAACAGCCCAGTCCATTGCTTACGACGATCCAATGTCTCACTATCGCGGCCTGTGATTGAGTATGAGGGCCCCAAAAATGATTTTTGCTATAGGTCAAAATTAGCCAATCAAGTAACATAAATAGGGGATGATAGTACTTACTACATCACTGTCGTATCTTCGTTGGGCATCTCCCAAAATGGGGTCATTGCGGTGGCTCTGACTGCTCTCGCCATATGTGGGCACTATATGCGAGGTTGGGTGATCCCCCAGACTCAATCCTTGTAGATCCTCAACAAGGCCATGCGGAGTGGACGCATCACTTTTCGATGAGGCGGCTTCGTTCCGGTTGGATATGCTCTCGCGCCCTGTTTTGCGACCGGCCGGACCGCGGTGTGTTCCATGAGGCGTTTCCTGGCCCCATGTAGACTGAATGGTATGGTTGGTTGCCCCTGTACCAATATATACGCCACTATCCACCCGACGCTGACTGACAGGTCGCGAATATCCAGCGTCCGAAGGTCGGCGATCAAAGGCCGGTCGATCATTGGCATCTCCTTGGCTGTAATCGAGCGCAGCCGGCCGCTGTGGATCTGGGCGAGTCGCATGATGGCCTGAATTGGGAATCGGGACCTGATGTCGGTATACATCGTCGGGCCTGGAAAGCGCGGCCCCGGAGGCGCTTTGGCGCGAGGTAACACTTCTATCAAATACATTATTGACTAGGAATCTTCACACGCGAAGGATGAACCAACCTTGAATCTTGATTTGCGGGTGCGGCAGTTCGACTGCCGCCTGGCTGGTCCCATTCGTAATAAATATTCCCTTCTGTCTTGATTAGATCCACGTAAGTCGCTATATACATAGCAGTAATGCCCACCTGAATGATCATAGTAGGGCCGATACCATCGGCTGTGTTCATGACTCAATATCCAGTCTCCAGCCATGATGTTTGCCTATCTGGTATACACGAAATCGAGAAAGACCAGGTAAACATATCAAGGCGTTTGAGGGTGTATCGCGACAGTTTTGGATCTCACTCCACCTCAAGTACCCATTGTCGTATCATGCGGCTCGGTCCGTCTTCATAGTGCAAATTCATTTTGTACATAATGTGCATGTCGCGTATGCAATGAATCGAGTTGATTTGTTGTCAAGCGCTCACTCGCGGAAGAGAGGGCGCTGCAACCAGCACATGATCATTCTGCCCCAATAGAAATCCAGAAGGTTGATTATGAGGAAAAGAGTGGCTGATAGGCCTCAATCGCCCCTGTATTTTATTTTTCTCGACCAACTGAATGTCAGCAAGACAGCTGAGAACCGGGCGCTAATGCAGTGCAGGAGCCCTCGGAGCAACGGCCATTGGAGTCTTCTGTTCGGGTACCAACGCGCCACTGCGCCTGTGACTCTTTCACCCCCCCTGAAGCAGGTAACTCGCGAGGCTCTCACATTTTCACTTGTCCAGTCACTCGGATCTCAATAACGTTCACTCTTCACATTCGAACGGCCATCGCCGATATTCGAAGGTGTTGGCGTCTGACTTCCGTCATGTGCGAGATGTAATCGGGAACTACCGTGCAAACACATAGAGAATGGCATCTTGGCCAGGCACCTTATGGAATCGGTCATCACAGGTTAGTTGGCCCTGTCGACCTGTATTACAATAGACACTTATCATGATATCACGTAGCCGTCTTCTATAGCAAATGTCGGGGCCAAAAGCAGGAGTGAAGCCTGCCTGGACGACTGTTCATTTGCCCCGCAGCCTCCAATTCCACAACTGGAGGAGATACAAGGGGATGATAGAATATGGAATTCCACAGGATCGGAGACTCAACAGCCACAGTCTGCGTTTCATTCCGAGGAAGTTCAGAAAACGACACCAACCACGCCGATATTCGGCTTAGCAGAACAAGAAATCCGAGAGAAGAGCCAAGAACCCATCAAGAGCAGGAGGTGGTTACCCCAAACTCTACATAACTGGGACGACTACGAGTCTACATCTTCATCATCAGTACCAACTTTCCGATTCCAATATCTCCCGGAACCAAATGAAGCAAGCGAATGGTATCACATGCCTGAGCCGCCCCCTGAATCGGCTCAAGAAACCCGGGCCAAGGTGATGAATCTTCTAGACGAAGTGCTAAGTGCACATGAAGATGTTTCAGCCAAGCGCCATCGGATCCGAGAGATGCGACATATGCTGCGCCAGAAACGGGACGAGGAGGGCGACGTACGGATTACATTGCGGAGCAAGTTGAATCTCATAACTGCCGAAAACGTGCATGATGATCTTGCTGCTATCAATGACACGATCAATGAACTCCAAGATGCCACTGCATCATATTTCATCCTTGAAAATGAATATCATAGACAGGAAAATGAACTGGCAGAACTGGAGTATGATTACAACAAACGCCTAGAGAGGCTGCAAGCAATCCTCGAGAATCAAGGCCACTCTCTAGCAAATCGTGACGCTATGGAATCGGATACCGCTTCTTCTTCAGCGGACTATACTTCGGACTATGGAGATGAACCGTCACCCCAAATGGCCGAATACCTTTCCATGGTCGGCGAGGCGCGTATACTAGTGGAACGGCTCTCGGAGATGGAGACAGAATACCTCATCCTGAGTGAACAACGCGAACAACACGCAAAACTCGGGATTCCCCAAGACAATTATTCGATCAATTTTATACTTCGATACACGGGAGAAAAAGCGAAGATCGAATCCGAGTTAGAACTTGCCCGCCATAAAGTCGAATCGCATCCCGAGCATTCAAATCATCTCGCCCAGGTTGATGGCGATATAGATGAAGATGAAGAGGACGAGATGATACAGTACTTTCTACCGGAGAAACCAGAGGACCAGCGGTGCGAGGATCCGCTCCGCTCTTCGGAATTTGACGACCCATCGCCCTTTTTCGCTGCTGCACACGCCCAACCTGTCAACAAGGGCTCCTTTGTGGATCGATGGCTTCTTCACCGATTGCGACATTCAAGTTTTGAGATCATGCGGTTCAAGTCTGCACCTGAACTAGTGGACCTGAGGAGCAAGGGCTGGGAATCAGACAATATTAGTAAAATGGCAATGAGGCTTTGGTTTCAAGATGGTGCGGCAACTGTGGAACATGTTAGAAGTCATTCAGGTGGGTAGTTTATATAGCATCATCGTTTCAACGCTCATAGCGAGTGCAGTTGGTTTCTCCTCTCTCCGTTGCAGCAAAATCCCACCGAACCAAGACCTTGATATCTTAACCAAGTATTGATTTGAAAAAAAATCCTGTTCATCCTATGCAACAGCCTATAGAGTGTAATTGCCATGATATAACCGGAGATATCGTTTGCCGTATATGTAAAGCTGTCCCGGAGGGTAAGGGCTGGGATTTATCAAGGTATGATTTGGTAGGGCCATGCCTCATCGTCTGCTGAATATTCTGGATGAGCTGAACCAGGTGTGTTTATGAGAGGAACAGATTGTCTCTTCCATGAAACTAACTTCCAATGATTCAATTATAAACCAGAATTATTAGATTATTTGAGCAATGAAATCACTGCATTTCCTAATCACAAATCGATTCGTATCGTGATGCTGTTCATTATGTACATGACCCATACAATTTCCCATATCCATATCCATAAGTCAATCGGCAGATGCCGAGATAAAAAAAAAAGACGCTGATCCCATAGCCAAAGAATATTGAACATTCAAAATCAGACCCCATCAACCAGGGTATCTGACACATCAAAACGTGCCCCAATATGCAGTCATAAATCAAGAATATTGTGTCTCGCCCTCACTGTCACTCAAGCTGTCACGACGACGACTCCGTCCATCCCGGCGATATCCCTTCGTTAAGCCCGGGATGGGGTGCTTGTAACTCTTAGTTCCAGAGTCTTCGGTGTCGACATTGGAGTATTGATATTCAGAACGGGACCCGGCGGACGAGAAATCTAGGGGCTCAGTGTAGTGGCCCTTAACCGCAGAGCGACGATCACGGTGCTTACGAGGGCTGCTAGTACGAGAGGACGGGGCGGGAGGTGGACCCGATGGCGCAACCTCGCTGCGACGATCACGGCGACGGTTATGACGGCGAGTGGATGGGTCACGAACACGGCGTTCCTCGGTTGCTTGACTGATCACGTCCTCGCTTCCTTCTGTGAAAGAGAAGCCAGAAGGCTCACGGGTCTGGCGGCGTGGCTGGGGCCGGTCATAGGCAAAGTCACGAGATTGACTCATCTCACTCTGTTGATAGGAGGTTGGCGGGGCGGAGGTGTCATAATCACTGCCATGGTAGGTTCCATCGGCTTCGCGATTCATGCCGCCAATGCGGGCCGGTTTCTCTTCCCGGTATGCGCGCACGTCAGCATCCTCTGCTCCTTCCCATTGGTCGCGCTTGTTGCGTCGGAGAAGCTTTTCTTTAGCGTTCTCCTTGAACTTCCTGCGGTTTGACTTCTCTTCGGTCACGGTCGTCGCTGTCTCGGTGTATGATCCTTCTGTGTACGAATATCCATCGTCGGTGTAATTCCTATCAACAATGCTTCCGCCTCCGAGCCGAGTACTCTTAGTGGCGTTACTTAGAGTCTCTCCGTTAGGTCCCTTTCGTCGTAGAACCGTGGACTTGTAGTCGTCCCAGTCGCCCTTGCGCCAGACGAACCCGCCGTTCTTAGCCCAGAAAAAGAACCAGATCGTTGCCAAGACAAAAAGCAGACCGATGATGGCAAACAAGGCCATCAGGCCCTGCATCTTGATGCTGTGTGGGTCGACCGTGCCTTTTCCATAGGCTGGCTTTGTGTCTTTTGAATCACGACCGAAGATAGAGGGGGTCTCAAGGTTGATGGAAGGTGAGGCATTGAGGCTGTTATCATTGTTGGCATCCCTAACGTAAAGTCCACCCACGTCTGCTACCGGAATATCGGAGGAATCTTCGATCCGCCAGAATGGAGGCATAATGAGATTAGAGTAGTCAAGAGCACACGGCTCAAGACTTGACTCACTTGTAGAGTGTTAGTACACCGTGCAATATTGCGATTGAGGGCGATGTACATACATTGAAGCAAGTGATCAGCACCAGATCTAGATGTAGATTACTGGCACACTGGAATGTGGGCGTAGAATGTGGATATCAAACGTGGGATAACAGGAAGGTACAGTGCCTGAATAGACGTCAGTAAAATCTAGAAGGAAGAACGAGAGAAATGACCGGCGCAATGATGATCTAGCCCAACGTCCTTCCTGGAATTGAGGAGGTTGGTGGAGAGGCTGGGGACTATGGGTGTTTACATGAGGGTTGTCATGGACAACCTGCTTACATCACTCCCCCACATCACATGGGCAGACCACGGATCCGAACCTTAGTCCTGAAGTCCACCCGTGGGTCGATCTATAAAAAGAGTTTAGGACGGCTCTATTTAAATCTGAAACATGGCGTGTAAAGAAATGGAGTTTAATAATGTATCTATTATACCGAGGTATGAAGTCAAGCAATTTTCTCCCGCTTGAAATAAATCTCAGAAAGGCTCCTCCACGATCGAAAGCTGTGATCACACGCAGGCAGCTTGCGGGGTATCAAAACCAACCAACTAATCAGCAAAAGCAGAGGAGTATCAAGGCCAATGAATGAGAAAACAGACAAGGGACGAAAGCAGATTGCAAAGGATAAACCGAATCAATACAAAGCCCAAAACAGACTACGAGCCTCAGTCCAATTAGGACAACCAAATAGCATCATCACACATGTAAAATCGTAGATATGGCCAAAGAAAAAGATGACCCGTTGAGAAATGGCAAGTAAACAGATATGGGTATAATCTCTCTCCGCCACCTGGAGTCGCGAAGAAAGTAACCAGGAGAAAGACAGAGGCCCAATGACAAGAAAGGCTATACATAAAACGCTGACAAAAGGGGAGAGACATCAGAAAGTAAAGCACATCAGACTTGTCATTGCAGGTCATCAGAATCGTACAATCATATCGCCATAACAGAGACATCAAGGGGGGTTTCGTGCCCGACCAATTTGCCCAGGCACGTAAAAAATAGAAAGAAAATAGAGACAGCAGTTGCAAATGAAATCACACACAAAATTCCTCCCAGTTTAGCGAGACCGTTGGGCAACCGGCAACTCTAGACTCCATGACAAAGTCTAGTCTGTTCCAAAGCTGCCCAACGGGGCTCCGCTGCAGGTAAAATTACCAGTGGTTTTTTTTGTTTTGTTCCAGCCATAAGCACCCAATCCCGAAGAAACGCAAGATATGCAAAGCAATCGAAACTTTTGACAAACGAATAAGGCCAGCCAGAAACGGCTACACAGACACAAGATGGAATCACAACAAATATACCGAACCAAAATGAAAAACGAAAAAGGACCGAAAAAAGGACCGCATCCAACACGGTAGGAAAACATGATCAATGGTAGCGGCTTCCATAGACCGACTGGCTGGCTCGGCGACTAGATCGCTCATATCGCTCGGTTCGCCGATCGTCCCGGGGACGCCGCACATCTTCAATTTCCCGGCGGCTGGAGCCGCCCGTGTAATCAGAGCCAGCACTACTCACATTCTGCTTGGGTTGCCGTGGGCCGCCGATATTTAATCGAACAGCCCCGGTATCCCCAGCGCGAATGTTGATAGACTTGCCTGCAACTGCTTCCGATGTAAATCCGATTTGGAATCCATTCAATGTGAGGGTCATGTTCTTGTCTTCCTCCTTCCGCGAGGTTGTAACACTGCCACGGCTGCTGTTAGACCGGCTGTTTTGGCTGCCGCTCTCGCTCCCGGGGCGGTGAGCCACTTTGTCAGAGAGCAAGGTCTCCTGGGAGAGAGGTAGTGCGGCGGCTGATGTCCGGCCTGAACGGGCTGCCTGGTAGTTTTCAGCTTCGCGCTCGCGATCTTCGAGATCCCCACTGGCGCTGGATGGTTCATCATAGTAATACTCGGTAGGCTTCCGCCGCCGAGAGCTCGCTACGGCCACATGAGCAGACCGTCGATCGTCCTGGTAAGACGTTGATCGACGGTGATCTCGTAGGCTGTGAGCTCTCTCTGGCAGAGAGGCATCCCTCGATATTCGGCGATGTGCCCGATCCTGAATCGCCGGCAAGGCTGCTTCCATTTCGGACATGTCCATGCGGTCTAGGTCTCTGTCCATTCCTCTATCCCTGTCCATGGCTCGCTCCATGGCTCGCTCCATGCCTCTGGGTGGGCGACGCTGAGAAGAGGGGACCACACCGGCAGTGGTATGCATCTTCCGTGGGGGTCCTGGCCGCTCTGCCTGCGGTAACTGGTGGACTTGCGGGGCAGCCCTGGATTTTGGCTTTGACCTTGGGGGTGGCATACGATAATAATCCTCGTCCTGTTCCTGGTGTCTTGTGGAAGGACGGTCATGAATCTCCCGCGAGGAATAAGGGTCCAGAGGTGGCTCGTCATCATACCATGGTGAATACGATCCGGAGTCCATTGGTGGAGGAGGTGGCTGGCCATAGCTGGATGAAGCCCGACGGCGAGACGGCTCCCGGGAAGGGGACCGGGCTCGTGGGTAATCCGATGGGGCATAGTCCGCCGCTGACGGGGCATAGTGAGAAGGTGGTCCATATGGGGATGAAGAGTATTGTTGCATGTATGCTGAGCTGGCCGGTGGGGGGCCATGAGAATCATATCCATGCATAGATGCCTGGGGATACATCGGAGATGCCATTCCCGAGCTCATTCCATGTGGTGGCCCGTGTAGACTCATGGGACGTCCGTGAGGGTGGTATGTGTGGTAGGAGTTGGAGCGGCTGGGTCGAGCCGGGTGACTGACGTGGATGTTCTCTATAGCACCACCAGCATAGCGAGCAGTGTGCGGCGACGATGAGTATTCCGGGACAGGAGGCCGTGACTGTACGTAAAATGGATATTCGCTCTGCCGATGATCGACCGGGGTCGATTGATGGTACTGAGTGCCGTAGTCGTAGTAGCTGTCTGGATGATACTGTCTCGCATGGGAAGATTCCCGTCGACGAGACTTCGACAACGACCGGGGCACGTGAGCATGATGGGCAGCGCCCGGATAGGCACCAACCATCGTCTCTTCGCGCGGAGGCCGAGATCGATCCTTGTCTCTACGTTCTCTGATCGAGATTTTTCTGTTGAGTTCGGAACGTTTGGGGGTGTCCAGCTTATGAGGGGGCGGGGGACTTCTTCCGCCTGATGGTGCAGATTGGGTGCTGTTTCCTGTCGCGGCGGTGCGACTAGAATAACCCGAGTCACTGGCGCCGTCGATCGGCGGCTCCTGGAATTTTTCCAACCTGGAGGATAATTTGGCAGCTGAATTGGCAACAATATTGGCAGAAAGTCTAGTGTCGGGTAGGATGGCGTGTTGTTCTTCGTCGTAATCCTCGACGCAGGCTGGCCGGGGGCCCTTACCGGCCATTATGTGGGCTGCAAGGCGATCGCTTGTCTAATGAAAAAAAAATTAAAAAAAAGGGTTGGTCCCGTTCCGATAGGGGCGACGTGGGTGGCTCCCACAGGGCTCCAGAGATGTTCGACTTACGGCAAGCCACTACTCCTCTTTGACGATGAGTCAGAATAGATGTTTTCCCCCTCTCAACCCCGTCTTGGATCTGACGAAACCCTTTCTTCTTCCCAGTGCCCAACCCAAGCGGGCCACTCAGAAAAGCAAGCGGACCTGCCGATCGCAGTGGGCGATGGCAGGCGAACGGGCAACCAGTTCTGTCAAGCGGAGAGAGCGAGATAGTACTTTTCAGATCGCAATGTCTCCATCGAAATTGACGGAAATGTTAGGCTAAGAGTCGGGCGGAAGCGTTGGGTCAAAGAAAGAGGGAAAAAAATAAAAAACGACCTCTCTGGCACACGATGAGTGGTGGACCGCACTGCAGCTGCAGAGGTTGGGTTGAGAATTTAGGATCCTCTGCCTGACGGTCTTAGAACCCAGTGGGGAGAGTGGAGTCGCTGGGCAGCGATAAAAAAAAAAAGAACTGAGGGGTTACTAGATATGATATCTAACGAGAAAGAGAGAGAGAGAGAAGATATACAGCAAAAGGAGAGGATTATAGAGAAAAGAAAAAGAGAACTAGGGAGAGAGAGAGAGTAAACACCCGAAGGCACAGGGTAAAAAAAAAAAAAAAACGAAAAGAAAAATGTCAAAGTTTCACGAAGAAGCTCTCGGTACCCAACACAAAAAGGAGAAAAAAAAAGAAGGAAGTGGGGGACAGCGTCATCAGTGTTTTATCTATTCATCTCTCTGGGTATAATTATTAAAATGCCTTGGAATAATACAACGGATGTATTTCCTTTGGTACATCTTTTAAGCTCGGGACCCGCTGGAGGGGAAACCCTTGGTTTGGCTACTGGGATCCATGGTTGGCCCGGTGCTCTTATTCTTCTTTACTTCCATTACGGAGTACGGAGTGCTTGACTCCTTTTCTTTTTTTTGGGACCGTTTCCTTTTTCGTTCCCGTGTCTGGATGGATTTTCGTGCTGGATACTATGTTGCATTCCTATTTCTCCCTAATACCCTAAGTGACTAACGCCCAACCATTTTTGCGGCCCAATGATCGCCTCCACTGTGAAGGGTCTTCCCTGTCAGTTAAAAAGGAACTGTTCTTCTGGAAGACTCGGTTATTGCTCGGTTGCTGGGGGCAATTTTGTTTTATCCTTTTCTCGGCTTGGTCATTTCCTTATTTTCGCACCCCATACGTTGGCCAATGCAGGGCCTCAGGTACAATGACAATGTTTCCGGTACACGGGAAATGTCGGTGGGGATGACATCCTGCAACCTAACTGCAACTCAAAGCAACGCAGATACCGACATATTTACATACCGTATGTAGGCAGATTCCTGTATGTAGCGGCAACAAATCCTGACAGAATTGCCACTGTGGAGTGAGTCGGGCCTGCTTTTCCCATAAGAAGCGCAGACGTCAAACAGCAGAAGCAGAAGAGGGACTGAGCACTGCATGGCATTCGTCGTCAGTGGCCCCTCGCCCATGTGGCAGGTTGATGTTGGGCCTCATCTCTTCTCCGCCTGCAGCATATCTCTCATGAATGACTCATATCGGTGAGAAGCCCACGAGTACAATATACAATTTGGAGGGCGACGTAGCAATACAAGTTTGGAGGTATATATACATCGACAAATATACTGTTGTATCGGTAATGAAACAAATGGCCGGAACCTTCCTTCTCACGGAGTAGAGCCGGCTAGATCGGTATGACATGCAGCACGGACAGTCTATCATTACCGCTGTGGACTCCTTCACATCCCTTGCGTCGTGAGATCCAGAGTTCGAGGATATCTCCCCCCGCACGTGCGCGATTAACTATCATTAGAACTGAGGCCTGATAAAGAATCATTGCTATGTAGACAGCAATGCTGACAACAACCTGATCATTATGAAACCTGAGTACGCCGAGCCAATCCGTATGATGAAATGGGCCAATGTGGATATTCGTAAGCGACGAGGCACGAATCGAACCAACAAGAATGCTTCATTCCAAAAATATACAATGTACAACGAAGGATCTCCATGCGGCTCCAGTATTTTCTTCCCACTTCCCGCTTTGCCACATCTTTGACGGGCACGATAGCCTTCGCATCGGGACTGAGGGGGTTACCGAGTACTCGAAACATGCCATGCGTACCGGACATATTTGGCTTTACATCACATGGCAGAACAACTAATAAGCTTCACTTGCATATCAAACCTATGTACTCCGGAGTACGGAGTAATTATTTCTTCCTTGTTGATATTGTAGATTGACGCCGTCAATTCATAGAATGATTGGCCTCCCCTCGGCAAGAAACGAAATCAAGGAGTGGCCCCCCTTGCGTCGTTCTGCAAGACGGCATCAGCTCCTCGAAGTTGAGATCTTCACCGCTCTTTCGTGTATGCTGCGTGATGCTGCGGGGACAAAGAAAATAAGGGAAAACTAGCTTAACTCTATTACATCTTCCACCCTAGAGGCTTCTTTCAGGGCTTTTGTACTTGGACACGGGAGAAGAAGCGTCAGAAAGATTATGGAAGTTTCGTGTGCTTCGGTGTACGTTTAGATGACTTGCATGGCGGATCGTCTCGCCCCATTACACTAGTTACCAATCACTCGTTGCTAGTTCCAGATAGCCTTTCTCTTCGCAAGAGACCACTGTATGCCCCAATTTGGGTTTCGTGACCCAATGGGTGATTTGGATCTTTTGATGTGGGACGACAAACAATGGCGATGTGAGTCAGGTGCTTCCAAAATTACACTTCCAGCCCAGTGTACTACTGAGCTGCTAGAAGTCTCCCGGTAATCTGCTGGATTTGGGATTGTGGCGCGTCTTCAGGCTGTCGGACGTAGGTGGCTCCCAGGTAGGGTACAGCTTCCCGAAGCAATTGTGGGTGTCTTTTGCAAAAGAAATGAAGTTTTATTAAATATGTTGTACCTATACAAATTAATCGTATGTGAGAATCTCCCTCTAAATATGTAACCAGTCATTCTCTCCTGCGGAGAAGTATCCATGGGGGCTGCTTTCTGCCCCTAGACCACTTAAGTCTTGCGCAGATGGAGGACAATCCATCCAAAGAGTCGATAAACTGCGATGATTCCGAGAAGAATCCCAACCCACTTCCCTGTCCGACCACTACCATACCCGTACAGTTCCAACACCCCAGTGCCTCGAATGAGACATTGGTCTGCCAAGTCAGTGTCATACAGGCACCGACAATCGGCACCACAAGAGTAGTTCCGATTAGCGAACTCATTGACCATCATACCCTGGAAAACATATGCCTGTCAAGTATCAAACGAGTTAGTTATCGGACTGACAAAAAAGGACCTTTGATAGCAGTGGGTCAGCATACCTGGTAATCGATGTAGTGGAACACATATTTCCAGAACGGATTGAGAATAGTTGGCGTGACCAGAAACCCTCCGACGCTCATCCAGAGCCCATTTGCAAATGCGACAAGCGCCAAGGCGATTACAAAGTTTGGGAACAAAGATGTCACCAAGACGACCAAGGATTCGGCGGCCACGAGGTCGAGGAACAACCACATCACCCAAGTGAAAAAGGCTTCTGCTGTGGGTTGGAAATTGGAAAGCCAGTATGAGACGATGGAGAAGAGCAAGGAGATCAAAACTAGACTCGTTAGGGAAAGAGCGCACATGTGACAGGAACCAATTAGTACATACACAAGAAGGGAAGCCCGATGAGAAAGTTCGAGACTATGAATGGCGTGGCACCATAGAGTCCATTTGCTCGCTCTTTGGTGAATGTGGCCCGGTCTTCAAGGAACGCGGGGACATATGCTACGGCCATGAACGACATGAACGCCGAGCCGAAGAACTATATCCCTGTTAGTGCCGGCGCTCTTCAAACTTGTAGTGTAAGACTCACAATGGCGTTGATGAATGGCTGGATGTAATCTTGCGAAGGATGTAGGCGCAGCCACACTGTGCCCATCATGATAGCCAAACCTGAATTTTATTAGCTCATATACCCATCTCAACGATGGTTTTGGGACGTACCAAGATACATTGCGACCCTAATTCCGTAAGCAATGACATCGCGGTAAGACTTGATAAATGAGCGATGCAGCAGAGCAGCTGTGATCGAAATCACACCCGCTCGAGTCGTATCCCCCGCAAGGTCATTGTTGGCGAGTTTCTCTGCCGCGCTGACTCGCTCAGACAATTGTCTTGTTATGGCGTGGGCCTCGTTCGACTCTGCCCAGGCATTTTGAATGGCCTTGACTCGCACTTCCGCCGGATCCTTCGAGTTTCCAAAATCAGAACTGACTATATCCAACAGAAACTCGGCAGGATTGGTGTTTGCGGGGATTGGATAGCCAATGCCATTGAAATAGCCCTCCACGGCCGGGATTGGCCCGAAATAGCATGTTTTGCCTGCTGAAAGTAGTAACAGCTTATCGAAGAGCTGAAATGTCGTGGTCGATGGCTGGTGGATACTTGCAATGATGATGAGCTATCACGGAAATGATTAGCGGAAGCAATAACCCCTTCCTAACACCAACGTACATTATTGGCCTGTGCGAGCTCCTTTGCATATGAAATCACCTCAAAACTGGCAGTTGAGTCCAGACCGCTTGTTGGCTCATCCAAAAACAAAATCCTTGGGTTAGTGATGAGCTGACTAGCCACACTCACACGCCGCTTCTGACCACCACTGATGCCCTTCCGGATCGGGGTGCCAACGAGGGTGTTTGCTTGGTTCTGAATTCCAAATGCTTCCAATAATGTCCGGATTCGATCTTTGCGCTCGCGTTTCGATACAGAGCTGTCCGAAGCAAGTAGTCAGCATTGGGGCACGTAGGTTGGACAGAAAATATTGCAACATGACATACCTAGGCAATGAGAGATCGGCAGCAAACTTCAACGTCTCCTGCACAGTCAGGGAACCGATCAACACATCCTCTTGTTCCACATACGTGGTCACCTGCCGAAAGGCCCGCGAGTCAATCTGCGAATCATTCACATAGTTGTCTCCGAGAACCTTCGCTCCAGCTGACGCGGCACGTCGAGCAAGCACATTGAGGAGTGTTGTCTTGCCACAACCCGAAGGGCCCATCAGAGCAACGAGCTCCCCTGTATACACCCGATATCAATAACATGGCCTTGGTATAGAGTATGGACTGGGATACTAACCGCGTTGCACATCACCGCTGATATCATTGATCAAATCGCGTGCCTTCTTGGTTTCACGATCCTTGACAGTGACCGTTAAACCATGCCAGGAGAAGTTCCGAACCGTCTCGTTCATCAAAAAGTTTTCGCCGCCATTGCGTTCCAGGTCTGCGGTACTGGATTCGTCCAAAGATGAAGGCATGTCCATGCTGCAAGATAATGTAAACGAGTGACGATAGATATGAGGAAATTGGAATCTAGCCGAGCAACTTCCAGGCTGACAGGCTTTTTATAATTTTAATCACACCCAAACTACGGAGTACATTCGCGGGGATCACATTCCTCAGCATGGGATAGTAGCCCGAGGTCCCCGATGAGGCTGTAGAACTTAGGGCTCCAGAATCCGGGCTGACATAAGATATTTAATGGTCCCCGAACCCGGGGACGCCGGTCTTCCAGTGGCCAACGGGCTTCAAGAAAAGTTATGCTTACTCAATGGGCCCAGCTGGACCTACTTAAATATGATTGCATAACCAGATGGCGCTTGCGCCTAGTTCCCGTGAGGCTTGTATACGGGCGCGTCGAGCCCATTCTCGGGCATATTCTGGATTTTCATCGAAACACATCATTCTTCGGAGAACGTATAGAAAAAAGAAGACCTGAGAATAATCCCGATAAATGAACATGCCATTTTTATTTGCCCCGCTCTCGGCGCCCAATGCAACTAAAATAAAACCAAGGTATACCAGAGACACTACACATGTTGTCTTTGAAGAGAACCGAGCTGAAACACCACACAGAAAGTTGATCAAAGTCGAGCAAATGAGCCGAATTTACATACTAGACGCAACAGATTAGTAAGTGCTTTTGTTTTTCTTTTTCTCACGACGGCCGGGAATACTAACCGCTCAACAGGGCTAAGACCAAGAACACGCATGCCGTTGTGCAAAACCTGGCGGGCTGAGGCATACAGTGCCATACGTGCCTGCTTGACATCGGGCTCGCTGCCGATGACCTTGAGCACGTCGTAGCTAGAGCTCAACATGTGTGTCATGCGGAACAGGTAGCTGAGAACAGTGATAGGCTCAAGGGTCTTGGCTGTGTTCAGGAGCACGTCGGGCCACTGGGCCAACAGACGGACAAGGTCGACAGCATGCTGCTCAGTCAACAGATCAAAGTTGGCGTTGACCAACTCATTGACATCCAGCTCGGACTTGCGGGTCATCGAGCACAGACGGGCGTGAGCGTACTGCAGGTATGGGCCGGTGTCACCCTCGAAGGATGTCATAGCATCCAGGTTGAAATCGTAACCGTTGACACTGATAAGAGACAGACAATTAGCAAACTAGGTAAAATAAAAAGGCGAGGGGAAAACAATCTCTACATACCGCTTTCCAGTCATATCCTGCACCATAACGGAAGTGATGCCCAGGATATCGGCAGTCTTCACAGGATCCTCGACCTGCGAATACTTCACCTCATTCTTCTTCATGACTTCGTGCATTTTATCACCAACGTCGCGCAGAATGTCATCCAAGAACTTGACAGTACCCTTGCGGGTGCTCATGCCACGGACCATACCGAAGTTAATGTGCTGGCAGCGGGAGGCAAGGTCCTTGTGGCCCATGAGTTCAGTGACCTTGAAGAGCTGAGCAAGGTGGAGATCCTGCTGGGCAGCAACAACGTAGATCATCTTGTCGAAGTGGTACTCCTCGTCACGCTCGGTGATGGCACCGATATCGCGAGTCAGGTAGAGAGGAGTGCCATCCTTGCGAACAATGATGGCCTTGCCCAACTTCTTAGCACCTTGCTTGGTGAAGTCCACAATGACAGCACCCTCAGACTCCTCAGAAACACCGGCCTTCTCCATGAGCTTGTAGGCATTGGTCATGCTCTCGGACTTAATCTGGGATTCACCGGAGTAGACGTCGAAGTCGATATTGAGGCGGGCATAGGTCTGCTTGTACTTCTCAATGCTGAGATCACGGAACTTGCGCCAAAGGGCAAGGGCCTCGGGATCACTGTCCTCCATGCTCTTGAAGTAGCGGCGGGCCTTCTCGTCCTCGCTCACATCAACAAGCTTGGCAAGCTCTGCTTCCAGCTCAGTAACATCCTCGCTCTTCTCCTTCTTCGCCTTGATCTGCTCCTTCAGTTCCTTGATCGGACCATCTTGATCGCTGACCAGACGGTTGACCTTGACGTAGACATCAAACAAGTGGTTAATGGGATCCTTGATGAGAGCATCCTCACTGCCGAAGTACTTGAAGCCGTTGGCCAGCAGACCGTACTGCTTACCCCAGTCACCCAGGTAGTTCATTTTGATCACGTTCCATCCCATAACAGTGTAGATGTTGGCGAGGAAGCCACCGATGATAGTACTGCGCAGATGACCAGCGTGGAAGGGCTTGGCGATGTTGGGCGACGAGAACTCGATGATGATCTTCTTCTGGCCCTTGGAGGGGTCAGATGGATCCTTCTGACCCTGGTTGCCATTGGTTCCGAAGGCGGCCTTCTCTTTCAGAATGCGACCAAGGACAGTGGTGGTCAATGGCTTAGGCTTGCAGAAGAACTGAATATGAGGACCAAGCTGAGTTGGGGGGTGGATGAGGTCGGAGGCGGGGAACTTGGATGCAAGCTCCTTGGCGAGCTCCACGGGGTTTTGCTTGATCTGGAGAGAGGCCACCTGATTATACCCAGCAAGATATTGTTAGTCTCGATCCCCGTCATTATAAGGAACATGCAAGGCCCAGCTCAGCATGTGCCGCCACGTACCGGCAATGAAAGATCACCCTTGTCCAAGGTATTGGTCCACGCAATGCGCGCGTAGATCTTCTGAGCATCGATGCCGCTAGCTTTGCTCAACTCTTCCGCGATGTGCTCGCGGTAGATATCCATCGGGTTCAGTGTTGGGAAGCAGCCGGTGAACTGAGACGTCTGCGCCGTGGACTGGAGGGACAGAGCCTCAACAGAGGCGGGGAGGGAATCTGCGGACGCCATGATTGAAGATGATACAGACCGCGATGTACCTAAGGTTGCGCGAGGTATCAAAGGCAGAAATATCAAGGGTTTAGAGGGGCAGCGCAACGGAGAAAAAATGGCTGTGAATCGCCGGGCCCCGCTTAGACAATGACCCATAAAGAGGGGGAATCTCTCGGGGTTCTTTTTTTTTTTTTTGCCTTTTCTTTTTCCGTTTTTTTCTTTGGACTTGACCGCATGACTCAATGGGGCGGTGAGTCACGTGCCGCGATATCAGATGGGTTTCTGTATCTTGCTAATGTGGGGTTTACTGTTGATCCTATGTAGCCCAAGTGATGAGGTAGTGTTGCAGCCTGGAAATATGGACAAACGAGTCTGGTTGCTCATAATCACAAGAAAACATGTAGCTGCATTTAAACGAGAAACATCGAGTTCAGTTATATTTTCTGTGCCGAGTAGCGCATGGGATACTATATATACCTCTGTCTTCGTGCTCGAATATGATCTCTATCCAATATATCAACGACTGGACTATTCTTAATCTATCGGACTTGTAAGCATCGAGAAATGAGTGCTATCTACCCATGTAGGCACTCCCTATGAATGACAAGAGTGCTTCTTATTTGGGCCTAGTTGTGGGGATCCATCCATGGATATACTGATCATCTGGCCAATCACGCAGCGCAAAAAGTCAACCTGACATCATCGCATCTCTAATTCCTGAATTGATGTCCAGCACAAAAGTCCTTGAATACCTCTGTGTTTTTCCAGAAACCTGATTTTCCTTTCTCATTCATATCTATCATGGGGAAATCTCGCCGGGAGTCAGCTCTCACCAAGTCCATTCTGTCTGCATTGATCCGCGACCCGGACCGTTTCAAGAAGACTGCCCTTGGGAAGTTTCTGGCCTTTTTCTCAGTGCGCCGCATGAAGCTCGTCCGACACGAGAAGGAACTCTTTAAAACGCTTCGCGAGGAGGTTTGGGAATTCAACGCGCATGAGTACCAGGGGAGTTTTCATACAACGAGGGGCCAGCCACCGTTGAAACCAATGGGAGACTTGGGTTACTCGGGTTCAGTGAGGAATGCAGTTTAAAGTACCGAACGAACCCTTTCTAAATATCCAGTAGACATTTTTTGAAACTTTCGATGGTCGATTACTGATCAAAAGCTTACCACGGCATTTTGAATATTCGTTCTTCGAGCGCGATCTTCTGGAGCCATATCTTGACTACATGTTTCGGCATCCAGACTCACTCTTAGTTTGGATCACAGACTACCTTCTGGCTCCCTACCCTACACTTGGTACACTTTTGGGGCTCACACCAGCTCATTACATTGTCATGGAGAACACACTTTGTGGCCGAGACGATGATCCGGCCGCTCAACAATGGGAAATATATGACTTGAAACCGATCGATTACTTTTATCCCGAAAGAGATTTGGTTCCCCAGGCATTAGTGGGTGAGGAGACTCTCAATAAGTTGGCAGATAGGTTCAATGACAAGCTGCATCTCCGGCGTGCAGACTATGAGGTGTTTTGGCGAATGATCCAGGATGATACCAAGTTTCTACGGGATGCAAATGTGGTCGACTATTCGCTATTCCTTGTCCGAATGCCTGCATCTTCACAACCTCCTATTTGCGGCAGACAAAGTTCTTGGCGACTAGGGCTGCCGTCTGCTGATGGAAAGTGGAAGTATCGTGCGGCCATACTCGACTTCTTCTGGGCTCGGCACAAACTCCAATCTCAGGCACTTTCTGGCCTGGTACAAACTTTCAATGTTGTGGGAAGAAAGGGACCTATGACTATTACAACAACGGCAAGGGAATATCGGGAGAACTTTCTGAGTATGATTATGGAGATGATCGAAGTGCATTAAGTCAATATTTGATGGAAATCCCAGCAACTATTCAAAGTTGATTGCTGGTTAGTGTTAGTCTTCGCTCTTTGCTTCCTTCTCCCTCGCTTACCTTGCCATGTTTATTTCTGCTGGGGACTCTGCTAATAACCTCCGACTACACATATGTTACATGTATGTATGCACCCCTATGTTCTCGTGGGATATACCCCGATACATATGGATACCTAAAATGTATACATATCGACATATAAACTCTCACAGTCTTGAGAAACACCAAAGTTTGGAATGTAGACAATGTACATGTAGAGATATCCGAATGGCATGGATCACTCAAAGGGAAAGAGACAACTCCCCCCAAGTCGATCACCTTGGAAGGCACCAAGTAAAGACCAACTTGGAAAGAGCGATGGAGATGCACCGATGCAAGGCAGAGTTGATGTTGACACCGCATCTGTTTTTCATCTTCAATCCTGCATTCTCGCTTCTGACATGCATCACTCTTCACCCTTCGCAGATGTGAGTATCTACCTGTGAGCTTCACACTGTCTTTCTGTCTTGAGTATTGACATCTAGGAAGCACACACAGGCCAAAATGGTACATCTCCCGCCCGATCACTCGGACCAGGAACAGGAGGAGACAGGAGATATTCCAATTGATCCTCAGCTGCTCACCACTCTCCAGCCTCCAGATAATCCTCAGATAGGTGCTATTCCTGTAAATAGCCCTTTGAATCATGATTCTCCGTCCGAAGAGCCCCTAGAAACCGAGTTTAGTATCGGAGGTGCTTTGCCCAACGCGGCCGAGTGGCCCCATGAGGAGAATTGGACAAGTTCGCGTCCTATCCCCCCGCAGCCTGGGCGTAAGTCTTGTCTCTTGTTTATCCATCTCATGTTCTGGCTAATGAAAAGATGAGTCCCAACGCCAAGCTTTGCGACTGCCCAGAGCACCATCCAACCCATTGGCCGGCGGAATATGCTGTTATTGTAAGATCTGGGATGTCCAAGTCTTTTTTTCCATCCAATTAACATGCCTTCTATTAGGAAATTCCCCATTGCGCAGTGCGATGCCCTTATTGCAACTACCAACCACCCAAGCGGCAGAAAAAGGTTCAACAGGCACCCTCGGAACTTCGTCGACACATACGCCAATATCATCTGGTAAGCAATGCAGGTTTGTACTAATAAAGCTTTACTTACCTGATTCAGATGAAAGATATCATCAAGTATCCGGGTATCTCCGTTAAGATGTCGCGTCCGTATGTTTAACAAGCTTTGCTCGTTGTACTGTTCTATACTGACTTTCATATTTCCAGTTCCCAGCAAAAGTAGTCAGTAGATCCACTCCTCTTCTCCAACATTTTCAGACACTATGCTGACCTTTTACCCTTTCCAGTCGCGAATATAGCCTCACCTATGGTGAGCGTCCCAGTCTCAACAACAACAACATTTGAGATAACGGTACGATCTCCAGGCTGCCATTGTCTAGGGTTCCGACGTCCAGATAGTCAACCACCAGGACAACGATGGGTAGCCATAGGGAGGATAGGTCTAAGGATATGCTGATGGCTATTTTCTAAGGAAGGAGATGTTTTTGATCAAGATCTATTGCGTCTGTGAATCTAAAGAGAAATCCATGAGAAGAAGGATGGTTTCATAAGTGGCAAACCCTCAATAGCTACTTTTAACATTGAAATCTCGTCCGACTTCTATCATCATCCATCCTGAATCTTCTGCACCAGTCTTTCTTCCACCGGAGGAAGAGCACAAAAGATAGGAGGAACAAGAGGTAAATTACCCAATGCCTTTTTCTTTTTAGCTCTATATAGTGACTGAGAGACTTCGGGTTCTCCGAAATGCGGGTGCCAAAAATATATGCGCTCCTTGAAGCGGACAACCCTCTAGATTCGCTATTCTCAACCGCTACCCTCAATTGCTATACCTGATAGAGAAGACGCGAACAAACCCCTTTAAAGACTTTGACGTACTCCCTATCCTGGCATAGGACAGCAAGGTTACCAATCCAAAAGAGGCAGCACACATGCCAGAGGGCAGCACCTTACTCGGGCGTTGTGGTCACTTGTCGCATGTCAAGCTCTGTGTGGTGTCAATATCTGGGCCTCGAGGGTAGCTCTATGACTTCGTTGGCTTTCTTTGCGTTTGCTTCCTGGCAATCTTCTTCTTCTTTCCTTCCTTCCCTCCTTCGTGGACTCGTCCCTTTCTGATCCATCTCTATCGTGAACCTTTCATCCAAGACCATCCATCAAGATGGCATCATTTGATCAGTTTAGTTTTCTTCCTCCGGAATTACGCCGGATGATCTGGAAAGCCTGCCTCCCAATCCGAGTCGTCGAAGTTCAGAACAACTTCCACCTCCCAATCGCCATCGATTGCCAGCACACCTGGACCACCCGAGAAAACTCCATTCCGCCAGTTCTTATGAGAGTGTGCCGTGAGTCCCGATCTGTTGCTTTGGAGACTTATGTTACCTTGGCCCAATACCGGGACCCTCCAACCTGGCTTATCAAAGGAATTAGTTGGAGGGCATGGTTTGACCCTAAGACAGATATCCTGGCGTCCTACTTCGATTATGTGAATATGTTCGAGCGTTTTGAGCATACCTTTGTGGATGCTAGTGCATACTATGATTGGTTTGCTAGACAAGGCCAAGAGGGACTGATCTTGGCGGATCGTTTCTTGAGATGGTCACCCGATGCAGATAAGTGTGCCCAAGGACTTTTCTTACCCGTAGACACAAGCAAGGGCATATCAAAGCGCACAGAGTATCTTGTTGCTCTGCAGGTCTTGCCAATCCATACGGATCTCAAGAATGCCCTTGATTCTCAGCTTTTTGGCCTTCTGGGTGATTCCCCAATCCAGATCGTGGATCCATACGACACGGAGCGACTGCAGAAGTTCTTGGAATTGTCCAATCCCCAAGACAGGGACGTGCGTCTGTTCAGCGACATGGCTATCGATACCGAGGGGCTGAAGAAGAGCATCGACAAATGGAGCTCGAATCTTGTAGTGGCCTGGATTTGGGAAAAATGGGGCAGGGAGATAGAAAAGGCGGCCCTAGACATCCCCAGTCCACATACTGTCTGGATAGGTGATCACTGGACTGGCCTTGGTCAGTATATTGGCATGCCTGGGGCGACTTTGCGCCCTAACATGGACCACCCATGGGTCCAACAAATCGTCAATTCTATGCCGCGCTTTCGCCCAACTCTAGTTTTCCGACTTTGTGTGTTGAACTGTCCTCGGCTTGATCCCTATACTCGGTCTGGTGTCTTCACCCACCCCGAGCAAATGATGTTGGCAAATGAAGGATGGGAAAAGGCCAAGCAAGACAAGGAGGCATGGGAGAGGGGGGAATTGTAGCTATTGCACTTCTCTACTTTTCTCCCTTTGTCTAGCATGCGCCAACTCTGCCGAGCCTAGTGGGATTTTACCAAGGGATATCAGATTGTGGAATGGATGAAAGACTTGTCGGATCTTTGAAGCTTGCTTTGACTCTTTGTAATTTTGCTCAAAGCTATGAATAACTTGACAATCAAATTGTAGCATAATGCCTTTGTTCCAACCCCCTGTCCCACAGAACACGATAATGGTAACTCTTAAGTATTTAATGGGTTTCAATCCCCACTCTCCTGTCGATCATTCTTGAAAGGAGCCATTGGAACGCAACTAGATTGAGGGTTTATAATCAACTGCTCATGATCGAAAGCAATAACTCTAACATGCATCATCAAAAAAAAAACATCGGAAGCTGCCCAACATGTCATACTATATTACCGTCCACAGTGGCTACGTGCAAGAAAACCATGAGAGCAAATGGGTCAACATCCGCTTTAAATTCAGGGAAAATTTTCTTATTCGAACTGAAGGGGCATTGATAACCTATATGATTCAACGCATTCGTGAGCGAAAATTCGTTATCAGCGATGAACCCTGGGACCGGACAAGAAGATGGTGTATCTCAATCCCAATCTCCAGAGAGCATGAAAGCATAGACACGGCTGCTGCAGATGCCCAACAACTCGTACAATGGTATAGAGCCCAGATTCTGGAGGGAAACGCTTCTATCAATCTCGACCTGTTGTTCGATTATAAGCCCTACTATGTAGGAAAGGACTGCTGCACAGGCAATGTCTGTGAAAGGATGCTGTATCCAGAACTCTATAAGAACCAGGATGAGGAGGCTTCTGATACTGATGACTTAGATCGAACAATTTCGTAGTGTAAGTGTATATATAGTTATTGTTAATTGTCAATAATACCTCCCATTTTTGGACGCTCAACGCTACGTCAAATTGGGGACTACAAAATCTCGCCTCTCTCCGTTTCCTAAGCACCAGAGCTGTGATGCCTCACCTGGCTTGCAGCAGCGGCGTGCTTTCCAGCTCACTATGCTGCAGTGGAAGGTGAAGGAACCAAGTACTCGTCACATGGAGGGAGAAATCATACTGGGACCGAGCATTATAGATACGGACTGGACCCCCGGATAATATAGAGGCCAGACGAATATGATCTTGCAATCATCATATTACAATTTTCATGATGTAGCTTTGTTCGTAGATCAGCTGGAAACTGAGAGTATTCCTCTGCCGCTGCTTTATCACAAGTGTCGCCATCTTATGATGCAGTGATCAACCAATAGACGAAATCTGAAAAACGAAAGAGTCGGGGGAAGAATGAATTATACCTTGGACAGTGTAGTACTTGTTACAGTCAGAAGTGGTTTCCATCCGCGTGGAAGCCTCTGAGGTGCTCACTATCGGGGCCAAAGTGCTGCTGCTGGTGGTGGCATTGCCCGAGGTGGAATTTCCTTAGTCCCACTCGGGCAATAGATCATGGGATCGTCTCCGTCAAGACTCAAAACCAGTGTGATCCCACAAGATCTGTATACTACACCTATTTTATCAGCGCCCTGGCCGCGCTCTCCGATTTCTATATTGCGATGGTTCCCATTACCATGTTCATACCTTGGCGCATGGATCGGCAATAGAAATGGGAGCTAAGCCTTCCCATGGGATGTGGTGTCTTTGCCTGCGTCACTGCAATTGTGAGAACGTGGGCAGCCAAATTCATCATGAGCGATGACCCTTCCTATAAGCGAGTCAACAATTCCTCTATTGCCAAGTACCAAGTTCACTAACCCCACAGATGGCGTCGGCATTCTGTTCCGCTGAGGCGAATTTGAAGAATGGATTGTCCTCGTCATGCCAATTCCACCAGGTTGGCCTCTCTTGACCCTGAGATGCCACATACGCTTTTCGGATGTAGTGAGGACCCAGGAGGCTGGGTGGAAATGCGTCCATTGAAGGAGTAGAAGCGCACATAAACGCTATTCAGCTTATTATTTTGTCTTTTATTTTGTCATATTTTTTTCCTACACTCTTAATACCCACATCGGATATGATTCCCAGAACTACATCCACCAGATATGCAAATTATACGTCCAAAACCAACCCTTCGACTACTACTCCGTACTATTGTGACTCTGATCCATACCACCAGGCAAGGGAGTAGATCATTTCGGTGGCGTTTCGTCATGATTGGATGGGGCCATGTTGCTAGTGTAATTTATATTGAAAATAGTCCCTGCATCTCCTTGGACTCCACCGAGAGGGCTGTTCTAGCTGGGAGATTGCGGACACCCACATGACGAAGAAAAGTGGCATACTAGAATGTATGTGAAAAAAGATATATGGTCATTGATGCCACGATATAGGTGGCTTTCCACGGATTAAAGTCCCGTAGGACATACTTTAATCCTCAAATACAGGCTGGAGTCTATGGACACATCTAACTAAACCGACCCCGGGTTATACATCAAACAAATGCCTCGAACCACACCGAGCCAATTATCCACAGCAGATTTACATGAATAAGAAGCGGAAACTAGTCCGAAAGCAACACTTTTTCTTTCGCGGTAAATCCCTTAGAAGCAGAAGACCTGGTCCTCGAGCTTGCTGACAGGGCGCGCCTTGGTGTATCCAAGAGCCTCGGTGGACTTCTTCATGGCGCTGACCATGGGAGGAGGACCGCAGAGGAGGATCTTGACATCGGCAGCGGGGGCAGGGAGACGCTCCTACAACAGAAAGTAATTAATACCGAGGTAGCAAAGCTGGATACAGCACACAAACATACCTTGATCATATCGGGGGTGACGAAACCAACACCGCCGGTCCAACCCTCGGAGGGGTTGTTGAGAACATAGTAGATGCGGAATCCGTCATCCTCCTTCGCCAGCTGCTCGAGCTGGTCCTTGAGCAAGATATCCTCGGGGTTGACGTTGGCGAAGATCAAGTCGACCTTGGTGGTGTCGTTACCACCGTTGCGAGGACGGTTGCGAATGATAGCCTTGATGACCTGGAGCATGGGGGTGATACCAGTGCCACCGGCGATCATACCGATGTGACGGCACATGTTGGGGGTGTACACCATGGCGCCCTTGGGGCCGCGGACCTTCAGTTTATCGCCGATCTTAAGAGTGGTAAGATACTGGGAGATGTTACCCTGGGGGTAAGCCTTGACGAGCAGATCGAAGTAACCGGCCTCGTTATCGGAGGAAATGGGGGTGTAAGAACGGACGACCTCCTTGGGCTGACCAGCGATGGTAGCGGCGAGAGAGATGTGCTGACCGATGGGCAGGCCGAGGATATCGGTGGGACGGGGAAGGGCGAAACGGTAGATGGCGACATTGTGAGAGATCTCGTTCTTCTCCTTGAGGACGAAGTTCTGGAATTCAGTGGGATTCAGGACCTTGCGAGGCTCTGCGATCAACGTTGAGTCAGTTCAGTTCCTCAGCTTCTCCCCAACACATTCGAATTCACGCACTGTTGCTGAAGACCAAGTAGCCAGCCAGCATTCCAGCCAGAGCGATCGCATAGGCAAGGAATTCAGGCTTAATGGCGTAGACACCTGCAACAAGCAGGGCCGAGGGCACGAGAGCGGTGCCGATGGCGAGACTTGCGGAGAATTAGCCATTGGCCGAGATCGGGGGCACCAGGGGCACCGGGGGAGGACAAGAGACTCACCTCATGATGACAGAACTATGGCCAAATAATCAAAAAGGTCGAGGTTAAAGAAGAAGAGAAGAAGAAAAGGAAGATAAAAACAAAATATTGAGGGGACGGGCTGGGATGTTCCGCCCAACGGAATTTTCCACCTTTTGGGGCGACGATTTCCCCGACTCTTTTTTTTCCCTTCGACTGGGGGATTAATTGCCTATTTCTATCTATTGTTTCCTGCTCGCAAAATGCCAGAAGCAACCGATGTACCCAAGGTGCCTGCCTTTAATTTAACGGACCTAGACCGCAAACTCCTGTCTATGAGCGACGAGGAGTTTGTATACCACGACTGGGAAGACCTCAAAAGCATCATCGGTGAGTCTCCGAAAACCCCCGCCACAATAATCCCCCTCATCGTGGAGAATAGCACGAAATGACCTCGGCGCCCTGAAGCGGAAGCCCTCCGATCTGCGCCGATACCTGGCCTGGACACAGGAGACCAAAGACCAATATGGTACGATCATGAACTACATTTGCCAGCGGCGGTTACGGTGGGACTTGCCGATAGCAACTGCCACTGCCTCCGCAGTTATCGAACAAAGCGGGCCCCTGAGGGCCTTCAAGAACCCCCAGCCCTTTGCCGACCCGGAGGACTACAAGATTCTCCGCAATGACTGGCCTTATGGGCTTGGCCCCGGTATTTCACACCTCGTTGTCTGGTTGCGCACTCCCATTCCTGTGCAATCTGGTGAGGGTCATTTGACCGATGAATCGCGTGAATTGATCAACAGCTTCGTGCGGAAGACTTTTGTTGATCGCTTGGCTAAAGATCCCCAGGCTTTCTCGGACCCTGACTCCCATGTGCTGTGGTTTAAAAACTGGGTTGGTCTACAGAGTGTCCGGGAATTGGAACATGTCCATATCTTGGTCCGCGATGTCCCTGAGGATATCTTGTTCGAATGGTCGGGCGAGAAGGCTTAGAAGGTGTCACGTTGCTCATGAACAGGCCCCCAAGCCCGTTGAAACCTGCGATTCCTGATAGACTTGATGCCTGATTTACAAGGCTTATACGCATAGCGCCGAACAAAGCATTGTACTCCCAGTTTTACATAGATCAGACACCCCGGGGTATCACATAACAACCTGCGAACAAGAAAAAAGTATATATATACAAAAGAAAATTAGTAATGTATACGTATATGCACCCTTAAAGTTAAGTCTCATGGCCATTGCTCTCTTGTCCCATACTCAATCTTAACCTGATCAGTACGATGAATCTTGCCAAGGGCATAGGCATTCCTCTGAAGCTCATCCGAATTCAAAATGCTCTCCTGGCTGCCGCTCCTCGTCGTTTCAATATTGGTGGTATTAAGAATATCATCCTCGTCCCCGCGGGCAATCGTCGATTTCTTGGTCGGTCTCTCCGTGGTATAGGAGCGCAGCCTGCCGTTGTCGTATCGTTCATGGGAGCTCCAGGAGCGCTTTCCCCGGATCATTTCGTATATCGGACCCAATGTTGGGATGCAAGAGGCCATTATGATGATGTTTGACTCGACACTAGGAGAATTAAGCGACATGTGAGGATATAGGGTGGAAATATGCGCAGAAAGGGAGTCACATACCTCGTCCAGATAACGAGATCTGCTGTTGCGTCTTTGTAGGCTGTGTTAGCGATAGATTTCGCATTTTGTGCAGAGTCACTTACATGTTGAGTCTTCCGTGTTATATAGACCTGGTAGCTGGAGACACTTGACAATAGCCATTGCGCAGGCGCTGTGGGAATGAGCATTAGCTACTTCCTCTCAATTTCCCTTCTCACTTACATAGCACCTAGCCCCAGAGCTGCACATAGCGCCACTTTTTTCTTCAGGGACATTTGAAGTTTCATTAATATCACGGTCGGATAGATGGCAAGATATAGATCGACAACCGCGGACAGAGCTGGAATCCCTTTAGTGGGTTGTGCGCGCAAGACAGAGGCTTGAACCTACCTCCAGTAAAGATCGCATAGCCCACCAAGTATTTGGTTGGACGGCATTTCGCTCCTTCACTCAAAAGATGAACTTTCCACAGAGCCTCGGGAGGGTCACACATGGTGAACAGCACGATGATGCAGATGGTCGATGCCACGAATACCGACGCCGTCGTCACCCACAACACTATTTTATGCAACCGGCTGGGGTTCATGATGCGATTCAATAGAGCGGCAATGGCGAGCTTCGGAGTTGTAAACGACATGATTCCTAGGGCGAAATCTGCATAATTCACGACCAGGATGTTTTCGACCAAGTCCATGCCACCTCGTTCCCTCAATACAGCGGTATGGCTCCCGTAGCCTCGAACGACATTTACGGTGGTCAGGATTGTATAACTGGTCACCATGACCTACAGAATCAGCATGTGGGATTCGTCGAAGAAACTTAGGGATGAACTTACCATGGCCGCCACGATGATATAGTCATCGAGGCCAGCGTTCTTTAATATCCTAGCACGGATATATAGTCGCGCTGATACCATGACCACACTTACACTGAAGAAGGCCCAGAAAACACCTAGAATCCGAGGGCCCTTAGTCTGCTGTGCATATTCGGCGCTCGTGGGATCCATCATGTTGAGCGCATTTGCTGTCTGTCTGTAGGTGAATTGCAACCCTATAATCGCTTTCTTGAATCATCCAACTCGAAAATAATTCCTGGAAATGGGAGACATCGATTATAATTGAAGCAAATAACGATCGTTCTACGGAATAAAAGCACTCTGTACGCAACATCTGCAATTTTAACGCACTAGCCAGGGGTTTGAGATAGGAGCCCACTCATAGGTAAGATATCCTACTCTCTCTGCCTAGTGAAGACGGACTAGACCCCAAAGCAGAAGGATAGCGGAGAACACGAGATTACTGGGTCTTCACAATTGCATAGTCGCTTATCAGCATTCCAAAAATGTGTTACGGTAGTCTGACAAGCGCGCCTTTGACTTTGGCCCCCAACTCGCAACACCACTGTTGTAGCCCTAGTTCGTCTCCACTGACATATGAGATATCAGTCTCTAGGTCCTCCGAGTACATATCTATATCTGCTTTTTTTTTCAGCTAGGAGAGCAAGAATCAGAACGTAATACCGATTGCCTTCTGCCAAATACGGGTGGATTTGGTCAGTGCGAACGATCATGTTATTCCAGCTGTGGATCATTCCCCATCCAGCCAGATCGCTCGACACCATGTGGACCCCCAAGAGACCAGGATTCACAAATACCGAACCAGTTTCAAGACAATGCCTGTGTCTGGTGTCATGATGCGGGGGTCCGCACCAATGGGACCATTTACTATATTCAACATAGGGCCGCTTACTCTATAGTGTGAGACAATGCTATGTTTTCAGGGGCTTTTATCAACCGGCTTAACCGGCAGATTTTATACCATGGAGCACCATTTATGTTGTAGCGTAGCACGAAGCTACATAATCGCGGGGACTTCTTTTCATCCCACCGGTTCATCCAGTTGACATTCGCACTGTGCAGTCCACCATGACCAACCCCAGTAGCAACGGACCTTCGAACGACACTGCCAGCAGGCATGCGACAGATATAGAGGGCCTTGCTCTCTCCTCAAACCTGCCAGATAGTGTGCCTGAGCTTCTTCAATTGGTTGCCACCCATGGCAAAGATCTACTTGCGCAAGACCCCGAAGCGCGCTCCAAGTTGCTAGAAGCTACCCGGTCGTTGACCTATGCATTGGAAACCCCCGCGAGGCAATCATTCGACACTGCTGGTCTGAGGTACGTCATAATTGTCGTTTGATAGTTTCAAATACAAGTTCAGGAGCATTTCAACTGACATTTGCTTCCTCGGCCTAGTCTACGAGCTATGCAGCCCTGGAAACCGCTGTTGATATCAACCTATTTTCTGCGCTGGGCACAGATGACAAGCCCAAGACTGTCACTGAGCTTGCGGAGGCGACCAGCGTGGATCCGATCTTGCTCGGTCAGTACTTTTTCCATCTCCCACCTCGTCGTGTAGGCAAATATCTGACAAACTACTGCAGGGCGATTGATGAAGCATCTCGCCGCGATGGGAACAATCACCGAAACTGGTTACAATGAATACTGCGCCACCGGCCTTTCAAAGGTCCTCACTATTGAGAGATATAGCGACGCCTTCCCTCTCATGTAAGTCTATAGTCTGATATCACAACCCCCGCAAACTCCAACTGACAAATCCAGGACTCGTCGTTTCACTAAAGGCATCATGGCCCTACCAGCCTTCCTTAAGAAAAACAAATACCAAAACCCCACCAGCCCGACAGACACAGCCTTCCAAATGGGCTATGAAACAGACATGGGATTCTTCGGACACGTGCAACAGGAACCGCTCACCGCGAAGCAATTTAACAATCACATGTCCGTATACGCGCAAGGCCGGGTCCGCTGGATGGATCCTGGTTTCTACCCTGTGCAAGAACAGCTTATTGATGGGGTCACAATTGGCGAGGACGATGTCCTGATGGTTGATGTGGGAGGCAGCTTTGGTCACGATCTATCAGACTTCCGTCGGAAATGGCCTGATGTGCCAGGTCGTCTGGTTCTTCAAGATCTGCCCGAGGTGGTGGTTTCTGCTAAGAATCTACATGCCTCTATTGATGTGACCGCTCATGATTTCTTTACGGAGCAACCGGTGAAAGGTATGGGAACTTCGGAACTTGCAGCACCTCTTGCGCATTTGCGATTTTGAGACCGCCGACAGAAGAAATATACTAACATTTCGTCTTTCTAGGAGCTCGCGCCTACTATATGCACTCTGTTCTCCATGATTGGCCCGATGAGCTTTGCCGCAAGATTCTCGCGAATATTGTGGCGGCTATGCGACCTGGATATAGCAAGGTGTTGGTGAATGAGAATGTGATTCCGGATACAGGCGCATACTGGGAAACGACCAGTTTGGACTTGATTATGATGGAGATTGGATCTGGCGAACGTACTGAGCGCCAGTGGCACGCACTATTGGAGTCTGCTGGACTGAAAATTGTCAAAATTTGGACTGCTCAGAGAGGCGTGGAGAGTTTGATCGAGTGTGAACTAGCTTGATCTCGGTGATCAGGTCGTTAAAGCCTATTTGTGACTATATACACTATAACAATCCATGCAAAGTTTGAATACAGCACAAGTTAAAGGTGCATATGTTATTTACCCAAATATCATGTACCCCAAGAAGAGCAACTACATGTACGTAGTGGGAATTGATAGAGAAGAGTAACAAGAAAATGGAATTCGGTATCAAAATACGCCAGCCAGCCAGCCAGTTCATCGAAGCAAACGTTGATTACAATATACAAAGAGCATACCTGAGCAAATGGACAATGCAACGATCACGTCTTCTGCTCTTCCACGAACTTCAGAGCCTCCTCCCTGGAAACAACATCAATCGTACTAGCCTTCTGCCGGAAGCTCACACCGTAGCATTTCTCTGCCACATGCAGCATTTCCGGCCGGAAGGTAGTACAAATGAATTGTCCGTTGGTCGAATCTGAGATGGATTTGAGCATCTGTGCAACAGCTGTGCGATACTGGGCATCCAGGTTGGCATCGATCTCGTCAAATAGATAGAATGGTGCAGGGTCGCAAGCCTGGATGGCGAACACCAGTGCGAGAGCGCAAAGACCTATAGCAAGACAGTTAGAGACCATAACACGATAAAATTGGGAATAGAAAATGCTTACTCTTCTGTCCACCACTCAGCTGTTGGATACGTTGTTGGTCGTCGTGCTTGCTATTGAAGCTAACACTAATACCAACACCGACATAGTTCTCGACACTCTGCCGAACTTGCTCGTCATCAGAATCAAGATCGTCGTCGGCTTGTGCAGCACGGTCGGTCTTCCTTTGAATGATAAGACGACCGCGACCGGCAGGAACAAGTTTCTCAAACACGTTGTGGAATTCACGAGAGACTTGCTTGAAGGTTCGCTCAATGGCCTCGTCTTTGCGCTGGTCAAGAACAGAAATGAGATCATCGATGGACTTTTGCGATGCATCCAGCTCAGAACGACGACTCGTCAGAGTCTCACGCTGCTTAGTGAAACTGTTATACTGTTCAAACGCCTTCTTGTTGACGTGTGAATATTTTTTGAGGGCCTCATTGGTCTTGTGGAGCTTCTTAACAACAGTGTTGGAGTCAGTGTGTTGATACTTGGTGAAGGCTTCATCTGGAAGAACACCGAGGGAACGGATATTAGCTGCACATTCCGCACCCTGCTTGGTGAGTGCTGCTTTCTTTTGCATGCTCTTTTCCATACGGCGTTGATGCTTCTCAATAGATCTGGCAAGTTCTTCAATCTCGCGTCGGGTCTCTGCATTGCGCTGTTGCAAGTCCACGACACGAGTGTTACCTTCCTCAATCAAGGCGTCAACCTCCTGGAGTCGTGCATTAAGCTTGTCCAATGCTTGACTGATGCGCTTCACTTCGCGCTGTGTCTCCTTCAAGTTGCCCTGAACTTCCTCGTCGGCAATGTCAACATCTCTGTTGAGTAATTGGTCAAGGCGAGGGTTGAGGTTCTCTCGAAGCTCAACTTCCAGCACCGACTTTCGCGCCTCGAGCTCACTGCGTTGACTTGAAAGTTCCTGGTACTGACGACGCAGATCTTGTACCGTGCTGCTCAAAGTCTCCAGCCGTGCCTCCTCTTCACTGGTGAGGGCCTTTTGGAAAGGTGACGACAATTCTGTCTGGAATGCATTGACCTGATCATTCAGTGCCGCAAGGTTAGATTCAACATTGCGAAGGGCGCGTCGCTTAGCATCGAGGTTGTCGTTCTTGTTTTGAAGAAGATCACGCTTGGCCCTCAACTCTTGTCGCAAAGGTCCACTGCTGTTTTGGACCTGATGTCTTTGTTGCTCGAGCTTCTGTAGTTCACCCACGGCTCTAGTGATCAGCTGGTCGAGTTTCTCCAATTCTTTCCGAATTTCGGTGCCGCGGTTTTTCTTGGTCTCGTATTCATCTCGCCACTTTCCTAGACCTTTGACAGCCTCTAGTCGAGACTGACGGGAGTCGTGGTATCCTCCAGTCAAGGCACCACGCTTGTCTGATCGATCACCCTCAGGGGTGATAGCATTAACACCGTGGCTGCGTGCATATTGCGACGCAACCTGCAAATTTGGGCAAATGATGGTCTTTCCAAAAACGTGCTGGAAGGCTCGTTCGTATGCAGGGTCATACTGCAACTTATCGATCATGGGTATCGTGTCGCTAGCACGGGGCATATTCATCGGTCTAGAACGAAGTCGGTTCAGAGGCATAAACGTCACACGGCCGGCCTTTTCCTTTTGTAGAATCTCGAGAACAGTCGTCGCAGTTTCATCGGTATCGACAACGTAATGGAATAGACTCTGCCCGGCGGTAACTTCGACTGCGGTACGATATCTATCGCTGACATCGAAAAGCTCGGCAAGAGTACCGTAGACTCCTTCAAGGTTATGCTGGCGCTTGATTCGGCGCACTGCGGCGATTCCGCGACTGGTGTTGTTATCCATCATGTGGGAGAGATTGCGCTCGGCACGGTCCACCTCCTGAGATGCGTTAGAGAGCACGGAGTCAAGCTTCGCCTCCTCTCTCCAAAGTTCCCTGTGGTACAATTAATATCTAAATCGACCAGTTTAGTGATTAAAGTAGACTTACTTCCTCTGATCCATCAGACGATCTCTTTCATCCTTGGCATCTTGGACTTGTTGATCTACAGAATGCATTGTGTCACCACGTCCATCGATTTGCTGACGCAAGCGTTCAGTCTCCGGCTCCAGAGCAGCGATCTCGTTTTCAAGGTCTTGGATATCTTCTTGAGTCTGCGTGATCACACTTTGCACAGCGTTGAGAGAGTTTTGGCTTTCGCGGACTTCCATGTTAAGCCACTTGTCACGTTCGGACTTGTTCTTAAATCGTGAGTTTCGGCCCTGCTTCGCGTACAAACGCTGACGTGACGTCTCAGCGTCCGTTAATTGCGATTTGACAGTATCTTCCTGATCCTTCAAGGCATTGAACCGAGGAAGAATCTCCTGGTGTTCGGCTTCACGTTCGGCAATAGCCGTCTGAACAGAGGTAAGGGCGGCGTCGTAGCGTGATTTCAATGCTTGGGCTGCAGCCTGGTTATCAGAAAGAGATTTGGCCTGCAATTCATTTTGAGCTAATGATTTGGAAGCTTCACGACGTTCATCCTCAAGTTGGACCTTATCAACTTTTAGGAACTCGATCTGCTGTCGGCATTCTGCGATCTCGGCATCAATCTGAGCCATGGCCTTTTCACCTTCGATAAATTGATCTCGGTTGTTGTCCGCATCCTCGACGCCATTCTGTCTCCGCTCTTCGATTTCATTGAGAACCCTGCCGATCTCTTGCTGTTCGAGGGAGTAAATCGTGTACTCTAGGCAGCGGCGCTCTTTATCTTTCTCCTGATAGCTCCGAAGCTCGTCTTTTTCCTCCTCAAGCTCAGCAAGTCGTTCGTTAATGTAATCCAAGAGTTCGTCGATTTTGGCTCGTTTGCTGTTGGTTTCATTCATAATCTTCAAGGACTCCGAGCGACGAGCTTCATAGACCTGAGTGCCAGCAACCTCCTTGAGTAGAACTAAGCGCTCAGAGTCCTTCATGTTGGTCAACGCAGTTACACGGCCTTGGGGAACAATATAGTAAGGGTTGGATCGAGAGAAACCAGCCGACTCGAGCAGATTCATAACGTCGTTCTTGGTGGCATTCTTGCGGTCTAGGGTGTATTCGTCCTTCTTGATACCGATGGTTCGACGCAAGACTACCTCGGGTTTTCCGGTGGGGAATCGATCATCAGAGTTATCGAAAATGATCTCGACGTAGGCAGACATCACAGCAGAGCCGGAACCTTCCTGCTTGGGGTCAGCCAATGTGTCATCTAACGAGAGCCAAAATACATACATGTAAGAGGGCTTGGCGCTCCTCTCTTCCAAGGTGAGTATAAGCATCGCTGAGGACGAATCGAATGGCCGCGAAGAAGTTACTCTTGCCCGAACCATTACGGCCGACAATGACGTTGTGTTTAGGGGAGAATGGCTCAATGACCGTTTGATCCTTGTAGCTGAATTGGATGCGAAGTCAGTTGAATGTTTATACAGGCATAGGGACGAAAAAAAGGGGCTAGCCTACCTCTTGAAGCCTTGGATAATGATCTGCTTGACATACATCTTGAAAAGACACGCGCGACGCGAGGATCAATTAAAGCACCCGCGGCACAACGCGCCTGGCGCAAGACTCGAAGTAAGGTATTATGTGGCTCAAATACTAGAGCCAGCAGATATCTCTGGCAATGCACAAATAAAGACCGTGGGGTATCGTGGGTGTGTTGCGAAACCGTGGAGATTGTACGCGAGGAACGAAATCAGCGCGTCTGGCTGGGCGCGGGGTTCTGCCGGGCGGTGGGTCTAATTTGGGCCACAGAAAAAAAAAACCTTGGGGACGGCGGACAGATTCACATCTCGACTTTCTCGACATTGAAGATCCAGAATGGCTTCAAACGAGAATACTGCCCAGGTGACTGGCATTGCCGACGGCCTCGCGCCGTCGCACACATATGTGCCAAACGAAGGCTACGTGAACATCGACAATGCAGACTCCGCCGAGGCGGGGCAGGATCTGCCCGATGAGCAGGAAGACGAGGACGAGTACTACGACGACATTTTCGACGAGGAGTTGGATCGCGAAGATATTCTGTCATCCGATAACGCCGATCTTACCAAAGCCTACAACCGCCAACGCAGAATCAACGATCTCGCTGGCGACTCCAATGTCCCAAGATGGACATACCCTAAGACGAACACCCAGAAGCCTACCGTGAATACATCTGCGTTCATCGATGACCAGGTCAAGTCTCTTACTCGTCATGCCGCAAAGATCAAGCTGGATGATCAACAGGCTGGTATTTCAGGCCGGACTGACAAGGGCGGAGACAAGGCAGACCGTGCCACATCTGAACAAGTGCTGGATCCCCGTACACGGATGCTCCTGCTTCAGATGATTAATCGAGGTCTTGTCTCGGAGATCCACGGATGTTTGTCTACCGGAAAGGAAGCCAACGTCTACCATGCCATGTCCATCTCGCAGGAAGACGAAGATGCTGCCCCACTACACCGTGCGATCAAGGTCTACAAGACCAGTATCTTGGTCTTCAAGGATCGCGATAAGTACGTGACCGGAGAATTCCGGTTCCGTCAGGGATACAACAAGAGCAACAACCGTGCTATGGTCAAACTCTGGGCCGAGAAGGAGATGCGAAACTTGCGAAGAATTCACGCCGCCGGCATTCCCTGCCCTGAGCCAATCTACCTTCGTCTGCACGTCCTTGTCATGGGCTTCATTGGTAACTCCAAGGGTCTGGGTGCACCACGTCTTAAGGATGTTGACTTCAATATTCCCGAGCCCGAGACTCGCTGGCGCTCACTGTACATGGAATTATTGGGATATATGCGCATTATGTACCAGACTTGTCGTCTGGTGCACGCTGATCTGAGCGAGTACAACATTCTATACCATAAGGAACGCCTCTATATCATTGATGTCAGTCAAAGTGTTGAGCATGACCATCCCCGCAGTCTGGAATTCCTGCGCATGGATATCAAGAACGTCAGCGATTTCTTCCGCCGCAAGAATGTCATGACTCTTCCTGAACGCACTGTCTACCAATTCATTATTTCTCCTGAGGGCCCGACTGATGTGACCGCTGGAAATGAGGAGATGACCAATGCCATCGAAAAGCTCCTCGTTGCCCGCGAGGAAGGTGACGAAGCCCAGCAAGAAGCCGAAGATGTCGACACCGCTGTGTTCCGTCAACAATATATTCCTCAGACACTCGAGCAGGTGTATGATGTTGAGCGTGACGCTGAACGCATCCGTGATGGCCAAGGTGCTGACCTGGTTTACGGAGACCTTTTGGCTGCTGGCAAGAAGAAGACTACTGCCCACGATATCGTTGAGGACGATGCCGAGTCTGATGCAAGCGGTGGTGTCTCCGTTTCAGGGTCTGATTTGGAAGATGATGAAGAGAAAGATCCCTTCGCACCGAAGCCACCACGTGGTAAGCGCTTTGAAGACAAAGACATCAAGCGCGACCACAAGGCGAAGGTGAAAGAGGAGAAGCGTGAGCAGCGGGCGAACAAAATGCCGAAACACATGAAGAAGAAACTTGTTTCTTCATCTTCCAGAAAGAAGAAATAGGCGCACGTAGCTTTCTGACCTTATCTTTGTTTGCATGTGCACGGGTTGCGAATGCTTGCACTCTTGTGGCAATCTACCGCTGGACATGATTTGATGATGAAATGCATATATGGATGGAGCATTGGGCATTTGATACCTTGGTCTTGATAAAAAAAAATGGGAAAATATATAAATTCACAATACAAGTTGCACGTCCAAAAGTGAACCGAGAATTTTCATTTTGAGATATATCATTAGGAGATGGAAAGCATGAGCATGTGCCTATGCGCAATTGGTTTGATGAAATGATATTTCAAGTGCAACCTATCAGAGCTCTCTTTGGAAATCACCCCAATCCGTCCTCACCTAGCAAGATCCCTTACAAGGGCCAGCCAACAGTGCTTACATCCCGTCAATGCATGAGAGTATGCATCTGGAGGCCGAGCACCGATCAAGGGTTTGTAAGGTGAGTATGACAGAAGGTCAGACCTATTGGGTTTTCATCATTTAGGTTGCAATCCTTGGAATATCATGGTCACGATAAAGTAAAGTAGATGCGTAGGATCTGCATTTAAAAAGCAGAAAGAAGCTCCTCGTTTCATCATATCTACAAGTGGCATAAGTTCGGGGCGAAGATCCGAACAAGAATGCCAAGGAAAATGATGCAAGTTTCAAACAAAGGCGACGAATAAAAGGATTTGGCGGAAGAAAAGATGCAAGATCCTCAGACCTTTCGGGGGAATCAAGCAGTGTACAAATGGGACACGGCCTTGGTTCGTGCTTTGACCCTCGCGTAAGCTTGCTCAACAAGGTCTTTTGGTAGGTCCGGAATATGTTCTCCCTCGCCATTATCTTCCGATACACCCGTGTTGGCAGCATCCATGTAATCATGCGCATTGGCTTCGTTGGGTGCATCTTCAGTATCGCCATCTAGGTGACCGCCCGAGAGGCGGGCGAATTGCACCTGCATTGGCGCTAGGCCAACACCAGGCCATATATCAGACGGAAGGAAATCACCTTGTTCGACACGGAAAGTCTCACGCGCAGTAGCATCTTCATCATGAAGTTGGTCCAGTTTGTGCCGGGTTTCTCGGAGTACCTTTTCCACACGCTGGCGAACATGACGCCTACGTGCTACTTCGAGCATTAAGCTATCATATGCATTGAGGAACCCGTCGTAGAGAGAGTGTAGATCAGAGAGTTCTGCAAGGCCAGACTGGATACGATCGTTTTCCTCGTGCCACACACGCGTGAAATTATGCGCCTGGGAGATATAACGGGGTAAGCGTGATGAGGCAAGGGATGATAGGTGGATGTGAACTTCTATGGTGGCTTTAGAGATGGTATGGAGCGCATCATGCTGTGCTTGCACCTGCTCAAAAATAGATTCCATATCATTGATGCGATCTTGGATTTCCATGACCACATCATCCGCTTCAGGGGCATCTTTGATCAAGACGGCCACCATTTCCTGATATTCGGCATCCGTCATTGGATCAAGGGGTGCATTCAAATTGGCATTAATTTCTGCCCCAATGTTTAGCACGCCATCACTGCGGCCGTTGACACCAGCAGGCATGTCGCCGGTGATGGATCGCGCCACCGCCCCTCCACCATCTGTGTGCTTCACAGCAGTAACGCATATATCAAAATGCCGGACCAAGGCTTCTAGTAAGACAGCCATTTCTTGAGCATGGGCCTCCAATAATTGGATCTGCCCTGGCATAGATGACAAAGCGAGAAGGCCAGAACCGGAGGAAGAAGCAGAGGAAGAGGAGGAGGAAGATGTGACCGATACCCGGGATGACGCCAATTTCGTGGCAGTATGGTAGTGACGAAGTGACTGTCGGGTGGCTTGAAGTTCGTCATCGAACTCACGATTGGACGTGTCTAATTCAGCTCTCGCTGTGTTAGTGCGGTCGATAGAGGCTTTTAAGGAGGCATGGAGCTCTTCAACACCGCGCTCGTCAACAAAGTCATGTAAGCTCTTTTGCTCTTCATCGCCAGGTCGGAAGGAGGCGTGAACAATAGTCTCTCGAAGAATATCTAACGTGCTTCTGAGTCGGGCGTCAGCAGCATCTAGATTTTTTAGTGCTACTGAAAATTCATCCCGACACCGGTATGATATCTGTTCGACCTCGGTACGAACGTCATATAACAGACGCAACTGGCCATTGAGGCCTCGGCGCAGGAACCCTGTTCGGGAGCAGACGATAACACTCTTCTCCAGGGCTGAATGTGACGCCGTGACTATTTCATTGGCCCGCCAGACATGACTGATGGAGGAAAGTGAGCGTTTTGCCGCCAACAAATATGAGATCAAGGTATCGACTGGTGGCAGCGACTTTTGGTCCCCATGGTCCAGCGCCTGAGGGCTCACAGATGACGATGAGGAATAGGATGACGCCATTTTCAAATGCAATCAAGCCTGCGAATGACGCATTCAAAGGAAGATAGGAGGGACCTGGAGCTGACGAAGAGAGAGACCAGGTTCGGGGGTCGAGGCGAGTGAGACAGCTACGAGGGAAAAGGGGGTGATTGCACCGCCTCCACCTTGCAAAACAACTAGAACACTTCAGTACAGAGCTTTGGTTTCACCAATTCAGACTATTGAAATCTTGAACAAAAGTGGACGCCAGAATGGAACATCCCATGAAGCTGGAAATTGGGTGCTGTGAGGAGCTAAGTAGCTTGAGCTACGCTCCACACGGCAGATCACGAGCGGAGCACGAGCTTTAGCTCGGTTTGACTGTACGGAGTATAGTGGGGAGAGTAACATGAAAAGGCTCACCAGTGTAGTGATTATGGGGCAGCGATCGGCCGAGACCTGGTTCTCCAGACAAGACGGTTCAGATGAATGATTTAGTAGCCGTATGGAGTAGACTGTAATTTAAAAAAGCTGGGGACAGGTGGGGCTGTGAGATTGTCGGTGTGAGATGCTGCCGAACTGGACTTCAGCCAAACAGACGATAAGACACCCAGTCAACCCCAGCGATGGCGAATCGGCAGCCTGTTGGAAGCCCTGGAGGTGTTCGGGTGATGTGCGACACCGCGGCGATGGCGCCATGCGGATCCCAGTCACGTGGGGCCTCACCGCCCAGATCACGTATTCGCCGCTCTGCCCGTCACGCAATCTCCCCCGGAATTATCGATGGCGATATCCGAGAAACATACAGATTGTGCAATTTTTCAGGACTGGACTTGTCTTCCTTAAAAATCTCGCTCGACTCTGTTTTGTCCCATTTTTTCTCCCTCTCAGAGTCGTTCTACTCGTTTGATCGAGTTCTTGAGCTTGATCTATTTTCAACCTTTCCCGAAGGGTACTCAGATCTCCACATTGATAACTTTGAACGTTGAAATCCTCAACACTCCTCTTGACGCCAACTCGATTTCCTCATTCCGCGGTATATTTAGCACAATCCTCGTTGTGATATTTCCTATAGCTTTTTTTTTTTCTGTGTTGCTTCCTTCCAAGAACCCCACTCAGGAAAATAGCGACGTCTGCAAACCGACTGGTCCTTATCGCAGTGCAATCGCAGGCGTGATTGTCACTCGCCCGAGCGGCCCCCCCCTCCCCCTCGATTTGCTCGACACCAAATCAGTCACCATGTCTGAAACACCCGAGAGAACCACCGTCTATCAGAGCCTGGTAGTCTCGAACGCGGGGGCCAGTGCAAACTCCGACCCCAACCGCTCTCTGCCGCGCAATGACACAGAAGTTCCCACACAAACCCTGGAAGAACTAGCGAGGCAAAATATGGCTCCATTCCTTGCAAAATACCAGCCAAGGCAATATGCGCCTTTGCGCTCGCAAGTCTCCACGCCCTCTGAGCAACGCCTCGTGAACGCCAGCTATTGCTATCGTCATAAACCCGATTCAAAATGCGGTAGGCGCCAAGCCGACGAGCAATCGATGACACAGCTGCAGTCTGAGCTCAACCTGCTTCCCCAAAGTGATCAACAAGGCATCGCCCATGTGTGGTCGTTGTTTTCTGCTGCTCCAGCGAAGCAACGGACTCTCATGCTCCAGGGAATTCTGGCGCAATGCTGCTTCCCTCAACTTTCCTACATCTCTGCCAGTGTTCGCGAACTTATCCGAATCGATTTTCTGGCCGCCCTTCCTCCAGAGCTGTCCTTCAAAATTCTCCGTTACCTCGATACGGCCTCATTGTGCCGAGCAGCACAAGTTTCTCCTCGCTGGAGAGCTCTCGCCGATGACGATGTGGTGTGGCACCGGATGTGTGAGCAGCATATTCGCCGAAAATGTAACAAGTGCGGGTGGGGTCTTCCTCTTCTGGACCGCAAGCGTCTGCGCGAAGCCAAGCGTGAGATCGAGTTGCGCGCTACCACCTGGGGAAATACCGAGCCTGCCGTTAGGCCTACTGAAACCACTGTGGTTGAATCTTGCTCGGCTGCCAAGCCCTCAGCAAGCGGCAAACGCAAGATGCCATCCGAGGATGAAACATCCGCTCTTGCAAAACGTCACTGTGCATCGCCTCCCCAGTCTCCCGAAGAGGATGAAAGCTACTTCAAAACTCGCTACCGTCCCTGGAAGGACGTCTACCGTGATCGATTTGTTGTCGGGATGAACTGGAAGCACAAGCGGTGCTCTATCAAAGTGTTCAAAGGACATAGGGACAGTGTCATGTGTCTGCAGTTCGAGGACAATATCCTGATGACTGGTTCTTACGATGCTACCGTTAAGATCTGGGACACTGATACCGGCGAAGAATTACGAACCCTCAAAGGCCATGCTGCTGGAGTACGATGCCTCCAGTTTGATGATACGAAGTTGATCACAGGTAGTTTGGATCGCAGCATCAGAGTCTGGAACTGGCGCACAGGCGAATGTATCTCTAAGTTCAATGGCCATGCCGAAGCCGTCATCGCCTTGCACTTTGACTGTACGCTTCTTGCATCCGCTTCCGTCGATTGCACCGTCAAAATCTGGAACTTCAAGGACAAGTCAACTTTCGTCCTTCCCCATCCACAGGGAGTCAATGCTGTCAAAATTGATTCTATTTCGCGTACGGTTCTGACCGCCTGCGACGATGGCGCTGCGCGCCTTTGGGATCTGGATACCAAGACTTGCATCAGAGTCTTCCATAATCACATTGGTGCCGTCCAACAAGTAGTGGCTTTGCCGCGAGAAATTGAACTCGAAAACCACCTTGCCGACTGCGAGAATGACCATGTCAGCACCGCCTCTCAATACGGCGACAGCATTCTGGGCACACTTTCCCCTATTCTAGAGACTAAGTCTCTCTCTCTTCAGCCATCATCATTTGGCCCCTCCTTTGACCAGGAGCAAGGCCGCATGGAACCTCCAAGATACATCATCACCAGTGGTGTGGACGCTACTATCCGTTTGTGGGACACGAGCACTGGAAGATGTCTTCGTACCTTCTTTGGACACCTGGAAGGGATCTGGGGTCTTTCTGCCGATACCCTACGGATTGCCTCTGCTGGCATGGATCGCATGGTCAAGATCTGGGATCCTCGTGTTCCCACGTGCCAAGATACCTACGAAGGTCATAGTGCTGCTGTCAACTGCATTGGCCTTAGTGATAGTCGCTTCATCACAGGCGGTGACGACTACCAGGTCCGTATGTATGATTTCCGGGCCTAGAAAACTGGGCAATTGTTGTTGTTTTTACTGTGCTCGTCAAAAGCGCATTTTTTGGTTAGGATCTTTGCTTTCCCTTGTCTTGGAGTGAGGCAATCGAGTACGATGCCTCCGTTTTCCCTTTCCCTTTCCCTTTCATATTTTGCATATCCGGTCGATGGATGGATACCCTGGCGCATTCGAGAACAGTGGCTGTATCTCCAACAAAGTGGCTTGACCTAACAGCTTGCCACTATTTGCATCACAGGCGTTATTGGGTTTTATTTTGTCGTTTTCTTTTCTCCACCTAGGGATTTGTTTTTATATTGATAAAGTGCCTCCCCTGTTTCCATAGGACTTTTAATGAACCTTTGATGAACATTTCAACCACTTTTCCTACTTAATCTAAACCAACGCAACTCGAAGAGCAAGCTTGTCAATGTAAAAAAAAAGAAATGCTACCCAAAACTCTGGGAAGACTGCCTATGTAGTACTCAAAACATTGAGGCTTGCAAACCGAGTGAACAACGCACACCCCAAATCTAATTTCTAAATGGTTACCGTAAGTGAAGGTCATTCTTAATTCGCGACGACAAATTGATTCACTTTGTTCGTTGATGTGACACCGGAGGCACTTCATGCTCGGCTGTTTCAGATATTGTCGTTTCATGCGGCCCTCCTAAACTTTGTCTTGACATCGCGACCTACCGGCGAAAGACTCCATAGGAATACCTTTGCGAGTTGTGGCCTATTCCTGCTTGAATCAAAGATATGACAGTCTACAGTTCCGTCCGCTCTATAAAGATGCTATCTAGCCACCTTGATAATCGCCTCAGCAATATATCTATTCCTCAATAGGCTTAGTCTTGAAATATTAGGTTTTATAGCGCAAGGTGGATGTGGATTCTAAGGTTAGCACTACCCGTGGTCCAAGATCTATGGCTGAGATAGCCTGGTTTGACATGATTTTTCTGGATCCTCTTGAGGACTTGAACAGGTGGCAAAATCCTGGAATGACACTATTGAAAACGACTGTGAGCCTAATACATGGCTCATCGTGATGGTACTAGAAAACCTCCATATCTTGAAACGCAGGTACCAAGACCACAAGTTTGCTTCCTTTGCAAGCATGATCTCAAGTAGTTAAGGTGATGGCCAGGCTTTCTTTTGCTTTCTAGCTTTTAATTTTACTTCCTCAGTCATCTTTAGATCTGGCGAGTCTTCAAATTTTGTCCCTTTTGTCGTGGCACTACTGCATCGAGAAGTTATTTTCCTCACCCCACCCTCGGGCAGAGGGACCTTGGAATTGGTAATGTTAGGAAAGGCTGGTTCAATAAGTGCACAGTTATTTTCACAGTGATCAAATAAACTGGACAACACACGGATCAGTAAGTCCGAGATCTTATACAAAGTTTCGCACCCTCCGTCGCAAAAGAAGATAAATCCTTACACTCCGATCCCTAATTTAGCATCATCAACTACTATAAAGGACTAAAAGCTTTTCGAACAGCCATGAGGTATAAACCAATTCTAGCAACATTCTTTCCTCTACTTGCCGTCTACTTTATTGCTTCTCGTATTTCTCATCTCATCAAGGGGAAAAGAATTTCATCGACCGTCCTTCGAACCATTCATCACACGAGAATCACGACAACCAAGACCACTAAAATGGAGGAACTCCACACCCGGATTACGTCCAGTTCAATGGGGCCTCATTCAATGAGTGGTTAGTGCATAAAGCTAAAGCTAGCGAAACCAACCTAACACAATGCAGGGCCAAGCGGCGTAGAACAATTAGAAAGACCAGCAACGCTAGCTACTGAACATTCCTCGAATCCTAACTGCTCGAATACCAGTAGTGATTCGTCTCTCCCTGAACAGGTTCAGCCAGCTGCTGCCGTTAAACAAAAGAAATCGCCCCGAAAGCATCGGATAGACTGCTGGGGTTGTTGGTCTAACTGGAAGCTTCTCCCTAGACTCATGAGATGTCTGATTCTTTTATGCGGTTTCGTTGCGTTTGGAACTATTGCGAGCTTTTGGTCTGCAATCTACCTGACGAGCAAACCTCGACGTGAAAAAGAGAGACAGGCAAAGCTCAAAGTCGAAATGCTTAATGGTACGGATGCAACTCGTCAACATGCTGCAATCATGGTCTTGGAGACTGGATCCCCCAAGAGCATTCTACCTACCGCAACGAGGTACCCCAATATTACAGTGTCCGTTTCCATTCCCACAGCTACTGCAAAAACTACCTTTTTGACCGAGGCCATGCCCTCGAGCGATGCCAATCAACTCACACCTACGGCACCAGGTATAGGTGAAACATGGGTGCCACTTTGAACAAATCAACCGAGGTAGAATTTTCGAAGCTCGAGCTTGTCTTGCAAGCCCATGTTAAACAACAGACCAGGCATAACTAACAGTTGGTCTGATTGACAAATTGCATAGACTGTGGGGTACCTTCTGCGTGATCCATCTACGCATACAGCCAAATAAGGAAGGGGAATAGCAGAGATGAAAGATAGGAGTGGGGGGGACCAAAATTGCAAATCAATAGATATGAGGGATAACGAGTTAGCTTGAAGGATTCTATTGGAGTTGTCTTGTAGCACTGTTATTGAACAATTGGTGGGTTGAACTCGCTATTGATTTGACCAGATTCTATTGTTTGTTCTAGTAGGGAATGGTCTTGTATTATTACAATTGCTTCATTGAACAACGTCAATGCCATTCAAGTCCAAGTCTCTTCTATTGCTAATTCATTCATATTGTCAATAGTTTGTATCCCACTTCTTCTGTTCCTCATATATTACGTCCTACTACAGCTCATACTCTCTTCATCTCGTCCTCACTTCTTGATCATCTGGTCGTTTTACATACCCAAGCATTGGGAAGGCTTGCCATATCATTGTCACTTGATTTAATCCAAGCAAAGTGTAAGTACTCACTGCTCAAGTAGGTTAGAAGTTCAACCTTTGTTAATCATATAAAAGCCTCTACAGCCCAAAGCCGTTCACCATGGCATACACTGAGGAAAGACTCCTGCAAGCCAAGCGGCTTTTTGACCGCAGCAGGAATCAGTTCTCCATGCGCCCGCATTTGGCTGGCCCTTATCACCTGCGAGAGCGTGCATCCAAACGTGCCGTTGTTCTTGGGTCATGGTATGACAACGACGAAGATGAAGACTATGAGCCTCCCGGAAAGCGAACACTGAGCAAGCGCAAGGCATCTATTTTCCATGAGGCTGATCAAGACCCCCGACCCACCAAAAGATCTCGAAGTCTTTCTCCAGCCCGTCCATCTGGTTCACGGTTGGACTCAGACACAGAGGGGTATGCTCCTGAGATTCCTTCATCGCCCTCCCAACACAGCGAGCCGGACAGCTGGGATCGATACTGGGCTGTCAATCCTGAGACAATCAACCAAAACTCAGGTTACAGCCTGCGACGCCGCAACAACGACACAGTTCCAGGCCTACCGCAAGGAAACGATGCCACCAGTGTCGAGCCGTTGGCAACAGCGCTTCCTGGAGATGCTCTCCCTGCCGACAAGGGATTCTCATTGAGAGAGTGCTCTGCATGTCAAGACCTCGGCTTGGAATGCTCGCTTTTGTCAGATCCTGATCAGTTCGCCTATCCTTGCGCAGCCTGTGGACAGGATGAGCTTTCTTGCGTTGTCAGTCCAGCACCGAAATGGAAGCAAACATGCGAGAGTTGCAAGGATCAACGGATAGGGATTTGTTCTTATCGTTACGCAGATTACGACCATACCCTGCCTTGCCAGGTGTGCATCAATCACGGATTTGATTGTGTTGCCGGACCAGCCAGAACCGCACCTTTCAAACTCGGCGAATCAAGTCCTACCAAAGTCGACTCTCCACCAACCTCTGGTCTATCACACAGTACCCCAGAGGCCACCGTTGCTCAGGATCAAAAGTCATCTCACCGAAGCAGTCCTTTGGACATCAACTCTCTTCTCAATCCCGCATCTCCATACGACGTTTTTAGATCCCCTAGCATTGAGGACCAAAAGAAACCTCACACAAGCAGTCCTTTGGACATCAACTTTCTTCTCAATCCCGCATCCCCATATGAGGCTTTTAGATCCCCCAGCATTGAGGATCAAAAACAATCACACGCAAGCAGTCCCCAGAAGAGTGGTACTCCAGCAGCATGTACATCAACACATGGCCCTGCAGCGTTCTCCACAGCCGAGAAATCTGATCCAAATAAACCAAGCAATTTCCCAAAGATCTCCACCCCATCTCATGCTATCACAGAGTTCTTAAATGGTCAAGGAGCTCAACCGCTCAACACGACACCAACCAATGCTCTGCAAGACCCTGGGACACAGAATGGCATCAAAGATCCCTCCGTTGTCAAACAACCTCCTCCAATTGATGTGATCATAATAGATTCGGACGACGACGTTCCGAATGGCCAGAATACACCGATTTACATATCCGACTCTCCTCCTGCCGATTCAACTTCTTTGCCAACCACCGAGAATCCACAGACCGAGAAAATATATCGCTTGTGGACTCTTCTTGCTCATCCAGTGGAGTTTCTCGCAAATGTTCCTCTCGACGGATCTCGCCCTTGCCATTGGTGCCATAACTTTGCATATGGTATCGTTGGGCTCGGTGGTCGTTGCACGGAGATCTTAGAATATGGCGATGGCACCATGATTGAGCTTGGGGATGGCCATATTGACGAGCAGAAAGAGCAAAGCAGGATGTGCCTCGAATGCACCTACGATAGGGTCAAGATCTTACAATGCTCTCATAACAGTCTCGTCCCACTGCCTGCATCTCTGTCTACACACGACGCAGCACAGCGGGATGCTGCCTTTGCGAATCTGAAGCAGGCTGCAGACGTGTTACTTGACCCACTGACTGGGAAAACTGGTTCTTCTTTCCCACTCTCAAGTCACAAGTGGTGCAGCCTGTGTCAAGAGCCTGCATCCTTCTCTTGCCAAACCCTTCAACCAGTCGATGTCTACGCCGCGATTGTGGATTGTGACGAAGAAACCTATGGATGCGGTTTTATGCTTTGCAAAAACTGCCATGACCTTACCAACCATTTCAAGGGAAATCTCCATGCTGTTGTTGCATTCCGTCGCGATCGTCTTGCACCCCTCCGAGCCGATGTTGATTACCTCCTCCCCAAAGCCGAACACAACACCATCTACAACTTCTACATGGAGGATTAATTTACACTCATGATTCTTTGTTTGCTGTATCTAGTTCACGGAGGCCTTCGCCGTCGAAAGTACCTCGCTTAGTTCTATCGAGAAAATTCCAAATATTCTATTCTTATTAATTTTCAATGAAATTTTTCAATGGACGTCTATTAATCCTATCATTCTTTAAGGTGATCTAATTGTTTGACATGTCGCGCATGATAATGAGGTTTTTATGGTCTAATGCGCTCTAGTACTAACATGGTCTTCACAATAGGATCACAATCAGACCAGAACCATGATTGGGATGGTATGAATTTGGGCGACAATAGGATCCTACAAACAACTCTGGTTATTATTCACAGTATTGTTGGAAGCACAATAACTATTGACGAGTATTCACTCCCATTCACGAGTCTCTGCTATTATGCGAACTATCCTAATAGAGATCAACATCCAGCATAAGAGCTTCCTTCACAACACTAACTTTCCTAACTTCTTCTTCTTCTTCTCCTTGTGTTTCCATGCCCCTTGCTATCTTCACTTCATAGTGCTTGATCTGAATTCTTGTTCTTTCTTCTGAATTGCTGCCAATTGTCTTGACTTCTCATCGCCTAACGCTGGTCGTCCTGTATGTGGATAGGGTTTCGTTTCCGCTCTGAGAAAAAAAAATTACTAAACCTCATTTTCTGCCAGCCAAATTCGCTTCACAACCGGATCCCCTTCTACTTCCACCAAAAGGAAGGAAGGGCGCTGCTTTGATCCTATCTTCTTTTTTTCCCTGGTTGCCCCGAGCTGCGACACGAGGTGCGCAGCTCATCGCCACGACGTCTTCACCAAAGCGCCGCAAAGTTTCCCCAGAGCCTCGCACCAGTCCAGGCCTTCGGGCTCGACGTCACGGCCGCTCCGAACCTCCACACTCTCGCCACACATCTTCGTCCTCTCGCCGCGGCCAGAGTCCGTCGTTGTCTCCGCCTCGATACGTGCCTGCGCATCTGCAGTTCCAGACCGGAAGTCCGCCTGGCCGCTCGCTTACCCCCGCGACCGCGACCGCCGGACTCACCCTCCACAGCGACATTTCCGATATGCCCTCCGATACTCGAGAGGGTACACCTCCCACTAATGGTCGTTCCCCTTCTCCCGGCGAGAAGCGCCCCGCTTCCGAGATCACAGACTCCGACCCCGAGGGAGGTGTGAGCACGACTGCCTTTGCTAGCAACGCGCGCAACGAGAATATTCCCCGCACATCTGATGCCGCCAGCGACATATATCCTACCCCTTCGAGCAACGGCAATGCCGGATCATCACTCTCAGATGACGAGAAGTCCACGCCGGGCTCGCCCGACCCAAAGGGCATCCCTACAGTCGACGAGCAAGTGGCCGAGGTTAACGCGCTGATGCAAACCCCATTGAAGGATGGACAAAAGGGTTATGTGGTTTCAATGAACTGGCTGAAGAAAGTGCTTGCACGCACTACGGCCCATGCAGACCACAACGACAAAGAATCATTGGAAGCCGACGTTGGTCCGGTCAACAATTTGAACATCATGCTCGATACCGACCAGGCCTTGCCCAGCGTCAAAGATGAAACTGGTGAATTGTTTGTGCCTATGCGCCCTGGCTTGCACGAAGCCCTTGATTTCACAGTCATCCCACAGCACGGATGGCAACTGATCCAGAAGTGGTATGGTCTTGCTGACCAGTCGCCGGTCATCATTCGCTACGCTCACAACATCAACCAACCTGGCGAAACTGAAAATATCGAATATGAGAACTATCCTCCAATCTTCACCGTTTTCAAGTTGGCCAACCCGGCCGCGGGTACCACACCGGCCACCTTGAGAGAGACCAACAAGCCGTCGGTGAAGGTACTGGCTAGCCGCTACACAAGCTACCAGAAATGGCTCAGGGATGCAAAAGAGCAGGCTGGAATTGATATGGCGACCAAGGTTCGAGTTTGGAACATTCTTCAGCTACCTCGCAGCACCAACGCATCGGCTTCGGCAACTCCAGCTGCCTCCCGCACCCAATCGCCGGCTCCCCCTCTGGCTCTCATCTCCAACCCCAACGATAAGCTCCTTTTCGATTTGAACGCTTTCCTCGAACTTTCGGAGGGTAGTCACCGGGTACTGCTTGCAAATGTCAAGGATCAAACTCAAAATGCAAACTACAACGGTCGTATGACTTTGAACATGGCTGGTCTTGGTACAGCGAACTGCGTCATTCTCGAGGAACAGGTCGGTGGCTCCAAGGGTGGAGAATGGATATCCGAGGTCTCGGCCAAAACTCTCAAGAGCCTGGGGATCCCCGTGGATACGATGAAAAAGGATGCTCTCACCAAAGTCACTGCCCCCAAAGCCGCGATCAAAAGCGCACAGTCCAGCGGAAAGCTCACTCCTGCCCTGCCAAATGATCCGATCAGGGGCCTCATTACTAGAGGCCGAAAAGGTCGCCAGCTTGTTGTGGGTTTGCAAAATCTCGGCAACACTTGTTACATGAACTCAGCATTGCAATGTGTGCGCAGCATTGAAGAATTGTCCTACTACTTCCTCAGTGAGTACCACTTATCGTGAGTACGGAAAATGAGGTCTCTCGATGCTAATCTCAATCTACAGGTGAAATGTACAAACGAGAGCTGAATCCTACTAATGTGCTTGGATGCGGCGGTGTCATTGCTAAGCAATGGGCCAATTTGCTTCAGGAACTCTACAAATCAGACCCCCAGCCGAGATCTGTTAACCCTTCAAGGTTTCGCTCTGCCGCTGGTCGGCAACGTGAAGAATTTGCTGGCTTTGAGCAACATGACAGTCAAGAATTTGTGATGTTCCTCCTTGATGCGCTGTCAGAAGATCTTAGCCGCATCGTTGGCAGCAAGCCAGCCACTACCATCCCCGACTCAACTGATGAAATGATTAACGATCGCAAGGCGCTTGAAGCTTTCGGAAAGACATGTTGGGATCTCTACGAGTCTCGCAACGCCTCCGTTATCACTGACCTGTTTGCCGGAATGTACAAGTCGACATTGATTTGTCCCACTTGTGAAAAGACCAGCATTATCATGGATCCTTTCACCATGGTCACTGTGCCCATCCCATCGGGTCCGAACCTCGTTAATCGAACGATTATCTTCTTGCCCCTTGATGGTCCACCCGTGTCTTTGAGGGTTCGACTTGATGAAAACGAAACCTTGAAGTTCTGGAAGAATTTCGTCGCCCAGAAGATGGGTATTGAAGGAGAACGTATCTTCGCTGCGGAAACTCTACACCATTCTTTCTGGCAAACCTTTGAGGCCGACGATGATAGTTTCGGCAGTCTGCGCACGCGTCCAGATGATACCATTGTATTTGTTGACATGGGTCCTCTTCCAACATCTACAAAATCTTCACAGCCGATCTCTGCAAACGATGATGGAATTATTGTGCCGGTTTTCCATCGCAAGCTTGCCCCGCAGAAGAAACGGGAAGACTCTCGTGACCTTTTCGGGATGCCCTCCTTCATCCGGCTTTCTAGTGAAGAAGCTCAGGATCTTGAGGCCATTTACCGCAAGCTTCTGGCGCAGGCCAATAACATGACTACACGCGACATCTTGAGTACCGAGGAAAACAGCGCCGACGAGCAACGAACAGATGACTCTGACACTGTGGTCACAAACGAGGATGATGCACGATCAGCAGATTCCCGAATCAAGACATCTTCTGTTGACGGAGAAGACAGCATTGTTGACATTTCCATGCAAACTACCGATGATTCCACACCTGCAGAGGACGCCGAGGAGTCGGATTCTGACTCTGGATCAACCAGGTCTCCTCAGCATCCTTTGGCAGGCAAAATTACTGCCAATTTGTTGAGTCTTTTCGATGCGAAGGTCATGAGCACCAACACTCATGTGCCCGATGGACGCAATATTTCTTCCACTAAAAATTATCCCCTCCTTTCCTCTCGCATTGCATCACCCACAGTTTCCACCAAGGTACGTGTGTTGTGTTTGATCTATTCAGGTACAATCTGCTAACATTTCCTAGACACTTGATGCTGCATCCAAGACCTCCGCAGATGACAACAGTGATGATTATTTCGATACAGATGGATCAGACACAGAATCAACTTCTCCGCTTCCACTGCTTCGCCAAGGTGACGCTATTCTGATCGACTGGACTGCCGATGCCGCTGATGCCCTTTTCGGTGGCAAGCCACGTGACCCCAATGAGCTTCGTGGTCGGCCTTCTTACTTGAACATCAAGAGTGTCTTTGATTTCAATCTTGCACCAACTCCGAAAAAGCTGAAAAAATCGGTTTATTCTCTTGACGAATGTCTGGATGAGTTCAGCAAGGAGGAGATTCTTTCCCAGGCAGATAGCTGGTACTGCCCTCAGTGCAAAACCCACGTCTCAGCCACGAAGAAGTTTGAGCTGTGGAGAACCCCGGATATTCTGGTTGTTCAGCTCAAGCGATTCAGCCAATTCCGCGGAAGACTCTATGGAAACAAAATCAACACTGTCATCGACTTCCCTCTCGAGGGTCTTGATTTGAGCAGCCGAGTGCAAGGACCCACCGATGGAAAGAGTGCTGTGTACGATCTGATTGCCGTCGACAACCACATGGGTGGACTGGGTGGTGGCCACTACACCGCCTACATCAAGGACTTTGTCTCGGGTGCTTGGGTTTATTGCAACGGTTCGATTCCATTTTGCCATCTGGCCTGATAACCAATTTACTAACCCCACTCTCAGATACCTCTGCCCGCACAGTCACGGACCTTGACTCCATCATTTCAGCGGGTGCTTACCTTCTGTTCTACCGCCGTCGCTCTGATCGTGCACTGGGCAACCAAGAGCTGCAGGAGCTGGTTGAATCTTACCGGGACAACTCATCAAGTGACTCCGCAGGTTCCTCTGCCTCCCGCAGTGCTCACGGTTCCCAGTCACCAGACGACGGTGGTCGCCGGCTTGGCGGGCCAGCCCCCTTGGCCAGAGCAAAGGTGGCACCCCGAGTGTGCAAAGGACAAGACTCCCTCGGCAACGATATCTACTCTTCCGCAGAGGAAAGCACTTCGGATTCGGAGGACGGCGGCAGCTCAGGTAAGAAAATCGACTTCGAGCACGAGACCGGGGGATCGCAGGTCGAATCCCTCAGCAAGCTCACGGAACCCTCCTGGTCATTCGACGACGCTCACGCCGATTCGCAGATTACCAGTGGTAATTCTGCCACCGAAGATGGCCACCTGGACGGTCATGTTCCATGGGGCGACCCCATGGACATTGACCAGCCGTTTCAGTTTGGACTCACTTCTGGGGGGGGAGGAGGATTCCTCCGATGATCTTCCAGTCGTTGAGCTGCGTGTGGGGTCCGAGGACATCATGTCCTCGGACTCATGAATAATGTCAAGAAAACAAAAAATAAAAAAATAAAAAAAAAGAGGGAGGGGCGGAGGAGAGGAGGAGAGGAGAGGGGGCTCTGGGGGATGGGCCGAGGCCCCTAACAAAATAAAACGGTGTTCTTTTTGTTTCACTTGTCATTTGCATCCCGATAGAAATGTAAATGAAGCCTGAGAGTAAAACCAGCCTTAAGCTAATTTGAACAAATCAAGAAAGTAAAGTAAGACTTAGTGCTATCCTAACCCATCGCTTCATTATTACATTCTCCATCGACGTTCATAATTATCTTATATAGGCCTGGAATCCGCGAACATGCAAGCCAGCATGCATATACCAGAGCTCACCTACACACGGCAGCTCTGGAGCTTGCTCCCTAGTAGATCCTCTTCTGTCTACAGAATTCTCTCCTAAACGGCTTCTAGTGATAATTTACCACTAGAACGTTTTCCAATTGTCCGTAGTTATGGTCCGCTAAACATTGACCCAATCAGAGTCATTAATAGTGATATAAATTTTGCAAACGTATTCCCTGATGTAGCTAGCGGATCGTCCTACATCAAGTCCTTCTATCTATGATTTATCTAATCATACCTTTGTCTTATGCTTCTTTTCCCTCTCCTCCATGGCGAACTTCGTGTCAAGCTCTTTTCTTGGAGGGACTTCCTTCTCCAAGAACACCAGCAGGAATCCTAGACCCGCGAAAGCCAAGCTCACATACCAAACCACATTAAGCGAATCCACGTAAGCGGACCGGACCTCCTCAACCGTGAAGGGATCCGCGATGGAGTCGATAAAGATCTTAGTGGCATACTCATACGCCCGCCCATTAGTGAGCTGACTACCGATGGCAGCGTCTGCGATGCGCGGCGCCAGAACGTCGAACCGATTATTGAACACCGCCGTGGCAATACTTGCACCCCAGATAAATCCATACGTGCGTATGAAGGACCACATCGCGGTGCACCGCGCCGTATCCTCCTCAGTAAGTAGTGCTTGAACCGCGGGGAGAAGAACCGGCAGCGCGAGACCCGTTCCCAACGCACCAAGAAGCTGGTAGCCCACCCATTCTCCCATGTTAGATTCGGTGTCGAGAAGGGTCAGAAGACCGAACCCGATAATCATCAGCGCAAGACCCGCGTGCTGCAGGGGACGATAGCGAGGTCATGAAACTGGTCAGGGCGAGGGCCAAGATGATCGCATAGAATCCAAAGGACCTTTTTGTTGTGGTTGGCTTAGTCTCATAGCCACCAGATGTCTGATTCTGCCCATCGGCGGTCGAGATATCTGCGGCCAGATCATTCTTATGGCTCTTGCCTTCGTCTAGGTCCTCTGTCATGCTGGTAACTGGGAGTGTTGTCACCGCGGTCCCAGCGTCTACAGCCATCTTCTAAGGGGTCACAGTTGGCAAAGAAAACGACCAAAAAGTCAGAAGAAAAAAGGGCGGAGTCGAGTACTGCTGATGTACACAGGCTCTGGCACTTGAACAGACTGGAAGATGCAAAATAGACGTGAGATACGTTGATTGAGCACCTAAGGGGTAAGCAATGTAGATACATATATCACTAATTGAATGTAATAATCTGTAAAGTTGGAACCTTCGAATGATCGTCCGCAAGATTGGAATCCCTGCGATCCCGCGACCTACTCCGTATATACTCCGGGATCGGGACCACGGACGAATTCGGTCAAATCCTTTCTCGATACATGGCCTGTGCAATATGAATACCGGGGCTGGGTTGTAGGTTTCTCCACGCCTCGGTCTCTCCGGTCGACGATGTAGCTGGCGCTATCGAATATTTCGGTGAACACCTTAGCTTACTCGTCAAGGTACCATGCGGTGACCCAGTCCCCGAGAGTTAACAGGTACCTGGGATTATTTTCGACAAGCTTGGCGAGTGCTAGAAGCTCAGTCTCCGATGCGCTGATCTATAACTCGTCCAGGGACTTGTGGTTTCGCCCCATGATGGTGGTGATCAGAACCTCGTGGTCAGAGCCGGGGTCGTCAATCTTTGCGGTCAGCCTGAATTCCAAGATATATCTCCTTTGGGTTCAATCTTGTGAGCGCTAATTCTCCATCTAAATCATGAGCAACATTCAAAAGAGCAGGCTTGGTGGCTAGATGATGCATTCTTTCATTAACTACTAGCAAGAATGCTACAGTTTCCGTACTTCACATACATCTCAACTTTTATCTCTAGTTCACGTCTTTGGTTGCGGGAGAATTGGAGACTTAGACAGATATAGTCTCTACAGATGCATCCGATCTTAATTGTATCACCAAGACAAAATGGCAACATATAGCAGTCTCTGAAAGATGTGCAAAGACAGGGGCAACATGTGTGATAGACCCCAACATTTAAGTATGACGCTCCCAATGCAGTGACCCCGATAGAGAATGGAAGCAGCCAGACTAAACAATCTGTGTTTGGTGTTAAGGGAAATTGCATATCCAGGTTGTACAAGCTAGATGAGTCCTATAGGAGGGATTCCCCTGGCAGCAAATAAAACCAAAGCACAAAGGAATCTGGTGCGTTCTTCCCTCTATAGGTATTTATTGGCCTACCTCAAATATGTTGAAATGAACATCCTGTCTCGACTCGATTACTGTGCTAGTATACCCTGTGATTAGCAGTCCACCCCAATCAGCGACAGCGGATAGTTAACCTTTGCATTGAATCTGCATATAAGTCTGCGTAGAAACTAGATATGGTGTATCTATGGAGGTCCATGGAGAGGGCGTAGAGCTGAAGTGAGGGAACCAATGCAAGCTGCCTTGGGAGGAAAGCACCAGAGTCGCTCCTTCCGTCTTAGGGCTGGGTGCGTGCGAATTGACCCTCTCACCTTTGTTTATCTCGTATTTCCACTTTCACTTCAATTTCCTCGCCCAAGGCTCGTAAAGCCACGCACTTCCTTCAAGATGCGGCGCAATCGCCCTCCTCCTCCATCGAGCGGTCCACCTCGTTTCAATCCTGAGCTGTCTGAAATATGCCCACAGAGGATTAATGTCAGCTCTTCCATGGCCCAATCGATATTTGCAAATTTCCAAGCGAACCAAGAGACCAGACATCTGGTGTTCAGAAGCAACCGTGACCAACTCCAGCTGGTGCGGCTCGAGGCCACTCGTCTCAGACTCTTGCTCTCCACCGATCGCGCACAAGATACTCCAGATAGGCCACATCGTATGGAAAACATGAGCTCCGGTGATGACACCATCTCAGACACCACCTCCTCCCGCGACTCTGGCCCTCCTAGCCCTCCCGCCCCAAACCTAGTACGCACAAGAGCTACCGTCCGTAGTGAAAGCGATATCAGCGTTCTCGATATTGGTCCCAGCCTACATTCTTCTGATACTTCCTCCCAATCCAGCTCCCGCCAATCTACTCCCACAAATGGAAATAACGGAGATGAACCTGTCCGTTCCGCTGCTCCTAGCAACGCATCAAGATCTGGCAGCGAGAGCTCATACATACCAAGTGACGATCCCTTCAAGGTGGAAGATGATGACTATGGTACCGTTCCAGCCGGAGATGAACCTGTCCGTTCCGCTGCTCCCAGCAACGCATCAAGATCTGGCAGCGAGAGTTCATACATACCAAGTGACGATCCCTTCGAGGTGGAAGATGATGACTATGGTACCGTTCCAGCCGGAGATTCTGGGACTGACAATTCTTCTTCGAGTCAACGTGGACGCCGCCGCCGAAACCGGGCAAATGTCTCATCCCGTTCACGTGGGGCTCGACGTGCTCAGCGAAACCAGGCAAACGTCTCGTCCCGTACACGTCGGGGTCGAAGTGCTCAGCAAACCCGGGCAGACGTCTCATCCCGTGCACGTGGGGCTCGACGTGTTCAGCGAACCCGAGCAAATGTCTCATCCCGTGCACGTGGGGCTCGAAGTGCTCAGCGAAACCAGGCAAACGTCTCGTCCCGTACACGTCGGGGTCGAAGTGCTCAGCAAACCCGGGCAAACGTCTCATCCCGTGCACGTGGGGCTCGACGTGTTCAGCGAACCCGAGCAAATGTCTCATCCCGTGCACGTGGGGCTCGAAGTGCTCAGCGAAACCAGGCAAACGTCTCATCCCGTACACGTCGGGCTCGAAGTGCCCAGCAAACCCAGGCAGACGTCTCGTCCCGTACACGAAGTGCTCAGCAAACCCGGGCAAACGTCTCATCCCGTTCACGTGCGGCTCGAAGTGCTCAGCGAAACCAGGCAAATGTCTCATCCCGTGCACGGGGAGGTCGACGTGCTGAGCGAAACCGCGCATTAACAGCCACTAGAACCCAGAGTTTAAGAATTAGAGATTCCACTGAAAGCCCTGTTGAAAGCCCTGCTGCCATTTCTGATCATTCTTCTGATGGGGCCAGCAACGGTACTGACTCGCTCTCTAATTCGCATTCTTCTAACGCAGCCTCCCAGCTATCCCAACCTTCCGTGCATCACTCCCAGAACTCGGAAGAAGGAATGGATCCGGACCCTTCGGCCGTGGATGACCCAGGGGAGGATTCAAGTGACACTATCGAATATCAGTATCCCAATCAGGACTGATGCAGAGTGCACAAGGTTGAGGATCTCAATACAAATTTCCTTCAAACCAAGGGAGACAGACTGTACTGATATGGGCTGGTAGCGACGGCAGGGTACTATCCGAGGAATTGAGATCTGGGGAACGGGTTGAGGCATCTAATTTGGCACTGGGGCAAGGAGTGAAACTGACGGGAATTCTCAGATACATAGCAACGTTTTGCATGTATGATCTGATCATTAGTTCCTTAACGATGATTCTATTTTTAAAGATACACGCATTGTAAACATGACTTATTCTACGGGGTAAGATAAGACAAGGTCTGTCCTATAGCGAGAAATACATGTATAAAGGGGGACTCTTGGTGGAATTAGAGCACCATTTCCACAAAAAATACATAACCTACATGATGTAGCTGGCTAGTTGCTTTGTACGATGTATGTATATCTCTCCTGGGCATGTGCAATTCATGATACAAACACAGGTGCCATAGTGAAACACAACTAGGGGCTTTGCTCGATTAGCATCAAAGGGGCTTATGCTAGATATCTAGGTAGAACAGCTTCATTCATGAACTAAAATATGTCTGATCTCAAATTTGTAGCCATATAGGACTCGCTATATATGCACTGCATCCGCATTGCCGCTGGGTGACTGGTTTAGTCATGGACAAGGAAGCTCAGACGCTGGCTTATATGATGATACTAACAGGCAATTTGTGACATTACGGTATTTCTGGAATGATTCTGGATATATCTCCATTGTTTGGAGCATCTAGGTTCTGTTCTATAAATTGACATCCACAGCCTCACTCATGACGTAATCGGAAACACCGCCCGGCACTAGCCACACCAGGACTTCCCCCCGCAGATCCCCAGGAACAGCTTCTCCAACTCAATTTCCGGTGCTGGTTGGCCTGATCAAGTTTTCACATCTATATCATGTGGAACGACGAGGACAATAACCCCTACGGGGCCTTTGACCAACATCAGTCTGGGCTATCCGACTCCCTACATTCGGCCGCACTCTCGCCTCGTAAGCTGTCCGCTCAACTTCCACTCTAACGCTTCTGCCTTTGGACCAGTACCTCACACCAGCCAGCTCTCTATGAACAGGATTCAACCCCTCCCTCCAGCCGCGATTCTAATAGTGAACCTCCGGATTACCTCACTCATCCCGAAGACCTTAGCGACCCCGAGGATGAGTCCGAGTATGGTGCCTCTAGCCAACAATACCCCCGGAAAAGCGTCTATGATAGCCGCATCGAGCAGCTCCTCTATGAAAACCCGGATATGCCAGTTTTGATTACTGATGCCGGGAAGAATCATGAAGGCGGCGGCGGCTTCATTGTTTACACTATTCGGACTGCGGTATGAGCATGTCGCCCGGGTGGAGAGCTGTACAGTACTAAGTTATGATAGGACCTGGAAGTGCGTCGTCGATACTCTGAATTTGCATCATTGCGACAAACCCTCGTTAATTTGCATCCTACTCTGATCATTCCGCCTATTCCCGAGAAACACAGCATGGCGGACTATGCAGCCAAGCCTACCAGGGCCAAAGATGATGCAGCCATCATTGATCTTCGCAAGCGGATGCTTAGTGTGTTCCTTAACCGATGCAGGCGTATGAAGGAAGTCCGCGAGGATGGGGTGTGGTGGAGATTCCTCGATCCCAACGTCAGCTGGGTGGGTTCAATCTGATTGTTCCTGGTTACGAGTTTAGATACTGACGCTTGTTTAGAGTGAGGTTTTGAGCTCCCATCCGGCATCGTCTGTTCCGAAAAATAACTTGAAGGCACCACCTCTCGATCCTGCAAACCCGACACCAGCCCATGGCTGGCTTCCAGTTCCATCTGCCTCTGCAAAGCTCAAGCCCAACAGTGGGGCTGCCGCATCCACTGGAGCTCCGGTGTCGCCCACGTCGCCAAGTGAATCCGAGCCGCCCTCGTTCCCAGGACCTGAAGTCCTTGGGCGGTTCCCTCCCGAGTCGCGTAAACTCAATGAACAAGAATTGGACCCATACTTTATTAACTTTGAAGCGTCTACTCGGGAGATAGAGCTACTTTTGCAGGGGAACATTGAGAAAGTCAATCGACGAACTCTCTCGCATCTGTCTTCTCTCTCGGCCGACCTCATGGAATTGGGTGCGCGTTATAACGGGTTCTCTCTTTCAGAGCAATCGCCCACGGTGGCTGCTGCCATTGAGCGCATTGGCCAAGCCGCGGATACTTCCTATATTGAAACCGAAGAGCTTTCGTCGGCTCTGAGCGCAAGCTTTGCCGAACCCATGCGGGAAAGTGCCCAATTCGCTAGTGTGGTTCGAGGTGTTCTACGATACAGAGTCCTCAAGCGAGTGCAGCAAGAAATGACTCGTGATGAATTAGCAAAGAAGAAGACCCTGCTGGACTCCCTTGAACGGAGCGAGCTTGAGGCTAAGCGTATTGAGCATTATCTCAATCGCACCAATCCCCAATCTGCAGGCACAAAGCCCCGTTCTATGTCGACCTCGTCCGCTATTAGCAGTGAAGGCAGTGGTCCTAATATTTCAGCTGACTCGGGTTTCCCTCCTACACATGACAGCCCTATCAGCTCTCCGCCTGCACCTCAAATTGGAGGATACAAGAGGCCCGATTCATCAGCATCAGCGGCCCCATCCCACCGGAAGTCAGCAAGCGGGACCTTTGTGGCCAACAAGATTTTCGGTCGCATCAGCCATGCTATCCACGGGTTCGCGGATGTGGACCCCGAACGAACACGCCGGGACCAAATTGGCAAAACGAAAGAAAGTTTGATCCAGGTATGTGGACTTGAGCGATTTGGGATTGATGCAGAACTAACAGGCATGCTCAGTTGGAGCAAGCGTTAGAGGTATCCGAAAAGGATGTCAAGGATGCCAGTGCCGGCGTGTTGCAAGATCTCAAACGTTTCCAGAAAGACAAAGAAGCAGATTTGCGACGCTATATGGTATGCACGAATCCCCACATAGTACGTTCTGCTGATCTCACGTTTTTTCTTTACTGTTTAGGTCGCCTATGCTCGATGCCATTTGGATTGGGCGCGAAAGAATCTCGAGACATGGACGGAAGCCAAGGATGAGGTGGACAAGATCGTGGCTCGCTAGATTGTACTTCATCTTCATGCTTTGCACAGGATTGTGCCTAATTGAGGTTGGCGCCGGCGTTAATCGGCGGATATCTCTTACTGTGCTTTTATATTGTCACTACCTAGCTGGGCCTACAAATCTGGCATATTCAAAAAAATCCTCGCCAGTCTCGGCCATTTTGGTTGCATGAAAAGTAGAAGCTTCGGAGCGAGTCTGTCCTGCCAAGTCACTAGGACAACATCTTCCCCTTGCGCTTGCACTCCTTCGGGGCGATATTGACCAAATGTCTGCACAGGGGTCGAGAGTGCCTGGGTGTATTGGCACCGTTCTCATGAGCAGTGACAAGAGAATGAATTGTTTCAAAAACGTAAAGGGCAAAGGGCGCATTCCAGGGTGTTGGCCAGGTCCATCAATCACAGTTGGTCCGTGTGCACGACGATCGACAGGAACACTGGAACAGATCGGCCTTGGAAGGAACAACAGTCAATATCTCCCTTCTATCCCTTCGTAGGAAGCTGAAGGTTTCAATTGGCAATTCACATAGTACATTTGTGCGACTATCTCGGGGCTTACATGCTCAAAAGCTTGACTGCGGTAGAACGGAGGACTTGACACGAGTCCTTCTGCATCGCGCCAAGACGAACACATCATCTGTGATTCCTGCAAGACGACAAGCTAGTTTCTAACATTCCGTGCCTTGCAGGCATGTCCGATCGTCAGCCTCTCAGAAGTGACAATCTGTGGTGCTGCATCACTCTGACCCCTCGGCGGGTGTCCCGCATCATCAACTCCACCCTACCAGAGGGTGGCACCGCCGTGCGTCGACTGAAAATGATGAGTGCCTAGAATTATCGCAAGGATGATCGTCAGGACCGGCCATTTATCACAGCAGGCGCCGCCGCCTTTAGGTCGTCATGATAATTCTCGACATTGGTGGTCCTTTGGCGGTTTTCGGCAACAATTCCCCCGACGCTGGATTAAGATGCTTCCTCTTCTTGGCTTGGTGTGTTTCTTCTCCGTCGGTCTCGGCGTGAGTATAACTCAAAGAGATCAAATCTTTGAGAATGGCCGGAGGCTGCAAGACCTCGGCAATGACCAGGCTGTCAGCCATTTCCCTCCTTCACGCCAGACACAGCATTTTACCCACGATCCCACTATCATCCGTGTGGGTGACGAGTATTATCTTTACCATGTCGGTGAACACATCCTGATCCACACTGCGTCTAGTATGGCTGGCCCATGGAAACGTGTTGGCACCGTGTTGGATGCCAAGAGTGTGATCCCGAAGGGAGACCGTGCTGCGCCCTGGGCCCCTACTGTCATTGCTGTGGATGGTATATACTATTGCTATTATAGTGTCAGTAAAGCTGGCTGCCGTGACAGCGCTATCGGCGTGGCTACCTCGAGCTCGCCCGGTCCTGGCAACTGGCATGACCACGGCATTATTATCCAGACTGGCACGGGAAATGGATCAGACATCTATCCTTACACCGTGTCAAATGCCATTGACCCTAGCACATTGATCACCCCTGAAGGAGACGCTTATTTGACTTTTGGAAGCTATTGGAATGGGATTTTCCAAGTCCCGCTGGGAAAAGACCTTCTCTCGCCAGCTAGCACTACCGAGCCCGATGCCCGTCAACTGGCATGGGAGCCAAAATCGCTCGGCCCGCCGAACCGCATGGCCAACACCATCTGTGGTGACCCGACCGGTCCACACGCCATTGAAGGTGCTTTTATCTCATACAATGATGGTTGGTACTATCTTTGGTATAGCCATGGTTTCTGCTGCGATCTGAAGGCAGATAACCTCCCGCCCGCTGGGCAAGAGTAAGTGCCGATGATTAACGAATCCGTCGGTCTCTACTGACACAACCTAGATACTCGATCCGTGTTGGGCGATCGCAAAGTCCCCGTGGGCCATTCACCGACAAAGCTGGTACAGACCTTGTCAAAGGCGGCGGCGAACTTGTCTATGGCTCTAACGGAGACACCTATGCTCCAGGCGGACAAGCTGTGATCCGCGATGGCGATACCGATGTGCTTTACTACCACTACTGTAAGTTTTCCCTGCATCAACAACCATATGCGAAAACAAATACTGACCTCATCACAGTGAACAGAACGATTGGCATTGGGTTCCAGGTAAGCATCCACTTCCTCGGCAGGCTTGTGGACCGCGATTATCGTGATCTATGCACATCCTGTCGATCCTCCTTGCCCCTTGCACAAACGTCATCAGTATCTGATCTAACACACGCCCATAGGATGCTTTACTTGGATTTAATCCTCTCAAATATGTCGACGGATGGCCTGTCGTCCAGGCCTGATCTCACCCGCCCACGTCATTAATTTCTCCCCACGTCATTACTGTCTCCGTTCGCACGGACTTTGAAACCAACTCTGATCTCATCTCACTACCCTTTGGATCTGCAACCATCCCTTTGCTTTTGAGAATGGCCCTCGAACCTGCCTATTTACGCGCTCTCGCCTACCGACATACTCGACTTGCTCCCCTGTTTCTTGCTGATAGATTCCCTTTCACCCTGGTTTTGTGATTCCACTCACGGGCATTCTCCAGTGTGGTTCAATTTTTGCATTGGGCGGCGTACAGGTCTTGGGGAGTATACCTTGCTACTTCGTTTGGGACATTTTGTTGTAAATAGTGATTTCATCTGCCAATATACCCAGTCTGTCAACGGCAGCCTCCCTAATCTCGGGGAGTCGGGGTCCACTATCTAGGTACTCAAATAGCGTAGCATTGTACTCTATAACAAGAGCACTTGATATAGGAATTATCTGGTAGGCGTTAGTATAATGGCTCATTAAAGTATTGAATATACCATTCAGAGTCTCCCATCTTCCTTTGGATTCATTGTACGTAAGTAGCTTTATCCTGTCGGTGTTGTTTGTACTCCTGATCCACAGGCAGCAATCACATGCTCAGGCATCAACACGTGATATGGACCGACTTCCCGATTGGGAAGTATGTTTGTCTTGTTCCCTTAAGTAAAAGGACAACTCCCTCCCTGTCGACGAATCTGACCAGTGGCTGTGTGATTTTCCTAGCTTCAACATCCTAAAATTCCTTAAAATATCATTTCCCAAAAAGATCTGTCCACTAAAACGGACTGGCGCCAGATTCGATTCGCGCAGTCTACCGAGAAAGGACTGCTAGGAGCCGACCGCCCTCTTTTCTTGTTTTATTCTTGTGTCTTTTTTATTTTTACTACTTTATGGATTAGCATAGTTTTTCCTCATTGATTCCCTCCTCTGGCTGTCACTTTGTGGCACTTTACTATTGGCCCGTGTAAAATAGATGCCACAGGCCTGGTCAGGGTCCCTTCCCTGTGAGTATGTTTTATATAAATCTGGATGTTCCTCAAAATGCCACTCTACACACCTCCTCTAGAGTAGTGTAGCTCTAGCAAGTAATCTGTTTATATACAGCCATAGCTATCTAGCAGCCAGCGACCGTTCACCACAGGCTAGAGTTTTTCTTCTCATACAACAGGAGCCTTGAAGGTGTGTGGGGAGACGCATTAATGTGCATGACGAAAATTGATATATCCGGAAGCTAAGAGCTATAGACTGAGTGAAACATCTGACAGTTTCCCCAAAATCACTCTAACGCCTCCTACTCCTCCCGCTAACCTACCTAGGACCTTATGCCGGCTTTCAACACGCCACACGTCGTATAGCTATCGGCGTGCAGCCAAGGACTCGTTAGATACTCACAAAAAAAGCGCTAACATCATAACCAATTGTCATTGGTTACTTCCACGATGTACACTAGTGACCTGGCCCCGAGAGAAAAACGTCATGCGTTTTAGCGGAAATTTGAAGGTAAAATTGTCTTAGGGCAGGGAAGATATGGTGATCTGGTAGTCAAATCAACTGGTAGAAAGGCAGCCGGAAACACTATTAAGAAGCCAGTTGGACAGCCAGGCTAGGAATTAATACAATATCATCGATCAGAAATAAAGATGAACTTCATCGTCATAATAAATGGGAGTTGTGAACTGTTATGGCAGATAGATGGAGTTGGTCATGCCATGGCAACTCGTATTCATTAAGGTCGATTCATTGCCTAATGCGCGAGCTAGCGCTTACTTATGTGCCCTATTCGGTCTGAGGGGTAACCGCTAGCTGTTTGGACTCGTAATTTTGTAAACTTGCTGGGCCTTCTTTTCAGTTTTCATACCTTCAACCCACCTAGCCTCGTGGGACTCATTCCTATTTTATGAGGTTGAGCAACTAGACCTCCCATCATGGCTTGCAGAAATTTGAGCCGCGATTCCTATCGCGTGGGATGGATCTGTCCCCTGGAGGTTGAACAAATCGCAGCAATGGAGATGTTGGACGAGGAGCATCAACCTCTACCGCAACCGAGTGGGGACACAAACGTTTACAATCTCGGCAGCATCAACGGCCATAACGTTGTCATCGCCGGCCTTCCCCGGGTAGGGAACTGCTCCGCGGCCACAGTTGTCACTCAAATGAAGATGACATTCCCAAACACCAAATACGGCCTGCTAGTAGGTATCGGGGGCGGCGTACCGGTTGAAACAGAGCATGGGATGATTCGTCTGGGACATGTGGTGGTCAGCGAACCTACAGGTACACACTCCGGAGCGATACAATACGACCATGGAAAGGCGAAGATGGGCCAGTTCGAGCGTAAAGGTTTCCTTCCACCACCGCCGACTGTCCTTCTCAATGCTGCGCGAGAGGTGGCTGTTCGACGTCAACGGATGGATTACGATCCCGTTTGGAAGAATCTAGAAAGGATTCGGGTTGATCGTCAAATACATCGTCGCTTCAAGTTTCCTGGCGCTGCAAATGACCATCTCTACACGGCAGACTATGAACATCGGCAAGAAGGGGTGTCGTGTGAAGATGGTGGATGCAACGGGAACTATCGGATTAAACGGCTGGTTAGCGAAGAATACAATCCCGTTGTCGTTGTACATAGAGGTACAGTTGCCTCGGGCGAAATGGTGGTTAAAGATGCTAGGAAGAGAGACAAACTGGCAAAGCAGCATGGGGTGCTATGCTTCGAAATGGAGGCAGTTGGGGTCCTGACTGATTTCCCGTTCATGGTTATACGAGGCATCTCCGACTATTGCGATTCTCATAAGAACGATGTGTGGCATGGCTATGCAGCGGCAGTAGCAGCCGCCTATGCAAGAGAGCTCTTCTTTCACATGTCTATCGAAGAGCCACAATTGTGGGTTTCTCAATGTTATAATGTTCAGTGGAAACAGGGTTACGTACATAACTTGCTGATGCATCTTTTTAGAAATCCTAATCCAGCGCTTATCACTTTCGAGCTTCCTTTCAACTTGTCTGCAACGTCCGCAGTAAATCAATTCGTTGCAAGAGAGGACGAACTCGCAAAATTGCAAGAAGTTCTGACGGGGCCTGTCGGGCGCCGTACTGCTGTAGTCCAGGGACTGGGCGGTATTGGCAAGACGCAGCTCGTGCTTGCACATATCAAGCGACATCGCTCTGGCTACTCGGCGGCAATATGGATGAACGCGAGCGACGAAATTACGTTAAAGCAAAGCTTTGCTCAGACAGCCGAGTGGATTCAATCCCATTGTCCGTCCATCACGTACATGGCAGGAGCCTTGGAAAGTCAGGACCTAGACGAGACGGTGAAAGCAGTCAAACGATGGTTGAATGAACCGATGAATGACCGCTGGTTAGTTGTCTATGACAATTATGATAATCCACTGTTGCGCAACTTTAAGAGGAAAACCCCTAGCCATGCGTCCTATATCGAAGCAACTTCATGTGGCGATGAAAGCGAAGACCTTGCGAAGGCTTTTGATCTTCGCACATTTCTACCTGAAACTGACCATGGTGCTATCATTGTGACCACACGTTCATCTATGGTGAAGCTAGGTCAAACTGTCCGCCTAAGCAAGCTGCAAGATATCAACGATAGTCTTAAACTTCTGGAGTCTGTTTCTAGTCGCGGTGGTTTAAACCAAGGTAATTACTGGTCGATATGATTGACGACGAAATACTGACATCAAGAATACATAGACCCAGCTGCCATTGATCTTGCAAAGGAGCTCGATGGGCTTCCCCTAGCTCTTGCTACTGCCGGTGCATACTTAGAGCAAGTGTCGATAAGCTACACTGAGTATCTCCAGTTGTACCGTGAATCATGGCGGCAATTGCACGAAGCAACGCCGCAACTTCCGACGTACGATCAGACGCTATTCTCAACGTGGGACGTCTCGTACCAGTATATTCGGCAGCAGAGTTCAGTCGCAGCTATGCTTCTCCACCAATGGGCCTACTTCGCCAAAGAAGATCTATGGTATGAGCTACTTGAGGGTGCTGGACCGCAAAAGCCGGAGTGGCTAAGAGAACTCATGAAGGACAAGCTCACATTCCATGCAACTATGAGGCTTTTGTGCAGCCATGGACTCGTGGAAGCAAATCCACCCATGAGATCGCATACTACGGAGTCAGGAGGGTATAGCGTGCACGCATGTGTCCATTCATGGATGCTTTATGTGCTGAATCAAGGGGTGGATAATGGTATGGCTTGGACAGCAATTAAATGTGTGGCAGCGCGGGTGCCGGAGCGAAGCAAACGCGAATATTGGATCATTCAGCGGCGGCTTATTGCACATGCAGATAGATGCCTGAAGACATTCGGCGAGACCGAAGTTGGAGGTGAAATCGCGAGAGCTCTGTATTCTTTCAGCCTGCTCTACTTGTACCAAGGCCGCCTCCGGGAGGCAGAAGCGATATGCAAACGAGCACTGGCAGGTGACGAGAACCTGTGGGGACCAGACGACATATGGACGTTGAGTCTCGTGAACAACCTCGGCAACATTTATGAAAATCAGGGAAGGCCCCAAGAGGCAGAATCAATGTACAAACGCGCCCTGGAAGGTTACGAGAAGGTGTGGGGAGGAGACTCTCCACTCGTACTTGATATTGTCAATAACCTCGGGGTGCTTTACACAAACCAAGGCCTGCTTCAGGAAGCCGAGGAAATGTACGAGCGCGCCCTGCAGGGCAATCACAAGGCCTGGGAACAAGACGATACATCAATATTAGATACTGTTAATAACCTCGGAACACTTTATGCGAGCCAAGGTCGATTCCAAGACGCAGAGGCGATGTACCAACAAGCCCTGGAAGGCTACGAGAAGGCCTGTGGACGAGAGCACACATCAACACTAGTCGCCGTTAACAACTTGGGTAATTTGTATACAACTCAAGGTCGGCTTCAAGAGGCAGAGGCGATGCACGAGCGAGCGCTAGAAGGAAGGGAAAAGGCTTGGGGACGAGAGCATACATCGACGTTAGAAAGTGTCAATAATCTCGGTCTCCTTTACATGGAACAGGGCCGACTCCAAGAAGCAGAAGCAATGTACACGCGAGCACTCGAAGGTAAAGAGGTTACGTTGGGGCTGGAGCATACATCAACCCTAGCTACCATCAACAACATCGGTCTTCTATGTGTACATCAAGGTCGATTCCAACATGCAGAGGCGATGTATAAACGAGCCCTGGAAGGCTACGAGAAGGCGTCGGGGACCTCGATTTTGACTTACATCCCTGCCTTGGACACAATTGAGAACCTCGGCATTCTATGTGAGAAGCAGGGAGATATTGATAATGCAATACTGTATTATCAGCGAGCGCGAGCTGGCACTGAGACTGTTTTTGGGCGAAATAGTGCAAGATATGCCCAGCTGTCTACTCGAATACGGTCGTTGCAGTGTGAAAGTCGTGAAATTCGTGAAACATCCGGTCAAGAGATCATTCAAAGCGAACAAACTCCCTTGGAGAAAAAGTGGAGGAGCTTCAGAGCGAAACTATCCCATAGGTTCAGGTCTTGATGAAGCACATCACACCTTCCGTCTACAATGCTGTTTTTATATCACATTCATAATTTCGTTCGCCAATTTAGAGGCTCCTAAGGAATCCAGGCTGCCAACTCAGTGGTGGGTTTCTACATTCAATATAATTCATACTCATTGACATCCATGGATATTCAAGTGCTCTAATCCCCGCTGGTATACCCGGTGCACAACACATTGTTTTCTCTACTCTTCAACATACGGGCAGGTGGTATACTGCAGAAGATTGCAAGTAAATACTGAGAGAATCCATATTTCCTACGAATAAACGTTGTAGCGAGTAAAGCATAGGTGGGGATAAATTTGATATACTAAATTACCACGGATGAATGCAAATTCGGAAGAACAGGTAGAAAGACCTGCGCAAAATCCTTGGCCTCACCATCTCCGACCTTCTCCCCAAACCGACCTAACACTCTTCCTATCCCAATCTGCACCTGAGCCTTCCCGCGGTGGACTTCGACCATGTCGTGAGCTTTGTTCATGGTAGCTACGTGTCGGACTTTGATAATTGTCTCGATCTCGCTTCTCATTGTTTTCTAATTCGATCTGCCAGCGCTCCTTTCTTTCCTTCTTGTGTCGATGCACATTGCCTTTCTGGCTAGAGGTCCTGCTACCAGCGCCATGGTGTTCGGCTTCGGGCTCCCAAGAGTTGATCCTGCGGGGGCTTACTCGACCCCTCGAACCTGTGTCTGAGAAGGCATAGTCGTTTCTTGTGTTTATGTTGTGGTGACTCCCCTTGTCAGCATCGTCATGCCAGCCAGTGCGGGTACGCGATGGGTTTCGTGAATATTGCTCTGGGGAGGCATGGCGCGAGTTGACCCTTTCATTTTGATGCTGCTCATATCCATCGTTGTTTCCCCATCCGGTATCGTGTTGTTCCCAACTATTTCTTGCATCTCTGCTGCTCCTTTGATCATTTCGGTTCTCTGTATCTCCATGACCATTCCTCTCATCTTGGTTGCTATGCTGGTCATATTGTACTTCTGCAATGCCGAACTCATGATCTTGTCTGTCCTGCTCCCGTTGGGTTGTTGTCCGATGATCCTGGCCTTGCTTGTTTTTATTTTTATTCTTGTTTTTATTCTTCTGCCTTTTTTGGTTCTGTTGGCTCTGCTGATTCTGATTGTTCCCTTGCTGGTTCTGATTTTGCTCATGTTGCCTTTGTTTGTTCTGTAACGCACGTTGTTTCCTTTGCTGTCGCTTCGAGAGTGGATTCGGCTGCTGGTCTGGTGTGTGAGAGTTATGCGCGTTCGTCTGGCTTGGAGCATCGAAGTTTCGGGGAAACACTTGATTCCCCGGAGATCTCATTCCCTGATTGAGCGCCCGAGGGCTACGATTGATCACGAAGCTTGTTTCGGGCCTTGGGACTCTTGGTCAATATTCAGGTTCTCATTAGTCACGGGCTGCCGAGAGTGAACATACTTACGGAGCATGTAGGATGTGTCCGCGATCTTTGGGCGAACCCATCCACGAGGGGTGAAATAGGGTCCATATCGGGGGGCTTGGGCTCCATTCTCAGGCTCATAGTTGGCCTGCGCACGATCCATGTTTATTCTGCCAAAGATCTGACCTTCCTGTTGTTGTCTTCTCAGACGCGAGCGATACCAAATGAAGCAGAACCAGCCGCAGATTGGAGTGAGTAATCCGACCAACAGCAATACCGCGATTAAAATATTGTTCTTCATGGTGCACGATGATGAAGCGAGTGGCCCGAGATACTATATCCTCATTGTGCTGTGAGCTGATTGAGCACTAATGGATGTGAAGGTTTTCGTGACATACATTGAATAATAACAGAGCGGTACAGGCCTTAAATGACGAGTGCCGGGATCAAATCAAAGATCTCAGAGATATGCTGAATGGCGACGAGCAACGAGCGATTTGGTAAAGGAAAGAAAGGACAGAAGCAGGAGACAAAAAAGGACGACGGGGATAATATGGAGGAAGGAGCGTTGAGAATGGCGAACCTGCCAAATAAAAACTTCAATTGTGATCTACAGACATGCCTCTAGATATCTTATTTTGACTTGTGATTGTTTTGTTTGCCGTGGGGTCTTTGGGCTCATATTTCCCGTGCGGCCTGTATTCTTGACAACCAATCCTCATGAACGTACGACGCTTTGCCTGCACATAAGAGGGAATCAAGTGATTTCTGGAAGGCACCTGATTCCGTGGATAAGTTCTCTGGTGCCGAGAAGTCTGACGAGCCCAGCGCAGACGAGACGACAATGACGCGGAACCCGAGGGTAAAGATCTCAGGTTTCGAAACCCAGCCAAGAAGTCCATCTGGCTCGGCGCCAGAGCCGACCAAAGAACAAATATATGTCAAGCCGTCGAAGGCCCAAGAGGATATCTGACTCACAGAGAGCTCCTCGTACGCCGAGCGACTTAACCTCAACAAGGCCCGGGACCAGAGTTCAACCTCGCGTACCTCGTCGACAAACAAATTCTGTTTTTCCTCCTCGAAGAGGACGGTGCTCTCCTGGCGATACTCTGCGATCTGATCAGACACAGCAGTGAGGCAGCTGCGTGCGTCATATCCACTGATCCTTGGCTCTTGGCCGGTCAGATATCGGAGAACTCGCTGTCCAAGAAGCGCAGAATTCGAGTAATTATCAATGATAAAGTCGACAAGAAGAGCACTTGCATTTAGAGGTGCCAAAGTCACATCGGTATCCGGTGATACGGATGAGTGTGACAGTATCCAAGAGGCCGCAGATGCAGCCATATCACGGATTTCGTCGTCATCGTCATTAAGCATGTCATATAGAACCAAATATACATCCAGTAGCACTGCATCTACGCGTGTCTGGTCACCGGATAGTCGAAGAGCCCGTGAGAAGCTGTTAACAGATGTGACGGCAGCAAAACGAGTAGTAAATTCCTAAAATCAGAAGCCTTGTTAGCCATTGACCAAACTATTGATCACACGTCTTGGTGAACTCACGGTCTCTTCGCTCAAGGCTGAGCGCAGCTTGATAGTCCAGCTGTGCACATCGTCTTCCAATGAAGATAAAGCTTTTTGGTCAGAAGAAAGGCGGATTGCCAGCAAACAGCCTCGAAGTCGGAGCTCAGCATCGGTTGCTTCTCGGTTCCAGGCAGTGATATCTGTCTCAGGGCGGAAGCCGTTGGCGATAGCGTCCCAAGGGAGACCAAGGCTTGAGATAGTATCGAGGTGTGATGGCAATAGTGCCTCTAGAATAGAGGCCAGGTTTGACGCAGCCATTGTTCTTACGTCAGGTCGACTATCTCCCAAAATCACAGATGAATACAAGTTAGCCAAGGGTTGCATGTAACTCTCGTTTTGGCCAACCGTCTCATGGAGTTTCTCGGCGATCCAACGAGCAACATCTGCATCGAATTGTGACACTCCAAGATAGAATGTTGCGAGCTGCTCCCACTGCTGAGAAGCAAGCATTTTCAACACCTTGCACCATGCAAGCGCTCTTCTGAGAAGGGCAGATGCTCGGCTGATGCTTGATAGATTCCATGCCTCTTGAGAAGCGTCGAAAACAAATTCCAAAATCTCATCAAGATCATGAATTTCGAACATCTCATTGATGAAGGTGATAATCCTGCCTATAAAATCTTTAGTGCATGTCTCTGGCCCACAAAATGCGCACTGACCTTCAATACGTGCTTGAACAGCCCGTTCCAAGGTGCCATTTAGAATCTCGACAAGCTCGGTCGCCACAGTTGGCGATTTTCCAACACGGAATAGGACCTCTAACACAGTCCGCAGAGTCATAAAAAGTTCGTCAAGGTTTGCTGCTAAATGATTAGCTCGATTCCAACTCAAGATAGTGGGATTTACACTCACATGTCCAAAATTCATCGGTAGTGCATGAGTATCGGCGAAGAGCATACCGCACACATAACGCAACACCATGAACATAATTCTCGGTGATCGTTCGGGGAAGGATAACAAGGGCACGCAAAGCTTCAGGAATGTTGTGTCGGGTGAGCAAAGACGCATATACACGGGCCGCATGTTCTCTGACACCCCAGACAGGGCTGCTTAAATGCTCAAGAACCAACCCACGTAGCATCTCATCAGTAGGATCATCCAGGCTGGGAACTTTGTCACCAACAAGTTCGAGTGCAGGGAATACCCGCTCGGTGATAATCTCAGTGCCCTCCGCCGCTTCGCCCTGCGTCGTTGCGAGAAGACCAGAAAGCAATTCAAGCAGACCGGGATATTTGGGGAATGTGATTCTGGCTCCTGGCTCTGACCCCGAGTTGCCTCCGAAGCCCGGTCCAGCGCCAGGAATGACTCGACACATTTTTGTGAGCAGAGCACGGAACAGCATCAATCCTGAATTGCGAAGAGCCCAGATCGGCGACCCCAAGCGTTCGGCAGACAGCGTCAGGGCCTTCATGATGAATGGCTCTGTATGAGGGCCAAGCTTTGCATTGGTGAAGATATCCTTCAGACAGTTCATTGCATGAACCTGGGGAAGTTCCAAGTACTGTCTTTCTTTGTCGTACTGCACGGGAAGGTATGAGATTTCGTGGAGCTCATTCAATGCATCATTGAAAAATTTCGTTCCTGGATCCGAGCCAACAATACCTGTCACCAATGCGGGCAAGCCAGCAGAGCGACGAGTGAGCTTAGAGGCCGAGTCAAAGATAGTTGATTTAGCCTCCTGGTACCAAGTCTTAGGAAGTTCTCGGATCGATGGATCTTTTGCGGAGCTGCATCGCTGGCAACATGTCGCAAATGTCTGGGAAACATTTGAGAATGCACCTCGATGACGAAGCTCAGCCAGTTGTGTGAAGCTGGCTCCACCAATATTTGCAAAGTCCGCTCGATTGAGTCCGTCACTCCCACTTGGTCCATAGCTGGTGTTCACTAGGGTGGCATGGAGCAAAAGGCTTCTTTGGTCAGCGATGATGTATGACTGATGGATAATAATACATGAACATACCTTGATTCGCGAAGGGATCTCCAGGAATATGAAAGAGCGTCCTTGGGTCCTACATTCAGATCTTCGGTAGGCTCGTCTGAGTGACCTTCGGGTGAGTCAATACACAGTAAAGTCTTCGCTTCTAGCCAGATCCTATCGCAAATGGCGACAATGCGGTCATGGACAGATCGCCAAGCGGCGGATCCTGACCCATCAGAGATCAAGGTATAGAAGTTGGGCATAAGAACGATATATCTGCACTTGGGATCAGTATATCATGTATTGTTTTGATCAAGAACCAAGACCAACATACCTAAGACCAGAAGTATACCCATGGAGTGGCGCCTCACGCATGACCGAGGTGAAGAGGCTCTGAGAATCCAAGAGACGCTCCTCGAGCTTAGTCAAAATTGTGTCAACTACAGAAGCCTTAGTCGCCCACCAACCAGAAGTCGGTTGAGCCGAGTTGGCTGGTAACGCCGCGCAGAAAATAATGTGGTAGAGACGAGCAACGGTGTCAGCATGATCGGCTCGACTTGTGTTGCTTGCCAGGTTTTCCGCCCGGGCAATTGCATCTGTCAACCGCATTCCTACGGAGGACTGTTGGTCTGTCGTATTTTGCAAACCACTGAGAAGAATCTCCCGGGGACACAGGCTCAGGATCGAAAGAGAGGTTTGTCGAACTTCCTCAAACGGATCCAGCAGAAGATCAATCAATAAACGCAAGAGTTGAGCATCAAATACTTCAACCTGAACCTTCCAAAGATTTTCCATCTCTGATTTTTGAAGATTGGCTTCTATGCGTGGATCGAGACCGGAGTCTAGCAGGAGCTTCAGAGCTTTGAGGGCTGTGATATGGCGTGAGTATGAGGCACCAAGCCGCAAATCACGACCCAATAATTGTAAGTATGCCCTCAAAAACTCTTTGGTCTCGGTCTCATTTTTGGCCTCGCCTGTCTTGTTTGCTGTCTGCTCTGATTTTGAAACAGCATCTTCATCCTTTACGACTCCACCCTTGAGGCGCACAATGAATTTCCGTGTCAGACTCAGGATTTCTCCTCGAGTATAGGCATCGGACTCGGCATGCATGGAGGGCAATCCTCGAAGGATAGCATTTGTTGCCCTAACCGTGAAGGGCTTGATTGTGGAAAATGCCGTGATTAGCAATGACAAAGCCGCTATACGGATATTGGCTTCGCGATGCAAAAGGAATTTGCCAATCACGTCGCTTTTCATGACCAACACATTTTCGTCCAGCTTCGCTTTGCCGGAATTGAAGATATCTGAGCTTGTTAGCAAATTACCAATCTCATCAGATTGTCAAAGCAACTCACAATCTTCATGGACCAGGTTGATTTTTTTGCCGATTTGTAGTGCAGCGAAAAGAACCATATACTCTGCTTCTGGCGCATCGGTCATATCTCCTCTGAGAAGGCTCTCGACTGGGAGTGTGTCGAGGAACAGTTTGAAGCCATTCGTATCAATGGCGAACAGAGGTTGCAAGAGCGTGTTGGATAGGTCTTCCAAGGTTTCCACATTTTGTAAGACCATGCGTCTCACGGGGGTTACCCACATCGCCGAGACTTTCTCGGGGAAGTCTCAGGCTTCATCTTCTGAATCAAAATTGATAGTACATTTCCGGCTGCCACAGCCATGGTCCTATTGTTAATTTGGACCAGGATCCCAAGAACAAAGATCCGAACTGCTAAGTCATCGGATAGATTGCCAGATGCCATATCAAAGGCGGGGCTTGAACCACCAAGAGACAAAGCTTCATGGTCATTGGCAATAGTGGTTACCCAACTTGCTGTGTTCCTCGACAGCCATTGACGGGTCAATGGGATAAACTCGTTGGGCAATATAGCATCCCTTCTGATCAAAGTCTCCAAGAATACCATAGAACCCTTTAATCTCGACTGGGGCTCGCCAAGCACAATGCTGGGAAGTATGGCATCAAGAATCGCGGTTTGCAGAGCTGTCCTTGTTGCGCCCTGGTGGTTTTTGGCTAGAATGGCAGTGATTGACGCCAGGAGTTTCTTGATAGGCTTTGGCTTAGCATCTTCATATCGATTCAAACAGATGTCAAATATTGACAGCCACGCCTCTTGAGAAAGAATTAACTCTTTGGTGGTATCGCATTGTGACTTGACGGCAGCATCAATAAAAGCAGTAGCGGCATTACATGCCTCAGCAGAATGGGGTGGCGAGATAGATGCTGTCGATAGCGTCAGAACTAACGACTGCCATACCCGGCTCACTTGGCTTTTGTAAAACAATATTAGATCATATATTCATGGTGAATTTGAAGATATTCCTCACTTACTCAATGTCTTGGCATGTCAGTGTGAATTTTACCAATGGGCCTTTGGCGATATCTCGGAGGGTTTTCTCCGAGAGCAATTGTACGCTCTGCGCAAGTTCTTCCATTTTGGATGATAGGGCACGTTGCGCCTGGCGTAGATCATCAATTGCCAAAGCCCCAATTACACACGTCAGTATATCTCGGATAACGGTCTGCGCGCAACCTTGGAAGATCTCCCCGATGATTAATTTTTATGCTCCCCGCGATGCCTCAGGCTGCCAAGAGATAAAAAGTGGGATTCCAAATCAGGCTTAGTGCGCTGTCGTCGGCCAAACCATCTTCCGCCGGATCGCCGAGAGTCACGGGACCGAAGTTTTTGCTGTTCCGATGCCAGTGGAGCTGCGAACACAGGGTCATCACTTCTTCTCCAGTCATCCGCCCCTGCCTTTCTCCTTGGGTTCTTGTAGTTTTATTTCTTATCTTCTACTATTTCATATCACTTTTCACAATGTCCATCTGGGATTCCCTCAGCGGTCGCAAACAAAAGCAGGGCCCCGATGCCTTCGACCCTTCAACCACGCAAGATGCCACATCCTTCCTCTCCGAGGTCGCTATTCCCGATCCCTCTCGTCTTCATCCTTTGGCTGGTTTGAACCAGGATACTCTCGACTACCTCTCCCTCGAAGACTCCGCCCTTGACGAACTCCCGGGCTCCCGATCAGTGTTGCCATCCCGTGGATGGTCAGACGACCTTTGTTATGGTGCCGGCACTACCTATCTTGTTGCACTCGCTACTGGAGGCGCATGGGGTCTTGTAGAAGGATTAAAGAAGACACCCCCCACAGCAGCACCCAAGATTCGTCTGAACAGTGTACTCAACTCAGTGACCCGTCGCGGTCCGTTCCTCGGAAACTCGGCTGGTGTTGTGGCTATGGTTTACAACGGTTTCAATTCGGCCCTTGGATATGCGCGCGGCAAACATGATGCTTCTAACAGTATCGTGGCTGGCGCATTGAGTGGTATGCTCTTCAAGAGCACACGTGGAATTAAGCCCATGATGATCTCTGGTGGCATTGTCGCTTCAATTGCCGGCGGCTGGGCTGTATGTATATCGCGGTGATGTGCCATGTGTCATTTGCTAATTCCGATTTTACAGGTTACGCGAAAGGCCTTCTTCTAGATTGCTAGCATGGCCGGTCTCATCCTACTCCGATCCTCGGTTATCCGATTCTCCATACCCTCTACGCCATCCTTCAACGACATTGGCGGTTGACGATTAGCCGCCTTGCCCTGTCTTTTCACTTGCGATGTATTACAACTATTTTTTATTTATTCCGCCTGCGGATCTCTTCACTCCGGCGCTCTAAGCATCATTTTTCGCATTTATGCGTGGGTTGGGAATGGGATGTGCAACTGGGTTTGTACTTTGTATTTCTTCCGTGTACATAGAAAAGTCTCTTGCATACCTGCGATTGATAGACTGTGGCGCTTCCACAAGTGTCTTGTCAGAAACGTATTTTAATGCTGCTAGTGACTCCAATAGACAAGTTCTTATATGTCTTGGCCCATCTCAATGATTAAGATTTACATGTGATATGTTGGCTGCGATTCAAAGCGATGTTTGGTGAGCTCAAGCGGCCCATGTCAATGCCGAAACTTGGAAGCGAAGAACTGGGCGATTTCCGGACTAAAGGATACATACCTACATAAGGTATGTACCTGGGTAGACAGGCACCATAAACATCCACGGATGGATGCAGCCTTTCTCTGTTGTCCAATCACATCCTCCGTCGACTCCTAGCCTCAACAACATGCGTATGTATGTGGGTTCCGATATGGAGCTATGTTGCACTAATTCATATAACAGTCCTCAAAGAAATATGACTGCCACCGAGTCCAAGCATGCCAATCATGCTGGCAGCAGACTTGTCTAACAGGTAGAGTGGCGCTATATCTAGAGCCAGACTGTGGTAAGGTGAACGGGATGCCCAGGTGGCTCGATAAGTGTGATGTATTACCTGGCAAGCTACCTACCTAAGAAAGTCTCCATGGTCTCCTATACCTGGGGGTTTGTTTCGGTTATCTCATACTAGCTGCCCTTCTAGGCAGGGTAATCACTCTTTAATTACCATATCACAGACTACATAGACCGGTACGCTATTTCCGAAACAATGTAGGTAGACAGCAATGCTCACTCGTCGTTCTTGAACGCTGCAGTATTTCAGTATCTGAAGATGAATGATGCAGAGGATCACATTTTCCGCGAAAGAAAAGAGAGCGAAAGGGTTTGAGATGACCTGAGATACATAGACAATAAGAATAACAATTTTATGTCAAGCCTTGTCCGCCTCTCTACATGCTCCTATTATTCAACCGCGGTCATTGACCCGCATTTACTGACCCGATTTGATAGGCCTACCCTGTTTAACATTCATAGACTTCACAGCCAAGTTCCGCGCTCATGTGGCGTCATCAGGGACCGGCCGTTCCCGACAAAATACGGGGAAGAAATTTGGTCGCCCGCATCAGATCTTTCATCTTCCTTTAGACCCTTGGCAATTTGCAATATATCTTCAGTCAGTAACCAGATCTGAACTTTTGTACCAAGACTTTCACTCGAAGTTGGGCTTGTCAAGGCCGTCGAGTCAAGTGTGACGAGGAACACCCTCATTACCAGCAGTTCCAACGGGCCTCGGGAATTGGATATGCAAAGGGTATGGTCCCGACTTAGAATGGTCTCGAATCCCAGGGAGCCTCTCTCATCGGCGCCATCTATGATCTGTCGCCTCAGATGGATGCGATCCGTTGTCATCTGCGCTGTGGCTGGGCTTTTGACTGAGTTGAATGTACTCCGGACACATCTGTGCCTATCTAAGACCGCCAGCTTTGGTGTTCTCCGTTTCATCGACTAACAACACGCAATATACGGGTATTGTTCATATACCCAACTCGGAGGTAGGATTCCAAACACAAGAAGGCAATGGAACACAACACCATTCGTTGCACTCGAATGTACCTTCATCGTTTGGCAACAGAACTGACGAAGTAGCTTCGTCAGGATCAACATGTAATAGAGCATCTTATACTACCGTCCCATTTGCTCCTAGATATTCTTTATAAGTTCTCTTTTTCCAGTCATCCACATGTACATATGTACTTCCCGCCGATACTCCATAGAAGGCGCTAGAGAACGCCATGTGGAGTTCAAGTGGGTAATGGCGCAACGTTTGCGCGGTTGGCTTTCTGGACTTGCAACCTGCATACATTATGTACATGTAAGTATCTTTTCGCTTTTGCCTGCATGTCACCTTGATATGCAGCAGATACATACGATGTACATCCTTCCTCTGATGCACGTCAAGTGGCCCATCGTATCGTCCTCGTGCAGCAGATGAGTCTTTCTCTCCATCTATCGCTATTTTAGGTTGTATCTCTGCACCAAGGGTCAAGTTAGGAATGTCAAGGCCTTTGTTCATCCACGGGATTTCCTAAGATATATTTCTTGTATTGGGCCCTGCATATCCCGACTCGTATTATTCTTTGTATATAAATTCGATTTTGTAAATTGCCCATCGTATATGTATTTCACCTTCCTACTGGTTATTTGGGTTATACATGCGTAAATATTACCCACTTCGGTTTGATCATTGATTACAGTACAGAACGGCCAAGCACAAGCACAAAACTTGAGCCCAACGTCATGGCCATCTGTGGTGTATGGCATTGAACTCTGACTCGGGTACGCATGGATAGTAAGACTCCCTCGTATCAATTCAGACAGCTAAGAGACGGATTGGTTCTCATGTCTTACACTTAGCGAACCCCATGGAGTAAAGTCTTACTGTTAACATCGTCTTTTCCCTCCGCAACCTTTCCTTTTCACTTTCTATCTTTGGTGTCTTCGCTGTCACCATGAATATATCTGTAATATTTGAGGCCACCTACGTTTCTTAGACAGATATATGTCAATAAAATCTCTTCAAAGGCTATGCTTGACGCAGATCGCACAAATAAATCCCCACTGGAGCGGCTCATATGTTATCAAACATGTTATCTTCTTCACAAGATGGCCAGGGCATTGGGCGGGCTTCCGACGGCCCCGGGAAAGTTAAGCGGGGAGGAAGTAAGCAAGAACGAATATTGCTTACTAGCCTTACAGACATCAGCCAGTGCTTTCAAATCCCACAGCTCACCGAGTGGGATTCCCAGTAAGCTCAGACACCACTGATGCAGGACAAGCTCGTATGTAGGTTGTTCAATACCATCGATGATTGGTGGCATGGCTTCAACAGCCGTGTTATCACTGACAACAGCAGCAAAGTGGCGATCCCAAAGCCAACGTGCCATTTCCTTGCTCCCCTCCAGACCACACATCTTACCACTGCTTATCGCAGCACCCTGGTCGGCGCCAGTCATCTGACCTAGCGCCTCGGTTACGCCGAATCGGATCAGGAGGATATCCCCCGCCCGGAAGGTTACCCCCTGCCAGGCAGCGACTGTTTCGAGCTCGGCTGTCCCGATGCGGAAGCCGGAGAACTGGTCGTAGCTTATCTGATGGGCTTGAGCGTAAGTTTTGAAGTCGATTAGTACGCCTCGGCCCGTTACACAGCCACGTTGATGCCAGTCTAATTTCTGCGTTAGCCTGTTTTGGCGTTCGCATCTTGAATAATTGGGCCTTCCTCACGATCTAGTGTCGGGAGACATTGGGCAGATTTGGAGACCTGGAATGCGTCAATCGTTGGCCTCGCTCCGTTGTAGGCGAGCCCGGTTGGAAGATGCATGAAGTGAGCTGTGTCAGGAGTCAGTCTCTATCCCAAATTCCGGTGTCTTTGAACGTACTGAAACTATCCCACTGACTGCTGGCTTGGGTGTTGAACTCAACCTGCAACTCAATTAGCCATCTTGAGGAGGGACATAAGCGCACTCGGCAAAATAACCTCGTCGTCAAACCCAAAATGGCACCCGGATACTGGATCCTCCAATTTCATGACATTATGGCAGAGGCTTTTTCGAAAGAACCATGGGATTTTGATACTTCCGATGGGCCAACTAGTAGGGTCAGGGATCATCATCTCTGGGCGAGATCATGAAGAACGACCCACTTCAGAGAAATGGACACGCCTTGGCGGACCTCCATAGCAGCATCCTTGATGACCTCCGAAGTGAGCAGATTCAGGGTTCCCAGGACATCTTTCTTCCCATTCTTATCAAATATACCCCAAGCACAGCCTTGGGGCATACCCTTGACGGGAGGTAGGTCATCGAAGTTTGGCAGCGATGCCATATTCGGATGAAAGATAAAGTTGTTCAGTTGGCTTAAACTGCCCATACTTCCAATCGGGCAACCATATGTCAAGGCTTTGAACAAAGAACAGGTGAGGGGCCTAGGACGGTCAGCCCGAGTGACCGATCAGTAAATTCCGGGGATGCTGTCCAAGAATAAATAATCTCTCGATTCGTGTTTTGCCGTATCATGAGAGACGTCCCTCAAATTTATCTAGGAAGGGTTCGTGTTCGGTTTAGGTTCCATTGCCTTAGTTTAGCGTCCAGTGTCCTACACGAGAAGTTGAATGCTACACTGGGTTCAATATTGCTACTTTTCTTTTTATCTAATACTGCCCCTACCTCTATAAGTTCAGAATCAAACTTCCAAAAGAGGGTGGCTATCATTCTCTACAGCCGCTGATACGATTACCACAGCTAGCCCTACCCCGGGCCAACATGGAGTTGCGGAGTCCTACGTACACAAGGGTGCAATAGGCCGCGTCATGCTAGGGGCGATGATGAGAACTTCAACATACCAGAACCCTTCAACTGCCCAATTCCTCATAATCGTCCCTAAAAGGACAAAAGAATATCAAGCGGCTGCGTGCCACCTTGACAGAACAACACCCGTGCCGGGAAAAGTACAGCATTTATACGTACATATACATGGAAGTACGAATGGCGGGGATACATATCCGGGTGCACGGGAGTAATGTACATCTAGACACGTATTTACCGCATCTGTATCGCACGCTGAACCTCCCGGAGACTCGAGGAATCAACGGGCTGCCTGCGCAGCCAGTCAGCCAATTTGTGCTAGGTGCAGCACTCCCCTGACGAGCTGAACAGCTGTTCCATTCTACACATACTACCCTGATCAGACTGTTTGACCAAAGCCAACAACAAGTGAAATACTTTCCCGGGCACCACATTTGCTGGGTAATTTGTTCATTCCATGTACTAGTGAGGGAGACCGCTGTCAACCCTTGAATCACATTGCTGCAAATATCCGACCAAAAAAAGCACGCGCATATGACCTCACTTTTAGCAGATGAGGGCGCCCAAATCCCGACATTCTTCACCAAGTCAGTAAATCTTATTGGTATTAGACCCGGCCATTCTTGGCCTAGAGCTCGAGATATAGTACTCCGTAGATACAACTGCACTGTGGTCGGATTGTGGTTGCCAGGTTTCGAGTCCTTAGATTTGTACATGCCGATCCCCTCCCAGCTAATTTATTTGGCAAGCAAAGACAGGGCGCTGATGCTCATGCACAGCCTATGTACGGAGTACGGAGTACGGAGTACATGTAGTTAAAGTAGTTAGAATGGATGGGCTCATCTCCTTTGGGTTACTCCTTGATTGGGTTTGGCCGCGATGGTGGAAGGACTGCCGATAAGAGTTAACCCTAGGAAACTAGCTAGGTTAATTCCCGAGTTAATTTCGTTGAGAAGTCCCTTACATTACAGGAAATTATCCGACAGCAGGACAGAGTAGGAGAGATTAGGATTGAGGTGCTGTGAATAGGGTAGTGGAAGGTTCCGAGGTTTGTGGGGTGGGGCTGGTTTCTCCGGAAAATCGGCGTTGACGGGACGGATCGGGGCAATCAACTCTCAGGAATGAAGAATCAGGTTGCCTGCTCCGAGACTCGTGTCCATCGGGGCCCGGAACGCTGCATGGAAAAAATGAGTGTCGTCATACGGTCATGCCAAGGCTAAAGATCACGCAGTGTTTGTAATTTGGGTTGGAGGGCCAAGGCCGCCACTGCGATCGCTCCGTGGACGAGAGCTAAAATTAGTCACGACATCAGAGTGGCGCACAGGACGCGTTTGGTCCCTGCGTGGCTGCAGGTAGGACAGTGGCAGGTATAGCGATTCGGGGGCCAGCCGTAAGTTATCATTCCCGAAAGCCGAGAGCAAGGGTTGACAATGAGAAAGGTATGCGGAGGATCCAAGGTACAGCGTAGTGAGCGCAAAGGGAGTGTTACCTACTCTGTACACCGTACTACGTACATAGGCAGATTGTTGCACAAGATTCTGTGTACGGAGTACGAGGTCGAAGCTATACCTGAGGCTTTGCCGGAGAAAGTACAGATGATATCCCTGGCGCTTTCCCTTTTGGGAACTACGCTTCGGAATAAACGCGTTGGAGGCAGTTTCTATGCGCGCGATACTGAGGATTCATGATCTCTCGAGGCAACATACATCCAATTGATTTCTCCGAGCATTTCTCCCCTACATTCATATTCCTCAATCTCAACCCCATATTTAACGGCTCGGCTATCTCCATATTAAACACATTATAAACTCAAGTAAACACTGCGGGGAACACATGGAACGCTAACCAGATGGGGATCGTCAGCTGACTAGTGCCCCCCCGAATAATCCTGGTTTTTTTCTTTCTGCATCATCGCCCCAGCCATGGCGCTTTTCCATCCTCATTCTCGTTCTCGTTTCTAATTTGTTTGCTCACCCCGGTCTTTCATTTCCCCCCCTTTCTTCCTCCCCTACCCCTTTCTTCTCGATATTTCTATCTCGCATGCGGTCTCATCTTCCGCTATAGATCAGACCCTGAAACGGGTCTTCCACGCTAAGGCCATTTAGGTCTGGGGGCTAATTTGGTGATTTCTTATCTACCGTTTTATACCCTGTGACTTTGACCACCCCACACGAGGGTAGAACGTATCACTCCCGGTCTTCCGTTTGCGGCCGAGTCATCCCCCAACATCTTTGGAATTCCCACCACCGAGTCCGGTCTATTAACCATGTCACCCATGTCAACCATGTCAACCATGTTTCAAGATGCAAGCGACAATGAACACACAAAGAAAGAGGGACTATGTTCGTCTTTCTCGGTAGACAATGTACCTTCCATACTTGATCCCAACTCGCTACTGCCTTCTCTCCAAATTCGCACCGACCTACCCATTGTCCGTCCGTCAAGTTCGCGGGACTTTGATCCTTATTCTTCGAACAGTTTGTGCGGAAGTTACCCTCGCCGTACCCCGAGTCTTCGTGCCCTCATTGCGCCACCTTTGTCCAGCGCAGGGTCATTATCCCCGGCATCCATAATGTCATCGCCGCAACTGAACGCGATGGGTGACATCACTCCATTGCCGTCGCCAATTGGGGGAGGCTCACCGTGGCGAAAAACCGATCTACCTTCCCTATCTCGCTCCTCGTCCATGGCGTCGCGCAACGGGTCTAGCCTTCGTCTGAGCGATTCATCGCAGATGCTTGGGCCGCCTGTCATGTCTCGCCCGCGCGCAAAACCATACAACGGCATTGATGGACAAGGGGACGAGTCGCCCATAACAAATCGGCAGCGGCGCGATTCACCTCCGAAGCATTCTCAGCATTCTCATTCCCGAAACCGCAGTTTAAGTGACTATGCGCCTCCTGGTCGGGTTACTGTCCCTCCCCGTCCGATTGCGGTTTCGGGGAATTCTGGACTTGGGATCGCGTCCTCGTCAAGCATTGACTCGAAGTCCAATGGCCTTCATCGCGAGCAGTATCTGGCAGTTCACCGAGGCATCGCATTGCCGACCATCCGTCCTCCCAGCCCACCCCGCAGCAGCGGCAGTGGGTATAGTGACAATGAGCCCGTCATTCATCACCCCATGCCGCTCTCCACGCCCCAGGAGATCTATTCCGTCCGATCCGTTCGCACAGAGCAGGCTCGGATGTACCAGAAAATCCGGGTATTGGGCCAGGGCACGTTCAGTCAGGTCAGCTTGGCAGCACGTGTTGAGCCTATCCCCGACATGCCTCTGTCGCCGGACGGTGATGGGGCCGCCGAATTCCACGGGTTTGTGAACACGCAAAAGCTTGTCGCTGTCAAGATCATTGAACATGGCCCTGCTGGGGGTGCTGATGAAGGTAGGTTGGAGGTGTCGCTCAAGCGCGAAGTGGAGATCTTGAAATCAGTCAACCACCCATCTCTGGTTCAACTGAAAGCATTCGGCAGTGACGACAAACGCGCTTTATTGGTCCTCGATTATTGTCCTGGTGGAGATTTGTTTGAGTTCGCGACATCGGGAGCTCCTCCCATGTCCCCCGGCTTGATTCGACGCATCTTTACCGAGTTGGTCGATGCTGTGCGCTATCTGCATTCTCATTACATCGTTCACCGGGACATCAAGTTAGAAAGTGAGCTAGCGTCTTGTGCCAAGACCCTACAGGTTGCAAACTGACCCGGCCTCTAGATGTTCTGCTGACCATGCCCGCCCATGTTATGGATGACGTGAAAGACTGGCGTACCTATGATCGTGCTGTGGTCACACTCAGCGATCTCGGCCTGTCACGACGTATACCCGAACCTCCCGAGAGCCCACTCCTACAGACACGTTGTGGCAGTGAAGACTATGCAGCCCCCGAAATTCTGATGGGTCAGGCCTACGATGGTCGCGCTACGGACGCCTGGGCACTTGGTGTCTTGCTCTATGCCATCATGGAGAACCGCTTACCCTTCGATGTTCTACCCGGCACTCGTGGAGACCCTGCCAAACTTCGCGCTCGAACCCCCCATCGGATCGCACGTTGCGAATGGGCTTGGTACAGATATGCCGATGAGGACGAGGAATGGGATCCCGAGAAGGGCAAAGGACTTGATGGGGCTCGTGACTGTGTGGAAGGTCTTCTGAAACGCACCACGAGGCGCAAAACCCTTGATGAGATTGCCGCCATGGAATGGGTGCGTGATACCATCAACGTACCTGGTGGCTTGAAACGAGGCGATAAAGAAGTGCCATAGAGCCGGCCTCGTATGCGCATCATCTCGTATATTGTTTTTTTATGGGTTAACCCCCTTTTTATTCTTACTTGACATCCTCTTTTTCCTTCTTTTTTTTGGTTCACTCTTGCTTTCCTCTTCCTTCTCTTCTCCCTTATCTTCTTCTATTCTTTGACACAACTTCCTCATCTTTTTTTCTTATACTTTTCCCTTTTTCCCCCTCCCTTTTTTATTCACGATGCACGATGACTGAATGAGTCATTATGTGGATTGAATGTTACGTTCTATAGCTAGACCAGCTTTTTATACCCTTTTTTACATACACTATGTCCACGAGATACCTATATGTAGGTAGGACAGAAATACAAGACGCATTTTCTTCTATAATTATCATCCCAATCTCTTGTATCGCCTTCAAATACCGTATTTCGTTGCGGCCAATCAGCTAGCTAGAGTTGTGGTGTTGTGGTCGTGTAGGCCACTGACCAATCTGCGTGTTCAGTACGTGAGAAAACCTGCGGATTGAGATAAACTGTCTATTGACAGTGGCCTACATGATGTCATGGCATAACCTGCTTCCAGTTCAAGCATGTTCATGGAGACAATTGACGCAAGAGACAATTTCAATATATCGAGCGACGCTACAGCGTTTTGAGTGGTAAGAAATACCAAGTGATATCAAATTCACCATCTTCAGGATATCGCATAGGCAAGAAAAGACTTTCCAAGCGCCCAAGGCGGCCCAAATTCAAGAATGGCCGGGGTGAGCCGAGTGATTACCTCCAAAAGGTCTTCTGCCAAACCATCTTCATGGTAGGCCTGAATCAATAATGCAACCACCGAACGAGTCCACCGCGGTTGAGGCAGCTCGAGGGCTTGCTGAGTATTTCGGCCCTAATAAGCTCAAGGGGAAAAAAGTTCTCCTCACAGTCGGCGGTTAAGTGAACTCTTTGCCTTCATGAAGCCAATGCTGTTCGGCTGTGTTCACGCTAACATTGCAAAGGTCGGTCACTGACCGCTCAGTCGCGGTTCTCATGGCCAGAGAAGGCGCTGATATCAACACTGTATACCTCCCACAGCGCAGGAGCATGCAGATAACATCAAGAGAATGGTTGAAGTCGAGAGGAGATCCCGCATTCTCGTCTCTGGAGATCTGAGGGACCGTCACTTCTGTCGCAAAGCAGTCTAGGAACACATCGAACAGTAAGTGGTCCTAACTTCAAAATCCCGGTATCAAATTGAGTGTCTAATTTGGCAGTAGCGCAGATACATTGGAAACCCTTGATGTAATTGTCAATAATGCATCAAAGCAGTACATTTCCAAGGACTTGGCCGACATTGATCCTGACAAAGTGGAACATTCTTTACAATCGAACGTCATCCAGATGGTGGCAATCACGAAATTCGCTCTTCCTCACATGTCCAAAGGTGATACGTATGGTATGTTCATTGATCTCTCTCCGTGCCTTGACTACTCTTCGTCTAACCAAATTCTCTCCAGTATCATCAACAATAAATCAGTAGTAGCCTTCCGAAGCACAGCCAACATGGTGAATTACGCTGCCACTAAAGATACAATTGTTGGGTTTACAAAAGTTTTTGCCCAGCAGTTTATTCCCAGGGGCAGGCGGGTCAATACTGTTGCGTCAGTACTGTGCTCGGATGTATTTGGTATACTATGCTGACCAAAAGCCCATAACAGCCCCAGTGTGGTCTATATTGGTCTGTACTTCCATTCAGGCTGATACCAGGCCTGCTGAAGGCATGGATGATTTGTGTTCTAACAAAGCTCTCGGTCGTCCTGGCTAAGACAGTGAGGTTGCTACCAACCTTGCGTTCATGGCTAGCAATGATTCCTCATTCTACTGCATGCCTTGCTCTCTCTAACCCACGTAGTTTGGAGTCTGACTAACTTTGATCTATCTACTCCGTATAGATGGGCAGATCTTGCATTGCTATCCTCTAGGAGACTGAGTCATGATGCATCGTAGAGGTTGTCTTATATCCACACGTCCATCATATGAACCATATCCAATTTCTTGCACTTTGCAAGCCTTCGTATGAATATAAGCATTGCATCGGCCAGAGAATAACGGCTTCGGCGCTTTTTGGATCCTTTCACCATTAGACAGAACTTGGTAAGATTGGAACGTACCTACATGGTAAGCTCAATAAAAGTCAAGGTCAGATTAAGGTGTTAGCTTGAAACGCTCCAAGGCTGACCCCTGCAAGATTGAGCCTGTGTTAAAGGAGGGTATGGTCACGTTATTGGTATCGAGGCCACATCCCCATCTCCTCGATCTTGCGCACTACCTTTTCTTCTGATGACACCGCAAATGATATTGAAAGTCCGACATCGATGCCAAAGAAATAGGCAGGACATTATTGTCTATTATGCAGTATATCAATTATGAAGATGCTGATGTGTCCATTTCCAACGAAGTGATATTTCACATTGAGAATAGGAACTCCGTATGAGCAACTTGACTCATTGATCGGCAAGGCGTGCAGCAATTTTATTGCAATTAATTAACAATACAGGGTTTGCCCGAGTGCCTCTGTCTTTTATGGACCAAAATGACTCAAACATACCTAGGCTCACCCCCTCTTTCTCACTTTTTGTCATCCGGGCCATCGTATATTGCAATATCGATCAGCCGATCGACATGGCGATCCTGCCTTTATGACGTCAAAATGCAACTTAAAGAAAACATTACCGGCCCAGCTTCTCCGTGAATTGCGAAGCTTTCACATGCGATATCATTTGTTGTGTAGGCGCCCTGAACGGGGCTGTGCTGGGCCTGGAGCCTATCCCCGGGCAACGGAGCCGAGTCAATGGCAAGCCCGCGTGACCGGGGCGACTCCTACAAATCAGCTTGTTTGACGTGATGAACCTGCATAAACCCTGTATCTTTGAATTTTTGTGCGTCAGCTTACAGCGGCTGGGGCTCTTTCAATCTCAAATGCGGAGCACGGAGTATAGAACAGACTCTATCAAGTTCAAACCTCCAGATACCAAGTGACAGATACTACACAAAATGGCCTTTGGCCTTTCGGGTCGTTCAAAAAGACCATCGTCTCCGAATCCCCCGCCGAAACCACCGCGTCCGAACAAAAGAGAGACCGTATCAGGGGTGTCAAACCAATATGTCCATCCGTATACTGCGCCAGTTGGAGCGTATTCGGTCAACACATTCCATACTGCACCGACAGTCGCATATAACCAAAGTTCAGCCACGTCTATGGTTCATCTACCACCTCAATCAGCACCTCCGCTGGGTTACCCATATCCAACAACTGCCCCGAACAGTTCGTCAGTATGGAACCCGCAACCACCACAAAAGTCATCGAAATGGGCATCATACACCAATCTTAACCAATCAATGACTCACCTCGTTTCGCACACAGTCGAGAAGACCAATGCTACGATTTTGGACCTTGAACAACTGGTCCATCAAAGTCTAAGTGGTGGTGCGAATGTCACCGAGGCCACATCACGCTTGTTAGATCAAGTCATCACCTCGATCGATCTGGGGTCGTTCTGTGGAAGGGAAAATGAACTGAGTGAGTGAAACGGGTCCCATCTAATGTGCGAATGATACTAATTGGCAATCCCAGTCGCTGCATGCACAGTTCCTTCCAAATCAGAGGAGAGGAAGGATCATCTATCACTGCGAAAAGACAAAAAGCCAACCAGATCTGTGGATTATTTCTCCAAGGTATACCTGTATGCCAATTCGCGATTACCACCACATCTAACACCACTCAATTTGTACTTCCTTCTATCCCCCTTCACCATGTCGTCTAACTTGCTAATTTCGTGTTAAGCTACCCTCCAACATATCCCCTCCTCCGGCTCGCCGCAAAATACTCGCGTCGTGTCTATGACAAACCTTCTGGGCGTGAACGACACTCATACATCAACTCAGATTGGCGTCACGGTACCAAGGCTATGGTGGTCAAGTCCCTACCAATTGACGACATGAACACAATCGTCTTCGCCATCCGTGGTACCCAGAGTTTCTTGGACTGGGCTGTGAACGTTCACACCGCACCAACTTCCCCAGCCGGGTTTTTGGATGATCCATCCAACTACTGTCACTCGGGATTCCTATCTGTAGCCCGAAAAATGGTTGCACCCGTTGCCGCCCAACTGCGTAGTCTTCTTGAAGAAGACCCCAGTCGTATGTCATACTCATTGATCTTCACCGGGCACTCTGCGGGAGGTGCCGTCGCCAGTTTACTATATCTACATCTGCTTTCGAACTCACCAGGCGTGCAATCCCCACTTACATATCTTCGCGGATGCTTCAAACACGTCCATTGTGTCACATTCGGTGCCCCGCCCATCTCTCTTCGCCCTTTACAGCTCTCCTCTACTACTCGAACGTCAAAATCAATGTTCTTTGCTTTCATCAATGAAGGCGATCCAGTATCTCGTGCCGACAAGGGCTACTTTCTTTCCTTGCTTGATTTGTATGTCTCCCCGGCACCGGGGTCACTACTTACCCTATATGACCGGAAGAAGAGATCTGCTCCTCGTTATTGGAGAACACCTTCATCCCATCTAGCACTTGCTGGTAGACTAGTTCTTTTGCGGCCACGAGATCAGTCGAGCGGCCGCCCTGTGGTTGTTGCTCCACCCGTTCCCGGTGGTCCTCCTGCCTTGCCTCCGCGGGAAAATGTCGATGCCTATGGGATCACAGAGCCTGAGCTACAGGGTGTGGTCTTTGGTGACCCTGTCATGCATTTTATGGACTTGTATTCCCATCGCATTGACGCATTGGCTAGAGATGCCTTGAGCAAACGACCATGATCCCAGTTTCTCAGTATGTATCATGAATTTAGGTGCTGATAAGTGTGCGATCATATGTGTCAATCGGTTATTCTTAAGTCAGTCATATACCCATCTCCAGTTTGATGATTTTTGTGGGAAATTCTTTCAGTATTTATCTGGCTCTGTTGATATAATTTGGCCCTCAATGAGCTTATCCATATCCCAAGTATTGCTTCCGCTGAACAATGTAGATATTGCATTGTTACAATCCGCTTTGGACTTTTGGCGCTTTTGAAACAGAAGTCAGTGTGTGTCTTTGTTCATATCTCATGTCTCGCTAACAAGCCAACTTAGCAATTCTTCTAAGGAACAATGAAGTCAACAGACTAGAGTCTTTCAAAGGCAAAGAATGCTTTCAACCCTCCATCTCTTCTTCCCAACTTCTCCTTTTGACAATATATAGATATCAACATAGACACTCTACATAAAGCTCTCACCCTGCAAGCCAACTTCACGACCAAGACAAGAAACAGAGGACCATACCATAATTCTCTTGTAGTTATACCCCACCAAGCCCACTAGTACCAGAAACTACCGTCAAGATGTGCATACAGACCTATATCAAGTGGAAAATGTGCAACTGCATCCATTTCGGACGGATCCACCGCTGCGAAGAATTCGGCCTACCGTTCTTCCAACGAGAGCGCTGTATAGAACATGCCCTACGGGTACTCAATATTGGGGCTATTGGAATTCCCGAAGACAGATTCCAGGAAAAGGAGGGGATGTGCTCGGAGTGCGCGAAGGATTTGTATCGGGAGATGCGGTTGCTGCGTTGGGAATGGGCGTCCCGTGAGAGTGAAGAGTGGGTTGCGGAGCAGAAGCAGAAGCAATAGACAGTCTTGATATGCATGTAATAACCCGCAGATAATCTAATTCTTCCTCGAAGATTCATTAGAGGCTCAATATTCAGTAGCAAATATAGCGAGGGAGAATATTTGGGGGAAATAATGTGTTTCAGGTGGAAGTCTAAAATATATAGAAAGAAAATATATACTAAGATCACCACGTCCGACGACTCTGACTCCACGCGCGGAAGAACTCCTGCTTCTCTTTCACGCCTAAGCCAACGCGCTTAACCCGCCCAAGACGGGCGAGCGACTCTCCCACGTTATCTAACAGCGCCTTCTCGCTGGCCGAGGCCTGTTCTTGGCTTTTTTCGTCCAGGGCGTCCAGGTAATTGGTACTATATGTCGATTTGCCGGTGGAGCGAGAAAGAGGTGAATCGGTAGAATTTTGGCTGCCTGTAACGCACTCCGCAATGCGAACGCGAATGCAATGAGTCGGCTTGCTGAGCAGGGTCCACAATGAGCTGATATAGCTCCCAGGAAGCGGGGTCACGATATCCATAGGTGTATAGCGTATGCTGACGGGGAAGATCTTGGTCTTTGTAGGTACACCGAGAAGGGAGTTGCTCAGGGTCAAGATGCCGCGACCGTTTGTGGTGGTACATTCGGGGAATAGGACAATCGGCCGATTGGGGTATTTCTCAAGCAAGGTTGAGATATCAACCAGGCTAGCGCCGGGGGAAGGCTGCGTGGATGGAGCGGCGAAGGCGCGCAGAATGGCCTGCAGAAGAGATATGCGCTCAACTTGGCGAGTGTTTGGGTAGGATACTGTGAAGATCGGATCGAAGATAGCTGCCAGGTAGATGGCATCGATGGGCGATGTGAAGGACGAGGCAATGACTGATCCGGGCTGTGGTAGGCGTGCTTGCTGCTGCTTCAGAGACCTGTATCGCGATCATTAAATTAGTTGAAGCTGGGTGTGTTTCGAATAGGGCAGCACAAACCCTTTTCGAACTCCGTCGACTTGGAGATCAATCCACCAGATGCTTGGAACTCCAAGGATACACCATAGAGCGGCTTTTTTGCCCAGTGATCCAATAGGCAGCCATTGAAGGACCAAAAAGTAGCTGAGAGTGACGAAGATGAATACCGGAAGGCGGAAACAAAATAGGAAGATGCGAATGGGGGCTTGGAATCCGAGTGGTTCAGCGGGGATTGGGAGGAAGGGAGCAATGCCCGAGCCTAGGAGACGTCAGTATAACTGAGCTGAGAGGGGCTGGTAGTCCGAGCGGCAAAAAGTTACATACCTCTATCTCGGAATTGAGAATATCTCTCCATCTTATATTGTGACGAATGTGGACTGAATGTGTTGTCGGGCGGGTCCAATCGTCAATACGCCATGCGCTTAACGATTGTCTTCTCGTAAAATTGTCGACAACACAAGTTGCGACTCGAACTCGGGGTAGATTATGGAAATGCTGACATTCACTCGGAGATCCCACGTCGACAGCTGTTGATCTTCACATGCGAAAGGATCTACCACGTGACCGTCTGCCTGAGGCATCCGGGAAGCTTTTCTGGGGGAGTATACAAATGCTGGTCTACATATTAACAGACATGAAGAGCCAGTATCCAAGCCATTTTGCTGGCCATATTCATATATAATAAGATATTATATTGTCTATGATGTGAATTAGTGAAATGCTCTAAATGCGCACGAAGCAGTGAGAAATATACAAGATCTAAGTCTAAGATCACACCCTGCCATCCTCGTCATAATCCTCCACAACAAATTCAGGCATTGGAGAATCAGGAGGTAGTCTAAATATCCAGATAGCAACACCGACTACGCAGAACAATGTACTGGTCATCATCCACGCCAGACCAATCCAGAACCCGCCAAGACGCAATCCAATTTGGAAGACGGTCGTGATGGATAGACTGGCAAAAACATTTCCCACTGCCTGGATAATCTCAATTGCAGTAAACAAGCGAGCGGTTTCATCACGTTCAACCAGCGTGGTGATTATCGAGCGAGTCAGGAAAACGAAGCCTGATCCTAAGCACTGGATGATCATGCTGGGGATCAAGGCTGCAATGGAGGGGGAGAGACCAATTCCAAGGGTCCCTACTGTAAGGCAGAAAATACTGCGTCGTGCGAGCCAGAGGTCCTTCTTGGTTGATGAGTGGTGTGGGTTAAGGACATGCCTTTTGAGGTAAGGTAGGCCGAAGAGGAACAACGGGATGGACACGATTGGGCGACAAGCCACCAGGAAATTGGACTCTGCCAGTGTCCATGAATAACGGATTGATATATATTGGGCCAGGAACCATGAGGAGCCTCGGCTAAGGCGGTAGACTAGGAATGCAGTAAGGAGAAGGAGCACAGGTTTCCGGCCGAGGATGAACAAATAAGGCTTCAGATAGAAGCGGTAATTGGCGTGGAACTTTTCCATAAAAGATTTGTGAGAGTATGATGGAATACTCCAAGTTGGAGGTTTGTCCAAATGCTCACCATTCATGTCGGCTTCCTCGTGGAGTGGTTCTGGATCCTCGTGCTTAGGTAGCGAATGGTTTGGACGAGTGCCATCTGTCAGGTCGGACAGCTCGACATGCGTTGGTGCTGCTGGATGGAATGGCAGTGCATGTTTTGTCTCTGGGAGCACCAAAATGAGCATCATGCCAGCCATTACAATTGCGAACCCGATCACTAAGGGGATCCATGGATTCAAGGTCATCAAGTAAGAACTGAAAGCGCTTGTAACAAAGTCGGCGCCCATAGATACGATGGCAAATTGGAAGAAAATTCCCGCTCTTTGTCATTCAGTTAGGATTGATGAAACCCATACTTCATTTAAGATGGGAGGAGTAGCTTACCTTTGCGCCTCATTGGTTACATCAGCCATCATCGTCCAGATAATCGCAAAAGATACGACAGGACCACCTCCCAATATCCATGTTAGGGCCGTGAACCAAAGCGCACGCAAGGGAAAGGTATCCGAGAACCACAGGATAACTAGGGTTAACAAAGCATTCAGCCCAAACCCAGGAAGGGACAAAACGAGTGTAGATTTGCGGCCATGACGGTCTGCCAGCAGACCGTAAGGAATTGCCAGAAGAGCACCTGCAGAACAGTCAGATAGTGGTCTAGCGCTGAGAATTCATTTCCGCCTACTCAGTGTCCCATCAAAGAAAACATGGTACCCTTTGACAGCCGCCAATTCAGCTTGCACCTCGCCGACCTTGCACATCGCCTCCGGTACCTGTCCATCTGCGCCGATCTTAGTCGGATCGACATCCAGGAAGTACTGGCGGCATGCGATAGACTCCATGATCCGCACCATGGGTCCCTCCAGGAAAGCGAAGCCGACTTCAACGGCGAGGATCATGGCGAACATGATCAGCTTCAAGCGAAATGTAATGGCGCTGGCGGAGGCATTGGCCTCCGCTGTGCGACTGCCTATACTGGGCCTGGAAGGTATATGGAACTGGGCTGAGCCCGGGGTATTTGGATCGGGGGAGTCGAGGAATGGAGCATCTTCGCGGTCCTCGCGGTCGAGAGACTCATGACGTACGGAGGCCATCACGGCCTGTCATACCGTCAAGTGAGGGTATGTGTATATAAAGAGGGAGGAATCCGATGTACAGGTATGGATGGACGTAGTATCAGATCATTGTTAGAATTGAGCCAAAAAAGAGAGCGAGAAAGTCTGTCTTACGTGTCTGGAGGCCAAGTTGCCAATCGTCGCAAGCGGACCCGACATGATGTCTTGGCGGGTTATTGTTCTTTGTCCAGGGGCTAATCGCCACTAGTCGGCTATACTTATTGAATACTCGGCAGATCAATGGAGTAGCTTGTTTTTCATAGATTGTCTTGGTTTAAAAAAAAAACCGCGCAGTATACTAATATTGACGTATACCCCTTTATATGTGGAATAAAAAATCTCTTAATTACAATCATATCCTGCCTCCTCAAACAAGCTTCCTCGAACTTGCACAACCGCCGATAGCTCGAGGAGGAATTCATAAAGAATCACCACATTCGTCAGCACATGGCCTAGTGTTGCGACTGGGGCATCGTCGGTATCTTCTGAATCGGAGGCTTCCTCGGCAGACGGGGAGTGTGGATCCGCGGGCGCAGGCGGGAATGGTGTGGCAAGACGCTGGCGAAGAGCCTCAGCGGCCGCGGTTCGGGCATCTGCGGAACCACGCGAGGCAGGAGGATCAGAGGAACCATCTCGGTGAGGACTCGAGAACGTAGAGGACGAATGTGCTGGGTGCGGAGACCGGCCTCGGGAGGCGGGGGCAGAGGCATCCGGTGAATCTGTCGGGCGCGAGCGATTCGCTGAAGGCACCGGGGGCTCTGATGACTCTCTTGATCGGTTTGGTGTCTGTGGACGATCGTCCTGGTGCAGAAGCTCTCGTCGAGCGGCGACTAGTACATCAAAATCGGGGAGTTCTTGTTGCCATTGTCGGACCTGATCCACGAGCTGCTGGAGCGCTAATGTCAAGGCGGGAGCAGCTGTAACAGGCCAGGTTGGTGTCTGATAGGCCCGACGAACATGTTCAAACTCATCGCCAGTATCTTCGGAAGATGGAGGGTCGTATTGGTTGGGATCGACCAAGACCCACCCATCCAATGAGAAGAGGTGTGAAGATGCTAGACTCATTAATACGCCTGTCAATGCCAGGTTGACGATGACACTATTAGTGAAGAAAGAGCCAAGACAACCAAAAAGTGCCTGCACTATAGGATCATCTTGCTGGATCTGTAAAGGTAAGTGTAGCGTCTCCTCCTCTTCCTCCAATGAAGCAACAGGCAAACATAAGCGGGATTCAAGCACCCATGTTGCATCCGCAACGTAGTTGTCATAGGACTCATTGAGCGTAGGATCATCGACGAGAGATGTGCCCATGGATAACAGATGTTCTAGCTCAGCACTCAAGGCGCCAACCGGGCGCTGCTGTGCAGGTTGAGTAGGAATAGTATGAATCAAGGCTCGCGCAAAAGGATGATGTCTTTGAAGAACAGTGCTCAAGAGTCGCAATGTAGCTAACACGGTCTGGCGGTTTGATGAATGAAGTCCCAAGAGGGATAGGTCGCGAAGATTAAACAGGGAAGGTGATGGTTGTGCCGCTTCAGAAGCCAATGCAGCAAGCACATTAAGGGATTTCCGTCGGCTTGCGGACATATCCATTTGCTCTTCGGGCTGAGGGGAAGATGCCAGTAAGAAACGTAAGATGCGATCAACCAACTCGCCTTGATCGATGGATTCGAGAATGCGGCACATGTAAGTCAGCACCGCTGCTGTCGAACCACCAGCCACATCCGACGATTCCAATAAGGAGGGATACCTATGAAAGTCAGCAATGAATCTAATACAGTTCGATAATGTTATACTCACAGGAGTTGCTCTAGAAACAATACCTGGAAATGGTCCAGCAATGTGTCGTTCACTTCAGCGGATTTGCAATGATCAATTGTGTCCTGCCAGAACAATAGGTATGACATAAACGCATCCATTGCCGGCCCTAACACAGGTTGCAGAGCAGTCTCTTGCTCGGCATGATCAGACAAGACAACAATATGAGGGACATCTTCATCGGTCGAAGTGAATGACAGACTTCATCGGTTAGTGTCTTGTCCGAAGGCGGAGGGAGAATCAAACTTACTGTCCCAGTTGGCTGTATAGTGCGCCCAGTCCAGTAGCCATGAGGGTTGCCAGATCACTCTCGATCAGCCACTTCTCTAGATTCTTAGACCGAGATGCCGTTTCAATGAGATAGAGCAACCCTGTGCGCGCAAAGTCGCCGGCACGTCCTTCATGATGAACATAGTCGACCAACAAATAAAACAGAGGGAACTCGTCCTTCCTTGTAGCTCCTGCAAACTCCGTCCCACTCGGGGCTTGGGACTCGCTATCTTGGGCGACAGGTGTTACACGAGGCACGAACCATGCCGGCAATATCACAGGTTGCAGTCGAATGTTGTTGGCGATACCAAATATCAACTCGACGAGTCGACCCTCGATCTCATCCGAGGTCTTCTCGGCACGACGGACCAAATCCACCAGCGCGCGAGCAAACAGGCGATTATCCACGACCCCGTCCACCTCCGCGTCAATCAGGGTATTGAAGAAAATCGTGGCGGATCGGACCACTCCTTCATCGTGGAAGGAGAGAGCAAGTTTGGTTACTGTGACAAAGACCTGGGAAGATGCTGCATAAGCGACACAGGGGTGCGGTGCGGGTCCCCGAGCTTCTTCGCTCAGGATCGAGTTGAGACGTTCAATGTAAGTCCGCGCATGGACAACCGGTTGCTCGCCTGAGGGAGTATTCGTTGAACGCCATATTTGCTATCCGTTGAATTAGTTGCGAGTCTCGTGGATGCGGACATGATTGGTACCTGGAGGGCATTGCAGGCGCGCTTAAAGGCAGTCAATCGTTCTGTGGGCGAGGTGGCCTTGGAGGATTTGTTGGACAGCGCGCGTGAGCCGCCGATAAGACGAGACCACTAGGTTCTGTTAGTTGGCATTCCCAGAGAAGTCAGAGCCACATACAAAGTCCATTCTGTGAGGACAGCATCTCACAGAATGAGAGTGACGGGGGTTGAGGATGAGTGGAGACAAGTGGTTATCGCGCCGATCGCCCTCCGCTTTACCCTCGATGTACAGAATGTCATACAACTCCCATTTCCACGACTTCGCTTTCTACAATGCACATTGACGTGTCAAACATTTACAATCCTGCACACCGAAATTTCAACAAAGAACCCCTGTCCAGGTCCTGTATATTGGGGGGAAAGCCCATGCACGGGTAAGGCCCGAGTGACTCGAGACTCGAGCCTGAGAAATCATAAATATCCACAAAGAAATGCGCTCCCAGGTCTGCCTCCCACTATTTAAACGCCTAAAATCAAAACCCATCAATCTATACGCCTGATACCAATCCCATCTAGCACGTCGTCAAGTCATTTACGAGTCGATCTCAATCGCTCTCATCCTTGGGTCGCCGCCCGCCTCGCTTGCGACGACCCTCATTCTGGTCGCTCCCATCATCTTCGTGTTTGCGACCAGCGGGTTGATCGGGAACCTTGGCAATTATATCCGCCAAGAAGTCAAGCACCTCATCTTTGGCAACGGCCTGTTTCAGATGCGAGGCCGTCACGCGCTTCGAGTTGCGGTCCTTGGCTTCTTGTGCGGCCTTGGTAACCAGAGATATCATGAATAATTCGAGAGCCTTGGCTATAAGGGGATGTGTGGTCAGTATGGGTTGCAAAGTCTGATAACGACGCGTGAAAGAAGGCGCAAAAAGAGATACGTACAGACAGCAATCGGTGTGACTTGAGCAACCTTACCGACATCCTCGTCAGCTTGCATAATGCGCTTGATGCGCGCTACGGGGAATTTCGTCTTCACTTCAATGGCTGCACATGCAGGCGCCGGAGGTGGCACCTCTGGGGCCACCTCAGGCGCGACAGCGGGGAATGACTCCATGATAAAGGGCTCTGGCATGGGTTGGATTGTTTCCGGCATGGGTTCGGGGACAGGCGCGTTGTCGGACTGAGCAAGACGACTGGAGCGACGGGCCATGTCCAAGTCTGGTTGATATGGTGGGACGTACTGTTGAGACACGCGACGTGGAGTCGGGTGTTGATACGGTGGATAGTCGGAAAAGGTTTGAGGAATTGGACTAGGAAGCGCGTGAGAAAGAGAAAGATCAGGAGAGCGAGGCCGATAGTTGTCCTCTGTCATGGTAAGAAAAAAAAAAACCGAAAAATTTAGTGGAATCGCGAAAAAGTAGGTGGCCCAAGCTCCCTGGAGAGGAGAATCCAACTCGGGCGCCGTCGTCCTTTTTAAATTCCGGGCTTTTTGTTACTGTTTCGTTTCTTACGCCTTTCTTTCCGGTTGTTTCTCTTTGTTCCTGTTACACGTCCCCTTTCACCTGATTACATGTACATACCTTAGGTACAAGTAGGTAAGGCCTCCTCTTCTTTCCTCTCTCTGACTCTCATCTCCAAGAGGTATTGAATTCCGTTCGTGATCCCCCGCTCCCTAGGCATCCGTAGAATACACCCTATGACGATAAAAGCAAAACCGTTGAGTCAGCACAGATGAAACCATTTGGTATCGCTGTTCTTTCTGTGAACGCCCAAAATAACTTGATCTAATCTGAGGGTTCTCGTCGCATGTACAATGTCCCTTGGGTGCTCCAACGTCATGAATTCGGCACTCTAACAGGTAACCTCGGAAAATAGTTCATCCGGCCAAATTCAAGCATCAGCCGCGACACTTTTGGCTATGAGAACTATGTCACTCGCTCTTGCCGTCTAGTCAGGGTCCTTGAAGATTTCCAGCCATCTCCCACCATGGCTGTGGCAGATGCGCCTGGCCTTATGGACATTGCCAGGTGAGTACCGCCATGCCGATCAAACATTCGCAATACCATGCTGATCATTCTGCAGCACCTTGATCCAGGATGAGATTCCTTTCAAGTTACGATGTGCAATTTGCAACAAGCTGGCTGTGAATGCTTTCCGCCTGCCTTGCTGTGACCAGTCTATCTGCGAGACCTGTATGTCCAACCCATCCATGCCCGCGCACTTCGCCAATGGTAGCTAATTTGGCTCTCGATTGTAGGCCAAACTTCGCTCTCCGACACATGTCCTGTCTGTACACACACTCCTGTCTCTCCGGATCTCTGCAAACCCAACAAAGCTCTGCGGACCACTCTGAAAGCTTTCTTGCGCACCGAAGAAAAGAAGCGGGAAAAGGATCGTCAATCTGCGGCACCTCCAACACCATCCCTCCCCACTCCTGTAGAGGCAAAAGCGCCAGTGGAAGATGCAATTCCTGGCCAAAATGAAACCGGGACTGTGTCAGCCGCGCAGACAGAGGCGCCTGTCCCGACGGAGACTATTGAGTCCAAGCCTGAAGAGCCTGTCCTAGACACACACGCCCCAGACACAGTTGAAGAAATCGTTTCAGTGCCTGATGCGCCAGTTTTAGGAGATCCATCTGCCGAGGTAAATTCTCATTCTTCTCATGCGCTCTTTCCTTTGCTGACCCTGTCCACAGAGCGAGACAGCTGCTAAGTCAGTCAATGGCACTGACCAGACCCTTGAGTCTGCGACTGAGGATGCTGTGGCCGTCGACTCCGCACTCCCTGGAGAATCTGTCTCTCTGGTCCAGGAAAACCCCGAGGAATCCGGTCCCAACTTGATGGCCCCCAACATGGCCGGAAATACCCCTCCAATAGGCTGGAACGGAAATGGCGTGAATCCTTTCATGCCCGGCATGTTCAATTATCCGAATACGATGGGTATGTCTCATTCTGTCACCCTTTTTTTTTCTTTTTTCTTTTTTCTTTTTCTTTTCTTTTCTTTTTTTTTTTTGGTCCGGCTTGCTAATTCCTCTCCACAGGGATGCCTATGGGGATGGGCCCAATGGCGAATCAGGGGATGTTCGGTGGCTATGGAATGAACATGACTGGTATGGGCATGAACTCTGGGATGAACTACAACGGTGGCATGTATGGATCCTTAGGATGGGACGCCTCCCAGCAGAACAACAATATGTGGCAAGGCGGCCAGAATAAATTCAATCCAAATGCTTTTGCAAATGGCACGGGTCCTCCTTATGGAGGAGCATTTGGCGGGTCTAATATGTCTGCTTACCCTTCTCATTCAGACTATCAGTCTGGTTACTACGGAGGTTATGGTCGTGGCGGATTCCGGGGACGAGGTCGCGGCCAGTTTCATGGCTCTGGTCGAGGCGGCTTTGGCCCCATGCAAGGTCATTATCGCCAGGGTGCTAACTCGGGATATCCCAACCAAAACCCAGACGCTATGGCTGATGACTCCAATGCCAATCAATTTGATGCTCAAGGTAATGCTCAAACAAGTGAGAATGTTCCTGGATCAGGTGAAGCTGCACTCGATTCGTCGGGTAAACCAGACGATATCTCAACAGAAACTACAGACCAACCCCAGGGTATTCCCACCATTGAGAGTCTTGATAATTCCGTACCGAATGGCCCTGCATACGGTCATATGAATAGTGGTTACGGACAGTACCGATATGGACGATATGGACAAGAACGAGGCCCTGGCGTGGAAGGTGCTCCAGCTGCTCCACGGGCCATGCGGGAGGGACTGCCCAACACCAGTGTTCTACGGCAACGCGGCTTCCAGGTCCAGGGCCGGGCCAGTGTTTCTGGGTAAGACCTTCCCTCTTTGGTTTTCTCCTTTTACCTTCGCAATAAGTATACTAACTGCCAGTAGTGAGCCCACTGAAGACGAAATTAACACAAGGGTCACATCGCGCGCCCCGTCCCAACGTGCGAAATCTCGATCTCAATCTCCGTCACAAAACCCGGCTTCCCGTGTCCGTTCACCGTCTGTCCGTGGTACTGAAGAAGACCGCGATTCTCGCCGAGGAACAGAAGTCAAGCGCATGGATCGGGTTGATGAACTACAGTCTCGCGCCCGTTACTCTCGTTCTCCATCCCGCACTTCCTCCCGTCGCTCCTCACGACGCCGGCACCATGATAGCGACCGGGAGAGAGACCGAAGAACTAATCACCGTTCCCAACGCTCCCGTCGTCACCGCAGCCGTAGCCGCAGCTTAAGTAGGAACAGAGCCTCCCGTGCCTCTGATCGTGTCGAAAGGACCACAGACAGAAACGCATCGAATGGCAGAACCAAAGCGTCCTCCGAAGCGCCCGACTCGCGCGACTTGGAAAGCCGAATCAGCAGTTACCGCTCCAAAGACAGAAGCCGACGCGAAGACGAAAAATCTCGAGGCCAAGACCGTGATACTCGACGCCGAGACCGCGACCACGACCGGCCTCGTGATCGCCGTGGCAGAGACCGGGATCCCGATCGTGACGATCGCCGTGATAACGACCGCGACAAGGACCGAGGCCCAGAGCGCGATCGAGACCGTCCCAGGGACCACGGGCGTGATCGCAAACGCTCTCGCCGTGACCGATCTCCATCTGCCCATGGCAGCGAGCGTCCCCAAAGCCGACGTGTGAAACATGGCGATGAGGACCATAGTCGGGGCACGAACGGAACCTCAACCAAGACTGAAACGGAGAAAGACCCTTACACTCTTGAGCGCGAAGCGCGCAATAAGGAACGTCTCGAGCGGGAGAAACAACACCGTGACAAGGCCAAGTCTGGCCGCCGCCGCGATAGCCGGCAGGACCGTGTGGTGGCTGGCCGTCGCATCAACTACAAGTACGAGGATGAACTCTAAGCTTGGAATTTCGATCTCTTGCTTTCGTACAAAAGTCATGGGAAATGGCGTTGAGGAATCGGCTGCGTTCTAACTTTCTTGCATCTTCTCACTTTCCTTGGGCTGGTATGTCGGCCTGCTCAGCTATGTAGATATGGGATCTTTTCTGAGCCATTTGCGGTGGCTTCTTATGATCGAGCCAACCCAATTCCAATTTACGAGAATAAATTTTCTCTTCTAGGATTTATCTCGCTCTAGTAGTTCCTTGCAGTCGAAACAGAGAATAAACAATAGCAACTATCATCAGGGATGGCCACCGGGTACCACTTCGATATATATCGCACCCTTGTAATTTCCACGCGACAAAAATTCAAACATAGAATAGGATTGAGACTCAACGCCAAATAGCATTTCCGCAACAATCGCCCAGTGATATATCTAGGTAGGTATCCGCCGAATTCTAACAAGACAGTGTCGACTGAGTATGTATTTGTTGGTTGATAGCCCACTAGGCAACCAGTGGATTCTTCAATGTTGGCAGAGCAAGATTTCGAGATAACTACTACTTCATTCTAGTTGAACTGGTCGATTGAGACATAGGAAACAAATTATAGCTTGTTTCGACAGGGTATCCATAGCTATTTGATGAACATATTATCTGAATTTTGCTTTCAATGAGCCAATGTATTGACAATTCCGCTAAAAGAAACAAAGACCTATCCCTATCCACACACACTATCACCACATGTACGTCAAACACCGTATGATTTCACGAGCCCAATCTGCCAACACTGAATGTACCTAGGTCATGTTTGACCAACCCTCATAGCAATCCTCGACCTCGATTAAGGCTAAAATATTTAGTTCAGCTTGCTCTTCAATGCCTCAATCTCGGCAGTCAGCGATTGCATTTGCTGTGCTTGAGAGGCAATTGTCTTCGTCTGTTCGGCAATCAGGCTTTTGATTTCTTCGATGTCGTTCTTAGGGATGGAAGTGGTGGGTGAGGGGGTTTCGCTGGCAGGAGGTAAAGTAGTGGTAGACTAAGATAATTAGCAATTGGCATCGGATGAAGGATGTCAAGAAAAAGTGGGATACTCACGGTCAAGGTGGGCTGAGGCTTGGTCTCAACCTCCTTGGGCCTCAATGGGCTGCTAATTCGGGGAGAGGAAGATCCTGCCGCGGCAGAGCGAGTGGGGCGCTCGACGGGCTTGGAGACCTCTTCGAAGCTAGAGTCGTCTTCATCTGAGACGTTGGCCTCTTCTTCACCGTCGGCAAACTTGTTCACCATGGCGGCCATGGAAGCGCCTTGCTCCTTCATCGATGGGGCGGGGCGCGCAACCGGAGTGGGTTCCGGGACGGGCTCGGGGGCAGCCTTGGGGGAGGTAGGCTCAGGGGCCTTCTTGGGTGCTTCGGCAGGCTTGGGGGCGGGGGCATCCATGGAGCCCGTTGGCTTCTCCTCCACTCCTGAAACCTCCTTGATACCCTCCCCATCGAAGAGGCTGGCCATGGAGATCTTGGGAGGAAGGGCCTCCTTGCCACTGAGCCATTCGGAGGAGGACATGGCGGGGGTTACTCCAAGAGTGGGAGGATAAATGTCATCCTGGAAGTTTTCAGACCGGCGGGGAACGATGAACGAGACGGGCTCAATGTATTGATCGTTGACAGTCTTGTAAGCGCGAGCGACTTCATTCTCGTGCATGTTCACACCACGCTTGGGCATGAAAGCAACGCCGCGCTGTGGGTCTGCAGACTTGTGCTCGGAAAGGAACTCGAACTTGTCATTCTCAAGCTCAAAGTATCGGATGTTGCCGTCACTGCAGGTGGTCAGAAATTGCGAGAGTAAAACAAATCAAGCAGGAACACTCACCCTCGGCCAGCCAAGTACAGGCAGTTGGTTCCATCGTCCCAGAAAGGCATGCATACGCCAGAGATGGAATCCAAGGTCTTGAAGCCATTGATGGGCTCACGCACGGCACGGATATCCCAGAGCGCCAGCTGGCGATCACTCATCTTGGAGAAACCGGTAGTCGCAATGCGATCACGCTCACCCAGCCAGACGGCGCGGCTGTTCTTTGCACCGGTGTGACCATTGGTCTCATGAGCCGGACGTTCCTGTCGCACATCCCAGATGCGGAGCTTCTTATCACGCGAGGTGGTGACCAATAGGGAGCCATTGGCACTCCAGGACTGCGACTGGACAATGTCACCAATGTTCAGCGTGAGCTTCGGTGCGCCAGCTTCAATATCCCAGATCTTAACGGTATAATCTCCAGAGGCTGTGGCCAGCACATTCTCTGCCGCGGGGTTGAAGAGCACGTGGCCGATCTTTCTGCGGGGAGGGGTAAGAATGGAGCGATAACGAGTTTGATCCGCGAGTATTCTTACTTAGGGTGGCCACTCAATTTGCCAATAGGGGCGAGATCCTGGATGTCGTCGGCATCGACCTCAGGGCGCACAGTGAAGTTCTCCGGAACCCGCCAGAGGAAGACCTAGAACCAGTCAGTCGCAAAGCGGATATAGGTTGCTTGCTGCACTGTACCTTGCCATCATCAGATCCCGAGGCAATCAAATCGTCGTTGAAAGGATTCCTGTATGGTTTTAGTGGGCTGTCGGCGCGGGGATTGTTCTAGATCAGGATTCCTTACCAGTCGGTATCCAAAACGACCGCAGTGTGGCCTCGACACAAGGGGATGCGCTCGGGGAGCTTGCCTCGTTCCTCAAGAGGAATGATCGCAAAAGCTCCACCACCACCTGCTTCCCAATTGACGGCAATGTGCTTCGGGTTGACCTAAATGCGCTGTGAGCCCGGGTTCGCCGGCTGAAACGTCAGGGGTGGCGCGTAAGGTGGAACACACCTTGAGTAGGTTCGTATCCCAGGCATTTCGGGAGACTCGAAGGTTATCGTAGCATTGATCCTGCACAAAGTTAGAATAGGAGATTGAGAATCGAGGAAGCAGCCCGGTCTACCTTTCTCGTCGATCGTCCAAAGACGTGGCCTGTAACGGTCAGCAGTGCGGCGCAGTTTAGATTATAGAGGGAACTCACGATATTTGGAGGAACGAACAAAACGCCCGGACATGGTTACCAAGTGTTTAAAAGAGGAGGTATAGTAAACAAAAAAACAGAAGGAGGGAAAAGGAGTAAGTGAGAGAAACGTTGGAGAAGCTCAAGCAACGGGGCTACTGGGGCCACTGTTTCGGGAATTCGAGTGGAGGCAACAAGCCCCACGAAGACCAGCCAATTTTAGAACGGGGGGAAGAGAAAAGGGTCAACAAAGAACACTCGAAGTATGCGTGGGCATCGTGTGGTCTTAAATCTTTTGCGCCTTTCGAGATCCTTGCGATTTACTCGAGGCCGTTTATCCTTTGTCTATGATTGATCACGTGGTGTTTTCGAGTACTCCGTGGTAATACGAATACGAGCCGGTGGAGGGATTCCGAATTGGGACTAGCCCCGTACGGCTGCCTGCGTCAGCAAATCTTTGTTTACTTTGCACCTCGTCCCTCCAGAAACCAGTTTGCGCTCATCTGAAGCCCGTACCTACCTACCGCCTAGACCTACCATTGGCATGTTACCCACCTGTCTGTTTCATTCGAACTCACTAACTCTTAGTCCCAGCTGCCGACATTGACACTGGCTGGACGTGAGCTTCTCCTTGTCGCCCGGATACTCTATTCGCCGGTAATCTGGCGGTCAACGGATCCTGAGATGGAGAGTGAAAACATGGTAATCACCCCACTTTGACTGACCGTAAGATGGGTACAGAGTTGACCTTGCATAGCCCCGAACTAGGTCGTCTACTCGGACGCGCTTGCCGCAGGCTGGTCCACCCCTTCGGGAGGCCAGCTCTGCGACAACCAACTCGCGCTCCGGCCTCATGCAGCCAGGTACCATCGCAAATAAGGCTATGACCATGTCGCGTATGGAAGACCCTGGATCCATCGCGCAATATGAACTAACATCGCTCGAAGCAACCCGCTCGAAAACCGCAAACTCGGAAGCGAAGAGACCCGGATCCGTCACCCGCCAGCCTAACACCACAACAAGGGCGCATAGCCGGGGCAATTCATTCGCATCTTCAACGATGTCCCGGTCGACTATATCTGCACCCCGCTCAACTCATGGAGCGTTTTCCTCCACCGTCGGCCCTGGCACGCGACCAGCTTCCGCCATGTCCCGACCTCAAACATCATTCGGCAGCCGCAGACCCGTCGGCGCATCGATCCCGCGCGCAGCGAGCGCATTGGACACCCATATGGAAGACACTTCACCCAGTGTACTAGGAAAGCGAAAGGGTATGCTACAATTTCCCTTATCTCCCAGTTCTCCCAGTCGTATTCCCTCTTGCCCCGTTGGACCCATACCCCCAGGATCGCCCCTAAATTGGAACGGGATCAGTCGATTGGCAGCACTTTCTGTGTCAGAGAGACCTGTTTCCTGTCCGAGCTCTTCCATTTCAGGGACTATCTCTGCGTCGCCTATTACTCCATTTTGCGATGTGTCTAAATCCACCACCCCGAAGCCATCTGGATATGTGCAACGTGCATCATCTTCTTCAATTTTTGCTACCCCTACCATACCCCATGGAACCCCATCAACTTCCCCACGGCGTGTTGTCAAGAAAGCTTCCCATCCCGCGTTTTTGACCAAAGGCTCTTCGATCCAAAATTTTGACAATGCTATAGGCCCGGAATGGGATCAAGAAACACGCGAAAAGAACATGGAGGGATTGATGCAGACATTGATGGCGCAAATGAATCAACAAGGCCAAGCAAGCTCTGGACTCAAAGATACGGTTGATTTCTACAAAACAAAAGGTAAATCGAGTTGGCTAATGGCCATGGTTGGACAAATCTAATTGTTTCGTCCAGTCACCGAACTCGAGGCTTCTCGTGATGAGTTGAAGGAAAACAACCTTGTACAGCGAGTAGAGCTAGATGCTCTGCGCAATCAGCTGTGTACAGCGGAACAGACGCTCAAGGAAGCCAAGCGAGATCAGGAGATCGCGATGGACGATCTCGACCAGCGCCAGCGGATTGAAATGGCTTCCATCCAACAGCAAAACCAGAGAGAAATCGCCACACTAAATGCTCGACATCAAGACGAGGTTCGCGAGCTGAAACGAAAGTTTGACCGGGAAATTGAGGATGAAAAAGCAGCAAGAGTACGAGATCTCGGTCAACTGACTTCCCAATCCGCTCTTGATACCCAAAAGTCCCAAATTGAACTGGAACGCAAGGAGCGCGAAATCAAGTCTATGAACGATGAGTTATGTGCTCTGAAGGCTGAGATGGATCGTGAAAGAAGAACTGTTCTTGAACTCAAGCTTAATTTGGATACAGCTAGTGGCAACAGCATCACACTAGAGTCATCGATTCGTGCCCTCAAAGCGCGCATTGAGTTCCTCGAAAGTGGACGTGAGGAACAATCTAAATCCTTTGAGCGATGCAACCAGCAGATGATGGATGCTTTCGCTGAGACGGAGGCGACCAAGGAGAAGCTGCGCAGGGAAGAGACTCTTCGGCGCAAACTTCATAACCAGGTTCAAGAGCTTAAGGGCAACATTCGCGTGTTCTGCCGAGTTCGCCCCGCGCTCAATAGTGAACCTGTCTCAGATCTGACTCTCATGCAGTATCCTGATGAGAATGATGATGCGAAGGAGATCAACATTCTCGGCCCCGAAGAGAGGAGCAGCCTCGGAACAGTCAATCGCAAGAACAATACTTTTTCGTTTGACCGTGTGTTCAACCCATCCACCCAGAATGCTGAAGTTTTCGATGAGATCAGTCAGCTGGTTCAAAGCGCACTGGATGGCTACAATGTTTGTATCTTCTGTTATGGTCAGACTGGAAGCGGCAAGACACACACAATGTCTTCAGCGGATGGCATGATTCCACGTGCTGTTCATCAAATTTACGAGACTGCGCAAGGATTGGAAGAGAAGGGTTGGCGATACTCCATGGCTGGTAACTTTGTCGAGGTCTACAACGAGAACCTCAACGATCTTTTGGGCAATCCAGATGAGTTGGACAAAAAGAAGCATGAGATTCGCCATGACATGCAGCGTGGCAAGACTATTATCACCGACATCACAACTGTCAACTTGGACTCTCCCCAGATGGTCGAGTCTATTCTCAAAAATGCGGATGCCAACCGATCTGTAGCCGCAACCAAAGCTAATGAGCGGTCATCGCGTTCCCACTCGGTTTTCATCCTCAAGCTCACTGGCCAAAACCACATCACTGGGGAACGTAGCGAAGGCACGCTGAACCTTGTCGACTTGGCGGGAAGTGAGAGACTGAGCCACAGTGGAGCCACTGGTGAACGTCTGAAGGAAACACAAAACATCAACCGTAGTCTCAGCTCTCTGGGCGATGTGATTGCAGCTCTCGGCCAAGGCAAAGAGGGCGGTCACATCCCTTACCGAAACAGCAAGGTACATATATTGCATTATTCCTATCACGCTATTATATGCTAACTCTTTCCAGCTTACGTACTTGCTTCAGTTTTCCCTAGGTGGAAATTCCAAAACACTCATGTTTGTTATGGTCAGCCCACTCCAGGCACACATGTCGGAGACCTTGACCAGCTTGAAGTTTGCCACCAAAGTACACAACACCCACATCGGCACCGCAAAACGACAGGCACGGGTCCGCGACGTCTGATTATGATGATACCTTCTCTTTTCTTGCATATATTATGTGGTTTTTTATGGGTAGAGGTCTTTGACGATCCTGTCCTCTACCCTGGCGTCTTGGCTGAGGTCTTGATATTTTCCTCCTTTATCAAAGCCCTGGGAGATATCCGGTCTTGCCTTAGCGTGTGATTTATTGTATGGACATGGTACATTGGCTTTAATCAATGCACAGTAGCAAGCTTTCAACGTTCTATTTGTTGTTTACGTTCCTAGCGACATGCTAATCTCTCTTTTCTTCAATGAATTTACGGATATCAAGTATGGTCTGTTCTTTTCGCTCAATCCACGGAAAATGCCCACACTCATCATAAATGATTACTCGAGCATCTGGAATACCCTCTATCGTCCGCTCTGCAATCCCTATCCCACAGATCATATCTTCACGGCCAAATAACATGAGTGTTTTCGCCCGGACATCTTTCAGCCCCTCCACCATTAGCATCCGGTGCCCAAGTTTCTTGTCACATCGCCCCTGAGCCTCATAGCACCAAACCGACAACTTGCGCTCGCCAATATCACGCAATAGCTCGGGCACGTACCGCCCCGGATCAAAAAAATACAAAGGCCACATGCCTCGCACCGACTCCGTGAACTCCTCGTCCGACCCGCCCTGCCGATCCGACATCCTGTCCCACGCAGCCTGGTACCGGGCATCTATGCGCGTACCTTCGAGCAATAAAAGTCTTTTATCTTGAACGCCTACTAGCTGGTGATCGAGGAGTATCAGCTTGCCGACACGGCTGGGATATATCTGCGCATATCCCAGCGCAATCGCTCCGCCGTTCGAGTGGCCCAGGAGAACGGGGTATTTTTCCAGATGCAAATGCTGGCGCAGATCCTCTAGGTCAGAGGCGAGATCGGGCATGCTGCTCATTTGCGAGGCTGGTGGTCTGGATGATCCATCTGTTCCGCGAGGGTGGAAGAAGATGACGGTGTTCATGGGGTTTGTGGTGTTGGGGTCGCTGTTTGGTTTCCATAGTCCTTGTAGGCCATTTTGAAGATATTCAGATCCTAGCCCCCAGCCAGGGCATTGGACGACAATCACGTTTTGTGTCGCTTTATCTTCTGTGCTGGGTGAACGATGCACCACATATTCGAATGTTAACTGCTTTGCTGGCACATGGAAGGCGTGGGTTCCTGGATGGAGTTGATTCGACTGCATTTGAAAACAATAGTGGAGCGGTATTCAAATTTGGTGGCAACGTGGAGTAGCGTGTGTAGGTGCAATACAGAATGAATTTACGTCTTCCAGACATAGATCGTAGTATCGCTTTGTGACGTCACTCCGGACAGTACCTAAGGCAGACTCTATGGCTGGCAGTAAATGCAAATGGGGGAGTTCATTATCGGACGTTAAAGTCCATCAAAGTATTTAACGGCTTTCTGTTTCACTTGTTGGGCTTTCTCTTGAATATCATTGGCACCCAAGGTCCCTTCCTCGCAGATATACGCATCAATGAGCTTAGCCGGAACCCATTCAAAGTAAATATTCCTCACTTCGACTGTGTAGTTGGTATTCTCTTCATTAGCCACCCCAGTGGTCTCAGCCAGAGCCTTCACCCCTTTGATACCGCTGTCCAGCCAGCAGGCAATGACTTCTTTGGGGTCATTCTCTTCGTGGCTCTGGGTTTGCTCTGCGCTAGGCTCGGCCACCTTCTCCAACTCACTCAGGACCAAGACTTTCACTCGAGGACACACATGCTTGGCACATAATACGGCTGGCAAGGATCCAGTCTTGTTGCTAACTGAGCCCAAGTCTGAGATCTGGTCCGCCCCAAGTAGCACAAAGTCTACTTCCCTGCTGGCGAGGGCGGCGGACGCATCGGTGTACACTGTTAGCTTTAAATTCCGATCGGAAGGTGGGGGATATTTTGTTTGAAAGGCAGAGAGGATAGACGACGCCATGTTGACTCCTTCACAGAGAGGACGAGATTCGAGGACACGGAGGTCCAGATTGGGGATAGGAAGAGACGCGAATGCCTCTAAAATGCCATCTCGGATAGTAGAGCTTGCCGAGAATGTGAGAATAACTAGAGAAGAGGGAGGTTTTGCCTCTGCTATAGCCGGGAAGTTGGATTGAAGATAGCCCACAAAGGAATCCTTGATGCGCATGGGCATTTCTTTGCGCTTGTACAAATGGTGGTCAAGCAGGGCCAACAAGCGCTCCCATTTGATACCGCGATCCAGATCTTCATGCACGATATCCTCCATATCGGCCAGCAATCCCAGAAATGCATTCATGGTGGCAGCTCCCATACTTTCTCGTCCATTTTTCCATATATGCCAGGCAGCCATGCGAGCAGTTTCCCACCATTTTGCATCGATCGCCTCATTCATCTGCGCGATAACGTCTCGGAAGACCCTCAGTGCAATCGAAGTCAACTCGTGCGATCCGCTCTGATGATCAGCCTTCAATTGGCCTAGGCCGGCTAGGAGTGCGCTACTCGCGTCCTGATTCATGTCCCCTTCAAACCAGACGCGTCGTAGACTTTCTCTCAAACGAGGCACACCACCAAACTTTTCATCATCTTGAATCTCTTGAGGATTGTACCATTGCCAACTTTCATGCTCCCAGTCAATTTGAATACCTTCCTCCCCGCGACTACCCTCACGGCAGTCTTTGAGTCGGAACAGGAATGGGAAAATGGTCCACTGCCGACCGATGCGAAGATCACGGAAGGAATATGGTTTCCCCTGTCGCCAAAGCTCAACATCTCGTGGAGTAAGAGTAGTCTCCTCCTTGAGCTCACGCCATGCTGTTGCCACTGGTGTTCCACCCTGCTCAATACTGCCTGAGATGGGGGCTAAACAGTGCCTGGAGTAATTCGTTAATTGGAATGCGCAAGGTAGAGAAGCGGGGTTTGTTTTGGGGACCTACTGATATGTACGGACTTTTCCACTGCGCCGAAATAGAGCGACTTTGAATTGTCCTGTGTCTGAGCAGAGAAACGAGGATACTACCGATCTTTGCTGTAAAGTGGGCTCTTTTGACTGGCTCATTGTGGTCAAGTGAGTTGGCCTCCTATCCAAATAGCTCTGAGACCTGCCAAGTCACAACCTCGGATTCTTCGTCATCATCACATCATTGCATTGTCCTGCAAACAACTTGCGAAGACGTCTTCTGAACGCCACATGCATGGGTGTCAAAGGGTTTCAGGTTTAGTGCTCTTGCTGCTTTTTGAGCACTGGGTATACCTGAGTATCAGATCCTGATCTACTCGCTGGGTGCTCACCGGGTGTACCTCAGGATGAGCGGTCTAAGTAAATATGTAACATACATTAGTGGAATGCGATAATGCCTAATCCTTCTCCTGTAGATTAAAAAAAAAGGGACTGGTGCAGTCACCGTGACCAATCGTCTAAACAGCTTTGGTAGTATTTCAGCAAAAAAAGCCTCACGCCCAAGGGAACTAATCGTTTCCCAATCCAGCCTATGCTCCTACGAATAACCTTCGGAATGCTTCGTCTACAAATATGTGAGCTATCCCCAGAAGGGTTGGGATATCATAGCGGCTAATTCCTCGATGATAGTATGTTCTAAGAGGTTATTGATAAAGTACATATGTAGGGCACGGTGCCTCGCAAAAGAAGTTGACAGATTATACAAAGCAGTCCAGTTTGCAGTTAGTTACTTGCAGCCCTCGGGGCAATAGCTTGTTCTCTATCATTGATTAGCCGTTTGGCTATTTCACAAAACAAAGATTAGTAGTCCAGAGGCTTTCTTCCATAGACGGCGACGCTGTTCGTAGTTAGTACAAGAACCAAGGCTATTGAAGGGGATATGGGTTGAACTGTACGTTTGAACATAGGCATGTAACCTTTTATCTCGCAGCTCCCGCTTGACCACCGCATTGTGAATCTGCGCCATCTCCGCACTCCAGCCCAGCACCTGTGTGTACAAGCGCAGCGAATAAGAATCAATGGCTTGTTGTAACTGCACGGCTTGGTACTTCCCCAAGGCCTTCAGATGGGGATCGCGCGGCCAGGGCGAGAAGGGCAGTGTGTAGACCGTCAATCGAACATCCTCAAAGCCGGCTTCAATCATCCAATCCTTCAGTTTGTGGTAAATGTTCAGCTCCCGACCGGTCTTTTCGCCGGCGAAATTGATGGCCTGCTGCCATTCCATGAGTGCGGAATCTTCCTTGAGTGTGCCATCGTCGCTCCGGGCCCACACGGCACTCTCGTGCGATTCAAAGTAGCCGCCGGGTTTGACGTGCTCGTAAATCTGCCTAATAAATCTGGGCCAGTCGGCCACGCACCTACTCACTGTGTTAAGAGTGTCACTCTCGCTGAGATAGACCAGTGGGGACATACCCTGCTAGACATCGTGCGTGGATAAAGTCAAAGTGGTTCTTTTCATATTCCCATTCGCTTTCGAAATCTTCCACGATGAACTCGATGTTTGGGGCCACCCAACTAGGCTGGATGGGGCTGATATCATTCCCAATGACGTGGGCGCTGGGGAATTTCCTATTGTGCAGGGTCAGTCTTGCTGGTATCTTATCTCACAGATGGAGGATGGAGGGATTCACGTACTCGGCAATATCCATCGCCCAAATGCCTGTTCCGGTCCCGAGATCAAGAATGTTCTGTGGCGACATCATGAGGGGCGCATTATAGAGCTCTCCTCCTAGTAGCATCAGCCATCTGCACCGCTCTGGTTAGCCACATCTGTTTGTAAGGGATGTATTGCCTCACGGACATATGGTGTGTCTGAAGGAGGAGTCAGTAATAAGTATGTGAGCCTCGGAAGTCCCTAGGGATCAGGTGCCTTACAATATCCATCCGATCCTGCTCCTCCTCATCATTTGGCATCCTGAATCGGTCAGTCTTCCTGGCTCGGAGAGTCTAGAGGAGAGTGTGAAAATACATATAACCGCCCTGGTTGTCGGTTAGTTCAGTCGAGTTTCATGTAGGCCAGGCCACTCACGGAGCGAGTACTGCAATACCGCCGACCATTTTCATACTCAAAGTCGAGCACGCTATCCGACAGGGAGGTCAGATCGGACAGGTCATCATCGAATTCACTGTTGCTGTCCTACAAGATGGCGTGTATTTAATCTCCGGGTCCTCATAAGCCAAGCATTCGAGTCTACATACGTCGCCAAAATTATCGACCACAATTGGACCGGGGGTGGCAGGGATCTCAGTATTCGCCGTCTCCGTGTTGACTGAAGGTACAGACGGGATTGGTTCGGATGGCGCCGAGGGTTCGGGGGTGGAAACCATGATGGAAGGAACCAAAAGGGAAATTTTGTGAGGAAACACAAGGAACACAGGAACGCAAGAGCACAAGAGCACAAGAACGCAAGAACGCAAGAACACAAGAGAGAGAGAAAAAAAATTCCCTTAAAACTGGCTTGACTAACTAACGGGTGGAGGGGGTTTGCACCCAAACTGTCGGGTTCGAAGGCGATTGATCTATTCTGCATGTTTGTCGCTTCTGTATTCCCTTCAGAGCCAATGAGGTCGGGTGAAAGAGGCGGATATAAACTCCATTCCACACGTTTGAAGTCTTCCCTACTTAAAATACTTGACGGTCGTGCATTCTGAACGGCCACGAACCGTTGAGAGGCGACTTCATGGATGGCTTCGCTGGACCAATGAGAGTCTTGTCCTACCCAGGCGGGAGCCATCTTCGGTGGAAATCGAGGCAAGGCATACTCCGTACAGCGCGAACAGACCCAACATCGCTCGGATCGGTGGAGAGAATCAAAGAGTTTTTTTTATGTCGACTCATGTTGACTGCTCCTGTGGAATCTCAGGTAGGTTCCCACCATGATTGTATCATTCGATTACCGTGTAAATCCTTTTTCCAACATTTATTCACCCCGGTTCACAGTTCACTGTTGAAAGTCCAACCCCTGTTGCGGATCCCAGACTCCCCAAACGCCCTGAACACCCCACTCCTATTATGGCTCGAACGGTGACATGTCAAAATAAAGGACCGTTATGAAAATTATGATGGCGGAGAGGTGGGATATTCTGGGTACATTTTAGTATGTCATATCCATGCCAAGAAGGACTCGATGCGGTGTGATTCGCGGTGTGATTGGTTGATACTGGATAACATAACTACCTAGGTCCTACCTACAGCACTGAGCTTGCCCGACTCGCGAGGAGATCTACTCCTCTGTATGTTATGTACATAACGGGAGCCACTCGGCACTCGAAATGAGACAATACAATATTATTTGAAGCCCATCCGAGCCACAGGGCTGGTACCCGGATGGGGCCTCTGCTGAGCGATCTAAACGCTTTTTTTCTACCCACGATCAAGTGTGTGACATGGAGACAGGCGTTGTATTGAAGGTGAAAGAACACGATGTCAGGTTAACATGCTCGGTACTCGAGAAAAGGTGAATAAAAGGCGTGTGGATATCGCATGTCTACACCATCCAGGAACTAGCGATTGCGGTATAAATGGCCTGGTGGGAAGCTAATCCCTGCGAGGGTTAGTCAGGTGTGTAAGCCTTGCTCGCTGATTGGACACTGGGGATTAGTCATTCTGCAGCTGTCCCCGGGGCCGATCTCCGATCTCCTGCGCTGAGCCCCGATCCCGAGGCCTGAGCCCGTGCTGACATCTACTCAGCCTGCCCAGGTGAGCAGTGGAGGTTCATCATAGCGGCGACAGCTCAAAGGGGAAACTCCCCACCGGAGAGAACCTACACGTATGAAGTACGTGGGTATTTTTAAAAAAATAACTACATATCATAGGGACCAGAGAGTTCCAAGATGCCCATTCTCACCGGATCATGTATCTGTCGGAACATCGAATATGAGTTGCGCCTTGCTTCGAACGATGAGGCGCGGACATCACTCTGTCACTGCCGTAACTGTAAGGTATGAGTTGTGCTGGAGATGCAACAGAGATGTGCCCCCACTCAATATGCATGATCGGAACAGAAAGCCTCCGGAACGAATTATGGCCTGACAGCCAAAGTATCAAAAGACACATTTTATATTACCAAAGGAGCGCCAAAAGAACATGTCGCAGATAACGGATCTGGAGCAGTGATTCATCGGCAATTTTGCCACAAGTGCGGTAGCTTCATTCTAGAATACGGAGTATATCAGATTCTGAGATTGCGTGATGGCTTTCACTAATCGACATGTCAGGATGCTGTCAAAGACCGGTTTCGCTACATCTGTGTTGGATCCTTGGATGACCCCGAGGCATTACCTCCCAAGGGAGAGTTCTTCTGTAACGCTCGGGCGAGCTGGATGCCAGAGATTCCTGGTAAGTTGAGAGCAGTGCTATAACTCCTTAAGATTATAGGATGCTAATGGACAAAGATATCTTCCATAAGCAGGGGATTAAGGAGTAAAAGAGGGAGATTCTTTTCTTCGTGGGATTATACATTGAGTTAGTTGTCCATTTATATAGTGTCGATAGTATGTATCATATACCATTCACAGTCACACTTTTCACAATCATGTCTGGGGCCAGCAATCTGTCTCGAATGGAGATTGCATTCAAAAAGTCATTGCTGTCCACCCGACGGTATCCGTCTTCCAGGGTCTTCTCAATGCCTGCCCGCAGGTGGCGCTCGGCCAGTCGGCCCCTTGCTTCTAGCGGGTCCGTGTCGACAAAAACACGATAGTCGACCAAGTCAGCGAGCTCTCGCCAACCAGGATCATCAAGAAGCAGATAGTTGCCCTCAATAAGAATGATTGAGGCATCTGGGGTAATGGAAGTCCCGTTCTCCACGGGGTCTTTAGCTTCGTGATCAAACGTCGGCGCGTAAATGAGATCTGCCGAAGACCAACTTCCCGAATAGGGGGCTGCTAATGGGGTCTCATCCGCCCAAATGCGAAGCTGACTGACAAAGGTTACAAAGCGGTCAACGTCAAACGTCCATGGAGCTCCACGACGGATATATGCCTCTTTGGGGTTGGGCAGCTGATCCAAAGCTGCCCGGGAAAGATGGAAGCCATCCATGGAGAGCAGCGCAGCGCGAGATGTCGCGCTCTGATTCAATTGATGCAATACTGCCTCGGCCGTGGTGGTCTTTCCCGAACCGGGGATGCCAGCGATGGCGACTAGGTAGCGCGATTTAGGATGAGCATCAGCCTGGGTGCGGATAACATCCGCCAATCGCCGGTATTCGGATTCCATCTGTAATCTGCCGTTAGCTTCAACTCAACTAGAAGCCGATGTTGGTAGAACTTACCTTGAATCAATCACACATGGAATGGAGGTATGAAGATATCTCGCAGTGACGCAAACTGAAGTAGATACCTCAACCACGGGTGAAATTCAATGGGTCATAGTGTATAAAAAGTGAAGAACGAGTTGAGCAGCGACACAGGGATTCTCGAATTATCCCCAAGTAATGAACGTGCTGGGCCAAGTTATGTATCTGCTGGTGGAGCGGGCATCGGGTCACAGTGTTCCGATGCAACGCAGTGGCTCTCGGTGTTGCGCCGACTCGGCATTCCACCTCAATCAGGATCTTTGCAACTGTCTATGGGATTCAGTGGAGGAAAAAGAGGGGTTGTAGCTGTGGATGTTGATAGTCCACTCCGCCCGTTCCAAGTTCATGTCGGAACACATTTCTCCGGTTACACGCTTTGAGATGATCGAACAACTTCAACTGAAAGAACCATTTCGATTTTGGTATTCGAATGAAGCCCACTCTCCAGATGCAGCTCCTGAGGGGAAAAAAATTTCATGACAAAATATGCGCCAAGTACTTCGGTGATATCAAAACATCAGCCCACTTGCGACCAGGAAGAGCTCTTCCTGGAGCCCCCAAGTTCAGATGAACCTGTCAAATCAGCGCCCTACTGCAAGAGAAAACAATAACAGCGCAGAGAACGAAGTGGTCATACGGTCGCATCTTTGATTAATACCTGTGTGGAAACTGATTCGACCTGACTGTTTGTTGACTTGACTTTGCGACGACGTCGTGGTAAAGGCTCGACATAGAAGCACAAGAGCTGCTGTGACCAACAGTGAGAGCATTGAGGCCGCGCATGATCACAAGCCATATGGCTCTCACGACATGTCTTACAGTCCCCCGGATTGAGTTGGTATGGCTTTTGCGCCAAATCCCCGCATTTGGCGCCTTTGAACGCGGTGCCCCGCCATCCAGTCCACAGCCACTGCGAGATGCGACCGCAAAGTCCACGCGGTCTGTTTGCTTGCTGTACAGAAGCATATGGGATGCATGTAGACATGTTACCGTGGGGGCTCTGTAATAGAGCGGAGACGTGACTTGGTTCCCCCAGGCGATCGATCGGGTTGCTCCTGTAGATCCTGTCAGTGAACCTCGATCAGCTTTAGACAATTACCCCGGATCTTCTGACCAGTGGCCCTGAATTATCCTTATGGGGCCCAAATTCTCCGTTACTGGGGCTTTCGCTAGAAATATTGCATCATGGCAACAGAAGTAAAAGGAGAGGATGAGACGACCAGACAGAAAAGAAGACAGCCAAGATGAACACGAGATCTCGACGCCCAAACCTGGACAGCAAACAAATCATGCATTCTTTCGGCGTTTAGGCCCCTGGCCCCCCTGCAGTAACAAATAACGTACGTCAGGGCATTACGGGGTGTCCAATCAGGCAACTAGACGTGCGAGTCATGGAAACAGGATATTTCCGGTGCTGATGACTATCTTCATATTTTGCTCTTTGCAGATATACAACTACCATCGGACTCACCCAAAGCATACCTAGGTATCACCTATAGGTATTTGATTCAGGGAAACGTCAGGCGGCGTTCGGAGTGGTGCTCGTCGGAATCACGTTCCACGAGACGTGAGAAATGATGGAGCCGAACGCACTGTCGCATAGCCACGACACGTCATGATGGCTTCACTGAACCAGAAGATATCCCTGTCAATTGAAACACGACTTGAATATGAACTTTGAACAAATCATCAATGAGCCAAAATGGTGCGAGTAAGCGAGGCCATCAAAGATGATCACCGAAAACTAGAATCCTATTACAATATCATTGTCAATTCAGACGACGAAGACGAACAAACCCGATTTCAGAATCAGTTCACCTGGGAACTTGCGCGACACGCGGTCGCCGAGGAACTGGTAGTCTTCCCTGCAATTGAAAAACATGTCCCTGGGGGGAAGGCGAAGACGGATGACGATCGGCGCGAACATTCCACGGTAGGTGACCTATTGGCTTTGTTGTAACAGAGAGCAGAGCTGAACTAGCGTAGATCAAAGAAATGCTCGATGTTTTCCAGGATCTGAATTGTTCCGACCCACGCTTCATCCCTACGCTTACATTGTTGATGGAAGGCCTTGCACGGCATATGCGAGACGAGGAGTCCAATGATTTGGTTAGATTGGAGGAATCTCTTACCGTCGATGAGAGTGAACAGTTGGCATATTCTCTCAATCGCACCAAGATCTTTATGCCCTCTCGCGCGCATCCATTCGGTCCGGACAGACCAGAGTACGAGACTGCAGCTAGCCTGCTCACTGCCCCCGTGGATCATCTAATGGATCTGTTTCGAAAGTGGCCAGAGGAGGAGACCAGTATGACTGCGCTAATGGAATAGATTAAAACTCAGAAGAGTCACAAGAACGTAATGTTCAGGGAATCCCCTTATGTTCTATTCAACAGTTACTCTGGATATACACATAATAAAAACGCGTGAATGCGGTTGCAGTCCTATCCTGGATATTGATCACGTTGCTCCACGAAGTCATCTCTGCGTTGGGGGTGATCGCGTTGAGATCTGGAGAAATCCAACTTAGCAACTGGATTGATATTGCATATGAATATCTTTCACCTTTCTAAATCCCCAGGCTGCCTGCCTGTGTCTTTACTCTTTTCCGTGGAAGATTCATCAGATTGGTGTCGAGGTAAATCCCCATCAAGCTCATCGTGGAGAAGGTTTAGAGCATCATATTTGGCGTTTGGGGATATCTTCGGAGTGTCTATAATGCTGTAGACAATTAGTAGCGATGGCTTTGGAAGGGAAGTGAATTCAATCTCACGATTTATAACCGCGCCTCTCATTGACTTCTTCTTCGGTTGAGAGTATATTGAACTGATTTTTATCCCCAGAGTCAGACATAACTGAGTAGTTAGTGAGGTGCTAAATGGAAATCACAATTCCTGCTAGTGAGATAAAATACAGTGTTTTAGATCTTATATGATATAGATCTGACAAATAATGGTAGAAGACATGGAGGCGAAGTCATGGCGGCACCAAGGCCCGAGTCTACAACGTCACATAATAATCACAATTGCCATCAGGCAAGAGATACCAGCATCAAAAAGCCCTAGAAGCATAGCCGCAATTGCGAGTAATGCCTTGGATTGGCAAATTCACTTCGAAATTACTAAGAGACATGCTCCTGTTCCCGCGTTAACTGAACACAGGAAATGGTATTCATTTGGACACAACTCGGTACAAAGGACGAAGAATTCTTGACTCTATCACAAGTCAGACCTAATGAGGGATGTCCTATCTGAATTGTCCTTCATATCCTGCGTATCCCCCACTGTTCAACATCTCCAGCCCCGGCTCGTCCTGGACGTTGCGATATCTCGAAAGCATCTTGCTCGGATGGAAGAAGTTGAAAAGTAGACAACAGCCGAGCATCAAAGTCGCATCAAAAACGTAGACGAATACTTCCTTGCTTTGCAAAACCCCATCGCTACCCTGGATATATTCTGCGACCCGGTAAATGGATCGAATCATAACCAGAGCACTAGCAGTATAGAGGACCTTCATGTAGCGGGTCCACGGGATGCCAGTGTTATCCACAGCGAACGCGGGTGTAGTTAACATACGGCGATGGAAAACCAACGAAGCAAGGATGAAGAAGCCGAAAAACAGAAGTTGCACAAAAAGCCCAGCGACAATCATGTTGTTTCCGAGATCGATCTTCGACTTTTCCTTTGCGGTAGCGAGCATGCCGCCACCTGAGAGAGCACGTTAGCGACGTTTCTTGCAATATTAAAGCCACCTGATTTACCTCCACTTTGGATGAGGAATGACAACACATCACCCGTCACGAATATCTTGGTCAACCATGACGGTCTGATCAGCGAACACGAGGTCCCGTTCAAGAGACGGATGATGCGACCAAGGATCATGTAGATAGAAGCCGCGAAGAAGGCAGGTGCAAGAAGGAGCATCAAGCTTTGAGTGACGTATACTCCGGTGGTCCAGTTCGGGGTTTCCCTTGCGCTGGCATACCTTGCTAGATAGCCGAGGGCCTCCACTGAAGTCATTCCATGATTATGAGCACAGTGTCAAAGACGAAAGATTTCAAGGATGAGGTAGAGGGTGTACACACAGAACCCACCAATGACAAAGGGTGTGAAATACCAGGCTCGGTTCCGACCTAGTTGCCAAATATGTATGATGGTCGTGAGACCAAACACTGCTGCAAAGGCGAGCGCAGCACCAGCCGATGGGTCGTAATGGTACAATTTGAACCCTTGCACCATGGCAAATGAGCAACACGTGCAAAGAAAAAGAAAATTCGTGAAATGGTGAAGGAGAGACGTGGGACTCGAGAAAGATGTGTTGAAGATCGAGAAAAGTAAACGAACCTAGATATCAAAAGAGGAAACAAGTGCAACGACAACGACAACGAAGGAAAAATAAAAAAGCAAAACAGATACAGCAATGAAGTCCATTAGGCTCTATTTATGACAGAGCCAGACTATTCATAGCTCATTTCGTTTTTCCATCTCTGAAACATTTTATCTGCTCTGAACAGATATATGTCTGCCTCCATGAAGATGCTTCAACCCCACAGCAAGGGAGCAAGTTCGGGTTAATGCAACTTTTTCAGGAGCACTAGTCTTGATTGATATATGAATACGAATGCTTCGGCAAGAACGAAGCACTTTAAAATAGCTTCAGCTTAGTTTCCTTTCGCCTTGATCCACCCAAGAAGCTTGTGGATCTTAGTCTATGTTCTCGTCCAGTCAGAGGTCTTGGAGATTACCCTTTTGGGTAATGATTACGAGTACGAGGTACCTCATAGTTGCGACTAGGCAACATACTAACCTGTGAAACCAAAAGGAAACGGGCTTGCTCCACCGGATTCCCTAGAAGAGAGCTAGAAACGAGATACGATAAAATAAATCGTAGATCTGCAAAATATATCCATCCACAATGACAACCAACTCGGCCGAGGAGTGAAAACATTTCCCGCAGTTTTGCCTTATATAAACGCAGGTCATAGCCATATCTCTTCGTCTTGGTTTACCTCAAGCTTTCTACATAGTTTTTCGTCCTATAATTAACAATGGTGTGGAAATTTTACTACTATACCCCATCCAGTCCAGCTGCTGGTATCTTCGTTGGACTGCTTGGCCTAAGCACTGTGTTGCATCTTTATCAACTTCTTCGCACGCGGACATGGTTTATGATTCCGTTTTTGGTTGGGGGAGCTCGTAAGTAAATTGATATCTTGAAAACTCGATTACTGTGAAACTCATCGTTTTTGCTTTAATAGTCGAAACGGTTGGTTACGTTGGCCGTCTATTATCATCGACCGAGACACCCGACTACACGAAAGGCCCGTATATCATGCAGAGCGCGTTGATATTGATTGCCCCCGCTTTCCTTGCAGCTAGTATTTATATGACGCTCGGACGAATCATTTTCATGGTTGACGGGGAGAAATGCTCCCTGATCAGACTAAAATGGTTGACCAAAATATTTGTGTCGGGCGATGTGCTGTCTTTCCTGATGCAGGCTTCTGGTCCGTGTTCCTCGTTCCTCGTCAACTAAGCTTCTATTGAGGATGACCATTAACTCTTCGGTAGGAGCTGGAATCATGGTCAAGGATACGACGAATCCATCAACTGGCGAAAACATCATCATCGGTGGTCTATTTGTGCAAATACTGTTCTTCGGGTTCTTCATAATCAGCGCGATGGTGTTCCAGTCTCGTATATCGAGCAGTCCCTCAGGAAGATCTATCGAATTGTCGAGCGTTTGGCGCCGACATTTGACTGCGTTGTATATCAGCGGTGCCTTGATCCTTGTGCGATCGATATTCCGCGCTGTGGAGTATATCCAAGGATATGATGGCTACCTGATGAAACAGGAAGTGTTTATCTATGTTTTTGACGGCTTGTTGATGCTAATAGCGATGGTTATCTTGCAATACATCCACCCCAGTGAGATTAACTGCTTAATTGGGCGTGGAGATCGGCACACTGAGAAGATATTCAAGACGCGCAAGTTCGCACCTGCGTCGGCGCTGGAAATGGGCGGGGCAATGGATGCGTGACAATAATTCCAATACCAATCCCATGGTTACTGTCTTGTATCAAACAAGGAGGAGATAAACAAGATCAGGAAAACTCATCATCAATGAATAGCGTAGAAACAATGAGAGAATGAGGCAGCCAGTTGTGCCTGAGGCACCCAGGCCAAATCAAGCCATAAGATCAGTGTGAAAACAGAACATAAACATACGAAGAATGTCCATTCGAAAGACTTTGAAGCCCAATTCTAAACGGAATCGTTGTCCTCAACCGCAATACACCACTATATCTCATCTGTTACAAGTGAAGGCTTTCCTACTCGCACAAGCAAAAAAGGCGATGTGAGACATCCACGGAGCACAAAGTACCGAGAAGCACCCGAGTGATACTATCAATAAATCAAGCAAATACGACCGCGAAGAATGACCAAACAACCTTGTATAGCCTACCGTCGCTTGAATGTAGCTGACAGCTTTGCCCTATATGTTGATGAATGGGAATCCAATTGTCGACAGTCTCAGCAATTGTTAGTATTAGTAGCACATTCAGGAATTCATACCACTAGCTCCGCGACTCCAGCCACACAAACAAATGCCAGACACCACCCGGAGCGCCCATCTCCGTAAGAATGGCCGATTCGACTTGGCATATTCTGTTTGGGTCTTGGCTTCTCTTCCCCTTAAATCCTACCACGAGTTGAGTGCATTCTTAAGTGCGAAGAACTTTGGGATTGTCCACCTTGCCGATATATTCCCCGATCAAAAGATCAAAGGCATCCAGCATACCTGGGCTTACACAGATTTGGTTCAGAACGAACTACTCAGCAGAAGGGTATCATGATATAGGGGTATCATGCGTCGCATTAGTACTGGTGGTCAATGCTTGATCGGTTTCCGAAAAAGCCATTTGGCCGATTACCCCGTACAAGGATATCATATTGTACAGATCAGGCAGTGAGTTCCGTCGCTAGCTGTGCCTATGCGAGCTAGTCCGATAATTTGAGTCTACTCCGTACGTACGGAGTAGTAGGGGCGAAGGGAACGAAGGAAAGAGTTATATTGGAAAGGAGACGGATGCCCGGACTTTGTTATATATCGAGTCTAGGAGGGTCAGGTCTGAAGCGAACACCAGTTTATAGACAGTACTCCGATGGAGTGCGTAACAAAAATTGTGATTACCATTGTGTCGGCCTACAGGCGCGGCAAAAGATCGTCCACCCAAGTTGGTTTCAGCGGATTGTTTCAGTTATCACTAAGTGGTCAGGAGATTTTCCTTGGCTTGTACTGGCTTCATTCGCCATCCTGCAGCCTTGGTGTGTCGATGATAAATATTCCGTACTCCCCACGGAGTACGGAGTACTGCTTTTTAGTTACTTCCCAGCGCATCTTATGACCCTGGTGTGTTTGCCACTTGCAAATACAGGCGTTTTCCCCTGTGTTGTAATTGTGTGGTCCATTCTGTGCCATTTCCATTGACAGTGAAGGTTGGGCGACCAAATCCCTTGGCGTAGGACATCTGGATTCGGTGCAACCCTGTTCGGTTCATAAAGTGCGAAATAGACGTATAGCCGTTGCATTGAATGATGTATATCAATTCTAATGGGAGCTTCTCAGATCACCCATTCACCCTGTGGTGTGGCGTTGGCATACTGGGATCGGCAGGAATGTCCATGTCTGTCGGAGCGATCATGCTGTCTGAGGCTAAACGGTGGATTCAAAGGCCAACGATCAAAGTGGACAGCCTCCAACACCGATCTTCCAGGTCTAGACTCGAGGTGGGCTAAGAGGCGCTAAGAGGAAGAGATTTACTCCGTGCAGGTGGAAGTGGAGAACGCGGTGACTCCGATCAAAACAACTCCGCAGACATTGTGAACATTTCGAGGAATGTGAGGATCGAGAAGACGAGATGCTGGGATATGGACACGTTATGAGGCTTTCTATACTTGCACTTCTTGTTCGTTCTCGCTTTGTTTAGTCGTTTTCTTGTTCACAATGCCAATATTCTCCTGTTTCACCGTGTGTTTGGGGTTGCCCCTCCTCGCAGCGTACGCGTTTCAGATTCGACACACCCACTTATAACCGCCCTTGAGTGGTGACAGCGACCAGTACGGAGTAGATCCTTTGTGTCGACCGGCCTTTCGCTCCCTGAAGAATGGATCACCATAGGTGGACTCGAACTCCTGGGCTCCAACGCCACGGGGGCGTTGGAACCGCCGCTGTGACCTATCGCAGATATCCGCTCAAAACCACAGGCAAAGGAGTCAGGCACTTATGACTTCTCACTGGATGGAATAATGGATCTCCAGTTTCCATTGCTGGATTTAGCACAAAGAAGCTTGGACTTGTGCGGCTGGTGCACAAAAAAAGATACTTGAGTCAAATACCTCCCCATCGTTGCTTCGATACCTTCGACAACACTCACATTCTTTTCTCCTTGTTGACAATCTGGATTGTCAGTCTTTCTTTTAGTTGCTTTTTTTTTTTATTAGTCGCGGTCTTTCTCATTCTCTTTCCATCTCTGCTTTCTGGACTATCGTTACAAGCAGAAGCATCTGGTCTTATTAGACATATCTCCAGACAAAATGGTTTCTTCAACATTTTCATTGAGCGCTGGATCGCTGATGCTGGCTTTGTTGTCTTCCCCTGTGGCCGCCGCAAGTTACTCCCTGGTGGAGAACTGGCAGGGGGAGCATTTCCTGGATTACTTCAATTTCCACGTTGGGACTGACCCAACCAATGGCTTTGTCAACTATCTTGACAAGCACTCCGCCGAGAGCGCAGGCCTCGTCAAGGTCACCGATTCCGGCAGTGTCTATCTAGGTGTCGACCATGTTACCAAGTTGAACCCCAACGGCAAGAAAGGTCGTGATTCGGTTCGAATCGGCAGCAAGAAATACTACGACAAGTCCCTGGTCATCGCCGATCTCGCTCACATGCCGGGTAGCGTTTGTGGTACTTGGCCCGCCTTCTGGTCTGTCGGCAGGAATTGGCCTGGTGATGGTGAGATTGACATCATCGAGGGTGTCAACTTGCAAGACTACAACGAAATCGTGATGCACACAGCTGGCACTTGCAGTTTGACAGATACAGACATGACCGGGGTTGTCAATGCTACAGGGTGTGGTACGGATCTTGGAACTGTCGGTTGCGTCATCGAGGGACACAAAGGAAGCTATGGCACATCATTCAACGAGCAAAAGGGAGGTGTTTATGCGCTTGAGTGGACCGATGATTTCCTCAAGATCTGGTACTTCCCCCGACACTCGATCCCTCCCTCAATCACTAGCGGCAAGCCCGACGTTACTCAGTTCGGTACACCTATGGCCCTGGTGGAGGAATCATGCGACATCGCCAATGCCTTCAAGGCACAGTCCTTTGTTTTCGACGTCACATTCTGCGGTGATTGGGCAGGTGGTGTTTATGGTAACTCTGGTTGCCCTATGACCGGTGGGGACTCCTTCCAGAGCTGCCACAACTACGTTGCCAACAATCCTGCACAATTCGAACAGTCTTACTGGGAAATCAATTCTGTCAAGATCTATCAGACCAGCGTCAAGGGCATCAACTCCCCTGCCTCCTCAAAGACTCAGGCTGCGCCTGTTGTCCCCCAGACACACACCCAAGTTCACGAGCAAACGCACGCGCAAACCCACACCCAAGCTCACACCCAAGCTCACGCGCAAACCCACACCCAAGCTCACACCCAGGCTGACGAGCAAACCCACGCGGAAACCCACGCCCAGACTCACGCCCAGACCCACGAAGAGACCCATGTTGTCAGCACTGCTACTGCTGTATACACTGCTGCTGCCAACCAGGGCGAGTCTGTTGGAACAGTTCAGGAACTGAACCCTACAACTGCGCCCCCTCCCGCAGCTACTGCCAAACCCCATGGCACCGAAGCAGCCGAGCAGCCAGCTTCTCCCAAGAAGACTCGGACTGTCACCTCCCTTGTCACGTTCACCCAAACCGTTTGCTCAGATGCCGAACAGCCTTCTGCTTCTGCTGGTCACGCTTCTGTCGATCCTCTTGGCGCTTCTCGTCCTCACAGTACCCAGGTCCCAACGGATACCCAAGATTCCGAGTCACACACCTCATGGCACACTGCTACCAGCGTCGCATCTGTCCCGGCTGCCAACCCACTGCCCACCCCTGAGACGCAGTCTGAGTCTGTTATCGGTTCTACGGCTGAGGTGGCTGAGCCGATTCCTGCCACTGCTGAGAGCTTGGGTGCCGAATGGTTGCATCCCTCTCGGTACCTCGCTGCCGTTGTTTCGTCGGTCCCTTACGAGACCTCCAGGGCTCTGATCCCTGCCCCCACCGGTGTTTCACCTGGAACCGCTACGTCCGCCACATCTGGCTTCTTTGTTCCCAGTGGGTCTCAGTCTGGGGACGGCCCTGTCTTCACCGGAGCCGCTGATCGGTTGTCTCTGAGCATTTCCGCTCTCTTCTTCGCAGTCATCGTTGCTGCTCTGGCTTAAATCTCTTAACTTTTGAATCGGAGTACTTCGAGCGGCAGTTTTTCTTTTGAATTGGTCATTGTACAGCGGGTCCCTGGGACGACCACCTTCTTTTTTCTTCGGAGCCATTTCTTTCTCTTCCCACAAACTGGGCACAAAATGAAGCTTAGATAGATAATTCAGAAATATTTCTTGAAGTGTCAAATGCAATGTGTTTCTCCAATCCGAATGCTTATTTACACGTTCTTTCTTCCAAATACCCCTCGTTCCCTTAAATCTTACCCAGCATGCCATTCATACTGACCACCTCGCCAACCAATCCTGAGCATAGCACTTCAAAATCCCATCGTCAATGATCCTCAGTCGGCCATTTCGCAAAGTCAGACTATCCCTCTCTGCTTTCTCTGTAACAAACCTTTTTTGCCCACTTCGCATCAAATGTGCTTTCTCCCCATACATAGTCTCATAATGATGAATGAGCTTAACCGCCGGATTCACAAGTACCTGGCCCTTCGCTTCACTCTCCCTCAGTCTCTGCAACCACTGCTCAAAAGGCAGGGTCTCAAAGTCAAAACCACTATCCTTCAGCGTGACAAGCAAAGACGACCACGTAAATTCTCGCGAATTAGACAAGTTGAAAATGGAGTCATCGACGTACTTCACTACCGCCGAGCTCGAAGCACAGCCCTCCCCCCGACTTACAGGGAGTAGCGCACGTCTTGGCCAATTCGAGAATCGTAGACGCGAGCTTGTCCACGGGCAGCCAAGAGCATGTTTGTGATAACTCAGGCAGAGCTTTGAGGGTCAGAGCCGAGCGAATCATCAACGGGAGTGCCTCGGAGTCATTCCAGAGACCTTTCTTTGAATGGCCAGAGACCTGACCGATACGAAGAGAATACGCCCTTGCTCCGCTTCGTCGTGCGTTGCTTACAATATGCTCCCCGATTAACTTGGATTGGCCGTAGCCCATGTAGGCAGAATCCAGGGTGACTGGCCCCTCGGGGATCAACGATGACGAAGAGCCGAGTGCCGTGGAGACTGAAGAGCAGAACATCAGGACGGCTGGTTCGCGTCGCTGGACGGATAGAGAGAACTGTATCAGATTGTAGAGTCCTTGGATGTGGGGCTCGAACTCAGATAGGGGGAGATTGAAGTTGACGGGCCATGCAGTGTGGATGATTAGGGAGACTGAATCGAGCATTTCCTGGATCGTGGGTTCGTCTAGCGCTAGATCAAAGTCTGGCTGGTCGATGCTGGAGTTGAAGGCAACAATCTTGGTCTGCTGTTCGGGAGATATGGGGAGCTCTTTGACGGCGAGACTACGAAGGACTGCTTCCCGTGGAGATTCTCGTCGTGTGAGGCAATATACTGTGGAGATGGAGTTGTCGTTGAGCAGCTCGTACAAGATATGAGCTCCGATTGACCCAGTCGCTCCTGTCAATAACTAAGTTATATTAGCTTGTGAGCATAGGCAGTGGAAATCAGAAGATCTATTCACTCACCACACTCTTATGATCGGAAAATGAATGGGGCTGGGGTATATGTCTCCCAAAGACGGAATACCGCTCAATCAAGTTCGTCATCACAGTGGTATCATCGTCCGAAGTTTCCAAAACTTCCCCCTTTTGCAAAGCACAGATATGACGAGCTAATTGGGATAGACAACCAGATTCAAAGATGGCATTCCTACCTGGAGTCTGGCTGGGCTCAAACTTGAAACGCTCGAGAATGAGACGCCGGAAGTGAATTGCCTTGAGACTGTCAACACCCTCAGCAAAGAAATTCGACTCAACACTAGAGAGGTGTATTCCAAGTTCTTGCTGCGCAAGCTGAAGAAGAACGGCCTCTGTCTCAGCAATACCGAGCTGGATATTTCCGACGATTTGCACTTCTTTGGAATAAAGGCTTTCGATAAGCTCTGTGTACTCTTCATAGACTTGCGCGCGGATCATAGACCCTTTGTCTGTTCGAGGAAACTTGGCCTCATGCGGCAAAATAGCAACAAGATTGCGGGAGATTTGAGAGAAAGCCTCTGCATGAGAATTTGCTTCTTGGATTGTCGGCCAAATTGTGTCGAGGAATTGGTCTTCTGTGAGATTTTCGGATTTGCAGTCATCGGCTTTCAAAACCAATAGTCCAGGAGCAGCTCTTTCCACCCCGACAACAACTGCGTCGTGAATGAAAGGGTGCTGTTTGATGTGGCCTTCAATAGGAAGTGGTAGGACTTTTTCACCATTCACGAGATTGATGCGATCATCCAGTCTTGACATATACTTCCATCTTCCTGGAATTGTCGGATGAGCAGAGAATACATCCTTGGAATAAAACGAGCCTGGTGGATCACTTGAATTTGAGGCTGTTAGGGCGGGATGGCCAGCAAGATAGACGCACTCAAAGAGTGATTCTGACTTGTCGATTGGCTTCATCCAGACATATGGGCGGATATTATCGAAGAATTTCAAGTAGTTCCAGTAAGGGTCGCCTTTGGGGCGCGAGATCGATTCGGCAACAAGGCCAGCCTCAGTACTGTCTTTGATTAATGTTTGCGTGGATAGAACTGTAGAAGCGTAGAGTACTCACAGGCCGAAAGAACCTCCAAAGTGTACCCCTTCACTGACCAGACGATCGCCTAGCCCGTCGGGACACGGTGCACCTCCATATGTAACTAACTTGCATGCCCGAAGCGCTGCGATACCGCGGGGATCATCAACCAAGACCTGCAGCATATATGGAACCGCAGCTACAGACTCTGGCTTGGCTTCTTCCAGGGCTGAAACGACATAGCCTGCCGTCAGAGGTAATGCAGCGTTCCACATGTACGCTGTCTTTCTCATCCACATTGCCTGCAATGCGGTTGAGAGCCCGTGAAGGTGATACCAAGGCAGAGGATTAAAACAGGTCAGCCCAGGACCTCTGAGCGGGTGGGTCATGAGGGCTTTGTGTGTGAGGAAGAGCGGTTTTGGAGTCCCCGTCGATCCCGAAGAGTGAAGAATCAAAGCGACCTTTTCTGGATTTCGATTTCGGCGTAGAACCAGAAATGATGACTCTGCTGTGTTATATAGAGAGTATGGAAGCATTGGGCGGCAGCTCACTATCTTATGGCGTATAATCTCGCCCAATTTTGCGCGGATACTTGGGGATTTGCCGTATATGATCGTCTCACAGTTGACTGTTTCCAACAATGATACACAGGCTTCGCTTGACAGTCGTGGGGAAAGCATCATGACGGTATATCCCAGACGACTCAGTGCGAAGAAGGTGACAACCATGTCCAGATCCGATAACGTGAGGAGTGCCACGATGGATTCATTTCGTGTTGGCTGAATATCAACAGTTAGAATACTGAGAATTGAGCAATCTATCTCCACACCAACCTGTTTGAAACCATCATCCATGAGCATTATGACAGCTTGGTTGATCATCTCATCCAATTCTTGCCCGGTGTAGTGGGCATAGGAACCGGCCTCATTGTCGAAGCGAGGATAGGCGAGAATAGGACATTGAACATTATCCGCAGCTCGTAGACGAATCAAGTCATCGATGACTTGAAGATGTCCAAATTCCTTGATCAACGGATTGATAGTGACCGAAGATCCAGCCTGTGTTGTTCGATCACCAAGTTGGATACCCATTGTGAGCACAGCAGTATTCTACAAAGGAAGTAAAGGTGTCACCGCAGGTTAATACTTGTAACCCGAGCTTGAGGATTAAATAGTCATTCAGGGGCCTGCGTGCGGGTATACGCTTTGATTCACTCATACCGGCAGACTAGCCTATACTGACTGCATTCGGGAGTGTCGGAGAAGAATAATGTCCTTCCGCAATGGGAAATAAGACATATCACGCAGGATCCGTCCAGTAGCAAACAGATCAAATCAGGTTTCATGGTGTGACGGCGGTGCAGTTATCAGCTTAAGCCACTCAACACACGTATTGGACAGACTTGCTCAATCGAACGTCTCGGGAATAGTGCTCGATGCAGAGCACAAAGTGGAAAATTTCAATGCGAACAGACTGGATAAGAGACATGTTTGTGTGACCAAACGCTCGGCTTGAAACGAGTTGGACATCCTGTTTGAGATTTCAGGTTGTTTGACGCCAAGGTGATCTGCTCTATCTAGTGTGGTTCTACTATTAGCTACGTACAATTACTTGGAAGTTGACCAACAATACCCATTGAGCTATACATCCTCTCCCCTGTCAAACTAGAGCTAGGTTCATGCATTTGCCTCCCAATTCGGAGTCAAATTTCCATCGTGGCCAGCGGTACTGGTGGCACTGCAGCTCTGCCCGAGACACGTCCGCCTCAGTTGCAATGACAATGCCGTTGGAATACTCCGGACTGCAACGGGGAGCCATCTCTACCCGTCACTAGACTGAGCTAGAGCGTCTGCAATGCAAATCCAAGACGACAACAGCCTCTGGATGCATGTTGATTCCCAATCACCACTCCTTCCGAGGTGCGGAAGTTGGATGCCACGGTGGGTGTGACTGAAAGCCTGGTCAGCGTCGGACTGACCCAGGCTGAATCGGGGTGACATCTTTGCAGGCTACACAGATTCCTGTGTTTAAATATACCCCGACTGTTGTGTGTTCTATTGGCAAAGATTCGATGTGTTCCGGTTACTTCACTGCATAGCAAGTTTCAGTCTTACTCCGGGGTAACATTTGACGGAGATGCTAGGTCGATGATCTCAAAGCAATCGTCTGTTCCTGGAGAGCTTCCAACAAAATCCTCAAACCGGGATTGTTCAAACTCTTCTCAATCCTTCAAGGGACAACGCAAATAACAGAAGAGACAGCATCTACACAAACGAGCTGAACACGCGGACCTACATCATCGCGGCCCTTCTTTGTCTGCATTTGAGGTCCAGAACATCCACTGGTATGGAAACTTGAGATTGGCATCGGTCTAGTTTCCTGGAATAGAGCTAGAGCGGGTCTGGAAATGGGTATCGGGGCCCCGGAATGTGCCTGGACTTCTTCTCCCAGGCGAATAATCTATAAGGGAGCTCTGAACCTCAATGGTAGCTGGTTCCGGGGCCGTCTCAGGAACGACGTTCCATTCGATCGGGTTTGGCATATCGATCCTAAGCTTCTTTCTCGCAATCTCTCGACCAGTCGGAAATGTGCCTCCGTGGAGACATCCACAATTCTTCAGCAGCATTCCAGGAACATAGGGATCATCAGGGGGAAGCAGTGAAGAAGATCCACCCGATGGCTTAATTTAGCATGTCTCAGTTGGATGTCTGGGACAATTATTGATGTTCTCTGTAGAAGATTCCTTGCTTCTAAGACATTGAAATGAGAATAATGGCGACCGTGTTCAGAATGGTATGCTCGTAGGGAGGATGATTATAGTCCACTCACGCCCACGACTAGTGTATACTCAGGCAGTGAGATTTGTACAGTACTGCAGGATCGAGGATCTCATTCCTGCAAAGATAGCTGAATGCATCTACACTTGCATTTATCTGTATGTAGATGCAATCATTATGCTATCGACAAACAAAAAGGGCAACGAAAAGCGACGATCACTTCTCGCCCGACACCGCTATACAGACCTCTAGGTGGTTCCTTTCTCCTGTCTCTCTTCCAGCAATTCTAGGACCCGCTTCCATGATTGACTCGATCGGGCGGCATGCTCAATCGGGACGGCTGGGTTATCTTCCATAGCAGTCCGCGAGAAGACTTCCATACTAACCCACCCGATATACCCCAGGCCCTTGATACAGGCATAAGTGACCTCACGAATTGGAAGATATCCGCCACGATCCTCCTCACACGGAAACAGACGAGCATTCCGCGACCAAGCTAGCAGCGTGGGCAGACCTGGTGTATGAAGAAATGGTGTCCCTGGATCGACCCGCTCACCATCGGCAAGTTGGACCATCCAGACTCGGGCCGGGTCAATCTCCCGCACTAGTCGATCCATCGAGTTCCGCAGGTCATCGTCCGCACTCGGTGGTCGCCGACCTGTCGGATCCAAAGGATCAGCCCACAGACGGGCAGCTATGTTGAATGTGTCCAAACAAATTCCTAGATTGGGCCGATTAGCCCGCTTGATCACATCCCAGCAATCTTCCCATGTATTGATGTAAGTTCCCCAAGCGAGGGCTTCATATGCGATGCGTATGGGGAATGCAATATCAGCAGCCTCGGCTAGGTCGGCTGCGAGCTGCTCTCGGTCGCCCGTGATTTCCGAGGCATCGAGAAATGACGATGGGATCAAGATACAAATAGAGTCACTGAGGATTTTGCATAATTGGACCCAATGTTTGAGTTCCTCGATTCGCTCTGCATGGCGTGTTCGGTCGAGGAGGCCCTCGTAGTGTCGGAAGGGTTGCAAAGCCAAAATATGCAGATCGCGCTCAGCACACAGATCTCGGATGATGTGCGCTGCATCGATCTCATAGTCTCGGTCTGTGCGGGGCATAGTTCCACTTGCTTGAGAACGCAGGGTCTTGGCGAGTTGCGCTACATCATCGTGGAAGAGTTCGACTCCCTGTTGGTCGTGGCGGGACGCAGCATCAAGCTTAGTGGCAATGGAGTGGAATTGTGCCCCTAGACTGACTGTGGCAATGGCTGGCTTCCATCGCGAGACAATCTCGGACTTCGGAGCAGTTGGGAGTGAATGCATCGGAGCTAAAACCTATTGGAAGTTTGGGACGTGGGACTAGTCATCACCTACCGATCCCCATCACACTCTTTATAGAATGGCAATCTCACATCCCCATGCTCCTTTTGTTTCCGTGTTGGCGCTGTATTCCAGGGGTCCATTTTGTAAAAACAAAAGATTACCCAAAAGTGGGCAGTGGGCACAGAAAGCACACATGGCCCATATTGAAATCGAACACCGTGAGCCAAGCCTGTACACCCTGCTGTTCTGGATAGTCTCGACTTCTCTGTTCAAATGCGGAACTTTAAGACGATGGGCCGTAAAAGACTGAAGCACGTTGCTGGGAATAATATGCCCCGGACGTAAGCTGCTTTCGGGGTCAGCATGCATGGATTTGCATTCGTGGGAATGAACGCAGCGGTGTGAGCTAGGGTCATAGGGTTGGCTCGTCGGATGTCACTGTGAATGAGGGGTACCAGGAGCACATATAAGATGGTATCGCGATCCATTGAAACGAGTAATTCGATCATCCCGGCCTGTACTACGGAGTACACGGAGCAGATAAATTCGCGCTGCAAAATCGGTCATATTGTCTCGAGCAGGTAAACCATGACGATCATCACTCCCCTGTATAGTATGGTCAACCGTCTGGGCCAGATGGTCTTGAAAGAAGGTTCAGAGCCCTCTCCACAAGCCCACTTCGAGTTATTGCGAATGATCAATCAGCTGAGATCTGCAGTGGAGACGCCGACAGAGACTGTGCTGCGTCTCATTTACCAGGTGAGTACGGAGTAGTCCCACAAACTGAGGACGAATTCTGTATGCTGACTAGAGCCAGCCTCCTCAAAATGCCGCATTGCGTGTCGTCATTGATTTGGGGATTTTTGCCTTGCTCGTGGACAAGCGGCATAAAGATACTGGACTCTCGGCTGCTCAGCTAGCTGAGTGTACGGGTGCAGATCAGGATCTGATTGGTAAATTACCCTGCAGTGACAGTAGTTCGTCACACCTTGTGGGCCGACTAACTGTGTCGATAGTTCGCCTGATGCGCGTTATGGCTTCTCTTGGACTATGCAACACCCCGGCCCCGGAAGTCTATATTGCCAATGAGAAGACAGGAGCCCTCACTCAGCCGATTGGGAGAGATGGTATTCCCTGCATGTATGTTGGTGATGTGGCTTGAATCCTTGCATTTCTGCACTCCCCGCGCAGTCCGGAGCACTCATTGACCTTTCGAGTAGATACGATCTTACCCTTCCCACACTGAGCAAGCTTCCGGAATACTTCCGTACCCATGGTTATGTCAACCCCCAGGATTATACTCGGTCGCCGATGAAATGGGCGGTTGGTCAGAGCCAGTTTGAATGGCTTTCAAGTCATGCGGAGCACCAAGAGCTGTTCAACTCATATATGGCTAGTCGTCGCGAAGGTAAACCGATGTGGTTCGATATATATCCCGTTGACCGACTATTTGGCGATGCGGTTCCCTACACAGATACCGTCTTCTTGGTGGATATCGGCGGCAACCAAGGGCACGATTTGAGCAAATTTCGCAGGGAATATGGCCATTTGCCGGGCAGAATGGTGCTACAAGACTTGCCCAGCGTGGTTGAGGGGGTAGATGGTAAAGGCGCAGGGATCGAGGTGATGGGGTACAGCTTCATGGAACCTCAGCCTGTGAAAGGTGCCCGCGTGTACTACTTCCGTTCCATCTTTCATGACTGGGACGATCACATCAGCCGAGAAATTCTCCGAAATACAATGTCTGCGATGGCGCCCGATTATTCGCGAATTCTCATTGTGGATTTCGTTCTGCCAGACACCGAGACACCTTTGATGCAGGCTTCCCTCGATATTCAGATGATGAGCATAGGAGCTGGCATTGAACGGTCGGAACAACAGTGGAGAGATCTCCTACACAGTGCTGGATTGGAGATCACTGGAATTTGGAATAAGAGCCCCGCGATGGAGTCGGTGATTGAAGCAGTTCCGATAGGATCCAAGAAATAGTGGGAGAAATAGTGGGTGAGATGGAGGAGGTTCAGTAGAGTGAACTCCATGGGTTTGGTAACTACATATAAGTGGTGTTGGAGATTGTTTGACCAGGAAGATCTGCGTTCTATTCTCAGAGGAGAAGGGGGAAATGGGAGGATGTGGTATGGGAGACGAGATAGAATGAAGAGAAAGGAAATGAGTTGAATACATATTTTGGAAATAGCCAAGGCTTAACGAGTCAGGTATTGGGCACCCACATAGGCTGCATCTTCAACCACCACCGTCCCTTGGAAAGACAACTTGTGCAAATTCAGGTGTTGGTCCAGGACAGTCCTGTATTGCTCACTCTTCATCAGTCCTCCCGCCAACACCAACACGGTACCTTCTGATGGCTGGTATCCGGTGGATTGAGGCTTCACCAAACGTGCGAGAGTAGCGCCAACCAGCTTCTCGACCTGGGCGTTCACGATAGCTGCTGCAGTCTCACTCTTGTCCATCAATTCAAGAACGACCTGCGCAATACTAGCAATGCGTGCCTTCACACCTTGGGTCTGAGCAAGGACGTTATTCAAAAGGCTAGCACTCTCGGAGACTTGACATCCCAATTTTTCGGCCACTGCCTTAGCAAGCTCATCGCCGCCGGTAGTGTCAAGGCCCAATGTGATGTCCTCGAATACTGCCATTGTGTGTTGGATGGCTTGCATGCCAATGGAATAGCCACCGCCCTCATCGCCGAGCATGTGACCCCAACCTCCAGAACGGGCAGAACGGGTGTATCTTTCCTGATCCTTCGACCATTCGTACCTCATGGCGACACTCCCTGTCCCTGCAATCAGCACCAGGACGGAGGGTGTGCCTTGAGTCAATGGAACAGCCGCAGTCAACTGGTCCACGTCGTTTGTCAATCGGAAATTCTTTTCATCGGTAATCCCGAAGGCTTGACGCAGCTTGGGTGCCAGTAGTCCCTCCAGGCCGGCTCGGTCTAGGCCAGCTAGTCCAATCCAGACAGAGCTGAAGCATGTTTGAAGATATTCTTTCCATGATGACTCTGTTTGTTCCATGCCACTTGGCAATTGGTCTTTCAAAGCAGACTTTGTTGCTTCGAGTAACGTGGCAATAACACTGTCTATGTTTCCGATGCTATCGGTGCTAAAGGAAGTCAGTATCGAGATGAACACATAATCAGGTCAAGACAGTGAGCCATACAGATTACACGGGCCGGCAGAGCTCTGGCCTACAACGTTGGCCCCCTCGGCCACAACGGCAGCACATTTTGTGCCGCCGCCGTCAATGCATAAGACAAACTTTCGGTTCGGGTTAATACTTGCTGGCTTCTGTTCGCCGATCTTAGGGATGGCAGCCAGTGCCTTGGCCAATACGCCGCCAGCAGCCTCAGAGTATCCCTTGCATGTCTCAACAGACTCTCCGCTCTCTGCAACCAGGATAGCCAGCTTGACACTGCGGTTGCACTTGGCAAGTAGGGCGTCCAACTCCTCGTCGGACGAGACATTGCACTTGGCACTCAACCTCCGCAGAATGTTGCGGCATCGTTGCTCGAGTTTCAAATTTGAGGCCACGACATCCACCATCTGCTTGAATATTAGACGGTGTGCAACAATCAGGGATTACCACGTACCATGTTTCCGTAGGTCTTTCCGGTGCGAATCATGGTTCCAGTACTGAGCATATTCAGAACCAACTTCGTCACAGTACCGGCCTTAAGCCGCGTGCTACCAGTGACCACTTCGGGCCCAGACACTGGTGAAATGAGGTAATCTACATTTCCTGAGAGGCCAATTGCTGACGGAACTGTACAGACCACAGCAATGGTCACGCAGCCGATACTTTTGGCATATGCGAGGCAACCCAGCACATACGGTGTACGCCCAGAACTGGCAATTCCAATGAGACTGTCAAGCTCCGGGTTGAGATTCAGAGCCTTCATCTCTTCCTCGCCAGCCTTCTCATTATCTTCGGCACCTTCCTGGGCGGATCTGATTGCCGCATCACCACCAGCAATCAAACCAACAAACTGACCATGAGGGGCGGCAAAGGTCGGAGGGATCTCCGATGCATCCAAGATTCCAAGCCTAAATTATGTTTAATATCGACCGTTAGGCTAGTAGGCTTGACTAACCTGCCACTTGTGCCAGCTCCAACATAAATCACCCGGCCGCCTTGTCGAACGCGGGGGGTCAAAGCGTCAATGGCGCCTGCAATCACAGGCAAGCACGGCACAACCGTCTCGGGCACCTTCTGATCGTCTGCATTGATCACTGTGCACATCTCCAGTGTTGACATGCGATCAATATGCACGGTGCGGGGATTGACCCCCTCCGTTTGGAGTTCGGATAGACTCCCCAGATCCATGTTGACGTCAAAAGAGTTTGGAATGTTCTCCGAAGGTTCGGTGTCAGGGGTAATGGGGTTTTTTTCTTCAGAATCCTGCTATTCTGCAAGATATACAAGGCTTTTTGGGCGATTGGGAGAATCCATCTTCCTTCTCAGATGCCGGCCGAGTAACCAGTTCGGCCCCCAAATCGCACCAATGCCGATGCGGAGCCTGAGAGAACTCTGTACGTAACAGCCAAGTCAGACTTTGCCGTATTCTGCGAGATGTTACTCGGTAGAGTTACAATGAGGAGTCCGTGTGGCGCGTCTTAGCATTGGCCCAGTAAACAAGCGACCGGGTGGAGAAGCTTCTTCCCCCCAGACTTTGCCTGATGTGGAGGTTTTTGCCACGGCTATTCCGGCCAAGACTCCCAGCATATCCCGGTAAAACGGCAGAGTCAGTCTTGTGATAACGGGTTTCAGGTCTCATTTAACCAAGCGATATCTTCTCCACCTTGGATGCTACGACTGGTGGAGTCCGAGATACTGAGATACGCACCCCTGCCCTTGCGTGCAACCTCAGCCCCGTATCGCGTGGGGCCCCAGACTTGATATGGTGGGCCACATGCGATAGGGGGCCTGGGGAGGGAAATTCGGCAAACATAAGATACGATCGTCTCCCCCGGAGTTTGGTGGCTCACCAGTGTTCACGATGTCATACGAAGCGAGAGTTGAGGAAGGGTCCGGCTCCCTGGCCGGCTCTGGCAATGCAAACAAATCAACCCTGTGGAAGATCTGGACCCATTCGTGGTTTCAGATCATCCTGATGAGTTTCATCTGCTTCTGTTGCCCGGGTGTGAGTGTTGCAGAACTGAAAAAGAAGCGTTCTGGTTGGCTGACAAATAGTAGATGTACAATGCCCTGAGTGGCCTGGGAGGTTCGGGTCAGGTTGACCAGACTGTCGCTGCCAACGCGACAGTGGCTCTGCTGGCTTGCACAGCAGGAACTGCTCTCTTCCTCGTCGGCCCTATTTTCGATCGTGTCGGACCCAGAGTGTGTCTCTTGATCGGAGGATGGACCTATGCTTTGTACTCTGGCAGTCTCTTGTGTTTCAACTGTATGTTCATGACCAAAGCTCCCATATTCTTTCTCCAGCTAATAATGGTGTCACAATAGCCACTGGTAACGGTGGTTTCGTTATCGCGTCCGGTGCCCTTCTCGGTGTGGGCGCATCTTTTTTGTGGGTTGCTCAGGGTGCCATCATGACCACCTATGTGCCCGAGAACCAGAAGGGACGTGCCATCGCTGCCTTCTGGGTCATCTTCAACCTGGGCGGCGGTGTTGGATCGCTCGCTAGTTTCGGTCTCAACTTCAAGTCAACAACCGGCACTGTCAATGACGGAACTTATATCGCCTTGCTTATCATCATGGCGTTCGGATGGATCCTGGGAGTTCTCATTTGCCCTCCCTCTTATGTCCGAGTTGCCCAATTGGAGGTGACACCCGAAAGCGAGAAGACCTGGCGCCAGATTCTTCACCACTCCCTGAAGGTCATCTGCAACTGGCGCGTGTTGTGCATGTTGCCCCTCTTCTTCTCCGCCAACGTCTTCTATTCCTACCAGCAGAATGCAGTCAACGGCATGAACTTCAACATCCGCACCCGTTCGCTCAACGGTTCGCTTTACTGGATTGCGCAGATGCTGGGTGGTCTCGTGATGGGTCTCATTCTCGATATGCCAGGTCTCAACCGCCCGTGGCGCGCTCGTGTCGCTTGGGTGTTTTTGTTCGTAACCGGAATGGCCATCTGGGGTGGTGGTTACCAGTTCCAGAAGTGGTCCGATGCCCGTCTTGTTCAGGGCTTCAAGCAGGATATCGACTATACTCAGAGCGATATCTCAGTCGGCCCCATGTTCCTTTACATCTTTTATGGTGCGTATGATGCGCTCTGGCAGTCATTCTGCTACTGGCTTGTCGGTGCTCAGTCCAATTCGCCAGCTGCCGCTGCCGTGTTGGTCGGGGCGTACAAGACCTTCCAGAGCACTGGAGGTGCCATGGCTTGGCGTATCAATGCCATGGAGAAGCCTGCCATGACTCAGTTTGCTATGAACTGGGGTCTTTGCATGGGTTCGTTGGTTATTGCCATCCCTACCGTGTTGGCGATCACCCTCACCAGTGAGCATGAATCAACCACCACGACCGGTGAGAAGGACCACCAAGACTCGAAGGAGGCCGAGGCAGAGGTTGTGAAGCCCTGAGATATCAATATTCTGTACGATAATATTTAATAGTTAGAAGCCGTGGATTCTTTATCGTCAGAGAAAGATCTATGCAATGGGAGGGAAAATATGAAAAAAAAAAGTTTGAGAAAGCAGAACAGATCGTTCGAATTGACGCAGTATTCGACATATCGTAGGCATGATTAAGAAATATATACACGGCATGGCCGAGCCGAAGATTCGGGGCTCTTTGTATGCCGCTGAACTCGGTATCCCGGCGATGTCAAGGTGCTCCACTCTACCTTGCCTTACCGAACGCACGTCTTCAGAAGACCGGTCTCGAGTAGCAACTTGGTATATTGGCGGTGTGCCCAAGCCACCTTATCGTCCATAGGCGCACCCTCGGCCTTACCAAGACCTTGGTAGAAACAGCTCTTCAGACTGAATTCGGCCACACCTTGCTCCTTCTTAATCACAGCAGCGATCTCGAACAAGCCATCGGAGGCACGGACTTCACGGATACGCGGGGAATCACCGCAGCGGACAACGATGCGATCTTCAGTCTTCTCGACAACTTCAAAGTGGTCGGTGATGATGGTGCCTACTTCGTACTTGTTGGAGAGCAGGTCCTTTCGGTCCCAGAGCTGATCGGCAGTCTCGGGGCCACGGTATTTTCGGTCAAGAATGGCACGCTGGGGGATGTATCCTGCGAGAGAAAAAGGGAACACGTTAGAGTGTATTGTGTTGCGACGGCTATTTCGTAAACTCACCCATGCCACCCCAAACACCGGCACAAAACGCTTCCACCAACGTGCCTTTCTCCTCGACCAGCGAGGGCTTGATCTTGTCTAGGGGAATGCGACGAATGCAGACATCGTGGAGGGTAGGGTTGCGACTGGGGTTGAACTTGTTGAAGAGGGCTGATTGGAAGATGGGGTCGGAGGCGTCCATGGGCTCGAAAACGTCATTGCGCGTGGCGCCCCAAAAGACGCCGACCGAGGCAATACTGCCCGCGACGGTGGTCTTGATCAATTTGCTGAAGATACCCATGGCTGAACGGAGGCGGAGAGAGGGGTCGCGTTGGAGGTAAGAAGTAACCAGTGTAAGCCGAGAAGAGCCTTGGAGAGCTCTCGGGCAAAGCTCCGACTGCCAAGACCCGCATCACCCGGACTGCATCTCACCAACTTCAAACATTGCCAACGCTACACGGAGAACAGAAACTACCTGTTATAACGGTTCTTCCGACCAACTTCTTGACCTTGATTATTCTCATATATAGCGAAATCAGCCATTTGCAAGAGTCGAGTATGTTTGTTCGGATCGTCCCAAAGGCACTGCTCGATATAGTTCTTGAGGGCACCAATGCAAGCGAAAGCACGTTGTATCGTGTGTTATAAGGTGATTCCAGTGGTATACGATGCTTCACCCATGGATAAAGAGGAGAGAAAACAATAACATTGGAAGAGGAAAACTGTTGGCATTGGCCATGTTTATCTACTGTTCTTCTGCTGAATGGTAGGTATGCAACATACAACTCATCCACATTCTGCTTCCCCAAAATCAAACACAGCGACGGCTTTTAGGGCTGGTTAACATGAAAGAAGGCTTGAAGTACAAAGTAGTCTTCCTCTTATTTTTCTCCGGTTCCCTTGGGCTGTACCTAATCCGTATATGATTCTGATTTGGCTACCCCCAAGGCTGGTCAGGTACCGGCTGAAACAAGGATCACATTATATTGCACGTTTTGCTCGGCGCTATCATGGCTTTACAAGCCCCTCCGATTCGGCTCTGCTCTAGAAGGCAAATACATTCTGTTGGGCTCATCTCGGCCGAAAGCCGACTCCACAAGGATTCATCCAGTGTCCCGATACAACATAGCCCATCCTAACACGGAGGAGATACAATTGGCATTAGGTCCCGACCGACTTCCCAAAATTGAGAGCGGCATCTAATCTCCAGAGTGTACGATGCCGAGTGTCGGCGTCCGATATTTGGGGTTGGCACAACCCAGCAAAATCACCAAAATCGCACGAGTGGAGATGAGCCGACCAGTGGTTGGGATGCTGAACCTGAGGCATCCATCTCAACGTGCCAAACGGCGGGGTCGTTGCCTCTTGCGACTCCTGTTCCTGAACCACGAACCACGACCCGCTGAAAAGAGATGTGCGTACCTCGGAAGTCACTTAACATTCTCTCCGCAATCCACGGCTTGTTCAGTCCGGGGCTCCTTCCAAATGCGTCTCTCGGACCATGTGTTGAAGGTCACACACTCCACTCAGACCATGATCCCCGGGTTGCTTCGGTTCGCAGTATCGTGGTTGGGATGTCCCCTCGAGGACTGAACATCGGCTATCTCCTAAATCCAATTTCGCGACCATTGTGACCCTTAGGCCAACCCCTCTCTATACCATTGTTATGGAGCATGCCCCATCCAGGCAAGTGATTGACATTCCGCTTTAATTGGGTTTATTGCTCAGGGCTCCGATATCGCGAACCCTCCAAGGATATCACTAACCAATGACGAGATCGAACGGTCAGTCATTAGCAACCAGTCAACGGCTGCGGCCAGAATAAGCAACATGCAGAACAGATTCTCCATGTGCGGATACAGCAAGATGCTCAACAATAGGATTTCGTCAGGAGTCAGTATCTCTCCGGATGATCGATAGCGTGCTACACATCTTCCTTCAGGGTCTATTCACGAAAAGATATAAATCCCCTTAGGTTGATTGGCAATGGACGGCAGGTTTCAAAACAACTCGTTTATGACTTGAAAGTTACCTGCTCAATTGAGTCGGTCGCATGATTAAAGGATGTACCAACAAGACCTCATTTTGTTCATTATAGCTACATGTGTCCATTCAGTATTTTCTTCTCTCTCTCTCTCTCTCTCTCTCTCTATGAAGAAATTATCAATCCGTTATCCTGGTGAGATATCTCCTTTTTCAGCTTACATGTTTTTATGTGATTTTTAACCTACCGTACTGCTTCCTTTTCTACCTTGTAGATACTTCACGTACTAGATACTCCAAGACTTGGGCAGGATGTTATGTCTCCATTCAAGATATGAGAAGTGGTCTGGCTATGTAATATGCAAAGAAGCTCTGACCAAGTAAGATATACTATAAAACACCGAACGTTGAATTGGGGAATGCTGGAGGAGTATGGAGAATTTGTGGACACCCATGTTAGGAGGCACAGCGGGTGCAGATCAAATCCCTCGATGATCAACAAAATTCTGGCCACCCTAGTCGATAGGGGCAATTTGAACTGCAGTAGTATTACTCTCGGCGAGAGAACATTCGCCAAAAAAAACCCCCGCTGGGCAATCAGCCACGTCAGTCTTGCTTGGGCCCCTGATTCTCCCCTGTGCTCCGGATTTCATCAACTTCACTGCTATCGTGTTCGCTTCCAGCGGATTTAAAATTGCATGAAACAAAGCCACAGCGCGAATTCAAGTGACAGAGATCTCACGCTAACACGCAGATCGCTGACGCTATTTGCGTAACTGGCGAAGTCCAGAAGCCGAGGAGAGGATCAGGTCGCCCCACACGTGGGCACAGCACAGCCACAGCAAAACCCATCTCCCTACTCTTCTTTCGTCATGTTCAATCTCCATCGCATTTCTTGGCCTTGATTTGTTTACTAGTTGCGTCCCGGTTTTCCCGGGCTTCATCGGGGTTGTGTTCCATTTGCCTGTTTATCCGGTGAACCATGGCCCGCTTTGTTTGTATTGTGCTCCTTTTGAACGGTTGAAACTTGGTTCGGCAATGCGCTTCAATTGTGTGTTGAGTATATTGTCCGCCTTTCGGCCCTGATCCAGCATGGCCGCTAGTGATGGGACAGGGCGATGGGCACAATATATCGGTGAGTCGTGGCCTCCTCTGACACCCCTTTCTCCCTCCACATCACCCGTTGAACCTCGTAGAGTATATGCTAATCAAGATGGCAACTAGGTCGGTTGGCTCCATTTCGTCTGCCTCAATCCCCCCGCCAACCTCAAAGTTGGCGCCCGCTGGCTCTGCGCCCGCCATACCTGGTTTCCCTGATATCCTTGATCTTGATGATGCTACTGGCCTTGGAAGCACTGCGACAATATAGCAATCGTGAAGGAGGTTTGGTGTTTTTTGCCTACACCGAGGATGTGTCCGCCGTACAATCTTTTGCCTACAACTACCTACCGATAATTGTGTCCCTCGTGCTTTCCTTGGTTTGGACTGTCACCGATTTCGATGTCCTTCGCCTGGAACCATACTTTCAGCTATCTCGACCCGAGGGAGCACCCGCGACCGTGCTGTTCATTAACTACAACTTTGGCCAAACCATTCTCACCCCGATCAATGCTGCAATTCGCCGCCACTGGGCCGTCCTTTGGATCTCTTTTGTGACTCTTTCTATTCGAATTATTCTTCCCGCGCTACAAAGTACGGTGTTGGAGCTACGCGAAGTTACGGTTGTCGACCATGGATCCATAAAAAGCTGGCCCAACCTGGTAGACTTGAGAACACAAGCGAATTGGATGGCAACACAGGCCAACAACACACTTGACTCCGTGCTTTCATCGAATGAACAAATGCGCCGATCAAGGTCTTCCAAATACGCCGTAGCGCCAGTGGAAATCTCTGATAGCGATCATGAGGAAAGCACAATATGGACTCTGGATCAGACGTTGTATTGGGCCCAACTTGATTGTCAAAACGTCCCCATTGAAGACAAACTTACCGTTGCTATCCATGATCCTGAGGCGTCATATCCAACAATGTCATGGAACGCCACTGGCATCAATTTAAACGACACATATGGTGGCGCCACAAAATGCGCTCTTGATTTTCAATACGACACTGTCTTCTTCTCTACCTCTGACTACATGCAAGTACGGTATTGGGAGCCGGTGATCACTGCTACCGCCAAAGAAGCGTATCCGAACCGAACCCAGGCCTTTACGGCATCTGGCTGCGATCCGTACGATCTTTATGGTATACTCATCGGAGTAAATGTGACTACCTCCGAGTCTAATTCGACTAAATACTCCGCATCTGGTCTTGCCTTTGCTTGTGACATCATTTACCAGAAAGCGGAAGCCCTTGTATCTATGCACTCTAACAGCTCTATCATCTCTATTGAGGTTGATCGGGCTACCACTCGTGTCCTCACTCCAGCTGAATTCAACATTCGTCACTTTCAGGCACTGTTGTCCCAACGCGCTCCCTACACTAGCGACATGCTCTTCATTCGTGAGAATCCTACCACTGGAACCCGCACAGTGACTGAACTACCCATCATTAGCCAGGAGTTAGGAGACTTCCAGCCTGTGGTCGTGCTTGACACATCGAATATCATGACAGAAGCCGAATTTGCCTCAAAGGTTGAGCGCGATGTAAAGCAGACTTTTGTGCTCACACTCAGTCGCCTGTTTGATCCTGATAGGTCACCCATCACTATCTCAGCCGCACGCTTTTCGAATCAAGTCGCCATCGCCATTGTCGATTTTGCTGCGCTTTGGTCCGAGCTCATTCTTGGCCTGGCTGCCTTCACTGCATTTTATCTCCTTTTTATCCATCGTGCGCGTCATCTATTTCTTCAAAGCGATCCAGGATCTATTGGTGCCATGTGCAGTATAACTGCTGATATTTTTCACCCTTCCAACATCCTCGCGGAACCAGTGGTGGAATTCCATCAATTCTCCACTCGTCAACTTCGTCGTATCTTTAAAAACGCTCGTTGTTATTGGCGGCCGGGTCCTTCTGGCAACCGACTAGAGATTCTTGCTGAAGATGGTTTGTACTACCTCTGCCATTCGAGATGTGTTTTGGTCGTCTTTGGGGATCACAATTGACTTTTTGTATCATTAGGCTCACCCGTCCAGCTTCAAGAGAACCTCAAGACTCGTGCCGATCCCATGCCTCATTTTCTCATGATACCCGTTTTCCTTATTGAATTCCTAGCACTAGCTGCAGTAATCATTCTCATCGGACTAGTGGTTTCATCTCTGCTTCGAGACGGCCGGTTCCGCCACCTGAACCAATCTGACTCAAGCTCGTTTCAGGTTGTTCTTTCGTTTTTACCTTCTGTTGTCGCTTCATCTGTGGGAGCTTTATGTACCTCGATTCACCGAAATCTGAGTGTTTTGGAGCCTTGGGTCCACCTGCAACGAGGCAATGCTTCGGCGCGGACTTCGTTGTCACTGAACTATTCATCCCAAAGTCCGATCGCCATTTTTTTCAAGGCAATTCGTGACCGCCATGCCTTATTGTGTCTTGTATCAGTTGCGTGTGTCGTTAACATGGCTCTGACTGTGGTCGCGGGTGGACTTTTCACGCAACAACTGACAACGTCTACTTTGGACACGAACGACTTGACGATGAACTATAGCCAGTCTACTTTTTGGCAGACTGACTTCGCTGCTCAATTTACTGAGTACGACCTGATTCAGACTAGTATCACCAGTGGGGTGTCCATGCTCTCCTGGACGAGCCCAAATCAGTCTTTCGTCCCAATACATGTGAATGATCGCAGCCCGGATGTGACTTATGGCGCCTCAACCCTTGGTGTTGGCACTGAGCTCAAGTGCCACCCCCTTTCATCTGACGCCCTTGTCTATGATAAATCTACTGCTAGTCATAGTTGGCGGTATGCTTTGTTTGAGAATTCCTCGATTGAATGCATGGCACATATGCCAGCCTTGAAAAGTAGGGAGGAAGGAATTGCCCTGTCCATTCATTTCCTTTCTCCAGATGAGGTGGACGAATCGGATATCTGCCAGACCTCGACGGTCCTAGTAGTTGGCCGTTGGAATTATCTACCGGACACCGCGATCACGGATAACAACACCATCGCATTACATTGCGAACCTCGGACCAGGTTGCAACAGTATTCGATCCTTTTCGACCAAAAGGGTCAGATTGGATGGCATCAACCTGTCCGAAATACGACTATCACTCAAGGGACCATGTATGACAATGCGACCGTGAGTCTCGGTCAGTTCAATAAAGCCTTTGCTGCCATTCCAAGCAACTATGTGGGAAATACCACCATGCAGAAAGGAACATACAACATCTCCTCCTACGACTGGGCAGGTTTCCTTGTGGCCCGTCTCTACCAGCGCGAAGACCCTGAGTTTATCTCCCTGGATTCCGGTCTCCTGTCAAACATGACTCAGACTGTATATCAATGGGTGTATAGCACCTATTTCACGATTTGGCGCGACATATATCTCGACCCTCTGACTGATCCAGTCCCGGCCGCAAATGCCACAATCACCCGCAGTACTTGGTGCATGGTCCCGTCGGGTCCCTCGCTTGCCATTGCCCTGGCGATCATTATCTTCGACGCGATAGTTGTGCTATTGGTGTTCGGAACACGACGTGGCCGCTTCCGTGGACCCAGAATGCCGCGCTCCATCGGAGCCATCATTCCTTGGATTTCGCATAGTCAAATGCTTCATGACTTTACCGACACACATACCTGGAGCAATGCCCAACGACATGCTCATCTCACTGCTTTGAATAAACGATACGCCTTCCGTATGTTTATGGGTGCTGACAATCGCTGGAGATTCGCCGTCGATCAGGAATCGGAGGATACTAAACTCACCGATTCCCCGCCCGGCAGTCCAGATGGGGAAGTCGACAAGGCTGCCTCGATTCAGCTGCAGGAGATCCGCAATTCACCTCCCCCACCTCAGAACTGATGACTCTATTATATGTGCTACGACCTTTTATCTCCTCTGTTACGTTATATCATGTTTGGCTTTTTACTTTTGTACACGGGCGTTTTCTGGGCTCGAGCCCTTGGTGATAGACGGACAAGCAAGCTGGGCCTCGCTTTGGGATATTGTACAAAAATCGTGGATCGTGTAGGCTCTTTGTGGCATTTTCCACGTTTCTTTTCGGCATTTAGGGAATATTCAAAAATGGGTGTCTAATACGGCACATTCAGGAGATATCTTTGACGAACAACAAATCAATCTTCATATATATATCACAAACTCCCAAATATGTTTCCACCTTATTAGCCTACTGCGCAGCTCTAAGTCGCGCATCAATTGCGCGGAGAAGCACATAAAGTGTCTCCAAACGGGGCGCCTGAATACCCAGCTCTCGAGATTTCCTAACTGGGAATCCCAAGATGACATCAATCTCCATCGGCCGACCACATTTACAATCGAGCTGCATGCTACTTCCACGCCTGGGCATGGCATCGATCTTGTCCATATGCGTGTCAACCAGGCCATCCTCCAGCGGCACACCACAGCCCCGAGCGATCGTGATGACCTCTTGCATTAATTGTCGAGTAAAAGGTATCGCATCTTCCGAGGAGTGCAGCCATTCATGGTTGTCCACCATTGCGAGTGTACTCAATGAGTTCCACGCCGCGTTCCAGACGGCCTTTTCCCATCGCTGGATTTGAACATTCTCTACGACTTGGAATTGAGTCTGGCCCGTCTGAAGGAGATCTGTGAATCTCTTAAGTCGTTGTTGCTCAATTCCCGCTTCGAGCGTAGGGTTAGGGAACAGGCCGATCTGCATATCCTCGGATTTGGTGTGCTCGACGATCCCAGGGCTTGTCTGGGTGGCTCCTACCCATGTCTGTGAGGGTTAGAGGTGACCGTGCTCTCGAGGGAATGAGACTAACCGTGCAGCTTATGATTGAAGCCTGGGGAAACTGGGTCCGGAAGGGCTCCTCGTTACCAACGCCATTCTGGATGATCACGATGGTGGTTCTGCTGTCAACGGCTGGTTGCAACTGAGCTGCCACTTTATCCTGATCGATTGCCTTGTGAGTGCAGACGATATAGTCGACTGGCGTAAGGTCCGCAACAGATTTTACCACTGGTTGAGCTGTTAGCAAGTTCATTTGACGTTAGATGGATGCCGCAGATACCCCGGTGTGGACGGACAACATGTCGGCCATGGTTCTGGCTATCGATGGTAATTCCCTTTCGGGCGCAACGGTTAATATCCAAACATCTGTTCTCCAGGGACACACTCACATTTGCTTGGACAGCCTCATAGTTCGAACGTGCTACAACGGTTAGTCGCACGCGGCCGGAGCGACTTAGGATGAAGGCATAGAACGAGCCAATACTTGGGAAGTCAATATGATATTGAATCTGATACAGAGTCCGAACTTACGCTCCTAGTCCGTGGAGAACAATATCAATATGATCCGCCATCTTGGCTGAAGTGAGTCAAGTGGAAATGGTCATTGCCCTATTTTTGGGAGAACACAGTTCCCCGCATCGGAGGACGGCGGTGTGGGGGTTGGGAGTACAAGTCTTTGCGCCTGATGTTCAGAGGCGAGGTCCGAGGACTGCGTCCTCCATGCCTTGAATTCCCTTGACAACCAGGAGATCTGTGGGTTGACGAACCAAGGCGAGAATCCCCGAATCGACAGATGGAGATGTTGAGCTTGCCATTGTCTTGGCTACTCTCTGTCCTTTCACATCACTATCGGTAGCCTGGAAAGCCAGCACATTCTATGAAGGCAAGACGATACTATGCAGCACCCCTTACTGTCGCATCTAAATTTAGCCGTTCGTCTATCTCACGCTTTCTCGCCACATGCGAGTCAACTGTAATCCAAGTAGCACTTGCCTCGACTTCCGGATGTGTTCATCCACGTATTGGTGTTGAAAGATAGGTTGTTCTGGCGAGTTACGGCTCTTCATCACCAGCTTAGTAGGTCAAGATTGCATTCATAATTTTCCTAGCCATAGCTCTCGCCGGGGAGAATCGAGGTGGCGATCACGCTCAGACTGTCATCTCTAATGACGATATCTACTCGCTGTATACCGGGCTGTTTTGCCCTTCTTCTTCGCAGGTAAGATAATAAATCCAACTTTTACATGGTATTTCCCCGCCAATCAACATAGGCCATTAATGCCAATACTGGACTGGCTATTCACTCGACGTGGGGGTCCTGGGGAACTGATATACGGCAATCCGCTTAACCACCGGACTTTCCCCGAGCCCCCCGCGTGGGATAATTCCTGGTTTACTTGCGGACCTCCTTCAAATATGACTTGTGCACAGCTTGGATCTTGTGTGGCACACTGCTATTACACCTAATATATCGACTACTTCGGCTCACGGATCATCATGGCTAAGATTAAGTCAATCGAATACTTCCGCGTCAAGCCCCGCTGGCTATTTGTCAAAGTCATCGACGACGAGGGGCGCTTCGGTTGGGGAGAGGCCACGTTAGAAGGTCATTCTCTTGCAGTCGAAGGCGCACTCGATGAAATTATCACCCGCATTGTGGGATACGAAGCGGAGTATGTTTGAGCCCACCGTGCGTTGCAACGAGATCGCTAATCCGGTTTGAAAGCGACATTCAGCATATTTGGCAGACAGTATGGCGGCTCGGATTCTACCGAGGCGGTCCGGTGTTCATGTCAGCTCTATCGGGAATCGATATCGCCTTGTGGGATTTAAAGGGCCGAAAATTGGGGGTCCCAGTACACCAGCTTTTGGGCGGCAAAGTACGCCAGAAAGTGCAAGTCTATGCCTGGATCGGAGGCGACCGGCCAAGTGATGTTGAGGCTGCTGCGTAAGTTCTGTGAAGAGAGCGGGATATTTGTGCGACTACCATTCTTAAGTCTATTGTCAACAGGAAGGAACGAATCGCCCAAGGTCTCAAGTGCATCAAGATGAACGCTACCGAAGATGTCAACTGGCTTGACTCGCCCGCGGTTTTACAGTCGTGCGTGGACCGATTGAAGCAGGTGAAGGCTTTGGGCCTTGATGTTGGGCTTGACTTTCATGGTCGTCTGCACAGGCCCATGGCTAAACAACTGGCTAGAGCACTGGAGCCATATCAACCTCTGTTCATTGAAGAGCCTCTGCTGTGCGAGCATCCAGAAGCGATCAAGCAGCTTTCTGAGCAGACTACAATTCCGATCGCATTTGGTGAACGTTTGTACACTCGATGGGATATTAAGAGGTTCTTGGAGGATTCCTCAGTGGATATTCTACAGCCCGACATTTCTCATGCAGGAGGAATCTCCGAAGTCATGCGTATTGCAAACATGGCCGAAACCTACGATGTTGCTATCGCACCTCATTGTCCCTTGGGTCCGATCGCCCTGGCCGCCTGTCTCCAGGTGGCCGTGTCAATACCCAACTTTGTCATTCAAGAGATGTCATTAGGCATGCACTACAATACAGAGGCTGGAGATATTGACCTGAATAGCTATCTGGTGGATAAGACGGTGTTCGATATCGCGGAAGGATATGTGGCTGCCCCTTGCAAGCCCGGCCTAGGGATTGATATTGATGAGGAGCTGGTGCGAAAAATCAGCCAGGAGACTGAGCCATGGCAGCCCAAGGAATTCTATGGACCAGATGGCTCGATTCGGGAGTGGTAATTCTACACGGGTGTCTCATGAACGTTCTTGTTATCAATGATCACTTTTCAGTCTTCGGCGTTCAGCGCATTCCACACCCTCGTGACGAAGAAAGATTGGGGTCCGACCATTCAGATACATTGTAAACCTGCCTTCATCTCATAGCTTCTCATCGGAAATTAGTTGCATTCGATGGAACTATGAAGACGTGCCTATGACATGGAGCTTCCATCATCCCGAGCCGTAACGATGCTCGCAAAAGTTTTCCGCGAGAACACCACACACTGGAAACAAAGCTAATTCCATCGTCATATATGCTGAAATATATTCCTTCTGTGCGATCCTTAGTTTCAATTCAAGGGTATGATCTTCAATCGCACAACCAACCTACTACTCTTCAACTCTCTGACCTACTTCTGTATACAACCACTTCTTTTTACTACTTTTGAAAATAGCTGTCCAAGATGGTCTTGAAGGCTCTTCTTACATTTGCAACCCTTGGGCTCGCTCAAGACTACCCCGTCGTCTCTCTGTTCATCCCCAATGCTGACCCGCAGTCTTTAGTGGGTGCCGTTGTGCAAGAGGTTCGTATAAATTGGAAATAATAGAAAAAATTATAAGCTAACCCAGGACAGAACTCAGCAACCACAACCTACAGTATCAACTGTCCACCTGGTACCAATTCTACAGATTGTGGCATGGGACCTGGTATGCTTCTGACCACGGCCGCCACGAGTGTCGAGTACTTGATCAGCGGTGGAGTCAATGATGTGTGCGTATATCCAACCCTAGCCCACGCCTTTATGAAATATAACAAATGGCTCATCGATCAAACAGATATGATCACGTTATCTGTTCTATGACCGATCCTACTAGTGCAGATCGCACTTGCACAGGCACTGTCACCGGGAGCTCTGCCACCGCGCCTAGCACCAGCATCTTGACTCTCAATCAAGATAAGGTCACAGCGTTGCCTGTTACCATCACCTCCAGTGAGGCTGCTATAAGGACAGACACCGCGGTGGGTGTTAAGGGTAGTGAGACGTCGTTGCAGTCTGCTACTCCCACTGGCGCCAAGAGCAACAGTGCTGGGAGTGTATGTACTGGCAACACACGGCTCACTACGCTCGTCTTAGCATGTGTCGCTGTCCAAGTGCTGGCGGCTTCGTTGTAACAATGATCATCCCGCTACTTAGCTTCAATGTTGAGTATTTGTGGATTATTACAGTGATATTAAAAAGGATCGTGGTACAATTCTGTCTTTAGCAAGACTACTTGTTCAAATTGTCACTATAAAGAGCTTGCACAAAATGAAAGAAAGCAAAATCAGACATATTTGCCTAGGAAAGCACAGTATCGACCTTTCTCAATGTAGAAGACTCTGGGGCCTTGACTGGCCGATGCGAAGAAGTGGCGTCTTTGTATCCACGTTTCGGTTATACTTAACCTTCTCTGCATGCTGTGGGAGGGCAGTAGCCATGATCGCACGCGAAGCTGCAGAGGCCCAAGTAGGAGTCATCTTCGCCTGGTAGAGGCATGCCATGCGCACCCGTTGACGGCGGCGGAGGAACTGGGTTGCCATATGCCGTGCAGGTGCAGGGCCCCGGTGGACAATAACCGTAGTTGCAACAGAAAGAACATAATCCAACGTAGTTCCCAGGCCCAGTGCCCGCGATGCACGTACCGCCTCCCCCACCCCCACCTCCTCCTCCACCTCCGCCGCCGCCTGGAGGCGGAGGAGGGCAAGCTGATGGAGTCAGAGTCTCAGTAACTGTAACAGTAATCACGATAGTTGATGTGGGAGAGCATTGTCCTGGGGGCGGCGGTGTTGTAGTCGGAGGGGGGCCTGGCAAGCTGCTACTTGAACCTGAAGGTGGAGGGGCTGGGGGGACAGTACCTAATGATGGGGTCGGTTGACAGGTGTGGACGCGTAGACCTTGTTGGAAGTTCGCAAGTCCGTCTGGTTGGAGAGGATCGCTGAATCCTGCTGGAAGCGTTCCGACTAAAATAATAGTTTAGATGGGAATCTAGATAAATAGGGTTATTTTCACTTACCGTAGGCGTTGAAGTTATACAAGCCACACACACAGCCGTTGATGATTGGCTTCAAGCTTGTGCCTGATAAGATGGTTTGTCCGTTGCGAATGACTGCAAAGCTTTGTGAGCCCACTCCCATTGGCACCTCCTTTGCACTGGCACCTGCTGGCGCTTCGTAGTTATAGATGCTCCCACCACTGTTGACTTGTACCGTAGCTGCTGAGGTGAGCAAGGAGACAACGAAGACAGAATCGCTCATGGACTGCCAGCCATCTGGACGACCCATGAAATAGTTTCCACTTCCATTGTTCGCTGGTACCATGCAAGTATCTGTCGCGTCACAATCAACCCCGCGTGGGGCAGGTCGATACCAGTAGACCAATTCATCCGCGGAGATGTGGTTGTTGGGAGACGACTCGCCGGCTTTGAAGGCGGCTATGTATGGTTTGGAAATATCCAGCCATCCATCGTGGGGCCTGGTATCAGCGTTAGCTCGACTGTTCTTTATTGACAGTTCAGGTGTCACAGTGATCTTTCGGTCTTCTCACATGTCATTCACCCATTTTGAGGCGCCGTCATCAGTATGGGGTGATTTCAAAGGACCAATATAGTGACATTCTCCATAGTCATTCCATGTCACAATTTCAATAAATCGCGGTTTCAAAGCAAGAATCTCGTTCCATCGGTTAAACCATAAGAGGTCAGATGGGAAGTTCCAATTTTTGCTATAAGACACTTCAGGGCCGAAATGTGTGAAAAACCACGGGGATACGGCTGCTTGAGAGTCAGAAAAGCAAACGACTCGAATTTCAGGGTTCAAAGCACTGACGGGCCACGTAGGCTTTCCCAGCAAGAGCATTTACGTATACTCTATCACCATCGGCCACGGAGACACTGTGACCTGGCGTTGGCGCTTTGTTGTTTCCGTTGTTCGGCCAAGCCATCCAATTCAACAGACCGTCAACTTGGGAGATATCTGACCCGTACGATGGGTGGAAATTAGGCGCAAAGAAGATTGACCTTCCTACTGCAGCCCGCAATGCCCCAATGTTTATTCCATCGCCAGCAAATGAGGAAACAAATACCTTGTTGTCAACCATAAGTTGTGCAGGCTTGCTGGCATACTGGGCGATCTTCTGGCCAATAGCGGTCGCCTGTTCGATATGCCACCAGTTGAAATCAAATGAAAGAAAGACTTTCATGTCATTATTGGCAGCAGAATCGTATGCGAGTTGGAGCTGTTGATCGGTGTAAGGGTCAACGCCAATGTTCAGGGCGAATGCATCAATTCCCAGAGACTTGGCACGTTTCATATCATCGTCAAAGTCGGACGGACTTCTCCTATCGCTGACGATTCCGATCTTTCAGACATTTAGTATAGGCCAACTAATAAGAGGTTTTGAGGATTCGGTCACCATGAAGTGTGCAAAGACAAGTCGCTCGGTTGACTGTCTTTTCACATGTGTGTCCTTGATGGTCGTAGACACAGCTTGCGCTATTGTAGACAGCGAAGCAATCACACATATGACCAAATTTCTTACGCGCATTGTCTTTTGAAGATTCCTTTTCTCGCGTTGACACAGTTTTTGGGGTTTGCTTTTCTCGTGTTATCTGTCTGTCTGTGAGTCTTGCCTCTTATAAACAGCTATCTACTACATGACTTGGACTTTTGGCAGCTGACCTGCAAGAGCAAGAACCCCCAGCTCAGGACAAAGAGTTTGATGTTTGCTATTGATCTCTCCGGGTCCAATCAGCACCTTACCTCCGAGAGACCATGTGGTTGTTAGATAGTTGCGGGGCCACAAAATCCAAACTTTGGTGATTGCCCTTGATAGGTACAGGGTGACGGCCAAGTATTTCTAGCAATAGCAATCCTTGTTCTATATTTCCGTTATTTGCCGATGATCAGGCGGATATAAATGGGGCAGGAATAATAGATAGCTCTGAGTCTCAGCCAAAGAGTAATCGCTCTCGATATTAGCTCATATATCTTCAATCTAACAACATTTTCTTCCTTGCTCAACTCCCCCTGGACACTCAGTGCTTTTTGTTGTTAGGCAATCCAGAGTCCAATATCATCGCGATCCATGGGGGAAAAGAATAAACGTCGAAACGCTCAAGGTATTATGATTCCCCGTGTACTACCGGAAGACATATCAAAGATCCCCTAAACCTTACTCCATCGGCGTGAGATCAACATTCGACGCAGCTAACCTTCCGAATGTAACCCATGGTCAACGAAGTGATTTCCGATTTTGGCGTAGATACTGAAACTTAGTACTTCCATCTTTTTACTCAGTCGTCCTTGAATGAATAGGTTTGATATTCGCCACTGATGACCAGTACATCCTTTGGTCCAATGGCTTAACATAGCCGCGGGGAATCAAAACTGCAGTCAATAAACTCCAACGTTAAGTTGATAATGGGGACTGAAATGAGGTTTGCTTCCCGTATACAAAAGCTTCTGCGAACGCCGTAACCTTGATTTTGTCATTCTATCGATACGGGCAATGGTAACGAAATTCATTAGATGCTAGATTGAAACAACACTTACATACATTATCTCGAAGGAGAGATAGTCACGGTCATTGCTAGAACTATCCCATGATTGCACTCTACTCCCACAGGCTGCTAACAACGCAAGATATGTAGCACTCGGCTAGTAAATCGTATGACCCAAAGGCTTTCTCGTCCGAGATAAAGTTTGCCTTGCCGAATATCAAACAGTAGACGAACAGGAAGTAATCGGGGAAAGCCAACGTCAAAAGCCGACATCAGACGGGAAACTCAACGGGGGATTTAGTGGAAAAATAACCGGCAGTCTGCTTCTTACGACATGTGACTAGGTAGCACCCAATTACCTGAAAAGCCTCTCGTTTTGAATAGTTGTACAGCTCAGATTTGCCACATTGCCTTTTGCCTGAACCGTGTACGACCTTGTGTCATTGGCTGAGAAAGATGTAGACCCAAAGGCCCTAGGGCCAATTACTTGGATGACATGCATGATTTCCCGACATATACCCACCTATATAATTCATCTAGTCTGGCATAGCCGGCTCTTGGTTCATCCCCCATGGTTTTCCTCATAAAGTTGGAGTCCGCAATGAACTACATGGCCCCTTTAGAGTCCTCGCGGTGTCGATGAGGCGTCCTCGCGCAATGCGCATGCGCGAATATCGATTGGGAAGATCGATGGCTATAAGTCGATCAGTATTATGAGAGCAAGTTATAATTTCAAAATCACTTATTTTGTATATTCTACTATCTATGGATATATAGCCTTCTCAAGATCTTATGTGGCATTATTACCTGATATCCCAGGCAACAAGTACCAATCTTGAGGCTGCTAGTGGGTATAGTGCCACAGTGAACAGCCTAAGACATGGTATTAACTATTGGGCAAACTTCAAATCACCTATTCAGGATATATATCACACATTCTGACAATTTCATCTATCAAATCATCCAGCGGCCCTAAGATGAACACTTGTTTATGCTATTCTGCCATGATATTTGCTTGACCGTTCACCTCCTTGGAAACCAGATCTACATGTCTACATGTGCCTATGTGAGTACATCCCAATAGTTGATAGATATAATGATTCAAATCGTTAGCAACTCCATATAACTTCCTACTTAGTATAAGAAGCTTATCATGCATTTCTAGTACCATTTGTGCTAGTATGCGTGAGAAAGTTTACATAGCTCAGTGTCTATAAAATCCAGGCTAAGTACTATTTACCATAGCTTTCGTCACTAGCCTGCGGGCAGTGAGGTATAGTGATAACTCAGAGGCGATTAATGAAGAGCTAGCTAGCTTGTCCAAATGGAGCCAAAGTCATCATATGCAAGGTACCCAGTAATAACTACACCCAGACCGCCAATATGTTCGAGGCTTAAGCCCAATGTGCATACGCTTCGACGGATGACATCTGATGCACAGAATGTGGACATTCAGCTTAACAAAAGCTCGTTGATGACTTGTTGACTAGCGGAGTCTGTAAGACAGACCTGGAAGGAACATGCAATTAGTGAGGGTTGATGCTCTGTCGCATATGGCATGGCATTCAGCATGATCAGAGATTGATTCAAATGGCAATTGTACTCCGTATCTGCCAGTTCCACGCGTCGCGTACTCTTCGATGAAAAAGGAAGGTGGAAAAGAAAACGGAGAAGAGACCCGTAACCTGTCGCGCGACAAACAAATTTTCAGTGTTGATGATTTTCTTAGTCGACTTTGTCACTTGGTCTCACATTTCTCTCTCTTCGCACGCTCCTTCAGCACCATGCAAGTGCCAAGAATCCTTGTTTGGGTATTGCAGCTCTTCCTGCTACTCAGCCATCAATATGCTGACGCAGTGCTCTCAATTTCCATCCCAGTAGCCCACCTTGAGGGGGTGTTTGAGGTATCCGCACTGAGCGAAGGAGCTCATACATACAGTCACCGTGGAGATGGTGGTATCATTCAAGCGAGGGACACCACTGAGCCAACCGAGTTGACTACCTTCCCAACTGATACCATCACATTGGAACCATCTGCCTCGGACATGACGTCGATGGCCACAACGTCCACGTCTGATTCTACCACCTCGAGCTCTTCAATGACAACAGAGTTGATGACAACCAGCTCGACGGCCGGTACCGCCTCATTGACAAATGCACCAACAGCAACTCCTACAGGCATGACCGCCAAAGAAATGGAGGGTGGGTTCTCAGACTTGGCGACAATCAGCGATACGACTAACAAAATTCAGATTGGAACCACCAGGGTAAAATAACAGCTATAATAGCTGGTTCTAGTGTTATCTCGTTTTTGATCATCTTCTGCACGTTTTACTATATGCGTCACAGAGCCAGGGCGCGACGCATTGCAGCGCGGGAATCATTAACAACTACTCGGTCTGACTCCTTGTTATTCCAAGAGCCCTGCATTGGAGGCTCAACCACTGATATTGAGATGGACCGATTATCCCTCATACTCGCCGACAGGGCAAACAGGTCACAGTCGGCTCGTATCCCAGTACGAACCCTCCCATCGTTGTCCAATTCTTCCAGCCGCAATGCATCCACAGTGTCAGGCCTCACAACCGACCAGTCATCTATCGGAGGTGACACACTACGTGCACGCGCTATTGAACAGCCCCTGCATTTTGTTTGAGCTCAAACTCCCTCGGGGATTTAAGCATTCACGATGCTTGCAAACTTGAAATGGCTTGTTCGATTTATCTGGGCGATTGGTCATTTTAGTCCGGGAATTTGGAAAGGCAGTGCGCGGACCCGTTCGATTCAATAACATGAAGCCCCGGGGAAATACTTGTAATATTAAACTTGTCAATGAAGTGTCCATAATGAAATCCATCACCAAAAGCTTGAGTTTTGCCCTGGTATCCATGTGGAAACATTATAATTTCAGGTTGAATTGATACGTTATCATTCCCTAAGTTCTGCTTCGATGATTCCTTGACCATCACCAGGCCGGTGCCCCAGCCCAGCTTGCGAAGGTGTATAGTCCTCAGGGGTCGGTTTCAATTCAAATTGAATCTGCTACCTGAATATGCCTGGATTAGGGGCTGCTATTGACACTGCCCAGGTTCTCGTCAATGTATTGCAGATTATAGTCCGCACTTGAAGCTATTCCTCCAATATAAATCTCGTTAAGGGAAGAAAATATCTACAAAAAGGACATTCCAAGGCAAACGCGGCCAAGCCACAAGACTAAGAGAGGAGGGGGAACGAGCCCGCCGGCGTGTCCAAGCATCACACGAATCGGTCGACCTGTTTACAAAAATTCACAGCACTTTAGGAGACTGTTCAACAACTCAATCGTCTCTGTTGCTAGCACACAATCCACCTAATGGGGCCAGAATCCAAGGGAGGAAATAACTGAACCAGCCATGTACATATTATCGACTATGGAATTATGTTTCACGGATGGGTGTGCTAGATTGCTGCAGTAAGACCTAAGAACCTATCTAGGCACCTAAAATGTCAACCTCTCCATTGCAACATCGAAGCAGGTGCCCTTTTGTGATTGATAACAGATAACAAGGATTTAGAACCACGAGCAACAGCTGAGAGACCAGCCTCTGTCAGCTCTGGCTTCCTGCCAGTCCTCCATTTTCTCAGAGACATAGTCCATAGACTCTCTAGCGAGAGCAGGATTGTCAACGTAACTTTCGCGGAAAACTCCGATCGATCGAAGCTCCAACTTGAAGTCACCTTGTTGGTCCCCAAAGAAACTAAAAAAATCAGCAACCGTGCCTATATCATCATTGATAGACAACTAACCTTCGAATCATGATCCTGAACCTCTTCACTCGCGACAAATCCAAGGGTCTCGCATCTTCAACCGGCTTCCCTCGATATGTCGGCTTTAGCTCCTTCCATGGCACTCGAATTTTATGTCCAGTCTCCTTTGTGCAAAAGTCATATTCCCAGACCAGAGCACTTTGCTCACGACCATCGGGCCTCTGTTCCAGGATCTCGTCTGTCAAACAGAAGGTGTATCGTTTTCCGTCCGACGGGCCGACACGAAGCTCGACACCGTCAAGCCCACTGAGGTCCCAGGTTTGTTCTTTACCAACTGTGCGTTGTGAGGCAAATCCAGCGCCGCCGAGGGTCTCAATGTCGAGGTTGCCGTGGAAAATCACTCCTTCCTTGGTAGGCTGGAGCTCGGAGACCGAGGATCCCCCACGGACGCGATCGTCAGAGGCGGTCCAGCCATTGAGATCCCAATCGGGACCAAAAAGGGTCTTGTTCTTGGTATATTCCATGATGTGTTCGAGATGTATTGGTTGCGGGAAGGCCGAGAGCGTAGAAGCAATACTGTAGCGAAATGGCGGTATTTTCGCAAACGCCGAGAGATCGGATCGGCTGCTCGATCGGCGGGTTGATCGACATATGACGTCATCTGTACATTAAGCGACCAGCCTTGAAGCCTGATAAACAAGGCCAATATCCATTTTAATCTCCACATGGATGAGATATGGTTTTGGAAACAAAACTGGGGTATATTGAGCTATTTACATTAAAATCATCTCTATCAGACATCATAAGGTTTCTTTTCAACATCATAAACTGGCGAGCATGCCAATTTGCTTCTCTGTCGCAGCCATGGGCCGTAGACTTTGAACAGAACGGGGATGGGAATCATCACGACTGCAATGCATCCCAACATTGTGCCTGCCCATTGAACACCGAGGTTCTCCATCATTTGGCGGGAGAAGAGTGGGAACGAACAGCCGATGGCTGACCGTAAGATCGTGTTTGCAGCAATTGTAGACGCAGCCCTGTGAACTAGGTTAGTCTCTTTCCTTTTCTTTTTCTTTCGGAATGTAAGAATCTTACAATGAAGGGTAACAGTCAACAATGTAGTTGAAGCATTGCAAGAAGATCAAGAAAATCCCGAGTCCAGTCAGGATTCCGGAGGCCATAGGGGCCATCCAGTGAATAGATGAAGTGAATCCGGTCCAGCCAAACCTGTTAAATATTGTTAGTTATGAAAAACACAAAGTCTCCTTAGACGAAGCCACTCACCAAAACATCCCAATAGCAAAAGCCACGGCTCCCACAATCGCTGGCGAGAGGCGCCATTCAGGAATAGGCGTGTCATTATTCGCCGCCAGCTTCATTCTGTATGAGCTTTGAATCATAAGGACATAGACACCGCCCAGCAGTTCCCCAATAATGAGCCCAATGAAGGCAAGTCCTCCGAGTCCCATGTTCATCCCATATACGCCTTGGAAGACAACGGGATAGGCGCCTAGGAGAGCGTACATGAGGCCATAGATGAACGCGATATACAGTGATACCAGAAGCAGAATAGGCTCCGTGACCAACATCACAATAGGACGGGCGAAGTTGTTCCGCAGAAGCTCTGTGATCTCCACCTCCACTTCGTCCTGCTTTGCATGGATGCCCCAGTTGCGAGTTTGTCGGCGGAGGGTAGCTGCCTTGCGCACGAGGATAACTGGAGCATAGGTCTCGTCGAGGAACACAAGGATGAGAATGAATCCCAGAAAGACCATGATTGCAGAGATGTACATAATCCACCGCCATCCCAGCCCACTGTCTGCAATAAAGCCACCCACAAATGGTGCCGCAAAGGGCCCAACAAAGACAGCCATGCAGAAGATCGACATGACTGCACCCCGCTGTGCATTGTTGAACATGTCTGAAAAGACTGCGGGAACAATTGAGATCGGACTAGCTGAGAATAGACCCGCAAAGAAACGACAGATCATGATGGTCTGTATGTCTTTGGCAACGGCAGATGCTATGGTGAAGATACCACATCCGAAAATACCGACACATAGCGGCCATCGCCTGCCGATCAGCTCTGATCCCGGTGCCCAGATTGTTGGCCCGGCTGCAAATCCAAGAACATAGAGTGTCACCCCGAGCGAGCCAACTTCCCTACTGATGTTGAACTCTTGGCTGACGCCAGAGATCGCAGCCGAGAAGACGGCGCTGGTGAATGATCCGGCGAAGGTTCCATAACAGAGGACGCAAACTAGCATTATTCTTGGAGGGGATTAGCCTTCATAAACTTGTCTTGGGTATAGTCAATGGCAGGGAACTTACCGTCTAGTCATAGACCAGTTGTATGGATGTAAAGGGTCATTGACCCCATCGAACTCCACCACATAGTCTTCAGAGTCTGGGAGCAGGGGTGGATACTCCTTGTTGGCGCCCATAGGGAGCCATTTTTCGCGGGGAATAGGCCCTCTTGTAGAGCCTACAGTTGTCTTCTGTTGTAGTCGGTAGGTGTTGATTCGAGTTAGCTCGAGAGTGTCAACATGGTCAATTGTGTCGTCAGATTCATGGCTGCGGGTTTCATTAGGGTAGTCGAGGTCTGGTTCATATTTGTCTGGGTTCTCGGTAAGATGTTGCATTTTCAACTATCATAGCAAGGTTTTTGGAAACAGATTGGGAGTATGTGTGCGAATGTAGAAAACCTTCACCGAGGAAGGTCGCTCGGTATATGTCCCTGTGTTGCTCGGCTCATCGATCACATTTTTCATACTAATAGTATGGGTCTTCGGCCCAATCTGAGGACTGCTGTCATAAGACGGGTCCTGGTTCTATCCAAATGTCCACATTCAGGGCTAAAAATCGAGTTCGCGAGATCCATAGTTTTCCGCTGTGGATTAAGCTTGATATCAAGCTCCACTATCCCGCCACGGTGCCCTGACAGCAAAAGTTAACGGCCAATGAAAAGTCGCCTCGGCAGCGGTTATTGTCGGGGCTGTGGCTCTCATCTGTTAAAGAAAAATCTACCGAGCACAACCGAGAATAGCCGTTATCAATTTTGTACCACGCGCAAGATTCAAGAAAAACTCTTCCAGTCTAGAGAATCTAGTGTGGTTTTTAGTGAGCAAAACAAGGCAATGATAGAAACTGACCTTATGAAAGCCTAAAGTACCTTGGCCAGACCGATCCCGAGACACCAGGCCATTTTAAGGTGTTCCCCATCCCGAAGCCGTCGGAGCGGAGGTCGGGACCCAGTTAGTTCCACTGCTTTGTATAAACTCGGTTGTTTTAACGGAACATCAAAACGGTACTCAATTTTTTGCAAACACATATATTCGTGCCCTTTATCATGCCTGTTGTCAGCTGTAAATAGGAGTATCAGTATCCTCCCTCCTCTAACTCCTTACAGACGTCTCTCAGTGTCCATCCAGCCCAATCAAAGTCGCCAGGCTCAACGTAGATTTGCGCGCTTAGTCGAGCCCACCAAGACCCCTGAAATGGGAATACAGGAATGAATGTATTGTGCGACTTGATCAAAGTCTGCTGCATCCACTCACCCACTGTCACATTGGTCCCATCATGTCTCTTGACCATACTCCCCTCTCCCGAAGTGGGTCTCTTCAGAGGTAGGAGTATGTTGACCATACAACAGTCTGTCGAAGTGTGCGAAATATTGTCCAGAATTTGGGTTTGCAGGATATCTGCAACACATTGCCCACCCTTGCGTGCAAGCTGAATGCAATACTCCCGGATCGCGTCCTCACCACCGCACACTTCTTCCCTCCACCGAATTGCCTCGGGCACTGCCAAAAAGGAGATATTGTCGGTAGTTCCAACGAAGTCGAACATGGAGACAAAGTCTGTTTTTCCATTCACTGACTCTTGGGGTCGAGCACAAGATTCTTTCCCGGGCAATCGAGGTATGAACCCATGACTTGTTGGCAGGGTGCTTCGCATCATGGCTTGGTTGCGCTCTGGAACATAAAACAGAGCACATCCACGAGGGACAAACAGCCATTTATGACAGTTGCTGATCAGGAAGTCCGGGTCCAATGACGATATATTGAGTTCGATCTGCCCAATTCCATGGGCAGCATCAATCAAACTCAGGACACCCTCTGCGCGGCAGACCTCTGTGAGTTTCTCAAATGGAAGCCGAAGGGCCGGACTCGATGAAATCGTATCAAATATAGCGATTCGCGGACGGAACCCCTCCGAACGTGAGGTTTGTATCGCTTTTCGAAATGTAGAAATCATCTCTGAATCCTCGATTGGATACGTAAACCCAATCTCTCTAGTCCGAACCTTGTCTCCGCTGGCTTCACAGACATAATCGGTCGTCTTGCCACATGCCCCATAGATTATATCTAACCGAAGGATCTCGTCTCTTCCATCATTGTTCCATACCATGTTCCGTAGGACTATGTTGACTCCGGTAGTCGCATTTGGAACGAAGACAATGGTGGGTGCAGGTACACCCAGGAATTTACTCATGGCAGCCCGAGATTCATCCAATAACTCGGTAAACCGATATTTGATGAAGGGACACGGGTTGCTCTCACATTCTTCGCGAAATTCATTTGCTTTCTCGCGAATAGCAATCGGGGATGTCCCAAATGATCCTGATATAGTGAGCAAGTATATTGGCACATAACATGAATTGTTTTACCATGATTCAGGTTTCGATAACCAACGGCAAACGAAAATTGCCGTCGCATTTCATGGCCAAATGGTGTTGGCTCATATTGACGGGAAGACGGCATGTTGCCACACAGTTCACAATCTTTAGTTAGGATGAAGTTCAACGAGGAGACAGTCCTCAAAACTTATCCCAAAGCAACCAACACCCTCTTTCCCCCGCTATCTTTCTTTGGACTTGAATGCTACCAAAGAATGCAACACTGGGGAAGCTGACAAGGCCCGAACCCTGCAGTGGACCTCGGGAATCCTGCGAAACGATGACTTTGCAGATCAACAACCGGAATGAGATACGAGATGTGGTGATATTAGATAAGATATATCATGTGCGCAGTTATCAGGGCATCATCAAGTCCCCATTCCGCAGAGTGTTCCCTTGCTAGCCCCATGTTGGCAAGAGGATGTGTTTCATTGGCTGTCACTCCGCACTTCTGTATAGGGTCCGTGCCCCCTGGACTAAATCTATAACTCGACACGACCATTTTGCTATGGAGTCGCCAGAATCATTAAGATAGTCCATGATAACCTCCCTCCAACATGGCGAACCAGAACCAGGTTTCTCGAGAGGATATAGAGCCTGGCAATACGAAGGGTGTTGATATGAGGCACTATGAACAGTCCAAGCTTGACAAGGGAGTCGGGCTGCCGACAGAAGTTGGCACCTTACAGCGACGGCTCAAATCACGACATATTCAATTTCTTGCTCTTTCTGGGGCTATTGGGACAGGTCTTTTTGTGGGCACAGGCCAGGTCCTTTCGCTGGCTGGGCCATTATCTATGGTGCTTGCGTACCTTATAACGGGTTTCAATCTCTATGCGGTGATCAACAGTATGGGTGAAATGGCGACCTGGCTTCCACTTCCTGGCGCTGTCCCGGTCTATGCATCCCGTTTCGTCGATGAAGCGCTGGGATTCACTCTGGGCTGGAACTATTGGTATCAATTTGCTATTGGTGTCCCGATAGAGATAAGTGCAGCTGCTCTTGTGATCGACTACTGGCCCAATAAAGTTCCCACTGTAGTATGGATCAGTGTACTTTATGTGTTGATCTTCGTCTTCAACTGCCTTCCTGTGCGGATCTACGGTGAGGTTGAGTTTATCCTTGGCTCGATCAAGCTCATAACCATTGTGGGTTTGATGTTGCTCATGTTCATCATCACACTCGGTGGAGCTCCGACACACGACCGTATTGGCTTCCGCTACTGGCAACATCCGGGTCCTATGAATACATATCTGGCGGACGGGTCTTTAGGACGCTTTCTGGCATTTTGGAAAGTCTTCATCCAGGCGACATTCAGCTACGGCGGTAGCGAAATGGTAGTGGTTGCAGCTGGGGAGACTGAAAACCCCCGACGAAATATTCCAAAAGCTGTGCGTCGAGTGTTTTGGCGTATTACAATCTTCTATGTCTGCAGTGTCTTTCTCGTCACTCTGTGTGTCTCATCGCAAGATGACCGGCTCCTCAACGCACTTGACTCAGGAGCGGCAGGCGTGGGGGCAAGCCCTTTTGTTATTGCCATTGAGAATGGAGGCATCCATGTGCTACCATCCATCATCAATGCCGTGGTTCTCACATCGGCATTTTCTGCTGGCAATTCTTTCTTCTACGCATCCACCCGAGTCCTCTACTCCACGGCATTGAATGGCAAAGCACCTCGAATTCTTCGATTCGAGAAATTCGGAGTTCCCTATGCCTGTGTCGCCGTTACAGCTGCATTGAGCCTACTTGTGTATCTCAATGTTTCATCAAGCTCGGCTGAGGTCTTTTTCTGGATTAGCAATCTAAGCTCTGTGAGTACGTTGATTGTATGGACTTCGATTTCCGCGACCTACATTCGTTTCTATCAAGGTCTGAAATATCACGGCATACTTCGGTCAACCCTTCCATTCAAATCACCTTTTCAACCCTTTCTCGCCTACTTTGCGATCATATTTTCGTCAACCGTGGCATTCTTCAATGGCTTCGACGCTTTCTTTCCTGGACATTTCAGTGCCAAGACCTTCGTCCCTCCTTACATTGACATTCCCATTTTTGCCTGTCTTTTCTTAGGATACAAAATTGTGAAGAAGACAAAGTTTGTCCAGAAAGAGGATATGGATTTCTGGTCTGGCAAAGAAGAGGCCGATCAACTAGAATCCGTATGGGAGGAACCCAAACCTCGCAATTTTCTGGGTACGTGCATCTACTTCGTATTTTCTGTTACGCTCTGTTTAAGATACTGATACATATTTTACAGAGAGACTTTGGTTTTGGATCGCTTGAGTTTGGAAAGGTGTACCATTTCACCTGACACATATGCAACATCTTTGCACACGGCCATTGTAAAAAGGCGGACTTTCGAATAGAATAAGCATAAATTTCTCTTTTCCGAGGAGAACTATGACACGAACTGCTCTAATTGATTGGTTTTTTGGGTTAATTCATGCTGTTTATGAAGGATAAAAATGAGGGCGAAACAAAAAGATTGGCGCCACCCGGAATCGAACCGGGGCTAACACAGAACTGGAACACCACAATGTGTCGTCATACCACTAGACCATGGCACCAGGAGATATTAATATGTTCAGCGGAATAAAATATCACTGTCGAAGACATCAGAAGAAAGAATCATGAATGGTACGCAAAACTTCCTGCGAGGTGGAGGAATATTTGGCCAGTCATCTAAACTAGGGATCTGATTTCCCCGTCTTCCGATTATCAGCCACTCTAGCACTTTTCCCGAGAAGAGCCCTTCTGTTCTCTGAAGCGACCGTGGATGGCGGGTGATGGTCTTTTACTCGCGAAATGACAAACCTGGCCCAGCGAGAGCGTGTGAATCAACGGGTACTTGCTCTTCTACTATGGTCATCTTGATCAAATGCAGCTAGTCGAACCCATTTCTCAGATCCACCATCGGAAGCATATGCAATTTTCAGCGCTAGCATCGTCGACTCTGTATGGGATTAAGTAGAAACTGCCCGGGATTGACTGGCGAATTTGTGGGGAAGAAGCTTAAACAAGCTTTGAACAATATATTGCAAATCTCGATCTTCGCATCTTTAGATCTGATCTTGTGCTCAACTTCTGTTGGTGTTGTCGCTCAGGTCGCAGGTGGTCTCATCTACGACGCAAGTGCGGACCTCATCTATGAGCCACTAAAAGTGTATGAAAATGTGGGGATAGGTGAGGTCTGCTTCTGCGCCGTAGGTGACCTCACCCATGTATGTACCGACTGTCACCGAAGAGCCACTGAAAGTGGATAAAAATGTGGGGATAGGTGAGGTCTGCTTCTGCGCCGTAGGTGAGCTCACCCATGTATGTGCCGACTGTCACCTATGAGCCACTAAAAGTGTATGAAAATGTGGGGATAGGTGAGATCTGCTTCTACGCGGTAGGTGAGCTCACCCATGTATGTACCGACTGTCACCTATGAGCCACTGAAAGTGGATAAAAATGTGGGGATAGGTGAGGTCTGCTTCTGCGCCGTAGGTGAGCTCACCTACTCACTGCTCACCTATGAGCCACTTAAAGTGCATGGAAATGTGGGGATAGGTGAGATCTGCTTCTACGCCGTAGGTGAGCTCACCCATGTATGTACCGACTGTCACCTACGAGCCACTGAAAGTGGATAAAAATGTGGAGATAGGTGAGGTCTGCTTCTACGCCGTAGGTGAGCTCACCTACCAACTGGGTCATATCTAGCATGTTGCCAGTGTGGATGTACAATCTAGACAATATAAATTCCCAGTTACCGTGGAGTGGGCTGTTGGGCAATGAAGCCTCCACTCTATATTTCCCACCCGAACCATGTACAACCACCTTATATACATACGGAGTACTCCATACTCTTTCTAGTGTCATAGTTTCTCCACAGTATGTTATCATATAGCCTTTGGAGTGGCTTCAATGCACTGGGAGCAGCCTCACTTGGCGGGATTCAACTGGGGCCAGTTGTTGATATGTCTGCTCCCAAGGACCTAGCCCTGAATGTCCAGGACATTTCAAAATTGTCGAGTCATGGTGCCTAGGTATCTTGTAGTAAAACAAAAGCTTCCGAGCGTGATTTGCGCAATACGAAGTCAAGGGAAACCGTCAACACAAACGAGGGTACCCACTTTGCATACAATGCAAGCAACCCATCCGAAGTAGCGCAGTTTATGAAGAATAATTGCCCCGGGGCTCTCGAATGACCAAGAAGATGAAATCAACAAGGCTTATAAGCACGTGAAGCCTCTCCCTAAGCATGCAGCTTGTTTCCCATCGGCCGCGGGCAGTTATGGGGACTCAACACTCACGTACATGTCACTTGTGGCTATATGTACCTTATCCTCGCGGGTCATCACGACTTCGGCCTCGTACCCCGTGACAAAAGAGACTTGTTCCGGTTGATTCCGCGAGAATCAGCCAGATGCTGAAGTCTCCAGGTGAGGGGTAAAGCCAAAAGAATCCGGGGAAGCTGCTTATCTTCTCCTCCGCATTCACAATGCTGTAGCTGACCATGAAAAACTCATTCGGTGCTTCTTTGTCTTCCCTCCCTGTCGAGCTGGTTGAGCTGATCGCCGATTCGCTCGACGCAGATGGTTTATTAAACCTCCGTTCGGTGTGTCACGAGCTTCAAACGCGAACATTCCATCACTTTGCGCAGCGCTTCTTCTCGTCAATCAAGACAGACCTTTCTTGGAAAAGTCTGAGTCGGATCAATGCGCTCTCTCAGAATATTGCATTACGCCCTTATGTGCATGGTCTGGCCTTCATGCTCCAAAATGGGGTCGGTCGCGGCTTAGTTTGGGATCGCCACCCATGGGGTCCTCTATCCGCACCCTTGGAAGTAGAAGCGATTCGGTCTTTACGAGATAATTTAATCCACAACTTGACCAATTGTCGTTCATTCTTTATTTTCTGTCGATACCCAGAGGGCCATCCGGATATGAGCCATGTTACTATTACCGACGCCGTCGCCGTCTTCTTTGCCCTGGTCGTTGATGCTCATCTACCAGTTTCATCGTTCCATCTCATCTACGCCAACCAATATTCGCGCACCTTAATCATGGATATGCGTCGTCTACCCAAGCTTCTCTATCGTCAACCCGAATTCAAACTGGTATGGGGTAATCTAGAAAAACTCTCCTTGGAACAATATCTCACTTTGGACAACTTTGGGTTCCTGCTTGAGCTGGTTCTCAGCGCTCCAAATCTTCAGACCCTCCTATTGAACCTCGGCTCACACGAGCTAGCATCTGAATTCATGCATGAATTGGCCGAGTGTGCCAGTTTCTCCAAACTCCGCGAACTCGCGTTATTCCGAACATATATGCGCGCCCCGGATCTTCATAAACTACTCGGCAATATACGCATGAACTTGACTTCCCTCACATTATATCATGTTTCTCTAGCTGCGGGAGATGACTGGACTCTATTTCTTAAGGAGCTAGGCCATGGATTTATGGCTTTGCAAAGTATCTCTCTGTATTATCTGTGGGCTAGCACGCCTGTCAAGGGGCTTTTAAATTTCCCAGATATTCCAAAAACCCCTTCATGGTGCAATTCGAAGAATTTGAAGGACCAGCACCTTAACATGTTCTACTCCGAAGATGTCAAAAGCCCCACTGTTCTTGGGATTGAATATTCTGGGTCGAAGATGTCGCAGGTGCTGAGTTTATTGCAAACGCCGGTTGGATGCTCTTGATGCGACTGAAGCAGCCCGCCACTTAGGATGATTTTTTTTATGTCTTGCTATCTCTGCATGATCATGTCTGGGATACTTTTTGATTGGTTTTCTTTTATTTTGGACATATTGCCTCATAATATCTGCATTGTTCTCTCTTGTCATATTGGACTTACAAGCTTGGTATGAATTACATTGAAAGAAATATTTAAAACTTGGCCGAATTTATCCCGTGTGGAGCAACAAGGAGAGAGTCAATTAAACGGGCTGAACAGTCTAGTATCCAAGATGTACGAGGGGAAAATGTACAAGAGGAAATGGCAAAAATTGGCTTCAAGTTATCAAATGGCCCCCATGTAACGAAGGAGCCGGAGTCCTATTCATATACAAGCAATTTGGTGGTTCCTACTGTCAGATCCTGAACACCAGCACACAATTCTTGATGTGATCATATCAAATCCTTAAAATTTCAGCGTGACTTTCTTCATATTCCTTCCGGTGATTTCAATCAGAGTATTCTGGATATCTCCTTCGAATGCAACAGTCAAGCGAAGCTTTTCGTTTGGCCAAAGAGTCACGTAGTTGTCAGACCAATAGATTGGTGCTATCTCTGTCTTTCCGAGTGTGTTTATGGCATTCAATCGAACAAACACTGCCGGCCTCGCTGACGTATTTTCAAGCAGAAACTCAGCATGGGTCAAGTCATCTTCCTTTGAAGTCTTGAGGCTACGAAGTGAAGCCTTCAAAGTGGCGGGCTTCAGTGAGTCCAGCTTGGTGTAGTTGGCAAAATCGGTCACTGGTGTGGTATACCAATTAGACTCCGACCAGTCCAATACATCCGTGGTAGACGTCAGCCAGTAGACATTGCGACTAAGGACTTCTTTGGATTTGGTATCGGTGAGAATAAGGCGAAGGAGACCAACGTCTTTAATCTTGTCAATTGCGTCAAGCGAAGTCACGGCCTTTGACGAGAGGGGTGTTGTGTTTGTCGTGGACTTGGCACTGGATAATTTCTTGCCTTCTGTATCGATGAGATCCACCTGAATCTGCCGATTTCCCTTCTTTTCAGGCGAATGGTTGATCAGCCAAACATCCTGGTTCTCATAATTGTAAGCCACGTGCTCCATGCGCGCTCCGACTTTGGTGCCAAAGTAGGCTCCCATAGGGCTGAGGTAGTAATCAAATAACTGCCAATGCAAACTTGGCCAGGCGCTGTTTAACATCCAGTAGACAAGCCCTGTCGCGGGTCGCGTGGCATTCTGTTGCGTTGAGTAGCCTTCAAACTGAGCTCGGGTTGCTTCATAGTCTGCCATCTGGCTTTTGACTATGTAGTCTTCCAGGCTAGATGGCTCTCCATATCGGGCAAACAGAGCCTCATTGTAAAGATGCCGATCGTCAAATGGCGAGCGAGGGCGCGACATGTGATACAGATTTGCCTCTGGCTTTGTCCAAAATGTTTCAAGGTCTTCGTCAGACATGAACTTTTTCAGGCTACCCATCTCAGGAGTTCCGACACCGGCACCAAGTTCAGATCCAAATCCATAGGCCGCTCCCTCTTTGTTATTGTACCAGTAATTTGGAGGCACCCAATCGTACGGTCCGTCCATTTTCATTCCGGAGGGTCCAAGAGCCTCTGGGTAGCCACGCTTGCTGGCCGATGCAATAATCGGGTTGGGCCAATCCATCTCCTTGAGTGCATCTAGATAATTCTTGGTGGCTTCATCATTTGGCCACGAGTCTGACCCGATCAGGAATCCAAGTAGCGAAGGATGACTTTGCATCATGTCCGCCTCGTGCAACATTGCTGCCTTCGCAATCGGGTAGTCTGATTCTCCCCAGAAAACGGCGCTGACGTCTTCATTATACTAGAAATCCCTTTGTCAGTAACTTGACGTTTTGAATACACCCTAGAGGAGACGTACCTCCCAAGCTTCCCATTTATCGCAACATTCCCACCCGGCCAGAACCATCATTCCCATTTGATCTGCGAGCTCATAAAATTCCGGGTGCTCTTGTTTTCCTTCCAGTCGTATAGTGTTGAGCCCCATATCCAGCATATAGGAGAAAATCTTCCGGATTCGGTCAAGATTGAATCGCAGAAAGATATCCGGTCCATACCCACCTCCGATGACCTGGAAGGGCTGGCCGTTGACAAAAAATGCGGTGTCATTAAACTTATTCAACGTTGATGACACATGTCGAATCCCAAATTGCTGGCTGCCAGACCTATCTGACACCGCGATCTGAGGTTCCTGTATGGAGACTTCGGCTTGCACTGTGTACAAAGGCTGCTTACCCCAAAGGGCAGGCCACCAGATATCAGGGCTCCTTAATGTTGCCTTGATGGATACTGTTTTTCTCTCTCGTTTGACTTCAATTCAAAGGTATCACTGATTTGGACAGCCACAGAGCCATCTGGCCCTTTGATGGTGCCATTCACTATGACCCGGTGACCTGTCGATCCATGGTTGGTCAAATCAGTCCGAAGAGTGACCTTCACTGGCTCATTATCGGGCTGAGTAAAGTCCGTGAGAATATGAAATGCAGACATGGAGACTGCTCCAGTCTGAGAAAGCTCGACATTTCGCCATACGCCAGTGCCGTTATCGGCGGGGTATGGATTCCAGTCCACGAAACCCATGGCGAAATCACGAAGGTAGTCGGTTGGAAACGCACGAATAAGAAGGCAATTGACACCTTCTTCTATGTGATCAGTCAAATCGTACTGGTGGCCGCCGTAGGACCCTTGCTGCTCATCACTTGAGGCAATGAGCACCCCATTTAGATAGATGTCTGCCTTGGATGTGATTCCGTGGGTTTTGAGCGTGAAATATTGGCCATCGGATGGTTTCAGAGTGAACTCTTCGCGGTAAAGCCAGGGTACCTCGAAAATGGAGGTATTGGCTATAGATTTCATGTTGTCTGAGTAGAACAAGTCCGTCTCGTTGTACACTCCATTCTCGATCAGCCCAGCCATGACAGTGCCACGAGAACTGACCCGATACCATGATGATACATCGGCTCCTGGAGCAGACAGTAACTCCAAGTTATCTGGCACTTTTGCCGACGACTTTAGGTGCCATCCTGGGATTGCAGCAATATCACCAGCAGACGCGATAAGAGGGTCTGAGTTGATATTCACTGCACGAGCGCTGGCACTGAAGACAAGGGCTAGGGAAACCCCCCTCATGCATTTTAACATGGTCACTCACGTTGCTTTGTCAGATCCCAATGATGATAACGACTGTATTCTGTCGAGAAAAAGCATGGGATAGCTGGTTTATGTAGAATAAGAACCCCACGAGGTGAGACTTAGGACCAAATACCACCGTGTGACATGGCTCAAGGTTTCTACGACCGTGGGATAAAAGGTGTTGGTCCAACGCCATGTTCTCCGACGACCTTCTGGGCAAGGACTAGTTGACACGGCGATTTCGGCAAACCTGGGGGTTTCCCCGGTGCTGCGTGGGATCATCAAGGAATTTCCTTAATACTGTGACTGAGTAGTCCAAGCTTAAGCTTCAGGTTGATTATAATTCACGTCCGACGGGGGCTAATGTCAACGATGTGATGAGATTCCTCTTCTGGCTCTGTCCCTGACATAAAGTTTGTTTAGTTTGCATGCTGTTGTGTCAGTTCTCGTCAAATCGCATTAAAAGACCAGTGGGATTTTCAATCGTCAATATTTCTGGGGCAAAGACTGGTCTGAATGCAAATTCAAAAATATATCCGCAAGCTACCTATTCACAAGCTGTTCATGCTAGTAAACCGAGATGGCGATTGGTATGGTGCCTGATAAACCAAGCGACAGGCCACAAGTTTAGAGTTGAGGCATATAATTAGGCCACAAGGCATCAATCGGCCTTGGTCGAGTGCTCATCGAGTCTTGCCAGCACACTTCGCCTTTGCACTTTATTTTCAAGAATGAGTCACCTGGGGCTGGCCCAGAAAAATGATTCTCACACAGCCCTCCTCAGGGGGTCCCCCTTGTGGTATGCCGGGAACTCCAAGGCTCTAGCCCCTTCCCCAGGGGACAACTCCTTCAACAAGGGTTACGTCGGGATCAGAGGCACTTCATGGTTGAGAGAGAGAGAAAGAAGCGACAATTGAATTGTCTTTCGTCAATTCACCCGTCAGTGCCATGGCACCAAGGAGTGGGCCCCTACCGAACAGGGAGGGATACAGGTTACAACGCCGGAATGCGGCGATTGTTGCATCGCGTTCGTTTGCAGAAGCGAACCTCTCGTCTACGCCCCTTATCCACTTTCTCCTCTATTCTATTATGCGAGCTTTTGATTGGCCAACTTCTCTGGGCTGATGGGATGGATCTGTTTGACAGCTGCGCTGGAATGCCACCCCGATGACTTATCGTGGAGCACCAACAGGGAAACCATGGAAATGACAAGCTTCCCGTTGCAATTGTGTCGCGGCCTCGTCCTAATTCGGATATTATGATCATAAAATCATGAAAACCACGCTGATTGCAGCGCATTATCGCAGGTACGCTCGTGTGATTCCCCCTACAGGAGCCGCGTCAATGGCCTGGGGAACCACGCCTTGTTACCATGCCAGTGCTCCTGGATGATTGGAATGTGGTTGTCGAATCCACACACATGTTTTTCTCTCACTTATCTGTATTGAAGATTCTGACGTTGGCCGAGGCCCTCTTCTCACCTTTCCATATCCTCATCTTGTGACTTGGAGGAACGTTCGCTCTCCATCTCCATACTATCCGAAACTCATGATTGTGTCAATAACCACTCATCACTTCTTAAAGTCGCATTGATTGTTTGAGAATTTTCTCCTTGCAAGTCTCGAGCCTAAAGGTTGACCTTGGGGGAAGCTGAAGCATTGCTGTACCCATTCGCGGTCAGTACAATCAATATATCGGCTGTCATGCGCATATCTAGCTACGCATCGCAGCCTTCATGGACGGGTCTACTGGTTGCAGCTCTACTGGGCACTTCAACTGTGCAAGCAGTAGAACTGGATCTTGAAGATGGAGGTACGTGTCTTACTTTTGCGGTCTATCTACGCACAATGACTAAAACAAAATCAAAGATTCCATCAAGAAAGCAGCGAAGCAGGTCGCAACCAACATGATGAGCTATTACACTGGTATGAACCCTGGTGACAATCCAGGTAATTTGCCCGACCCATATTACTGGTGGGAGGCTGGTGCGATGTTCAACGCACTCATCGACTACTGGTACTATACGGGCGATGACACCTGGAACGACATTACGATACAAGCGATGCTCTGGCAGGCCGGAGAGAACAAAGCTTTTATGCCCGCCAACCAGAGTAAAACTGAAGGAAATGATGACCAAGTTTTCTGGGGCTTCGCTGCCATGACCGCCGCAGAGAGGAACTTCCCAAATCCACCTGACGATCAACCTCAATGGCTTGAAATGGCGCAGGCCGTTTTCAACACTCAAGCTCCCCGGTGGGATAACACATCGTGTGGTGGTGGCTTGCGCTGGCAGATTTTCACATGGAACAATGGCTATAACTATAAGAACACCATCTCCACTGGTGGATTCTTCAACCTGGCTTCTCGCCTCGCAAGATACACCAACAATGCGACCTACCAGGAATGGGCTGAAAAGGCCTGGGACTGGACTACCGATGTTGGATTCATGACACCGCAGCATCGCTTCTTGGATGGAGCTGATCTCCTCACTGGCTGCAAACCTATCAACCAGATTGAATGGACTTACAATCTGGGAGTCTACTTGCTTGGTGCAGCCAACATGTATAACTTGGTAAGTGAAGCCTATGCGGATTTCTACACATTATCTAACATCGAGAAAAGACCGAGGATGTGAAATGGAAGACGCGCACAGAGAAGATTGTTCAAGCTTCTAGTATCTTCTTCTCTCACAACCCACCCGACGTAATGTATGAGCGAGCCTGCGAGACGGTCAATACTTGCATGGTCGACCAACGGTCCTTCAAGGGATATCTTTCACGGTGGATGGCTCAAACAACCCAAATGGCACCTTTCTTACACGATACCATCATGAGACGGCTGAAGGCTTCTGCCGCCGCAGCTGCCAAGACCTGCACCGGGGGTGAACGAGGCAATGTGTGTGGTCTCAAGTGGACAGCCCAAAAGTGGGATAAGACAAAAGATTTTGGTCAGCAGATGGCCGCCCTCGAAGTGATCCAAGCCAATCTCATCACGCGCGTGGCGGCTCCAGTCACCAAGGATGACGGCGGTACGAGTAAAGGAGACCCGAATGCAGGCTCCGAACCACCCAAAAAAACCCCGACCGGCCTTGACTATTCGATCACTACAGGCGACAAGGCCGGTGCAGGTATCTTGACGATACTGATGATGATCGGCATCGGTGGAACCTGCGGGTGGATGATCTGGGACTGATTCTTTTCTTTCAACCTTCGCGCTTACTTTGTGTCTTTTCTTCTACTTGGTTGACATTATACGTTTTGCGAATCTGGGATTCTTTGCAATACTTTCGGAACAACATGACTCGTGGCGTTTTGTGAATACCTATTTCAATCTGACATATTACCGTCGCTCTAAACTGCCTCATTTTCACTCGAGTGCCCTTGTCGATTCGGTCGAATGGATGGCGGAAATGCGGGCAAAATACATCCCCGCACGATGTTACTCTGTACTGCATCGCACGCAGATAAGCTGTTCGAAATGAGGCCAACAAAAGGAGGGGTTGAACTCATAATTGATTTCCATCGTTTATTGCCTCGGCATGAGTCCGGCTATGTTCTTTGATTTGAGGTATATATTGTCCATTAAAGGACTATTTTGCCCCAGTAACACTTTCTAACCTCATAGCTCAACAACACAAACGGCCGAAGCACCAAATTATGGGTTCAATCATGGATGACGCTCAATTCCAGATTCCCACGCACTGTAAAGCGGGGGTGGTAGTCAACGAGGGCCCTAATTTCCATGTTGAGGTACAGATGGTGCCTGTTCCAGAGCCAGGTCAGATCCCCTCTTTCGTCGTACACAGACTCGCGGGCTCTGACGCTCTTGTGTAGGCCCTGATGATATCTTGGTTAAGCTAAATTTCACTGGACTTTGCTCGTCCGACATCCACATGATGCAAGGAGATCTGGGTCTTCCACCTATGTCCACGTTCGGCGTACGATCTCCAGGTCACGAAGGTGCAGGTGTAGTGGTTAAAGTGGGGGCCAACGTGAAGAATTTCAAATTGGGCGACAGAGCCGGGATCAAACCAATGATGGATACCTGTGGGTGCTGTGCACTTTGCTGTGACGACAAGGAAACCTATTGCAAGGATGTGATCCACACTGGTTTAATGACGGCAGGTGAGGCCAACTCATATGTATATCCCCGTGGTCTGGCCATCAACTCACTTCATTCAGGTACTTATCAGCAATATCTGGTATCACCGGCACGATATGCATCGCCGATCCCAGACGGGGTTCCCGATGAAGTTGCCGCTCCTATCATGTGCAGTGCTAGCACTATCTACCGATCCCTAATGGAGTCCAACCTGCGAGCGGGAGCTTGGGTTGTTTTCCCCGGCGGCGGTGGCGGCGTGGGCATCCAAGGTGTACAGCTGGCCAAGGCAATGGGCTTGCGTCCAATTGTGGTGGATACGGGAGATTCGAAGCGGAAATTAGCGCTCGAGATGGGAGCAGAAGCATTTGTGGATTTCAAAGAAGTGGCCAATTCCACCAAAGCTGTGATTGGAATCGCGGATGGAGTCGGTGTTCATGGGGTCATTGTGACGGCCCCCGCTGCTTATAAAACTGCCGTCTCGTTCATCGGACAACGCATTGGAGCCATTGTGATGTGCATTGGTCTTCCAGCGGCAGGATCGGTGACGTTAGGTACCGATCCCTGTGAGTATATATTCAAGAACTTGACCATCAAGGGGACCCTTGTTGGTAGCCGGAAAGATACCGCGATGGCGCTGGATTTCGCTCGACGAGGCATGCTACGACAAATCAGTGAAGTTTATCCGGTCAATCGTCTTCCGGAGGCTGTGGAAAAATTACGCAGAGGGGAAGTGGCCGGACGGATCGTGATCAATTTCAATTGGGAGGAGTAGGAAAAATGCAGCTATCCATATATTCGGTCAAATCTTGTGCCACTTTGTATTGTGACTGTAGACTCCACTTGAAGTTGAACCATCCACATGAATGCATAACTTGACTGCTGTGTCAGTAAAGGGCAAAACAAAAAAAGCAAAAGCAAAAAAAGAAAGGAATGCTCACACTCGGAATCGAACCGAGGATCTCATCATTACTAGTGATGCGCTTTACCGCTAAGCCATGCGAGCTTGTGAAAGAAGGTGGCAGAAAGTGATAGATAGGCGGAGACAGCAGCACAAAATCCAAGGGAAAAAGCTGACCTCCGAAAGGCAGCAAAAAGACATGGACTCGCGGGGAATCGAACCCCGGACCACTCCCATGCTAAGGGAGTATTATACCACTAAACCACAAGCCCAATTGGATGAAAGGAGCTGCAATCTTTTGCTACATAAACCTAACTAACACCAGGCTCCCCAATTCTAGTAGTTCAGCTTAGCTGCGTCGATCTTTTTCTGCTAGCATTGCTTTCTTTGAGACAAATTGCTCCTTGACCTTGATAAATATTCACTTGATTGTTTCAATAGATGTTTTGTCCATTTGTTCAGGGCCTCCGTTTTACTTGATTTCGTTTGCTCAGCTTGAAATATATCCCCATATCTACGGGAAGCCGGCAACTGGGTTGGGCAGATGCAACCGGACATTGTAACTTCGTTATTACTGGCTATGTCTTCCTCACTGATGATCGTCAATCTAAGGTAGCTTAGATATGCACATGGCTTAGTCGCATGACGAAGTGGAACTGAGCCTATTAAAATCGAGGCCGAATTGGGGTTGACGCCATATATCGGCTGCTGTTCCCATGGGCCGACAATTGACCGGGACATCTTCTTCCATTACTCCTTGAAAACTGGACCTTCTCCATAATAGACAGCTGTTTATCCAAGGAGCCAATTTTCCAGTTCCGCAATGCGAAATTTGGTTATTCTGGGGGCTCTGGCAGTGGCCACACAGGCACAGGAAGTATACCTGACCACAACCGGTGACTCCGCTCGACCACAATGTACACAATCACATTTGATTCCGGACTACCACTTCCAGCCCTTCAAATATACACTGAATGAGACAGTTCGGTAAATGATAACCAATTTTTCTATTTACATCACCCGCTAATCTCCTCATCAGACACGCAACCTCGGTTCCTTCTCCAACAACGACGAGGAAATATGCCCCAGTCTATACAGACGTGGTGAAGCATCTGACCACCAGCTGGTCAACCTCAACATGGGGTAGTTGGGTTCCAGAACAGACTGTCATCAGTGCCACTGACACAGACGATCCATATGGACAAGCTGCCTGGTCTTCGATGTGGCTACAAGCAGATCTTCACAACTATGTATGTCATGTGCTCGAATGTTGGAGATTTTGGGGAAAAGCCGAAGCTCACTTTATCAGACCACTACTGGGCAGTTCTCAACAACCGTCAGTCCGACACCCGTACCTAGCAGTGAGCTGGTCTTGCCACCGCCTGATTATTTTGGCCCAACAGATTGCTACAAGTTCCCCAAAGACTTTATATTTGGGGTTGCGGGAAGTGCAGCCCAAATTGAAGGCGCAATCGGGCTAGATGGTCGAGCACCTTCATTGATGGAAAAATTCGTATCAGACAGCGAGCCGAAGGACTATGTCACCAACGAGAATTACTTCTTGTATAAACAAGATATCCAACGATTGGCCGCAATGGGCGTGGAGTATTACAGCTTTACAATTCCCTGGACTCGGATCTTGCCTTTCGTTCTGCCAGACACGCCTGTCAACCAACAAGCCATTGAGCATTATGATGACTTGATTGACACGGTCCTCGATGCAGGCATGACGGTAAGAAATTTTCAACGATCCCAAAACCTATATATCGAAGTCCTAATATCCTGGATGTCATTGTAGCCAATAGTGACGATGCTTCATTTCGACAGTCCATTGATGTTTGTGGCCAGCGACGACATCAAGAAGCGCCCTGATATTGGCTCAAACAATGCAGGCTATCAAAATGAGACTTTCGTCAACGCATTCGTCAATTATGGAAAGGTTTGAGGTCCAGTCAATGCATCATCATTAATCAAAACACAGGGCTAATCGAATTGATCTCCCAGATTCTGCTTTCTCATTATGCCGACCGAGTCCCCATATGGGTAACCTTCAACGAGCCCCTACTCTACGCATTCAACTTCAAGGGTGTTGACCATGTTGTCAAAGCACATGCGGAGGTATATCATTTTTATCACGACAAGTTGAAGGCCACGGGGAAAGTAGGTATCAAGTTTAGCGACAACTTTGGAGTGCCGAAAGATCCGAAAAATTCCAGCCACGTTCTAGCAGCTAATCGTTTCCAAGAGATGCAATTGGGAATCTTCGCAAATCCAATCTTTTTGGGCAAGCAGTACCCGGAGTCCGTGTTAAAAACACTGCCCGGAGCTAAGCCGTTGAGCAAATCCGAATTAAAACACATCACCAACACATCAGACTTCTTTGGTATCGACCCTTATACCGCCACGGTAGTATCACCACCTAAGGAAGGCATCAAGGCGTGCGCTGCCAACCCTTCGAGCTCGAACCACCTGTTCCCCTTTTGTGTTGAGCAAGAAACAAAAAACGTACATGGGTGGAATATTGGGTATCGTTCCGAATCCTACGTTTATATCACACCAACTCATTTCCGAGAATATCTCTCTTATTTATGGAATACTTTCCGACACCCAGTTCTAGTCTCGGAATTTGGGTTCCCGGTATACGCGGAGGCAGAAAGAGATCAGCTCTCTGATCAACTCTTTGACTCCCCACGCAGCACCTATTATCTTTCTTTCATGTCTGAGATTTTGAAATCGATATATGAAGACGGTGTGCATGTTATGGGAGCACTTGCTTGGAGCTTTGTTGACAATTGGGAGTTTGGAGACTACGGGCAACAATTTGGCCTTCAGACAGTCAATCGCACCACACAGCAGCGACACTATAAGAAGAGCTTCTTTGATTTGGTGGATTTCGTGAAATCTCGACAGTCGAATAAGGACTGAACTGGCCCGTCGAACTGTGGTTTGTTTTGTGCTTTTGGGCGAATGTTCTCTCGTGGATATTAGGTGGCTCCGCTATCATACCTCAAGCCAAGGTACCTACACGTAGACATTCACGTGCAAAAAGCCGGCTTAATGGCCTTTTTTCTTTGACATTTAGAACATAGAACATAGAACCAAGAGATATATCTCATTGCAGGTAACAGTAAATTTAGCCGGGGAGGATCCGGTCACCGTGCTTTCCCTTGCAATCACCAAGGGATTTCTTTGCCGTCATACTGATCGGCACCCTCTGGCACCTCCCAACCAGGGACATGTATGTTAATGAACTTTCCATTCTGTTCCGGTGTTGCCTTTTGTATTATATCCACTACCTTCTCGGCACCTGTCTCAGCCGACAGATGTGCCCGGCGGCCACCAAGGTCAGTGCGGAGCCACTTTTGATGTTAGTAATTTTGCGAACAAGCTGCGATCTGAAGCTTACACCAGGACTAATTGCAAGAAAGGTAAAGCCATCATCCGCATATTGCAAAGCATATTGGACAGTGAGCATGTTCAACGCGGCTTTTGATATCTTATATGCGGGTGTTGGCAGCGGCCGAAACGCATCAGCCATAGTGATAGAGCCTAAGGTGGTCGACCTTGTGCTGGGTCAGTCCGGGACATGGCATGACAAGTGCTGTAGAATGTTTCTGGTCTCACATGTTAATTACTGTTTTCTTCTCGCCTTTGCGAAGCAGCGGTAGGAAAGCACGCGACATGAGATGAGGCCCTGTAACGTTGACATTGAACGTCTCGTTCAGATTGTCCCTGCCAAGTCAGTATCCGAGTTGAACCTTGTGACAAGATATTCATACATTCCTTCCAATCCGGTTGGAGACCAGTCCGTCACTCCCGCGTTGTTGACCAGATAGTCAAGTCCTTTCCCTTGCAGCTGGCGCTCTACTACACCGACAGCCTCCTTCACACTGGATTCATTGGTGACATCTAAGTTGACCATCTGTACTCGCCATGATGAATTATTTGCAATTTCACTGAGTTGAGCGGAATCGTCCTGGCGAACGGCAGCAATGATAGTTCCTACCTCGGTCTTGGGCAACGTCGCGAGACGACTGATCAGCGCTAATCCCAGTCCTCGAGAAGCGCCGGTCACTAGATAGGAAGCCATGGCCGATGAGGTGTGACAGACAATTATGAGAATGTGACTGGGAATGTCTATGATGGTGAAAAAGTGGTTTTAAATGTTGTGACAATTGCTTAGAAACCCAAATGCGGGCAGTCCTGAGAATAGCCGAGTTGTGCAGATCTTCCTAGGTGCCTACCACCCCCTGAGCGAGTACTTTTGGCACAATATCTATGAATTTGATATTTTGGATTTTATCAATCGCCGATTATTACTTTTTACCAGATGCCGTGTGCTTTTCGTATAAAATGACATCGTGCATCATTCCAAAATGGACCAGTGCTATAGACGGTTGTAGAGATATATATCACAACCTACACTGTTTTTCTCCATCCACTTTTCTCAAATTTCAGGAACCTTCGCTTCCACTTTTTTACTCAACCTGGAAATAACAGACATAGCCTCAAGTCAAACACAAACAGAAGGAAATAAACCATGCACCCATAAATAGTGGCATTCTATCTTCAAAAGTCACGATCACGTGTGACTTACGTCACCGGATTGAACGCGAGATCATTTACCCTCCTCCAACTTTTCCCCTCTCCAGCCATCCTCTGTTTGTCCGAAGCTAAAGCTCGCGTGGGTGGATTCTTCGGTGAATTGACACCATGGCAGACTCCTTCACCCTGCCTTTGCGCCCCATCCTCGAGAAGCGCGACCGTCCAGATACCTTGCCGGTGGAGATCGCGCAAATCAACAACCAGTGGGGCTCGTTTCGTGAGGTGAACGAAGAAGTTCTGCACAATAAGATCGCCGAGGAGGAGAAAGATGACGGCGGCGCAGCAGAGGAGAGTGACGAAGATGCGACTGAACCTGACTCGACCGAGCGTTTAGAGCAATTATACAAGCGACGTGCGGAGATCACTCAGTTCGCCATGTGAGTTTAATGGAATTAAAGTTATACCATCGGCAGACAAGAACTGACAAATATCCAGGCAAGCTCACATGGAGACAATGTTCGCCCTCGATTTTGTCTCTCTGCTACTATCTAAGCAGACTCCGCGCCAGGCGGAGACTTCCATGTCAGCCTTCCTCAAGCAAGTCGCACCGCTTGGTTCGCTCAATGCAGAGGTCGTGAACCCTCCCCCGAAACCGGAATCCACCACGCAAGATATCTCAATAGTCTCAAGAGGATGGCGGATCCAAAATTTCAATGCCGCGGCAAACAAGCTCCTACAAGCCGCCTCCAGACTTGAAACCGAAGTTGCGTCGGAGACTCGATACTGGAATGAGGTGCTCGCTGTTAAGGACAAAGGATGGAAGATTTCCCGCCTTCCTCGTGAACGGCAAGCGCTTGGCGTGCAATACGGGTTTCTTGAAGGTGAGAATGATCGATGTGGCATGGAAATTACACGGAACATCTTCTGACTACAGCTAAACATAGCCACCCCTGTTTTCCGCGACCGTGGTCTCGCATCTTTACGCCGAGCTGATGACGGGAGCTTGCGATTGGATGAAGGATTGGTCCCCTCTAAAGCCCGTTTTGTCCGGGTCCGCGTGCTTCAGGATGGTCAACTCTCAGGCTATTCGAAACCGACACGTTCCACCCTGAATGACGATGGGAAGATCGAGAGTCGTATTCTGCGAGCGCGTGATACTGTTTATGAAGAGGAGCTTTTCTATGAGCTAGTACGGGAAGCTAGAGCGATCGCGAGTTTCGGCGTGACGACACGTCAGAACCTGATAAAGATCCCTGCTTCGACTGACATCGAAATCTTACTGGACTTGGTGGATGCAGACGAAGACAACTCGCAACCCGAACACGAAATCACGCAGCAAGGGACTTCTCTTGCAGAGGGCCTGGCCCATACAATCCGAATTCTATTGGCATATGCCCACCGTCAAAACTTGCGTCGCCGGACTCAGCTTCCACCGCCCCTGATCCCGAAAGCGCGATCTATTCCCGAACATCAACTTCTTCGACCTGCTCTAGCTTACATTCAGCACATGTACCATGTAGACTGGCTGCAGTCCTTACTGAAGGATCTTTTCGGTGTTTTGCGATCGGCAGGCTTAGAACCCCCAGCGCACACCACAAATGTCTCTTCTACCAAGGGACAGAAAATCTCTGCTGCTTCAACAGTGGAAACGCTCGTTGAAAAATTCCTTACTCCCTTGCAGTCTACATTCAGTGGAAAACTTTTGACCGATCGGGTGTCCTTCTCCATTGTAATTCGCACTAACCTTTCCTCACCACCCTTCGGCACCAGTTTTGATGTGTCGTTCAATATGCCCCAGTACCTAGACCTGAAGTCGCCTGGTCACCTTTCTCAAAGAGAAGAAGTTGAAGCTGCCATTGCCCATCTCTTGCTGCTTGACATTGTTTTCACCATCGCACCTAGCAGACCACACAAGTCTGAGTGTGACAAAGATACACAGGCAAAACCTAGATGGGAAGCAGTGTACCCTCAACATGGTGAGCTTTCGCTCTCCCCTTTCAATGCAGGAAAAGGAAAAAAGATGAAGATTGTTCTGTCCCGTCGTGAGCTGTCCCTTGAGATCTACACGGTGCGTTCCATAGACGGCACGGGGCGTGGGAGATGGGAGAATGCGCATCACAACACAACGCCCTTCACCTGGAGATTATCCCCTACTGCTGGATCCTCCAACCGACCTTTGATGGACGTCGTGTCCGGGGCGTCACGTTGACCCACAGAAAGCGCCGATTGGTATCGGGCCGAACCACTCCACTGCCCGCCTTGAGCCGATATCCGCTTGCCTCTTCCATCAAATTGGGCTTGTGGTTTAGTGGTATAATACTCCCTTAGCATGGGAGTGGTCCGGGGTTCGATTCCCCGCGAGTCCATGTCTTTTTGTTTTTGAACTCTTTTGCTTCAAGCTGAAAGCCATGATGATGGCTCGCAAGATGAAGCGGGTCCGTGGAAAAATTTTTTCCTTTTACTTTCGCAATAATGTAAACATAGACAGAGCTCTGATACCCTGCGTGCGAATTATGGCTACAAGGACTGAACATTGAAAAGCATTTTTTTACCCATTAATATGAGAGGCCATGCGAAATTGCCGAGGACTAACGGTAGCAAATCGATTATAGCTTCGACTTAAGGGAATTGACGGTCTTTGAAACTGTGAGCGTTTCTCGGAGTCTCTGTTCACCTAGTCCGTATGCAATTGGGAGCCAATCATTCACATCCTCGCCCAAAACCATCAAAGCTAATGCCTCGCCACTTAGCAGGCTGTTCGCCATACCGTATCCATTGAATGCAGCGGCAATCCATTCACCGTCACCCTTCCGACCCGTGAGCCTAGAAGACAGCCGCCCAACCATTGGAAGGCCATCTGAGGAATAACCCATGACTCCACTCCATGAGCTTACTAGAGACCAATTGGATTTGTTGTCCTTACCAAAGAATGCCGGGAGGACTTCTTTTAGATGCCCAACGGAATCTGGACTCACGAAACTGTCGTCGCCGGAAATCGAATATTCAAGGCGAGCATTCTCACCACCGAAGTAAAAGTAGCCGCTTTTGGCACTTTGTGCTAGATAGTAGAGCCCATATCCAAGCCGTTTGGTTTCGGGGTTATAGGTTGGAGGGTAGTGGAAGCCCCAAGATACAGCAGTACCTTGATTTGACACAGCATTCTGCGGATTTTGAACTGTCATTGTGCCTTTGAAAGGGTGGACAAGCCCTCTTAGCCGAGGGAGGAGATGCCCACTGTATCCATTTGTACAATGAACTACAGTCCCTGCTCGTAGAGGACCACGAGAAGTGTGCAGTGTGTATGGACAAACACTCGTGGTGGGTGAAGTGGGTATTGAACTATACTCAACGGATTGGACCGGTGTATGTGTCTCGATTGTCAACCGCCCTGGGTATTTCTCCAACAGTGCGGCGAAGACCTTGGTAACAAGACGATATGGCCAGACTGTCCCAGCAGGAAGCAATGCTCCGCCACATGCTCCATGGATCCCATATTCCTAATAAAGATGTTAGAATGACAAACCGAGAAGATCACTAATGGACCAAGGCCCACTCACTTTGACCACAGAATCTGCGTCCAGAATCGTATACAGACCCTTTTTAGAAGGATGGTCCATTTCTAGGCGGGCGATGCTTTTCTTGAAATCATCAAATTTCTTTTCGGTCAAGAAAACCCGCAGCTTTTGTAGTTGCTGCATCTCACTCAGCTCTGCGGCGTCATACTCCTCAATCAATTCCCGCATCTTCTCCAGATTGCGGAATGTGAAATCCACAATTTTGCCGGCGGTTTCGGTCCCATGAGTCTCTGCTAGATTCATATATTGCTCTCCGGCATTAGCGGCCATTTGCCCACCATTGCGTCCAGTTGCCCCCGAACATAGCGTGCGAGCTTCTAAAACGGTTACTGTGGCAGTGGGGTGGCGCTCTAAGAGTGACTTTGCTACTGCGAGACCCGTGATACCGGATCCAATGATCGCAAAATCTCGGTCAGTTGGTAACTCCGACGATTGGACATCGGCGAGAGCATGTGGGATGTGTTGCCAGTATGATTGGGTGGGATTGGGCCGCGGTAGACCTGGGTCAGCAGTGACAAGACTGGAGACTGGCTTGAGTTAGCCTTCCATTGAGGCTGGCATGTTTGAGGAGCGATTTGAAGTGTGCGACAGCATATCGATCAACTTGGGAGATGGGGGCCGATTGGGCTTACTGAAATCATTCGCTGCCATGACAAACGGGATTGGAAGCCACAAAATTGGAAAAGTTAGGACTAAAACTGCATCCAACACTTGGAATTGATGTTATCTTGCAAGAAATCCTTAGGGTCTTCGGTGTTGAATATAGAAGCTGGTAGAATGCATTGTGCGGGGTTGGTCTTGTCGAGGATAAAACTGCCTAACTGGGCAAAGAGTGGCTACCTACATGTAATTTACCTACTATGGCATCCCGAAATGGCATCCACTTTATGGATATATAGGCTACCTGAATACTACAAAGTATGTATAGCAGATGAGTTTCGTCCCTGTACTCAATCCCAATCATTGAGGCGAACCCTACATTCCCTTGTGCCGCCACGTGGGTTGGAGGAGATGCTTAACCAACGAGGTTAATCAGGACATCTAGATTCTCTACTGCTTTGGTTCTACTTAAGTCTCATTTGATTCATATACAGACTATAGAAAGATCCCATGACGTAGATGATTCCATAGGATATAGGAATCTCGGTCTCGAATATGCAAGCCCGCATGGGAGGCATGTAAATGGCGTAAGTGCATTCCAGACAGCATTCTGTAGCAAACCCAAGGAACAAGCTTTTCAAGTGAAGTCGAGTAATGTGGATGCTTGTTATGTGTGACCAGAGTTGGAAACATGTTCGAGGGATGCCCATGATATAAGAGTTCGATTGTTTCCACCTTCTGGGCACGGTGTATACTGTCCAATTCCAATTCCACATCCTAATTATTCTATATTATTCTGTCTATTTTTTGTTTATTCCACAATGAAGCTCTCTTCTATTGTTCTCACAGTTTTTGCACTGGCCACAACTGGCATTGCTGAAAAGACATGCACCCCTAGCTTTGATTATTGTTCTGATGTTTTGATCAAGGATAAAGGTACTTAAGTGAATGCCAGTCGAAACTTGCTCTGCCAGGCTAAATAAAGAAATAGGTTTCACCGAGGCCGACCTCAAGGATGTCCTGAAGGGTTCAGATCTAGAGAACGAAGACATAGAGAATGTCCTATTCCATTGCAAGAATCCTGGTGACGTTGGACACCCCAAGCTCTGCTCGAGTGGATGCAAAGACCCGGCTACGGAGGGAAGCCACTCATGCGAAGCGTAAGCCATATCATGACCGTTTATCTTATCATCAATCGGTGACTGACAACGCAGCAGTTGAATCACGCGGATTGCTGGGGACAGGAGCGGGATAATGCATTATTGGGTAGCAAGTCCGAACCCAAAATTTACTTGATAATCCTGATGATATATAGTCCATTGAACCAATAAGGATATATGCACGTGTTCATAGCTGTCATCACAGTAAAAACATACTTCCAGCGGAGAAATGGAGAGATTTGCCAACCCACAGACCAACAATGAATCAATATCCCTGGACATATTGCCAGATTGACAGTAAGACATCTATGGCGAGTTGAGCGGCTAGAGTCGGAAACACTCGATGGGCATCGGCCCATAGCTCGATCACAGGATCATGGAGATGTCTTGATCATTTCGGACAGTTCAAAATCTTTTGAGCTTGGTTGGTAGGAGCAGAAGTACTGTGAGTGCGGGCACTAGATGTGATATTTTTATGCGGCGAGGGCGTTTGTGGAGTATCGCACGTAGGGAGCCAACGGAGCTGGATGTGCAACATACGGAGTGCGGAGCATATGTAGTTGGATTAGTGTCAACAACGTGGCTCGAGTCCCAGGGGCACATATAAGTTGTGGCACCTGGGACTGACCCCACATGTAGTGCTTTTGCCGGCAAGAGACTGCCGAGGCAGCTGGATTGTCAAGTTCCACAGGAGCAATGGCTTGAACAACCAATGGAATATTGATATGTGAATTATATTGTAGGCATGGAGTAGAATCTGGCCCGTTTGATTCAATTGTGCATTATGGCGTGCATTTCGGGTCAGACCATCTTCGCCAAGGGTGGCTATGTGTACCGCTTATGAAGGCTAGGGATGGACGATAATTGGCTGAGAGCGCCATGGCATACGGAAGTATAATCACAGTGAATTGTGAACCGACAAGTTCCGAGGAGAACAGGAATGCCAATGAACAGAAAGAACAGGAACGATGTCATTGTCCAAACAAAACAAACCGAACAGAGCCAATGACGTCAAGCAGCTCTCACCGCCCGCACTAAACCCAGTTTGACCCAGCGGTGACATGCGTCTTGCAGGCAAATTACTACAGAACGCAGGTACCACGAAGGTATTGGGGTTGGTGGTACGGTCAGACCATTGTAAATTTAAAGGAGAATAAGCAGCACTATTTCAAAAGAACGGGATTCTATTCATCTTCTCTTCACCCGTTTATCTGTGATCTCCGTTCTCTCCAACTAGATACTTGAGCTTCACGCGTTTCACCTGTGACGCAAAGCATCCACTTCTGCCCAATTTCTCTCACCGGATTGGGTTCGACCCCTCCACATCCCACTCTCTCATAATTGGAGCTCTACAACGCTTATCGGCCTCTTTTTCTTTGGCTTGTTTTCTTTCCCCCTATCTCTTTTCATTTCCATTATCTTGATTATCGACCTGGAGTTCGGGTCGAAAGCTTCAATTGACTCAATATGGAGCCCGTCAAGATTCCCACCGAGCCGGCTAAGCGACGCCGTATCGGTGTCCTCACCTCCGGTGGAGATGCCCCAGGTATGAACGGCGCCGTGCGGGCCGTTGTCCGTATGGCAATCCACTGCGACTGCGAAGCCTACGCCATCTTCGAAGGATACGAGGGACTGGTCAATGGCGGTAACATGATCCGTCAGCTACACTGGGAGGACGTCCGCGGCTGGTTGTCCCGCGGCGGTACACTGATCGGCTCTGCCCGCAGTATGGCATTCCGCGAGCGCGCCGGCCGTATGAAGGCAGCAAAGAATATGGTCCTGCGAGGTATCGATGCACTGGTTGTCTGCGGTGGTGACGGCAGTTTGACTGGTGCCGACGTTTTCCGAGCCGAGTGGCCTACCTTGTTGGCAGACCTCATTTCCTCGGGAGAGTTGTCCGCTGAGCAGGTCGAGCCCTACAAGGTGTTGAACATCGTAGGCCTGGTAGGTTCGATTGACAACGATATGTCTGGGACAGATGCCACCATCGGCTGCTATTCGTCCTTGACCCGTATCTGTGATGCAGTCGACGATGTCTTCGATACTGCCTTCTCTCACCAGCGTGGTTTCGTCATTGAGGTGATGGGCCGACACTGTGGATGGCTTGCTCTGATGTCTGCCATCAGTACCGGTGCAGACTGGCTGTTCCTTCCCGAGATGCCCCCGAAGGAGGGATGGGAGGACGAAATGTGCTCTGTAATCAACAAGGTGCGTATCACTTAAGCCCCCGTTAATGTCTTTGTTTTGTGAAGTCTTTTCTAACTTGGGGGGATTTCAGAACCGACATGAACGTGGTAAGCGCCGTACGATCGTCATTGTCGCCGAAGGAGCCCATGATCGCCAATTGAACCGGGTTTCGAGCTCAAAGATCAAGGATATTCTCACAGATCGATTGGGATTGGACACTCGAGTTACCATCCTCGGCCACACCCAGCGAGGTGGTGCCGCGTGTGCTTATGACCGCTGGCTGTCAACCCTGCAAGGTGTAGAGGCTGTTCGTGCCGTGTTGGAAATGTCCCCCGATTCTCCTTCACCAGTCATCACTATCCGCGAGAACAAGATCATGCGCACCCCTCTGATCGAAGCTGTCCAAGCAACTAAAGATGTGTCAGCGAAGATCGACAACAAGGAGTTTGAAGAGGCCATGGAGCTGCGTGATCCTGAATTCAAGGAGTATTACAAGGCCTACTTGAACACCGCGACCGCGGAGATTCCGAAGACGATTCTTCCGGAGGAAAAGGTACGAACTAGATTCCTCAATCCACTCCAGCTGCTTGCATTGCCTTGAATTCCCAAGCTCACTTTCTACAGAGAATGCGAATTGCCATTATCCATGTCGGTGCCCCGGCCGGTGGTATGAACCAAGCAACCCGTGCCGCAGTTGCATACTGTTTGACCCGTGGCCACACTCCACTGGCAATTCACAACGGCTTCCCTGGACTGTGCCGCCACCACGCTGACAAGCCAGTCAGCTCAGTTCGTGAGGTTACTTGGCTGGAAGCTGATAGCTGGGTCAATGAGGGTGGTTCAGATATTGGAACCAACCGCAGCCTGCCATCGGCTGACATGGAAAACACTGCCAAATGCTTTGAATTGTACAAATTTGATGCCTTGTTTGTTGTGGGTGGTTTCGAGGCTTTCACAGCCGTTAGCGAGCTGCGCCAGGCCCGCGAACAGTATGATGCGTTTAAGATTCCGCTCATCGTCCTTCCAGCTACCATCTCTAACAATGTTCCCGGCACTGAATATTCCCTGGGCAGTGACACATGCTTGAACACCCTGATTGATTTCTGTGATGCCATCCGTCAATCTGCCTCGTCCTCCCGCCGCCGAGTGTTCGTGATTGAGACCCAAGGTGGTAAATCTGGATATGTGGCGACCACAGCTGGTTTGGCCGTGGGTGCCGTGGCAGTGTACATTCCCGAGGAGGGCGTTGATATTAAAATGCTCTCACGCGACATCGACTTCCTTCGTGATAACTTCCTTCGTGACAAAGGAGCTAACCGTGCGGGTAAGATTATCCTGCGCAACGAATGCGCTTCAAATACATACACTACCCAATTTATCGCCGACATGATCAAGGAAGAAGCAAAGGGCCGCTTCGAGTCTCGTGCCGCTGTTCCAGGTCACTTCCAGCAAGGTGGAAAGCCCTCTCCTATGGACCGTGCTCGTGCTTTGCGTATGGCCATGAGGTGCATGGAGCACATTGAAGGATATGTAGGCAAGAGCAGCGACGAAATCGCCAATGATCCTCTTTCATCTGCTGTGATTGGTGTCAAGGGCTCACAGGTGCTGTTTTCTCCCATGGGCGGCGATACTGGACTGGAAGCCACGGAAACCGATTGGGCGCGCCGTCGCCCTAAATCTGAGTTCTGGCTCGAACTGCAGAATGTCGTCAACGTTCTATCGGGACGCACCCACGCCAGCAACAACGAGACGTGGTCTTGCTATGAGAGTACGTAATACGACAGCAACCCTGGTTTTTGCTTGTTCACCCCGTCCAATTAACTTCGATCTTCCGCGTTTGGCCTTCTGAGGATTTTCTCTTCCATACTGGATTTCTCTGGTGCCTTTTCGATACACATGTTAACAATTCCCCTGTTCCCTCTTATCCAGGTGCTGCGACAGTCCGATCCGTCCCCTCGGTCCCCATCACTCCTTGAAGGAATCTCTAACCATAAGGATTCGACTTTCTCCAACTAACCATGGAATTCACACCAATGACACACCCAGGATATCCTTGAATGTTTCCCCCAAACATTGGCCGGCGAGCCATCCTCTACATTGCTGCCGAGCACGATGGTGCTGGAAGTCCTTTACGCTTTGTACGATGCTATGCAACAAGTCCTCCAGAACCAAGGATGGTTTAGGTGGCATTTATGCCTGGGAGTTTGGGTGATCTTCTCTTCTACTTGATGCGTTCCTATCTTCTGTGTTCTTCAAGACCTCGAGTCTAGGACATACAATACTTTGCAGATAGAACAATCAACTTCATTTATTGCAAATAAACCAAAAACAACGCAAACGTTATCATAAGAATGCAAGAGTACTATCTCAGCAACCAATCGTAATACTGAGCCCGAAATTCAAAAACACCGAAGTCATGCCAGTGCATCATTCCAAATGTCATATCCATATGGATTTCCACGACTATGGGTGGACAGTCTTCTCCAGTTCATCAAGAAGTTCGACAGTCTCAGCGGGGTTTGCAATCCAAGCAGTTGTGGATGCAAGGCGGGCCTAAACAAGAGAAAAAGATGTCAGTTTATTCAGTATTGGAAGGGAATTTTTCAAGTTCTCTACCTTAAAGTCATTGGCACCAGCCGACAAGAACTGATCACCAACATGCAATGTCTTGGCTGGATCGATACCACCAAAGTAGCGCTGACAAGCACGCACACCCCACGATTTGTCACCAATATCGACAAACACGTCATTTCCACCATTGAAGGCACAGAAAGGCAATCGCGATCCAACAGCCGAGCGCTGAACTGTATTCTGCACCACCAAAACAGTTTCCTCCAACTGTTCGCGGCTGATCCGAACGCCGTTTACCGGGTAAACCCCGACAGCTCGATCCTTCCGCAGAACCGCCGCAGGCAGATTGAGATTCGAGGCACAGGCACGTAACGCGGACTCGGCAAGATCGAGCAGCTCGGTGATATCGTCATCGCTCCAGGCCTGCATCTCATCCAGCAACCATTCATTCCGCGGCACGTAGGCCAGACGGGCTTCCGAGGTCGGCTCGAAGCGGAATAAGAAATTGCTCTCGCCGCCCATGACGATCAGGCCTTTTTTCTGATCGGCGGTGAGAGTGGTCGAGGCGTGAATTGCATCGAGTAGTCCGTGAAGACGCTCGTAGTACTTTGGCGCATCGGTGTATCCGGCCGCCGTCACAATGCCGACTTTGCGATCCTGTTCGAGGAGTCGCAGAATGCGGGGGATGACGGGGTTATCGGATGTGAGACAAGCACCATCATCGTAGAGTGTCACGTCTCCATCGAAGGTGACTAGTTTCACGTCGCTGGAGCGAACAAGACCCAGTACCTGGGCGGAGTTCAAGATAAGGCGGATATCGTTGAATGAAGGAGCGACGAATCGTCGCCGACTAATGAAACGCTGCTTGTCTTGATATTTGAAGGCATCCTCCAGATACAGCTTCGTGAAGAAGGTGCCGACGGTAGGCACGAGGAGATTCAATTTCGATTTGCCCGGGGCATTGCGTTCGTGGTGGTGAACTTCGAGAACGCATTAGACATGGTTCCCGATCTGGATTCGTTGCTACTTACTATGATCGATCATCAGATTCTCGACATCGCGCATGATCTCGGCATAGCGAGAATGGGTATCGGCGGCGATTGTGTTCAGCGCTTCGCTATGTTCCTGGTAAATAGCGGTGGGCTGGGAATGCAAGACAAAAGGGACCGCCAGGAGGCCCTAGAGGGATTAGAATGAGCCCATATGATGTGATTAAGTGATATACCTTGATCCATTCAATCTATAGAGTGTTAGGCCCCAGAATTCCCTCGAAGTTGTATAGCGACCTACTAGTTGATCCCGGCGATGGGTCTATACGCTGCGGAGTCAATGAGGGGCATCTCGGGACCTCGGGACTACACTTCGTACCTTGAGAGCATCTAGAACCAGTCAGCGAGAGTCAACAATTAGCAATCTAGAGGCATACGTGCATTCAACTCTATATCGGGTCGTCATGATTCGAGTCGGTGGTAGAGAAGGTGAAGGTTGATCTGGCCCGTTCACAGTGGTGAGTGCACGTCCCTTCTGGTGACTCACGATAGACACTCGCCTTGGATCGGACGCTATTGGCCTCACAATGAGGCTACGAGAGTCTTTATTGCTTAAAACTCCACTTTGATCAGGACTTCGCTTCTCCTCGTAACGCCTCTACTTGCGATTGGTCTGTTGAAGTGCCTCGTGAAATGTTGTGGCCTGTGCAAGGCATCGTCCATGAGAAAATCCCGCGGAATTGACTCGGATTGTGACTTTAGGCATCACGAATACCTAGATAGCCCTGACATGATGTGTTGTCAATTGCAGAGCCCCTGGTAATGGTGGTTGATTTGTAAACATAAAGCCTTGCGATTCTACACAAGTACCTTGACACGAGAACTATAGATGCGTGTTACCAAGTCTTTCTGATTTAAGCTCCAAGTCCACAAATCAATAGATCATTGACAGCCAAAATCACCTTTCTGATCTCTAAAAATCCCTAACAGGATCATCCGAATTCCATCAAAAGCAATGCTGGCTATGCCCATACAACACACATCCAAACCATCAATCATGACCATACCAAACTCCGACGAGGTCCCACCGGCATACTATCCATCCCAGGAAGTCGATTTTCCCACCGATGAGAAAGAAGGAGATTCCTTGATCCTCTCACCTGATGAAAACGAGCCCGGGTTAGCCGCTGCCTCTACTCTCAGCCGCGGCCTCCAGGTGCCATCCAGATCCACAGCTTGCACATCTGGATTCGAGTATCCCGCTGAACTGGCCTCCTACAATATCTCCAAAGACCAATGGACAAAATTTACACAAGTTGTCTGTGACGAGGCCAAGCTTTCATGGCCGCAGTGGAGAACGGTCGTTGGCAAGGGACTGGGAACAATGGCAGTAGGCGGGCTAATGATTGGTGTCCTGGGAGCCATTCCTGCGATCTTCGTTGCCCGTCAGAGTAGACAACGGCAAGAACAGCGAAACCTGATCTCGTCGATGGCAGGAGCTCGGGGGGAACATCTCTCTCGCCACATCTCGCAATGGAATGAGACGTTTTTTCGGCCTAGGGGGATCTTGATCCGCGTTGACTTGCCGCATGAGTACTTGGAAGATATGGAGGATATGAATATCCATACGAGTGGTGGAGCAAGACGATCTACGGAGAAGAATCGCGATAAGGCGGCGCTCAAGGCGAGAATTGTCATCATTCCACTTGACGAGTCGATGTCAAAGTCGGAGTTCGCTTGAAGGAGGGAACGTCACGGCCAATAAGAGAGGGAAAAAGTTCGAGAACGCGAAAAATTCAATATCGGTTCATATGCTTTAGCGTCGGGAGAAATGTGTCGAAAAAGAGGGCTGTGTGAAATTCAAAAGGGATTTCGTTCATGTTCATAGGAGTGTCGTTATTCAATAAAACCACCATTCTATCTAAATTGAAAAGTAGACAGAGAGGGTTGATATCCGAAGAAGCATGAAAAGAAAAAATCACGACCGGCATGTCATTCATACCCGGCCAGTTTGATCTTGCTTCTCAACATGTTCGGCCGCTCCGTGCGATTGTTCTGCCATCCCCATCTTCTCATCCACAGCCTGATCACGCTCATCGGCATCCCGGTTACCATACCGACCAATCTTGTACCATGGCAAAGCAAAGAGACGGTCCATACTCTCGAGCGAGCGACCTGCCGTCTCCGGAATACTGAACCAGACCCAGGCACCACCAACAATAGTAATAGCAGCAAAACACCAGAATGTGCCCTTGGGATCAATTCCACCCTGGGACACGGGGAGGAGCATATTGGGAACGGCCCGTGCATTCCCGTATTGGTTCGCAAAATGCAGAGTCATGGCCATGGAAGTACAAAGAGCACGGATGCGCAGGGGGAAAAGCTCCGCAGTCAGTAAGTACTGCATGGAATTCCAACCCAGGGCCCATCCGAATCCAGATAAGTAGATCATTGCAATTGCACCCCTGCTCGCACCCTTTTTGTTATCTGGTAGCACGAAGCTATCGATCACTCCCATTTGGGGAACGGAGGTTAGGAAGCTCGCGATATAGACCATGGAGATTGCTTGTAGAGTGATTCCAATAAGAAGCGCTCGCTTGCGTCCGATGACATCGACCAAGAAGAGAGCGCAGATGATGGCGGCAACTAGTTTCACGATTCCGAACACGGCAGTGACAAGAAGAGACTCGTTGTTGCCCGTAATTCCCAGCAGCTTGAACAAGTCTGGAGCGTAGACTGTAATGCTACCGGCACCGGACCACTGCGAAAGAAGTTGCGCCATAAATGTGAGGTAGACTCGGTAGAGATTCGAAGGGACTAGGAAGGTTTCTTTGATCACACCCATTGCACCGGACCCCAATGTGGCTTCCATCTCAGCTTCATGAGTGGTTTGGATGGTGGAAATCTCACGCATGATATATTCATCGTCGGACGGTAGACCGCGGACTTTTGAGAGATTGGAGATGGCTTTGTCAAGCTGGCCACGTTTGACCAGATACCGGGGCGATTCATACTGGAGGAATGAGAGGCAAAAGATAATGCCGGCAAACATGATATGGAGGCTTGTAGGGACGAGCTATAGACTGTCAGTATTGGCAATAAAGATGATTCAAACATCGGGTCTTACATACCCAGCGATTGTGAGTTTTGTCACCAAGATTGAGCTCGCAGCCATAGTTGGCAAAATAAGCAAGCACAATTCCTAAATAAACAAATCCTGTAAAGACACAGGTACAGAGGCCACGAATGGCAGCAGGCGCCTGTTCCGTATTAGTTCATGATCCGCTAAAATGTCCTGAGTATCAAGGAACTTACAATCTCAGCAAGATATACGGGAGCCACGACAACTGTTTGGCCCACACCGAGTCCCGCAATAAAGCGACCGGCATAGACAGCACCCAGGCTGCCACTGTTACCCATGAAAATAGCGATTCCGACGATCCAAATAACGCAAAGTTGACGAGTTGCCCAGAGACGACCGATGCGATCACAGACCAAGAAGGCGCTGTATAAAAAGAATGTAAATTAGCGATTTGTGAGAATAAACAGAGAAACGAAAATAAACTCACAAAAGTGCACCTCCGACAGATCCTATCTGGACCATAGCGGTGACATTTGCCTTGATGTTGGTTTGTTCCACCTCAGAATACGACTCATAATTGATGTAACGTTGAAAATCCTTGGAATTGAAGGCGCCTGAAATCAAACCCTCATCCACACCTCGGGCAGCACCCATGAGGCCAAATGAAGTCACTGCAAACCATAATCGCCAGTTAAAGGCCTGGCTGGGCTCACCCAGGTCTTTGAGGCGAAAGATATTGACTGGTTTCTTGGCTCCGCCGGCCATGGTGAATAACCCTTGATATGGAGGTGATTGCGGGTTTAATGTGAAAGGGCGAAATCAGGATAATGACGAAGAGAGAGGAAAAAGTTCGACAAGTCAGATCAAAAGGTTTTATAGTGGTGGGTTATTATTCATATTATTCCTCACGCGGGGAAACCTGAGGGCAATCGGAGTTGAAATCTGTGCGATCCAAGTTCCAAGTTCCCCTCCAATGACTCCAGTATTCCCCCAGCACGAGTCACAGACTGTGGACCATTGGCGATACACCGGAATAGGCCAAGGCCCGGGGAAGACCCGCCAAGAGAGCTTGGGGTCGTGGATACTCCACGGTGAACTTTCATTTGACGGCGACTTTGCCTTTCCAGCTTTCATTCAAGCACAAGGAACAGGAGGACTCTGGACTTGAAACGAAAACCTGCAGCCTTACTGCACTGCACGCTGCAGCTCAGGTTGTTCGGTGCCACCGTCTCTTTCTCAAGTGTCTCCGACTTTGGATTTGGTTCCTTTGATCAGACATTGAGGGGCTCGGAAGGTGCCCGAAGGGGGAATAAGCAAACATCAACGTCGTATGGTAGGTGGCTTGCAAGGATTAGCCCTGGAAGTTCCACAAAGGGGATGTTCGCCTTATCCCGGGGGTGACCACTGTCGATGCGAGACCACTGATTGGCCGACAGACCAACCTCACCCATCATAAGTCCGGAAAGGGGAGATGGGTGCTGTTGCTTGGCGTGGAATGCGCTTTGATACATGGCCGATCATTCAGGCTCGAGCCGTCACCGACTACGGAGCAGTCCGTATGTTGTATGCAGATGGTATCCGCATCTCTGTGAGTGGTGAGAGGTGCTGCGGAGAACATTGTGCCGTAAAGGTTGGCATACTTAAGCTCTCGGCCAGGTATTTTCTCTGCAATGTCCCCGGTGACGAAGTCTCTTATTAAACTCTGCCAATTGCCGATATCAGACCTGACTCGTGCTCTAGAATGTTTATCCGCTCATTGGCGTTCAATCTATTATTTGTGATTGTCGGACATAGCGGCAAAATCGTACATATGGTCACCCTTGCGTGGTACATTGCTTAGGGCAGGCGATACACTCCGATATGACGATTTTTACGCCCTGCTTATCGAGTGGAAAATGGAATAAATCGTACTTGACAAAGGGAATGATATCATAACGAGTTCATTAACGATTTTGCTCGCGGAGAAATATTTGGAGCTACCAGATCACTTATATGAGCCCTAGAATCGGAGAATAATAGAGAATAGCGCACATTAATTCGATTTTCGAGACAAAAGCTAGCGCCTGCTGGTGCGGAGATATCAGACCATAAAATTGAAAAGAAGGGAAACAGCAAGAGTGATGGGTGGGGATGGAGCAAGAAGACTACGGCCGCCAGCGGAACGCAGGGTTGCGCCAGTCCATATCCTGGATCTGTTTCTGGGAAAGCCCTGCCAAAGCGCTCCTAACATCGATGCGCTCACGGCGCTGGTTGTCCCATTTCATGAAGGCCCATAGGCCGGCTCCAACAAGTAGAGTTGTGGCTGAGGTTGCCAGATTGAGTCCATTACCGATGTGGTAGTTGGGCCCATCAAAAGGCAAGAATGACCAGGTGCTAATAAGCCCCCCAATGTTTCCGAACATCACAGTTGTTCCAATTGCCGAAGATCTAGCGGTGTCGGAAATGACATTTGCCGACGAGGTCGCAGTGCACAGGGCGCCCAACGCAAAGGCTCCGGCGGCGATCAAGAAGGTCGCGCCATATCGGACCATACTGTCCTCGCTCGCAAGGAACATGATATAACCTATAAAATCCCGCTCTGATTAGCCTGGATACGGCCATGGTGTGCGATCATGACAAATTTTGACCGGATGCGAGGTTGCTTGAGGACCTGAGACTTACCAATTACCATGAATGGCGGGCTGACGATGAAGAAGAGGAGGCGATTATCGAGTCGCCAGCTGAGGAACGGAAACAATAATGTGAAAAATGCCCCGACAATGTAAGGAGGCACTGTGTGGAGTTGCTGAGACACCACAGTGTCATTGGGATAGATGCTTTTGACAATTGTTGGCGCAAAGAATCCAAGACCCTGAACCGTAATGTTGTTCAACAGGAAGACGAACGCGGATGTGAGCGTCGTAGGACTAAAGATACCACGTAGTGTCTTCGTTACATCAAGTTTGTCAAGAACCTCTGTCGTGCCAACCCGCTCCGACTTGACACGGGCAATCGCTAGATCTTTTTCCTCCTGCGTGAGCCATCTGGCTGTCTCCGGCCGGTCGGTCAAGGTGAAAAACGCGACAACGGCGATTCCGACCGTGACAATCCCTTCAATCGCGAAGATCATACGCCAACTGTGCAGAGAACCGAAATGATCCAGCTTAAGGATACCCGAAGCCAAGAGGCCACCAAACGCTCCAGCAAGGGGAGCCATGACAATATACAATGACAGGCGGAAGGCAAGTTCGCTTCGTCGGTACCAACGTGACATGTAGTATGCGATTCCTGGTAGTAGTCCTGCCTCAAACATACTAAGGAAAGCTTGTTAGCAGTGCGAAATTTCCCAAAATCGAGTAAGACATACCCCAAGAGGAAGCGAACACCAGATATACTGTGAATATCATTGACAAAAGCCGTCGCGACCGAACAAATCCCAAATCCCAACGTCATGGCCGGTAGCCACCATCCCGGACCGACCCATTTACACATAATATTGCTTGGAATTTCGAAAAGGATATATGAGATAAAGAAGATCGAGAGGACCCCATTGTAGTCATAACCCACGAGTCCAAGGTCCTTGTCGAAGCCGGCCAATTTGGCATTTCCTATTCCAGCAAAAAACCGAATTAGCGCGTGATTTGTATTGGGGGGGTGAAAAGCCATTGAGAGAGACCAGTTTACGCACCGATATTGGCTCGATCAATGAAACAGAAAAGATACATCACCGCGACCGTTGGGACAATATAAAGGTCGATCTTGAGTCGCAATCGTGATTCCGCTGCCTTGTCAAACTCCACCAGTGACTGGCCATATTCATCCGTCGCAAGGTGACCGCCTTCCGCGGCATCATGAGCGACATCCCCGAACATTTGTTCCTTATGATGGGAGACGGCCTTCTCGTCACCGACAGGCGTAGTGCCTCTCTCGGGATCGGCCATGTTGAACGTGCGGCCGGACAGGGTGTGGGTTAAGGGGTAAGGTCTGAATAGAGACCGAGTCAGATCTCAAACGAGGACCCTGGATCTTTTATATCTGGGGTAATCCAAGCTCTGATCGGAAGAGGCGGGCAGAGAACCTGGGGTTGCGGGGAAGGGACGGAAACGCGTCCGAAGTTGTCTGCAGCATGAAGCTCAATTCGCTGCCAAGGGACGCCATGAATTTTGACTCTGGGGATAGTCAGAAATCACTTGGCATTTCGGGGTCTTTGGTGGGAGAGCGGCTAAAGACTTAATACGGTGGCTGCAGGGTTGGTTGGGAAGATCCAATCACAGCAATGCTTTTCTTGGATGGCCTTTTGTTTACGCCTCCGGGGTAAGTCAACATCGGGTACCTACAATTACCTGTGTAGCACGGGGAAAGCAGTGTATCCCTCAATTTCTCCACAGAGCGACAAATGGGCCCCTTTCCCCACGGGGGATTTTCGAGACTTCCCCGGACTTGAGGATCCCCCAGACTCGGATTTCATCTGGGGCTCCCTACGAAGCATGGAGTGACCAGCCACTTTCGTATAACTCATATGAAATGCCGTATCTATCAGCCGACCTACCCCCGAGTTTAACGACGATCAGCCACAAAAGCTAGAAGGTGGGAGGCATTGGCCAAGCCTTCCAAGAAAGACGGCCGAGGATGTCAAAGCGCAGGATACTCCGTACAGAATATATAGCAATGTGTTAGCAGAGCAGACCTACCGATCCGAACTCCTTCCCATCGGATGTCAGATCGGAAAGATTGTTGACCCGAAGGCAAGTTTGTCGGAGCAAGAGATCGGTGTTCAAGCATGATTACAAAGATGATAGACGACCTCGGGAGTGCCCCCAATTAGGGCTGTCGATAATACTCCACTCCATAGGGGCTGATGATATTATTTTGGGTCCGAATCATTCAGCAACTATCCGATATGGTGTAAGTCGAGATGACGATGTAAAGCCTACGACTCTGCTTGCACATATAAAGCAAAACTGGGGTATTTCCCAGTAGCCATGTGTCCTTCTTTATGCCACGCCTGCAGGCATCAACTCTCGGCGTTGCGCGTTCACAGCAGGTCTCGATAAGGTCAAAGATGTCATATTTAAATGAACATGTATGCTAAAATGGCTCCCAGGATACTCCATATCTGAAGAGTGTTCACTCCGGCTGCGGCAAGCGCACCGGATTCATAATCCAAACTCAAGGAATTATTCCCGAACCCCATGCTCGGTGTCCATGTCACTGGAGTTCCCTCGTTTAGAATATCCGAGCGCGCAGCATCAATCCTCCCTAAGAACTCGATCGTCAACCTAGCGGAAATTCTTGGCGTCTCCTCATCCTCCTCGGCCAAGGTACCCGCGACACTCCACGATCGAATATTAAAATTTGCCGAAGAGTCGTCAAATGTCAGCTGCAAGGTCGGGTTTGTTACGCCGCTAATGTCATCACGGTGACTACCGAGTGAAATGGGAGCGACACCCCACCATCCCTCGCTACGGGAGCAAGTCGACATATTCATCTTCAAAGGACCAAGCGGGTTCTGCTCTAGCTCCGAGCTCCCTGTGACTCGAAAAGGGACCCCACTTCCAGTATCCTCAGCGACAATCAGGTTAAATTCCGGTTTCGTGTCTCTACTCGCTGGAAATGAATAACGGCTGGCGCAAATCAGCGAGCCGCCAGAAAATTGACTGCACATTAGAAAGAAGTATATACTTACGACACCTCAATCGACTCAAATACGAAGGGCATATCCCTTATCTGCATGTTGACGGAATCAATATAATCGCCAAAATACTTCGTGAAATTCGAGTACGAGGTGAACAGCGAAACATCGATTGGGTTTGTGTTCTTCGGTCGCTCATCTTCCGGTTCTGTCGCTGTGATCGCTAGGATTGCTGGGTACGACCACGAGTACGTGATGTTCTGCAACTGCCCACAGAGTTCCAATTCGGAATCGCTGCGGTCATCTCGAGGCTCGACACCAGAGATGGTGAATACGGCGCTACCGTTGTAATACCTATAGACAGATTCTTAGGATGTAATCTGTGTGGTCTGTAGATACGGAGTGAGCGTACGAGCCAATCCATGGATAATAGTAATAATCCAGCCCCGTCACATTCCGTGGCCGGTAATTCCCATCATCGCGGCCTAGAGCCTGCGCTGCGAGAAATAGTGGTAGCTGTAATAACGTTGCGGCGTGGCGCATTGCGGTTGTCGCTCAGGCTGTAGCAAAGTAAATGGACTGGGGGTTGCCACTTGTCGCAGGCGCGAAATTGAAATCCACGAACTGGCGTCCACATCGAGGGGGGCACACTCCCTTTTTTATCTTTCGGGCTGCTCCGCTGAATACGAAGATCTAGCCTCTTTTGCTTCGCTAGGAGTGCTAGGACCCTTAATATCTGGGGGCCGGCCTGGCTTTCTTGGCTGTCCCTAGAATCAGAGTGCGATGGGTAACTCTATGACTGGTGTAAATATGCGCATTCATTATTGCATCCTGGTTGTTCATTTGACTTTCAAACTTGACATGATAATTCATAGCAATCTACGATGATCATATGTCTAGGATAAGTCTCACATTCTGTGTAGAGTCTGTTTATGGTCTATCCAGGAAGTGCCCGGTAAAGTCAACATCGAATTATAGTCACCTCTCTACTTCCCCTCCTTTTCAAAGACAGTTGCCCTCCTTCATCCCATAGTCCCATCACACTGTTTTGTAACCCCTACCACCTCATTTCTCAATTCCTTGGCCTTGCTCAACCCCTGAATTCCATTCGTTATCACGCTGCCATTTCCTACGTGATAGTAGGAGGCCAGGTGAACCATGGGTCCATCCAAAGTATCTCGTCCCTGCGTGCCTTCTCCATGAAACACACCTTCCCCAACTCCAGCCTGTAAGTCTGAGAGCTCCCGGTTTCTTGTTGGGTTGATGTAAGTCTTCACTTCAATACATCCATGCGCCATTATGACTGACCACGCAACAGATCGCGACCGAATGCCACCCCCACCCTCCACCCAGGTACTCTGTTCATCAGCTGCTCATACCATGACAGCTTCTTCATCAGGGTCCAGCATTGCATCTTCTGGTTTGTTCTCTGCGGCAACTAAGGCAGAAACGCTACGAATTGCCGGTACTACGTGTTGGGCGTGCTCGACAAGAGCACCGGAAATTTGTCATGTCGTGCCCCATCATGACCCCCAGGTGCTTTTAGAATACCCTATATTTTTCGAACTCTTAGCTAACGAGTCCCGCTTTATTCAGATTCCTCTATGGGAGCAAGCTGGACTGTTTACCTTCAACTACAAAAACACCCAAAACACAATTCCTCTCTGTGGATCTTGCCATATCGAGTTCGATATGTCACTTGACCCCGGATACGTTTTTTTCCCAACAGACATACAGTACTTCATTGATTTTGAACGCCGGGATCGTGCTCGCCGAGAACAGATCGCAACAGATACTGCAGTCCCTCTCTTAGCCCTTTCGCGGCAGGTACCGACAAGTGCAGACTACAAGCAGCATGGAATTGACTCAAATCAAATATCGCCCACCGCCATCGGAGGCCTATACAACCGGGTATTCCTAAAACAATTCCTCCACAACGGTCAAATCCCAGGGATTGAAAGAACCTTCTCAACTCCAAAAGAATGGCACGGTGCCCCCCTTGCGTCTATTCGTCGTGCGTCTGCCGCCCTTGCAAGCCCGCGTTTCTTTATGATCGTCGATGCCGGTACTCGCCACATGCTTGAAGAACTACGGCAGCTATACTTCGGTGATGACCGCATTTCATCTGAACAAGCCTCTCTACGTGATGTGTATCGGCCACAAGTCCAGACAAATCAGAAGCGCCAGCTAGAAGACCAGACCAATCGTGAGTCGGGACGATACGACAAAAAAGCCAAACATCAGGACACAGGATTTGCTGGAACAGCTTCTGCAGTAAACCAGTGCCGCGAAGATACCGACTGGGTTTTGGGTCCCGAGTCGACGACAAATGATGTCGTCAAGTTGTATGCGCCAGTCTTTTCCTCATACTAGCTGACCTGCTACATTGCTAAGATATTTTTATTCACACTGTGTTGTCAATGCCGCGTGCACTAAAGCAGATTATTCGTTTCGTTTTTATTGAGATAAATATATTAAGAGAATTACTCGCTGCTTGTACCTTGTTTAGTCATAATAAGAAATGTACCTTTTGGTGTACAGGCTGAATATCTGCCCGAAGTGCCCCGAACAGAGCGGCGAGCCGCCCAACCATGGGCGCTAGGTGAGCACCGCCTCAGACATGCTGTTGTAGGACGCCACCAGCGCTTTTAGATTCGTTTTCGTTAAGGGCAATTGTCCCGATAGAAAGAGCTCTACCGGTTATATCTACTAGGTATACAGCGGGCTAGTAGACTAGCAGGCTAATAAGCAGCCTATAGTTACTACCTCTACCACTAAAGCTAAGCTTCTCGGTCTCTTATAGACTACAAAGCAGCTATAATAGTGGCGTAGACTTCTTCATACCCTTTGTTAGGACCGGCGTGCTGGCGGGTCCTGGCAGGTAATATAGAACTAGAGTGAAGGAATAGCAGGGTGCTAGTATATTCATAAACTAATCGCTAAAGAACTAAGTTCCCCTAGCAGTCTCTATATAGATGACCTTTGGCGGGTCACGGGACTAGGTCACCTAACCCGGTAGGACTCAGTCTTCCTAGTGCAGTCTCTAGCGGGGGGTCGTGCTACCCCTACTAGGTCACGGGTTCTAGGTCACAGGACTAGGCGGGATCCAGCCTATGAGGCACTCTCCTAGTAGAGAGTCGTAATATTCTCCCCCTCCTTAAAGAGCTGCGTCCTTATAGCTAAGGGTCGGGGGTCGAGGGTCTCTTATAGTCGAGATAGGGAGGGTTCGAAAATAGTATATATATCTAGCTATCTAAAAGAGGGTAATTTGTCTTTATAGTAGAAGGTGTAGATAGACTCGGAGCTTTAAGCGTTATCTCTCTTCGTCGCGTATAATCTGAGTTCTTTATATATTTTTTACTTATCTCTCTTCGAGTTATAGCTTTCTTCTTCCTATACTTCCTCGTCCTTTCGCTTTTTCTTCTTATAGCTTTTCGTCGCTTCGCTTTTCTTCTTATAGCTTTTCGTCGTCTCGCTTTTCTTACTATAGGTTATTTCGACTTATTATAGTAGCTCCCTTTCCTTTAGTCGCGAGTACGACGTATACCTCTATTAATAATTACGCCCCTCCGGCCGTCGTCTCCCCTACTAACTCTACGAGTATATAGTATTAGCGTTATATAGACTATCTTAGATATAATCTAGGGTATATATATATCCCTCCGCCTAGCGGGATTAACGTTAATACTCCCTAGTATAACTACTATATAAGGAAGCGGTAGTCTTATATAATAGTAAGTATAGACCTCCGCTTATATTAGCGGTTATTAACGTTCCTTAGGTCGATTCTAGGCTCGACGCTTAAGCTAATACTTATATCTTAGCGCCCTATACTACCCCTACGTAGAATATATCGTTCCTTACGATTATATAGGGGTTTCGAGATATACGGAATACTTTAACTCGAGATATCTATATAGGTATAGTTACGCCTTTCGGTCCTCCTTACGCTACGCCCCCTCTACCTCCTTTACCCCCTCCGCCCCCTTCAACGTAGGTTTTTATTAAGGTAACTATTTATTAAGGTAGTACTTATTAACTAAGTGAATAATAATATAAGAGGGATACGTAATTAGAACGAAGGGTATTCGATTCTATATTAGTTATAAGACTAAATCTTACCTTCCCTTTTCCTATAGGTATCTTCCTTTTATAATTTAGGTTCCCCGCTTCTTAGGACCGGATTATATTAGTTCTATCCCGATATCGTAGGGTATTCGGAGGGGTCTCCTCTATCTAAGAAAAAGGGAGTCTAAGGTAAAATAGTATAATAAAGAAATACTATAATAACTATCCCCCCTTCTCTATAAAACCTATCCTAGGGTTTTAGGTTAAATAAAGGGAAGTATAAGTTATAAAATAAGAAGGGTTCCTATCGAGTTTATCCCTTTTTCTATTATTCGGAGCCTTATTAGTATAGCTATAGTAGTAGCTAATAGATAGGATATTAGCGATCTAGTACCGGAACTAGAATTAGTCTAGTGCCTAGGCTATTTACGTTCTAACTTAAAGTCCTTTAATACTACTAAAGAGGAGGTTTTCTCTATCTCCTACTAGTATAATATAATCGCGTCTATCCTTTATAAGTAATATTATATAGATAAGAAGACTTATAATATAGTATATTTTCGGGCCTTTATTATAATAAATCTATACTTATCCTATATAGGTACCTATTAGTATAATAAGGGATACTTAAGATTTTTCTACTATTCTAAAATTTTTAAAGATTCTTCTAGATAATAAAATAGAGTTATCGGAGTAGATCTATATAGAAGTCGCTAAAAATTCGTATAATTTAGTCTAAGCGTTTAATATAGCGGTTATTAGTTACTATTTATATTAGAATTTAGTAGATATAAAGAAAATATAAGTTATAAGTATTTTATAGCTATTTCGTTAATAATTCGTCTTCTAATAATAGTCTAACTATTTTAGGTAAATTATAACGAGTTTATAAATAGTCGTCGGGCTAATATATAGACTATACTTAATAGTCGTAGTTTAACTCTATTAGATTAGGATAGACTTTTAAATCTACTCCCTAGGAATATAGGATATACTTATTAGACTATTATAAAATAGAGGTATTTAGAGTCTATTTCTAATACTTTTATAGCTATATTCGGGGAAGCTATAGGAATAATCTTATTTAATATTTTCGGGATTAACGAGTATAAAAGGTTCGTAACTTATTCTCCTTAATAAAAGGGAAGGTACTATATATATAGTTCCTTCCTTATAATAAAGATAGCCTAGAATAAAAGAGGAATTTATTTTAATTTTCTAACTATAATCTTTCTTTCTTTATATTATTTCGTTATTATTTATACGTAATTCCTTATATATTTTATAGGTAATCCTCTTATATTTTATTATCTTATCTTTTATAAGTCCTATTTATTTCTATAAGAATCTTCCTTTATTATAGCGCGAGATTATAGTTATAGTTATAGCTATAGTTATAGTTATAGTTAGGGTTATAGTATAAATCTTATTAATAACCCGCCTATAGACTAATCTATACTCTTTTCTTTTTTAGCTACTTCTAAGATAGTATCTAAGATTTATAACTATTCTAACGTAAATCCGCTATTAACTCCTTCTTATATAGATCCTATTAAGATTACTCGTTATACTCGAAACTCCGGTTCTTCTATACGTCCGAAACGAAATCGTCCTATCCGATATCGCTTAAATTAGTATATTACCTATTTATATATAGCTAAGAAGAAGTAAGTTACTAACGAATCCTTTAAAGTTAAGTATAAATCCGAGACTATTAGTTCTATCTCTTATTAATATTATATAGAGAAGCGATAGGTATATAACTTAGTATAGATTTATTTACCTTTCTTATTAGTATTAGCCCCTAATTATATAGATTCTAAGTAATATTACTAATAATACTATAGATCTAATTTTAATTATCGAATAGTCTACCTAATTTTTTAAAAAGTTAGAGGATCGCCCTAACTATATAGAATAGGATAGGGTTAATAGATCCTAATTTTTCTATAGACCTACTATCTAGATTACTATTAAGAGTAGGATCTATAGGTTAATCTCCGACTTTTTAGTATTAATCTATAGTTATTAAGCTACTTATAGTTTCCTCCTATCTTAAAAGAAGACTCCTATTATAAGTATTATCTTCTCCTTTTTAGGTATATTTCCCTAACGAATTAGTAGGATATCGCTAACGCTTATAAATAGTTCCTCTCTTCTCGAGGTCTAACCTCTTTACCTTACCTTAGTCTTTTAGCTATACTAGCCGAGCGGAAGGCCTACGATATTTCTATTCGCTACTTTATCTATTACGGGAATTTAGGATATACTTTATAGAACGCCGTGAAGTATTCGTTTATTAAGGATCTAATAATAGCGATTATTATAAATAGTTAAGATACTAATATAAGCCCTATACTTTCCCTTAGTATCTAGACTAGCTTTCCGATCGTATTAGATACGCTATAGGTTTATTATATATTTATTATAAGTTCCGGAATTATTTTATTTTCTTATTTTTTAAAGGTTATCTTTTCTATAATATCTTAGAGGTATTTTAATAGTAGAATAGACTTATTTCGATCTAGATTTATTATCTTCTTTTTATTAATAAGATATTAAATTTAACTATATACTTTAAGCTTTCTTCTTCTTTTCCTTAAGTTTTCTAAAGGACTTAATAGCTTCTTTTATATTTCCTATATTTTTTTTTAGAATCTACTAGTTATATTTAGTAGACTAACTCTTCTATTTTACTAAGAAGTATCTCTCTTTATTAAATAGTCTTTTATCTTTAATATTTTTAATTTCCTATTCGTTAGACTTTTTAAGTTCTAGTATTAGTAAGGTTTCGGAATTTTCTCCTTTCTATAGTTCTAGAAGAGAGATATAAAATATATTATATATCTTATTATATTAGTTTAGGAGACTTAACCGGTACGTCTAGGATCTAATAAGATTTAGGACCTATAACGGTCTAATATATCTTAGGGCTAATTTCTTAGTATAGACTTTAAATTTTAGGTTTCTTATTAATAACCCTACTAAGTCACCTTTTTTAAATACTATAGGTTTATAAATAGAGTTAAATTATTTTATAGATAATTCGGAAGCTTTTTACTATCGTTCTATTATATCTTCCTATAACTTTTTTAGAATCTCGATTCTTTTAGTTATAGCTAGGACCTTCTTTTTATACGTTTCGTCCTCGGAATATATATAAAAGTTAGGCTTATAGCTTATAAAAACTATAAATAGAGAGTAGCCTATAGTTATATTAAGCGAGTTATTATAGGTATATTATACTATTAGTAGTAGTTTTAGCTATATAAGTTACTCTATATTAATAAAATATCTAAGATAAT